TGATGAGGTTTAATCTACTGTGAAGGGTTTGTTTTAAGCTTCGCATAATATTATTATTAAACTAATAATAATCACCTACAATACATCATTCACACACAGCCTCTTGACGACATTTTGACACAACAAAAAACAAATCACCAGCATATCCTGTACACAGTCTTAGCCGATTCTTTACTCCCACTGCGACATGAAGCTCATAGCGCTATCCAACTCGCCGCGGATCGCCGCAAGATGCTCAGGGCTTCGCGGCTTCACAGTAACATTGAAGTCGAGCGGGCGCATCAGAATTGCCGAATTGTAAGCATTGACATCGAGTGGTATAACCTTTCCGGTAACCGGGTCAACTGGCTCAGAAATATCAAAAGCCCATAGGAGCTTAGCCAAGATACGCCACATGTTGCGCTCAGCTAGATGGAGTCCAGGACAAATTCTACGGCCAGAGCCATATCCATAGTGATGTAGATTCGACGATGTCAGTACCTTTGTTTAGAAGTGCAGTCGGAATAGAAGATTACTTATCTCGGTTCTCAAAGTCTGCCGAAGCAGCGTAGTCGGGAGCCAACTTCGGATGGTTCATGTAACGGTCAGGGTTGAAGGTTTCATGGTCTGGATAAATGGATTCATCGTGATGGATAGACCAGATACCAATGAAAATTGTAGAACCCTTCGGGATCAACATTCCGTCATACCAGTAGTCTGTGATTCAAGAAGATTAGTCTCGTGTTATGACATGTCTAAATTCCGCAGTCTGTCCATACCTTCCGTGCTCTGATGAGGCAAACCGAGAGGAGCTCTAATTTTGTAGAAAGGTTAGAGTATAAACTCAACAAGACTGTATATAACAGTTGCAATACATACGTGGGACGCCATCTCATTGCTTCCTTCACGATACAGTTAACAAACGGCATTTTGTCAAAATCAAGACCAAACTGGGGACTGCGTTCCGCACCGCAGACTGCATCGATCTCCTTCTGCGCGCGCTTCTGGAATTCGGGATACTTGGCCACTGCCAAGATAAGAGTGAGGATCATGTTTGCTGTCGTATCAGCGCCCGCCTCGAGAAGTTCGCCAAAAAGGTTGTTGAACGCGTGCTGCGACATGGGCCAGCCCTTGGCGTTGTACTCGTCCAACTTCTGATCGATAAAGCAGTCTCTCTTGATGCCCTTTGCGCGTCTCTCGTCAATCATAGCACGAGCCTTGTCCCACATATCATCCATCATTTGACGACATTTGTAGGCTCTCGTTTTCCATTTTCCGGGGAAGTACTTGAGGAATGGCAACTCGTCGATGGGGGATTAGCGCCAGGCTCTTCAGTCTCGAGCCACTATAAGAGAAGTCAATCAGTTAGCCAGGCGTTCGTATGATTATATAGAATTATTTGTAGAATATGCTTACGATATGCATCAGTTCAAAAAAGTCCTTGTACCAAAACGATTTAAAGTCGGTCACTCGCTGGCCCCAGATAAGGGTACACGCGACGGAGGTTGTGTACATCTTTGCATAATCGAGGATGCGGTCGCTGTGCTTCAAAAGGTTATTCATGAAGATCACAGCTCTTCGAGGGTCAGCACACTAATAATGAGACATATAGCAAAGATAGTAAACTTACTCGGCTTCTTGGACTTTCCAGTGCTTCTGGTCAAGAACTGAGGGGCTAAGGTTTCGGGTGACGATAGCTCGCTTCTCTCTCCAGGAGGCAGTAGCTTTCTCAAGAGTCAGATGGTCGCCATGGGTGACAAAGTTCGTAACGTAGTCGATCGGTCTGTCGGAGAAGATGCTTCCTTTCTTGTCGATCATGGCGTTGATAGATTTGCGGTCGGACAGGACGACAACGTTCTGGCTGCCGACTTTGAGGGAGAAGACAGGGCCATAGGTGTCGGCGAATTCTCTGAATCTGTGAGAGAAGTAGTGATTAGTGCGCGCTCTACAAGCTAGACAGGACTGACCAAGACAGAAGTTATACTTTTTACCAAGACCGGTAGATGGAATCTGATGAACGTTGCCCAAGATAGGGAGGGTGGGGGGACCGGGGGGCATGCGCGGGTCGCGCCGGCCGCTTCGCAGTATTTTGACGACAAGGTAGAGGATGATGACGCCGGTGAGGATAGAGAACACGGGGATCTTGAGGATGAGGGCATCGGGCCCTTCAAGGAGGCTGGATGATGTGCTGGGAGCCATGTTGTAGCGGGGGGGAAGAAGGCGACGCTGTAGACGAGAGAGGCGGCGAAGACATTGGTGCGGGGGGTGAGGCGAATATATAAGAACAGGGCGAGAACGGCACGAGGATGGCGAAGTGATTGTCGCTGCAATTGGCTTCGCGGTAACTGATGCTTAGACTGATAATGATAATCTGCTGATTGGGTGTCGTGAAGAAGAAGACCGGACGGACTAAATCTGAAAAACCTAAACAGTCAGGGGTAAGTAAACCCTACGCTTCCTTCTGCGATGATATCATCAAAGCCAATAATAAACGAGAGTAGATATGCACTAGTTGCTAACTGGTACTTGCTAATAATCTTCATAATCTTCTTCACAATGATTATGGAATAAACACCAGAAAGTGCTGTTGTTGGACGTGGAATCAGCGCTATGTCTCTTCAAGACGTTCTCTGGCCGGAGCATCTGCTCTGAGACTCTTCCCATATTTGACCAAATTAGCCGCAGCACGTTAATCAAAGAAGCCAAATCCCCGCACAGCAGAAGCGGGGTAAACTTTCTCCACCATCTCCTACAGGTCGCTGCGCTGCCCGCGTCAGTCGTATAACTGCCTGCTAAAAACCCTCAGATTTGTCTCTGCTTCACTACTGCGATTTGGACCGAAGTCTTGTAGAAGTCTTCAACGGCCGCTTCCCGGGCTGCTGGAGCTTCCAACGTGCGCCCATTGTTTCAATAGAAAGACAAGCTGTCTCAAACAGTCTTACTGCTACTACTACTGTATAATATTCTGAGTATCGCATAATATTGCACAGCTCCTCGCTACAACTCCTACGGCCAATCTGACTTCTTTGAATCGTCATCTCTGCATAAGACCTAGCTAGACATCCACTGTAGACTGCAGAGAACGCGGAGGGAAGGACAGAAGTGAGTGAGTTCTAATGTGACAGCGCCGTATTGCCGCTCTCGCCTTCGTCCTTTGCTATGGCCAGACAGAACAAGAGCGTCCACTTCCGTCGACATCAGCGGCTTTGTCTGTCGATAGATAGTGTAGGGTTCCTAACACATTTGTCCGGCCAGCAAACTGTTGGCTGCCAGGCTGATCGCATTGAGCAGCAGCTCATTGTTCACAATAACTATTCGCGGGTCTACACAAACACCTCAAATATGTAAATAATAATAAGAGGATCTCGGCCCTTTCCTGGCTCTTCTTTATCATCCCCCGATCCAAAGCCACCGCGGAGAATTGAGAGCGACAATGAACGCCAATGCAAACACAAACAAACTTCACTTCCAGATACCTCGTCTTTTGACATGAATCAATGCACATTCACTATCACATCCAGATATCCGTCAAACTCCGGAGTTGGGCCAGTACGGAGCAAAACCTCCAAGTCGACGTCCTCCAGCTGAAGCTTCTCGATAGCTGCGCTTGCGGTTTCATGCAGTTTAATTCATAGTTCAGCTCTGAATTGTCAAATCTGATGGCAGTTTAATAACCCGCACAATAGCCCGTTTTTTAGCTCCTCAGTAAGAGCGTCGGTAATGTCGACACGTGACCACTGCCTTAGTGAAACGGAGGCGGTCAAGACGTTTTCTGCCTTGTTGCATTTCCCACTTGCAAACACATATCCACAAACCCTACACACACTAAAAAGGCAGCTCTCCCGTCGTTCTCTCTCTTCTCTTCTTCTTCACCTCTCGTTACTTCCAGCACTTCAGCAACACCCACCCTTCCCGTGCTTTCTCAACAATGGTTTTTGGCTAGAGGGGAACACGCCCCTCCAGTGCATCGCATACTGCTGCTGCCTTCTACATGCACCGTCGCTGCCGACTTCTCCCTACATACGCGCAACCGTAGCTTGAATCTGCGGGCACGAAAGCTCTTGTAGTTTCCGTCATCGTACATTCGTACTTCTGCGGCCGTCCATATTTCTCCTGTGAACAGTGAAAAGACACTCCTATACAAAAGAAAATAGTTATTTTGCTTATGAGTGACTAGCGATTACGGTTGACTCTTGCGACTTTACTATATTTAAAGCTTAATGTATATCTCTGGCACTAAGAATAAAAATTGCAACCCCACGTCTGTATCCCTCGGACAGCGGAAAAAGAAACAATACAAATATGGATGAAACACACAGCTCTTCATACAGAAACAAGCTTGCTCAATACTCCCGACTCCTGGGCCTCGATCGAGTATCTGTTACCAAGAACCCCCTTCCTTTCAGCAATAATCTGGAGCGCGACAATCTTTGAGTTGAACCGGGCACCAGAGAGAGGTCCAACGACATAGTACAGGTTGGGGATCCCGACGTCTCTGCAAGTTCCGAATAGCTCGCCCTCGCGGTCAAGGTCCCAGAACTGCTTGAAGGAGTTTGCGTACTTGTCTCTGAGGATATCTTTGATCGTGTCCTTAAATCCGGTATATCCGGTAGCAAAGACCACAACGTCGGGCTTTAGCGAGCTGCCATCCTTGAAGAAAACGCTGTCCTCGGTAAAGTGATCAATCTCTCCAGCCTTGACCTTGATGTCGCCGCTGATGATGCGAGGAGAAGCGCCGGTGTCGTAATAGTATCCTCCAGATCGAGTGTTGGTGTTGATGAAGAAACCGCAGCCGTCGCGACCGTCGTAAAGCTGGAATCCGGCCTTCTTCAGACCTGCCAAAAGCTCCTTGTCCTTCGCCTTGATTTCCGGCACATAACGCTTGTGGAAGAGACGGCCGACGTACTTGGGCGAGGATTCGGAGAGCAAGTCAACGGTCCAGGTATCAAGGTTCTCACGGTACGGATTGACGGTAGGAACGCCGTTCTCGATAGACATGACATAGGTCGGCGAGCGCTGAAGCATTGTGACGTCCGCACCGTTGTTGAAAAAATCGAGTGAGATGTCGTGTCCTGAGGTGCATGCTCCGACAACGAGCGCCGTCTTGCCAGTCCAGTCCTTGCCGTCCTTGTGATGAGCCGAGTGAACAATGTCCTTCTTGAATAGCTCCTGGCCTTTGAAGGGAGGTGGGAACTTAGGGTGGCCGCCGCCGATTCCGGTAGCAAGCACAAGATGGGAAACCTTGAATGTGTGAGGGACGCCCTTGCGCGAAACCGTGACGAACCACTCCTTCTTGCTCTCATCAAAGTAGGTGTCGCTGGTAACGATCGAAGTCTCGGTCCAGACAGAGAGTTCCATGGCGTCGGCGTAGTACTCGAGAAAGTTTGCCAGCTTTCCAGACGGAGTGAAGACGGGCCAAGTAGCAGAGAAAGGAAAGTAGGCGAGATGGTTGGAGTAGACGGGGTCATGGAGCGAGAGCGACTTGTACCGAAGTCGCCAGTTGTCGCCAACGCGCTTGTAGGTATCAATCACAAGCGCCTTGACGCCCATCGCACCAAGACGAGCAGCAATCTCGAGACCGTTGTGGCCTCCACCGACGATGATGACTTCGGGGTCGGAATTCTCGGTCTTCTCGCTGAGGATCTCGTCGTAGGACTTGGTCGAGTTGTGCTGGCCTCGGATGCGAGTAGGACCAGCATGCTCGGGAAAACCGTCGACGCCGTCAAGAGTGGTGAAGAGGATCCAGGCGACGTAGTCCTCAGCTGGGCCGGGGATGAGCTTGACAATGCCAATGGCGGAGCCGATCGCGCAGGAGAAGGTGAAGAACGCTTGAATGAAGGAGACGTCCTCAAACGGCTTCTCGATGGTAGGCTCGGGAGTCAATGAGAGCTTTGCTCCGTGAGCCTTAGCGACTCTGAGACGGTCAGAGGCGGCCTGCTGGATGTTGGGCTTTCCGATAGAGCGGAAGTCGGAGGTGAATGAAATTGTGTCTCTCCAGAACGAGTCGTCGGGGGCAAAGAGGGCATCGAAAGCAGCGGGATCCTCAGACTCGACGGCGGAGTTGAAGCGGTCGACAAAGGACTGAGAGATCGCGACAACCTCGCCGGCGGAGAGCGTGTCGGGCACTTTGGAGGCAGGGAAAGCCGCAGGCTTGGGAACGTCGACGTAGGAAACCATATTGAGAGATTGATCTGAGGAGATTGAGGCGGGCAGAACACAGAAATCCGTAGAGATCTCAGACGAAGGATGCTTTTCGAACCATCTAAGAAGAACAAGAGCTGTTTATATTCATCGATTTGGCCAGGATCTGAGAATGCGGAGGAGAGCAGGCGACGGAGTGGCTACCAAAAGAGGCAGCGGTCGAGCTACCTGACCCACCCCGCATATTCAGTGGTGCTTGACGTCAGACCCAGGGAGAGGCCGATCCGGGTCGGGACGCGGGTGACTTCTCAGTCGGGCATAGAAGCCGCTGGCGGTAACGTGATTGTTTGCTGCGCTCAGTTATTTATTTGTTTGTTTTATTGTTCAAAGTGCGGCACTCGGCTTCTTCTCGCTGCCCATCGCCTGGCGATCGCGCTGAGCCGCGGGTTCTTCCCAACAGTGACTGATCGATTAGATAATGATAAGCCGCACGTCCTTCTACTCGCGATAAACATAAGATCGCCTGTTCTTCCTGCTCTCTTCTTCGCTTTTTTGTCTGCCGTTGTCGCTAGGTGTTCAAGAAAAAAAGTGAAAATGAGTCCTTCCGTATCGTCTCCCTTTGTTGGAGCTCTAAAAACGGTACGGATACATCACATATTGCCTACTCTGCGTCCTTTACTAACACTCCCCGCCTGCAGCTTAAGCGGCCTGACCTCTTTATCGCCGACGCCTTCGTGGCTGGTCAATGGGTCTCCCCTACAAGCACATTCCCAGTCTATGAGCCCTCAACAGGACAGGTTCTTGGCTCGGTTGCAAACATGACCCGAGACGACTTCGTGACCGCGATCAAGTCCGCCGACAAGGGTTACCGCGCTTACAGTACATCAACAACCGCCCACGAACGGTCGGCCCTACTCCGCAAATGGTACGATCTGATTATGCAGAATAAGGAAGATATTGCAACAATTCTTGTGCTGGAGAACGGCAAGACCTACGCCGAGGCTGTTGGAGAGGTTGCCTACGCGGCCTCGTTCGTATCCTGGTTCTCGGAAGAAGCCTCCCGCGCTTATGGCGATGTCATTCCTTCCTCGATGCCAAACACCACTGTCATGACCATGAAGCAGCCAGTTGGTGTCTGCGGAATCATTACTCCTTGGAATTTTCCCGCTGCGATGATTACGCGCAAAATTGCGCCGGCCCTTGCTGTCGGATGCTCGGTCGTGATCAAGCCGCCGTCCGAGACACCCTACACGGCCGCGGCCCTCGTAAAGCTCGCTGTCGAGGCCGGTCTACCTGCCGACGTTATCCAATTACTACCAACCAAGGACCGCGAGGCTGCTACAGAAATTTGCACCTCGCCTATTGTCAAGAAAGTCTCTTTCACAGGCTCTACTAAGGTCGGTATTCATCTCTCAAAGCTAGCCATGGGAACCATGAAGAAAGTGTCCATGGAGCTTGGAGGAAATGCGCCGTTTATCGTCTTTGAGGACGCAAACATCGATCTGGCTGTTCAGGGTGCAATGGTTTGCAAGTTCAGATGCTCAGGGCAAACTTGTGTTTGTGCAAACCGCATCTTTGTACAAAAATCTGTTGCAAAGGAGTTTACTGCAAAGCTTGTCGCAGAGGTCGAGAAGCTCAAAGTTGGATACGGACTTGACAAGGAGACAACCCAGGGCCCTCTAGTCAATCGCAATGGCGTTGAAAAAGTCAAGCAACATATCGAGGATGCGCTAGCCAAAGGCGCCAGACTCGAAACCGGCGGTGGTGTTCCCAAAGACGTTGATCCATCCGGGTTCTTTATTCTGCCCTCTGTTCTCTCGGGAGTGACGACCGATATGATGGTTGCCAGCGACGAAACCTTCGGACCGCTCGCGCCCATCTTTGAGTTTGAGACTGAAGAGGAAGCGATCTCGATGGCCAATAATACCGAGTTTGGATTGGCGGGGTATTTCTTTTCCACCAACATAGGAAGATGCCTCAGAGTTGCTAGTGCTCTTGAGTGTGGTTTAGTAGGCGTTAACACTGGCAAGATATCTGCTGCTGAAAGTCCGTTTGGGGGTGTTAAGCAGTCTGGTGTTGGTCGAGAGGGTAGTATGTATGGATTGGCCGAGTACTACGTCATCAAGGCGGTTACCATTGGAAACACCAATGCCTAAGATGTATTCTAGTGTTCTAATATTTGAGAAAAGTCATTTTGCTATATTATTAAGAATGACCTGATTACCACTCGCTCAGCGATCCGTCAGCACTGACAAATCCACCCGATCGCCATGCTTTTGCGTTTTTGCTCAGAGCCCTAACAGCTTCCTCGTTAACCTCTATTCCAAGACCCGGCCCCTCCGGGACGACAACGTAGCCGTCCTTGACGTCGAAAAACTCGGGGTTGTGCACGTAGCTGATGATATCCTGCTCGCCAGCTTCGGTGTTGTAGTGAATTCCAATAGACATCTCCTGGATGACATGGTTTTGTGTGCACGCCGCAATCTGGAAGCAGGCTGCAAGAGCGATCGATCCAAGAGGGCAGTGCGGGGCAATCGCAATATCGTATGCTTCGCACATTGCTGAAATCTTTCTGATTTCAGTGATTCCGCCCACATGAGCAATATCAGGCTGGAGAATATCAATCGATACGGGGTTGAGAAACTTCTTGACGTCCCAGCGCGAGTATAAACGCTCGCCAAGAGCGATCGGAATCGATGTCTGGCCGGCGATCTCGGACACGCCTTCGTGATTCTCGGACAACAGCGGTTCTTCGATAAACATCGGGCGGTGCGGTTCGAGAAGTTTTGCTAGCTGCTTAGCCATGGGTTTATGGATGCGGCCGTGGAAGTCAACTCCAGCGTCCATGCCTAGTGATTTGACGGTAGCCAGTCGGTCGGCCGCGGAGTCGAGTGAGGATGGGGTATCGAGCCAGCCGATGTCTGCGGTCGCATTCATTTTGACGGCTTTGAAGCCCTGATCAAGACGGCCTTGCCTGTAAGTAGATATATTAGCAAAAGCTCAGTCGATGAGTGAAAGCAAATGGGACATACGCCTGAGATCTGACGTCGTCAGGTCTATCTCCTCCGATCCAAGCATAGACCTTGATCTTGTTGCGAACCTTGCCGCCCAAGAGCTCATAGATTGGAACATTCAGTCTGCGAGCTGATATGTGCGTGTAGAGTTAGCGCAATACCTGAAATATAGCCATAGAGAACGAAATACCTTTGAGATCCCACAGCGCAATGTCGAGACCGGATAAAGCAGATTGCAGGACGGGGCCTCCTCGGTAAAAGCCTAGGCGCCAGACACTTGTCCAGATGTTTTCGATGTTGCTGCAGACGGAATCAGTATTCTCTCATCAATTTTGATATTACAAGATAGAATACACACTTTGCCTCCCAGCCGATAAAACGGTCTTTGAACTCGTCGAGAGCACCCTCAACAGCCTCCGAGTGACCCTCGAGCGAGGCCTCACCCCATCCGTAGTTGCCCTCGACGTCGGTGACCTTAACATAAAGCCAGCGTGGCGGTACACGAAAATACTCGATTTCTGCGATTTTCGGCATGATTATTCGTTTGGTAGATAACAGAGGGATGAACGGGGAGGATTGTGGGGAAGATGGAGTTAAATAGTCGATTTTGCTGTTCCCCGGAGTTTTGGCCGCACCATCCCGCGCACATCCCACATTGTGGGGTAGCGCGCGGAAAAGTCAAATCCCACACTGCCAAATCATCCCGCGATGGGAGTTCCCCCACACTTTTGACATAATTATTAGTTTTCATATTTAGTCCGCACTCCTCCTCCTCCGATTTCTACTTCTCCTTCGATATCTTATCGCAAAGACCATCGTCTACTTCCTCCTCCATCATGACTGCCTCATCGCCTCTTCCCTTTGGGATCTACGTCCCCTCCCCGACCTTCTTCCTCCCCAAGCAGGCCGCTGCCTACTCAGCGCTCTCCTCGCCTCTTGATCTCGAGGCCCAGCTTCAGCACACGCTCATCCTCGCCAAGGCTGGTATTCACGGTGTTGTCCTTCTCGGATCTACTGGCGAGGCCGTCCACATCACCGTCGATGAGCGCAAGGAGCTTTTGTCCTACGTCCGAAAGGGCCTCGACGCTGCTGGCTACGCCGATTTCCCGATCATTGCCGGCACCGGCACAAACTCGACCGTCGAGACCATTGCTCTTTTGCAGCAGGCCAAGGACTGCGGTGCAGTCTGCGGCCTTGTCCTTGCGCCTTCCTACTTTGCTTCTGCTGTCACTCAGGAAGGTCTGATTGAGTGGTACACTCTCGTTGCCGACCGCTCGCCTATTCCTATCATGATCTACTACTACCCCGGCGTTTCCAACAACCTCTACATCGCGCCCAAGACGTTCGAGATCCTTGCCGCGCACCCAAACATCGTCGGAACCAAGCTCTCGCACGGAAACATCTCACACCATACGATCCTTGCCCAAAATCCCATCATCAAGGCAAACAACTTCCACGTCTTTTCCGGTCTCGGACAGCAGCTGCTTCCCATCATGACTATCGGCGCTGCCGGCGCAATTGATGCGCTCGCTGGTATCTTCCCCAAGACTGTTGTTACACTCTTCAACCTCTCTGTGGCTGGAAAGATCAGTGAGGCGCAGAAGATTCAGTACCTTGTCTCCTGTGCTGAGGAGGCTGTTGCTGAACTTGGTGCCGTCGGCGTCAAGGAAGGTGTTGCCCGATACCTCAAGCTCGGAGACAAGGAAGGTGGTCGTCCTCCGCTCGCCGGTGGTCTCTCCGGTGGAGACGCGGTCTGGGATGCGAAGTATAAGAGCGCATTTGATGCTGTAGCCAAGTTAGAAAGTACTCTGTAAGCTTCAATGGAGATCGATTAGTTATACACAGTTAACACATTTGAAAACCCTACGAAAAGCTAATATCCATGTGGGAGTAAAAGTAAAACCCTACAACTGCTGTCAGCTGTGACGTAATGGCAATCCATATTTGGGCCAACCCTTTCCAGTAAAAATCGCGTGAGAACGCGAGCAGCTTCCATTACTGGGATCCCTTATCATCAACACCTCGCATATCACTGCTATTTGCATTCTACCATCATCATGCCGTTCATCCGGCTCTAAGACTGCACTACACTACACGCCGCAGTTTATTTGTTATATATGATAGATGGCCAAAGTCTTTGGAAACCCGGATCCGAACGCGATCCTACGCGCGGCAGGAGATCTTCCGTACTCGAAAATCAACAGTCTGCTGAACGCCGCGCCCAGCCAGCATCTGAACCAGCATATCCTACACGTATCACGACTGATTGAGCTGACTGGGAACCTGATCAACTCTGTCGAGAACTGGGATGTCGCCTGGGAAAGCTTAGGTTCCCTGCAGGCAGTTACGGATCTCAGCACGCAGTGCAAGCTTGTTCGGGCCCAGATCGACGCTTTTGACGTCGATTCGCTGAAGTCGGTTGTTTTGGGTATGTTTCTTTTGCTATACATATTTGTATTCGTTACATTCTGTCAGCGGACACCTAACAGATAATCGTGTTGATAGGCTTGCCGAACCATTCTCAAGACGTCGAAGCTCTTCTCACCGCACTGACTCTCCGCCTGATTCCGCTTCTCGCAGAGCTCGAGTCTCTTCTTTTGCGCGCCGAGAACCGAGCAGATATATCCCGGCTTGAAATCTCACTACGACACGAAATCTCCGCGGTCGACTGGTTCACGCCGGAATTAACCCGCACCAAGATCTCCAAGGCCGGACAGATTCTCGACGAAATTCTAGATATTGCCGCTGAGCCCATTCCCGAGTCATGGATTGATGAAGTTGAGAATCTGGAAAAGGCAATGATGCGGGGCGATTGGACGCAGGATTCGATTATAAAGAGCTCCTCGACAATGCCCTCAATCACAAAACTTTCAGAAAAGCGGAGTTCCTTGAAAATCTTGCAAAAGAAGTCTGCCGATGGTATCGATAATACCGCTGACGATCGGTCTCGGGCCGCTGAATCTAGGAGGAGGCAGAAGGCTATGGAGATTGAAGAACTCAGGAGCAATGACGCTTTGCAAAAATTAAGAGACGACGGTCAAGCCAACGGATCGACCGGACGAGAGCCGGTCGGAAAACCGGAAGGTACTCTTGCTGAACAACGTGACGAGCTGCGGAACCAACTCAAGACTCAGCACGAACGACTCTCTCAGCCGCGGGCTATTCGTCCTGCCAGTATAGCGTCGCTGGAAGAAGGTTCTTCGGTCGATGACGACTTGTCGACCTCTCTCACTACCAGCGATACCTCTGCTGCCGATTCGAGATTGTCGAGTGACACTACACAAGGAATAGAGCATCAGACACCAGTCAAAAAGCTCGAATCTACCGCAACTACACAGCCTCTTGCAGGAGATCCACAAAAATCAGCCCAGTCCGATTCTCCTTATACTCCATCCCATTTTGGCCACGCCGCTCGACCGCGGCCGTCCTTTCCAATGGGTACTCTGGAGACCACAGAGCGCGGACTTGTGCTTGATATAGAGAGAGTGGCTGCGATCGCCGCGGAACGAATGTCCCCTTCACCCCCAAATACGGCGATGAGCGACTCTATGACTCGAAGTCCTAGTGTCCGCTTGCCTATTGATAGGTTTTTGGAATCCGCTGCGGCTGCGATTGCGGCAGATGATTACGATGAGTCGATCATGCCGTCCCCTGAGATTGACCTGTCGGTGGTTGACGATGAGTCGCCTATGCAGATCCGACACCGGAAAGAGCAGGAACTGAAAGTGTTGGAAAAGGATCTATACAAAAGCCGCAGTATATCTCATGGTCACACCCCGACCTCATCTATTGGATCTGCTGAATTGGCGCCCAATGATCCGAAGCGATTGTCGGTCGATGTCGCATCTCTCCGCAGCACGCTCTCCTCATCAGCCGGAACGCCGGAAAAGATGGACAAGCAGACGATCGAGAAGCAGACTCTTGATAAAAAGATCCAGGGCATTCTGACGTCCCTTGAGAACGAGCATATCGAAATCACGCCTGCAGAGTCTCCGGAGAAGGACAAGAACTCACAGCTTGGCACATACAAGCTGGTCAGTTCGACTACTGCGTCTACTTTGAAGGAAGCCGGCTATGGAACGACGCGCAAGTACATACTTCAGCGGCCAAATGCGGCGCTGCAGGTCATCTGGGTCAGAATCATTGCCGAGCGCGTGATGGTTCGTGTGGGTGGTGGATGGACTGACCTGGCGGAATGGTTGAGTAACTATATACTTTATCATACTGCGACTGGTACATCTACTACTACTCCTGACGAAAAGACCTCGGCAAAAGCGTCAGGACGAAATACACCCTCTACAGGAAGACGATCTACTTCTGGGAAGCTGCAGTCGCGCGTGGCATCTTGGGGGAAAAGCACGCTACGAGATGCCATGTCTCCAGGTACTCCTACTCCTACTGATGCCCCAGCGGATGAAAGTTCGAAAGCAAGCACACCCTCCTCCTCGTCTTCTCGCTCACTGCAAAAGAAAGCTTCCTCTCTGTCACTTCGAAAAAATAGACAATCCGCATCAAATTCAAAATCTTCCGACGGCAAAAAGAACGCCACCAGCAACTCTTCCACAACCACGCCGACTCCATTATCGTCATCAGCAAACAGCAGTACGGCTTCTACACCCTTGGGCTCTGCCGGACCCGTCAGCTCGCTTGAAAAGAATGGCAAGTTGTCTAGCGAGAAGAAAGCCTGGGTGCATAAGATGCTCAGACAAGTTAGCTCTGGAATTAATTCTTCGCCATTACCGTCGAATATCGAGGGTGGGAATGATCCTGCAGAGGAGAATCTTAGTGGCGGCGATGTCAAGCGAAGATTGTTTTCGTCCTAAGATATGTCTCAGTTTTTGTTTATTGCCTTTATTAATAAGTTACGTGTTTGGATTCACGTTTTTTTGTGGAGATTGGATATTGCAGAGTCTTTGTGTTTTGGATTTTTGTCAGCTCTTTTTTATTTCGTTTTGGATATCATCAAGTCATACATCTGTCAAGCATATCGCATCATTGATACCGTTAATAATAAATTCAATTGCATCATCATTTTCCATACACTCTTATGCCAAACTATGAGAGTTCACAAAATTCAGCGATAAATGTCGCAGTAATACTCCAAAAATCATATTTACACTCTAATTCCCGCCGATTCGCAGAATGTTTTCCTTTCCTATATGCCGAAACCCATTTCCTCCAAAACCCAATCCTTCAATCCAGTACAATCGCAAAATGCAGAGAGGTTACTGTCATAGATACTGTGCTGGCAGATCTCACTGTCTAAAATGCAAATGGATGAACGCGACTACCAGTACATCAACCCAAAACACCAAAACTCGCAAACAGGAACTTATTGGAGCTCCCCACCTATGTAACCTGTCGTCCTCTCCGTGTTTGTGCGAGGCCTAAACAGTCTTCCAAAAATCGGCATTTCATGCATTCCACCGCCGGCTCTCCAGTAATAGATTGGTATACCGGCAATCACAAAAAGGGCAGTAAATAAGGCTTGTAGAGGTGCCGAAAAAATGCCGCGAGAGATGAGAAAGAGAGCAACGCAGCAAAACATGATTGGAGTGGTGATGAAAGTTTTGTAAGGCCGCTCGAGTTCCGGTTGACGGATGCGTAGGACGATGACTCCCAGGACTGTCAGGAAATAAAATATGTACCCGGCAATTCCGTAGAATGTGATCAGAGATCCAAACTCGCCCACCAACACAAATCCAATAGTCAGGCCTGCTTGCAAAAGCAAGGCGTTAATTGGTGTCTCTGTCTTTTTGTTGATACGACCAAACATCGTCGGAAGGAAACCGTCCTTTCCGGAGACGTATACCAATCTCGCAGAGGTAAACGAGATCGCATTCAACGCGCCAAAACAAGATAATGCCACGGCAATAGTAAAGATGATAGCGCCTAACCTTCCAAAAACATGATCTCCAAAGGCAAGAGCGACTGTGCTCGAGCTGGTGAGATCTGACTTTGGCAAGACGACGTAGTATGCATAATTGGCAGCTATATAGCACACAATCACGGTCGGCATCGCAAAATGTATGACTTTCGGTAGATCGCGACTGGCGTCTTTCATTTCTGCCGCGACGTAATTGAGGTTATCCCAGCCGTCGAAAGCCCATAAGCCAGCGTAGAGAGCGAGGGCATAGTCGCCTAGTGAGCTTGACGCTCCGTAAAACCAGCCTTGCGAAAAGTTTCCAGCACCATTTCCCGTAATTGCAACAACTATACCAATAAAAGTGATCGCTAGCAGTGACGCTATCTTCAAGAACAGAAAGATGTCGCCGGTTCGGGTGCCAAGTTTCGTGCTGAGGACGTTGATTAGCGTCACGACGACGATCGCGCCGGCCGCAACCGACTTGTTAAACCATGCAGGCGAGAAGTGGCCTTCCCCTTCGTTTTCTGTAGTGTCGCCGTCATTTTCATCGTGAAATACAAGTCTGCCGAGGTATTCCGCAAACACGATCGCGATGATGGCAGTACTTCCGGGCTTCAAAATCGTGACTGCGGTCCAAGCGAATAGGAAGGCAGGAAGGGGGCCAAATATGTGGTGAAGATATGCTTGTGCTCCGCCGTTCAGTGGTATAGCGGTACCGAGCTCGGCGTAGGAGGCTGCACCGGTCCAGGCAAGCAGACCTGCCACGAGCCAGACTAGAAGTGCAGTGCCCGGTGAGCCGGCGTGGGCGTTGACTTCAGACGGTGATGAAAAGATGCCGGAGCTGCATGTAAATATAATCAGTTAGCACAGCAAACCAAATGTGTTTAGATCAATTAGTAGGAACAAGTACCCAATCTGCAAGCCAATCACTAGACCAAGTCCGTTGACAACACCTAATCGCTTTTGTTTTTCGAGTGGTACCGCGCCGTCTCTATCAGCCGAAGCCTGCAAAGGAAACAAGTGAGCACCATAGTCAAAAACCATCGATCCAGCAGCAGATAGTCCTCCGAACGAAGGACGGGGCAGTGAATCGAACGAGAGATGCTGCGAGTGTAGTTCTGAGCGGACAGATCTGCTAGAGACCGAGCCGGCGTCCTCTTCCTGCTCGGTCGAGACGAGAGACGCCAGCTCGAACGAATCGTGCGAAGGGCGATTTCGAGACATGAATAACTGGCTGTGATCTTTTTTCCCTCTATTTACAAACAAACTTGAGAAAAACACGAGCGGAGATCAAGTCACATTTTCCAGCGGAGAAAGAGAAGCACGAACAAGGTTTGCTGAAGTGGAATAGAGAAAGTCACGTGAATTTGAGCCGTCGACGCGTAGCTCTCAAAGTCGCGTCTCTCCCGCGTTCTGCCTCACAGAATACACCAACATCAACAACATCAACATCAACATCAACAGCAAGATGTACGGCGATCTGGCAATGAAACTGGCGCAGGACGCGCGGAGAGTACAGACCCTCGAATCGCTTCCTGCGTATCAAGTAGATCTCGTGGCCTCGATCGTTCGCGAGATTCGAGACTTGAATCGCGATTTCAATATTCTATTAAAAAAGCAAGGTCCCGACTACGATCCCAGACGGCATGGCGAAGCTTCCTGTGCGCTTTTTATTCTTCAGCTTTGTGTTCAACGGAATAAGCGATCACTGCTGGCATATCATCGGTTACGAGCTAAGCGGATAGAGGAGCTAGCCTGGGCAGGCGTCGACGCTGCGTCTGCGGGCGAGGAGAACAGCGGTAGTGGTAACGCAAATAGCAGCAGTGGTGCTGGTGGGACCCGCGGTAGTACTTCGTTGACTGCAGGATGGCACCCGGATGAGGACGAGTACTTTAGAGGATTCTCGGACGTGCTGGCAGAGCTGAAAGGAGAGTGGACAGATATTGACCTCGTCGGCCCTATGGACCCTCCGCGGGACCTGTTCATCGATGTGCGTGTTTTGAAGGATGCAGGCGATATTCAAACGGAATATGGGTTCGTATACGCTTTTTCTCTGTTTGTTTGTGTGCGTTTGCAGTAGAGCTGACATGAGTCTTTTACAGAATGATCTCACTCACGAGAAACAGTCAATTCTACGTACGTCAGGCAGACGTCGAGCGTCTGATTCAGCAGGGCTACTTGCTGAAGATGAGCTAGCAACGGTGCAGATTCATCCTTCTTTGTTTATTTTTCTTGGGCAGGCGTTCTTCTTCGACACCACTTCAATCATCTTTTTATATCTCAGTCTCGATGATTTAATATGCATATCATTAAATATTTGTAACTATACTATTCTTCACCCTTCAATAACTATTTCACAAGAGCAATCAACACAAAAAATCGCTTAAGGAGCAGGCGGCGGAATGTAACGCGGTCTCTTCTTAGCACCCTTATGTCCTCCTGTCACCGTCGGTAGCTCAGGCAATCCTGTCAAAGAAGCACTCGACCCACGAAGTGGTGGTGCCGACCCCGGCGGCGGAGGCGGTGGCAGCCCGCCTCCGGTGATAGGTGGCGTGCCTGCGTTAGATGGCGGAAGCGACGCAGAAGTCGTTGGTGGTAGCTTCGATGAGCCGCCAGGAGGTCCCGCTGGGTGCAACGACGGGGTGCTAGGTCCCGGAGTCGAGCTAGCGGGCGCGGGCTTCCGACCAGGTGGTGGCGGAGGAGGTGCAGGAGGTTTGCCGGCGTCGGGATCCTAAATAAATCAGTCAGTCGCAAATTACAAATTGTTACAAACGTAGACAAAAATCAACATACATTCGGGTTGACCCATCGCTTCTGCTTCTCATCATATACAAACTTGATCTCTTCTCCAAGTTTGGCGCGGATAGGTTTCGGCTTGTTATCGGCTGGCTCCTTCGACCTGCGTAGCCAGCCCGAGAGCCAACCACTTTTCGCTGCACCAGCATGCTCATCTACACAGATTGTTAGCTATGCGATAACCCGAAAATAAATAATACACGACACTGCTTACCGTTCTTCTCTTCCTTCTTTTCTTCCTCCTTCTTATCTTCCTTCTCCTCCTTCTGCTCTCCATCATCCTTCGGAGCTTTCTTCTTGCGCAAAGAGCTATTTCCAATTCCGAGATCATCGTCGTCAAAGCCATCATCATATCGGTCGTTATTGCCATTATGACCACCATGCCCGTTTTCGTAGTCTCCCGCATTGTCCTCGGGATCAGGTGGCATATAACCCCCGTTATATCCTCCGGATTCAGGTTCCTGCTCTGGCGGCTCATAGGACGACGATCCGTAGTCACCCATCACGGGCCCGCCGATCATAGGCTCGTAACTGGGAGGCTCATAGCCGTAACCATACGAAGGCATCTCTGGCATCTTGGGGGATGGTTCTTCCTCGGCTTGCTCTTCGGTTTCGGCTTCCGGCTCATACGTCGGTGTCGGAGGCTCATATGTCATTTCGGGTGGCTGATAGCCCGAGCTCACACCCCCCTCAGGATCATATGACTCGTTTCGATCCTCTGTCGTCGCTTCCTCACCATATGACGGATAACCGGAGAGCTCATCGTCACCGTAACCGCTGCGATGGTTGAGCTCCGAGTACTCATCGTTCTCCGGTGCTTCATACGTAGGCTTTGGTGGCTCGTACCCAGAAGACGCTCGGGTGGGGTCATATGCGTTGTTGGAGTCATACGACGAGCGTCGAGACTGGAATGCCGGACGCGACGGCGGCCCCTGTGTACCCGATGCGGGAGTGGGAGGCTTCGAGTAATTCTCTGCTGGCTTGACTGCAGTAAGCGGCGCCAAAGCCGACGACCGACCGCCTTGTGAAGATGCAGGTCGGTAGGAATAAGCAGATCCCGGGCGCGAATAATCCGGCTGCATACGCGGCTGCGAGTCATATGACGATCCTGTGGGCTCGTACGCGTTCTGCGAATAGTTCGACCGCGGGATATCGACAGCAGCAGTCGAAGGAGCGTAAGGGTTCGGCGACTCTTGACGAGGCGCATACGGGTTCGAGTGTGGTCGCACCGGAGGGTAGTCGGATGCATACCCGTCTTGGTAGTTCGAGTACGAGGTATTGCCACGATGGGAGGACGGCGATGAGCCATGCGAGCGAGGGTTATACATTCCACTTGCATTTGCCGAGGGTGAGTGCGCTCCACCTGTGTTGTTGTAATAAGACTGACCCATGGCCGAAAGATCCGCAACTGACTGGTTCCTCGACAATGTCGGGCTTGAAGCCAGCTTTTGAAATCTTTCGTCTGTGCCTTCTTTGTTGCTAGCCGTAGCGTTCCCACTAGCATTCTCATCGTCGCCCGCCACAAACTGGGCAAGCTTCTTATCGATGTTACCCCACATGTTACCAAACGTAGGCTTCGACACAAGACCACCGAGCCATTTTCCTTCCGCATCAGGTACACCTGACAGTCGGGCCGCCAACTCGCGGACGCTGACGAGGAACTCGGAGTTGTACATAAAAGAGGTTTTGGGCGTAGCCTTCACGCCTGCCAGAATCTGCTCGCAGTATTTCTTGGCTTCGGCCACCAATCCGGACTCGCTGAGCATGAGTGCGTGCTGATACTTGAACAACTGCAAGTGGGGATAGATGGTTCCCGCTGGAACTTGGTCGCTCTGAGATACCATCAGTTCGTAAATCTCGCTGAGCACAATTGCGTCGAGATCTTTACTGAACGACGACGGGTTCCGACTGAAGTCGGCGCCAAGCAAAGTGTAAGATGCAGCGGGATCGTCAACAGCTCCAAATACAGCACTGGTAAATATGTAGCAAGTGTGAGCAGCATAAGTCATGCCATACCGCTCCAAAGCCGTCCCGAGCTTTAAGATAGCATCCAAGTCGTTAGGAGGAGAGCTGTTGGAGATGATCATAGCCAGAGTCTCACGCCACTTGAGTAGGTCTTGAGGTACCTGATCGCGCGTACTGGCAGTGGGAAGAAGGTCAACCGTCATTCCCGGGGGTAAAAGTGAATCGACTATAGATCTTTGTTAGTGTCGTTCTCTTTATGATTGGTAATATCAGCAAAAATAACTCACCTGCTTCACCCCCTGCACCTGCAAAGACGTTGTATACCACAGCCAAGCTGCTAGCCTCAGACGTCTGGATACCTTTGATTTCCGTCTGCACAAACTCATGAACTGCTTCAGTCCATCTTTCTTTGCTGATTGTATTCGAGATCAACAGCGCATGACCCCACATCTTGTTATCGAGTGAATACATGAGAGCCGCCTCTCTGTTTCCTTTGAGCAGCGACTCTCGGATCTTTTGAAGCGCTTGGATCTTTTTGGCAGTATCAACTGATCCAGAAGCCTCTACAGATCCAGAGCTAGCGTTGCGCACATGGCGTTGGTAAAGATCGGTAGCACTGCTGAAGTGTCCAACCTCATCAACCTGTGAGTCATCGGCACTCTCCGGTACGAGCGCCGTTCTGATCTCTTTGATGGCTTCAGCGTTGTTGGCAAAGCGGTAATCATGCTCAAGTAGAATCTTGACACACTTCCACAAGCTGACCTTGTCTTCAGCTTCGTGCTTTGCGTCGGCACCAACTGCGTCGTAAACCAACTTGCTCAATTCCTCGATCTTGCTTTCCATCCACTTCGCAGCCTCCTTCTTCTTGGATTTGTTTGTGCTCTTGCTCGCAACATGGAAGAGAGGGCCCGGGAATTTGGTGTAGACCAAGTCATGGGCGCGATCGGTAATCACATCCTTCGCATTGTGCATCTTGATCGTGGAGTGAGTAAAGTCCAACTCTGTAGATGTGTAAGCCATCTGCGGATTCTGGGTCGGGAAGATAGTGGCAATGCGTCCATTGGCACCCCATGACACCAACGGATGTGGCTCGGGCCTTGCACTTCTATTGGGTCGCGGCGTATGCGATCGTTTGGCGCCGTTGAACGATGATCCGGGAGATGTTTGGAGATATGCCGCCGACTGCTGGGAGTTATTATTCTGAGGTGGCGAGTATGGTGCATACGAAGATGCCCTTGACAACCCTGATGGAGCGTGCTGCGACGCTGCGGCCTGGCCGTATACAGAGGGAGGTGTAGACTGTACCGCTGTGGGAATATGCTGCATGGGCGGAGGAGTAGACTGCACCGGTGGAACGGCCGACGAAGGGCGGTATGCACCCGTCGGTGGCGGCGGATACTGCTGAGACGGTGCGCCTTGCGTATAAGCCGGCTGCTGAGACTGCATACCTGGATAGGCCGGCTGCCGATTCTCCGGTTGAGGCGAGTAATTCGATCTAGGAGGGGGCGGAGTAGGCCGACCTTGCGGAGGTGCCTGCGAGGCCCGAGGAGCATTTGACGCCCAAGTTTGAGACACAGTCCGCTTCGGCGGCGCGTATGTTGAAGGAAGAAATGGGGGATCATATGCGTCTGTCCCGCGGCTATTGATTTGAGATCGAGGCGGCTGCGTCTTTGGAGGTGCCACAGGAGGTGCCTGAGGCTGGCCATAGTATTGTCCACCCGGCGGCTGCTGCGCACCATAGCTATTATTGACCGGCGCAGCAGCAGGCATACTAGGCTGCGAAGGCGCGTATGCGTTGCTCGGCGAAGGAGCGTAGGCGTTAGTCGCAACCGGAGTGTACGGATTGTTGACCGTAGGTGCATAATTGCTCTGCGCGGGAGGGGGCGGTGAGGTGTAATTCGCCGGTGCCGGATACGCGTTGCTCTGAGAGGTCTCAGCAGGAGCCAGAGTCGCAAATGCGGTCCCTGGAGAAGGAATGAAGGCATTTATGCTTTTCTGAGCAGTCTTGATAGGTGAGCTAACAGTTGTCATCGGAGCATATGGGTTTATCGGAACAGCAGCAGCAGGCTGAGGGGAACCATAAGATGCCTGCGGAACCTGCGACGGCGCCGTACTCGATACCGGGGCATAGGGGTTTATGGCGGGGAGGAGCTGCTGCTGCTGCGGAGAAGTATATGGAGCAGCGTATTGATTCGGAGGCGAGCGTATAATGGCTGGTGGAGGGGTGCTGCTCATATAGTTTGCAGCAGGACCAGGTGGCGGAGGGGTGTTGCTCATATAGTTTGCAGCAGGACCAGGTGGAGGAGGAGCGTATGTGGTATGGTTGATAGCATGTTGCTCATACTGTTCGATTCTTCGCATCAGCTTCGGCTGAGGCAGCGTAGGTAATTCGGAAAAGAAAGGTTTTGGCTTGTAAGCATCCTGAGAGGTTTGCGAAGCTCCCGTGATACTTCCCGTAGCAGAAGCCGCGTACGGCGCCGGGTTATAGACACTTCCACCATAGTTGGAGGTAGGCTGGCTGGGGACTGCTGCCGCCGGAATGTAGCTGGATGTCCTACCCTGAACGGGCGCCTTTGTTGTGGCTGCAGGAGCTGGAGCAGGCTCTTCGTCGGAAAGAAAATCATCATCCTCTAGTAAAAAGTCGAACGAGTCCTCTGCAACAATTTCAATGTCTTTATGAGCTGGCGCACTCGATTCTGTTGGTGCTGCAGGTGTAATTGAAGAAAGGAAGTCATCGGTCGCTCCCGCTGAATCAAAATGGATTTCTCCCGAGTCATCTGCCATAATCAGTACACAGTCCCTGTAGTTAAAGCTTGGAAATACAGAATACATACTTTGCTCCGATGCGCCGATCTGGTCGAAAAATGAGGTTTCAGGCTCGTTCTCGAACGACAATGATGGTCCAGCTTCTTCGCTATCCTTTTGCTCTACAGTTGCTTCAGAGGATCCCAGATTGTCAAAGATCGAGGGCCCGCTCGCGGGGAAAGACAGCACAGGCTCTGCAGGAGCCGCTTCGGGAACAACCTGAGAAGACTCAAGAGTCGTATCGCCTACCGCTGGTGTACTTTCGGCGTCAGGAGCTTTCGCCGTACTGGTTGAAATCTCGTCGAAAAACGACGGTTCGGATGCTGTAAAGGGGTTTGCTGACGTCTCAACCTCCTCCTCAGCTGGCGCGGGTTCTTCTGACTTCTCCTCGACAGGAGGAGTCGCAATCTGATCAAAGAACGAAGCTTCAGTTGCAACCTCTTTCTCTGTCGGCGCGGGTATTTCTGTCTTCTCCTCAACAGGAGGAGTCGCAATCTGATCAAAAAATGAAGCTCCGGTTGCAATCTCTTTCTCTGCAGGCGCAGATTCTTCGGTCTCCTCGGCAGATGGAGTCGCGATCTGATCGAAAAACGAAGCTTGAGTTGCAACCTCTTTCTCTGTCGGCGCGGGTTCCTCCGTTTTCTCCTCAACAGGAGGAGTCGCAATCTGATCAAAGAATGAAGCTTCAGTTGTGCTTCCAAATGGGTTCTCAGATTCAACATAGTTCTCGGGCATAATCTCTTCGGGTTCATGCTGGTTCTCCGTAGACTCTGGCGGGGAAATGGGGTCGGAAGAAGGAGCATCGTCGCTGTTGAACTGCACCGAAGGCTCGTCAAACGAGAAGTCAGGCTTAGGAGGCGCGATCAGATCGTCGAATGCAGAAGGAGCGGAGCTAGTGAAATCTATCGTGGGTTCGTCCGCAGGGACTTCGTCTATGTAATTGTAAGTACAAATGTAGCTTTAGGATCCAGAAAAAGACTTACCACTAGTAATTTTGTTCGTCTCGGGCACTTCGACATCCGCCGCAGATGACACAGGTTCGCTATCAAGAGGCTCATCGAGAGGCTGAGGCGAAGGATCAGAAGTATCAGTTACGGGTTCTGAGGATTCTAAAATCGAAACACAGTGTCAGTTTAACAGTCGTTATAAGAGTTTGGTATGATGTCGATCGTACCTTCGGTGGCGGGAACTTCTTCTGCTGCAGAGATTTCGGGGACAGTCTCCTTTTCCTTCTCAAACGCTGCTGAAGGTTGCTCCTCTGAGACAGCTTCACTGTGATCTTCCTGCTGCATAGCTGCAGGTGAGGACACGTCGTTTACTGGCTCTGCAGAAATAGCTGGCTCGGTAACAGTCTGGGGACTCTCGTCTGGAAGCACGGAGTCAATTGACAAAGAGGTCTCCTCGACCGCAGATGCCTCCACATCTGCAGAGTCTGTTGTAGGTGTCGGGATGGCTGAGGCGTCTTCGGGGCCGGTAGCGGTATCAGGAGAGATCGGCTGCTGAACAGGCTCATCTGGGATGACTGTAGTTTCGATTTTCTCCTCAACCGGGTCCACATCAGTAACTTTTTCGTCTCCAACGGGGACTGAGGCCTCGATTTCTGGCTGCGACTCGGTATGCTCTGTTAGCTCTGATGAGACTTGTAGGGTGGGGTCTTCCGTTGGAGTCTCGGACACGGGTTCAGAAGGCAATTCAAGAGCTGGCTCGACAGAATCCAAAACCACAGGCTGGACCTCCAAATCCCCAGAAGCTGATTTGGCTGAATCGATAACCTCTGAAGAAACCGCATTGTCGGTAGTCTCAATTGCAGTTTCAGAGATGTTATCGGCAGGGGGGTCGGAGGTATCCAAGGATTTGGTAAGGACAATCTCATCCCCTTCCGTGGACACCAATTCGTTCTGTACGGACGGCGGCGTCACTGACGTTGCCAGATCAGGTTCAGAAGGTGTCGAAACGGTGGCGGTGGAGGAGATAGGCTCCTCAGAGGGAGGGTTGTCGGTATCTGGAGACGCAGCTGCCGGTGGCTCCTCAGAGGGCACATGCTGCTGCGCGTCAATGGACGACATGGCTGCTGCAAGTTAAATGCAAGAATGCACTGTAGCTGCTGCGAGAATATGACCGCAACAGGCGGATGATGAACACTGGAAGAAGGTCGATGGAGACAGCGCGGTGGATCTCTTGATGTCGATTTGTTGTGAACTTTCGGTCTCGCGCTTTCTTTCAAAGATGACTAAGATATTAGGTAATGTTAGTGTATATGATTAGTCATATCTTACAGGGGTAAAACTCTCCAGTTCCCAAAGTTTACGACCGCCAGATACAGCAGCTTTATTCCGGAAGACCTGATATCTGCGCAGGACTGTGAAATGGCAATGAAGCGTTTTCAGTCTTCATGCACTGCCTGCTGGCATCTGCCGCGACGGGCAGTTCTGAAGAGTATGCGGACTGGGGACGCGTGTCCGCGGATAGAGCTCAGATCATTGACCGTACGATTCCCGATGCATATTTCTTTGTATAATTGACTTCTAACGCGCAATTATGGTCTGTTTAGAAGGCGTCCGGTGTAGCTCATAACAGACTGTCGAAGCTATATCTACCATCTGGGACAGTCTCGGCTCGTGGGGAATCCAAGGAGAGCTCGACAGATGTTCTGATACGCGCAGGCTATATTCGCAAGTCATCGGCTGGAATATATTCACTCTTGCCATTGGGTACTATCATCCAGAGGAAGTTGATGGCGATTATTCACCGAAGCATGTCTATGATTGGAGCATCCGAGGTGTCGCTACCCGCTCTCCTGACTCCGACAGCGTGGCAGGCTACCGGCCGTTGGGCCAACACTGAGATATACAAGCTAAAGGATGCAAGCGAGTCAGAATTCATGCTGGCGCCCACACACGAGGAGGAGATCACCACAATCGTCGCAGACGAGGTCAGCTCGTATAGACAGCTTCCTGTACGGCTGTATCAGATTGGAAAAAAGTATCGCGACGAACTCAGGCCTCGGGCCGGAATGATGCGCGGACGGGAATTTATGATGATGGATCTGTATACTTTCGACACAACAGTTGAGAATGCAATGGCTACATATGAAGATGCCAGAGGGGCGTACGATTTTATTTTCAAGTCTATCGGTGTCGAGTACGCCGTTTCGGAAGCAGATTCTGGATCTATCGGTGGAGACCTTTCTCACGAATACCACTACATATCGTCAGCTGGCGAAGATAAGCTCATCAAGTGCGACTCTTGTGATTACGCCGCCAACGTCGAGGTTGCAGCTTCTTTTCCACCAGAAGAGCACGCAGGGAATCCGTTTGAGGTCGCTGTGACTTATGGGCTTTTGGACGATGGAACATTGCTGGTAATTTATCATCCGCCTGGTCGCAAGGTCAACGAAAACTTAATCAAGAGAGAGCTACCGACTTATCAGATGGGAGAAGAAGATCCAGTCGGCTCGGTTGTTGCAAATGGTGACATGATGCTGCAGAAGATGATCAGGATATACGACGAACGAGTGCCAGAGAACTCTTCCCTGCCTGATCTTCCTATACAGGTTAACATTGGAAATATCACAACCCTGCGGTTTCCTTGCGTCGAAGTCGATCCGGAGAACTTCCCGAATGAACAGTGTCCGAGCTGCGAGGGTGGAGTGTTGACCGCCTCGAAGGCTGTTGAAGTGGGGCATACTTTTTACCTTGGGACAAAGTACTCCAAGCCTCTGAAAGCTACGTACCAATCGAAAGACGGAACACAGCAGATTATCGAAATGGGATGCTATGGTATTGGCGTGTCTAGACTGATTGACGTGATTGCGGATGTCACCAGAGACGAGCACGGTCTATGCTGGCCAGTCTCTGTTGCTCCCTTCGAGGTTGTTATTGTCACCAAACCGAAATCTGAAGAGATCAGCGATGCAGCTACGACTCTGTACCAACATCTGACAGATGCAGGCTGCGAGGCGATAATTGACGATCGTGAGGATAAATCGTTTGGCTGGAAGCTCTCGGACGCACGGTTCTTGGGATTTCCGGCGAATGTGATTATCGGAAACAAGTTCTTGAAGACGGGTTTGGTTGACGTTGAGAGTCGACGGACGGCCGAGAAGGTTGAGTGTAAGATTGATGAGGTTCCAGAGCGCATTTCGTCGTTGCTGACTGCGGAGAGAAATCTAGTGCGGTCTGCGCGAGTAGAATAAGCTAATATAGATGAGCTGATTGTACATAGTCGAGATTAATCACAGATTAATTAATTGTAGATATTTACAAAGGAAATCAGCAGATCTGATATACAATAGAATACACAATGACTAACTCCGACGAACCATCTCCTCATACAAACTCCAAGCGATAGCAGAACTAAAGCCCTTCCGCACGATCCTCAACGACAGCCCGTCGAACAATCCCCGAATCCCAGACTCTTCCCTCGCCATTCTCGCAAACGCAGTCCACATTTTCGTGCCGTACCTGTCCGGAAACAGCTGCATGCGCGTCTTCACCGCGTCAAATGGATTTGTGACGGTTGTGGCGAGCGTGGCGGCGAGTGCTGCGCAGATGCCGTTGACGCTGGCGGAGACGGGAGAGGACATTACATTCGAGGTTGATGAGCTTGTGATGTTGTGTGCAATAGGCGACCCCGCGATGACAAGAGGGGCGACAGCCTTTGCGTGTTCATAGATAGATACATAGAGACCAGCGTATGGCACGTCTCTGACGAAGGTTGCACCAAAACCGTAGAAAAATCCACGAATTCCGTTTTCTTTGTAAACAGATTTGACGGTGTCGAGTAGTGAGGCACGTGCATAGCGCGTTGATTCGTATCGAACTTTGAGGACTGTGATTGGCATCATGATGAAGCCGACTGCGCCTCGGGTGAACGAACCAGAGAAGAGGTTTGCGTAGCCATGGAGTTCCGGTAAGACTGAGGAGCGCATTGCAGTGTTGTTTGGCGAGGTTTTCGAGGTTTTGGCGGTGTTGTCATGGATTGCTGCGCGGATCGAGTGCAGAGCTGAAAAGTAGAGACCTGATCCGACTGAGGTGCGCAGGACAGAAGGCACGGTTCCCCGCCATAGTTTTGGTATCAGAGCTAAGTTAAGCGGACTCGAGGACGGTTGTTGTAGACTTGTAATCTCTCGTAACGTCTGTCGGAGAGAAGAGTTGGGAGCTTGCTGGACCCGAGTCTTTAGCAGATCCAAAGGCTGCAGCAGGATCGAGGACGCGAAGCCCGAGACGAAGCCTGAGACTATGCGGAGGGACTTTGAGCTTGGCTCTGGCGCTACAGAAGCAGCTGACGAGAGAGTAGTCATCGAATGAGGAACCTGAGCAGCAGGCGCATGTCGATCCTGCAGAGACGGCCGAGTTTGGGTTCTGGATGTTCGCGGAGAGAAAGATGACTCGGCTGACGTAGTGAATGTGCTATGTAAGCACTGACTAATATTCAATTTATTCAACAATACTCTCAATTGAGTAGCTACAACAAGTGTCAAAAAGCATGCAACATGGTAAAACAAAACAATCGCAGTAAAACAGATAAAAGATTAATAGTAGAGCAAATGGTGAAACTTGGAAATTTACACAGATTAGAAAATATTAAATAGAAAGGAAAAGCAGGACAATATACGACTTTTTTTCTCCCTCTATATCTAGAAAGACTTTATATACTCCTGGGTATTCAGGCCGTTTAGGCGAATGTTCGCGCAACAAAGACCTGGGTGGCCTTCAGAGCGTTGTACTTGACCTCAGCATCGGGGTGGGCCATCATCTCCATGATCTTAGTCTTGGTGCCCATGCTGTTGAGCACGATGAGACCCTCAGGCAGCTCGCCGACGATGTAGGAGATATCGTTGCTAGCGACAGCAAGCACAGTGTTGTCGTCAGAGGTGGAGATAATCTTGGCGAGCTCCTTGAGCAGCTTCCAGTCGTCCTCCTTAAACAACTCGGCGTTCCGCTTCCAAAAGTCAACGGACTTGTGCGCGGGCGACCACCTCAGACGGCCGGTGGTCAGCTCGGTGAGGTACTCGTCAAAAGTCGACATCTTATCCTGGGCCTCCTGGAGAATGGACGCGAGGTTGGTGAGGTCCTCCTCGAGCTCCGAGTCGGACCACTTTCGCTGGGCCATGCTCTTGATCACCGGCAGTCCGCCGACGACGAGCAAAGAGCTCACGTTCTGCTCGGGGGCGAGGGTGATGAGGTTAGTGAATAGTAGGGTGCTGACACGGATGATCTTCTCCTTGATGGCGACCTTGAGGATCTCCATGACGATAGCGATGATATCGCAGGTCTTGTTCATGCTCTCGGCCGGCTCCTGCTCGAACGACAAAAGCCAAAAGACAAGGACAGAGTAGTACTGGAGCTGCAGGCCGCCGCGTCCAGACTTGAGGTTCTCAAGCAGGGGAGGGCCGTAGGTGGTGATCTTGGACCAGAATAGAGGACGCGTGCATTTGACTGAGAGAATGGCGCCGTACGCTTGGGCGGCGAGGTCCTTCAGGCTGTATTCGTCCGAGGTGGCGAGCTTGCTGTGCGTGCATGCAAACAGCTTCTCGACTATTTCAACTGAGGGGGACTCGGATGAGCTGGGGTGATTATCAAAGTTAGCAGGTTTTCTTCCCATTTTTTTCTCTGGTATCGGATAAAGCCGCTTACATGATCATGAGGATGATAACCTTTGCTGCGAGAAGGGCAGCAACGGCATCCTCGCTGTCGAGAAGAGCGGTCAATGGAGAGCAAATGGTGGGAAGGCCGTTGAGGGCGGCGGCGAACGACTTTGAGTCTAAAATAGAAATTCGATATCAGAATTGAGTGCAAAGTAGAGATAGACAAGGGGGTGCAGCGTACCGAGGAGGACGGCCGAGGTCAAGGCGAGGGCATATTTCAGGACGTCGGTGCTGGTGACCTTGAGGAGAATTGTGCAAAAGACAAAGGCATACAAAGTGGGGTTCTAGACAAGTTATCAGCTGGCTGTGGTTCGATGGCTCGAGGGAGGAGAGGGTCTGTTATACCTTCTCGACGATGGCGATAGCCTCGGAGATGGGGACCTTGTCGATAGCCTTCAAGGCAGCGACGTGCTCTTCTGAGAGGCCTTGCTGCTCCCAGGCAATTGTCTCGCTGCAGACCTCGCTGACTCTCTCGTCGATGTAGGCATTTGAGAAGATGACGCTGTTGGGCGAGGGGACCTGGCAGACACGGTGAGGTTAGCTTGAGGACAGACAGCGGTTCTAGACCAAACCAAACAGTAGCAGACCTCTTCAATGGCTTCGGTAGACATGCTGAATGAGTGATTCTGGAGACGAGAGGGAGTTCGACAGAGAAGAAGAGTTGAGAGAGGCTTCAGGGCTGCCGTCGAGTCGAGGAAGATAACGATCGATAATAGGCCCGCAGCCTGCTCGGAGACCTAACCCCGATGCGGTCAGTGTCCGCCGAATGCGGAAACCCTTCGCCCTGATTTTGGTCTTCCTCCTCGGGCAGCGCCACGACTGCCGGTGGATTATCAGATATCGCGGGTATTTGGTTGTTGCTGGTTTATATCGACTGTTGATTGTTTGTTCTATTTCACTGCTCTGACAATATGCCGACCGCGAATCCTTTGTCAAAGATTATCGTGCTCGCCACCGTGCTTGCTGCGGGCTTCCTGCTTATCATCCTCTCTTGCGCTCTCTTTGATAACTGGCTGCCTTTGTTGGTTGGTAGGTTTCAGTATCTTGTATTTAGACATATCGTGCGAATAGTTGCTAACTCGTCACTGCACAGTCGGTCTGTTTTTGATTGCACCGCTTCCGAACGCCATATGCGAGAAATACGCTGCGAACGATGACTTCATGCAGGAGAGCTCGGGGTAAGCCGCCGTCATATTCAACACTATCTCTCATTCTTGATCCGCTTCTAACAACCATCACAGAAATGCGGTCATCGATTTTGGTCGCTACATCACCGGAATCCTTGTCGTCTCGGGTCTCGCACTCCCGTGCGCGCTCGCTCATTCGCGAGTCATCGGTCTGCCGGCGCTGTTCATGTCCATCACCGGCGGTCTGCTCGTTTACGGAACCATCATCACCTTCACCATGTTCTTCAACGAGACCGAGGAGTTCTAGATTGAAGCTTCTTGCTGTGTAGGTGTGTTTTGAAGACGTTACAAGCTACAAAAAAGAAAAGAAACAAGCATTGCATACTCAGTCCAGCTATCCTGCCATGTACAGCGTTTATTATTCTGTGTGGCAGCCATCAGAGGAGTACTGAATAATACTGTTGGTCTTGCTATTGGTTTTGTTTTGTATTGTATTTATTTTGGTTTACTATAGGAGTTTGTACTTTGCTTGTTTTCCAGTTATCTGTCTATGTTGTCCTTCATTTGTGCTGTACTTGTGTTTTTAGTGTAGGTATACTCGTTGAATCTATACGCAAACTGAACATTCTGAATATCTTGATCTACTCTACATTACCACTTCTTTGTATCCAAACTTACTGCAAAGCTCTGTCCCGTCCAAGACAGCTCCATACTCTAGACTCGAGTTCTGATGCATATCAATGAAACTTGGTAGGCCATTATCAACCAAAGCATCGCGACCGCGGATTACAGGCCAACCTGGAACCGGTTCGACATACTCTGTAGATGATTCCTCCACCAGCATATGTGATCTGTCCGAAGAAAAACAGCGGAGAAAAGTGTGAGCTTCGATGCATCTAAATAACGGCTTGAATCGCCTGAATTCGGGAATGTCTAAGTCAAATCTGAACGTCTCGGAAGCGTACTGCGAGAATGGAATTATTCGTGCCGTACAAAATCCAGGTTTGCTTTCGTAAGACTGCGACAGACTAGAGTCGTAATCCAAAACCTCGTAGTCATCCGACAACTGACTCTTTAAAGCTCGCCGGATCAGGATGACATGGTAATCCCAAATAACAAACGGCTCACGTTGTCGCTGACAGAAGAGCTGTACAGTTTGCGAGTGGTTCGAAATAAACAAGACATATGCTTCTGAATTTTCTTGCGATTTCAGAAGTCTAGCTGCTTGATATATGTTCTCCTCGCAGTAGCTGGCGACATGTGAATATATTTCGAATATCGCGAATATCAAGAGTTTGTACGTACAATGCCTGATAAGGACCTTCGAAGAGATCCGCTGGGTGATCCAGTGTATTTTCACCGTTCATCTGCCTCCATAGATTATCCAACAGAGATCATTCCATCTATAAAAGAAACAGCATGATATCCACTAATAAAGACTATCGTAAACACCGAGATAGCCACCGAGGCGGTTAAATCTGAGCCGCAGGGCTGCAAACAGTTGGCTGGAATTATATCAGCGCAGCACCGGATCCACATATTCGTCATATATCTGCCTTTCCTTGTCTCTGTACCGCTTTTGTTTGGCTCTCGAGCTATAGGATTTATTTTGCTTGCTGCTCTGCTGTGGCAGTATTGGTATTTGACTGCTGCTGTCGACAGACGTGACCGCGATGTTTTCAAGTGCTATAAAGTCACGTATGATTTATCAATCTCTATTTATCTTGCTCCTCCATCTTCTGACTTACATATGACTAGTGTCGTCGAATATATCGTCTCACTACTCGGTCTCACAGCCAGCGGTTTTCCAAGCTGGTCCGTGGTCGGTGTTTGACGCAAAGCGAAGAAACACAGGAAATCAAGTATGCAGCACTCTCATTAGATCCTTCTTCCTCTATGCTAACAGAGCTAGGTTTCCGTCTTTACGTTCGACAAACGAAAACTCGAGTCGCTTTTATCCCGAGGAGGAGGCTCGAGCAGTACCCTACGACGCGATGTCGAGGAGACGGTTGTGCGGTTACGCCAGGAAGCAAGCATGCTAGCCAAGCTTCGCCATCCTGCCGTGCTCGAGCTCGTCGAGCCCGTCGAAGAAGGCCGGTCGTCGATCTCGTTCGTGACCGAGCGCGTGACTGCGTGTTTGACGTCGGTGATTGAGCGCAAGGCGAGCGGACGGACGGGCTCGGACGACGAGGTCGATGAGATCGAGATCCAGAAAGGGCTGCTGCAGTTGGCCAAGGGACTTGAGTTTTTGCATTTCAGTGCCGGTATTGTGCATTTGGGTCTAGTTCCCGGTGCGGTGTTTGTTAACGCAAAGGTAAGTGCTTCAAATCTCATATGCTTGAGACTGTGCTGACATAGCTCCAGGGCGACTGGAAAATCTCCGGGTTCGGCTTTGCGCAAGACTTTCGGACGCAGGGTACATCAGAGTACTTTGTTTCACCTTACGATTCGCGACTTCCAGCTTCGATGCAGTTCAACATAGACTACGCAGCTCCCGAGCTCGTGCTCGACCATCTCCTTGATCCTGCGAACGACATGTTTTCTCTCGGCTGCATCATTCACGCTATATACTCATCGCGCCCGCCGCTTGCTACAAACCAGAATCCATCGACTTATCAGAACGTGGTTAATCAGGCGCTGAGAATATCGAGGGACTCTCGATTTCCCACCTACCTGTTTGAAGTCTTGCCACAGTTACTCACGCGGCGGCCAGCTGAGCGGATGTCGTCGAGAGACTTTCAGAACTCAAAGTACTTTGACAATATCCTGGTCAACACGATCCGATTCTTGGACGCGTTCCCTGCCAAGACGACCTCCGAGCGCCATGCGTTCATGCGAGGACTTTCAAAAGTTCTTCGGCAGTTTCCAAACTCTGTGCTGCAGAAGAAGATCCTGCCGATTCTCGTGGACGAGCTGGATAAGGACGAGTCGCTTGTAGGACCGATCTTGACAAACGTGCTTGAGATCGGGAAGGATATGTCGCAGCTTGGGTTTTGTACGAGGATCCTGCCGAGTCTGAAGACGATGCGGGATTCTCCAGCAGGTCAGATTGTGCTGCTTGACAAGATTGCGATAGTACAGTCTAAAGTGAACGGGACGCAGTTCAAGGACGATGTGATGCCGCTGGTATACCAAGCCCTGTCGTCGCAGTCGCCGTCTGTTCAGGAAAAGGCGTTGAACGCGATGCCGGTGATCGCAAAGTCGCTTGATTTCGCGACGATCAAGAACGAGGTCTATCCGCAGGTAGCAGGGGTGTTTTCGCACACCAACAGTTTGGCGGTAAAAGTCGCGTCGCTGCTGGCACTGTATGGGTTGATCAAGTCTGGGCTGGATAAATACACAGTGTCTGAGAAATTGGTGCCGTTGCTCAAGGGGATGAAGACGCGGGAGCCGACGGTTATCATGCAGGCGATGCAGGTATACGTGCCTATTGTGCCGATGGTTGACGTCTCTGTACTGGCGCTAGACGTGCTCCCTCACTTATGGGCGATGTCTGTCAGTCCGCTGCTGAAGGTTGAGCAGTTCAAGCGGTTTATGGAACTGATCCATCAAGCGGGGGACAGGGTGGAGAAAGAGCATTTGAGGAAGCTGGTGGAAATGGATCCTGACCATGGACGAAGTCGGAACGGTGATATTTTGCCAAACACGGGCGACGAGGAGGCTGATTTCGAAGCACTCGTGCTTGGCCGACAACCAGCCGCAGCTGCCACAGTATCACCGGCTCGCGTGAACGGTGGCCACCAGCAGCCGGTTAGCAACAGGCTTGTGCCGAATGACAACGATGAATTTAGTTGGAACGAAGAGGAAGAGGTACCTCCAAAGCCGGTCCCGAAGTCGAGTCGGAGCACTGCTTCGTCGTTTGGTGGCATGAGGAGTCAGAGCGGTGGGTTGAAGCTGCAGCCCACGCGAACGCCTATGAATGCGATACGTGCTCAGCAACAACAACAACAACAACAACAGCAGCAGCAGCAGCCTGTATTTTCATGGCAACAGAAACAACAGCAACAGCAGCCACAAACGTCACCAGTGCTGACACCAAAAGTCGTGTCGCCTCCATCAAGACCGAATCGCGTGCCGAGCATGAGCGAGAGCAATGTATGGGCAAATCCGTCCGCGACACCGGGTGCTGTGAGAACCACCTCGTTTGGATCGGTGGGGTTGGTGAACGGGTCGGTAGCAGGCGGAGGAGGCGGGCTCACGCAGGCATCGTTCATTCAAGCGTTGACGCCGTCGACGACGACGTTGACGCCGACGATGGCGAGCGCGACGGTGAATACTCCGGACTTGAATAATCCATGGACGTCTTCTGTCTCGTCGCCAACTGCTGTTAACAGCAGCGGTAGCGGTAGTTCGTTTCCTGCACTTGCGCCGCCGCCGAAGAGGACAGCTTCTGGGAGTGAGAGTTTTGGGTTTCCGCAGCTGGTGCCGCAGAAACCACCTGGACAGCAGAATGGGTCGAGCGGGTATGCTAGTTTACTGTAATATGTAGTGGTTTATAGAGTAATCAAGCATTTTGCTTAGAAATGAGTATTTGCTTAGAACTGAGGCTTATCGGGAGAGTAGAGGAAGAGTAACGGAGAGTAGAAGAAAGACTCGCATAGATTCAACTGGTATAATATGCGACTAGAGAACACGGACGACGATGAAAGGCTACATACAAAAGATACAAAAATATAGACAGAAAAATGTAAAGAAAGGGAATTAATGAGATGAGCAAATCCACACGACCAAAAAGATGACGAGCAAAGAATGACACTAGAGGGGGAGGTTCTTTTGTATTAAATAAAGATAAAAGGCAGATTAAATAAACTTGAGAGATAATATAATATGTAAAAAGAAGCTTTAGACAACGACGATGTCGTAGATGACAAAGGCTTCGTACTCTGTGTCGACGATGCTTGCGTATTCCTGTAGGCCAGCGTCCTCCTGGACGACCTTGCCCTTTTTGTCCTTGGAGAAGGCGTTTCCGGCCAAGTAGCCGTACTTTTGGGTGAGCGCGGTCTTGGCCTTTGTGATTGAGGCCACTGGGGGCTTGACGAGGACGGAGATGAAGTCTGGTGGGAGACCGTAGCGGAGGACGGACTCGACGAAGACGCGGATCGATTTGAGGTGGACCCAGGCCATGAAGGCGTCTGAGTAGGTTGCACGCGCGAGACGGACGACCTCGCCCTGGATAAGAAGTTAGATGTGGTTTTATGGGAGGGTGTAATATATAAGGAAAAGAACAACTTACCCATACTCGTCGCTCCTGCTCGATAGCTCTGTCCTTTTCTTTCTTCAAATCCTCGATAATACCATCGGTCCACTTGAACTCACGCGGGAACCACTTGTTTTCTCTGCACTTGTGGATGAATTCGGGGAGAGACTTGCGGAAGAGGGTGGGGTTGTAGAGCACGAACTCGTCGTCCTCGGCGATGATGGTGGCCGAGCGCGGGACGACCATGGGCACTAGGGTCTCGTATACTTTGACAAAGGTCTTGCTCATCGACTTTGGGACGGCAACGAGGACGGTCTCGAGGTACTCTGAGCCGAGAACGAAGTGCTCTTTCTTGACGACGTCCTGGAGGGAGCGGGTTGACAGCGCGCCGCTGGAGGGTCGAGATGTCAGATGCTGTTCAAGCAAATAAATAAAAAAAGTACAAATACGTACGTCTGTTTTCGGTCGACGGCAGCAAGGTTGCTCTTGGCAATCATGTAGTTTGAGTAGACGGCCTTGAGGTCGGCGTCGAGAGCAAAGATTTCTTTAGAGAGGGTATCGACGAGTTCAGCGAGAGGCTTATCGACCCTGTACTTTGCGGTGTTCCATTGGAAGGACTTGAGGTATGTTTCGGGTTGTTCTAGGGAGGGAAGATATAAAGTCAGCATTCAGGCTGAAGATTGAAGGCAATTGAAGTGCAATTGACAAGAAACGAAGGAGCAGACGCACTATCAGCGACGACCTTTGCGGCGGCGACTTCGTCCTTGGAGTCGTAGACGCCCTTGAGGACGTCGACGGCGCGGCCGACGACGGCCTCGAACTGGCTGTCGGCCTTTGCGAGCTCCTCGGACTGCTGGACGAGCTGGTCGAGGGTGCCGATCTTGAAGTGTGGGATGAGGAAGGGGGAGACGTCGTCCTTGGAGGGGAGGTTGAGGGTTGAGGAGAGGTCCTTGACGAGGGAGGACTCGGCGTCTCCGCCGGCGGGGGCGACGGAGGAGGGGAGGGAGACGATGTAGTAGAGGGGGCCGGTGGGAGCTGAGAAAGCCATTGTGCTGCTGAGAGAAGGAGGAGGGCGGAGGGAGAGGGAAGGGCAGGCAGGCAGATAGAGGAAGAGGAAGATGAGGAGGAGGCCGAGATAGAGGACGAGGCCGAGATTAGAAGGCTGCGGGCCGGGTAACTGACTGCCCAATCAGACAGAGCAGCTAGCCCAATGCGGACCAGATAGATACTGAGGATTGTATGTTCAGCTGTTGTTTGTTGATATAGAGACGATACAGTATAAGATACAGTATAAGATACAGTATAAGATACAGTATAAGACATACAGCAGCAGCACAGAAGAACACCAACATCATGCCCTCTCCCATAGAAACACGCTTCCGCAAAACCAAACTGTCGTCGTCGGTCGTGACCCACCTCGCAGACGCCCGGGCAGCAACAGTTCTTACGACAGCGGAAACCAGCCTCGAAGACGGAATGACGAGTCTGACGCAGACATTCATTGCAAACGCTCAGGACGCGCGACGGATGAAGATCGGGACCACAAACAGCATCACGGTCGGGCTGCGGAAAAAGGCCGGCGTGGTGACGCAGTCGGTGGTCGAGGGACGGCTTGGAGGCAGCGGGGTGATGAATAACTACGACAAACCCCGGGAGATTGCGTTCATCGCGACCGTCGCCGGGACTGGAGAGAACGCGCTGTTTGAGACGCAGCAGGCGCGAGCAGAGGTCGAGAACGTGGCCGAGATCATACTCGAGAACGTCCGACGGGAGAGCATTTGAGAGTTGTGTTTATTGCATTTCCAGGCGTTTGTTTGTAGTTGTAATTATTACATTGTTATTATATCAGCATGTTCACTATCTTGTTCTATTCCACTTATATTCAGAAACCCATAAATGAGTAATAGTAATAGTAATAGTAATAGCAACAGTAATAGTAATCGGTATCAGCCGAGCCGCTCAACAAGATTTGCCGTTTCTGCCGCCAAAATAACAACTTTGCTCATCTTCGTCTTCGTCCTCGCCCTCTTCACCACTTCCGCCTCCATTCCCTTCTTTATATCTTTATATTCTCCTCTCATATAAACCATGCTGAAGACACTCTCCCGCCGACTCTCGTCCTCGGCCGCCAAACCCCAGCAGCTCGCCCAGCGCCTCATCTCCTCGTTCGAACTCCCCGAGCAAACCGGCGCCCCTCTTTCCGTCGCAAAGCTCGCCATCGAAAAGACGACGACACCAAAGGAGAAGCTCGCGCCCGAGAAATTGGTCTTTGGCCATACCTTCACCGACCATATGCTGCAGGTCCCCTGGAGCGCGTCCGAGGGATGGCTTGAGCCTAAGATTGTGCCGTACCAGAATCTCTCGCTCGACCCTGCCACCTGTGTCTTTCACTACGCTTTCGAGTGCTTCGAGGGCATGAAGGCTTATCGAGTGCGTTCGCGCTGCTGTTTATAATCTACAATACAAGCACGTTATCTAACAGCTCTCTAGGACAACCATGGCAAGATCCGCATGTTTCGACCGGACAAGAACATGGAGCGCATGAAGAAGACCGCGGCCCGCATCTGTCTGCCGACTTTTGACAGCGACGAGCTCACAAAGCTGATTGCCAAGCTCGTCGAGCTCGACTCGGAGTGGATCCCCTCCAACCGCGGCTACTCGCTCTACCTGCGCCCGACGATGATTGGCACGCAGGCCTCGCTCGGCGTCAACCCACCCTCGTCGGCGCTGCTGTACGTGATCATGTCCCCCGTCGGTCCTTACTACCCCACCGGCTTCAAGGCCGTCAGGCTCGAGGCGACCGACTACGCCATCCGCGCCTGGCCCGGCGGTGTCGGAGATAAGAAGCTCGGCGCCAACTACGCGCCCGGAATCCTGCCGCAGCGCATGGCTGCCTCGCGCGGGTTCCAGCAGAACCTCTGGTTGTTTGGCGAGGAGGGATACGTGACCGAGGTCGGCACTATGAATGCCTTCTTTGTGTTTAAGAACGGCGACAAGAAGGAGCTCGTGACTGCGCCTATCGACGGCACTATTCTCGAGGGCGTGACGCGCGACTCTATCCTCGCGCTCGCGCGGGAGCGCTTCGATCCTGCCGAGTGGGACATTTCCGAGCGCAAGTTTACGATGAAGGAGGTTGCCGATCGGGCCAAGGCTGGTACGCTGCTGGAGGCGTTCGGATCAGGCACTGCGGCGGTCGTGTCGCCGATCAAGGAGATCAACTGGCATGGCGAGGCGGTCAATGTGCCGTTGCAGGAGGGGAAGGAGTCTGGGGTTGTTGCGGAGACGATGGCGAACTGGATCGCGGAGATTCAGTATGGTGAGAAGGAGCACCCGTGGAGTTACGTTATCGAGTGAGCTCCTCCACATTTGAGATGTAATCTTCTTCTTCTTCTTTTTGTCTATGCATTGCTTTAGATTTTGGCGCATTTCAGTTATATAAAATGTACAGCAGAGCTGTGTGCGTCCAGTAATACATAATAAACGATAATATACAATAACGAGAAAAATAGTGGTTAAGAATATGTACTAAACAAGCAATCCAGGGTTAGGTTGACCGCGCGTAAGCAACGTGGTCTTAGAAGGGGGATCGCAGGGAGTTTGATATCGACGACACGCCGAAGAAGACAACGCAATGGCACCAAAGAAGCAGGTCAAGCCGCCAAAGAGCGTAGTAAGCAAGAGCGGAACAGCGTCGACGAGTGCGGGAGGAGTGAGTGGATCATCATCGCCGACGGTGGCGGACACGAGCGCGATCATTGCGGATGTGGTGAAGACGTATGTGCGGGAGACACCGCGCAAGTTGAAGCTCGTGGATGCGTTTATGGGGTTTTTGGTCGCGGTCGGGGTGTTGCAGTTTGCGTACTGCGTTGTTGTGACTAGTTATGTGAGTACTCTTCTTTGAAGTGGTGATGGCGTGGTGGGGAGGAAGAGTGCTGATCTGATTTAGCCGTTCAATGCGTTTCTGTCTGGGTTTTCGATCACGGTCGGTCAATTCGTGTTAGCAGGTGTGTTTTAGCTGTTTATTTGTAGTGAGAGGTAGTGTGTTAATGAGAGCAGCATCGTTGCGTGTACAGGCAAATCCCGAGAACAGCAGTCAATTCGACAAGGTGTCGCCAGAGCGGTATGTTGTTTCTATCGAGATGTTCCCTCTATCTAGATGTACTTCTATCTAGATATAGATAAGATGCATCAAGGCTAACAACTCTTACAGGGCATTCGCGGACTTTGTGTTTGGAAGTTTGATCTTACATTTCTTTGCATACAATTTCATCAATTAGATAGTGAATCAAAGAATGAGATGAATATTTATAGATTATAGATGCACCGTACAAAACAAACAAAACAGGAAACAAAAGCCGATTAGTTCCTCCTAGATCAGGTGCATACACATGCACGCGTAGACACGTTGAAAAGAAGGAAAGATGAATGAAGATACTCCGCTCTACTGATAACAATGAGGCTGTGGTGAGAGATGTCTCTTTTGGTCTATGTCGCGATCTCGGGTCTATATTGAATCAGTCGAGAGGGATGAGATAGTGAGGGAAGATATGAGGAGATGGGGTGTGGAGATGAGAAGAAGAGAAGAGAGACATTTACTTCTCGTCGTGGGAGATGAGCTCGTCGTAGTTTCCGGCGATGATGCGGTCGACGACGATGAGCTGCTTGAGGTGCTGCTGTTCGGGGGTCAGGCTGTTGTAGAAAGCGTCATCCTTGAGGTATTTCTCCTCGGTCTGGAGACGCAATTCCTCGAGGGCCCAGTCACCCATGCTGTGGAGAGTTAGTATTGGAGATAAAGAGATGAGATAAAGAGATAAAGGTGACGTACTAGTTTTTGGAGCCAAACAAAAAGTAGACACCAAAGACACCCATCATAGGAAGGAAGAGGTAGTACATAAGAGGTTCCCAACCCTCTTTCTTTCGCTCGCGAACGACTTCCCATTCGACGTTTCCGTGGTGGTCCTTGACGGGGATCTTATCGACGATAGTCGCGTCGTGGGCGTGGGCGTCGTCCTCTTCGATGGTTTTTTGCTGCTGCTCGGCCTGGAGAACTAGAATATCTCTGAGCTTCTGCTTCTCCTCGGGAGACTTGTCAAAGTATCCGGCGATATCGATGCCCTGGGCCATGAGTCTCTTGAGGTCGACGATCTCGTAGAACTCAGGCTCGGTGAGGGGACGGAGGTCGCCGTCAGGGCCGGCGTAGTGTTGGAATGCGCCGGGGACGGTGGCGACGAAGGTGCGGAGCTGGGTTTCCCAGTCGAGAAGGGGCTTGGAGGGGTCGAGGGGCTTGAAGTAGTCTGGGAGGTCGACGCGGGAGAAGGCGGAGGAGGAGGAGGAGGAGGAGAAGGGGCGGATGTAGCGGGGGGAGAGGGTGGAGGTGAAGGCGGATCTCCGCGCGACGCGGGCGAGTGTTCGTAGGGCGGACATCTGTGATGCTGCGATGATGCTGCGATGGAGGCGGAGTTGAGGGCGTGGAGAGCAGCGGTGGTGAAGCGCCGGGCCCGGAGTCGCGAATCAGGCAGCTGCTATTGGTTTGGCATAAATAGAGAAGTAGAGAGTGAGTTATGTACACGTGATATTGAGCTGAATGTAGGGTTACATAGTGTAGGGTTATTAAGTGTGACTGCTGCTGGGGCTCAGCAACACAACGCCATCTCCAACTCCTCGCCAGTCCAAAGCCCAGCAGCAGCAGCAGCAGCAGCAGCAGACCATCCGCACACTCAGCAGCAGCACACTCAGCATCATGAAGTACATTCAGTCAGACGAGATCCTCGAGATCCCCGAGGGCGTCACCGTGTCGATCAAGGCTCGGTTTGTCGTTGTCACCGGTCCCCGCGGCACCCTCACCAAGAACCTGCGTCACATCAACCTCGCGTTCACCAAGATCTCGGACGCCGCCATCAAGCTCACTGTGCACCATGGAGACCGCAAGCACGTCGCTGCTCTGCGAACCATCAAGACTTTGATCAAGAACATGATTACCGGTGTCACCAAGGGTGGGTTCCTCTGAGCAAAAGACAAGTTGATAGAACACAGATTAACAAATAATACAGGCTACCAGTACAAGATGCGTTACGTCTACGCCCATTTCCCCATCAACGTCAACGTCGTCGGCGACGGCAAGGAGGTCGAGATCCGCAACTTTTTGGGCGAGAAGCGCGTGCGCAGCGTTGCGGTGCACGAGGGAGTGACTGTTGCTATTTCGAGCGCGCAGAAGGACGAGCTGGTGCTGACCGGCAACTCGCTCGAGAACGTGTCGCAGTGCGCTGCGGACATTCAGCAGATCTGCCGTGTGCGGAACAAGGATATCCGAAAGTTCTTGGACGGAATCTACGTTTCTGAGCGGGGAACTCTTGAGACCGAGTAGGGTAGAAGAGGATAAGCAAAAGGTGGACGGAATATAATAAACAAAAGTTATCATGAGTGCAGTCAAGATGTTATCAGATGGTTGTATATCACAATGCAGTGTACATGTATATAAAAGAGTAGAGTGTAGTGCTAGTAGCTCGTAGTTGCTAGTTGCTAGTAGCTTGCGTATTCATAGTATACTGCATGGGTTCATCCATGGTATCTACGTAGATGTCAAGCGTCAAGCTATTGAGATGCGTGATATGAGTAGGCAGTCACATATCTGCAAGAAAGGAATGAAGGTAGGTACACAGGCGGACTATGGACCATGGATGAGGAAGATATCACACTTTTCTTGGTGTGTGAAGAGAGAATAAGAGAGAATTAGAAGAAGAAAGATAGAACAAATAAGAGAAGAACAGATAAGAACAGATAAGAAAAGAAGAAAAGAAGAAGAAAAAGAAAAAGAAAAAGAAAAGTGGTTTCAAGTAGATTGTTTGAGCAGCAAATGTAGCGCATTTAAGAGCAGAGAGAGTTGAGGCTACTTCTACTTCTATTCTACTTCTACTTCTACTTACACATAGACTTGGATCACTAGACTCTAGACCACACAGACTCTAGACCACAGTACTGACTACTGTACAGCTACTCGCTGAACCACAAACAAAGTTGTGAATGGCAGGAAAACAGGAGACAAGGTTGACTGAAGCCTAACCTGACGTTGGGAGATGACCTGACAAGAGTTGAATATTTAACTGTAGTTGTGGACTATGATATGATTCTATATGAAGACTATATATGAATAGAATATGACTATAAACTAGCTAGGATATTATAACAATAACAACAATACAATACAATACAATACAATAGAATAACAAAAGAACAACTCACAAAACCCCTCGGTCCCACTCCTCCCTCCTTTCTACGCCCCCTCGCCTCCTCTCGTCTCAGGTTAAAAGTCCTCGAAACTAAAAAATACGCAACTTTGATGATCTACGCTGCTGAAACGCGCGGTCTGTCAATATCCCGCATGTACCTGTTTCTATTCTATTCTGTTCTGCTATGTTTATATCTCTATTATCTCTATCTCTATTCTATTCTATTCTAACTCGTCGAGTACGAAATATCGCTCGTATAGCCGTTCTTGCTAATCTTCAGGTCGTCAAAGCTCTCCACAAGGTTCCCCAGCAAGTTATTGATCCACGTCAGTATCCCCGACAGAATCGAGTACGCGCTCGACGAATCCCCAAACGTAACGTTCGTAATCTCAACATTCGACACCGTCGCGTCCTCGTCGTAGCCAAGAATATGCGCCTCCCGGCCGCCTAGATCCTTCACAGTGATGTCCTTCACCGTGATGTCCTTCACGTTCGCAACTCCGGAATTGCCCTGCCGCGTCATGATCGCCATCCACCCGCCGTAGTAAAGACCATGGCCCTCGACAATCTGCTCCACCGCAATCGACTCGTACGTGATATTCTGAACCACCGACGAACTGCTCGACTGCTTCGAGTCCACGCCAAAACCAATCGCGCCCTGGTACAGCGTCGAATGTGTGACCTGCGAGTTCACCACGGGCTCGTACGTGCCGTAGCCAATCTTCCACCCGATACACCCCGTCCAGGCAACGGTGTCGGTGATCAGGATGTTTGTGTCAGACGTAAACAGCGGGTCGTCGCCCGGTCCGTCGCCCGCGCCGGCCGTCTTCGGCCAGCTGTCGGCGACGTCGGTGGAAGGGTTCCAGGTCTTGAGCGAGTACGCGTCGTCGCCGGAGATGATGAGCGCGTGCTCGACCGTCACATCAGACGAGTGCATGATGTCGATTCCGTCGTTTTCTGTGGTAGTCAGGTTGTTGATAATCTTGAGGTTCTTGATCGTGCCGTACTTGACCATCGTCGGCGTCATTGTCCAGAACCCAGACTCGCGAATCATCGGCCCGTCGTAGGTAAACGACGTCGTGCTCAGGGGCTGGATGACAATCATCTTGAACGGCGTCGCAGCCGCAAGACAGTCGGCTCCACGCGCGTCAAACATGCCACGCCCGTAGATTGAGATGTTTGACGAGTCGATAGCAGTGCGGATCCAGTGCACGATCGGGTATCCGCCCTTTTCAAAGTCGAGCTCGTAGTCGTCGTAGTTTGCCGTCGAGCGCACGAACGCGCCTTCGTCGACAAAGAAACGCGTGTTGCTGGGCAGGATGAGGGTGCCGACGAGGTACTCTCCGGCAGGGACGTAGCAGACCGCGCCGGACGCGGCCGAGTCGTCGATGGCGCGCTGGAAGGCGTCGGTGGAGACGGAGGTTGCGTTTGCGTCGGCGTTGTAAGAAGAGTCGGTGACGGAGATGACGGGCGAGCCGTCGTCGTAGGGGTTGTGCAGCTCGGGCGGGTCGGCGAAGATGACGAGTTCGCGCTGAGACCCGATCTTGACGATGATGTAGTTTGTGCCGGTGAGGGGGAAGGTGAAGGAGTAGTGGTCGTCGGAGAGCGAGCAGTCGATGGCGAGGGAGTTCGGGGAGATGGAGATGGAGTCGGTGGAGTCGATGTAGTCGGGCGAGGAGACGGTGATAGTGTAGGTGACGTTGTAGGCGCCGTTGGAGTAGTGGGCGTAGTCGTAGTCGATGTAGGAGAAGACGGGGACGGGGGTGTCGTCGACGTGGAGGCCGAAGGAGGAGAGGGAGAACGCGGAGGGGTAGGAGTAGGTTGCGGTGATGGAGGGGTTGTCTCTGGGGAGGAGGGCGAGGGGGCGGGCGGCGATGAAGGGGAGGGAGAGGGAGAGGGAGAGGAGGAGGAGGAGGAGGAGCATGGTATCGATAAGGAAGGTAGAGAGGGTAGAGGGATGAGGTTGAGAAAGAAGATAGAGGACAGGAAACCAGAGCAGGAGAGAGCAGCAGTATTTATACGCACCCGCAGCCAAAAGCAGCAGGACAGAACCAGAAACAGGAGAAGAACAGGCTGGGACCGGGTCGAGGTACCTCAGCGCAGAGCTCAGGTACGCGTTTGTAGATTGTGCGCAGCCGAGCGCGTAGAACTTTAATGTACGCAGCCTGCCTCACAGTGGAATAGCAGAGTGATGTGAAGTAAACAAACAGACAGATGATAGACAAAAGATAAACAAACAAACAAACAACAACAACAATAACATCAACAAACATGCGTCTCTGCACCAGCTGCAGCTGCTTCCAGATTCCTTCTCTGCGTCGCGCTGCTTGGTCCTCGTCCGTTTGTGACTGCGGCGCGCCCTGTCACACTTATGAACTGTCACCAGTAGTAAGAGCTTATGTAAGATATATTAGTAAGAACTTATGTAATGATCTACTCTACTACTTCTCTACTACTTCTCTACCACTCTCTACCACTCTCTCTCTCTCTCTACTTCTACCACCCCCCCCGCCCTCCTCCCATTCACCGGCCTCGGTCCCTGACCTCCCGCACTTCCCGCTCCTCCCGGATCCACCCGCCGCCGCTGCAGCTTCTCCCGCACCCGCGACTCGCCCGACGACCGCCTCGAGTCCACCGTATCGATCGATGCACGCGGTCCGCTTGGCGCAGGACTCGCGTGACTGCGCTGGTACACATCCTGTAGTGATGGTTTAGGTGTCGTTCGTCTCGGGCTCTGGCTTGGGTTCGGACTGTAGCTCGTAGGTTGTTGTTGCTGCTGCTGCTGCTGCTGCTGATATTGGTGTGGATGTGGATGTTGCGGTTGCAGATGCTGCTGCTGCTGCTGCTGCTGCTGCTGCTGAGGCATCGGCTGCTGCGCATACTCAGGCTGAGGACTGTAGTATTGCTGCGATTGCTGATGAGCAGACTGCTGCTGAGCACTTTGTTGATACTGAGCACTCTGCTCACTCGACCCATGGCCAAACCCGCCCGGCATCCCTGGCATTCCCGGCATATTCATCCTCCTCCTCGCCGTCGGCTGCACAGGCTGCCCCGTCCCGCCCAGAAACGTCGGCACCATCCCGTACGTGTCCAAATAGTACTGCACCAGCACCTTGTGCACATGCGTCTCGTCCTCCGTCTCCCCGTCGACGTCGTCCCCGAACGCGGCCACCGTCGTCGCTCCGTATCGTTTCAGACGCGACCATAGTCCTCCGCTGGGCTGTTGCTGCACTGATGCCATCTCTGCTCTGCTGATGCTCTGCTGATGCTCTGCTGCTGCTCTGACTGAGTGCTGGCTGCTGCTGACTTCTACCGCGCTATCAACTATGGTGAACTACGGTGATCTAGGAGATCAGCGTCCGCCACGCAAGCGCTGACGGCGACGAGGCGCAGTGTTCTGGGTCTTCAAACACCCCCTCCGCCCACCACAAAACCCGCACTTTCATCCCCAACTCAACACCGCCCGCGGTCTACTCCGTAAAGATCAAAGATCGCCTCCTCCAGTTCTTATCTTCACCATCCCCTCATCCTCACCAGTGCCTGCGCCAGCGCCAGTGCTAAAGCCCACGTCTGAAGATGGCCTTCTCGGCTTCTTCCTCGCTGCACTCTTCCCGTGTCGCCCGGCCCCTCGCTGCTATCGACACCGCCCCGCCAAACTCATCCAAAGGCAAACTTCTCTTTGCCAAATCAAAGGTCTACGTCCACCCAACTCCCTCCGCAAAAGACAACATCCCCGGCTTCATCGCCCTCGTCCGGCCCCCGAATGCCTCGTCCGACAGAGAGATCCTGCTCGCGTGGATGCCAGAGTCCCTCCTCAGAGGCGACGACTTCCGCGCCTACTCCAAAGTAGATCTCCATCCCGAGGACGGCCCGGCCTCGGACGTCTACGTCTCGCTCCCTCCCATCTCCTCCATCTCGACCTTTGCCTTCGCCATCCCGCTCGCCCGCCTCTACTCCGTCATGCTCCGACCGCCTTCTCTCGGCTGGTGGTGGGGCTCCATCCTCATCCACACCCGCGACGAGGACGTCGTCCCCGCGCTCTTCTTCCACGACGCAGAGTCCCAGAGCACAATCCTCCAGCAAAAACAGCGAAACAAGAAATTCACCCCCTTCGCCCCCGACGGCGACCTCTTCTGGGGCGGCGACCAGTTCATGAAGTACCTCAGACGCTACTCCTCCGTCGAGAAATCAACCTTCGAACAGCGCCTCTACCTCATCAACCCCGACCCAGACGACCTGCTCTCCTTCTCGCCCCCCAACGCCCGCATCGAGCCCGTCTCCGACCGCGACTCGCTTTCAAAACTCGTCAAAGACGCCCGCTGGAACGTGCTCGAGCGTCTCGCCCGCGTCACCCGCTTCTCCCGCCGCACCGCCCAGGACGTCATCGGCAACTCGCCGCCGGCGGTGAGAGCCATGCTCAACGTGCCCGAGGTCCGTCAGCTCGGCGACGACTTTGATTCCGCGAGGGTCTATCTTGCGAAATGGGCAATGACAATCTCGGAGGAGGCGGAGCGGAATAAGACAAAGATCGTGTGGACCGACGTCGTCGGCGATCATATCGGTTCTGACTTTGGTGTTTTGAACGTCGACGACCGCGTCGAGCGACGGAATGAGGTCTCTAGTGAGGAGTGGAAGGCCTTCTTTGATCATTCGGGGAGACTCTGTATTACTGTCAGTGAAGTCAAAGAGCGAATCTTTCATGGTGTATGTCTTTTCTTTTCTCTTCTTTTTGACACTGCTAATTCTTTCTAGGGCCTGGCTCCTGATGTGCGCCCCGAGGCGTGGCTGTTCCTGCTCGGTCTCTACCCCTGGGACTCCTCCCAGCTCGACAGACAAGTGATAATGGCGTCCAAGCGCGACGAATACTACCGACTAAAACGGCAATGGTGGGACGACGTCGAGCGGCAAAAGTCCGATCCGGTGTGGAAAGACCAGCGGAACCGGATCGAAAAGGACGTGCATCGGACGGATCGCAATATCCCGCTGTTTGCGGGCGAGGACACGCCCCACCCGGACCCGGACTCGCCGTTTGCAAACATCGGCACGAACGTGCATCTCGAGCAACTCAAAGACATGCTCATTACCTATAACGAATACAACACCACGCTCGGGTACGTGCAGGGCATGTCTGATTTGCTGTCGCCGATCTACGCCGTGATCCAGGACGACGCGGTCGCGTTCTGGGCGTTTGTCGGGTTCATGAACCGCATGGAGCGCAACTTCCTGCGCGACCAGAGCGGGATGCATCGCCAGCTGCTCGCGCTCGATAACCTCGTGCAGCTGATGGAGCCGAAGCTGTACACCCATCTCGAGAAAGCAGACTCGACAAACTTCTTCTTTGTCTTCCGCATGCTGCTCGTGTGGTTCAAGCGCGAGTTCAAGTGGGATGATGTGCTGCGGCTGTGGGAAGTGCTCTGGACCGATTACCTGACCTCGCAGTTTGTGCTCTTTGTCGCGCTCGCCATCCTCGACAAGCACAAGGACGTCATCATGGAGCATCTCGAGCACTTTGACGAGGTGCTAAAGTACATGAACGAGCTCTCCAAGACGATCGACGTCGAAGAAACCCTGACGCGCGCCGAGGCTCTTTTCTACCGCTTCCAGCGCACCGTCGAGGCCATCGACCGCAAAAACAAGGAGCCGCTGCCCTCCGGCGGAGGAGGCTGGAGCTCGCCTATCTCGGCGGTGCCGTCGAATAACAGCAACGGCGCGTTCCCGGACGGGTTGCCGGATAAGACTTTGCCGTTGAAGCCGGACGTGAGTGGGCGGATTGTGATTAGCGATGTGCTGAGGGAGTTGTTGTCCAAGGAGATTATCGTGGTCAAGGACACGATTCCGATGGAGGATTACGAGAGTTGATTTTATTTGCCTATTTGTTTACTTTGTCTACTTTGTTTATGGGATCGGCTGGAGTTATTCATATTCATGTTTCTGTTTGTACGTTCATTCTATCTTGATGATAGAGCGGTGTTTTCACGTAGCTATATACATAGGACGTTTTGAATGGCATAGAACACATAGTATTTACATCAAAGATTAAGTATTTACATCTAGGATCAGAGCAGTTATAGTTTATACACGTTCGACTCGTCCCATCCTTTACTTTTCAGCAACCCACCAACCTTGCCCTGCTCATTACCATCGTCCTCCACCGGCCTCGTCCCAACCGGCGAGTTCAAAGTCGACACGTCCGCGCGTTTTCCCGCGACATACTCCACAAACCCCTCCGGTCCAGAGACGATCGCAAACATCGGCCGCGCAGGCGGTTTCCCGCGAAACGCCTTATTCCGCGCGTCCGTCCACTCGACCGCGTTTGCAAACTTGTTTGCAGCGCTGTTTTCAGAGTAGAATCTGTCGCGCTCGGATTTGCCTTGCGTTGAGGCCGCGTAGCGTTCGAGGTCGGTTGCGGAAGTCGGGCGCGGGACGTCGGAAGGATTGAGACGGGTGCGTTCGTCGTCGACGTGCAGGTGGACTTGGGCGCGACCCGCGCGCTCGAGGAAGAGCAGGATGCGGTTGAATGCGGAAGCGTCGGCGCGCGTGCGGACAGAGTAGTGGATTATTGTCTGTCCCGGAGGCGGGTTTTTACTGAGCAAGAGCTGCAGCACGGGCGCGATACCCGTTCCCGCGGCGAAGAAGACGATGTCGGCAGGGACCTGGGGCCGAGCGAGCGGCGGCGGGAGCGAGGACGGCGAGTCCGACATCGGCGTGAGCAAGGGGAGGATGAACGGTGCTTTGAGCGCGAGATGGCGGCGTTTGGCGTCGGTTATGCTCCGAGGCTGGACGGATTCCGGGAGCGAGAGTTCGGTGAAGGGCCCGCGGACGGCGACGCGGGAGTTGATGGGGATGCCGCAGAGGTAGCGGGAGAGTTCGCCGTCTGCGTAGCGGCGGACGACGAGCACGAGCTTGCCTTCGTCGTCGTCCGGGGTCGGGCCTAGGATGCGGAGCAGGGCGGTGCGCTCGGTGCCTGACGGCGAGGTGGATGACGGACGCAGGCCGAGGACGTAGTAGAGCGGAAGGGGAGTGTACTTTCTCACGACCTGCAGCTGCGGCTGCACGACTTCGATCGACCAGGTCCGGGACCCGTCCCAAACGCCAATAAGACCCGGATCGTTTGCGAGCGGGGGGTCGCGCGGGTCGTTTTCGGGCGTGCGCTTCTTGCGGGACTTTTGCAGGTGCTTTACCTTTTCGTAGGGAGGCGAGAGCTCGATGATGTAGAGGTCGTCAGCGACTTTCTCGCGGTGCGTGAGGATAAAGGTCGAGAACGCAGCCGGGTCAAGCGCGGGGGCGGATGGGAGGTCGGACGGCGGGATGGTGTGGGTGTCGTCGACAAAGTGCGTCTTAAAGAGGTAGGCTGCGTAGAGCGCGCCGGCGATGCCGAGCGCTGCTTTGACGGGTGTGCTGGGGCGCCAGCCGCGGCGGGTGTTCTTTGTAGAGGAGAGGTCGAGAGGGGGGAGACGTGGAGGTTCGTATGATATCCGGCGGGGGGCGGATTGTGTGGTGGTGTCTGCGTTGGGGGTGGTTGGCGATGAGGAGGAGGAGGAGGAGGAGGAAGAGGAGGAGGAGTAGCGGAGAGAGCGGAGGAGGTTGCGCTGGCAGTGTGTTCTTCGGATGAGCAGCATGATGGAAGATAATAAACAAAATGCAAATGATAATAACAACAGCAATTAGAACAACAAAACCAAATGCAAAGACAAAGAACAATTGCAGAATTGTCAGAATATCGGAATATCAGAAATCAGAAATAAAAATTGAAGTTTTCAGGGGTCAGCAAAAGTTTACTTTCAGATTTTTTTATTTTTATTTTTTATTATTTTACCCATCGCATCTCGTCATTGCACCATGGCGAGCACACGATAGATACCATGCGGCCTCTGTTTCTCAATAATGCGGTTTCTTTATTTGTAGGGCGACTGTATAGCACGTCTGTGGCTGCTGGACCGCACAAGCCGACGATCTATGCGCTCTCGACCGCACCTGGCAGAGCGGCGTTGGGTGTTATTCGACTATCTGGTCCGCGGAGTAAACTAGTGAGTTTGATCTAATAGATCTTATTCAGGAGGAGGCTAATAATGTAGATACTGCAACGACTGACGCGGACAAATTTCGACCCCAAACCGCGGCTGGCGTCCCTGCGAAGGCTGTACTCTCCTACCGTGTCCTCCGCCGGCTCCGCGACCGAGATCCTCGACGACGCACTCACGATCTTCTTCCCCGGCCCCCGCTCGTACACGGGCGAGGACATAGTTGAGCTGCATGTACACGGCGGCCGCGCTGTGATTGCTGCCGTTTTGCGCGCGATCGCCAGCTACGGCCAGGATCCGGCGCTCGACTCTGGCAACGACGGCGACGTGGCGCCCGCCGTGCGCTACGCCGAGCCAGGCGAGTTCACGATGCGCGCGTTTACAAATTCGAGGTTGGATTTGACGCAGGTCGAGGGTGTCGGTGGTATGATTGATGCCGAGACCGAGGCGCAGCGGGTCGCGGCGGCGGCGAGCGCGGGCGGGTATATGAGACGGGTGTATAACGGGTGGCAGAGCGAGCTGCTTGAGATCTCGGGTCTGATGGCCGCGATCATTGATTTCTCAGAAGAAGGCTATTTTGACGAGCAAATGAGCGACACCGGCGTCGACAGCGACATCTTCGCCGACTCGGTGGCGAAAGTGCGCGGGCTGCTGGAGAGGATACGAAGGCATGTCGAGCAGATCGAGCGGTCGGAGATCTTACTCGGCGGGATCAAGCTCGCGTTACTCGGCCCTCCGAACGCGGGCAAGTCGTCGCTTTTGAACGCGCTCGCGAGGCGCGACGCCGCGATCGTGAGCGATATCCCGGGCACGACGCGCGACGTCGTCGAGGTCGGGCTCGAGCTGGGCGGGTATAAAGTCGTGCTGACAGACACGGCGGGTGTGCGCGGCAGTCTGACGGCGGCGGACGCGATCGAGGCGCAGGGGATTGTGCGCGCGAGGCAGAAGAGCGCCGAGGCGGACGTTGTGGTCGTCGTTGTTCCTGCGATTGTCGAGAACGCGGAGTGGCATGCTTCTGTCAGGCGCGAGTTGCAGGACGTGTGTAGCGGGAAGAGAGATCCGCTTGTGCTTGTCGCGGTTAATAAGATTGATCGGCTGGAGGAATCAGAGGAGGTGCTCGAGGGTGTTTTGCAGAGGTATGCGCGTGAGTTTGGGGTTGCGCGCGGGAACGTGTTTGGGATCTCATGTACGCACGAGATCGGCCTCTCCGAGCTGACGGAGCGGTTCGCGGCCAGTTTCTCTACATTACTCTACGGCGACGGCGAGGAGTGGACTACAGCGGAAAGCAGCGCACCAGTAGGCGCGTCTGCGCGGGTGAAGGAGATCATCACGCAGGAGGTCGTGCCGGGCCTGACGCGGTTTCTAGAGAACGCGCGGTTGGACGACGTGGTGATTGCGTCCGAGGAGATCCGGTACGCGGCCGAGTGTGTGGGGAGGATCACGGGTGAGTCGATGAACGTCGAGGATGTTCTTGGAGTTGTTTTCTCGAGGTTTTGCGTGGGCAAGTGATGATGTATATAGTAGAATAGAAACAGTTGACAAATATATTGTTGTAATCGATTACATAAAACAATCAGCGCAGGGTTCGTTCTGGGGTTCCGGGGTTCCGCCTTCGGTGGGCTGGTTCCGAGAGTCTAACCCTCGGTCGGATCCGCTTAAAGTCTGCTTTTTGTCCATAGATAGTTTTATAAGATGATGATAATTGCATCTCTGTAATCAGAAAAGCAGCAGTATTCTACCAGATCTAATCCGAATACTATTCAATCAACTTCAGCAGGCTTGAATCCTCCCCCATCTCCGCTTCCGAGACATCTAAACCGTAATCGCAGAAGCCGAGCCAAAGCTGCCCGCACAGTTCAACCCCGGCTGCGGTGTTTATCTCCAGATTTCCTCTTTGAATATCGCCCTACAATGCAACTCTCCTAGCCAGCATCTTGATCTTCTACAGCTCCAGCAGCGCTCTACTCACAATGGACCTGCCCGACCCCGAGGCCCGTCCGGAGCTCTTCGCCTCGACCGCGCAGGAGTGTCTCTGCGTCGTCATGCTCGCCTTCGCGCCCATCATGAACTCCGCCAACCAAGGCGCCATGCAGCTCGCCCTTCCGCACGTCTCGAAATCGTTCAACATCGACGGCGGCCAGCTCAGCTGGACAGTCACTTCCTACTCCCTCGTCACCGGCTCGACCATGCTCGTCATGGGCCGTCTCTCTGACATCCTCGGCCGCAAGCGCATGCTCCTCTTTGCCTTTTCCTGGTACACCATCTTCTCGCTCATCATCGGCTTTATGAAGTCTGACATCGTCTTTGACGTCATGCGCGGCCTGCAGGCCCTCGCCGGTGCCACCGCGCCCTCTGCCGCGGCCGGCACGCTGGGCACAATCTACCCCAACGGCCGGCGCAAGAACAAGGCCATGGCGACCTTCGCCGCCGGCGCCCCGCTCGGCGCCATCCTGGGCCTCGTCGTGTCGGGAATATGCACGCAGTTCATCAGCTGGCGCGCGAACCTCTTCTTCTTCGCCATCGTCTACGCCTTTCTCACCGTCGGCATCTTCTTCCTGCTCCCGAGCGACGAGGCCTGTGCGATCTACGCAAACAAAATCATCGCCGTCGTGGGCGGCGCGCCGCTCATCGTCAAGCGCGACTGGAGGACGAGCTGGGGGCTTATCAAAGAGCTCGATTATCTCGGCGTCGTGCTCTCGACCTCGGGACTCATCTTGTTCATCTACTCGATCGCCGGCGCGAGCTCGGCGCCGAATGGGTGGGGGACGTCCTACATTATCGCGTTGCTTGTCGTCGGAGCTGTGTTGATTTGCTCCTTTGTTGTCTGGGAGCATTATGCGCCGAGACCTCTGATGCCTCTTTTTATTTGGAAGAAGAAAGGGTTTGCGCTGGTAAGTTCATCTCTATCGATCAGCAACTTGATTTGTATCAACATGAGCTAACATCTACAGTGCATGATAACTGTTGCCTGCGGATGGATGGACTTTCAAGGCGTGCTCATCTACTTTGCCTCTCTGACCTTCCAGCACATCAGAGGCTACACACCGATCCTCACCACAGCAGCCATGATGCCGCAGACAGTCTCAGGCATCATCGTCAACATCATCGCCGCGTTCGTGCTCCACCGCGTGCCAGGCCGCATCCTGATGATCATCGCCATGTCCGCGTTCGTCATCGCCGCCCTCCTCTGGGCACTCGACCCGCTCGATCTCACCTACTGGGCCATGACCTTCCCCGCGCTCGCCATCGTCGTCGTCGGCGCCGACCTCGCCTACAACGTCGCCAACCAATTCTCGCTCTCCTGCGTCACCCCGCAGTACAAGTCCACCGCAGCGGGAATCTTCAACGTCATGACGCAGGTCGCGTCCACCATCGGCGTCGCGGCGTCGACCGCAATCGTCACATCCCAGATCGGACCCGATATCGAGAACCAGGACCGCGCGATCCTGCACCGCGGGTACCGCTCCGCTTATTGGTTTGCGGTCGGAATGGGCGGCGTCGGACTCATCTGCTCGTTTTTCTTGAAGGTCGGCACGCAGGGCGGGAAGGACTCGAGACCGGTGCCGAAGAAGGTCGAGACAGAGCCTGCTGAGGTCGACGAGAGCGGCGAGAGCAACCCTCCAGCGCAGGCGCTGACCGAGGAGAAGTCATCGACTGAGAAACAGACATCGACCGAGAAGCAGACAGCTGTATGATTTCAAAAACAGAAGACAGTATATTGCTGTTTGTTGTTTGTTTGTTTATTTGTTTATTTAGCGCAGGCGCTGACCGAGGAGAAGTCATCGACCGAGAAGCAGACATCGACCGAGAAGAAGTCATCGACCGAGAAGCAATCATCGACCAAGAAGCAGACAGCTGTATGATTTCCAAAACAGAAGACAGTAGATTGTTGTTTGTTTGTTTGTATGTTTATTTGTTTATTTGTTTATTACACGTTTATTTTAAAGTAGAAAACGGCAACCGCAGACGCGTCGCTATCACGTGGATCACGTGACATCATCATAAGATTCAGTTTAATATGGGAAGCAGCCACCGAGGCCAAAGTCGGTGTAAATAGTAGCAACAACTCGGTGGTTCTCGTTGATCTCTGCGTTTGTGTTGAATTATAACATAGTCAGTGGTCAAGTTGGACTGTTATAGCGCCCAGAAACTGTTTATTTGTTTGTTATTTGTCTGTTGTTCTCTGTATAATCTCAAGATGTCGGTACCGCCTGCTGGATCATCGCCCCCCACACCCCCGGCAACCACCCCGGATCTCCGCCTGATCCACTTCAACGACGTCTACCACATCGCGCCGCAATTCCCGAAATCAGACGTGCCAGGCGGCGCGGCGCGGTTCGTGAGCCTGGTGAAGGAGTACCGCAGCGGCAAGAGCTTCCGCGAGCAGCCGGAGCTGGTCACGGTCTTCTCCGGAGATGCGTTTAATCCGTCGCTCGAGTCGTCCGTCACGCGGGGGACGCATATGGTTGGTGTTTTGAATTCAGGGAATATTGGCGTTGACGTAGCTGTTTATGGAAACCACGGTGTGTCATCCCTAATGCTGTATGGCGGTGTCTTGATGGCGGAACGCGTACTAACCGCGACGCAGACTTTGACTTTGGCGTCGAGCAGCTGATCAAGCTCAAGAGCGACTGCGACTTTCCGTGGATGATGTCGAACGTTTTTCACAACGGCAAGACCTTTGCCGAGGGGGAAGAGTACGTCGTCAAGGACGTGTCTGGGGTTCGGATCGGGTTTGTCGGATTGGTTGAAAGGTGTGTTTTCTTCCATCTTTGGAGAGTCATGATCGCGGCTAACAATATCATGAATGAACAGGGAATGGCTGGAGACTATCGTCTCGCTACCTGAAGGAATTGAATATAAACCATGTGCAGAGATTGCCATCACGTTGTCAAAGCTGCTGCGCGAGCAGGAGCACTGCGATCTAGTGATTGCCGTGACGCACATGCGCGAGCCCAACGATATCGATCTGGCAAACAGTGTTCCCGAGGGAACTTTAGACCTCATCCTCGGCGGCCACGATCACATCTACAACCACATCACCGTCAACAACACGCCCGTCATCCGCAGCGGCTCCGATTTCCGCCAACTGAGCTACCTGCAGGGCTTCAAGCGCGACGACGGGAAATGGACATGGACAGTCACGCGACGGGACTTGACGAAAGAGATTGAGGAAGACGCCGAGACCGAGAAGTTGGTCGAGGGGATCTCGGGCGAGCTTAATCGGAGGCTGGATAACACGGTAGGGTACACGGATGTCGAGCTCGACGCTAGTTTCCAAACCGTGCGGTCGGCGGAGAGTAATATTGCAAACTTTGTCGCGGATGTGCTGAGGATGTGGTACGGGGCCGAGATATCTTTGCTGGCTGGGGGTATGCTATATTCTGTTTTGTTGCAAAGTGCTGCTGCAAAGTGTTGTTACAAAGTGATTAGGGCTTACATTTTCTTCAGGTACTCTACGATCGGACACAGTGTATCCGCCAGGACCGCTTCGGATGAAAGATATCGTGCTGACGTTTCCATTCGAAGATCCCTGCGTAGTAATCACCGTCTCCGGCAAAGAAGTTCTCGACGCGCTCGAAAACGGTGTCTCCAAACTCCCCGCTCTGGAAGGCCGATTCATCCAAGTCTCTGGGCTGCGATATACCTACTGTCTCGACACCGAGCCGCGGATAAAGTCCGTCGAGATCAATAACGAGCCGCTCGACCTCGAGCGCATGTATAGCTGCGCCACGCTCGGGTACATGGCGAACGGGTATGATGGGTTTGCGTCTTTACAGGTTCCGGCTGAGCGGCAGCTGGTGGATGAGGAGCAAGGGTTGCTGCCGTTGCAGATGCTGCGGATGTGGTTTACGTCGCTGCGGTTTATTCACAGGATGCGGAGTAAGAAGAAAGGCGAGGAGGAGGGAGATGGCAAGAGAGCGGTGGGAGAGGTGAGCGGTAGTGATGCTGTTGAACCGCTTGCGAAGGTTGCGCGCAGTAGCAGCGATGGTCTGCCTTTAGAGCGGCATCAGGACGGTAGAGAGGTTGAGGAAGAGGACGAGACAGGGTCGAGCAGGCCCGGATCAAGAGAAGGAACGCCGCGACCGGGAAGGAAAGAGCACATTGGGCTTGACATTCTGCACAAGCGAGACACGGCGATTGAGCAGAAAGTGCTAGATCTGTGGCAGAATAAGGGGGTGCATATCAGTCGCGGCAGCGCGATCGCGCCAAAGGTCGAGGGGCGGATCGTGAAGGTTGATAGGGAGGGGGTGGTTCTTGTCGACTAGAGGTTGTTTATAGGTGGGTTGGCGAGGGATAGGCGTTACGGTTCACTCTTGACTGTAGATTTATACAACACTGTAGTTCTATAGAATTTGCGCTGTTTTACTCTACTTTTACGAGATTATTCGGGGTACCGGTAGATTGATGAGATTTTTAGTTGCTGACGTAGATATGTCTAGCATTATATGAGCGCATTTTTTATCTTATATTTTTTTAAAATTACCGTATCTTCATAGTACTTTCTTGATAAATAGTATTAGCGTATCAGAGGTTTCTTGCTACAGTAAAATATCAGAGAGAATTACGAAACGGGCGGCGCGTTAACTGTGTTTACTTTCGGCCGAAACGAGAAACCCCATTACAACCAGACACGCGCCCGCCCGCCCGCCCGTCTCTGAATCCGCACATTTAAGCGCGCCCGCCCTCTTTCCCTCTCTTCCCCCTTCTCTCTCTTACCTCACCATGGATTTTCCGGCTTCCGTCCCACGACAACCATCCAGTCTATTTCCTAGCAATAGATCGAGACGAACGACATTCCGGCTCTCTCTCTCGACGGCGAAAACATGGGGGTGTAGGCGGAGAGAAGCCTTTGATCTCCCTCTCTTCTCTCGCATGCATGGCACCTCGTGGAGGCGCCAGAAAGCAGCCCACTGCGCAGGTAGCACTGTTAGAGGGTGGCATATACCGCAGTGGTAGCATTCTCAAGCGGTAGCCTACACTGTTCCATGTGCATCTCCAGAGAGGTCTCTATACCGCGTGGGTAGCGTTCTCGTACTGAGAGCAGCCTACACCGCATCAGGTAGCACTCTCTGGGGGTGACTATCACTGGGACAGATGGCATTCTCTTGAGGGTAGCAAATACCCAGGCAGCCACCTCTAAGAGTAGCATATACCACAGCAGGTAGGACTAGCATTCTGGCGACTCCACAAGGTGCCGTGCACGCGAGAGAGGAAGGGGAGAGAGAAGCTAACTCGACCAAGCGGTCTGGTATATGACCTGCCCGCGCAGATACCGGGTGAGCGCGTGCTCAAAGGAACTGCTGTTCCGTTGTCGGCCCGGTCCCTCTGCGTGGCCGTCTCATGTACGCGCCGAGGATCCTGCCGAGTCAGGGTGGACGCGGTTGGTCAGGGCGGTCAATCTGATGAGCTTCTTCTTTAGCCAGGTTGCTCATCGGATTTAAAACGTCTTCGTTGTCGCGTCTCTTTAACAAACGCACTTATAAGTTGCACCGTCGCAAGGGAGCCCCGAGGTGACGGGTGTTGAAAGAGAGTCCGCACGACCAAGCGGTTCAAGCGCAACGTTGACAAACCCACCAATACGGGGGGCGGTTAATGACTGCTCTTCTGGGTAAAGTCGGGTTTTAGTGGGTATGGCGATCTCGAGAGAGTCGCAGAGTCCCACATAACTCTTGGATAAGAGCTTCTTTTGTTCAAGAGTATGCGTAATGCATTCTTCCCGATCCTGGCACCAGTCGCTTTATGCGCGCTCTTACTGTCTCTTGTCTTTTCTGTATCTGCTTCTCTGATGTCGTTCTGTTGTGCTGCTGTGCTGACAAGCTGTTGTGCTGTCATGCTGTTTTTACTGTACTGTTGTATTATTGTTGTTGTATTATTGTTGTGCTATTATTGTTGTGTTATTGTTGTTGTGTTATTGTTGTTGTATTATTGTTGTTGTTGTATTATTGTTGTTGTTTTATTGTTATGTTGCTGTATTCTTATTTTCTTTATTCGTTATTGTTGTCTTTTTGCGTTGTGTCGTTTTGTTATATTTTTGTTATATTTCTTAGCAGAGAGCAGACTTGTTTGATGTATCTTCGATGTATCAAGAGCGCGCGGCGGTACCGTATTGAAAAACCAAGAAAGAAAAAAAAAATAAAACTTCTCTTATTATATTTCCAAAACTGGTTCAGATGTCAAGATCGAAAGATCACAGACGATTGTGTAAGTCGACGACACAAGAGTTCGCGATCTATTGTGCATAACAATTCAATCCTCACTACTGACTATCTTACTCGCCCTTACTTATAATAATCGTCCAACGACTATATACAATTATGAAATATCAAAGGGATCAGGATATGCAATAATTCCTGCAGGGCTCTTAAAAAAGTCGAAAATGTATTGACCAACACCTAGATTCACACCAACGCACATGCTTCTAGCAATTTTAGAAAGAAAACTATACAAATGTACAACAACCGATGCTGTAAAGGACTGATGAGGAAGGTTTTTATAGATGACGAGGTGAATAAAATATCTATTTAGAGATTTGACGCGCGCTGTTTTTGTTTAGCAAGATAGTTCTCCTTCCAGGACCAGTACTCCGACAAGCGCTGCTCGGCGTATTTGGAGTAGTCAAAGTCGATTGTGGAGATCACTGCTTGGATCGTTGCCCAGATGCCCCTGTGTTACAAGTTAGTTTGCTGGTCAAGAGAGAGGAGAGGGGAAGGAAAGGGGAGGTACCAGTAGAAGCCGGGCATGCCCCACCAGGCGTCGACTTCGGATATCGCGCCATCGATGGCTTTTTCGGATATTTCTGCAGCGTCGATGGTAGTTGTACTTGACTGTTTGCTGTGTCCGTTTGAAGAGGAAGAGGGGGAGGAGGATGAGTATGTATATGTGCCGGCGAGATATTCAGCGACCCACTTGCGCATGATAGGACTGCCGACTTTAGGAATGCGCGACACATCGCAGTCAAACCCTTGCCATTCCATAAAGTGATTTGCGAGGTCGAACGCGCGCGGGGTGGGCAGTGCGTATTCGTAGTCTATAAATGTGATAGGTGGCGAGGCGGCGTCAGTGTCTGTAGAGGAGGAGGAGGGTGGTGGTGGTGGTGGTCGCCAGTCTTTAGGGACGATGACGTTGCCGCTGAGGAGGTCGCAGTGGGCGACGACGGTCGTGCCGCCTTTGTGCTCGATCTCGGATTTGGCCCATGTGAGTTCTTTGAGGAGTAGTTCACGGCGGGAGATCTGCTCGGGTGTGTCGGTCGGGAGGTTATTTATCCATTTGCTGCAGAGCTGCCATATATCGTCGACTGCCTCTGACTGCTGTTCTTTGTGACTGTTGGAGGATGAGGAGGAGGAGGAGGAGGAGGAGGAGGAGGAGGGGGGTTGTTCGGCCATAAGCGACTTGATCGAGGCCGCGCTGAGAACGGTGTGCCAGCGCGCGAGCATTCGGGCAACGCCTTTCATGATGAGCGGGTGACTGAGTTCCTGGTAGTCGACCGCGCGGCCGGGGATGAAGCCGTAGACGAGGCCGTTTTTGAAGCGGGCGTAGAGGGGCGGTGCCAGGCCTTGTGAGTGGAGATGGACGTGCGTGCAGAATTCCCCTGTGACTGTTAGCTCGAGTGCAGAGGAGGTGTATGGGACAGGGAACGTACTGTTTCTGTCGATGATGGAGCCGGTTCCTCGGCCGTAGGCTCTGACGAGGACTATCTTCTCGGCGGGCGACCCGGCTTTGTAGATGCATTTGAGGAGCTGTAGGAGGTTAGTAACGTAGTTACAAGTCCGAAGAGCTAGAAATACGCACGCAGTTGGTGATTCCACCAGTCAAGGAGGTGACCTTGATATTGTCGATATCCCACGCCGGGAAGACGACGCGCAAGACCTCTTTCGTCGCCCGTGTCTGCGCGTCGAGGTCAGCCAGCGGGATTACGTGGTCTGCAAGTATAAGCGGGCCCGTCATCGTTATTCTCTTGAGCTCTCGTGTAATAATCAGAAACCAGCAGACTGTTTGCAGCAAAGCGAAGTTGTCCTGGTCGTGTGCGCATCGAGATATCTGAGCCCGAACCGCGCCTTGTCTCCAGGGTCAGGGCCGCGCCGCTTTCACATGACAATAGTGATTACGTCATGGATTATAAATAAATCATGTCACATTGAGTCACATGTGAGGTCACATTGTGATTCACTGCAGGGTCGCGAGAAAGGTCTGCTGGCGAGCGGAGGAGGATCCAGGAAGGAAGGAAGAGGACGACGACGACGACGACGACGAGATGAATCAGCCAGACAGATTCGAGCTTTTCCTGCTGCCGGATGGCGTGAAGAAGTGAGTAATTGCTTGAGTTATGAAGTAGATGCAAAAGAGACTACAAAGAGACTACAAGAGACTACAAAAGACTACAAGAGACTACAAAAGACTATACACATACTGACAACATATCTAGACTGAACATCACTCCAGATTCGCGGATCCCAAACACAGTCAACATCAAGTTCGAGCGTGAAGACCACACGCTCGGCAACCTGCTTCGTTCGTCGCTGCTTCAGGACCCGCGGGTTCTGTTTGTGGCTTACAAGATCGAGCACCCGCTGTTTGCAAACTTCGTGCTGCGACTGCAGACGGAGGAAGATAGTCCGCCGTTGGAGGTCCTGAGGGATGTGATTATGGTCGTGATCGGTCAGCTCGAGGAGCTCAAGCAGCAGTTTCATAAGGAGTGGGAGATTAAGCATATCGCGGGGGATGATTATGATTAGCGGATGGTGAGGAGAATCGCGGGTTTCTGCGTGTATTATATGTCTGGGTATTTAGTTATGTTTTAGTTATGTGTTATTGGCTTACGGAATAGGAAAGAATTACCTCTACTTATATAAAATCGTAGCATAAGACACCAAAGTGCTGTATTAGAAACATCAACAACAGACAACAAACAACATTACAGAACAAAACAGCAACCATTAGATATTCATTCGTAGACAAAAACACAAAACAATGTACTCATAAAATATATAAAGAATTAGATAGGGGAAGAAATAGGATCCTTATGCGCCACAGAAATGTAGATGTTGGTCTTGATCTGATCGTATAGTCAGATATCAAGGCTAGAGATGTGGCAGTGTTTGGCGTCGACATTAGTATAAGTATCGTTCAGCTCATTCTTTCTACTACAGCTCGGTCGACTGCGCGTTTGCAAGCGAGAGGAAAGTGTTCCAAAACAGACCGACGGTGGAGCAGAACGGAAGCTGGTAGTGCAGGGGGATCAGGCGGAAGTTTATGATTTGGGCAGCGGGCCAGATTGTGAAATTTGTCTTCAACGTCGGCACGAGCAGGGTCGAGAGTTTGCGCTTGAGGCCACCGACGCCGGCGCCTTCGACGAAGGACATGAATGCAAAGAAGCCCGAGAGAGCTGTAGCTGTTGTTAGCACGCAGAACGAGCGAGATGAAGAATAAGGGGAAGCAAGCCTACCGATAGGAGTCCAGACAAGCTGGTCGACGATAACACGGCAGAGAACGGGGACGATGACAGAGTCGTCAGAGATCGGTAGCCAGGCATCGAGCAGCTCGAGCCATTTGTACAAAAAGATCGACAGCACAAAGCCTAGAGGATCAACTCATGTCAGACAAGAGAACAGCTGTTAAGAACAGAGATACGTACCCCATGCGGCGAAGCGGATCGTGCGATCAAACTTGAAGTTCGCAGGCGGGAAGTGCGCTGCTGTGAAGACGTGCGAGGTTGCGCGCGCAAAAGGCGTTCCATCAGAAGCAGGCAGCTTCTCGTTGTTGTAAAGCCCGAGATTTGTCGACCGCTTCGAGGAGGCGTAGTTCTCGGCCATGGTGGTGACGGTCTGCGCCATTGTGTCTGAGAGGCCGTAGAGCAGGACGTTCGAGACCGACATCATGACGACGGGGGCGACGGCAACTGAGTCGGTGAATATGATTGCGAGACGGATGATGAGGACGAGGAAGAGGCCGATGATCGCCCAGTTGAGGAGCGGGACGTAGAAGAGGTGGTGGGTGAGCAAGGTGGTGTGGAGGCGGGCGACGGCCGGCGGCAGCGCGGCGGGGACGAGTCCGCGGGCTGAAGCGGCCTGCATCAAAGGCGCGGGCATTGTCGGTGTGTAGGAGGAGGAGAAGAACGAGGGCGAGGTCATTTTCCAGAGCAATTGGCAGAAGGTCGGCCGCCTGGGGGTTGATATCAGGATCCGAGGAGGAGAGGATGCTGCAGCCACTCCCAGCCAACTGGAACGGAACCGGTGGACTGAACTGGTGGGCTGAACCGATGTACTAAACTCGGCCGGATCTGAACCAACTGCCGACACCCGCTCCCCACCTCATCTGCTCTTCCCTACTTCTCTTATATATCTACATTATACCACTACTCTTTCTTCTTCTTCTTCTACTGAAAGAATCATGGCGGATCTCCGCGAAGACCTCCTCGACCAGGCTGTCCGCTTCCTCGCAGACCCAAAAGCAGCCGAATCACCCCTCGCCCAACGTCTCCAATTCCTCGAATCCAAGGGCCTCACCGAGCTCGAGATTGCCGAGGCCCTTAAACGTGCCTCCAAGCCGTCTTCTTCCTCTTCTTCTTCACCTTCTCAGAGTAGTCAGGCTACAGCCTATGCGCCTCCGAGGCCTGCTTATTTGCCTGGCCAAGCATATCAACCCGCCCCGCCCCCGCTACCCCAGCGCGACTGGAAAGATATCTTCGTCATGGCCACCGCCTCCGTCGGCGTCTCTTACGGCCTATACGTTCTTGCAAAGGTCAGTGTCCTCTTCTCACACTCTTCCTACTCTTTCTAACATTCCCCCAGCGCTACGTCCTCCCTCTCATTACCCCGCCAACCCCCGCCGCCCTTGAAGCCGACAAAGAAGCCATTACCGCCGAATTCGACCGCACCGACAAACTGATCCAGCAGATCCAAGCCGACACCGAAGCCCTGAAAGAAGCCGAGCAGAAACGGCTTGACGCGCTCGACGCCGCCGTCGAGGAACTCCACAAAGTCATGGACGAAGCCAAGAGCCAGCTTTCGGCACGCGAGACCGAGATGCGTCAGCTTCAGACTGATATCGAGACCGTCAAGACCGATCTACCAAAGTACCTCGAGCGCGTCAATGATTCTCAGCGCCGCGATCTGCTCGAGATCCAGACTGAGCTCAAGTCGTTGAAACAAATCGTGTCAAACAGAGTTAAGAGCTCAGTCAGCAGTCCGCAGCCTCCACCGCCGACTTCTACATACTCTTCCGGCACCAGCACGCCTGTCGAACCTACCGCCAATGGATCTACATCTTCATTGTCGTCGCCACATATCCCGCCGTCGTCGCTCAAACCACCTTCGCGATCAGGTATCCCGGCATGGCAACTTGCTGCCGCAAAGAGAAGCTCTCCTTCTCCCGATTCGGCAGCCAAACCCGACGAAAGCACCACTACGACCGAAGTCTCAGCATCTACCAGCTAATCAGAATTCTCTACATGCCATATGTCTCCAAAATCAAATAAATTATCCAAATCAAGCTAAACTACATGGCGAATTACGTAAACCGCATCACTGGCACGAAGCACAACCGTTTCCGCCGCATTGATCGCAACATAAGAGTACCCATCCATCTCCCGACGAAGCCCTAGCGGAATACCCGGTTTGCCGTCCAGCATCATCTCTGACGGACTACCCTCGCGGGGTAAACTTCCCCGTAGAAGCAGCGACACAAGTGAGCCGTATGATTTCCCCTGCATAGACTTCGGCACGGGAAGCAACAGAACCTGCGAGCTGGAGCTCTCGCTGTCGCGTAAGATGAACGTCTCAAAGATCTGTGCGATGAACGGGTTATAAAAGCTCTGGGAGGTAAGCACGTCGACGTGCGCAGGGCAGACCACGTTCCCGCTCATAAAGCTCGGGCGCAGGAACTGCTTCAGCCTGTCGTCCGAGCACTCGATACTCCGCGTTTGACCGATCAGCTTGATTGTATCCTCGCGCAGACATTCAATCACCATCATGCTCCCTGCGCGGTCGTTGATGGCCTCGAAGTTTAGCGCGGTCAGCAGCACCCGTGCGTCGGCTGTGATCTCGGCAGTGTCGGGCGCTTGGGCTTCGTCGCTTAGGATCAGACATCTGGATGCGCGTCCGGCGCCTGCTTTCTGGAGGTCATAGACGTCGGTGGGGTTCCCAGGTATGTAGATGACGCCGTTAGCATGCTCCTCGTCGTCGGCTGCTGACGAACAGCTGCCGTCGCTATGTGAGACAATCGAAGGGTTCTTGGTAAGCACGACGATGGGCTGGTTCCTGATCTGTGCGTCAGGCGAGTTCCTGATTGAGTGGAACAGAACATCAAAGCTGCGCGTAGTGCGATCGGAGCAGTCGCAGATCAATACGTGGTTTTCAAATCCGTCCTTGCTGATGCTGTTGCTGCTGCTGTTAGATTCAGACTTTTGACGACGCGTAGGGACCGGCGATCGCGATCTGGAGCGCGCGCCAGGGGGAAGAACGCGCGATCCGTCGTTGCTGTCGGAGCGGGAGACGGGGATTACCAACGGATGCAATTGGCGCGAAGAAAGTACTCCGTCCATGCTCTGTGGTGTGTTGTCGGCTTCTCCTGATACGACGACGACAGGATCATTAACTCTCGCGTTGAGATCAGCAGGGGTGAATGTCTCGTCGGTGTACATCGCCGACCGCAAATGCTGCGATACGTCAAACTGCGACACGCGATCTGCATCATAAACATCTGAGGCAATCGTGATACACACTTCCTCGCCCATGAGCACGTACTCTGGATCAGACGAAATCTTGACTGTGTTCCGCCTGATGTTATCTTTTTGCTCAATTCCGTACCCGACCACAAGCACACCCAGAAATCGATGCACGAGCTGGACCGCTTCAATGAACTTCAACCCCACAAACGAGCTGTGGAAATCCGAAGTATAAAACTCCTGGCCGAGAGAGTTTAGATACTCTCTCATCCACGGCATGTGGCTGCTGGCAGCTACCTTATGCAGCTGTTCGAGCGAGTCATCGCCGATAGAGGTCGCGAGAAGAACAAGAATAGTCGAGAGTCCTGGGACAAGCACGGACTGGGCAAGAAGACCGTCGACTATGTCTTGTTTGCAGACCACGTTTTCGGCTAGGAAATCAAAGTTCGCTACGTTCTCGCGAAGATGCACCTCAACTGCATGCAAACACCAGTTAGTTGTCCTTTATTTCTGTTAGTAAACTGCAGAGAACATACCAAAAATCCGCAAGTTACTGTTAAACTTGCAAAGACTGAGCGCGCGCATCATCTGCTGCGCGTCCGCGTCGTCAAGATTCTGCCCGTGCGTCCTCGACGCGAGCAGGAACGCGGCGCAAGCTTCAGCTCCGCGTGCCTTGGACAGGGAACGGAAGGACATTGCGGTACCGACTAGGTATGATACGCGGGACGAGAGGTGTGGGTCGAGTAGAGATTGCTTGAGTATCGAGCGGGGCTCGACTGGGCGCAGGACTGTGCATTTGAGGTTGATTGACTGCATTACGCCGTGGTCGATGCTACTCGTGTTAGATCTCTGTTTCACAGCTAGAAAATCAAAATACTTACTGGAGAAACTCGTGCAGAAAATTTGCGAGACGCTGCTCGGTGAGCTCAGGTTCACCCGAGATAATCACGTATGTGTTTTCCTTATTCGTCTTTGACACCTTTCTCTCGTACGGACTCTGCGAGTTTATAACCGAAATCAACTTTGCGAGCTGCTTAGGCAGCCACAGAAATCCAGCTGCGATGACAAATAAGTTGACGACGCGTGTGAAGCGCGTGTCGGGGACGCTGGTGGAGCGCATGCCGGTGACGGTGCCGATTACGGTGAAGAAGAAGGAGTCGAAGAAGGTTGAGTCGGGGGGTTTGTCTTGAGCGGTCAGAGCTTTATACGAGACGATGTGCTAGCTCACTTGTTAGCATACACAGAGTTATGAAGATGAGTGGGGAGACTCACGATGACGGCCGAGATTGTGAGGACTGCGGAGAAGAAGGTGGTTGCCAAGCGGAGAAGTTCGCGACTGAGCGGAGATAGCTCGAGATAGACTGTTTTCACGGGCTAATAGTGGAAACAGTTAGTCAAAATCGCCAATTCAAGTAGAAAAAGGCAAATATACCAACAGAGTCTGAAGGATTGAGAAGCTGACGCGAACGAATCGAGCTGGATAGAGAAAGACGAAATCGCCGGCCGACATATAGCTGAGATCGATGTCTGGTCCGATCCTGGTATCGTCGACTATCCAAGCGAGCAAGACGGAAAACACAGAGAGCCAAGTAACGACTGATTTGATGCTGAAAAAATAATCGAGCTTGTTGCTGTAGAAATAGTAGCGGGGAATGTACATGAGCAGCATCAGGATGGCGAGCAGCCGTTCGCAGACCTTGGACCAGAGCGGAAGCGCCTGGTAGGTGTCGTCGACCCGGGCATATCGCGTGTTCCAGAGATATAAGATGCAAAAAAGAGTCGAGACAACAGCGTCAACTAGATCGTAGATGCGGCCTACGCGGGTGGCCTCGTAGATAAACAGGGCGCGGTCATGCGCCGAGGGGGTCTCGCGTCGCTTATCCAGATCGCGCTGGTGCAGAGCGAGTGCAGAGACCTGCTGCAAAGATGAGTCTGGAGTGTATGACGAGAGTTCTAAAGATGCTCCTGCGTGCCCGCCTGGACTGCCCGCATCGGTACTGATGCGGTGCAGGGTGCCGGCATGGGTCTGGGTGATGGGCGAGAAGGACTCGAAGCTGCGGGGGATAAAGAGCGTGTCGAGCCGTTTGAGCGTAGGGCCCCGACGCGCAGGAGGATTCATGATGCAGACAACTACTTGATACACACCAGGATCCTGATCTGTTCAGAGCAGCCAGAACCAGAGATCTTATGGATATCCGTATCTGATACACTCCACACTCTCTGGCGGTGTGCAGGGGCATACGCACCCCTCATCAGCCACTTCAGCCACATAAGCCGTCTGCGGCTCATTCAGCCACTTTGAGCCGCATCTGCTTAAGGGCATCCGGGCCCTAACCACGAACCTTATTCCCGTTTGAGCCGATTAAATAAAATAAAAAATAAAAATAAAAATAAAAATAAAAATTCGCTCGCCGAGATCCCAAAGCGCAGAACAAAGAAAGGACGAAGACTTGGGCCACCACCGTCGATAGAAGACGAAGACGAAGACACACACAGAGCAGCGACGATATGTGGAATCTTCAGCAGATACAGCGTGCGCGTGTCCCGGTTTCCTCCGCCGCGGTGCCGGATTTACCGCTCACAGCGGCGTTCATCGACGCTGTCTCCGGTGATCTCATCTGTGCCTTTGGACCCTCGACGCCGGTCTCCGACAGCAGCTCTGGTCTTGAGCCCGATGAAGACGATGGGTTTTCGCTGCCGCCGACAATCGAACTGCAGCGGATTACAAAGGACGGGCGGGTTATCCCTCTCGCGTCCTGGGAACCGGCATTCTCGGATGATCACGTTCTCGATCTGCGGTTCTTCCCTGACGATTTCTCCGCCGTCGTCGTCTGCGCAAAAGGCGATATAGTTCTGGTCAGCAGCCCTTCGCGCGCCAATGCAGGCGCTGCTGCTGAAACAGACTCGAATCTCGACGTGTCCGTCATCGACGACGAATTCCTCGAGCTCGCGGTCTCGATCGTGGGCTCGATCGACGCCGGCATCGCGGCCGCCTGCTGGAGTCCCGACGAGGAAGTCCTCGCGCTCGTGACTGCCGACAACAACCTTGTACTTCTCAACCGCCACCTCGACGCAATCGCCGAGAAGTCACTCACATCGTCGGACTTGAAATCCTCGCAGCATGTCTCGGTTGGCTGGGGAAAGAAGGAAACACAGTTTGAGGGCAAAGGCGTCAAGGGTATGCGCGATCCTACCGTACCCGAGAAAGTTGACGACGGCGCTCCAGGTGCGCTTGATGACTCGAAAACTCGAATCTCGTGGCGGGGCGATGGACAGTATCTCGCAATCAATTCTGTCGACACATTTACAGACGACCAGGACAGTGCCCTACAGAGATGTCGACGGACAATCAGAGTATATAGCCGAGAGGGAAATCTCGATAGCGTATCAGAGCCTGTCGATGGACAAGAGAGCTTCCTTTCCTGGCGGCCGTCAGGAAACCTGATTGCATCAGTCAAGCGGGAGATTGACGGCGACGAACGCAGGCTCGAAGTCATATTCTTCGAGCGCAACGGCCTGCGCAGAGGCGAATTTACCACTCGACTATTTTCGGATCAAAAAGTGCTGGATCTGCAGTGGAACAGTCAGTCTTCTGCCCTGGCGTTGTTGCTGAATGATAGACTACAGATCTGGACGATGAATAATTATCACTGGTATCTGAAGCAGGAGGTGCATATGCTTAAGAATGAGTCTGTCAGTTTCATGAAGTGGCATACCGAGCGTCCGCTCACTCTGATTCTTGCCAGCAACAGTGAGTCTCCAAAAATCATCTTCCCAATTATAGAAATCGTTTTGCTGACAGATTTAGATGTACTCGAAATCCACGAATTCTCATGGGACTTATTCGAGGGCACAAAGAACCCCCCCTACGATATAGGAATGACCCTCGTCGCCGATGGCACCAGCCTGAAAATCACCCCTCTCGGCATCGCAAACACCCCTCCGCCAATGTCATTCAGAGACATCGACCTCGCGGCACCGGTAGTCTACGCATCCTCCAACAGCAACAACGAACTGATTGCGATTCTAGAGCACGGAGCACTCGAGCTGGCGAAATGGAAAGTTGTCGACGAGCGGCTCAAGAGCGGCACGCCTGTGGTTTGCAAGACGACACCACTGGCTGAATTTGTCGGTGGTAGTCAAGCTGCGGCGAGGATTGTTAAATTTGTTGGACGCGACGTCGCGGCGTTGCTAGTCGACTTTGAGAAATCTTGCCGGCTTGTGCTTTTGAGATTCAAGTATGACCACGAGAGCGAGGTCAGCTACTCTGTGTTGTATAGCGAGGACTTTAAGATCCCGGTAACTACCCTAACACCCCGGGTAGACGACAAGGCTGTCTGCATTGAATTGGCAACAGGAGAGGTTCGGCAGGTTCTGATTTCGTCTGCTGGTGAGCCGATCCTACCTTCTGCAAAGATTGCAGAGCTTCCAGAGAGATGCGTGACTATTTCTGCTGCTGTTCTGCGACAAGAAGCATTTGACGACATCGAGAATGTGGCGGCGGAGGAGAAAATCGTCGTCTTTGGTCTGACGGCTAGCGGACGGCTCTACGCGGGACGACAGAGGCTTAGCGCGTCTTGCACGTCATTCAGCGTGACCGAGACGCATCTCGCGTTCACCACCGCACAGAACCTGTTAAAATTTGTGCATCTCTCAACGTCATCCACCGCCACCGGGTCCGATCCCGAACTCGACGTACCGGCCGACGTCGCAGTTGGCAGCAACACCGCGACCACAATCGCAGACGAGCGGTGTCGTGCCGTCGAGCGCGGCGCAAAGATCGTCACCGTGATTCCGTCAAAGGTGTCGGTTGTGCTGCAGATGCCGCGGGGGAATCTCGAGACGATCTTCCCGCGACTGCTGGTGCTTGAAGGTGTGCGGAGGCAGATTGAGAAGCTCGACTATGCGGGCGCGTTTTTGTCGTGCAGGGTGCATAGGGTCAATTTGGATATTCTTTACGATTATGATCCAGAACTTTTCATCAATAATGTGGAAGGATTTGTTGATGCGTTGGGGAAGGTTGAGTATCTTGATCTGTTCCTGTCGGGTCTAACGTATGTTCAGCTAGTTGATGACGTGGCTGAGAAACTACTAACAATCAATAATCTAGCAACGAGGACGTCACAAAGACAATCTACAAGGAAACCCTTCCATCCGCTCAAAAGTCACTGCCAGACCAGATGTCTGGCCTATCACTAGACCCCACGCCAAAGCCACCCGTCGAGACATCGTCAAAAGTAAACAGAATATGCGATGCGGTGCTGCAGGTTTTGCAGGCAAAGTACAGCCAGACGCATGTGCAGTCGATCATCACTGCGCATGTGTGCAAGGATCCGCCTGATATCGACGCCGCTCTTAATCTGATTTCGGGATTCGCCCGTGACGACAATGCTAAACTGACATCCGCGGTCGAGCACCTCTGCTTTCTGCAAGACGTCAACAAGCTTTACGACCACGCGCTCGGTCTTTACGACCTGCGTCTCGCGCTCATCATCGCGCGCCAGTCGCAAAAGGATCCGCGCGAGTATCTCCCGTTCATGGAGAACCTGCAAAAGCAAGTCCCACTCCGACGACGATTCTTGCTGGACACGCATCTAGGTCGGAACGCAAAGGCGCTCGTGCATCTTGCTGATCTGAAGTTTGACGAGGACGGCGCTGATATCTTTAATGAAGTCGAGCAGTTTGTGGTCAAGCATAACCTGTACAAAGACGCTATGAACATATACAAGTACGAGCCCGTGAAGCTGTATGCGATTCTCAAGCTCTACGCCAAGCACTTGCGAGCCAACAACGAGTTCAAGGAGTCCGGGTTGGCGTTTGAATCGTTGGGAGACTACGAGGACGCGCTGGAGTCGTATGTTTTGGGTTTGGACTGGCGGGAAGCTTTGGCGGTGTGCGAGCTGGGTAAACATCAGATTTCGTTTGACAAACGACAGAGCACGGCGCTGCAACTCGCAGAGGCACTGCATGAGGCGCGGAGGTATCAAGAAGCGGCGACGGTATACGTCGAGTACAGACGTGATCTGAAGGAGGCTATTGCGTCGCTTTGCAAGGGATTTCTGTTTGCCGAAGCGATTCGACTTATCTTGCTGCAGAACGAGTTCAAGTATCTGGAGGACATCATCGATCCTGCGTTAGTCGACGGGTTTAATCAGATCTCTGAATTTCTGTCCGACTGTCGCAGCCAGATCGCCGCGCAGCTTGCCAGATTGCGCGAGTTGCGCGCAAAGAAAGCTCTTGACCCGCTGGCGTACTACGACGGGATCGGCGACGGAGACGCCGATGTGCCGGATAACGTGTCGATCGCGGCTACGTCGCAGGCGTCGACGTCGGGCCAGTCGCTGTTCACGCGGTATACAGGCAAGACAGGCGGCACGGCTCAGACGGGGGCGTCTCGACGAACGGCCAAGAACCGACGACGGGAAGAGCGGAAGCGCGCGCGGGGGAAGAAGGGGAGTATCTATGAGGAGGAGTACCTAGTAAACTCGATCCGACGGATGATTGAGCGCGTGAACGAGACGCGATCGGACGCGCGGAACTTGATTGAATCACTCTCGCGGCGGGCGATGCGCGAACGGGGAGTCGAGATCCAGAGACGGTATGTGGAGTTGGTTGAGGATCTGCGCGGGTGTGTGGTTGAGGTGTGCACGGTTTCAGAGGCGGATCGGACTAGGTATGACGACGATGGGAATCGGTATCTGATTCCGGAGGTGCCGGTGCCGGTGGTGGAGGTTTTTGAGAAGATGCATATTTTAGACTATAATTAGGCTACGCGTTAGGGAGAGTAATTAAGGTCTATTATTTGAACATATAGAGTCGTAGAGAATTATTATGTAGATGCGTGTATGCTGTTATATTTACAAGAGATTCGAAAATAGATTATCGAAGCTGGACGCCGAATTTCTGAGCAACCTCAGATCTGATTGTCTCCTGAAGCGCGTTAATTTCGTCGCTTTGCAGGGTTCTACAACAATACTCGTTAGCGATGTTCAGGTTCGTAGAAAGACAGAGGGGGGGGGTTACCGTTCCATGGATTGGTAGACGACTCTGTAGCATAAACTGTGGCGGCCGGATTTGGGGTGTGTGAATTTATCAATCTTCTGGCGTTAGTCTTTGAAAACAACAAGCCAAGATAGAGTAACAATGACTTACTAGCTTTACGTCCTCGACAAGATCCGCAGCATGATCGCGGACGATATCCATGAAATCGTTATCGTGAAAGTCCTCAGGCGCAGATCCATCCTTCAACCAGAACGCGATATCTCTATGCGCGCTAGGGTATTTCGAAAACTTCTGGAACCGGTTAATTTTCCCCTCGCTAAACTGGCCGAGAAACCGTTCGTCAGTGGACCAAAACAGACGGATGTCTGGGATACCAAAGAGAAGCATGGCGAGACGTTCGAGGCCGAGGCCAAAGGCCCAGCCTACGTGGTTTGGCACCTGCGCCATGTCAAAGACCGGAGCTTCAGTCACGCCGCTGCCGAATAGTTCGAGCCAGTCGCCGTCCCAGTAGACTTCCATTTCCCAGCTAGGAGCGGTGAAGGGGAAGTAAGCGTTGATCCAGCGGATCTGGACTTGGTCTTTGTTTGCGGACGCGGGGTCCATTTCTCTGATTGACGAGAAGATGCCGCCGACGACCATCTCGAGCGTGCGTTTGAGGTGGTTCGAAAGCGCGATGCAGAGCTCGGGTGACATGCCAGGTTGTTTTGGGTTCTCGGACTTGTCGAACTGCTTGTCGCTGTCGAGGATTTGCAGGCCAGGGCTGGGGATCTTGAGGGTATCGCTGTTGATCTTTGCAATCAGGTCTGCTTCCGATGCAAAGTCGTCGCGGTTCCACGCGCGCGCGCCTTCCATCTGGTGAAAGACAGGGTAGTGCGTCCGGTCGATTTCGTCGCGGCGGTAGACGTCGGCGGAGATCAAGAAGCCCGGGGTGGGGATCGTGCGGAAGCAGTGGCCCTGGTGCGCGGAGGTATGTGTTCGCATGATGGTGTCGGAGTTGAGATAATAGCTGTCGCTTTTGCTGCGGCCGGGGTGGTCGGGCGTGAAGTTGAGCGAGTCGAAGTTCTCGTAGACGGAGACCGCGGGCTCGGGTGGGTCGTAGACAGTGTACTCGTCCGCGGGGAAGTTTGACTCGATCAGTTTCTTAATGATGGAGAGCGGGTTCGCGGGCTCGTGGAGTAGTCTCCGCGAAGTGCGCTCTGCAATTGAGGGGGAGATGTTTGTGAAGTCGTCGGCGAGGTACGTTTTGCCGAATATGTTGAGCAGCTTCTGTTCTTTGCCGTCGGGGGTGGTCGTGGTGGTGAACAGCGGAGGAGTGGTTTTGGTGGAGTTGTGTCTGACGGTGCTTCGCAGCGCGGACACGCTTGCTCGGCAGCCATGGCTCGTGAGTAGAGACAGGCTCCTACAAGCCGGCATAACCTGCATTTTGTCTGCGACTTTTCTGCGACTTAAACAAATAGAAAAAGAGACAATTGAGTGAACAAAGACGGCTGAGGTGCTGAGCTGCCCCGGAGCAGGTCGGCCAGAATAAGGTTTGAAGAGTCCCGAAAATTTCACTTTTGCGGTTCCGAGACTCGGTCGTCTTCTCGCATTCATTGTTTCTCGACACCAGAACGCAGAATGAACTCGCTGCGGACAATGTTTAGCCTTGTGCGGAGGACGGGTATGTGGCTCTTTTGCAATTGATGGCTTTGTGTTTTGCGCTTGAGAAGCGGTGTGCTGACGAGATGGGATGGGTAGTGATGGCTCCGCCGCCGACGATGCGGGTTGGTGGTCGATACACTCAGGTTCGGTTTCATCAGTATGGTAGGATTATCTTTTTCTTTGCTTCATTATCTGTATCAACTCGAGTCAAAGGCTGACGACGGAAAACAAAAGATCCCCAACGCGTCGCGGTGCGAAAGCAGCACAAAGGCCGTGTGCCGATTCGCACGGGTGGATCAACCAAAGGCACGATGCTTGAGTTTGGCAACTACGGACTTCGGTTACTTTCAGATGGTGTGCGTATTTCTGCCAAGCAGATGAAGGAGGCTGAGAACGTCATGATGCGCCTCGTGAGACCGTTGCCGGGCGTGAGCATCTTCCCGCGGTTGACGACTAATGTTGCTGTGTGCACGAAGGGAAATGAGGTGCGTTTCTTTTTCTTCGAGAAAGAGGGTGTGATAAAGAGGTATAGGGTACTGTGATTGCTGACTTAGTCTTGATAGACGCGTATGGGTAAAGGAAAAGGACCGTTTGACTACTGGGCAGTGCGCGTCGCGACAGGCAAGATCCTGCTCGAGCTCACGGGCGAGATCCACGAGCAAGTAGCCAAGCAGGCGTTCAAGCTTGCTGCGCAGAAGCTCCCTGGCAAGTACGAGGTGGTTACGAAAAAGACCAACACGGCGATGATGGGTTTCATAAAGACAACGCCGGCGCCGGTGGAGAACATTTTTGAGAAGCTGGATCGCGAGCCGACGAAGGATTGGGCGATAAAGCAGAAGGGCAAGTCTCCTAGCTTTAAATGCTTCCGGCCTTGATTGTGTTTGTATTTGATGATTGCATGTACATAGTTTCAAGAATCTATCTCTATTTAGTAATATCTTACGCCATTTCCGAATACGGCAAATGATTGCTTACACTCCTGAGGGCCCTGTGTCTCGGCCTTTGATGGCAAAAGGCCGACAGCAGCAGGAAGTTCACCGTTTTGTAGACCATTCTCTCGACAGAAGCAGGAAACAGCGCAGGTGCGGCCATGCTGCAGACCCGCCAGACCCGAGGATGGACAGATCATCACCACGCGCGTGCCGGGCGCCGGCCGTCGACCGATAGCAATCTGCTGCTGCTGCCGACCTCGTACTTTGTAGCCGAGGGCACGACGTCGACGTCGCCGCCTGCCAGCACCACCGAGGACGAGGACGGGAAAGCGCGGCGGAAGAAACTGTTTGTGAGCAGCCAGCAGAATGTGAAGGCGGTTGCTGTGCTGTCGCGCAAGTCGTCGATGCGCGCGGTGACGCATATCCCAGAGCTGCCGCCATCGTTCTTTAACTACTTTGAGCACATCACCTCGCTTCGGCTCGGCTGCGGGTTGCGGCGGCTGCCTCCGCATATTGCTCGGTTGAAAGAGCTGAGGAGCTTGGATTTGAGGGGGAATAGACTGAAGGCTCTGCCGTATCAGATCAAGGCGGTGAATCTGCAGCAGCTTATCGTGGACGATGTCGTGACGGCTGATTTCTCGGAGCTGATGCTCACTGACTTTGTGCGGAAGATACCGTCGGATGAAAGTGCAGAGAGCGATGGAAAGGAAGAGACAGGAGACGGACAGAGGCAGCAAAAGAGGACGCCGATGTCGCCAAGCTTGCAGTGGCTAGGCGGACCTGCGACGTTGAAGGAGACGGCGCTGCGGGTTGTGCTGAGCTCGATCGCGCTGCCGGAGCTGGACGTGCCGGGTGAAAGCGGCACGCTTTTGTCGTTTGTGCCGCCCCATCTGCGACCGCGAGTGCTTCCGCCGGACGAGTGTGCGTTCTGCGGACGGACCGTGATCGAGCTGCTCGACCAGGCCGAGTTTTTCCACAGCGACGAGACGCACACGACGCATACGAGGCGACGACCGCGTCCGGCGCCGAAGAGGTACCGGATTGAAGTTGTCGCGTTAAGGAAGGTGGTGCTTGAGTCTGTGTTTTGCGGGCGGCGGTGTCTGCTTGAGATGGAGAAGCGGTGGCGGGATGAGGATCTGGGGGAGCAGATCAAGGTCATTCAGCGGGGGATGCGGTTTATGGGGGTTGCGCATGTTGCTATGGCTTAGCTGATGTGCTTTGTGCTTTTGTATTGTTTGTATTGTCTGTATTGTTTGTATTGTGCTTCATGATGTATAGAAGGGATCAGTTTTGGTTATGTGTCTGGATAGAGATGGTATGGCGTTTGTGGATCAGGCTGGGTCGATGTCGGGAGTTTGAGATAATTGATGTGTTTACAAGATGTCTGTAGTTTCTATACATCTATAAACCACCAACAGCGATATTCTCTATATATGCTTCTAATGCTTATAGGTGAATAGGTGTAGGTAATGCTACAACGGTCTCCAAACAAGGTTCCGTGAGCCGCACAAGCACGTTTTTATCACGTGTCTGGGTTAGGGCGCAAGATAGTTCCTCGCCCTCCTCACTATCGTCTCCACCATCGCCTCTTCCCCTTCGTCCCGGTCTTCGTCACTTCTTCTGCTCTCCTCCTCCTCCTCCTCCTCCTCCTTCTCTACAATGCCGGCTCCCCCGGCGCAGTCGTCGCTCCGGGTGGACGTCGTCTTCTCTGACCCCGTCTACTTCGCCGGCGAGGACCTCGTCTGCCGCATCACCTTCCGCAACCTCGCCCCGGGCCCCCAGCTCCATCACTCCTCCGCCTCAGACCTCCAGCGCACGACCTCCGCTTCCCGGCTGCGCAAGTCCTCCAGAGCCTCTTCCGTCTCTGATGCTGATCGTCCGCCGACCTCACCGGCATCTACGCCGCCACCGCCGCAGCCGTCGCTCTCCGCCGCGCCCTCGACTCCTCGCACGCCCTCCTCCTCCTCCTTCGGCCCACCCCTCGCCCCCTCCTCCCCTTCCTCCTCCTTCTCCTCATCCACCACCACCTCGCCCTTAGTCGTCCAGACCGCCTCGCAGAACGGCTCCTTTCCGAGCCCGTCCCCCGTCCACGCCTCGCCGCACGGCATGCTCCACTCGCGTAGATCGTCGATGCGCGTGCCCAAAACACGCGGCGGCGAGACCCTCATGATGGGCTACGCGCAGCTCTCCGGCCAGTTCACGATCGACGAGAGTCTAGTTGAGACTTCTGTTTTCAACGAGGCAAAGAAACTCGGCATCGTCGGCGGGAAAATGGGCGGCGGCGTCGTCGGCCTCGGCGCTGAGAAGTCTGATAGCGGGATTTGGGGCCAGCTTGGCTTTGGCATCACCAACGGTCTCAGCAGTCTTTTGAACGGCAACGAAGTCAGCTCCATTGCTGAGATGAAGTCAATAGCCAGTGAGTACTCCTACTTCTTTCTTTCTTCTACACACCTAGCTAATTAGCAGGCTCGAACGTGATTTCAATCATCTCAACCCCTCAATCACTACTCTTTGTCGACCTGCGACTGAGTCCAGGCGAATCAAAGTCCTACAGCTACCGATTCACACTCCCCAAAACACTCCCGCCATCATACCGCGGCAAAGCGCTCAAGATCAGCTACAATCTCACGATCGGCACCCAGCGCGTCGGCAAAGGGTTCCAGGCTCCCAAGACCACAAAGTTCCCGTTCCGGGTATTCCAAAACATCGACGCCGGCGGCCATCAACCTGTACACTCGCTCACCTCGCCGATCGTCATTCTTCGCGACGAGGCGAAAACAGAGGTCATAGACGACGGGCCAGAGCTGAATCGCGCGAGCAGCGTCAGCAGTCTGAGCGGGCTCACATCCAACAGCGAGAGCAAGCGGCTGGCACGCGACAATCCGCAGTCAGAAAATAAGGAGACGTTGGAAGATTTCATGGCCTACGTCGACGGACTTTTATCATACAAAAGCAGCATCGCGGTCGCGATCCATCACATCCGGCCCCCGTCGCCTTCCTCACCGCCCGAGTTCCCGCTCTCGTCAAGCGTGACGAGCGCGCGCTCGTCGTGTCGCGAGTCGGTCGATCTCGCCATACAACGCAATAGTATATCCGCCGACGGAATCGTGCTCAACAACATGTACGAGATTGCGCGCAACAAGCAGAAAATTGCGTCGCTCGTGCTCTCGAAACCCGTGTACAAACTCGGCGAGACCGTGGTCATGATTCTGGACTTTGCGGGCGCGGTCTTGCCTTGCTACCATGTTATCGCGAGTTTGGAAACGACGGAGATCATCGACAACTCGATAGCGCAGCGGTCGTCGCAGTTTAACGAGCGCGCCACGCGCAAAGTATACGTGCAAAGCTCATTCTCAACAATCTCATCCCAGCGCGCGTCGTTCTCGTTCTGCATCCCGACGACCGCGACGCCGCAGTTTGATACTTCGTACATTTCATCGCGATGGAGCATTCGAATCGAGTTCGTCACCAGCCCGATCGAGATGCCGGCGAATCTGCTACCCGCGATCGACCTCGACGAGGAAACAGATCGCAGCTCGGCGCCGCAGTCGCGGTCGGGATCGCAGGGAACGATAGATATTCCCGAACCGGCGCAGACGCCGCCTTCGGCGCAGACGTTCAGGAATGGACAGCCACATACGCCATCGACGCCGATTCACGAGCGCACGTCGTCACTGAACGCGACGGCGTCGCCGGCGCCGGGGAACGGCACGCGCGCGAGGGCGGACAGTCAGCAGCTGCAGGCTGTTTTGCAAGTCAGCAGGACGCTTGCCAAGACGACGTTGAGTGATGACGATTTGTCGGTGACGGATGACGAGGATGTTGAGGATGATGACGAGCACGACGATGAGAAAGCAGATGTGTTTCATGGTCTTTCGGTCGCGCGAGCGCAGCGCCGTCCGTCGGCAACGAATACCCCGCCATCCTACGCGGCGACGAAAAGTCATCGTCCGGAAATACTGCGAGTGACGCATAAGGATGAGCGAGGGGTAATGTATTCGCTCGTGGACGATCTGCTGTCCGAGACGTTTGAGTGCCGGATCCCGATCAAGGTGTTTCCGACCAACCAAGATATTGCGGCGATGTCGTTTCATATCCAGCCCAGTGGCGGGTACGCTGTTTAGGAGTCTTTATGCCGAGAGATGATTGTCGCAAAAGAAACGACGAACGATTGCATGTACAGTTTTTTTTTTTTGATGTTTGTTTATCCGTCTCTGTTTGTAGGAGTTTTCTTTTTGTTTGTTAATCACATTTTTGTAAAATCGTTTGTCGTTCCAGTTGCTTGTATATTTGAATTCCTGTTCAGCAAGGTCTATGCAGACGAGGAAAGAAAAGGAAAGCAACCTTCATGATGCATCACTGCTTTCTTTTCCGTTTTGTCTCATCCTCTTGGTTTGCATGCATGCGCTTTTTTACTCTTGATGATTGGGTTGTCCTTATTTATTCTTCGTTGTAAATATACAGTCATATATATAGTTATAGTCATCATCTAGCTGATTAGGAGTAGGAGATATGGATAACTTTTGAGCGAGTAATGATACAGTAGATGAATAGCAAGTATGAGAGATGTCCTAGCTGGCAGGTTCTGCCTCCGCTGCACTTGCACCTGCAGCAGCTCCTCCTCTATGTCTTATCCGTCCCCCGCGCCCGGCACGACTGGTTATGTTTGGCCGACGATTTCCACGGGCCGGCGATTCACGGCCGTAGAATTCATTGAAGGACGGGAAGTGTTGCTGTTCGTCGACGGGTAGGGCAGGTGGTGCCACAGGTCTCTCGCGGCGGGAGCGATGGGGGTTGTGTCTAGTGTGGGAGGAGGTGTCTGTGATAGAAGAAGCGGGTGGTGGGTCGGAGGAGGATGCGGAGGAGGAAGGCGGGGTGTTGGATTGGCGTTCTGTGAGGCCCGAGATTTGCGCGTCGCGGCTATTCTCGACCGGAGCTTTCGCGCCTCGCGCACGGTGCCCGCCTCGGCGAGGTGCGTATCCCTCCGCAGAATACGCGTTCTCTTCACGCTCAAATTCGGGCGTTGCGCGAGCACGATGCTGGGCTGACATGAAGTTGTTTTCCGGATCAGGACCAGTAGCCTGGCGCGACGGGTGGAACTGGGTATTCCCGCCTCTTCCTGAGCCGCGGCTGGATCCGCGACCGCGAGGGTTGCGCCCGCGTCCGCCGCGATGGTGGGAAGAGGTGGGATAGTCGAGGCGGTCGAAGCCGAGGAGGGCGTTTAGGTCTTGTTGGAAAGCGGTGTCCCATTCTGTGTCGTCGTCGTCGTTTCTGGATGTGGGAGCGGTGGTGGTGGTGGTGGTGGTGTCGAGATGGCTTGTGGAGTCGGAAGGGGGTGGTGGCAGATCAGAATGCGTCCTTTGTGTTTCTTCTGAAGTTTGGGGTTGTTTGCGGGCAAGTCTTCGAAGGGACGATGGTGGTTTTCTGGACCGAGAAGAGGTAGGTGGGTTGTGTGCAGGATCAGATTCGTCTTGATCTAGCTGTGAAGGTGGGAGTTCTGAGGAAGTTGAAGAAAGAGTAGGCTGATTATCGTCCTTGATCTGCAGCTCAGATTTAAGGGCCTCGGCAAGCTCATTATCGAGATCAGGCTCTGAAGCAGCAGCAGCAGCAGCAGCGGCCTCCTTCTCGGCAGCGATTCTCTGCCGCCGCAGCGCAACTCTCTCCGCCGCGTTGTACTTCTGCACGTCCTCAGGCGGAGTATATCCCGGTCTGACTTTGATCTCGCGTCTGCGTGTGCCGTCTTTGCGCGCGGAGGAGGGGATCACGCGCTCACCTGAGTCTTTCTCGACAATGCCTGCTGCGGTGGAGGAGGTGGTGGAGGGGCCGGGAGTGGATGGGGCGGAGAAGGTGAAGGTGGGGGAGGAGGGTGGGAGGAGAGGTGATTTGGATGATTCAGAGATCACAGCAGGCGCTGTGTCGGCCATTGTGCTGTTGCTTTGCTGCTGTTGCTGTTGCTGCTACTGTAAAAAGGTGTAGATGTAGAAGTAGAGAAGTAGAATTGACTTTGAAAAACACGTGACTGTCACTGCGGAGGGGTTTGTAGAGTATCATGTGACTATCAGCAACGGGCTTTGTACTATTTCAGGCCAATCAGCGCACGGCAGAAGGAAAGCAGAGGCTTCCCGGGAAAAGGCGCGGCGGCCCTGGGATTTTTGCAGGCAACTTGCATTTCTCTCGTCTTCCTGTTGCTTTGCATACTTCTCGGGTTTATTTACTCTTGTTGAAATCAAAAATGGTGAGTTTTGGGTTTGGTGGTTTGCTTTGCTGCGGTGATGTTTGTTGGTAGGGGAGGGGAGGGGAGGGGAGGAGGAGGAGGTGGTGGTCGCGTTGGAGATGTGCTGCAGAGGACAGTTGCAGAGGACTTTGAGGTAGACATCGCAGAGGACAGTTGCAGAGGACTTTGAGGTAGACATCGCAGAAGACAGTCGGTGGCTGATGATGGAGAATGAAAAGAGAGAGTTGGATTGCGAGTTGTGTGGTTTGATGTGCTGTGTGCTGTGTGCTGGACGCAAGTCGGCTTCGATACAGCTTCGATCTATGTGCTACACTGGATGGTCGGAAGGCATGGATGAATTAATGAGTGAAGAGTGAAGAGTGAAGAGTGAAGGAATGAGGAATGAAGAAAGAACATTGCAGCAAAGCAGTTGAATTGATAGAGCGCATACTAACAATCTCGATATCAGGCCATCTCGTCTGTTATCTACAACACTATCTTCCGCCGGAACTCGATCTTTGTCGGTACCGTTCTCGCCGGTGCTTTCGCTTTTGAGATGTGAGTGTGCTGTTCTGTGTGAAGTGTATTGTGAGTTGATTGCTGGGTGGATGCTGATTGATGAATATAGTGCCTTTGACTCGACTGTCGACAAGTACTGGGATGCCAGAAACATCGGCGTAAGTGTTCTTCATGCTGTTGTTGCACGCTATAAGCAGCTTCTATTAGAGGATGGGTTAGCTAACAAGATGGATTCTGAAATATAGAAGCAATGGAAGGACATCAAGTACAAGTACGTTGAGAAGGATGAGGAGTAAATAGTTTGGGGCGAACGACGACGCGGAATGAATAAATACAGATAGAAATCAATATGACGATGGTTTAGTGATTAAGAGTAGCAGTGATTATGAGTAGCAGTGTCTAGTGTCTGTAAAGGATGCTGATCATATCTATTGATCTGATAGAATAGTGGGCTATTATGTCTGCTATGTCTCAATTATCTATTATATCATTCATTACACATAATCCACAATAATCAAAAATGCATCTCTTAATGCTCATAATGAAAGATCATATGAAAGAAGACAAGAAGTAATCATAAGAAAGAATCATAAGAAGAATCATAGGAGGCTCTGAAGCTGCTGTAAATAAGCTTTTGTTGTGAATGATTTCGACGCTGCCTCCTCGTCGCGTCTCTGCCCGTCTTTGATCCACAAACACTCGTCATTCAATCTCTCATCCGATCTGCAATAGTCAGATCAATTGGTTTGGTGGTATTTTAAAGAGGAAGAACTGTTTATTGTAGAGCAGTACAGTCTTTTAGAAGATACGGGGGAACAGATTTATCTAGCAAGCAAGCAGACACTACAGCACACATCATGGGGTCAACGAGGAATAAAGTGAATATCTAGTATGACCCACGTTATGGACTGAGATCATATAACTGAATCAATTACTGAAATACTGACTGTATCCAGTGCGGTGCCGGATCTGAAGAATGCGACGGACGACGAGATCAGCAGGGTGTGTTTGATACCTCTGCATACAACTATATGCATCCACACACTACTAACACAACATAGATCATGACAAGCCAGGGATACACGCAAAAATTCACACTGATAGACATCCGACTGGCGCTTGGGTTTTCGTCTGTGATTGTGGCCGCGGCCGCGAGCTACTACGACTTCAAGGTCGGGTTTGAGGCGGCCAAGAAGTACACGGCGATCGGGGTTACAGTCTATTTTGTTTTGAACGCGTTGTTGACGCTGTGGATATGGAAGGGCGAGAAGGGGACGGTGTATGAGGGGGTTAAGGATGATGTGAAGGTGAGTGTGCTCCTGCTCCAATGTTGGCTGGGCTGTGAGCGCGGTCTGATATGACATAAAGAGCTAACAGCACTAGATCTCGCTGCAGTCGTCGGCGACAAAACACGTGGCGGTGTACAAAGTAGAGGTGAAGAATGGCAGGACAGGAAAGAAGGTCGAAGGCTGGAAGCCGTTCACAGAGTTTTTCGACTCCGAGGGATACCTCGTGCCCGAGCCCCTCGAGCGCTGGCTCGAGACCGTGCTCGAGGACGCGCGTGAGGAGGGGGCAGAGACCCGGAAGAGCAAGTAGGAGGATCAAGTGTGGATCTAGAACGCGGGCATTCCTTCGTCGAGCGGGCCCAGAACAGAATAAGAAGGAGAATACGAAGGATTATCAGATCGAACGAGCGAATGGCAGCGGGCGAATAACTAAGAATCGCTCAGATTAGTAAAGCGCACTTCACGCACCGACCCGGTCGAGGCGTCTGTCGTCACAACTGAGCATTGGCTCATCGGCAGCCGAGTGAGTTGTTAGGAGTTCTCATACTTCTCATACTTCTCATACTTCTGGCTGGACTGTCTACGAGTTGGAGACAATATCTGAAGAGTACCGAGACTACAGAGACTATTGAAGAATTCTGAGACTACTGAGACTACTGAGACTACTCAAGTCCAGCGACTGCTCTGGTTCAGCACCGGAATAGGGCTGACATAATCACTTCTTTTCAGCCAATCAGCTTCTCGCTAATTCAGTGCCGTAATCAGGATCAAGATCACGTGCCGCGGCTCACCTTCAGCTCAGAAGCATCTGCGGGCAGCCGCCGCCGTCTGGTCATCATCGCCGATTATCTTCTTCACATCAAAGACTCTTCTTTCTTTGTTCTTTGTTTCTCTTCTTCTTCTTCTTCTTCTTCTTCTTCTTCCTCTTCATAGTCTTCTTTCTCCTCCTCCTCCTCCTCCTCTTCTATCTCAAGGCAATGCGTGGTCCGCTTCTCGCGCCCCCTCCGCGCCTCGCCCTTGCAGACCACCCCGATTCTCCCGCGTCCTCCTCCGCCCGTCTCCTCCTCGCGGCCGCTGACTTTGTCCACTCCTCCTCCAAGCTGCCTGCCCGCATCTGGGGCGACAGCTCTGACGAGAGTGAATCCCGTGCGCCGCGAAGTCCTCTGGCGACAGTAGGTAATCGCCAGTCGCAGTCTTCTTCGCCTCCTGCGACAGATCCACCGCAGCAGCACCAACATCAACACCAACACCAACACCAATATCAACATCAACAATCACAACCACAACCACAACCACAACCACAACAACAGCAACTTCCTAGAAAAACTCCACCCTCCATGGAACGCGAAGTCGGCCAGGTCTGCTCAAATTGCGGTACGACCCGAACCCCGCTCTGGCGCCGCGCCCCCGATGGAACGACAATCTGCAATGCCTGCGGGCTCTATCTCAAAGCCCGCAACACCTCGCGGCCGACGAGTTTAAAGCGGCAGACGCAGCACGCTACAGCTTCAGAGGCAGACATTGCTCGCGCTTTGGTGGCCGATAATTCGATGCCGGGCACATGTCCTGGCGATGGCCACTGCAACGGCACCGGTGGTTCGAGAGCCTGCTCGGGCTGTCCTGCCTACAACAACCGAGTTGCGAAATCTGTTCAGCTTGGCTCGGGGTCGCGTCTTCCATCTCTACAACCGCAGTCTCAGGCTCAGTCTCCGCAGCAGCAGCAGCAATCACTGCCGCAGCAGCAACAACAACAGCAGCAACATCAACATCAACATCAGCAATCACTGCACTCCCCTCGATCTCCTACGTTGTTTAATGAGCAGGATCGGAGCCGAACGCCGTCGACTGAGTTTATGCCGGTGAACGGGGAGGCAGCCGGCGGCGTCGTTGCCTGCCAGAACTGCTCGACCACTATCACCCCTCTCTGGCGGCGGGACGAGACCGGAAATACGATTTGCAATGCATGCGGTATGTCTATTCTTATTATCACTACTTAGAGCCAGCTCTGCAGACATCTCTAGAGCTCTGGAGTAACCTAGGCCAGGCCATCTGATAAGAGGGCTAGGCCGCATCACGTGACGGGATACTAACAAGCGGGGTCTAGGCCTTTACTACAAGCTGCACGGAGTCCATCGGCCAGTCGCGATGAAGAAAAGCGTAATCAAGCGAAGGAAAAGGATCGCGCCGCCGGTGACGCCGAACATGCTTCCGCCGCTGAGACCGGCCCAGGTCACGACCGAGTCACCCGACGCGAAGCCAGATTCGGACGACGAGCAGCACTACGAACAGCAGCAGCATCAGCAGCAGCAGCAGCACCAACATCAGCATCAGCATCAGCAGCAGCAGCAGCAGCAGCAGCATCAGCAAGTGCAGCATCAGAGATCAGAGTACCAGCTACCTCAAATCAGACTCGCAGAACACGGCCAAGCGCACCCCGAGCCTATCTGGTCTTCGATCAACATACGACCACTCGGAGTGCCTACGTGGAGCAGTGCCGCAGGCTCGGCCTCGAACGGACCCCCACCGCCGCCGCCATCGATTGACTTTACAGGAGCTTTCCGGTCGACGTCTCCTTCGTCGGGAGCGATTCCAATAACACTACCGTCAATGTCGGATCGTTCTAAGGTACCCCCGCCAGCGTCGCAGGCTACGCTTGATGCGCCTGTCGAGCCCGAGGAGAGCACGCGACTGCCTCCTATCCAGTACGTCGACCAGCAGCACTCGCCAGCCCCGGAGCGACCTATGTCTCCTGCGTCGGTGGCCTCGCGCAAGCGGAAGTCGTCTGAGGAAGCGAACGATGCGTTGTCGCGCGTGAACAGCATCAGCTCGATTTTGAACCCGTCGTCAGCTGCAGTTGCTTCTACAGATGACAGTCCGGAGCAGACGCGAGCAGCGTTGCGAGTGAAGAAGCAAAAATTGGTGGAGGAAGTGGAGAGATTGCGAAAGGCGTTATCAGAGAGCGAGACGCTGCTTGCGGTGTACGACAAGGAGCTTTCTGAACTGCCTTAGCATTTTATAAAAGGCGGAAGGTGCAATAGAATAATGAGTCGAGATGAGAGTGATTGAAAAGACCGGATGGTTTTTTAATGTTCTAATTTTGCTTTGATCTGGAAGTACGGCGTTTTTTTGACGATCGTGTATTACTTGAATTTGTTTATGTCTGCGATGATTTGTTTGTTTACTTGGTACATATCTCTATTCTTCCTTATTTCTCTCTATCTTGTCTGTATAATACACGTTGATTGTTTAGATCTTTTAATGAAAGTCTTCTGCAAGACAATGTGTTTGAGTCACGTGGTGTGTCATGTGACTTTTACCCTAATCCGCTGGCTGGAATTTTTTTTGGAAGTTGAAAAGAGAAGAGAAGTAGAGCAACTGAGAGAGAAGAAGAGAGAAGAGAATAAGAGAAGAGAAGAGAGAAGAGAACAGAAGAAGAAGAAACGGTGCGCTCTTTAAGAAGAATTGCAGCTGAGTTCAGGCTTGCAGCTGGAGCTCGAGCTGGTGCTGGTGCTGTCTATTTGATACCTGCGAGTGCTGTGAGTGCAGCTTGTCGAGTGAGAGGAATTACGACGATGGATCAGAGTGAGAGAGTGCTGCAGACGGAGGAGGTGCAGAAGGAGCTGCAGCAGAAGGAGTTGCAGGAGGTGCAGAAGGAGGATGGTGGAGATCAACTTGCTGAGAAGACGGAGGATGAGGAAGTGAAGAGCGCGAGTTCATCAGACGCTGCCTCAGACGAGACATCGCCATCGCCCCTGTCCAAGAACGAGCGCAACCGCCGGAAACGAGCAGCGCGGGAAGTAGTCCCCCACTCCGGCCGCACGCGCCAGAACGTGCGCAAGTTTGATTCCGCCGGGTTCAGGCTGCGGCAGCAGGTGCTCAGTTCCGCGCGCGTGAGCCTGCAGGACGTGTTAGGCGAGACGCCGGACGTGGCGGCGCTGGACGCGGCGGATAGGGTGGTTACGATCGAGGATGATATCGCTGTGGGAGCGCGGTATGTGTATAAAGGCGACGGGCTGAGGCGGGTGCCGCCGTATTACTTCACGTACCTTACCTTCTGCAAGCAACGATGGCGGGACCGGAATCTTCTCGAGATCTTCTCGAGCGAGTTTCGCGAGAAGGAGCCGGCGTATTATCGCCAGCTGATCGATGACGGGAAAGTCACGATCAACTCTGAGCGCGTGGGCGTGGACGCCATCGTGCGGAACGGGGATCTGATCTCGCATCGGACGCATAAGCATGAGCCTCCGGTGCCGGATACGCAGATCGAGATTGTGTATCAGGATCAGGAGATTGTGGTTATTGATAAACCGGCGGGGATCCCTGTGCATCCGGTGGGACGGTTTCGGTTTAATACAATCACAGAGATTATGAAGCATGAGCTGAAGATTCCTGTTCATCGTGAGTTCTGCTGCTATACTAGAGTGAGTGATAGAGTCGTGCTAATAAGAGGAGTACAGCCGCGCACCGTCTCGACAGACTAACATCCGGCGTCATGATCTTTGCCCGCACAGGCAAAGCCGCCAACCAACTCTCCGCCAACATGCGCAACCGGACAATCTACAAAGAATACGTCGCGCGCGTGCTCGGCGAATTCCCGCTCAACGACGGCAACGACGTCGTCTGCGACCTGCCCGTCCTCACAGTCGACCCGCGTCTCGGCCTAAACATGGTAAAAGACGAAGGCAAGCCCGCGACAACGATCTTCAGACGCCTGTCGTATAACGGCAAGACCAGCGTCGTGAGCTGTAAACCGCTCACCGGACGCACACATCAGATCAGACTGCATCTGCAATACCTCGGCCACCCGATCGCCAACGACCCTATCTACGCCAACCGCGCGGTCTTTGGCTTTCATCTCGGAAAAGGCGGGGAGATCGACGAAGCCGACGTACGCACGAAGCTGTCGCGGATGGGCAAGAACGAGCAGGCGAGGAGCGCGGCGTTCGAGGAGCTTGCGGAGCAGCAGAATCGCGAGCGCGGGGAGAAACTTACGGGCGAGATGTGTCAGGTGTGTCAGTCGCCGCTGTATTTCGATCCGAGCGTGCGGGAGTTGGAGATTTGGTTGCATGCGTTGAAGTATTGGTCGACGGAGGATGGGTGGGAGTATAAGACTAAGCTGCCTATCTGGGCGGCCGAGGATTTCCAGTAGTTCTTGTTTACTGAATGCACTACATGTCCTTTGTTTACTAAATGCATTACATGTCCATAAATACTTCATAATCATAACCATACTCCGTGTGTGCATACTAACTTGATCTCCTTCATCAACCAGACTCATTCGCGGGAGCTAACTCATCATTCGCGGACTAACTCAAGCTCATCCGCTGAATCCGATCATACGTCTCCTGCATCTGCTTCATACTCTTCTTCCCCGCCACCAACGACGCGCCAGGCGACGAGCTAAACATGCTCGACAGCGTCGGACTCGACGCCCCAGGCGTCACCGTCCCCGAATTCCCCGTATCTGGAATCGCAATCGCGCCGACGGACGAGGAGGAGGAAGTGGTGTTTGCCGCTGCGGACGCGGCAGCTACGGCGGCGGCGGCGGCGACGGGGGAGACGGCGCGGCGCTTGATTGAGTGCGCGGTCTCGATCGTGTCGTCGACCGGGCCGCGGCGTTTTAGTTTGCGGTCGCGGTCGACGGGGGTCGCGGGGAAGGCGGGGTACATGGGCGATGACATTGGCGTGGAGGGAGGGTATTGCAGCGCCGAGACAGAGGCGGCGGCGGCGGCGGCAGCAGCAGCGGCGTGGGTTGGCGACGCGGACCGGGATTTTGCGGTGAGTTGTGGGCGGTTGGGGAACGCGGATGCGGCGGGTCTTGAGAGGTTGGTTGTAGTGGAGGGAAGATCTTCTGGCTTGGGCGTGAGCTCTTGGTCTTGATCCTGATCCTGATCCTGATCCTGCTGTCTTCTTTGCCGTCTTCTTCGACGGCGCCGTCGTCGTTTGCGAAACGGAGGGGACTCAAGAAGACCGTTGGTGGGCGTGGAAGCTCCCGACATTGATCCAGAGAACGGAGGCGCGATGCCGGGGTATATGGCCGCGTCGGGGGTGGTGGAGTTATGCCGCTGCTTGAGTTTATAAAACCCGTATCCGTCGTCATCGTCTTCTTCGTTATCGTCGTCGTAGTAATACTGCTCGTCGTCGTCGTCGTCCTCATCGTCGTCCTCATCGTCGTCATCGTCATCATCGTCGTCGTCGTCGTCGGTGGTGGGGTACTCCCTGAACGCCATTGTGATCTCCGCTTCATGCTTTATCTCCGCCTCCGCGGGTGCAACCTCGTCAGCTAATTCCCGCGTGATGCGCATGAACGAGCGGGTCTGCGGTTTCAGTGATCCGCCGCCGAGTCTGGAGAACACGACTGCGCGGCGGGGAAGGTCTTCGCCGGATGTGGAGGTGGCTGAGGAGAGGTATGAGGACGCGAAGGAGGACTGGTCGGTGAGAGAGGGGCGGGGTGGGAATGGAGAAGAAGAAGAAGAGGAGGAGGAGGCGCGGAGTTTTGCGACGAATGGGTTGGCGTAGAGGGCGGTGGGGGGCCGGGGGAGGAGTAGTCTGTGTTCATGGGGTCGGGATGAGCTTGAGCTTGAGCTTGAGCTTGAGCTTGAGCTGATCTGGCGGATGACGTAAAAGGAGCGTTTGCTTTTGGAGTAGCAGCAGCAGCAGCAGAAGAAGAAGAAAAAGCAGCAGGAGTCGCGAGAGAAGGGGTGGCAGAAGGGGTGGATGGCGAAGGCATTGATCCGTCGGAGGAGAACGCGACAGAGGCATGGCGGGGGAGGAAGGCGGGCCCTACGTCGGGATTGAGGTTATCGTGAAGCAAAAGATCCGCAGACGCAAGATCCTGATCATCGTCGTCGCCATCTGTCGAGGAAGAAGAGGAAGAAGAGCGGTTCTGGGCGGAGGAGGTCGAGGGCGCGGAGGGGGAGGCCGAGAAGGAGGCGCCGAGGGAGGAGACGGAGGAGGCGGATTCGCGGACTCTGGAAGCGAGCGAGAGACGCGGTTTCATTGAGTAGAGAGTTGTATCATTGAATAGTAGAGAGTAGATATGACTTATATATAAGATATAAGATATAGAGATGGATATATGTTATAAGATGGAGGACGATCAGATATCAGACACAGACAGGAGCCGCACCACGTAGTCCTCAAATTAGTCATCTCTTAGTCATCCAGTCACATGACATTTATAAGATCAACAGGTATTCGACAGCCAGACAGAGACAACCAGCAGCAACCAAGACATGTCTGCATCCACGTCTGCTTCACAGGCTTATGACCGCGAGTCGCAGGTGAGCAGGTGCTGTTAGAAGAGAGAAAGAGAAGAAGACTGGCTGACCGCAGGATGTGAGTAGAACGACCGGCGGTTGAATGACCTGGCCTCGAAGCTGTCGACGTTGAGGCAGGTTACGACTGATATCAACACCCAGGCCTCTGATAGTTCGTTTATTCAGTCATCTGTGGGTGTTCTTGTTACTCTATTGAATTTTATTGTATATTCATTTCTAACTGTACCAGACCGAAGCCTTCTCAAACCTCACCGCGTCGATAAAACACTCATCGCAACGCCTCTCGAGATCGACCGGTGTCTCTCTTCCGATCTACAAAACAGTCTTTTTGATTCTCGCCGTGATCTTTGTTGTGTATTTTGTTTATAGGCTTGTGTAGTGCAGAGCAGACTGTCTGCAGTCTGCTGCTGGAGGTCTGTAGAGAATAGCAGGATGCTGTGGTGTATACTTACTTACTTGGACTTGGCGCTGGGTGCATTTTGTATTGATTGTATTGATATTGATCTAAGACTATCATTGATCTAACACGATCTTAACTATCATTGATCTACTTTTCATCTCTCCGTCTCCTCATCTCACCTCAGTCCATCTCAGGATACTGATCACTTCGACCTCCCCCCTCCGATATCCTGCCCAAGACGGTACGCACCTATAGACTTGCCCCACTCAATCTTCGACCTCGTCACCGGCAACTGTCTGCGCAGACTCTTAAACGCGCCATCGCTAAGCCCCGCAAACTCGCGATTGATGTCCTCCTGATACCCGCGCTCCGCCGCCGCAATCGCCTTTGCGATCCCAGCGGTGCTAGTGTAGCTTGTTGAGATCGGCTTGGATGTCGTCAGGCGCACGTTGCCGTCTTCGTAGTAATGCACGTCGAGCGCGATCGTGCCCGTGATTGACTTGGACGATTGGTCGACGACGTAGGAGGAGCGCCAGCGGCCGTTCCAGAAGTTGTGCGGGCTGTACTTGTTGCCGACGATGACGACCGCGAGGGTGCCGTCGGGGGACTCGAATACGCCGTAGGAGGAGGGCGAGGGGTAGTGCTCGAGCACGTAGCTCTTGATCTCGGAGGTGAGGGAGGTGCTGTTTTGTTAGAACAGCTGATGATATGACGAAAAGAGGAATAACTTACATTGATTCACTTCCTTCGTATGATTCAACATCACTCACTTTCTACAACCAGTCAGTCGTCATCCTCATCATAATAATGAAACAACAAAAACAATAGACATACCAGCGACCGATGATCGAGCTTAAACTTCTTTCCCACCTCGGCGTCGTAAAACCCGCCGTCTTCAAGCATATTATACCTACTGATAACAACCTATCTCAATCATCAGCCATCGTCTCTTACCTCTCATCTTCTCTTAACAGTCAAAAGAACTCACAGTCTTGTCGGATCCGGGAACTTTGACGGTGACGAATTGCTCGAGATTGTATTTCTCGAATGCGTCTGCTAGTCCGTCCAGCACGTCCTCGTCGTCTTCGACCAGGGCTTTGATGTCTGTACTCTTGTTAGAATCTATGTATCCTCTAACTGCAGATGCACTGTAATAAGTGTAATTGATACCCTCGTAAACATCCTTGATCTGTATCATAAGATGGTTAGCATAGGAACAGAACAGATCACCGGGTGATCCGAGGGTTCCTGCTCACCTCGCCGGGCGGTGCATCGGTCAAGAATGCAGAGGCCGCGTTTATCTTTGCTGAGACCGACATTGTCTTTGTCTGTCTGTCTGTTTATCAGTAAGTAGTTGTCTGTATCTCTGTCTGCTCTGTCTGTGGTGTTTGTGGTTATCTCGGAGGTGTGGTGAGGGCGAGGGTGGCTTAGGGTGCTGCCGCCGTCTCTTTCTTTACTCATAGAATACAACTCTACTACAGTCTACTCTTATAGATGATTATACAAGTTATATAGTTGTATAGATATATGGTTATAGTATAGTGTATAGAATAGAATTTAATAACCTATATGGCTACAATGGCACAACTTGACTCTATCGAGCATACTGCTTCACCCTTACATAACCGCAAGACTGCCAAACTTCTCTGCGTATCCAGGAACATCCCATCTACCCTTCTGGACCATCTCCTTAACCTTCGTCTCGAGCTCCGGCTTGGCCGCAAGCACATCATCGACCGTAAGCTCGCTGAACGGCCGCGCAGACTCGATGTTGTCGAGCGTCTTGATCAGATCCGCAAGCTCGGCCTCGACCTTTGTCTCCGTCGTCTTTGCGTTCTCGAGCGCGGTGGCCTCGAACTTCTCGATCGTCTTGAGCTGCGCAGTCACGTCGTACGTCGTCGGCTTGAACTTCTTGAACGCGCCCTCGATCTCGTCGACGACCTTGGTGTTCTTCAGGACCGAGCGGTAGTACGCAAAGTCAACCGTAGTGGGCTGGCTAGACAGCTCGACAACCTTGCGACGAGCGTCCTCGTTGCGCTTGCGGAACGACTGGAGAGAGCTCACTGTCGCGCCTTTAAGACCGAGCGAGGACGAGACCTTGGCCCAGTCGAGCTTCAAAGCAGCAGAGCGCTGTGTAAACTGTTAGCATGTGTTATATAATCCTCCTCCTCTTCTTCTTCTCCTTCTTCTTCTTCTCCTTCTTCTTCTTCTCCTTCTTCTTCTCCTTCTCTCCTTCTCTTTCATCTCTGTCGAGTGGGTGGTGAGTTCTGATAGAGTCTCGAGAAAGTCGGTCTTAATCCTCCTTATTATCATCGCAGCTCCACCACTCTCACTCAATCAATCAGATCAATCTTGAATCCAGACAATCAGCGAACCTCATCAGATCCTCCGAATGACTGTAGATTCTGATCAATTGTGAGAGATATCATCCATCCTCCTCCCTCCCCCCTCCTCCCTCCTCCCTCCTTCCTTCACCACTCCTCCCCCTCACATCTAAAAACAAAGAACAACTTACACCAACAGCAGACATTCTGGATATATTCTAGTGATAGTCGAGTCGTGGATTAATAGAACCTGTTTCTTCCAATTGCGGATGTGCAGCAACAAGAAACAAATCTGCGTCCCGAATCCTCTTTTTCCTTCCCGCCGCCCGCCGCCCGACCTTCCAGCCAATCCCGGGCCTCTACAAAAAGTCACGTGTATGCAGTCACGTGGATGTAGTCACGTGGAGACAACTGCCGCTTCTGGTATCTTGTTTACTTATTATACATCAACTACTACTTATCCCTTCTGTGAAGGAATCTGTAAATCTTCCTCGCAGGCTCCTCGCCCACCGTCCGCGCAATCTGCCGCTCGCTCATCCCGCACAGCTCCTTCACATTCGTCACATCGACCATCAGCGCCCTGTAATTCTGCGCGTTCACCCCCGGCAGCGCCCGCAGCATCTTCACCGCCGACTGATTCACAATCTGCACCTCGCCCCGGTCCGTCCCTGCCTCAACCGCCGCTCTCAGATCGGGTTCCTCGTGCCCGCGTTTCAGCTCGGCGAAGATCTCGGCGGTCTGGAATGGGCTTGAGGACCAGACTATCCGCAGGTTCGGGAACGCAATCACCAGCATCACCAGCTGCGCGTGCAACTCGGTCGTGTTTTCAAAATCCGCTGTCGTCTCCACTCGGTCCGTAGATGAATTGATCCCCCGTGGTCCTGCTCCTCCTCCTCCTCCTCCTCCCCCTCCCCCTCCCCCTCCCCCTCCAACTGCAGCCCCCCCAAGCGCCTTCGCAAGCGTCCCGGTCTCGTACTCATCCAGCGAAAAACTCTTGCCCTCCTCAAACTCAATCAACAGCACCACAATCCTATAATGCGCGCTCATACTCTCCGTCTGCGCATACAACCTCCCATCTTTAAACGACCCCGCCAGATCAGGCAACGACTTGCGCTCCACGCAGATATCCCGCGCGATAATGTAATCGCCCACCGACAGCATCGCCGGAATCAGCTTCATCTGCCGCGCGTGCAGAAGCGACGGTAGAGATGATCGGAACTCGCGCATGTCGACAATCACTCGCGGTTGCACGCTGCTCACGTCGATCCGGCCGCCGCCTGCTATCCGCGTGTTGATCCGGCTTAGGAATGCTTCTTCGGGTGATGCCAGCTTGTCCACGTCCGTCGAAAGAACCATCGCCATGCTCTGCCGTATGTTAGTCTCGCAAACAAGATAAAATCAACATACAAAACATACCCCTCGCTCCCGTATAATCTTTGAAAAAGCATCCTTCTCCCGTCTAACCGCGCTCAAATACCGCTGCTCCTCAACAGAGTCTCCATAGTACATAAAATACACCTTCAACTCCCGATCCCGATTGACCGCTCTGTAGACCTCGATCCGTCTGATAAACGCTGGATCGGGCTCGTACATGATTATATATCGCGGACTCAACTCTTCCAGTAGCGCGTCGTCCAGATCCTCGTCGTACACATGCACCGTGATTGCGTCGTTGCTGTCCAGCAGGCCGTAATAATCCCCACTTACCTGCTCGCCAATCTCAAACTCATCTTCCTCCTCCTCCTCCTCCTCCTCCTCCTCCGTCCCATTAACAGAAGTAGTGAGCAACCGCACGTCATCTGCCTCGGGATCAACAGCAATCGCCGCCATAGGACCATTAACATTCCTCGACGTCGCGCTCGCAACCGCAGACCCACCTCTTGTCCTCCGTCTTTTATTTGGCGGAGGCCGGCCTCTAAACTCGTTGGTGTTGTTACTCTCTCGTGACGATGGCTGCGGTGTCTGCTGCTTCTCTTGCTCCTGCTGCTGTCGCTGGAACCGATGAAAGTCAGTAATACCTCTCTTCCAGTCAAGGTACCGTCTAAACTCCCTCTCCAGCATCGTCCTCGCCGCTCCTTCTTCCTCTGCTTCCTCCACCTGCTGCTGCGACCACTTTGCTCGTGACGAAAGATACCGCGAGACCTGCGTCATCGTCCGATACTCCGAGCACATGATCAACGTATTCCCCGCCTGGCCTGCGTGCGGGCTCGCAAACAGCTCCGTCGTGATCTCGTCCAGGATCTGGCCTAGCTGCTCCCACTTTGGCTGCTCTTCCAGCACGAGCGAGATTCCCTTTGGCAGCCATGTCGCTGGTGCAGATTCGGTGGTCTCGCTGGCTTTCTTCTGGTCGTGCATGTACACCCGCCTTTTCGCGCGCTCGACAATCACATTAGCCGGGTCCGAATAAAGCCAGTACGTCGTGCTCGACTTTGACTGGCCCATCTCCGCTGCGCTATTCGACACCACCGAATCCAAATACTTCCAGAACGTGACGCAATCCGTCGAGATCAGCATCGCCAGCAACTCTCTCAGCGTCCTAAGATCGTTCAACACGACTTTCGTCCTATGACTAAGCCTGTGTCGAACCGGACTCAGCTGCGCATTCAACCTACCCAAAAAGCTCTCCTGGATCGCGTTCTCGACCGTCCACTCGTCGTCCTCGAGGTCGAGGTACTTGTTTGTGAACTTGCGCAGTTCGCGGATACAGAGCTCGATGCATTCGAGGATCGAGGTCTGGATCTCGCGCATGTACGGCGTCAGCGCGACTTCGATCTCCACCACGTCTTTCCGACGGCGGTGGTGCGCGGCGCCGGTCTCGAGGCTTTCTGCTACTTGCATGTGGAATCTGAGAATCATTAGCCTTCAGTAAGTTTTGAGAAGAGTAGAGTAAGTATACCTAGGCCAGATCGAAGCCTTCTTAACAAAAAGAGTCTTCATAAACTTCGTCAACGGCGCGAATCCCCTCGTAAACGCCTCGGGAACGTCCGAAAACGCATTGATGAACCCATTCTTATTCTTCTCTCTGTACGCGCGAATAATGAACGCCTCCATCGACGTCGGCGTCACGCGCTCGGCATTCAACACCACAATCCCGGAGATCTTGTCGACTGGGATATTATCCGACAAGATATCAACAATCAGAATCCGCGAGGTAATCGCAAACACTCCGCCTTCGCTGTACATCAGCTCGCGCGAGGTGATTGTCGACTGCGCATCAGTCTTGACGATCGTCAACCCCGACCTGCTGCTGCTGCGCTGTTTTCCTCGGCGTTGCGAATCCAGCTCGGCAAGTCCGGTCCCGAGCCATTCTAAATCACGATCGCGCGCGCCGATGACGATGACGAGGTTACTCCCTGCCGCGTTGAACGCGTGGATCAGGTTCGTGACGATCTGCGGCATCGCGAGGCCGCGGGCGAGGATGACGAGCGCATCTTCGCCGATGAGCTCGTCGATGAGGGTTTGTTGGTAGGTGAGCGGAAGGGATAGGTGGACTGCGTCGTCGTCGTCGTCGGGGGGTTCTTGTGTTGAGGACATGGTGGTGGTTGGTGGGGAGGAGAGGTGGTGGTGGTGGACGTAGATCAAATTCGAGGTTGGGAGTTTATTCTTGCTTAAGACCGAGGAGATTATTTGTATTTTTATTACTTGTTCTATTCAATATTTGTTATTTCTACTATTATTGCTATTTATCATCTTAACCACTACTCTTTAATCTCCACACCCTCCACCTTCTCCGCAACCTCATTCGCAGCCTTCTCGGCCTCTCGCTTCTTCTTGGCCTCCATGGCTTCCAAGTACTTTGATCCCAGCACCTTCTCCTTCTTCTTCTCCTTCTTGACGGAGACAGGGGGTGGGTAGGCTTGTTTCGCGAGTTCTTGGAAAGACGGGTCGTTGTTGAACTCTGTGCGGATCGGTTCGAGCAGGGCGTTGAGGGCGTCCGTGATGCCCTGCTTGAGGTCTTGGGGAGAGAGCTGAGATTGTTAGTAAGTGAGTAAAGTGACTAATTAATTTGAAGAAAGGACATACCTTCTCCGCAGCATATGCCTCCTTCAGCTCCTCGATCGATCCGTAGACGACGTCACCGCCGTACTGCTCCGGCCGCTTGATCTCAAACCTGGCAGGCTTATCCGTCAACACGACCGATCCATCAGGCCCGGTCGTGGTCGCGATGCGCGAGATCGGAAACAAGACGTACTCTGCAAACGACAGCAGTCCGTTCCCCTCCACCACACCAGGCGCACAGAACGCGGATGCGATTTTCTTCTTGACGGCCTTTGCGTCGTCGAGCAGGTCGATTTTCGAGTTTGGATCGGACGAGCTCATCTTGCCGCCCTGCGTCAGGCCCGGGACCATTGGGTTCATCAGATGCGCGCGCTTCTTGTATCCAATCGAGGGCAGAAACTCCTCTGCGAGCGTGAAGATCTTGCGCTGGTCCACGCCGCCGAACTGCGCGTCGACGTCGAGATGGGCCTCGTCGAGCGCCTGCATGAGCGGGTAGATCAGGCCCGAGAGCAGCGGCGACTCGACCTGCTTGACGACCTCTGCGCCCGCGCGCTTGGCGTCGTTCATCGACACGATCGACGACATCTTGAAGATATCCATCGTGTATTTTTCCGAGAGCTGGTAGGACGAACCCACGACGAACTCGAGCTTGTCGATCGGCACGCCGATGGAGGTCAGCATGGCCTTGACGATGCGCTCGTAGTACTTTGCGCGGTAGTTGACGAGCTCGAGCGGCGCTTTCATGTTATCCAGGAACGCGTGCAGGTCCGCGAGCAGGACCTTGACGTGACAACCTGCCTGCAAGAAGTGCGCGAGCTTGGTCATGGGCACCCAGTAGCCGCAATGGGGACGGCCGGTGGGTGCGGTGCCCCAGTAGATCTTCAGCGGCCGGTTCTCGACCTCGACCACGTTCTTCACGATCGGAAGGTTGAGGACCTCCTGCAGGCCCTGTGTGATGAGCTCGATTTTTTTGTCTGCGTCCGACATTGTCTGGAGGAGGGGTGGATGAGCAATTCAATATCGCAGACAGATTTGAATCGAGTTGAAGACGAGTTGATACAATGATTTGTATACAAATAGTCTCTGAACATATAAACAGTATATGAACAAGCAGATAAACAGAATACTCACTCAATTACAGCCAAATATATAACAAAAGCCGAACAAAGACCCGATTAAACAGAGCTTTCACTCTTTTTCTCTCTTTAATCTCAGGGGTCAATCGACTGAAGAACATTTCATCCCGCAGCAGCGTATTTCTCAGCACTAACTCAAACCCTCTCGTCCTCGATATCCATCTCATCTCACCTCCATCTACTTCACATATACATATTCAGTCAAGATGGCTCCGGAAAACCCAGACGCCGCGATGCAAATCGAACCCGCGACTACCGCGCCCGCGGCAGAGTACGATCCAAAAACCGCTGATCGAGCCGAGCCGTTTTACGTGCGTTACTACTCTGGCCATGCCGGCAAGTTTGGCCATGAGTTTCTCGGTATGCAATGCTGCTGTTTGATGAGATAGAGAAAGATAAAGATAGGGTGTAGTAGCGACTGACATTGTTCTTTTTGCAGAGTTTGATTTCAGAGTACAAGGAGACGGGCGGAGCGCACTTGCGCGGTATGCGAACAATTCAAATTACAGAAATGATTCCCTGATTCGAAAAGAGAGTATGTTCAGACACTCATATTCTGACCGTTGAATTATATCCACAGACTGGATCTGACTTGTTTAATAGTGTCTGTTAGCGCACTCGTCGTCCAGCAACTAAAGCAAATGATAGTCGACGCCGAAATCATGAAGTATGATCCCAACTCCCCCTCCCTCTCCTCCTCCCCTCCTCACACTAACAACCCCTCCCCACCCACAGAGAAGACGACTCCAAATGGCCAGAAAAGAACGCAGACGGCAAGCAAGAACTCGAGATCAGACTGGGAAACGAGCACATCTCGTTCGAAACCTCGAAAATCGGCTCGCTCAGCGATGTCCAGAAAAGCGACGACCCTGAGGGATTGCGGGTGTTTTACTATCTCGTGCAGGATCTCAAAGCGTTTGTGTTTTCACTTATCGCGCTTCATTTTAAGGTATTTTCTCCTTATTCTGCTTTTTATAGAGTTGTGTGAGTATTAACTTGGGTGTAGATCAAACCAATCCAATAGTCTCTGATCTAGAGCAACCGTAAAAGTGTGTACGATAGAGCAAAATATATACTTGTTATTCATCAATCAGCCTCACTCCCACTATTCTATCCTATGCCACTCCATGTACAGACTCCTTCCCAAAACCACACAAAAAGCAAAGAAAACAGAAGAGAAAACAATAACTTAAGAGTAATAATCTACAATGCAATCTTGGACTTTATATCATAATCCGGCGGCCGCTGCGAAAACACTACCTTCCCATGCTCATTCAACCCCGCTCCGTCCGACGAAATCAACACGTTCGCAAACTTATCCCGCGTCGCCTTAATCTCGTCCTCCGCAATACCCAAGTCATCGTGCGGGATCCAGATCACCGGCGTCTTTGCCCGCAGCGACGAGTGCTTGAACGCCCGATTCACAAGGTACTCGCGCTCCTCGCGCGAAATATCCTCGAGATCCTCGGCCACGCCTTCCAGCAGCATCGCGTCCGCAGAGTTTCGCAGAATCTCAGCCTCCACCTGCGCCTGATCGTTGCCGGTATATATCAGCCCCGTCACATTGTTAAGCCCCAACCTCCCCGCGGCATCTCCAATGTGCGCTCCGATATGTGATCCCACGTTCCCCACAATCTGACCGACTTGTCCGACCGGTGTGGCCGTGCCCAGCGTCGTGATCGGCTTCTTGAACGATCTAAACATCTGCGCGATAGGCGACTCGATCACCGGCGCGCCCATGTCGGCGTCATACGTGCCGTCCGCTTTCGACGCCTTGAACCGTTTCGAGTCCACGCCCGCAATCTGCAGATACTCCTCGTCGTTATCGGACGACGACGAAGAACCTTGCGTCTGGAGCTCGAGCTCGGAAGCTACTTCTTCATCGAACCGCTTCTTCAGATCCGCCTTGGGCAGGCCGGCTGCAGGCTGCTCGCTGCTGATCGACCGGTACCCCTTCTGCGGCGACGAACCAAGCAGCGGGGCAGTAGCGCCGCTTGCGACCTGGTGATCGTCTTCGTCTTGGTTATGGCTCTGCAGCCAGGCTCTGAACGCTAGCCGCGCACGGCCCTCGAGCGAGACGGGGAGGTAGGTGAGCAACGGGCCGAATGACCGGTTGAGGATGTACTGGTATCCGAACGTGATGAAGAGCACGACAATCATGATGATTGCCTGCGCCGTGCACGTGGCTTCTTCCATCTCGTTGCGCACGAGGAAGAAAAGTCCGATAAGGCAGAGTTCCATCACGTAGATTCCCGTAAAGAGATGGTTGATCGCCCTGGGGAAGTACAAACCAGAGGAATCAATAGGGTTGTACGTGCAGTAAATAAACTGGTACCGATACGCGATATAAAACAGCGTGAACGCAATCAAACACATCGGCATGATCAGTGGCGCGATAATCGTATACACAACGCCAATCGCTCCCAGGTTGGTGTAGATCGGATAGAACGTACCCCATCGGACAGGCTCGAGCTGCGTGATGCGATGGAACTTCTGCCGCGCAGTCTTATCCAGCACCGGTCCTACAATCTTCATCATCACCAACGGACCCACGCGCAGCAACGCCGCAGCGCTGATAGTCAAGCCTTGAAGGATGAGGTAGGAAAAGAAGAAGTTTGCGGCTTTGGGGAGATTCTGCGCCAGAAGCTGGGGGACCGAGGTCGGATGCGACGTGAGGTCTTGGATGACTGTCGTGACTGAGCTCGAGATTGTGATGACCAGAAAGACTTGAACAAAGAGGAACGCAAAGTACGATGACTGCACTGTCAATTCAGATTGTACACCAGTTGAGTTTCCGCGAAGAAGAGCAAACACTAAACTTTATGTTAAATAACGATCTCTCGAATAAATGTTCTCACAGAAATTGATCATACCTCTCAATATGATGGGCAAAACAGCCATAAGAGCCGCAAGTGCGGCAGGTGGAAGGATACCAGCAATAATACCCTTGATCGCAGCCGGCAGATCGTTCAAGAAATCCAAGAACGGCAGCGCCGAGGTCAAATAGCTCAGCTGCGAGATGATACCCACAAACGCGACCGGAAACGCCCAGCCAACGACAAGAGCGCAGGTCGTCAGGAAAACACCAGTCGTTCGCAGTTGCGACTCCCACCATTTGATGCGCATATTGGACCAGATGATGTCGTTCGGGTTGATCTCTACTATGCGCGGAGCCATGTACTGCGCCGACTCGGAGGCCAAGGACTGACACGCCATGTGCGCCGCGATCTGGTTGTTGAACTGGATAAAGCACGAGTGCATGTGCTTGTAAACCGTCTCGTCTTGCTGCATATCCGCAATCTCGAGATTGAGCTGCTCGAGCTGGTCGCGCGCCCAGTCGATCGTGTCGACTTTGTACGATAGACCGGGGAGAGGGAGCGCGGGGAGCCAGGAGACCTTCGACACGCGATGACGCGGTCTGTGTTTTGGCTTGATGTACTTCTTCCAAGCTGCGTCTTCGTTGCTTTGAGATGACAGGGGCTGGCTCGCAGTCACCTGAGAATCGATCGACGTCGTGCGGTCCATGCTTGCAGTTTCCGCAACGTCGCTTTGGTTTTGCTCGTCGTCACTTGCCAGTGCAGAGGTAGCGGTCTTTGCCTTCTTCTGCTGTTGCTTGTTGTACGCCTTTACGCACTTTTGGATCAGCTCGGTTTCGGCCGCCTCAAGCTTGTCAGCGGCTGCGTTGCGCAGGTTGATCTTGTCCTGAAGAGGCTGCATGTTGCGATTAATCCAGACGTTACGCACGCCACCTGGGAAAACAGAAAACACGGTCGCGATGCGCTGGACGTCCAACAGCTTCTCGGGCACGGCGCGGATCAAAACTGTTGTCGCCGAGGCGCGCAGGCGGTGGGTGGGCGAGATCAGGTAGTCCTGACGCATACGGACGTAGGCCGATAGTTCGTGGTGAAAGACAGCGCAGAGGAAGATAATAAACAACACCGCGAGAACGAGATGGGCCCAGTATCGCTGCGTGTCCGTGGCGCCGACGTTGACCCACGCGAGCTTGTCGAGGCCGGTAGCCGATCCTGAAGAAGTGTTTGCAGAGTTGACGGGGAGCAAGACCGGAAGGACGACGATCGAGGCGGTGAAGAAAATAAAAATGAGCATGGAGAGGTAGCGCATGAAGAAGTATGCGTCCAGGCCGCATTTCTTGATGAACTCGTTCTCGGGCATGAACAAGGTGGGAAACAGCCAGTCGATAAGACCGCGTCCGACGGGAGGCACGCGCTGTCTCCGCGGCACGGCGTACGTCTTGGGCTCATACACACGACGCAGACGTTTTCTCAACACTGCAAAAAGCCAGAGTTCGACCCCAAAGACAATGAGCGATGCGGTGATGGAAGAAACAAAGGTCGACAGCGACTGGCCGTACTGCTGCTGCGCCGATCCCGCCGTGCCGTCGACGGTCGAGGACGAAGCTGCTGCAGCCGACGACGTCGCTGTCGCCGCTGAAGATGTGAAAGATGTCCAGGTCGAGGACATTTTTGCGAGTTTTGGAGGAAAAGAAGAGAAGACGAGCGGAAGCTGGAAAAATGGCGAAAAGACGAAAGGCTGATGCCGTGTAAGCCACCGCCGCGCCACGGGCGCCACAGATTACGTCATGGCGTCGACCCGTCTTTCTCGAATTTGTGGTTTGTAGAGAAGAGAAAAGAGGATTAATGGATTTGGGCAGTGTGTTTGAGTGTATTCCTATTGAATATCGTGCTTAAAACAGAAAGTAGCAGGGCCGGCGCTCGTGGGAAGCGGTGATGGCGATTTGCAGAGTTCAGAGCCTAATTCTCCTGCACCAGCTCATCTTCACCGGTTTTCTGCAGCTCAGCAGAAGAAACAGAGTGAATCAGCTGTTGATGAAGCAGATATCAGCAATGTGATCCTACTGAAGTCTTTAGAAACATTTGAAGATCTCTCGACTGGCTCACACGCGCAGAAGCAGGAATAACAATGCGAAACCCAATCTACCCGATAAGCTGATAAGCTCTGCGATAGCCTTTCTATTACAACATATCAACATATCCACATATTCAACTTAGCATATATATACACCTACACTCTCTTTGGAAACCACACCTCCTTTGCATTCTTAAACAGCCCGCCACGGTCGTAGATATTCACGACCGCATACAGCCCCGGCACAGTCGCAGTCTTGACCATGCCCGCCGGCGGCAACCGATTGAACGAGCCATCATCGTAGGCGTAGATATGCACTTTCCTGCCCTGGTTCTCGGGCTTCGGTCTCGCGCTCTGCAAAGCCTGCAGCCGCGGATGCAGCGCTCTCGTCTCGCTATCTGACCCGCTTCCGGACGCACTGCTGCCGTCCTCCGAACTATCCTCGTCCTCTCTGTTTTCGTACACCTCGAGCATTCCGTTATTAGCCACCCACTGCACCTCGCTCCATTTCTCGCTCTCGTTCGTCGTCATTCCCTGATGTATGTACAGAATGTGCTGGGCCAGGAACGCAATCACGAGCGGACTCACGAGCGTCGAAATCATACATAGCGACGTCACCGTCGCCGTCCAGCTGCGCGAGTGGATCAGAAGGATCCAGAAGCGGTAGTTGGCCCAGTAGTATTTCGGAGCAGAATCTGTTCCGTCGGGGAAATGCTGCGCTTTGTACTCGTTGAAGAGAACCATGAATGTGAGGTAGGAGCCGTATATCAGCACACCTAGGTTACTAACCAGAAAGCCTAGAAAGAAGCGATAGTTGTAGTATCCCACGCAGTTATTAATCCACGCACCTAAAGATCTGTCAGCCCCTATCCACCCGTCCTGTCGAGTTCAAAAAAAAGCTCACAGTGATGATCGTTCTTCGCTATACAGCCTTTACAAACACTACAGTGCTTACTCCTCGCCGGTTTCTTAAAGTGACAGGTCCGGCACTCTGCGCTATCAGAGTAGAAAATGATATCATCGTACGGAAACAGCTCGAGATATCTCGCAAGGTTTGCCTTTGTGATTGTGCCGGGGTCTGTGAATGCCGAGAGGTAGAGATAAAAGTAGGGCTGGAATGCGACCATGGGGATTATCAGGCGGTGAAGCGGGTTGTAGATTCGTGGCCAGGCATCTTTAAAGAAGAAGAAAAGAGAGACTGTTAAAACAGTGCTGTAGAAGATCTGTTCATTATTCGAGTTAGTATGTGGTCGGTCATCAGAGAACCTCAGGTCATTAAATAATAGCACATACAGCAACAGCCCAATTCTTGTCGTTAACGAGATAATCCGCCCATTTAGAAGACGCAGCGTATAATTTCCCACCCGTCAACTTTCTATCAATTGCCACAAACTTCGCCGGAATCGTTTTCCATAGCAAGATGTGCGCTTTGCCGACTATCGTTCCTCTAGATGATAAGGGAGGTTAGTGCGTGCGCTGTAGAGCAGTCAGATGATGTAGCAGTCGATATCACGAACTTGAATGCAGGCAGTCGGCCGAATAGAACGATGAATACTAATGTCGAGAATATGACGATGAAGGCGACGACATAGTGAAGTATCGACAGCTTCATGGTCGGTAATTATATAGAAATTGATCGTAGCAAGTGCCTCCCAACCGCGCTATACCATGCAGAAGACCGGGATTGAGTAGTATAGTAATAATTCAGCAAAATATATCTGAATAGGTATCAGCCCAGTATCAACCAATTGACGACAAATTGACGGTAAATATGGACCAAAACCACACGTAAATACTCAACAAGGTCGAAGTAACTGTACGCAAACCCAAAACCAAACGAGAAGAAATCTCCCACCGCCTCTGCTCATCACCAACCCGTAAAACACCCACAAAACACCCACAATCGCCATGTTCACCTCCACGCATCTCAGATCACCAGTCTGCAAGGCCAGCTCGACTATTCTCAACTCAGCCAGGCTCTACCACGCTGTTTCGCATCTTCCGCCCTCGCCGTACACTCCCGCGCAGGCTCGAATCCTCTCTTCCGCACTCACCCACGTCCCCGAACACGGCTTCGTCAAGGACGCGCTCGTGCTCGGGTGCCGCGATCAGGGATATCTTGACTCTACTCACGCGGTTTTCCACAACGGAGTCTTTGATCTGATCCAGTACCATCTCTACAGCGAGCGGACGAAGCTTGCGCAGCACAAGGACAAGATCGATGCCGAGACCAATGACCTCCACGAAAGAGTCAAGCGGTACTGCGTCGAGCGTCTGAAAGCCAATGCGCCTGTTATCAAGCGTCTACCTGAGGTATCTATATACATTGTACTCACTTACAGCGCTCGCCGTTGCTAACTGACCATAGGCACTGGCTGTCATGGGACTCCCGCCAAACGTTCCTGCCTCGCTAGAAGAGCTGGCCAAACTTGCAGACGAGATCTGGTACCTGGCCGGCGACAAGTCGTCGACTTTTGACTGGTACACTCGACGGGCCTCATTGTCTGCTGTTTACTCCGCAACTGGTGCGTCTACTACTTCTCCCCTGTTCATCAGTTCTTCAAATATCAATTTCTAACACTGCTTTAGAGCTTTACATGACTCAGGATAACTCGACAGACTTTAAGAATACCTGGGAATTCCTCGACCGCCGCTTAGAAAACGTGGCGCATCTCAAATCTACTCTCGGCAGCTCCTCCACCTGGATCGCTTTCACCGGCATGGCGAGCATAAACTTGCTACGATCTCAATTGGCTCGCGGGTAAACTCACCATACAGCTCACTAGACAGAGCATACATGTAAATAGGTATATACTAAGTGGATCATGGAAATCGGTATGAATTGATATCGTAATGTACAAGTAGATAAAAATGACAAGCGCACTATACATTAAAAATGATGCCTACACCTCGACCATGAATATTCAATGCTTATTTACTTTTTACCCCCCGACCCTTTCTTCGGCCCGCCTTCAAACCCAGGCCGTTTCTTCTTCTTCTTCAGACCCGAAGACTTTGACTTCTTCTTCGATCCGCCCTTTGCTTTCTGTTCTCTCCTTGCCGCGATGTTTTCCTCTCTCTTCTTTTGCCGCGCTAGAATTCCCTTTTGCACATTCTCCTCGCGCTCTTTCCATTCCCTCGCCGATTTCTTCTTCTGCTTAAACTGCTTCTTTAGCGATTTCTTCAGCAGCACCTCGTCATCACGCACTTTCTCTCCCTCCGCTTGCTTGATCGCACGCTTCCACTTCTCCTTCTCTTCGATCGTCCTCCGCTTCTCTTCGTCCATGCTCGCGATCCGCGCTTTCTTCGCCTCGACGTGCTTCAGCTGTCCTAGCAGATCCGAAGGTCCTTTCTTGCGCTTCTTCGGCTTGATTTCACCCGCGGCAGAAACTTCATCGCCGGTGTCCAGCAAGACTTTTGAAAACATCGCGCCAGATGTGTCGATGTCTTCCTCCACCTTCGGAGCTTTGCTCACAGCCACAACACTCTCTTCCTTCTTGACCAGATCAGTCGACCCTTCCTCTTCACTAGCCCGCTTCCGCTTCAACGCCTCCTTCTCCTTCCGATGCGCCTCCTTCGCCTGTCTCGCTTTCAGTATCTGATCCCGACTAAGCGGCGCCCCCGGTGTCCCGCTCCCCGGCGCCTTCCGCTGCGCGCGGAGATTCTTGATCTTCTGCGCAAGTCGCTCGCGTAGTTCGTCGATGCTGGGCGAGGATTTCGATGGCGATTGCGTTGCGTCGGCGTGCGAAGTCGTCGGCTGTTTGCTGGACAAGGTAGGTTCTGAATGACCATTCTCTTGCTTCTTCGGTGTCGACGCATCTTCCTCATCGTCGTCTATATCCTCGAAATCCGAGCTTCGTTCATCATGTCCATTCTCCTCGTCGTCGTTGACTGCACCATCCCCATCCTTCTCCTCCTCCTCCACCTTACTTATCCCATTCTTCTTCACCGCTGCCGTAGTAGAGCCATTAACTGCCTGCTTCTTGCTTCCAGCCGGCAATGCTTTCCCGCCCTTTATAAATTTCGCGCTCCGAGCCATGATTGACCGTACCCGTCGCGCTCTTCTTTCTTTCTTTTCTCTTTCCTTACTCCGCGTAAGAAACCTTTCTCAGAGTAACTGCTACTACTTCCTTCTTCTTTCCTCTCTCAAGATTCTATACTGAGAAGAATTCACCGCAGCAATTCAGGAAAACAAGAAAAGACAGAGCAACCAAAAGAAACGAGTAAACCGGGTCTTGATTCAAATTCGCAGAAAGTCTCGCAGGATTTTCTTTTAAAGTTTTTCCTTTTTGCTTTCTTTTCCCAATAACTTTGTTGAAAGTCCCAACTTATGTAATGCAGCTCATTTAGATTAGTAATCGTATATTCTCAGTAGTAACTAGAGATCTGTATATAGAGTAGAGTAGAATCGACAAACGCCCTCATGATCAATGACAAAACAAAGCAGACAAATTGTAGAACAGAAAGGAACAACACAACACCTCACATACTCTGCCATCCACCAACATCGACTCCAGCCTCGATCCTGCGCGCAATCTGCGACGCGAACCCGTTCTGCAGCCATACGTTTCTGATTAAATGGTCGTATCTCTTCTGCGATAGGAAGAGTGGACGGCCGCGTCTGTATTAAAGTGTATATTGTTAGAAAAGGAGATTGGCGGAAGGAGAAAACAGGGTACTCACTTTAGATACTGGTCGACTTCGCCGTGGACATCGAGATATGGCGCCGGTGCAAACATGCCTTGATTTCGGCGCAGGTACAAGATCGAGGACTTTTTGATCAGTAAAAACACGCCAAAGTACTTTGCGCATCTAAATCAAAAGAATAGTTAGCACACATTCTGCAACAGCACAAACAAGTTTGTAATCAATACTTTTCCATATGCTGATTACACTCGCCGCACTCCTTCGACCGACAGCAATACTCCTGACAACACACCAACTCGCCACAAAACAGACACACCGCAGGCTCTCCAGGACTATTCCCGCAGTTCTTGCACTTCATCCGACCAATCTCCTGGAAGAACGCATGCAAGCTCAGCGGAAGTCTCAGCAGCCGCAGTATTCCCGGATACTCAAGCGTCATGCGCACAGACTGCAGCGACTGCGGACGTCGGTTAGTCAGCTCCAAGTGCCGGCACCAGCGCGTAATCACATCCTTCACGCGCACGTTCTGCTCGAGATCGCAGCGGTTCAGCGACGCAAAAATCTCGTCGATCGTAGGCAGCTTGAGCAAGCTTAGCAATCTTGCCGTCTCGTCGCCGTCGATGTCGAGCAGCGCGTCGCCGTTGTACTCCATCGGCGAACTGGTATAGGCCAGCAGCGCGGCCTTGCGCAGGAACGGAAGCGTGAATCGGTTGATCATCGTGTAGATCGCGGCGCCGGGGAAGACCACGAACGGGCTTCCTCGGAGGTTCTCGGGGTCGTCGCCGCAGTTCGCCAGCACAAAACACAGGAAAATATTCATATTCTTCAACGTAGACTGCGGAAGTCTCTCCTCCGATCCCAGAGCCTGGATCTCGGGTAAATGAATCCACTCCCGATCTCTGTAGATCTGATCGCCGAGGTGATAAATGACCTTGACGACCTGCGCGATGTAGCATAGCGTCATGATATTATGCAAATCCGCTCCCCCCATCGCAGGGATCATTATGATTGAAGAATCCGCCAAGAATCCAAAAATGTCCTCCATCAGCAACGGATAGACAATATCTGGACTCGACACCGAGTTCTTGTCGTACATGCACTCTTGTCCGAAAAACAGCTTTCCAATCTGCTGGTTGAGCGCCATGCTATACGCCGCTCTGACCTCGTGGAATGACTTGTCTTCCTGGATACTGAACGAGGCTACTTGAAGCGCGTAGGCGCGCAGCGTTCGCAGTAGCGTCATCGTGCGCTGAGGAACTTGATCGAGTATACACGCGCCGACGTCCAATCCACTTCCAGCGCCATTCGCGCCGCGGAGATAGATCTCTGCCGACGAGATGGTAGCAGAGTACGTATTCAACAGCCGCTGCAGCAGCGACCTCTCTCGGATCACCTCCAATCCGCCACAGACCCGCGGGAATCGGTCAAGAACTTTGGCGTTGTCCGAATTAATCTTCGCCAGCGTCTCGAGCTCACGACTCATACCCCTGCGGTCCTCGATCGACATGAACGCACCCGGAAAATGAGGGCCAGGCGGGATCATCGCTTTCTGGTAGTGCACCTGCGACATGTTGTGCAGCGCCGACGCGCGGATGTTTCGGACAACCATATCGCTCAATGGTGCAGCGCCCGCACGCCCGCCTTCGCTGCATACCTTCATATTCGTGATTGTCTTCCACACGTCGCCCGCGAACCATTCCGAAAACTCGGCGCCGTCGCTCAGTTCCTTTGTGAGCGACTGATCCAGATTCTTGTACAGCAGAGGGAAGAAAGCGTTGTTTAGAGATTTGCAGAGCGGGCATAGAAACTCATTCATGCTGGTGTCCTCCGGAGGATTCCGCGTGATCTGCCCGCGATGACGAGTTTGAATCTCATCCTTGTAATCCTGCAGACACGTCAGATGAATGATATGTCCACAGCTAACAACAACCGGCTCCATTATCACCGACTCGTTCGGAAATCCTTTCCCGATCGAGTTGTCAGACTTTGGATCTTTACTCTGAGGCGGGAACGATGCCGCAGGCGTTAAACTCGGACGGTCAAGCTCGGCTTCATCTGCATTCAAACCGTCGACCATCATCTCGTTTGAATCAAACGGCATCTGACGAAACACATTCGACTCTGTAAACAAGCCAATCGTACCATACAGCTGACTATCGTTCGTCGGTTTCCGGCACAGAATGCATCCTCCCGAGGGAAACTTCCACGACTCGCCATTGCCATCTTCCATCATATCATCATCGCTAGCATCTTCCTCCTCTTCGATATCGTCCTTATTCTGATCCGCAAAGCTCTGCTGCTTCTGCTTGAATTCAGCCAGAATCTTCGCCTGCCGCTCCTTTGCCAACCTCTTCTTCTTCTCAGCCTCGGTTTCTTCGTCCTCGCCGGCTTCGTTCATCTCAACATCGTTGGGCTCGCCAGGCTCAACAGACTCGGTGAAGGACTCTAAACTCTGCCGGTACGCGCTAGGTTCGTTCGTCTTGATAATCTGGATAATCCTCTCGGCCACAAGCGAGCTCTGGCCAAACTCAGACTTGGCCTTCTTGATGTAAAACAGTATTTCCAAAATCGTCTGGCAGATCCCATCAACCGGCGCCAAATCCTTGGTCACAAGCTCGCACGCATTGTAGCTAAACGTCCGCAGTGATCGCGCGGGGTCCGGCGCCGCAATCTGATCCTCGAGCACAGCGACATGGCAAAGATAAAGCGTGAGCGTGAGCAACGACTCTGCGAGCGACGGCGCATGCGACAGTCTCTTGAAAGCCACGTTACCCAACGTGACGTAAATCATCTGGGCAAACTCCGGAGTACCCACGATCCAGCCCAAGCGAGTGAACGGACCCGACGTGATCGGTACCAGACGCGGTTCAACCACAATCTGATCAACGGGGACCTTACTCTTCTTGTGCATCACCTTCTTAATCGCCGTCTCGGCTTCGTCCCACTGCGTAGCTGTATAATGGAAGAAATACGGGTCCACTTGGTCAAAGTACTCATCCTTGAGCTCGTAAAGGCCGACGTCGTTCACGCCCTCGGGAGCTTTATGAATAGCTGTCTCGCGGAGGATATTTTCGAATTGCTCATCGGCAGTCAAGTACTCGGGGACTTTCTTCACCAGATCGGAAAACGGCATGGGCTCGATACATAGCGCCTGCACAATCTCACGGCGGATCAGCGCCGCGTTGAGCTCCAGACCTCGAAGACCGATCAACCGCTTGCGTTCACAAAGAAGGACAATCATGCCGTGCAGAAACTCTTCCATGACCGCTAGGTGCTTTACTTCGTCAAACACGTTGTGGGAAACAGACCCTTTAAGCCACCCCATGAGACTCCAGCGGTCGATAATCGTCAGCATGACGGCCGATGGTTCACACGTAGTCATCAGCGTTTGCACACCAAATATATCCCGTGCGTAACCGTTCTCGCGCATGGTAGTATCGCGATAATGAAGTTCATGCGTACGCAGAGTATATCCGTTCCGCACCCAAAGCCCTGCTCTGATCTGCGCCACAACGACCAGAGTGCGCAGGGGATAGTCAAGCATAAGCCGGAGCATCTCTTCCGGTTCGTAATCAACCGCGCGTCCGGGCATCGGCGGATCCAGCAGCGCAAAACTCATGAGCGACTTTAGTTTCTCTGGGCTCTCCGCGTGGCCAAACTCGATGAACCAAGTCAGGAACGAGTGTAGTGGGTGGTGCATGCTCAGAATGTAAAACTCAACCGGGAATCTGACGATGTTGTATGCTTCCGTACTAAAATCGTCGCACCCGCACCAGTCAAATTTAGGCTCATCCGCAACTTCATTGCTAGGGAAGCGATCCCGCATATACCCCAACGCCCACGCCGTGAGAATCCGAGCAATCGACCGGATAGACTGCTGCGACGAGGCAGGCGACCCCTCGCTGCAGCCGCTCGCAATCAACCTCGCGAGTTTCGACAACGGCGTCAGGATATGGAAGGACGAGATCCATTCTGTCGACTCATACTCGACGTGCTCGTTGATCTGACGGATGAACGGCGCCGATCCTTCGAGTAGGAGGAGGATATCTGCTACCTGACGCACTTTGTTGTTGTCGCAGGATATGCGTTGCTTGACCAAGTTACGCGAAATGATATGCTCTAACTCGCTATAGACGTGATAAACCCTGCTATTCTTCAACGTGCTTCTATCGACCGGCACACAGGTCAAAAAGTCAACCGACGACGGCGATCCGACTTTTCCTTTTGTGAGCAGAGTGTAAATGATTGCGGCAAACACGGGGAAATAAAGCCTGGCGACCTCGGTTGCGATCGTGGGACATGTGTATAGTTGCGTAGCTAGCTGCATTATGCTGTATTCAGGCTCTCGATCTGCCAGGACGAACTGCTCGACCAAATCGGGATATGCGTCGGCGTAGTGCATGCCGAGCGTCATTTTGTAGTCGAGGTTTGATATCATCGTGGCCATAAGCAGATCTCGAATACACACCCGGGCTTTCTTCCAAAACCGCATGTCAAAGATCATGAGATAGTCTAGCCTGAGCCGGTGCGACTGGTCGGGTGGGATGTACTTTGAGTTCATCATTTGCCATTCGGTGTTGTTGGCCGCCTCGCGCGCCGCCAGCTCAACCGTCGGATCGTCCTCTGCGGTCTCGGTCCAGTAGTTTGGTGCTTGCGTGGCTACAGGTGTGCCGGCCCTCACCGATTGCTGGACTGAGCTTTCGAACCCGGGAACATGTACTGCACCGCCGGCAGTATTGAAAGCACCGGCAACCATATGCAGATCGTCGTCGCTGTCTTCGAGGTGGTCGGCGATGGGATACAGCGTTTGGTGGATTCTGGTAGCTGTAGATCCGACTCTCCACGGTTGACAGAGCGCTTCGCAGACGGCGTCTCTGAGAACAAAATCATGGCCCTCGAGACTAGACATTGAGATATCTTTGAGAAAGTCAAGCATGGTCCCACACATATCTTCACGAAAGGTATCGCGCATCGACCGTATACTACCAGCTAACGCGATCGACTCGAACTTTGACAGCACGGCGATCAACCTCTTCAAGTCACTGGACGTGCTGACAGTCGTTCGGCCGATGGTGTCAACCTCTGTACTGATGAATTTGCCATACTCGGTCCCCCTTCTCGTCGCGCGCGCCACCGTTTCAATCACGGCGTCGAACGCGTGCTTTTCGTCGTTCCAAAGAACAAGCGCGTATTGGCCGTTATGCTTGTCGACACCGTCGCCGCCGTAGACTGATGGCAGGAGCGAGAAACTCTGACAATCGGCTTCAATAGCCGTCTCGTCTTTACAGTCCTGGTAACTTTGCGGGGCGCAAGAGAAGACGTCGAGGATGTAATCGAGAACGCGCGCAATTGTACCTTTTATGCAATCGATAAGGTCTTCTGGAAGTGGCTGTGAGGGTTGCGAGTAGGACTGGAAGTACTGGCAGGTAACCTGACGTTTCCAGGCCTCGGGGTCGCCGCAGTCGCAAACTCCGCCGTCGTCTTTCTGGGAGATCGAGACGGTTACCTGGTGGCCAACATGGTCTGAAGAGTTGAAACATTGCCAGCACAACACACAGGTCTCGTCGACAGCACAGTCCCTAGCGCAGGTTAGCAAGTGCCAAATTGTAAAAAGCAATATCTGGAGAGATGAATGACGTACTTGCACTTGTATGTAGGCTCGCCTTTCTCAAACTGATGCATACAGGGCCGTCCTCTATGCGACGGATCCAAATCACTAGAATGCATCCGCCAGGGCACCGACATGGACGGCATGCCGTGCGGGAAGAAGTACGAGCTGTACTTTTCGTTTGCCGAAATTGACAAGAAAAGCGCCCGCAGCAGCGCCCGCTCGCTGTCTGCGGAATAGAGGTAGTTATACCTCGAGGGCATTTCTAGCAATGTCCGGCAGAGGGCGGCGTCATCGTACTTCATCTGGGCCAGGGTGGTGGGGGAATCAGGGTGTTCTGTAGGACTTTTGTAAGCAGATTATCTCGAGCCGCGACGAGCACTCCGAGAGTAAGACTGACCTTGTACTAAGTTTACTAGACAATTCTAGTAGCAAAGCAGTATTGTCCTGTATTCAGTACGAATACTATCTGCAATTCAACAAATGTTAGCACCCGATATGCTCTCCACCAAACTTATCGAGCACGACGCACGTACAGATCTCACACGTATACCGCTCAAGATTTGCAGCACAAACCAGGCCAAATCAACCAATTAACAAAAACAACTAAAATATCGAGCGCGAGTACCAGAAGTGCGCTGTGGTCGAGAGATATTCTGCTGATTTGGAATTCGGTCTGGTTTGAAATCAGTCAGTCCCCGATGGCGACTTCTTTTGAGGGTTTGGGTTTGCTGCGAGTGATACCTGACATCAACTGCGATGAGATATAGTCAACTATCTGTGTTTACTATAGTTTACTGTTGTTTACTGTTCTTTATTTGTATTTTCAATTAGATGATATCACAATGTTAAAAAAGATCTGACACTAATTGCGCAAGACAATTCTCGCGCCACACTTTCCCAACACTCCCGGCGCAAACGACGGCCTGGGATTACTGTTTCTTGCCCTGTTCCTGCCCGAGTCGCTACTCCTAGCTCTCTCCTTGCGAACGTTCTTGTGGGCATCCTGGCGGATACCCGATCTAGGCATTGTCGCGTTGTTACTCTTCTGGAATGTTTGTGATGAGTGCTGCGAGTTTTGCGAGTATTGACGGTTATAGTCCGACGATGCTTTGGACGAGCTGACTGGGTCGAAATGCGAGCTCTTGAGGACATAGTGCTGGGGGATCCTTGCTGTTTTCTTACGCAGAATGCGCTGCTGCTCGTCACTGATCCGGATCGGGACCGGTTCTGCTACCTTTTCGCACTCCGGCGTGACCACGGTGGTGGTGATGACTGTGATCTGACCCGGGGCCTCTGAAGAGGAATTTGAGTCTTCGTTTCCAACTAGAGGATGCGGCGATACCGGAGGAGTCAGGATTGCAGGGACAGTTTTACTCTGTGGGAAAATCTGTACACTGTCTGCCGAGTCAGAAGGCGTCAAGGACCGGCAGTCTAAGGTGAGACTTTTGGGCGGGGAAGGCGAGCAGCGTGCCGAATGAGCCTTCTCAGCGTGGTATGCGACAACACGTGAATGCGCAGGCGTTGTCTTTTCCAACCGTCTAGATCCGGTTACGGCGGAGTAATCAAAGGGCAAGAAGTGGGTCTCGATCAGGGCGTACTGCTCCTCGTCCTTTTTCTCGACATAACTGGGGAATAAAAGCCTGCTTCGCTTGTCCGACCGGTTCTCATATTGCAAGCCCCGGTCATCGGCCAACAGAAGCTCTTCCACTTCATATGTCTTGTCATAGTTCAAGGTGTCACTCGAAGGCACAAACACCGGCTTGAAGATTTTCTTTTCAAGGCCCTCGCGAGTATACTTTCCAAAAAACGGTTCCTCGAAAAAGGTCGCTAAGCCCGTGGCTCCAAGCCGTGCGCTCGGATCGGCGGTCAGCAGTTTTTTCATCGTCTGCAAAGCATCGACCGACACCGGCGGACTCGTTTCGGGATACGCCGGCCTCGCGCTCCTGATTTGCTCCACGAGTTTTTCGCGGTGCTTTGACGGGAACGGTTTTGTGGAGTATATGCATTCGTACAGGACGACGCCTAGGGCCCACCAGTCGATGGCAGTGCCGTACCCCGAGCCCTCGTAGACTTCGGGGGCAAGGTATGCGACAGTTCCGGAGAGGCCAATGAGAGGCGGGGAGGAGGTGGAAGATGACTGCGATGAAGAACCCGAGCTGCTAGAAGAGGAGGAAGTCGAGTTTGCGTCGGATTTGCGCGACGGCACACGGATGGCGACGTTAAAGTCTGCGAGGGAGACATGGCCGTCGGCGTCGAAGAGGACGTTTTCGGGCTTGACGTCGCGGTGGGCGACGCCCCGTTCATGGATATACTCTATAGCGCAGGCGAGTTCAGCGATGACGAAGCTGATGGCGTTCTCGGTGAAAGTCTGGCGACTGAGATGGAAGCGCAGGTCGCCGCCGGTTTTGAGGTCGACGACGAGAAAGAGGTGGTCGGAGGACAGGAAGGCGTAGCGCAGGCCGCAAATGAAGGGATGGCGGAGCTGGGCGAGGATCTTGCGCTCGCGGACTATGTTCATTGCATTTCCTGCTTTGGCGACTGCGGGGGTTAGGAGAGGCAGGGGAGAGGTGAGGGGGAAGGAAGGGTGCTTACTCTGCTCTTTGCTGAAGTATTTGAGGGCGTAGAGCTTGCCGGACTGTTTGTGTTTGACTATTCTGACCTTTCCAAAGGTGCCGCGCCCGACGAAGCCGAGGAGGATGAATGAGTTGAGGGAGACTGGGAGGTGTTAGTGGTGATGGTGCAGATGAGAGGAGTAAGAACAGAAGGCGAACACTGACCACTGTCCGATGAACAGGGAAGCTGTTTTGTGGAGGAGTTGGAGTTGCCCATGGTGGACGTGTGATGAGGAAGAGATGCGTATGCGAAGAGATGAAGAGATGAGATGACGGAGATGCAGAAGAAGAAGAAGAAGAAGAAGAAGAAGAAGAAGAAGAAGAAGAAGAAGAAGAAGAAGCAGAACAACGACTCTACGACCAACTCAGAGTATCAACCAACGACGAACCTCTCAACGCCCTTCAGACCAGCGCGGGACCCCAGCGGAAGGGATGGGCAGCCATAAATACAAAGCTCCGGGCGGTTGGCAGATGGGGCTCGCCAAGCGCACGGGCCGAGCCACGTGGAATCTTGTGGCTGCCACGAGGCCCATGCGCCGCATCGCACCGCCACAGGCCCGAGCCGGAGCCCCATTTCCTGCTCCTGCTCGCCTCTTATTGTTGTCCGCTGTGTAATTATCAACTATATTGACGTACATACTAGCTACTCCTTGTCTGCTCGCAGCCGTACGTAGACCAATAACAACAAACAAATATCCATAACTCCGATTCTGGGGACCTCCTTCCGGCCGTTTCAACTGCTACTGCTGCGGCAACAAGACAGGAAGAAACAATACAACCGACGACCAAGAAACAAGCACTCAGAAGAAATGACCTTCGTGAATGTGGTGCAGTCAAAGAAGCAAGGGGATGGTGATTGCGCGAACCCTACACAAACCCCCCGGCAGCCAACCAGGCAGGGCCTAGTTCAATCTGCCTCCTCGCAGACCTCAAACTAGACCTCCATCGCACCCGCCAGCTCCTCGTCCGAATCATAAGCAGCAGATCCCACAGAGCTCATTTCCTCGTCGTCTGAGCTCTCATCCTTGTCTTCCTCCATCGCGTCCGCGCTCGCATATTTGTTCACATAGTCTAGATATCCCACCGTGTCAGCCTCGTTTTGGTCTCATTATTCAGGGAAATTGCTGCGTCGCATCTGCTCACCCTTTACTCGGTTCTCGTATGCCTTTGGCTCTCGCATCAGCAATGCGGCCGCTTCTCCGTTAAGCGGGTCTGTCGGGTTCGGATACCGCAAAAGCTGTGGAAGAAACACCTCGAATATATTGATCATGTCTGCTTATGTTTAGTAACCCTCAAGATTGCCAGAAGACAAGTGCTCACTTACCAAACATAGGACTCCAAGTCTGATTAATCACGTCCAGGCACACAGATCCGCTCCTATCCTCCAATTAGCCGCTGCTGCAACTCCACATCTATCTCCGACCCTTACGTACAGTTCGTCAATGTTGGGATGGAAAATCCGGTTCATAAAGCCAATCGATGGCGACTTGTACGGATACTGATCAGGCAACTCAACCCGGACTTTCCAGATTCCGGACTGGAACGGAGCTGTTATTGCAGACTTAGCTACTTGAAACAAGATGCTTGCCAATCCGCACACAGTTGCTTACTCTCATCGGGTCCCTTAAACCGCACATAAAACTCTTGCCTAAATCACTGTCAATATCCAAATTCAAGAAAGCAGACACAGGAACCGACATACATGCTTCCGTTCACCAATGTGACCTCATAGTCGCTCATGAGCCTGCATGACGACGTTAGCATTGCACTGCAGATCATCAATGCACCCATTCACTGAAATACTCACAACTTCATGACATCGGTCTCCATACGACGCTTAGGCGAGCTAAACAGATCAAGAACATAGTCAGAATACCAACCGCTCAACAAACCAACATGAACGATCAATTGGTAGCCTCGGGATCGCATCGTCACGCAACCAGCAAGGCCCACACTCCTTCACAGCAACCCACCTCATTTCGTTCGACCGTATCAAAGTAAATCAAACAGTTATCACTATCTTTGTCGTAAACTCCTGAATATCACCACTTAATCACACGGACTGCGGGCGTTTCTGTAGTTCTCTGGCTGTGGCAAGTTGGACCGGCCCAGTGGTGCAATTGCTCCCAAGTCGGATCGCAGGCCAGGCGCCTCCCGGAACCACGTGACTCTTATTTAACCGCCGAATTCGGTCGGTCTGAGTCACGTGAGATATGATGACATAATGCAGTGTGTAGTTTCTGTAGGGTTTATTGCTTCTATTGCTTTGCCTAAATCAGGATGGTTCCCTCCTCCGGGGGCCAGTACTGGCGCACCTTCACGCCTCCTTCGCTCAGGACTTTGAAAGACTTCTCGTCCATGCTGTATGATCTCGAGTAGACGACCTCGGTCAGACCCATCTGCACGATCTTGATGCTGCACGTCAAGCACGGACAAGTATTACAGTACAGCACCGAGTCGTCGCCGATCCGTTCCCGCCCACTCTCTAGCAACGCGTTCTCCTCCGCATGCAGACACAAACACGTTCCCAAGTTGCTGCCGTCGACGCCACCGTCGTTGCATCGCGCGCAGCCGCCTTCGTTGCAGTTCGTTATGCCGCGCGGCGTGCCGTTGTAGCCCGTAGAAATCACCCTTTTCCCCCGCGCAATTACGCAGCCTACCCGTCGCTTCATGCAGTTACTCCGCCGCGCTGCAAGATTAGAAAGCTGCATAAAGTAAGCGTCCCACGACGGGCGCAGACGAGACTCGTCCGTGAGATTCAGGTTGGACAGACGGAGGTAGAGGAGTTCTAAACTCTGGGATACGTTGAGGATGTGTAACGTCGCCTTGTGCATGATCGGAGCAAGCGCGTTAGAGCCTGCATACATCTCGGTATCAGACTGCGCTGTGAAGTCTTCAAACGACAATTGCGTTTTTGCAGTTCTGAAGGAGCATCGTATTAGCCTTCAACATTAAGAGAACAGGAAATAAATATCGCTTACTTCATATTGGTCAGATATCTCTGATATCGCACCGTCACCGGCGCCTGGACAGCAAGCAGCAGAAAAAAAGGTCTTGTAGAAAGCGTTTCGAGAGTATCAAGAGTATGAATATTTGTCGTCACGAATTTCTCGCGCCACCGTTTAGTCACATACTCAAGCAGTTCTTCTGCCGAGTTGAAAACTACATGGCTCGACCCTTGATCTTCCGAGCTGTCGATATCCGACAACGCAGACGACTCGCGCTCAAACCTTGAATTTTTTGAGAAAGCCAACTCGTCTGCCGACCCATTCTCCTTTTGTGATCCTGCTTCGATCTGGTTCTGGTTCTGTGCCGGATCACGGACTGCGTCCGGAGGGCTGTGTGTTTTCGGGGTTTCCCGGGACTGGATGTAGAGTCTTGTGAAGCCCTGCAGCAAAAGATAGCGTGCTATTTCATTCTTGCCAGAGAGCGATTGCCCACAGATGCCGATCAACATCTTGCTGCTTAATCAGACGAGAAAAGAGAGCTGCAGACAAAAGATTCTGAAGACGCGTAGAGACGCGTGCGAAATAGAAACTACAAACCCCTCAGCGCTGAGCCGCCTACAGGAAGCCTACGCAGCTGCTCATTCGATATCGATCCAAGGCCATGCGACCAGATTCTTCATGTCAAATGAGATCTCTGCTCTGTTGAACAAGCTGAACCCGCGCGCGGGCGTCCAGAGTGGGTCTGCTGCCGAGACAGCCGACAGCAAGCCGGCCCGGAGCGGGACCACAGCTGACGGGAGCAAGATCACGGACGTGGACGAGGCGGTGCGGTATATCAAAACAGTCGTTGCCCGGGACGAGAATGCGATTGCGCGGATCCGACGGATGAAGAACAATCAAGCTGAGCATGAGGCGCAATGGTCTGTGGTGCTAGTTTGCTGTCTCATAGGAGAGGTTGCTAATACGTTGAGAATGAAGGTATCAGCGGAGACTCGAGCTTCTGGAGAAACATAAGGCGCGCCGGGAGGGCCGCAAGAAGTTGGCTGAAATGCTGCAGCGGATAGGCGGTGATGCCTCAACGGCACCATCAGAGGCAAGTGACTATGAGATCACTTCAGGGGACCGGAGTACTGACACTGACTATGAATTCTACAGGAGGCGGATCTGGAAGCAGAACAAGCCGATCTGCGAGTTTACGATCAAAAAGTTTACAATGCACAGATGGCGATGCTCAAATCGTTATCTCTGGAGTTGGGTGATCTAGGCATTCCTTTCTTTGGCGGAAAGATCTCTGATCCGGGTGAGAACGAGGGTGCTGACGAAGAATTACTTCAAAACAGACGTATAGTATTGGATATTTTAGATGAGATAAGCCGGTGATCTCTCTTTCACATTGAACCCTCATAATTTATCACACACACAAAGCTACGCCAGTCCAGATCTCCGACTTATTTAGCCTTCTCCTGGATAGGAACCGGCAGCTTCTTACCATGGATCGCCATGTGGATCTTTCGGAGAGTGAGATAGATCGAAAACAGGATGATGATCGAGACGGCGAAAATCCCGATGCGTTGAGGAGTCGTGACGATCTCGAGAAGGGGATAAGGGTAAAACCCGTTCATTGCATATGTCTTTTGAGTCCAGAACCTAGAGTTTTATCTCAGTATCAGCGAGAATTGTTTGCTTGAGCTTGAGGTGTGAGCACGTACCAGTATCCCACGCCGAGACTGGAATAGAGAACAAAAGTGGCAGCAGGGTGAATGATCCAGTTACTAGTGAATACAAAGTAATCCACGAGCAACAAAATAGACGGAGCGCCATGCAGTCCGAAATCCACCAGCGGCGGAAGCACGGCGTCGATGTTGTCGGGCACGAGAAGTTTTTTGTCGTAAAGAAATATTGAGCCGTAGAGGACGCTGATCAAGACCTCGACCGGGGCGGCGATGAGGAGGAAGCGGTTCTTGGTCGCGATGAGGGATTGGGAGTCCATGATGTGGCCCATGAGCCCGATGGTGACTGTGATGTAGCTGAAGACGACGCCTAGACAGGTTTGAGGTCAGCAGCTGAAGAGTATACAGACACATGAGAACATCGGGATAGAAAACTCACCGAGGATGGTCAAAAACTGCAGCTGACCACTGAACGAGGATACACATTAGCAAAGCCGATCTTCCCTCGACTTGGTGCCTGAACATACCCGTATGATCTGTTAATGAATGTATCCAACTCAAACACGTATTTGAGATCCAGATTGAGGATCGCCGCAGTAAGCGCATAAAGCGCAGTCGCAGGAGAAAGAAACGCGGTGCTGTCCAGTTCCAGCATTGCTCACTCAACAAATCTCTGTGCAGAACGGGGTCAAACCGAGAGGGGTTCCGGACCGAGAAGAGGAAGAGCGGAAGGAATAAGAAGCCGCACCGAGTTAGTGCGGCTCGGCCGTACGCCATCTCATTTGCCTCCGTGTACGCAACCGCGCTACGCGTCGCGACTCGTCCGCCTTCTGCTTCTGCTGTTCTGCAGCTGCGTTGCAGAAGAAGTACGGCCTGGATGAGAAAACACAAGCGTAAGCTGGCGCGTCATGAGTCCGAGATCGCGACCGCGAACAGGGGCATCCAGACCATCAGGTCCGCGTACTCCTACGCGGCACCGTTACGCGACTTTCTTGCGCGGTTTGTCGGATTCACAGTCACAGAGGATACTAGCGAGAGTCAGGATGATATCCTTGGTGATTTATTAGAATATGCGATTGTTGCTGTGGAAAATCTGGAGCAGACGGAAACGGCGTCGGTGAAGCTGCGGGCACTGGCTCCTGAAGATCAAAGGGATTCGGCTCAGTTCCCGTCCATGACACAGGTAGGTCGCGTGGGGTTATGGAGTTTATATGGTTTGATGCTGATTGAAACGCAAGGTCATATTCCGGGTCATTCATGCGCTCTCATCAACATCTGGCAGATGGGACCGGAGCAACGTGCTAGCAACAGGATTCACCTCCGTATGTTCATCTACAAACCCATCGCGTATGACCGTCGACTGACAAACATCTTGAAGCGAGACGAAGAAGGTGCTACGATAGGAAACCCCGTCGTCCAAAGGTATGCGAGCGACCACTATCGTCTTCTCTGTGGCGTGCAGTGGCAGCGCTTGCTTGAAAGGTATCGGTTTTGTTCCAGACTTGCTTTTGCGGGGCGATCGGGTATCTGACCTTGTGCTCTGGATCTAGGATTGGAGGGCACGCCATGATGTTTTTGCTCCGTTACGGGAGTATTTATGTGACTATCGACAAAAGCGTTGACTCTGCTTTTCATCAATTATCCGGTATTGAACCCTCTCTCGACTTAAGTACCATTTCTCTGCCCCGTACTTGTGTCTAACATCACATCTCCTCCAGGACGCGCACTGCACGATCTGCAATTCTTCGGAAACGCGAAGCGGCAGAAGCGAAGAGCCGGAGACATTGCACAGCAGAACATCGCTCCTCCGTCGTCACCCGCCAAATTACTTTCGTCGCCGAGAAAGGAGAAGGCTGAGTTGGAGCCGGCGAAAAAGTTGTCTTCCAATGCGGATGATCACGCGGGCGATGCGAATTGGAAACGATTGGCTTTGTGCGTTTGCTTTCCATGAGAAGTCTATGCCTTTGAAGTGAAATGACTGACTATTTATTATCGTCCAGATCCAAGCTGAATACAATCTCCGTACCCCGCCACGGCATGCTTTACTCTGGACCAGGCACAAACACCGAATCCATCCTCTCAAAGACACTCTCCCGCAGATCATCGCTCTCTCGAACCGTAAACCCAGAGCAAACGAGCGGTACCAAGCAGCTCCTGAGTCTGATATTTCGAAAAGAATATCACATCCGAAATGTTTTTGACATTGTTTCCGCCGGGAATCCACTGCCCAGGACGAGTATCCCGACACCACCGCTGGACGAATACGCTAATGACCCGTTACCAAGGGCGCTTAAAGGCACTCCGTTTGCACTCATCCAGCAAATCCAGCGACGATGCAAACAAACCCGTTTCGATGGCTTGCTGAGATACTACTGTCCATCGAAAAGAGTACAAGTTCGCTCTGAGCGGTTGAGTTTTTCAGAATCGCAGGTCGAAATGGGCGAGGGCCAGGATATGCTCGCGAGCGCGACGCCGTATCATTCTGTGATCGCGTTTGTATCTGCTGCTCTGAATCGACTTTTACCTCGGGCAGCACTTGGAACGTCAATGAACTGGAAAGTCTTCTACAAAAGTACTCAGACCTTTATTTTGACGATTGATCGAGTGAGATGCTAATGATTGTTTGTGATAGATGTGGAGCTGGAGGTAGTTCTGGGCCGTTATGAGACAGTCACGATTCATCGCCTTCTCCAAGGTATAAAGATCCTCGACATCCCCTGGCTCGGAAAACCCGTCGGCGAGCGGAAACTATCCCGCCCGGAATACGTCAAACGGCAGATTCTATTTGCGCAGTTTATATACTGGGTCTTCAAGGACCTGATTCCCGACATCATATCTTCCTTCTTTTTCGTGACCGACTCTGCCACGTCGCGCAACAAGCTTCTTTATTTCCGACATGATGTCTGGATGCGACTGTGCAAGGCTCCGCTGGCGATGATCAAAGACAGCATGTTTGAGCCGGTCCATCCGAGCGTTGTGAAGAGACTTGCTGAAGATCCGAGCAGGACGCTGGGATTTGGATCGATCCGCTTGCTGCCGAAGGAGACCGGAGTTCGGCTTATTATGCGTCTGAGCAGCAAGAATCTCGCGCGCGTATGTACCTCTTTGCTCTTTTTATATAAGTTTGATACTGACTCTTATAGGGCATAATTGAGAAGGCGACCTACTCAAAAACAGATCGGAGCATCAACCAAAACATGCGACCTGTACTGTTAGCACTGACCTTCGAATACCATATGAACAGAGCAGCGCTAGGATCTACGTTATTCTCAATAGGCGATGCCGAACGCCGTCTTATTGAGTTTCGAAAAACGCAGGACTTTACAAGACAACAAAAGTACTATTTCGTCAAGGTCGACGTGCAGGCTTGCTTCGACTCGATCCCTCCGGCAGCAGCATACCGCGCTGCGAAGCATTTTCTCAAGTTGAGCGAGTATCGTACGCGACGGTACTCAAAGGTCACAATGAGAAACGGCGTTCCCGCGCGCCAGTTCCTACAGACAGCTTATCCGGGTTCAGTCGACGACAGCCTTGGCGACATGGGGCAGGAGTACATCGACAAACTGGTCTCATTAGTGCAAGCTCTGAGCGGTTCGGACGAAGACTCACAGGACGGCGGGCCGAGGTCTGGATTTGGAGAGCTGGTGAAGATGAGGCAGCAGTTAAAGAACGCGGTGTTTGTGGATGGCGTGCGCTTTGACCGGCATGAGAAGAATGCGCTGTTGACTTTGTTAATTGAGCATATTGCGGGGCATATCGTCAAGGTGAGTACTCTTATAACATTCAAGTCGGCTTCCTGTTATGTATTAACGGCTATATTAGATTGGAAACCAGTACTACAAGCAGAAACGAGGGATTCCTCAAGGCTCTACAGTCTCGTCATTCCTCTGCAATCTCCTCTACGCGACCCTCGAGCGCGAAGAACTATCCTTCACAACCGAAACTAATGACGGCCTTCTAATGCGTCTGACAGATGACTTTCTTTACATCACATCCGACCTGTCCAAAGCGCAGAAATTCTTCAGGACGATGCATATGGGTAAATCCGAGTACGGAGTGCAGATCAACGCGAGCAAATCGCTCGTGAATTTCGATATCGGGTTGCCGGATGGATCGTGTGTGCCGAAATTGGAGAATTCAGACGAATTCCCGTTTTGTGGGTTTACGATCGATGTGAGGACGTTGGAGGTCAGAAGAGATCTGTTGAAGCGCGTTGCGATTGGTATGCTGCCGACAATTCTCCGCGTTCTGCTTTGAGTGTGTTTTGCTGACGGTGTATAGATGTACGATCGGTCATCACAGTGGAGTCCAGTCGCCAACCACAGAAATTCTTCATCTCGCGCATGGCAAAGTAAAGTCCCCATTCTTCCAACACAGTATGCTCAGTACTAACCCTGCTACTCCAGTGCGGTCTCGGTTCTATTCCCGAAAATATACGGAAACCGCGCGCTGAACTCACACGACACGATCCTCATCAACTTGTTCCGCACGTATATAGACCTAGCAATGCGGTATGCGCAGTATGCGCGCACTCTGAGGCGACAGAGTAGACGTGCGTGGGTGGCTCGGCCGCGGTCGAGAGGAGATCCTCGGGGGAAGGCTGTGAGAGAGAGTCTCTCTACGGATTGCATGAGACGTATGTTATGCTCGTGCTGGACTGCAGAAGACTTCGAATGGCTAACGTGAAGATATGGCAGGCGCGATCTCGAAAATAATCTCCAAATCTGCTTCCTTTGTCGAATCCTACGACAGCCGCGTCACCATTCTCGAAATGAAATAGTAAGTAACTTCTCTTTCACTCTACTCTCCGACTTCTTCTCTCTAACCTCGTGTAAAGTCTCGCGTACCACGCCTTCATCATCGTCTTGCAGCGAAAACATACAAGTTTCAAACCCATCCTATCCTGGCTACGGACGGAGATCAAACGCGTACCGCGCTCGTTGCGGCGGTCTATGGCGCATATTTTGCAAGATACTGCGGTGGATGTTGTTATTAGACGAAAGTACTAGAGCCTATAATAGAACTATTACTGAAGATTTATTCTCGAATCCACCCTATCAATACACTAAATGCCCAAAACCAGAATTATAAAAATAAGGACAATTTATCATACACTAGCAAAGAAAAAATACAAAAACATAGATGACAAAATAGCAACACCTCACTTCTCAATACACTGCTCCATTTCACCCAGATACAGCTCAACGTGCTTCTCAAGCTTGAGCAATTTGTTCGTCGCCGAACGCACGTCGTTCTCCAGCTGCTCTCTTAGTTCCGCCTGCTTCTTCTCCACGCCGGCGATTATCGACTTCTTTTTCTCCATCTCTTGCGTCACGACACTTCGTTCGGCTACTAGGGCCGCGTATGCCTCTTTGAGCTCTTGAGTGCGCTTCTGAACGCTGTCGCGTTTTTGAAGACGCTGTTCTTGAAGTCGTTGGATGCGTTCTTCGGCATTTGCGAGTTGTCGTTTGAGTTGCTATACAGTTCAGTTAGTCGTTGAGCTCAGAAGCTATGTTTACGTAAGAGTACTCACAGTTGACTTTCGTTCGACTTCGTGCACTTCAATCTGACGTTGGTCGTGTAATTCCATCAATCGGGCAAGTTGTCTACCCGCCTCTTCCTGCTTCCCGAGCTCGTTCTCAGTCTCCTCCATAAGCTTCAAGCTGCCGGCAATATCCTGCTCAATAGTCTTGAACGACTCAATAGAGATCTCCAGCGCCCGCAGTCTTCTTTCCAACTTGTCGATCGCCGATTTGCCTGCTTGCACACTCTCACTCATCTCCTCGTTGATCTTGCGCAGGGTACTCGGCGAGTCAAGCACATACGGCCGCAACTTCTCACACTCTTTGCGGATCTGCGTCGTGAGAAAGCTCTGGTCTTCAAGTTTTCCAACAAGCCGACTTTTGTCTCTCTTATAAGCCTCGTGCTCGTTGTGATATTGGTCCTGAATCTTCTTCAGCTTCCGTAGCTCCGCCTCGACCTGTCGGTTATGTTCCTGTGCTTCGCGAATCTTTGGTGCATCCTGCTCTTTCTGCATCTTCATATCCTGGAGTCGTTCATTATAAGACACAATCTCCTGATAGCCTCGTTCTGTAGCCAAAGAAGTCTCCTCGCTACGCTGGATCAAATCTTCGCAGATACCCATATGCTCCTCTCTGAACCTCGCGAAATTGACCACCGCCGACAGCAACCTGCGAATCCGCTGCGTCTCCGGCTTCATAAAATCCATCATTGAAAAATCATCAATCCCGCAGATTTGCATCAACTTGGCCGACGCCCGCACAAGCGCAAACATACTCCGCGCTGCGCGCGCCGAGTCAAACGTCTCGCGCCCTTCACAGCAGGCCTCGAGGATCGGAACTTGATTCTCGTACGTGATGCCGAGGAAAGAGGCAATCATTTGCTCGTATAGCTGTTGCACGAATATCGCGGTCGGTTTCTGGAGCATCTCTTCTGCGACGATGAATTCGCAGCCGCGCAGGCAGATTGCAATCTCGGCAAAGTCTAGAAGGGGGAAGATATCGCCCTGGAAGGAAGGTTCTATAGCAAGATTAGCACAAACGAAGTGATTCAGCAACTTGAATAGCATCGCAAGACGTACGGGAGCGACCGGTGGAAGATCCAAAGCCGCCCTGTTTGGCGACCAAGGACTTGCGCGCGCTAAAGTTAGCGGTCGACTTGCGCGCACTGAATGCCATTGTATTTTTCGAGCAAAGACTCTGCTGAGCGAATTTGTGTGGTGGTATAAAGATATAGACAGAGAAGGGGTTGCAGATGAAGAAGGAGTCAGAGAGAATGAGACGTGGGATGCGCGTTTGGGAAGAAAGAGAACGCCGCGAGAGATGTCTTTGTTGTGGTCTGTCAACAAACCTACACACGCTAAGCTAAATACAGTTGTCACGGCAACCACTTTCCGAGCCGCAGCTGAATAGTAAACACAAACCCCACAAAATCATCCATTCACTTTACGATTAAATACAGATACAGCAGTCACCGTGGCATATTGTCTGGTGCAAACGAGTCAGGGAACTTGTATGCACACTCATTCTATCATATTACTCATACATAGGCTCAAAACACAAGCTGGTCAAATACAATTCACAATATTGCAAGCAGATCCTTCTTCATCGTCAAAAAAGGGTGATGAACAAAACAGCAACGGCGGATAGCGCTCCTGCGCTCAGGTAATTGCATCCTATCTGCGCTCCTGCACTGGTAGTGACGACAGCTGGCGAGGCTGAAGCAGTTGCATTTGAAATCACAGGAGGTAGAGTCACGTTCTGGACTGGCCCGACAGGACTTAGAGCTGGATTCGCTGTTTCTGTTGCTGCTGCTGTTATTGTTGCTGCTGTGGTCGTTCTCGATGAGCTATCAGAATCCCGCTTTTGGTTTTCGTGTCGTAATATCTCAGCAGCCTCAGGATCTCGTGCCAACAGTCTCGAAGTACCGGTGGAGTAGTCTTCGATATATATACCCTTCACAAAATAATCGAACGGTGCCTGCGACATATTCGCCAACCCTCCAGCCCACCCGATGGTGCCTTCGCTGTTAGACGGGCTTCCTGCGACCCAGGATCCGACCTTGAATTGGGAAGGTGAAGAAGGAAATCCCTGGGCAGAGGCGGCTGATAGAGTGCGCACGGCCACGCCATCGACTGACCAGACGATCTGGGAGGCAGTCCAGTCTATCGTGTAGGTGTGGAAGGAAGACGTTGCGGCGCTGACAGAGTGAATTCCTCCACGGTTCCAGGTGGTGGTGTTGCCCTTTGAGAAGTAGTTGCTCTGGACTGTTGTGAATTTTAATGAGATTAGTGATCGATCTATGCGGGTAGAACGAGGGCATGGAATGTTAATACATACAGTGTTCAGAGTCCACTCCTACCCATTCGATATCGATCTCGTCCCCATCATCAGAGAGCAGAACGAGTGCGCTCACAATACCTCGTCCTGGTGCAGCTTGCGCGAACGCCTGTACCTTTCCATACATTATCGAAAAGTCGGATGCCAATGTAGGCGCGTCGTCGATGCCTGTGATTGAGATTTTCATACCGCGGTCGGAGCTGTAGGATATGTGATCGGCCTGGTATGTTGGCGAGATCTGAGCCGCTGCAAGGCCGTCGCCGTAGTCATGGAAAAAAGTGCCGTGTAGCTCCGAGGGAATCGCGCTGGCGGGGAGGATTGTGAGAAAGCATGTGAAAGTCAGTAGGGCGAGAGAACGCATATTGCAGACCGATGAGCTGATAAGATCAATGACCGGTGTCTACAAGAGAGGAGAATAGACAATCAGAAAAGTCGTAGCGGCAGTAATCTGCTGGGTTAAATAGATATACATCTAGAAGTCTGGTGCGGGTGCGGAGATGATAAATTGCCGAAACAGCCAGCCGCGAGCCAGCCGTGCGAACCGCGTGTCTCGGACGGAAATAGATGATAATTATAGAAATCAGATATATTGCGTCATCTCCAAGGCCATTTTAAGTACATCCGCCTAATAATCAATCCAATCGGATGAATAGCGCAGAACGCGCACGCTGCCACGCGACAGGGTTCTGGTGTTCCGAATGAGATCGAACGCGAGAGCCACGAAGCTCGGTTTCTGTACCTGTGACAAGAAGCCAGGCGATGCATAACATCAGCCAAAGAACATGTTTGGCCGGTGATGAGGAGAAAAGAGGGAAGATCTGCGGTCCCGCAGTGGTTTTTTTTAGATTTGTTTATTGTCTTCTCTGTTGGCGATAGGGTTTTTGGATTATTCGTCGAGAGGGTGGACCGAGGGTTGAGGAGGATTGTCTACGAGTTGCCTAATCGAGAGAGCACGCGCTCGCTTTAAGTAGAACTGGTGCTGCGCCTCTCCAAGTCTACGCGCAGCGTCTTTTTCACTACGGGTTGAAATAGATTTTATAGTTGATCAGTGAATTGTATGATACTATGTACAGAAATGCAAAGATTTTATGAGCAAACAAAAGAAACTGTCTCAGCGCAAAACACACAGAATAAAAAACACCCAGATAGCCATTAACCATTTATGAAGAAACCCATTAATACAAAACAAACTCGGAGGCAGCAAACAGGAAAAATAAAACGCATACTCACAATTTCCACGTAGAGATCATTTACAGGCCCAAGAACAAAGCTCCGACGAGACCGGCGATGGAACCGGCGACGGCGACGTTGACGCGCACGCCGGCGGCGGCGTTGGTGGTCACCGAGGCGATGCCGGAGGAGGAGGTCGAGGTGGCTGAGGTGGTCGAGTTCGAGGAGACGGTGGAGCTGCTGGAGGAGTTGGAGTAGCCAGTAGATGCGGATGCCGAGGAAGTGAAGGTTGTGAAGGTGGAGGCCTGCGATGAGGAGATGGGGGTAGCGCTGGTGGTGGAGTTGGCGATCAGAGTGGACTGCGGGATGTAGAGAGATTCGGATGCGGATGCCTTGGAGCTGGTAGCGGAGCTGGAGACAACGGGAACACCGACCGCGCTGGTGGCGGATCTAGCAAACGACGACGACGACGACGACGACGAAGAGGAAGAGCTAGGCTTGACCGAAGTCGAAGAGGACGAGGTAGAGCTAGGCTTGATCGAGGTCGAAGAGGACGAGGTAGTGCTAGGCTTGATCGAGGTCGAAGAACTGGAGGTGGAGACCTTCGACGAGGTGGGAGCCTTAGACGAGGTGCTGCGCACAACCGAGGACGAGGACGAAGATGAGGACGAAGACGAGGACGAAGTCGAAGTGGACGACGAGGACGAGGACGAGGAAGTCACTGAGCTGGAGGTAGTGGCAGAAGAGGAGGTAGTGGCAGAAGAGGAGGTAGTGGCAGAGGAGGAGGTAGTGGCAGAGGATGATGTAGTGGTCTCGACAGTGGAGGTCGCGCTAGAGGCAGCAGCCGAAGTCGAAGAGTCGGCGGTCGATCCGCTGACGATCGAGATGGAGTCCGAGTCGCCGGTCTGGTCAGTGTAGACGTACTCCGATCCGGATGAGTAGTCGACGACGTACAGGCTCTTGACGTAGAAGTTGAAAGGAGCGTTAGACAAATCAGCCAATCCACCGGCCCAGATGATAGTGCCCTCCTCGTTGTCAGACGAGCCACCGATCCAGGAACCCATCTTGGGACGCATAGGAGTCTGCGGGTAGCCCTCGGAGGTGGCGGGGGTGAGCGTGCGCACGACGGTGCCGTCGACGGACCAGGTGGTCGAGTCCTCAGTCCAATTGAGCGCGTAGGTGTGGAAGGTCGAGACGGCGGCAGAGGCGGTGTGGTACTCGCCGCGGTCGTAGGTGGTAGTGTCGCCCTTGGAGAAGTAGTTACTCTGCACGCTGTCGACCTCGCTGCCGACCCACTCGATGTCGAGCTCGTCGCCGTCGTCGCTGATGAGAATGGCGGAGGAGACGATGCCGGTTCCAGGAGCGGCCTGGGCGACGACTTCCATGTATCCGTAGAAGATGTAAAAGTCCGCGGCAACAGTGGGCGCGTCGCCGCTGGCCTCTATCGACATGCACAGTCCGGTCGTGCCGTCGTAAGAGATGAGGTCGCTGCCGGCGGTGGCTGAGATGCGGTCGTTAGCGCCCGTGGTGAAGTCCGCCTGGAAGCTGCCGCCGAGACCCGGGTCGGGATCGCAGGAGGTGGATGTGAGCGGGTCGCAGGTGGTGGCGGAGGCGATGGAAGCCAGGGCCAGGGCGACGGTTGAGAAGAGGGCCGGTCTTGAGATCATGGCAGCTGAGATGACTGGGTCGTAGATGCGTGGAAAAGATGGATCTTGGTGCGAAAGAGAGACGTGAGCCGGATTGATGGAGAATAGAGAAACAGCAAGAGGCCGGGAGAAGGGATCTAAATAGTCGGGAGGCGAAGGAAGGGATGGCCAGCCACAGTCGGAGGAGGTCGAACAAGACGCGTATAGGAGCTGCCTAAAACGGTATGAAGAGGTCTTAAAATAGTGGGTGGCTGGGTTCTGCTGGGCGCATGACGTCGGCCGCGGCTCGCAAAACTCAGGGGGCGGCCTCTCTGCTGTTCGCTTAGCTCGGTGCTCGAAATAGCACCAGGTTTGGGACGTACGACCGCTGTGCTACTATACAGCCGTTATTATTTACTATTGAGAAGATAAACGGTTTATAGATCCTGTGTTTTTAAGAAGCGTAGCTTGAAAAAGCGGATTTGAATCATCTACATTCGAATCTCTAAGACTATACCACTCGGAAAACACCGCGAAGGCCGACCAAGCCCCAGTGCTTGTTACTCAGCCAGCCGTCAGCCAGCCAACCACACGGCCAGCCATCGATCGGCCCGACCGTCCGCACGACCACGCCATGAATCATCCTTGTAGACCGATATACTGTTCCAGTTTCCTTCTCTGACAGGGATCTTGATTACCAGCCTCTAATTTTGATACTATTGCAGCTATTGTGTGTTCAATCCACTCGCATTCTGCATCGTCGAAACAAATCCTGCAGCCCGACGCAAGGGGTGGCTGGCTGGCACAGAAGAATCCAGAGCAAGCCTCAGCTTGCGTGGCTCATTCCTCGGCATTGACTCTCGTCCATCGCCTACGCGCGTCCTTTCCTCTTCCAAATCACTGCCTCATTCGTATTCTTCCCTTCCGTTAATCGGCTCGAAGAATGAAGGAGAGGCGTTATACTATGGCGCAAGGATATTGGCAATCTGCCCGCCCCCTGGTTCTTTAGATTAGACCTCGCGTCCTGCACGCGTCCCGGTCGCGTCTGAGTGATTTTTTTTACTCTGCCTTGTTCATGTGCGTTATTTTTATTTTTATCTGCCTTATTGTGAATCCCCCGGCTCTCGCATGCCTAATCGACTATTTTCCAGGAGCTGTTTGTTTCGCTCTTCGTGCTCGTAAAAACAAAATTCCGCGCACTCAAATTTTCTCAACAATGGAACAGCGGCATGCCAGTCTCTCGTTCCTCTCCGTTGCTCAGCCTGTTTCCTCCATGGATTTTATCTAAACCGCTGGAATACGCATGCATGCGATTCGGGCAACATCGGTAGCGGGCATTTGGTGTTCCGACTATTAAATCTTCTCTCAAACGCGAACTGCGCCACCCTCCTCCACGCTCCTGTCGACTGGCGCTGGCGCCCCACGTCTGCCAAAAATAGTCTACTCTACTGATATCTACGACCTCGTAGTTCACTAACAAAACGATACAAAATGATATATCCATATATTCAAGTATTCTCTCTAGGCCTGTATGCATAATTTCTAACGCCCGATTAGTAGTCTCAACAGACATCTTTTACCACACCTGAATCACATAATTCACCAAGACCGAAAGCACAAACGCACCGCACATAAACCCGGTCCCGATCTGATCATCGTACCGGATCGCGCGTCGCAGTCTGATGGCCCGCAACCGCCAGAGATACAACCCAATACTGTAAAAGACCATCAACACCGCCGTGATCATAAAGAAAAAGCTCGCGTAGGCGGCCCGCTCGTTACCGAACGCACGCAAACTTCCAGAGATGGCAGACAGGTAGATGCCGATCTCGAGCCAGTTCAGGAAAGTACGCTCGTTTGCAAAGTAGACCTTGGGCTCGATGCGCACTGGGATATGAATCAGTTTTCCCGGCGGCGCATGGAACACGCGCTCCTCGATCGCCGGCACGGTCGACGTGCCGGGTACGGGTCGCTCGGCCTCGAAAATCAGCGACTCGGTCCACGAGCGCATCGTCTGGCCAATCTGTCGCACGGTCTCGTTGAAGTTGTGGAACTGCGCCGTCCGGCGTGATCGGGACCGCGATCGGTCGCGCGAGATTCCCATGAGCGGAATGTGCTCGGCGTCTTCGTCGTCAGAAACGTAGTCGTGGTGCTCTTCCTCGTAGTTGTCGCCGCCGTGTCTCTGCGCAGAAGCGCTCGATCCGTCGCCGTTATGCGCCAAAGCTTCCTCCTCATCCATTGTAATATCGCCCGAGTTGGAGCTCAGGATATCGTCAGAGTTAGACAGCGACGAGGTAAGATTGTTTGGTCGTTCGATGCCAAACTGGTGCGAGATCGGCTTGCGGATGTCGACGTCCATCTGCGGGAACCAGTACGGGATAAGCTTGACCTTGCTCGGCAGAAGCGTAGCCGTTCCATGGATGAACTTTGAGAACTTGGGCACTGCCTCGACCAAGTGCGAGGCCACGAGGTCGCGCACCCACTGCGGCGGCTCCTGGCCCATCTGCGTCTGCAGCTTGACCTCGAGCACGGCGTACGGGAACCGCTCGACGTCCTTGTCCGGCAACTGGTTAAACGGCCAGTCGATGCCGATATCCATCCTTCGCCAGTTATTTCCCGCGCGCCGACGCCCGTCAAAGTCATCCTCGCGCACCATCGTGAGCTCGGTATCGAGCGAGATACGCACGCGCGCGTCGCCGGGAAGCTGGAACGCTGTTCGGTTGTAGAACGAGCGCACGACTGGTTTCAGTTTTCGAGTAAGCACAGAGTACTGCACTTCGCGCGCCAACTGCTCGAGATCCTCGATCTCCTTTGGCGACTTCTTGCCGTCCTCGCGCATTTTCTTGAAGGCCTGGTCGACGGTATAATCACCCCGCAAGAACGCATTCACGTTCTTCTCCTTGAGCGAGAAACGAGCCTTGACAGACTTCTCTCCCGTCCAGTCTTCACGATGCGTCTTTCGCTCGACGAATACGGTGTCGGTCGACATTCCACCGTACCAACGCAGACGGACGGCCTCCGCGCCTTCGGATTTCTCAAGTCGGCCGCGGTAAAGCTCGAGGTCGGCGTTGTCATAGTAGATCGAGGAAATCGCCGAGTCCTCCTTTTCGAATTCTTTCGAGGCGTTGAAGACGAGCACGGGCAAATGCTTGAGAATGAGCAGCTTGAGCTCGGTGATGTTGTCGGGATGAACCCAGTATTTTGTCGTCTGGCGTACAAAGTTCTGCTGGCCACCGCCAGCCGAGGAGTCACCCTGGACCGGGTTACCTCTAGTGCGCACGAGATCGTACAGCTTTGAAAGTTTGACGACAAGCGGATCGTAGTCGTCTTTGAAGAAGGGCTTTGCGTTCAAGCGGGCGGCGAAGATCGGTCTGAGGATCCAGTGCGTGACCTTGTCGTGCTTCTTGATGATTTTCTGGAAACCGGTATAGTTAAGCTGAGTGAACTTTGCGAGATCGTGTACGTCGGAGAGAATCTCCTCGAGATCAAACTCGAGGTCCTCGAAAGCCTGCTCAGAGAGCGGAGAGGAGGTGTCGATCGAGCGGATGGCGTCCTGCACCTTGACGTCCATCTCTTTCACGCGCTGGTTGATGGAGTACGTCCGCAGCTTCTGGAAGTCGTACACTTTCTCGAGTTCTTCCTCGAGAGCCTTGACAAAGGCTTCCTCGGACTCCTCCGACCACTCGCCATCAGCGCCGCGGGCGTCGAGCAGGTCCTTGAGTCCCTGGTAGTCAATGTAGTAGTAGTAGTAGTCGCTGCGTGCAGATAAACGCTTGAGTTAGTATGACAGTGTGTAGTAAGAGCATTGAATGTTTAGAATAGTAGCATACCGAATGAGCGAATCCTTGAGCTGCTGTCCGAAACGCATGGCTGCTGGAAGTATGCGGTCTGATGTTTACAGACGATAAGGTGACGAGGGAGCAGGTACGAGAGAGAAGACGCACAGCACCAAGAGAAATAGAATAGCAAATAGACAAAAAAAGAAGCGGAGAAGACGAAGAAAAGAAGAAGAAAAGGACAGCACCGTTGATCCGCGCGTCGGCCTCGAGTTGGTCTTCAGCTGGTCGTTCACGAGTTTTTGTGTGGCCCACTCCGGCTGGCCCAATGAGACCTGCATCACCGCCGCACGTGTATCTGATTCTATGTAAACATTTACTAAGCAGCTTATTTAACTTATTAGTAAGCCTGCAACATCTGTAAGGGCCTCGTGAGATGGCGGGACGAGCTCTACGGCGGATAATACATCACGTCCGCTCAAGCCAATGACATATAAGAGCATAGTAAAACTCCTGGAGCGATGCCGGAATACTCCCTTCAGATAAGGCAGAGAAGCACCAATTATGGCATTGAACAGAGCGTCACGCGCATACGCTCGTCGGCTGATGACGATGCCGCCGATTGTCGCGCGCAGCACTGCGACAAGCAGCTGGAGTAGCTGCCGGGTGCTCGGTAAATCAGCAGGCACGAGACTGTACAGCAGCTATCCTACCCCAGAGGGAGCTCCTGCTGCTGCTAAAGCACCTTCCCAGAAGAAGGTGACGCTCCTAGGGCTTCAAAATCTCTACAACTCAAACACTCCCATCACGGTATGTTTATCAGCTAAATTGGCTGCTGTTGTCCTCCACTACATGGGATGCTGACTGTCCCGCCCAAGTCTATAACCGCTCATGATTACCCATCGGCCGTTGTCGCTGAGAAAGCGGGCGTCGACATGATTCTCGTTGGCGACTCGCTTGCTATGGTTGCCCTGGGATACAATGTAAGTCAAGTACACTGATTAGGTGCAGAGATTGGAAAGAATGCTGATGCGGTGGTGCGAACAGAACACAAACATGCTCTCGCTAGACGAGATGCTGTACCACTGCCGGGCGGTCGCGCGCGGCGCAAAGAGACCGCTGCTGGTCGCGGACCTGACGTTTGGAAGCTACGAGATTTCACCGGAACAGGCGCTGGAGTCGTCGATCCGGCTGGTAAAGGAGGGTAATATGGAGGCTGTTAAATTGGAAGGAGGACGTGAGATGGTACCGACAATCAAGAAGATCACGAATGCGGGGATCCCGGTCCTGGGCCATATCGGTCTGACGCCGCAGCGAAGTACGTCGCTGAGCGGTTTCCGCGTGCAGGGCAAGTCGATTGAGGATGCTCAGGCCCTGATTGAGGATGCGCAAGCACTGCAGGAGGCCGGCTGCTTTGCGATCGTGCTCGAGGCTGTTCCGGATGCGCTGGGGAGGATCATCACAGAGAAGCTGCAGGTGCCCACGATCGGGATCGGCGCAGGGGCGGACTGCTCGGGACAGATCTTGGTGCAGCTCGACATGCTCGGCCAGTTTGACAAGTTCACGCCCCGGTTCGTGAAGAAGTATGCGCAAAACTACGAGACCAACGTCGCTGCATTACAAGAGTACGTGAGCGACGTGCGCGCGCGCGCGTTCCCGGCCGAGGAGCACGTCTACAAGATGAACGGCGACATCCTAGCCAAGCTTCAGACCTCTCTCGGTTCATCACCAGACCAGGGAGCAGAGGAAGCGAGCGACGACGCGCGCAAATGAGGAGCTGCGCACGTGTCGATGTCAAAGATGCCAAAATAGAGTTGAACATGAGACGATGACGTAATTTAACTTTTAATTTTTTCGCTTGGCCGGCGCCCTGATTCTGCGGGGAAGCCGCGAGTATTTGATGCGGCCCGCGTGCAGCCCTCGGCGCAGCATCGCGTGCAGCCAGCAGCACTCTGCATGAATCCGCCAGCCTTATCTCTGTTTGCCCTATAAACGATTGGCTCTCGCTGCTCATGTTTGACCTCGCGCCCTTCTCCGTGCCCGGTCTGCCTGCTCTCAGCCGCTCTATAACTAACCGTCTGCGCCGGCTGCGCTCTGGCGACTCCTCCTCCGACTCTACCCAAGTCACCGACTTCCCTTACTCCCTGCCGCCCTCTGCTGCTCCTTCTTCGCACAACCTTGCTGTGGCTCCTGCTCCTGCTGCATCTTCCGTTTCCGAAAAGGGAAAACAACCTGTCCGTCCATCCACATCCAACTGACCCTAAACAAAGCCATGACCTCCATCCCGACCCTCACCGACGCCCAATGGGAGACACTGATCGCCGCCGCCGACACCTTCGTTGGCGAGGTTAGTGCCGATTCTCTTATTCAGTCCCTTGGATCTCATACTTTCTCTGATAACCCTTCCTACGAGTCCACCCTCCGCGCCTTTGCTGTCGATCGTCCGTCGACTCATGTCGACGACTACAAGCGCGACGTCGCCGTCCGTTTTCTGTTCACGCAGACTGAAGCTAACCTTCAGTCTTTGCGCACCCTTCTGAACCTGCTTGACTACCGTGCCTCGTCGTTGATCTTCACCGGCCATGCGTGCGCGTTCAGGAACCTCTCCTTCAAGCAGAGGGAGGCCGTCCTCCTCGGATGGTCCACCTCCCGCCTGCCTCCGCTCCGTATGATGTACAGAACGTTCTACTCACTCAGCGTGTTGCCCTATTTCAAAGTCTCTGGCCTTGCCGCTCCTGCCATGCGCTTTCCCTTGCGCAACCCGGATGCAGACGACCACGAGCGCTACGCTAGCAAGACGTTCTACCGCTACAAGATGATCACGCAGGCTGAACTTCTCAGATCGACCTTTGATGTCGTCATCATCGGCTCTGGCAGCGGTGCCTCTGTTTCTGCTACGCGGATTGCGCAGGCGGGCTACTCTGTCCTGGTCCTCGAGAAAGGCCGATACTATCACCAGGACGAGCTTAACATGACTATGGACGAAGCGAGCGCGGCCTTGTATGAGAACAAAGGCCTGTTTGAATCTGAAGGCCGCAACATCACCTGTCTCGCGGGTTCCACTTTCGGCGGTGGCTCGACCGTCAACTGGAGCGCAAGTCTCAAGCCAAGCGCAAAGGCTCGACACGAGTGGGCTGTCCAGCACGGCGCCAAGTTCTATGCCACGCGCGAGTACGATCGCGCGCTGACCTCGGTCTGTGAGTTCATGGGCGTGTCGGACAAACATATTGTTCACTCGCGCGCGAACCAGATCATCCTCAGCGGTTCCGAGAAGATCGGGTCGCCTGCTCATGCTGTTCCGCAAAACACCGGCGGTCATACGCATCGCTGCGGATTTTGCGGCGCCGGATGCAGGTTTGGCGAGAAGCAAGGCGGCGTTGCCAGATGGTTCGTCGAGGCCGCTAAGCACGGTGCAAAGTTTCTTGACCAGGCTTTAGTGCGGAAGATCAGGACTAAAGATGGACGCGCGATCGGCGTCGATATCACTGCTTACGGTTTCCACGAGCTGTTTGTTCCTGCTAAGCTCGTGGTGTGTGCTGCTGGGTCGATGAACACGCCTGTCGTTCTGCAGAAGTCGGGTTTCACAAACAAAAATATCGGACGCCATTTGCATATCCATCCTGTTGTCTTTACATACGGTGTCTGGAAGGACATTGAATTCAACGCGCATGGCGAGGCCATCTTGACTGCAGTATGTTTACTCTTTCCTTTTCTTGTTCCTGCAGTCTTGCTAATTTTTTCAGGTGAACACGGAAGTCGACGATCTCGACGGTCAAGGCTACGGCGCCAAGGTCGAGTGTCTAATCCACCAGCCCTCGCTCATGTTTGCGGGCATGCCATGGCGCGGCGCCGATGATTACAAGAAAACACTGGCAAAGTTCAATAACATTGCGACCTTCATATCGATCGCGCGTGATAGAGGTGAGGGTGAGGTGTATTATGACGCAAAGACGGGCACGCAGGGGTTTAGGTACCAGGTTAATGAGTTTGATCGTCACTCCATTGCGGAAGGTAAGACATAACTTCTAACTGCTTCTCGAGGTGATTGGTATCTAACCAAGTGTAGGAATCATCAAAATTGCTGAAATCTGCCTGGCCGAGTCCGTGAACGAAATCCATGCCGCCGAAACGCGCATCCCGCCCTTTATCGCCACTGCCGAAGACCACGAGCAAGGCCGCCTGAGCCCCCGTTTCCAAGCCTGGTGCGAGACCGTGCGCAGATATGCCGGAACACCGTTCAGTTCGATCATCGGCACCGCGCACCAGATGAGTACGTGCCGCATGGGTTCTTCGCCCGTGACCTCGGCGACGAAGACGACGGGAGAGCTGTGGGAGTGTAAGGATCTGTTTGTCACGGACGCGAGTGTGTTGCCGAGCGCGAGTGGAGTTAATCCGATGATTACGGTGATGAGCACCGCGGAGATTATTGCGGGCAATATCGTTAAGCGGCTCGCTGAGCTCAAGCAGACGGGGGCGGCTGAGTTGGATGTGCCGTCGAAGCTATAACTCATATTTTGAGAAAAATCTCTGTTTAGGGAAGAAAAGTGGAAATGTTTGATCTCTTTGATTTAATGATGTTGTTATTTGATTTCTTTGTGAATTATATGATTTTGGGGAAATATCTAAGTCAGGCCGCATATGTTGAAGTTGCGGCGCTGCATTTCAAATTATGGTCTGATTTTTTAGCATGTGAAGCTACGCGACATTCTCTTTTTATTTCTAGTAGTCTTAGTTTATTGAAGCAGTTGATTTCTAAATGGATCGGAAAGCAGAAAACCTGATATAACACCGAGAATAAACTGGTTAGATAACCTTCCGAATTGGAAACTCACGTTTACACTTTCCTCAAAATGCAAACTAATTAACGACGATGCCATTGGATAAATGACGAGATATGTGATTGATCTTTCGATCTTCATGCATTCTATAACTAACTATAATCTATCTACTATCACTATCTATGCTGCTTTATTTTTTGTTTGGCTATAAGTTCTCCCACCATGTGATTGAGAACTTTCGAATCTTGTCCATTTCCGCGTTCCATCTCAGCTGCTCGAGCGTCTGGCTAGTGAACCGTCCCTGATAGTCGTCGCCAATGAAGGACAAAAACCTGCTTTTCTGCTCCTTCAGGTATGCTTGAAATTGGCTGTTTTCGCCGTACACGCGCGGGATCAGGCGATCCATGACGTCGAGCAAACCCCACAGACAGACGCCGAGATCGATTGTCGGTAGATCGCTGGCGAGTTCTTGGCTCTGCGGGGAAGTCGGGTCGAGCATGACTAAGAGAAGCACGATTGAGAACCGCGCCATGTGTGCCAGGCGGACGGCTTGCATCTCCAGCGCGGGCCAGAGAACGGGGTCTTGGTAGAAATATTCGATGCCGATTAGTTTTAGCGCTATAGCAAGAGATTCCTGTGAGACGTGGAAGGTTAAGAGGCGCTGGATCGAGGTGGTGAACGGTGATCGGTGGAGAGGAACGACTTTGAGGTCGCGGACAAGCGCCAGTTTGGCAAGTAATTTGTCTGCGTCGGCGGTGGTCATTATCGGTGAGCTGTCGTGCAGCTTCAGGGCAGAGATGCGGTTGTCGATGGCCTCGATCGTTCGCGGCTGGTTTCCAAACACGATGCCGCAGTTGGGACAGGATTTGTAGTTGTTGTAAAACCCAGGCGAAAGCACGTCCTGCGAGCGGTAAGGATGCAAAGCGGACCCGCACTTTGCACACACAAAATCGTTTCGATAGTCGGGTGTATCGAGCCCTGTAGGCGGTAAGCAGGACTCGCACGAGCAGATAAAGAAATACCGCTGCGAGAGGGTTTTCAGGCGGTTCGGCAGCGCGAGAGTGTTGTCGATGTAGGACACGCAGATTTCTTCGCCTTGAGCGATCTTGCGGCCCGTACGGACGGTGATTTTGCCCTTCTCAAAGATGAAGAAGGCGTTGGGGTTGCAGGAGTGGTTGAACATTGCGATTAAGCCGTCGATCATGAGGCCGACTGAGTCGAAGAGCGGGTTGACGACCGTAACCGCATTGATGATTGTCTGTGATGGTCAGCAGAGTACATGATAGATAGACAGCAGACATCTTAAAGCCCACCTTTCCGACAATCTCAATGACACCTTCAAGAGGCAACTTCGTGCCCGAAAACTCCTTTGCGCCCTTGGCCATCAGGGCGATCGATGCATACTCCTCCGTCTCGAATTTTTTGTCAAGATGACTGAGCAGTGGGGATTTCAGCCCAAACAAATCGTCGGCATGCGTGCCTTCTAGTATTAGTAGTCGCATAACTAGCACCACAAGCGTAGGCGGGATCCTGGGAGTCAGTTTTTGGAGTATTTGACATTCCTCTTGGTGAAATCGTTTGCGGTCGATAATCTCACAGGACTGCAGGTCAGTTAGCAGTGTCTTGCCTCCCCTGCAATGATAGATGGACATACCTTTGAGCAGTAGAATGTAACGCCGCAGTCTTCGCATGGGAACACGCTCTCGACGGTGGCAGGCGCGATGCCTGGGCCAGAGGCTGATACTGTCTGTAGACACCTGGCGCAGGTGGTATTTCTTGCATCTGAATTTGGTACCATCACTGTCGGATGTTTTGATAGTACTTTCCGACCTATATCAATTAAATAGACACAATCACGTCAGACGACTGTAGTCTAATAGAATCTGCAAATCAAATGAAAACAAAGGAGCTTACCGGCAGGAAGATTGGTTTCTGCGACGATTCCATGGCCACGAGGGCTGCCGAAATCCTTCACTGCCAACGACGACGGTAATTCCGCCAAAAACTCAGACTTCATTTTCAGATTCCAATATCACCTCTTCTCTCTACCCAACAACCATCACAACATATAGCAACACCTCTGTTTGTAGCAGACTGAATATCTTTTTATAGAGAAGATGGTCAAGGGCGCGGGATCAGATACGAAAGTTATCAGGTTAGGGTCCAGAAGTCCCAAACTCCCAAAACTCTAAATTTCTGGAAGGAAAAAAAAATTTGGCAAAGAAAAAGTTGGAGGTTTTAATCTCATTGTGCGGTATTCCTTTTCTTGTCGACAGCCATTTGCCCAAGATGATGCGAACAGTGTATGTAAATGTATTGTTGAGCTTGTGTATTATAAGATTTATTGACGTGTAACTTTAGGAAACCTCGTAATGCGCGGTCGAAGAGAGCGCAGGTGGCTCGCGAGCCAAAGTTGATTGAAAACACAAAGAAGGCGCTTACCGTGCGCGGGTCGACGTGCAGTTTGACTGTTCAGAATGCGATGGCTGATCTTGTGAGTCTTTGTTTGGTTTCGTGTTTTAGAGGAAGATGGTGCTGATTTCAAATGAACAAAGGTCGCGTACAAGCAACCCGATGTGAAAAAGTTCCAGAAGAAGAACCAGATCCACCCGTTCGAAGATGCGTCGTCGCTCGAGTTTTTCTCGCAAAAGAACGATGCGTCGTTGGTTCTGTTTGGTTCGAGCTCGAAGAAGCGACCTGACACGTTGACGTTTTTCCGGTCGTTCAATTACCAGATTCTTGACATGTTTGAGCTGCGCATGCTCACTTACAAGGCGATTTCCGAGTTTAAGAAGAACGCGGTGAATGTGGGCATGAAGCCTATGTTTTCGTTTGTGGGCCCGATTTTCGATTCTCACCCGCATTACAAGATGGTCAAATCCATGCTTTTGGATTTCTTCCGAGGCGAGCAGCTCACCATGCTCGATCTCGAGGGTTTGCAGTACATCATCCAGGTCTCGGCAGCCGGCGACGGCAACATCAGCGTCTACAGCGGCGACACCTCGAGTCTTCCCGACATCAACTTCCGCGTGTACCAGCTCAAGACGTACAAGAGCAAGACGCAGACCAAGGTTCCCCGCGTCGAGCTCGAGGAGATCGGACCCCGGATCGATTTCAAGCTCGGCCGCGTGCACGAGGCCGATCCTGATCTTTTGAAGCAGGCGATGCGCGTGCCGAAGCAGCTGCAGCCGAAGGAGAAGAAGAATGTCGAGACGGATATTATGGGTGACAAGATTGCTACTATCCACGTCGGAACTCAGGATTTGAGAACGCTGCAGACGCGTAAGATGAAGGGTTTGAAGAAGCGACGGAATGGGGATTTTGAGGGAAGCGAGCCGATGCAGGAGTTTGGAGATATTGATATCGTCTCTGACGACGATGATAAGCCAAGAAAGAAGAGACGTTAGACTTTAGTGTAGGCGTTTGGATCTAAGCATTTTTATGTGTTTTTCATGTTGTAAGTACAGTTATAAAAGTTATCACTTTCGTTCAAACACCTGTCTTTCTTCTATTCTATACACAAAACTTTTATAATAATTACCAAAATGCACGCCAAACCACCACCCTCTTACAATACCCTACTCCACTTTTTATGTATATCAACTTCTACACCTTTACTTTAAGCAGACGCGACGGTCTTTGCTTTGTTGTCGATCAGACGAAGAAGGTTACGCATCAGCATTGTGATGGTGACTTTTCCGATCGAAGGAACGTATAGCGCCGCCTTTGTCTTCACTGATGGATCAAAGTTCTGTGATGAGCGTTAGTATATCAGCATCTCGTTATTTCAAAACGACTAACACTGACCTTTGCGGTAGAGAAGTTGACGCACACGGCACCGTCTTTGATAGACTCGGTAGGAAACTTGTATGATTCAGAAGGAACACCGGTGATGATAACGTCCGAGAGTCTGGCAGCCTCTTCGAGTTTGATCTCGACATCAGCCACGCGATGTCTACGGAGCTTGATGCCGTCTCCACGGTTGAACATCTGCACGCCATCAATGTCAAAAGAGTACACGACCGCGCCATCGTTTGCGAGAAGGGCAGCCAGAGGGCGACCGACGATTTCGCTACGGTTGACGATGGTGACGGTCTTGCCGTATAGACGGTTGCCGTAAGGTAGAAGCATGTTGTAGACGCCGAGGTACTCTAGGATCTTGACGAGCGCAAGCGGTGTGCATGGCAGAATGCTCTTTTTGGTCTGTTCGCTATCGAGATAGCGAGTGTTGTGGTATAGATTCTGGATGTATATATGAGAGAGTCCCTCGACGTCTTTATCCTTCGACACGACCTGCTGGAGATACTGATCCTGGCGATTTCCAAAGACCGGGAAATAAATCATGATTCCGTCCACAGCGTCGTCCTCGTTCGCCTGGAAAATAGCATCCTCGAGCTCTTCCTTGTCGACCTCCCGGAGCTCAAAATCGAAGCCGGTCTCTTGACAGGTCTTGCCGGTCCAGTCGGCGTACATGCGAGCCGCTGGATCGGTGTTTGCAAGGAACCCGACAAGCTTAGGCTTACGGCCTAGAGCCTCAATTCCTTTCTTGATCTCACCGGTGTAGATTTTGGCGACCGAGCTGGCGAGAACGGTCTCTGTGGATAGAAGTTGATGTTAGCCTTGATCTATTTGTAGAGTCGTGTACACTGCTGTATTTCGTTTGGTGTTACACTCACTTCCGGCAGGTGCCTCGGTGACAGAGTCTGATCGTCCAACCATTGGCAAGGAGTAGTCCGAGAGGGTATAGAAGTTGCTGTAGAGAAGATATCTCTGGAGTAGAGCTGCTGTATTTTATTTTTTTTCTGAATATGCTCAGCGGAGAGCGATGAGATGGCGCACTTTGGCTTGAGCCGCGTTGGGAGTAAATTTTTTTTTATTTTCTTAACAATTTTTATTTTTATTTTTATTTTTCCTGTTTACTAATTCCAGGAAAAAATTACCAACCTTAAATTTCTGATATCGCCATTCACCATCTCTTTCTCTCTTTCTCCACCGCATCCACAATGAGCAAGCAGACAATAGACCAGTACCTTGTCTCTCTGGGCGGGGTTCCCGACGAGTCTGACAAAATCGCAGATCAAATAGCCAATGGTATCAACTACAGACCTGTATCCTCGCGCTCGATGGATTCATCTGCTAACAATCAGTTTGTCTACCCTTAGATCTCCAATCGGGAACCACACGGCTTGTCGACTTTATCCAGAACCTCGGGCCTTATCTCACAGACGAAGATGTTGGTATTCGAATGAAGTGTACGTCGACATACTCTCTTACCACTGATTGTGTATTTCAAATACTGACATCTCGACAACCAGCTCTGAACTGCGTATCGACCGTCCTCACCAAACTTCCAACACCCCAGCTCAACTCAAGGCAGAGTATGTCATTCAATTCTTCTATAGTTGATTTCCACCGCTCAAGATTATGAACTAACACCGACTGTAATCTCAGTTACTATGTTATCTGCTTTCTTGAGCGAAAAGCTAGATGACGAAGAGTGCACAAAAGAGGCCGCCGACGGTCTTTTGGCTTTGCTTTCCATGGAACATATCGCTGCTTCCTCAGTGAAAGACATGGCTTCTGCGTAAGCTTTCTTATTATATTCTGAATCACCCTGGGTAGGTACGGAACACTGCTCTAACTTTACTCTTCTATAGCGTGTTCTCAAAAATCGACATGAAGAAACATGCCCAAGGTGTTCGTTATCTGGTTTACCAGATCATTGAGAAATTGTTCGAGAAGCACCTCACAGGTTAGCATTTTACAGTTCTAATTACTTTTTATATTTGCGTGGCTGTCCAAGATCTGCGGCTAATCACTCTGATACATTAGTCCTCAAATCGATGAACGACACCACTATAGATGGTTTCCTCCAGTTAGTATCAGGCGAGAAGGACCCGCGAAATCTCATGATTGGGTTTTCACTGTTAAAGACCCTCGCAAAGGAATTTGATATTGAGAAATCAGTAGAAGTACGTTCTCCAAGACTGCGCTGTCGTTGATCATGTTTCTAACTAGTACTACAACAGCCTCTCTTTGACGCGAGCTTTTGCTATTTCCCCATCACATTCAGACCCCCACCCGATGATCCTTACGGAATTACCTCAGAAGATTTGAAGTTGAAGCTAAGGTGCGAATCAACGCTCTTCCTGACTTTTTGATTCAAGCTAATGCTTCATGAATGATTATAGAGAGTCTATCGCTGCTTCGCCATTATTTGCTCCATTCGCTTTCCCCAGTCTGATTGAAAAGCTCACATCGAGCTCACTGAGCGTCAAAAAAGATGCAATTCTCACAATGTCTGCATGTATCGAAAGCTATGGCACCGTCACCGTGAGCGAATACTGGGAGAAATTGTTCAACGCTGTCAAATTCGAAGTCCTGCACGACGGTGAAGAGGATGTTCCCAACCTCGTCTGCGACCTTTTGAAGGTTCTCACACGGACGCTTGCTTTTGGTCAACTACGTGTGATTGACGACTCGCCGTTAGATCTTTTTCTCAAAGCCGTTGTCGCGGAATGCAAACCTCATATGACGAACTTGGATTCAAGACAGGCGAAGCCTGCCAGTAAAATTCTTTCGTCAGTTGCAGAGGCATCGTACATCTCTTTTGATGCCGCAGCCGAGGGAGTCCTTGTTTCAATCCTCAACTTGGTCGACTTTGCTTCGACAGCTACCCTATCTGAGCAAAAGACCGCCCTCGAGTCGCTGATGGCGTTCATCGAAGCATCGGGAAACCTCTACGGTTGGAGAACCGAGGCTGTTCGTACTTCGAAGCGCGAGAATGGCTTGCTTCCGTATAAGGACTCGTTCTTTGAAGTATTTTGCAAAGGATTTGTGAGCGTTCCTGCCGAGGAGGTGTCGTTCAAACTTCTTGCCCTGCAGGGGATCGTAAGGATGTCTCTTTTGCATTCGTTTTTGGACGAAAGCGAGATGGGGCTTGTTGTTCAGTATCTGGACGAAACTGTTTTGACCCAGCAGAATGAATCTCTCTGGTAAGTCAGAATACGGTCTCGTTATATCTTGTCGAACTTTACTAATTATATTTGCAGTGCCGCCGCTCTTTCATCTCTTCAAGCTCTTGGACGCGTCAAAGCCGATCTCATTCTCAACATTGCCTTTCCCGCATTCCTGTCCCAGCTTCCCGACCCTGAGTTGGGTAATATAGAAACTCCAACATCGTCCACAAAGCATTACCGAATAATCCTATCTGCACTCGCAGATCTCTGTATCGACAAAGGAATCTTTGACACACTCACCGTGCGGCTACTCAATCGACTCCCGTCAGCTGCCAAGAGTGACGACAACAACGCAGATTTCACACAGTCAATATTAGCCGCCATTCTTCTAGTTCTGCAGCGGAAGATTGGCGAGGAAGACTGGGATTGGCTGTATTTCTTCCAGACTCTAGTTCCTAAACTATTCTCGGTCGTTATCGCTGCTGCGCTCGAACTGAACACGCAGCTGCATCCTGCGCTTTACGCGCCTGCGTCTGTGGCAATCGCGGGAAAGATCATCAACTTGCTCGTGCGCTCTGTCCCTGTCGAGGCGCAGACTCTGTTCACTCAGGAGTTGTTCAATCTGTTTGTCTCTAGCAAAGATTCTGCGCTGATCTCAGAGCAGTATCGACCACAGGTGTCGATTCTTTACAAGCCGTTGTCTTCCGACTCGACCGGGCCCGAGGGTTTAGTTGAGCTCTTCACGGCCGCGGTGGCTGGTCTCCGCCGAGAGATTTCGCTCCCTGTTTCCAACGCACTTGAGTTTGCGGCAAATATCGTCACCGTGAGCGAGACGCGTAAAAACCCGCAAGATCGTCTTGCGCTTTTGCGGTTGGTCGCTTTGATTGTGAGCAAATGGTTCAGCAAGGAAGATGATGCCGTGTTTTTGAACACAACGGTGGCGCAGTTGCGCAAGACGCTTGCCGAGTCGGAGGATTTACAAGAGCGGATTATTAGTCTCGAGCAAATTTCATGGATCGTGAAGGCGTATGTGTTTAAGAGCAATCGGCAGTCGTTTGAGACGATCGAGCAAGTGATTGGCCTGCTGCGCGATGCAGAGATGGGACCGTACGCTTGCAAAGCTTGCGGGATTATGATCTCCGACGACGAGATCGTCGACAAGGCAAACTACGTCGTCGTGCGACTATTGGCTAAGCAGAGCTACTTCAGTTTCTGCGTAGTGAAGATCGTCGACGGCTTCAGCTCGAGTGTAGACACGGCGTCTAAGCGGCACTATCTTGTTGCGCTGTCGACTATTCTGCAGCATATGCCAGGCAAGATTGTGCTGCCGCAGCTGCAGACTTTCCTCCCGCTCTTGCTGCAGTCGCTATCAGTTGACGACGCACAGGTCAAACTCGCGTCGATCGACACCATCAGCGCGACGATGGCGGACGCGTCCGCGACAATGACGGAGCACTTGTCGACAATAATTCCCCGGCTCCTACAAGCCACCGTTCCCAAGCCTTCGAACCCTGCGAACGTGCGCGCCGCGGCTCTGAGCGCGCTCGCGAGCTTTACAAAGACGATAGCGGCGGACTCGCTGCGTCCTTTCCGGGCGGAGATTATTCGCAAGTTGCTGCCCGTGCTGGATGATGCTAGGCGGGATGTGCGCAAGGCGGCTGTGGACTGTCGACAGGCTTATTTTGCGATGGAGGCGTGAGTTGGAGAAGGGGTTTTGCATGGTGTATATAACGCTGTATATATTCATAAATAATTTGTCATTTTTATAGTATCTAGAATTGTAATAGTATAGTACAGTTTTTATTTCTTTAGTCTACCAGACAGATCTAGTACATCTCGTACTTGAGCAGCAGACGATCTTCGATCTCATCAAGCAGATACTCATGGCTCGCCAACTCGATATTCTCGGCCTCACTGCAATGCAACTTGTACACATCCTGCCCCGGCTGCATACCCGGCAGCCCGCCGCCGCCGCCGCCAGGCATGCCCATGCCCATGCCTCCCATGTCCATTCCACCGCCGGCGGAGTTGTTGCTGCCGAGGATGATATCGTACACGGAGCGGAGACCGAAGAGGCAGAGGAAGTACCAGGAGATCGAGGAGACCCATCTGACGTCGAGGTCGCGGGTCATGACGCCGGATTGCAGGATTGATTTGAATCTGATGGTCAGAGGGAAGGGCAGTTTCACTAATGATATGTCAGTCACGGAGAGCTCCCCAGTAAGTCAGCAGAGAAGGTAAGAGACGTACTTAAGATAAACCCGCTGAAAAAGAAATTGATCCAACTCATAAGCAAAGTCTGCGGCACAATCATCACCATGTTTCCCTTCAGCATATTCATCATCTGATCCATTCCACCCGGCTCCGCGAGCGGATTCGCAGGCGCTTTCGGCTCATCCTTGTTGAGAAACGATTCTTTGTCCTTGAGAAACTCGCCCTCTTTGAACGCCTGCGTCAGGTACTGCTTGCGGGAGAGGAAGGAGTATTGGGGGATGAATTTGCCGTTGGCGCGAAGGGTTGCTCCGCGAGTAAGTGCTTGTCTGTCGCATATGTTAATATCCACAATATCATTGCTCCTCATTCGACTTAAAAGAGTTAACTCACTGCTCGCGAATAGCTAGTAGATCCTGCTGCTTGGGTGTACTCTGCAGCAGCTGGGTAACGTAATGTCGAAGGATACCGACTAAAATCATGACCAACAGAATCGGGAAAAGCACCCAATCTCGCAGACTGGGATCCAAAACAAGATCCGGAGCGGCTGCCATCGTTCTTTTAATCTTCTTTTCTTTTAATTGAAGAAAGAAAGATGCGAATTAGGGCGAAACAAAAGAGAGATGGTGGGCAGGTGCGGTGGTGGGAAGCAGGTTGCTGTCGTTGATGATAGTCGAGATTTGTTAGTGATCACAAAGTCACTAAATAGATCACAGCTCACAACTCTATTATTTAGAGCTCATCTCCGTTGGGAATTTTTTTTCTGAATCGCAATTATCAAGGTCTCTACGCCGTTGACCTTTGATCTCTGAACCTCTTTAAAGTGATTGAAGATAGAAATCAAAGGAACAATAATGGCATCGGCAAACATTGCAAAGAACCAGCTCACAACACCGACGCAGCAGTCGCGGTTTGAACTCGGCGTGTGCATGGCAGTCTACGCTTGGGAGATCTTGACGGTCGCAGTCCAGAGCGGATGGGGAGGTCCAGATGGAGCGGATAAGAGGGATTGGATGACTGGCTCGATTGTTGAGCTTTATGGTGCGTTTTTGGATTTCTGCGTTTGAGGAAGAGAAGATAGGTTGAGAGGGTGGAGACTAACGTCGATTTGGTATAGAATCGCAGGATGAAGTCGATTCTGAGGATATCGAGGCCCGACTTTTGCAGGTTATGGAGGACGAATTCGAAGTTGCAGTCGAGGATGACTCCGCTTATAGTGTAAGCAGCTCCTACTCTACTAAACAATCTTAAAACGCACACTAACATCTGTCAATACAATAGGTGGCCGAGCAAATCGTCCGGATATTCGCGCAATGCAAGGAAAACGACTTTTCGCTTGTCGACAATCTGTATCAGAAATATCTTGCGAAGCAGAACAGTAGGTCGACCTCTGCTCCTGTCCAGGTTGTTGAGCAGGCTGAGGTCTCGGATGAGGATGACTACTAGTGTGACGTGCTGATTCTGTTGCGTGTGTAATTGTATGGTGATTTTCGGCGTTTTGTTTTCTCGTTGAGTGTTGTGAAATTTGTGTGGTGTGCATATGGATAGAGAAAAGTTTTTGTTCTACTTTACTTTCATCTTATCATTGAATTAGTTTTTATAATAAATTGAATCCAACATATCCGATCTAGCATATGATTCTATATTCCAAAGCCAACCAACCGACTACAAGACTCCAAAAGAGACCCATTACTCATTCTCGACTCCCAAAACATCAATACTCCCAGTTTTAACCTGAATCCTCCATCCTTCCGCCGCCAAAGACTGCGAGATAAAAGGCAAAAGCCTAGCTGTTCCCTGCGCGCTATGTGCTCCACGGCCAGTGATGATTGAGAACGGCGCACGCAAGCGCTGTCGCTGGGACTCGTGCCACCAGCTATCGACGTATTCGTGGGCTATTTTGTTTGCTTCTTTGACTTCCACTCCGTGGAGATCGATTGAATATTGCGTCGCACTATAATTTCCACTCGTTAATATCACGTCATCCACAAATATCAACATTAAAAAAGATAACGTACGTTTCTGCAACCTTGAGTCGGCCAAGGTCTAGTCGCAGCTTATCAAGTTCACTGGTAATCTCGCGCGACACGTTCGCGTAGTGCAATGGCGCTGCGGTGTGCAGATCTTTTGTATTCCGTCTCTTGTACAAGTCGCCCGCTTTTGCTCTTGCTTCATCGCGCGCAATGACTTTGTTCCTGATCAGCTGCTCGAGCTCAGCCTTCGACCTGCGAGGGACTGTGACGGTGCTGGATGTGGTGTGTTCGGACGAGGTCCAGGCTGGAGCAGCTGAGGAGGTCTGCACGATTGTGTGATTGGCCCATTTATTGGTGACTTCTTTAAAGTCGCCAGCTGCTGCGCCTTTCGAATTTGCCTCGATCAAGGTCGCGATGAGCTGTAGATCCTCTTTAGCCTCCTGAGCCTTTTCGATCAAAAAGACAGAAAAGGCGACCGCTTTGTCGAGATTGTTGTTGGTGAATAAAAGGATCTCAGAGTATAGAGAGTCTGGAAGATTAGGAATGAGATTCTGGAGTTGCTCTTTTGCCTTCCTACTTTCTTCAGCTGGGGGCGTGCACCAGTCAGTCATCAGCGATCGACGGGAATAGGTGATCAAATGCACGAGAGCCGAGGCAGGTTTTTTGGGATACAGATCCAGCGTTTTGGAAACCGTATCAGCCGGGAGATCGAGCAGGGATGTTACTGTCTCGACGTCTTCTTGACGATCGTAGGCTTCGGCAATAGCTTTGATACTCAATTTGCCGCGGCTCTTCTTAGCTTGCGCGACAGAGGCCCAGTCATGCGGTTTGGCTGCTGATGCCGATGTACTAGATGACGAGTCTTTATCGGTGTCGCTCAGGAACGAGAGCGAGAGAACTTCGTCGATAGCTTTTGACACGTCGTTGTTGCAATCAGTCAAGACTCGTTCGAGTTTCTTGCAATCAAAAGAAGGAAAACTGTTTTTGAGAAACTGAAGCTTCTCATTCCGCGGTTTGCGCGCCATTTCGTTCACCGGCGAGTCGTCTGTTGTCGAAGACTCCAGATCCCAAGACATTGTGCCCTCACAATAATCACTACAGCTCGCGGATGATCCTTCGCTGCTCGCATTGCCAGCAACGTCGGCAGCTCCTTCCACGTCTGCCTTATCAATCAGCGCTTCGTAAGCTATAGATGCACATAGTTCACGGGCTTTGTCGATATCTGAGAAATCTAGGGCAAGAGCTGCGATAAGAGAACTGTCGAGGTCTGGGAACTCTGCTTGTAGGACTTGTGCTATATCTTCAGAGTCTGCCGGTCGCGCCTTCTGTGCCTTTTTCTTTTTCGGCATTGCTGTAAAAATGTAATCCACCGACAAAAGAGTTGGAGGAAGGACAAGCACCGCAGATATATATACTAATTCACAACTGCTGTAGACAACGACCGAGTATCAAGAAAGCGCCATATCAGTCCTTGCGTATCGTACAGACAAAGCCGCCTACAGAACCGGCGCAATAGCACACGCAAAGCACTGCTGCATTATTCCGTATCGTTATCGTCGCTGTTATAAGAGTCGGTTTGTTGCTGAGCGAGTTCAAATCAGTTGATTGTTGATTGTTTCGATTAAAACCTACAGATATCGAAATATTTCAATACAATGACTAATCTACCGTAACAGCATGACAAATTTCACGTGACGCAGACCTGGCCAATGACGCTGCTCTGAATTACGGCGCCCGAGTCCTCTGTACGCTCGTCCCCAGAACAAAGTTCGTGGGAATCTCGAATCCCGCGGTGCCTTTTCTCGCTCACCGGTCAAAGGAAGCAGCCAAAAACATCCTCACTTTCTTCTTCAACATTATAGAAACCACGATGATTCGATCGACCGCTTTACGGACAATCTCGCGGGGTGCGTTTGCGCAGGGACGTACTGTTGCTGGGCGTCGCGCGGGTGTGAATGTCGCTGCCGTTCGGGCGTACTCGAGTGACCACCACGACGACCATGGACACAATGATCATGATCACCACGATCATCATGACGATAGCACTCCTCCTGTTGGTATGTGTATCTGTTGCTGTGCTGGTCATTATGTTGATATCATTTGCTGACCGATCTTGCGTCTTCTTTAGAGCTCTTCGACGTATGTTCTTTCCCATATCCGCACCACACCGCAACACCTCCCACCTCTTCTTCCTGACAACTAACAAATTCTTCTTAAACCTACAGAAAAAGACCTCTCTCTTCCTCGGCGGCGCCGTCCTCTTCATCGCTGCCTCGCCTCTCTTCAAGTACTACCTCGACGCTTACAGCTCTCCCCTGCGATCCTAATCATCCCCGCACCACCACCACCAACACCACGTCGATGTACTCAGTAGTTTGAAGGTATAGAGAGGGAGAAGGTTTCATGTTTGTTGTATATGTGCTTGGGTTTTTATTTTTTGTATCTCTTTGTTTAATGCATCTGGTGACTTTCGCATCATCCACACTCTTATCAACAACATCTATATCAGTGCAGAGCCAGGCAGAAAACTCTGCAGTGTTTATGATTTCTATTCGTCATATTAACTGATCATCAAACGAACCCGCCGGATATTAAACTAATACTAAATGCCACCTTATTTTTACAAATGCCTCCGTCTCTCCATCACCAGCTGTTCCAACTTCTGCAGCGATCCCCGCAAACTAACTCCAGACCGCTCCCCGTTCTCCTCCAGATACTCCTCCATCTTCACCCGGTACTCCTTCAACTTGTGCGTGATCGGGAACTGCTTCTCCGCGCCTTCCTCCGCAACCATCTCCTCGCTTTTCAGCGCAGAGTTGAGAAGGATGTCAAACATCTGCTTCCACAGATCCTGCTGCCAATATCTCTTAAAACTCTCCTTGATCCGGTACCGCTTCCGCCGACCGCTCGCGGCGCTGCTGTCGGCTGTGGTCTCGATGTATTTGCCGAAAAGCATCATGTGGATTATACTAGCGAGACCGTGGTAGTCAACCTGGTAACTCCAAGGCCGCAGCTCACGCATCTCCGCGCAGTCCTGCTCGCATGTCTTCCAGTCGGCAATAAACTGCACCCCGCGCGGGAACGCCGTGATATCAATCGACCGACCAAAATCAATCAGCGTGATTCCCTTCGAGCACCAGCCGTTCTCGCCCTGCGCGGAGTATGACCCCGAGACGGACTTTGATGTGGTAGTAGACGATAGCGAGAGGCCCGCCATCGAGCTCGTATGCCGGCTCTGGACTAACCGCACCATGCAGTTGTCGGGCTTGAGGTCTCCGTGAAGAATACCGACTTCGTGCAGCGCCTCGATAGTTCGAAACAGCTCGATGGTGAAAAACATCACGAGACATTCATCGAGTCCGAGAACAGGCCCTGACGCAGTCTTTATACTCTCGGCCTTGACTAGATTCACTAGATCCAGGATCGTGCCCTGATCGTTGTAATCCAGCACCAGGCAAGTAGTATCTGCAAACATATGAAGTTCGCGTGCTCGAATCATCGACGCCAACGCGCGCTCGCGCATCTCAAGCGAAAGTCCCTCGCCGCTCCAGCGACGCTCAATCTCGCGCATGATGTAAAACTCCCAGGCACTAGGCGGCTGCTCCATCTTCATCGCCACACTGGTTTTATCCTCGCTCTCCAACACGTTCTCGTCGTTCAAGACATCAAAGAGATACACCGGCGCAAACGCACCTTCGCCAAGCTCTTTGCGCAGTCGGTATGTCGTGCCGCGTAACACGATCTCTGCATTCTCAATCGCTCGCTTGTTCTTCACCGCCTTCTGTAATATCTCTGCCTTTCCAAGCTTGCGCCCGTCATAATTGTATAATCCGCGGAACGACCGCAGCGACTCGGTCGCATGGTCAAGGATCGCGCTCCGCACGCCGTCGTTCATGGGGTTCACCATCATCTCCTGCACAACCGGCTCTTTGCGCCAGATATCAACCTCGCGAGTTACTTTCCGCGCGACAGGAGAAAATCTAATCATCGAGTTCTCGTCCTCCGCACCGGCAGCCTCATCGCGGGCAAGAATGTCTCGTCGAGGAGCAGGGTGCTCGATGAAAGGTGAGCTCTCAAGATTCTCATCCATGCACTCGTTTATGAATCGATTATGCTTAGCCTGTGCCGAGCGACTCACGGTAGCTACAGACTCTGTAGTTTCCACAATCGGCGTCATCATGCCAAAGCCGTAGGCCTTTGAGGAAAGAGCGGGACGGTCTGATTGGTGAGGTGTCGCTGGTACACCGAGAGGAATCAGACTGGTAGTTGTTCGTGACTGTTCAGAAGAGGGTTCATCGGAATCACGATAGATGCCAATCTTTTCTTTGATGTCCCGAGCACCGTCTCCAACTTCGGGTTCATCGATGGTGTTTTCAACTTCCTGGCCTCGACGTCGTGGATCTTCCTGATCGTTGTAATGCTGACTATATTCTTCCTCTTCCTCTTCTTCATCATCCTCCTCGTCCTCTTCATCATCATCCTCCTCGTCTTCATCCTCGTCGCTGTCGTCATCGTCCTCGCTGCTGTCGGAAACACCCTCGTTCTCAACCGCATCATCAGTATCACAGCTAAGAGGCTGGTTAAACAGACTGTAAATCTCCTCAGTCGCCGCCCGTGTATGGACAGTCATGGTCGGAGACGGCGGTCGACGTCGAGTAGCATCAGGAGAACCTAGACTACATATTAGCACCTGTAACAAAGACAGCAAAGCAGAGATTCGGCATTGCAACATACCCTTCAGCGGCATGGTTTGAATAGTCATGTTATCGTCCCGCGGTAAACTTTTTCGCTCTTCACGAACTTCAAATTCTGGATGTGCAGCAACTGGGGTCCGATCAGCCATAGGTGTCCGACTGACACTAGCCATGGGAGTCCGATCAGCCATAGGCGTCCGACTAGTGACAGGGGTGCGGTCTACCAGAATTGAAGGCTCGCGGCTCTGAGATCGTAGTGGTGTCGCTGAAGGAACGTCGGCAGACAACTCGATAGGTCGAGCCGCGACGGCCTTGCCGTGGCGTCTCAGCAGGCCTCTCGCTCTCGCTCGGAGCTCTTCGAAGGACAATTCTTCTTCTATCTCGCTTGGATATATAGCCTGTAGGTCCACAACAAACTTCTCCTCTCTCTTGTTCTTCGAGCCAGTCGGTAGAGCCGGTACTTTAAACACAGGTTGCGGAGGTGGACCCGCTTGCTGAAATATCGATCCACCGGATAAAGTTGAAGATGACGAGGTATCCTTGAAAATCGGCATTTTCTCTCGCGAAGCAGAAGACGGCGGTAATCTGCTCATCATCTTCATGGTTTCGCCCTCAATCGGCCTCGACTCCATCGTGTTCTCCTTCCTTCGCTCAGCAATGCTCCCAATCGACTCCCACCCGCCGCTCCGCTCAGGGTTCACACCCGCAGACCCATCCGGGTCGGCAAAGATCGCCATCTTCTCTCTAGGTCGAGAAGATGCGCCGTCAGCCATACCGGCTCCAGAGCGCTGCTGTTGTGGATTATCTTCACGTTCGACGACAGTGAGCTCTTTCGTCGCGAGCGCGGGACGCAGAACGGCAAGTGCGGGCGAACTCGGCTCGTTGGGGTCGGCAGGGTTCGCTTCCAATCGCTCGATGAACTCGGTATACCGTCTCCTCAACCTCTCCGTCGGCCGTGCATCTCGCTCGATTCCCATCCTAAAAACCTCGTCCGCCTGATTCTTGCGGTTGAGCGACTCGAGCAGGTGCGCGTACTGCTCGTAAAAGGTCGCGAGCTCGACGCCGATGCCGCGCTGGAACAAGAACGAGAAGATTTCGCGCGGACTGTCGTTGTACTTTGCGTACTCGAGCCACACCCGCAAGTACCGTGGATCGTTCGCGTAGTGCGTCGCGGACTGGAACTGCGTCGTGCATCGCTCGAGAAGCGAAATCAGACCGCTCTCGACGCTCGCGCCTTGCGGATAGGTCTCGTGCGTCCATTTGAGGTAGTCTAGCCAGACTTCAAGCGGATCGTCGAGGTCGTCGGCTGTCTTTAGTTTTTCTTCGAACCGGTCGCGTGCGGGCGAGGAGACGCCGCGAGGAAGGTCGACGGAGGCGAAACTGAAGGCTTTTGCTAGTGCTGCTGCGGATCTGCCTTCGGGCAGTGGTTGGATATTTTCCTTTTGATGCTCAAACATGTCAAAAGACACTGCCTCGAGTGATCCCATGTTGAACCGAGTGAATCGCGGGTATCTTTGTGTGTTTAAAGAGAAAATCAGCGCTGGGAGAACAGGTCGAGGGCGACTCGAGAACCACAACAAAAACAAAGGAAACCCGCCGTTGCCGCGGTAACACACGAAACTCTAAATTTAATTCACGTGCGGCTTACAATCGACTCATTCTGAATTTTTTCTGTATCTCGATTAAAGACCGGCGACAACTATCTTTCTATTAGCAGCAGCTACGCAAGACAAAGACATGGACCGACAAGTAGTTGGGATTCTGGGCGGAGGTCAGTTAGGCCGGATGCTGGTTGAGGCCGCGAGCAGATTGGACGTGAAGACGCTGATTCTGGACGCGGAGAACGCACCGGCGAAGCAGATCCGGGCGTCGGACGAGCACGTCACTGGGTCGTTTGCGGACGCTGCCGCGGTGCGGGAGTTGGCGGAGAAAGTGGATGTGCTGACGATTGAGATTGAGCACGTTGATACGACGGTGCTGTTTGAGCTCGAGAAGGAGAAGGGGGAGAAGCTGCAGATTCATCCTTCGCCGGCGACGATTAAGTTGATTCAGGATAAGTTCTTGCAGAAGGAGTTTTTGCTCAAGAACGGGGTCGCTGCTGCTGAGTGCGAGAGCGTGGAGAGCACCGAGGTTGCGTTGGAGAAGGTGGGTGAGAAGTACGGATATCCGTACATGCTCAAGTCGCGGACGCAGGCCTACGACGGCCGAGGCAATTTCGTGGTGTCGTCGAAGGACGATATCCCCGAAGCCCTCAAGACGCTGCACTCGCGACCGCTGTACGCGGAGAAATGGTGCCCGTTTACAAAAGAGCTCGCGGTGATGGTCCTGCGAGAGCGCGACGGCTCGGTGTCGTCGTACCCGACCGTCGAGACCGTGCAGAAGGACAATATCTGCCATCTCGTGTACGCGCCCGCGCGGGTGCCGGATTCGGTGCAGTTAAAAGCCAAGGTTTTAGCCGAACGCGCGGTGTCGCTGTTCAGCGGCGCGGGTATCTACGGCGTCGAGATGTTCCTGCTCGAGAACGGCGAGATCCTCTTAAACGAGATCGCGCCCCGGCCGCATAACTCGGGCCATTACACGATCGACGGGTGCGCGACTTCGCAGTTCGAGGCGCATATGCGTGCGATTCTGGGCCTGCCGATTCCGAAGAGCAAGACCGGGTTCGCGCTCTCGACGCCGTATACGAGTGCGATCATGTTGAACGTGCTCGGTGGCGCGGAGCCGGATTCGGAGCTGGAGATTTGTCGGCGTGCGTTGACGACGAAGGGCGCGACTGTGCATCTGTATGGGAAGACGACCCGGCCGGGACGGAAGATGGGACATATCAACATCGTCGCCGGAAGCATGGACGAGTGCGAAACGCGTCTGGCCCAGATCCAGACCGGCGAGTCCTCCTCATCCTCATCCTCCGACGAGCAGAAGGAAAAGCCGCTCGTGGGAATCATCATGGGCTCAGACTCTGATCTCCCGGTGATGGCCACCGGCGCGCGCATCCTTCAGCAATTCGACGTCCCGTTCGAGGTGACAATCACGTCCGCGCACCGGACGCCGTTCCGGATGACAAAGTACGCGACCGAGGCCGCGGCGCGCGGGATCAAGACGATCATCGCGGGCGCGGGCGGAGCAGCGCATTTGCCGGGTATGGTGGCGGCGATGACTACGTTGCCGGTTATTGGTGTGCCGGTGAGGGGCAGTACTTTGGATGGCGTTGATTCTTTGTACTCTATCGTTCAGATGCCGGTAGGTTCTTTTCTCCCCACTGCCATCATTTACACATAAAACTAACATCTTTCTAGCGCGGTATCCCGGTAGCCACAGTGGCAATCAACAACGCGACCAACGCCGCCCTGCTCGCGGTCCGCAACCTGGCGGCGTTCATGCCAAAGTACCAGTTGAAGCTCGAGGAGTACTACGCCTCGATCGAGAAGGAGGTTCTCGACAAGGCTGATAGGTTGGAGACTATTGGCTTTGAGTCGTATCTCAGTAAATAAGAAGTTTGCTTTGAGGGTTGGGTGGGTGGTTGTGGTGGAAATAGGGGTAGGAAGGAGGGTGCTGGTTGTGGTTGTGTACTATAATATTACTAAACTAATAGAGGAATGTTACAAGATCATTAATTGACCGTATTAAGACAGATGAAACAAAAAAATCAAAACCATTAGATAATATTACAGCGTTGGCTCGTGAATAGAGACATCGAAGAATTAACAAAAACTGACAAAAAAAACAAAAAGAGAAGCAACTACGCCCTCCAGACTTGGGAAACCGAGTCGTCAGGGGTAACGTTATCGACAATGTCTTGAGCATCGACGTATTCATGCGCAGGCGTAGCGACAGGCTCGGTGGGGATCGCCGTCGCGACCTCGGTTGGCGGGGCGGCGGACTCGGAAATTTCGCTGACGGGCGACTCGGCGGCCGCGACCTCGGTAGGGGAAGCGGCAGCGACGGTGGAGGCCGCAGGGGCAACAGTCGAGGGAGCAAGAGGGGTGCCGGCGACAGGGATGGCAGACGCAGGGGCCTCAGATGCGGCGACCTCGGAAGCGGGGGCGGCGGAGAAGACGCTGGCGGCGGTAGGAGGCGCGACGGAGCTCGCGGTCGAGCTCATTGTTCCTCTGGGAGAAAGAGGGGTGTTGCCGGAGGTAGCGACCTCGTGGATGATCTGCCACCATTTTTGCAGGTCGTCGTAGGTCGAGGTCTTGAACTCGAAAGTGTGCTTGCGGGTGATGGTACCGAGCGCGTCGCGACCGGTGATCTTGAACTTGTTCTTTCCGGTCTCTTGTGCGTAGGGGGCGCCGACGTTTGCGTCGGGCAGGTAGAGCGACCATTCGGGCTCTGTGCTCTGGTTGTAATCCTTGGAGGCGAACTGGTGCATGTACTTTGACGGGGTGATGACGTAGTATGCCGAGTTGTAGGCTTTGGAAAGGGTCATTGTGCCCTTGCGCTGGAGAACGCCCTCGATGAGAGGGATGGTGGACTCGTGGTTCATGTTTGCGTAGCGCACGCGGTCGATCGAGCGCTTCGGGACGGACTCGTCGGCGAGGACGTCCTTGTTTGCGGTGCAGAACTGGTTCCACTCGAGATCGTCGGGGATGGCGAGGAAGGACTGCGTGATTGCGCCGTAGGCCTGGCGCTGGAAGTCCCAGAACGTGTTCTGGACCTGATCCATGAGGGTGAAGGCCTGGCGGATGCCGCTGACGACGTGGGCCTCGAAGGTCTTGAAGTCCTTCTGGATGGTGAGCAGCGAGTCGGTCTGGGCGTTCTCTTTTGAGATCTGGCTCTCGAGGTGCATGAGTATAGCACGGTTGATGACGTAGGGATCTTTCAGGGGCTCAGCCTTGCCAGAGAAGACTCCGAACGAGGACGAGTACTGGCCAAGGGCCTCGATCTGCTTCTGAGTGAGGCCGCGGGCGCGCTCGACCTCCTTGACGCCCTTGAGGCCGGTGGACTTGAGACCTTTGATGTGCTCCTTGACGTCGTGGGAGAGACGCTCGACGTGGGGGACGACAGAGCTCTTGATGTTGTGCTCGGCCTCGTTTGCGGCGTTGATGAGGGCCTCGGACTTCTCACGGAGAGTGAAGAAGCCGCCGGAGATGCCTTCGCGGGTGGCGGGGTTTGTTGCGGTGGTGGTGGCCGCGGTGGGGGCGGTGGAGAGGGCGGGAGCGGCGGGTTCGGAGGGGGCGATGGAGGCGGTGGAGGAGAGATCGGCGGGGGTCTCGACGGCGTCAAAGTGAGGAGCTTCGAGGACGGCCTTTGAGATCTTCTCGTAGTCGCGGGCCTGGTTGTGGTAGAGGACGCGGTGGGCCTCGACGTAGTCCTCGAGCATGGAGGTTACATGGCGCCATGACTCGAGGCGACGGAGGAGGATGTTTGTGGGGTCGATGATTTCGAGGGGGATAGCGTCTTCGAGGGAGGCCATTGTGGATTAGAAGAGAAGAGGAAGTAGAAGAGAAGAAGAAGGAGAGGATCAGGTAGAGATGGGGAGGAGGAGGAGGAGAGGAAGAGAAGGCGGTGGCTGGTTCTTTATACGCAGGCAAAGAGCCGAACGCGGATCTGCCTGAAATTAGGGTTTTGGACTGACGCAATTTGGGTAAATTAAGGTTCTTTCCTGAAGCTTAGTTTGTTTTTTGGGATCCGCTGTTCGAGATCGATCTGAGCAGTTGCGGTTCTTGAAGAGATGATTGGTAAACAAAGATAAAGAACACTTTTGATATATGTATATTGTGCTTTGTGCTTTGTGCTTTGCATTCTAGTTCTGCTTTTATCAGCCTGTTCTGCCTACTCTTCTTCTCAATACCCTCCTACTCTGGCTCGGCACTAGATTGTTCTTCGATTACCCTGCACGGCGTCTGGCTCGCTTGCATTAGTCGAATGGAGCACAGACACGGACTTGGTATCATCCGACTCTTCTTCTCTTCTTCTCTTTCTATGATATCATCTCTTCTATTATAACAACACCTATCGTATCAGCATCGTCACCATCGTAGACTCTATCTATCGTACACTCCTCTTCTATCACCACCCAAACGTCTCATCAAAGTACTCAACCCGCCCCTTCGCCTTCCCCATACACCCCACCACACTCGCCCGCACCGCATCGTTCATCTGCCCCGGCCCGCTCACCATCACCCCAACACTCCCGCCCTCGTAACTTCCCGCCACCGCCTCTTCCACAAACCCTTCCACCGAAGGGCGTCCGTGCTCGACCCTCACCGCCTCCACCAGCCGCCGCACCTCCTCGCCCTCCGCCATCTCTATCCCGTCGCTTCCTCCAGTCACATATATCTGCACCTCCACCCCTCCTCCCCGCACAAGTGTCTCCATCTCTTTCGGAAGCCACTCAAGTGCATCCCTCTCTCGAATATACCATCGCAGTATCGTTCGCCTCCTCCCTTCTTTTCCCCTCCTCCTCCTCCTCCTCCTCCTCTCATCCTTCTCCGCGCTCTCCTCCTCCTCCGCGACCGTCCTCCGCCCAAGCTCAACCGCCCATTGAAACACAGCCGTGATCCCCACTCCTCCCGCAATCAGCAGCACTGTATCATACTCCAGCAACGTCGGCTGATAGTGTCCATACGGCCCTTCCACTATCGTCTTTAACTGTCCTCGTTCTGATCCATCTCTCTCCCCAATGCAATCTCTAACAATCGTATCCTCACCCCCAATGCTCTTCACCTTCACACTATCTTCCCTCCCACCCACCACATCAGCCTGATCTCCGCCTCCACCTCCAGCTGCTGCTGCCATCGCACGCCTAAACAGCTTCTGCGTGATCCCATTATTCCGCCGCGCCAAAATCACAATCTTGTGCTCTTCATTCATCACATTCGACCGAAACACCGAAAACGGATGCGACTGCCAGAACCCGCCCCACACCATCACATAGATGTACACATGCGCGCCCGGGTACACCCGCATCGCCTTACTGCATCCAATCTCGACCCGGCACACGTCCTTCCCCCGCACCTCCACCGTCGACGGCCGCGTCCACCCAAGCCCAATCATCCTGCATATCCGACAGACCCTGTCGAATACCCAAAACCCAATCGACACCTTCAGCCATGCCGTATACCCGAATCCGCCGTGGAAAAAATCAACATGAAACCAACTCCCGAGTATGAAGACGACCGTAAACACAATATGCACCGCCAAAAATATCTGGTACGCTGCCCGTCGAAGCACATACCACCCTTGTAATAGCATCAAGCACGATATACACAGCGCAACCACTCCGCACAGCCAGTAAGGCTTCACATAGTACGTATGCAGCGCGTCCGCCCGCACTGCGTATATCGTCCAGCACACGCTATGAATCGCCGCATTCAAAAACATCGTCCGTGCCACCCACCGATGATACACATTGAACGTGTTAAACGACCATCCCGTCAGCCACATCAAAAAATTGTTTCGCGACGCAAACAAAAACACCAGCGGCAGCTGCCCAAACGCCATGATCCCCGACCGGTGCGAAAGATAGTCGATCTGCAGCGTCTTCCGATCGATATAATACACGTTCGGGTACACTATCTCATACCCAAAGCACAGAAAAAGGAAGTTCATCAGACAGTGGATCGCAATCACAATCGTCTGCGCTCGCGTGGGGATATACCCTAAAAACCGAACAACCACATTGTGCCGTCTGCCAAACGTCGCTGGAACAAACACCAGCTGCCGTAGTTTATTCAACTTGTAGGACACATACGCCCGAGAATAAAACAGTTGCAAGCCGTGCACCACCATCGCCAATAGGAATACGAGGGACCAGTAACCTATCATAGCCTCACTTTACACCAAGTCAGCAATAGTCATATCAATGAATAGAAAAAGTAGAGCTGACCTGAAATACGTCCCCTTCCCAATCTCGCTGTATGATGCCCGGTTATATCTCAGCGCGGCCTCATATATCTCCTTGTCTGGCGTCACTGGCCGATCTGTCGTGTTCTTGACGCTATCAAGCTCGATATACCACCCAGTCTCCGTCGCGTTCTTGTATATACCCTCCAGCTCCTCCTGCACCTCTTTCTCCGGCTCGATCACCCACGTATATTCAGCACACGTCGTCGCCCACCCGCTGTAGAAATACGGCGTCAGCTTCGACGGCGCAAACGTATGCATGCACTCCATGAACGCCGCGAGCCACGTCGTGCTGCTGCACCGGATCTCCCCCGTGTAGTTCCACAACCCCATCGTCGGCTCGACGTACTCGGTCGCCATCATGCACGCATAGAGCTCGTTGTGGGTTTCGAATGCTGAAGCGCTCGAGATGAGGAGGGCGAGTGTTGCGAGCAGGCTGCCATATCTCTTCATTATACAGCTTGTCGACATCGTCATAACTCCGGAGCGCGAAAAAGGACGAAAGGCGGATAACAAGCAGCTTCAAAAGACTAAAACCATCTAAAACAGAAAGCAAACAAGCTTGTTCTTCTATCGTATAATCCTCTTTTCTTCTCTTCAAATAGCAAAACAAAGAATATCTGCGTGTCGCCGGAGTAAACCACCAGAGCTCAACAAAAGTTCCCAAACTGGTTTGGCCACCGCTGTGCGCACGTGCCGCGTACGTCATGACGTAGTTTTAATTTGGTTGCTTCATTGTGTTATGTAAGGGATTTGTAATCATATCTGAGAAGCCATTGTATTCTATGTTATGACTTGTTTCTATGGTTATATTCTATAGATACATCCTCAATCACTGCCCTCCGCATCCCAGTCTATGCGATGTCGCCGGCTCACCGACGGGTGATGGTCTCGGCTGCTCCTGCTGCCTTCATCTTCTGTTCTGCGCTCTGTTCTGTGCTCTGTTCTGCGCTCCGTTCTGCTGCCAGACCGTCCTTCTGATCTCTCCTTTTCATCTCTATCTGACACATCCCGCGACCGCAGGTGACTATCGTGGTGATGTCTATGCCGATGCTCTCGACTGCGGTGCCGCTCCTCCTCCCCGTCTTTCCCCTCGGTCTCTCCCTCGCGCCGTCGCGAGCTGTGGTGATGTCGTCGTTCTCTATCGCTTCTCTCTCTGTCTTCACCCCTTCTCTCTCTGTCTTCACCTCTCTTTTCTCTCTCCTCGTCGTAGCTCTTGTCGTCTCGGTGCCGTGAACTTCGACTGCTGCTATGGTGATGGTGATGTCGCCGTTCACGACCTTCCTCTCTCTCCTCATCATTCCTCCGTCTCTCCACTCGTGATTCCGTATCTCCCACCTCCTTCCTCTCCCCCTCCGGCTTATCAAACGACATCGCCTGCTGCAACTCCTCCTCATCCCCCTTCGTCTTATAAAACGTATGATCAACTCTAATCGTACGTCCCAGCACCGTCGCGCCGTCGAGATTATCGACCGCCAGCACAGTCGACCGCTGATCTTCGTACTTTAGAAATGCAAACCCCTTCGACTTGCCCGTGTCTTTGTCCCGCATCAGGTCGATGAAGACTGGGTTGCCGTACTGCGAAAAGATGGCGAGGATGTCGCCTTCTGTGAGGTTGAACGGGAGCGATCCGATGACTAGATGCGTATAAAAGTCAGCCCCTTGTTCTAACAACAAACACAACGTAAACAAATACAAGTCCTCTCAAACATCAACATCACAGAACGACAGAATAAAACTTACAAACAAACGCGGTGTCTTTGTAGTCATTATGCCATGATCCAGCCTCGCTAACCCCAGCCTCCAGTTCCTGCTCATTCAGCTTCGCGATCCGTCGCTGCTGCGGATCGTCTCTATTCCTCCGCTCCGACAATCTTTTCATTGTCTTCATCTTGTGCTTGAAGATGCGTGAATGCTTGTGTGTAGTGAAGTAGGGAACAGGAAGATGGTGAGGTGGTGGGTTGATGTGAGAAAGTTAATTCAAATTTTCGGAATCTCCCAAATACACGTCTCTACACGCCCTCCTTCATAAGTGCAGTATCAGTCTGACCATCTCTCTTTTCTATCTGAAGAGATCTATACAGTCATAGTTCTCTACATCTGACTTTGACGAACTCAATGACTTCTCTTCTTTGCGTGCGGTCGCAGCTGCTTCGGCTCCGATGTCAGCCGAGACCATCAATGCTCTTACATTCACGGCTATTCTCAACATCCCACTTCCTACGAAACCAGCAGACTCAAGAACAACAGCAAAAGCTGCAACAAGAGCTCGAACAGCAGAAGCTGGCGCATCCCGAACTGAACCCCGCGTTTCTCAAAAAACTCATAGAAAAAGGTCTCACCGTCGAAGACCTGGTTGACCGTGAAAACGCTCGGAATCGGCAAAAGAACCGCACCGCCCTCTTCTACACCCTCTCCATCATCATCGCCACGCTCGCGCTCTCCTACGCTTCCGTCCCGTTCTACCGATTACTGTGTCAAAAGACCGGATGGGAAGGCACGCCGATGACAGACCTGTCCCGGTTCACGCCGGACAAGGTCGTGCCGGTCAAGACGAACCGGAAGATTACAATCTCGTTCGAGTCTGACGTGTCGAGATCGCTGCCGTGGTCGTTTGTGCCGCTGCAGAACTCGGTGTCGGTCACGCCGGGGGAGACCGCGCTGGCGTTTTTCAAGGCGAAGAATAAGTCGGCCGAGGATATCATCGGTGTCGCTACTTACAAGTATGCATTCTCTATTCTGTTGATTATCTGGTCGGTAGCTAACTTTGCTTAACTCAGTGTCAATCCGCAGCAGGTTGCGCCATACTTTAGCAAAATCCAATGTTTCTGCTTCGAGCGTAAGCTTCTGTCTTTCATATGAGAGGTTGGGTGACCTACAGCAACTAACTGAACCAATGCAGAGCAACAACTACGAGCGGGTGAAGAGGTCGATATGCCGATCTTTTTCTTTATCGACCCCGACTATGACTCTGATCCGTTGATGAAGGTATGCTTGCTTCTAACCATCGTGGCTGCTGAGTTGACAGCTTGGGAGATACAATTTACTGACTCTTGACAATAATGCAGAACATCGATCACGTCGTCCTCAGTTACACATTCTTCCGTAAGCATACCTTCTCTTTTCCTCTGCTTAAATGAAACCACTGCTGACTGACATCTACAGGCGCGAGACCAAACAACTATGGAATTCTCACTCCGGTCGTCGCCAGCCCTGAATTCTCGGCCCCAATCAATGTCAGCGCGAACACGAGCTCCACATCCTCAGCATAGCTGTACTCAATGTTCATCTTGATGTAAATAGTTAATCATATTGATATTTATTCTTACAATATCCCTTTTCCGTATATTAGTTTACAAAAATAAGAGAAACCCATCCTACATTTCCATCTCCGCATCCTGGTCACCCAAAGCCTGCACGATCAGCGCCAGCTTTTCCTGCAACACCTTAATCCCCTCCAACACGATCTCGTTCGGCGGCAACTGTCCCGTCGCCTCGACATCGATATAAAACCTCTCCGGCACAGCGTTATAATCAAACGGCTCGTTCTCCTTCGGCGGTTCCTCCCAGTCCGCGTTCTTGCTCTTTGGCCACTCCTGCTCGGCCGAGACTTCGAACCAGTAGTCTGTATGCCGGAGTTTATTCCAGGGGTCGTATTCAAACCCGATGGCGGCGGTCGGCGACCATTTCGCGTGTTCTTTGGCGATGCCTTTTTTGGCGATGCATTTCAGTTTTAGTTCTTGGTGTTTTCGCAGTTTGCAGATTAGCACGCCTTTGCCTTCCGGGTCTGTTGCAGTACGTTAGTCATCTGATCAGATAAATGGAAGCAGTTTAGGCGTACCGTTGATCACTGGTCGACCGACTTCGGTGTTGTGGCTCATAATCACTAAATCTCTTGTGTACACGTCCATCGTCGCGTCGCTGGTACACCGCGCGTCCAAAGTAAGCGTGACCGAGCAGTTTTCACAGTATTGATCGCAGTCACAGTCCTATATACCCGTCAGTGTTTCTGGACAGACGAAAGAAGTTTCCTGGTGTGTAGTACTCTAGTGTAGCGCAGGGATTCAATGCCGGTGGAAGCTAGTGGGATGAGACCTAGTCTGTGGGCTATGAATTCGTCCGCAAGGACTGATGTGTTGATTTCGATCTCAACCAGGTCGATGGCTGTAATGCCAAATTAGAATGTTGTGTCTTTTTCGCAGATATAAAGAGATGAGCTCTGTAGAAAAGGCGATGCATACCGATGGTAGGAATCTCTGCTATCATAACTCGTCGTATCGAGTTCGCAAGTCTAGCAATCGAGCATTAGTAATTGTCTCTCACATTCATTCTATTCAACAATCGATGCACATCGACAGCAGCTGGCAAAGATGAATGAAACTAGAAAGATGTAGACATACGACAGATCAACATTCGACAGCACAAAGTCAACATTCTCAGACCCGGCCTTTCGAATCGTCACCTGAGGTCCCTGAGGACCGTCTAAACCATCCATATTATTATATCTTCCTTGTCGAGCGCTGTATATCCAGCAAAATCAAGCCCAGTTGCAGTTCTCCAGTGGGATCCTCCTGACAGTCTTCATACGATGACTGTGAGGTTTAGGCAGGTTCACATCCAGGGTTCGGGTAGTAGTTTAGAGTTTTCGACTTTTTTCGTGCTTCGAGGACGGAATCCGTGAAGTTCCCGACCGCGCACTCGATAGCTTTCCGGGGACTACTTTGTTTCTTCTTGCAGTTCTTCTCCGACGCTCTGGTAGTTTGAGGGAGAATTTGCGTTACTGCGTGTTTTACCACAAGTCTGTTTGAGTGGTTTTGATATCGTGTAGCTGAGCGGAAAGCCTCGCGATAGTCCTTTCTTCAATCATCATTTTTCGGTTTCTCTTCCGGTCTTGCCAATCGACGAAAATAATCTGTTTCGCAACCAGAAGCAGCTTCATCTTTCAGACACAGTCATGCTATTTGGTCAATTGTTCCGGAGCCGGGTCGCAGCCCTAGTCCCGACATCGGCGTCGCCAATGTCGCTTCTGCGAAGGACATTCACCTCGACTGCACCTGCCCTGCGCGAGTTTAAGCTGGTGGTCAACCGGCGCGTGAAGCAGCGTCCTGCTCTGAAGGGCAATTTCTGGGTGCGCCAGCATCTCAAGACGGGCCGGAGGATCAAGTATCCTCCTTACCCCTACGGCGACGCTACGGTGTTCAAGCGGTCCAACCGCGGTCTTTTCGGCGGCTTGTTCCCGATGAAAGGACACTCCATTACCGAGAAACTAGAACGGAAAATCAACCGGAGATGGGTTCCCAATATTGTGAAGGCTACGCTGTACAGCGAGGCTTTGAAGACGAGGATTAAAATCCCAGTTGCGACGAAGGTGTTGAGGACGATCAAGCGCGAAGGCGGGCTGGACAATTATCTGACAAAGGAGAAGTCGGCGAGGATCAAAGAGCTGGGGCCGAGAGGATGGAGATTGCGATATGCTGTGCTTTTGCGCCAGCAGAACTTGAAGCCAAGCCAGCTGTAATTATCTAGATATGAAGATATAATGTAAATATTTCCACCCTTACTCACAGTCTGAGTCATAAAAACATATTTATAAAATAGTATATAAATACTACAATCGAATAACAATCAAATAGAACATATAATCAAGAATAATCGCTATAATCGGCCGGTCTCCGGGAATCGGCCGAACCACCGGCTTTTAGACTTCTCCGAGGGCTTTCAGTTTTTACTGATGAGCGCCGGTCAGAGATAATCTATAACCGATGGCTGCACCTCTTTCTTGCCTGCATTCTGATACAGCCTGCTTTTGTTCTCTGTTTTTGTTTATATAATTACTAGATAGAAATAGCACATTCTTTGTTTATTGTTGGTTATTTTTATTCTTTTGGTTTGCGGAAAATGAGCAAGGCAGAAATCGGCGTAACCGCGCCGGCTACAGTACAGAAGCCCATTCATTATCCGTGAGTATTCTCTTATCTGCCAGACACCGCCATTTTTTGAGCATTTACTAACGAGAAAATTACTTGTTATTGTCAGATTTTGGTATGGAGGTCAGTTTTCACAAAAAAATCTATCCTCGACCGAGTAGATACATCGTTTTCCATACTTATCTCCGGTTTTCTTTCTCTGGCTTTGCTGCTAACGCTACTTCTTCCTCAGGATTTGCAAGTGTGGTTGCGGCTATGTGCACGGTAAGCTAGTCTGTTTCTACATCTATGACTACAGCTTGACTGACGGTTGGTTTTGTGAATAGCACCCTCTAGATCTTGCTAAAGTGCGGATGCAAACTGCCGAAGAGCGCGGAAAGTCGATGATACAGACGCTTGTCCATGTTTATCATAAAGAGGGTGAGTATTTTATTCTTGCTTGAATATGTGAATAGAACTAATCCAGACTTTTCGCAGGTTTCTTTGCATTATACAAGGGCTTGACGGCGAGTATCCTGCGACAAGCCACTTATTCAACAACACGATTTGGCGCATACGAGAAGATGAAGGATCTTGCTACCGGGGGTTCTAATGGTAATTGACTAGCTGCTGCATATATGTGAGTAGTGCTAACATACAATCATTCTAGTTGCTCCTCCTTTTTACGTGATCTTGCCCATGGCGATGGGAGCAGGATGGTGAGTAGTAGCGGTGTTTTCTGAAGATGTTTTACTAGATGTTTCTAACGGGTTCGTATAGGATTGGTGGAGCGGTGGGAAACCCAGCAGATATCATCAATATCCGCATGCAGAACGACATGTCGCTCGATCCAGCTCACCGACGAAACTACCGGAACGCGTTCCAGGGTCTCTACAGGATGATAAAAGAGGAAGGCGCGAGATCTCTCGTGCGAGGAATAGGACCAAACACAACCAGAGGAGTTCTTATGACTGCCTCGCAGATGGTCTCGTACGACGAGTTCAAGAAGTTGCTGGTCGGGTTCGGATGCGATCCCAAGGCGATGACGACACATTTCGGATCGAGTATGCTGGCGGGACTTGTGGCGACTACGGTATGCAGCCCGGTTGATGTGGTCAAGACGCGCGTTATGAACGCAAAGGATAGACATGTGAGTGTGTGATTTGCTGAGAGCTGAGAAGAGCACAGGCTGACGAAGTTCTACTTAGCAACCGGCGATTGTGATCATGCGAGAGGCGGTCAAGAGCGAGGGCATACTCTTTGCTTTCCGCGGCTGGCTACCGTCTTTTATCCGACTCGGTCCACACACCATCGTGACATTTGTAAGCTTACTGCTGCTTTACGGCTCTGACCCAGCGCAAGTACTGACATTTATCTAGATTGTATTGGAAAAGCTAAAGGCGCTGAAGATCGGGATGTTTTAAGAGAGGATGATATTACTATGCACAGTTTGGTTTCGGTTGTATTTCCTCTGGCTCACCCAGCCAGAGCACGTTGCATGAAGAGCGGGAGGATAAGATACAGGTTCAATATGAATGCTTAATGAAGACTTACAGTAGAATAGTACACATTTGTAAGCAAAAGGGTTTGGTTTCGTTGGGAATTTTAAAGTTTGCAAGAATTTTTTTCGCGCTGGGAGTTCTTCTTGCTCGGCCCGTCTCGACCTCTCCTGCAGTTGACCGGTCGCCACTTCTGACTAGTTCTGCTTGCTCCTGTTGCTATTCACCGTCTGCGGGAGTAATCGTCAGGAAACCACCCTGTTCTTCTGCGTCTGCTTGTAAACATGCTGTTAGCAGTCGCCAGACGACCCGGCTGCAGAGCGCGTGCCTCGACCGCTCACGCTCTTGCCCTCGCAACCGCCGAGGCCCGACGCACATTCATCGCAAAGCCCTCAAACAACAGCAGCTTTGCTCCGTCGGCCGAGGCGGTCAACCCTTCTGCATCGATCTACGATGTCTTCACAAAGAACGACGACATGCCGATCTCAAACATCGGTAATCGACCGGGCAAGCTCGTCATGATGAACGAGAAAATCCAGACCGACTTCCCCGACATGACCCTTGCCATGCGCAACAAGTTCACCAAAAACAGAGCCCATCTCATCTCTCTCATCGACGCTCTGGTTGCCGGACAGAACTTTGCTCGAGCCCGCAAGGTCCTCATCGAGGCGTACGAGGTCACCTCGCGCGAAGAGTTTGCGCGCCTGCTCAACGACTACTTACAAGAGTACGCGCTCAAAGAGCTCAAGGACACCGGAGCAATCGAGCAGACAATCTCATATCTCTTGCATATCACTGATGACTTCAAAAATAAGCCGCTCGACCCCAGATCTTACGCGATCCTGATGGCCACTGCCTGTCGCATGGAGGACATCATCCGTGGCGACAACAGCATCAAGAAGCTCTTCAAGCCATTCAGCGGACAAACCCTGTCTGGCTACGAAATCCTGCAGCATCAAAACTTGTTCAGCTACTCGGACGCGCGCCGAATCATCGACATCTGCAAAATCCCGGAATCGGACGTCCCGCCCGTGTTCAGGTTCGACGCCCCGCCATCCACTATGGACGTCACATCCGAGCTCGACCCTAACAGCGACGAACCGCTCACTTTGGCACTCATCAAGGCTCAGGCTGAGGCCATGAAAGAGGCTTTTGACGGCATCCCGGCTTCGGTGCCCAAGGCCGGATACGAAGAACTCAACCCTGTTGACTCTATCGGACTCAAGTACCTGCGATCCTCGCTTAAGGGTGTCGCTCAGGTTACCAGGCCCGTCCTGCCAATCTACAACGCCGCCGAGGCATCTGGAACCACCGATGAAGGTTTCCTCAACTTTGAAGCCCAAATCGAGAAGCTTCCCGAAGAAGAGCAAGACCAGTACCGTGAAGCCTTCGAGGTGTATAACAACCAGCGTCAGCGTTTACTCGAAGCTCTAGCGCTCGAGTCTGCAAAGGAGCGATGGAAACACGATTACGAACAGATGATTTCGCGTGGAGATGTGTCGGTCAGCAATATTAATGAGTACCTTTGGGAATGGCACCAAGCCATGGCTGCTCAGGTCGAGTATGAGCTCTACTCTGTCGATCGTGCGCTGGAGAAAGAAGCCAGCACGCCCCATACCCGTTTCTCTGCTGCTGGTATGATTTCGCCCCTACTAGCTATTCCTATCTCCATTTGAGTTACAAAAGTTTACTGACGGGTTTTTATGTTTAATTTAGAAAAAATGCGACTTCGCTACGGTCCTTACATCAAGCTTTTGAATGTGGACAAGCTTTGTACTATTACCATTCTCGAGTTGATTCGAATGCACGCCACAATTGACGCAAATGAGGGATTGCGGACGGCGCGTGCGGTGTTGACTGTCGGCCGAGCTATTCAGCAGGAATACAACTCCGAGCAACTTCTGCGTCATGAGGTTTCCGGACTGGGTGTCTTCAAGCCAACAAAGTCTACTCTCCAGAACCCGCTTGACTTTGGTCGTGCCCTCGCCACAGCTAAGCGTCTCAACGAAGAGCACCAGGTGCTTAAATCGTGGAGACCGGAATGGCCTGAAGATGTCAAGGCCGAGATCGGATCGACTATGATTTCGATTTTCATGCACGTTGCCAAACTTTCAGTCAAGGCCACTGACCCTGTCACGGGTCGCGAGGTCCGCAGTCTTGTGCCGGCTATGAACCATTCGTACCAGTACAACAACGGAATGAAGCTTGGTGTGATCAAGCTGCACAAGGACTTTTCCGACAAAATCTCTTCTGATCGTGGAAACGGCATGATTCATCCCCAATTTTTGCCTATGCTGGTCAAGCCCAAGCCGTGGACTTCTCATATTGATGGTGGCTACATGTACAGCTCCGCCCCATTGATGCGAACTAAGAGTTCTATGGAACAGTCAGAGTACGTCAAAGAGGCGGCCAAGAGAAATGACATGAAGTTTGTCTTTGAAGGTCTTAATGTGCTCGGTAGTGCATCTTGGGTAATCAACTCGCGCGTCTTCCGAATCGTGGCCCAGGTCTGGAATACGGAGGAGGAGTTCCTTGATATTCCTGGCAAGATTTCGGAGAAAATTGAATTCCCGCCCGAGCCTGAAAAAAGTGCGGACCCGGCTGAACGTCGTGATTGGGCGCGAAAATGCAAGCTGATGGTACACAACGCTCGGAACAGTCACTCACAGCGCTGCGACATCAACTACAAGCTCGAGATTGCTCGCGCGTTCATCGGTGAGCGTATTTACTTCCCGCACAACATCGATTTCCGAGGACGTGCTTACGCGATTCCTCCTCATTTGAACCATCTCGGTAACGACATGTGCCGCGGAATCATGATGTTTTGGGAGGCCAAGCCGCTTGGTGAGCGAGGACTTCGATGGTTGAAGATTCATTACGCGAACTTGAGTGGTTATGATAAAGCAGATTTTGAGGAACGAGTGAAGTATGCGGAAGAGCATATCGAGGATATTTTCGACTCGGCTGACCATCCTCTCGACGTAAGTGATTTTGATTTTTATACTGCTGTTATTTCCGAAACTAACAACATATAGGGACGTCGGGTTTGGATGAAGGCGGCAAAGCCGTGGCAGAATCTTGCGGTTTGCTTTGAACTTGCCGAAGCCCTCCGAATGGATGACCCCACTCAGTTCCGCTCGAGACTTCCGATTCATCAAGACGGTACTTGCAACGGTCTTCAGCATTACGCTGCTCTAGGCGGTGACTCTGAAGGTGCTGCGCAGGTGAACCTGATGCCTAGCGACAGGCCCGCTGATATTTACACATATGTCTCCAATAAAGTGAGCGAGATCGTTGAACATGACGCGAAAAATGGCGTGCTTGTTGCGCAGGTTGTCAGAGGAAAAGTTAGTCGAAAAGTGGTGAAGCAGTCTGTTATGACTAATGTGTATGGTGTTACATATATTGGAGCGCGCGCTCAGATTGCTTCTCAGTTGAAGCAATTGCCTGATTTGCATGAGGGCTCTGTTTTTGTAAGTTGACCGTACTATCTTCTGATTCTCTATGTGTTATTGTGTGGCTAACCAAGACTGTTGCTTGTTATAGGGCGCGGCGTCTTATCTCACTAAACTTGTTTTCCAAGTCGTGCGAGATCTGTTCCACGGAGCTCATTTGATTCAAGACTGGTTTGCCGAGTGTGCAAAGAGAATCGCAAAGTCTTATCCACCTGGCACTATTGAGGAGGATTCAACTCAAGCGACGACGGCTGTTGTGTGGACAACTCCTCTCGGAATTCCAGTTGTGCAGCCATACCGAGTTCCGTTCCGAAAACAGGTGTCTACGAATTTGCAGACTGTGTATATTTCGGAGCCGCTTGAGACGTACCCTGTGAACTGGCGAAAGCAGACGATGGCGTTCCCGCCGAACTACATTCACTCTCTCGATGCGACGCACATGCTTCTTTCGGCCGTTGTCTGCGGTCGTAAGGGACTCACGTTTGCGGCCGTGCACGATTCTTACTGGACTCATGCTTGCGATGTGGATACGATGAACACGGCTCTGCGAGAGTCGTTCATCAAGCTGCACAAGGCGGATTTGATTTCCCGATTGAAGGCTGAGTTCGAAGAGCGCTACAAGGGCTACACGTACCAGATCGACATTGACAGGTTTAGTGAGCAAGGACAGGCGATTGTGGCTTGGCGCAAAGCGTACAGGTCCAAGCACGGCCATACGATCAGCTTAATGGGCGAGGTTAAGTTGGAGACTAAGCGCACAAAACTGCTGGAAAGCGAGAACCCTGAGGAGGTCAAGAAGGGCCAGGAAATGGTCACGCCGCTGAGCATAATCGGCGACGCCGATATTGACTCCCTGCGTCCTCCTCGGAGAGCGAAGAAGCAGTTCGACGAGAGAATTGGACGGTCGAGCGAGAACGAGACCCACGGAGCTTCGGACGCGATCATTCGCAAAGCGCTTGGAGTGACTTCTCCCGAGGCTGAGGAATCAGCAACTGAGGACGAGATTGCCGCTGCTAAACTCGCAGCGGATTCGCCGAAAATCAGTATCTCAGAGCTCGGGGCGAATCTCGGTAGCTCATACATGGAAGGAATTAAGATCATGGTCCCGTTGTCTTTCCCTCCTGTGCCGCCGAAGGGCGACTTTGATGTGGAAAGAGTGAGAGAGAGTCTTTACTTTTTCTCATAAAAAGATAGTGGATGTGAAGGTGTAAAAAAGCGTTTGATTTTTCTCCCTTTCTCTCTGCTTTTTTCTTTTATGAAATGCTCTACTGCATAGCAGTCTTGTCTTGTGTATATATGTTGTTTTATAGATTGGATACTCAAAATGTTACATAATCAATGACGTAACCACGCCACAGCGAAGATTAAGGTTTAAATCGGCCGACGGGCTCTGGCTCGCGCAGACCCGTATTTCCCGAGCTCCGTCGCTCTTCTCCACCGCTCATCCTCAACCCAACTCTTCCAGCGCACTGCAGCAATGTTTTCCATAGTCCCACGGGTAAGTAGAGCGTTGAATGGGTGAATGCGGAACGGTGCTGATGATTTGTTTTTGCTTGTTTAGCAGTATTTCCTCGGGTTTCTGCCCTTAGCCGCGGGTGCCGAGCTGATTACGGTCTTTGGTATCGTCAACAAAGCCAGTGGTATCTACGGTTTGCTGTCCATCTTCACCGGTATGTGTTGAGTTTGTTTTTACTATCTACTCGACTATTGAGCAGACGCAGAGCAGGAAGAGCGTGCATTCTAATGGTGCTGAATAGGTCATCCCATAAGCGCTGCCCAATGGGTGCTCAACATTATCTCAATCATCCTTCTTCCCTTCTTTCTCTACGCGCTTTTGAACGTCAGACGGCAAAATGCGCTGCCGGTGATTGCCTACTCCTACGTGTACTTCCTCGACATGCTCGCCAACATCGCCTTCACCACCTACTTCAGCGTGACCTGGTTCCGCGCGTTCGACAAGACGGTGGCGGCTTCCGACAAGGGCGACGCGAACGCGGCCAAGCTCGACACTGCCTCTGAGCGCGGGGTGTCGATCACGGTCATTGTTCTTGTGTTCCTGTTTAGGCTGTACAGCTGTTTTGTGTTGTTTGGCTTTGCGCGCATGCTGGTGCGCAAGGCCGGGCTTCGCGCCGATAACGGGTCCGGCAAGTCGGCGATGCTGCAGTACGTCCTTCTCGGTCTGACTCCTTCGTTCTGGCGTCGCGGAGGACGACGGGCGGGTAAGGGACGGATGATGAACACATTGGAGGAGAGTGGATTCTAAGCTGGCTCTGGACTGAACTAGATTTCTTAAACGAACGGAGGAGAGACACATTTACTACACTTATACGACGAGCTGGATATGACGGACGATGAGAGATATAGAAAAGCCAGCGAGAGCAATGTGCTATAGTATGCTGTGCTAGCTGTGCATTCGAGCTTTTGACAATCTTATCTGATATCAATACAAACTGTAACATTAGAATTGATTTTTTATTTGTCTGCTCGTGCTGTTTATTTGCTTGTTGAAGTTGTTGTTTGTTTGTTTGCATTTTTTGGCATATAGTCGTTATCTTATCAACTAATTCTTTATCGATTGCTGTGTTGTTAATGTTTTTGTTGTTTCTCACACCTCTTTTTACCCATTTCTTTTTTCTTATCTGGTGGCGCTCGCTGGGCTTTCATTCAATAATAATCGTTTCTTCTCTTCTTATTGTCTTCTATCATCTCAGACTTGCCACAACTAACACTCACTTGTTTATATTTCTCTATTTCTTTTTATAATAATTGTCATCATGTTGTTGCTGACATTTGTTCAAGATACCGGTTTGATGACTTGACTGGCAGAGATTGCGATCTGTAAGATCTTACATAATTGCATAACTCACGTGACGTAGACCGACCCTTTGTTCCCCGCCATCTCGAGCCTTGTTCCTCGGCCTGCGACGAAGAGCAATGAGAGGTCTGGCTCGGTGATAGAGAATATTGTTAGTGGACTGTTGTATATCAGAGCAGACAATGTGTATCCTTTTGCTGTCAACCGCGCATCCGAAATAGTGAGTCTGTCCGTCTAAAAACACCTCGAGATCCACTCGCTAACTCCGAGCGCTCTTAGTCCGCTAGTGCTGCTGTCGAACCGGGATGAATTCCTAGATCGCCCGACGAAAGCTGCTGGGTTCTGGCCGGAGCCGGACGCGGACGTGATTGGGCCTATGGATCTGGCGAGGGAAGAGCATGGGACGTGGATCGGGGTGTCGAAGAGTGGGCGGATTGCGATTCTTGTGAATTTTAGGGAGGAGACTGTCTCTGGTGAGTTGTGCTTTTCTAGTGCTTTTAGAGGAAAGAGGGTGGAAGATCTGACGGGAAGATGGATGTTAGATGCTGTTAGTCCGATATCGAGAGGTGCTCTTGTTCGACATTTCCTGGTCGCGCGCGATCAGTCGACTTCAGAATGGGCGCAGTCGGCAATTACGAAAGCAGGTCCAGGCGGTCTCTTCAGTGTTGGAGGGTTCAGCATGGTCTGTGGAGTTCTTCGGAGACGACCGACAGCACAGCAGGGTGATTTACCTGCCTCGAAACCTGTTGATGAAGAGCGATTGGAGAAGATGGCTGTTTTGACTAACCGGTCGACGTCGTTGGATGAGGGCACGTCTTGGCTTTTCTCGCCTGATGAGTGCGCGAATCCGGCTGTGGATCAAGAGACTGAATCTACTTCTGAGAATGATCTCTATTCAACCGTACGCAAGCACACCTACGGCATTTCAAACTCGCTGTACACAAATCCTTGGCCAAAGGTGTATAAAGGCTGCGATCTTTTGAGCTCGTTGATCGCTGAAGATATCGGGAACCCCGGAAGCAAAACGGGAGATAAGGAAGAATTCATTAGCTCACTGTTTGATATCCTATCAACCGACAATCTACCGAGAGATGCGCTCGGGTCCGGCAACCCAGCTTTGGTGTTTGACGCACTGAAGCACAGTATCAAGATCCCCGTTTTCTCCTCCACCAGCGGTGTTTTGAAAGCAGACGAAGACCTTCTCTCGCCGGTGCCGACCGACTCAAGCATGACGACGGATGAGCCAGCGGTAGTCGTGCAGCATGTAAACTCGAGGTTTGAGACGCATACTTCTGATAAGCCGTATGAGTTTAGGCAGGGCAAGTATTACGGCACGCGGACGCAGACACTTATTCTGGTGGACAACGAGGGCCACGTCACGTACGCTGAGCGAGACCTGAATGATCCGCTGCGCAGAGAGCACTCGATCCATGAGTTTGATATCGAGGGATGGAATGAGTAGCAAATAGACTGTAATTATAGACCATAACTATTGTCGACAAACTGCCCGTTCAGGCAATTTCTCAATTTACCCGGCCTTTACAACTTACCCGGCCCGTCGACACCCGCGAGCAAAAGAGAAGAAAAAATAGTTTCGATCAGGAATCTCTGCAGCCCATCGCGAGAAGAAAGGAAACAAGAAGCAACTTCAATCCTTTTTGCCCAGCATGGATAACGAGCAGGTTGCCTACGATTACGATGATTTCATCCAGAAGACGGGTGACTACGATTTCGAGGACGACGAGCCTTTGGCCACGGACTTGATCGAGCCTGAAGCGTATGTTCTATCTTTTTTTTCTTCGTCGGTGCTTGTCAATCAACTGATTGAATGCATTGGCTAACCTTTTTGCAATTGTTTAGCATTGATGAGGAGCAGCTTCTTCAGCAGCAGCAGCTCTTTCAGCATCAGCTTCAGTTGCAGCAGCAGCAAGCCGTAAGTACACCGTTCTTCAGATCCAAGTCTACGATGGTCCCCACCGCTGACCGCAAATTCATACACAGGCCGCCCAGCTTCCCGATGCTATCCGCAACTTCATCCTCTACTTCCATCACTGCTTGAAGGAGAGCAACGTCTACGATCTCCATGGATGCTACGAAAACACGTTCAACAAGTTGACTGAGAAATTCTACAAAAACACCCCCTGGCCGGATCCGCAGACGGTTGTCTCGCCTTTGGTTGAGAACGACCAGCCGTTCGTCTCGCTCTATACTGAGATGTACTACCGTCATCTGTATGCTAAGCTGCAGCCTACTCTCGAGGACCGGTTTGCGTCGTATGAGAACTACTGCTTGTGGTTCAACTACGTGTTTGATCCCAACTCTCCTACTGACTTGGAGCTGCCTACCGTATGTTTTCACTCGTGTCTTTTTCTATATATGCTTGCATCGTGCTAATATTCTATACAGAACTGGGCCTGGGATATCATTGATGAGTTCATCTACCAGTTCAACAGCTTCTCGCTGTACCGTAGCCGCACCGTGCGCAAGTCTCACAACGATGAAGAGATCAGTCTTTTCCGTGAGCGCCCCGAGATATGGAACACCTACAGCGTTCTCAACGTTTTGTACTCGTTCATCCAAAAGTCGCAGATCAAGGAACAGCTCCAGGCCATCAAGGACGGCCGGGATCCCGACGAGGTCGCTGGCGAGGATGGATCGCGCCCGCTGTACAAGACTTTGGGATACTTTTCGCTCATTGGCCTTTTGCGTGTGCACACGCTTCTTGGCGACTTCACGCTTGCTCTCAACACGATGGAGAACATTGACTTGAACAAGAAGACAAAATACTCGCGTGTTGCCGGCGCGCAGTTCACAATCTACTACTATGTCGGTTTCTGCTACATGATGCTCCGTCGCTACTCGGACGCCATCAAGGCGTTCTCGCATATCCTGCTGTTTATCTCGCGGACAAAGTCATTCCACAACCGCTCGGCTCAGTACGACTCGGTCACCAAGCGCTCTGACCAGATGTACGCGCTTCTCGCTATCTGCGTTGCGCTCTGCCCCACCCGTCTCGATGACTCGATCCACACCACTCTTCGCGAGAAGAACGGCGAGCAGCTTGCGCGCATGCAGCGTGGTGGCGAGGAGTCGCTTCCTGTTTTTGAGGAGCTGTTCACTTTTGCTTGCCCCAAGTTCATGATGTTGGGACCTCCCGACTACGAGAACCCGGCTGCCAACATCGACCCCTTGCAGCACCACCTCAAGGTGTTTATGATGGACGTCAAGAACACGATGCTTGCGCCTACTCTCCGCAGCTACCTGAAGCTGTACACGACACTCAACATCGACAAGTTGGCTACCTTTGTCGAGATCTCGCCCGAGGAGCTGCGCTCTGCGCTCGTTGTGTTCAAGCAGAAGAGCCGCCAGGTGCGATGGACCGAGGGCTCGCTTTTGGACGGTGACGTCGTCAATGTGTCGGACCTCGACATCATCCTGGACGGCGACAAGATCGACATTTCCGAGGCGAAGATCGTCCGCAAGTTTGGCGACTGGTTCCTCAGAAACTCGGCTAAGTACTACGCTGTCCAGGACACGATTGCCAACAAGAACTCTGTGGCTGAGGAGGGCAAGGAGAACAAGGAGCATGGAAAGCGACGGGAGCGGAGAGAGAAGAACGCGGAGAAGAACTCAAAGTAAGGTAGTTCTGTTTAGTTTTCAACTAGCGCCGTGGTTCTCTTTCCTTTTTTCATTTTTTTTGTAAAAAAAGTCGTCATTTGTGTATTTTCCTCTTGATTTTGTTGTTGTTTATGTTTGCGTAAAGATACAAGATACACTCTGTCGTTCTCTGCTGAATACTAGTGAATACAATCATCTTTTCTCCTATAGTTTTCCTATATATTTCCAACTCAGGCAACTGCAGGCCAATTCTACATAGGGTAAGGGCCCCTGAAAAGTTAAAGGAGAGAAACTTTAAAAAAGCCGGGAAGCAAAGACTCATCGAGTCGACCAGCCAGGTTTTTCTTCCCCGGTATCGTAGCCATTGACACGAACAAACACAGAGACACAGAGAAAGATGCCGTCGCCGTCGCCTGCTAGTCCAGCACCGAGTGCTCCGAAGGTGTGTTTGTTTTCATATCTTTTAGTTTGACGGAGGTCAAGGGGGGGACTGGGGAGAAGACGTCGACTGACAAGAGGAATATAGGTCGTCATACAACCCGCTGTCGAGACAATTCGGTCACTGCTTGCGAAATCGCCCGACGCCAACGTGATTCCGGTGTATGCGTTTCTGCCGTCTGATTTCCTCACGCCGTCGGTAGCGTACCTGAAGCTGAAAGGCGCCGCGCCGGCAGGCGCGTACTCGTTCTTGTTTGAGAGTGCGTTTAACGGAGAGTCGATTGGGCGGTACAGTTTCCTGGGCGCGAACCCGCGCAAGGTGCTTGTGACTGGCAACGGGTTTGGCGAGGACGTGGATCCGCTGCGACAGCTGGAGAGCGAGCTTGACAAGTACACTGTGCTGAAGCAGAGTGGGTTGCCGCCGCTTTCGGGTGGAGCGATTGGATATGTGTCGTACGATTGCATCAAGTACTTTGAGCCCAAGACGAAGCGGGAGTTGAAGGATAATCTCGGGATACCAGAGAGCGTGATGATGCTCTTTGACACGATCGTTGCGTTCGACCATGTCTTCCAGCGGATCCAGATTATCACAAACATCCACGTCCCGGACCAGGCCGGATTCGATCTTGAGGCTGCGCTCGAGGTGGCCCGGACGGAGATCAAAAACGTGGCGGACGTGCTGTATTCGCCGTTTGTCAACATGCCGGAGCAGCCGCCGATCGTGCCCAACCAGCAGTATACCTCCAACATCGGCCAGGAGGGCTACGAGAACCACGTCAAGCGTCTGAAAGAGCACATCTACAAGGGCGATATATTCCAGGGCGTGCCCTCGCAGCGCGTCGCGCGCCCGACCTCGCTGCACCCGTTCAACATCTACCGACACCTGCGAACCGTCAACCCGTCGCCGTACATGTTTTACATCGACAACGTCGACTTCCAGATCGTGGGCGCGAGCCCCGAGCTGCTCGTCAAGGCCGAGAACGGCCGCGTCATCACGCACCCGATCGCCGGCACCGTGCCGCGCGGCAAGTCCCGCGAGGAAGACGACAAGCTCGCGACAGAGCTCAAGTCGTCGCTCAAAGACCGCGCCGAGCACGTCATGCTCGTCGACCTGGCCCGCAACGACATCACCCGCGTGTGCGATCCCAAGACCACGACTGTCGACAGACTGATGGTCGTCGAGCGCTTTTCGCACGTCATGCATCTCGTCAGCCAGGTCTCGGGAGTTCTCCGCCCGGACAAGACCAGATTCGACGCTTTCCGCAGCATCTTCCCCGCAGGGACCGTGTCCGGCGCGCCCAAAGTCCGCGCGATGCAGCTCATCTCCGAGCTCGAAGGCGAGCGACGGGGCGTCTATGCCGGCGCGGTCGGACACTGGGGGTACGAGGACTCGAGCATGGACACCTGTATCGCGCTGCGGACTATGCTGGTCAAGGATAACGTTGCGTATCTGCAGGCGGGTGGAGGTATTGTGTATGACTCGGACCCGTATGACGAGTATTTGGAGAGTATGAATAAGTTGGGCGCAAACATGCGTACCATCACTGAGGCGGAGAAATTGTACATGTAGATGTAGATGTTTTGGTTCTAGTATAAATAATCAGTAAATTTACATTTTTTATATTACTATGAATATCAGAGCTATAGTATTCCACCTATTCTATGCCAAATTTGACAAAGAATGAGCTACAGAATAAAAGTAGAGAATTGATACCCTCAAAGAAAGCCGCACAGGAAATCGACCAAATCCCAGAATTTCCTCCAACCAGCCATTCAATTACCTTCAGCCCAGGATCGCTACCGACATATAAAAATGATCTATTTATATCTGTATATATCTCTATTTGCTACTAAAACAAATACAAAAAAATCAGAGCAAAGAGTAAAAAGTAAGCAGGAACGAAAGGGGAAAACGATAAAAAATATAACTATGGAGGAAAAGGACAAAACGAGATTTCTAGGCGCCGGATCCAAAGTCAACCGAATGCATACAAAACATGGAATAATGCAAAACCAAGAAAAGGAAAAAAATAGAGACACAAGACGCTGAAGAGGAGGATCAAAGATGTGTTGAGTAGGCTCCTGGCGACGAGGATCTACTGCAAGGGGTGCAAATTGAGTCAAGTCTGGCGACGATCTTCTGCGTTGCTTGAATGCGCATCGTCTCCGTATACATTGAGACTAGCAACCCCCGAATTCATATCACTCATTGCAAACAGCAACTCGTCGTCATCAGCGACAGCGTTCGTGCTCCCACCCGAGCTGCCAGGTGCTCCGCCGTCAGCGGGTGCCGTGCTGCCGGTGCTGAGCCTGTATTTGGAGTAGCCCCTGCCGCGCTTTGATCCGCCTCGGGTTTCTGCGGTCGCTCGGCGAGCGGAGTAGGATGTGAATGAGCCGGTGTGGGGTGAGGAAGTGTACTTGCCGTCGTCCTCGTCGCTGGCTCCATATTGCCGTGTATCGTCATCATCCCTGTCGTCGACGTCGATATCTTCATCCTCATCACCGTCGTCGTCGTCGTCGTCGTCGTCGTCGTCTTCAAATACAGCAGGACCATGATATCTTTCAGCAGTAAGTCCCTCACTCAACCGTGAAGGAATCGCAGGCGTATGCGGCGTGCTCGGCGATACTCCTTTACCACCACTGTTGATAGAAGAGTAAGATCCGACAGCAACAGATCCCGCGCCCGGCGAGCCTCTACTGAGCTGCGGGCTAGCGGCAGTCTGAGACGGCTGATAAAGAGACGCAGACATGCTATCAGATAGCACGGCATGACTTTCCTTCAAGATCTGGAAGCGCGAGAGTGAAGTCTTTGGCAGAGAAGATCCGCCTGAGCCACCGGATCCGGTGCTGCCATAGCTCGAACTACTTCCGCGACGCACGGAGAACGACTTCAGAGGACCTTGAGACTCTAGCATTTGCATAAAGTCATTTATATTCGCGCTGTCTTCTTCCGGCGTGATCGGGCCGTGGGTGCTCGAGACACTCTCGCGTCGAAGAAATGACGGCACAGTAGAAGAACTAGAAGAAGCAGAGCCAGAGATCAACTGCTGCTGCTGCTGGTTGCGAGAACCAAAAGAAGAACTGTATCGTCGTAAGCCCGGCGAAGTCGAAGATCCCATGGCGATCGACGTTGATGACCGGTTTGCGCCGGGCGAGATAGCCAGTTGAGCAACGACATGGGATCCTGACGAGAAACTTCCTCGGGATCCAGCTGGTCTCGCAGATCCGGCTAGAGAAGAGGATGAAGATACTCTGTGATAGGTGTAGCGTGCTCCGCCCATGGGGTCGGAAGACGGGGACTCGGATAGCGAAGGAGACTTGAACGGCTGGATCGATGGACGATTTTGTTGGTCCTAGAACAGTTAATACTAGAAGTAGAATAAAGTGGTAAGAAAAGACCGAGGCCACGTACGAAAGATCTCACAGATGAATGGGAACCGGCAATTCCCACGCTTCTGGCTGAAGATGAGGAATTCGACATTGAGCGATCGCGACGAAGAGCAGAAAACTGGCTTGATCCGGGTATTGGAGTCGCCCTTGGACTAGCGCTAAGTTGGGCATTCGCATTATGAGCACCCAAGCTACCATACGGTAGCGTGCTATCGACGGAATTCACACTGCCTCCTCCTCTGGCAGGCAGACTGTTGGTGGGAGGACTTCGAGATAGACGGGAATAGCGACGAGCGTTAACCGCAGAAGAAGCCGAGGTCGATACATGGTGCTGGTGCTGCTGATGCTGGCGTGTGTGCCGATCCATGCTCAAAAACTCCGAGCTGAGGATCGATTCTGAGTCGTCGACGCGGAAATCGCAGTTCTTGCGGTATGAAACGTTGACTGAAAACGCACCTACGGGAGTGTCCAGTCTGTGCAAGACATGCTGTTCAAGATGCTCATCTTGGTCGGGGAGAAGGGGTACCGAGAGTCCGGTTCGTCCGCGGCTGGAGATGGGATGGGCGCCGTTGAGGACGCGGCAGGACAGGTTCAAGGCAGTCGGGTGGAGCTTTGACTTGCCTATCTTCCGTCTTAAACGCCAGGCGGGAAGCAACCGGACGTAGGTGTAGAGAGATCTGAAGAGGACGATGGCTCTTTTGTATATGACGGGCAGATCGTCAGACCCGACCACGCGCGGATCAAGCTCGATTTTCCAGCGCTCGAGCACGATCTCGCGGCGGCGGACATCCGATCTTGAAGAGCAGGAAGAGTCGACGTTCCAGCACTTTCCCTCCTGATCGAGTATGACGAGGATCTGACTGGGAGTGAGGTCTTTGGTGTCGAGCACGGTTTCGATGACGAGCGGCGGTACTGCGGCGTAGCTGTTGTCTGCGAGCAGGTCGACGGACCGCCACACGCGCAGCTCGTCGCGGAAGGCGTCCGAGCCGTCGAGCTCGAGGTTGAACCACTTGTTTGTCTTTTTGGTGGTCGAGTCCCGGAGGTAGACAGGCGGCAGAGGGACGCGAGACTGGATGACGATGTTGGCGGCTTTTGCAAAGAGGTTCTAGAGCGTGAGAGAGTGAGTCAGCCGATGTTTGAGAGGTCGGATCGCGCTGCAGAGAGCTGGAGGAGGTGAAGAAACAGATAAACAGCAAACGTACCTGCACAACCTGGTTGAGCTTCGTAGTAGAACTGCTCGGATCCGAGCCGGCAGAGCCACGGACAGAGGCCTGGGACGGGGAGCGGGCGGCAGGGGCGGAGACAGACACGCTCATTGCGGGCGCGGATCAACGAGAGCAGGGAGAGTGCGGAGTCATTTGACGGCGGCGAAGATGCTCAACAATACAGAAACAAGCAAAACTGATGAAAACAAAGCCCAAAACAGGCCTTTTGAACAACGAAACAGGGATTTTGGTTGTGAACAGAGACAAACACAGAGATCGATGACGAAGTGGAGCTGTTTCGCTGGGAGTCGTCACTCTTGTGCGGCGCGTTTAGAGTTCAGTTTGTACGACATTGAAACCTTCTTTCGCGCATCGCTTCCTCGCTTTCTTCGGGCAGGAAGAAGTAGACCACGTCTTTCAATCAGCAATGATCCTCTACAGCAGTCGGACAGGCGCAGTGCGGCCTTTGACGGTGTGTGGACGAGCATTGCTGCATACTCGCAGCTCAACTCTCGACTACCCCGAGCTCGACGACAAATGGCGCTCAGTCTGGAGCGAGAACACTGCTCCCGGCACGCCTTCGCGCGGCAAGTTCTACTGCCTCTCCATGTTCCCTTATCCCTCCGGCAACCTACACATGGGCCATGTCCGCGTCTACACTATCAGCGATGTAATTGCGCGGTTCAGACGCATGCAGGGATACGACGTGCTCCACCCAATGGGCTGGGACGCGTTCGGTTTGCCGGCCGAAAACGCTGCCATCGAGCGCAACGCGGACCCGAGTATATGGACAAAGCAGAACATTGCAAATATGAAGAATCAGATTCAGAAGATGCTCGTTAGTTTTGACTGGGACAGGGTTGGTTTGCCTCCATTTTGACCCGTGTTACCAATTACCTGACTCTCTAACACCTTCTACAGGAACTCTCGACATGCTCACCAGACTACTACAAGCACACTCAAAAACTCTTTCTCGACCTCTACAAAGCAAACTACGCCTACCGCACCGAAGCCTCCGTTAACTGGGATCCTATAGACCAAACCGTGCTGGCCAACGAGCAAGTTGACAGCGAGGGCAGATCCTGGCGTTCCGGTGCGCTAGTGGAGCAGAAGCTTCTCTCGCAGTGGTTCTTCAAGGTCACCGAACTTGCTGATGAACTGGAAAAAGATCTCGAATTGCTTGGAGAATGGCCTTCTGCTGTCACCACTCAGCAGTCGAATTGGATCGGACGCTCGCACGGTGCAGAGGTCGAGTTTGAGCTTGACGACGGAAGTGGTTCGTTGACTGTATACACAACCAGACCAGATACCCTCCCCGGAGTGCAATTTCTCGCGGTCGCAAGCACGCATCGCATCTGTATCTCAAGGCCTGAGCTGAGCGAACAAGTCTCGAAAATGATGGTTGCAAATCCCGGTTCCAACGAGGGCTTCCGCATTCCAGATTTACACGCCATCCATCCTTTGACGGGGGAAAAGGTGCCCGTGTTTATGGCTCCGTATGTTCTCGGTGGCTACGCCCAGGGTGCAGTTATGGGTGTTCCCGCGCACGATACCAGGGATTATGGGTTTTGGAAACGAAATATGCGGGGCAAGCCTGTTCGCCATGTGATTGTACCTCTGGAGGATGCAGCGCAGAGCACGACGGACGGCGGTCCGTACACCGCGAAGGCTGGCTCAGTTGCATCTTCTGTTCCCAAGTACGGCGGCATGACCCTGGACGAAGCCGTCACTGCGATAGTCGCTGATCTTGAAGGTCGGGGTAAAGGACGTCTGACGACGAATTTCAAGATTCGCGATTGGCTCGTCAGTCGTCAGCGCTACTGGGGCGCACCGATTCCGATGATCCACTGCGATTCGTGCGGTGTCGTGCCTGTTCCCGAAGAAAATCTGCCGGTTTTGCTACCGGAGAAGATAAAGTCGGAAGGAAGCGGCTCGCCGCTTGCGAGAGATGAGGAGTGGGTTAACGTTGCGTGTCCAAAGTGTAAGCAGCCCGCGAAGCGCGACACTGACACTATGGACACATTTGTCGACAGTTCGTGGTACTACTTCCGCTACGCGGACGCGAAAAACGAGAAGTTGCCGTTCTCTTATGACGCTGCGTCGACTTTTGTCCCAGTCGATCTCTACATCGGAGGTTCTGAGCATGCGATCCTGCATCTTTTGTATTCCCGGTTTTTTGGAAAATTTCTGATGAAGCAGGGGCACTGGAGTGGAGGTGATCTCAATGGCGAGCCATTCAGGAAGCTCATTACTCTGGGAATGGTTCATGGCCGGACTTTCACTGATCCTCATACCGGTCGCTTTTTGAAGCCGGAGGAGGTTGATCTTTCCGGTATGTTTCGTCTTTCGTTACCTTTTCTGAATCACAGCGACTAACACTTGTTGATAAAGACCCAGCAAAGCCGGTAATCAAAGCCACTGGCGAGACGCCACGGATCTCATCCGAAAAGATGTCAAAGTCAAAGTACAACGGCGCCGACCCCGACGACTGCATAAGCAAGTATGGCGCCGACGCTACGCGTGCCCATGTGCTTTTCCAAGCGCCTGTGAACGACACTCTCGAATGGGACGAGCACAAGATTGTCGGCATCCAGCGTTGGCTTGGGCGTCTCTGGCGACATGTATTGAGCGTGTGCGCTGATGTTGAGAAGGAAGGTATCACGGATTTCACGATGCCGGCTGCCGAATCCCGCACAGAGGCGGAGATCAAGCTGTGGAATGATGTGCAGGATCTGGTGGGCAAGACGACGACTGCCTTTGAGGCCGATTACTCGCTCAACACGTCGGTTTCAAACTACAACAAGCTGACAAACAGCATCCTCGACGCGTACAAGAAATCGCGCGACTCGAAGAATGAGGCAGAGAAGGTGAGGACCGTCGTCGTGCTCAACGCTACCGCTAGACTGCTCCAGATCGCGGCACCGGTGATCCCCGCAACGGCGGAGGAATGCTGGAAAGCACTGCTTGAGGCACAGGGCAGGCCGTGGACGTCTGTGTTTGAAATTGGCTCATGGCCAGAAGTTGAGCCGATGCAAGCCTTGTCGCCGCTGACGGACCACGTCGTGTTTGTCAACGCGAAGAAGAGGTTTGTGACTAAGTTGGACGAGAACTGGTCGCAGGAACAGATGGTCGACGCTATCCTGCAGACCAAAGATGGGCAGAAATGGCTGGTTGAGGATGCAGCGGGAAAGACGATTCAGCGCGTGATTGTGCCAAAGGGTCGCAAGAACGTCAGCTTTATTTTAAAATAGTTACGAGTTTAGTGGTTAGTGTATATAGTAAGAACTGTACATAGTCGTAATGCCAATATTTCAATAGTTATCCGTATTCGTGATGGAATATGTAGATATTTTTTGTATAGTTATCCGTATATTCACAGGTAAAGTACATGCATAAAAAATATTACACTAAAACGTATCCATAACTTTTCCCATTTATTTTTGTGCTCATTCTCTAAGCCTTCAACGCGAACTTTCGCTGGGGGAAAGCGGTGAGCTTCTTCTTCTGCTTCTCGGTGACCAAGCTCTTCTGCTTGGGGGTGAGAGCTCTCCGCAGAGCACGGGTCTTCTTAACGCGGAGGTCAAGAGGAGAGTACTTCTTGGTGGAGTAGAAGAGACGGAGCTGGGCGCGCTGCTGCTGGTTGATGACGGTGAGAACGCGGGCGATCGACTTGCGGACGGTGTTCGAGCGGATCAGGTTGGAGGCCGAGGCACCCCGGGCCTTCTGGGCTTTGAGCGAAGCGAGCTCCTGCTTCAGCTCGTCGAGCTGCTTCTCGAGCTCGACCTTGGACTTTTCGCGGAGAGTGTAGGCCTTGACACCGGGCTGGAGGAGATGTTAGTGTTCTGATGATGATAACTTGCTTGTTTCTTCACGATTCCTCTCGTTCACCCCGTTTCTTCTTCAAACAACAGCACCTCTCATCTCTTCTCATCTCTCTCGTCAAAACAAACTACCAGAATGCAAACGTACCATTGTGACTGTTGATGTGTGGTGGGGATGGACGGTGGTTACTGGAGTAGCGACTGCTTCACTGTAGCGACTTCGAGATTGCCGCTGCGTTGCTGCCTTTGCTCTCCCGTCGCTGGCCGTGCGGCGTCTGCGCGTGACTGCTTTTGCTGTCCAAAGTAGGGTTAAGACCTAAGACCAGGTTCTGCACAGTGCTCAGATCTGCTGCGAGGCATAACCGCAGAGCATGTTTCACAAATACGTAAATCACGTGCCAGCCAGCAGGCGGCGGGCGGCTGGGCGCATTATTGATTCGATGCCTCCGCGAGCGCTGTCGAGATCTCCATCAGCTTCCCATCCGCTCAGCTTTTGCGCAGTTCACCAATGTCAGACTTTGGCTCCCACGCCAGTTTTGGCCAATTGCGGCTGCAGGCTCGTCAGCTTGAGTCGCAGACCGAGTCCCTGTTTGTGCAGTACTCGAACGTTTCCCAGAATCCGCCACTGGAGCCGACCGAGGAAGAGACCAAGGTCGTCAAAGATCTGGAAAAGATCCTTGCTCAGGTTAGTCGTTGGTTGTGCAGAGTGATTTGGTGATACAGATTGGGATCTGTGCTAACTGCTGCTGCGTATCTGATATAGCGCGAGGACCTGCTCGCATCGCTCACCCGCATCCACGATTCCGAGCAGCTCGCGTCAGCGACAAAGCTTCATCATTTACAACGCCACAAAGAGATCCTTATCGAACACCAGAAGCAGTTTGCCCATCTAAAGTCTACAGTCAACCACGAGCGCCAACGCGGGAACCTGCTGTCAAGAGTGCGAAACGACATCGATTCCTTCTCCCGCAGCCCAAACTCGACATCCTCCGCGCCCGTCGATCCCCGTCGCGAGGCGGAGTATATGCTCAACGAACGCTCGAGAATCGAGCGCTCTGATAACCTGGTGGATAGTATCCTGTCTCAGGCGTATGCGACCCGCGAGGAATTCGGGCGGCAGCGTCAGGTGTTGATGAACGTGCAGCGGCGGGTGACGAGCACCGCCAGCAGAATCCCAGGCATCAACTCGATAATATCAAAGATCAACACACGCAAGAAACGGGATAGCTTGATCATTGCCACCTTGATCTCACTTTGTATTCTTGCCTTGTTTTTCCTGCGATAGATTCTCGTCATACGGCTGCGATAGCAGAGTCAGCTATAGGTACATACGGGAGGGAGGCTGGGCTGGAGGCGCGATGAAGCAAAGTTGTTTGGGGCAAGACCGTCTGAAGGTCTGAATCACATATGGAAGTATCAGAGACGACACATCTGGTAGTGTATCTGTCGGAGGGTGGAAGGATTGCAGTTACGTCAAGTTTAGTTACAAGCTATTCTGTGCACTTGACTCGACAGTCATCTCAGCTGCTCATCACACACACATCATCATCATCACATAAACTGCAAATATTTCTCTTTCTTCTTCTCATTCTCTCTTTATAGCATAATCTTGATTCTTCACGTTATCTGGCCAGTATCTGATTGTATCTGACTTTAACTTTCGCTGATCCCATGTCATCGCCTTACGTAATCTCCAACTCCCAACTAATTTTTTTTCTCTGCCTGCTCTCTGCCGCCTCCCAACTGCTGCGAGATCCTGGTTTTCTCCAGCATTTCTGATTGATAGAAAACAGAGATAGAACGATAGTCACAGTACCATGGATTATCAGTCAGTATTTGGAGCCACCGCTGCAGCGATCAACGGCGGCGCCACCCCGCTCAGCAGCACCGCGCAGGAGCACACGATGGCGACCGTTCTCTGCTGCAACTGCGGTGTGCCCATCGACGGCACGAGCGGTCTGTCGATGTGCTACGACTGCATCAAGCTCTCGGTCGACATCACGGACGGGATCCAGAAGGAGAGCACGCTTAGTTTTTGCAGAAACTGCGAGCGTTTCTTGAGACCGCCTAGTCAGTGGGTTGCTGCTGCTTTGGAGAGCAGAGAGCTGTTGGCTTTGTGTTTGAAGCGATTAAAAGGACTGCAGAAGGTATTTTCTTTGCTGTGATGTATGCTTGTGTTCGAGCACGTTACTAACTGGTATTTGTCAGGTCCGCCTCATCGATGCATCCTTCATCTGGACCGAACCTCACTCGCGAAGAATCAAAGTCAAACTGACCGTGCAAAGCGAAGCGTTCAACAACACGATCGTGCAGCAGTCGTTCGAAGTCGAGTACATCGTCATCGCGACGCAGTGCCCCGACTGCGCCAAATCCTTCACCGTCAACACCTGGCGCGCGACCGTGCAGATCCGTCAGAAAGTTCCCCACAAGCGAACGTTTTTCTACCTCGAGCAGCTTATCTTGAAACATAACGCGCACCGCGATACGATCTCCATCCTCGAATCAAAAGACGGTTTGGATTTCTTCTACTCCCAGAAGAACCATGCGGTCAAGATGATTGACTTTTTGAGCGGCGTGGCCCCGATCCGGACAAAGAAGTCCGAGGAGCTCATCTCGATGGACACACATACTGCCGTCCGCAGTTACAAGTTCACGTTCTCGGTCGAGATCATCCCGATCTGCAAAGACGACCTCGTCTGTCTTCCCAAGAAAGTCGCCCGGGCGGCGGGCAACATCTCGCAGCTCGTGCTCTGCAGCCGCATCGGCAACACCATCCACCTGCTCGACCCGTTCTCGCTGGACTCGACAGATTTACAACCGTCCGTGTACTGGCGCCAGCCATTCACGTCTCTTACCAACAGCTCGAACCTGACTGAGTTTGTCGTGCTCGACATCGAACTCACTGGAGCTGAGAAGGGAAGAATTGCCATGGCTGACGCGACCGTGGCGCGGTCGGCAGACATGGGCCGCAACGACACGACGTACTACGTGCGCACACATCTCGGAGGTATCTTGCACCCGGGAGACACCGTGCTCGGATACTTTTTGTCCAACGCAAACTTCAACCACGATCTCTGGGATACGCTCGACCAGCGCAACATTGCGGACGTCGTGCTCGTCAAGAAATCGTACGCGCGCAGGAAGAAGAACAAAGGCCGCAACTGGCGCCTTCGTCGCATGGCGAAGGAGTACAACGAGATGGAGGACTCGGCTGCCATGTCGACCAAGCAGCGACAGATGGAAGCCGACCGGATCGAGCGCGACTACGAGCTCTTCTTGCAGGAGCTCGAAGAAGATCCCGAGCTGCGCAGCACGATCAACCTTTACAAGGCGCCCAACTCGCAGAACCCGGAGAGGGTTAGACCTACTAGGCCGACGAAGATGGAGGGCATCGAGGAGGGTGAGGAGCCGGTTGCTGATGCGGATGGGGATGCGGCGATGGAGATGGATGAGGGAGAGGAGGTTGACGATGACGATGATGAGTCGGATGGATCGGCGCCTGATGTTGGTCTTGATGAGTTGCTGGATGAGATTGACGAGCTTACTTTGGAGGATGCATACCAGTCTGAGTAGTTACTCTCGAGATTATATTTTTATTTTTTTGTTTGTAAACAGCCATTGTCACTGGGTTCATTAAGGTATTCTTTGTTCTTACTTTTGTACTTTATCGTTGATTGTTCTGATGATTGTCATTTAATTTTTCAACCATAGGCTAATCTATGAGCATCCCAATTCCTGAGCCTTTAAAACACACCCGACCAGACAATATGAACACATGCACTAAAACAAACACTAAATCACTTTTCCTCTATTTAATATCCTTGTAACTCCACTTCTCCGTGAGGTTCTTCTTATACTTGCGTCCCTTAAACACCTGTACTCGGGCCTCAATCACACCACGCTCTTGCATGCTGATGAACCGATCCTTTGCGAGATTACCCTCGGGTTTCAGCAAGCGCAGCGAATCCGTGAGTTCGTCGGCGAGTTTGAGCGTGATCGGGCGCTCGGCCACTTTGTACTTTCCGAGCTTGTGCTTGCGTGTAGTGCGGGATGGCTTGCTGAGGTCGATCACCTTCGTCGAGGAGGAGGAGGGGGAGGAGGGGGCGTCGGTGGTGGATGAGGTCGTGGCGGGTTGTGATTCTTTCTTGATGGTGTTGTCTTCGTCTTCGCGCTTGATCGTCACAGGTTTTTGCGTCTCTTCTTCGTCCTCGGCGTCGCTGTCGACTTCGTCCAAACCCAATCGTTCTCTTTCCTCGAGCAGCTCACCCAGCTGTCTGATCCGCTCTTGCCGTTCTTCCTCCCTCTTGCGCTCCTTCTCCTGCTTCTCAAGCTTGACGTGCTCCTCCTTCAAAATCGCCTGCCACGAGTCAAGTGACGGGTTATAGGAGATGCCTTCTTTAGGCAGATCCACCGCCCGACGGGACTCCTTGAATGCAATCGGTGGGTGCGACAACGTCACCGGCGGCTTCTCCTTCCTGACATAGCTCAACGTCTTGTCCAGCCCGATCTCCTTCGCATGCGCGTATATGTCCTTCTTATTCGGCACGCCTTTCTTCTCCGGCTCCTGCGCCATGCGCACCTTCAGCTGCGCACTCGGCTCCTGATCCTCGCCCCACGCATCGTAGATATCCCCCACGATATGACTATCCCTCTCCAGATTCGCAATCGACGACTTCCCGTCCGCAACGCGCCCCGCTTTCCGCAGCAGACGCGCAAGGTCTTTATACGACACGCCCTGCACGTTCCCCTTTTTGCGCTCCGCCGCGGCCTCGTCTTCGCGCGCGCGCTTGCGCGTCATCAGCGCGGGAATCGCGGACCGCTCGGCGAGGATCTGGTCGGCTTTCAAGGGCTTCGCGAACGCTTTCGGGACATGGCTGGACGCGCTGTCGTCGACGGCGAAGAGCTTGTCGGAGTCGAGTTTGTCGAGAGTGGTTCTGCACCAACAAGTTGTTAATACGCTGAATCAATAAAGAAGAATAGAAAAGGAACTTACCCAACAAGAATCTTCTCTTCCCGAACATCTTCAAGACCTTGCTCGACCTCCGACACATCAACATTCTTGCGCCAAGCTTTCTTTCCCTTCCGAGACGGCTGAGCACGCAGTTTACTGCTCATCCTGTATATGCAAAATATAGTGAGAAACGAGGAAGCAGAAACAATAGAGTGGTTTCAGACAAGATATCTGATCTTGCTTCTGTGAAAGGTTTTCCTTTTCCTCCAAATTTTTTTTCTGAGAGAAAGTTTTCAAATCTCCCAAGTCGATGCGGCGTCGTTGGGAGTTTTGAGATTCTTAAATTCCCGCACAGAAAGAGGTTTGTGGCTTTAACCGCATATAAAATACCTGTCTTATGCAGAAGTTTATCATTTTTTTCTTAACTGGACTGTGTTCGTCTCTGCATACAAAGAACGAAAGGACAGAGTAGACTACGCCCGACACAACATCACGACAATGGGCACAGATACGCAGAAGCGGGACTGGTTCTCGACCGAGGATAGCGAGGATTCCGATCTTGGGCACGGGTCTGGATCAGAGAGCGAGAACGAGGTGAAGCGGAGTGCTGTGAAAAAAGTGGTCAAGGAGGTTAAGAAGAGCAAGCCTGAGAAGAGTAGGAAGCGGAAAGTGGCTGCTGCGAGTGAGGATGATGACGAGGATGAGGAAGAGAAGGATGTGAGTCGGGCGAAGGTAGCGAAGCGGAAAACTGCTGCGCCTGTGTTTGAGTTTGGCAAGCGGTTTGAATCGTCTGAGGACGAGGATGAAGATGACGACGGGGACGACGACGAACAAGACGAAGACAGCTCAGACGAAGTAGAGCACATGCCCGGCGCCTCCTCCGGCACCGACGGCGACGTCAAAGACGTCCTCCGCCGCCTGTCGACCAAAGAACTCGAAGACAACCGCGCGCGGATCGAAAAGACCGGCGTCGTCTATCTTTCGCGGATCCCACCGTTCATGAAGCCCGGCAAAGTGCGGCAGATCTTGTCGCGGTTCGGGGAGCTTGATCGGATCTTTTTGGCGCCGGAGGATCCGAAGAGTTATGCAAGACGGGTGCGGTTTGGCGGGAATAAGAAGAGGAATTTCGTGGAGGGGTGGGTGGAGTTTAAGGATAAGAAGAAAGCAAAGCTGTGTGCTTCGACTCTGAATGGACAAATTATCGGTATGTACTTCCTATCTCATAATCTCAAGCAGGAACCAATCCAGACTAACGATCCGACAAACATCATGCAGGCGGCAACAAACGCTCCTACTACTACGACGACATCCTCAACATCAAATACCTCCCCAAATTCAAATGGCACAACCTGACCGAGCAAATCGCGTACGAGAACCAAGTCCGCCAAGCCAAGCTCCGAGCCGAGATCTCGCAGGCCACGCGCGAAAATAAGGCGTACATCCGCAACGTCGGACGCGCAAAGATGATTGAGAATATTAAAGCCAAGCGGGCTCTCAAGGCTGAGGCTGCGGGAGCGAACGAGGACGCTTCGACAAGTAAGAAGCAGGGCGAGAGCGAGATTGAGATGAGGAGAAACTTCAGACAGAGAACGGTTAGAGACCGCACGAAGAGCTCGGAGCCGAGCGCGAGAGATAAAGCGAACGAGGCGGCTATGCAGAGAGTCCTTGGTAGCATTTTTTCATAATATAACCTGTTTGATCATGTCTTGTAATATAGCTTCGGTCATATAGAGAGCATTGCACAGTTTGTATGTATAGAAGGCTGCAAATTACTGATAGCTGAAAGTCGTGATTATTTTCCAAACGCCTGCACAAATGACTAAAAAACAACAAGTGCCATGAACAACCGTACTCGAACACAGACACATAAATAAACGAAAAAACACAACAGCCGAGCAATCTCCTCATTAATTTTGATCACCGAGAACCACCCATCAGCCACAACGGAGACTTATTACAAGCACAAGGAAACAAAACGCAAAGAAAAATGGTATACACGCAAAGTCACATTAATTCTCTTCAATCTCAAGCTGTGGCGCACCTTCAACAGCCTCGCCATCGGTTTCATTCACGGCGACGTATCGGGTGCTTCTAATCATATCTCCGACTCGCATACTGCGCACCTCGCCCACCAGCGACGAACTAGAGATGTCCCCGTCTGGACCATGCAGCAAACGGGATTGTTCTTCGGTGTCGCTTGGAGAGGGGACTGTTGGTGATGGCTGTGTGGGGATGCCTGAGATGGGCGCGTACGGAAGGGGTTCGGTGAAGGACTTTTGCAGATTCCGCTGCTGTTGTTGCTGCTGCTGCTGCTGTTGTTGCCGGCGTACAGCCGGAGGAACGGGAGACTTGATGATCGGCGTGAATGTGTTCTTCGGTACAGCCTGATCGACGACAATGTGTGCGCTTGTACTGCGACTCGGACCAGGGGCCGTCAACTCGCTTGCATCGACCGTACTTATCGATTGAACTGCCGCAGCTGGAGCCACCCGCTCTTCATCAAAAGCAGTGAGCGTCCTAAGCGGCGCGTTTCGCACAACAACAAACCCTCTATTCCGATTGCCCACATGCAATCTCTCCGCCGCGCCTTCTATCCGCTTCGAAAACCAGCCTCTAACGCCGGCTCCCACACCGGTCGGGTCCGCGGGCCCGGTACCCAGTTTTCGGGTGTACTTTGCGCGCGCAGACAGCGGTGTTCGCGACTTGGCCGAGACGGCTGACTTGGGCTGATCCGGGTCGAGTTGTGCGGCGGCTTCGGGGTCGTCGCGGTCGTCGTCGGCGTGCAGGGGGAAAGTGTCTAGCCCTGAGATTGCTATTCCAACTGGTTCTCCTGAAGAGGAACTATTTCCAAGGGTAGATGTCTTGGCAAGACCTTGCTGCTGCTGCTGCTGCTGCTGCTGTTTGCGCATGTTTAGATACACATCAGACTCTCGCACAGCATAGTCCACGTTCCGAGTCGGCTGCGCCATCGAGTACTGATCGCTCCACAGCCCATCGTCCTCCATCGTCTCTGCATCATACCAGCTTTCTCTCTCACCCGTCGACGAGCCGGCTTCTCGCGAGGAACTAGTCCATGCTAGCGGATCGGCACCCTTGATCTGTGATGAATTGGACGAGGCTTGTATTTCGCCAGGCGAGACAGGTGTCTTGCTACCATCTTCGTTCGTCAAGGCAGGACTTCGTCCATCTGAGCTACTGCGCAGGCGCGGGCGCCGCGGCATGCGGTAGTACGCAAACAGCGCGTTCGGACTGACAGGTGAAACGGGCTTGCCGAGCTTTGACGAGTCGGGCGAAAGAGTAGCCATGCCTCCTGCGCTCAAGGGCATCGGTAGACTGTCGAGAATGTTGCCACTCATTGAAGGCTGCAGCGAGAAGCTGTAATCTCTGGGCGAGACAGCTAGCGATTGTTCGTCGGGCGATACTGCTAACGAGCGGGTAGCTTCCAGATCGAGATTACCGGTCGTGCCAAACTTCTCCTGTGGATGCCTTCGTCGGGCAAGCTGTCGAAGACCGAATGCTCGAACAAAGGTAGTTGAAGGATCGCTAGTGACGCCAGCTAGGCGAGCGATGGTCTCGACGATGGCCTGGACAGCGTGCAGGAAGAACACAAAGACGAGGACTAGGGCGTGGATTAGAAGGATGGCGTACGCGACCCATCCTTTGACGGTATCGCTAAGGCCGAGAGAGGAGATGAAGCAGATGGAGAAGACGATTGTGATGAATCGGGCGACGGAGATGATTGCATGGTAGATATTCATCTTAGTAACGTGATGGAAGGGACGGAAGACGGAGAGAAAGACTAGATAAACAGCCTCGACAACGAGAAGTACTGTGATTTGCGCCGTTCCCGAGGGCTGGACAGCGCCGACAAAGATACCTCGGATCAGAGTGGCCAGGATCTGCACGATACAAAACATGAACCCTCGCTCGCGGTAGGTGTTATATAGAGGACCTATGCAGAGCAGGGTTGGAAGGTCATCGTATAGTGCTTGCTGCGGCCTGGCCTGACGAATGACTCTGACGAGTAGCAGCGCGGCAACTATCCAAAGCACCAGCAAAACGCCGGCGAGAACGCTGATGTAGACGGGGGAGTCTGCAGCTCTGAGGAGCTGGAAACACGAAAAGGAGACCAACGGTAGAGAAAAATAAATCATGTAGAGCCGTACAAGCATGCCCAATATGCTCGGGATATTTTTGGATCGCAGATCAACCGAGTGGTGGCCTTTGAACTTGCAGATGAGCCACTTGAACCCGTACAAGGACTGCGAGACCAGGAGGACTATACCGGTGACAGCGAGAAGCCAGACGACGAAGCAGGTCCAGATGTCCCAGTCCTTACCAAGACCTACAAGCTGTGCGAGGTTCGACATGCCATATTCGCCATCGACTGCGTATATATTGTCGATGCCGATGTCGCGCGAGTGGTGGGAAGCAAAAGAGGTGTTGAACTGCAATGAGGCCCAGGAGGAAGCCGACATGGCAGGCTGGTAGAAGCCCGGGAAGCTGAGGTTGAGGGAGGCCAGAAGGAAGGCGAACTGGATGTACTGCAGCAGATCACCAAAGCCAGGCGTAACAAGGCGCAGGGCGTTTGGGTCCTGGCCGTAGTTGCTGCTCCATGAGTAGAAATCTTTTGTGCCGGTCCAGGGGTTGTAGATGGCTGAGACCACGATAGAAACGGCAAGAAGAACAAGGATTCCAACAGGGACGTAGACAAGGATATCGAAAGTGGAAGAGCGGAATGTGGGCGTGATTGTGGCGGAGATGCAGGCGACGACGTCAGCATCTACAGAAGGGTCGATGATGGAAACTTCGGAGGTTACTGATACGAAATAGTAAGAGCTCCCCAACAGATAGGACGAGTAGAACGAAGCGTTGGAGGAGGGTCCAAAAGGGCAGTCGCCGTCGGAGACGTAGGAGCAGAAGCGCGTGTAGGTGTTGTCGACGCGGTACTGCATGACGGATGCGGACGTACGTAGGGTTGCTGTACGTTATTGTTAGAGATCAGGAAGGCAGGTGTAAACAATGGAAGACGACGACGAGCAGACGAGGGCCTGGTCGAGGACTCCAAACACAAACAAAGAAAAGCAAAGGAGAATAGCATACTCAGACGGTTGGTATCTGTAGAGTAGTCCGGGAGCGAGCCGTACATGTCTCCGACCACGGAGATGTTGACCTGCCCGAGGCCATCGTCGTAGAGCGCGTCGACGGACGAGGGGACGAAGTAGGTGCCCGAGCGAGCGACTGTTTCCGACAGACAGCTCTCGAACGGAACACTTGCAGAACGGGCCGGAACAGCGAGAAGAACAAGGAGGAGGAGGAGGAGGGGAGAGAGCATCTTCGCTTTCTATATATAGCAACCCGCGCAAGGTACGCGAGAGGGCGCGCTACGCAGGGAGACGGCGGAGGAAGCAGAGAGGTCAGATAGAAGGCAACATTGCCGGGAACAACACGAAGAACCAGGAAGAAGCTGCCGAGCGGGCAGTTTGCGGGCGACGCGGTGGTGAAGCAGCGCAGGCGGAGGCAGCGTCGTCGTTGAACGAGCAAACCGCCATCGGCGAGCGGCGCAGGCACAAGTCCAGCGCCAGAGCGTGCGGCGGTGGCCCGCCTGTGTTCACGTGATAAGTCATGTGACACTCACGTGATGATCAGCATGTAAGCGGTGAGGGTGCGGTGCCCACGTGGAGCGCACAGGCCGCGCACGGTTTAGGAAGTCGTCCTCAGCGTCGGCGCCGCGTGCTGCTGCCACGCTGCTGCTCCTCCTCTGTTCCTGTTCCTCTTCACCACCGCCTTCTTCTGCTCTTCTCCATCAACTCCTTCTGCAATGGCCTCCGCAAACGGTTCCTCGGCTGAGCGCAAGCACGCTAAGAGCCAGAGCACCTTCGTATGTATCTCCTCTCTTCTCCCGTCGGCCGTCCCTGTCTTCTTTGTCCATGCGCGTCCTCCGATCGGCCATTCTTGCGTTTCACGCTCTCTTCTCTCTGCCGTTCTCTGTCGCGATTTTAGTTGTATTCGCGTAGTTTTTTTTAGAAATCTTTATATCTCGTGTTTTATTTCTGTTCTATTTGTTTTCTTTTTCGTGTTTTGGGTTTTGACCGGCTACTCTCCCCTCTCCTCTCCGCTAACATGCCACCTAGCAATTCGAAAACACCTCCACCGCCATCGCCGCCAGTCAGATGCGCAATGCCCTCAACAAGCTCGCCGACACCGTTCCTGACCCAAAGATGCGCAAGGTATGTCTTCTCCACTCTCTTCTACATCCTCTTCCCCTCGTCGCGTCTTTGTTTACCCGATCCCTACTAACACGCACCCCCACCTCTAGCAATTCGAGACCCAAATGGACGCCTTCTTCTCCCTCTTCCGCCGGTATCTCACCGACAAGGCCAAGGGAACCGCCGTGTACGTCTACTCTTCTCTTCATCTACAACCTCCCTACTAACTCCTGTTCAGCGACTGGGACCATATCAACCCCCCCAACCCCGAGCAGGTCATTGCCTACGATGAGCTCGCCGAGGACATCCAGACCGAGTTCCTCTCCAAGCTCGTCGTTCTCAAGCTCAACGGTGGTCTTGGAACCTCAATGGGCTGCGTCGGTCCCAAATCAGTCATCGAGGTTCGCGAAGGCCAGTCCTTCCTCGACCTTGCCGTCCGCCAAATTGAGTTCTTGAACGACACCTACAAGGTCAACGTGCCCTTTGTGCTCATGAACTCCTTCAACACCGACGACGACACGCAGTCCATCATCAAGAAGTACGAGGGTCACAACGTCGAGATTATCACCTTTAACCAGTCTCAATACCCTCGTGTCTACAAGGACTCCCTTCTCCCCGTCCCCAAGGACATCTCGGCTCCCATTGACTCGTGGTACCCTCCCGGACACGGTGACTTGTTTGAGTCGATCGAGAACTCTGGAGTTCTTGACGAGCTCATCGCCCGCGGAAAGGAGGTCCTCTTTGTCTCCAACTCTGACAACCTCGGCGCTGTCGTCGACTTCAAGATCCTCAACCACATGGTCGAGTCCAAGTCGGAGTACATCATGGAGCTGACCGACAAGACGCGTGCTGATGTCAAGGGTGGTACCATCATCGACTACGAGGGCTCTGTCCGACTACTGGAGATTGCGCAGGTTCCCAAGGACCATACCGAGGACTTCAAGTCGATCAAGAAGTTCAAGTACTTCAACACCAACAACATCTGGATCAACCTGAAGGCCATGAAGCGCGTTGTCGAGAACAGCGAGCTCGAGCTCGAGATCATCCCGAACGCAAAGTCGATCTCTGTCGGCAAGGGCGAGTCTGACGTTGGCGTTCTCCAGCTCGAGACCGCCGTCGGTGCCGCCATCCGTCACTTCAAGGGCGCCCACGGTGTCAACGTTCCCCGTCGCCGATTCTTGCCCGTCAAGACTTGCTCCGATCTCATGCTCGTCAAGTCGGATCTGTACTCGCTTGCCCACGGCGCTCTCGAGATCTCGCCTGGCCGATTCGGTCCTGCTCCGTTGATCAAGCTTGGAAGCCATTTCAAGAAGGTTTCTGACTTCCAGAAGCGCATTCCCTACATTCCCAAGATCGTCGAGCTTGACCATCTTACGGTCACTGGTAATGTTTCGCTTGGAAAGGGTGTCGTTTTGAAGGGAACTGTCATTATTGTCTGCTCGGACGGCCAGAAGATTGATATTCCCAACGGCAGCATTCTTGAAAACGTTGTCATCACTGGCAACCTGTCTATACTCGAGCATTAAATAGCGACTTCCATTCTGCCTGGTTTGAAACCGTGGCAAGTGTTTTTTTCCCTTTCAGTTTTTTTTACCACTTTTGGTTGTACATTTGAACGTTTGATCATTTTCTATTCCTGCTGTATGTGAATTTTCCATTTTCCTTTTTTTTTGTTGACTACTCTCTCTGAGAGAGCGGGTTGGTGTCCATAGTTGAGTTTGGCCTTGGAGGCAAGTAAGTGTATGAGTTTGTGACTATTTTTCCTAATGAAGGAAAAAAGAGTCTGAAATTGGACAGTGTAGCAGTGAAGTCTAAGATTAGTCCCAGAGAATGAATGGTTCTCGGGTTTTATTTTGTATTGCTGTTTTTGCGCCTGAAATACATGGCTGTGAACAAGATTTGATAAGTTCTTGATTGTAGTGTAGAATTCTGTCATAGACAGTATCGGAAGACTGGTTTTCTAGATCTCCGAGCAGGTCGGCGAGAGTCGATTGTTTTGTCGGGTTGAATCTCGGCTTGAGCGAGAAGATGCATCATGAGGGAGACAGGCGCGTCTGTGGTGGTAGTAGAAAGGTTCGATGTCGTAGAAGGGGGTTCTGGCTTTGTCTTTCTCTTAGGCTTAGGCTCTGGCTCTGACGTTGTCGTTTTAGCCGTTTCGCGAATGAAGTGATCAATATCACTATCATAATCGAAGCTTTGCGTCGCGGTAGCTGCGACCGCTGCAGCTGTTGTGGGCGCAGGGGAGGTCGACGAGGAGGGAGCAGCAGAAGGCACCGGCGGCGACGAAGGTACCTGTGTGAGCCGGATGATTTCCATTATATCGTCGTTATCGCTGGCGGGTTCTGGGGGAGGACGGTCAGGTTCTGCGAGATGTGTCGCAGCGTCGGCGGGCTGAGAATCTGGGGAGGGTTTGGGAGGGGGAGGTTTTATCTTGGTGGGTGCTGGAGTGCGGGAAGCAGATAGGCGAGGAGCGTGCATCAGCGTTCCTAACGTCGAAAGCGGGACCTCATCACGAACTTCTTCCAGAGGGACTTCATCGTCGCTGCTGAGCGCAGGGCGCGGACTCTCATCGGTATCTTTCGCACCCGCTGATTCAAGCAATCTCAGCTCTGCCTCGTGCACCGCTGCCGTGAACAGATGTACTGTTTCAAGAAACTCGTCTTCGACCATGCGATAAGCCTTGTCGTTTTGCTGCATTAGCTCTGTTGGTAGGAATGGTGGTTTTGCGCGCTTGTGTGTATCGCTGGGGTCGGTATCAGATGATGATGATGAGGGGGAGGAGAACACCTGCGTTGAGGACGGGGGAGGTCGATACCGTCTCGGCTCATGTCGTGGTTTTGTGATTGTCGTATCATCATGACTTTCAGACGCAGTCTCCGGTTCCCGTTTCCTTTTCGAGGCTTCTGTAATATCTCTTTTGACTGGTTTGCGATCAACGGTCCTCCTCGACGCGGCAGACGACGACGTCATCGCTTCCCACGGAAGTACACGTCTCCTTACCATCTCAGAACCATTCAAAAACACCCGCAGTAATTCACATCAGACCCAAAACCTCTGTCAATGCTCCCTACCTATCTATTTCTACTTCACCGAGAAGTAACTGATTGAAGATCAACAATGATCAACTATCAAAAATTAAGGTTCGAGTCGTTGTCCCGGCCGATGACGTTTTTGGCTCTTTTTTGGGTCTTGAAATTTGAGAAATTCAATTTAAATCTGTTATCTTCCTCCCAACGGTCAGATTATTCGAATTGCATCTGCAATTATTGTTTGTGATTGAATATTCTGTTTGAGGTTTTGAGTTTATAGCTGCTGTTTGCTGTTGTTTATAATTGCTTCTATTTGGGGAGGTCTGATTCGAAAGCAGACGATATGGCAGACGAGGATCAAAATGGCACACTGCCTTCTACCAGCACGACACCACCTCCCGCGACCACAGCCTTCCTCAAAGACAGCGAGACCACGACAGAACATGAGACAGACGACGCGATGACGCCGACGCCTCTTGAACCGAATATCCAGAGTCTGGATAGTCTTGGTGTGCGAACGATGGAGCAAGATGATCTTGAACGGAACGTGGCGGCGCAGGTATGGATCAACGCATCTTGACGAGCGCGATGTTTTGATGAGAATGCTAACAGAGTCTTGTACAGGCTGATCAAGCTATTAATAAACGCGAGAAAGATCTAGATATGAAGCGTTTGGAGAAATCTCTCACCCAGAAACTGTTTGTCTCTTCCTTGTTCTACTTATCTTGCTAATCAACGTCGCTAACAACTTGATCCTGCAGAAAATTCGTCGAGAAAATCAACAAACTCGAAGACCGCCTCGGCTCACGCAACACGACTCTTTCCGCACGCGCAAAGATCATCGACGAAATCGAACACATCCGCACCGTCGACCTCGCGCCCATCGACCAAGATATCTCCGACATCCGGCACCGGATCGACGAGCGCGAGCGCGCCGCCGCCGCCATGGCCGGCCATCATCATAACTCAGAAGCAGGTGGTGAAGTTGCGGACGCGGCGCGGTTGCCGAATGAGTCGGAACGCGAGTTTTTGATACGGACGGGTAAGATCACGCCGTTTTCGAAGATGGCGGGTCTCGAGCGCCAGGCGGGACGGGCAGCGGACGCGGCGCACGCGTCGGCGCAGGTGATTGCAGAGGCGGAGAGTAGCGCGCAGACGACGGCGGCGGTAAGCAGTGGTGCGGCAGCGGGGAAGGATATGTCGCATCAGAAACTACGGTTGCCGGGGCTTGAGTTTGATACCTCTGACGAGGGCGAGATTGAGGAAGACGAGGATGATGAGGAAGAGCTTGTTAGTCGGATCTCTGCCGAGACGAAGATTAGACGGCGGAGGTTGAGTTCGTCGGGTGGTGCGAGCGGGCAGCGGAAACGGAGGAGGGTGGATGAGGATGAGGAGGATGAGGATGCGGTCGTCAAGGATGAGGATGAGTCTGCGGAATCTGATTTTGTGCCAGACGCGGACGACGATGACGAGGCGCTGGAAGACGAGGGTGATGACGATGAGTTGCAATATGCCGCCGAAATGGACGACGACGACTTTGAAGACGAGGAACGCAAGCCAAAGGCGAGAAAGAAATCGTCAAAGAAGAAGAAGAAGGAGGAGGAGAAGGAGGAGTTACCGGAAGCAGACGATGGCGATGAGAGTTACTATAAAGAACGTCTGCAGAGATGGGTATCCCGACGTTCCGCGTTCCGGAAGAAAACCCGTCTCCGTCGCGAGCAAGCAGGCGGCAGCAGCAACAACGAGGACGGCTCTGACTCGGATACAGAGGAATGGTACCGTCGGCACCCGAAAATCCGCGATCTGGAGTTCGACGGCGGGTATCGGCTGCCGGGCGATATCCACGCCAGTTTGTTTGACTATCAAAAGACGTGCGTGCAGTGGCTTTGGGAGCTGTATTCGCAGCGCACGGGCGGGATTATTGGCGACGAGATGGGGTTGGGAAAGACGATTCAGATTATTTCGTTCATTGCGGGATTACACTACAGTGGGAAACTTACAAAGCCGGTGCTGATTGTTTGTCCGGCGACAGTGATGAAGCAGTGGGTGAACGAGCTGCATAGGTGGTGGCCACCCTTTCGCGCCGTGATTTTACATTCAAGCGGGACAGGCATGCTGAAGAACGCCGAGCAGGCGGATGAGCTGGATAGACAGCTGAGTAAGCGGCAAGGCAAGCTGATTGACTCAAAGTCGAGCCAGGCGGTGAAAAGGCTGGTGAACCGCGTGGTGGCGAAGGGACATGTGCTGGTGACCACCTACGTCGGCATGCAAATCTATCGAGACGCGATCCTGCCCAAGGAGTGGGGCTACTGCGTGCTCGACGAAGGCCATAAGATCCGCAACCCAGACTCTGACATCTCGCTGGTGTGCAAGCAGGTGAAGACGCCGCATCGCGTGATTCTGTCGGGAACACCGCTGCAGAATAACCTGACTGAACTGTGGAGTCTGTTTGACTTTGTCAGTCCCGGCAGATTAGGCACGCTGCCGGTGTTCCAACAGCAGTTCTCGGTACCGATCAACATCGGTGGCTACGCGAACGCGACGAACGTGCAGGTGCAGACGGCGTACAAATGCGCGGTCGTCCTGCGGGACCTGATTTCGCCGTACCTCTTGCGGCGGATGAAGGTCGACGTGGCGGCCGACCTGCCCAAGAAGACCGAGCAGGTGCTGTTTTGCAAGCTGACGCAGCCACAGCGGGACGCGTACGTCAAGTTTCTAAAGTCGGGGGACATGTCGTCGATCATGTCCGGCAAGCGGCAGGTTCTGTTCGGGGTCGACATCCTGCGCAAGATCTGCAATCATCCCGATCTCGTCAGCCGCGAGATCCTAAGCCACAAGGAAGGCTACAACTACGGCTCGGGCAACAAGTCCGGCAAGATGCAGGTCGTCAAGAGCTTGATCCTGCTCTGGAAGCAGCAGGGCCACCGCGCGCTGCTGTTTTGCCAGACGCGGCAGATGCTCGACATTCTCGAGAAATTCATCAGCGGCCTGCACCCGAGCGTGCGGTACCTGCGCATGGACGGCTCGACGCCGATCGGATCGCGGCAGACGCTCGTGGACGAGTATAACAACACGCCCGAGATCGATGTGTTTTTGCTCACGACGCGCGTCGGCGGGCTGGGCATCAATCTGACGGGCGCGAACCGCGTGATTATCTACGACCCGGACTGGAACCCGTCGACGGACGTGCAAGCGCGCGAGCGCGCGTGGCGGCTGGGGCAGCAGAAGAAAGTGGCGATTTACAGGCTGATGACGTCGGGGACGATCGAGGAGAAGATCTACCACCGGCAGATCTTCAAGCAGTTTCTGACCAACAAGATCCTGAAGGATCCGAAGCAGCGGCGGTTTTTTAAGAATAATGATTTACATGACTTGTTCAGTCTTGGAGATTCGGACGCGGACGGGACGGAGACCGGGACGCTGTTTGCGGGGGCGGAGGTTCAGTTGAATCGTGGGGAGCTCGAGTCGGTGGAGGAGAGTAAGAAGAAGAAGAAGGTGAAGGAGACGGAGGCTATCAAGCAGCTTACAGGCGTTGCTGGTCTCGAGAAGTAGTGAGTGTCTATCTTTTCTTGCTATATGAAAACGAGCAAAGAGCTAACCGATCACGACAGCCGCACCGAGGAAGAAGAAAACAAAACCACAGAACCAACCTCCTCAACAGCCGCCGCTCCAGACGAAGAAACACCCGACCCCTCGTCCACCGGCGCCGACGACGGAATAATGGAAAGCCTTTTCGCGCGCTCGGGAGTCCACAGCGCGCTCGAGCACGACGAGATCATGAACGCGTCGCGGCCGGACGCGATCCTGGTCGAGCGCGAAGGAGCGCGGATTGCGGCGGATGCAGCGCGGGCGTTGCGGGAGTCGCGGCGCGCGATGAGAGCGACGGGGGCGGGCGTCGGGACGCCGACGTGGACGGGGAGGAGCGGGGTTGCGGGGAGAGAAGATGGTGCAGGTAGACGAGCGGTCGGGGCGCGGAGTAGGGAGGGTGGTAGTGCACCGCCTGCTACATCTACATCTAGTTCTAGAACATCAGGATTGCTTTCGCGGCAAACGTCGTCAAGGGTTGGGTCGGGAGGTATTTTGGCCAGGCTACGTGATAAAAAGGCGCTGGAGGAGCAAGAGTCTGCGCGAAGACGGTGATGTGTATGATGATCTATGATGAGGTGGAGAGTGAAAGAGATAGTATTTAATAAATAATAATGCTCTCCACCCCCGAGCCGGACAAACTACCAGACGGACGCTTTTGACTGTTTAATCAGCCCACCGCAGAGATAAGTTTATTTCAGCTATCCAGACTAAAATATCATAGAAAAGACGCTCTTCCAGGAGGATACTCGCAGCTGTCTGAGAATGACTAGAAACACAAAAGAGCATCTCCACCCTACACCGGACTGACAATGCATAGCACATGCGGGGAAAGCAAACACCATCTGCAAAGCTGTAAGGAAAATGCATAAAATTAGCTTCAAGTGATTATCTTCTTATAGCAGCGCGAGGATTCATTTACAGTAAAGTATCCGATCGGGTAGTTCGCCCCGTCCGGCTCTGGGGGTGCACTACAATAATATTTCGCATTTCGCTCAACTCATTCTGCTTCCCAAAAAGACCAACACCAACAACAAAAAAAACAGCAGACACAAACACAAACTCGCTACAAAAGCTACAATACGACTACTGAGTCACGGTCTTCTCCTCAACGACGATCGGCACGTCAGGCGCGTTCTCAAAGTGAATACCGCCGTGCTTGAGCATCGCTTCGGCGACGGCTTCGGCGGAGCGGAATTCCAGCGCGACTTTGTCGCCGAACTTTGCGTTGATTTCTTCGAGCGTGAGGCCGGCGGTCTGAGTATATTGTTAGAATTGCAGGTAAAGAGGAGAGAAAGAATAAGTGAAATACCTCTGGACAGATAAAGATAACAGCAGTGGTAGTGACGAGGCAGGTTGCAATCATCGGGAAGTAATACTTCCAGCCAATATTTGCAAATCCAGTAGTGGCTGGACTGGTAAACGCAATAGCGCACAGGAAGAACGAGCCAAGACCCAAGGTTCCACCGTAACTTCGAAGATGAGTAGGCCAGATCTCAGAGACGTAGACATAGCCTGCGCAGTCGATAGTGGACCCGTAAAATACGATAAACATAAAAAACATCGCAACGGCGCCGTTGGTGCCTGCCTTGCTGTGTCCATCAAGGTAGTATTTCTGCAGAACCGCTTCGCAGATCATGGTTGCGCTCGTGAGGTAGCCTCCCGTGACCAGAAGTTTCTTGCGACCAATGCGATCCATAAGAACCGCGTTAATCATAGCGCCAATCCAAGCACAGACAGTCCAGACAATAGAAAGCGAAAGCTGCAGCACGACTCCGAATCCAAGAGCAGCAAATAGGGTTGGTGTGAGGTTCGCAATAACGAGAATACCAGTGGACTGGCCCATTACCCAGGTCAGGATCGAGCAGATTGCACGATGTCGAAGATGGGGAGTCTTGAAGATATAGATGTAGCCGTGGGGTAGTGTTCGCTCTTCGATGATCTGAGCACGAATCTGAGCCATTTCCGCGGCAGCGATCTTTGCTTCGGGATCTTCCTCGGTTCTGTTGAGCTTCTTGAGAATAACCCACGCCTCATCGTATCGTTCTTTCTCACAGAGCCAGCGAGAGACTCCGGGAGGAAGAAAAGAGAGATGAAAAGACAGAGGGCAAAGAAGGTGAGCATGACGAACTGCAGACGCCATTGATAGGGCCTGTCGACAAAGTGCCAGATGAGTGCAAAGATAGAGGAAGTGATGTAGGCGTATATAATTCCGATTGCATGTTCAGAAACGAGTAAACCTCTTAGATGCGGGGGAGCAATCTCACTCATGTAGACAGGGCAGTTAGCAAGAAGCATACCGGCGCCAATACCGCCAGTTGTGCGAAAGACGGTGAACATGGCGACGTTGACAGATCCGGCTTTGAGGGCGGCAGAAATCATGACTAGAACAGCAGCGGTACCGGTAGCTACTTTGCGACCCCATCTGGTAGAAATGGGAGCTTGGATGACAGCGCCGACGAAACCACCTCCGAGGAAGCTGGAATGCTGTAGTGTCAGAATGGGCAAGACAATATCAAACACAGAAGAGTAACGCACCCACCGATCATTCCACCGATGACTGAATCAGAGTTGCCGTTGCTGAGAAACTTCTCAATAAAACTGGTCTGGGAGAAGGATCCAGCAGTGGCGTTGTTGGCGTAACCAAAGACGAAACTGCCGAGGCCGGCGGCGAGAATTGCCTGCGAGGGTGAGTGACAGGAAGCGAGGTGTTTGATAGAAACGGGGAGCGTACCATAACATTTGCGGTGGTGAGCTTCTGCTTGCGCAGATGATCTAAGGCGGACGCGACAGACTCGAGATCAGCGGGATGCCGGGCGTCTTGCTGGGCGGGGACTTCTGGGTCGGTCATGGTTGCGAGGATGTGCGGAGACGGGGAAGGAACCGGGGGTGGGGAGCAGGGTCCATTTATAGAAGGCGCTATGCCGCATGGCAGACAGGCGTCGAGGTGATTGACTGATTATTAATAGAAAGCAGACGGTCGACGAAAGCAGGAGCTGCTCGAAGCACGCAGTCGCTCGGCATTCGAACTTGGAGCCGGACAATTTATAATTTAATCTGCTTACTCGCTTGGGAGTTGCTCCGCCGCACGCAGCACGATGAGTGGTTTTATTCCACGTTTGAGTGATATTCTGCAACTATTCTATTGAAAACAGAATCAACAAACGTCAGTTCCTTTTTTAGTTGCAAAATCTACAATCGACACCCTCGTTAAGCGACGGGGTGCAATTATCAGGATAAATAGACGGAGATGGTGATTGGGAATAAGCTTTGTGTAAAGCATATCAAAACCTTATACGAGGACTTCAAATCCCGAGCAAAGCCCGGACGAGTGCTCGTCAGCTTTCAGTCAGCTGTGTCAGCTGCTTTGGTGGCTTTCTCTACTTAGCCCAGTTGTCTGAACTACTTATCCTGTCTGAGCAGATGACGTCGAGTCGAGCTAGAGAGCGGGGACAGAACATGGAAAACCTGGGACGGGGAGTATTCGATGCTCAAACGATCGACGCGTCTCGGACGGTGTTCTCCCCGTTCTTCACCTTATCCTCACATCCCAACACGATAGCAGTTTACAGTAAAACTATATATCTCCATGTTGTTTATTAATAATACATGTTGAATATGAAATTCACAGCATAATACCTTCTTCACTGGCTTCTATTCACCTGCACAGATTAAGATTAAAGTTGACAGTTAAACTCTATCCAAGACATTTGCTTGTTCCTCGGATAGACTTCGGATGCCGCACTGTTTTATTCCGCAAACAAATGCGGGGTAAACACTTAAATACGCTCTGCTGCTCCCCGCCTTAGTCGCAAACCCTACAAAGCCCCTCCCAACGCTGTAGGGTTTCTATTCTTATGTAAGCTGACAACATAGATCATGTGATCTGAATCACGTGCACTGCATCCATCCACACACCTCGAGCCTCGCACGTGTTTGCAGACGCGTCTGATCCCAACCTTCTCCAAATATTTCGGTCGTCTGTTCTGTGCTGCTGTTCTCTGTCTTTTCTCGTTCTTTACAGTCCTGTCTTGATGCTTTATTTGCTCTCGCTCTCTTTCTCATGGCTCTCCGCCCACGCTCGAAAGCTGCCTTAGCGCGGCTATTACTCGCTGGCCTCGTCCTCTTCCTCCTCGCCGCTACCCTCTCGCTCTCTGCTCCATCCTCTGCATACCAAACCACTGTCCATTCCCTCTCCGACTCCTCCTGCTCTCCCGTCTGCCACGTCAACAATGCCGTCCTCCTATCCCCCTCTACTTCCCCCGTCGAGCGCGAGTACACCTTCAACGTCGCCCACAAGCAGTCCTCCCACCCCGACGGCGTCATCAAAACCCACGTCCTCGTCAACGACCTCATGCCAGGCCCCACCATCCGCGCCAACCGCGGCGACACAATCGTCGTCCATGTCAACAACAACCTCGCAAACGAATCCACCTCGGTCCATTTCCACGGCGTGCACCACCGCGGCTCGAATTCCATGGACGGCGTTCCGGGCGTAACTCAGTGCGGCATCCCGCCCGGCCATTCCTTCACCTACAAATTCACAGTCAACCAGTCCGGCACTTTCTGGTGGCACTCGCATTCTGCCACACAGCGCATCGACGGCATGGCCGGCGCAATGATTGTCAACGACCCTCAAAACGACCACTACCAAATTGGCAGAGACTACGACGACGAGGCCATCGTCTTCATCCAGGACTACTACCACCAAACAGGCGAGCAGAGATTCGAGTTCTACCTCTCCCGCTCCGGAGCTGGCTTTGAGCCCGTCCCCGAAAACGGCCTCATCAACGGCCGCGGCTACGAAAACCTCTGCTCGCGCGCGCACTTCACGCACAAGTGTGACCCTACCTCCGACACGCGCCCGTTCGAGTTCCGCTTCGTGCGCGGGCGGCGGTACAGACTGCGCGTCATCAACGCGGGCGCGCTTGCAGAGGTCAGCTTCTCGCTTGATAACCACGTGCTCACAATCATCGAGGCCGACACGTCCGAGTCCGAGCCCGCGGATGTGCACTTTGTGCCTATAGCGCCGGGTCAGCGGTACTCCGCCATCGTCACCGCTGCCGAGTCTGGTCCGGACGTGGTCACCATGCGCGCGGATATGAACACAAACTGCTTCAACTACCACAACTCCGTTCTCAATCCCGAGATCCGTGCTCGCGTCGCGCTTGTCGATCCACCCTCGTCGCCTGCGCAGAGATTACTCAAGACCCTCGTCAAACGCGGCGACAGCTCACCCTCCCGACCATGGGACGACGTGCTCTTACCCGACCGCTGCATCGACCTCGACCCATCCCTCCTCCGCCCCGTCGCAGGAGGTCCCTTCTCCGGCGGCCAAGTCCCCGCCATGACGCGCCGCGTCGCGCTGCACACCAAAACCCTCAAACTCGAGCGCGTGAACCTGGCTCCGTTCGGGTTCATCAACCGCACCTCGTTCATGCCCGCCATCGGCGCGCCAAACCTGCACGTCCAACTCGGTCTCGTCAACCCGCTTGCAGAGACAGTCACCGTGCCGACCGTGAGCGGGCGACCGAATACCGATCCGTGGGGCGGCGACCAGCTTATCGAGCACATCGACCTCTCGCCCGATGCAGAACACCCGACCGTCATCGAGCTCGTGATTAACAACCCCGACGAATCAGCCCACCCGTTCCACCTCCACGGCCACGAGATGTACGTCGTGCGCACGCACTCTGCGCGCGCGGGCTTGGGCCCGTGGAAGCCAAAGTACATTTCCGAGTACAAGACCGTCGACGTGCTTCCTCGCGACACCATCACCGTCCCGCGACTCGGTCACGCGGTCGTGCGTTTTGTCGCTGATAACCCGGGATTCTGGGCGTTTCATTGCCATATCCTGTGGCATTTGCGCGCGGGCATGATGATGCAGTTCGCGGTCGGCGTCCAGCAGCTTGAGCGGCAGCTGGTGAATCAGGAGATGATGGAGCAGTGCAGGGTTGAGCGGGAGATGGGCGAGAGATTGGTGAAGGAGTTGCCCGGGAGCGCGTATAAGAAGGGGATGATCCCTGCTACGTAGAGACCTTTTATTGTATATAGAGTTATAGAGATGTATATTAAAGAGTGATGTTCATATGCATTTGTTTTTATTTACTAATAGAATCTGTACAAAATCCAGATCTGTCACCATCTTGTATACCTTATATAACTCATAATCAATTTACAGCCTCACATCCCTTCTCCCACGACTAACCTTCACCAGCGCATCCGTAGCAGGCCGACTCGCCTCCTCGACGCTCAGCAGCCGTCTCTGCTTCAACCTTCTCCCCGCATCATCCGCGAGCGCAAGCACCCGCACACTCACACTAGGCGAGTCGCGCCGATTCTTGCCCTCCCGTCTAAACACTGAAATCCGCTCGACGTAGTCCCACAGTCTACCTTCGGGCTTTATCCGCGACGAGCGTGAGAACGCGCCGGGGTCATGCAGACCGCCTGCGGGGGAGCCTCCGGCTGCCGCTGCTGCTGCTGCGACGGCGGCGTAGCCTGCGTCGTGGTGAAGATCGGCAGGGGAGCTGTATCGCGTCGGCACCCACTCAGGAGAAAGCGACATGATGGCGGGCGTGCGTCCTGACTTTGACCGACGCACGACAAGGATTCCCTCCGCTTCAAACTCGTTGAACGCCGAGCGCAGGACTTCCTTGTTCACGGCTTCAAAGTATGAGAGATCGCCCTGTGCGTAGACGGTCTTGCCTAGTAGCTGCGCTACCTCGAGAAACTCGTTTACTTCTACCCAGAGTGTTTCTGCGCCGCTGCTGTTGTTGCTGTCGTTCGTTTGCTGCGAAGAAGCGATATCGGCTGCGACGGGCGTCAGCATAAACAGCGCCGCGGCAGCAAACCAGTATCCGTCGCAGAACGGCCACAGCAGAAAACAGTAGAAATCAAAAAACTCCCGTCCGCGCGCTCGCTCTTCGAGGCTCAACTCGACCGACCCGTCCTCAGTCAGCGAGATCACGGCCTGGTCGCGCAGCACCTGGATCGACTCCCAGAAGTTGGCCTTGATGCCGCCTGGCTGCTGGATATATACAAATTCGCCGGCGAGCAGGTGTGAGAGCCATTGCGTTTGCTCAAATAGGTATTTGATTGGCACGCGCTGCATCGCAGGGCCGCCGCCTTGCTTGATCTTTGTATACATCGCCACCGCGACGATCGCGTCCGACACAAAGAGATGCATCGCCATGTTCCGGTAGAACGAGAGCTGGAACCGGTCGGCGGCGTAGTAAGTTGGCTCGAGCAACTTGCCGTCTTTGCCCGAGATCCCGATAAGCGGGCCCAGCACTTCCAGCCCGCGATCGACCACTTGCTCTGTCGTCAGCGTGCCAAAATCAGCCACGCGACCGCCTCGCTCGCGGATTCGTACGCAAAGCCACTCTATCCGACGGATGAGCTCCGAGTGGCCTACGCCTCGTCCGCGCAGCGTCAGGAGCACAGTTCCGATCAGCGCTGTAGGCATCACGACCGACGCTTTATTGATGTTTGACAGAACCTCGTATCCGAGCGAGCGCAGCACGCGAGTTCGCAACTGCTCGTTCCCAGCCGCCTCGGTGAACGAAGGGACGGGCGTGCCGCTGGGCGTGTATCGCTCGATCTGGGAGTTTATGTACCCGCGCAAGCTCCATGGCTCATGAAAGCGCACGTCGACGCGGCCGAGCTTGAGCGAGAGAATCTCGCGCGCGGAGAAGAAATCTCGCAGGTTTTCTTTCTGCTTTTGACGGCCGAGCAACTCGCTGATGTAGCTCTCGGTCTCAATCACGCGATCGTACTGAGTCGACACGGGAACGATCCAGCAGTCCTCTGTTCGGCCGGAGAGCACGGTGTCGAAGATGAATTTGAGAATGCCAAATTTGGGAGGAAGCAGTTTTCCAAGTCGGGAGCGGCCGCCTTCGATGAAGCACTCAAAGTTGAAGCCGCCGGAGAGGAGCGTGTCGACGTAGGCTTGGATAAGGGCGCTGTATAACTGGTCGTCGCCGAATGATCTCCTCATCCACATTGCGCCAAGGTTCTATTCAAAAGTTAGTAGATGTAAGATGGAAATAATCATTAAGATAAAGCGCGACTTGCGTTGAGAGCTGGCCCAATGACGGCAAAGTTGAGATTGTCCCCCGCGACAATGGTCGGCAACGATATCCCCACTCGGAAGCAGATCGCCTGCATGCAAACATAATCTATATGCGAGCGATGGCACGGCAAAAAGATCAGACTCTGGCCCTTCTCTGCCGCCATCGCAGCCGTCTTCTTCAAATTCGCAATCTCCTCCGCATTGACATGCAGCCCTTGGTTATACGAGCGCGCGAGAATCTGCATGACGATGTAGTACGCGACGCGCACGATGCGCTTGTGCTCGAATTTGCAAATCATCTTTTGCGCAAGCGTAGCCGTGACTTCTTCAAGCCAACTGACGACCTGCGCGCGTCGCTTGAGCCGTTGCTCGGGCGTGGCTTTTTCCCACAGCGGCGAGTCCTTCACGCTGCGATCGGCAAGGGTCTCGATGCGTTCGCGCAGGAGCGAGTTGCGGAGCACGGCATCCTTCATTTCGGCGGTGAAGCCGTGGTAGAAGATTTTCCTGCCGACGTAGTTGTCATAGGACCGGTAGGTCGTGCCTGCGATGTGTTTGCCGAGATCGCGGAGGAAAGTCACGGGCTGTTCGCGGAAGTGGGTGAAGTCGGAGGTCAGGTTGCGCGTGGGGGACTCGGTCTCGACGGCGGCCGAGGAGATGGCTGCAGAGGATGAGGCGGCGTCGGGGTCATCGGCGGGACCGGAGTGGTCGCGGATGTGGTCGAGGATCACGGCATCGTCGCGGCCGAGAAGGTCGAGATCAAGCGGGTTCCTGCGGGGCATGGCAAGTTCTTGCCGAGGGAGACTTGACAAGCCGAGACGGGTAAAACAAGTGGTGCCTGCGACTGCAAAGACAGGAAAGCAGAAGATAAGCCCGATTGAGCTCCCCGGCGGGCAAAAAAAGGAGCACAGGAAAGGAAGAAGTCCGGAGAGGAGCAGAGGGGCTGCGGAGAAGGGGAGCGTTTAGGCTGGCAGCTGTCTGGGGAAGATTCGGTAGTTCTGAGCACGCAAGCAGCCGGTTAGGGTTTCTGCTTTGGGCTCATCGCCGCTTAATCCGAATCTGGTTGGGAGTTTTGGGCTGCGTCAAGACGCCATCGCCTATTCGAGCAGCTTATCGTCAACAGCTCTTTCTGCACTTTGCACTTTGCACTTTGCACACAACGCCGGGGACTTGTTTCCTGGTTTATTTAGCTGTGGAAATATGCTGGAGTCGAGCGCAGGTCTGTCGTCGCCCGCGTCGCGGATGACAATAGCGGGCGGAGAAGAGAAGTGCGACGCGTCTGCCGTTCACGCCTACCGAGGACCGCTCGTTGCCGCGCCGGCCTCACCGGCGTCGTCGTCGCCGTCGTCTTATGTCGCGAACGACGCTATGCTATGGGCTGCGTCGACACTACCAACCCCGCCGCTGGAATCTCCTGTTTTAGAACGCCTTCATCCTTCCAAAACTGCATTCATCGCAAGCAGCAGCAGCAGCAGCAGCAATAGGAGAACCGACGATGCAAAGATGGGCTCGCTCCTACTCGATATCCTAGCCACTCCCCCGATAGCCACAGCACTTGTCACATACATCAGCAGAACAGACCTCCCAAATCTACGACTAGTCTGCAAGCACGCGTACCAGACGCTGACGTACTCGGACCAGTATTACCTCGACCTGCTCGACAGCGCGATTCAATGCGAAGTCGCGACCGACCCTTGTCGGTCGGCAGAGGCGGGCGACCATGGACGATGTCTGCGCTGTGATAAGACTGTTTGTCGGGTTAGTATATTTGATTTGGTTTGGTGGTGGCCGCTTGCTGATTATTTGGTTATAGTATTGCATTCCTGGCCTTGCGCAGTTGACTACTTTCAGCTCCCGCTCACGCAGCGTGTGCGCCGTCTGCCGCCCTACACTCATCCGCGGCCGCTGTGAATGTGCAGTCTCTCAACGTGAGTACTCTTTTTCTCTTACTAATTTCTCGACCAGTACTGATGTTTCATACACGCCCCAGGCTGGATTTGCAGGGACTGTCATACACTCGAGATCCTGCGCGACCGCAACGACCTACAAATGCGATACGGCAAACACAAGCCCTGCTATGTCTGCATGCGACCCATCGCAGACCGCAGTCCTCCTGTACGCTTACTCTTCTGTTCTTTTTTTTGGTTTTATCTCTCAGTTCTGTATTATCGCATAGCTGAATATGGGGTGATTGCTGATATGTTATTTTTAGAAACTTGCATCCTTTTTGAGCGCGCTTTCCCCACGCGACCACGACCTCTGCAGCTGGTGCAATAAATGGATCTGAATCCACAACTCCCCAAATCAGTGAACTCTTCTTTCTCTTCTTCTTTTCATACATCCATTTGTAACATATCTTGTGTATTTCTTTCGGTGTCTCCTTTTCTTATTCTTAGTCTGTTCTAGATCATTGTGTTATAATCTTTTGTTTCGCGTAGAAGCGGGCGCCTTTGTGTCTCTTTTTTTGACTGTGAATCAGGTATACCAGCGTTAATATTATAATACTAAATAGAATTGATAGTAGTATTAAAAACTACGTCTACTGCCGAAAAGAGTAAGAAGCAAAAACCCTACAACAAGCCGCAAAAAGCAAGTTTACGTCTGCTCAGATTAAACTCACCCAACCCTGAGCCGCAGAGCTGCCTGCAATCGATGAGCTCGAGCTCGAGCTCGGGTCTCCTTTGCTTATGGAGAAGAGAAGGGAAAAGAGATAAGATAATAATAATGACAATACTAGAAAACAACAAGAACAAACAAGATTAAGAAACGTATCGTAGTAAAGAAGAAAAAGAATATAAAAAGATAAAATAAATAGAAAAAAAAAACAATCAAATCATACACGCCTTAGACAGAATCTTTGTTATCATTCCCCCCAGCACCCGCACTCCCATTCCCATTGCTATTCCCGTTCTTCTTTTGATCTTTCCGGATCGGAATCTTGATCCCCTGCATCGCAAAGCACCTGCTCAGATCCGTGCTCTCAATCACGCCCGGGAACTTCTTGGCAATGTAGACCTTGAACGGCTGCGAGAAGCACGTGGCTTGGATGTTTGCCGTGCCGGTGTTCACAACCATCACCGGCTGCCCGTTGTGCAAGCTCGAGTCTTGCTCTGGCTGGTAGTGCATCTGCGCGAGCGAGGATGACGTATGCGCGGGCGCGCGGCCGAGCTCGTTCGTCTGTCCGGGCGCGACGAGCGGAGACCCGAGATTAACAAACGACGCCTTTAACTTGAACTCTCCCTCGGTGCGCACCGACAGATCCTGCAAGATAAACCAGACCCCCAGATTTCCCTGCGGATCGTGCAGCTTGAACGCGGTCGCCACAACGCTGCCAATCAGATTCTTTATCGGCGGCGCCACAAACGTCGGCGTCGGCACGCGCTGGCCGCCGTGCATCGTCACTTGTGAGGCATGATGCGACTGCGGCGGCGGCGACATATTGTTATACGACGGTCGCTGGGGCCCCGCGCCGCTCCCGCTCGAGAGCGGCAGGGTCGAGACGATGGAGAGGTTTGTGGTCTCGTCGACAGACCAGAGCTCGACCGTCAGGGCGAAGAACGAGACGTCTAGTTTTGCGATGTCGGCTTCGCGGCCCGTGGCTTTGTCCGTGATTATGAGCTGGATGCAAGGTGGAGGTGTGATTGGGCGTCGGTCCTGGAGAACACACAGTTAGAAAATGTAACGCGGGGGCGGAGTCCACAGTCCATAGAGAAAGCTCGCTCAGGGAAGTATACTTACTTTATCGCCAAATCCGCACATGCGGGCACGGATGGGCTGCTGCACCACTTTGAGCGTGTAGATATACGGTTCCTTCGGATCGTCAAACACAGGTCGTGCCGCCATGGCCGCGTGCTGCTGCGGCGGCTGCTGCTGTGAATAACTGCCGTAGGGTGCATACGGCTGCGGTGGCGGCGTGCCCTGCGGGGAGTAAGGGTGCTGCTGCGACTGCGGCAGGAGATACTGTTTATGTGAGGGGAGCGGGTATTGCTGATCTTGCGGCGGCGGCGGCGGTTGTTGCTGTGGGTGGTAGTACGCCGGCTGCTGGGTCGGGGGCAGGGGTTGTTGGGACATGGCGTGCGCGGAGGTCGATGGCTGGCTGATGCCGGGGTAGATGTGATACGAGAACGGGGTCGAGAGGCCGGTCGAGGACGAGGGCGGGGACGGGGGCATTGCCGGTGACGCGATTCAGGAGGGGAAGATAGCGATCTGGGATGGGGATGGAAGAGAGAAGAACGCGAGAGAGAGGTGATGGTTCAGAAGAAGCAGCAGTAGAGCTGTATGCACAAACAAATGCCCACGCCCACAGAATCAGTCAGGCCGCCGATAGATTTCAGGAAACAGGTCGCGGCAGAGCAGGAAGAGTCCAGGAGAAGAGAGCGAGACGAGACTGTACGCCCGCAGGTGGAAGATTAACGGCTGTGCGTGCACTCAGAGTTTGCTGGTTTATGCCGCATCTGGCAGCACCACGTGCGCCTCATCGCGGCAACTTCCGTGGCTTTTGCCTGTCAGCTCGCTTGTAGGAAACAAAACACAAAATGGCAACTCAGATTAAAGACTATCCTCCCTGTCAACTCCCGGACCTCTTCCCTGTCCTCAACTGTGTTCAATAGATCATGCAATAGGCGGCTTACTTGTAGTCTTTTCTTTTGTATTTAAAGCTCATCTGCATCCCTCGCAACTACTCTCATTAGCAACCAGCAAATACGCAAACACAACAGCAATCAGCAACCAGCAACCAGATATCACTCCTCTCCCGCCTCCATCATCTTCACAACAAACTTCTGCTGCAACTCATCAAGCCACCTCCCAAGCACCACATCTGCATTCCTCTCCTCCACCTCCGTCGCCTCCCCCGCCTTACCCAGCGTCTCCTCGCAGTACTGCCAAACTCCCTTCAAACTCGTCAACAAGTCCAGAATCGTCCGCCGTCGCTGCACAATCTGTGTCTTCAAACCTGTCTTCGCGCGGGATTTTGTTTCTCTCGCGTCAAGGTAGTTTGATATCTCTTCTGCTCGATCAAGCATATCTTTGGGAAACGGGAGTACCCTCGTCAATCGCAGTCCGTAGTGCATCGTAGGCGATACGACCCCGTTACTTATCTTGTACCTCATCCGCAGCTTGGTCGATCCTGTATTTTCCTCATTACCTGCCGCTGCCGCAGAGTCCTCCACATCGACCCGCATATGCAGCTCAGCTACCCCGCCCCGTCCACTCAGCACCCTCGCGATTTCCAGAAAATGCGTCGCAAACAGCACAGTAGCCCCCGTATCAACCAAACTCTCCGCAATCGCAGTCGTGATCGCAAGTCCATCTCGAACAGAAGACCCTCTCCCCATCTCATCAATCAGCACTAACGTCCGTGGCTTTGCATTCGCCAGAATGAACGCCGCTCCTGCCATATCTGTCGCAAAAGTAGATGTCCCCGTCACTGACCCGCCGCCTTCCTCGCCGCCTGTCGACACTAACGACTGCGTGGCTGTGATTTCGGCGTCCTCGCCCGCTGAAATCCTGGCAAAAATGCCTTCCAGGATTGGAAATTGCGCATGATCTGCCGGCACGAAACTTCCTACCTGCGCCATAATACACAGCAGTGCTACCTGGCGAATATACGTCGATTTCCCCGACATGTTAGCTGATAATGGTTAGTGTCTGCTAGAAACATAATCAAATATTTGATAAAATAAGTAAACCACAGACTTCCCGTGATAATCTGAAATCTCGATGTCGCCGGACTGGCATACACGTCGTTCTCGACAAACTGGCTTCCCTTCTTAGCAAGCACAATCTCTTTGATCGGATGACGTGAATTCTTTATAGCCAAAACCGCTTCGTCTTCATCTTCTTTGTTCTCTGGATTCTCAAACAGCCGTGGCAGCTGCTTCGTACGCTCCATCAGAATCGGCCTCACATATCCCTTCTCGCTTGAGACCGCGACGTGCGCAAATGACACCATCGCATCCAGCATCGCAATTCCCTCGCATGCCTTATATAACGCCGGGATATGAGACCGCACCTCTTCGATCAGTTGTTCCACCGTTTGCTCAGACATCAATATGATCTCTGCCAAAGCATCTCGTAATTTGCCATTCAATTTGAGAAGCTCGAGCGTGCTGCATTCGATGTGGTCGCGCTTTGTCATTCGGTTGATGAAGACCTCTGGAAGAGATACTGGACCTTCGCCGTCCTCACCTCGAAGTGTGTCGATAGGTACTCGGACGTAGTATCCTCTTGCAATCTCATACTTGACCTCAAGTTGCTGCAAGTCATACTCTTCCTTTAGCTGTGCAATCACCTCCATGACATCCTCCGTAGCTTCTTTATACGTCTGTCTAGCCACATCCAGAAACCCGTTTTTCCCCTTCTTGACCGCGTAGCATCTCTGATTGCGCGATTCAACCGGTGTCTTTGCCCAAACGCAGTCTTCGTTGATACTGGCATCGATTAGAGCCTTGACCGCCGACAAGCTTGGATGTCTACATAGCTCACGAACAGAAATGAGAAGGTTCGAGCGAGCTGACGCTGTGGCCTCGTATGCCTCGCTAATCAGATTCACTGACTGCTTTAATAGGATAATCGAATTAATCCGCTGCTCTGAAAATTTGATTGATGGCTTTGTCGGAATCGATATCAGCTAAACCGTAGTCATGAACTAATGTCAGTGCGGTCCTAGTCCCATTCAAATGTTGACTTTATATATAATACAGAGGTCAAAAGCCTATCAAGATCTTGGAACGACTTCAAGGCAGATTTACAGCCAAAAAATAACTCTTCATTCGCCGTCAGTTCCTCGACAGCGGAATACCGTCTCTCGATCGTCTGCTTATCTGTATCAAGCCCATCAGTCAGCTTTATCACTCTTCTCTTTCCATATCGCTCTGCATATACCTGTTAGCGGCTGCAGAATTTGTGAGCGCAAAAGTCGACCACCCATCGGGGTGCTCGTATTATCCAGTACTCCCAGTAATGAGTACTTGGATTTCGGATCAACCAAGTTCTGCGTAAGTTCCAAAGCGCGAACGGTGTCGTAGTCAATAAGCATGCTGCCTAGTAGCTCAGAGAGGATTCGTTTGGTCAAAAGCGATCATTTGAAGAAACAACATCTTATATGTACCTTCGCTACTTTCATATCTCACTCGTAAGCTGTGTAGAGCGAATCTCAAGTTTAGGCTAGTATCGATGTACTTGATAACAGCAGCAGCGGCACAAACAGCGTAAAACCTCAGCAGGACAAGATTAGCAGCTTGATCGGTATCAACTCATATACACCCTAGCATACTTGGACATGACTAGCATGCTTATACTATCCAGATCGTCCTTAAACGACAGCTCCTGGATATATCTCTTGCCTTCTGCTTCGTTGTAGAAATTGCGTGAGACTCCGGTGACTTTCAAATTTGGAAAATTCTCTTGGATGACTTTCACCAGCACTGTTGAACTATGTCGGGTATTTTTCCCACCACTCGTTCCCGTACTCCCCCCTGCAGGCGCCTCGAGGGTCGTAGAAGGAACAAGTACCTCGACAGGCATACAAACAGCCAGCTTATTGACCGTTCTCACGTAGGTTTGGGTATCAACGATTTCAGAAAGAATGCACTCTCCTGTGTCGATCGAGAAAAAGCACATGCCGACAGTCGCTGCAACACCGCGTCCCTGGGTAATGGCACAGATCACTCGGGTAGCAGCGGTGGAAGTCGCATTAGACATTGCAGAGTATGGGCGCGCTGATGCGGTACCAGCGCGAGACGGAGCGCGAGACGGAGCCCGTGAATATCGTGGATAGACAGGATATTGAGGTGCGGAAGGAGAATCCATATAATTGAAAACGCCAGAACCCGAATCGACGCTGACCTCGCCCACACTCGAGTCAACTTCTGATCCCGTTACATCAGGTAATCCAGTAGAAGCCCGTTGACGGCGAGAGACGGCAGCTTTGCGGCGGAAATGAGACGGGAACTTGCGTTTGCCTCGCATGCTTGCCATGTAGGAAGACCGCGAGTTTGGCGTTGATGTCGAGAGACGGTCCTTGAAGGAAGCCAAACGTGACGAAGCTATTGACGAGGAGCGCGATGATCGAGGCATTTCGGCAATCGAATCGGTATACAACAGGATGATAGTTACAGGTTGGAGGGGGTGATGGTGAAGGGAGCTGCGTGTAGTCGAGAGGTATCGCTTCGGTTGAGTGATTTGTGTAACATTTAGTCATGAGTATCGTACTTAATCCTCGTACATTCAATAATATTAATCAAACTGTAACTCCGACTTTGGGTCGCTCTCTGTATCAACATCGGAGAGGATTTGATCTTCATAGTCTGTCGCGGTAGCTCAAGATGGTGAGCCACAGATTCAGCAGCAATCAGATGAACAAGCAATCTGGACCTCAGCTACCAGCCATCTAAACCGATGATATCCAGTATTTTCCATTGCTACTAGTAACACCCACGAAGTCCCGACTCTGTATCAGAATCGGCAAGCTTTGGCTGTCTTAGTGTCTATGATAAACGTTAGGTAGATCAACTACTGAACCCTAAGAAACAGCACGCTTTACTACTTTGGGCAAGTTAGAATTCTTACTACTTAGCCTGGCTGGACCCCACTTGTAGCTAAGACTGTTTGGCGTTTCTGGGCAGTACCTCGGGTGATATTAGGATTAATGGAAAATCAGTAACTACGTGGTGGGCTTTTAGCTTTCGGTAATTTATCTTGAATCATTATTTATATTGATCATCTAACGGCATTTGCTTTTCTAAGTTTCTATACACCTTCTAGAATAGCTATAACAGTACCCCACTACAAACTAGCACCTCGCCCAACTCTTTAGTAAGTCACAGAGTAGACGGTGAAGTAGGACTTCTTCGACGAGAAAGCAGGCGAAGCCTTGGAGGGTCTGACTGCCAAGTACTTGCCGAGTTTCTCAGAGTAGATAGTGTATCCCTCGCTTGCGGTGAAGTCGATGATAAAAGTCGAAGCCTCGGCCTTGGACGAGTAGAACTCGCCAGAGTAGTGCAGATAAGTGTTGTGGATCGACTTGATGTAGAACTCATCCGAGAACTCGTCGCCGACCTGGATCAATACGAAGCGCTCGACGGAGGCAGAGTAGTCATCGCTCGCCTCGGCGTTCTTGAGGTAGCTCGACGAGTAGTGAGACTTGAGCGCATACTCAACGTCATCGGACGTTTGGGTGAACACAAGGTAACGGCCCTCGGTAAGCTGGCCGCGTACCTCCTTGTAACCGTCCTCGGTGTAGAGAGAGTCGTCCTCCGTCTGGTTTCCGTAGGGGACGGGAGTACGACGGTCGTAGAGAGTCGAGTACTTTTCTTCGCAGAGCGAGTATCCGTTGTAGCTGCCATCCGACGCGATGCTGGGGTAAGAAGTGTTGGCGATGGTAGGAATAGAGTAATCAGGCTAGTATATAACAGTTAGTCAAAGAGTAACTTTTGTCAGAATTCATACCGAGACTTACGTTCTCAAAGTCAAACATGTTGATAAGGTTGGACATGTGCTCGCGTCTCCAGGTGGTCATCTCAGCAGACGTGAAGTCCTTTCCAATGGCCTTTGCCCACTGCTCCAGGAACAAGATCTGGGAGTTGTGATCAGCAGGCTCAGTGAAAACCTTGCCGCCACGAGTCCAGGGAGAAACGACGTAGAAGGGAACACGGAAACCAGGACCGGAGGGAACGTAGTTGTCAGGATCTTCGGGATCAGTGAACCACTCGCCGGTAGTTCCGTTGGTAGAGAGCACAGGAGGAACGTGGTCACCCCATCCTCCGGTTTCATCGTACGAGTAGATCAAAACCGTCTCGTTGTACTTGGGCGAGCTGGTGATAGCGTCCAAGATGCGCTGCTGCAGCCAAGCACCGTCAACAGGCTGGTAAGGAGGATGCTCCGAAAGCTCAGCAGGGCCAACAATGTAGGAAACCTCGGGAAGAGTTCCGTTAGCAGCCATCTCGTAGAAGGACTCAAGCCCAGCATAGGCAAGGCCCTTTTCGGCAAGGGTAGAGTTAGAATCAGCGTCCTGGAAGTTAGAGAAGAACGCAAGCGGATTATCGTCAAAGTTGTCCTCGTCCTGGAACAGGAACCAGGAGATTCCAGCGTCCTCGAAGTACTCGGGAACCGTCTTCCAGGCAAGAGGGTAGCAGGCATACTCGATGCCAGAAGATCCGGTCTCGCATCCGTCGGTCTCGTGGTTCTCGATGTAGCGACCTCCGTAGGTCTCGACATCTCCCTGGGAGCCATCGATGTTGATTGTTCCAGAGACCCAGGTGACACGGTTGGGGTTGGTAGGGCCTAATTGTAGCCCACTAGTCAGCATAATGTCGGTATCACCTATAGAACAGCAGTTGACTCACCAATCACACTCTCCTGGTACATGTCTCCCACAGTCCAACCCTCAACAATACCGAAATGGGTAGGGATATCGTCGCGCTTGAAGTGACCCCAAGACCAGGCGGTGTTGTTGGTAACCCATCCTAAGATCTCACATATCAGTACGCGATCAAACAGAGTCAAAACGTCCTGATCATACCGTTGATGTCGCCAAAGTTCCAGGCGTTGTGGTTAGGCGACCAATCGTTACTGCCGGCAACCATGCACTGAGCACTCTCAGAGTAAGTTCCGTCGCCGCTCAAGTACCAGGGCAACAGGTAGTCAGCCTTGTCGCTGGAAGTAGGCTGATACCAGACGCTCTTTCCGTTGGTGATCTTGACGTTGGGATCCTTGAAGCCACGGACACCGGCCATGGTTCCATAGTAATGGTCAAAAGCACGGTTCTCCTGCATAAACAGAACAATGTGCTTGATCTGCGCAAGATCATCGCTGGTGACGGAGGAAGCAATCGAGGCGCATGACGCGAGAGTGGCGCCGAGAAGGATTGCCTGCGACGCAACAAGCTTGGAAAGGTGAACCATTATTCAGCTGTAGATAAAATGGAATCTCTTGTTCTCGAACGACAGCAGTAACTGCTGCATCTCGGGATACTTGCGACATTTATATATACGCGTAGTGTAATGACGATCTGCAGCTGTCAGAGTCAATTCCCGAAAAACAGTGTAATTTATGCTGCAAAAGGCATGTAGCAATGCGGTTCCCTCTTTGAATTACCAATTCAGACCATTTTTTCATAACCAGAAGTGAACCGTGCTGGCAGTCTCACTCACTAAACGAACTTCTCTGGCTGTCGGGAAACAGACACGCCAGCACGTGGAGAGACGCGTGAGAACTTTGGTCTAGGATTGGCCATTCCGCATCTGACATTTTCAAACCGCCGCCTCTCATTAGTCCACCCTCAAGTGGCCCGGCACCCTCGGCGAGCAGTCTCCTGACATCCCGGTATTTGAATAAAATCTCTCACCACACGTGGGGATGCACCGGAGAGCAGCCGTATAGAAATCGGCAGATGCCCAGAGCCTGGTTCTTAGCCAATTCCCGTTCCCACGTGGAGCCGGCTAAGGCTGAGCTTATTGCTGATTGAGTTTCAAGCCTATTTTACTTCGGCTTTTCTCCGAGCTCACGAGCTTGGGCTCTAATCTCACTAGCCTGAACTTCACGCTTTAAATGACAAGAAACTATCAGATTTATTCAATAATAAAGGCGCTCGCCTAATTTTCTTTTTTCCAACACCATTTATAAAACTAACTATTACTAAGCACTCAAATCAACTAAGAGCCCAAAATTGCACTTTCTCATCCCTCAACGCTTACAATCTCAAAACAACCAAAAAGTTTAACCTGATAAACTGCCTGGAATAATAAATCCAGCAGATCCTAAAACCCGCGCGTCTTTATTTATTCCTTCTTGGCCTCGGGCTTAGCGTCGCGACCCCAGAGAGGGCCGGAGCGAGGAACCCAGGCTTCGGCATCAGGCTTAGCCTCGGGAGCAGCATCGCGTCCCCACAAAGGTCCGGAACGAGGAACCCAGGCTTCGGCATCAGGCTTGGCCTCGGGAGCGGCGTCGCGTCCCCATAAAGGTCCGGAACGAGGAACCCAGGCTTTGGCATCAGGCTTGGCCTCGGGAGCGGCGTCGCGTCCCCACAAAGGTCCGGAACGAGGAACCCAGGCTTTGGCATCAGGCTTGGCCTCGGGAGCGGCGTCGCGTCCCCACAAAGGTCCGGAACGAGGAACCCAGGCTTCGGCATCAGGCTTGGCCTCGGGAGCAGCATCGCGTCCCCACAAAGGTCCGGAACGAGGAACCCAGGCTTCGGCGTCAGGCTTAGCCTCGGGAGCGGCGTCGCGTCCCCACAAAGGTCCGGAACGAGGAACCCAGGCTTTGGCATCAGGCTTGGCCTCGGGAGCGGCGTCGCGTCCCCACAAAGGTCCGGAACGAGGAACCCAGGCTTCGGCATCAGGCTTGGCCTCGGGAGCAGCATCGCGTCCCCACAAAGGTCCGGAACGAGGAACCCAGGCTTCGGCGTCAGGCTTAGCCTCGGGAGCGGCGTCGCGTCCCCACAGAGGACCGGAACGAGGAACCCAGGCTTTGGCATCAGGCTTGGCCTCGGGAGCGGCGTCGCGTCCCCACAAAGGACCGGAGCGAGGAACCCAGGCTTCGGCATCAGGCTTAGCCTCGGGAGCAGCATCGCGTCCCCACAAAGGTCCGGAACGAGGAACCCAGGCTTCGGCATCAGGCTTGGCCTCAGGAGCGGCGTCACGTCCCCACAGAGGACCGGAACGAGGAACCCAGGCCTCGGGAGCGGCCTCGGCCTTGGGATCAGCCTTGGGATCAGCCTCGCGCTTGAGGACGAGCTTCTCGGGGAGGAGGATGTCGGGTTTGCTGTGCAGTAGTTAGTAGCTTATCTTGCATAAAGAGGTCAATGCTTTGTGTACATACGCCTCGGCGACCGGAGCGGCAAACGCTGAGGTAGCTGAAAGCAAGGCAGCGGCGTAGAGGATAGTGCTAGTCTTCATTGTAATGAACGAGTGGAAGATAGGATTGAGTGGAAGAGATGCAAGCCAGTTGGAGTTGTATACAGCTGACTTGTTTAGAAGGAAGGCGGACGAGGAGAGGAAAACATGATGAGGACCGGGGAGAAGGCCCGAATATATAGAAGTCAGGAAGTGAGTGGATTTGAAGCTACTGGGAGTACAACGATTATGTGTATCGATGTGTACATGAGCGGTTCCTCCACCGAAAGTCACGAAAGCGAAAGAGGGGATGAGACCGTGGCGGCCACGCGAGCAGGGGTCCACTTGCGGAATATCGGTTCCGGAGGGTACGAGCAGATATTGAGGTCTCTAGTGCTGAATAGAACGCGCGCGGGACCACCGAGTGAGGTATCTTTTGAAGTATGCGATGTCGAAAGAAGGCAACTGCTAAGCCAAATCAGGCCGGCTGTTCAAGCAAGATACTCCCGCTAAGCTGCAGTGATAGCGATTCAGAAACAGAATACGTCCGCGCGGGACCTCTTGCAGATGGCACGATGTGGGTATCTGGATGATATCTTCTGTTTATCATGTTTTCCCTCCATGCCCACCGAACAGTAGCTGTCGCAATGTTGTAATTATAATCAGATATGGGGTATTCTGTCATAGATACAGCTGTGTTGAATTTGATTAACAGGAAAAAGCAGCAATTGGAGAGAGTGCTGGATGAACTCGAAAAGTGGTGATGTTGCCAAAACGGGAAAGCAATGAAAACTGGAGTGCAGGTGGAAGGAAGATATACAGAGCAGCCTCAGCCGCACCACGTCCGCGACCTCCACCGCAGCGCCAGATCGGCGGTCCGCTCACGTGTAGCTGCATCAGAGCTCTTCATTTCAGGCACATTTTCACGATTATGTTGCAGTACCTCTGACCTGGTTTATTCAGCAACCGAGTTGGGGCCTCGGGGCGTGCGGTACACTCAGTCGCGATGATGAAAGGCGCCGGTATGTCAATCGTGCGTATTGTTGCTGCGATCACCTCTACGACCGGGATTTGAAATAAAAAACATTCTGCAGCTGCAAAAGAGATGATGTATCTGCTGTTTTTTTGTATTCTGCTGCTTCTGTTATGAATGCGACTACCGAGAGGCTATTGCGAAGCTATTGCGACGGGCCGCTGTCACCGAGACTGCACGTATCTGACATTCAAGTTAAGAAGGCCACGTGCGAACTATCCTCCAGCCATGTACATATTCGATGGAATCTAAATCTGTGTAAATTATCTTTTTCACAAGGTTGTTTCTTAATTCCAGGCAGCCGTGGGTATTCTCAGTCTTACGCTGTGACTAGCTGTGCTCCCTAAGCGCTCTTGCTCGCGCCTATGCATTGGTTTGCTGGTCTTCATATTTATAAGTTGTATAGATTTACAACGAATATGCCGCGGAGTTCATGATCTACTGATTGTATTTGCAGAATTCTTATCAAACCGGGTCTGCTACTTGGTCCAGGGACAGTGTTGCTGCTGACCATCTGTCCAGAAAGATGTGACAGTATTTACTCAATCTGGACTCCTCATGCCCCATAATGCATGTACACTGAGCTTACCCGCATCTGACTCTTATCGGCTTCATGGTAGTCAGTCGTGCTGTTTCCATTTTGGAAAAGGAGGTCTGCTGCGCCATTGATTTTCCAGTTTGGTAATTTTGCGCCAAGTGCTACTATGGGCGGGCAGTGTATCGGTAGTCGATTGCGATATCTTAGTCGATATTGGACTGTCTGAGAATGTCACCCTAATCTATACCCTTTTATGTTTTTGCATTCTTTTTTGGCATGGCTCCAGTTGATGGTGATCATGCCATTTGGGCCGAGTATGTTGTTTGGACGTTGCTGATAGACGTTGCGAATGCGAGATCATCTTGCGATGAATAGGCTACTTCTGACTGTCCATCTGCCTTTGCAACCGCCTCATCTTGCCTTTAGAAGTATTCGTGCTTGGAGGGGCTCCTTTTATGAAAATAACTGCCTGGTTAACTTGCGATATAAACTGCTTCTTGAGTATAGATTCAAACAATCGCCTCGTCAATTCAAATACCTATATTCCCCGAGGAAATACGCCGTCTCTAATCAATTCCGTCCCAGACCTTTGGATCCGTGCTTTCGTTCCATTTCCGTGCCTATAGACGTTGCCTAACCAAAATATGACAGTCAGAAAACCTCAGACTGGGGGGTTGGCAGGGAGAACCTCATATTTAGCGTGCGCATCAGAGGAGACGTATGTATTTTACAATCCGAACTCCAAAGGCTTGCGTATAACTTCGCAAAGTTCGAAAGTTCTTTGGGGTGAAGACTTTGATTTTAAGAGACTAGTGTAATGATTTACTGTTCTGTTGTTCTCAAACTTGCCACGGAGATGAGAGGCAGTGTAGGCCCGCAGGGTTGACCTTCGGCCATCTACGATCAAGACTGCTGTTCGCCAAATCTCATTTTCCTTCTCTTTTGTCTTGAATAACAATACCCCATTAGCTGCTCTCTTTGTTTTTTCCTATATGTTGCTACTTTGTCAGTCGTTCAGGATTCTGTCTTGTTCATAAAAGGCTCGCCGGATATAGTAAACCAGTTACGAATCACCTTTCAGATGCATATGTTGACCGCGCCTGAAGGGCTCGGATTTCATCTGTATATTAGACGCGTTGATTTATTTATAAAAGCTCAGACCATTGATAGCCGCTTCTAGGTACTCAAGTTCCGCTCTCCATGGTGTAGGATGGCAGCCGATCTGTGTACGTTGGACGCGTCTCCTTTCAGAGTGTTAAATTTGGCAGTGGATTATTGAGAATTCGTAGGTCCAATCGGACGATCTTCGTCTTGCAAGCAATGTCCACTATCTGCACCTACAAATAATTTGTAAGGAGACAAGTCGCCGTTTAGATTTGCTGGGCTACGCGTACAAATCCGATAGATATCAGGGCGCGATCGAGTCCGCTATACCCTACGCGGCTCACGGTGATATTCGCCGCGGAACTTGCCGTGTTTATCAATTTCTCTCTCTCTTGTCTTATTAACGGAAATGGAGCCGTTAATATCGAGGATTAGTGGTAATCATCAGCAAGGCTGCGCTGATATCAATACCCGGCGGGAATTCTAAGAGGGGAAGCGGTTTAGGCTTACGCAGGTATCTACAGATCAGCAGCCTGCACGACCATCGCCGCAAATTTTCAGCTTTTTGATGACTTCAGTAACGCTCGCAAGCGCCTCGAGCCTTGCGAAGCCTCAAATTCAGATAATAACGCAATATGATTTAACCCAATAGATATGGCACCAAGAAACTTATATACAACCTAAACAAACATAACAAATCGTGACAAAGAGAAACTCAGCAGACCGGCGAGAAGAACTTTTGTGTAATATACAGGTGGACCTGGCCAAAGGTGAGCAATAGGAGGCGAGTGTTGAAGATTGCTCTATTGGACGAGGTGGCCGGGGAGGAGAAAGTTTGGGATAGAGTCGCGGATGAAGTAGATGTGGTTGCAGTTCTCGCATCGCATAGATCCTTGGATGATTTGGGTCTTTACATGAATCGATTAGTAAACCACAGCTCAGCTCAAGTGGATAATGATTGCTTACCTCAAGAAGAAGAGTATGGAGATCTCGCAGAATCTGTTCGTTCTCGGGAGCGTTGGGGTTCTCGATCTCGGGCGTAGTCTCTGGCAGCATATTATTTCCCAGCTGCACATAATCAGTATATAATCCCAGCTGTAGTGGCAGCAGCAAAACACAGCCAGATTCAGCAGCAAAAGCAGCTTTCAAAAGAACATACCTCGCGAGCAGTAATCAACAAAGCAGGCCAGTCAATACGCGGTAAGATATTGTAAATGAACTCAGGACTAAAGTCGACGTCTTCGTGTGCCAGCTCAAGTGGCACATCCGCGGTCTGCTGATCAAAGTGCAAAGGGAAGCACTTGGGCGTAGCCGAGCAGGCCTTAACTGAGCACTGCACAAAATTTGCTGTGAGAAGCTTCATGTTTGGAATATCTCTGGATCGAGTGGGATATCTTTTGCTGATATCGTCGAGTTTTGAGAAATAATTTTCTGAGCGGCTGGTTAGAGTTAGGCGAAGATCACGTGTTGACGACGGGCCAGCTCAACCTCGGGCTTTTTGGTGTCAACTTCCTTGGGGAAAGCCATAGTGTGACCACCTCGTTCGCCTTCTGTTCCTCTGGCTCTCTGGATTCAGCACCGACAGCTCGAGTTTCTCGCGGAAGCCTTTGTTTTAGATCTACTTGCCATACTGTTTATCAATGGCAGTTAACGGCAGCGAAGGAATCTTCCAACCTCAGCCGCTGCGCACCTTCGCCCAAACGTCCAGCACAGTCACCAGTTCAAGCACCAGCACAAACACCAGCTCTTCACCTCAGTTCTCCGTCACGCCCGACAAGCCCTCTGCATCTGAATATGACTACAGCAGCGATACAGACTCCATAGGGGGTGCGCCCCACAAGTCGCAGTCAATAGTCTCATTGACTACCTCGGCTCTCGTCGGAATCTTTGGCAACTCGCTCAACGACGCAAACAGTCGAGCGTCGACCCCGGACCTGCTACAGACTCAACCTTCGTCTTCCACAAATCTATATGGCGATGGGGTTGCGCGGCTTCGCAGAAATGAGGGAGGCAGCCTCGGTAGACAGTCCGGTCGCCCGCCATTCGGCAAGACTCTGAGCGCTTCGCAGCTTCAGCAGCAACAACGACGCCGGTATTCGAACGCTGCTATCGCCTCGTCTGCCAATGGATCTTCCACAAGGCTGATACTGTTTGGGAAGATAAGCCTGCTCTTCTCGTTTGGTGTTGCATATGGACACCTCATTACACAGTTGCAGGACAACCACTTTGTCACCAACACGACTCTGAACGTCGATCCTATCGGCAGTTTTACTTTGACCTGGGGATTTATGGGTATCGCGTTGGGCTCGATTCTTCCGTTTGTGGATTCAATATCGCCAGCGCTGTTTGGACCGACCAAGAATAGTCTGCTGAATTCGTCTGGAAGTGGCGTGACTATGCTGATGTACCCTATAATCCGCGCGGTCGGTATTTTCATTGGTGTTTCCTATGGCATTGTAAGTTTCATGTGATTTGTTACGACGGCCTCAGAGAGTCTCTTACTTACATGTATATCTCATATAGCGGCATTTGCCTTGGACATCCACGCTACAGGGAGCTGTCGTCTTGGCGGTTCTGAATCCGCTTCTGTGGTTTGCCATCGATACTTCCGTCAATGGTTTCATACTATCCTCCCTGACTGCTATCAGCGGCACCATTCTCTTTGCGTATTTCTATCCCACCCATCTCCCGTAAGTCTGCACTGTTTCTTCTCATGCATTCTCGCGATTGCTTACTTACAAGCTCCTCATTCTAGTACCTCCAGCGGCTGGTCCGAAGACTACATCGCGGTCGCGACATGGATCGCGTCAATCTTTTTCTGCAGCTCGATTTGCTTCGGCATGATAGGCCGGAAACTTCTAGGTCCGAAGAATGACAGCGCAGCATCCGCGATCTCTCCTCGGTAGTAGTCGCATCGTCACTCATTGCTCTCTGTTCTTTTCCCTTCTGCTTCTCCTGAGTGATTGCTCCAGGAGTAATTTTTTTGTTTGATTTGACTTTGATGGTAGATTATACTGTCGTTGAAAAGCACATATCCGTATCCTTTTGGAGCTCGATTCTGTCTTTGTTTTTTTCTTGGTACATCTCAATAATCCACATTTTGTATTGTCTTCCTCTCGTGTTCCTACTCTATTTGCTTTGGTCAGTCTAGCGGGATGTCGTGAGGACTTGGGTACGAGTTTGTCGCTGTATATCTTTTGGTGACGGATAAGCGTGTTTGAAGGTCTACAGTAATGTTTACGACCGTTCTGAATGAATCATACTACATCATTCAATAACCAAGTCTGCTCACGCGATTATAGCGCTGAAGAGCTTACATAGAGTAGATATTTAAACTTGTAATATTTAGCTTGACTGATGTGACCTGCACAGCCGTACAAAAAGTAGATTGCGAGAAAGATACACCGACAAAACTATCAACCTCTCATACATAGGAATACCTTGAGCCCCGCAGAACCGCATGGCCAAGGACTTCTCCAGGAATGAGCGCATCATCCTGTTATCTTCTATATAGCAAAACATTGATAAACACACACACAAACAACAGTTGCAAAAAACCGAGACTGACCCACAACACTCCTCAAGAGACTGTAGCAATCTCAGTGAACATAGAGAAATAGAAGAAAAAGAGACGCTTATTTGGCAGCGGCAGCGGCGCCGGCAGCAGCACCCTCAGCCGTCATGGTTCGCTCGCGGCCGCCAAAGTTCCAGTAATTGACGTAGCGGAATCCCTGTGCGAGCTGGGCGCACTCGTTGACAAGATGGCAGCCGAAGAGGAGGTAGTTGACGGGGGTGATGGACATTCTGGTTGCAGAGTGGGGTTAATATTGAGGTCTGGCGGAGTAATAAAAGGTATGGTAGACGTACGAGTATTTCATGAAAACGAGGGAGTAGACAATGAGGGAACCGGTCATGGGGCCAGAGATGAGAGTAGGGTCCTTCTTGATATCCATGACGGCCGCGACGGGAATACCAAAGTTGGAGACGGGACCTGAGAGATGTATAGTTAGCAGGCGCTTTCTCAGAGACAATAAGTAGGAGATTGAACATACCCCAGAAGTGAGTCGAGCAGACATCTGTTTAAAGACAAAAGGACTAGAGTCAGTATTCATAATACCAGAGATTAAATGTAGACATGAGCAAACACAAACATCTAGATAATAGAACGAGATTGTTAGTAACTCAGATATCCGACATTTCCCCACGTCTCGAACGGCACTCTTCCAGGTCATCACAGATAAGCCACTGCTCAGCAATTTTTCTAGGATCGGTTTGAAACACAAACACAAAACATTCAACCCTCTGCAAATAGCAAAGTGAACGCCATTGTGCATCAAATATTGTTCCGTTGATATTTCCCCTCCCCCTCAATCATCCCACACAATCCTCCGGAAGAGTGCGTCTCGACACAGCAGCAGAGAATGTACGTACTTCAGGAAGTCCTTGGAGAACAAAAAGCTGCCGAATCGCTGGAAGACGTTTGCTGGAGACATAATGATCTGTTGTTACTGTAGAATGAAATCTGTGTGGACGGAATGGATGAACTTCAGGGCTGGCGGGCAGAAAACCAGTGGAGTGCGCTCGAATTAAGGACGGTGGAGGGCGCACTCTGCTGTTCTGGGTCCGCAAATACCGCCGGGGATTCGGGTCTTATGGCCGTTAACCCCATTGCCCCGTCGCTGTTTGTTTACTATTCCGGTGATGGTAGTTTGTAGTTCTAGTCCTATTAACAATGTTACAGCCCAAAAATTAGAAAATGCAAAGCTTTTGTGTCTATAATACAATCCACATCATGCTCCAGCTAAAACGCCCCTCTTCGTCGTCCTCTTGAGCGTGAGCACGTGGACACCGTTCTTCGCGCTCCCTTTCTTGAACCAGCGCCCGTTCTTCATCTCCTTGCCGACCGCGACGCAGATCTTCAGCGCGTCCTTGCCGTCCTCGACAACCGACAGACCGTTGACCACGCCCTGCACGCGCAGCTCGGCGACAGGCTGTAGTTCATACTGTTTCTTCGTGCCGCCGAGTAAAGTTCCATCTCTATCGACTCGGTCGGATTCGTCTACGTTCACTTTCCACACCTTGACGCTTCCGTTCCAAGATCCGGAAACGACGATGTCGGCGTATGGCAGAGTCGCAAGTGCAGTAATCCATCGAGGTTGCTTGGGAGGCAATTCAATCTTCGAAGCATCTTGCTCCGCGGAGTAATGCTCCGGGCTTGCCAGCGAATCAAACCCATGCGCCTGAGGAACAACGTAGACGGGTTTCTTCTTGGCCAGTGTCCACAGAGAAAGACTTCCGTTATCGCTTCCACTCACGAAAATATGGTGGTCCACAAGAGCCACGCAATTGATGCTGTTCTCCAGGTATACCGCCTTCTTCTTCTCCGGAGCAGCGGCGGATCCATCCTCCACTGCCTTCCGCGGCCGAGCAGCGGATCCTCCACTTCCACCTCCTCGGAAAATAAGCTGAGACTCGTCCACAATTTTCCACAAACGGACGGTCCTATCGCGCGAACCGGCCGTGATGCATCGTTCCTGCGCGAGTGCCGCAATCGCGCTGATTTCGTCCTGATGTCCAAACAGAGTCTCAACATATGTCAGTGCGTCCAGCGACCAACTCTTTACTGTACGATCTGCGCTGCATGAATATAATATATGACTTCCGCGTCTGAATGCAAGTCCGGTAACAGCTCCTCGGTGCTGCGTGAATGACTTGAGAAGCTCGAGACTGTTTGCGTCGAAGACATTGATCTTGTGGTCGGCCGATCCGGTAGCGACGAATGCACCATCGTTCGAGACGGCAACACAGATGATGTCTTTCTCGTTATGGCCCGCGGCGTAGCGGACTCTAGCGCCGGTGGCAAGGTCAAATTTTGATAATGTGCGATCCTTCGAGACAACGTAGGCAAACGTAGGCTCGTCAGGAGTAGCCACGTCTGTGGCCGTCAGCATCTTCTTTGAGGAGAGAAATAGACGTTGGGGACGGGTAAAGGTGAATGCTTTGACAATGTTTTTGTACAGACGGCCTTGGTCTTCTGCAACGTCCTCGTTAAGTCTTGCTGCGAGGATATCCTTGTCGACGTCGCGCGCGTCGAAACCAGCGGTATCTGATCACGAAAGCATTAGCAAATACAAGAAATAAACATTTGCAGCAACATTCAAACACACCTATTTCACTCTGTAGATTATCGAGGTATTGCTGGGCCAGCCGCCGCCGCTTGTCGGCCGCAGACTCGTCTGCAAATTCTTCATCCTCATCAGCGTCTTCGATCTCATCAGAGTCGCTGCCCTCGCCACTACCGCTTTCAGCATCTTTCATCTCTGCGTCTTCCTCATCCGAGGACTCGGGATCCGTAATCTCCTCGTCATCTTCAGAAGCTATGGAACCTTCAACAATATGTGGTTCACGCTGCGACACGCCGTTGCCGTTTGCTCTTCCGCCGCCGCGACGGCCATTACTCTGGCTCTGACTTCGGCCGTTCGGAGCTCCACGACCAGCGGACTGACCCCCGCGTTTCCGCTTGCGAGCAAAAAAAGGATCTGACATTCTGTCAGCTCGAACGGTTTGCGACTCTGGAAAGGTCTGGGATCGAGGTAAGAACTGCTGCTCCGTTCGCGATGTGGAAGAAAGAGTATCTGCAAAATCCCAAAAAATTTACGATTGGGACGTCTGGCGAAAAAAAAAACATTTAAACTCTAATTGTCAGATTTGAGGTGTTGGTACTGTTCACGTGATCTGGGCATAAATGCGGGAGGTTTGGGAGAGAAGCCGAGAGACAACTGGTCGACCACAAATTGTCATCCACGTCCAGGATCTAACCCATCGTTGAACAGCAGATCAGTTGATCTATCGCAGCACATTCCTCAATCATATTCAAAGAACCGGTAGCTACACATCATGGACGTTATTCTGGGAATCACAACTGCGAATGAGGTCATCGTCATCACATCGCGTGCATTCGTGCGAGGAGTATCGATCTTGAAGGCGGATGACAAGGACAAGACCCGGATTCTGTCTCCACACACGATGATGGCGTTTACTGGTGAATCCGGAGACACAGGTATGTAGTGATTGAGCTGGGCTAAGGCTCTGATGCGGATGTTGATGCTGATGCTGTATGATTAGTGCAATTTGCCGAGTTTATCCAAGCCAACATCCAACTGCACGAGATGCGCAACGCAGTCGAGCTGTCGCCTTCTGCCATCACTTCATTCCTTCGCAATCAGCTCGCGACCAGCCTTCGAAGCCGGGTATGTGCTTGCCCTTGTGAATTAATAGGTGGGATGGATAAGTGTGTATGATGCAATATGCTGACAGTTTTATTACGACATCTAGAAACCGTACAATGTTAACGTGTTGGTTGCTGGATACGACGAGGCGAAAGGCAAGCCCGAGCTGAACTGGGTGGACTATCTGTCGGCGAAGGTGTCTGTTCCATATGCCGCGCACGGATATGCGGCGTACTACACTCTCTCATTGTTGGACAGATGGCACCGGACTGATCTGACGCTGGAAGAAGGTCTGAAGGTTGCAGAAATGTGTGTTGCTGAGCTCAAGAAGCGGTTGCCTATCGATTTCAAAGGCGTTGATGTGAGTGCTTTTTGACGATGATTATGATGATGTGCAGTGGAGAGAATGCTAACGCGGTATTTTTACCACTGTTTACAGATCAAGGTAGTGGATAAGGACGGTATCCGGACAGAGAAGGTGATTGAATAGAGCAAGCATACAATATAGGGTTACGACCCGCTGAATCTTAATGAAATAAAAGAAACGTGTCGTGCGGTTATTTACGCTGGCTGCGAGAAGTAAACATGGCTGGATGTTTTTGTGAGCCAGGGTTGAGAACGGGAGCTGGCCTCTGGCGGTTTGGGAGCAACGGCCGAGTCACGACTGTTTCCGTACTGGGCGCAGGTGCCAGCTCCAGGCTGGCGTTGCCGGACAGGAGATCCAGCCCGATTCCCGAGTGCTCGGCAGCTTGCTTCTGCTATAAAGCAGCGACGGGGGAGATTGAACGAGAGTCTAAATATATTGTAGGATTCGTAGAAAAGCTAACGAAAGTGGTCGAGTCGAAGACCGAACTCGGACTCGGATGGCGACCAGATCAGATTGGAGCGTGCGGCTTTGGATTTCATCCCTTTCTTCGATCGGTCGTCACATTTGTAAACCGTCGGACTCTCGCAATTTGAATTTAGTTTGGGTGCTTTTCTCTCTTTCTTCTCTTTGTCTGCCTTCTCTCGTTCTTCCTCTGCTCTAATCTCGGTTTCCAAGTCTTGTTGCTTCCTTTGGTGGACGGGCTATGCCGCCCTTAACTTCTTCGAGGCCTGTCGTCGAGCTCGACGAGTGCGCGCGGGCGCTCAATCTTACGCATGCCCATGTCGCCAACCTCGAGCTTGCCTTTGCTGAGAATCCGCGTCCGAATGCGACGGTTCGCGATACCATCAGCGATCAGCTGCATATAGCTCCTCGCGTGGTCCAGGTTCGTGTCTCTTTTGCTTGTGTTTTGGGCAATTGCTCGCCAGTCTAGGGGTGTCCCGGCGGTCTGCAAGTTCGGCGTGTTTTTGGCCTGTGCAGAAGATTTGAAAGTACATACACTTGAGAATTGTCGACTACAGTGCTCAATGTTTGATATGCCCCGGGTGTTTTGCAAGCGTCGCCGTGGTGGTGCTGTTGTGGTGCTCTAAAGATGGCAATGGGGGTTGAGATCAGACGGGCGCCGTTATTACCTCAAGTGGTCTTTTCACCGCCCTTGCTGCAGCCAAACCGCCCAATTGCCGATCAAACTGGAAGTATAGCATCTCAAGCTATTCACGCTTGCGCAATACTGTTTTTTTGCCTCCCTTCATCGCTTTCTCGGCAGCTCGTCCTCGTTCTTGTCTCTCGTCTGGTCTCCTCCTACTCTGGGTTCCCCCAACCCCGCCCCTAGCTTGCAGCACCTGACAGCTTTGATCTACGCACCACCAGCCCCCCTCGGAGGTGCCAACACGTCGGAACACGCTTAGACTGCTTCGTGATTGCTAATTTTGTTTCATATTACTGACATTGATCTCTAGTTATGGTTTACCGATCGCCGGCGCAGGATGAAAGATGAGAAAGAGTACGAGGCCTCCAGAGTGGAGATGATTCTGGCGCAAGCCAGTGCCTCTGGGCCCTCAGAGCAGTCAAAGTACCAGCCAGTGATATTTCAACAACAGCAGCAGTATCAACAACAACCACAGCAACCACAATTTCAGCATCAACAGCATCAGCATCAGCATCAGCATCAGCAGCAGCAGCAGCAGCCTGCGGAGTTCCAGTTTGACCATGACCGGCCATCAACCCCCTCCCCTTCAACCTCCGCCGAATCCCCGGGCCAACTGCAAACCTCCTCCATGGCATCAGCGTACCCACCCGTGACTCCGATCAAAACCCCTGACAAGCATCATACTCCCATTCGTCGCCACTCAAAGTCTGTTTCTCAAGTCGGGCCTGTTACGCCTGCTCGGCTGGTCACTGCGGATAGCGGCCTGTCGCCGCAGTACGTCTCCCCCGCTGACAGCTCATATGCATCGGTCGACCGCTCGATGGCGGCAGCTTCTGCAGCAGGACTCTACGGTCTCTCGCCATACCAGCAGCCGCCAAGCTCGGCCGGATATTTTTTCCAACCCCAGCATTCGCCTGTGTACGTAACGTCGCAGCCGGGAACACCCTATACTGTTTCCAAAATCGGCAATTCGCCCGCCTCTCAGTTTTCTTCACAGCAAATGATGTCGCCGATCCCCCTTCAGCGCACATACTCCACGCCGCTGCTGGTCGAGCTCGACCTGCAATACCAGCACCAGCAGGTGCAGAGACAATTCCAACAGCACCAGGCGGCACAGGCCGGCGGCAACATGTTTTCCCCGCTGGCGTCACAGGTGAGCGGGAGTGAATCAAAGCTAGCAGCGCGAAGACGCCGACCTCTGCCATCTGTTCGGCTGCATCGCTCACAGAGCTACTCCTCAGCCCCGCAGTCGAATCCGCTGCCGTTGACCTCTGCGCCGCCGTATGTGGCTAACTTTGCTCCGTCGATAATGTCTGGCGCAAGTCCGGCTCGGCAGCAGTTGATTGCTCCGCCGCCTATGATGATGTCGCTGGACTCACACTCGGGAGACATGCCGGGCTCGATGCGCAGATCGAAAAGCGTCTCGTTCGTGACCTCGCAGCCGCCGTCGCGTTCTCGAAAGTCGAGTATCGGCGGCCGCGGAAACAATAGCGGAGGAAGCATAGGCTCAAGTGTGAGCTCGATCAGCCAGACCGATACTATAGACGGCATGCTTCCCATGACGCCGATCACGCCGATGACGTCGATATCGAACTCGCTGCAGGAGCTGGAGTTTGGGTCGGACGGGGCCGGGAGACGGGAGTATAAACGGCTGCGTGCGCAGTCGAAAGGGGATGGTTCTCGAGACGGGGATTTTGCCGAAGACGACGCAGAGTTCAGGAAGGTGGCTGCTGGGTCGCAATATGGTCTTCTTCCTCCGCACGGTGCCAGTTTACAGAGAGAAGAGTCGCCCAAATACGCGACTGCAAGCAGGCAGACCTCGCAGCCGCAATCGCAGCCGCAGCAGCGATTATTCCTCGACACGTCGTCGGCGGCAGCGACTATTGGCTCAGAGCCGATGGTCGGGACGCCAAACAGCAGTCGGTCAGGCTCTGTGGCCAGCACACCGAGCGTGCAGCCGGCCTCGCTTCATCCTCCGTCTCCGTACAGTGGCAGACAGTCGCCGTACGCGCCTGGTTCAGCTCCAGTTTCAGGGTATCCGATCACGCCTGTTTCGCTGAACGCAGTTACCCCTACGTCGGTAGCTGCTTACCCAGGCTTGGATAACGCGTCGGTTGCATCTACGAATACGGCGATTTCTTCGAGCGTTGATAATGCGTACTACACCATCGATCAGGAGCAGCACCAGAACCCTACATTAGACACCGAAAGCAGCAGCATACACCAAACCGCTGCCGAGCTGTTCCTCTCAGGTGAGCTCTCTCCGTTCGACGCCGACGGCCAGCCAGCAGGAGAAGCAGGGGTGATGGCGATGGACGACATTTCGACATTGGAGGAGAACCAGAGGTTTTTGATGCTCAGCAGAAGGCTAGATGATTTGGGCATTTATGGATATGGAGTCCTGCATGATTTTCTTTAGACTATAGTTCTTGTGTGTTTTCATTAGATTAGCACTTTTACAAATACTTGATTTTTACTTTTTTGGTCTTGGAAAGCTTTGTCTGTGTTTTTGGTATCGTTCTGGTTAAATGATCATATATTATCGCCTTATCTGTGTATAAATGTCTTTCGGTACGTTAAGAGCACGCCGGGCTATAGATTCTGTGTTTCTAGAAGATATTCTGTGAGTATTTTCTTTGTATTTCTTGGAAGGCATTCCAGTCGATCAGAATACTCTGGTTTTCGAGTACGTCATCTGAGACCGCAGTCTCACAGTTTCTATCGTTTGTATGTAGAAAACATGGAGAACTATCACACATCGGATTCCAACAGTCAACTGCCTAGAACCAAGTCTTTCGAAAAAAAAATTGAAAAATGCATAACAGCTCTTTGTTAGTAAAGAACCAAACAGAACAAGAGAAAAACCCTCGTTGACACATTTCTTTGTCCAGAGTTATTTTCAATTAACATTTCGTCATTTCGATGGACGATCATCATGAAACAACGACAACATTAAACAAATATTGAGGAGGAGATTTAGTAAAGTAGGTCTTATAACCCAGACCGGGAATTTTTGCCTTATTCTCCCTGCGCGAGGAAACTTTCTCCTTTGCTCGGTCTACGCCCAGATATGGTGAAAAGAAGGAGATCTGGTTTGATCCACAGTGTTGAAAAAAAAGCAGATGGATACACAAGACAGAGTTTCATAGTTTCCAGAAAAAAACCCTTTTATTCCCGCGAAATAAAAGCAAATGATTTGCACGAAATGGGCGGCCAGTGGCGGACAAAGGGTTGGTTGATTGAGCAATTTACTTTATTTCTCCTGAACAGAACTCGTCCGCTATTTTTCTATTTTTCTATATTTAAAAGTGAGCCTTGGCGGATATTCAACCAACAGCTCGTCTTCTAACCAGACAAAGGCAAGGGATAGTAACAAAGCTGAAGATGTGACAGTGGCTGGCGTCTTGTTTCTGGAATCGGCACAGGAGCTGGCTGGCCCTTAGATTAAATCACAGACCAGACGTCAGTCCCACACCTGCTCTCGGATCTCGGATCCCGTGCTCCCGTTGACTACCTCCGCTTTCTAAATATTCACCTCCCTGCTTTAAAAACACTCACAGCTACTTCTCTAACTACGTCCTCTGTTCTTACTCCGAAAATAGAGATGTGCAGCTTCTACTGAGGTAGCCCGCAAGCGCGTTTGTTTATGTTCTTCTACTTTTGGTATTAAAGTTGCAGCATCTCAAAACCGTAAATTCAGACGCGGTTTTAGCGCGTTCTAATCACGTGAATTGATATCTGCACGTGCTTGAAGCGGAAGTGGATTCATGTTCATCTTCAGACGCTCTTGAATCTATCTACATCGTTGAACTACATCGTCCGAGGCTTCTCTCAAAGAAATATAGAATAATTCTCTTTGGCTACCAAATCACATAATATGTATCATACAAAAAACTGCCTAAAAATATCAAAACACATTCATCACTTTGTTCTGGCGCGCACAAGACCAGAAAAAAGTCACTAGTCAAACAAATATTGTACAAAGGTCGTAATAATTAGGAAAAAGAAAAAAGATAGCAGCAAGGAAAGAAAATAAACAAGTAAATAGACCATACAGAAAAATAAATAGTGAAAATCATTAGCTCTCACCCAAACGCACGATGCACAAACTGATACAAGCATAAAATTAAATAGGAAAAAAATAAGGAAAATGGATGATGATAGAACAGCGGTCTAGTTGAGAAAGCCTTTGCAACCAGCAGAGCCACAGAGGCAGGGAATTCGCTCGTCCGAGTTCACTTCGCGCTCAAACTTGTAGTCGTACGTCAATTCCTCGTCTAGATGATTGGATTAGTACAAACTCCTGTTGCAGTGAAAAAAAGGATCAACTTACTCGCATAGATGTCTCTCAGTGCATAGATGACAATACGCTTCTGCCCCTCGACCTTAATGATCTTGGCCGTACAGCTAGGCGTACAGCAGTGATTGATGAATCGTGCGATTCCTCCCCGCTTTGTAGCGTCGACCACGGTGCTTTCATCAATACGGAAGAGATAACTACTTCCGATTCCGTTCCGTAAGTACCGTCGCTCGCGCATGTCAGCCACCTGCTGTCTAACGACCTCGCCAACATACTCGATAATCATGTCGTTCGCCGCAATACTCTCCATAGCGTACAAGCCCCAATTATGAATCGCAGACCGCGCAAACCGTACAGGTTTCTTGCGCTTCTTGAGCATGTTGAACCGCAGCACGTCTGCCGCGGCGTCCGTCGTCGCGCTGAAAATCTGTTTTTGGAGATTGATGTCGATCGCCAGTTTGCGGTTGTTGATCCGGTGCGAGCGAGAAGAGATATTGTCCTTTTCAGTACCGCCCGTATCTGGCTGCGCGCGTTCACCGTCCGCATCCACATCCTGATCATCATCAACCGGCGTTCCGGCAGGCAAAGAACTGCTACCATTCACAGCATCAACAGATTCGCCGTCCTCGGCATGATCCACAACCGCATGCTTTTTCTTTCGCAAGCGCTTGCGGTGCTCAAGATATTCAGTCTTGTCCGCCTCCGGAATCCGGTAATATCCCTCAGTTCTGGCGCTGCCGGTCAAATTCGACTGTTCAAACTCATCTTCGTGTCGGAACAGTTTCTTCGTCATGCCGCGATGAGCAGTATCAGCAGCGTCACCGTAAAAGTTCGCCTTGGCTTCCTTCTGCCGCCATGCCCAATACTGCGCGTTGCCGAGTTCAGGATCGGGATTGATTGACTTGAGCGCGGCTTGTAAGAACTTGAAATCTTCAGAGTCGCGAACAACATGCTGAACACCATCGAGATCAAACACTTTGTCAGTCTCGACATGACTCTGCACGATCTGGGGAGTCGGGTTCCAGTAGCTGTCGTCAGTTCTCGTAGACCGGAAAAGAGCATACTCCTCGTCTTCCTCTTCAGAAGGAGTCGGAAGCTGCTCAGCAACTCCCTCGCTCGTATCCTCAGCTTTCCCACTTGCAGTCGCAGTGGCCTCAGCTTCGTCTTCGTCGTCATCCTCTTCAGACGTCGTGAAGTCGATCTTGACCAATTTCTTGCCCTTCTGCACTTTAGACTTGCTCGCAATCTTCCGCTTCTTCTTCGCCGGCTCGGAGCTGGTCATCCCCAGCAAATCATCCTCCAGATCCGGCATCGACGTGTCCTCATCCTTCGAAGTGATAGCTGACTTTGATTTCAGACGAGCATCCTCATCTTCCTCTTCCTCTTCCTCCTCGACCTTGAGCTTGTCGTCTTCGTCGTCGCCGTCGTCGCCGGAGGAATAGTCGTTGAGATGGTGCGTCATCGGTCTAGCCCTGATCGCGTCCAATTTCTTCTTCTGCTTCTTGTCCGCTGCCATCTTCTTGCTCTTGATGGCAGCCTTGAGCGCAGAATTAGAAGTCGAAGAAGCATCGTTGCGTCGTTTGAACCTCGGAAGATTGGGAAGTTTCCCAGAGAACTGCCGCACGTTGAACGTTGAGGGGTCGAGCTCGTCCGATTGTTGCTCGACGATGTCTGCTCTGGACTTGGACTCGCTGATAGAGACAGAGGAGGAGGAGTAGTCTTCCGTTTTGATAGACGAAGAAACAACCGTTGTCGCGGTCGACAGATCGTTTGGCGGCGCTGGCTGGGAAGCTGGCAAGTTGGCGGGATCCAGAATCTTGTAGATGACGGGAACAATTCGGGCTCTGATATCTTTCCGCAGCATCTCGCGAAGCTCTTTCAGAATCATTCCCGTCGCTTCCTTCACCGGGTTCATCTTTTCTGTCTTTGTCGGCTTTTCAGCGCTATCCAACACATCATCGCGCTCGTTACCAGGCTTTGGCTGCTTCTGACTGCTAGCTTCAACCGGCATATGCAACGACATGTTGACCCGCCATCTCATCCGATCCATCATTCGTCCATCCATATGGCGAAAACACATCCTGGCCTCGTCAAAGTCATCAAAGACGACGTAGAAACCCGCCAATTCGCGCTGCTTGGGATGAAACTCGTGCGGACTCTCAATCTTCAGCGGAACATCATGGCGCACGACGTAAACATTCGCCCATTCGTAGTCGCGGAGATACTCTTTGATGTCTTGGACGTACACTCGAGAAACCGGAACGTGGCGATCGGAGATGAAGAGATATGGTCGACGTCCGATGATGTCGAAAAGACTCTCGCGCGGTCTCGACGGCGTCTGCTGGTACCGGTCAGGCGACTTTGAGCGAGCACGACCGGCTTCCTCGATGGATTTGCTAGCGGACACCGGCGGCGGCGGTGGTCGAGCATGCTGCTGTTCTTCTTTTCGTTTGGCCTCGGCCTCTCTGGCGATACGTTCTTGCTCTTCCTGCAACTCGCGGATCCGTTTCTCGACAACCTTGCCTTCTTCGTCGTACTCTGCTTTGACAGTATCGATGCCGACCTTGATATTCCCCCGCGCCGCATCGGTCACGGCTTTCTTCGCGGCTTGGTGGCCAGACATCAGGTCGACCGATTTCTTGTTGTTCTTGGTAATGATTGACTTGTTTTTAAATCTGATGAGGCACATGCCGAGCGACGCACCAGTAATCGGGTCCTTCTGCATAGCCACGCGCTCGAGATCGCCATACTTGTTGAATTGCAGCGCGACGGTGTTTTCGACAGTCAGTCTCGAGAACCCAGACACGAGGATCTGCGACGCGGGCTTGGGGCCCACCGAATGAGCGTCGTAGGAGTATCGAAGAATACCGAGCACAGTCCGTTGAGCCTTTCGCTTCGGGGCTGCCGACTTGGGATATGGGTCGAGTCGCAGACGCGGGTCCGAGAGCGGGCCTGCGGCTTTTGCTGCTTCCTTTGACCGATATATGGGAGCTTTTCCGCGCGACTTTGTCTTGTCGAGATCAGGATCGTATTCGATCATGTATGCCTTGCCGAGCATGTCAAGAACCGAGGTCGGGGGTGGTGGAGGTGGGGTGGAGTCTTTGACGGGTTCTGGTGGGGGTGGAGGGGGCGGTGAAGGTTCAGCGGGAGGAGGAGGTGGGGATGGCGAGCGAGGAATGCGGGATGGTTTTGTGGATGCACGATCGGGAGGAGAGGATCGGGTAGAATCCGTCGAAGGCGCGGAGGAAGAAGTTGAGAGAGACGATGATTTTGAAAAGTGTGAGGGAGGCATACGCGCGCTGTACGCATGTGCATCGCGCGATCTCGACGGTGAACGCGAGCGGGAGCGCGAACGAGAATAAGAGCGAGAGCGAGAGCGGTAGCGGTAAGGATGTCTCTCTCGGTTTCGAGACCGTGAACGCGACCGTGAGCGTGAGCGACGGCGCGAGCGATAGTCGTCTCGGTCACGTTTGCTGTCGCGGTCGCGGTCTCTATCCCTGACTCTGTCTCGGTCGCGGTCTCGGTCACGGTCGCGATCTCTGTCTCTGTCGCGGTCTCGATCCCTGTCTCTGTCTCTATCGCGCTCTCGGTAGCTCGAGCGGAAGTCAGGGTCTCGAGATGTGGAGTGGTGGTGGTGGCGACCATAGTCAGAATCAGCTAGGCTTCGATAGCCGTCCCTATCGCGGTCGCTGTCTCGCCCGCGAACAGACCGGTGGCGGTCAAGACTGCGGTCTCTGCTGCGATCCCTGTCGTCCCGGCGCTTGTCGTATTCACCGCCGTGATGGCGACTCTCAACGCGGTCAGGGAAAAAGGTCGCGAGGTCGGCCTTTCCAGAGGACCTGATGCCGGCCGACTTTGCTGGACGCAAGTTGATACTCGGCGGCGGCGGCATTGTCGTGCTTCGTGACTCCGAGAATGGCGTCGTTCAGTGCGTTTTGCGTCTCTGGATTCGGTCCCCGTTGCTGATCAATTGGCTGTTGACATCAAAACCAGAGCTGAGATGGGTCTTTGGGATAGCAGCCGCGGCGGGCAGACAGAGAGCGAGAAGGGGCCTCGTAGATCTGATCACGTGTCTGAGTAGATTTCAGTCTGCGGTTACCCGGCTGATTTGAGTTCAAAGATTTTCTCAGTTTGAGGACCAAAGGAAAAGTTTCTGATTCTGAATCGCTTCTTTGTTTTAGAGAAAAGAAGGAAGCGTATTCGCATTGAAAAGAGAATATTCAGCAAAATGGAGACCGAGAGCGATTACAACCAGTGCTTCTTCACAATCTCGGGATCGCCGTCCGAGCTCGTGGCGGAATTGGCCGCGTTCGTCGATGTGGTGAACGGGTTCGTGGCCGAGGACGAGGACCAGGTCGGACCTCTTACGGCTGAGGTCACGCAGTTGATCCTTACTGAGGATGCTGAGGGAGACAGTGAAGAGCAGGCTGTCGATCCGGAGAAGTTCAGCCAGGCTATTGCGCTGGTTTTGGGAGCTGCGGGCGCGTTCGAGAAGGCGTCAGATAAGGGTACTTCCCCTTTGCTGTTTTTTCGATTGCTATACACTTCAGAGACTGACAAGATACTCAATCTAGAATTCGAGCCGGCTTACAATCTTCTTTTTTATGTCCTCACATTCACCTCCGCGGGCGTGGAAGGCCATCTTTCGACCGTTCTCGACCTTCTCAGCGCTGCGTCCGCCTCGCACGCTCTTTCGACCCTGTCTGTCTTGACCAACCTCTTCAACCTTCTGCCCGCCACATCCCCGCTTCGCAAGACAGTTTTCGGCACCGTGCTGTCGGTGACGGTGTCGACGAAGAACACGGATCTGCTGATTCCGCAGCTCAAGCAGCTGCCGATCTGGTTTTCAGAGTGGTCGCTGAGCCCGGAAGAGCAGGTCGCGACTCTGGTTGATATCGCGAGCACGCTCGAGCCGGTCGATCAGGCGTCGGCGCTTAAGTACTTCAAGGACGCGCACAGCGAGGCCGCGGCGGCGGGCGTCACTCTGCCTGCCGAGCAGACAAAGAAGTTTATTGTTCTCGCGCTCAGCGTGCCCGGGTTTTTCGATTACGATTCGATCTACGCGGTTGTGTCGTCGCTGAGTACGGTCGATGCTGGGCATCTTGGATTGCTCAAGATTTTTGTCAATGGCACTTTTGCGGACTTCAAGGCTGTTCCAGAGGCTACCGTGACGGGTGCTGGTATGGACGTTGAGGTTCTGACGAAGAAGATCCGGTTGCTGACGCTTGCGTCGCTGGCGGCGTCGTCGCCGAACCTGACTGTTTCGTACGCGGCGATTTCGAGCGCACTTGCGATCGACGAGGAGGAGGTCGAGTTCTGGATCATCGACGTTATCCGCGCGGGACTGCTGGAGGGCAAGATGTCGCAGCTCGAGCAGAAGCTGTTTGTGCACCGGGTTGTGCCGCGCACGTTTGGCGCGGAGCAGTGGGAGGACATTGCGCGGAGGCTGCAGACGTGGAAGACGAGTTTGAAGGACGTGCTTGTTGTGCTGCGAAACGCGCGGGTGAGCGTGGAGAGCAAGGCGGCTGCGCTGAACGCGGAGCGGGAGCGGGCTGCTGCGGCTGCTGCTTCTGCTGTTGCTGCTGCTGCTGTGCCGGCCAATGGAGAGGTGTCTGCGTAAGATGTACAGTATATAAACAAAATGAAGCAGTGATGGTATATAAAGCAAGTGTATTCCTGTAAAACGGCAGGCACAAGGCGCGCGTAGTTTAGAGAGTTGTGCAGTGCAGCCTCGACGACGCCCAAAGCAGCAAAACAACACAAAAAACAGGCCTCCATCACCTCGAAGAAGAAAAAACCAAAAAATGCTGCTGCGCCCAACAACAACTCGTCTGCTTCAGTCCGCCGCGTCGCGCAGTTTCCCGCTCTACGCGTCTGTTTACCGTCCGCGCCCGTTCTCGTCCCGTTCCTGTCTGTTTGCGCCTGTCGAGTCGCAGCCGTCGTCTGAAAAGCCCGAGGAGCCTAAAAAGCCAGAGAGCAGACAGACGCCTCCTTCGAGACAACCGCCTTCGCTCGGTAGACTGCTGCTTATCGTCGGCACTTTTTCTGCTTGCTTCTACGCTCTTGCCCGGTCTATGCGAAAGGGTGGGTTTCTTTATATATTGTATGGTTAATATAAGTAGCTGACCGCCTGGCACTATCTAGAACGCGAGGCCCGTCGTGATTTGAAACTTCCAAACCCAGAGATTCCTCCCGAAATGATTGAGAAATTCAAACGTCCCGCGTTCACCCGCGACGAGGTCAAGGTCATCTTTGTCCTCGGTGGTCCTGGGTATGTCTCTTGATTGATTGTGCTCTGCTGCTTGATACAATTGCGCTGACCTCTGTCTTCAATCTCTGCAGTGTCGGCAAAGGAACGCAGTGCGCGAACCTCGTCCGCGACTTCAACTACGTCCATCTCTCGGCCGGCGATCTTCTCCGTGCCGAGCAAGCGCGCGAGGGCTCCCAGTACGGCGAATTGATCAAGACGCACATCCGCGAGGGCATCATCGTCCCCCAAGAGATCACGATTGCGCTGCTCAAGAACGCGATGACGGCCGAGGTCAAGCAGGGCCGCACAAAGTTCCTCATCGACGGATTCCCGCGCAAGATGGACCAGGCGATCAAGTTTGAGGAAGACGTGGCCGAGTCTGAGTTTACGCTCTACTTTGATTGCACCGAGGACGTGATGTTGCAACGGTTGCTCAAGCGTGGCGAGTCTAGCGGTCGCGAGGACGATAATATCGAGAGCATCAAGAAGCGGTTCAAGACTTTTGTCGAGACGTCGATGCCGGTCGTGGATTACTACCGCAAGCAAAACAAGCTCATCTCCGTGCCTTGTGAGAAGAGTAAGGAGGAGGTGTACGAGATTGTGAAGGCGCAGATCAGCGACCGCATGGTCATCTAGGTTGATCATGACAAGACAAGGCATAGAAGTATAGATTTTGGTTTAATATGTTTTTTTTATGTTGTTAATATTCTGATTCTATGTTGTTTACTTTTTATAACCCGCGATTTAGTTGTCACTTGTCTTTATCGAGCAGTTGTGCAAAATGTTGTTAATATATATTAGTTGTAAGCAATCTACGCGAGAATTTCCCTGAACTCCCATGACCAATGATACCATGCCAGCAATACAAGAAGCAATAAAAAAGAAGAGATAAAAAAGAAGAAATATGAAAGAAATAAATCAAAACGACTGCAAAAGATCACGAACCCAGATCTTCACCCGCGACTCTGCAACCTCAATAACCTGCTTCTTACTATGTCTCGCCATCCACGACCCCGGATATCTAAACTCATCAAACTCAGACTTTGACGGCTGCGTCGGCGCGCCCATCATCAGCAAATCAAAAGAGATCGCCATGCTCGCGGGCGTGATCCACTGCGAACTCACGGCCTCGATGTCGGTCGCCGCGGCTGTCGCGCGCCACCAGGTGATTTCAATGTACTCGGGGCTGCCGTCGGCGGTCACACCCGCACCGCTGTCTGCAGACACGCACACGCTGACGACAGCGTCGACGCGGTAGTACTCGTCGCGCCAGTCGTTGCTGCCGCCGGCGTAGCTCGCGCGCTCGAGCAAAAGCAGCCGGGCCGCGTGCCGGAGCTCGTCGGGGTTCGTGCCCACGACCTCGGCGGCGCACCATGCGCGGGTCATGGTCTCGGGGTGGAACGAGAACGAGAGGGTAGCGTCTGAGGAGAGCGAGCGGCGGCCTTGGAAGTGGGATGTCTTGAGCGCGTACTTTAGCGGGCCGCCGGAGCGGAGACAGGCGTCCATTACGGCGCGGGCGTCATCGTCGTCGGCGACACAGGCGAGGTGCATCTCGAGACTGAGCAGGGAGAGGAGGGAGGAGCGCGGCGCGGGGGAGGTGTACCGGATGAGCAGGGCGTGGATGGAGTCATCGAGATCAAAGTCGAGGCTGTTGAACGAGCGGTCGCAGATAGTTGCTGAGAGCTGGCGGTAGAGATCCGAGTCTGCAATGAGATAGAGGCGTGTCTGCTGGGGCTTGAGAGGCGCGAAGGAGGCGCGCAGGAGAAGGATGTCGAGGTCAGTGGTGGTGGCGAGCGGGGTGGGCGAGATGTCGTGGTAGGGATAGAGCTCGCGTGCGCGCGATAAGGCGCCGGGGTAGTCGAAGCGGGAGCAGGGGTCGAGGGAGATGGAGCCGAGGCTCTGCGGGCCGGAGACGAGCAGGTTGACGATGTCCATGCTGGGTGCAGCGCGGTGCAGGGCGGAGAGGAGGAGGAGGTGAGGAAGAGAGGATGGAGCGTAGTGGTTGGTGTTGAGGACAGCGTCGGCTCTATGTCCGATTGCCGCAGTGAGAAGTAGCCGGATGGAGAAGGTGAGGTAGGTGAAGAGGAGGAGGGAAGATGTGAGGAGGAGTAGTTGTTGCTGTGTTCTCAAGAGATATATCTTGCTTTATAGTCCGTCTGCAGTTATAATCTGTTAAATCATTGTGTTATCAGATAAAGATAACAATCCAGCGCATTTGAGTCAGATACCTCATATCAGCGTATCTTACTATTATCACCAAGTATTACAACATACTACAGCATATACTCTACATCTACTACAAATCTACTGCAAAACACGATTACTATTACACAATCCACCTATACAATGGCAACTACACCCACCATCTCTTTGTCTCTGTCTCTTTGTTAAATCTTACATAATCTCTGACCAACATCCCGACGCCGCAAGCCTCGTCAGCTTCCTCCTCTCCTTCCCTTCCGCAGATCTCGAATCCCAACCACCTCCCTCGCCCTCCATCCACAAATCCCTCCAACACCACACTCGCAATGTTCAATTGGTTCAGATTAGTGTCTGTCGTGCTTGCCCTTGCGCTTGCGTTCCTCTTCTTCGCCCAGGAAACCGCCGCGGCGGGGCCGACTATCTCCAACCCCGAGGTCACTACTAAAGTACGTATACTCCTTGCTGTTCTCTGTTTTCTCATCAAGCAAGTTCAGGCTGACGCAATGCTGTCTTCAGGTGTTTTTTGAGGTTGAGCAGGGTGGTCAGTCGCTCGGCACTATCGTCTTTGGTCTCTATGGAAACGTTGTGCCCAAGACCACCGAGAACTTTCGGTAAGCTATCTGCTCCATCACTTCTCCATAGTACTCGGTTCTTTAATCTAATGTTGTTCGGTGATTTAGTGCGCTCTGCACTGGCGAGAAGGGATTCGGATACCAGGGATCCAAGTTCCACCGTGTGATTGATAACTTCATGATTCAGGGCGGTGACTTCACCCGCGGCGACGGTACGCATCCTCTTCCTCTGTTTCATCTTTTCCTCCTCTCCTCCTCCTCTCCTCCTCATCCACCTAAAAACAAACACGCTAACATCTATTCATTTTACACAGGAACCGGCGGCAAGTCAAGTACGTACCCATCCCGCAAACCCACCCAGATCAAGAAATGCCACGTTGCTAACTTCTTCTCCCTGCGCAATAGTCTACGGTGCCCGTTTCCCCGATGAGAACTTCTCGATCAAGCACACCCGTCCCGGTCTTCTTTCCATGGCTAACGCCGGCCGCGATACCAACGGCTCGCAGTTTTTCATCACCACCGTCGTTACCTCGTACGTCTTTTTATCATTCCTACTTCTATAGAATCAGACTAACGAAATATATTTACAGCTGGCTCGACGGCCGCCACGTCGTCTTCGGTGAAGTCCTCGAGGGCATGGACATCGTCACCAAGATCGAAAAGACCAAAAAGGGCCGCGGCGACAAGCCCGTCGTCGACATCGTCATCGTCAAGTCCGGTGAGATCAAGGACGACTCCGCGCCCGTCCCTGCCGCCGAGACCGTGGCCGAGCCCGAGGCTGCGGCCGCGCCGGAGAAGGATGAGCTGTGACTACATGGTTGGAAAGATTGGTTGAAGACGTTTGATCTCTTGACTGGTAGATGGTGATGGAGTGTTGTGTTGTGTGTACGTCTGTGTATGCTGAGTAGTTTAAAATTTATGATTTGATCATACAATCGAAAATCTGTAGATCTATAAATGTACATCAATCACAGCTTCTCGTAATCCAGCTTTCCTTCCAACTTCTTGGCCTCCGCAACCTTCCTCACCGCCTTCATCAGATCGTCCTGCACGATATAATCGCGATCGTCTCGGATGGCGAAAAACCCAGACTCAGTCACCACGTTCCTGATATCGGCACCGTTAAACCCATCGCTCATCTTCACGAGCGCTTCGTAATCCATATCGCCCTGCTTCTGCACGCCCGCCGCATGGATCTTAAACACCTCAAGTCGACCGACCTCGTTCGGCAGCGGAATCTCAATCTTTCGGTCCAAACGACCCGCGCGAAGCAGCGCCGGATCAAGTGTGTCGGGGCGGTTGGTGGCCATAATCACCTTCGTCTTGCCGAGATAATCGAATCCGTCCATCTGGTTGAGCAACTCCATCAATGTCCGCTGGATCTCGCGATCGGCAGAGGTTCCTTCGCTGAACCGGCGGCCGCCGATAGCGTCGATCTCGTCCATGAAGATGATGCAGGGCTCGTGCTCCTTTGCGTAGCCAAACATCTCGCGAATCAGTCGCGCGGACTCGCCAATGTATTTGTCGACGATCGCCGATGCGGGCGAGAAGATGAAATTTGCGCCGAGCGTGGCGGCGACGGCGCGTGCTAGTAGGGTCTTGCCTGTACCGGGGGGACCGTAGAGAAGAACACCCTTTGGAGGCTTGATTCCAACGCGCAGAAACAGTTCTGGGTTTTTGAGGGGTAGTTCGATGACCTAAATACTGTTAGTTAGCAATGTGCCAAACATTTAGAAAGAGCAGGAGCACTGCTGACACACCTCACGCAACTCTCTGATCTGCTCATTGAGACCACCGATTCCGGCAAACGACAGATCGCCAGGCTTATAAGTAGTCATGTTGTATACCAACGGATCGACCTCGCGCGGGAGCATGCGCATGATTGTCAGTGTAGTCATGTCGAGCGCCACACGCACGCCCTGCTTAAGCTTGTCTTTGTCGACTTTGCTGCGGCAGCCGACGACGTATCGCGGGCCGGACGAGGCTTTGACGATGACTGAATACTGTGGTTAGAAGATTGTGACGTAGGATGCAATATAGTGACTTGACTTACATCGCTCGTCGTCGAGCTGCTTGAGTACCTCGCCGATGATCTGTCCCACGCTCTGCAATGCTTTGATATCCTAGAACCAATCCGGTCAGCAACAGCAACAGCACCAGCAAATCCAATCAGCAATCGCAGCAATCAGCAATCAAATCATACATCCTCGGTCTTTTCGAAATCCTTCTGCAGTCCCCGGATATTTAGTCGCAGGTCCTTGAGCTTCGCGTCCCAGTTTCTGTGTTCGAGAAGCTTCTGCTTAAAGTCCTCCAGCGCGCGCTCGCGCTCTTCGTCGACGGCAGGAACAGCCTCAGCAGGCGCAGCGGTCTCGGCTTCGTTCAGCAAGGGCTCTGATTCGGCGGGGTCGGCCATGGTTGTGGAGTGGGCGATGGGGATGGTGTTGAGTAAAGTCAAGGAGCCCGCGAACTGTGACACGCCCACAGCTGAGCCGGGCGCACTGGCGGACTGAGAACTACGTATCCCCGTGACCAGGATTACGTACCCTGTCAGCGCGAGGGTCTGGTGCGTGTGGTTAGGGCACAGGCCCTGCGGCTCCGGCGGCCGACCAACCACCACGACGCGCGCAAGCCACTCTGCGCTCAGTTTTTTCCTCTTCTTCCTCTTCCTCTCTTTCTGACTCTTCTTCTGCCTGCTTTGCGCATCTCTCTGCTCAGTTACTACTCAATCTTCCTTATAATCCACCTGCTATTCTTCTGAAAAATGGCTATCACCAAGGTCTTTGCTCGCTCGGTCTACGACTCGCGTGGTACGTTGTCCGTCTTCTTGATGTCTGTTGTGGTTATCAGCAGCTGGCGACAGGTGGTCGTGATCGGCTTTGTTTTTCTTCGTTGTCAAGTCAGTCTTCGGTCTGCAGTAGTTCTACTCTACTGCTCTCTGCTGCTGCTCCGTGATCATTTGAAAACAATTCCTCGACCACGCCTATCCACATCCGCAGATGCCGCTCAAATCATCCACCCTCAGTATGCTGATCAATGACACAGGAAACCCCACCGTCGAGGTCGATCTCACCACCTCCTCCGGTCTCTTCCGCGCCATTGTCCCCTCTGGTGCCTCGACCGGTATCCACGAGGCTCTCGAGCTCCGTGACAAGGAGAAGGCCTGGGGCGGCAAGGGTAAGATTCCACCTCGTTCTACTACACATTGACCCAAGCAATGCGCCATTACTTGATGCGTCTTCGGATCAATTGTTGTCGACTACCGTCTACTCCTCTATCTATTGATCTGTATGCTGATTGCTCCTTCTCAGGTGTCCTCAAGGCTGTCGCCAACGTCAACGACATCATCGCTCCTGCCTTGGTCAAGGCCAACGTCGACGTCAAGGACCAGCAGGCGGTCGACGACTTCCTGCTCTCCCTCGACGGCACCGAGAACAAGTGTAAGTGCTCCTGCTAATTATCCCGCTCCCTGATCCGTCTCGGCTGCCTGTCCTGCTCTGCCTGCTCGCTCTGTCACGCAATGTGTGCTCAGTGCTCAGTGTGCTCGGCTCCAGCGTCAGCAGCCGAGGGAGTTGTACCGACGGCTGGCTGACCTCGTCCTCTTTCCGTGCAGCCAAGTTGGGCGCCAACGCCATCCTCGGAGTGTCTCTTGCGGCCGCAAAGGCTGCTGCCGGCGAGAAGGTCTGTATTTCCCCGCATTGATTATTGTTTACGGCGCGCGCACGGGCGATGACGTTGCCGATGCTCGTAGCTGCCGATGCCGTCGGCAACTAGCGGGCGAAAACGCGGTGGCTGCCTGGGCTCCCCACATCCGAGCCGTGCTTTTCACCCCCTGAGCCTACTTTTCGTTTTCGTGCCCTGATCTCCCGCTGACCTTTGTTCTCTTCCGACAGGGCGTTCCCCTCTACTCTCACATCGCGGACTTGGCTGGCTCCAAGAACCCCGTTGTTCTTCCCGTTCCCTGTAAGTGCTACCGATTGCTTTAATGACCGTCTTTTTTGACAGCCTCCCGGTGGCCTCTTCCGGTCCCCGTCGGCTACCCGCTTTCCTCACCTCACCCCCTTACGCACATCTGACTAACCTTCCTCTCAGTCCTCAACGTCCTCAACGGTGGCTCCCACGCTGGTGGCCGTCTGGCCTTCCAGGAGTTCATGATCGCCCCCACCGGCGCGTCGACCTTCACCGAGGCCATGCAGATGGGCTCTGAGGTCTACCACATCCTCAAGAAGCTCACCATGAAGCGCTACGGCCAGTCTGCCGGCAACGTCGGTGACGAGGGTGGTGTCGCTCCCGATATCCAGACCCCCAAGGAGGCTCTTGACCTCATCTCGGACTCGATCGCCCAGGCTGGCTACACCGGCAAGATCGACATCGCTCTCGATGTTGCCTCGTCCGAGTTCTTCAAGGACGGCAAGTACGACATGGACTTCAAGAACCCCGAGTCTGACCCCTCCAAGTGGCTCTCCGGTGAGGAGCTCGCTGCTCTCTACGCCTCGCTCTGCAAGGAGTACCCCATCGTCTCGATCGAGGACCCCTTCGCCGAGGACGACTGGGATGCGTGGGTTCACTTCTACAAGACCACCGACATCCAGATCGTTGGTGACGATTTGACCGTCACCAACCCCGTCCGTATCAAGACCGCTATCGAGAAGAAGGCCGCCAACGCCCTCCTCCTCAAGGTCAACCAGATCGGAACCCTGTCGGAGTCGATCAAGGCTGCCCAGGACTCGTTCGCCGCCGGCTGGGGTGTCATGGTTTCCCACCGTTCGGGTGAGACCGAGGACACCACCATCGCTGACATCGTCGTCGGTCTGCAGACCGGTGAGATCAAGACCGGTGCTCCCGCCCGTGGTGAGCGTCTTGCCAAGCTCAACCAGCTCCTCCGTATTGAGGAGGAGCTCGGAGACAAGGCTATCTACGCCGGCAAGAAGTTCCGCACTGCCGTCTCTCTCTAAGTTAGTCGTAGAATCTAGGTCGTGTCTGTGACTTGATTAGTTCGAGTTGCAGCTTCATGACTACTTTTTGGTTCACTCGCTTGATACTATCAGTGGGTTTGACTTACTCTTTACTTTCTGCCTTGATATGAAAAATGAATTAGTTTCGTCTATAGTAGATTCAGGTGCTGGTTCACTAATGTACTGTAGGTTGAGACTAGTTTAACTAAATATATATAATTTCTTAATTTCCAATTTCTATTTATTCACAAGACAAAACAAAACAAGACAGGAATGTCTATAATATTTTACAAAACAAAACAAATCACAAAACTACTGCTGGACAAGCTTCGGCTTCTCCGCGCTCTCGCTCTCGCTCTCTGCGCTGTCCTCCTCCGCACCGAGCGAGTACGTGACCAACTTTTTGAATCCGACAACACTGTCCTTGAGCTCGTCGAGGCCGACCCGTTCGTTGTCCGCGTGCGCGTAGAGAATCGAGCCCGGGCCGTAGAGGTATTTCTTGTGATCGCCTCTCAGGTGCGGGATATCAGTTCCATACGCCGCGACGGTGGTATCGAATCCCGGCACGGCGTAGTCGCAAACGACGGGGTCGTACGTGAGCGTGATGTCGAGCTCGAGGTGCTCTACTGCGTCGACTGCCGCGCGGAGTTTCGTGATGACGACGTCCATGTCTGCGGCGACGCGGAGGAGGAGCGCGGCGGTTGCGTTGGCGGCGATGACGTTTGGCGCGACGCCGCCGCTGATTTTGCCGGCGTTGAAGGTCGTGTTGCCGAGGAGGTCTGAGGCCGGGAAGTCGGTGTGCTGGAGAGCGTAGAGGGCTTCGATTAGAAAGTAGTTTGCGTTGATGCCGAGCTCGGGGTAGCCAGAGTGCGAAGCGAGGCCCTTGGAGTACAGGTCGGCCATGAGCATGCCCTTGTGGCCCTTTGCGAGCTTGAGCTCGGTCGGCTCGCCAAAGATGGCGGATTCCCAGGTGACGCCGAGTTCGTTGGCGGTGATCATGCCAATGCCGTCAGCTTCCTCACCGACGACAAAAAGCAGCGAGATGTCGCCTTCCTCCTCGACCAGGCCTTCGGACAGAAGACTCTGCGCGGCCGTGATTTGCGCGGCGATAGAGGCCTTGGCGTCGACGGAGCCGCGGCCCCAGATGAGACCGTCGTGGACCGAGTACGGGATGTAGGGAGGCACGGTGTCGACGTGGGACGTCAGCAGGACTTTGGTCTGGCGGGCGGAGCCACGGTAGGCGTAGATGTTTTCGCGCAGCGGCGTGCCCGAGACCTCTTGCACCTCGACCGTCCAGCCGGTGGAAGTGAGGTAGCTCTGCAGGAACATCGACGCCGCGTGCTCGTCCTTTGTGATTGACGGGATCGAGATGAGCGACTTGTGCAGGTACTCAAGCGTACTGTCCGCGTCGCCAACATCAGGAAGCGCGCCAGGCGAGCCGGGCACGTAGCCACTGTCGGAGCCGGCGAAGACGTGGATGCAGATGTAGATGATGGTGAAGATTCCAAACAGCGGCAGGAAGACCGTGTACACCTCCGAGTAGTGTCTCAGCAATTGACGAATTTGTGCGTTCATCGTGCCTGCGCTCGTTCTCTATTCTTTGTCTGGCAATTGAGCTGCGGGTCGGGTATCTGATGGACAGAGAAAGGACTCGTGAAGTGTTGATTGTTCGAGGAGGCTTATCGAACCGATCCGAAAGCGTGACCCAAATTAGATTATGTAAGTTATTATGTAATGTTTTATATTTGATTGTCCTCTTGACGAGCGATACTCTACAACACGATAATGGAGAGCAGCAAATTCATTGTCCTCACCGACTTTGACGAGACAATCACAGAGTCGGATACGCTCTCGCTAGTTGCAGCAGCAGCCTACGACGCGAACCCGATCCCGGAGCCATGGTCTGATTTCGGCGCGGCATACATGGCAGACTACGCCTCGTTCATGAAAACCTACAGGGCGTCGCAACCGACGCCAGACACGGTCTCGTCTGAGCTTGCGATGCAGGCTAAGCTGGACGCGATCGAGAGGCGGTCTGTTGAGAGAGTTGAGCGGAGTGGATTGTTTAAAGGAGTCACGCGCCAGCACCTTGCAAAGCAGGCGGAGCAGGCTCGGGTGAGAGCTGGAGTGCCGCAGGTGCTGCGGGCGTGGAAGAAGTGCTCTGCTGTTATTGGAATTGGCGTGATCTCAGTGAACTGGAGTGCGTGGTTCATCGAGCAAGTTCTTCGCGAGAGCTGTGGAGTTTCGGCAAAGACCGCAGCTGGGGTCGGGGACTGGGACGCAGCTGATGTTGTCGTGCACGCCAACGAGATCGAGATGGACGAGCTCGGTCGTGGGACGGGCAAGCTGCAAGCTAGCGCTTCCTCAGGTCTGCGATCAGGTCCGCACAAGGAGTCATTGTTGAAGAAGATAGCATCTTTGAATCCCGATGCAAATATCATCTATCTGGGCGACAGTACGACCGATCTGGCGCCGCTTCTGTCTGCAGATCTCGGCATTATCGTTGGCAATAAAAGCAGTCTGCGAGAAGTATGTACGAAGATAGGTGTTGATGTCAAACCGCTCTCGGCTATACCGTTGACAGTAGCGCGGGACCGAGGCGCAGCTGGGATGACTTACAAAACTGTGCTGTATGCTCTTGATCAGTGGCAAGATCTGCTGCGATACGGCCCTCTATCACAGGTTGGGATACTCAGCAGTGAAACAAGAATTGTTTAGATGGTGGTACTTGATCAGAGATCGTTGGGGTTGCCTCCCACTTCTGTTCACGACAAGAGAGCCGTGCGGTGATGAGCCCTTGGTCACGAACCTGCTAGCGAGCGGTAGCTAGCGAGCGGTAGTAGGCTGGAAGAAACGGTTTCGTGGCTGGTACCCGCCTTTTCTCAGCACGTGGCTCCAAACCCATCACAGCTCGCTACCCGTCTCGGATTAGCGCCCCCACGGTATGCGAGGCAGCGAGCGCAGAAACCGAGCCGGGACCTGATCTCGACCGTCACGAGAACCGGCGCGAGGGAGTGTAGTTCTGGGCGAGGGTACGGTTGGAGAAAGGATAAGGGTTGGAGGTTGTTGGCAAGGGTTATGGTCCTGCGATATGCGCGAGCGCGATGTAGGATTCCGGTGGAAGAGGCGCGTGCTGGACGCATGCCTCGGTTTCGTTTAAGCTTGATAGCGCAGGCTATTTGCCTTGCTAAGGACGTCTATCGATGCTCAGTTTTTACTATAGATTTGTGTAAATAAAATAGAAGATATAATATAGAAGCTGGCGTTGATTTGCACAGGTTTACATCCGAGGTGGGAGCGCAACAAGGCTCGAACAAGGCTTGTTGAAGCTGTGCCGAATTGGGTGAAATTAGCAATGACGTAATGACACCAACCCCACCCTCGTCTTCCCCTTCCTGCTCCAGCTTCGCCTCTGCGGGCGCCGGTCTTTTTCCAAACCACTGAGATATATAATTAGACTGAATTACTGCAGTATTTGTAGTTTTTGGTGCTGCTGCGGGGCGGAATATGGAAGAACGCTGGTGAACACGGTGGTGCAGCCAGGCCGACAACCTGGAGCAAAGATCAACAAAAACCCTACTCCGCGCACCAGACTTGTTTTATTCCCACCGCACTTTTCACACCCTCTTGCTCACCGCCAGGAACAACAACGAGCAGAGAAAAAAGTACAATGGATACTCAATTGTACTGCACAATAACCCATTGTTATGTGTACAGTACGCGGATCACACGTGGAGAGGGGGGTACGGCATGACGAGTCTCGTGGCTCGTTGTCGGTGGCTCGTCCAGTCCGGATCAGAATCCAGCAGCATTCGTAAATATCTGCCATCGAGCTCTTTTCATTTTCCTATTTTTCTGGCCGTGCAATTTACGCAGTGCTGCAATACATACTTACTTACCGATACATGCGATACGAAAACTGGCGTTCAAGCTAGAATTTTATTACTACCTAGATATATATTTATATACCAGGAATCTGGAGTCCTCGCCGCCGCGCCATGGACCACGACACGAACCCGCCCGCCCACGAGCAAGAGCAGGAGCAGCAGCAGCAGCAGCAGGCCCTCAAAGCTGCCGTGGATCACTTCCTGCAACACCACGACCGATTCCCGTCCCCCGCGCAAACGCGACACGAACTCCGCTTCCGTACGCCGCCGAGCATGTTTGGCGACCGCCATCAGCTGCCCGCGCTCGAGCCCGAGATCGTGGACGCGCAGGTGATTGCAAACTCTGTTTTCACGATGCGGACTACGCTCGCCGACGAGGCTGCGCGCGAGGCGTTTCCTTTGATTCCGGACGCGCTGCCGCGGTTGGAGTTGGCGGAGACGTTTGAATTTATGGTGTCGTCGCTCGCGCAGCGGGAGCCTGGCCACCCGCAGCTGCTGCTTCCGCGACCGGTTTACGAGCCCGCGTACTACGATCCGTACTATGGACGGTTGAACTGCCTGGGTCCGTACTTGAAGCGAATGTTTCCGGCCGAGGACGGCGGGGTTGATCCGAACGAGGTGCATGTGCAGCAACCGGCTGATGCGAGAGAGGAAGTCGATTTCTCGATGACGGAGCCAAATATGCATAGGCTGGTTCCCGCGGCCGCAGCAGCAGAAGGCTTGGATCGGATTAGCTCGACTTCGAGCACCGAGCCTGACGGGACTGTCAATCTGTCGTCGAGACAGACTAGTGTCACGACTCCCGAATGCAGTAACGCTGAAGAAGGCTCGGGCACTGAGACGCGCAGTAAGCGCAAGACGAAGCAGTCAGAGAAATCCAAGGCAGCAGTCACGACGCCAAAGACGATTGCAAAGACAAAGAGCAACGCAAAGAGCAAGAGCAAGAGCAAGAGCAAGAGCAAGACTAAAGTAGAGTCCCAGAGCGGCAAGAAGAAGAAGAAGCAAAGAGTCGCGGTGCACAAGTTCTCGTTCGATTACAGAACGCTTACGCCTGAGAACGACGCGCCAATGGAAGAGGTGCCGGCTGTTGCGTCGTCGAGCGCGGTGCAGGAGTTTGACCCTTACTTGCACCTGCCTCCTGCCGAGCGACGCGAGTTCTTTGCGACGGGAAAGCGGCCGGAGCCAGCGCCCAAGGCGGAAGCGAGCCCAAAGTCGACTGTCAGGTTGGTGAAGATCGACAAGCCTTCGTCTCCTACCTCTGCAGATTCCAAAGACGTCGTCAACGAGGGCAGCGTGTCGTACCACAAAGCGATCCTCATCTGCAGAGACATGCAGTTCTACATTCCCTACAACCGAATGCTTGCCGAGCTTCGCGAGATCGAAAGCGACTGGACCGGTCTGGATGTGAACGACCCCGACCTGCGCGTGCTCGGACTCGTCAGCGAGATCGACCGCGCATGGGAGCACTGGCAGTTCCTGTGTCGCGCGTCCGAGTTCAAGGGACATGAGGAGTTTGACCATGTGCTTGCCTGCTCAGCGCATCTCACCCGCGGCTACCGCGTCAAGCTCAAAAACGTCCGATACACCGACGCGGAATGCCGCCGGCTGAACCCCAAGCTCAAGCCCGAGGTGCTCAAGGACATCCTCGCCCAGCTCTGGACCGAGACCGAGGACGAGATCATCGTGATCATGTCGCCGATCAAGCAGCTCTACGGCACCTTCAAGCGCAAGGAATCCCAAGTCGCGCGCGCGCCAAACGGCTTCTTTTTCTTCCGCGAGTACGTCCAGGCCTGCTTGAAGGACTACAAGAACCCGAAGCTCGTCGGCGACTTTGGCAGCTTTGTCTCGACCTTGGCGGGAAACCTCTGGCACAAGATCCAGGACCAGCATCCGCTCTTCACGGCCTTCAGCCAGGTTAACAGTCGCTTGCACGCGCTTATGAATCCGGGATACAAGTTCTGCAAGAGTCCTGCGAAGATGGACATTGTTCGTCCTCACGTTTCGAAGAAACGTCACGGCTCGAAAAAGCGTCGGTCAACGGCGTCTGTTTAGACGCGACACTTGCCTCACGACAATTCTATTCGCTCTTGTTGTCTCGCAGCCGTTTCTGGTTATTATTATTCTCTTTTTTTATTACTTTTTGTATTATTATCGTTTGTACATACTCGTATCCAAACGCTGCTATGCAGCCGGAGTATGTGGTTGTAAATATCTGGGTTTTTGTTTTGGGACTTCACGGGGAGCATCCTGGTTACTACGAAAAGTTCGTCGGTCTACATTCATTCTCTTTTCTGTTTTTATTATTACGGGGCACATCTGCATTTCTGGGTTTTTATATGGTTAGTTTTCAATAATAGTATTTTTTAATTGTGGTTATGGGTGCTTTAGAATATTGGGTAGAGCCGTATTGTGAGTGAAAGGGTGGTTTTATCGTTGGCCATCTGTGGACTGTACATGGAGAGCATGGCCGCAAAGAACATGATAAGGCAGACAAGTTTATCTAGACGCCTTGTTATCCAGGCAAAGAATTATTGAACGTGATATCTATTAATGCGTAAACTATTTCTTCTCAGCACCGGTTTTCTTCTTCTGCCCCTCAGCCGCCTTCCCAGGCGTCGGCTTGCCCTCCTTCAAGTTCTTCTTGAACGCAGTACTGCGCGCCCTGATCCGTGGCTTCTTTTCAGATTTCTTGCGCACGCCCGATTTCAGCGAGACAGGTCCGCCGACCGAGGACCGCTCGCCCTCGAGGTACGAGGAAATCTTTGCCCGCTCAGCCTTGCCGACGACTTTCTTTGTCCGGTTGAGCGAGGCCTTTGTGTCCGGGTCGAGCACGCGGGCGGTCGGTTTCGCGAGCGGGCGCGCGGTTGTCTTTGCGGGGATGTTGCGCGCGCGGGTGACGCGCAGTTTCCGCGTGCCCATCTTTGTGTCGTTCAGCAGCAGCGCTTTGGCGACGTACATTGAGTCCTTGAACTGCACGTACGCAAAGCCTTTACCCACGTTTGTCTTTGAGTCCCGCACGATGCGCACGTACTCGACGTCGCCCACTTTGCTAAAATGCTCCCAGAGCTGCTCTTCCTCGGCTTCAAAGTCTAGGTTGCCGATGAACACGCTTCGCTTGGCGTCCTGCTTGGCCGGGTGGGCGACGCTGTCGACTCTGATGTGGCGATCGAGCAGGACGGTAGAGTTCGCGGCCAGAGACTTGCGCGCGGCGTCCTCGGTCTCGAAGACGATGTAGGCGTTGACGGCGTGGCGTTTCTCGTGCAGCTTGTGTTTGATGAACGCGACCTTGCGCGGCAACATCTCCGAGAACGCGACGGACCGGAAGCGGATCGACTCGATCTTGCCGTACTGCGCGAAATGCTTCTTGAGCTTGCCGTACTCGGTCTTGCTCGAGATGACGTTGTTGGCGAGGTTGCCGATGAAGATCGTGCGTTTGGCTTTGTCGAGCTGGTCTTTGTCGTCGAGCAGACTCTCGTGGACCATAGCAGCGCCGGTTGCGTCGAAGAGCTTGACGTCTTTGCTGTCGCTGTCTTGTTCGTCTTCGCTGTCGTCGCTGTCTGAACCGTCGCTCTTGTCTTCCACAGCTTCTTCAACCTCAGCAGCAACCTCCTCCTGCTTCGCACTCTTCTTCTCTTTCTTGGATTTCTTCTTTTTCGACTTTGACTCTTCGTCTAACAGTTTTTGCAAATACCGATCTTCAGCAGCAGCGTCCTCTTCGTCATCATCCTCGTCCAGCTGCGCAGCCCGTTTCTTGCGCTTCTTGCTATCCTTCGACACCTGATTCGTCTCCTCCTCCTGCTCCTCTACCTCCTCAGAAAGCTCCAGATCATCTTCATCCTCAGCAGCGGCGGCTAGCGACTCGGCTTCAAGTCTTTGTCTCTTGGATCGAGAGGGTTTAGCAACCGGGGCCTAAATCGCAAGTAAATCTTCGAGTAAGTCGTCTGTCTTTCCTTTCCACACCTTCATTCATTCCACCAAAATCCACGATCTTACCGGAGTAGCAAACAGCGACGCAACAGCCTGATCCACCTTTGCAATATCGACGCCAAACAACGACATCCTTAACCTCTTTCTCTTTTCTATAAACAAACAACGACTGTCTGTTCTTACGCGCTGCTCCTTCAATAAAATAAAAATTTTGAGAATTGGGAGAATAAAGTTACCCGGCATAAATAAAGTTTTGCAATTAGCGTGCGGCGCGAGCGTCGGCTGGGCTTTGTTGCCGCGAAGGGGAGACCGTCGCCGGTCCCGGGAAAAACATCGCCTTTTTGCTTCTTCTTTTCTGATTGCTTTTGTGAACAGTTTGTTGTTTAAGAGCAGGATATTGTACAGAAGAAGAGATTAAGTCAGGACAGCAGTATGAGCGACACACCACCGAACGCAGCTACCTCTGCGCCCTCGCCGTCGCAGCAGCAGCAGCAGCAGCAACAAGAGTCCACCTGGACGGCCGGCAGCAGCATCGTCGAGCCTGTTGTCGACGGAGCAGCAGAGGTTGCGGATGAGAATCCGGAAGAGGCCGAGACCGAGATTGAGGGTGAGAATAACAAGAGCGAGAGAACACCGCTCGATGGGCTCGATCTTGCTGGTGCTGCGGGGACGGGCGGCGAGGATGGAGCGGAGAGGAGTGGAGTTGCTGCGGTGGCGGCGACGAGTGTCGGTGCTAGTGCGGATGCAGAGGCGGCTGCTATTGAGAGTATGATGTTTTTGGGACATGATGAGACTGCAGCTGATGAGGCGGTCGCGGCGGACGAGAAGGAAGAGGGCGAGATTGACTCTTCCGACGACTTGTCTGCTCCGCCCACGCTGGACGGCAGCCTAAAAGACGACGACGATGAGGACGACGAAGATGAAGATGAGGAGGATGAAGACGATGAGGATGAAGATGAGGAAGAAGAGGAGGAGGGTGAGGTTGCTGGAGGTGCGGAGGAGGAGGACGAAGAGGAAGAAGGGTCAGAGGAAGCGGAGGAGGTCGTGAAGAAAGCGGAGGAAATCAAAGCCAACGCTGCAAAGGTTTCTAGTTTAAAAACTTTGAGCACGAAGCTTTCGATGCCCGCTGGGGAAGAGGAGGAGGATGAGGAAGAAGAGGGAGAGGAAATGGAGGAAGACGAGGAGGATGAGGAAGACGACGAAGCAAAGATGGACGTCGACAAAGATCCGGTCGTGGATCAGTCAACAGAATCTGCGAAAGTCGACACTCCAAAGCAAAAGCTTACCGAAGCTGATGAGGAAGAGGGCGAGGACAAACAAGACAAGGAAGAACCCGCTGACGAAGAACTAATCGACGAGTCTGCCGACGCAGAAGCCCCAGCTGAGGAAGAGATCGACGAGGCCGTCGACGCTGCGGATGGGGAGGATGAAGAGGCCGCTGAAGTTACCGAAGCTGCGGAGGCTGAGGCCGAGGCCGAGGACGGTGAGCTCGAGGAGGAGGAAGAGGAGGTCGAAGCCACGCCGACTAAGAAACGCAAGGTCGAAGACGACGAGGATAACGAGGGTAGGCTTTCAGATCTATTGATTCATGGCCAGAATATGCAGCTAACTGATACTTGTTCAGAACGAGCACGGAAACGACGAGCGGCCGTGGCGTCGCTGACCGAGATCGAAGTCGAGTTTGCCAAACTGCGCGATCGGTGAGGATGCCTCTTTCTTTTCTAGTAACGGTTATGATCCAAGCTAACATTTCAATAGACTACACGAGGACCGCATACTACGACTGAACGCCGAGATCGAAATGTGCCTACAAGGCCGACACCCCGAGCTAGCGGCCGTGTACGAGCAGATTGCCCGAACGCGCGACGAACGGATCCGTCTCGCCGAGGCCCACAGACGGTACCGCCGGCGGTGCATTGAGAACCAGACGAGGTCCTACAGAAGCCACTGGCACCAGCAGTTTTTCAAAAACGTCGCGAACCTGCGCGCAAAGATGATGTCCGAAACCACCGAGACTTGGTACAGGATCAACCGCGAGCGGAGGGCGATGGACGCGCTCGTGCCGTTTTATGGATACCGGATCCCCGAGAAGCGGTCGACGCAGGTGCGCCAGCGACAGGCGCAGTATCAGGAGGTTGCGATCCTGACGGGTCTGGCAAAGTACGTTGGGTTCCCTGCTGCGCCGGACATTAACTCTGCGAGCGCGGACGAGATTGCAGAGGACCTGGAGGCACTGCGGGGGCCTAAGTTTGTGCCTATGTAGACAATAGATTGTCCTTGGTTTGACTACAGTGGGGTTTATGTTTGAGATTGTCATGGCGTTTGTATAGTCCTAATTTAGTATCAGTATTTAACTATTTTGAAGCATTCTGAGTAGTGATGACCCAGTGAGTAAGTAATAAGAGGTATGGTGTATGATTTTTTTGATTAACCGAAATACAAAACATCAATAATTTTTTAAACCCATCAGATTTTGTACATGTAGAAACAACACACGAAGCAGTTTACTTGAGGGGGATAAAACGCGACGAGTGGGTAGCACCGATACCGGGTCTACCGTGCTTGACGGGGGTGTAGGAGATAGAGAACTCGGCGAGGTAGAATCCGACCATCTCGGCGCGGATCTCGACCTGGTTGAAGACCTTTCCGTTGTAGATGCCGATGACGGATCCAATCATCTCGGGGACGATGATCATGTCACGGAGGTGAGTCTTGACGACGGCGGGCTTCTCGTTGGGCTTGGCCTCCTGGCGGGCCTTGCGGAGCTTCTTGATGAGGCCCATGGGCTTGCGCTTGAGACCGCGCTGGAGGCGTCTTCGGGCACGGGCGTGGACGAGGTCGACGAACTTCTCGGGGGAGAGCTCCAGCAGGTCCTTGAGGTCGACACCGCGGAACTGGAAGGTCCGGAACTGTCTCTTCTTGCGGTTCTCTGGAGAGTAGATGAGTTAGACAGCAGTTCTTGACGAGACCGAGAACATCAACAATAATAATAACAGAACTGCACTCACCGGCAGCCTCGATGGCCTCTTGATCGTATTCTTCAGACATGATGTGTGTTGTTGAGATGGACGGGAGAGTCTGTTGCACTGAGCGTTCACGAAGAGAATCTCAGAGTTGCGATTGAATCAGTCGCAGCTGCCGAGCGGTGCGATGCGGCGCCCGTGACTTTGGTGGCGCGTGACTGCTGTTGTAGGGTTTAACCCTACACGGCTGCCCGCCGACCACAGCGACTCTTCACCTGCAACCGGCGCCGCTCTGTCAGTTTGATTCACCAAAGAATAGTCTGCTTTCCAGCTTAAACTTGATTATTCTAGTTACTCGTCTTATCATCAAAAAGTGAGTGTTTGTTTGCTGTTTATGATATTCTGTGCATTATTCTCTTTCAGTAGAATGTAGCATCAGTCCGCGCGGGTCGTATGCTAACCACCTCCACCACAGTGAAGTACATCGCCGCCTACCTTTTGCTCACCACCGGTGGCAACGCCTCCCCCTCTGCTGAGGACATCAAGACCGTCATCTCTTCCGTCGGAATTGAGCCTGAGGAGGACCGCATCTCGGCTCTCCTTGCTGAGCTCGAGGGAAAGACCATCGCCGACGTGAGTGCCCTGCAGTTCTCAAAATGATCTCAAAAGACTTCTTGAACATCCTACTGACATTTATTTCTTTCTACAGTTGATCGCCGAGGGCTCTGAGAAGCTCGCTTCCGTCCCCACCGGCGGTGCTGCTGCTCCTGCCGCCGCTGGTGGTGCTGCTGCCGCTGCCGAGGAGGAGGAGGTTGCTGCTCCCGCCGAGGAGGAGAAGGAGGAGTCTGACGACGACATGGGTAAGCATTCCTCTATTCGATTACTACTCTGCACGATAAAGAGACTCTTTGTACTAACGCACATCTGTAGGATTCGGTCTGTTCGACTAAGCGTCTCGTTTCATCGAAAAGTCTTGCCTTCACAAAAAAAGCTTTGGTCTTCGGTAGCGCGAATATGTTTTTTAAAATCTGCAACGTTCTTATTGTATAATAGCTAGTGGAGATCTTAAATGAACATAGGGACAAAAATTCTGAACCGTAGTAGAATTGTTTAACGTAGCTGTATATTGTTCAATTGCATATGTAAGGGCTTATGTCAGATTGTAGATCACGTGATTAAAGATTTTATGCTCGACTGTAGAAGGTTGTTCGAGCATCCGCAAAGACCACAGTCAGTGATTGATCTGTTGCATTTGCAGCTTTCAGGCGTGTGCTTTGTGTTTTCAGAGAAGAAGATATTCGAGGAATCTGAAGACGAACAAGGACTCAAAAAAGAGCGAGTTTTAGTGAAGGATATCCCGGAAGGAAGGTCAGGCTGTGCACGCACTAGATGTTCTCCGATCTTCTGGCGCAAGCGACTGCCTCTCCGAAAGCCGGGTCGTCGTCGTTGAAAGGAAAGCAGCAGACGGATGGTAATGGGTTGACTGCGAGGTCTGCTGGCGCGAGCAGGAGTACTACAGGAGCGAAGACTGCGGCAGGTCAGAAACCTTTGGGTGACAGTAGTCGAAATGTGGCGGGTCAAGCAACGACAGCGGCAGGAGCAGGGAAGAGTTCGAGCTCGTCTACGCTGAGCAAAGATAGGGCGAATAAGATCGCGATGCTGGAGAAGCTGAAAGCGCAGAGAGGTGGAGGTTCGGCCGGATCGAGTGGGAGCAGTAGCGGTAGCGGTAGCGGTAGCAGTGCTAAAGTAGCTGCCAGTTCTTCGTCGTCCAGCAGCAAGCCGAGTGCAAGTAGTTCGACAGCCGCTGCGCCGGCTCGCAAGAAGGTATATACGATTTTGTCTATACTATATGGTTTGGATTCCGACTAACAACTCTCGTGTGTAGCCGAACTTCCTGGACATATTGAAAGCAGCGGAAACTGTGAGCTCGGAAAAGATGAAGGTTGGCGTGAAAGTGAAAGATCCAAAGAAGAAAGCAGCGACTACGTCGAGGTTCTCCGGCAAGCTTGGACGGTCGTCGCAGTCGCCTGCGCCAGCACCGGCACCAGCAACGAGCAGATCAACAAACTCGCCTGTGAAACCCGCACGGGATGCAAAGACAGTTTCTTCTGAGCGGAAAGCTGTGAGCGGTGGAGCTCGCGAGAATGTAAAGAGCTCGAAGCCGATGAAACTAGATAGGAAAGATGTCAAGATGAGCGGCAAGTCTGCGGTGAAAGCAGGCGTCAGAGAAAAGCCCGAGTCGGCGGCGTCTGCGAGCAAGCACCAGCCCGCTCCGTTTGCTAAGCCGATGGCCGGGTTACTGAAGAAGCGGAAGGCGCACTATGACTCTGATTCGTCGCTGGATGATTTTATTGTCGACGACGAAGATGAAGAGGAGGAGGAGCGGGGGTACTCCAAACGGCGGGGGGATCCGGGCTACGACCGCGAGGAGATCTGGAGTCTTTTCAGTCGAGGGCGGCCGCGGCCTAGGTTTAATGACTATGATGAGGATGATGATGACATGGAGGTTTCGGGATTAGAGGTGCTGAAGGAGGAGCAGCGCAGTGCGTTGGCGGCGAAGAGAGATGATGAGAGAGAGGCGGAGGAGGAGAGAAGGAGAGCGGAGGAGAAGCGGAAGAGACTGAAGCGCGCATGAGGGAGATTTAGTCTGGGAAGGCGTTCTGGATGTCATTAGTGCTGTAATTATTGTTATTGTCTGTTGTTATATGTTATGCTGTTAATCTTGTATTGTTGCCATTGTTTCCTGATGTCATCTCGTCTAAGCGATGACGCGATTACGCGTGCGGCGCCTCATCGCGGCTTTGCACGCATTCGTCCATAATTGCGTCAGGGATCCTCTTCACACCTTTTTGCCATAAATACACCCTCAAATCCCTCCTAGACAGCCTTATTCACACATAGAAGCACTAGACAGAATGGCTCCAACCATCCCCCGCTTCGCCACCCGCGCAGTCCACGCTGGCACCGCCCCAGACTCCTCCACCGGCGCCGTGATCTCGCCGATCTCGCTGTCGACCACGTTCGCGCAATCCTCCCCCGCCGTCCCCGTCGGCGCGTTCGAGTACTCGCGCTCGTCGAACCCGAACCGGGCCGAGTTTGAAGCCGCGGTCGCCGCGCTCGAAGGCGCGCAGCACGGCCTCGCGTTCGCGTCCGGCAGCGCAGCGACCGCGACCGTCCTCCACGCGTTCGCGCCCGGATCGCATGTGATTTCGGGCGCGGACGTCTACGGCGGCACGCACAGGTACTTCACCAAGGTCGCGCAGTCGCACGGGCTAGCGACTTCGTTTACGGACGACGTCGTGCGCGATCTGCCGTCGCTTGTGCGTCCGGGGATCACGAAGCTGGTCTGGCTCGAGACGCCGTCGAATCCTACGCTTTCGGTGACGAGTATCCGAGCCGTGGCCGAGCTGGCGAGAGAACATGGCCTTGTGCTGGTTATCGACAATACCTTCCTCTCGCCGTACCTACAGACGCCTCTCGCGCACGGCGCAGACATCGTCGTGCACTCGGTGACAAAGTACATTAACGGCCATTCCGACGTCGTGATGGGCATCGCGCTCATGAACGACGACGCGCTCTTCCACCGCATCCAGTTCCTACAGAACGCGATCGGCGCGGTCCCCTCTGCATTCGACTCCTGGCTCGCGCACCGCGGCCTCAAGACGCTGCATCTGCGCTCGCGCGCAAGCTCGCTCAACGCACAGAAAGTGGCAGAGTTTTTGCAGAGCGGGATCAAGACCGGCACGGTCCTGCACGTCAACTACCCCGGCCTCGACACGCACCCGAACCGCGCCGTCGTGCTCGAGCAGCACCGTGACGGGCTCGGCGGAGGTATGATTTCGTTCCGCGTGGCGGGCGGGCAGAAAGCTGCCGAAAAGTTCTGCCAGTCGACAAAGATCTTTGCGTTGGCGGAGTCGCTTGGCGGAGTAGAGAGTCTTGTTGAGGTTCCGGCGCTGATGACGCACGCGGGTATCGATCCGGCGGAGAGGGCAAAGACTGGCGTGTTTGACGACCTTATTAGACTCAGTATTGGAATCGAAGACGGCGAGGATTTGGTTGAGGATGTAGCGCAGGCACTGCAGCAGGCTGTTGGGGCGGCAAAGGGTAATGGATATCACTGAGCGCTTGCTCTTCTGGCTTGGATATAAGGAGTAGTGGTGTTTATCTGCGTATATAGCTGTTAGTATTCGTATATAGCTGTTATTGTTTGTAATCATTATAATATAAACTGTTTTGTACATCTACTCATCCTTCCACATCGCAGTTCCTGGATATCAACCAGCTCCGAGGCCGAGCCGCACAGCTCTTCATCTTCTCTTCCGTTGATCTAAAGATTCCCGCTGGACTTTTATTGATTGTCGATATATTTGAACGAATTGAATAATGTCGGTTTCCGCTCGTGTTGCATCAAGCACAAAAGTGCTCAAAAATCTAGTCTCAACAGGTATACCGTCCTCTCCTTTCTTGTATTGTGTGGAAAAGGCTGATCTGATATCAAAAACTGCAGTGCAACAGCTCTACCCCGCCGCTCTGGCCGACAAGACATGGGACAACACCGGACTCCTACTAGACTCGCCTCCGACGGAGACGACGACGGTCGGGCAGACAGCGCGCGTGCTGCTGACTATTGATTTGACCACGGCCGTCGTCGACGAGGCGTTGCAGAAACAGGCGCTTTTGGTCGTTGCCTACCGTAAGCAGTCTTGTTTGATCTTAAAGATTGGATTAAAAAAAAAGCTGATGCAATGGCTGTTTAGATCCGATCATCTTCCGCCCGCTGAAATCCCTGTCCCTGGCCAACACCCAGCAACGCTCGCTCATCCGTCTCGCGCAGGCAGGAATCAGCGTGTACTCGCCGCACACGGCCGTCGACGCGCAGGTCGGCGGGATGAACGACTGGCTTGCGCGTGTTGCTACGGGTGTCGACGAAAGCGCGGCGCTGGAGTCGGCGGTGATTGAGCCGAATGAGAGTGTGCCGGAGACTGGGTTTGGCAGACTTGTTCGGGTTTCGGACGAGGCGCTCACGCTGCTGAAGATAATTGAGAATGTGAAGAGCGGGTTGGGTCTGAAGCACGGTATGTGTTTTGTCTCTTTGTAAATTACTCTCCGCACCGTATATGCATTCTAATCCTCCTTCTTTTTGAACTGCAGTCCAAGTAGCTATCGCCGACCGCCACAAAAACATCGACACCGCGACCATCAAAAGCATAGCCATCTGCGCTGGCTCCGGTGGTTCAGTCCTGGGGAAGACCGACGCCGATCTCTGGTTCACCGGCGAATTGAGCCACCATGAGGTTCTTGCGATCAAAGAGCGGGGAATCAGTGCTATTATCTGTACGTTTGCTTTTTCTCTTTCGATCCACGCTTTTTGTTTTGAGAATTGATACTGACGGTTTGGGATTATGTAGGTGGGCATACTAATACCGAGAGGGGATATCTTAGCAGCGTGTTTGCGCCGAGCTTGTTGAGCAAGATTGCGGATAATAAGGAAGAGCTTGGGTCTGCACATTACGAGGGCTATGATATCGATGTGGTCGTGAGTGAGCAGGACAGAGATCCTTTAACTGTCTTCTGATTTAGTTATGTACGGTACTATGTAAATTGATAATCAATCATCTTCATTCTCTATCATACAAAAGACTTCACTCTGTATATCTTCAACGTCGCCACTTCTGCCCATCCTTCGATGGCATGAACGCCGCGATCTGCTGCAACTCCTGAACCAGCGCGTCGATAGACTCCTTCGTAGCAAGCTCGTTTCGCGGCGCGCGCTTCTTGGGCGAAATCAATCCCGGCGGCCCGCCTTTGTCGCTGTACAGCCCGTCCAGAAAGTCGTCGTATAGGATCGGCTTTGCGAGCTGCTCTTTGTCGGAGTCGTCCGAATCTGAGCTCTCTGCTGCGTCGTCTGCGGGCTTCTCCTCCGTCTTGACTTTTTTCTTTGCGTCAGCGCGGCGTTTGGCGGCTGCTTTTTCCTCGCTTCTGAAAGTCAGCTCGGACGCGTATTTGATCCATTTCGTCAGCTGCGCGGCATCTTCGCGTGTCTCGATCGCAAACCAGTTATTGTTGTTGCCGAGCAATGTATCCGACAGCTCAGAGGAAGTCGACATCGCGTCGTCGTCGTCGGCGGCGGCGGCGGCGTGGTCGATATGCATTTGCTCGGCGTCGGTGGCGTCGGCAGCAGACTTGGTTTGCTCGGCGGGTTTCTTGGGGTCGGACTTCTTGGGAAAGAGGATCGTGCCTGTGGGTGAAGGAAGCTCGGATGCTTTGCAGCACATGATCCATGTTCCCCAGCTTACGCGCGACTTCATCCGGTCCGAAAAGAGCCAGTACTGATTCCCATAAATGTCCATTCCGATCGGCATATTCCGCAGACACAGCTTCCGCTTTCGCCGGAACAGATCCTCTTTCATCGCGTTCATCTCCTTGTCGCACCGCGCTTTCACCGCCTCGCACCGCTGCTCCCATTCCTCTTTCCGCGCCTTGGGCGCCTCTTTCAGCGTCTGTCTGACTGCCGCGAGCTCGGATGCGTGGCGCTCAGACATGGCTTTGAGCTCTGCGGTGATTGACGCGGTCTTGCGGCGCAGGGACTCGTTGTCGATGTCGATCGTCTCGCGGATGTAGCTGCCGGTCAGCGACAGCTTAATCAGCTCGGAGATGTAGTTCAGTTTCTCGAGGTACGGCGTCGCGGTCTTGAACACCGAGTCGCGGTCCGCGGACGGAGAGGACGGGATGCTGCTGAGGTCCGAGCCGCTGTCGTTGTCGTTGGTGTCGTTGGTGTCGTCTAAGTTATCGGTGCTTTCGACAGACGAAGCACGCGTAGGTGGCGCGGTCTTGTCGTCTGCCGACTCGTCTTCGTCGGCTAATTGGTCTAAAACCGCACCTTTTCGGTTCGCTAGGATCTCGATGACCAATTCCCAGATATACTCGTTGTGAGAAGCCGTCTTTTCGACTTCTTTGATTGCGTTCTTCAGCAGATCGCCATCGACGACCGGGTAGTTGTCAGAGTATATTATCCTTAAGACCGCGACAATCACAGTCTTGAACGTCATATCCGTCCACGGACCAGTCACATCGTCGATGATGTTGAGGTGCTTGAGCGTCAGCCCGCAGTGCTTTTCGAACCGCAACACGTACTCGCGGATAAACAGTCGCAGCTGGAGCTCGTTCTCGTCGAGATCGGTGATGATCGGGTTGAACTCGGGCGGCTCAACGACCTCGAGCGGAGGCACCTTGGTGCGAAGCTTTGTCTGCCGCTTTGCCTTCTTTGCGGAGCCATTGGCCGCAGACGCAATCACGACGCCGCCTTTCTTCTTCCGCGTCAACTTTGTCTGCACTTTTTTCTTGTCTGCTTTCGTCGCTTTTTCTCCCTTTGCCGACTTTGCAGAAGCCTTCTTGCTCGCCGTCTTTGCTTTGGTAGGAGGCTTGGTGGCTGCCTGGTTCCGCTTTCTCGAGGCGGCGGCGGTTGTAGTGCCTGCGGCTTTCTTACTCGACGCAGCCGCGGGAGACGAGTCTTCTGCGCCGTCTACCCCGTTTTGTTTGAAGACGATCGAGATTTTTGGGGTCGAGGAGGACGATTGGCTGCTGTCGTCGGACGGGGTTTGCGCTTTTGAGGACCGACGTTTCCTGGAGGTTGGGGGTGGGGGGGAAGCCTGGGAGGAAGTGATTGTTAGATATACTGAGATTAATGCAAGGAGGCGAGGTGGCAAGAGTAGAAGATAGGCGCGCGAACGCGTCCCACATGAGTATTCCATTCCCTGAATTTGATAAAAGCAAGCAGCAGAAGGAAACGATAGAATAGTGACGTACCTTGTTCTTCTCTCTACTTGTCACGCGTTCAGACGACGCGTCAAGGTCGCGACTATCAGAAGGACCAGGGGACGTAGCAGCGCGCTGCTTGACGCGTTTGCTCGCGTTTGCAGAATAGTCCGCGCTCGGCCGCTTGTTGATGTTCTTTTCGGATAAAGCAGAGTCGGTGGCGGACGCGGCGAGAGAGTCGACGACCGGCGAGGGCGACATCATGGCGGAGTAAGTTGATTTACTGAGAGCCAGGTCCGAGGGAGGAGGAGGGAGTGAGACGCCAACGGACATAAATGAGGAAAAGAGTGAGGGTTTCAACAATTGGTTGAGGGAAGAAGAGTAGAGAGAGGAGGAGGATGAGGAAGGGAGGTGCAGGTGGAAGAGGAAGTGGAGAGGAAGTTGGAGCAAAGTGGAAGTGCGCCGAGGGCAAAAGGGAAAGCGAAAAGTGATTGCCGCGAAGGGGTTTGAGTCCCAGCTACAAACTTACCCTCGCAGCTGTCCGCCCGCGATAAAGAAGAGAGGAAGAGAATAATAATAAGAAGAAGAGAGAATATGAAAGAAGCAGGCTATTATCTTCTGTTTACATTGACGTGTTTTTGCAAAAAACGGCAACAGTCATCAGCTGAAGAACAATCCACTGGCATATCTGTCGCGTGTTTGCGGCAGCAGCTTTGGACAATGAACAATGAGCTTAACCGTAGCGCTTCCTGTCTACTGACTATTATATTCAAATAAACAGAACAGGTTTTGTTTAGTCGTTAAACAATCGCGTCGAGATTCAAATAGTCCTGGTGAGTTAGTTGCCTATTCGGGCAATTGCAGAGAAAGATCGACGCTGCGCGTTCACGCGTCTGCGCTTCCGATTAACAACTAAAATCAAACCACAACTTCTACAATAAAACACCGTCAACTCATTCAAAACAATTCCCTTTTCTTCTTCTCATAATCATCATTATTATTTCTACTCTCAGCAGCTGCTCTGCTCTGCTCATCGCTGCGAACATAAATCAACTATTTCCAAAAGTATAATTACACGCTAGTCCTAATACGGCAGCACATCAATACTCCCCAGCCCGTCTCCCACCCGGCCATTATAGCAACCGCTCCCGCTGCGCTCTTTCCTTCCTTCTTCTCTTCCTCCTCCTCGTCCTTCTTCCTCCTATCTTCACACCCGCTTCCTCCGCTTTCTTCTGCTCCTCAACCTGCCTCGTTCTTAACAACAATGACTATCTTCCTCCGTCTCTTCCTTCTCCTCAGCGCGCTCGTCGTGCTCGTCATGGCTGCCACCGTCAATCCCATGTCGTCGCCTGTTAGTGGCGACGTGTTGACGTGCGTAGCCACATCCTCGTTCACTCTTTTTTTATATCTGTTTCTCCTCTAACAACATCTGCAGTGCTGGTCAGCCGTTCCTAGTCGAGTGGGCTGTTACCAACAACGACAGCGTCAGCTTGTTCTTGCGCAAGGGCGATCCCATGAACCTCAGCTCGGTTCTCACCATCGTGACTCAGCTCCCCAACAGTACGCTGCTTTATGATCCGTTTTACAAAACTCCGATTCGCTGACTTGTTGTACTCTAGCCGGTGTTGTTCGCTGGACTCCTCCTAGCCACCTCGCGACCGACACCTCTTACACGATCCAGATCCGTGATGACAAGACTGGAGAGGTCAACTACTCGCCGTACGTATACAGCCAGTTTTTCTGTGTTTCACTGTATGTGTCTAACCGTAGCTTCAGGCAATTCACCATTCTTGCCTCTGACGAGACTGCTCCTGCGCCTAGCCCCGCTGCTCCCATGGATGAGGCCCCCATGGAGGAGACTCCTGAGACCTCTGTCCCTGCCCCGGCTCCTTACGATGCAGGCAACGGCACCTTCCCCACTCCCACCTCTGACATGGACGAGTCTGAGGCTGAGGCTTCTCCCTCGGCAACTCGCGCGCCCAAGAAGGGAGGCAAGGGCAGCCATCCTTCGCCGGCAAGTTTACACGTATTGACACCCCAAACCTGATCACTTCTAACTGTTCTCTTACAGGCCCCCTATAGCTGGCAGAACATGACTTCCAATGGAACCATTCCATTGTATGCCAACATGACCAACGGCACTGCGACCAACGGCACCCTGCTCGATACCGCCAGCTCTGCTTCCTCCTACGCTCTGGGCGGAATGATGCTGTGCAGCACATTGGTTGTCGGCTACCTCGCCACGCTGCTCTTCTAAGCTGACTGTTCTGTCGCTCTGTATTTTAGTCACCCCGTGGCATCTTTGTCACCTCTGTATCTGATACTCTGCCTATTCTTATTATCAATATCAGTGTTTTCTGTTAGTCTGTTCAGTTTATTCTTCAAGTATATTAGTACGAAGCGAGAAGGACGTTAGCAGAGTTCCTGTTTTAGGCTTCTGTCGTAGTTGATACTGTAACAATAGAAATGCCATTGTTTTATATTATCTAAAAGTACATATCAGTCTTTCGACCCCGCCGTAGTCTGGATGATAACTCGAGCCACGCCGCTGCTTCGACCAGATGCGATGCGCTTCACGACTTTAACCTTCCCACCTGCTTTTTCCGTGTCTTCTATAAACTGTCGCGCCGTACCCCCCACGCCAAAGTAGATCTCCTTCGCAGCCACGTAAGCTGTCGGCAGCAGCGCTGTCTCGCGTTCGGTATTCCATAGCGAAACGGAATCGAGGAGAATCGGGATAAACGCGTTTGTCGAGGCGACGGAGTATATAGTTTCCGAGCCCAAGACGAGAGAGAATGGAAGTTTTTCGGTGGGCGAGGTAGAGTTGGAGGTGGATGCGGGGCTGTAGCCTAGAAAGTCGGCGAAAGAGGAGGAGTTCCAGGGTCCGGAGATTAGTTTGATGGAAATGTTGTGCGTGTCTAGGAATTCGAAGAATTGAGAGACGAGGTCGGGGGTGACTTCCAGATCGAGGTCGGATGTCTGTGTGGGCTGGGATGGGTCGTCGGATGAGGAAGTGGGGGTGGAGAGGGAGTTGCGGACGTTGTGGTATGCGAGGAGGAAGTTTGGAGCTGTCATTAGGCGCAGGACGGCGTAGTTGTAGTCTGACATTATGAACGAGACGGGAGGGTATTGCTGTTGTTGTTGTTGTTGTTGTTGCTCTGGGGTGGCTGTGAGGAGGGTTCTGATGTATTCTTGAAAGAGGTAGATCGATGGAAGAGCGCTTCCGCATCCGAGCTAATTGCAATGCTATAAGTTAGTACCCGAACGACAAAAGTACATGATCAAGTAAAAGAGGGCATACCTCGAGCACTCCTTTCCCAACCTCAACCCCAGTATCAGCGAGAAATTCAGTCAAATCCCCTGCGCCCTCCCAGCTCTTAAGTCCGCCTTCGTATAGATCTGTGCGTAGATCCTCTGTGTTTGAAAGCAGGATCTGGAGTTCTTTCTTCCTGAACTGCGTCGTGTTGTCTGCAGCCGTCTCGGTCTTGGTGGTAGTCTCCTCTGAGATCGAAGGTAATAGGTCCTCGTCCGCCATAATTTGGACTTTGATGTCGAATACCTCGCGCCGGGGGATCCGGAGCTTGGAGGACTGGGCTAGGTCGGAGGTGGAGGACACGCTGAGGAGGGAGTATGACATTCGAGAGGGCAGGGATTGTAACTACAAGATCTCAGTCAGTGAACCTGCACCACCACTATTTCTCTAAACAGAGCCATAGCAAATCCAAACAGCGCTATACGAAAAAAGAGAAAACTCACAAGATCCCGAATATCATGTATCTCCGTGTCGACCTTGAACTCGGATCCTTTCGATGCATCCGCCGCCGTCGTCGTCGTCGTCGTTGTCGATACAGGCTCCCCGTTCGAAGAAGGCACCGGCACATCAGCTTCGGTATCGCTGATATCCTCGCCTGAGAAATCGAATTTGAACATGCCGTTTCTTCTTATAGTGAATTAATCTGCTTCTAGGAGTAGAAATGCCTTGCGAATCAATAAACCATTCAAGCTGGTGAACAAAAAAAATAAATTTTCAGGGGGCGGCGAGGCGGATAAACTCGAGGAAGCAACGAAAAAACTCCCAACCGACATCGCGTTGTTCTCGAAAACTGTTTTATTGTTCATAATATTTACTACTCCTCCACATCGATAGTCGAGGATGGTGATCTGATAGTATGGATCTGTGATTAAAAAAAGTTCTTATCATGGGTGACTACATCTTCGGTCCTCCTCCGCCGCCGCCGCCAAAGTCGTCGACGACCTCGAACGCATCGTCGTCGTCGAAGTATCAAAATCGACCACAGCAAACCAGGCAAAAGCAGCAGCAGCAGCAGAATACAAACCGACGAACAAAGGACCAGAAGAGTTTCAAGAGTGAGGGTGGATCGGGTCGGTATGCTGGGCAGAATGGGTCGGTGTCTGGAGGTCATGAGTCGCAGATACAGAATCATGGATCATCGTCGCATTTGGACGCCCAGCAAGATTTACATACGTCAGGATCACTGGATGAATCAGGATCTTTGACATCTCACAGCACAATCAAGAAATTCAATCTAGATCTCGTTTCCTCACAAGCTCCTACGCAAAGTCCGATCTCACCAACTCACATCAACCCATCATCCACAGCGTCTCAGTTCCCGTCCTCGTACGATGACTTTGCCGCCGACGAAGACGACGACGGCGGCGAAGAGAAACCAGCGTCGAAACAGATAGTCGCGATCCCCGGCACTTCAATCACGCTGCAAACAGAAGCCGACATTGCGAAATGGATAGCCGAGCGGAAAGCAAGATGGCCGACCGCTTCGCGCGTCGAGGAGAAAGAAAAGGAAAGGGAAAAGGCTCGACAACTTCAGCTTGAGCAGCAGAACTTGCAGGGCGAGGATCAGCAGCTTCAAGACCACCAGGGCATCTCAGAATCCACAACAGCCAAACGCCAACCAATATGCAAATTCTTCGCGTCAACAGGCCACTGCAAACGCGGCGACCAGTGCAAATTTCTCCACGAACAAAGACCAGCGACCGACAACAAGCGAGTCGCGACGGCTGCAGACGGTCTGAGGACGAAGCGGTATAAGCGGTTCGAAGCGCCGAGGAAGATGCCGCTGTTTAAGAGATTGGTGCAGAATGATTGGGATAAAGAGAACGAAAAGATTTTGGACTTTATTGCATTTTTGGCGGAAAGGGGGATAGTGGGTAAAAGCAAAGCTTTGCAAGTGTGAGGATTGAACTATTTCAAAATTAATTAGGACATTCATGTCCTTCATATATCTATGTACAATTACAGGCGGATCTCTCAGATCACAACTCGTCATCAAAAGCCTTTCTCATCGCCTTTGGATTTCCAAACAAAGAATGTCGCGAAACAAACAACTTATCCAAAAATCCCATCTCGGCCCCAGACACCTCTCCATCTTCATCCCGCGTAGCTAAACCGGAGTTTGGCAACTCGTCTGCCTTCTCAGCTGCTCCCGCATCCGATCGATACCGCTGTTTCAGAGCCGCGCGCTGGTCTACCTTTGCCGCGATCCAGGCCCTGAATGAGTCTTGGACTGGGCAGTATGTGGGGTACTTTGATTTTATAGCCGATAGGGCAGAGAATATCTTGTCGCGCGCGTCTGTGCTCGAGATATTGTCCTGCGACAGCGCGTCCTGGAACGCAGCGCACCAGAGACCCATTTCCTTTTGAATCTCATTCGATGCCTGGGACGCAGACGAGGACTCTGACTCGCTGTTGACGAACGAGTCCTCGACAAAAGTGCCGCATCGGCCCATGTAATCCTCACCTACCCCATCGGTGTAGAACTTGCGACGTAATATCTCGCCGCCGTTTTGGCTCCAGAACTCCTGGCGTCCAAACCTGCCATGGATCGAAGACGCGAGCGCAAACATGATTCGCTTGCGGACTTCTGCGTCGTTCTCGGACTCTAAAGCAGAGAGAAGGTAGCTCACCACGCGGGCTGGCGCGGCGATGTCTAGTGCCGGCGCATTATTTCGCAACGACGAGCCAATCACGCGCGCGGCAAGTGCTCGGACTGGCGCGTGTGGGTGTGAGCCCAGGATAGCGAGGAAGTCAGTGACGGTCTCTGGATCAGCCAGCTTGATGCCGAAATCAATCTCGTGCGCGTAGTCTTCGATCGTCCGCAGCGCGGTCAGCAACACAGCGTACGGACCTTCGCTGTCTGTCGCTGCCTCGGCCAGCTCGGACGACGTCGGCGGGACGGTCGCAGACTCGGCTGTAGAGTCGTCTTCGGGGACTTTACCGGCTGATAGAGCGTACGCGAGCGTGCTTTCGAAATCCTCGTGGTCGGAAAGCGAGATATGCGGATTAGGCTTGTGCGAATACGAAAACTGACCCCAGATATTCCGGTCTTGCTGCTCTTCTTCGGCCGTGAAGGAGTCTGTGTCTTGACTAGCTCCTGCGTCGTCTTCTTCTGACGTCTCAACTGTGACTGATTCACCGCCCGGAACTACCACGACAGCGGTAGAGTCCTCGTCATCGTCTGCGCCCTCGGGTGCCAGCAGCTTTGCTTCGCGGACACCGGTCTCGAAATTCAAGCGCACATGCACACCTACACTCGCCAGATCGGTCAGCTCACACATCACCCAAAGCCTCATCTAGCACAATACTTACCTGGAGGGAGATTCTGGCCGGGCTTGACTTGCTGGAACTCCTCGGTCGGCACAAACTCTTGCGAGTAGCAGGCTCCGCTGCCGTCGTCAGGACAGATCATGCCGTTGCTGTCGGCCTCCACAGCGCCCACGAGCGCCACTGCACTCGCTATAGCACAGGTGATGTAGCATAATCCACGGATCCTCATGTTTTCTTTCTCTAGTCTCAGAAAACAGCCAAATCAATCAAGGCCCAAAGCAGTCTTATACGCAGCTCTGAGCGGTATTGAACACCGTGTCGCCAACTCCCAACGAAGACCAAGGAAAGTTTTAGGGTTTTCGCTGCTTACGTCATAATTGCTTTTTATAGCCCCTGCATAAGCGTGAATATGTGTGATGGTTAAGAGTCACGTGCGATGATATTTTATCTGATTGATTTTTTTTCTGCGATGGCGCTGATGCTGATATCCTGCTCTTCTTCTGATACGAACAGAGATCCGGTTCTGGTCTGAGAGCGATTGCATCGATCAGAGAGACTTGCGTCGGGGCATAGAGTGTTTTGTATATCGGTCCAAAGAGAGCGGATACTCGACAACTATTGTGTTCTGCTTACCAACCAGATCAACTTCATACCTCATACTCCACCACCCCCACGATGAGCGAAGGAGTAGCTCTTGCGCATCTCGAGGATGCTATCAGAACCAGACTCGACGCGGTCCACGTCGAGGTCGTTGACATGTCAGGTACTTACTCCATCTTTTCCCTCGTCTTCTTTCCCCATCACGAGACCAGCCGAATTCTGATATCCTCGTGCTTTCCTTCTACAGGTGGTTGCGGCCAAGCTTTCGAGGTGATCATCGTCTCGCCGATTTTCTCGGGCAAGAACAGATTGATGCGTCATCGTCTCGTCAACTCTGCCCTGCGAGACGAGATCGCGCAGATCCATGCATTCACCCAGGTACGTTCGCCTTCTGTCTTCATTTATCCATCGCGCGCTTTTGGCTAACTCGGTATCTGTCTGGGTTGTAGAAGGATTTCACGCCTGAAGAGTGGGCTAAAGCGCAGGCGTCGAGTTAATCGGGAACATCACATCAAAAAAATCCAGAAACAACATATATATTATCTACATAGGGCGTTCTTTTCATATCTCAAATTGGGATCTGCTTACAAATGGTACTCACCAGCTACTACCACGACACGGCATTGACACCTAAGAGTTTATAAGCTACTTGCTTCCCCTCTTTGTTGTCTAATGGCTGACTGAAAGAAATGTACGATACGGATTCGGAACGCAAACCGTTTTGATACTCATCTGAAATTATTGTAATGCATAATTGAATTGTCCTTGACAAAGTCTTTACACATACAGCAGCCAGCAGTTCTTCCACATGACAATTTTGCTGATTCATCAGACAATCCCTATACTACCGCCTTCCTCCGTCCTGCATTTTCTCCCAACTCTTCGCTTTATCATTTACAGTCAACTTCAATTCACAGACATAAACACATACACATATGAACGAGAAAACGTAGTATTAAGCAATTTTTATGAAAAGGAAACAAAAATTCATCAATCAAACATTCCCAACAGATCCTCGACATTACTCCGGAACTGCTGTGGCTGGTTCGTATCCAGAGGAGGAGACGTAGCAAGACCCGGAGCAGCAGCAGCCGCGTCTCCGTTCAGGTTCATCGCCGCGATGCCCGCGGCAGAGGTAGTCGGCGACATCGCGCTGGCGCCGGGAGGAGGGGGAGTCGACGAGACCGGCTCGAGGTCGAAATCTATGTCTAGTAGGTTCTCGAGGTTGCCCGTCTTTGTCGAGACCTGGATCGGCTCTTCCTGCGCTAGCTGGGCTTGTTCCTCGAGCGCCTTCTTCTGCAGAGCGTCGGCGCCGAAGCGGCCTTGGCCTACGAACGTCTCGGCCGGTTTGTGGTAGACTGAAGCCAGAGTCGACAGTTCGTGAAGAAGTCCTTCTAAAACAGGCTCGGGCAAGTGAGCAATAACATCCTTGACTGGAGGCTTCTTCGCCATAATGATCTCCTTCGACGTTTGAGGGTTGGTCGACAGCAGACGCCAGTAGATGTAAGCTCTGTCTCGCAAATCAGCGTTATCACACTCGTTCGTGATAGTCTGCAACACTTTCTGAACCAGCGGCTGCGATGTCTGGGGCTTGAGAAGGAAGAGCTTGACTGTGGCAGTGAGCAACTGCAGCTGGACCTGCGTAGGCTCGTCGGTGAACGCTTCGATGAACGTCGCTATTAGCTCGTCTGCGTTATCGATCTTGTCCGCATACTCTCCCACAATCCAAATCATAGCCGCTCGTGCCTCGGGCTCATCAAGCTCGTCGATACCCTGACAAAGCGTAGGGATCACACCCTCGTATCCAGGGTACCTCCGCAGAATATCACGCATGACGATGACGGCCTCCTGAACAACGTAATTCACCTTGGTCGCAATCAAATCCAAGAGCACGTTGACGCATCGCTCAGTAGAGCTCTCCACTTTGATCGCACACTGTCCAATAGCTTTAACAGCACGACGAACGAAATCCATATCGACTTCCAATGCATACTCCTTCAACTCCGAGAGCAGAGTGTCCACATTCTTCGGGTTTGCTAGTCTGATCATGATATCCAGCTTCTCGACCTTCAAATACAGCGGATCGTTATACTTGCAGAAGAATATTCGGAGCTGGTTGCTCAAAATATCGGGATACTTCTGCAGGATCAGGTTGATGTTTCGTAAAGCGACGTATTGCACTTCCGGTTGCGACACCGCAAGAGTGACTATGACATTGAATTAGCACATAGACTGCAATCACATACAATCGAGCAAACTTACCTAATGGAGGCGACATCTTGTCAAGATACTGCTTGTGCAGCTCGGGATTTAGGAGGTGGATGTGACACAGCACTGTCTTGACCGCAGCAAGAACAACACTCGGATTCACGTGCTGGAACTGGGGAACGACGCGCTCGCAAATATGTTCGGCTTCTCGAACATCTGTGGTACGGTACTCGGCAATCGACGTGAGGATGGAAATCCGGCCCCATCTAAATTTGATGAATGTCAGTAGATATTCAGTCAATCATATGCTCTTGATAAGGGGCAAAGACGTACTCCGTGCATTCATTCAAGGCAGTCAGAAGCTTCTTCAAGATATCGGAATCAACGATAAGCGCCTTAGTCTCCGGCGCAGTCTCCTGGATCTCAGTCAAAGCACTGACAGCGTTGGCGACGACCTGTAATACGTAAAAGCGGCAAATCAGTAATTGATTTACTTGATCTAACTCTTATAAACAATCATACCATTGGGTTGGAATCTGAAAGCAGGCCCTGGAGGGTAGCTAAGAAGCCGTTCTCAACAACCAGCGTCGGATTGAGATCAAACAGCTTCGCCACACAGATAGCGGCGGTTTTTCGAACATAAGGGCTCTCGTCCTAGATACCAATCAGTCAGCATAGCTCTCTGCAGCGAATAAATATAGATGGCTCATATCGCACCCTCAAAGTCTTTCTAAGCGGCTCTTCCATGTAATCAATAATCTTATCCACTCTGATGCAGCCCATCGTTCGAATGGCGAGCGCCCTTACTAAGGGATTGCTGTCCTCAGAGTCCTACGTGGTTTGTTAGCACCCGTTGTGACTGCAGATTGGGTAAATCGACAAGCAGTACACACCTGGACAAAAGTGTTGACAGCCAAAATACAAAGATCTGGGTGACTCTTTGCGTAGTTCCTGCGGATACTGTCAGTACTGAACGGGCAACAAACAATGTGGTAAGGGCCACACACATCAGATAGAGATAAACAAGCTTCTTCTGCTCAAGATCCGGAGTCGCAATGTTCTTCAGCACATCCGGGAACAGCGACGACACGTCCTTGCCGAGCGTCATGGCGGCAATTGTCCGCTGAATGGCATCCTTCCTGCAGAGGTAAATATCGCAATGATTAGCAGTCTGTAACGGGCCGGGGGACTGCTTTCCAATCCCAATCCAGGAGACTACATACCGTTCGTAGGCATACTGCGAGACCAGACCGCTCCGCAGCTCATATGTTTCGCCTGTGGATAAGCAAAGACCGAGGTTAGAGACCGGGCCCAATCGAGGGGACTATCAATAGCTACAGCAGTTCAAGCTCACCTTTGCGCGGGATCTGGAAGACGCTGCGGATGCGCTTCTCGATAGATGCCTGCATTGCCTTCTCGGTTATATAGCAGTACTCCCTGAGCTAAGCCGATGAGATTCGATCCTATCGCGAGGACGGGGAGTGGAGTGGCAGACGGCGGGTGCTTAAGGAGAGGCGGAGGAGACGAAGCGCGGTTGCTCTCGAGTCAAGCGACGCTGTAATACCCTTGCCCTACTTCACGACCACCGCATAGCGGGCTCGTCTGATATCTGATTGCTGGTAGTGCTGAGAGCTGGTTGGCGAAGATATGGTGAGAACACTGGTTGTTTTGCTGGGGATTGATTATGGGGCTGCTGCTGACATGTGTCTGGTGGATCGTAGGCGCTTCCTAATCCCCGACGAGTCTTTGCATCTTTCCGAACGGACGAAGAAGAGAGGATCTTATCTCGACGAGCTGTATGTGCACCTTTTCCTGTACATTGCTGTACATTGCTGTACACTGCTGTTTATATCTGGCTATTCTTTGCTAACACATGTCTCTTATATGACGATATAGTTCTACAATCTCGTCGGCTTCCTCGGTTCCTGCTTAGTGTTCAGTGTCTGGGCGCAGAAACTGTCTGGCTGGAAGGGTCTGATCTAAGCAGGAGACGTGTATATCACGCGAATAGTATGTCTTTCTGCTTGGCTTGGATATGAATTGTGAGCATATACGAGAGGTATTGCATCATACCATCGTCCCGCTTGACCGGGAGCCAATGGACGTCTATAGTGCTGCCGATGCAAGAGTTGGATAATCGATCAGCGGGCAAAGCCAATGAGTCAATTCGTGCACACTTTGTGCAGTTCTGGTTCGGGAAGTCCATTGGAGCGCACCCAGGTGGATTGTCGGACGCTACGTGGTTTTCTGGACTACATGGGAACTGTCCTACATCGACTTACGGTGATGATACTGCAAGTGTAGGTATCCAGGTGCGCTGATCCGCGTGTCCGGTTGCATAGAGCGGATATACAGAAGCAAAGAGATTGAGCATAGTTGTCGGAAGTCTGGTCAGATCATTTGATCCAGCAGACGGGAAGTGGACGACTTCAAGGTGAACTGAACAAGAAATTTATAACGAGCAATTACGACATTGAACGTAGCCGAATCCACGTCTGTCATCGGGTCGGATGAGCATCAGCTACAAGAGCTGTGTCAATTAACATAAATGTATTTGGTAATTAATTGCAGACACCCGCACATCGAATGATCAACGCCTCGGACAATTCTCCGCTTGAGGTCGAGGAGACGCGAAGATGACTATTAAATACAATGACTCGACCTGTCCCCGGCCGAGTATAAGAACAACAACTCATCTCCTACCCTTCTCTCTGCCATTCGCATACTCCAATTGCTCTGGCTTCGTTCCTGATCCCCTCTTCCCAACCTCTGGTGACTCCTCCGCCGTAGATCCGAAACCCTCCCAACCTTATCGCCGCGTCCACACTCAAACCTCGATTCTGAACAGCTTCCCCAACTTCCACCCCAGTCCGACTCTCCACCTCAACCATGAGCTCTGCACTCCCCCCCCTCCTCCGTCGCCCTCAATCCGCCCTAGCGCGTTCCTTCTCCCGCACGCAAGCCCGACAGAAGACCACTTTCCAATGGCAGGATCCGCTGCTTCTCAAGGAACTCCTCAACGAGGAAGAACAGGCTATTTCCGAGGCGGCTCACAAGTACTGCCAGGGATCTTTGCTGCCCCGCGTGATCGAGGCGTACCGGAATGAGAACTTTGACCGCAAGATCATGCTTGAAATGGGCGAGCTCGGATTCTTGGGCCCGACCGTTACTGGATACGGGTGCGCGGGCGTCGGCTCGGTCGCTTATGGTGTATGTTGATTCTCGGATATATGCTCTGATACATGACTGACTGTTCTTGCTGTATAGCTCATTGCCCGAGAAGTAGAGAGGTAATTGGGGGTTATCGTTCACTGTCTTTTTGCACTATTTACTCATACCTTCTTCAGAATTGACTCTGGATACCGGTCGGCCATGAGTGTACAGTCCAGTCTTGTGATGCACCCGATCGAGATATTCGGCACTGAAGAGCAGAAAGAGCGCTTTCTTCCTCGCCTGGCTACTGGCGAACTAATTGGCTGCTTTGGCCTCACCGAGCGTAAGAGTCCCCGCTACCACAATCACGAAGAAGTGTGTTCACTAACAACATCTCCAGCAAACCACGGATCCGATCCCGGCTCAATGGAAACCACTGCTCGTCCGCATCCGACGAAAGAAGGCGTCTACGTGCTCAACGGCGCGAAGAACTGGATCACAAACTCGCCGATCGCCGACGTTCTGCTAGTCTGGGCCAAGCTCGACGGCGTCATCCGCGGCTTCCTCGTCGAGCGCGAGAAAGCCGGACCGGGACTCGCGACCCCGGCGATTAAGGGAAAGACTGCCTTGCGCGCGAGTATCACCGGCATGATTAACATGGACGAGGTTGAAGTGCCCAAGGAGAACTTGTTCCCTGATATCACGGGCCTCAAGGGTCCTTTCTCGTGCCTTAACAGTGCGCGGTATGGAATTGCCTGGGGTGCGATCGGAGCCCTCGAAGGCGCGCTCGATCTAGCGCGCACGTATGCACTTGATCGCAAGCAGTTCCAGGGAAACCCGCTGGCTAAGTACCAGCTGATACAGAAGAAACTGGCGGACGCGTTGACGGATATCGGGTATGGCCTCGTGGCTTGTGTTCAGGTTGGAAGATTGAAAGATAAAGATCTGGCGGCGCCGGAGATGATTGGTATGATCAAACGGCATAACTCGGATCGTGCTTTGGAAAACACCAGAAAGTAAGTCATCTGCTCGAGAACTTCTACCGGTAGACTTTGCTTAACACTGCATAATAATAGGCTTATGGAGATCTTTGGCGGAAACGCCGCAAGTGACGAGTATCATATCGGCCGTATTGCCGCTAATCTTTTCGTCGTCCAGACATGTGAGTGCATGCTGCTGTTGCAAAGCTTTTTTCTTTGCTATCGCTAACACCGGCTTGAAATAGATGAGGGACAGAGTGATATTCATGCACTGGCTCTCGGTAGGCAGATCACCGGCGTCAATGCATTCTACTAGAGTTGTGCTCATCGACTAAAACAAAAAACGCTCGGGATGAAATGCAGAGTCTTTGGATAGGAAGTATCTCTTGGAAGGAACCATCAATCAAAATTTTGTTCTGGAGATCTACAATGACTAGAAAACTGGTTTAAATGGATATATAGTAATAATAACGATATCTCTGGTATTGAACAGGGGGCTAGTGAGCCAGAAACCAATTAGGGTATTTATAACCAAGAATATAATAACCACCTTTCCTGCCGCGCAAATGTGGTATGATAAAAGATCACCACGTTAAAGAATACTTTTCAGACCGGCCAAATCTCTCTCCCGCTACTAATTATACAGCACAGAGAAACTCTGCAGCAGATTAGCAATCACAGTGTCGATCTCGGCGAAGGACTAGAGCTAGCTCGCGCTCGTTTCTCAAGCGGTGATCCAGATTTCGGACAATCGGGGACTCGTTTGGCGGACCCGGAACCGGCGAGGGTGCTTGCGGAAAGCGGGGACGGTGAACAGATTGGTTTGGGAGAGATTTTGGTGGTGAGGGTGGGTGAGGCTGTAGAGGTGATTGGGGGTTTGTTGAGGTGGAGAGAACTGGAGTCGCTGGCTTTGACGACTGGTCGTTCTTCTGCTGGATAAGCGCAGAATCAGAGACACTGCGCGACTTTTCAGCCGGCGACGACAGATCGCGAGCTTGCGCCAGCGCCACATAATTCGCCTGCATCTTGGCGGCCTTGTATTTTGCAAAGGCCTGTGCATACTGCCCACTATTCTTCATCACCGTCGCGACCCACAACTTCGCCATCTGCTGCGTCATCGGTGGACATCCCGGCCCGATATGGGTCCGGAGACGGACGAGGACATCGATTGGTTTCACGGGCAGGCTCATCAGGCGCTTTGCTTCTTCGGTGGATTCGTCGGTGGAGAGGTGGTGCATTAGACTGTTGGGGCATTTGCAGTTGATGTGGGTTTTGTCCGGGCAGCGAGGGCTGGCGGTGTGGGATTGGAAGGGTGAGATGGTTGAGGCGGGTTGGATTGGTTTCATCGTGATTCCTGGGAGATGTTAGCATGTAAGCAATAAACAGCAGGAGAGATAGAGAAGACAGACCAGAGAACTTCACAAGAGCTTCAATGACCACGCTATGGCGCGCCACAAGACTAACCGCCAGAGCGATAGCAGAACATTCATCCCACCGACTAAGCAGCTGATCCTTCCTCATCAGCCTCAGCAAAGGCAGCACGAGCTCCGCGAGCTGGATCGTGTCAAGCTTCTCGTGCTCGGCGAATTGCATGAGAAACTCCAGGTTCATGACGTCGTGGATCATATCCAGAAGCCCGTGGTTGCTCGTCGTGTCGGAAAGCACGTCGTCCAAAGTCTGCGAGAATGCGTCGAGTTTCTCGAGGTTGAACGCGTAGGGAACGCCGTTGGCGCGGGGCTGGCGCGAGGTCATGATGTAGTTCTTGACTCGCTTCGTGGTGTCGAGTTTCGGGATCTGCTGGAGTGCAGCGGTCGTTAGGCGCGGAGCGGCACCACTGCTCTGTCGACTCGGACGGAAACGACGGTGCTTAGGCCGCAGCGTAAGCGTAGGCGTATCTCCCTTGTCCTTGTCCTTGTCTTTGTCCGCCGCTCCTGCGCCGTCTACGCCCTTATTCTCAGCCTGGAGCAGACTCCCTGTGCTTACAGCCCGGCGCCGCGCAGACTTGAGCGTCAGCAGCAGTGAGCCGGGTACAGAGTCGCGCTCGTCGACAGGGGCGGTGGAGAGATCTGGGGGGATGGCGGGACAGGAGCCGGTCGAGGCATATCTGTGCGGAGTGAAGATTGTAGACAGCTTTTCGCGGACGCCGACGACCATTGTTCAGGATTTGATGTGAGAGCAAAAGACAGAAGCAGAACAAACAGCAGACAGCAGAGTAAAGATACAGCAGATCACCAGTAAACTCGGAGCTCGACGAGCTCACTAAAGACAGAGAGAGGATCAGATGCGATTCAGAAGTGAGCCGAAGTGTCGTCATTGTTCGAGCCGCACGGGTCTACTTTAGCAGTAAAGCAGTCAAGCTCCTGATGTCTTCTCTTTTCTTTCTTTCATACTCATTCGTAGCCACATTTCAGCAGGAAAAACGAGAGAAAATGGCCCTGACGAACGGAACAGTGACAAACACAGGCCCGCGGGTGTCAGAGGCGATGGGTCATGCGGGCAGCGTGCTTGTTGCGACGACGGGGAGCGTGCCAGAGGGCGAACCGCGCGATGATCGGTACCTTGGAGATCCGTTGAGACTCGTGGACTATATGAAGGTATGGTGGTTGCGTCGATGCTTGAAGGTTTAGCAGTGCTAATGATTTGGGGTAGTCGTTCAGGGCAGCGCAGGCGACGAGGACGGAGTTGTATCATGAGTTTGAAGAGTATGACGCGATGAGATTGAGGTGTTCGTTGATCATTGCAGCTAACGTTCTTCTTAACAGAGCTTTGGATGACTACGTAAATCTCAAGTATGAACATCTGATTTTACTACTCTAGTTAGAGGCACCACTGACAAAACAGAATCTCGGTCCCACAAATCCAACAAGTAATCAGGGTATCCCAGGAAGGCTTCCAAGACGTGTCGTCCGAGATCATCATCCTGCACAAACTGATGGGCTCTCTCGGACAGGACAATCTGACAGTCATAATAGACCGAGTGCAGGACTTGGAGAAGGAGAAGCTGGAGGTCACGGTCCGGTTGCTGCAGGCGCGGATTCAGGCTGCGGCAGACACGGAGAGGTCGTTTGAGTCGGAGATTGAGGAGTTGACTCTGAGGTGGGTATATTTTAGTTTTGATGATAAAGAGGGAATGACTGACAGGAATATATAGGCGGGCGGGGTTGATGGAGCAAATCAATGAACAGATGGAAGAAGCGGCGGCGGAGATTATCGATCTGGAGACGATGGATTTATAAGATATGTAATCAGCGAGGGGATACATTTACAGATCCCTGCGGGAGGAGGAATGAACACACATGTATAATTAGCTCTATGCACGAGCAACTCTGATCATTCCATTCCAAATATCAATTGTTGCGTGAATATAATACACATGAAAACACCAATGAACCGAAACAGACAAACGACAGAGATCACAGACCGCAGAAATGGTAGAACAACTAACTAACAACGCGAGAAAGACACAAACAAATGAATACAACCAACGAAAGAAACATGCACCGTTAGATAAATCAGAATGAAAACGGAAGAAGAATGATTTTTGCTAGGGCTGAAGAAAGCAGCACTAGCGTGCGTAAGCAGGGGCGTCGTTTTTGATATCGTCCCAAATCTCGTTAATGACATTCAAGATTTCTTCGGGCAACTCGCCTTCGGAAAGGGACGTCAAGTTCTCTTTGACCTGCTGGATCTTGCTCGCGCCAATGATGATTGCGTCGCCATCAGCGAGCTGAGAATGATGCTTGAGCCAGCGCAGGGCGATAGAGTTGTTTGAGACGTTGTACTTCTGACTGACGGCGTCGATGCGCTCGACCGCGTCGAAGAAGGAGTCTTTGAAGTATCGCTCCCGAGAGCGTTGGCCTTGACGCGTGTTCGGGTCGAAGCGCGAACCGGCAGGTGGTTCCTGTCCGCGACGGACGTTTGAGAAAAAACCGACGGCAAGTGGACTGAGAGCGGAGGGTTAGCTAGGGTGAGAGTGTAGGTGAGGTTCAATTGACAGTACCTGAATGCAAAGAAATTGATCTTGTGTTGATGAAGAACCGGAAAGAGCTCTTGCTCGTTCAGACGGGAAAACATGTTGTAAATGCCCTGGTAGACGGTCGGTTTGATCCAACCGTTCTCCTGGGCCATTTTGACAAAGATCTCGACCTCGCTGGCTTTGAAGTTTGACAATCCGAAGCGCTCGAACTTGCCGGCAAGATAGAGGTCGTTCATTGCACGATGGGTGTCGCTGTAGGGAGTGCACCTGTCGGGACAGTGCAGATAGAGGGTCCGGACTTTGTCGACGCGCAGTCGCTTGAACTGGATCTCGACCGACTGCTTGATGGACTCTGCGGTGTGGGCGTGGTTCTCGAACGAGCGCACTTTGGTGTCGATCTGGATGCCGCGGGAGGCTACATCGAGAATGCCGAGGAAGGCCTCGGACTCTCCCTGGAAGCCGCCCGGGTAGACATAGGCGGTGTCGACGACGTAGTGCCCCGCTGCGGTGAAGGTGTCGAGGAAGTCTCTTGCGAGCGCGGGGGTTGTGATTCTGCCGTGCTCGCCAAAGCCGGCGGTGCCCAGGATGACGTCGACGGCAGGCATTGACCTCTCCGCGAGGATGTAGGAGGTGGATGGTGGTGAAGAGTGGGATGCGACGGCGAGGAGTCGGAAACGTGCTGGTCGCTGGTCGGGAAAGTCCGACGGAAACCGTGCGCGGAAGAGTGGAGGAGTTGTGGTTTTATGTGCAGAGCTGCGGGAGGGATATGCAGTGGGCTGTATGGCCGGTTTGTGTGCTGGTTTGACGATTGCTTGGAAGATGGTAGATGTAGTTGAAGATGAATACAGGATTAAAGGACTTTAACTGCCATTCAGCTTGCAGAACAGCGGAAATCGCTGCTGTTAGCAGGATCTGGGAGCGGGCAAAGTAGATAATGAACAAGCTCCGAGGCGGGTTTCGGTTTAGGGTGGATTCATTGTTTGAGAGCAGCTGCCCCGCTGCTGGATCAGAGAGAGTTGCAGTGCTGGACTGGTGAGGGTGGTTTAGAAGAATAGGGAATAGAATGCAGAAGTGTGTTAATGACTCTTCCGCACTTGTTTCTAGATAAGCAGCGATGTAGATGCAGATACAGACAACAGAAGGCGAGCAGCGATCGCGGGCTAAGAAGACCAAGAGCCGCACGATTCCAATGGACGAGGATGTCTGCTTTGTCTGAGCTGATCGAGATCGACTGGTGATCAGAGGATGTTGGCAGTGGAGCAGTGGAGCAGGGTGATTTAGACTGATGTAGGCTGGTAGAGTGTAGTCTTGCATCAGAAGATCACGAGTACTGCAGCGCAGCAAGACCGTTGGAGATGTTCAGAAAGACGTTGAAGACAAGTGACTGCATGAAGAGCAGATCTCTGCGCGTCTGCACTCAATCAAAGCAAAGCAACCAGATTGATGGAGTCCGCCTGTTTGGCCCGGATCACCACTGCCTGATTGAACATCTTCTGCTCTTTCGAGATAGGTTTTGAGTCATACCATACACCAAGGTATAGTTTATTCTTAGACGGTCTCTTCGTAGACCTGGATCTGCCTGGTTTGGATAAGGACAGTTGATATCTGTCTTCATCTCGATAGTCACAGTTATCCTCTCCGATATACACCTACACCTGCTGTAGAACCATCAGCAGACAGCAGCCCACAGTAATAGTAATAGTAATAGTAAGCACATCGATCTGCGTCACAGTCGCCGCGCATTCGCAGCAGCCACCAACAAAGCAAAGACAAAGCGGCAGCTCTCGTTCTCGACAAGAAAAACTGAGAATAACTGCAGAAACAGAAATAGAAATAGAAAATAGAAGAGTTGCATGGATGTGATCAGACTGCAGTCACTGATTGCTGCAGTTGTGGCTTTAACCGTCACTTTCACTTACCATTTACAGCATATCCGCACCCAACACCGCGCCACTGTCCACGCGTGCGATGGACCCAACTCCACATCGGCCCCGTCTTCCTGACTTCTTCCCCGTTTCCCTGCTCCTCCTCCTCCCGCGCCCTTCTGCGATCCTTCTTATTGTCCGAATCGCTGTATTCAGACGCGATTGCACTCATCTGCCGCCTGCGACCTGCCCGATCCCAGCCATCCCCGCCTCTGCGCTCTCGTACCTGACTGCGCCCCTGCATCGACACTTTCTCTCGTCTGATCGGACTCCCATTGCGCACCCATTCCTCCCTTTGGCCGTCTTCTGCACCGCCTCTGGTCCTCTTCTTTCTCCTTCCTGTCTGGATAACTCTTTACTATCTCGGTTCTGCACTGTTTCGTGCCCGGATCAATCCCACTCCTCCCGTGCTCGCCTTCCACATCCCGTCTGTGGCGCACGCTTACTACGGTTTTCAATATATCTTCCTACACCGCCATCGTAAGTCCTCTTCTGTCACAGCTCCCCAAGAGCTGCCCTCTTCCTCTACTATATTCTACGCCTTCTAGTTCTTTGATTGATCCCAATCACTGACCACCGTCTCCAGATCAACTGATCGGACCGCTCCGCCGTTGTCTTGACACGTATCCACCTCAGCACCTTCGCAGCCTCATGAAACTTGCGCTCGACTAATCAGCTCTTTCGTCGTCGTCTTACTTCTACTCTCGGGGACCTTTTTTGTCTTTCCTATTACTCAAACACTTCAACTTCACCTTTCTGTCTTCCTTATTCTTTGATCTTCCACCGACGCGCCTTCTCTTCTGATCTCGTCCGTCATCGATGGAGTTCACCAAGCCCATGCTGCAGACCCGCAGGTCACACAATGGGCAGCCTGCCCAGCCATCGATACAACAACTCTCTCCTCAACAGCAGCAGCAATATTACCAGCTCCAGCTCCAGCAACAGCAGCAGCCACATTCACCGCAGCAGCAACAGCAACAGCAACATTACAGTCAGTCACACGGACAACACCTCGAGCCTGATCTGGCCCTTCCTCAGCACCAGATGTATCTCCCACAAGGACCCGATCCAAATCTGCAAGGTGACAGCCCCACCAGCAGGGCGCGCGATTACCGCAACACATACTCACCAAGACACAACATGAGTCCTACAATGCATCGATTCACCCCACCAGCATATCCTGCCATGGCCACCTCGCCTTACTCGCAGAGCCCTTACACTCCTGCAGCACCTGCAGCTGATTCGATGGGTCGCACACAGTACGGGGCCAGAACACCTGTTCAGTACTCTCCGAACAATCAATACTATTCACATTTAAATATGTCACCGCTCCATCCACAGCAACAGCCACAGGCACAGCAGCAGCAAAGTCCCTACCATCTTGGAGTGCTTCCTGAAACGACTGCCGCTCCATCTCGGCAAACACTGGGTAAGTCTTTTGTCCACACTTCATGCTGCATTCGCCCGTGATTATATTACGTTCGCGGTTTCCAGCTGGAGAAGTCTCATTTTCAATTTCATGTGTTGATTTAACTCTAACAGTGTCTCATTTTCCGAATTCCGCAGTCAACCAATTCCAGGCCTTGTCTGTGGACTCAACTGGACGGCGAGCATCGACAGCAGTGCTGATGCAACAACCAACCAACCAAAATCCTCAACTACAGCAACAATTCTACACCACCCCTGCCCCTACATTTAGAAAACTCCGGTCTAGAGCAGATTTGCAGCCGAAGAAGAACATCCAGCCGCAGTATAGGAGGGCAAATCCAGAAGGCGGGTTTATGAGTGTACGTGTAGCTGTTTGAGATCGTGAGATGTTGTGATAGTGCGTTGACTGACTTGACTTTAGCCCCTGCAAGCTCTGACAGTACACATCCCATCAACATACCGCATATGCAATCCGAATTTCAAGTACGAGTCCTCGCGAAATCCGAGGCGAGTGCTCACGAAACCGAGCAAGGCAAGCAAAAACAACGGCTATGACAACGACGATAGCGACTATATCTTATATGTGAATGATATCTTGGGCGGCGGAAAGGATCAGCAAAAGTACTTGATTCTCGATATTTTAGGACAGGGAACGTTTGGCCAGGTTGTCAAATGTCAAAATCTGAAGACGCAGGAGGTTGTTGCGGTGAAAGTCATCAAGAACAAGCCTGCTTATTTCAACCAGAGTATGATGGAGGTTTCGATTCTAGAACATGTAAGAGATACATTGCTGCTTTATTTCTGAGAATATTGACTGAAAGTGCAACAGTTGAATACCTCCGTCGACAAAAATGATGAGCACCATCTCCTGCGACTGCGAGACAAGTTTATACATCGCGAACATCTATGCCTGGTCTTTGAGCTTCTCTCGAGCAATCTATACGATCTGATCAAGCAGAACCAGTTCAGAGGACTGAGTACTAACTTGGTCCGCGTGTTTGCGCAGCAGTTGCTAGATGCAATGTGTGTGCTCAAAGAGGCCAAATTGATCCACTGCGATCTCAAGCCAGAGAATATCTTGCTTAAAAAGTATGTTGGAGAGCCGGGGTGTTGCTGTGAATAGTGGCTAACTCTTTTTATTTAGTTTGGAGAGTCCGATTATAAAAGTCATAGATTTTGGTTCTGCATGCCACGAGCGACAAACGGTGTATACATACATTCAATCACGGTTCTATCGATCACCAGAGGTCATCCTAGGATTACCGTAAGTTGTGCTCTTTATCTTTGATTGTTTAGAAATAACATACTGACCTGTTTAGATACTCTTCATCGATTGACATGTGGTCACTTGGTTGCATCGTGGCCGAACTATTTCTGGGATTGCCACTATTCCCAGGAAGTTCAGAGTACAATCAACTATCGAGGATAATCGAGATGTTTGGAATGCCGCCGACATGGATGATTGAGATGGGCAAGCAGTCGCCTGAATTTTTCGAAAAAGTGACTGATGAGTACGGTCGGAAATCATATCGCTTGAAGAGCATGGAGAAATATTCGCGCGAGCACCGGACGAACGAGCAGCCGAGCAAGCGGTATTTCGCGGCGACCAAATTCCCGGATATCGTGAACTCGTACCCGATGCCGAAGCGGAATATGAAGCCGGCCGAGATCGAGCGGGAGATGCAGAATCGGGTTGCGTTTATTGATTTCGTGCAGCGATTGCTGAACATGAACCCCGTCGAGCGATGGACGCCGCAGCAGGCCAAGCAGCATCATTTCGTCGCGCCTCAGAAGGCTATGCCAGCGGCATCGAACCAGGGCGCTACTAGTAGCTCTATGATGCAGCAGCAAAGCTCGAACGATAGTTACAAGAGCGGCGGCAAGCCCGCTGAGAACTATAGCTACCAGCAGCCTGCCGATCTGGGATCTGCTGTGGTTCCTCCGGCAGGGAGCAGATTACAAGGCGAATCATCATACCACGCGCCAGCGCAAAACCCGCAGTATGGAACTACTTCTTCGAACCCATACCTACCCCCGCAGTCAGCGTACTCGACCGCGAACAACGGCACAGGCGCAGTCCCTATGGCGCAGACAACCAGCGCGCGCTCGAATCGTCCCCGCGCGGTCACGATCGGGCACATGGATCCGATCCCGCCCAAGCTGCAGCGAGTAGGCAACCTGATCGACCCGTCGAACGCGATCCGCGCGCAGCCGAGTCCCGCGTACTTCCCGCCGCCAGAGCTAGAGATGGGCAATAGCGGAAGCGCGAGCGGCAGCGACGAGCTCGACGCTGCGGGGAATGGTGGGAATGCAAAGAGCAAGCGGCGCGGGAACGGGCAGCATGGCGACGTGATTAGAAATCTGGAAGACGGGCTGTCGGTCAGTTATTGGGCTTGAGTGTCTTGCAGCTGTTTCTTTTTTATAATGGCTTACGATTCAATTTTTGTGTTTTTGTTTTATGAATCCTGTATACATATCTAACGCCTTTTTCTCCTTTGGGTTTTTTGTTTTCTTGTTTTCTATTTCTGTATTCCGCCCCGCGCTTCTTGTTTTAACGGACCTGAACCATGACGATGACCATGACACCATTTGTCGTTTGTTAGCATTACCAGGAGTTTTTATTGTCGTTAAGATTGTGTGCAGATGCTCTAGAAAAGGGTACATAAATAGAGAAGTCTGAGCTGTGGGAGAGAAGTAGTGTAGAAGTAGTTGTAAACTGGAGGCAGTCTAGAATATATTACATAAGCTCTGACTCACTATTCTGGATCCAGATCTCCCGAAATTGGGAACCAGGAGGAAAGGGTTTTGAGCCGAAAATTTTTGAACGCGAAATCTGTCGACACAACGCAACCGCACAACAGGAACGCTTTCCCTTCTTTTTGATTGCATTGAAAAGAAAAGAGAACAGCATTTGCTTCTGTCTGCTGTATTGGTGCTTTATAGTAACTGATACTTGATACTCTTTCCCGTACTTTGAATTCCTGATGTCTCGATTTTTCGCCGGTGGGTCGTCAGATAGCGACACGTCCTCGTCCGACGAGGAGCTGTACTCTGATTCGGAGGAGGACCAGTCCGGACAGGACCAGTCCGACAACGATTCCGAGGACGACGATGACGAGGATGATGACTCTGACATGGGTTCGGACGACGACGACTCTGACTCTGGGGACGAGGAGGAAGGGCCCGGGCGGTTTTTGAAGGCGGGCGCGAAGGCGGGTGCGTCGCGGTTCTTGCGTGGAGAGGAGAGTGAGGAGAGTGATGAGGATGATTCGAAGAGAGTTGTCAAGAGTGCGAAGGATAAGCGGTTGGAGGAGATTGATAGCATTATCCGGACAATTGAGAATGCAAAGAAGATTAACGACTGGGTCTTGATTTCGAATGGTGAGTTTCCTTCTTTTTTGTACATGTTCAGTAATGACGACGGACAAGCACTAACCTCACCACAGAATTCGACAAGCTCAACAAGATCATCTCCAAGGGTAACCAGCAGACCGACACGCCGCGGATGTACATCAAAGCGATCGCTGACCTGGAGGACTTCATGGCGGACACGATCAAGACCGAGAAAGAGTCCAAGAAGAAGATGAACGCGACGAACGCGCGCGCGCTCAACTCGATCAAGCAGCGCATACGCAAGAACAACCGCACGTTCGAGGACCAGATTGCAAAGTACCGCGCTGATCCCGAAGGGTTCGAGCAGGAAGGCGAGGCGGCTGCCGACGCTGCTGCTGCTGCTGCTGCTGCTGCCGCTGCCGCGCCCAAGATGCGCAAGGGTGCGGAGTTTGAGGCCGCGGCTGCTATGGCGGCCGTCAGACAGGCCAACGCGGAGACCGCTGACGAGGGCGAGTTCTCGACGATTGGCAGGGGCGGGCGCACGATCGCCATCACGGCCGAGAGTATATTCAAGCAGCTGCGCAGCATTCTTGAGGCGCGTGGAAAGAAGAACACTGATCGCACGGAGCAGATTAGGAATATGGAGAAGATGATGGATGTCGCTGATACTGTCTACCAGCGCATACGTGTCTTGCTTGTCTTGATCTCTACTCGCTTTGACCTCACTACTTCGACCGCCTCGTACATGCCCATTCCGCAGTGGAAATCGTGAGTCAAGCTCTTATGATTCTGTTATTTTGAATGAACATGCTAACTTAATGTAATATCTCTAGTGCGCAGGAGGAGATCTCGAAGCTTCTTGAGATCCTTGAGGCCAACCCGCTTTACATTGTGACTGAGGCGGCCGAGGACGTCGAGGACGAGGACGAGGCTGAGCCTACGCCGAAGGACGGCGAGCCGGTGAAGATCTTTGGCAGCATAGCCTCTCTGGTTGAGCGGTTAGATGACGAGCTGACGCGGTCGCTGCAGAACATCGACCCGCACACGCCGGAGTACATTGAGCGCCTGAAGGAGGAGTCGCTTCTATACACGACGATCGTGCGGACGCAGCTGTACTCTGAGCGCAACGGTCTCGAGAGCAGCACCAGCCGGGTGCTTATCCGCCGACTAGAGATGCTGTACTACAAGCCCGAGCAGCTGATCACTGCGATCGAGCAGACGGCGTGGACGTCGCTGCCGAGCGAGCTCAAGTCCGAGATCACTCCGTACACTGCGGACGAGAATGCCTCTGATCTGATCCACTCGATCTGCGCGGCGCTGTACAAGCAGGACAACCGACTTTACCGCACGCGCGCGATGCTGTGCCAGGTGTACCACCACGCGCTGCACAACCGGTACTTCCACGCGCGCGACTTGTTGCTGATGTCGCACTTGCAGGCGACGATCCACACGGCCGACATCCTGACGCAGATTCTGTACAACCGAACGCTTGTGCAGGTCGGCCTGTGCGCGTTCCGCGAGGGCATGATTCCCGAGGCGCAGCAGGCGCTGCAGGAGATTTCGGGCACGGGCCGCGTGAAGGAGTTGCTTGCGCAGGGCGTGCAGATGCAGCGCTACGGGCAGACGTCGCCGGAGCAGGAGCGCATCGAGCGCCAGCGCCAGATCCCGTTCCACCAGCACATCAACCTCGAGCTGCTCGAGTGCGTGTACCTTACCTCGTCGATGCTGCTTGAGATCCCGTTCATGGCGCAGTGCGGCAGCGCGCCGGACGCGAAGAAGCGCGTGATTTCGAAGCCGTTCCGTCGGATGCTCGATTATCATGAGCGCCAGGTGTTTACGGGACCGCCCGAGAACACGCGCGACCACATCATGCAGGCGTCCAAGGCGCTCGCGACGGGAGACTGGGCGCGCGCGCGGGAGTTGATTCGCGCGATCAAGATCTGGGAACTCATGCCGGAGACGGAGAGTATCAAGGACATGCTGAGCGAGAAGATCCAGGAAGAAGGTCTGCGAACGTACCTGTTCACCTACGCGCCGTTCTACGAAACCCTCTCGATCGCGAACCTGGCGGGCATGTTTGACATCTCCGAGCGTAAAGCCACCGCGCTTGTGAGCAAGATGATTTCAAACAACGAGGTCGCGGCCGCGCTTGACCAAAAGACAAACGCGATCGTGTTCACCGCGGGCGTGGAGTACTCGCGGCTGCAGAACCTGGCGCTCGCGTTGTCGGATAAGGCTGTGCAGTTGCTCGATAGCGTCAAGTACCGATGAGCGGTGGGTTAAAAAAGTGCTGTGTTTTTGTCGTCATTTAATCGTCATGTGCTCGTTCTTTATTTTTGATCAAAATTTGTTGCGTGTTTTTAGTTCCTCTAGTTTCTCTCATGCTCTCATGAGAAGAACAGGAATTGTTGTTCTTTCATCTTACAAAATTGTGCTTTAGATGTTTTGTTTAGTCAAATATAACCTAACCATGATTATGTAACAATGTTGATGAAGATTACTGTGCTTTACAGATCCGCGCGTCCAAGCCACAGGATGTCACACTTGAAGGCGGTGTGCCGATCATGGATGGATCCACTTCACTTCATTTATTTACGGCGGTGTTGAAATATAAACAGTTATTGATATAGAATGTGATAAAAGATAGCTTATTGAATAGTAGGCATAGCAAATAAAGAACTAACTACTGGCTCCTGGCTTTCTTCGCAAGGCCCTGGGCGATCTGCTCGCCGAGACCCTTGTCGACGCGACCAAACATCTCGGCAACTCGCTTCTGGATCTCAGGCTTGGCCGCGGACGCGTGCGCGACGACGTTATAGACCAAGTTCTCCTGCTGTCCCTTTGTGCGGCCGAGGACCTCCCACATTGCGCGGGGCTGCTCGTAGTCGAGGTCGGTGACCTCGGGCGAGATCTCGAGCGCGGTGGAGGCCCAGTACTCGTGCTTTGCGGCGCTGACGCCCTTGGAGTAGCGCAGGGGCGCGAAGGTGGACTGGTAGTTTGCGACGGCGCCGTAGTTTCCGTCGACGCGCATGCCGCCGTCGCGCTCCATCGGGTTGTAGACGTTCTCGGGCCGGTTGACGGGGATCTGGAGGTAGTTGACGCCGAGGCGGTGGCGGTGGGTGTCGTTGTATGAAAACAGACGGGACTGCAGGACCGGGTCGGCGGAGGCCTCGAAGCCGGGGACGAGGTGAGAGGGCGAGAAGGCGGCCTGCTCGACCTCGGCGAAGTAGTTCTCGGGGTTCTTGTTGAGCGTGAGCTTGCCGAAGCGGCGGAGGGGGAAGTCGCTCTTGGGCCAGACCTTGGTGAGGTCAAAGACCGAGTAGCGGAACTCCTTTGCCTGCTCGAGGGTCATGGTCTGCAGGTAGCACGTCCAGGAAGGGTATTCGCCGGCCTCGATGGCGTTGAAGAGGTCCTCGGTTGCGAAATCGGGGTTCTCGCCCGCGATCTTGGTGGCCTCGTCGTTGGTGAAGTTCTTGATGCCCTGGTCGCACTTCATGGTGATCTGGCAGTAGACGAACGAGCCGTCGTCCTTGACGAGCTTGAAGGTGTGGCCGGACCAGCCGTGCATGAAGCGGTGGCCGTAGGGGGTGCCGCGGTCGGAGAAGAGGGTCATGACCTGGTGGATGGACTCCTGGTTGGTGGTGAGGTAGTCCCAGAAGGCGTCTGCGTCCTTGAGGTTTGTCTGCGGGTTGCGCTTCTGGGTGTGGATGAACAAGGGGAACTTGGTGGGGTCGCGCAGGAAGAAGACGGGGGTGTTGTTGAAGACCCAGTCGCAGACGCCGTCCTCGGTGTAGAGCTTTGTGGAGAAGCCACGGGGGTCGCGGGCGGAGTCGGGAGAGGCTTTCTCGCCGCCGACGGTGGAGAAGCGGGTGAAGGTCTTTGTCTTCTTGCCGACGGAGGCGAGGAACTTTGCAGAGGTGAGGTCGGAGATGTCGTCGGTGACCTCGAAGACGCCGTACGCGCCGGCGCCCTTTGCGTGGACTACGCGCTCGGGGACGCGCTCGCGGTCGAAGTGGGCGAGCAAGTCGATGAGGTGGAAGTCCTGGAGGAGGAGGGGGCCGTACTCGCCGCCGATGCGGGCGGATGCGCGGGGGTTGAGGACGGGGCAGCCATTGGAGGCGGTGTAGGTCGGGGCGGCTGGGTCGTTTGTGGAGACGGAGGGGGAGGTGACGATGGAGGGGGCCATGATAGTTGATGATAGTTGATGATAGTAGATGATAGTAGAAGTAGTAGAAGTAGAAGTAGAAGCAACAGCAACAACAACAGCTGAACAACAACAACAACAACAGAAGAAGAACAGCAGCAGCAGAACAGCAGGAACCCGGTCTTTTATAGAACAGAATCAAGTCCAACAAACAAATGCCCGCCAATCGCACGCGTCCGAATGCAAATGATCGATCGCAAAGCTGCCCGATTGGGAAGACGATGCTCGACAGCGACGGCGTAGGCGAGCGGCCTCTGACGTCACCGAGGAGCCCCGCCATAGTCCGAGTCTGTAGTTAGGAGCTACAAAGGTTATGTAATCGCTATTAGTAAGTGCTGCTGATGTATTCTGCTGTGGATCAGTCTAGATGTGGTTTTCTAGTCTTGTGAAGAAGAGAGAGTGGGATAATCAAGAGCGGAAGAGCAGCCAGACCTCTGATCTCGTCTGCTTAGAAATAGGAATTGCTCTTCTCGCAGATCCTCTCCTCGTCAACTGGAGCCACTGCGGGACCATCAACACTTCCTAATGCGTATCTCGTGCTTTATTCACCGCAGAACATTTATTGTACAGTATTTTTGCGTAGTTCTGCTCTTCTCATCTTCTCTTGATCTTCCTAGTCTCTGTCATGCCTCTCTTGCTCTGCTCTGCTTCATCGCTATAGCCTCATCACATCTGTTCCTCCTTAATCACCTCAACCAGCCTAAACATAATCAGTCAATACCACCCCCGTGACAATCAATAATCACTCACATAAATAACTCACCAGTCAAGTCCCTCAGTCAAACCCTCGCCTTCGATCGCGCTGCAGGCCACAATGCTCCAACTCCGATCTTTCATCCCCACCAACCCTAAGGCCTCGCTCACCTCCGGCGCTGTCATCGCTCCCGGCTATTATCGCTGTTAGCTATTCCTCTAATTAGATTCGTATATAGATCTCCCACCTGATCCTGTTTATTCGCAAACACCAACAGTGCCGAATCAGCTAACTCTTCCTCGTTCAGCATCTCCTTCAATTCCTCTTTGCTCGTGTTGATGCGCTCTCTATCCGTCGCGTCCACAACAAAAATGACCTGCCCTTTGTTAGCTCATCATCCCTTCTCCTTCCAAAAGATGACTTACAGCCGCAGTGTTGGCATAGTAGCATCGCCAATACGGTCGTATACTGGTTTGCCCACCAAGATCCTACTCCATCGTTAATATCCCACAGCACAGCAATAGACATAAGCAGATACACACCCAAACATTAAACTTCAAGTTCTTGTATGTCAGGGTCTCGACATTGAATCCGATAGCTAAGTAAATTGTCAGCCACAGCCATACTAAACATCAGCTGTATCTCTTACTCGGAACAGTAGTTATAACCTCTCCGATCTATACACATCGTCAGCACATCTCCTCATATCATTCTTATCACACACAATCAACCCACCTGCAACCGGTACAAAATCGTAGTCTTTCCCGCACCATCGAGTCCAAGAATCAGAATCCTGATCTCCTTGTCGCCGCCCCACAGCTTCGCCAGCACGCGCCCAAATACTTGTCCTTCACATCAGATTGCTGTCAGCATTTCTCATTCCTTCCATCTAGAGAAGAGGTTGATCGTCGGTGCATACCCATGTTTTATCTCTTATACTGAATGTTGCTAGTTGTAGCTCTGATGCTCTCGCAGTCGCTCTGATATGATCTGGCAAGAGGCGCTGAGGGAAGATATCACTGTAATATGCTGTTAGTATCCAATTCAACTGCAATAACTAGATCGTCTCCCCGAGGCACGTTCCAAAACAGAACCGCAGACAAGTGTTATCGATCAGACCTCGTCAGAGGTTATGATTACTAAAACACAGCAGCAGTCCGCAGTCTCGTCCACACAGCATCAACCCAATCAACAGCACAGCAGCACTCAACACTCAACACCTTTGATCTTTCAATAACGTGCCTCGAGACCCAACACTCCAAAAACCAATGCAGCAAGAAGGGAAGCAAGAAGGAAGGGCAGCACCAGCGCAACACCAACAACAGCACAATCTCTCACCTTTATCCTCAACTCTGTGCTTTCCGATTCGTCGTCAAACCACCTATAAACAATATTCACTCCGTAGATCTGAATTCAATTCGCGCTTTCCTATTATCTTCTCAAAGCAAGAAAGAATAGGATCTTCGTTCTATTTACGGTTCTTGGCTTCCTAGATGCTTTGCGGCCGCGCCCGCTGTCATCTTCCTCGATTACATTAAAGAGGGGTTTGTGTCTTTATCTGTTTACTTCGTCTACTCTTCTTATAACTACTGATCTCTTCTTATGTTATTGCCAAAGGAGATTATCATTAATTGCATTATTTACAGGATCTCACTGATTGCTGGCTGCTCAGGCCACCCGCCCTCCGCGCCCAATCGCCTTCTCCCACGTAGCCTTCGTCCACAGCTCCGCGCGGTCGTATGCGCTCCCGACCGAGTCCAGCGCCGGCCGGACGTCGAGATAAAAGCTCGGATATCCGTCCGGCTCGGGCTGTCCCGAGTAGTAGTCAATCACGTACCGCACCTGCTGCTTCTCGCCCTTGTTGTCGTACCGCAGCACCGTCCAGTCGTGCCGATCGAACGGTGGCGGGCCGCCCATCAGCTGCAGCATCCGCGCCCGCGGCGACGGCGTCTCCGGACGGCCTGTGAACTTGAGCAGGCGCGGCTGCTTGCCAGAGGCCTTGTAGTACTTCTCCTCCCACTTTAGAATCTCGTTCCACGCGCCCTCGTTCAGGAAATTGTGCACGTCGACCATCGCCGGCACGTCCTGCTCCGGCGTGTCCTTATGTCCCTTGCGCACCATCGCGTTCAGCATCTGCTGCGGCGAAGGGTACTCCCACACCCCCTGCGCCTCGTCCTCGCCCTGGGGTATCGACGACATCGTGCGCTCTGTCGGCAGCGGGATCTTTTGCCCGGGCACCCTTTGCGTCGCGGAAAGGTTCGCAGGCATGTTTGTCCGCGGATCAAGCTTGCTGTGGTCGACCGGGCAGGCGGACGCGCCTTTTGACGATGTTGCTGGTGACGCTAGCTTGCTGTGATCTACCGGGCATTTCGCCGCTGATTCGGCGGTCTGGTGCAGGTGGCGGTTAGCGTCGGTTTATATGAGATGTGTATATACTGTGAGTATATACGTATATATACAACATGAGAGTACTCACCGAATCCGCAGGTGCAGACGCATCACTCTTCTTTGACCAAAACGGAATCCAAACCATCTCGTCTCGTTGATTCACTTCAATGTAGTAGTCCTTAACTTGCTCTCTTTCCACTAATACGCTCTCCAAAAAGCTACTATTCCAAAACCTGATTCCAAGCAAATATCGTATCGCAAACGTGCACTGCAGTTCCTTTTGTCGAACGCTCTTATTCACTGCCGATCTCTGCTTGCTGCTGCTGCTGCTTACTTCCTTGTCTCTTCCTCACCTGCACCTTCCCGGCTTTTTTTCTTGAATTTTCCCTTCTCGTGCGGCTCAAGTGCTTATGTCATGGGTTGCTAATCAGGTACGAACGCCACGGCGGAGATCAGCAGGCTCCGAGCTGGGATCTGTGCGCGGCGATTGCGAAATAAGAGTGGAAAACGACAATATGGTTGTTGGTTGAGGCTTTGTGAGGACGAGAGGATTGAAAGTGATTGTTTGCTGGTTTTGCTTGCTGGTTTTTGCGTTATTGTTGTTTGGCTTTGCTTCAGAGGGTTTTCTTGTGTGGTAGAGGGAGTGTGTATTCTCTTCTAGTGTGAGGTGCAGTAACGACCTGACTTAACAGAGAGCTATCGAGTATACTTCTCATCTTGAGACTTTGAGGAGTCTCTGAATCACGATTTCTTGCTACTCCTTGCTACTTTCTTTTGGTCCATCGACAATGTCATCACTCGACCGGGGCTTTCCCCCGTCTGCCCACAGTCATTCGCTGGCGGGATCGAAGCGACGGGTAGTCGACGACGATGAATACAGTGGTGAACAAGCAAATGTACGATCGAGCACAGTCTTACTGATGAGATGATTTGGCTAATTCGTCTTTCTAGAAACGGCAATTTCGACATGGTGAGGGTGGAAGCTCAAGTAGAGCGCTGCAGGGGGATGGTAGCTGGGGTGGGTATAACAGTACTTCAAACATGCCGATGATGGCGGAAGACAGTGCTCGAGCAGCGAGAAGCTGTAGTCCGTATATCGACGGCGACGAGGATGCAGAGGAGAAGGTTAGTTTTGTGTGTTTGGTGCTTGTGTTGCGTTCAATTGCTAATGCTGTCTTGATATAGACTTCACCTGTCTTGGTCGACGAGGAGGACGATAGTATGATGATGACGCCAGACAGTATAGATCTCCGCCAGCACGGCGCTTCACCTCCTCCATTCTCATTAGACCACATCAGCATCGACGACCACCACCACTCCGACATCAGCAGCAATCTCAACGCCACCGCACACCCCACCAGCATCAACAATCCCAACCCGTCAAAACCACAGCTCATATGCGACAACCCAGACTCGCTGAAGCAGTCGGGGATGAAGAAGATGGTTTATATGGGATACCGAGCGGATTGCCCAAAGTGTGTCGCTCGCCAGGCGGGCCATTATTCGCATATCGTGTATATCCCAGACCGATAGTCTTCTCTATCAAAAAGATCCACGTCATCTCTTTTTGCATGCATATTCTGGTTGCCTGATTTTGTTATTTTGTTCCATCTTGTTTTATCTTGTTTTATCTTGTTTTTCTTGTCTCCATTTCATAGCCGGACTCTCATCTACTTTCTCATCTACGGTGCCGTTCATTTACTTCTTGCACGCCATCTTTTGTCTTCTTCCAGTTTTGAGCAGCAGAACATCATTCTACAGCATATAGGCGTCAATCACAAAGATTACAATCAATATCAGCTACTAATCCTGTAAAATAGATCTAGCAAAGTGGAAACCATAAAACCCTACGATTATGTCGTGTCTGAGTAAAAACCCTACAAACAGATACAGACCCCTTACCCTACCAACAACAACATCGACGCGTCTCCAAAAGTTCTTTAGTTCGAGAAGCAGGTGCTGTTTAGAAGCAGTACAAAGGCAGGACTCTTACCAGCTTCCGAACTGTGCTCTATCTTGATATTTTTGATAATTGTTTATTTGCAAGAAGAACTTGGGATGGCATTTACGGCAGTTAACGGTGCAAACGGCGGCGAAGAAGGCGGACGATTGATATTCACCGACCGGGAGTTTTACATCGCGTCTGATGTCCCTTTAGGCGATCGACTTGAGTGCGAGCGGCAGATCGTTGTATGTTATTCTTTTTATACTGCTTTTTTGGTTTGAAAGTGACGGTGGGGAGTGTAGCTCATGCTGACTTTGTTGGTGGTGGGATATAGGAATACGGTGGACGAGTGACGAAGTCGCCTACGGCGGAGACCACGATTCTCGCGCGGTTTAGGTCGCGGGATAAAGTTGTTCATGAATTCGGCGCTGGGCATACGTATGTCTTTCATTCCACATTTCTTGAGTATTGGAAGAGTGGCGGGTTTTCTCTGCCGTGTGTTAACTTCAGATCGATGTTTGATGTAGCTACGATCCGCAAATAATCGAAGACATGATACTTCTCGAAGAATCCTATAATGCAGAGAAAACATATAGCTCACGACCATCACCGCCGCTTCAGGGGTATAATACATCGTCTACAGCAGGCGGTGTCGTGGGGCGGTATTCACAGACTGAGGTTGAAGTTGCTGATGTGTTGATTAGCACCTCGACCGCGACTGCTTTGGGTGTCCCGCAGGACAGAAGTGGTGGTGGGCAAGAGTCGCGGCCAGTGCAAGCCAAGAAGCGAAGACGGACTTTAGAGCCGACGATATCGAACCCAAACTGCTTCATGATCAGCACAGATGATCCACAGACAGAACCCGCGCAATCCCCCGACTCATCAGCAGACGAGTCCGACGCCCACGAGCCTCGACCTCATAATCTAAAGAGAAAACACATGGATCTCTCAAATACCGCTTCATCCAGCACAACTCCGTCCGCGCCACCGCGGAAGCTGAGAAAAGTCGAAAGCGAGGAATCAGGCCTAATCACCGCCGCCGTCCAAAAAGTCCAGCAAACACAAGCACCGCAGCCATCTCTATTTTCCCCCACGGGGCTACCAGCCGTGCCGCGAGGGCAGCAGAGGAAGCAGCGCCAGCGACGGACCTCGAAGCGCAAGCAGTTTTCGGCGCCGTCGACGCCGGGAGCTGGGTCGGGTAGCGAGCGGTTAACTGAAAAGTTTGCGGCGCTGAAGAAGACGCAGGAGGAGAGTACGGCTGAAGCGGCGGTGAAGGAGGCGGAGGAGGAGAGGCAGAGTGTGGAGGAGGAGGAGGAGATGGAGAGGCAGAGTGTGGAGGGGGAGAAGAAGGGGGCGAGGGATGAGGAGAAGGAGGAGAAAGAGGTTGTGGTGCCAGATTCAGAGGCGGAAGACTATCGAGATGCGTCTGATCATGAGGCTAGCGGAGAGAAAGACGAAGAGAAAGAAGTGGTGGTGCCAGAATCAGATCCGGAGGACTATCTAGACGCGTCAGATCATGAGGATACTGGAGAGAAGTACGAAGAGAGAGAGGTGGTGGTGCCGGACTCTGATCCGGAGGATTATCTAGACGCGTCAGATCATGAGGCAAGTGCTGAGCCTGAAGCTTCACAGATTTCCAAGGAAAATGTTCGTGACGAGACGTCAGTGCCGGAAACCTCCGAGCAGCAGCCCGCTGAACAGCCAGCGGAACAGGATGAAGCAGTTGCTGTAGAAACAGCTGAGGCGGAGCTCGAGTTTGAACCATACCCGGTCTTCAACAATGGTGCTACAGGTGACTTTCGGCTGCCTAGCGGTAGTGTGGAGGTGGCTGGGGAGTCTGCGGAGAAGATTGAAGTTGAACGGGAGAAGCTGCGGGAGCTGATTTTGCGGTGGACGAGACTTTATTATCGGAGAGACGACGACGAGGACGACGAAGACGAGGAGGAGGATGAAGAGGACGAAGAAGACGAGGAGGATGAGGAGGAAGTTTCAAGAAAAAGACTTCTCTCCCCGGCCTACTTCCTCGGCATCCTCCACCGCACAAGTTTCGACATCGACCTAGCAGAGACGATAATCCAGCGTCTAAGCAACGGCACATACACCCGTTTCCCCGACAATCTTCCCGGCGCGTTCACGGTCGCCGACGACGAGGATCTGAAAAGGGCGTATGAGCTCGGGGATGAGGACGCGAAGGTGCGGATCGAGGAGAGACATGGGCCGCGGCTTGCGATGAAGAGGAGGGCGTATTGGGATGATTTTATGAGGGTGTATGGGGGTTTATAATGTTGTACTTTTGTGATTTATTGTTGTACTTTGTAATTTATTGATATGGGTTTGTAGTTCATATGTACTTTTACAGTCTGGGTATCACTGCTTTCTATCTAGTCTGTCCAAGTTGTGCACTCTGAGTCGTGCGATATAAGCCTTTTGACAGTGAAAAAACAGGCTATTGGCTTTAACGTAGGTATCGACAATCACATCCCTATCAATAACCTCACCACCAATACACGCCCGCCCCAACTCTATCTCAAACAATAACCGATCCAACAACTCATAAACCTCCTTCACATCAGAACTCCTCACTGACGCCGGGGGTATCGGTTCTGGTATCGCGGTATTATCAAAAGACACAAGCACGGACTTCAAAAGCCGGACAGAGTCGCCTAGTCTACACATTGCCGGCTCGAGATTCGCGAGGCGAAGGTAGATCGCCGCGCTGAATAGCAGGGTGCGCGCGTGCCAGAACGCGCAGAGCGAGGAGTCGGATAGAATGAGGGGTATCTCGGGGTTGCTGCTGCTGCTGTCGTCGGGTGCGAGAGCTTTGTGGGTGAAGGGTGGGTGTGAGGAGTATTTGGATGATGCCGCGCAGGCGGGGAAGATTAGCATGCGCCGACGGGATTTGGCAGTCGATGGTTGTCCGGCTTTGATCTTGATCTTCCCAGAGCGACGCGGGGTTGTGTTCATGTAGCAGCCGCGACTACAGTCGACCAGTAGAAACGGCGAGTTTCTGACAAAGATCAGATTGAGGTACTGATCAAGCAGATCAGGCGACAGCCCGGATGATTTGTAAACGGCCTGGCAGGATTCAAAGATATAGTCAAAAGTCGCGCGCGGATGGATAGCCGCGTTCGTCTGCGGTTTCAGAGTAGTTCCTGACGACGACGACGACGATGTTTGCCAGACTCTTAGGATCTGGGAAAACGCGATTGAGATTGAATACCGACGGGTTCTGAGCAGACGACAGAGCCGGTCGCGTTTTTCGACAGAAAAGTCTGCGATGTAGTCCGCGTCTGTTTCCGCTCGCTCAACGATTGCCTCGAGCAAGACTATGGTATGTGCGCATTCGCTTGCGGCGTGGAGGAAACGGGAGAGGCGGAGGTTGGAGTACACCTGGTAAGCCATGTACCAGCTCTTGAAGTAGTCCGGCACGGGGCTATCGCGAACGTCTTGGGAGAGCCGTTGTCTGGCGGTCAGGAAGTGGTGAGTTTTGCGGGGCGAGAAGGACGCGGTGGTGCGGGAGGGGTGATGGTTGGAGCCGTTGGAAAGAAGACGCTGTTGGCAGAAGGAGATGCATTGCTCGTAGGAAGAGGTGCGGAAGAGGGCGTCGGCGTGGGAGAGTGAATCGAGGTGGAAGGACAGGCATAGGTGGTCTTCCGGTGAGAGTGAGGAGTAATCGATATCTGTATTATATTTAATAAGCAATCAAACTCAATTCAATTAGTTTAGTATTTGTATTCTTGCCCTGTAGCAGATGTAGTCGATTGTGGTAATCCATTTGGATGCGTTTGAAGAGAAGTTGGGAGGAAGAGCCAAACCCGCGATAGTCAACTTATCGATAACGTTGATTTCGATTCAGCCTGACCAGCTCCTACTATCAACCACCACCACAAACACCCTACAATTCACTAAAAGCAATCGAATCGACTATAATTTATTATACATATTATTCAAATACTATCTATTTAACCAAACGTATCATCCCAGGGCTCCTCGTCATCTTCAATCACGACCGGTGCCTTTTTCTTTAGCAGGTCTTTTCTACATAACGGGCAGGTGGCGTGCTATCGAACTCGTTAGAGTACGCAGGTCGTCAATCAAAAAATAGGATGTAATAATGACGTACTAGTTTGAGCCATGGGCCGATGCATTCGAGGTCGAAATGGTGCAGGTCGTTGCATGGAAGTTTGACCACCAACGGGTACTGGTCTATACACGAGAGTCAATAAATAACCCCCCTCGGCGGGGAATTTCAAACGTACCTTCCAAGTAGGCTGTATTGCAGATAGCACAGGTATCATCTTTCTTCAGCTTCTTGCGCGGAATCCGGTCGAGCGAGTCAAGAAAGTTCTGGTCGACGCCTTTCGACTCGTGCGGGGGATGCAGCGCGTCCTCGAAGAGCTGAGAGGATAGCTGTTCGAGAACCGCGCTATTGCCTGTCATTTCTTGGAAAGCACTGGTTGCGATGGAAGAGGTTAGATGACGATCTTGGTCTTATAAAGAGAGTACGGGGATATAAGACAGCAGCGCACTTTGCAAGAGACCGATAGACGTCCTCTGAAGGAGGAGATGCAGATGCAGAAGATCTATCGGTAGAGAAGAAGGATGCCAGGTCGGGGTTTATGCTGAGGAGGGTCGGTCGCTCGGTGCCATGTTGGTCGGATCTGGGTCGAGGACGGGAGAGGTTGTGGTCGTCTGGGTAGCTGTTAGATGCTGCTGTGATGCTACTTTGATGCTATGAAAGTGACAACATACCCTCGTAGGTCGCCATGATGTTCACAGACTGTTATTCTCTTACTCAGTGCTGTTTATCCAAGTATCCAGAACAGACGATGATGACTCGGTCTCGGACGCGGCTGCTGGGAGATCAAACTGAGTTTCGCATTGTCATCGGGCTGCATCACCACAGCGCATCAACAGGAGCTGAGAGAGAGTCTTAAAGCATCGTAAATAGTTATAATACAATAAACTACATCAAACAATAAAACATACATCCAAAACAACAGCAATTGCCAAAAGCAGCAGCAAAAACACCCAAATCAACTAAACAAATTAAGGTTTAGAGGCCGGTTGGCTGCGCGTCTTCTCAACCTTCTTTTCCTTCTTTGCTCGTCCTGATCTCTCTTCTTCACCACCTCCACCGCCTTTCTTCCTTCTTCCTGCTTCAATTCCCTGCTGATCCTCAATTACAATGAGTTCTAAAGCTGTTATTCTTGTAATCACCCCTTCTCTCTTTACTTAGACACCCAAATCACCTGCTAACTCTCCAGGTCGGCGGCGGCACCAGAGGTACCCGCTTCAGACCGCTCTCCCTCGACATGCCCAAGGTATCAACCACTCTCTCTTCCCCCCTCTCGCTCACTTACTAATTTACTCAGGTCCTCTTCCCCGTTGCTGGCCGCCCGATCCTCTCCCACGCCCTCACCGCCCTCGCGGCCGTCCCGTCCGTCAAAGAAGTCCTCCTGATCGGCTTCTACGACGACTCCGTCTTCAGCGACTTCCTCGCCGAGGCCTCCCGCGAGTTCCCCCAGTTCTCAATCAAATACCTGCGCGAGTACCGCGCCCTCGGCACCGCCGGCGGTCTCTACCACTTCCGCGACGCCATCCTCAAGGGCAACCCCTACCGCCTCTTTGTCATCCACGCCGACGTCTGCTGCTCGTTCCCGCTCAACGAGATGCTGCAGATGTTTGACGACAAGGAAGCAAAGGCCATCATCCTCGGTACCCACGTCGAGGCCGACGCCGCCCGCAACTTTGGCTGCATCGTCACCGACGACAAAAAGCGCGTGATCCACTACGTCGAAAAACCAGAGACCCACATCTCGAACCTCATCAACGGCGGCGTCTACCTCTTTGACCGCTCGATCTTCGACGTCATCGGCGCCGCCCGCGTCGCTAAAATCGAGGACTCCGTCGCAGCCCAGTTCGACGACGAAGACGAGTCCCGCGAAGTCCTCCGCCTCGAGCAAGATATCCTCGTCCGCCTCGCGCAAACCGAAGGCTTCTACGTCTACGAGACCCGCGGCTTCTGGCGCCAGATCAAGACCGCGGGCTCGGCCGTCCCCGCAAACTCGCTCTACCTGCAAAAGCTCTTCCAGCACGACATCGACGCGCCCGGCCTCGCCAAAGCCTCCGCGTTCATCATCCCGCCCGTGTACATCGACCCCACCGCCTCTGTCGATCCGACCGCAAAGCTCGGACCAAACGTCTCGATCGGCCCCCGCGCGCGCGTCGGTCCCGGCGTGCGCATCAAGGAAGCGATCTTGCTCGCCGACACCGAGGTCAAGCATGACGCCAACGTGCGCTACTCCATCCTCGCGCGGGGAGCTAAAGTCGGCGCGTGGGCTCGTGTCGAGGGAAGTCCCATCACCCTCGACGAGCACCAGACCGTCATGGTCAAGAACGGCGCCCGCGTCCAGAATATCTGTATCCTGGCTCGCGACGTCTACGTCGCTGACGAGGTCCGGATCCAGAACTGCGTGGTCTTGCCTCATAAAGATATCAGAACCGATGTCGTCAATGAGATTATCATGTGAATATCTCAACCTGTGATCTGGCTATTTAGCTATTTGTAAAGAAACTTTGTATTATTTGTGTGATTATATATAGACTATATCAATAAATTGACTATATCAATAAATTTATACCTGCAGAATCATCAACAGATCTATAGCCGCAGAATCATCACGACTCTACAACCTACAGAATGTCTGATTCAACTACGTCAAGCGAGCCCTATCAATCAACAAGAGAAAAACTTCTCCCGCGAGACGAACGCTCCGGCTTATTTGGAATCATAAATTCAATCTTCTCCCATAAGCTGCGTCCGAAACCAGAAATCGCATTCGTGAGAAATTGATCAAAGGTTCTTTTGCGAGCTGCCTTGCTATACCGAGATTCCACAGAAAGGAGAAATCAGTTACGTCATAGCGCAAACGATGACGTGAAGGAGGAGGGTCTATGTATCGCGAAGCAACACGTAGACTTTTGAAGTAAAGTACTAAAGAGAAACGATGAGAAATGGAAGGGTTCTTCTGAAAGAAGATATGAGAGGATCAAGGAAGTATATTAACAAGATTTCGCAACCATCCCCATTCTTTGTCCGCGTCGCGTCTCCAAGCGATTATCGTCCGCACGACACCCGCACCATCGTGCATAGCGCCTACATTCCACGACGACTTGTGCTGCTGCTGATGGTTGAGTATTCCGTCAGTCGCTGCCAGGATATCGTTAAACTGCTGCTCGTCCGCCAATTCGCAGACGACAGCCTTTGCGTGCCGCAGTGTCGCGATTTCAAAGATGCGTTTGTAGAACTCGACGCCGCCGATGAGAGCGAGGCGCGGCTCGTACTTGCGCACCGAGGATTCGGTGTGTGCGGCCGAGTTGTAGTTATCCTCGGAGACGTAGGGTGGGTTGGAGATTACAATGTCGACGTCTGAGTCAACGAGCCTGTTCATTTCGGTTGAGAAGATATCGCATTGCGCGAATGAGACTGAGACGTTGTCTTTGATGACATGTTTGTTTGCGTAGAGATTCTCATTGGCGAGCGCATATGCTTTGTCGGATACATCGATTCCAGTGATATGACATTTCTTGTTTGAATGACCTAATTGTTCGGCAAACAGGAGCGCAAGACAACCTGAGCCGGTGCACAGATCAAGGACGGTGAAATCAGATGATAATTGTTTCGACTCTGTTACAGAACCACAGCGAGCCAACACCAGTCAGCTTCCAAGAATACGACAGAAAAACAGATCAGAGAGCGACAGGAAGAACAAGGACACACACCGGTGAACAAAGGATGATATCGTCGGATGCCAGACGCTACCTTCATACCCCACTCGTCGGTCTCCCATCTCGGAATAAGAACCCCGCGACGACATTTGATATCAAGCGACTCGCCAAACGGCTGTGATCCAAGAATGTACTGCAGCGGATAGCTCTTGACACCACGCAGATAGCATGCTCTGCGAATCATCAGCCCTGCATCTTTTCTGCTGCTGCCTGCTTTCTCTGTGAAATGCTCGGTTATCCAACGCAGCTCGCGACGAGCAGAGTCGAGATCCCGCAAGGTCGGCAGCAGAAGCGGCAGAAACGGCGACTCTTTGCGCGCGATGAGTTTTATCGCGGGTGGAATGCGCATCGGATTACATTTGCGGTTGATGAGAAGAGAAGAGAAGAGAGAGCAGCGAGGAGAGAAGAGAAAAAAATGGCGGACAAAAGGGGGTTTGAGACGGGGGGTTTCAGGGTTCGGGCTGCGACTGAGCGAACTCCGGCGATTGCTGATCCAGCAGCTTCCCCAAACAGCCCGCTCTTACGCTCATCCACCACTGCTCCTCATCGCGGATCCAGTTCTAGCAATAATAATCAGCAACAGATGTCTTCACACACACTCGAAGCGCGTGCACACGAGCTCGCAGCCGCGTTCTCAGCCAAAGACTACGAGAAATGCGCGACGCTGCTTCCCCCTCTCAAGCTGATGCTAGCGCAGCTAAACATCCTCGTCCCGCTGCCCTCGTCCGATCCATCGCTGCTGGTGCTCGCGCGGGATATTTTAGAGATTGGCGCTCTGACGTCGATATTCCTGCGCGACGACGTGCTCTTCAGCCGGTACGTCGCGCAGCTGTCGTCGTTCTATGCGCTCAAGGACAAGCTCTCGCCGCCGTCGGTGAACGAGAAGAAGCTGATCGCGCTGCGATTACTGCTGCTGCTGTCGAGAAACGACATTGCCGAGTTCCACACAGATCTTGAGACGTTGGAGGACGAGGCCGATACCGATCAGTATATTCGTTATCCCGTCATGCTCGAGCGATGGCTGATGGAGGGAAGCTATGATAAAGTCTGGAAAGCCACCACGCAGAGAAGTGAAGTTCCGGCGGAAGAGTTTGCCATATTCGCTGACGTATGTCTCTATTATTCTGCTCTTGACAATTCTTGAGTATTTTTCTAACAACTGTCACAGATTCTGGTCGACACGATCCGCAGCGAAATCGCCACGTGCTCCGAGAAGGCCTATCCATCACTACCTCTCGCCAACGCGCAGCACCTCCTCTTCTTTTCCGACGAGTCTGAGCTGAAGGATTTTATTGAGCAGGTACGCCTTATCCATATCCTGATTGCCTTATTCCAAACACACTGTATGCTAACCGAACACAGCGCGGATGGACGGTCGAGAACGGCAGGATCTACTTCCCTCAGGAGGAACCGGACGCGCTCCAGAACGGAGTCGCGATGGAGAGCATTATAGAAAACACACTCGGCTACGCTCGCGAGCTCGAGACTATTGTCTAGATGCTATGTATCATAACTAGTAATATACAATTCTATCTAGTGCTATGCTACAATCTATCTTCTATGCATACTGCCACAGGTTCAGCTGCTTGTCGTAGAAACTACAGCTGGCTACAACCGACCCATCCGTAGTCCAATCCGCACCATACACCATACTCTCATGTCCCTCCTTCACAACCCTCACAACCTCAACCGCCTCCCCGTCCTCCCCGCTGCCAGGCACAACAACCTTCCCTCCATCATACATGCAGCACGCAAACACCTCTTCGCGCGACCCTCCTCCCGGCCGCGGCACTAACCGCCACACACCCCCTCCAAGATTGGTCTCGCCGACGACCTTCCCCCGCGCGCCGCGAAGGTCCCACACGCGAATCGTATCATCGTACGAACCCGTCCACAGCGTCTTCTCGTCAAACGACACAGCTTGTACCGTATTCGTCAAAATCGAGGTGACCCCCGCGGCATGCGTCCGTCTGTCCTGCCACACCTGACATCCGAGACGCAGATCGTTCGCGGTAAACAGACAATCGTCGCCGCCCGTGTAGAGCACCGATCCGTCGGCGCTGAACGCGGATATCCAAGCTTCGAGCGAATGCGGTTGTTCGCCATGCACCTCCGTCACAGAACTTACCACCTCCGCGTCGTCGTCAGAACCGCGCGCGAGCGAGAGAACTTTCCATTCGCCGGAGGTCAGGGTGACTGATACCTGATCTGCAGTAGTAGGCGAGAACGAGAGCGCGAGAACGAGGGTGTCTGAGTCGTCTGCGACTTTGAGATCGGAGAGTAACGTAAGCGAGAGGGATGGTGAGTTCTTGTCATTCTGTTCTTCTCGCACACGCCATACACAGATGTTGCCTGTCGAATGCGCGGATACCAAAAGCGAGGGATCGTGGGGTGAAATCTTTATATCCAAAATCGAGGATTCAGGCGACGCAACCGAGTTCACAAGCTCCCTACAGTCTCCTCTGTCAGTTCCTCCTTCCCACAACAGCATTCTCACAAACGACAGACACTCACAGCCTCCCAGCTCCAATATCATAAACATCCAAACTCCCGCGTCGTCGCCCGCTCTCTTTCTCAAGCTCATACGTCCCCACGATCAGGAACCGGTCGTTCGCAGGCCACGAAACCAGCGCACACGGCGGAAGGGCGACCGTCGTCGAGGATTTAAGCTGCAAATGCGTCGTCATATCCGGGCTTTCATCCTCTCTTTCTCTCTCTATCGATCGATATTCCTGATCTTCTGTAGAATCGATAAATTTACGTTGGGAGAATTAGAATCACGTGATATCTATAATATCTTGAAGATGGACGGATGCATTCTAGATGGACATATATACACTAAAGACACGTAATAACAACCTTGTCCCGTCCGATATACCTCTTCCCCTGTCCCTGTTCGCCCAATTCCTCAAACGACGCCACAAACTCATACTCTCCTCTCGCCAGCACTATGAAATTCGTCTCGACCGTCCTTGTCTCGGCCGGCACGACGTTCACGACCGGCTGCTGCAGGATACCGTTGAACAGTATGCGCCGGTTGACGTCGAGCGAGAGGGTGGGCGAGAGGTTTCGGATCGTGGGTTGAATGCGTAGAACGCCGGAGGTGGGCGCGATGCGCGACGAACTGGCGGTCACGGACGTCGTCAGCGAAACAAAGAGGTCGGGCTCGATCACCCAGTGTCTCCTGCCCACTTTTGTGACGCCTGGCGCGGGGTCGAGTAGAATGTCGACAATGATATCGTCCACTTGGATGATATCCACCATCTGCGGCGTGATCCGCAGCGCGCGCAACTCGATCGTCCCCGCGTGCGTGTTATACACCGGCTCGCCATCATTACCCAACTCTTCCTCATACCACTCCCCGCGCAACAACTTGAGCAACTCCTCGCGATGCCAAAACACCGCACGCTCGACGTCCGGTGACCAGCCACCGTTCTTTGCACCGCTCGTCGTCAGCGAGACCTCGCTCGGTCTTGTAAACTGTTTTGGAGGCATCAGCGACGGCACGGGCGCGTTCGCGTCGATATCTCTGATTCGCCGGACGGGGATTAGTAGTCTGGTGACGTTCCCGGGCTGGATCACGCCGCTGACGACCTTGTCTTCGTTCTCATGCACTGCCGTCGTCAGATTCACTCTCAGCGGCTTTGGCCACGAGTTGCGGAGATCGAGCAGCATCAGGCAGTAATCGTCCATTTTCTCAAACGGCAGTCCCAGCGAGTCCAAAAACTTGATCAGCAGGGATGTGGTAGTGATTTTGCCGTCCTCGGCTGTCACGGTCGGCATGTTGAAACTGAACGGGACAAAGTCGCAGCCGGCGACCTCCACGCTCGCGTTGACGGTCAACTTGAGATCGACAGACAGGTTCCGGACGTACACATGGCCTGCTTCTGCTCCCGTCTCCTCGTCCATGTGCGTGTACGAGATATCAATCGATCCCGTGGTAAGTCCTCGTTTTCCAAGCACTTCAACCTCGATCTCCAACTCTCCGTTTGGCAGAATCTCAACCCCGTCCAGCTTCGTCACGCACCTGAATACATCCCGCTGCATCAAAAACACCTCGATCTCGTACCGATCCGATTCGCTCCGCGTCCCCTGATTCAGCGCGTTCGTAAGCGACTCCGTCGTCGAGTCCGCAAACGCAACCTTCAAGTTCGTGGCCGACACCCGATCAGACACGTTCGCGAGTGAGACAAAGAACCGCCGCCGCTCGCCTTCGAGCAGCATCAGACTGCTCTGGGGGAGCGAGATCCGGTTGACGTGTATGATTGGCAGCGGGGGAACCACATCCACCGCTATCCGCGTGCGTGCCTCGTCGCGGATGATGGGCACGGTCGAATACGCGCGGGCGTCGAGACCGAATTTCTTGACGCGCACTGGCGGGGCGACCGCGGATACTTGAGGGGTTATCGCGAGAGTTGTTTCTTTGCAGCCGTATACCTGCACCACGCAGCCGGTGATGCTTAACAGACCTACCGACGTCGGAGTGAGGTAGATTGAGATCGGATAGATCTTTCGCGGGGGCACGATGACTGAAACAACGTCGGATGAGAATGATGCGCCTTCTCCACTAAACCACAAAGACCACAGTTAGCTTCCGACGCAGAATAACAAAAAGAAAACAGCTTACACTAATGAAATCGCTTTAATATCAAGCTCAAACGAGAAAGGATTCTGCAAGAGTACTCGAAACTCCACCGGCTCATCTTGCACAAATAAATGCCTCTTCTCCACCTCAGCGTCCTTCTTTTTCGAAAACGGATTATATATGAATGGCCCCTTTACATCATCGCTCGCTTTCTTTCCAATCTCGACCCTCGTCGGCACCGCCCACAGAGACGAGTCGACGACACCAATGTCGCGTACTAGGTACGGGTCCCAGTACTCCTCCTCAAAACCCTCGAGGCCCATGGTTAAGGCGGTCGTGTAGGCCTCGCGCATACTGCGCACCATTGATAATTGCTCGTCGATAGAGAGTTCGCCGGCGGCCGTTCGTAAAAGAAGAGTGGTATACTTGACTGTGCCGACGTGGTCCGGCAGGACTTTACAAAGCTCGATACACATCTTCAATATCGACGTCTTGGTTTCCTGCCACCCAAAGGTCGAGATACTATCAGTCGCATCAACAGGTGCTCCGTACACCTGACAGATATCATTGAGCAAAGTCAGGATCCCAGAATTCGGAATTCCGGCCCTAATCCCCGCATCGCGCAACTCGGCCGCGGCATCGTAGTCGTCGTAGTACTCGTCCTCGTCCCCTCCGCCGTCCAGTCTCGGCGTCTGCGCGCGGATATTCCGCGTAATCACCCGCGCCTGCACGATCCTGGGGATCAGCTCGGTCACGAGCTGGCGGAGGACAAAGCCGCGTTTGCGATAGAACCCGAGCTTGCCGCACGCGGACGCGATGCCGGTCAAGATCTTGCTCGCGTCGACGGCGTCGACGCCGTCTAGCCTGACTGCCTGCGCGGAGGAAATCCATTCGAGGATTCCCATTTTCAAAGCGTAGACCTGTGAGTGGCTGAGCTGGACGTAGGGGATCGGGCGCGAGAGCACGATTGCGGCGCGCGCGGTCTCGTTCCAGCCGCCGGCGAGACAGGTGCATGTGAGTAAGTTGACGGTGCGGAGGATTGTTTCGACGTAGGTGAGCTGGGGCACGCTTTCGCCCGGGAAGTTTTGCGAGCGGTTGTAGAGCGAGAGGACGGTGTTTGACATTTGCGGGATGAGGTCGAGCAGGTGCGGCGGCTCGGGCTTTTGGTCTCGTTTCTCGGCGTTCGGGATCGGAGGGAGGATGACGGATGGGATCGTGAACGGCATGTTGAGGAAGGCGAGCATGATCATGCACATTCCTATTCCTTCAATACAGGTCGCGTGCCAGAGATGGTCGTTGACGCCTTTGAGCACGGCGAGGGCTTCGACGTATTCTTTTAGCGCGTCGGTCGTGCGCCCGGCTAGGAGGTACATGTTTGCAATCATCTTCATTGATCTGCCTTTTCTTCGCATGCGCTGCCGCTCGGTGTGATGGGAAAGTGGGTATGAAAGCTGCTTGTCTTTGTCACGACTGTAGGATATGCTCAGGTTGCCGCTGGAATTATGAGGCGAAGACCGAACGCCGACCGGCGGGGGTGTGGAAGAGGAAGAGGAATTGAGGATAACGGAATCGTAGTCATCGTCCCGAGCCAGCGGCGACGCGATCGTATCCGCAGTCTGATACGCCTGGGCAAGAAGCGGCAGCTCGGCGAGCAAAGCGGAAGTCAAGTCGCAGATGACGGTGCGGATGGAGGTTACCCTTGATGCGCGTCGGGGAGGGAGACAGATGTAGTCTGGAGACGGCAGTTCGTTGGGTTCGAGCGGGCAGTCGAAGAGGATGACTTTGTGGATGATGGCCTGGGGGGATTGTTCTTGTAATTGCGCGACTACGCCGTCGATTTCGGATATGTCGGTGAGGTTTTTGTAGTCGACGAGGCCGAATACCTAAGATGATCAAGCAGAGCTGGTGAGCAAATGTACGATATAAACAAGCAATGGCTTGATAGTTCAGTAGGTGAATAGCATACAGCAAGCGTCCTTCGAAACAGCTCGAGATCTTCAAGAGCCGAATGATGCTGATCGATTGTGGTTGCAAAGTTGTAGACCAGCATCCCGCTCGGAAACCCCTGAGGACTAAACATCACTGTCGAGCACACTATCGTTAGCCAACTCTGTATACCACCCGTCCAAACACAGAAATCAGACACTCACCTCGCTCAGGCCGCGGATCAGGCGTGACATCGCCGAGTCTGATGACGGCCGTGGACTGCAGCTGCGCGACGAACTCGACGAAGCGAGCACGAGATATAGGACCGGCCGGGCAGAGAAAGGCGCGGATGCGCGCGGGCGAGAGGTACGAGAGCGCATCGAGCGAGTCCGTGGACTGGTTCGCTGTCGGCAGGGGGCCCATCGCCTTTTACTTGTGTGGAGGAGGAGGAGGAGCAGGCGAGGGAGGTGGAGGTGGAGATGGAGGTTGGGGAGGTGTTTGGGGACGAGGTCGATATCGGTTTTGGTTCGTCGTTGGAGGTGCGGCGCGGATCTCTCGCAGCGCAGGCTGAAGAAGACTGTGCAATTGACTATTGATGCAAGAGAATAATAGAAGAAGTATATGAATAGAAGATATATTTGCAGATACAGACAATAATACAAAGACTGCAAACAGCGCAAGCAGGAACAATCTCATCCTCAGTTAGTCATCATTATTACTATCATTACATAATAAACCCTAACTCAGACGCGTCCTACTCATCATCCACCTCAATTAACCCTCGCCAATCCTCCAAATCCCATCCCCAAAACGAGTACCGAATCACGTCGCTCGTCGTCCAGCAGCTTCAAGAACAGAAAACGAAGAGAAGAAATGTCGCTGTGGGTTGATAAACACCGGCCAAAGTCGCTCGACGCGCTTTCATACCATCCAGAGCTCTCGACGCGTCTTTCGTCACTGGTAAGCCCGGCCAGAGTCCCGCCCACACCCGTCTCGTCATCAACACTAACTCCTACTCCATCCAGGCCGCCAGCGGGGACTTTCCTCACCTTTTAGTCTACGGCCCCTCCGGCGCCGGCAAAAAGACGCGCATAGTAGCGACGCTGAAAGAGCTCTACGGGCCGGGGGTGAACAAGATCAAGATCGACTCGCGCGTGTTTGTGACGCCGAGCAACCGCAAGCTCGAGTTTAATGTCGTGTCGAGCATATATCACATGGAGATCACGCCGAGCGATATGGGGAATAACGATCGGATTATCATCCAGGAGTTGTTGAAAGAGGTTGCGCAGACACAGCAGGTCGATCTGTCTGCGAAGCAGCGGTTTAAAGGTGCGCGTTTCTGACTTGTTTCTACTAACTTGTTTCTCGTCTCGGCCGGTGCTAATATCATCCTCACAGTCGTCGTAATCAATGAAGCAGACTCACTCACCCGAGACGCCCAAGCAGCGCTCCGCAGGACAATGGAGAAATACTCCCCGAACCTCCGCCTGATCCTCCTCGCAAACTCGACCTCAAACATAATCGCGCCCATCCGCTCGCGCACCTTGCTCGTCCGCGTCGCGGCGCCGTCGTATGACGATATCTCCAGCATCCTTTTCGCTGTTGCGAAAAAGGAGCGCGTGGCGCTGCCGCCGGCGTTGGCGGAGCGGATCGCGCTTGAGAGCGGGAGGAATTTGCGGCGGGCGCTGTTGACTCTCGAATCCCTCTATGCACAAAAGTACCCCCCTCTCCCCCTCGTCTCTTCTCTCTTCTTAATTATATCCAATCACTAACCTCTCATCTCAGCGACTCTCTCGCCCCAGACACCCAAATCCCCACTCCAGACTGGGAAGTCGTCGTCACCTCGATCGCAGACGACCTCATCAAAGACCACAGCGCGCCCGCGCTGCTCAAGATCCGCGCAAAGTTCTACGACCTGCTCGCGCACTGCATACCCGCCGATCTCGTGCTCAAGACGCTCGTGTTTAAATTGCTGGCAAAGGTTGATGCCGAGCTGAAGCCTGAGGTTGTTTATTGGGCGGCGTTTTATGTATGTTGCTGCTGTTCTATTTTTCTTTGTGTGCTGTTGCCGTGTGCTAATGATGGTAGGAACATCGTATACATATGGGAAGTAAAGTGATCTTCCACCTCGAAGCCTTCGCCGCCAAATTCATGCGCATATACGAAATGTACGCAAACACCACTCACTTCGCTACCTTCTTTCGTCTACAACTAACCAACATATCTCTTCTCAATCTAGCTACCTCCAAGCAATGATGGACAACTAATTCAAGCAAGATACTAGAGAAATTTATAATCTACATCAATTGAGAAAGATAGAATAAAATAAATAGATCTAGCGGTATACTACACAAACTAACCTTTCACTGCATAAACTTCCCACAAAAAACAAACAAATGTAAAACACAACAAGATTGATAAACCAAACCCACGGTGACGATAACTAGAAGACGATAACTAAGCAGTACAAATTCGATATGAGATTATAAGATCAGACTAGTTGTAGAAAAACGGCGCGTTGGAGGACGTCGCAGATGTGTAATTAGTCGACGTCGGCGCAGGCGCAAAACCCGTGGTCTGCGTATACGGCGCCGCGGGGTACGGCGAGCTCTGCGGCACGGACGGATACGCGCTTCCTCCGGTCGATTGCGGCACAAGCGGGTACGACGACGCCCCGTTCGTGCTAGGCGGAACCGACGGCGGCAGGACGGACGGGTACGAAGGATTGGACGAAGGCGGAACGGACGGGGTGCTGCTGGTTGGGGCGTAGGATGGCATATGGCTGTTTGCGTAGGGCGCCATGCCCGGCATTGTGCCTGCTGCAACGGTCGGCTGCGGCTGCTGGAGTGGTCGCGAAAGCGGCATCGAGGGAACCCGGTTGATTCCGGCCGGTGATCGGTACTGCTCGACGTAGGACTCCATCATCATATCGTACTTGTGCAATGCGGTCGAGAACCGCTCGTTGAGCTCGATCAGCTCGTCTTTCTGCTGCGCGTACCGGTCAATCAGCTTGATCAGCTTCGGCCGTATACTAATCGACTGGCGATACAAGTTCTGCAGCTCCTCCGAGTCCGCAGACTCTGAGCTCTGCGGATTCGACAGCAACGCAAGCAACCGCTCGACATTCCGCGCCTCGGCAAACACCTGCGCTTCCTCCTCGGCCTCCTGCTGGATCTCGCGCGCGGTCGGGTCCGGGATCGGAGTCACGTAGTTGAGCGGGAAAATCCCGACCTCGCCCCGCAGCGAACCCTTCCACCAGTCGTGGTAGACGGCTTCCAGGACAAAGATCACGTCGCCTTTCTTGAACGAGAGCTCACCCGGTTCGGTCGCGGCAAGATCGTACAGCGCGCGAACGCGGGAGATGGTAGCAGTCGGATCGGGCGCAGCGGGCGCGGCGTCGACGCCGTTCGCGGCAGAGCTCGGGGCCGCGGTTGAGGAGGAGGCGGTCGGTCTGGCTTGGTCTTCTTCGGCTTTCCGCCGTTCTTCCTCTTGTCGTTTGCTTTCTTCGAGCGAGAGCGCGAGCACCATCTTTAACTCTTCGTCCTCGGTGGTTTCTTGTCGTCTCGGCGCCGGTCGCTCCGGCTTATCTGGTGCATGCAATCGCGGGTCTATCAACAGTCAGCACATCTCTTATCTACTAGCAACAGATCACATCACATACTCAACGACTTGACCTGATTCAGCGCGTCGGCCATGATCCCGAGCGAATGGTCCCCGCTGAACAACTTGACGAGCTCCTCCATGACCTCGAGCAGTCGCGCCTTGACGGTGTGGTGCACGGTGTGGTCGGAGGATATGCGGACGAGGGTCTGCGTGAAGGCGCGGGAGGCGAGTTCGCGGTGCATTTTGGTGCCGCAGTTTTGGGCTAGGGAGTCGGTGAGCTGTGACGAAGTTAGTATAGATCAGATTAGAGGGGAGAATAAGCTAATGAGTAGAGATTGGACGTACGGTGAGGGAGTAGAGCTGGACATTGGCGGATCGGTGGGTAAGTCGTTTCTGCAAGGCAGCGACGGCTTCCTGGGGACTACACCAGAGTCAGAACAGCAGCTCAACTATCAATAAAAAAACCAATACACACCCGTTATCAGGATGATCGTTGACCTTGTCGCAGACAGCCAGGATGTACTCCCAGTTCTCGCTCGTGAGGTTCTCATCGGTGGCCTTGTCTATAAGAGTGGAGGTCAGCAAGCCAGCCAGATCCCAGCGCCACGACAACAACACATACTAACAGCGTCCTCTATCGCAGACGGCGCGGCAGAAGCTCGAAACATGATTATTGAATAAGTTGCGTATTCTTCACAAAGAGGAAGGAAGGGCAGAAGAAGTAGGTGAAGCAGGCAGGCGGAGCAGAGCCGTGGCGGTGGCCGAGCGAGCACTGTGACCTTTCCTCAAAACTTTATCTTCGCCGCGGTTTCGTCGCTTAAAGATGGTGATGACGTAGTGCTGCTGTTTGTTCAGCGAATGTATTTGTTTGTTTTGTTGTTTGTTTATGTTTATGTTTACAATCTACGAAGAAGACTGAGCTCGTTGACGCAGATCAAGTCCGCTGGCTGTGGTCGGCCTTCTGCGACGCCGGGAGACTCCGCTGGGACACTCCTGGGCTACTCCGTCGTCCAGCTCTTCACCACTTCGACGCGCGGCTCTCTTTCCTCTTTGTACGGAAACGGAAATACAATTGAACATGAACATACACTAGCGAAAAACAATATGAGGCAAGCAGAGCATCAGAAATATACCCACCAAACTCCCAAATAATACTTGAACTTGAAAAAAGATAGACTTGAAAAAAGGAAGTAGCCTCGTTTTATTTACTGCCTTAGAGCTTCGCTCCCAGCACCTGGTGCACGCGGATGGACTGGCGCATCGTGAGATCGAGCATGATCTCCTCCGATCCACCAGGAATCGCATACGCGCGCACCTCTCTGTACAGCCTCTCGACCTTCCCGCCCTGTCCGCCGCGCGAGTACGACAGTCCGCCAAAGATCTGCGCGGCCTCGCGCGCGCAGTACTCAAACGTCTGCGTCGCCTGCGCTTTCAAACCCGCGATGGCGCCGCCGAGACGGAGCATGGCCTCCTGCTCGCTCATCGAACAGGTCTGGAAAATCATGTTTTCGAGCCAGTTGTGCGTGGCTTCGATGCGGATCGCCATGTTTGCGAGCTTTGTGCGGATGACCGGGTGGTCGATGAGGCGCTTGCCAAAGGTCTTGCGCTTGTGCGCGTACTTGATCGACTCCTCGTAGCACACGCGCGAGAAGCGGTTGGCCTGGATGATGATTCCCAGCCGCTCGTGGTTGAAGTTGGTCATGATGACCTTGAAGCCCTGGTCTTCCTTGCCAATCAGGTTCTCGACCGGGACCTTGACGTCCTCGAACGTGACGTAGGTGGTGCCGGAGCTCCACATGCCCGAGCAGTCCATCCGGCGGACGTTCACGCCCGGCATCGTCTTCTCAATCAACAAGAGCGAGACGCCGTTCATGCCTGGCTTTCCTGTGCGCACGGCGACGGTGAAGTAATCGGCCCAGATGCCGTTCGTGATCCACTTCTTTTCACCGTTGACAATGTAGTGCTTGCCGTCCTCGGTCTTCTTCGCCGAGGTCGTCAGGTTCGCGACGTCACTTCCGGCGTCAGGTTCGGTGATGCACAGACAGATCCGCTTCTCACCCGCGAGCAGGCCCGGCAACACGCGCTTCTTAACCTCGGGCGTCGCAAACTTGACCACCGGCGGCGCGCCGATTCCATATCCACCCAGCAGGTTCCAGATCAACCCGCCCGAGCCCGCGCGCGCGATCTCGTCGGTCAAGATAAACTCATGCAGATGATCCCACTGCTCGGGCGCGACGCTCGCAGGCCGGATGTCGGTGTACTCGGTCGGATAGTGCACGCCGAGCGCGCCGGCGAGGTACCCGCGCCGACCCATCTCGTGGTAGATCTCGGGCGGGACTTCTTTCTTCTCGTCCCACTCGCCGGCGTTGGGCTCGAGCGCGGACTCGACCCATTCGCGGACTTCGTTGCGGAGCGCGACGTGGGACTCGTTGTAGTAGGGGGAGTAGTAGCTCTGGTACCAGGACGGATCGCCGAATGGGATCATGTCGCCGTAGGCCTCGAAGGGCTCTTTCTTGGGGAGGAAGAGGCGACTACAGCAGTCGACTGCTTCTGCGGAGCAGGCGCGGGAGCAAGGGCGGGAGGAGGAGCAGCGGCCGAGCCAATGGTGCCGATTTGCAGCTTGGGAGAGTACTTCTTGAGAATGCCGGCGCTGTGGTACTTCCAAAACATCTTTGACGCATCTTTGCCCGCGACGCGCTTGAGGATCTTTTTGCCGCCGGGGTGCTCGTTCTGGAAGGAGGAGAGGTCGTAGACGTTGCCGTCGATGATGATCCAGAGGGATTCCTCGCTGCCGTGCTTGGCGACGTCCTGGGGAGAGTTAGTGGAGAGTAGAGGAAGTGGAGGGTAGAGTAGAGTGTACCTCAGCGGAGAAGGCCTGTAGGGATTGCTGGGTCGACATTGAGAGAGAAGTATAGAAGAAGTATAGAAGAAGTAGAGAAGAAGCAGAGAAGAAGAAGAAGCAGAGAAGAGATATACAGAGAAGCAGAGTGAGAACAGAGGAGGAGGAGGTGAAGTAGAAAACGAGGAGGATCCTGAGCGCAGGCGAGAGTTGAGTTGCCGAGGGACCGATGTCATGAGCCGCACACTGCACGGTGACGCATCACATGCAATCTGTGCACATAAACTGCCATAGATATGGTGTTATATATGGAATAGTTGTGCAGTTGTGGCTTTAAAATACAGATATCTTGACAGAAGGGTAAACGCGGGGAGACCGGATCAGCAGCAAATCAGAGACTGGCGATTAGCAGCCAGCGGGGAACTGCATCTTCACGCTGCTGCTCAATCAGCTGTTTTTGTTCTTCTGTCGATTGTTTACGAACAGTCAGACTGCTGAGGATCACCAGATTCCGGGTTCTGAAGGCTGGTTGAGAGCAGACTGCACGAGCCGAGGTTGAGCTGCTGGCTGCGTCTTGCTTCTGTAGTCAGCCAACCTGCTCTTTAACTCCTCCTCGGCTCCTCCATCGCTCCTCCTTCCTTTACATTGTTCTACTACTTCCTCCTGCTCGAGCTCGTCTTCTTGAATACAGTAGATCTATTGAAGAGCAGACACCGCTCAGCAGCACGCTTCTATTCCTGACCGACTTGGTTCCATACCATTAAACTCTGTCTGTCTGTCCGTCTGTCAACTATCTGCATCTGTCATTCCAGTTTGGTAATGCCATGGTCTGATAAACAAATGAACCTCAAAGAGAACTATCTGATGAGATCTATCATATTATTACTTGTAACTATTCTTAGTCTCGCTCGTAGTCTTGTGTTGTTGCAGTTGCTACAGGCTGCAGCTACAATCAGGGCACATAACCTGTAGAATCGGCACCTACACTACTGCATCATTTATATGTAAAAAAATTCAAAATTTATTCAGAATTTTTCTAGTATCCAAATCAATCAATCGGTATCCAAACCTGTCCTGCCTATTTTACAAACCCACCCGCCTACAAGGCAGCCGCGACCGCAATCGCCAGCGCAACAACCCCCCACTGCGCGCTCTTCCACGACAACATCCCCGCGCCGCCGGTATTGTCGCTCGTAATCTCAACGTCCGGCTCCTCCGTCTCCTCGGTCGCGTTCGAGCTCAGCACGGTGCCGTCCCAGCAGTACTTTGACAGACACGCCTGGCACTGCTCCGTGTGCGTCGCGTTGCGGCGCTCGACCTCGCGGTGGATGATTGCGCAGCCGATGCACGCCGCCCACGTGTCGTCGAGCGTGCCGTTGCCCTGCGTAGCCACATTGTATCCGTTCGTGATCATGCCCTCGACCTCGTCGGTCTCGTACGAGAGCTTGAACGTCGACGTGTTGGAGTAGTACGACAGCGGGTGGTTGGCGAGGTAGACAATCAACGGCACGGTCGTGCCGCCGTTCGTGCCCGTGATGTTGGACGCGTTGCAGCCGAACCAGGTCGGCTGCGCGGTCAGGTTGAGTCCGACGAACGTGTTCTTGTCCGGCACAGCAGGGAACTTGGTGCCGTTCGCCTGCGTGCCAAACTGGCGGTCGTACGTGGCGGTCAGCGACCAGCCCGAGGGCCAGTCGTAGTCCGTGTCGGCCGAGTTGTCGACCGCAAAGATGACGTCAACGCCGCGGCTGGGCTGGATGAGCGGCACGAGCGGGATGTTTTGGTAGTCCTCGCCGCCGTCGACGAGGTTGAGGATGGTCTCGTTGTACATGTACGAGATGTCTTCGTTGTAGCCGTAGAACGGGTTGGGCTGGTACGGCGCGACGTCGTCGTTGTCCTCGCCGATGTCGCTCAGGATGTCGACCGCGGCGTCGTATACGAGACCGCTGACGCCGCTCGAGTTGAGCTGGAGGATGAACTGGTTGAAGAGCGTGGCCGAGGTGCCGATGACAAAGCCCGCGTTGTCGAATCCCTTGACGCACGCGGACGAGTTCACGGGCACGCCGGCGTCGACGGTCGAGCCGAGATACTCGGTCTGGATGAACGCGTACGCAGACGGGTCCCAGCTGCCAAACTCGTACGGGCTGAACTCGTACACGGACGAGTTGGTCGAGACGATGAGCGTGTTGTACGGTCTTCCGTCGGACACGACGAGCGGGTACGGCATCGAGAAGTTCTTGAACAGTGTTTGGTTGCGGATGTCGCTGAAGGTCACGGCGGGGCCGCCGTCGGTGTAATTGAGAAGCTGGTTGGCGAGTCCGAGACCCCAGTAGTCGGTGAGCGAGATGTTGAATCCCGCGTCCCGCTTGGCGTCTGCAGCGTCAAGAAGGTAGTCCCAGTACTCGGCGGTGTCCCAGAGCTCCCAGCCGTCGGGGTTGATGATTGAGTGCGAGAGATCCCAGACGTCCTCGTCGCCCTGGAGGTCGGCAATGGTCGGGAAGCCGTTGATAGCCCACGAGCCAACGAGCCACGAACCACCAGAGAGACCGGCGATGTAGGTCGCAGACTGCAAGAGACCACCGACATGTCCGTCGTTAGTAGAGTTTGTGGTGCGGTTGTCGAACGCGGCGAGGAAGCCGGCGCCGGAAAGCATGGCGCGGTAGCCGCCGCCGGAGAAGGCGATGCCGATGGTGATGTTTGTGTCCTCGAGGAAGGTCTCGGCGTCAAAGTCGGTCATGTTGAGCTGGTTGAGGTAGGTAGGCAAGTACTCGTTGATAGCAGCATGGCGGCCGTCGAGGTACGCGTTCTCTTTGTTTGAGATGGACGAGGCCTCGCGCACGAGCGTCTTGAGATCGCCCGAGGAGTCTTTCGGGCAGGAGACGTAGGTGGGCGCGTAGGTGCCGCCGGGGTTTGTGCGCTTCTCGAGACGGCGCTCGTCGAAGTACTTGGGGACGGTGCGGACCGCGAGGGCGGCTTCGGCGAGGGCGAGGTCGGACGCGAAGTCGGCCTCGTCGGCTTCGGGGACGGCCTTGGATTCGGCTGGGGAGGTCAGCAGAGAGCAAAGATGAGGAGAGGAGAGGAGAGGAGAAGTACCATAAGCCGAGGAGAGGAGGGAGGCGAGGAGGAGTACGGGAGAGAGCCTCATGGTGGTGGAGGAGATGAGGAGTGGAAGAGAAGAAGAGATGAGGGAAGAGGAGGAGGATAAGAAGAAGAGAAGGTCGAGGTCGAGGCGGTGCGGCAAAAGAGTCAAATTTGGGTTTATCGGAAGCCGCGCGATTGGGGATTCCGTGTTTACATGTTGTTCTATGATGTTAATAGATAGTATAGAAGAAGAAAGAGAAGATATTGTAACTGAATCTGCTTTATATCTGCTACTTACTCCTTTTATTTCTATATCCAGTTTATATCTTAAAAGTATCAGCAACGGCGATGTTAACAGATCGACTGAAGATGGCGTCGGAATGGTCAAAGCCGCACGAGCCGCTGGCACCGAGTCGCCGGAACCCTGTTCGAGTGAAGATGTGTTTGTAGAAGCAGAAATGGAGAGAAAGAGAGTGTTGATGTGTTATTGAATAGCAGTATTGATGTCAATAACAGCAATAACAGTATTTAACAGCAACAGAAGTAGCAATAGAAGCAACAGCAGCAGCAGAAGAAGAGAACAAATGACATCACTGGAATTCGACGCGCGGCCCTCCGCCCTCATCGGCGCCCGGCCTCCGACCCCCGATTCACCGATCACGTGGTCTAAACACCCACCAGCCCCTCTTCACTGTCAGCAGCACTGTCAGCAGTCACATGACTGAAAACTTTTCGCAGTCACAAAGCAGTCCCGCCCCCGAGCAGCTTCACCAGAACGAAAGCCTCCTGGAGCCCTCCCGAAGCCCTGCGCAGCCTCGACGCTTTCTGCCTTTGTTGCCCCGCCGCGCCTGTGCTTTATCGGGCCGCACCCCTCGCGGCGAGTCCACCCCGCCATGGACAACGATGATAACACCATCACCAACCACGACGATGCTGATACCAACAACAATGCTGATACCAACACCGCCACTAACCAGCAACAGCAACACGCTGATACTGAAGTCGACCCCGAACACGACCTCCGTCTCGCAGAGCAACTCATAGCCCAGCACGCAAACCCAGACCACCCCTCCAATGTCCAGCCCGACATCACCTCAATGCTCCACGAGGCCGCCGCCGCCGCCGGCATCTCCCTCGACAGTCTCGCGGCTGAAGTGCCCGGCTTCTTTGGTCACGATCTCGATAATAGTCAGGCTGTCGAGCAATCAGTCTTGCAGACTCAACCCGACCAGCAGCAGACTGATACCCACCCTGCTGCTCCTGATCAGCCCCCGCATGACGCAAACGTTGATAACCAGCTGCCTCACCTCGACTTTGCTCATGACCTACACTTCACTCAGACCGATCCATCTTCCTTCGATCCGCAGCACGAGCAGCATCAGCAGCAGCAAGATCAAGATGAGCAACAGCATTTCGAAGTATCCGAGCACTTCGACGCCTCTGTTACCTTCGACCACGCGCCCGACGACACTACCCTCGATGCTTCTCACTTTGATCTGCCTGACTCCAATGAGCAGCAGCAGCAGGAGCAACAGGAGCAACAGCAGCAAGAACCTCAGCCCGAGGAAGAGCAAATCGAGCTCTCCGAAGCCCTTCAAGCACAAGTCGCCGCCCTGGCCCTCGAGCTGCAGCAGAGCGGTCTTGAGAATCTGTCGCCCGAGGAACTGCAGCAGCATGTCATGGAGAGACTTCTCGCCGGTGACTTTGGCCTCGCGCAGGAATCTGAGCAGCAGCCTGATGAAGTCCCCGCCGAGCAACCCGAGCAGGCACAACCGCGGCCATCAGATACTCCAGCTGTTGAAGTGCAAGAGCAACCTGCCGAGCAAGATGCTGCACAGCAAGATGCCGCCCCGGAGCACGCGCACGCTGATATGGAACTTCCGCATGATCAGCAGCTCGTCAACGCCCTAGCCGACCACGATCGATCCATAGCCATCGACCCCGCATTCCAAACCGTCGAGCACCAACCTTCCGAGCCCGCTCCTGCCGACTCTCAACCCATCGACGCCAGCCAGCAAGACGGCGAGCAGCCTCAAGATGCCGTGGTCGCCGCCGACGGCGAAACCGGGATCAACATCGAGCAGCTCAACGAGATCATCATGGGCATGGATCTCAGCGACCCTGCCACCGCCATCGCGCAACTGCAGGCTGCGACCCACATCGACCCCGCTACGCTCTTGCAGGCCGTCACACAGGCGCTGACTAGCGTCTTGGGCGGCGAGGACGAGGTCTATGATGCAGACCTGCTGGGCGAAGATGGTACGCCTGTCCGACGGAAACGCGAGCGGTCGAAAAAGTCGACGCCGGCTACGCCTCAGCAAAAGCAGAAATTGAAGGTGCTCAACCGTCTGCGCAAGAAGCGATGGCGTCAATTTAATGACGAGAGAAGTGCGTCTCTCTTTTCTTTACTCCCACGAATTCATCTAACTCTGTAAATCGTCTAGACAAGGACAACGATCTCAGATGCCGTCTCTACCGCCGCGCGGACGCCATCTTTGGCAAACTTCCAAGCGACGACAAGTCCCGCTGGATCGAGACCGAATTCCACGCCCGCCGCGAGAAGCGCATCGCGCGAATGCAGCGCGAGGCCGCGCGCAACTTTGGCAGCGGCGCGGGCGGCATGGCTGGCGGTGCGCTGAGCGGGCTGTTTGGCCAGGCTGGGATCGGAGAGGAGCTGCAGGCTGCGTTGGCGGAGATTATGGGGCGCGAGTCGGATGTGGAGAAGTTTAATAATATGCTTTTGCAGTTGGCGAGGGATCCGAATTTGATTCGGAATCTGACGAGTATGCTTGAGGGTATGGATGGGGAGGAGGAAGAGCGGGCGCCGGGTGCGGGTGGGTTTGTTGAGGAAATGCAGCAGCAGCATGAGCAAATGCAAGTGCAGGATGCTGAGAAGGAGGTGGATGCCTTGAGTCATCACTTGGGCGAGGTAGAGCAGCATGCAGAAGTTCATGAGCCATCTATCGATCCGAGCCTGGAACATCTAGGTCAAGCTCCAGCAGCCGACAACCCCATCACCAGCGACGAGACCAACAATCACGCACAAGAAGTCGACGCAGCGCACGAAGAGCATGGCACGGCCGGCGAACAACTAATCACCCTACCAGACGGTCAACAGATCGACATGGCAGAAGCAATGAAAGTGCTTGCGTCGATGAACATCGATCTTGAAGCCGAGGGCGTGGACCAGACTGCTTTGTTGCAGGCCTTTAGCTCGTTGCTGGAGAAGCCCACGGATGCGGCTGCAGAGGAGGAGCAGGTCGTCGACGCCGGTGCAGATCTGTCGTCGCATACTGTCACAAACAGTAAGCGTCCGCGAGAAGATGCGGACGACGACGATGTCGCTCGTCCTGCGCCTGCTTCGCGCTTATCGACCCTCGAAGCATACACCCTCGCAGTCGGCACCGCAGCACCTCCCCCTCTTCCCCGCCCCGGAGCCTACATCCCCCCCTCCCCGATCCCGCTCCCCCCTCGTCCGGCAAGCAAACTGCCCGACATCCCACGCCCGTCCTTCTTCGGCGCGCCGCCGAAACCGGCAACGCCCGTCAGCGGCGCCGAGAGCGAGGACGATCGGATGAAGAAGATTAAAGCGCTCGGGTTCCCGCCTGGTCCGGCGTCGCTCAAGCCGCCTTCGCCTGCGCTCTCTTTGACTGCGGCGAGAATACCCGCGCTACCGCCGCCGTCGCTGATGGCGTCTTCCACTGGACGGAAACAGTCTGCGGGGGATGAACATGAGGCTTTGAGTAGTCCGTTGGCTACATCTACTCCTGTCGCATCCGGATCCGCTGCTGCTGCTGCTGATGTCACGTCTGATGCTGCTGCTACCACCCCCACAACCACTCCAGCAGCTCCACTCCCCGCAGCAGTCGACGTGCTAGAACAACACACCCCTCACCCCGCCGAAATCACCGTCAGCGAAGTTCACTAAAACCACACACACATGTACACTACACTACCCTCTTTCTTCTTCTTCTTCACTTGTATTGTTTATTTCCTCTACCGCTGTTTATTTCGTTCTGTTGGTTTATTTGTACTTCTAGGGAACTTTTCTTGTATAATATGGGTGGACAGTGTTGGATAGGAAGCTTGCAGAGTCGATGATATAGTATAATATAATCAATAGACTCTACATTCACAATGCTTTTGAAAATCATATTAGACTAGAACCTTAGAATATAGACGATGCTGACGGCTCTGGGGTTTAGCAACTAAGCAGCTTAGTCACTACACAGCGCTTGCGGGTTTTCTGCAAGGAAGGCGGTGATGTATGAATGGCAGGTCTGGGTTCAGCACATTCAAAGGCACGCCATGCCTTAAAGAATAAGAAAGCTAATCAACAATGTCCTCCTCCACCTCCTCCTCCACACCCTGAATGATGCTGTAGCGGCGCACTAACCCCCCACCATCCCCTCACCTCCACCACCGCCTTCGGCCGCAACAAACCCCCCGCCAAGTAAACTCGCAGAATACCTCGCCACAGCGCTCGTAAACTCGCTGTACGGCGTCCACGGCGTCCTGCCGTACCTCGTCCGCGCTATCTCACCCCATCCAACACCGTCCGCCGCCGCCGCCGCTGGCCCGGAAGAGGTGTACGCAGGCGGCAGACCCGCTGCGTACGAGGGCGGCATGGTTTCTAGTACCGGCAGGGCAGTAAGGTCAGCAAAGTACGGGTGCGCGTAATTCGGTCCGGTGTGTGTACTAGATTGCTCAGCGACAGAGGACGTGTGCGTGAGGCGCTGCACGAGCGTGTCGCCGCCCAGCATCCGTTTTTCGCATTCGATCGCGTAGAATTGGTCGATGAGCGCCGCGCGGCGGGAGGATTTGGCCGAGAACGGAGGCTTTGCGGTTTTTTGCTTGGCGGCGACGTATTCGCGTGTGGCATGGCATATTGCGCAGGTGCAGCCATCGTATTTGAAGTCCGGGATTGCGTACCGACTCCACTCGCGCTTGGAGAGAAAGTGCGAGTCTGTCAGCCTGTTATCGCTCACGTCGTCGTCGTGCTCCAAGATCGTGCCTAAGAACGCCAGACTTGTGGCCGCGTAGCCTGCCGGATCAAGTTGCATCGTGAGCCAGACAATATCGCCATCAACCGGCGGCGCGAGAAAGGTATACGGCCGAAACCGCACGAGGAAGAAGAACTTTAGGAACCGCACGGTCGCATGCTCAATCACGTTCTCCCGAAACGGCGAGTGCAGGTACGCGTACTTCACCATCTTGTCTGCGAACTCGCACTGTCTGAGCACCGCCAGCTCGAGATCGATGCAGAACGGCGTGCAGTTTTTGACATAGTGCGACAGCACGCGGAATTCCTTTGTGCGCGGCTGTTTTTGCGAAATGGCTTTTTTGTACAGGAGGCGAAAGACATCCTGCACCTTTGTCTGCGCGAGGGTAAAGTCGTCGCCAGGCGGGATGTGCGAGAAGAGGGCTGCTACGTCTGAGCTTATAGAGCCGGGGGTTGCGTATCGTTCTTTTTCGGGATATTGCACGCCTAGGTAGTCGAGTAAAGCGCCCCTGGCATGCTGTTAGCACTTGGAGTATAACCAGAGTAGCATAATTTGAACAAGAAACATACTTGAGAGGCACACCTCTTTCCTCGAACGCCTTACAGTCATCCAGCAAAGCAGCCGTAGTCAACGCGTCGCGCGTGAGGAGGCAACCACACTCTGTGCAGGTAGTTTTAAACTTGGATTGCACCCAGCCCGTGCCGGACTCGTTATACAGCTCGACAGAGTTGATGGACGGGCATTGTGGGCAGATAACGCACTTTGAGTTAATGCCGTCTTCGAGTTCAAACATTCGCATTGTGGTTTCTTCAAAGTACTCGCGCGAAGGGTCGGGTGGGTTGTATTTCCATGCTCCGTTTGGGGTCGAAGGCTGTTGAATTACCGACTCCTAATGAGTGCATGCGTTAGTGATAGTTGGAGATTGCAATGAAGACTCACAACATACCAATGCACCCCACGGCATCTTCATAGAGCGAAACACGCCCATTCGATTCGATCTCATCATGTCCTGCCAGTACACGCGCGGATGCAGCATATGCGAGTGCAGGACCATCAAGACATCAATCGGTGGTAAATTCTCCGCCGTAATCTCGTACGCCTCACCTTCGCCATGCAATCCAAACGACATCCGTGTCCTCCCAATCATCCCCCTACTCGGCAGGCTTCTAAACCACTCTGTATACCGCTCGACCGCGTAGGCGACGTAGACCTGCCACCGCAGCAATCTGCCATCATTATCGCTGCTGCTGGTCGAACTCGGAAACTCGGCGTCGGTAATGCCAAACATGCCGTCGCGCGCCATGATCTCAGCGCGCAGGTCGCGAAAGACGCGGAGGAGCTTGAGGTGTGTTGTCACCGACGCGATGTCCGGGAACAAGCCACCGCTGAGCACATCTGTGAACTCTGGATACTTGAATTGATCAATCAATTGTTTTACCGCGTTCTGCTTTTCTTTCTGCCGGACCGCGTCCGGCGTCTCGCGAAGGATATTCATGAGTGGCTCCAAGAGAGTCTGACGGAGGTAGACCATGTCTGCGACATATGATGATGTTCGAGTGATTCTAAACGCGCGCTCGAGGACAGTGTCGACGAAATCGTCGGGGAGGATTGGTCGTTTCTTGGTGGTAGGCATGATGATTGTAGTATGCTGCTTGGTGGGAGAGATGCTTGTCTATAATAGATATCTAGTCATGTGTACGGCAACGGTAGCGTACACCTTGTAATTGACTCAGAAGATAAGACCGCCTGGTCATAATGTGAAGTAAACCAGAGATAAGTTCTTATCCGCAGACGAACAGCTAATCGCAGCAACGTTTAATAATACCCGTCGCTGGGCTTCATCTTAACTCTGATCCGAGCGTCGCGCCGCTTTCGAGGCGATGTTCGCGAGGGCGGTGAAGTTGGGCCTGGAATGGGAAGTAGCGCCGCGCCGTTGTGCGGTTACGTCATACTAGCTATCAGCGTACAGCGACATTTTGCAACGACAGAATCTTTCTGTGGATGGTTTAAGACTGAGCAGTAATGCTGCAGAATGTTTAGATGCTGTTTGTTTGAGTGAGGTTAGAGACGCTGGTCATGAGCAGAAGCAGCAGTAAGCTCGGTGTGTCTAAATCAGGCGATTTATTCCTATTTTATTTCGACGCGTTATATGAAACCCTACAAAAACCATTCAAAATCGTAATTGTTCTTGCATTTGTGTCTATATTGTAGATGTTTATTATGAAAACTAGATATTTAGGCACGCTAGAGTACAACCTGCTTGATGTTTAACGAATTGAATTGATCTCAACTTCAGAATAGCAAGGCGATCGAAAAGAAAGCAGCTAACAGCCTCCTCCTCCACCTCCGCATCCTCCTCCTCCTCCACCTCCGCATCCTCCTCCTCCTCCACATCCTCCTCCCCCTCCACATCCCCCACCGCTACCTCCGCATCCACCACCACCACTACCTCCGCATCCTCCTCCACCCCCTAGTCCTGCGCATCCCCCTGATCCGCACGCGACACCTCCTAGCCCCTTATCACAGCTGGACGAACACCCGCCCCCATACTCTCCCGCTCCTCCGCCGGTGCCGCCTCCACCACTAACATACATCACGCTGTAATAAACCGGAAGGAGCATCGCCACCGCAATAATATACTCGCTGTACGGCGTCCACGCCGTCTTGCCGTACCGCGTGCGAGAGATCTCGCCAAACCCGTCCGACGCCGCCGGCTCGAAGGTGTACGCAGGCGGCAGACCCGCGTACGACCGTAGCACCGTCCCTTTCTCTGACAATATCGGCGACAAAGTCAAGTCAAGGAAGTACGGGTGCGAGTAATTCGGCTGGGTGCGTTCTTTTGCGGACAGCTTGAGGCGCTCGGCAACAGAGCATGTGTGCGTAAGGCGCTGCACCAGCGTGTCGCCGCCCAGAATCCGTTCTTCGCATTTGATGGCGTAGAATTGATCGATAGCCGCCGCGCGGGCGGACTTGGTCAAAAGTCTACTCTTCAACGACTTTATGAGCCTGATTCCCTCAGGCCGCGCAACATATTCGAGCTTGGCCTGGCAGATCGCGCACGTACAGCCATCGTACTCGAAATCGGCTACCTTCTTGTACCGCTTCCACTCCCGCTTTGTCAGCTCGTGTGAGTCTGATAGCGCGCTGTCGGCAAGGTCGTCGTCATGATCCATGATCGTGCCCAAGAACGTGAAACTCGTGGCCGCGTAGCCGGCCGGGTCGAGCAGCATAGTGTGCCAGACAATGTCGGCGTCGATCGGCGGCGCGAAAAAGTCACCGGGGCGTAATCTGACGAGGAAGAAGAACTTGAGGAACCGCACAATTGCGCGCTTGATCACGTTCTCCCGAAACGGCGAATGCAGGTACGCGTACTTGACCATCTTGTCTGCGAAATCGCACTGTCTGAGCACCGCCAGCTCGAGATCGGTGCAGAACGGCGTGCAGTTTTTGACATAGCACGACAGCACACGAAATTCCTTCGTGCGCGGCCGTTTATCGGCAGCGGCGGTTTCGGACAGTCTGATAAACACCTCGCGCACTTTGGTCTGCACGGAGTTGAAATCTTCGCGGGACGGGATGTGCGAGAAGAAGCCCGCGATCTCGGCGTTTAGGGCGCCGGGGATCATGCCTGGGTCTTTATACTGTACGCCTATGTAGTCGAGTAAGGCTCCCCTGATGCAATGTTAGCACTTGAAATAATTAACAGAGCAGAATTGGTAGATTGAGAGACTCACTTGAGAGGCACGCCGCTTTCCTCATATGCCTGGCAATCGTCCAGCAAAGCAGCGGTAGTCAACACATCGAGTGTGATTCTGTACTCGCAGGCCGTGCAAGTAGCTTCAAACTCCGACTGCACCCATCCCGTGCCGGACTTGTTAAACAGCTCGACGGAGTTGACGGACGAGCATTGCGGGCAGACAACACACTTTGAGTTGCTGTCGTTCTCGAGATCGAACAGGCGCATGGTATTCGACTCAAAGGACTCGCGTGCAGTCTCGGACGGATTGTATTTCCACGCTCCGTGTGGGTTTGAAGGCCGCTGAATTGCCGATTCCTAATGAGTTCATGTGTTAGTGACTGTTGTAGTTCTCAATGATCTCTGCAAGTTTTATCAACGTACTAAAGCATCCCACGGCATCTTCATGGAGCGAAACACGCCCATGCGATTCGAGCGCATCAAGTCCTGCCAGTACACGCGTGGATGCAGCATATGCGAGTGCAAGACCATCAAGACATCGATCGGTGGTAAATTCTCCGCCGTAATCTCGTACGTCTCGCCTTCGCCGTGCATGTCATACGACAGTCCCGTTTTCCCAATTGGCCCTCTGCTCGGAAGGCTTTCAAACCACTTTGTGTACCGCTCAACTGCGTAGGTGACATAGACCTGCCAACGCAAAAATCTGCCATCTTTGTCGCTGCTGCTGGAGTAGCGTGGGAACTCGTCATCGGTGATGCCAAACATGCCGTCGCGCGCCATGATCTCGGCGCGCAGGTCGCGAAGGACGCGAAGAAACTTGAGGTGTGTTGTTACCGACGAGATGTCAGGAAACAAGCTACCCTTAAGCAGCCTTGTAAAACCAGCATATTGGAATTTGCCGAGCTGCTGTTTGATCCAAGATTGCTCCTCTTCCTGCTGGATTGCGCACGGCGTGCTGCGGTAGACCTGATTGAGTCGGTTGAAGAGTTCCCGGCGGATGAGAGAGTACGATGAAATAATAGTCGGCCTCAATTGAGCCAGTTCAAACACGCGCTCGAGAACGAGGTCGATGAAGTCTTCGGGGATGGTTTGTTGCTTGTCGGTCGATGCCATGGTTGTAGTGTGCTGATGAGGGATGGATCGTTGGAGTGATGCTTGCTTTATAGATATCTACTTTGTCCTCGTGACGGGTGTACGGCAACAATTGCGTACGTTACTGCTGGTTGTAGTTGACGGAAGGTATCAGACATGGAAGGCCCGTCCCGAGTGTAGGATGACGATACACGGGGTAGGATGACTGGTAGTCAGGAATCCCGCAAAGTCCCGAGATGAGCCTTCATCGACAACCGAACGGCTAAGCGCAGTAACGTTTAATCACTCTCATAGCTAGATTAGGTAGATTTCCTTCGGGTGAATCCGAAACCCAGGTCTGAGGCTCGTGGGATCGACATCCACACCGCTGCGATAGCGGTGAAGTTGGTGCCGAGATCAGGGGCAGCGCCGTGCCCTCGAACCCCGTGACTGGGACCGACGGACGAACTTCTTTGGCGCCGGCTGTTCGCCTGCTCGTCTGCTCTTTGTCTACCGCCAATTGCCGAGTCCTCGACAAGATCAGAACCGTCTGTCTGTTTCATATTTTGTAGAATGACTCCTCCCGCACGCTGATAAGCAGCCATGACGACGATCCGGGGTGCTGCGTAGTCGCGTTGGCGGTCCGCGGCTCAGCCGTGCGCTACGTCATAGCTCTTAGCGTACAGCACCAATTACTATGACGGCGAGACCGTCACAAGCATTCTTTATTCGGATAGAGGGGTCGCGACTCATGTGAAGATGATTAGGTGTGTGGTTTTTAATTGCTTGAGGCTCGAGATGATGGTCATGAGTGAGAACAGAGAGCCCGGTGTATGTACCTCGAATACAGAATTGTCTATAGAAGGCTGATAACCAGATATTATTCATACTTGAGCACATCAGCTTTCTACCTCTTTTTGCCTCTTTTCGTCTACAACAAAAGCCCAAATCAAAAGAATTCCCTGTAAAATACAGTAATACTGTAAAATGGATTCTGTAAGGAAATTCAAATGAGAACTGTCATCGTTATTAATTCCAATAAAGGTCCTCATTACTACACATTGAACTCGAGGTTGTCAGCTCCTAATCCCAGCTCTGGCGACGAAGGGATTTACAATTCATCACTCTGAGCACAAGTGAAAGAAAAACAAAAAATAGTAGAATACACAGCACAAAGCATCAGAAGGAGCGTCTAATTACCACCTCCTCCGCATCCGCCACCTCCACACCCCCCTGAAGGATGTGTCCCACTCGCGCACCCGCCTCCATATGTCCCCGATCCTCCACCAAGTCCGCCTCCGCCCGCGACAGACCCCACATAGTACGCAGCCGGCAGGACCGTCGCAATCGTGTACGCATACTCGTAGTACGGCGTCCACACCTTCTGGCCGTACCGCGTGCTCGAGATCTCGCCAAACCCGTCTGACGCCGCCGGCTCAGAGGTGTATGCAGGCGGCAAATCATCATACGACGGCAACTGAGACTCTTTCTCAGACAGTATCGGCGAGGGAGTCAGGTCGAGGAAGTACGGGTGCGAGTAATTTGGCTCGACGGGTGCTTTAGCAGACAGCTTGAGGTGTTCAGCAACAGAGTATGTGTGCGTAAGGCGCTGCACCAGCGTGTCGCCGCTCAGAATCAATTCTTCGCATTTGATGGCGTAGAACTGGTCGATCGTGGCCGCGCGGGAGGATTTGGACAAAAACCGGCTCTTGAGCGACGTTTTGAACTTTCTCTGCTCGGGTTGCGAGTCGTATTCGCGCGTGGCCTGGCAGATCGCGCAGGTGCAGCCGTCGTAACTGAAGTCATCTACCTTCTTGTACCTCTTCCACTCGCGCATGGTCAGCTCGTGCGACTTTGAAAGCGTATCATCGGCCACGTCGTCGTTGTGGTCCATGATCGAGCCCATGAACGCGAAGCTTGTGGCCGCATATGCGGCAGGGTCGAGCATTACCGTGTGCCAGACAATGTCGGCGTCGATCGGCGGCGCGAGAAAGTCGTCGGCATTAAAGCAGACGAGGAAGAAGAACTTGAAGAATCGCACGGTTGCCTGCTTGATCATGTTTTCCCGGAATGGCGAGTGCAGGTACGCGTACTTGACTATCTCGTCTGCGAAATCACACTGTCTCAGCACCGCCAGCTCAAGATCTATACAGAACGGCGTGCAATTTTTGACATAAGACGATAGCACGCGAAATTCCTTCGTGTGCCACCGATGCTCGGCCACGGCGGAGCTGGAAAGTTTGTTAAACACCTCGCGCACTTTAGACTGCGCGATGTCAAAGTCTTCGCGGTGCGTGATGTGTGCGAAAAGAGCGGTGACTTCGGCATTTAAAGCGCCGGGGATCGCGTAGAAGTCTTGAGAGGAATACTGCACGCCTATGTAGTCAAGTAAGGCACCTCTGAGGGACTCTGTTAGCACTTAAGAGTAATACGTAGAGCAGCGTCGGTATAGAATGGAAAACATACTTGAGAGGTACGCCCCTTTCCTCAAACGCCTGACAATCGTCCAGTAAAGCAGCTGTCGCCAACACATCGCGTGTGATTCTGTACTTGCAGCCTGTGCAGGTGGACTCAAACTCGGATTGCACCCAGCCCGTGCCGGACTCGTTATAGAGCTCGACAGAGTTGATGGACGAGCATTGCGGGCAGACAACGCATTTTAAATTGCTGTCGTCCTCGAGATCAAATTGTCGCATGGTGTTGAGTTCAAAGTACTCGCGTGCAGTCTCGAATGGATTGTATTTCCACGCCCCGTTCGGGTTCGAGGGCTGCTGAATTGCCGATTCCTAATGAGTTTATGCGTTAGTGATGGTCGGAGATTAGAATGAAGACTCGCAACATACCATTGCCTCCCACGGCATCTTCATAGAGCGAAACACGCCTATTCGATTCGAGCGCATTAGGTCCTGCCAGTACACACGTGGGTGAAGCATGTGCGAGTGCAGGACCATCAAGACATCGATCGGGGGTAGACTCTCGGTCGTGATCTCGTACGCCTCACCCTCGCCGTGCAAGTCATACGATGGTCCCGTTTTACTAATTGGCCCTTTGCTCGGCAGGCTTTCAAACCACTTTGTATATCGCTCGACCGCGTAGGTGACGTAGACCTGCCACCGCAGGCGTCTGCCGTCGTAGTCGCTGCTGCTGGCGTAGCTTGGAAACTCGGCATCAGTGATGCCAAACATGCCGTCGCGCGCCATGATCTCGGTACGCAAGTCGCGTAAGACGCGGAGGAGCTTGAGGTGGGTTGTTACCGACGAGATGCCAGGGAACAAGCCAGCCCTGAGCATTTCTGTGTAGTTGGTAAACTCGAATTGTCTGAGCTTTTCTTTGATCCAGGTCGACTCTTCTCTCAGCAGATCCAAGTTCGGAGTATTGCTACACGCCTTCGCAAGTTGTTCATAGACTTCCGCATGAGTCTCAGCCGTCAGTGGGGCATACCGTGACGACCGGGTGTATCTGAACGCGCTCTCGAGAGCGACGTCGATGAAATCGTCGGAAGTAATCAGCTCCTTATGGGCGGGGGGCATGACTGTAGTGTGCTGATAAGGAATTGATGGTGGAAGAGAGGCCATTTCCTAATAGACAAGGAGACCAGGTGTGGGAAGACTGCTTCGAGCGCCAGACGACAAAGTACGGGGTAGGATGACGATATAAGCGAGAAAGAGATGAGTCTTCGTAGGCAGACGAACGGCTGAACGCGGGAACGTGTAATTCTCGTTGCTACGCTTAATTCGGGTGAAGCCAACCCAGGTTTGAGGGTCGCGGGCTCGGCATACGCGTCGTTTTCGAGCAGTGTGCCAACAGTGCTCTTCGCGATGGAAATGGGAGGTGCCGTGACTGGGACCGAGCGCGAAGAGCAGCTTTGTCTCCAGCGGCTCGTCTGCGCCTCGTCTGCGCCTTGTCTGCCGCCAACAGCCGAGTCCACGACGAGATAAGAACTGTCGGCCTGTTTCACGTCCTGCTGAAAGTGACTCTTCTTGCGCGCTGATGAACAGCCACGAGGTCGAATCCGGAGTGCTGCGAAGTCGCGTCCGTCGCGCGTCAGCCGTGCATTACGTCATAGCTCTTAGCGTACAGCGACACCTACTCGACAGCAACACCTCCGCAAGCCTTCTCTATTCGGATAGAGGGGTTGCGACTGATGAGAGGATGAGTAAGTGTTTTATTTTTGATTGTTTGAGGTTCGAGATGATGGTCATGAGTGAGAACAGAGAGCTCGGTGTGTTTACCTCGAATACAGAATTGTCTATAGCAGGCTGATAACCAGATATTATTCATACTTGAACACATCAGCTTTCTACCTTATTTTTACCTCTTGTCGTCTACAGCAAAAGTCCAAATCGAAAGGGTTCCTTGCACAATACAGCAATATTCTCCAATAAATTCTAAACGTTTTGTGAGGAAATTCAAATAGTCATTGTCATCGTTATTAATTAATTACCACCTCCTCCACCACACCCACCACCACCTCCGCATCCGCCCCCTCCTCCACATCCACCACCTCCACCACCTCCTCCGCATCCACCACTCCCACACCCCCCTGAATGATACGACGTACTCGCGCACCCGCCTCCATACGTCCCCAATCCTCCGGCAAAGCCTCCTCCGCCCGCCACAGACCCCATGTAGACTGAAGCCGGCATGAGCATCGCTACCGTATACTCAAACTCGTAGTACGGCGTCCACGCCGTCTTGCCGTACCGCGTGCGCGCGATCTCACCAAAGCTTTCTGACGCTGCCGGCTCAGAAGTATACGCAGGCGGCAGATCCGCATACGACGGCAGCCCCGTCTCTTTCTCCGACAATGTTGGCGTAGGAGTCAGGTCGAGGAAGTACGGGTGCGAGTAATTCGGCTGGGCGCGTGCTTTCGCGGATAGCTTGAATTGTTCGGCGGTAGAGTATGTGTGCGTAAGGCGCTGCACAAGCGTGTCGCCACTCAAAATCCGCTCTTCGCATTTGATGGCGTAGAATTGGTCGATCCTGGCCGCGCGGGAGGATTTGGACGAAAACCGGCTCTTGAGCGACGTTTTGAACTTTTTCTGCTCCGGCAGCGCGTCGAATTCGCGCGTGGCCTGGCAGATTGCACAGGTGCAGCCGTCGTAACCGAAGTCATCTACCTTCTTGTACCTCCTCCACTCGCGCTTTGTCATCTCGTGCGACTTTGACATGGCATCGTCGGCCACGTCGTCGTCGTGGTCCATGATCGAGCCCATGAACGAGAAGCTTGTGGCCGCGTAGGCGGCAGGGTCGAGCAACATTGTGTGCCAGGCAATGTCGGCGTCGATCGGCGGCGCGAGAAACTCATCGGCATTGAAGCAGACGAGAAAGAAGAATTTGAAGAACCGCACGGTTGCCTGCTTGAGCACGTTTTCCCGAAACGGGGAGTGCAGGTACGCGTACTTGACCATCTTGTCTGCGAAATCACACTGTCTCAGCACCGCCAGCTCGAGATCGATACAGAACGGTGTGCAATTTTTGACATAGTACGATAGCACACGAAATTCCTTCGTGCGCGGCCGTTTCTCGGTCACGGCGGAGCTGGAAAGTTTGTTAAACACCTCGCGCACTTTAGACTGCGCTATGTCGAAGTCTTCGCGGTGCGTGATGTGTGCAAAAAGAGCGGTGACTTGGGCGTTTAAGGCGCCGGGGATCGCGTGTGAGTCCTTAGAGGGATACTGCACGCCTATGTAGTCGAGTAAGGCGCCCCTGACAAATCGTTAGCACTTGAAGTAATGATCAGAGCAACATCGGTAGAATGGGAATCATACTTGAGAGGAACGCCTCTTTCTTCAAAAGCCTGACAATCGTCCAACAAAGCAGCGGTAGTCAAAATGTCGCGTGTGAGGCGGTATCTGCACTCTGTACAGGTGGCTTCAAACTCGGATTGCACCCAGCCCGTGCCGGACTTGTTATAAAGCTCGACAGGGTTGAGAGACGAGCATTGCGGGCAGACAACGCATTTTGAATTGCTGTCGTCCTCGAGATCAAATTGTCGCATTGTGTTTACTTCAAAGTATTCGCGTGCAGTCTCGGACGGACTGTATTTCCACGCCCCGTTCGGGTTCGAGGGCTGCTGAATTGCCGATTCCTAAAGGAATTCATGCGTTAGTGATAGTTGTGGATTACAATGAAGACTCACAATATACCAAAGCCTCCCATGGCATCTTCATAGATCGAAACACGCTCATACGATTCGACCGCATCAAGTCCTGCCAGTACACACGTGGATGCAGCATGTGCGAGTGCAGGACCACTAAGACATCGATCGGTGGTAAATTCTCCACCGTGATCTCGTACGCTTCGCCTTCACCGTGCAAGTCAAACGACAGTCCCGTTTTCCCAATCGGCCCTCTGCTCGGCAGGCTTTCGAACCACTTTGTATACCGCTCGACCGCGTAGGTGACATAAACCTGCCACCGTAGGAGTCTGCCATCTTTGCCGCTGCTGCTGGCGTTGCTCGGAAACTCGGCGTCAGTGATGCCAAACATGCCGTCGCGCGCCATAATCTCGACGCGCAAATCGCGAAAGACGCGGAGAAATTTGAGGTGTGTTATTATCGACGAGATGTCAGGGAACAAGCCGACCCTGAGCAATTTCGTGAAGTCGGTGTACTCAAATTTCTTGAGCTGTTGTTTAATCCAGGTCGGCTCTTCGCTCAGCCGATCCCTGTGCAGGGTATGGCGGTATACCTTTGCAAGACGGTCATAGACTTCCGCACGAGTCTCAGCCCTTGGTGGGGTATACCGTGAAGATCTGGTGTATTTGAACGCGCTCTCGAGCGCGACGTCGATGAAATCGTCGGACGTAATTAGCTCCTTATCGGTCAGTGGCATGATTGTAGTTGATAATGAGGGATTGATGGTGGGGGAGAAGTCACTGCTGCTGCTTGTAGTTGACTATGAGACGAGGCGTGGGAACTTGTTTTGAGTGCAGGTCGACGATGATGTAAGTGGGGAAGAGATGAGTCTCCGTCGGCAGGCGAACGGCTGAACGCAGAAACGTTTAATGCTCGTCGCTATGCTTGAATCGAGTAAAGCCGAACCAGGTCTGAGATTCGCGGGCTCGGCATACGCGCCGTTTTCGAGCAGTGTCCCAAAAGCGGTGTTCGCGCTGTAAATCGAGAGAAGCCGTGCCTGGGAACCCGAGGACCCCCGTGACTGGGACCGAGCGCGATGAGCTGCTCCAGGGGCACGTCTGCGTCTTGTCTGCCGCCAACTGCCGAGTCCACGACGAGACGAAGACTGTCGGCCTGTTTCACGTCCTCGTCCTGCTAAGATCAACTCCTCCTGCGCGCTGATGAACAGCCACGAGGTCGAATCCGGGGTGCTGCGAAGTCGCGTCCGTCGCGCGTCAGCCGTGCATTACGTCATAGCTCTTAGCGTACCGCGACACCCCGCGACGAAAGCAAGTCTTGTCTGTATACCGTTTGCGACTGGTAGCTGTTTGATTTGGAATTTGCTCATAAGCGGAAGCAGTATGTTTGATATGCTTGTCTCAGAAGTTTCCAGCGCGGGTGGTTTCAATGAAAGGGTAATTATGCGGGTGTAGGATTACTGCGTTCATCATTCGTAGATATCTAATCGCGCAAACTTTCCATCTGTCTGCCGTTCAACAATTCCAATTGAAGTAAATTTCATGCATGATATCAAACACAAAGATAGCAAAACACATTGTATAATACATTGTAGAGAGGCAGTCAATCACCTCCACCGCCGCATCCACCTCCTCCACAACCCCCTCCACCACATCCGCCACCTCCACAGCCCCCGGAGTGATGGTGGTGTGTATCTGATGCACCTCCACACCCCCCCGGAGTGGTCGTGTGTAGACGAATTGGACGCGCACCCGCCTCCGCACGACTCCCATCCTCCGCTGCCGCCGCCGCCGACTCCTCCTATATACCCAGCGCTATACGAACCCGCGGATAACATCATAACCGCAAGCACAAAGTCGTTGTACGGCGTCCACGCCGTCTTTCCATACCGAGTGCGCGAGATCTTACCAAAACCGTCCGACGCCGCTGGCTCGGAACTGTACGCAGGCGGCAGACCCGCGTACGACGTCAGCACCGTCTCTTTTTCTGACAGTAATGGCGAGGGAGTCAGGTCGAGGAAGCACGGGTGCGAGTAATTTGGCTGGGCTCGTGCTTTCGCGGATAGCTTCAGGTATTCTGCAGGGGAGTATGTATGCCTGAGTCGCTGCACGAGCGTGTCACCGTTCAGGATCCGTTCCTCGCAATTGACAGCGTAAAATTGGTCGATAGTGGCCGCGCGGGCAAACTTTTTTGAGAGCGTATTCGTCAGTGAAATCCTGCCCTTGCTTCGCTCAGCTCGCGCATCATATTCGAGCTTGGCCTGGCATATCGCGCAGGTACAGCCGTCGTACTTGAAATCATCGATCTTAAACCTTTTCCGCTCGCGCATTGTCCGCTCGTGCGATTTTGACAGCGCCTTGTCAGCCACGTCATCGGCGTGGTCCAGAATCGTGCCCAAGAACGCAAAGCTTGTGGCCGCGTAGCCGGCCGGGTCGAGCAGCATCGTGTGCCAGACAATGTCGGCGTCGATCGGCGGCGCGAAAAAGTCCCGCGGCCGAACGCGCGTAAGGAAGAAAAACTTGAGAAACCGCACAATTGCGCGCTGTATCACGTTATTCCGGAACGGCGACTGCAGGTACGCGTACTTGACCATCTTGTCTCTAAAATCACACTGTCTAAGAACCGCCAGCTCGAGATCTATGCAAAACGGTGTGCAGTTTTTGACATAGTATGACAGTACCCGGAATTCCTTCGTGCTTGGCCGTTTCCGAGCGATGGCGGTGTCGGATAGTCTGCTAAACACGTCGCGAACTTTAGTCTGTGCTTGGTCAAAGTCTTCGCGGGGTTTGATGTGCGAGAAGAGGTCCGCGACGTCGGCGCTGATGGCGCCGGGGGTCACGTTGGGGATGACGCCTGCTACATCGGGATACTGTACGCCTATGTAGTCAAGTAAGGTGCCCCTGACATACTGTTAGCACTTGAGTAATGATCAGAGTAGCATTGGTAGATTAAGACATACTTGAGAGGTACACCACTTTCCTCAAACGCCTTACAATCGTCCAGCAAAGCAGCGGTAGTCAACCCGTCGCGTGTGATTCTGTACTTGCAGCCTGAGCAAGTGGCCTCAAACTCGGATTGCACCCAGGCCGTGCCGGATTTGTTATACAGCTCGACAGAATTGACGGACAAGCATTGCGGGCAGACAACGCATTTTGAATTGCTGTCGTCCTCGAGATCGAACTGGCGCAGGGTGTTTGCTTCAAAGTACTCGCGTGAAGTCTCGGACGGATTGTATTTCCATGCCCCGTTTGGGTTCGAAGGCTGCCGGATCACCAACTCCTAAACGATCTCAAGCGTTAGTGATGGTTGTAGATGACAATGAAAACTCACAACATACCAATGCCTCCCACGGCATCTTCATAGATCGAAACACGCTCATACGATTCGACCGCATCAAGTCCTGCCAGTTCACACGTGGATGCAGCATGTGCGAGTGCAGGACCATCAAGACATCGATCGGTGGTAAATTCTCCGCCGTAATCTCGTACGTCTCGCCTTCGCCGTGCATGTCATACGACAGTCCCGTTTTCCCAATTGGCCCTCTGCTCGGAAGGCTTTCAAACCACTTTGTGTACCGCTCAACTGCGTAGGTGACATAGACCTGCCAACGCAAAAATCTGCCATCTTTGTCGCTGCTGCTGGCGTAGCTTGGAAACTCGGCGTCGGTAATGCCAAACATGCCGTCGCGCGCCATGATCTCGGCGCGCAAGTCGCGTAGGACGCGAAGAAGTTTGAGGTGTGCTGTAACTGACGATATGTCGGGGAACAGGCTACCCTTGAGCACCTTTGAGAACTCGTAATCGTTGAATTGCTTGAGTGTCTGTTTGATCCAGGTCTGCTCTTCGTTGTGAAGCTCCTCGTATGGCCTCCTACCATAGAGCTGTGTGAGTCGCTTGCAGACTTCATGTTGAATGTTGGGCATCGCTGCAACGTAGCGTGATGACTGAGTGTATTCAAACGCGCGCTCAAGAGCGGTGTCGACGAAATCGTCGGATATGGCTGGTTTCTCGTTCGTGGATGACATGATCTCGGCGTACTGCTGTAAGATAATGTTGAGAGACACACCTGCTTTTTGGAAATCTACTTGATTATTGTTGTCATAGGAGACCGATATGTGGAGCCTGTCCCGAGCTACAGGATGGTCGTGTAAATTGAGAAGCGCGTAAATGCCCGAGATGAGTCTTCGTCGGCCGGCTAGCGACTGAACGCAGTAACATTCATTTCACGTCGCTATTCTTCATTCGGATAAAGCCAATCCGGACTCGAGGGTCGCGGGCTCGGCATTCGCACCGCTTTCGGCCGGTGCTCGCGATGGCGGAGAAGTGAGATGTTTGTGGGGAGCCAAGTGCCGTGCCTGGGAACCCCGTGACTGGGGCCGAGCGCGATGAGCTTCGGCTGTTCGTCTCCTCCGCGACCGGTCGCCTGCCTGCCGCCCGTTGCCGAGGCGAAGCAAAACAAGAGTCATCGCCTGTTTCGAGTCTTGATGAGCAGCTTATTCTGCGCGCTGATGAAAAGCCACCATCGCATCACTGGATGCTGCGAGGTCGCGTGGGTCGTGGTTCGGCCGTGCATTACGTCATAGTTCTTAGCGTACAGCAATAGCTCGCGACCACAGCAAATTTTGTCGGTAGATGGTTTGGGACTGACGAGAATGCAATTGAGTGTTATTTGCTGTTTGCTTGAGATGTGCGATGCTGGTCATGAGCAGGTGCAGTGTGCTCGGTGTGTTTAACTGGAAAGCGAAAGGTTTCAGCGCGTGCCTTCCCGTCAGCCAAGGACAGCATATGGTCTACACGTTCGAGGCTTGTTCTTTGCTCTTGCTACTGCTCTGCTTATTGTCTGTTCAGTCAGCGAGAATTTCTTTCGGTGTCTTGTTCAGCGTCACTCTTGATTTTAAACCGAGTCCCTCTACTGAGCAACTACGCTACACCAAATCAGTCACGACTCGTCATCTAACACCGAAAAACAGCATCCAGAATACGCCATACGCTTGATAAATTAGCGTCTACAGCTTTTAAGTGCTTTAATTGCCTCTATTATTGATCTAATAGATTATGGATTGATGGAGGGGTCCGACAGGGGTTCTTGGATCATTTAGAGCGAACTCTCTGTGTTGTCTAAAGGCTGATAACCAGGAGAAGTTTGTGCTCGAGCACGCCAGCTCTGCGCCTCTTCCCTCCATCACGACAGATTTTCTATGCAATCACTAAAGGACTTGACCCAAGATCTATTCGACCTCGCAAATATCTCTGTCTGCAACCCGGGCCCGCGTCCGTAGATATTTATTCTTTGTTAAGGTTCCGTACCAGATCGTGCGAGATCTGCGTTGGGAGCGCCCTAACCCGAAGCTTTGTCACAGTCCTCGCGGGGTGGAAATGCGGACAGGGCGGCGATGCAGGATCGATGGCAGCGGTGGAGACGTAGTTTGTGGATGCTGTTCTTTCTGATAGAAGACAAGTGTGCGCAGTATTAGATTTAACCACTGTTTGCGACCATAATTGCCGTTTTATCGCCAAAACACTCAAACCCCGCAGGATCCATTGAAAGGTTTAAGATTTTGGCGGGCGGGCCGGTCTGCACGTGCAAATCAGGCTGGGCTGGCATTGTTCCGAGGCGGCGAATGACTTTGCATTTCTTTCCGTCTTCTTATCCTCTTTTTCATTTGTATCTTTATCTCTGTATATCTTCAACTGTTGCTGTGTCGCTCTTTTGATTCGTACGGCCTGATGTCTTGTTGCGAGGCCGCGTTCTCTTTTCTCTAATCCTTAACAGTCCTCAATAATGACGACTCTTTTCTCATCCATCGCAATCTCACACGATCAGCAATCGTCCACCGCTTCCCCGTTTAGCGCACCAAGCACCTCTTCAGAACACAGCAGCTTGGTTGACACGCTTGCGTCGAAGCTCATACGCGTGGCAAACAAGTTCTATCTCCGCGATAACGCCGCCAGCGCCGAGCAGCAGCAGCAGGCATGGGAAACGCCCTTGCACTCGCGCGACCTCGGGAGCTCGATTGATTCGGACGACAATGGACGGCAGAAACGACTCGAGGTTGCGTATGCGTTGCAGGAGCACGCTACATCTTACGACGAGTGGGCTAGGGCGTCGCAGGAGCTCGATTACTTGCTCGGTTACGATACGTGGAAAATGGACCCGGTCTCGGACGAGTATGATTACAAGCTTCTGATGCAGAAAGTACACGAGCTGCGCACTTTGAGGCAGAAAGGGGATTATCTTAAGCTGTTGTTTTTTCTGAGAACAACCTTGACGAGAAATCCCGCCAATATTGGAAACCCAAAGGTATGTTTGCAAATACTGTGATGGCCGGTAAGCGTACGCTAATTAATCATGTCATAGCTCTATACTCATTCCCACATTGGCACAAAATATCTGATTGACGACTACATAACTGAATGTGAAGAATCCCTCCAAACTGTCCTGAACTGTCCCATCCCTGCCGGCATGCAAGGTGACGACGTCACCTACGTCGACGAGAGCAGAAAGCTCGATGAACTACTACGAACCCGCCACGCGTTTGGTCGCACGGCACTCTTGCTCTCCGGCGGTGGAACTTTGGGAATGTTACACTCTGGGGTTCTGGAAGCCTTGCACAAGTGTGGTCTACTTCCGAAAATTATATCCGGCTCATCCGCGGGGGCTATCGTGGCCGCCGCGCTCTGTACGCGAAGTGATCAGGAACTCCCCGAGCTCCTGTCGAATTTCCAGTACTTCAACCTCGACGTCTTTGAAGAGACCGGCAACGAAGAGTCCGTGTGGACCCGCATTGCGCGGTTTCTGAAGCACGGCGCGTGGACGGATATTTCGTACCTCGTGAGCTCGATGCAGGAAGTTTTGGGCCAGCTGACTTTCCAAGAGGCGTACAATCGTACGAGGAGGGTGTTGAATATTCCTGTTTCGAGCGCTACAGTGTATGAGCCACCGCGACTGCTCAATTACTTGACCGCTCCTAACGTGTTTATCTGGTCTGCTGTGTACGTACTTCTTTACTTTAAGAAAGTATTTTATCAGAGTACTAACTAGACTTGTAGATGTGCATCGTGCTCGGTCCCGTTTGTCTTCCTCTCCCACACGCTCATGGCAAAAGACCCGCGCACCAGCCAACCCGTACCATGGAATCCCACCGCGCAGCGCTGGATCGACGGCTCAGTCGACAACGATCTTCCAATGTCGCGACTTAACGAGATGTTCAACGTCAACCACTTTATCGTCTCCCAAGTCAACCCGCACATCGTCCCTTTCCTAAAGCCATACGATGGCGTCTCGCCTGATTTATCAGCGTCTACCGAAGAAAGCAAGGCGGAGGCCTCTTCGTCATCTGCCAGTCCGCAAAAGTCGACGAGTCAAACGCGGAAAGTGGCGACCGGAATCGTCGGAAATTTCCTGGCAAAGTCGTGCGCGATCAGCGACTCGCTAATCAATCTTGCCGTCACGGAAACAATGCACAGGCTCGAGATGACATCGGAGATTGGCATCCTGCCAAACCTGTGCACGAAGCTGCGCTCGGTGCTTGCGCAGACGTACTCGGGCGACATCACAATCATGCCGCAGATCTATGTCTCGGAGCTCAACCGGATCCTGAAGAACCCGACGCCCGAGTTCTTGCTCGACGCGAAGATTCGCGGACACAAAGCTACCTGGCCGAAGATTTCGATAATCCGGAATCACTGCGCGATCGAGCTCGCGCTGGACTCGGCAATTATCGATCTGCGGTCGCGCACGATTATGAACTCGATGGTCGTCGGCGCCAAGAAGCTTTCGTCGCCCTATCTGCTGGCAGAGAGGCAGCGCAGTAGCAGTTTCTATAAAAACAAGAGCCGGCGGTCGTATGACGCCCATGGGAGAGCAGGCACGCCTGTTTCGGAAGGATTCAGCAAGTCGCTGTCGGAGCCGGCGACTGTTGTCAGAGAAGCATCGACGACGTCTGGGGTAAAAATCGTCTTGGCAGACGAAAGTAGCGGTGCTAAGCAGGCGCCTTCGAGCTCTAGTGAGGCGTCGAGGGTTGAGGCTGATGAGATGACGCTGATTAGCAGGACAGATGATGATGTCAACATCAACCTGGACGACGACGAAGACGAAGATGACGAGGGCGGATACATGATGGGTGTTTATCCAGAGGACACCGATTTTGATATTGGCAGCCCGGTGGAGACAAAGAATCTGACCGACCCATTTCTCGAGGCTCGCTCAGCACCAATGTCACCGTCCGCATCATCTTCATCGTCGTCCTCGTCGTCGACAGTTAACCGCCGGAACCGCCGCTCAGCAAGCTTGCTACAGCAGCCTACGACTTTTGCCATCGGCGTCTCACCCCCGGGAACCCCAAGAGCTCACCGTCGCCGAACGAGCGGCGACGGCTACTTTTACAATTACTTCAACTACTCGACCTCTCGGATCCCGAGCTACGGGTACCAGCAGCAGAACTTCCAGGCGCTTACTCGCCAGATGAGCAAATCCCAGCCGTCGACGCCTAGTTCGCGAAACCTACTCTCGCGGCAGGCAAGCGCGTTGAATATCCACGAGGTGCATGACTCGTCGTCGTCGCGGATTGGAAAGGGCAAGAAACCGCAGACGCAGAATAATACGTCGTCCCGGCGCGTGTCGTTCGACTTGGCGGCCCCGTCATCTGCGGATTTGAGGAACAGGACACAGTCGCTAGGGTCGAGTCCCAAGCTACAGATGGTGTCGTTGTCGGGTCCGTCGTCTGGCATGACGCAGCATCAGCGACAGCTGCAGTCTGCGCTACAGCTGATGCCGCAGTTCCAGGGTCTGCCGCCGAGCGTGGACGCGGATTATGATGGGGATGAGATCGCGACGTTGAGTACGCAAAGCGGGCGGCATAGACAGGTGGAGCACCATATGAGTGCAGCGAATGACTCTGACGATAGCTCGTCGGAGGCGGGGTCGAATCAGCAGCGGTACTGGCCACTGCAGTATGATCAAGTCGCGGCTACGACTGTCAGACCTGGCGCGTCCCAGTCGCAGCGGGGTCAGCGGGTTCGGCGGCCGCCTATAATGCGATCGATGTCTACGCCGTCTGGTCGCAAGTCGTGATGTCTGAGGGTGTGTTTAAGATCGTGTTGCTGTGGAGTTGTAATTGTGTGATTTTGTCATTGTGCTGTGGTCACTGTGTTTTGGGTCATTGGATGGTTGATTATGGATGAGAGTTTGGTGGGCGCATCTTGTATTCTAATCTACCGCTAGCACAGGCGAGAAATAACAAAGATCCTTATCAGCCAAGCTGATCGCGTGTAACTAAACCATTCTATGAGATCATCGCGAGCAGTATGAGGATTTCTAGCACCATGTATTCCGCCACTGAAAACAGAGATGGCGTGTCTCCGCGTGCTGCAGTCGGCGAGTGACGACCGATAACAAACAATGAGGCAGATCGGAGGAGAGAAACCGCAGTTGAACTAAGATCAACGTCGATTCTCTTTCCGGGTCGGCAGTTTTCGGACTTTATCACAACGCGTGTAGTCATCTCAGCCGGATTTTGCGTCACGAGGGTCCCTGCTGACTGTGCCCTGAATAGTCTGCACCACTACAATTAAGGTAGAATATCTATTCTGGAGCAAAGCGCACGCAGAGCAGATTGGCGGGCCTTATCCAGCGCTCGCCGTCAGCCACGGCCGTCAGCCACGACGAGGCGGTGCTTGGAAACTCCCAACATCCAAGACGACTCACCGCGCAGGTCACGTCGCTACGGCTCGCACTCTGCCCCTCGTGAGTCCCGCGGGCTTTATCTCTTCTGCTTCCCATCCCCAGACCGGCCTCTTCCTGGTCTACTGCTGCCTCTCCTTCTTCTTCTTCTTTTGATCTTGCGCCTGCATCTGTCTATTTTGCGCTGTTGGCCGTCATCCTCGCTCCTCCCTCTCTGGTTATCACATTCTCCGCCTCCAAATGGAGCGCGAGCGACGTCATCCGTCTAGCCGGTCATCGGGCCCGCCACCAATGGACACCGCCATAGGCGACTACAGCATCGGCAAGGAGATCGGCAAGGGCTCCTTTGCTATGGTCTTCAAGGGTGTGCACACTGTAAGTACCGCTGCCTGTTCTGCTGCGGATGTGCTCTTCCGCCAGCTGCTCTTCCCGCGCCAAACTACTGACCGCTTCCTTTCTCCCCCAACAGAAGACCGGAACCCCAGTTGCCGTCAAGGCTGTCCTGCGGTCGAAACTCAAGAAGCGACTACTTGAGAACCTTGAGACCGAAATCGAAATCATGAAGACTCTAACCCATCCGCACATCGTCCAGCTCTACGAGATCACACAGTCGTCGACCTATGTCCATCTGATCATGGAGTACTGCGCCCTAGGCGACCTCAACGTCTTCATCCGCAAGCGCGATCGCGTCTCCAACATGCCTCTTATCGCTTCCATCATGAAAAAGTTCCCCAATCCGCCAGACGGGGGTCTCAACGAAGTCCTCGTCCGCCACTTTCTGAAGCAGATGGCCTCCGCCATCGCGTTCATGCGCGAGCGCAACCTCGTCCACCGCGATCTCAAGCCCCAGAACATACTCCTCTGCCCTCCTCCTCGCACCGAGCAGGAAGCGATCGAGAAAAACCACGCCGGCACATGGGGTCTGCCGGTGCTCAAGCTGGCCGACTTTGGCTTTGCGCGCATTCTTCCAAACACCAGTCTCGCCGAAACGCTCTGCGGCTCGCCGCTCTACATGGCGCCCGAGATCCTGCGCTACGAGAAATACGACGCAAAGGCGGATCTGTGGTCTATCGGTGCGATCCTTTATGAGCTCTGCATGGGCAAGGCGCCGTTCAAGGCCGAGAACTACGTCGATCTCGTGCGCAAGATTGAGAAAAACGAGGACCGCATCAACTTTGCCGAGACAGTCCCGGTATCTGAACCACTCAAGCGATTGATTCGCGGACTCTTGCGCAGAAATCCCGTCGAGCGTATGGGATTCAAGGAGTTCTTTGAGGACGACGCCGTGCGTGGCGAGATCCCGCAAGTCCAGGAAGCGCCCAGTTTTGTTGCCGATATGGACGATGAGAAGTACATCACAGAGTATCTCTCCAAGCCTTCGCACAGCAAAGCGTCGTCGTCATCTCCCCGCAAGAGCTCGAAGCAGTCTTCTCCGCCACCTCAGACACCTGCTGTTGCTACTGCTGATACTGCAAACTCTGAGCCAGGTCCGTCGCCGGCTGCTATTCCTTCTAGACCCTCTCAGGTCCCCATACCTCAGCGTCTACCCAGTGGTGGGAAGGTCCACCAAACAGCTACTCCTGTTGCAGCTGCTGCTGCGGCTCCTCCTACGCCTGCTCATAGATCTGCTTCGCCGCCGCGCGCAATCTCGTCGTTTGCCAACCGCAGACCATCGCTTGAACGCATCGAAGAGCCAAAGCAGCCTTTGGATGAAGCCCAGTCGCGGCCGCCACTGAAGTCGACGTCTTCTGCTTCTAGCAGTGCACCACAGACTGTGCCGGGCCTTCAGCAAGAGAGCCGCGCGCGCGAGCATTCTAGTTCGCAGTCCAGCAGCCGTCGCTCTTCCGCGTTTAGTATCCAGACGCCGCCGATCACTTCGGCTTTCAATGGCCCACTGGCTGGCACGCCGTCTATGGGAAAACCCGAGGACGACATTATGTTCGAGCACGAGTACGTGGTAGTCGAGAAGCGCACTGTCGAAGTCAACGCGTTTGCGGACGAGTTGGCGAATAATTCGCCCAAGCAAACCGCGCACCAGCGGCGGTACTCGTCGTCGTCGTCTTCGTTCAGACCGATCTTGTCCCGTGCGAACTCATCTTCAGGAAGAAGCGGATCGTTTGGTAGATACGGAGAGTCTCCTACTTCGACCCTTGGACGTGCGCTTGCGATGGCGAGCGCGCGATTGATCGGTCGTAGCTCAACAAGCAACGCTAGTCGTGGATCTTCGCCGCGCGAGCATCACTATGTGGATGAGCCCGAGATGGCGGTTATCTTGAAGCTGGAAGATGCGGCGGTGAAATCGAATGCGGTGTACGAATTCGCAAACGTCAAGTTCTCGCAACTGATGCCGTCGACGCCTTCGAGCAACGTGATTCTCACGTCCGACCTGACGCCGCAGGCTATCGTCGGTCTTTCGGAAGAGGCGCTGGTGCTGTACGTCAAGAGTTTGTCGTTGCTAGCCGCGGTCATGGATCTCGCGGCGAGCTGGTGGATGTCCAAGGACGCGGCCCGAGTCTCGCCCCGTATCGTGACGGCCGTTGAATGGATCCGCGAGCGGTTCAACGAAGCGCTGAACAAAGCGCAGCTCGTGCGCATGAAACTGGCCAACCCGACCGGGGGCGTAGGCGCTCCGACGCCGGCTGCCACTGCGGAGGACTTCAGCACGGGTGTGACGGCGGAGAAGTTGCTTTACGATCGGGCGGTGGAGATGTCGAAGTCTGCGGCGATGAATGAAATCATGGGCGAAGGTCTTGCCGAGTGCGAGACTATGTATGAGACTTCGATCTTGATGTTGCAGGCGATTCTCGATTCTGATGGGGATGCTGTGATCGAGGAGGACGATGCGCGTTCTGTAGAAACGAGTGAGTTTCCTGTTTTTCTTTGTGTGTATGTGTGCCCTATGCTGACGATCTGTGAAAATCTAGTTATCGCGGGGATCCGAGACCGCTTGGCGACTCTGCGAAAGAAGTTGGAGGCCCAGCAGGCTGGTTCTGTACCTGGATCCACCTCTGCTTCGCGCACGTCCAACGCTGCTAGCTTCCAGCAGCAGTACGTCGTGTAAGTTTCCGGTCAGGTCTCTCTTGATTGCACAAGTCTCTTTTGTGCTCGGTGTTTGGTGCTCAGCGTCGGCGGTTCTCTCTGGATCTAGGACAAGGAACACAAATCAATTTGATCTCTCTCTCTCTCGTGTCTGTCCTATACGGAGTCTACTCCTTTTTTTTTCACGTTTTTTCTTTTTTGATTTATCTGGGAACATGGTCAAGGGTGTCGCGGGATTTTTTTTTTTTTTTCAATTTCGATTCTCTCCAAACACGCATGCGTTCTCTTCTACAATCTACACCTCCAGAAGAAGAAGAAACAAGCATGCGTGTCTCGTCTCGTTTCACATACAACAGTACACATCAACATAACAGTACCTATCTTTTTTCTTATTTATTTACATATATATATATCGGGCAATATGGGCGACGGCGTTTCTCCTCTCTAATTATCTCTCCTCTTTTCCTTTTTTATGTGTTCCATCTCTCTTCTCTCCTTTCTTCTTTTTGTGCTTTTTTTTGTTTTGCTCTGCTCAGTTTAGCACTTTACACACCTCTATTTCCCGTTTGTTTGACGATCGGTAGCGATTTTTTTTGCTTCTGTTTATTTTGTTTTTCCAAACCGATTTCTTTTTTCTTCGGTTATTCTAATTTGTCGGGATGATGATGCTGAGGAGGTGGGTGTGTTTATTTTAGTTTGAGAATATTATAATTTTCTATATTATTATCGTCTCGTTTATAGACGAAAACTGTAGTTGGGATGATTATCGCTGGTATATATTGCTTTGATATCTCCGGAACGGGAAGATAATGACGTCCGCCGCACCGCACTTTTGAACAGAGTTCACAGACAGCTTACTCCTCATCGTTACATCATCATCCACAACTCCTCGTCGACCACCCATCACAACCCACGCGCGTCAGCAAAACCAGACCAGCCCAGCATGTCCTACCAAAAACTGATTCCGTCAGGCTTTGTCCCGCTGAACGACAGCATTGAGCTGAAATCGCTGGAGGCGCTGAACCTGACCGTCGGCCGCAAGGGCACGGACGAGGTCGAGAGCGTGCGGGCGGTGTTTACGGCGCCGGCGGCGACGGCGGGAGCGGTGGCGGTGACGAATATCGAGAGTGACTCGGACTCGCAGCTGTTGTTTTACGTGCAGTTTATGAATGTGTCGAAGGTGCATTCGATTCTGATCCAGAGCGCTGTGGCGAAGGGATCATCAGCTGAGGGAGCTGAAGGAGGAGAGGGTGCGGAAGAAGCAGAGGGGGAGATCAGGCAGCGGCCGACGAAGATCAAGGTGTGGACAAATCTGCCGTCGATTCTCTCGTTTGACGACGTGACCTCCGTGCCGGCTGTGTACGAAGAAGACGAGATCGCCGAGCCAGACGCGGAAGGCTGGAGCAGTGTCAAGCTCCGCTACGTGCGGTTCCAGCGCGTGACCTCGCTCGTCATATATCTCGAGGGCGAGGACGACGACGAACCTACTGGGGTGAATAAGATCTTGCTGGTTGGGGATAAGGGTGAGACGCTGGCGATGGGAAAATTGGAGCAGACGCATGATCATGATTGATAGATCGAGGGGGACGATGATTTGTGGGTTGTATATATGGATTAAGCCAGGGATTGAGAAAGAGGAAGAGGAAGAGTTTTGTGTGTAGATTGATATATTTATTATATATATTCATATATGTACGTGTGCTCTATAACCATGTATGTAAAACAATCATGAACCGGTTACCAATAGAAAATGAAAATGAAAATAAAAAATAACAAAGCAAATCCCGAAAACGCAAACCGATATATAAACCATATACAAATCCAGATCAAATGATGCCGAGTTTGGAATACCAAGAGAAAAAAGAAGATTAAAAATACTGAAAAATACTGAAAGTGAGGAGGAGAGATCTATGCCCATCGCCCGAGAAGAGCCATCAGAGCCGCGCCAGCACACATCATGCCGAACGCGAGCAAGACGGTTTTAAACGGCGCATGCTTCATCTCATGCGAAAACAAAAACTCGTGCGCCATAAGCTCGACAAGGCCGGTGTAGATCAGGATGCCGGACGAGATGCTGTCGAAGATGCCGTTCGAGATCAAGACCTTGCGCGAGCTGTCGCTGTAGGATTCGCGCACGCCGAGGCCGATGGCGATCGCGATCGGGGTCGTGAGGCCAAAGGCGACTGCGAGCGCGATGGGAACCCAGCGCTTGCTTGGGGCCCAGGGTGTAGCGGCAAGTCTGGTTCCGAGACCGAGACCTTCGAAGCCCTGGTGAAAGACGAGGACGATGTAGAGGGTGTTAAACTCCTCACCGGCGATAGCAAGACTGAGGCCGATGAAGACCGAGTGGAAGATGATTCCGCTCTCGAGCACAAAGACGGCGGTCATTTGCGCGGCCATGCTCTCGGAGTGCGCGGGCGCCTGCTTCATCTTTTCGAGATCGATCATGGACGAGTCGAGCTGCGCGTCGGAGGCGTCGTCCGCCAGCCTGAGCGCGTTTGTCTTATCAGGGCCTTGGTTGGAGTCGATGTGGTCGTCGTCGTGGGAGAAGTGCACGGCGTTAGTCTGTGTGTCGTCGTCGGCGAAGCTGTGGCCGCCGTGGGTGTGGGTGTGGGTGTTTGAGCTTGGGTCGTTTGCGACGCCAGAGAGGGATTCAAAGGTGGCGAAGCGGTATGTGACGACCTCGATGAAGAAGAGAAGGAAGATGGTCATCATACAGATGGCGATGGCCCATGGGTAGACGGTCCAAGTTCCGCCCAGGCAGTCGTTTCCGAGGTTCTCGACGGCGGGCGATAGTAGCTGCGGCGGTGTTAGATCAGATAGGAGAGAACATAGAGAGAGAATGCGACAGATATGAGGCAGACATACGTGAATGAAGGAAGTAGCGATGATAACCCCCGAGCCAAAAAACTTTGCAGTGAAGTAGCAAATTTCTGGCACGTTTATCCGTGACTGCTTGGAGAGAACGGGGAATAGGGCGCCTGGCGAGGAGATCAGAAGTTAGAGATGACTGAGACGGATACAGGCAAGGAAACAGCAAGATAGTCGAGGGAACGATACCTAAGCTCGAGGAGAACATGATGACGAAGATGGCGGAGACTCGGACGCCCATCCTTCCATCGTAGCCGTTTTCAGAGGGACACGCTGATGTAGTAGAGCTGTCCTCGTCCTTGCGAACGAGGGCGTTGAGCAGATGCGGAGCCAGGTCGGAGAAAGATTGCAGGACCGACATTTTTCAACTCAGTCAGGGCTATTAACTTGAATAAGACCTGTACTGAAGAATATCAGACTCCGGACAGCTTCGCGCTCTTATCTGGATTTATCTCGACGAGGTTTTTCTCAGAGCCAGGGCCGAGGGGACCTTGGAGGTTGTTCAGATTCGGCTGAGTTTAATTTTGGGTGTGAGCCGCATAACCACTGCGGTTGCTGCTGCTCGTCGCAAGCCTCGCGACTATCTCCGGTTGCGTAGTTGCAGCGTTGCAGCAGTGGTGAATTGAGTGAGTTGAGGAGTAGTGCATTATATTGTAGTTAAGCAGTGAATTGCAAGAAGGTGAAGTGAATTGTAGTATGTTGTAGCATATGGCTTGTACAGAAACCACAACTTCCAACACCAAGAGCATCACCACCACCGTCGAGGTCGAGGTCAGGTCAATGCCTCCTTTGTTCCCGGAATTACTTCTTCCGAAACTCCTCATTCAGGCACTCGCCCAGCAGCCGAATAACTCCAAAGGTCCTCTCCTCGCCCGTCTCTGAATCCGCGCTCTTCTGATTGGGCGCCACTTGCGGCTTACCCAGTTTTGCCTATTTCGCGCCGCTGAAGTCTGTTGCTCGCTTGCTTTTAATGTTCTTAGCAGGTCTTAGTGCTTAGCAGGTGCTTGTCGTGATAAGAGATCTGCTGGATATCACGATATCACGTAGATATGTAGCATTCTTTCGCGGTTTTGTTGTTTCAATCGCGTAGCTGCTCAATCATGTTTCTGCTATCGGTCTTCCTCTGGCTATTGCGACGCGTGTATGTAGAATACTAGAATACTCCAACGCTACTCCGACGCCATTACGCAACTTCAAACGTAACACCTTTCAGGTTAAACAGACAATAATCAGCAAGCACTAATAAAATATCAGAGCAATTACACACCAACCCAGAGCATACCAGAATGCCCCGCTGTTGGTGATAGTGACGCTGCTGCTGCTGCTGCTGCATACCCCTCCCCCTCATCTAACCAGGAAGGTGTCCAGTCCATCTGCACCTCGTCCAGAACAACTTCCCATTCTGAGCACAGCACATCCTTATCTCGGTCGTATACGCAACTGATCCCGCCAAGGTGTCGTGTTCTAGATCGATCAGATCGCAATAGTGTCATCTGAATCTGCTCATGCTCTCTACAGCCAACTCTAGACGGCAGACTACATTCTGAATAGACATCGAGAGGACCGCTACCTTCCGACAAGACTTCAGAGGAGATGATCGTAGATCTGATCATGCTTGCACAATGATGCATTCATTCTCGACTCTTCATTTCTCTCTGCCTGTCTGTCAATGCCTCTACCGCCAAGGTGCATATCGCCAACATCCTGCCACCTCGCTGTCTCAATCCAGCACTATCATAATTGGGAATATTCATTATGTACTAACAACAGTCTGTCCTCGTTCTATATTACAAATAAACTGTCTTCCTAACTTCTGCAAAAGTAAATTCAAATTCATATTCCCTGCCCCGCCCCATCCAAACACATATCCAGCTCTTAGAACAGATGCTTGGGAAGCTTGCTCTTGGCGGCAATTCTGCGCTGGTACCGTTTCTGTTTTTGTAATTCGTGTTAGTATTGCTTCTGTTGCCAGCTTCAAAGTGACGTGATGTATGAAGAAAAGGTGAGTACGTACGCCCTTGACCTTCGCAACAATCTCGTCCATCTGTCTGATTGCTTCCGCACGCTTGGCCGCCCTATAACAAGAAAGAAGCAGTTAGCACACAATCATCTCCCCACAGTAAAGCAAACGAAAACCTCGCTGCTGCGCTGCTATCATTAAAGACCACATACCGTTCCTCCTTGGTGTTGTCGTATTTGTGTCCCTTCGGATTCTTACTACGCTTCATCTTCTTCTTCTGAGCCTGCTTATGAAGCCCAAACTTCTTCGTCATAAACGGCAACAACTTGCGCACCCCGTACTCCTCCGCAAGCTTATACAGCACGCTCTGCTGCCGCAGCGAATACACCGGCTCCCGGTACTTCTTCGTCGCCGGGTTGAACGCCGGCAAGAACGGATTCCGCGTCGGATCGTCAATCGGAACCGGCTTCTCCGCGTACTTCTGTATTGTCCGCGGCGGGTAGCGCAGGAAGAATTTGCTGAGCTGCGCAGGCATACGCTCGAAAACTGCCTTTGCGGCAGGGCTCATCGACGGAAGCTTCATCGTTGTCTGTTATTTTTCTTTCTATCCGGCGTAGTCAATCCCCGATTCTTTCAAACGCAAAAATAAAAAAAGAGAGTTAGCAGAAAACAGGAGGACCGTGAATCTGTTTTGTGCTTTGCCAGTCGATGCTCTCGAATTGAATTGATAGAACCGTCGGGATTGCTTCCCTTCACTCGAGCTCCGGTTTGCCAAAATTTGCGACCTCCAAAATGCCAGTTACCCGGCTTAATGTTATAAGATATTAGTAATCAATACAATTATTTACAAGTCTCCTTGAGTAACTACCAGTGCTTTGAACTAAATCGAACTTGAAACTACAGGTAATAGAATATAGCAAAAAGAGTGGGCGAGCGTGCGACTATAGTGCGTATCTCACAATATCCACTGTCCAACTGCCAGTCACCTACACAGAGCAGGAACACGAATGGCCGAGCGTACGAGTCCTACGCCGGATCAACACGACGACGGCGGCGGCACTGCAGCTGCAATCAGCGGCGGAGACGGGTCGACGTCCAAACGTGTCCGTATAAATGATGAGGTTACGGAACATGAGTATCTGGATAATGGTAGCTTGAAGCGGAGGAAGGTTGATACCGGGGAAAAGAACGGTGCGAGCGACGATGACGATGAGGAAGATGATGAGGACGACGACGAAGAGGTTGTTGTGCCTGACAAAGTCACAGCCGAAACGGCTGGCGATTTATATTTAGAGACCGTAAGTTGTTGGATCTGTTTGAGAATGACAAGGACGCAAAGTGCTGGTGCTAACATTCGTCTTTTAAAAGATTGATCGCAAACGACTTGATTTCGATTTCGAGAAACTGTGTTCCGTGTCGCTTTCAAACGTCAATATTTACGCGTGTCTAGTATGTGGAAAGTATTTCCAAGGTATGTTGTCTTTCCTTCAGATTCTTGTTGATTGCACTCACTAACTCTCACCGACAGGACGAGGAAAATCATCCTACGCCTACTTCCACAGCGTCGACGAAGACCACCACGTCTTCATCAACCTGCAAACCCTCAAAGTCTACATCCTGCCCGAATCCTACGAAGCAAAGTCCGCGACTCTCGATGACATCAAGTACGTCGTCAACCCGACGTTCACCAAATCCGACATTGCAAAGATCGACAAAGTCCCGGTCGAGGCGCACGACTTGAACTTCAAGCCCTACAGACCGGGATTCGTGGGGATGAATAATATCAAACAGAATGATTATCTCAACGTCGTCATCCAGAGCTTAGCGCACGTCGGCCCGTTTCGCAATTTTTTCATGCTCGAGAATTTCGAAGGCAAGCCGGAGCTGGTGCAGCGGGTTAGTATCCTGATCCGCAAGCTGTGGAATCCACATGCGTTCAAGGGACATGTGTCTCCTCACGAACTGCTGCAGCACGTCAGCGCAATCTCAAAGAAGCGATTCAGAATCACAGAGCAAGCGGACCCCTTCGACTTCCTCAGCTGGTTCCTCAACAACCTCCACCTCGCTCTAGGCGGGTCCAAGACCAGATACCATTCCAGCTTCATCCAAAAGATCTTTCAGGGAAAAGTCCGCATCGAGTCGCAGCGAATAACAGTCCACGCCGACGCGGGCGACCGGCTGCGGTTCGAGGCCGATGCGCAGATCCAGGCGAACGAGATGCCGTTCATGTTTCTCTCGCTCGATCTCCCGCCGGCGCCGTTGTTCCAGGATGACGCGGATAAGAACATCATTCCGCAGATTCCGCTGCAGTCTATCCTGAGTAAATACGACGGAGTCACGACTCACGAACTTGCCGGACATCGGAAGCGGTATAAGATTACCGAGGCACCGCCGTTTGTGATGTTTCATATCAAGCGCATTATCAAGAATAACCTCATCGAGGAGGTTAACCACACCGTCGTCACTTTCAATTCCTTCGCCTTGGATATGGGACCCTGTAAGTTCTCTATCTCATCATATCTCACTCCACAGTTCTGGTACTAACCCATCCTACCTTATCTGCAGACATCGAAGGCGCAACCGAACCAATCCTCTACGACCTAGTCGCAAACGTGACGCACGAGTCAGTGGAAGACAAGCACGTGTACAGCGTACAGGTGAAGGACAAGAGCCGTGACGAGTGGCTTCGGATTCAGGATCTGTACGTCGAAAGTATCCGTCGCGAAATTCTGTTTCTGAGCGAGAGCTATATACAGGTATGATATACATCTTTTATTGTGTTTTTGTTCAAGTAGCGGCGGGCTAATGTTTTTTTTGTGTTTTAGATTTGGGAACGGCGGCGGTGAGTACGTTCTCACGAGGCGAGTAGACGAATTGTAAGATACACTGTTACCACAGCATGTTATACCAACGACAGAAAAGCAGATAGAAGTTTCAAATATATATATTCATATGCTATATTACTACCCAGACCCTATCTATTATCTATTGTAAGCACAAGTACAACACCTCAAATCATAAGTCTTCATATAATGACTCCATAACCAGCATTAAATTAAAAAAAAAGTAGGCATCTAACTCGACGCCGTCTCAGTCTTTGCGTCGTCAGCGTCGTCGCCGCTGTGACTGAACTTGGCCCGCAAAAACGCGCCATACTTGTAGAAACAGAACGGGATGAGGACCATCGCAAGACTGATGAACGCCAGCAGCCAACTGGCCCACTGCAGTCCGAGGCGGTGGTACATCTGCGTGGTGAAGAGCGGGAACGCGGCTCCGCCCGCGGAGCGCGTGAATACTTTTGCCGCGAGCGCGGAGGCAGCGCAGGACTCGTACGAGTCGATGATGTAGTTGTTGACCGAGAAGTAGATGAGCACCATGCCGTAGCCAAACGCGAGACCGGCGGAGGAAGGGCCGACCCAGATGATGTGCTTGTAGGAGGTTGCGCCGAGGATGAAGAGCGCGATGGGGACGAAGGGAGCGCCGATCATGGCGCCCACGAGGCGGTCTTCTGGGGTCGGCGGGCGCTTTGCAATGGTCTTTGTGTAGACCTTTTCGAGCACGGGGGTTGTGACGAGCGCAAACATCGCGCCGATCAGGATGGGGATGAACATCAGTCCGATGATGCCGTCGTTGTAATTATGCAGTTCCTGGAAGATGACGGGGTACGCAAAGAAGAAAGCGTAGAGAAGCGAGTAAATCAAGACGACGTACAAGTTCATCAGGTCCAAGATAGGCTCGGTCAGGATGAGATTGACAGGCTTGATCAACACAGTCCTAACGGTCTCCGAAAACGGGGCCTTGAGTCTCTCCTGCTCTGTCATGATGTTTGGATTTCCAGTCTCCTTTCTCAACTTCTTTGCCCGCGCCTTCAGGATCGCAGGTGCGTATGTCTCAGGGATAGCAAGAGCCATGAGCATCGTCACGCCAGCGAACGCCATGTTCACCCAGAAAATCAAGTCAAGTCTGCCAGAGCCGATATTGATCCATCCACACACCAACGGTCCAAACACGGGACCGCAGTACGGAGCAGCCGCGAAATATGCAATCGCGTTACCGCGATGCTCCATCGGCCAGATATCGGCGATCGTTCCACCAGCGAGCACAAGTCCGGAGCTGGAGAAAACACCGCAGAGGAAGCGAGCGGCGAGAAGACCGCCGATGTTGGGCGAGAGCGCGCAGGGGATGTTCAGGAGGGTGTAGAGAAGTAGGGAGATCAGGTAAACTGGACGGCGGCCGATCTGCTCAGAGAGCGGAGACCAGAGCAGGGGACCGACGGCAAAGCCGACGACCATGATTGAGCAAGTGAGAATGGCGACTTCTTGGGAAACGTTGTATTTGTCTTCAATCAGGCCAAGGCCTCCGGTCACGCACGAGGAACCAAAGGCAATGGCAATGACGAGAATGGAGATGTCAAGTGTGGCAACCCATTTGTGGAAATTTGACCAGTTCTGTAATGGAAGTTAGCAAACTGTGTCTTCAGCATAGATGATGAGATGGACATACCTTTGGATTTTCTTTATCGCCTATCAGGAAAGTGACGTACTCAATACCCTCGTCGCCCTTCTCGTTGGCTTCAAGGATCGGGGACGCACGACGGCCTCTGTATGATTGAAGAGTGGTCTGCGGGACCAATCCGGTAGCAGTCTCGGTGTTGTATTCGTCAGGGAACTCGGCACGATCAGCCAGTTCGGTAGCGAAAGGAAAATTGATGTCGGTGGTGGGAGCACGAGACAATGCGCTGCCGATGGTCTGGATGGTCTCGGTGCGGTAAATGCGGTTGTTCGAGATAGTGTTCTCTAGAGTGGCAGCCGGCACGAGCCCAGTGGCGGTCTCGGTCTGGTATTCCTGAGGGAACTCTGCGCGGTTGACATCTTCGGTGTCGAAGGGGAATGTGGTGTCTGGCTTCTTCTCTGTCTGCGCTGCTGCAAAGTCGTGCGCAATAACAGGATGTGAATCCTCGGTGCCTTTGGTCTGCGAGTGGTGGTATCCAGCGTAGGTGGAGGAGCCAGACGAGGTTTTATCGTCTTGATCTGCCATTGTGTGGGTTTTGTGAAGCTTGATCTGCTTGTGGATGTGTGCAGAAGCAGTATATGCTCAGTATATGCTGAGTATGCAAGGTATGCTGTATTCAAAGAAAGAAAAAGGATCCATTGTGACGGCAGCCAAGAGAGATATATATATTTTCCAGACTCGGACCTGCTCACGGTGTAGCCCAGCAGCGGCGAGCACCGGGCGGAGACTTTCTCGGAGGCGAGGCTTCAGATAAGGTTTACAGACTCATCGCCCGCTCACTGGCCGGCCACGAGCCCTACGCGGAAGTGAAGAATAGGCTTCCATTGTTATTAATCGATGTCGATCGCAATTACGATGATTGTCGTCGCGCACGTCGACGTGACGATTGCTGCTGGCCGAAGGACGATCGTAGCTCGAATCGCAGACTGCTGCACTCAATGCCGCAGATCCACGCCGCCATCGCATGTCTCGACCGCGCTCCCAGCACCTACGTGCTCTTCCGCAACAAACTTCCTGCATTCGTAGGCGACAAGCAGGGACACCGGCGCCACATTTGTTCCAAAAATGTGCATTATGACAACTCGATGCTCCGAGCCTTCGCCGGTGCACTAGCATCTTCGATCTTTACGTAGGTCACGTGGAGTTTAATGTGCGTATTTGCCACAACTGCAGCGCGCCGAGCGGCTTATGCAGAAATCTCGGAGCAAAACACGGCGCCGCACGATCAGCGGCGACAAGTTTAGCACGTCGCTCACCGCGTTGAAGCCCGGATTGTGCCTGCGCGTCGTCGCCTGGACCGGCCGAGCTCCGGGCGAGATCATATCGAGTATCACACCGCGGAACTGTGGACTTGATGGTGTCTCTTTGCTTGTTGAGAGTGGTTTGCACAGATCGTGTGCTGCTGCGATATGCCTTTTGGGCGATTGTGAATTCGCAGGATTGTGGTGAAGCCGGAGCTCGATTGTCGACAGTTGTGCTCTACGAATTTATTTCGCACGCGTTTGAATCGTTTTTGATTATACATTAGACCAGAAGCTGTTAATACTTTTACTCGAGTATTGCATATTTAGAATACCAAACTCAGTCTTATCTTTTAAGTCCAACCCTCCAGCTTGGTTGTATCATTTCTAGCACTTCTCGGACCGTCGTTCTATTGTTCATTCCCTACCACGATAAAAAAAGAGTTTTAGAGCGTCAGGTTAGGGCACGAACCTATAGTCATCGTCATAAACGAACCTTCAATGCGAATGAACTCCGTGGCTTGCCGAGTCTAGACGGAAGTTTCCTTCTTGATAGGCTTTGGCTGTTTTCGTCGGAGGATTTGGGCCCCTTCATTGGAAGATAGAGGCAACTGGGTTACTGAGCATGTATGATCCAGATCTGTCTTGAGGTCTTATCTTTACATTGTAGACTGGTGCGTGCATAATCGCTCTGGCTGTAGCCAGTTCCAGGTCTATGTGGCGTAGATCATGATCTAGTTACTATTCGACAATGCTTTTGTGCTATCAAATGCTACCATTAATTTACTCGTAGTCCAACACCCGTCTCTCTCACAAACTCTTGACACGGTACACAAAGTTCTCAGGCACAATATCCTCTTTCTCAATAACGCCCGCACTCTTGAGAATTTCAACGGTATTGTCGATAATCGCAGTTTGATCCACGACCGCCACGTTCTCTGAAAATTCCACCGTGTGCAGCCATTCTTGCGCATCCTCCTTTGTGTAGTCTAGGTTTGCCGCAATGTATTCTACCGCCTCTTCGGGGTGCTGGTTGAAGTACGTAATACCTTTGTTCACTGCTGAGAAGAATCTAGCGATCGCGGCAGTCTCGGGCTCGGAGTAAATGACGTCGGTGTGGGCAGTAACCACCCATGATGGCCACCTAGAAAAGCTGTCAGAAACAAATTCACGAGAGAGACATAATTGTGCAGCAATAACTTACGGCGTGTAGATACGGCCCACATATTTGATCTCCTTGATATCATAGTATCGCTTGGAGGTGAACAGTTCCCACATGAATGCATCCGCCGTCTTGTTATTAACACCGTCGCGCAAATTCTTGAAATCGTTCAGTATTTTGAACTCAAACGGCTCTTTCCATCCTTCCTGCCGAGCGAGCACAAAGGGCATCACATAAGATCCACTGCGCATATAGTCAGTCACTGCAAAGATAACTCGGTAGCACGTCACACAGAAGAGCACAGTACCTGCCAATTCGACTGATTCCAATTTTTCCTCCGCGGATATCCGATTGGGCTGTGACGTCGTCTCGATTGATACCTGTGCTGATTGCCCAGCCTAACGACTATCAGTCAAATCTGTCTTCGGAACATGGCATAGATGTCACTTACAAAGTGGTGATTTAACGTAGTTTCCAACTATCTGGAACCAATCCTGGCCTTTTCCAAGACCGGCAACAAATCCTTCGGTGAGTCCAACGGCAAGATCTATCGAACGAAAGTTGTCAGCACTTTTGCACTTTCTCAACCCCACTTCCACGCAATTGCGGGGAACTAACCAATGTCGCGATTCTTCAGCGCTTCAATCATATGGCCAGTACCAGATTTATAGGGAATAAACTCTGGGTCAACGCCAGCGTCTTCGTAGTAGTTTTGCTGCTTAGCAAAGAACATGGGGGTGGAGAAATGCTCCGGCACGTATCCCACTTTCAACGACGGCAGAGCAAAGACTGATCTCGACGTGCTGAATGCTCGCGCACCACCTATCAGCGTTCTCTGAAAGCTAGAGCCAAGCATTGCGGTATTATAAGAAAATGTCGATGTAATCTGGCGAAGCAACAACCAAACAATAAAATGCAAATTACCGGCAGAAATAAATCTGACAATGACCTTCAAACTCTAATTCAACTGCTTTGTAACACATTAGTCAAAACCCTCCCCTAAGTTTGCGTACCAAACCCTCACACCATAACCACAAATTTTTGCAGTAATTCGACACTCCGCAGCGCTGGTGAGAAAAAAAAGCACCAAAAAGGGATTCTAAAGAGACAAACACGCTTGTTGGTTGTCAATTTTTCCGTCACTTCGACTTCGTCACGATTCGCGTCTTTGCTGATTTTCGACGACTGCCGCCTTCCGGATTTTCGATTGCGCGTGCTCTATACCAAGTTCCTAGCTGCAAATCGAACTATATAGCGAGCTCAACACTCTTCTTTTCTCGATCTTACGCCGCTAAAAAGAAGAAATCAAAAATGCCTCCTAAGAAAGCTGTCAAGGAAGAGAAGATCCTTTTGGGACGCCCGGGAAACAACCTCAAGGTACATTTCCATTTCTTCTAAAGAGTTGAAGACTGTCGCGAGAGCAAGATGACGTCAGGAGCAAGCAACTAACAGTTTTTTCGTAATTCTAGAGTGGTATTGTCGGTCTGGCTAACGTATGCACTTATCGTTTATCGCCTTGATATTTTCGTTTTGTTATAGTAAATGTTCCGTGGATGCTAACCATGCCGCGTACAACAGGTCGGAAAGTCAACCTTCTTCCAGGCCCTCACAAAATCCAACCTCGGAAACGTAAGTATCTCTACGATTCTTCTACTCGCGCTTCTTTTACGAAGCATACGTGGTCTGTTCCTGTATCTTACTGAATCGCTATAGCCGGCCAACTACCCCTATGCCACCATTGAGCCCGAAGAAGCCCGCGTCATCGTTCCATCGCCCCGCTTCGAATGGCTCTGCGAGCAGTACAAGCCCGCCTCCAAGGTCCCTGCTAACATCACTGTCTTTGACATTGCTGGTTTGACCAAGGGTGCCTCTACCGGAGAGGGTCTCGGAAACGCTTTCTTGTCACACATCCGTGCTGTCGATGCGATCTACCAGGTTGTCCGATGCTTCGATGATGCCGAGATTATCCACGTCGAGGGTGATGTCAACCCCGTGCGTGACTTGGAGATCATCCTTGATGAGTTGAGACTCAAGGATATCGAGTTCGCAAAGAAGTTCCTCGAGGGTGTCGAGAAGCTTGCCAAGCGTGGTGGCCAGTCGCTTGAGGTCAAGGCTGCCAAGGAGGAAGTCGCTATCGTCGAGAAAATCATCGCCTGGTTAGAAGACGGAAAGCGTGTGGCCAAGGGCAGCTGGGGAACCAAGGAAGTCGAGGTCATCAACCAGATGTTCTTGCTCACTGCCAAGCCCTGCATTTACCTCGTCAACCTGTCGGAGCGTGACTTCATCCGGAAAAAGAACAAGCACTTGCTCGCCATCAAGGAGTGGATCGATGAGAACTCGCCGGGCGACGTTATCATCCCTCTCAGTGTCTCGTTTGAGGAGCGTCTGACTGAGTTCGAGACCGAGGAAGAGGTCGAGGAGGAGTGCAAGAAGGTCGGCGCTGTCAGCATCTTGCCCAAGATCATCACTACCATGCGTAGCGCTTTGAACCTCATCTCTTTCTTCACCAGCGGACCCGATGAGGTCCGTGAGTGGACTATCAGAAAGGGTACCAAGGCTCCCCAGGCTGCTGGTGTTATCCACACAGGTACGTTCAAATACTGCTAACTTCTCTACGCTCTGTAATCTTGCTGACCCATAATCATCACAGATCTCATGAACACTTTCATTCTCGCTCAAGTGACCAAGTTCGAGGACTTGAAGGAGCTCGGCGACGAAACGGCCGTCAAGGCCAAGGGCAAGCTCTTGCAGAAGGGCAAGGAATACGTGGTTGAGGATGGCGACATCATTTACTTTAGAGTACGTTCATTGTCTACTTTTCATGACGATCATGTCCGTGTTGCTAACGCTGATTCACATCTAGGCTGGTGCGGGCAAGAACTAAGCTTCTCTAAATCCAAACTTGAACGTAAAGATCGTCAGACTTTCAATACAATACATATAACTACACAATTCTGTCGCAGAATTGGTGCGTCTGGTCGTAGTTAGTTCCTACGCTTTTACAATTGTACTTCATTTCACCCGACTGCATACAGTAGCCAGACACGCTGTAACTGGAAGAGTTTGCAGCCGGTTGTACGTAGCACGCAATTCTTCATTAAATGATCAATCGTATTTTCATTATGGTATCTACTGCTAAACAGTGCACTTCTTGCCTCTCGCCTTGGTTCATCCCGAGTCCTATATACTTCAGTACAAGTTAGTCTAAAAACTCATCTTCAAAATAAGCCCACATCGCCAGACGACATGGAAGCAGACGCAAAAGATCAGAAAAAGGTGTTGTCTCATTGATAAAGACCTCGAAGAGCTGGGTTTAAAGTAACTCTTGGTCCATTAGGACCATGATCATCATTGTAAAAAAGCATTGCGTCTACTTCTCGTGCACGAACGTGTAGAATATAATCAGAAAAGAAGGATTACCTACTAGTTAGATATTCAGTTTGTACATCGAACAGTACAGTCAAACGTAAATCAAAAGAGACATTAACGAGAGTATTGATGTCTTCTTGCACAGAGAATCAAAGAAAAAAAAATAGAAAAACTGCTTTTTAATGCTGGCGCTCGGGCACTAAATCAAATCACGTGATGTATTCCTTACATAATACATTTGGGACTAATAATGCGATGTGTATATGCGGGAGCGCGCAAGCGGACCGACGAAGTTCATACAACAATAAGCTGGTCAACACACAAGTCCACTCCCTATATACATCAGGAATCACGGTACCGAGACTCTCAGAGACTACAGCTTACAGCGCTGGTCTGGTAATGACAGCAAATTTGTTTCCTTACTGAGTTACTTCTCGACTTGGGCATTCTTCAAGTACGATCTACGGACTGTGAATTGCTTCGGCAATGGTCGACTCTAGCTCGGAGTTCGCGGCTATTCCGCTCCGGTCCTCCGTCGGATTCAGTTGGGTGTTTCTTGTTGAGCTGATTGTCGTTGGAATCGCTGTTATCTTCGTTCTATTCTACTTCAACCGTGTTGTGGGAACTATTATCTCGCTGTCTATTCGGTGGTACACATGGCACAAGTACAGAGTATTCATAGACGTGCGATCTATCCAGGTCTCATTTCTGGGCGGTCGAATATTTTTCAAAGAGTTGCGATACATAGGCACGAACGAGACTGTATTCGCAGTCCAGGGTCACTTCACTTGGCGATATTGGCTCAACCACACGCGTGTCTGCGAGATTCTCTGTGATCCGACCAAGACTGAGAAAAACGGTACACTGCCTTCGCGGTTCAGGCTGCAAGTCGAGGGACTGGAGTGGTTTGTTTATAACCGGACTCCGGCATACGAAGCAGCGCTGAATGAGTACGAGAACGCGAATGCTGGTGGCAACGCGCAGAAATCCAAACGCGACTCTGATTCGTATGATAGCACTCGCCGGTTTGTTTTCAGTAGCGAGAAGGATGAAAATGAAGTCACCAGTCAAGAGCAGCAGCAAAACAGTGGGTCCGGATTATCATCGACAGTTACGCGACCTAGCAGCGGTATCGATTCAGAGGAGACCGAGAAATCGGGTTCAGCCCAGTCTCAAGATGGCGTCAATGGCGGCATGCAGACGATGTATCAGTCTCCTTCGGCGGAGCCTCAGTCTTGCGATCTAGAAGATTCGAAGCTTTCAGTGTTTTTGGAGATGCTGCCGATCGAGATCATTTGTGAGAAGGGTGCGATTGTGATGGGAAATCAGAATACGCCCACGATCGCGGTATATCATTTCTCAACAGCTATCGGCAACGTCAACGCTCTCCCGTCAAGATCTCGGCTAGATCATTACAAAATGGCTTTTGACTTTGAGTTCCAGCAACCTGTGGTGCAATTAAAAGCAAATATGGATTACTCGGAACCCAACAACAGCTCGCAGCAGAACGAGAATGCCGATCTCGCTAAGAATCTCTTTCGAAACCAGACCAGTAAATGGCAAAGTTTTCTCGACTTTATCTCATTTCTGGTGAACAGAAGGTCATATAACTCGCAGACCAACGAAACCGAGCAAGAAGGCGACTGGCAAGGACTGCAACGTTATCTGGATGAGGATGATCTGGCTTTGAATGAAGATACTGAGCAACTAGAGGAGTACGCAAAATGCACTTCTGTACTGGACGCGCGATCAGGTCGCGTTGTGTTTTACTATGACATTGCTGGTCTTGTTCCTGACAATCCTGAGCCAGTGCCTCTGGCCTATAACGAGGCGGTGGACATCGGGGCCGGAGGACTTCCACCCGAGTGGGGTGTTGATGTTCACATCAAAGGTGGAACGATCCAATATGGACCATGGGCAGACCGTCAACGTGCCTATTTTTTCAACAGTTTCTTCCCTTCTGCGCGCGTTGATGCCGTGCCGAGAGAACGACTGAGCCCAGGCGAAGTCAGAATTCCTTCAGAGATGAAGGTTTATCTTGAGATCGACGAGTCTACAATTCTGCGAATACCCGTTCGAGAGCCGAGTAAAGACGCTGAATTCAAAAAGGCGAAGAAGTTGGATGAGGCTTCCAACGAGATTCGCTCGTTCGGATGGATAGAGCTGAAGATGGCAGAGTTATCTACTGTGGTGTATTCTTCAGCTCTCGTCGCTTCGGAAAATGGATTCCCTCATTATCTCTCAGTTGAGCTTGCCAGTGTCGATATACGCTCCAGCGTGAACCATGATATTCTGTGGTCGTCAAAGAAGCTTTCGATAACTGGTGACCTGAGATCAGCTTTGAAGTGGAATGGTCTCGAGACATGGATATTTGACTGTGAGGCAGCAGGAGTGGAGGCTTTCTTTCTTCGTGAACATGTCACCATGATCACAGACATGATTGACGATTTCACCTCCGGTCCTGCTACCCCATATCAGTACTTTGTTCCCCAACACTATCTCTTCAACCTGGCTCTTCTGGACTTTCAGCTGCATTTGAACGTCAACGACTCAAACATTATCAGTAATCCAACGGATTTTGAAGACAACATCTTTCTTACATTTGCTAGTCCGAAACTGCTGGCTCAAATTGATGTTCCGTTGACGCAGATCAGTCCGGTTAGCAAAGCTGTGTCTTTTAAGATTCTGGTAATATGACCCCTGCATTAATTGTCTTGTGAGATCAGAACTAACAGATCATATGTATAACTATAGGGTGAAAAGGTTGACTTGAATCTGCAGCCTCCTGGATGGAACACCTTTGCTAGTTTCCTGAAATCAAAGGAGATGGGAAAAGTTGCTGAGCTCGATCTCCAAGGATCTTATACATACGCAGTAGCACAACAGCCTGCACCTATCGACACGTTGGTTATGGATGTTGCGGTTGGCGATGTGACTTTGATTGCATACGGGTTCCTTATCCGATACTTTCTGAAAATCCGGGAGAACTATTTCGGCGACAACGCACACTTCAAAACGCTTGAGGAGTTTACACGCGCGGTGAATGATACTGGCTCGTCAATAAATGACAATGTGCATATGGGCGGTATACTGATCAATGACGAGACCACCGAGAGTGAAAATGATGAGGACTCTTCGACGTTGCCGCACGCAAACGAGACAAACGACATACCTCCACCAGAGAACTCGACTGATGTTCTGGTCTCATTCAGACTTGATAGAGGGTGTCTGATTTTGCCGCGGCTTATATACTCTGCAGAGGAGCATTTTAGGCTAGATCTGGATTCGTTTGATGTGGATTTGCGTTTCACAAATTTCTATATGGGTACGTACTTGGTGTGCATGGGTTTAACGCCTGATAGTAGCTAATGATTTGTTTTTCTAGATCTGCAAATTGACATCAGTCCTATTCGTGGAGCTGCACTTTCGCTTCCGCCAGAGAAAGTTCTTACCAAGTCGCGCGAAGATTTGGGAATCAGCAACCCAGAAGTTTTCATTGATGGTGGGTCTACCGCTTAATCGAGTCTGATTATTATGATGTCTAGGATTTATGCTAATTGATCGTTTAATAGGAATATCTGTGTATGGTCACCGAATGTTTGGACTTCCTCCGACAGAGCCAACCTACGTGTGTAACTGGGATTTCACTTTGGGCATGATATTCACAGAGGGTGGTCCAGTCTTGTATGAAGGACTCGGAGATGCGATATCAGTGTTTTCACACACCTTTTCTGATAAAGAGAATTCACTTATCGTGCCCGAACCTCCCTTGTATGATGTCACGCTTCTGCGCCTGAAGATTCCCGCACTACGTGCTCTTTGCCATACAGACAAGTCTACACTGGAATTTATGACTTCTGATATCACTGTCCAGTTGAATGATCTGGCGACCAGAACTTACAACTCTCGCGTTGAAATCAAAATCCCGGATATCAGTTTTCTCTGCCGTGAAAAACTGGACGAATCGCTGGCTGGCAGTCGAGTTTTGGCTTACCTCAACACAGCGATTTATGTGACGAATTTCGACAGGAAAGCAAGTGGTCTTGAACGAATGAGGCTGCAGCAGGAGCACGTCCGTACAGAGGATGCCGCGTTTGGACGTGTGCCGTTCTTCCTGATGCCTGAGTTTGAACCGTATACGTCTGATCGTATCGACCCGCAAGCAATTGACAGGTTGGCTATAACTCTGCCGACCCCGGGTTTGCCTCCTTCTATGATTGTTGAGGATAGATACACATTTTTGGTATCTACTGCACATAATAATAGGGATTTGGGAATAGTCTCGGGGGAGAACGACAGTTCCGCCTCGCTAGGGTATGCTCACTCATCTCCGTCATTGCTGTCATCTTAGCTCTTCTAACCTCGATATAGGTCCGTGATACACCATGATATAAGCGCGTCGAAATCGGGACCGCAAAACGAGAAGCTGTATATGGGTATGCTTCTCAGCAATTTTTAGCGTTTCATATTTTTTTTCTTTTCTGATCTTTATTTCTAGATAACTTCTACGCGACCTGCGAGAGCGTGAACCGGGAACGTGGCAGTAGATTCAAAAGCACATTCATGCCTCCGTATTCATGTCTCACATCATTCAAGGTAAGAAGAGCGTGCATTTATGAGCGCGTTGCTTTAGTTACTGACGTGATTGCATTTCAGGATCTGGAAGCTGTAACCAAAGGCTTTGATCGGAGAATATATGACATGGATGACGGCATGATACAGAGTGACATTGGATCCATGCGTCCGCTTGAGGACTCTGAAACATCATACGATGCTTATGTTGTCGAGTTTCGTGGCGGCATTGACGGATTCCTTTCGGCTGACGGCGTGGATACGCTAGTTGAGATTCTAGATGAGCTCAGTAGACCTGTGCGTTACTTTTTGTTTACTCATGTTCGAGATTATCAGTCAACTGACAGTGGTATATAGGAACCGTCGGCGATCTATGATAGTCTGCAAATCGACGTCATTGAAAGATTAGAAAGCAATCTCATCAACGTCAATTCCATTCTGGGTTTGCGAGTCATCATTCCTGGACTCCATCTACGGTACGGTCAAGTCGATAATAGACTGACAGACTGCGTTATGATGCCTCCAGAAATCCGCATGCGCGACCATATCGATCTAGAGGTCAAGGGTGTCACATTCAGCTGTCATCTCAGCGATAAGAGTATGGAATACTGCGGAGGTCGCCGGAATCCAGTGCAGAGGGTATCCAGAGTGTGCTTCACTTTTGATCACCTCAAGCTTGGACTGGTGCGCTATGAGGATGACGAGAAACCTGTCAGCAACGCGATGCCTCTAGAACTGAAGATCGAGCTTGTCGAAGTTTGGAATAGATCTGGTACCGAAACGGAGACGTCCTCGGTGAAAATCAGGTCAATGGGATTCGTGGCAGCTAGCCAAGAAATGAAATGGATCGTGCACACGATACTCGATATTGTCGGTCCTCTGCTTCCGATATCAAAGAAGCTGTCGGTGATAGCAACTCGGAAGGAGAACCGTACAAAGAATCTCATATACCTGATTGCTGCCTCTAGCGCCGCTTACGAGATCGCGCATGATCCAGCGTTTCTGACCCGGCCTGCATATATCCTGCGCTCTTCTAATGACCATATTCGTATCAACGACAGCTGGAAGCTGATTTCTCGATTCCGCCATATTGCTCGAGCTCTACCTCAGGATATCAACAAAGAAATCATCCGGGATCTGCATTATGATATTCCGCCCCCGTCAGATGCAAAAGAGAGGACGATCAACATTCTTATGCGCTGGCGAAATTGGGAGATGGTCGATATCCAGACTTCTTATATCTTCGCGCATGTCTTTGATGGTGAATCAAAGCACGTTAGAGTGACGCCCTCTGTGCAGCAGCTTCTTATTGATATCGAGTCTGTCACACTTTATCTCTCCAACAGCACCGAGCATGAGGATTACTTGCAGCTGTCCTATCTTACATTCAGTATGACAGAGACAACTTCAGCCCCTGCACTGCCCGAGACTCCAATTCTCACTGTGCCAACCTCCGATTCGCGAGAAGTGACAGTCAGTCAGCTGCGTCCACGGAGACGGCATTTGGCACTTTCTATCGGATGCGAGGAAATCCGGGTCATCACGGTATGGAGCTCGATATCGTTATATGAAGACATCACCGAGGTCTTGGATATTCGACATGAGGAGCTGCAGGCACTGCGACCTAAAGACTCTCATAGAGTGTCTTCTGTCTATTCAGGAAGGGTGGCAGATAAGGCTGAAGAGAAATCGACTGAAATGTGCGCTCAAGTTGTGCTAAGTCTAAAGTCCGTCATCACAGTCGTTCATAGTCGCAACTTCCGAGTGCAGTGTGCTGGTCATACAATCGAATGCAGCGTAGCAGCAAACATAGGTGCTGCGCCTCTTCAGCAGATTTCTGCCGAAACTGTGTCATCTTTCTTGATGCGTGCCACCGCTCTCGAGGTTGATATATTGGATCCCAAAGCACCTCGCGAGAAAAGATTGCTTTCACTTGGAGTGCAACGGTCTGATATCTGGGTCTCGGTCTCAAATCTGCCGAATCCAAAGGCTGCGCGGTCATTTCTTCGTGTGGCGGACGTCACTCTGGAGCTGCAGGAAGATACTATCGGGATTTCTCGTGTCATCACTGATATCATCAATGACGAGGTACGGCAGATGTGCGAGTTATTCCCGATGGCTACAACTCCCGCTGCAAACAACGACGCGCCCGATGGAGCGCCAGGCGCGAAGCCTTCACTGTCTGAAAGTGAGACGCAAAGACCAGCGCCTGGTGACATCATTGGAATTTCGATTGATTTGCGCAACTATCGGATCATTTTGAACGTGCTGCCATCACTGAGATTCAATGTCCATGGCTCTGCGGTCCAGATCATTGCGACACCTGTCCTCAACGGTATCCGATCTGTCGCATTTGAAGCGGGTGAACAAGTATACGAGTTCAGGCAACGCAAAAAGTCGCGCGATACTCTAATCACTGCCACAAAGTTCCCCCGTGTGACGACAATAATCCGAATTGAGGACTATCCAGACTACACTCGTTCAGCCAGTATCCGAATGAATCTCGACACCGTCAACTTTGATGCGTCCTCGTTCCCGACATTTGCGAGTGTGCTGTCTGGTGATGTCACGAAGACCGAGCTCATGGTAGCGCAAAAGGAATGGAATAAGACTGTGAATTTGTTGCGGCAATACGTGCCTGACAACTCTAATTCCAGACCGATGGAAAATGTGAAGCCTCCGAGAGATGTCAGTTTCCAAGGATCATTATATATCAAAGGAATCATTCTCAAGGCGGAGTCCTCAAACTCTGAGCTTATCATGACGATCGACAACATCAAGACTGAGGGTCATTCGATTCCGGACAATGGCTCTGACGAGAAATTCCGACATATGTCATTAGGAGCTTCGTTTCCGAATATTCAGATTTTCCTTGTCAACAAGATTTTCCAGAATGGAAAGTTCAAGATTCTGGATACGAATGTTACGTTGTCTGTGAAGACTATGGAGGACAAGCTGAACAAGAACTCTATCCGGCAAGCGATAGCAGTGCGGAGCACGAAATGGGATCTTTCGCTTTCGCCATACAGTTCCACATTGATGGTTGAGCTTCTGAGTCAATTCGAGGAGAAGATTATGAACCTGGAGCTTCCAGAATTCCATCTTCAGGATCTTCTGAAAGAGCCCGGTGCATCTACCCCGACGACGACGCCGACTGAAGATGACTTGAATCCAGAAATACAGACGTGGGATGGAATCTTCAAGGCGCTTATTCGAATCCAGTTGCTCGATTGTGCAATTAATTGGGTCTCGGACGACTTTGGCGAGGACCCGGATGATTTCTACTTAACTATCAGATCGGACCAACTTCGTCTGGCATCCAAGGGCGAAGGACGGATCGCGATGGAGGTGAAGCAGTTTGCTATTGTCGCCAAGGAGAAGAATCCAAAGCAGAGCTTGTCGTCGTCGCCTAATCTGCCGAAGCAGAGCTCGTCGGTCATGCCGGAGATGTCTGTTTACGTGGCATTGAAGCACGATGGTGCTAATCGTGCGTTGGACTTCAATGTTCAGAGTTCTGCGATCCAGGTAGAAATCATTCCCAAAGTTGTGAACTCAGTCAGGGCTATCTTTTCCTCGGTTTCAACGACTGCTGAGACGGCGGCGGAAAAGATCAGGGATTACAAGAACCATGTCTCGGCCCACCACAATGCCTCGGTATCAAGAGGCGCCAGTAGCGGGGCCTTGATATCAACCGATCAGCAGAGGCTGTTGTTCAGCGCGATCAACGTGAAAGCAGACTTTGCCGGTGCTACGATTAGTCTGTATGGTGACACCAATGTCAAGTATACGGAAGAGCCGGTACTTGGTCGGAGAAGGTCGTCGTTCAATAGTAACACGGGATCTGCGAAACATGATCTCAGCGGTCCGATGGGAACTCTACAGGTTCCGGGCGTCCATGTTATGGCGGAGTACACCGTGTCGCGTAATTCGCGATCACTTGGAGCTGAAGTGATGATTGAGTCATCTGTAAATCAGCTCAAGCCCAAGGTTATGCCGGTGGTGATGGAGATGATTCATTATTTCAAAGAGAATATTCGAGAGCGGAAGTTCGATGATGATGATGACGAAGAAGACGATCGATTCTCAGAAGCTGCTTCCAATATCTCTTCATCCAATTCACTAGCAGCTCCGTCGAATTCTGTAACAGCCGATGCTGTGTTTGGAAATTTGGAGGTCAACGTCGGAGTAAGATTCGAACGGATGGAGTTTTCCTTGAGCTGTGAGCCAATTGCAAAGGTCGCAGCATCAGTCTCATTCGATGGAATTTTCTTCTCAATGAACACATTCCACAAGGCGAACGTGCCAAAGTTCGTGACTGCCACTTATCACATGCACAATCTCAAGGCGTCGCTGCAGCATATTTATTCACGAGAACATAGTGCGCAAGTCCAGGTTAAGGTGTTCACCGTCTCTGCTCTCTCGGATCAAAAGATTAGCTCCAATGCCGGGCTTTCGTTTATTTCCAAGGTGGCCGGCGTGGACTTTTATCTCAACCTGAAGCAGAGTCACGATCTATTGCTGTTTCAGGATATTTGGGCTCCGGACCATTCTCTCGAGCTGTCGTCTTCAACGCAACAAAAGAGCGCCGATAAGCGGGCAGAGCTGTTGGTGGAGAAGTTCCACCGCGTGTCGTCGACAAAGGCGTTCCCGTGGAGCGTTGACTTTGAATTGGTCGAATTGGCGGGCAAGTTAGATCTCGGGCAGTCGCTAGGAAAACTGGAGTGCAGTCTCGACAAGATCTGGCTTACCTCTCGAAAGTCGTCTGACTGGGAACAGCATTTGATCTTTGGAATCTGCAATTTGCTTGCGAATTGTAGAGGCCGATTGGGTGGTTCGCTTGTGCTTCGGAATATCCGTGGACGGTCTGCGATTCGCTGGGAGATTCTGAACGATGGCCGGTTTGGTGTGCCGTTGGTGCAAGTTGCTGCAGGCTTGGAGAAGCTCGAAACAAAGCTATACTTTGACTACCACCTGTTTTTGATTGCGACCGGATCGGCTATTCATCTGACGATGCTGAATCAGCGGTCGAAAGCGGACGGTAGCGACACGCTTGTGTGTATGGCCGACTGCGACTCTATTGGCGTGTATCTCACCGTACTGGCGCCCTCGAATATCCTGGCTATTCTCAAGACTATCAGGCGCATCGAGCAGGACCGTGCGTCTTCTTACCAGGCGGTTCTGCGCGACTCTGAACGGTTCAAGATCAACAGCGTGTCGAGTATTCCGGAAGAAAATGCGGAAGAGGAGAATTTGAACTTCAAGGCGATGCAGTTGGCGACCAGCTTGAGTGTCCAGATCCGGAGGTTCAACGTCGATATATTCCCGACCGCTCTGTCAGACAGCGAAGTTTTGCGCGTGGAGGCAGTGAATATTCTTGCCCGGTTCAGTCTGGGCCTGGACGAAGCCAAGCTGCGAAGTTACCTCGAACTCAAGCTCGACCAATTTGTCATTGCGCTCTCGAGCACGCGCAAACTGACGGACGACCTCAACACGATCGAGGTCGACAAGTTTGCGCGGCAGATCCGCGAGGCGAAGGGAGGTACGATCATTCGGATCCCGGCGGTGAGTCTGGAGATGACGACATGGCAGCCGCTGGACGATATGACGGACGTCGAGTTTATCTTCTGGAGCAGGTTTGACGGGCGCGTGGACGTGGGGTGGAATCTGGGATCGATTAATTTCATCAGAGATATGTGGAACACGCACGTCAACGCGTTTTCGATCCACCAGATCCAAAGCGACGGAAAACCATTGTCGCAGCGGCATATAATGGACAGCAAGGAACTCGAAGAGAAAATCAGAGAGGTGCAGCTCAACAAGATGTACAGATACACCCCGCTACAACCACCGGTGATTGCTACCCCGCAGCTGAAGGATATGGGCGAAGCCACGCCGCCGGTGGAATGGTTGGGTCTCAATCGAGACCGGTTGCCTGGTCTGACGCATCAGGCTATTATTGTTGCTTTGCAGTCGATGGCAAGGAAAGGAGGTATGTAGATCCTGCACTTATGGAGTGAAGTTGAAGTTGCTAACTCCCAGTTTAGAAGTTGCGTATTCGGATGTTCTCGGAAAAGCTTGAGCGTCGTTGGTTTAGTTGTATATCATTTTCACTTTTGTTTTATGTTTCATATTGTTTTAGGAGTTTCGACTTTTGCAATAGATTGTTTATATGTTTTATGGAGTAATTGTGGGTTTGTACGAGTTAATTGTATCATTTTATTATCATAGTAAAGAACGAGAAGCGAAAAAAAGAGCCGTATTTCCTCTATATATTCTAATGCAAAACACCGATGAAGACCGCAAACACAAAGACACAGAGAAAGAAAATTGAGAAAGCGAATCAATGAATGTGAAGCTGCAAGTTTAAAAACGTTTAGAGTGGAAAGAATGAAGGAGGAAATTAGACATCGCCTAAGCTCATTGCGATACCGACGAGGACGATACCCGCGAAAGCCCAGTTAATACACACGCTAGGTTTTTTGCTGAAGTTGACCGCCGTGGCGAACATCTGCAGCGCAATGATCGTCAAGAAGCCACCCACGACACCGAATATGACACCGTAAATGACCGTGCCCTGGTCATCCTCTGCAGACGGGGGCTCCGAGTTTCTGAACGCGAGCCAGGCGATTAACGCGCCCAGCGGCTGCGAGAGGCCGCCGAGGACGAAAGCGGCCGCCAGAGCCATGGAGCGGGAGCCGAGGGCGAGGTAGAGCGGGAAGGCGATGGTGAAACCCTCGATGAAGTTGTGGATTGCGAGCGCGATGAAGACAGAGAGGCCGAGTTTCGGGTCGGCGTAGGTGGTGACGTAGGTGACGAAGCCCTCGGGGATTTTGTGGAGCGAGATCGCGAGCGAGGTTTGGAGGCCGATTGCGAGGAGGTCGACGTAATTTGGGTTCGGGACCACGGTGGTTGCGTTCACGGTTGGGTCGGAGTCGTCGATGAGGACGGTGGAGGAGGCGGAGGAGGAGGAGTTGGTGTGGTCAAAGTAGTTCAGGTCATGGGCAAGGGAGTCGTTGTCGTCGGAAACGTCAGAGGCAGCACGGTGGTTCACGCTGTGGACGAGAGGTGTCTTCTCCGAAGCTGTTGAGCCATAGTTTGCAGCTACCGGCTCTGCGTCGTGGGAGTGGGAGTGAGAATGAACCTCTTTTTCCGCGACAGAGGGAGCAGCATGGCTGTGGCCATGCGAATGTCCATGGCTATGTCCCTCGCCGTCATCAAGATTCTCATGGGCGCAGTGCACGACGCTCCTAGCGGTGAGCGCATGTATGATCTGGTTGAGAATAACAAAGATGGCAACGCCGAGGACGTAGGAGGCCATCAGGACTAGTCCTGAGGGCGTCTCTTTCTCGAATAGAGAGGAGGATGTGACTAGATTCTCCATTGCTTCTGGGAGCAATTCGTACATGGACGTCAAGAGCTAGATAGGTCAGCAGGGTAGTTCGGCATCGTCAATAGCTTCAATAAAGTGATGATGGTGAGAGCATACCATAACTCCAGAGCTCAAGCTGAAGCCATAGACTAATATCCGTTTATCCTCGCGGATATCAAATCTTTCGAAGCGCTTAAATCGCCGCAGAACCAAATCCGAGCAAATGATAAAGCTGCCGATAACACAGGCGATGCCAGAGCAAACGGCTAAGAGCCATGCTCTGCCTGTGTCGGAGAGTGGCATTGTTGTGTTGTGGACGAGAGGGGAGAGGGGAGGAGTGAGGAGGGAGGAAAATTCTGGCGGAGGATAGATGTGGCTATCAGCTAAATTGATTTTTAGGTTGGATGTATATGAGCTGGGCAGGGCTGAGACGGCGCAGTCTGCAGATCGTCTATACGAGTCTTTACTGAGGATAACAGGACGATGTTCTAGTAGAGGAAACAGAGCAGGCATGACTGGATGTCTAGCGTCAGCCCAGGCTTCGAGGTCGTCGTATTGCTCTGTAAGAAAATGCAGGTCGAGGAAAGATCAGAGGTAATTGATCACCGGTGTTGTGCGGCTCGATAATGGAGAGGAGGGCGATTAGAGCGCTGAGTGGAGAGGAAAGAAGGCGATAAGGGTGAGGGTTTGTGATTGGGTCCAAAGGCCAGAACGCCGTCGTGGGTCCAACCAGAGGTCCAGGCCCGGAACATGTGCTCGCGAGGGAGGAGCAGACAGGTGTCGAGCGAGGCGGCATTTAAAGAGAGGTGGAGCGAGTGGCGGGGTGTGTAGGAGGATAGCGGTTGCTTCGGATGGTGTATGAGTGTTGGTGTTTCATTTCTACACCGCAGTGCGATGATGCTCAATGTTCAGTAATCGGGATTCGTTTATTATCAGCAGTGAGCGATTTGACTATGGAAGCCAATGGCACACTTTCTAATAGCACCTCGCCAACTCCCGGAAGTTCCGGAGAAGTGTGACGGCGACCAGCAGCAGAGCAGGAGTTGAAACAGATCCGCACGGCGCCGGCTGCGCATTTTAGGTTGCGATCTGAGCTCCGATCTGAGTTTAGGTGCTGATTCGAGCGATGGATCAGGACTCGAGGCAGAGAAGCAGAGAAGAAGCAGCGAAGAAGAAGCAGCGAAGACGGATTCGGAGGTGACGTCACTGAGCCAGGGGGCCCGGCGTCTGTCAGGGTCTCAACCTTGTTTAGGGTTTCTGCTTAGTTCGGGCTTTAAATGCTGCGCTGTTTCTGCGTTTGTGCTCGCGGCCCTCGATCGTGTGCTGTTCGCGTCTCCGTCTGTTCGGCGTCAACTGCTTCTTCTTAACCTCCCCTTTTCCCTCTTCCTCCTTCTCTCCTCCTCCACTCCCCTCCCCAACGCGGCGGATCTCATCTGCTCTTTGCCAAGATCACAGACATGTCGGCAAAGATCCACGGACCCGAGTGGGAAGCCGCCGCCGAAAAGGCTCCTGCACCTCCGCCAAAACCCGCCCATCTCAGCTCGGCCCGCACCATGCAGCGCGCGCCCAAGCCAAAGCTGTCCACCAGCCGCTTGATCAAGACAAAGTGGATTGAGTTTATGATGTGGATCAAGATAGGCCTGTTGAGACTGCATCGGAGAGCTACGCGGCTGTTCAAGCGGTCATGAGACAAGTGGAACGAGAAGAGTGGGAGCCCAGGGGTGCCGGAGCGTGAACACCGCGAGCTCGTTGCATACACATTTTTACGAATGAATGAGCGGGTCAGATAGAACACAGTTGAATTACAGATGCCGGTTTGCACTACGAAACCGAGCAGGGCATTGCATGAGAACACAGACGGTGATGGGAGGCTTGCAGTTGTATCTAGCAAGCAGTGGATAGACGAACAGGACAAGGTGCACGCGACACAGGAGGAAGACAGAGAAGTGCATGTGAATGTGGATACAACAGTCATTTGATTTCGTTGTAGCAATGACTTTTACAATCAAGAATGAAATATCAATCTTTTTTAGAATCTTTGAGTCTATTTGTAGTATTTCGGATTATTCGCAATTTACAACCAATTTACGCGGTCCGCTCATCGCTCGGTTTCCCCGCCGCCGCACCTAAACAGAAACCCTGCCTCCATCCCATCTGCACCATTAACCGATATCAGATATTCTATCTTAAACTCAGCAATTAAACCACACAAAACCTCACACTGATGTTTATCGCTGCACAGACAGCTTCTGTTCCGTCCTGATACAAATATCCTCCATTCCATCTCAACTCGTCGGCTAAACCTGCCCGGCTCAGTTACATGCCCACAGCTGGTAAAAATGCAACTGACCTCTCAAACGACAACACATCTATCATGAACCCGGCAGATCGAGACCGAGACCGAGACGATAGCACTCGAAAGAAGAGATCTTTGTCCGATTTCCAAGACGATAAAGTTGACTATCCTCGGCGTCGCGCTATCATTGCTGTGAGTAGTATCCTCTATATACATCTCACATTTCTACTCCTCCTTCCCCTCTTGCTTACTCGAATCTGTTCCAGTGCGAAGTTTGTCGGGCACGAAAATCAAAATGTGATGGTGCACAGCCAAAATGTCGATTGTGTTCAGAATTGAATGCCGACTGTGTTTACAGAGAACGGGGGTTAAAGTACGATTATAGTCTTGCATACACATTCAAATCAGACATCGTATTTGCTAACTTGCCTGATCTAGACTCGACGCTCGCGACAAACTCATCATTGAGAAACTTGAACGCATTGAAAGTCTACTTGAATCATCTGCCGCAGAAAAGGACCTACGACAACAATCCACCAGCAGCCAACAATCCTTCCCCGAAATCTCCAATTTCCAACAAAACTTACCACAGAATTACAATCTCACGGTCGCAAAACCGCCCTCACCCTCAACGACTTTCCAGGCAGGCTCTCCAGCGGTGTCGAGCTCGAGTAGAGACCGGACTAGTGGAAGTATTGGAGATTATGTTTTTTCGATTCCAGAGCACCATTCAACGCCCTGGCTCCATCTATTTCAAAATCGCCAGGTCGCGCGGCTTCTTACGCAGAGTCCGCCTATGAGTTATTCACCGCTACGGCTCGAATCTACGCGCAGTCCACTTCAGCTGGATCTCAATGTCTTGCTCGACCTGTCCCATATTCAACCTCTGGTGTCCTCTTATTTCAAAGTTGTCAACCCTTTTTACGCCATTGTGTCCCCCTTTGGATGGCAATCATACTACAGAATCGCCTTATCAAACGGCTTTCGCCAAGGCCCTGAGAGTGTCATAGTTCTCCTCGTGCTGGCATTAGGTCAAGCAAGTCTCTCCGACTCGCTGACAACACTACCCAAAGACGCACCCATTCCTGGAATCAACTTCTTCGCTACAGCATGGCCGCTCATCACAAACTGCTTGCTAGGAAACACAATTGTCGACGCACAGGCATTGATGCTCACGAGCGCGTACTTGTTCTACTTGGTGCGTCCGTTGGACGCGTGGAATATGATTTCTGCAATCTGTACAAAAGTGCGCGCGGTGCTGAGCATCTCGCCGCCAGATGATTTGTTACATGATGATCGAGAGTTGTTTGAGAGACTATTTTGGAATGCTCTAGTTTTGGAAAGGTAAACTGACCTCATATACATATACTGCGTGCTCCACTTTCTAACTAGATGTTTAGTGACTTACTAGCAGAGCTGGATCTCCCGCACTCGGGCATAGAGCTCCATGAAGACGAAGTCGGCCTCCCCTCAGGTTTCCGCGCAGTTGACAACATCGCCCCGGGAACCGATGATCTCTGGTACTTTCTTGCCGAGATCTCCCTCCGCAGACTGCTGAATCGAGTGCATCACATGCTGTACTCCAACATTAAGCCTAAAGTGCCCATTTCTTCGTACCACCCAATCGTGCAAGAACTGGATTTTCAGCTGACGCAGTGGTACGAGAATCTGCCGGTGATCCTAAAGTTCACGTTTGAACGCGAACGGATAGAAAACCAATTTGCGACGGTACTGCGGTTGCGCTATTTTGCGTGTCAGAGCATTATTTGGAGAGTATACGTGGAAGTATGTTTGGAAAACGAGGAGCTACTTAAGGATAGTCGGATGCGAACCGGAGCGTCAAAGTGCATAGAAGCATGTCTGCGACAAGTTGAGGATCTAGACGAGCACATCGCAGGCCACATCCCTTATCTCTGGCAAGGATCACTCTCCATCGCCGGTCACATTGTCACCCTGATGGCTGTAACCGTTTCACCAGGTCTAGCGGCTTTACTACCGCACTCGATGACGCGCATGGCAGAGATCATAGTCGTGGGCGTCCGCACGATTGTCAGGAATGGAGCGCTGGCACCGTCAATTAAGGCAGCGGCGGACTCTTTGTGTAATGCGGAGGTGCAGTGGACGAAGAGGATGATGGAGATTGGCATTGATGCCGAAAAGATTAGAGAGACGCTGGTAGAGAAGCCACCACCTCAAGAGTGAAAGCAAATTGTACAGTATTTATGAGTTGAAGTGTATTTACGGATGATCAGGATATGGTTTCTATGCTTTTATTCCAACTTAGATAAACAAAACCGCACATTTACTTCGTGAATCGAACAACTGAGAAAAACTTTTAATATGCACCATCCCAAAGCTCCGAATCCCGCGGCCAAACACGCTTATAAAGCGCCATCGCCACCGTATCCTGCGCATTAATCGGCCCGTTGAAAGTACACTTGAAGTACCCATGCGTACCGATACTCTCCTTGATATAACCCAGCCTGCCCATCTTGGTGAACAGCGGCACGGCCTTGAACCACGCGATGTCCTCGGCGTTGAAGAACATGTACCGGATCGTGACGAGTTTCTTGTGGATCTTGTACGGGTAGCCTGAGAGTACGGTGCGCTTCGCCATCACGCGCGACGAGTCTGCGTTCTCGACACTGCCGGAGGCGACGAGCTCGATGCCCTTGTCAGTCTCCTTGAGCAGCAAGACAGGCGTATTTCCAAACGAAACGGGTGCGATAACGCTCGCCATCGCGGTAACGCCTTGGTGCAAGAACCGCTCAAGCTTGTAGACGTGGTTGGGCGTGCGTCCGGTTTCGGAGAAGATGGGGTTGACGCGGTATCGCCGGGGACCGCATTGCAGGATTAGGGAGTCCTTGGTCGGGATGGGCTCTTCGTATTCGGTGTTGGGGGTCACGGAGAGGTTGAGCACGACCTTTTTGTTTTCGTAGCGTAGGAGGGAGAAGACGGTAAGGAGGGACTTGGTCGAGAGTGCGTCGTAGGAGTGTTTCGGGGCACGGATGTACATGATTACTCGAGTACCAGTCTATGAATACCAAAGTTAGCATAATCAGTTTATCTAGCGACAATAGAACAGAGATTAAACTCACCGGTACACCATTAGCTCCCGCCTCCTTCAGAGCTCTATTCCGCGATGCCCTGAAATTCTGGAACCGCGCAAGCCGGTTCCAATCCTCGGGGGTGCGCGCGTCCGTCTCATCAGCATCCCATGGACTTGTTCGCAAGTTACGCAGGCCGCGGTACCGCGCAAAGCGCTCCTTGGCCGACATCTCGGGGCTCAGCTCGACTTCGTCAGGGAACTCGAGCTCTTCGCGCTCGCGCTCGCGGTAGGCTTTCAGCTGTTTAGCTTCCTCCTCTGGAGAAAGATCGACAAACATCTCGCTCTGGGCGTCGATCTCGGTAGCGGCGTAATCCGTAGCGGTGGGTGCATACCCGTCATGTTCATCGAGCTCCATCTCGCCATCAGACTCAGCGCCACTGCCCTCGCCGTCGTCGAACTCGTCGTCTGAGTTTTCCTCGATGATCCAGCGTGCTTGGTATTCAGACATTCCCCTCGGGATCCGGTTCTTGTCTTTCAGAGTCGGGGTCTCGATCTCGTCTTCGCCTTCATCGTGGAGATAGAAATGGTCATCCAACTTCACTCCTTCTGAAATCTCAGGCATTTCGTGAAGCATCGTGTCATCGTCTTCGCCACGTGCGACTTCTTGCACAAAGGGGTCAGTGCTGTCTTGATCTTCTGTTGGGTAGGCGACGAAATTTCCAGAGAACGCGCCGTCGCCGTTATCAAGCTGCATTGAATTCTCGACCGACGCACCAGTCGCGACCGAACAGATCCGATCGATTTGGAAGTCTCCTGCGCCAGGAAGATGCACCAGTCTATCCGGATTCATCTTTTTTCCGCGGACCACGCCCTCGACCGCGATCAGTCCGCCCGTAGGCTGTGCGGCATCTTCCTCATACCACGCGCGATCGGCGACGAGATACGCCCTACTATCGCGCCACTGTACGCCCTTTGGAAACTGCTGAGCCAGTGCTCTAACCACGTTCAGGCAATCCTGTTGCGCTTCGATGCTGAACACTTTCTCCTGCTCGGCAAAGAAGTGGGTGATGAACGACAGCAGCGACTTGCGCACCTCTGTCTGCATCCTCGCGGACTCGACCTGCTCGAGATGCTGCACGACCGTGTAGACGGTCGACACTCCCTGCGCGACAATACTGCGCAGACACGTCTCGCCAAAATGGTCGACCTCCTGCTTCGCGGAGAGGCCAAAGACGACAAAGTCCGCGGCTTGCGCGGCGTTCAGCATCGAGGTCATGTGGCGGGGCGTAAGGATATACTGGATCTTTTGGTTGAAGCGGTCGATAGGAACCGTAAACACACCGCTGTAGGGAACGTCGGTTGTAATCCCGAGACTCGCGTTCAGGTTGCGGACAATTAGATCTGCCTCTACATCAGGACAGAGAGGGATAACAGCCTACCATATTGTCATCGAGTTAGCTCACCTCTCGTCTCCAAACAAGCAAGAAATTTCCGCAAAAATCACATACAACAACACGAGGCGCACCCTTGCGCCCGTCAAAGAGTTTCCGGCTCAAAATCAGCTCGCTCTTCTTGGTGAGCATCAACTGCTTTGCCTTATTGCGGCGTTCGAGTTTGGAAGCCACATGGGGTTTTTGAGGTCCGGGGCCGGATTTCTCAATTTTGCCTAAACACCAGTAATGTCCCATGTTAGCATCTTTTCCACTCGCACCGACTGTATCTGAATGTCGTGTAGAGGTAAAAAGACGTACCTTTGTTTTTGGCCTTCAGTGAACTCTTGCTCGCATGCTTTGATTTGAACGACTTCTGATTCTGCTTCAGCGACGAGCGATGATGATGACTCATCTTTCGTTATTCCACTTTCCTTTTCAGTATCCTGTGTCTTCTTCTGTCCTCTATATACCAGGTACCTCGTGATATTCTCAGGTGTAAAAGAACAACTACTTTTCATGTCCAGAATAATTTTTTTTGGGAGTTTGGGAAAAACATGTGATGTTAGGGTAACTCTATTAAGCAACAAGCAATTGGGACTTCCACCAGAGCCGCACGAGAAATCTTTTTTTCAAAGGTTAACAGAATCTTTTTATTGCTTGTTGTTGAAGCACAGAGATTGAAACGACATGTCTGCTCTCGAGGTTGAAAGTCGTATATTAAGTAAGAAGACCCATGGCGGGTTTGAGGAGGATTATGAGGAGGACAAGGAGGAGGCTGTGATTGCCGTTGGAAACGAGGGGACGGCCGGTGGTGCGAGTACCGCCTTGACTGGATCAGTTAAACCGCGACCGAAGAAGGTGAGATTTCGAATTCTGCATGTGGTGAAAGGTTTTGATGTCTAACTGGTAGTGGATATAGAACACGCACAGGGTCAAAGATGCGAGGCTACGGCAAAACCTGCGGAGAGCAGATGGCAAATTTCGCCAGGCCAAGGCGGCCGTCAAGGCCAGTGAGTTGCTGCTACAAGAAGAGGCCGGTTTTCTTGAAGCCGAAGGGATGGAGAAGACATACAAGTTCACTCAGGAAGAATTAAAGAAGAATGTTGACGTGACCACGGCTTCGAAAGCGTTTGATCTCACGCTTGATTTCGGCCCGTACGAGATTGATTATACCACCAACGGACGGAAGATCTTGCTCGGTGGTCGGAAGGGACATATCGCGTCATTTGATTTCCGCGAGGGAGCGCTTGATGCTGAATTGAACGTGAATGAGACGGTGCGGGACGTCAAGTATTTGCACAACGACCAGTTCTTTGCTGTCGCTCAGAAGAAGTACGTGTTTATCTACGACAAGACCGGAGCCGAAGTGCATTGTCTCAAGAAACATATTGAAGTCACACATATGGAGTTCCTGAAGTATCATTTCCTGCTGGCCACTGTCGGAAATGCGGGATGGCTTAAATATCAAGACACCTCGACTGGCGACCAAGTCTGCGAGCTACGGACGAAGATGGGGCCGAGCACGGCGATGACGCATAACGCTTACAACGCTATCGTTCATCTTGGTCATTCGAACGGTACAGTGTCGTTATGGTCGCCAAACTCTACCACGCCACTTGTGCGGATGCTGTGCCATAAGGGGCCTGTTCAGGCTATCGCAGTTGACCGCGGTGGACATTATATGGCGTCAGCGGGTGCTGATGGGCAGCTCAAGATCTGGGATGTTCGGACGTACAAGGAAGTTCATGCTTACTACACGCCGACTCCCGCAAACACGCTGAGCATCAGTGACAGAGGTCTTTTGGCCGTTGGCTGGGGTCCCCACGTCACCGTCTGGAAAGACGCTTTGAAAGTCAAGCAAAAGTCTCCCTACATGACCCACCTGAACCCGGGTTCGACCATCAACGATCTCCGTTTCTGTCCGTTTGACGATATTCTCGGCATGGGCCACGACGGCGGCCTGTCAAGTCTCATCGTCCCAGGCTCAGGAGAACCTAACTTCGACGCCTTGGAAGCCAACCCGTACGAGACTGTGAAGCAGCGACGCGAGACCGAGGTCCAGGGTCTGTTGAACAAGCTGAAACCGGAGATGATTGCCCTCGACCCCAACTTCATCGGCGGCATCGATGCGCGTGCGCCGGATGAGCGGAAACAGGCGCTGAAGCTGGAGACTACGAGCGAGACAGACAAGATTAAGGAGGAAAACAAGAAGCTGCAAGTGAAGGCCAAAACGCGGGGTAAGAACTCCGCGCTGCGGCGATACCTGCGCAAGAAGGCGAGCAACGTTATCGACGAACGACGGTTGCGCGTGCAGGAATCGTGGGAGAAGGAGAAATCGATGCGGGAGAATTACAGGAAGAAGCAGCGCGGGGTGGCGGTGGATGAGGTTGAGGTTGGGCCTGCACTTGCTCGGTTTGGAAAATAGGCTACAAGTTTGCAAGAGCATGTCATAATCAAAAGCATTAAATTGGTAATCTTTATATACATTTCATCCTCCCAGTATGAAAGCACAAAACAAGTAGTCATTAATAAAATGCCAGGAAATTCTAAAACATGCATCTCATTGCGTATACTAATAGGGGTAGTCATTGGGCTCCTTCGAAGGATCCAAGCCATTCGCGAGCTGCCTCTGATGCTCTTCATCCAAGAACTTCAGCGTAATCTCTGCGTACTTCGCCTTCCCCTTGTATTCCGCAACGTCGTGAGTCCAAGCTCTCATACCATCCGCCAAACGGCCAGGAAGATAAGGCTCTTTAGCCAACTCTGTGAGTGGGACGAAATACGTACGCTAAATGTTGACACATCACGTTAGCTGCTTACGACAACTCTACTTGTCAGCCACACTGAGATGGAAACGGAGGAACTCACGATAGTGAAAACAATGCCGCCGGATTTTGGCAGTCGGCGAAGCGTCTGTCTCTCGGATCTGAAATGCATCTTGCTAATGTCGGATGCGTACGCGGCAGCGTTCCAGCCGATATTGTCGCTGTCTTCGGGGCCAATGGCTGCAGACCAGCCTAGGTCTTCGTCGGTTTGAAGGAAGTACTGTTGAATGAAATGTTAGTCGCTGGCTAATTTCTTTAACTTCTATTGAAATTATTGGAGTACTCACGTTGTTTCTTGAAACAGGCTTGTCGACCTTCATGCGGACGAAGAAGCGCTCCATTGAGGTTTGAAGCTTCTCTCTGAACTGGGGGACGTCACCAGATGTGTGAATTTCGGACAATGGCATTCCAAGTTTATCAGACAGTCTCCAGAATCCTAGATGCAGAAGATATCATTGTTAATATGGCAAAACATGTGAATACGGTAATATATAAGCAATTGATTGACTCACCAGCTAATAGGATACATCCGGCTTTCAGGTAATACTGGCCATCTTCTCCAGGCATCATGATTGCTAAATCATCTTGAATTAAGAGAGCTGCAATTTCCATAGGATCACGCTTGAGCGGGCGTTCCTTGATATTGAAACTCTCACCCGTAACAATGTTGTCAATTCCGACCGCGGTCTTCTTGAAAAGACTGGGATATCTCGCCGGCAGCCACTCTCTGAACTCCTCGAGCAGCTCGACAGCGGCGTCGAAAGCATCAGGAAACGTCGAGACAAGTTTCTCGCCGCGCTCTGCCAGTCGCTCGACCTTCCGGTCGTGGAACTTCGGAAACTCGTTGTCGAGCTCAATCCAGTCTTCCCAGTTCAGGTTCCGGATGCCCATGGTGACGTGGTAGTTGTGTTTGAATGGACGATAGGATATCGGTTTGGTGGTCTTGATGTCCCAGTTTGGGTAGGGCGGTGGAGTAGGTGTTTTGAACTCAACGGGCGTCCAGACAGCTTATTGAATAAGCAAGTTAGCATTAAAAACGAAATATTTCCATATAGAAGTGATCCAGCCTACCTTTGCTATCCGCCTTCTTCTTCTCGCTAGCATTCTTCACCGCAGGCGCCTGACTGGTAGCTCTGAAGACATCAACCAACTTCACCGATATCAGCACTACCTGCAGTAAAATAATTACGCCCGCAAGAATCAGTATGTACTCGCGCTTCGTTGCGTTTGCAAGGTACTGCTGGGCAAAGTCGGTGGCTTGCTGGCTGCTGGTTTGGACGTAGAGGATGACCTTGTCCAGCTGCTGGTCAGCTAGCTTTAGATAATGCGTTATCTTTGCTAGTGCTTCGGCCATGTTCGTCTCAATTCAGCGCTTCGATAAGTCTGTAGATGTGTCTGGTTGTATATATCTTCAGTACAGATCAAAATGTCGCGTCGAAAGAGCGATATCCAAAAATTATAAACCACCTGCTGTCTCAGCCCTGGCTATTGTCCAGCGCAGATAATGATAGGCTCAGTCTGGCAATAGTTTACTGTGCGGCGCGGACCGCTGGGCGTAATCGGGATTCGAGTCCTTGTGACTCGTTTGGGTCATCCGGTCCTCAAAGTTTAGAGTTTGTGCATAACGCGTGCAACTGCTGCTGATTACCGGCAAGGAATATTTACCCATTATCGATTATGAATGGTTTATTGATCGATGGCGGTCTTTGGACGGTTTTCGGATACTGTTATATGCATTGCATTGAATAGAAACAGCGGAGCATCGTATTCTTTCGTCGTCGTCAGTTTGTACGTATCTCAATGATGTCCTCGCACAAGCGCTCGTACAAGCAGCGTACAATTTGGACCAAGCGTTCCCCACAGGCCCAAAGCTCTCTCCATTGTTCGGTATCTATTTATTCCTTTCCATCCTTACCTCTTAACAGACTTCAGTAAACAGTACGACACCCACGTCCTATGATACAATGGCGTTTCCAGGATCATCCCCTCGGCCGCCTCCGGCAGCTTGAATATCCGTGCCAGCAAACTACTTTGGTCATTATCCAACAGTCGCGAGCAGTTCACCACCTGCCACCATTCCGTGTCGGCAACGTACTGCTGCTCGTGCGTTCCTTCGACATCAGAAACTGTAAAGTTCGAGTCTACGAGATAGTCGCACTCGCTTACTGGGACGTAGAACGACAGCTCCTGCTTGTTGACGTTGTTCAGGCCGGCTGGCACGCGCGACGCCCCGTCAAGCCAGGACTCGCCCACGAATTCTGTCGGCAGCATTCCGTCAAAGTCACTTTGTATAAACTTCAGTCTCATATTCTCAGGAAGGAAGTAGGACGACGGATACCGGTACCATTCACGCCCGACGCATACATTTAGTATGTCACTGTCCTGAGACCCGAGTTTTGCATTTTCGTCAAATAGAGCGCCGTATACCTCAAGCGGAGCAAAGTAAAACGAGTGCAGCGCAGCAATTCTCGAAAACGCAATCAAAGTAACCAACGCCACGACCTCGATATGAACAATATAGTCCAGCGCTCTGATCGTGGAAGCGGGCACCTCTATGATCTCAAACAAGCGCTTGCCCAGTACTATAAACGAGTCGACGAAGATCGCGGCATTCATGCATATTAACGGGTATACAACGTAAAAAAACCGCTCTTCTTTGTGGGGTTGTCTGAAAAATATTATTGACCAAAGGAAAAGAGGCGATAGAATTGTGATGATTTTGGTCGTAGACAAGGAACTGTATAAGAACGTCCTGGAGTTTGGTAGATTGTACCGGATAAGCTAGAAACTGTCAGTCATATATATCAAAAAGCTGTTTTCGAGATCAAAACATATTTACCATGACAGCAGCTGACAAAATTGCAAACAGAACGACAACATTAAAGTTGAGCAGCAAATTAAACACATAGTAAGTCCATTTCTCGGTGCCAAAAATCTCAGGGCCGGTCTCGTCGGTTCCCAGAACGTTGTAAAGCACGATATTGAGTGGTACAATCTGTAATTTTTGAAAAGCGTACGAATCGAACGCGACCACTCCGGCAAGCAGCGTCAGAGCCAAAAGCCCCGCTTTGACGATTCGCAGCGCGATCTTCCATCTCGCTGGGTCCGAGACCAGCTCACGCAAGATTTCGCTAAAGAATGGAATCGCGACCGCGACAGAGAAAGGCCAGCCTAGAACCGCGCTGACGGAAAACATGAGAATAGCCGGTCCAGGAGAGTGCAGGCTTTCGGGTTCCAGGATCTTGGAATACGCAAGCATTGTGAAATACATTGAGAAAGATGACGGGAGATATGTCACTGAGGCATGGAACATCCCGGTTGCGGTGAGAGAGAAGAAAATGAACCATTGCGCAGCGGATTGGGACACGTTTCGTAATAGCGATCCGTAGAGCTGGACTTCACAGAATGCACAGAACGTTCCTAAAACTGCTCGCAGAGCGAAGAAGAGACCGGCCTGATATTGTTAGCATCAATAAATCACTCAAGAGGTAATGATATTGAATGGTGAGTTAAGATACCTCCGAAAATCCAATCAGCCGACAGAGATTGACAAGAACGGCGTGGATCCACGCGTAGCTCCAGCTCCGGATCGCGTACACTGGCGAGTATTCCCACGTCTCCAGACCGAACCCATGAGTCAAGTAGTGAGTGGGTTCCCAATAATTAAATACTAGATGACTCAAATGTCAATCAATTGAACCACAATCAAAGGTTCTTGGAACGGAGCTTACCTTCGTCGCAGTCGGGTATAATACTAAACCGCGCGCACAGTGACCGAATACCCGCGACGACCGCAAAGACGAATAATAAATGCCTGCTCAGCGATTGATCCGCGACCAGATCAGCCTTACTACTCCCCGACGTCTTTGACATTTTCTCTTCGTGCTATTTCCTCCGTCAGCTGGAAGTCGCTGCAGAGATCAATTGGGCAGGAGCCAGGCTGGATATTTATTTCATCGGTTTAAATCTCGCAATTTTAAGAAAAAACACGAAGATTGGAACGTGCGTGCGACTTTACGAACGAGGGTTTGGTGGTTCTCGAAAGGGTTTTTCATCACAGCCGAGCGCTCGACTACTTGATAGAGATATATTCTTGTTATTCATTGCCGCATGGGCATTTAGATTCTGTCTGCAACACTCTCAACAACCATACACCTGTCTCTCGACCGTCGCGAGGCATGGAGAACGACCCAGAAGCGCCAGGGGCTTCTCTGCCAGCTGATCGTCCGTCAGTCCTAGTCGACATCAGTAACTCGGCGCCTGATTTACTGGAGACCCCTAAAGTATCAAACGACGGCTACAACCAGATAGCGGCGCAGGCTGAGGATCGAGAGGACGCACTTCTCGCGGCGCCCACTGGAGATATAGTCGCTGCTGAGCAAAACGTCTCTGATGGCAGTATAGGTACTACAGCAGCCACCGCTGCCACCACTTCCACTACAGCTGCTGATACCACTACTGCTATTGCTACTTCTGCTGCACCTACTGAGACGGCGCCCACGTCTAGCGAATCCACTTTCGAGGCAGCTCTCTCACTCCACTTTTCAGAAGAGCTTTCGAAAGCGACACAGCCAGCTGTCGAAAATGATAGCGAAGAATCCAACAAGGATGATGCAACCGCCGAGGCTCATGAAGATGCTGAACTGGAAGCCACTCATCCGTTCCTGATTGAGGAGGCCGATTCCGGAGCTGAGCCCGCGGATCAGGATGAGTCTGATGATGATGCCTACAGCCCTGTAGTGGATGCAAAGGATGCCGAAGCCAAGGAAGAGTCTGATGATGCTTACAGCCCTGTAGTGGATGACACACCGGCCCAAGGCGAAGACAAGGGCCCCTCGGATACTGTGGTTCCTGGAGCTGCTTCTCAAACAAAGGAATCGGTAGATGAAAACTCTGATTCCAGTTCTTCGGATAGCTCTTCCTCGGACGATGACGCCGAAGAAGGAGAAGTAAACGAGGACTCGGACGAGGAATCAGCGGCAGCAAGCCCGGCAGCAGCTGGCGACGACGATTTCGAGGAACCAGACACCGGCCCGCTGAAGACCAAGAACGAGATTCTGGATGTGCCCGTTAAGCCCATTGATGTCGAGATTTCTCCGGACGAAAGAATCGAAAAATTAGGAGTAATCCAAAGCATAGTAGGAAAGCTTGTTATTGTCGCCGGTCTGTCGACTGGCGAGTATCAGGTTGTAGATCAGGGTTCTGTGCTTGTCTTTGCCGATCGTACTCCTTTTGGGAGGGTGAGTGGTTTATTTTCATTCTCTTTATCCTCAGAGTCATATTCTAACTCGGCTATCGGTGCAGGTATTTGAAACTCTTGGCCCGGTACAGAAGCCACTCTACTCTGTGAAGTTCTCCTCGGATGCGGAGGCGGCGAAGTACTGGCCAGATATTCAAAAGGAAGTGTACTACGCGGTGCGATACAGTACGATCGCATATACGAGTGAGATCAAGGCAATCAAAGGAAGCGATGCGAGCAACTGGAACGACGAAGAAGTCGACGAGAACGAGCAAGAGTTTTCGGATGATGAAGCTGAGATGGAACATAGAAGGCGGCTGAAGCTAAAGGAGAACCAAAAGAAGAAGAAGGACGCGCCAAAGCCGGACAACAATCAATCACCGCGTCTTCGTCGACCTACCGCGGTGGCGGCTGCGGCATCTGGGGTGTCGTTTGGAGACTTGGCTGGCGAAGATGTTGCATTTCTCAATCAAGTCGCGGCCGAAGCTGAGGCCAAGAAACGGAAACCTGAAGATGAGAATGGGGATGACGACGACTACGAGCCTGAATACGAGCCTACGGATCCTAGCATTACTACGGGCGCCGGATCGTCCACAAAGGACGCCGGTAAACGCCAAAATACAGATCCTGCTGGAAACAATTCAAAAGCCGCCATCGTGGACGAAGAGCCATATCATACCCTGACGCGGCCTACCGGCCTTCTTCTGCGCAAGGATCAACCCCCGCCTCCTCGCCGCTCTTCTCCAACCAACTCGCGCTCGAATGGCGGACGACCAGGGTTTTCTGAGGCGGGAAGTCCAGAGTTTGGTGGAAATCTGACGCACACACAGAAGCGAAGGCTGCGAAGGAAAAGAAAGAAAGTCCATGAGGGTGATGGTGAGAATGGGAGTGAGGGGCAGAGCGGGAGTGGCGCTGGTGCGCGCCAGGGAGATTTTGCGAGAGGAGCACCACGAACAGCGGAGCCTGCTGACTACCGGTCAAACCCTTACCAAAGGCCGGCGGCGCAAAGAGGTGACTGGCGGTCACAGTCTTCATCGTCCCGACCGTATCAGCAACCTCCTCCAGCAACTCAGCAGTCTCAGTACAATCCTTCATATCCAGGTACTGCACCCGCGCCGTTCTACGGCCAGCAGCAACAGCCCGATATTCAAAATTTTGCGCACCAGCTACCTCCCGGAGCTCATATCAATCCTGCTTTTGTTGCACAGTTGGCCATGCAGCAACAGCAGCAGCCTGAGCAACTCCCGCCTCAGCCGTTCGTACAGGCTCCAGCGCCCGTTCACCCGGCGCCGTCACCTTTCGCGCCGTACCAAAGCCAGCCTGCACCTCTGGTGCAACCGCAGCCACAGCAGCAGACACAAGCGTATTTGAATATGCTCCAGGCGCAACTTCGACAGCAATTACTCACGCGAGTGTCGGCTCCGCCATTGATGCAGCAAGATCCTATTCCCGCTCCTATCCAGGCTCCCATCCAGGCTCCCATCCAACCCCCGCCACAGCCTGTAATGCCAGCGCCGGCTCCTAACTATCAGAATCAGACGCAGGCGCAACTACAGCAACAGCTACAAGCTCTCTTGCATCAGATGCAGGTCAACGCGGCGCAGTCTTCGCAGCAAGCCGGACCAGCTCCTGCTGCTGCACCGCCTGCGAATAATGCACCAGGAGACGCGTATTCTCAAGTCCAGTACCAGTTAAACCTGCTGGGCGTCTTGGGTGCTGGCACTTCCCAGCAACAGCCACAACAGCCTCCTGGGCCGAATAATGGTGGCAGAGGCGCACCACCTCCTGGAAGATACTGAGGTGCTACAAGTAAGGATGTCTGTAGGCCTGTGCATGTAGAAAGTTATGAGGTTACCGTTGCGTATTCTATTATTCGACATGTATACTAATGCTATTTCAACTATTTATGCCCAGACTGTTTCCAAAAAGCTGTCTTGGACATGATTGATTATAAAGATAAGAAAATAAAACGCTGCTCTAAACACCTGATAGAGGTACATTCTATAAAAGTCAAAAACTCCTGAAACTTGCCACGAAAATGTCAACCTAGGAAATAGGAAAAAAAAATTAAAAGCGATTGGAAAGAACGTGAAAAGAAGGTGTATAGAAAACTTCGTGTATGGAAAAATAGATGTCAAGCTGCAATCAAGGCGGTTATGAAGAAGACGTGCCGACAGCATCAACGACCTTTTTCTCCGCAGCCAGAAGTGCAGACTTTGCCTCTGACAAATGGAGACTTTCAGTCATTTTATGCTCGACTTTGTGTTCAAACGCGACTTCTTCCTCGATTGCGTGCTGGACCGTGGACTTTGACGCGAAAGTGAGCCACGAGAGGTACGCCTGCCATACGACGCTTGCGCCGGAATTTACCAGGCCGCGGAAGTGGGGTGGGACGAGCGTGAAGTTGAGAACGACGATGTTGGGCCAGAACATGCAGCCGTTCATCCAAGCGATGGGGACACGTTGCTTCAGGTTTGCTATGATTTCATCAACGTTGTAGATGCCCTGCCATAGTAGGCCGGTGGTGATGAATGACGAGAGGAAGAAAGGCGCGAAGCATAGTTGATTTGCGACGCACTTCATGGCAAGAGAGAGGACCTTGTGTGGGTGGTTGATGTATCTGGCCATTATGAGGAACCAGCGATATGTCGGTATAGACAGTATAGATCCGGTGACCATGACCTTGAGCGTTCGTAGAGGCTGGTATTCTTCATCTGGCGTAATAAGCAACTGCGACAAGCTGTCACCCACCAAGCTAACAACCATAGCCTGCAGGAACTGGGTCGTGTGCGGTCTCTTGTCGTGGAACCGCTTATAACTTGCTGAAATGCTCTTTGAGGGTGGTGGCGGAGGAGGAGGAGGAGTAGTCACATGGGTGCTGTTCTTGGTGGCCTCGGAGGACATTCTCCTCCGGAACAGACGCATGTATGCCATTGTCTCGTCGGATATAGCGCGCCTGAGGCGCAGGTAGCGGAAGTACATGTTGCTGAGCACGATATCGAAGCAGGAGCGAGCGGAGGACGTGCGGAGCGGTGTGTTTGTGGGGAGAGAGTCAAATTCGAGGTTTCGCGGTGTTCAGGCGCGAACAAATTTAAGGCGCGAACGTCCGACTTCCGTTCCGATGTTTATTTCCGATCCGGGTAACGTCGGGTGCTAACAACACACGTACAATATCCAAGCAGATGTTGGTTATATATGTAAAGCACAAGTGAATAGGTGGCGGATTTTCATTCATAATCTGTTTGCAGACTTCACTATTTATCTCGGTCTGAACCCGTCCTTCGCTCCTTCTCTGAGGGCCACTGAACTTGCTCTACGACTGAGCCGAGCTATTAAAGAGTCTAGACAAAAAAGATTTAATATTATGACTAAGTACTGACAAATATTTGCTCTATTTATCCATTCAATGCGTTATTGCGTATAGTCTTCGTTCTTCATGTTCGTATACCAAGTACTTCGATGTATAAGTAGTCTTAGAATCAATTTACAAACTTGACCGTAAAAACCAGCCTCTTTCCCGTAAAAAACCCATCATATATGCACTGCATCCATACAAATAGCTAAATGTGATCACGTGACTAATTCTTCGACAATCGAAAAAAAAATCTCTGCTCGGCAGCGGCAGACAAACCAACAAACAGATTCCAAAAGCTGTCTCTCAGAGCATTAAATTTGAGAATATTTCGATTGCACTAATCTCTGATTTGTGTGCATTTTCTCGGGTTTATTCAACACTTTTTTTTTGAAAACCGTTGCTTGAACTTTGTGGGGTGGTCCTCTGTTTTTCCTGGAATCCCGCATCATCGTCATCTGGTCTTCTTTTCTGTTCCAGCGATCTACGTATTTCGTTTCCTCTTCACAGTATCTTCACATAATATCTCGACATGGCCGATCATACTAGAGATCCTTGTCCGATCGTCATTATCAACGATTTCGGCGGTGCTTTTGCTATGGGTGTATGTGCTCCTTCTGACATGGCATCGTCATCTCTCAAATATTCTATCAGAATCATCTTCTAACGCGCCTTTCGTATAGGTTATCGGTGGCACAATCTGGCACGGTATCAAAGGCTTCCGAAATTCACCTACTGTAAGTTATTTCTGTACACCGACAATCGACCGAACCCCAGACTAACCTCCTCTTCCAGGGCGAACGTCGCGCAGGTGCTTTCTCCGCCATCCGCTCACGCGCTCCCGTCGTCGGCGGCAACTTCGGCTCCTGGGGCGGTGTTTTCTCGATATTCGACTGCACAATCAAAGGCATCCGCCGGAAGGAAGATCCCTTCAACCCTATAATGGCGGGCTTCTGCACGGGAGGCGCGCTCGCCATGCGAGGCGGATTCAAGCACGCCAGAAACTCGGCAATCACCTGCGGTTGCTTGTTGGCTGTCTTTGAGGGTGTTGGAATGGTTATCTCCAGAATGCTTACACCGGCGGCTCCTCCGGCGCCGATCGCGCAGCCTGTATGTTGAATCTCCTGTCTTTTGTCATCTGGATCTCACCGATTCTCTCTGCCAGTCAACCTAACTGCTCTCGGTGATTTAGCTCGAGGCGTAAAAAAATTCGTCATGTCATCATCTCTGATCACAGCTCCATCTCTTCTATTCTCTTTCCGGTCGCTTGCCTTGGTTCGCTCTCCCTCCGCTCATAATGTGCTATCTCTTGTGTGGTCTATATTGCCAGTATATAAGTCCTTAGGTTTGGATTGTTGTTATTTGTCTCCCCATCTCGCCTGTATCATATTCTCTCTTCTTCGAATGTAGCAAAAGAATGCTGCATCTTCCTTGTCCTATTTCCCTTACTCCCGTTATACTCTATGCTTCATAAATACTTCTTAAATCTAACATACCAAATGAGTTGATATTTACATCAGGCATTTATTAAATTATTTTAAAAACCATACAAACGGAAAATTACATCTCGACCTCGTTCAATTCCGACTAAACTTTTCCGCACTCTCCATTTTCTATCCTTTCGCAAACTAAACCTTTTACTCATCCCCAATCAACTTGGCCGCAGTCATAATCTCCTCCACCGAAAGCTGTCCCGGCGCCGCCTTAACCGGCAACAACGGGTGCGTAACAGGAGTCAGCAACGAATTCAGCACTCGGCTCAACTGACCGGCCTTGCCCATGTTGATTCCCAAAAACGGCTTGTCCTTGTGGCTTTCTCTGAACTGCTCGAGCAACACGTTGTCCATCCGGCACGTCGCATAGCCGACGAATTTGATCACGTCCGCCCATTCGCCGACAGCGGCTTCTTGGTACTTGGTCGGCCACTCCGGACCGTCCCATTTCCACTTGCCGCTGAAGTCGTGGTTAGAAGCAATCAGCTTTGTGAAGCGGCGAGCGTCAATGATCTTCTGGATCATCGAGTTCGGCCAGGTAAGCTCGACGTCCACGTAGGCGACTCCGAGCTTCAAAGCCAGCATGATCAGCTCAAGAGCTTTGGTATAGTCATGGTCGGGAAACTTGCCGCCCTGGCTGACAGTGCGGACGGTGAAGAGAATCGGGATCGCGGTGTACTTGCGGATGATTCCAATCTGCTCCTGGACATACGCGACGCTGGGGCTCTGCTCGTGCGGCGCTGACTGCAGCAAGTCGACCCGGAGCTCCAAAACGTCACTGCCGGCGGTGATCTTGTCAATCACAGGCATGGCCACCTGAACGTCGGGGTAAGTCAACGACAGGAAGAACGACTTTGGCTTAGCCAGAATCTTCTCGTGGACGGTGGAAGCACCGATCATGGTCTCGAGCACGCTTCTCAGCGTCAGCTTGAAGTGAGCAATCTCTGCGTCATCCGACAGATCCGAGTTGTAAATGAAGAAGTTTGAGCAATCGGCAAACCACTGCTCGCGACGCTGCCACACGGCAAACATATCATCAACATAGCTGGGACGCGTCACGTCAACCGAAAGATACTCCATGATCAGCTTCACGTCGCGGTGGACATGGATTACGATGCCTGCGCTAGCAGTGTAAGCCTGTAATAAATCGCGAGCTTCAGGAGTCTCAACGATGCCGCCGCCGCAGGCAAACACGTATCCCGAGGGAAACTTGCCCATGACCTCCTTCAGAACTTCGAGCTCGAGCTTGCGGAAACCTTCCCACTTGTCCTCGTGAATGACTTGAGGAATAGTTTTGCCAGCCTTCTCTTCCAAGTAAGGATCAAGATCTTGGAACTTCATTCCCAGGGCGTCAGCAATCCAGCCACCAACCGAGGTCTTTCCTGCTCCGCGCATGCCAATGATGAAGATACTACGCCCGTTGTTTGGCACAAACTTCCTCGCGACAACGTCGTTTTGGTCCTCGAAGCCTTCCAGCTCAACCTTGAACTTGTAGTTGAAAACATCCCAGTATCCAGGCCACGTCTTCTCAACACATCTGCGCTCCTTGATCAGAACCGGTCCAGGGGCGACAGCACCCAGCAAGCTGAAGCTCATCGCAACCCGATGGTCGTCATAGGTATGCACACCGCCCTCGGGAATCGTGAGATCGCTCAAAGATTCGACGCCATGAATCTCGATTCCATCAGGAAGCTCACACGCAAAGACGCCAAACTTTCCCAGTTCTTTGACCATCGCCGCGATACGATCGCACTCCTTGACTCGTTGATTGGCAATTCCAACAATCTGTGTAGGAATAGCCTTTTCACCTTCTTCATGGGCAACGGCAGCCAAGACACTGGCAGTCAGGAAAGCATCAGTCATAGGCTCCATATCAACCTTCTTCAACGGCCGGAGCTTTCCGACAGCAGGACCAGTGACGGTTGTCGAAGTCGCAGTCTGAATGACTTCACAACCCATAGGACGCAGGACATCGACAGCAAACTTAGCATCGCCCTGGAGCGAGCTTGAGCCGATGTTGGGGACAACGCAGGTCGTTCCCGTGATGGCTGAAAATGCAAGAGGGTACGTTGCCGAGCTAGCGTCGCTCTCAACAACATACTCTGGAGGCGCCGAGTAGACGCCCTGTGGAATCTCGTACGCGTACTGCTCGGTCGTGGACTTCTTCACGTGGACACCGAACGAGGCCATCATGGCGATGGTCATGTCGATGTAAGACTGAGAGATCGGCTTACCACCGACAAGGGCCAACGTAGTGGGGGTTTCAGCATAAGGCGCAGCCATAAGAAGGGCCGAGACGTACTGTGATGAGATGGTAGCCGCCAGCTCAATCCGACCACCCTTGAGGTGCTGGCCAGCAGCGATACGCAAAGGTAAACAGCCAACAGTTCCCAGGTACTCGATACCAGAGCCGTTGTTTCTCAGAGCGTCCACAAGGGGCGCGATCGGTCGCTCTTTCATACGCTTGTTTCCGGTGAGAACGATGGAGTCTGCAGAGCTAGACGGCTTGACGAGGGTAGCGACAGCAGCAAGGAAGCGAGACGAAGTTCCAGAGTTGCCAAGATAGATCTCGTCCGGTGAGGCGACAAGCTGGCCGCCTTTGCCCTTAACCTCAAGGACGTCTTCGCCTGATCCACCTGTTATCCAGGTGAACTCGGCGCCATAGAGCTGGGTGATTGCGTTCATCATGTGCTCGGTGTCGTCAGATCGCAGCAGATTGTGCATCTTGGTGGTAGTGCTGCTGAGAGCGGCCATCAAGAGCGCGCGGTTGGTAATGGACTTGGATCCGGGTGGGATGACCTCAACCTTTGCATCTGCTGGGAGGGAAGATGACTTGACAATGACATCAGGCGACAACACGGTTCTGATGGCAGCATCAGACACCCCGGTAGCCTTCAGCTCATAGGTCTTTCCGATAGCGGTGAGCAGCACAACCTTCTTTTGCGCACCGGCATTTTTCTTGTCGACGGCCATAGTGCGCATAAGCTGATCGACCGGAGTAGGCCGGTTGTTTGTACGCTCGCGGATGATGGAATCACTGGAAGAGATCGGAAGACCATAAGCAGTCAAGATCTTGGATAGACGCGCGACAGCGGAATCCGGAAGCAGACCAAGGTAACGTGAGAGCTCAGCTTCCTTGATCATGCCGATAGAGACACATTCGCCATGAAGAACTTGCGGCGTGAGGATGGCTTCGTAGGCGTGTCCTATGGTATGTCCAAAGTTAAGAATATTTCGCAGACCACCCTCGCGCTCATCGGCCGAAACGACGTAGGCCTTGACCTTGATGGAGCCCACGACAAGGGCGTGAAGCATAGTCTGGATCGAGGACAGGTCGACGATACCGGTCTCATGATTCCGGTTGCGGAAAGCGGTAAGGAACTTATCGACGTTGTCTTCGAGACGCTTGAACTCGCTCTCATCCCAGAAAGCAGCGGTCTGGTAAGAAAAGAAATATCGGATGTCAGTATACTGAGTGCGGGGTAGTACGAAAAAGAGGGGGCAAAAGGAGCATTATGCAGGCTGCTGAAGGGAATAGAAGCAGGCATACCTTGATGATCTCAGCCATGCCGTTGATAAACTCGCGCTCGGGCAAGGTCTCCAAAAAGGCGAGGTCGACAAAGATACGTTGTGGTTGCCAGAACGCGCCGATGAGGTTTTTTCCGAGTGGGACGTCGATAGCGGTCTTGCCGCCGATGGACGAGTCGACCATCGACAAGAGCGTGGTAGGAATCTGCACAAACTTGATGCCGCGCATGAACGTAGCGGCAATGTAGCCAGCCATGTCGCCGATAACTCCACCGCCGAGCGCGAGGAGAACGCTGTCGCGAGTGCATCGGTTCTGGAGCATCCAGTCTTCAATTGAGGCCTTGGTTTTGCGCGACTTGGAGTGCTCGCCGGGAGCAACGGTCTGCCAAATCAACCGGGGAGGTTTTTCGATATTCGCAGTCAGCTCGGCAAACGTCGTCAGGAAGGTGTCGAGATGAAGGGGCGCGATGTTTGTGTCTGTTATGAGGACGTAGGTCGAGGACGGAAGTTCGGATACGATCTCCTTGAGCATCTCCTTGATGAGGTTGTAGCCAACGACGATGGAGTCGCTGCCCAGGATAGAGACCCGGGAGGTCTCTGCGTGCTGAGCCATGGAGGAAGTCTGTCGGAGGGGGAAGGGAAGCAGGGCCCGGTGCGGAGAGATATAAGAAGCGGGAAGAGAGCTTTGTGGAGTCGCCAAATTTTTTTATTTTTTATTTTTATTTATTCGAATTATTAGTCGTAGCAGCGAGATGCCTCTGATGTGATTACTCAACCCAACCACATGGCTGGTTTGGAACTGGATGCGGCTAAACTGAACTGAGCAGGTGACAAATCAGCTATCTCCACAATAAAGACTGCGGCCTAGTCGAAGCGCGAGATCTTAAGTCGGGGCCGACAACACCCGGCGGCTCACTTGCAGCCCGCACAGCCCCGTCCTCTCCGAAACTGGCCTATCTGCTGCCGGATAGCAGCTCGTTATAACCACCGTCTCTCGTCCTTGGCCGCCTCTCTCAGCTGCAATACCTCGTTCAGTCAGTCGACAATTCTTCTTGCGTATCGCTTGTTGATCGTCACTTCAGATATGGGAAAGTCACAGTCAAAACTCAGCAGCGATCAACTGCTCGAGCTTCAGAAGTCAACCTATTTTGATCGCCGTGAACTGCAGCAATGGTACAAAGGTGAGATTTGATATCATTTGTGTTCAGCTATCTTGCTCTGTCCTTTGTTATGCGTGTGAATGCTAATTGGCTCACAATTGACCAACAGATTTCCTCAAAGACTGTCCCTCGGGACAGATGGACAAGGCCGAATTTCAAAGGATCTATAAGCAGTTTTTCCCGTTTGGCGATCCCTCGACATTTGCCGAGTACGTCTTTAACGTTTTCGACGCCGACAAATCGGGAACGATCGATTTCAAGGAATTCATATGTGCCCTGTCGATTACCGCGCGCGGATCGGTCGAGGAGAAGCTTCTGTGTAAGTCGTGACAGGCGAGGTTGAGGTTTCCGGTGTCGCGGGTCGTGTGACTTTGGTTTGAACTGACGAGTGATTGTTTTTATCTCCAGGGTCTTTCCAATTATACGACCTGAACAATGACGGTCGCATCTCATATTCGGAGATGTTGTCGATAGTAGAGGCTATCTATAAGATGGTCGGATCGATGATGAAGCTTCCTGAAGACGAGGCCACTCCAGAAAAGGTATATCTAGTTCCTCTACTTTTCAACTGGCCTTGACTAACTCGTGTATCAGCGCGTGGACAAAATATTCAGAGCAATGGATAAGGACAAAAATGGAGAATTGACCATTGACGAGTTCAAGGAAGGCTCCAAACAGGTAACCTCTACTCAATATATTCTCTCCTATCAGCCTATCACAGAGACTAACTATCTTCTTCCCAGGATCCGACAATTGTATCGGCTCTCAATATCTATGATGGTCTTGTTTAACTGCTCTCTTTTTTTGTCATATTTAATCCTTTGAATAATTCGTGCATTTGAGATGTTTGGGTAGGATAGCAAAGAGAAACTTACAGCCCTTCTCTACTTCTACAAATTACTGGCGTTTGTGAAAGAATACACCTTTCCTATTTATCCTTTTATTATCCTGCTTCCACACACCACCTAGGGTCTTGTTAACCTTGAGTGTTTCGTAGGTACTTCATAAATGTTTAACTGGCTGCATGATTGATTTACGAAATTTCTGGAATATGCGCAGAACTACAGACAATCAAGTTCCAAAACTAGCATACTTCATTGACGCCATATTCCTGACATAGAAACCAACAATATTACAAAGAGTATAAATGAAAACGAAAAAAACGAAAACAAAGAGAAAAGAAAGAGCAAATGCAGAAACCCTAGATATTAGCAACTAAATCTTCATGAAGTGTGACACTGTTCAGCAACTTGCTCCAGCGGATCAGTCGCTGATCTTTTACCAAGACTCTTCTAAGCGAGAAGCAAATGAAAATAAAAAGTGCTGGTGAAACGATATAATTGGAGTATCAAGCGTCACTGGCTAGCAATCATCACACGTTTTAGCAGGATGGGGGTGAGCGAGCGATCAGAACTATGACTCTTCCCAGCTTTTCTCGACGGTCTCGCGGACTCGCTTTTCGTATTGCTTCCGATGGTCTCTGTATAGATTGGAAGCCTCGACGTTCGCAGGACTGGCAGTATTTGGATCGTTCAGCAAGCTGTTGCAAAAACAAAGTTAGCACCGATCACTGACACAATGATACAAGGATTGCAGCTTCAGATAAACATACCTCTGGATAGAAGTCAGAATTGCAGCAACATCGTATGTAGGCGACCATCTGTTCTGCAAGATGTCAAGACACAGATCCCCCGAGGCGTACACATTCGGATGGAACATCTGTGAGATAAAGCGGACCGAGGGCGGCTTGTTGGGATATTGCTCGTCAAATTGCATCAGCAATCTAAAGGTTCCGTCCTCAAATGGAGTGTCGTTCGGGCCAATGATCACAGCGTTCCAGGTCATTACGTTGTCCGATACAGGAGATGCGGAGACACCGGCAGGCGGGTCCTGCTGCATGCGCTATAACAAAGAGCAACAATCAGTGTTAGCTTCTATTCACAATCTATTTGCAAACACACTTGATAAACAAATTATCCCGGACGTGGAAGAGTACACTAGGCACCTCACAGCAGGCACGTCCGCCTCACAGGGTCAGACGACCTTGACCGGGATTCACACGTTCCTCCCCATTCTTACCTTGAAATCGCGCATCAGCCTCCGTCTAGCAGTAGTCGACATATCTCAGGTAACTTCTTTGAGCAGTGATTTTATTCCTGATTCCTTTAACAAGAGGCGATGTACAAAAACGCGCCTTGTGGATGCCTGCAGGTCGGTGGTGGTGGTGGTGGGAATAGTTCGGGCGGGATGGCGTAGTAAGCACCGGTTGACCTTTGGGACATTTGCCAGAAACTCAAATCAGGTGCCTGACCAAAACTCGCCGCCACCTCGGATTCTACTGCGCTTACGCTTTATGTGCACATTCTCTGCTGCACCACTCCTAAAAGATGTCATGATTACTGATAAATGCAATCGTGAATTGCAACTACCACTTCCGATTATCATCATACACACGATCACTGGCTGCCGACCATTCACGCTGTAATAAGGTGCTATGTAACTATACCAAGAGGCAGTCGCGCCCTCCGACGGACTCTCTCCGGTGCACGACAGCCAACTCTCCTCCTCCTCCTTGCCCCTCGAACAAAAAATAAAACACGAGAAATTGATTACTTATAAACACGGTAGCGAGCATGCCCTACCTGAGCATACCCCAAAGTTTCCACGCCACGTTGGCGCACAGAAAAGCCGCTGCCGGAACAGCATACAACTGCAAAATCTCCGTCGTCCGCCTGAGTCGGACCTCAGAGTCGACCTGCTCGTCGCCGTCGAAATGGCCGTTTGTGTAATAGCTCTCCATGATTGCGTCCTTCTCTAGCCATCGCTGGTGGAGCCATCTGCCAAACTCGGATTCGTCATCGAGAGGGATCGTCGACTTGTGAAAGCGCCGCCAGTGCATGTGCACTGATTTCGGCGGCCGTCCTTGCACGTATATGGTCGGCAGAGTGAAGAAATCCTGGCCGTAGCCGTTTCGCGGAACACCCTCGTATGCCACCGTGCAGTCGTAGAGATACGGTACGTCGAGGTTCTTGAGCGTGAAGTAGAGCCCACGCGTCCGCGGAAGAAGCATATGCTCGGGTTCCTGGAGATCGAGCTTCACGGCGTACTCATGACTCCGCTTCTTTGTGTTCTCGGTGATGTTTGTTCCTTCGGGGAAGATTAGCACCCACGCAGGCCAGTCTGGCTCGTTGGCGATGTTTGTCAGAGCGGTTCGCATGCGACCCTCGTCCTTCTCCCATTTCCGAGACAAAAATACTGTTACAAGTTAGCCACTGTTCCTTGACCAGAGTCAGGTTGCTGAAACTTACTGAATTTGAAGTATTGCATGCCCCACCCAAGAAACGGAACGTTCTTCAACGACTCCTTCAGAATGATATACATTCCTCCATGTGCCTTGCTAGTGTACGCAATCCACCACAGATACAACCAATCGGCATCGATCTGGTGATTCGCCAGCAACACAATCCGCTCCCCAAACTTTGTCTCAAGTGTTCCGTCGCTTGCACGCTTGATCAGACCCGAGACCGAGGAGTCGCCGACGACGTGGACGGGCGTGGGAGCCCACCATTGCGTCATTGTGGTGAGAAGCAGGCCAAAGTGCTGCTTTGTGAAGTCGACGTAGGCGTGAAACCATGACTTTGAGAACAATCGGATTGGAAGTCCAATTAGCTATATTCAAAGTGAGTTAGTGTCTTCTACACAAAATAGTGTGGAGGCTCAGATGTAGAGAAGATGAATACCTGAGTGAGATTGATTCTACGGGCAGATAAATGTTAGCACTACCGGAGTCGTTTACGAGCACAGAAAAAAAACACAAATCACATACGTCAATACAGCTGTCGTAAAATATATAACAATCGACGCGAGCCGAACAGCCTGGAACACGACCGGCTGCTTCTGTCTGAGCGTACCCGTCGAAGCTGATGATATCGCAGTCGCTCGCTTAGCCATAGCAGCCGTAGCGACGAGCGAGGGATCCGTCGCGCCCGGCGTCGCCAGCGGCGCAGCAGAGCCCGAGTCGGGTGCCATGGCGGCGGATCCTGGCACCGCCATCTGTGCCAGTTCGATATCGGGTGTCTTTGACGGCATTGGCTGCTGCTGGTTGGGGAATTTCGTCACGGGAGCAGCAGCTTCGTGGAGGTTGATTTCTTCTTCCGTTTATGGACGGCCTACCGCGTGCGTATCTGAGGGGTTTGTATAAGAGTTCGAACTCAATCTGCCCCTCATCGCTATCTACACACTGTGCGCGTCTTGTAATAGCATTGTACTAATCAACTCTTGTTCATGATATATTTACGTTCAGACTTCCGGCAGACGATGCTGGAGCTCACGTATTCTACAGGAGCTCTGAATGCTGTAGTGAAAGATGGCTATAGCACGTGAACAGCTCACTGCCAAAAGAGGAGTATAGACCTTGACCTCATCGCCATACGTTCCTAATATTCGCCATTATTATATTTTCTGCCTCCTGAATAACTGCTGTTATCATGAAGATTAATATCAGCACATGTTTGGCGGGGACACAGTCACAGAGGTGTCAGAAAGAGGCGAGTGCAGAGAACCTCAAACAGATCAAGACGCCGGATTTCGTACACTATCAGCAGGCATCGAGAGGAAGATGTTAAGAACGGCAAGCACAGAAACATTCCGCTGATGCAGTTTGCATATTTTTTGGCCAGGATTGACATATATGTCTCTTGCTTCTCTGTATTAATCGCGTCGATCTCCTCATAGTTGGACGTTGTTCATCTCTGTCGCGTACGCAAGTTATTTGCTATCGTTCATCTCGTGTCAATGGAGCGAGAAATTCTGCACAGAGTCTGAGGATATCTGATCGATATGAATATAACGAGACTGGAATTTTGAACGCAAACATGCTGAAATGTTCAGTTCTGCGGTGCAGATACTCGTGCTGCTCTGAAATCCGATCGATTTGCTGGTTGTCTGTCTCGATCTGTTCACATGCTCTCTGGTCGAGTCTGTCTATCCAGGTTCAAAGCCTCATATGAGAATGCTGGTCTTCTGGTGTGAATCTATATCTGTCAGTAGTATTTGTTGGATCCTGTTCGAGAACAATTCAGCGAAGACGGTTGGATCCCCATATGTGGTGCGGGTATGACGGAAATACGTCTGTACACGGTATTTACCACGTCCCTGTCCTCTGCTGCTTTCTCCGACACCGATCGCTCTCTCCTCCCTCCTCCGAAGGGCCTACCTTCTGTCATCTATTATTATCGATCATCGCTCCGACATTATTCCGGACTACCAACCACTGTCAAACAAAGAACCGAGACCTTGGCTTACCCTCAGACCACTTCGGCGATGATCCAGGTCTTCGCTTGCGCTCAGGCCCCGGCCGAGATCATGCCGGCCGATGTTCAACGGAGATGATCAGACTCGTCGTCGGCGATGAGATGCTCATGCCTCTTCAGCACACTGCTTCGAGGTGCTGGTCGATCATCGCCGACCGGTGTTAGCTGTTAAGACATCTCCTACTCCTAAAACATCTCCGACTCCGCGCCGATGGCCGGTCCGATCTGTTGTTCGTCAATGCCCTCCGAGGATTCACCCGCTGCTGATCCGGACTGTTTGATTCTGGTCCGATTACATGTTAAGCTGCCTTACTGTTCCTACTGTTCAGAAGAAATGTATATCGAATTAACATATATATTATTGCTGTAACGAAAAGGAAAACAGAACCCCTATTTATAACCAGACAAATGAGAACAAAAAACCAAAGTACAATGACCAATAACCAGACCGGGACCCAAACAAAACAAACAGATTATTGCGCAGGTTTAGAAGGGCGGTACGTTTTTGAAACACTTTTTCTACTTTGGAATATGAGTTCCAGTTCAAAGAAGTTTCACGCCCGCGCGAAACGAAAAGAGACATTTTGAAGCCAGATCTAGGGATGGCGGAGCATCCTTAGGGATCTCAGAAAGGAAAAACAAAACAAACGAAACAAAAAACATGCTTGAAAAGGACAGATAATGTGTGCTTGGAAGTCAAGTCTGCTTGTTTATGTGGACTTGTTCTTCACATAGCGGATGGGGTTCCAGGGCATGGCGATAGGCTTGATGACGATGAGCGAGTTCTCGTTGTTGGCCAAACCAGCAAAGGCGTTGTAGAACGCAAGGAAGGCCGCCATAAGACCGAAGACACCACCGGCGATAGTGACGCCGGAGTTGTCGGGGTAGAACTTGCCAATGCCGAGGAGCATGAAGCAGATGTCAAGGGTGAAGAAGAGCGCGAAGAAGGCGACGGTCGAGCGCAGGGTGCAGAGCACAAGGCCGAAGGTGAAGATGAACCAGCCCATGAGGTAGATTCCGAGCATTGTGTTGAGCGCATGAGTGTCGGTGCCGTAGGCAGACACGATTCCGAAAGCGTCGGTCTCGATCGCGGCGAATGAAAGCCAGAAGCCACCGAAGGACGAGAGCGCGGTGGCACCGAACGTGTTCTCGATTGCCATCTCCCACATGCCGGCTAGCAGCTGGATGATGCCGCCGTAAAAGTATCCGAGACCGATGAAGGTCGATGGGTTCGAGACACCACGGACCTGCACATTCGCCATGCAAAGCACGAAGGTGGTCAAGCCGAACGCACACAAACCCAGAGGGGCAGGGTTACCAAACTTGCGCGAAGGAGGAGCAGAGTAACCTGAACGACAACACTGTTAGCTAACTGTTCTGTTTGTTGATTTCGCTGTTCGCCGGTTCGAGAGAGTCAAGCATCCAAAGACATCCAGACTGCAAACTGCCTTTCGCTTAGCGGCATCCGGAACTATTTCGGAGCAGAGCCCTAGTCATTGTTCTCACGCCGCGCAGCGTTGCAGGGTGAGTGCCTGCTGCAGCCTCCGAGGGTCCGCCGAAGGACCACTACGGAGGAAGCTCGGAGGCGGCCTCACCGCCAAAGTCTGGAACTTTGCCACTCAACAGAATATATATACCGCGCTGTCCGCGCTTTCTGCTCAGTCCTGTCCTTCATTCTGTCATGTTCTTCGTGCTGAACTTCTAGCTGAAGGTGGGGGTGCTGCAGGGGGTTGTAGTGGGCAAAATGGCTGTGATCGGCGAGAAACAGAGATTTTCAGGCCACCCTTCTGTTTTGCCCTCTACACCCTTTGCAGGACTTCCAAGACTGAGCATGTAGCGCTGCTCCATCAGCAAACATGAGAATATATACAGATCAGATGTATATGTTTTCAGATTTGCTTATAGAGACATATTCTGGAGCTTGATGTCTGGCGTCTTTTGGATATTGCCATACTCTCGTATGGCGAACAAGAAAGAATGCAGAAGGGGACAGAATTCAGTGAAACATACCAGGATTAAGAGTACCACCGAAGGCCATCATCAGTTCCCTACGAGAGACCCACGAGGACCCGATCTTGATGAGATCAGGGTCGTCGGTGTGGGTGACGATTCGATGGACTCTGAGCTGGTCCTGCGAGTCGGTCTCCTCGTTGTTGCCGGCCTCCAGGTGGTTGAGGTTGACGGGCTTTTCCACGGCGGCGGTGGATGATGCTGCTGTTGAGGTCGTAGACATTGTTCTAGCTGTGGTTGTGAGTTGGAGGTGTGGGTGGGTGGATGAATGTGTGAGGTGTAGATGGAGAAGGGAAGGGTCTGAGAGGAAGGGCGTAGTTATAACCTGGTGAAAAGCGGGGCTCGGTAGTGCGGATAAGTTTTTCCAATCAGACAGGGAGGAAGGGTCAGATGCACTGAGTGGCGGCAAACCGACTAGGCAGAATTGGTGGGGTGGAAGAAGGCTCTCGAGTAGCGACGAGCGGTGGGTGTGGCTAGTACACGCCGCGGCGGCGATGTTACTGGTGACGTCGATGTTACTGGTGACGTCGACGCAATAAGCTTCTGTTACCTTTCGGCCCTCCCAACAGCTTCGCTTTCATTGGCAGAGTCCGCGCTTTCGAGGCCACCTACGGCGAGTAAAATTTTTTGCTGCCTCCAAACATGCGGGGAGATGAGTGCCATTGGGTTTTATGCGCGGGCTTCTGCGCTACGAGGGATTTCGTGGGGTAGCCCAGTTCTGGGATCTACGCGTGCACAACAGGTTCCGGTGGATGTCAATTTAAGCTCATACGCGGGAGCCGACGGAAAACGCGGATGACCACCTGATGATGTCATCTTCATGCAGCCCGTATATTGGCTCCACCTCCTACTCTTTTTTGCGCTCCGAATGTAGTGATTTTCTTCAATTAAAGGCGAGTATTAGAAACTCAGCAGACTACATACTGGCATATTCTGACGGCAGCAGTCGTTCTCAGAATTTCAGGGATCAATGCGCGCGTGCGTGAGGAGAGAGCGTCGCGCCGCCACAGTCTGACTTTGCAGCCAAGGTGGCCTGTTCCTCGGCTGAGCCACACCAGACACACCTATGCACCCCCTCCCACGCTGTCATGCACCCCTTATTGGTGTGTTCGCGGCATCCGGATAAACCCACTCCGGCGACTAATGTTGCGCCACTCGTCTTCTTTTCGGACATGTCGTTCGGCGTTACTAGGCACGCAAGGTGCTGCGAAAAGCGTGTGCTCGCCTTGGGCCTGTCGCAGCGACCGGGGGGGCACACAACAAGTGTGGGTATTTGCCAGAGATATATAGCTGCGGGTCTTGCGGTAGTTTAATAGCTTCGATCAAAGCGCCATTGGGGTCGAAAATTTTCGAAAGCAGGTGCGAGAGAATTGTTCGGTGGTCTCGTCGGCGGAGGTGCGGTGTTGCATCATTTTCGGCGATGTTGTTCGGCCTTTTCTCGGTGCAGCCAATTAGCCGTAGGCCGTTGGCAGCTTCATGGGCCTCTTTGTATCATGAGTCCATACAGCTATCCTTCGATATAAATCACTGATTCTATGCTTGAAATTTCCAGCAGTTGCTGGCACAGCAGAAAAGAGCGCGAAAAGCTGAGTAGATAGACACCAGTAATAGTTGGGTTGATAGCAGCTTCGTCTTTGTCCTTGTAGCTGGCGAAAACACTTGCCTTGCTGCGCTCGCGAAATCAGTGTGCAAGTTGAAACACATGTGCCTTGTATGATGTCCAACTTGCTCGGCCTGATAATCCACAGACAGATGTGCTTATATCTAAAGTCTTGTAGCGGTCTTATCCTTCCTGCGACATATTGTAATCCAGTGATTTAGACTGACTGCCAATAGGTGCCTGACACGCTTCCGTCGCTCAGAGCAATTTGGCGCGCACCGACACTCCTTTCATCAGCAGGCCAATTTACCGCTGGCTGTATTCTGCCGTATGTCTTGACTATGCTTGTTCGTTTGCATCAACTGAAGCTGTTGTAAGCTGTAGCAAAAGGTGAGATTTCCTCTGCGGTCTGTAAACGAGGTATCGACACCAAACTTTCCTGTTTGGGCACAGAAGAAGACAGGAACAAGTAATGCCAACCAAACGAGCCTATCAGCGGCCTTCGTATTCGAGTGTTTGCTATTCCCCGCAATTTAACCGTACCTGTCCGTCACCGCCACCTGTCGCAAGACTTTGCTAGCAGTGCCGCATCGCCGAGCGGTGAGGAAGAAGAGTCACTCATTCGTCATTTCCCGGCCATGTGATCACTTCCCCTCGCCGACGTCGACGCTTGATACACCGTACTAGTGAAAAAGATGGGGGGACAAGTGGCGGTGCGAGTCCAGCGCTGTTACCTGGTATCACTTGCTCTTGCTCTTGCTCTTGGACTCCTTTGTTGCCAGCGTGTTGTCGAGATGAACCCATTAAATTGATTCTTGCAATAATATATGTGGACACAGTCTGTGTCTCTCAAGACAAAGGGGTGACCGTACTGAAGAAAGACTGAAGACTGCGGAGGGATATACAGCGTTGGCAGCCGGGCGAATAAGCTGCGCTGCTGAGCACTCCAAGAAAGCAACAGCAGAGAGCATTTAAAAGACAGACACAGCAGCGGACAGCAGTAATTCTCCCAATATCCGCAAATCAATAAAGATATATCCGTATTCTCTATCCTGAATAGATCTGTAAGGTATCGAAAGTCATTAAAGTCAGCCAGTTGTAAAAGTGCGCGTCGGTGGTTGCACCTATCCGCTGCCAACCTTCGCTGGCATCCGACTCCGTCTCTGGCTCCGAGAACCTCACAAAGCCCCATCCACGCACGCAAAAGGTACGGTCTTTCGGCACACTAAAGCATGCTCGTTAGCATAAAAAGCATTAGCGAATCAAGCTTGATTAGATAGACAGATTGACGTAGATATAATGCGGGGTCCCCGCAAAATGTGTCGTTGGCGCCGGAGGATGCGTCGCGACGAATGGCCTGTATATCTGCAAACCATAGCCCCTAACTAGTGCCGATATACCAGTCGTGCATCTAGCTCGACAGTCAGCTATTTCTGACGAGCGCCCATGTTCCTGTCTGTGTGTTGTAGTAGCTCGGCAAAGGCCGGTACTTTCTGTTGCCTGTCCCTCAATTCAGGAGCTGGAGGACTCCTAAAAATCTGCACTCAGGAACAGACCTGCAATACAGATCGTATAGAATTCAAGCAAACACGCTAGTTTAGGCCACTGACAAGTCTTGCTGTTCTTTTTTTCGCTGTGCCTTTCTTTCTCATCAGCAATGTTGATATATGCTGTGGAATCTGTCGAGTGTTTCGGCTTTTGGCTGATTTTTCCTGCATACCCATACTCATAAACATCACCAACGTTATGCGGGTACACACATAACCATGTCAAGCATTAGCAGAAGATATCCAACACGTTAAGCTGAACTCGCAGTGCGAAAATGCTCTATTCTGGCTTTTTTCCGAAAACGGATATACCCAAAGCTCAGGGATGTCTGACCGAAATGCTGACTCATAAAGCCCTTCTCTGCGCATCACGCAAAGCGATCTCCAATCCAAGCGCTCTTTCTCGTTCTTCCGAAAACCAGAACAAACGAGGAGGGAAGCAAGGCGGATTAAAAGCAGAGGAAGGGCGGGAAGGCTGCGGGGTTATAAGGTTCCGGGCGGGTGCAATACGGCGGCGTTAAGGGTTGGATTCTCGTTGCTATCGCGGTGGGGGAAGTCGCAACTACGGCTTTCGGTAACAGCAACAGCAGCAGCAGGTGAGCTCTTGCCACCTTGTTTTTCGCTGTCGATGACGCGTGTTTGTGTTTCTTGAGAGACAGCTTGAGATGCTCGGCGGATGGCCCGATTAGCTGCCGTTTTGGGCAGATAATCTGCTGGATCAAAGGTGAGCGAGTTGAGTGAACAGTGCCGGGTGCTGCTCTTTGTTCACTGGCTGTCCTATCGGAGGTAACTGTTTTTCAATTCTTATTGTCTGAATCAAAGAGGTTGACATTCTATATGTTGAGCACTTATCGCGAATGCAATCTTCTACCTCTATAAATCAGTCATGTACTCTATATAACAGCCTTCTACTCCTAATCATTCATACAGATTCGCGAATGGCAAAGATCACGTCCGAAGCCTTCGCCACGTCATTATCTCCTCCCCATTTGACCGCCAGCATATTATTCTCCGAACCTCCTCGCCGTTCGTCGCCGTCATCACCTCTTGAACACTCACCTTCATGGCAGCATCCTCAGCAGTCTCGTTCTCAGACGACTGGTCTTCTTCGACGAGAGCTCTGGTACCGGGAAAGCGCTGGTAGAAATGGTATTCGCGTGACTGCTGTTCGGCGATACTTACTACCTGAAAGAGTCTTCTCCGTTCGTCCTCCGCCTTACCGAGATATTTGTTTAAATGCACAAGACCATCGGACTCGTCGTTTTTCTCCAGAATAGTGCTCGAAGTCCCGCGCAGGGCAGCTTCCAAAAGATTCTCGCCGTGGAAAAATGGAATCTCAGCATCTTTGAAAGAACTTACAATCAGCACCTTTGTCTTTCTCGTGTTGCGCACAAAGTTCTCTATTCTCTCTTCGCTGCGGAAAGAATATCTGATGAACTTTGAAACAAAATTCTGTGCCAGAGCCAAGGAACAGATCGGACCAAGAATAGGAAATAATCCCCGGGGCCAGTACGAGACCACGACTTTCTCGATTGATGCAAGAGCTGAGATTAGCACGATTGCGTTGAATTCAGTCGGTGGATCAGCCAGCGCCAGTTGGCCAGCAAGGCCAACAATGAATCCCATGCCGAGAGACTGGCCGACCAGCAAGGTTTCAGACGGCGGAATGCCGGTCATTTAAGTGATTGCAACGGAAGCATATGCACTGTCGGTAATCAAGTCGTTGACTCATGTTGGTTGATCGAGCACCCTGCGGCGACGGACTCGCGAATCCAGAGGTATCATGGTGGTATAGAGTATCTCTGTTTCCTAATTTCAGGCTGTGCGCAAATATCATGCTGTGAAACTGTTGTCAGTTCTGTTGCTCTTATATTTGATACGGGTGTTATCAAGGAATAGCGCTCACTTTCTCTGAACGAGGTCCGTGATGAGGGATCATAGAAATCCAGCATATACCAAGACCGAGAAAACAGTCAAAGAATAAACCTTCTTCAAGAACATGGCGACTGAGTCTGGACGCGCTCGTGCTCGCTCTATTGTTCGCGGTTGAACGATCCCGTTAAGGTAGATTTACTGCTAATATACAACTACGGGACCGCCGCGGCTGCCTTTATACAGAACACCGCAATTCTTCATGATCCATTCCTTCCACCCCACTGGACCCGTAATAACCCCGATGCCAATACGTTGGTCTCTGGTGCCGATTGGCTGCTTTAATCACAACGATTTGTAGTCAGCGTAGGCGCAGGATCTGGCTTCTCTCGGTAATCCTCGAAAACTAGCTCAGGGGTAGCCTGTACTCGCTCAATAAACTATACGCACTTGTGGCTCTATCTACGCTGGTACTTATGCCCTCCACTCAAATCTCGGTTCCGCCTCGAAAAATCAATTGGAGAATCAAGAGTTCCTGATTCGCGTTTGGTTGTAATAATCAGAGGCATTGCAGAAGTCGCATCATCTAGTGTTATTCTGCTGATTGCATAATTGGTGACCATGGGAGAGATCACCGCTATCGACGACAGATCCTCGTCCGAGGAAGAGGTTCTGGAGACCACCAGCGCTGCGGCCGACGGAGCAGTTGCCCCGGCTGACGGAGCTTCAAAACCGAAAAAGAAGAAGAACAAAAAGAAGAAGAAAGCTGCGAAATCTGATGGGGGAGATAGAGAAGCAGAGCAGACCATTGAGCCGGTGCAGGCGGTTTCGACCAAGTCGAACACCCCGTCGGCGAGCGTGCGGAATCTGGAGGAGCTGTTGAGACAGCTTGCGATGCCTCAGGATAAGGTATACGATATTTTGAAAAGTGCAGGTGTTGAGCGTCATTGCTAATTGTGTATGCGTAGCCTCGACAAAAAGCCATGGATGAATACAAATTCTGGCGCACGCAGCCAGTCACAAAATTCGACGAGAAAATCGACGACGAAGGCTCAATTGACCCTGAAAAGACCCCGGACGATGTTCCTGATCAGCCATACCCTCTGCTGAAAGAATTCGAGTGGTGTACGCTTGATTTGAATGATACCGCTCAGGTTGAAGAAATTTACGATTTGCTGTACCACAACTACGTCGAAGACGCCGACGAGACTTTCAGATTCAAGTACTCGCCCCGCTTCTTTGACTGGGCGTTGAAAGCTCCAGACTGCCGTCCTGAATGGTTCGTCGGTGTGCGGGTTGCGGCCACAAAAAAGCTGGTGGCTTTCATCAGCGGAATTCCGATGCACTTGCGGATCCGCAACACGACCCTGCCTGCCTCCGAGGTCAACTTTCTTTGCGTGCACAAGAAGTTGCGATCAAAGCGACTTGCGCCACTATTGATCAAGGAGATCACGCGCAGAATTAACAAGCAAAACATATGGCATGCTCTTTATACCGGTGGTGTTGTTCTGCCTAGTCCGGTTTCGACATGTAGATACTATCATCGGTCAATCAACTGGGCCAAACTCAACGACGTGGGCTTCAGTCCTCTGCCTCCAAACACAACCCGCGCAAAGATGATTTCAAAGTTCAAACTGCCGGCTCAGACCTCACTCCCTGGATTGCGACTGATGGAGCGAGGTGATATTGATCAAGTGTTTGATCTTCTGGTTACCTATCTATCCAAATTTGAGCTGGCGCAGGTGTTTGAAAAAGATGAGCTGCTGCACTGGCTGATGCACGACTACGGCCTCGACGGACGCGCGAACGATGCAAAGGATCCCGACCGAGTTATCTGGGCGTACGTCGTCGAGACTCCGAACGGAGCCATCACCGACATGGTCTCTTTCTACAAGCTCCCTTCGACTGTGTTGGGAAATGCAAAGCACGACTCTTTGGAAATTGCTTATGCATTCTATTACGCATCGTCGGTTGCTCTCGACGCGCCTTCGAGATCGGATGAGGCCGGAACCGCAAAGCTGAAAGCTCGATTGACTGAACTCTTCAACGATGCACTCATTATTTCCCGCGACGTGAGTACAAATCTTGTGGACAAAGGACCCGCTCTCTTGCAAAACTAACTCAATGATTAACAGCTCGGCTTCGACGTCTTCAATGCGTTGACTTTACTCGACAACCCGTTGTTCTTGGAAGAGCTCAAGTTCGGCGCTGGCGATGGATACCTCAACTACTACGTCTTCAACTACAAGGCTTTCCCTATCGCCGGTGGTATGACACCTGATCGTAGCCTCGACGTTGCGAACAGGAGTGGGGTTGCTGCCGTTATGTTGTAGGTTTCACTCGTATACCACACGATGCGTGCAGAGGTCAGAGTATCTGAAAACTCGAGTAGGTAATATATACGCATAGCAAAAGTTATATAATGAAAAACTATATGTACAAAAAATCAAGAAATATACACTTTTCAGCATGCCATTCGGATAATATCCACCCGATCAATTAAGCATGTAACACCACCCCACGCTCCTCGCCGCTGGCAGTACGCGCGCAACCTTACTTTTCGTGTTTCTCTTTCAGAGCCTTCAGAGCCACATGATCAATAGTTCGCCCGTTGTAGTCCTTATCCGCAATATCGGCTTCGTCGGCGAATTCCTTATTAAGCGCGTCCGTGAATGCCTGCACCGACATGATTGGCGGCTTCTCGGTCTGCTCCCACAGAGAGTGGATGTGTTTCTCTTTCACCTTTAGTCGCTTGGCGAGCGTCTCGTACTTGGTAGCCTTTGCTAGTAACTCTCGCACCTTTTTATCGTTAACCTTGGGAGAAGAAGGATGGAACGTCTTGACGTATTCGGAAACTGTCGGCAGCGTGAAGATATTGTCCCGCTGCATTGTCGCCAGATCCTGACTTTCGTGCATGGCCTTCTCAGCCCGCTCCCGTGCTCTCTCTTCGTCTTCCCTCATCTCATCCAAATGTCGCGAATAAGTCTTCTCCATCGACTCGCGGAAATAATTTCGTCGAAGCTCCGCCATCATCGCCTTATATCCATCCGGTTGGCTCTTCACCGGTTCGGGCACGGTCTTGGTGAAGATCTCGGGCAGGTTGGGAAACGGCTTCACGAGCTGGAACCGCGATGTTCCGGGCGGGTTTGGAACATCGTCTGCGTAACCGTGGTTTTTCCCACGAATTGGTTCGGGGAACTCGAGGATTGCTCGAGGCTTGGGGAGGATTCCCGAGACGCCGACTCGCTTGGCCATCGTTCAAAGTTGCTGAGCCGGTGTGCACGAAAAGACGGGCTTGTTAATCAGACAGTTGGAGTAGCAAGTACTAATTCACTATCCAATTATCCAGTGACAAGATTTCGGGTTTGAAAGAGGCAGAACGAACGAGGCTTCCTGTAATCTGTGTCTTTTTGTAATTTTCGAAAAACTGCGTTAACAAAATTCAGCACTCGGAATGATATCTGGGTTGGGGTTCAAATTTTGATTACTAAATATATATAGCAAGATGACTAATTATTAATAGCTTATTTTAACGCGTCTTTAATTGATTCCTCGTTGCGAGGTACGTCACTCGGTCCTGAATATATTCAAGAGCCTGTTCAAGGCCAAGACCGAGGATGTATAGCTGAGCGTCAGGAAGATAATAGGATACTGCCGCTGCTATACCGAGATAACGCTGGAAAGAAAAGAACGATGGTCTCGATTGACAATGTGGTGTATCTGATAATCAGGATCGTGTTGAATCCGCTTGTCGCTGCTGCTGTGCTTTTCTACTCTTTCGATCGGAGGTATGTCATTTCAGATGCTCTGCTTCTGGAGATACTTGACTGACAAGGTGAACCACTTTTCATACAGTAATCGAGCACTAAATACAGATCTGGAGCACCTCCTCCCCCAGATCTACGCTATCCTGGTAATAACATACAGCATCCTCGAACTAATCGTTGATGCCACCCGGGCCTCGCAATTTGATATCTCAAAAGACGTGATTGCGATAACCGGCGGTAGCTCCGGATTTGGATACGAACTTTCGAAAGAATTCGCAAAACGGAAGCTTACAGTAGCCGTGCTCGACGTTGGAGCGCCCAAGGTTGTCGTTGAAGGCGTGAGGTACTACAAGTGCGATGTACGATCTAGCACTCAAGTGAAGGCAACTTTTGAGAGAGTCAGCGAAGAGGTAATTATCTGCTTTGGTTATTTCTTGGTGGTGCGCGCTGACGATTGATGAATCAGCTGGGTGCTGTTACGGTTTTGGTGAATAACGCGGGTATAACGCGTAAAGGCAGCGTCTTGGACGCCTCGTTAGATGACATCAAAGAGTAAGTGGATCATTTGCTGTTCTTGCGTCTGTATTCTGCAGAGGGTCTGAATCAAACTGACTGTTGTCTGATAGTACACTGGATGTTAACCTTCTGTCGCACTTTTATACGGTGAAGGCTGTTCTGCCTAGCATGATTGCTGCGAAGAAAGGATACGTCGTGACTGTTGCTTCATGTCTTGGTTACCAGGGTCCGGTGAACTTTGGTATGCTCTCTCTGTCTGTTCTACCAAGCTATATATTCGACTGACGACATGTCTAGCTGCGTATGGAGCGTCAAAAGCCGGTCTGCTGGCCTACCATGAATCTCTCACGTTCGAGCTAGCACCCAATCGCGGCCTCAAAACACTCCTCATAGTCCCCGGTCAGATGCGCACCGGGATGTTTAGCGACATAGATCCGCCGCTGCAGTTTTTTGCGCCAGTAGTTGATCCCGCTGCATTGGCGCGCAAAGTGGTCCGCGCGATCGAGATGGGAAAGAGCGGAAGGATTGCGAGTCCGCTGTACGTCAACTTTATGCCTGTGCTTCGCGCTGCACCCTTCTGGCTTGTTAGGATCTTTAGAGGACTTTCGGGGATGGATAGAGTAGCCCGAGATTCGCATAGTGACTAGCTTGTATTATACTCCGCTTTGGAGATTGATTGCTGTTCCTTGCTAATTCCAATCGTTGTGCCCGTAGACAAACTCATGCCAATTGTTCTTCAGAATCTTAGCTCCCTCCTCTACCCCCCACCCCTTTATCTCGCAAACCCGCAACACAATCTCCGCATGCAGCCACTCCATCCGCTCACCCGCCACGGGGAAGTCGCTTTCGACCAGCAGCCGATCGTCCGGCACCGTCTGGACGACTTTGTTGAACTTGTCGCCGTACCGCTTGTTGATCACGATCGAGAAGGAGAAGTATACCTGCGCGGGGATTTTTCGTTTATTTGTCCAAAGCGATATTTGATCTGGAGGACCGGAGTATGAATGTAAGCAGATCCGGGTAGGGAACGGGGGCGGGCGTGGTGAATTATCAGAGGATTCGGTTCTTTCTTCATTCAAAAGCTTCTTTTCGCGGTTCTTCTCCTTCTTACTCGGTATATGCACTCCAGCCCATAACTCGCTAAAAATCTGAAAAAGCACACCATGCGCCTGCACGCCATGCACAGACACCGGCCGCTCAAATTTTGCTGCCACGCCGAGCTGCGCGAGCAAGACTTCCTTCTGATGCTCGAGCGTGACGCGGAACGGACTTAGTATGCGCTGATCCGCCTCCCCGCAGCAGCTACTAGCCTCGCTCTTTGCGTCGTCGTCGGAGGAGGAGGATGAGGAATCTGACTCGACGAAGGATATTTGCTTGCCGGATTTGGGCAGCCGGAAGGAGCGGTCGATGCCGACTTCGCCGATGAGCGCGTGCGGGTGTCGTTTGACGTTTGTGGTGAGTTGGGTTATGAAGCTTTCTAGACTCACTGGGTCTGGTAATAGGTCTAGAAATTCCTCCGGCGGCTCTGGGAATAGGATCGCTCGGTAGTGGTCGTATTTTGATGTCGGCGCCTGTTGGGACGTGTACAGAAGATGTGTGAACCACGGATGATATCCTAGATATACCGAGCGCGTCAGTGACCATCGCTTGACCGTCAACGTCAGCACAAGGAGACCACAACTCACCAAAACTCGGCACGATCCGGTCCGGAAACTGAGAAGCAGCCTCGTGGACTTTCTCCTGATCGTCAAGTCTGGTGGCCATGATTGTCAGTTTCGACGCGCGCATCTGCTGCAAACCCCGCGGCAGACGCTTGTAATTATCGGTCGGATGGCAGTGCGCGTCGTAGATCCCGATGTCCCATACACTGTCGGGAAGTGAATATTTTTCTATTTCTTCGATTGCCATGGCTGCATTCTCTGGTGTGCTGGAGTCGAGAGGTGGGGTGTGCAATGGGAATGATTTGGATATCTGATTTGCTTGTAGGACGCGAATGACCGCTGGTGCCCTCGGTTCCACTCTCACAGCTCTCGACGTGAATAAATGCTGTATCTAAGCAACCACATATATCTATCGTCCCGAGGTCGAGCTGCCTGTTATTGCAGCCAAGGTGTGGAGAGCCAACCTGTTCGTTGGGTGTGCCACGTTCTGTAATATTGCGCGTAGAAACAGTTAAACGCCTATTTCAGGTAGGTGGCGCGGAGATCAACTCCCAACGCCGTCTTAATTCCTGTCCATTTACCATCACCTCTATCATCCGCCTGTGTTGATTCTGAAAGCGACACTTTTCTATTTACAGTCAAAAAATACAGAAGAATAATGCCGATCGGTAAGATGATTTCGATCCAACCATCAGAGTACCTAGCTGCCGTACTCGGGACACCTAGCTAACAGATCAATGTGATCTAGCACCCGGCGCAGCAGCTTTCGGCCTCGGCCTCGGGGTCACCACCGGCGTCCTCCTCGGAATCGTCATCTACCACGAGCGGGAGAATATCGTCAACAAGCTGAACTGGGCGCTAAACGAGGTCAAGATGCGAGCCGAAGTCTCGCTCGAGCAGCGCAGGATCAATCGCATGCTGGCCGCATCATCTGACGATCAGGAACTGGCGGATTTCTACGACCAGGCAGAGGACGTGATGAGGCCGAGCGCGATGTACTCTGATATCGACGAGTACGCCGCGCTTGCTGGTAGGCCTGCATTTCGAGACACTGGTGCTGAGGCCGAGCCTGTCACGTCGGCGAGAGATGCGTTGCACGCTGGGTTCAGACGTCGCCGTGCCAATGCGGGATCTGATTCCGGGAGTGAGCACGTATTAGCTCAAGAAAATGCCTTTCTCTCCAGCGATGATGGCGTCGAGACCAGTATGCTATACCTCTGATCCTTGCCAACCCATATTCAAAGCCTTGCAGCCAAACTTACAAACTCCTCATCTAGCCGACACCGAATCATGGGCCACAGAATCCACAGCCACCGACACGGAATCAACCCCGACCGCGGTCGGCGACGGCAGTGCCGCGTCTGAATTCGAGTTCATCAGCGACGACGCTGCTAGCCACCGCTCCTATGCCGACTACGACAGCGGTTCACTCGCCGGTGACGACTCGGACGAGAGTGATTACGAGCACGCACGAAATCGCTGGCTGAACGGGGAGTCTCGTCAAATGACAAACTAGCCTGGGTGATTTTACATTTCTTTCCGTTTTGCTATCGATTTGCTTTTCATCTTCCTTGTGTTTAGAGTTTACTACGTTTTGCATATCCAGAGGAACGATCCATCTAAAGGTCAACGGAATGCTCACCCGCGGGACGGAAACCGGCGTTTAAAGATATGGGGTAGGCGCTCGGGTATTAGTTAATGGGACTTACTCTTATAAAATGGTTATTGTACGCGATCAAGTGTGTCTCATTGTACGCGATCAAGTTTGTCTTGGGCGACTTGGTGCTGCTTGGTGTGTGAACGGCTCGTACTGGAATGATAAAGACGACGCCTCTGTGGGTATGCTATGCTGGAGGCTTGAAGCAGGTGATGATTCACAACACAACGCTTCCTCATCATTAAAGTAGGACAACTCGTCGCTGCCTCAAAATGCAATCCAAAATCAATTCCCAACGTTGCATTGATTCCTATCCTTCTATCTAGCACCGCTATCACCCACCTGCATTCGTTTCAATAGCAACACTTTCTTATTCACAGTCAGAAAAATACAGAGAAATGATTCCGTTTAATAACCTGGCTGTAAAATTGAAAGATATTATCCCGCTTGGTGAGTTGTTCTGATCCGACCAGCAGAGTATCAAGCTGCCGTTACTACGCGGGACAGCCAGCTAACAGATCATTGCGACTTAGCATCCGGCAAAGCAGGATCCGGTGCAGTAGCACGCAGAGGAGCAACAGCACACGGTTCATCAGCACTCGGCGACGCAGCAGAAGTCGGCCGCGTAACAGTACTTGGCTTCGGCTTCGGCCTCGGCGTCACCGCCGGCGTTCTTCTCGGGATCGTCATCTGCTATGAGCGGGGGATTATTGGGGATAAGATGAATTGGGCGATAAAGGAGGTCAAGACACGGGCCGAAGCTGCGCCTGCGTTTAGGGATATTACTGATGAAGCCGAGCCGGTCACGTCGGCGAGGGATGCGTTCCACGCTGGATTCAGACGACGCCGTGCCAATGCGGGATCTGATTTCGGGAGTGAGCACATATTAGCCCATGAAGATGCCTTCCTCTCCAGCAATGATGGCGTTGAGACCAGTATGCCGTCCCTCTGGTCCTCCTAAGTCACGCAGCAAAACTACAAGCTCCTCATCTAGCCGACATGGAATCATGTGCCACAGAGTCCACTGCTACCGGCGCAGAATCAACCCGGACCGGCGTTGAGACCCGTATGCTATCTCTCTGCTCTGAAGTCATACAGCAAAACTTACCAACTCCTCATCTAGCTGACACAGAATCATGGGCCTCAGAGTCCACAACCACCGACGCAGAATCGATCCCGACCGCGGCCGGCGACGACTCGGACGATAGTGAGTACGTGAGCGCACGTAATCGCTGGTTGGGCAGGCAGTCTCGTCAAATGACGTTTAACTATTCTGGGTGACCATGAATCTTACATTCCCTCCTTTTTTTGTAATCAGTTTGCTTCTCAACTTCCTTGCGTTTTGCGTTTACTATGTTTTGCATATCCAGAGGACGTTCCATCTAAAGATCAACGGAATGCTTACCCGCGGAACGGAAACCTGCTGCTTTGTGTGTGAATTGCTCTTGCTGGGGATGGTAAAGATGATGGCTTTGTGAGTATTTGCTATGCTGGAGGCTCGAGGCGGGTGATAAATTACAATAGAACTCCTCATTAACGTAGAAAAGCTCGTCACTGCTTCAATATGCAATCCAAACGTTACATAACGCCCTCTGGCTGGATTACATCACATATTACTAACTTGGGACTTTGACTTTCGACGCGGCGAACAACGCGTCGCGACCTCACCACGCGTGTCCCTACACCCTACACACTGCAAAACCACCACGTTTCCCAACCCAAGACCCGCTCAACAAAAGACCCCGCGCGCCATGACCGAGGTGCTGGATATCCTATCCGCGCGGCGCGAGAGCTACAGCAGACTACCGCATCAACTTGAGGACAGCAGTAGAGAGGATGCCGGCGGAGTTGATGACGGACGCGCGGTACCGTTCGATCTTGTGAGTGAGGGGGGTGAGGAGGTGGCGCTGGAGATGATGGCGCGGGAAGTGAAGGATGAGGAGGAAGAAGATGCGTTGGTGCGGGATATGCTGTTGAAGGAGACGAGGAGGAGGCGTGAGGAGGAGGCTGCGCGGCCGGCGGTGATGCCGTTTGAAATTACAGAGGAGGAGTTGGTGGAGGAGCAAGAAGAAGAAGAAGATGCGATCGTCGATTTTGAGCAACTTGTTCAGCAGCAGAGTACTGTTTCTGCTGACGACGACGACGACCACGACGACCACGACGACGAAAAAGACACCCGTGCCGAAACCGAGGAATTACTCCAGCGCCTACGCCAGCGTCGCCGTGTCACGCAGGACGACCTTACAGGCTCATTCTACCGCAAAGCGATCCTCGCCAACGGCGAAGAAGTCAAACTCCGACAACGCTCGTCGCGGTTTGCGGCCGGTCTCTTTCAGCAGCATCAGCAGAGCAAGCAGCGCGCGAAGCGGGATCAGGAGTATGGCTCGGATATTTCAAAGATGATGATTGAGATTGAGGAGGAGTTGCGGATGAAGAAGGAGATGGCGGTAAGGGCGGATGTGGCTGATGATGGTGAGGGGACTTTGAGGCAGCAGGAGCTTTGGGTTGAGAAGTGGAGAGCGTCGAAGTGGGTTGACTTGGTCGGCGACGAGGTATGCATTTCCCTATCTTTTTCTTCTCTAATTTCACACAGCTAACGACAATCACCAGCGAACCCACCGCCATCTCCTCCGCTGGATCCAACAATGGTCCCACGCAGTCTTCAAAAAACCCGCCGACGCGCTCCCGAAATCCCGCCCGAAACCAGGCATCCAAGCCGACGCGGCCCCGCCGCTCGCGACCGACCCCTTCCACCGACCGTACAAGAAACTGATCTTGCTGCACGGTCCGCCGGGGCTGGGGAAGACGACGGTTGCGCACGTAGCGGCGAAGCAGGCGGGGTACGATGTGCTGGAGATTAATGCGAGCGACGAGCGCGGCGGACCGGCGGTGCAGGCGAAGATCTCGGGGGCGCTGGAGTCGCATCGGGTGGGGAAGAAGCCGGTCTGTATAATCATCGACGAGATTGACGGCGGAGCGGAGTCTGTGAGTTTTTGTCCAAGTGTTTTGATCATTGATTTTGGAATATACGCTGACTTGTATTTGTGTCTACAGGGCTTCATCCGAGTGATAATGGACATCCTCACCTCAGACTCCAAAGCAATCCAGCAGCGCCCGACCGGCACCTCGACAACCGCGCCCAAGAAGCGCAAGAAAACCCACAAATTCCTACTTCGCCCGATCATCGCGATCTGCAACGACCCCTACGTGTCTGCGCTGCGCAACCTGCGCCCGCTCGCCGAGATCGTGTCGTACAAGCGGCCGCCGGTGTCCGTCGTCGTGACGCGGCTGCGGGAGATTTGCGCGGCGGAGAAAGTGGCGGTCGACTCGCGCACGCTGAAGGAGCTCGTCGAGCGCACGGACGGCGACGTGCGGAGCTGTATTAACACGCTGCAGTTCGACATGGGCGGCGCGCGCGTGGGGAGACAGAGTATAGGGCAGAAAGATATCGGCGCGAGTGCGAACGCAATCATCGGGCGCGTGTTCAGGCAGGACAAGAGCGCGCGGACGAAGAGCGAGCGGCTGCGAGCCGTGGTCGAGGACGTCGAGCGCAATGCCGAGTTTGACAAGATCACGACCGGCTGCTTCGCGCTGTATCCGAGCATGCAGTACACCGACGACATGCTCGGCAAGCCGGTCGCGGCGGGAGATTGGCTGCATTTCTACGACGCGCTCTCGTACTCGATGTACCACAACCAGAACCGCGAGCTCAACCAGTACCTGTCGTACACGGCCGGCGCGTTCCACTCCATGTTTAGCAGCACGATGAACGAGGTCAAGGAGTTTGCGATTCCTAAAGACGACTACGAGGCGCGGGAGAAGCAGCGGTCGAGTAAGGACTTGCTCAAGCAGACGATCGCGCAGGCGCCGGCGTCCACAGCGCGCTTGTTTAGGCAGGAAAGCACGATCGCGACCGAGCTCGCGCCGTTCTTGCTCAACATCATTTCGCCAAAGTTGAACCCGGTCAACTCGAGCGTGCTGGTGGAGAGCGAGAAAGAGATGTTGGCGCATACGGTCGACGTGCTGATTGACTTTGGGTTTAAGTATATCCAGCAGCGCACCGAGAGCGGCGTGTACGTCTATCGGGCTGATCCGCCGATTGAGCAGATTGCAAAGTTCTCGGTGCAGGACCAGGAGATTGCCGCGGTGGGAAAGTACATGATCAGACAGCTGATCAGCCAGGCGCTTGATATGGAGACTGTTAGGAGACTGAGACTTCCACGAGCAGCAGCAGCAAACGCTACGAAGAAGAAGCGCAAGTCAGAGATCGACGACTACAACGACGCGAAGAAGCAGGACGGCGCGGAGGAAGATCCCGAGATTGACAATCTCAACTCATCTCCAGAGCGACACCGCGACAAACGCCCGATAACCTCCACCGCCGACCTACTCTCCTCCTCGCCCGTGAAGATCCCCGAAGAAAAACCCGCGCGTCCGACCTTCCTATCCTTCTTCACGCGCTCAACCTCCGCAGCTGACTCATCGCAATCGTCTACGGGCGACAGCAACAACAACAGCAACGGCGGCGCGCACTCCCGCGAGAGCTCGATGCAGGCCGCGAAAGAGCGCGTGCGCAGAGAGCGCGAGAGTCGCGTGTGGGTGCAGTTCCACGACGGGTTTTCAAACGCGGTGAAGAAGCCAATCCAGTGGAACGATTTCTGGCGGGATTTGTAGTTAGTTATAGGAATAGTTAGATAAATGCATGGATTAGATTGATTTTCTAGCGGATATGATGTAGGCTCTGACTACGCGCTGGGTATACCACCACCGCACCACCTGTCCGAAAACCGCAAACCGCTCGAACCGAAGCCATCGTCCGACGCCGTCCCGCGCCGCTGCTCTGTCGGCTAGAAACCCCGCCAGGCCGGGAAACACGTGCTCGGTGATATCCTGCAGTTCGACCGTCCAGCTTTGGGCGGGGGTGAACCCGGCCGCGTGCAGAAGCGAGAGGTATTCGTGCTCGTCGAGGAAGTTTGCAAACGGCGTCTGCGTGAGCAGGCAGATTGCGCGCAGACCGAGGAGTTTGGGGAGCGAGAGCGAGGAGCGCGAGGAGAGCAGGAGGTCTTCGGCCGCGAAGCAGACCTCGCGCGGACTGTCGCTCAACACCTGCTTTGTCAGTCTCTCGCAGGCAGCTTCCAGCGACGAGTGGGCGAAAGCGAGAAACCGCGCTCGAGAGGGGGTAAAGTGGTAGAGACAGTCGAGCGCGAGGATTTTGTTGACATCGCCCTGGACGACGAACGAGCGCAGCATCTCAGCCGGCCAGTGGGTTTCATCCGGCACGCTGCAGTCAAGCGTATAGACGCTCGCTTTGCCGAGCAAGCCCGCGTTTCTGAGCTTCCCCGTCGCCAGCGCTGCGTGGTCAGCTAACGACGTCGCGCCAACGTACTGTCGCGTCATGGGCGCATACACGAGCGACTGATCGCCGCAGCCGATCCCAATATCAAGCACGCAGTCGTCCGGCCCGAGATTCGCCGCGCGAGCAAGCTTCACCGCCAGCGCCAAGTTCGCGTCCGGGAAACTGCAGGCGGGAGTCGTCTCGTCGCGCGCGGGCCAGTAGCCCATGTTATTCCAGGTCGAGGGCGGGGTAGAGTCGAGATTGAGCATGACGTGCGCGAGGTCGTAGACTTCAGAGTGCTCGTCATTGCTCTGGTGTAGCTTTCGAATCGAGATCTGTAGGAGGGCGAGAGAGATGTGCACGAAGAACGAGACGATTGTAAAGACGCCAAAGAAGAGAAAGATGCGCTCGATCGCCGCTGCGCGAGAGTCGTTAACAGGGATGTATGCGACTAGCAAGGCAAACACAACAGCAGTCAAAATGATCCGGGCGGCAAATACGTAGGCCCATCTTTGCAGCTTGCCCATTTGCACCTTCTGCGATGGAGATGTGCTCGCTTCTCGCTTCTCGCTTCTCGAGGCGGAGGATAGTTTATCTGTTACATAAGGTCTTACTAATACGGCATGTGCCGGTGCAGTGAGCCTCGTTGTTCGTACGAGGGCAAAGAATGCGCAGAGATCGAGGCCGAGGGAAAGAAAAAGATGGGGAATGGAGCGACGGCGATAAAACAAGAGCAAATAAAAGCATGAGCGGCTGTGGATCGTCGGTATTTGGCGATCTGGATGGCATGTTGGTGAACAGCTGTGCAGCAAATGCGAACGAACGTTGATTGTTGCCGCACATTTTTTCTATTTTTTCTTTCTTTTAGACCAACTCGCGGGATCGAAATCCGATGGTTCAGCACCGATAACAATGGTCGGCGGCGGGGCTAAGTCAATGAATGAATGAGGCTACCTCGACGCTGCATATTTGCCGTGCTGCTCTTCCAACCTTCGTCAAAAATGTCAACCCAAATTTCTCAAGAAAAAGCTTCTCTGCATTGTCGGTGTACTCTGTCGTGTCAGCCGTTGATGCGCAGCGCACTTCTTACTCACAGTTGTGAGCAGATCTCGCTTTTGCCTGTCCTGCTTCCGCGACCGTTGACATACCTGTCGCTAAATAAAATCAACACATCAACACAATCGATCGAACCCCCTTTTCGCAGGTCGCAGATCTAACTCGCTGCCAACAACCTGGTCTTAATCCCCTTGCAATCGCGAGCCCGAGTCAAGGGATAAATTATCATCGCCATCATCAATTCATAACAAAAAGGGGGCGCCAGACGCGTCCGTCGTACCAGGCGCGCGTGCGGCTCGCGAGGAACGTGGGCTTTAGTCGGGCAGAGAAAGATAAGTTACGGAATGCGGAACTTTGTTTTTAAAGAATCTTCCTTGAAGACGCGTCTTTTTGCATCTCGAGATGCGAGGTTGAGATGGGTTTTGACTGTTGTAGTGCGATCAGTAGATGGAGTTGGAGTTGTAGTAGTTGATTGCGCTTGCTGGAGTTGACGAATTGATTGTATAATCTCATCAAAACGACGCGCTACTTTGAAATTATTCTCACCCCGTGTCTCCCCCAAAATCTGTTCAAATCGGTTGCTCAGAAGCTCGTCTACCGACCTCTGTCCTGCGAAGCGTAGTCTAGACGCCTCTCTCTTCTTAGCTGGAAATTGCACCTCTGTTACCTGAGTATAACGCGCAACGGCTATAATTACCAGAATCAGAGGGCCTACGTACACCTTCTACTCGCTAATTTGATTTCGGAGCGCTTAAGTTATGAGCGGCAAACTCAAGACGTTACCGGTGTTTACGTTGATTACATAAGGCGGGAGGTGGTGAGGGAATCGTGGTTGGTATGTGAACAGTGCTCTTGATTTCCAGATGTAGAAAATAGTAAACATAGAGCACACGAGCGATGAAATACTGATAATAGAAGAGATATGAAATGATATCAACATAGCTGATACTGAAATATCCATCACCAACACTAGAAATACACGGATTCGGTATGTGAAGCGTATTTATAGGCTGCTATTACGGGCGGCGCTTCTGGACATGACAGGCACACACAAGTATCACATAATCACTCTTGCAGGAATTAATACTGTTGCGCAGACTCATCACTAAGCATCTGTTGTTTGGTCTGCGAATGCGGACGGTGGGATATTTTGGGCGGTGGTCACAGGCTTTGTTGGTTCGTACAGCTGGGATCAGTTATCGGGGCTAATCATAGCTATGTGATCAGATGGCTGTTGTGAGAGTAGCACTAGAGGTCTTTACTGTTTGTTCTGTTCGATTTCAAGTGTAGTATTTACAATTAATAGTACCATCTGAGTAGTAGTAACATCTGAAGCACAGCAACATCTATATCCGAAAACCGACATCTGCTCATGACCGAGATAAGGCGTTCAGAATGCTGACCAAAGAATGCCATGAAACGCAAATCATTCCGGAGATGTACTCCGGTGACCTAGAGACGGCAAGAGCAGAGCCTTTGATCGGCCAAGGAAGGCTTATTTTTGCCCTCGATGCAGTGCCCTGCACTGCGCGTACGGACGAGGATGTAGAATGTTGATGCACAGAGTGACTTGACAGGATTAGCAACGTAGACAGAGAGAGGTAGAGAAGAGAAGAACAGAAGCAGTCAGTGATATCCGTGATGGTGGAGGGGTAGACGCGAGAGAGCACATGCGGGCGGGTGGAGGCCGAATCCGGCGGAGGGTAAACAGCAACGACAGCAACGGCAACGACAACGACAACAAACAAAGCGAGACCTGACAGATGCAGGACGCATTGCGCGGCACGCCATCTTACATTACGACAGATTCCGAGAAGATGCAGTGCGTGCCTGGAGTGGGTTTTCAGTCGGTTAGAGGTAAACTGCGGACGCACGGCTACGACAGTAGACATAGACGTAGACACAGACAGGAGACAGACAGAGAAGAAGCCGGGGTAAAAATAGAGCAGTACCTTTTAATATAAGAAAACATGCGAGAGAACAGCGAAGGAGAGCAGAGTAACTGGTAACAAACAAAGACAAACAAATGGATTCTATTTCCGGCGCTAACGGCGACTAAACAGGAAAAAAGAAAAGAAAAGAAACATGAACTTTAAACGAGGATCAGAGAGCGAAAGAGAGAAAGTGGAAAATTCTCACAGTTCGATTTATGGGAATTACGGTTTGCAGATTAGACTTTCGCCTTCTGTTAGTGCGTGAGTAGCGTTGTGTTCTGCCTGCCGTTAAGAGATGCTGTGACTGGTGTTGTTGTTTTGTTATTGTACTATTCATGCACTGTTATCTCAGTTATCTCAGTTCTCTAGTTATTTCGGACAATGAGATAAACGCAGACATGGATCAAGTATGAATCAGGATGAATCATGAAGATGGCTGGTCGGAGTTGTCGAAAGCAGGCCAGCAGCCAGCCATGCGACGGATTAGTGAGGGAGCTATTAAAAGAATCCACACAAGTGCACGGCTGAGCAGAGCTACGTAAAAGTTAATTTCCGGTACTGGCACTCTTTGCTCTCCACCTCGTCCAGTCATCTGCCTTTTCCTTTCATTCTCACACGCCCGGGCCTCATACTTGTCTGCTCAGTGCCGGAAACTGGGGCGGAATGACAAGTCCGATGGGGATGAGAAGAAGAATAAGAATAAGAATAAGAATACGCAGAGAAGCAGAGAAATAAGAGATCAGAAAACAAGAAATAAGAAATAAGAAATAAGAAGCAAGAGTTGAGTAAGTATTTGAAAATAAACAGCATCGAGATAAGAGGTGTAGAGCAGTGGCAAGAAAGTGAGTGGAACGAGAGCGGAGGGCAAAAGTGGCAGCATAAGCCTGCTTTGATCGTTTACAGTTCTTGACTTAGACCTGGTGGTATCGGAAGCGACAACGGCGGCGCTTGCTGTCTGCTCGGATTAGAATATTTAGAATAGAACAACAACAAACACAACATCAGAGTGTGATGCTGGTGTTTTGATTTTAGAATAGAATCGAGCGCAGGCAGAGCAGGCAGAGCAGGCAGAGCAGGCAGAGCAGGCAGAGCAGGCAGAGCAGAGGCCGGGTGCGGGACGGGCGGGCGGTGACAGGCTCGTGTGCTGTTCTGCTTGTTTGTTTGCATTCCTCGACGTCACCGACGCTCGGAAGAAGTAGAGAGTGTTTGATAAACAATACTACAACAACTAGATACTACTATGAATGAATATTCTATATCAGCACATTTCCACTATACTCCACCATCTACACATCCAGAACATCTGCTCACTACTGAGTATACGGCGGTTGCTAGGCAGATGACGTAGGAATGTAAACAACCCGGGCCAAGAGCGCCAGCCTAAAATTAGCGATCGCTGTGTCAGTCCCAAACAAGGTTTGCGAACTGTACCTAAACTAGCCGCTCCTTCGCGGCGCTCCGGTCTGTGAACACCGCATTTGGTTAGCGCGCTGAGCTCAGTGGGCGCGCCAGACCGGCAGAAAGAGGTACTGGCGCCAAGTTGAGATATGCTCGCTCGAAGCACTCGCTCTGCTCGCTGCCCGCACATATATTAAGGCCGCCCCCGGTCCTGGCTCTTCTCTCTTTTCCTTTCCTCTTCATACACTCGCTTTCAACACTTGCCAACTTTAGTCACTCGCTCTACCAACCAACCAACCTTTCACAATGAAGTTCACCGCTGTCCTCTCCGCTGCCGCCATCTTGGCCACCACCGCCTCGGCTGCTTTCACCAACGGAACCACCTCCACCTGGTTCTACGACGTCACCACCACCGAGGTCGTCACCGCCTACACCACCTACTGCCCTGCCTCGACCACCATCGTCGAGAACGGCAAGACCTACACCGTCACTGAGGCCACCACCCTGACCATCACGTATGTTCATACTCCTTCTTCTCCTTTCTCCCCTGACCTCCTCACTAACATTCCTCAGTGACTGCCCTTGCACTCGCACCAAGGTCTACAGCACCTCGACCGTGACTGTCTGCCCCTGCACCAAGACCCCCACCCCTGAGGTTGTCTCGTCTGCCACCACCCCTGCTGTCTCCACCTTCACCGGTGCTGCCAACAAGGCCCAGGTTGCCGGCGGTGCCGTTGCCGGTGTTGTCGCCATGGCCGCTTACCTTTTGTAAGCAGTCTATCGCTACTAGGCTCTGAGCATTCTCCATGACGAGAACTGAACCGCAACCGCGTGTTTGGTGTCGCTCTTCCCGGGATTCCGTCAGATGTTTTTCGTTGCACGCGTTTAATAGAGGACATTAAGGAATAATTTAGAGAGACGTCGAGCAGTTGTGTTTCATTCTTCGAGTGTTGGATATTCGGTTTTTCTTCTTTTTAATAAATACTTTTTAATTGTGATTTTATTTTTGGGGGTTATAATTTTTTAAATCTTATCTGCTATTTTGTGATATCTCTTGTGCAAAGCTTTGGGAAAAAGTGATTGCGATTGTACAGTGTGTTGGGTAATATTATAATATTTTGACTACTGTAATCATAACTATTTCTCATTCTTGTATTGTTGTGTTGTTGTGATAGCAGTGTTTAGTAATAGTAATCCTTGATCAAAGTCATAACAGATACTCGGGATGGTGGCGGAGGTGGGTGAGAATGAGAATGAGAATGAGAATGAGAATTCCAGCGGAATCGGTTGGAATGTTGTTGCTAGCAAAGTGTAAAGTAAATTGCTCGCCGCGAGCGACTACAAGTGCGAACAGGTTCCTGAGCGTGGTTTAATCTACAGAGTTTACGGGCGAAGGTCCCGGATGCCGCAGGAATAGGAGAAGAAGAATAGGAGAAGAAGAAGACTGAAGAAAACAGAGCGGCAGAGATAGGAGAAGAGGACAATGGACGGACGACGATAAAGCAGAAAAGGAAGTTGTTGTGGGCTCGTTTATTGGGTGACTATTACTTTACTGTGCTCTGAGGTCTCTTCTTTTAGGTTTTTGCTTAGAGTTCTGCTGGTGTCTCAAACTATAAACATGCCGTCCACTTTGGGCTTCCTGCCTTGTCTTGGTCTGGGAGTTGCTCCTCGGCCGGACCGGACCGGAGCGGTGCGGTGAGCAGTGCAGTGAGCAGAGCAGAGAGCAGTGTTGGGCAGGTGTTAGTTCTGTTTCTAGCTGTGGGGCGGTTATTCACTGCTCACTCAACACAGCCTGAGCAGACTGAGCGCCCGCCAAGTAATCACGAAATGGTCTATGCATCATCACCTTTCGGACTCGAGATCTCTTCCAGTAAATCCAGGCGGACATTGCCGATCAGACACCGCACAGCAGACAGACAAGATTTGCCCGGAGAGAAGGAGATGGAAGCGCGGCGGCGGAGTGGTCTTTTCGTCGTGGTGCTCTTCCTCTTCCTTCTCTTCCCGCGCTTTCTCGTTCTCCCGCTGTCAGCCGGCGCCTTCTTCTTTGTCTGAATTAATGATGAGTCAACACTCCCGTCTTATCTCTTCTGCAACTACTTACACTTACTCCACCTAGCCATATTGCCGTAGTCTCTGCATCCTCATATGTATCTGATGCGATACCCGAAGTAAAAAAAAAAAATATACTCTCTCTCCAAGGTAAAAATAGAACAACCTTCTTGGCCTTTGCCTTTGTCTTCCTTCTCCCTATCACCGCTCAACCTTCCCAAACCTATCCCATTATCTCCACATCCAGCAACCTCCATGACGTAATTACTTCCTCAATACCAATAGATAAGTGGGTGGGCAGATAGCAATTACGCCCTATTTGCTCAAACAACAATGACCCCTGTGCTTCTTATTAGTTACTTACTTCTGATTATTGTCCTCTCCTTTGTCTTCTTCAAGATCTCAGATCGTCTCCTGCGTCCTCATCACCCTCGCACGACTAATTTGCAACCTACTGAACTATTACCCAACTACTCCCTCTCTCGCCCTCTAGTTCTTCTTTTCACCCCTCTTCTCCTTTTTCTTTTATTTGTGATTCTTATTTTGTGATTTTTTTTGATTTTGCTAGTTTATTACAACTAAACTGCCACTGCTCACTGCGTTGGCAGGGGTGCCGTGTACCACCATCGTATACTCCCTATTCCTCCAGATCGCGACTTGTTATCGATCTCACTAATCCCTCTTCAACATCTGTGACTTCCGAATCACTCTCATGTTGTATTGATACTATATCCAACATATCTGCATGCGCCTGGTAATCTGTCGTACCGCGAGCCTGCACAGCGTCGTCAAAGGCAATGATGACGGCCGGTACCTGCGCCAGCGACAACTTCGAAGGTAGACTTAACTGCGATCCTAGCATGATCAGTCTCGCTGAATCTGTAGATCTGCACTATCCCCCACCACTAATTCGCAACCTCTGATCTCCGCGCTCCCCGCAGCGGCTGCACATCCTCCTCCATCACCCGCAACGCATCGTCCGCGATCACCGCCGCACGAATCGCCTCATCCACCGTCTCCATCTTGAACCCCTTCACCGCAGATCTGAGCTCGGGCTTCAGACTCGTCACGAACCGGCTGATTGCCAATTGCTCTGAATATTCCGGCATCCGGTCACACAGCGCGAGGAAGTGGTCGATGTGCGGCCGCAGCGCGCCGGTCTGCGTCAGACTGCAGAATTCATCGTAGAAAGCGAGGTCCTTCATCGGGTGGTTTTCCGGATCTGAGAACTCCTCGCGGAACAAGCGCACGGCCTCGTCGTACGTCGGCAGTGAATCACGAGGAATCTTGTCCCAGCCATCCCAGTTCGACACCACGCCCGCCTTCAGCAAACCGATCTTGACCGCGTCGTCCTCCACCTCGTTGCTCGCAAAACACGCGCTCAAGATCAGCCAGGAATCTATCAACAACTTTGACATCATACACTCCCTCAAACCTCGGAAACCCGCGCTTCCTGCCCTCGGTATCGCTGCTGGATCGCGATGATATCGTCCCGCGGCGGAAACTCCAATATGAACCGCTTCACAACCGCATCGTACGTCTGCGTCTCGCTATCTTTAAACTTCCCGCCCTCCAAAAAGTTCCTGGCAAACCACTGCGTCGCTCTACCCGTCAACCCTCCCGCAAACATTCGCAGCTTCGTGTCGTCGTCCGTCACATCATCCGCAAAAAAAACAGGATCTCCAACCGTCCAAGGTACTCCCTCACCGCGCGCGATGTGTTCTCGCACGTAAAGATCGGAACCTCGATCTCGCCCTCTGCCCACGTTCTCTTCAGGTTTCATAGCTGCTGTGTGTGTATTGACTGTAGTTGCTTAATCGTGATCGAGCGAAATGAAGGGTGGCAAGTTGAGTGGCGATCTGGGATCGATCGAGTGATATAGTGGCCGAATGTAGAATGCTAAGTGAGGGATATGACTAAGCATGAGATCGTGGACAAGATCGCGCTTCGATTTATTCAATGCCGGTTTTACCAATTTCTTCGGTTCAAATTGCTCGGAATCGCCTTAATTCTCCAACGATTCATTTAGTATACCACCAATTCACCACACCCACCCTCAAGGTCTCTAAATTCGCCCGATGCAGTTTAAATACTTTGGGGTTTATAGAGGCCAAGATCACAAATTTCGTCAACAAAAAACGGTTCTGTAGTGTAGCTGGTTATCACAGCGGATTCTGATCTTCAAAAAATTGGATATTTCCGCTAACCCCGGTTCGAATCCGGGCAGGACCTTTTTTTTTTTCTATCTCTTTTTTCTATCTCTTTTTGTGATTTTTTTTGGATTGATTCGATTGAAGAGGAACTTTTCATCTGTTTTGTTTGATTTGGGTATTTTGTGGAGAGGAGGAGGGGGTTGTTTGGCTTTGGTTGATTTGGGTGTGGACACCTTGATATTCCGTTTATAAGATGTCTATCGCTCACGAAACCGTTTGTTCAACTCACAGGTAAAATATACCGGTCTGGAATCTGATAGTTAAACCCGCGGTTTATCACTAGTCTGTATGTCTGCAAGGGTTTGGAAAATGGGCAAGCTATGAATGCCAGATGCCAGACGTAAACATTATAAGGATTGCATACCGCTGGCCCGACGTACACGCAAGTTGTACAGCTAGCAATCAAGCATGTAATAAGCATTCAAATTCAGATAATTAATTCAATCATTATTCGTCGCTCTAACTATTCCACCCGTCGTCGTATAATCTAGAAATCCGTCACTCGGCCATTAAAGCTGTAGTCGCCGTGTCTCAACGGATCCTGCTTCGGTCCGCCGACCTCGCCCGTCTGTATAAACCAATTAGCACCTCTCTCTAAATCCACAATCAAACAATCTAGAAAAACAGCATACCTTCGGATTAACGTCTCCCTCAAACTCAGGAATCGTCCGCCCGACATAATCCGCATGCTTCACATTCATCGCCCTCAACCTCGCCAAACTCTCCTGCTCAACCGTCTGCTTCTCCTCCGACAGTTCCGCCTCACGCCCCTCCATCACCGCCGTCAACGTCTCGACATCGACCTCGATCTCAGGCACGTCGTCCTCGGCGGCCGCGAACGGCGCGTTCGCTTTCTTTAGCAGACGCTCGAATTCTTCTTGTTCTTCCTCGGGGAGGCGAGGTGGCGCGGGGCGCGGGGCGGAGAAGTCGGCGTATGAGCGCGTGAGGGGGGAGAGAAGCATGGGTGGGTACGTCGGGCGGGCGAGCGTGCGCAGGGCGCGGGTGGTGTGTCGGATGGTGGTTAATCGGATCATTTCGGTAGTGGCGACGATGTTTAGTGCGCTGGCTCGGAGCTTTCAAATAGTCCCTTCAAGTCCTTGAAATATCCACTAAATTCTGACGTGGTAAGATAGCAGCAAGCAAGTCTCGCGGAGAGAAGTAGAGAGTTGTTGAAGTAGAAGTGTGGGGAGGTCTGGATTTTTGGTGGTTGTAATTGCGACAGCAGTCTATTAGCTAATGCACGCCGCATTGCTGCTCATCGCGATGGCCAGAACGTCCAAAATTAACGGCAGTATTTTATACTCATTTTCTCACAATGCACATGACCGCACCAGTATTATAAGATGAAAAACTACACTGAAGGAGAGAAAAAAAAAAAAAAAGGAAATTAATGGATAAATTATTACTTATACTAAAATTACAGAGTAGCAAGCGCGGCGTCCAGAATCGCCAATCCCTCCTCAATCTCATCCTCGCTAATAACCAACGGCGGCACGATCCGGATCGTGTTCGTCCCCGCCGTGATCACCAGCAACCCATTCTCGACCGCCGAGCTAATCACCGGCGACGAATCAACGCTGAGCTGCACACCCCGGATCAGCCCCGTCCCGCGGATCTCGGTCACGAGCTCGGGATACTTGTTTTTCAACTTCTCCAACCCGGTCTCCAACACCTGCGCCTTCGAGCGGACGCCGGCGAGAAACTCGGGCGTCGCGATCTGGTCGACGACGTAGTTGCCCACCCGGCACGCGAGCGGGTTGCCGCCGAACGTGGTGCCGTGGTCGCCGACCTTGATTGCCTGCGCGACGCGCTCCGTCACCATCGCGGCACCGATAGGCATGCCGTTTCCGAGCGCCTTCGCCATCGTCATGATGTCCGGGTGCGCGTCAGGACCGAACGCCTCGTGCGCCCACAGGTATCCCGAGCGGCCCATGCCGGACTGGATCTCGTCGTAGATGAGCAGCGCGTCGACCTCGTCGCAGCGCTTGCGGAGCGCGACCATGAACTCGGGCGAGGGCGTGTAGACGCCGCCTTCGCCCTGGATAGGCTCGATGATTACGCCGCAGGTGTTTTCGCTAATCAGCGCCTCGACCGACGCAATGTCGCCGTAGGTCGCGTACTTGAACCCGGGCAGCAGCGGCGCGAACGGCTTTTGATATTTCTCGTTCGGCGTCGCGGAAAGACTGCCGAGCGTGCGGCCGTGGAACGAGCTCTTGAACGAGATGATCTCGAACTTGTCCGCGCTCGCGTTACGGGCGCCGTACTTGCCAAACTTGCGGGCAAACTTGAGCGCGGCCTCGTTGGCTTCGGTGCCGGAGTTTGAGAAAAACACGCGCGCGGCGTCTTTCATGCCGTTTGTCGCGCGCGTGCGCTCGATCAGGTTCTTGGCGAGCGTGCCGGCCCATTCGTTGTGGTACAGGTTCGAGGTGTGGATGACTGACATGGCCTGGTCGAAGAGGATCTTTGCGATGTCGACGTTGCCATGGCCGAGACTGTTGACGGCGATTCCGGCGGTGAAGTCGAGGTATTTCCTGCGAGCGCCTGTTAGAGGGACAGAGTCGAGCAGCAGAAAAAGGGGAGATTCATACTTTTCGCTGACATCGTATAGATAGCAGCCTTCGCCTTTGTAGAGGACGAAATCCGGCTGAGCGTAGGTGGTCAGAACATAAGGGCTCGTGTCATTCAGGTACTTTGCGGTAGCTTCTTGCCCGGTCTATGAAAGGTAAGGTCAGCACGATAGCCAAAAGACAGCGACAGGACGGGCACAGCAGCAGTAATTACCTCGGCATCAGCGGGCTGTGAGGATACGTGGCGGATAGCAGTGAACGCTGACGATGACGACGCTGACGACGAAGATTGCAGCGATAGTCGAGATCGGGACAACGCTAGGACGGATGATCTCGTGACAGCGGCCCGACGCATGGCGTTGCGCGCGGTCAAACTTATAGCCAGGGACATTTTCAGCGTGCTTTTATATATTTTTGATCTCTTGAGCGGATCTAGAGACGCGAGTTGGCGCTTCTTGCTGGTACAAGAGAATGGGCTTTATATCGGAAAAAAAATCGAGACCTGGAGGATTGCTCATTAGCTGGGCGCCGCACATGAGTCATGTATTAGTCGTGATCCACATCACGTGATCTACGTTAGTCAAATATGAAGTAATCAGGACCGCGCAGGAGATGCAAGGCGAGGCGAGACGAGGTGACGAACGCTGTGCTTCGGCTGCGGTAGCTTGCAGAGGGATTATTAGTCTGACGCAGGGCTTCACAGAGGTGCCTTGAAGCCGCCAATTAGCAGCAGTAGCAGCAGATTAGACAGTAGAAAGGAGGGCAGGAGGTCGACCACTGTGACGAGCTGCGTTGATTGCGAGGACGACAGACAGACAGAGGCCGCCTCTCCACGCCGCTGGATTCAACGCAGGTCTCGAAACAATCCCTTTTTCTGTTCTCCAGATCGCCGTTCTTTGCTCTCTTTTGCTCTGATTTGTCTGCTTCTTTTTCTTCTCTGCGAATCAATCTCTCTTCTTGGAGCTCTGGTAGTAACAGCGACCACAGCGCAGGTCCAGGCCCTGCACGTGCGGTTTGGGGCGAGGCGTGCGTGCGTACGAGTGAAATTAGTGGCAAGCAGCGGCTGACCCACAGGGGCTGGGTCAGGCAGATCTGCCGGGTCGGGTCAGTGCAGCGGCTGAGCCGGGCAGAGCATAAAAAGCTGCCACCGTGGCCTCTTCCCGTCTGCTCGCCACGCGTCTGCGCCCGTTTCGGGTGTTGCTTCTATAATTGAACTTCTTCCTATATCTTCTTCTCTCCTCCCGCCTCTTCCCTCCACCACTCAATCAACCAACCATGTCGGAATCTCCTGAAGACTACGGATCCCCCTCATACCTCACCGACAGCTCGCGGAAACGCCGCGACGAGCTCGCCCTGCCTCTCCCCCCCGGCGCCCTTCCCCCCCGCAAGCGCGCAAAGACCGCGATCGAGAAGGAGCAGCGTCGCATCGAGCGCATCCTGCGCAACCGGCAAGCAGCGCAGTCCTCGCGCGAGAAGAAGCGGAAACAGCTGGAGGAACTCGAGGCCATCAATGAGCAACTGCGACTGGAAAACAGCTCGACGCTGGATCGTCTTGCCATCGTCGAGGCCGAGAACAAGGCTCTTCGCGCCAAACTCGACGAGCTTTCGACGATGTCTATCAAGCGCGACTCCTCTTCCTCGTCGTCGTCCACAGAGTCGGAGATGCAGCGGATAAAGACCGAGGCGCCCTCGCCTTCGCACTTTCTCTCTGCCGATCTCTCGTCAACCTCCTCCGGCTCTGTCTTTGATTCGCCAACCTCTCCCTCGCTATCATCCTTCTCTCCCGCCTCCGGCTCCCTCCTCGACTCATACTGCACTTCGCCCGAAGACTCTGCCGATATCCCTTCCACTCCCGACGCCAAGGACGCCGTGGCCTTCAAATTGATGCATCATCCCGCAGCGATGATGTCACTCTATGACCTGCAGCGTCATTTGAAGGAACACCCACACGTCCTGGGCCCCTGGATGGAAAGGATCGCGAGCATGACGGCTTTGTCGGTTATGATGTCACAACTATGCTCTTTGACGTTTCAGCAGCTGCTCCCATCTTTGCCGCTCAATCAAGCCACTTTGACAGTTCGGTGAGCGCCGGCATGGATGCTGATCAGCAGCTTTTCGACTGGGATGCCGTCCTTGACTCGACAAAGGACGAAGAGCCCGTGGCCTCGGCTTCGGAGCTCCACGACTCGACCTCCATGTACGACAGCATGATCGCAGCCTCTCACGACGAGGACGACAACAGCAACAGCAGCAGCACCAGCTTCGACTTTGACAGAGACGCAAGCGCCAAAAGCCCGATGATTTCATTCACCGTCAACAACGACTTTAGCGAGAAGAACAACAACTCCGTCGACAGTTTGATTGAATATCCGACCGACTCTCCAGCTCTCACCTGAGATGCAGCTGATCTCTGACAAATGGCGCTCGCCCTAACAGGGCTGTAGCGACTGGTCTGGGAATCGCAATGGAGACTGTCGCTTCGTTTTGAATAATTCTATGACCAACTGTCTGGCGTGATCTGTTATTTTCTTTATCACTTTTTTCTGCATTCTCGGGGTGTGGATATTGTCGGATACTTTTGGCAATTGCGGTTTTTTCTTGTTTAATTGGGCCTGTTGTGCTCTGTCTCTTGTCCTCAGCGACGTTGTGGTTTTTTTAATGTTATCGGGTTACTACTATGGAAAACGAGTCGGGAAAACAACACTAGCTACTGTACAAGTGGCTTGGATATGGATGCAACGGATGGGTATGACGAATAATAATTAGTCATGGGGTGTGGTTTCTATTTTTTTTTGTAAAAATTCTCTACTTGGCTTCGGATACGGTGTCTTTTTCTTTGTACATGAAATGAATTATAATAAATATCGGTATGATTTACAACTGTTTTGATGTAGATACTGAGAGAGAGTAAGCGCGTGGACTTCGATTTTAGACGGGGAGCCTATGGAGCTGACTGTGCATATGACGAATACATGCAACGATTGAGGACATCGGTGGAGGATTACATCTCGATCCAAGCTCTGATCACTTTACTTTCTGCAATGTTACCAACTCCCTTCGGCTGTAGCGAATACGTCATGAACAGGTACTTTGTAAGAAAGCTCAAAAGCTGGGTTATATATGGTTTATCCGCCAAGGTATACATCTCGCGAGCATCTCTTCGTCCTCTCAACCGCTTCTCCGCGCTGCGTACAAGATAATGATGTGTGATCTGGCGCGTCTGCTGCCGAGTTAGTTGGTTGGAGAGATTAGTGCCACTTTCCGCTCGTTTCTGCGCAGCGGATCTACAATCAAGAGCATCTGCAATGACAGCAAACAGCACCCACCAGACTACTCAAATCGCAAATCGAGTTGTTAATCATTACATGTTATTCATTACAGACAGAAACATAAATCACGCAGGAGCCCCGTCATAAGCCCACCGAATGATGCCCATCAACCCGCCGACCGCGATCGACAACGGCGTCGGGAAATGATAAAGATAGCCCAGCACGAACGCGGTTGCGGCGACGACGTACCACCACGCCTCGTTGCCTAGCGACTCGCCGGTCTGGTTCGAGGACGAGAGAAAGCCCGAGTCCCAGATGCGGTAGATGGCTGTCCACAGCAGGCCGGTCGCGGCGGCGGTGATGCCGCGCAGGAAACTCATGATGGGCGAGAACTTGCGGAGTTTGTGCCAGAAGGTGAACATGCCGCCGGCGATCATCATGCCGGGCGCGTAGATGCCGATGAAGGAGACGATCGCGCCCCAGACGACCGAGCTGCCCGCGTTCTTGTACGCGAGCGCGCCGAGGTAGATTGCAAAGTTGAAGTTTGGGCCGGGAAAGGCCTGGATGAGCGCGAGGCCGATGGCAAAGTCCCGGGGCGAGACCCAGCCCTGGCCGACGGTGTACTCGCGCAGGAGCGGGATGACGACGGGGCCGCCGCCAAAGATGATTGTGCCCGCGAGGTACATGTTGCTGAAGACGAGGTAGGGCACGCCGAGGTTCTTGACGACCGCGCGGATGACCATGATGACGACGAAGGAGATTACAAAGAAGACGACGACGGAGATGCCGAATTTGATGGGGTAGTCGGGTTCTGGCTGCTGCGGGGTTGCTTCTTCTGGCTGGTCGCTGTAAGGGGCGGTGAATGAGACCGCGGAGGTTCCTTCGCGGGTCTGGATGATGATCTCTTTGTTGTCGTCTTTTGGCAGTCCGTCAGTTTTCAATAATCCAGAGGGATCGTTGTAGGACGTCGATCCAGCTTGAGCGCTTGATTCCGGCATATCTTGGTAATCAGTGTTGAAGTCTTCCAAGACAATGACCTCGTCTACCGAGCTTTTCCGGCCGAGGATCTGCTGCGCTAAATCATGCGCAGCCTGTTTGACCGCGCGCTGCCACGCGCTGAACCACTTATCAGAGTATCGCAACACGATCTTGAAGTACGGCGAATCGTACACCAAAGTGATGAAACCCGCAGCGATCATGAGCACGGGATAATACCACAGCGAGGTATACATGATGCCAAACATGCCCGACAAGAAGATCGTCAGATGGCTGAGTTTGTCGGTGATGCACCGCGCCGAGACGTTCAGGCCCGCGACGAAGATGACGCCGACGATGGCGGCGTTGAGGCCGCTGAGCAACGCGTACACGGGGTTTGGCAGCGAGCTTCCGATCTGGCCGATGCCGACGGCGAGGATGAACATGCCGATTGCGCCGGGGCCGGCCCAGAAGATGAAGGAGAGGAGGGCGGGGAGGAAGGAGGTGCGGAGGAGGGTGATGATGAAGATCAGTTTGGTGGAGGCGGAGCCGGGAAGGGACTGGGCGATGCCGAAGAGTTCTTGGTAGGTTGGGTCATCGAGCCAGTGGTATTTCTGGACAAAGAGGTTGTTGAACTGGGATCAGGTTAGCTAGGAGGTCTGAGAAGAACTGAGGTGGATCTTGATACATTTGCTACTCTAGATACAGCGCGATGTTAGCCAATGATCTTTAAAAATAGTAGAAGAGTAGAACTGCGTACTGTACGATAGGTCCTCCGAACGAGGTAATCCCTATATGCCATTGTCGTTTACAAACCTCCAGCATCTGCTCGCCGAGATTGGCCGATAAGACCGAGTACAGCAAGCCAGCGATGGCATGGATTGGCCGCGACCATAGGTCCCGAGCGTTTGCGTGCATCCTGTGCTTGAGGACGGGGTGTGTCCTCACGATGTCCGCACAGCGAGAAGAAGAAGTGCGAGAAATACCAAACTCCGCCGCAACTCCTTCTCGCCTTCCCCGCCCTGGCCCCTCCGGCCTTTTATCGCAGAGACAGCTCGACGGTCGCCTATCTCGAGCTGTCCTAACCGGTTGTGGCAATCTGCATTGCGATTAGGGTTCAGCACAGGTGTCTGGACTGCCAGCGGGAGAGGGAATGGGTCCGGGTGTGCGCATGGGCCGGGGATTGTGTTCGGAAGATGCGAAGAGGAGCTGGATGGTCTTGAATTTGAGACTTGCGAGCGGTAGTAATGAACGGTTAAAGGAGACAATTGTGTTTTTAGATGGCTGCTTGTCTTGTTAGAGTGTCTATATAAACATCGTCGATTGAGGATGAGTGTCAATTCCCGACTCGACCGAACGGCATCTCCGCACGAGTTCTACAGCAGGCAGCATACACCTATCAACCAAACCAACTCTCTACAACCCATCCAGCCCAAAATCTATAGCTGCATCAAAAAGAATTTCTTTCACCGCTTTTATACAACCGCCATGACCCTCAAAACCAAACCAAAGGGAGAACAACGCAGCATTTCTCTTATCGATACCAAGGAGATAAGAACGAGCTCCGCAGCCCCGCACGCTGCGGCTGCGGCGCCCGCCTTTCTCTCTCTGATTGCGGATTCTTCTGGCTGGTGTTTACCTGAGTGGTGGGATGCGGGTGTTACTGAGAGGTAAGGGAGATGGTGGGAATGTATGCGATGGTGGGATGTATGCGATGGTGGGGATGTGTGGGAGTAGTGGTTCCTTTGCGGATTGAACGCACGCTTGAAAGTATTTATGTGACTACGTGTACTTGAAGCAAACTTGAAGCGAACCTGAAGCAAACAACTTGAGACAATTCTACAAGTCATGAAGATACAAATACAGTATCAAAACTATCAAGATGAATCAATTAAATCGCTCCCATGTTGTTTCTTTGCACTTTTCTCGTGTGTCATTCCAACACTCCTGCGCGCGAGATACCGTGATCAGAGAGTCTACACTCGCGTCGAAAGCGATCAACGATAAAATAAGACTGCGTTACCAGCTAAGAGCTCTATAGACATTTATGATTGACCTGATGGAAGTAGAGCAAGTTGCTTCGAATACAAGGTAGACGATGTAGCCACAGACAGTGCGTATGATTACAAATACATTACACACCACAATGACAAACCCAACCGCACAATCTTACCTAACGATTCCGTCATTTGTCAAAGTCCCAGTCCCAGTTCAGGCAATTTGGAGATGAGGAACCCGCCGTCATTGCCGGGGGTTCGACATCAGGACAGCGCAGCAGCGGCAAGAGCGAGCAACGACAGCGCAGTGAAAGCAGAGTATAGTAACAGTATATCGCAGTGCTGGAGTTTGTAGTTTATGTGCGGAAACAGCGTAGAAGGAAATAGAGGTCGTAGGATGGTAGAACCAGAGCGCGAAGGTTGCGTGAAATAGTAAGCACGGACGCTTTGGGCATCTTTTTTTTTCTTTCTCTTCGCTGCTTTCTTTTCATTCACCTCCTGTGCTCTGGAATTAACTTCTGCATTCGGAGAGTATTTCGTTCAAGGACAGTGCAGAGTGCAGGTTGGTCTGTGGGCAGCGGAAAAGGACAGGACAAAGAGGTCGGCATATAAACCAGCCCTCGGATCATCATCACGGCCGCGAGCATCTTGTTTCTCGCGTGTGGATGATCTCTTTAAGAACCTGGATATTCATCCCATCAGTCATCATACAAACGTCATTTCTGACAAAGACAAAGTCGCCACTTTTGATTTTCTGATTTGGAATCACTCGGGCGTTCACATCGGCCGAGAGCGAGAGTTTTTGCTTTGAAATATATCAAAGTACCCTGTCAGCAACAGATCACTCTAGCAGACGGCGAATATTTCTCCGACTGCCCGACCGACACCGACAAAATCAGGACGATATAAATCCGCGACCGCTGCTTGATCCAGATCAAATCAGACTACACGTCCACCATGACAACCTCCGAGCTCGAGAACCAGGCAACAGAGCTCTCGCGACAACTATCGAGCTCCGAAGTCGAGTCACTAGCAAGCGAGCTCTTCGACGACGCGCTGGTACCTACACATACTTCCAGCTGGCCGCCACAGTCGGACGCGCACCGACTTGACGAGGAGGAGGAAGATCGGGAGAACGAGCGAGAGGCGCAGAATAGCGGCACGTCCGCGACCGAGACTGAGAATTCGGGTTTATCTGAAAAGCCGGAGCAGAGTAGTAATATGCCACACGCGGGAGGACCGCCCGCGAAGCATGGATTGTTTAGTCCAAAGCTGAGGGAGAAGCGTCTTGCTGTGGTCAAAAAGATTGGAATTTCTATTCTTTTGATGGGAACTTTGATGCTGGTATGTCATGACTATAATGACTATTCTGGACCCGAGCTAACTGATGATAATAGACGCTTTTCTCAATCTACTGGGGCTCTTTCTATAAACGACTCTCCTACCTAGACCGCGTGCACCTATGGATCGTCAACAACGACGACGGCGACCTCGTCGGCTCTTCATTCACCACCATCGCGCACTCCTTCGCGACAGCAAAGAAAACCGTGAACGTCGAGACAGTCGACAGCCTGACCTACGACGAGATCATCAAGCTCGTGCAGGACGAACACACATGGGGCGTGTTCTACATCCCCGCCAACTCCACCAGCGCGCTCGAGACCGCGCTCGCGAGCCCGTCAGCGTCTGAAGCTGCGGCGTACTCGGGCGCAGACTCGGTGCGGTTTATGTACTCGCAGGCGCGCGACCAGCTCGCGATGGGATACATCGTGACCTGGGTGAACGAGCTCGAGCGGAACTACACGGCCGAGTTTGCGATGCAAGTGCTTTCGCTGACGACGTCGTCGTCGTCGTCAAAGTATGATCTGTCGACGATCGTGAGCGACGCGCCGCATTTGATTACGCGGCCGAGCTCGATCGAGCTCGAGAACTTGTTCCCGTTTGATAATCCGACGGCGACGGCGACGACGCAGGTCGGTCTTATCTTCATCGTCATCACGTCTTTCTTCCAATTCAACTTCTTCGCGCCGATCCACGCGCTGATCTCGCCCGAGCTCAAACGCTCACACCTGATCTTCTACCGCTACCTCTCGTCCTGGGTGGCCTACTTCTTCCTCTCGCTCTTCTACTCGCTCGTGTCGCTCGCGTTCCAGATGGACTTTACGCGCACGTTCGGCCGCGCGGGCTTCGTCATCTTCTGGATGACAAACTACCTCGGCATGCTCTCCGTCGGCATCTTCCTCGAAAACCTCGCGCTGATCTGCATCTCGACCTTCCCGCCCATCCTCGGCTTCGGCCTCATCTGCACCGTCATCTCAAACATCTCGCCCGCGTTCTACTCGATCCCGCTCCAGCACCGGTTCTACAGATACGGCTACGCGCTGCCGATCAAGAACCTTGCCGACGCGACCCGGACAATCATGTTCGACACGCATAATACGATGGGGAGGAACTACGGCGTGCTGGTGGCGTGGATCGCGATCGATATGATTATGCTGCCGTTTTCGCTGAATTTCTTTGGAAAGACAATGATGAAGCGCAAGATGGCGGAGATGAAGGCGCAGGCTAAGAAGTAATTTTTTCCTTTTCTTACAGTTTGCTGTTTTTATCTGTGATAGACAGTCATTTTTTTTATGTTTCTCATGTTTCTGGATAGGCGTCTTTGTGAATTAGCATAGTGATACGTGTAAATAAAACTAATTGAACGATAAATATATATTATGAATAAGCTACAGCTCCAAGAAGATATGTTGGTACAAAGCATATGTATAAATGCAAAATCAATCAAAAGCCATACAAGAAAAACAAATCAAGACATCATTGCAATCATTAGAAACTAGAAGAGATCAAAACTAGCACCCATACTCTATTCGTCAGATATGTCATAGATGGCGATAAGAAAAGTGATTGAGCAGAAAAAGATAGAAAAACACCTTTGATAACAGATTGTATATTAGACATTAGGAAAAGTGGGGACGAGGCGGGGAAAGCGTCGTTTGGTGTCTCGTATGTACCGCATGGGTTTATGCAGGATATAGATTTAGATGTACTGATGGAAGATAGATAGGAGGAGGAGGAGGAGGAGGAGGGGGAGGTGGTGATCATGCGCCTTCGTAGACGGCCTTTTCGTTGAGCGTTCTGAGCGGCTTGTGGTTATTCGGATTGACAAGCGGACGATTAAACTCATCATCGTTATCCGCCAACGTCTCGATCTCCCACTCCGATGTCGGCGTCTCGACCACGGGCGTCGCGTTTCCTGGCGTATAGTACTCGCCCGAGGCCGCCCAGTCGCCGGGGGTATACTCCTTTGTAAGCCTAGCTTTGGGAACGGGCAGGACGCCGAGCTCGATGTAGTCGTATGCCCAGCGGGAGGGTTTGTCGGACTGGACCTTGGGCAGGTACGAGCGCGCGACGAGGAGGAAGACGGAGATGGAGAGCAAGGCGCCGCCGATGAGGTCGACAAAGTAGTGGTGGGTGAGGTACATTGTCGACCACCAGATCCAGAGGATGTAGCCGAGCAGGACGGGCGTGAGGCGCGGGAAGACGTAGGACATGAAGAGCACTTCGATGACGGCGCAGCCGGAGTGCAGGGACGGGAAGGCGCCAAAGACCATGGGCGAGGCGGTGAAGGAGGAGGTGTAGAGGTCGAGGCCGATGATTTGGTCGACGCGCGCAAGGCCGCCGGGAGAGCCCTTGACGTCGTAGGTTGCGGGGACGAGGCCGTAGAGGTTTTCGTACCAAGGTGGCGAGCAGGGGAAGATGAGCTGGATCGAGACGCCGATGAGGTTCATGTATCCGAACGAGCGCGCAAAGACGGGGAGGGTTCCGGGGGCGGCAAAGAGGAATATGATGCCGGAGCAGACGAAGGGGGCGCCAAAGTGGATGAGACCGTAGGGAATCCAGGCGAGGATGTCGAGGAACGGTTTTTGCTGGGCGGCGAGGATGTTGCTGAGATTGCCGCCGTAGATGATTGTCTCGAGAGAGGGCAGGACGCGGACCCAGATAGGAGGACGCCAGGAGGCAGGGATGAAGCGGCAGGAGAAAAAGAGAAAGAGCCAGGTGCCGATGGGGAGGAAGGGGAAGAAGAACTGGGAGGTGATGGGGATAAGAAGGAGGAGGGAGAAGCCGATAGCGATGAAGAGTCTGAAGAGAGGGCCGGGTTCTGCGGCGATGAAGAGGACGAAGAGGATGATGCAAAAGTCTAGGAGATATTGCAGGTCTGTGGCGACGTACTCATGGGCCTGGACGCGCTTGAGGGTCTTTTTGATGTCCCATGAGGTTTCTAGGCGGGCGAGGGTGGAGGAGGGGGTTACGTCAGAGAGGAAGAGTGTTCGAAATTTGCGACGGAGGTAGGTTGTCGGCAGCAGCATTGTAAACAAGATGAAGACAAAGAAGAAGAGGATGAAGAAGAGAAGAAGAGAAGAAGAGAAGACTCGGGTGGGTCTAGAAGGAAGAAAAGTTAGTGGGAAGGTCCGGGGAAGATGATGACGATGACGAGCGCGATAGTGGAGGTTGGTCAGGATAAGGAAGGGCTTACTTAAGGAGGAGTGGTGAAGATACACGCCACGAGGAAGAAGAATTAAAGAGAAGAAGAAAAAGAAGAAGAAGAAGAAGAAGAATAAGAAGAAGAACAAGAACGAGAAGAAAAACAACAAGAAGAACAAACAACAGAGAAGAAGAGATAGGCGGATTGAATTGGATAAGAAACCGGCACCGGATGGCAGTTGCGGCGCGGCGAGAGCGGAATTGGGCGAGGGTTGCATAACCGTTGATAGAAGAGTGTGTTTATGCCCCAACAGCACCAACACATTTAGACTAATGCCGGTAGCCGGACTCTCGGGAGCCGATCCTGCATCCAACTGCTTCAACACCGATTCTCGGCACCGGCGCGAGATCTGCTGAATGAGACAAAATTGCGGTTTCTGTGCAGATTCAGCTTCTTAATTGTGCTTCTTCGTGCTTCTCAGCTACACTAGAAGTACCATCTTACATAATCTCTTACTAACAGGGATAGGGTGGGCGAGATAGGCCTCGGCGCCGCGCCGCAACATCGCGCGATGCTCATCATTCGCGGCCCTTCTTCCTCCTCCTTTATTCCCTCCTCCTCCTCAGTAAACACCCCACACAGCAATGACCGGCCACTCAACGCTGCCACCTCCTGTCGAACACGTCGTCTCCGAGCCGCTGCTCGACGAGAAGGCCGCGCTGCAGGCCGCCGACCGGCTCGATCTGCCGATGCCGGACTACGCCGTCGACGAAATCACGCTGACGCACGACGCTCAGTCTGCGCCTGCTTTACCACAGCCTACTTCTACGCCAGACTCCAAACAGCAGAAGCAACTACAGCAGCAACAGCTACAGCAGCAGCAGCAACAACAACAGCAGCAGCAGTCCTACTACGCAGACTCCACCCCGGCACCGCCCCCCCGCAGAATGTCAACCTACGCCAAAAACCAAACCATGTCCCTGCAACGCCGTCTCGCGCTCGCGAACCTCCCTCCAATCACACCAGTCACAACCCGCTCCAAAGAGCGCGCGGCCGAGTCGGCGGCCATCGAAATGGCGCAGACGCCGACGCCGTCTTCATCTTCTTCGTCTTCCGCGGAGCAGGCAGCCGCACAAGACCAGGGCATTCCTAAAGTCGACATCGACCTCGACACAAACACAGACTACATCGCGCTCTCGTCCACACTCGAACTGCTGCACTCGCAGCGCGAGACCGCGACCGAAGACATCCAGACCCTGCGGCGGCTGAAAGAGACCGCGCTCGACGATCCAGAAGCCTTCATCGAGAAACTGAAAGAGAGCGGCAAAGTCGAGGGCGCGCCGGCAATGCAGAGCGTAGTCCGCGCGCCGATCGTGCGGTGGAACAAGTACGGGATCTCGAACGAGCTGCTGGAGAAAGAGGTCGAGAAGGGCGTCGTCGAACGCGACGCAAGGTTCGGCAGCGCTAGAGTGTTTGGCGATCCGGCTGGACAACGGAAAGCCAGCGTCTAGCGACCTGAGCAATCAAAAACCTGAAAATGAACTATGAACAAGGGGGAAAATATTTACAGATGATCTTAAAACCGGACGATGTTGTCATGATTGTATATTGAATTGATCGCGTTTGTGTGTGGACGAGTATATGAAAAGTCGTCGTAGCCTGTCTTATTCTTTATCTATTCCCTATCTCACTTTCTTTTTTTCTTTTCTCTCTCTTCTTGTATATATCAAAATACATTGGATTTATGAGCAGAAACATGTCTACGTAACTACAAATGTGACTACAGGGCAAAGGGCGCTTGTATCGGCTGATATATATTTCTATGGTACATATATTTGTCTCTTCAGATTATGATCCCTGAACCACCTGCACCTTATTCTTCTTCTGTATAGCGCGTAATAAATAGTCAGTAAGCATCCTCTATCACTCAAACAGCAGCAAACATCAGCACACAGCAGCAAAGCAAAAATACGCACCTGCCAGCTCCGCATATCCTCCTCAGTCTTGCGATACTCCTCCACCAACTGCTTCAACACAGCCTCGACCCCGCTCGCATTCGTCTCCAGCGCAGGGATAACGTCCGCGACAGTGCGCTCGACGAGCACGCCGCCAATCATGCGGAAGCACTTGCGGTCTGCCGGAAGAGGTTTCAGCGTGTCGAGCACGAGCTTGTGCTCGTCCGTCTCGCTCTCGAGCTCGCCGATCTTTTGCGCGAGTTGCTGCAGTGTGGATTTGTAGTTGTTGTACTGGGCCTGCAGGTCTGTAGAAGTGAGAATTGCATTAGTTTGAGCCTGCTGGACCGCGTTCATCAATGACGATAGGTCGAGATATCAAGACCGCAAAGTAGTCCATGTCAATTCTTACCAGCCTGCTTTTTGTTCTGCGCAGCCGATTGCGCACCGCTACTGCTTCCTGCCTGTGCTTCCGACATCTCTTCTGTATAAATCCGGATTCAACAAAGTCCACAAACAGCCGATCTATCGATCAATCCTATTCTCCAGAACAAGTCCACTTCTTTCTCTCTGCCCTTCTTCAGCTTTGGTTTCCACGAGTGGCGCATGTAAGTGGCGCAGGAAACGTGGCGCGGCTGGGATTAATACTGTTGCCTGATGCTGATGCCTTCGGTCTTTGCTCGCTTTATCGTCGCTGGTTTTGATTCTCTTTCCGGTTCTTTTTGCGACTGAAAACTGGGTGTGGTTATAAGTCTGGAGTATGCTGTTGCTGTTGGTTTTAAGAAGTGAGCTGTTTCGGTACTTACGTCGTGGTTTAGCAATAGTCAACCTCTTTCATCATGCATCCCAACCTCAGCGACCCCAACTACATCGGTACCCACTCCCCCCCTTCTTCCCTCTATAACAATAACAAACAAACACTAACTCTTCTCTAGACTGCACAGACATCATCGCCGCGCTGAGCAACTGCCACCAAGAGCTCAACTTCATGGAACGCCAGTTCGGCTGCAACAACATCCAAGAAAGCATGAACAAATGCCTGCACGAAGCGCGCATGCTGCAGCGCAAACAAAACAACGCCAAGGCCCGCAACGATAACTCGCTCTCTCAACGGATCAAGAACGTCAAACCGGAAGATGCCTTCGGGGCCGAGCGGGGCCGCGAGATTAGAGAGGAGTACGCGCGTCAGTATAGGTTGAAGCGCGAGAGGGATGTTAGCTTTACTATTAACCGTTAGAGATCGTTGTGATCTTTCTCCCTCCCTGTCTTGCAGCAGTATTCGCAAAAAGACGCCTTTATGATTCCTTGTCTAGGGTCATTATGTACATACACACTTTTCCATAAATCTCTGGAACCAAATGAATAACAATCTCACACTCTCCACCAATGCAATTTCACAAATCCCAAAACAAATCAAACGCACTACTCTCTCTTTTCTTGCAGTTTCTTGCAGTTACTTCTTATGAAACATATGTCGCCGCCGCGACCCGTTCTTCCGCGTCGACAGATTCTCCGGCGTGGGATCGTACTTTGGCTTCCATATCCACGACTGTCCTACTTCCGCCTTGCCCGCTTCCTCTGCCATCCTGTAAAACTGCGCTGCTAGGAATTTATCCTTCTCACAGCCAAATCCTTCTAGGTAACACCATGCTGTATCTCTTGTCAGTGTCCGCGTCATATAAAAGCTCGAGGAAAAAGAAGAAAACTCACCACACTCAGTCATGGCGTCCGCGTCGCCGAGGTTCGCGGCCGTCTCGTAATACTGCTTCGCAGCTACAGCGTCCTGCTCGACTCCCCAGCCATACCTAAAACAATTCCCGAGCTCAAAGATCGCGAGCGTGAGCTCTCCCTTTGCGCCTCCGACCCCCGCCTTTCGGTTCCGCGCGTGCATCTTCACGTTTGCGCGTTTAGCTGCGTCTTCGATGAATGCAGAGTTCGAGGCCGCCAGGCGGAAGTAGTAGATTGCTTTGTTCAGGTCCGGCGCGAGACCCCAGCCGTGGCGGAGAGCGAGGCCGTAAAGAACCTGTGCGAGCGGGTGGTTTGCGCCTTCTGGGTTGGCGAGCTGGCCGAATAATCGCGTGGACTGCTCGAGCTGGCCGCTTTCGTGGAGGTCGATCGCGGTTTGCAGGTCGGTTTCGGTGGATTCAGAGAAGGGCGTGGCGGCATGCGAAGTCGGAGACACTCCAGATAGACTGCCGTTACCGGCGGTAGAGCTCGAAAGATCAGATGCCGCCGACCCAGAAAAGGAACTCTGCGAAAGTCGAAGACTCTGCATTCCAGCAACGCTCCTATCCACCTCGCTCTCCTTCATCGCAAGCTTCACCGCGCGCGACTCCCACATCATCTCGGTCTCGTACACGGCCGCGTCCGAGTCCTGCTGCTCTTTCGCCTTCAGCCGCGCTTCCAACGCGTCCTCCGCGCTCAGCGCCGGCAGATCCTCGGGCAAGTGCGAGCTGCTCGCGCTCAGATGCCGCTGCTTATCAGACGAGCTGCTCCGGATGCGCATGTGGCGGTGTCCGCTGTTGCTCCGTGCGCGTCCGTAGGGAGCGACTAAGCTTCCGCCAGAGGGAGACGGTGTAGCTTCTTCGCCGCGCGAGTCGGCGGATCCGCTGCGGGAGAGATGGAGTTTGTCCTTGAACGCGGCGCTGAATCGGTTCCGTCGCGAATCGGAGACGCTCGAGGCGCTGCCGACCGAGCCCTGCGATGTGACTGAGTACTGCGAGTCGACAGACAGACGGTAGCTCCGGTCGGGAGCGGCGGTTTGGTAGTCGAGTGCGGAGCTGGGGGAGTGCGCGGTCTGGTAGGAGTCTTCTAGCTCATCGGGAGAGGAGTCGCGAGCGTCTGGCTGGTGCGAGGTCATGACAATGGTAGGCACGTCTGCCCGTGGAGGAACGTCGGCGCCCGGTCTGCTGCGGTTGTATTCGCTGGGCTGGAAGCTGCTGTTTTCGGGAACATATGAGGGCGAGTGTGGGGAGAGAGGCGCGGCGGGCCCGGCAGCGGAGAATCCATCTAGAGAATCGGTGACGCGCACCACCGAGTGGACTTTGAATCCCGCCCCAGGCGAGACAGATCTGCGACGTCTGCTGAACATGACAACTTGCGTGTGAGTCAATTGCAATGGAGAAATGGTGGCCAGTCGAGGGGTGCAGATGAGCGGGTGATGATTATTTATGGCAGAGAAGAGGCTGTAGGGACGCGCGGCTCAGTTGGCTCCTTGTTGAATGACGGGCGACGGCCAGATTCAGGCACGCGTGATTGCGGGGAGAATAGTAGATCTAAACACAGACAACGCGAGCAGAAGAGTAGAAGAGGTTTAGAAGTAAAGGAAGAGGAAGCTGAAGGGGGGAAGAAGAGGCTCAGAGGACGTTTACGGCTTCGTTTCTGAGTTTCCCGATTCGGTTTTAATCAACAAAAAATAGAAAAATCAGAAAAATGCGAGTTAAGAGAATTAAAAAAAACCTGAAAGCCTCAGACGGCTCACAGTGAGCGCTTCCGACTCGAAAGAGCTCTCTTCCCGTCCTGATCATATCATATCTCAGCCCAAGATGAACAACCTCACCAGACTGAGCAGGTTCACGATCTGTCGGAGTTGGAGCCGGGGTCTCCCGCGGTCGTTTGCAACGACCTCGTTCTTGCGCAATGCTCCGCCCACCGGCTCACCCAGCAGCACTGCCTCCGCGCCCTCGCCGGCAACGCCTCCGCCGCCAAAACGATACAAGCGAATAGTCTACGTCGAAGAAGAAGACACGCGGCCTGAGATAATCCAAAAGATCTCGCGCGTGATTAACCTGGTGAAGAACACGTACTATGGCTACGCACACAGGAACCCGTTCTTGTTCTACGGGCTGCCGTTCATGACGTTCATGGTCCTCGCCTCGTTCTATCTGACTGAGTTCACCGAGATCCGATACAAGGCCTACGATAGAGCGCGCACTCTGGTGCGTTACTTATTCTACTGCGATATGACGACTGATAACTTACAAACAGTACTAGACGCCGGAATCCGAACTCATACCGAGTACAAAACAGGCTCGTAAGCCTTTAAGTCAAGAGACTAGAGAGGAATACTACGTAAGTTATTTTACTCTCCTCACACTATTAGCTACAGGTACTAATCGACTGGATTCTAGGAACGGCAAATGAAGCTGCTAAATACTAATGACGCAAAGACCGATTATGACATGAAACGCATCGAACGACGGGCAGAGGAGCCTCCGGTAAGATGGTAGTGCCTAGCCTTACACAACTACTATCACTAGTCAATCTTGTACAAATCTCAAATCATTAATACTAAAACATCAAACTTTTGTACATCTCCTCTATCGCTTCTTATACAAGCAAGGCTTAAGCAACGGCGCTCCGTTCGCCGTCCCCTCATCCTCATCCTCCGACTCTTCGATAAACTTGAGCTTCTTCCTCTTATTCGAAGATCCCTCCTCGCCCTCGGCGATCGCCCGCGCTTCTTTCCGCTCTGACAGCGGCCGGAAGAAATCGAACCGGATAAACATCTGGTTCGAGGCGTCGGTCTCGGTGTGCACGAATCCGTGCGCTTTGATCGCGTTGACAAAGTCTGTGCCTTCTGCGTCTGAGAAGCGAGATTTGATTTCAGAAATCCAGAGTTGTCCTCTGCAGAAGTGGCGTTAGTATAGATAGAGTAAATGAAGAAGAAAAAACTGCGCTGACCTTGGTTTCAGAATGCGATTGGCTTCTTTGATAAAGTCGAGGAAGTTTGTACCCATAAGTGCTGTAAATGTCTGTTAGAGTCGTGCCATACAAACTGATAAACGAACAGGGAAAGATGAAACGTACACAGACAAAAGACAACGATATGCACACTATCGTCAGGCAACGGCACATGCTTAACATCCGCGACCGTCACTCTCTCGTTCGTCTTTGCCAAATCAAAGCTATGCACCACAATCTTCGGGCCAAAGCGGCCACCTTTCCTGCCAGCCTGCTTCGAGTACTTTGTAGACACCTGTCTCGAAAGCTCGGCATCGCCACAGCCCATGTCGGCGATATACGTGGTCCCGTCTTTGTCCTTCGGAAGACCCTTGGGCGGCGGCATCCTGCTCTTTGAAAGTTCCTTGATTCTCGCAACGTAGCTGTCGACAGGGTTCTCAGGCCACGACTGGACTTGCTGGCGAAACCCTTCGTGGTACTCCTGGTACAGCTCCGGTTGTTTTTTAATCAGCTTCGTGGCTTCGTCTGAGGACGTCGTGTACAGTTTCTCGTTGATCCAGCGGAAGCGCGAGCCAGCTAGCTTGTCCTTCATTTTCTGCTGCAGCGGGGTTAGCTTGACTTGTGGTGCTGCGGCAGGCTTGGGAAGCTGCTGTGGTTCTTTGACGGCTGGCTTTGCGGGTTCGTCTTTTGTCTTCTTGTTGTCGGTTGGTTTGGTCTTGAGCGGTGCTGAGACTGCTTCTTCGGTCTTTTGCTTTGGTTCTTGATCTTCCTCATCTTGATCAACGACAGCTTGTCGTTTCCGCTTGTTGGTCTTCTCTTTCTCCTCCTCCCCACTCTTCTCCTCCACCTTCTCCTTCTCCACCTTCACTTTCCTCGCCTTGATCTCCCCCTCCCCACCCATTCTCTCCCCATTCACACCAAACTGCTCCATAAACATCTTCTGCAACTCCTCACTCGACACCTTCTTCGTCTCATCCTCCAACCTCGTAAACTTATCCCCCACCGCATGCGTCTGCGTCTTGCGAATCTTCTTCTTGTTCTTCTTGTGGATATTAGCCGACACCGCCTCGTTCGACGCAGCCGACTCTACCGTCTTGATCGGCGCGGATATCAACCATCCGTCAATGTCAAAGAGAGACATTGTTGAAATCTTCAAAATGCGTGGTCGTGGGGAGTTGCGGGGGTTCTTTTGTGAACGTTCACTGCTCGTGGACTAAAAAAATTCGAGAGTTTTGGATGCGGTTGGGAGTTTGGAGGGTTTACTTTTACTTTTATCGTCCAGGAACTCGTATCTCCGCCGCTGCATTCATTTTTCAGAAATACACAGCATTTAAATACACACACCTCTATTCTCTCTTCTTAAGAACACAACATAATCCACTCTACCACCCTCCCCAACACCGCAGAAACATGAACCGCAGACCGGTGGAGCAGCAAATAAGGTTTAAATTCACGTGACCAAGCTATCTACACAAACGAGGCCGGGTAAACCGATGAGATTAGGGCAGAAACCGACGACGGCGGCGGCGGGCGACGAGCGAGCTTCTTATTATTATCTTGCGCTCTTTGACAATCCCCGACCTGCTGCTGTTCCGCGCGTATCGCCTGTTTGAACATATAACAACAACAATCTGAAAAGAGAGAGACAAGGATGCAGAACATGCAGAACTCGATGCCAAAGCCGATGCCGAGTGCGTCGCTCGGACGGGGAGGAAGTAGGGCGGACGACAACTCATCGTCGAGGTCTGGCTCGACTTCGCCATCATCGAGAAACTTCGAGTTTATCTCGCGCCCACAGTTTAAGCAGCAGACTTTTGATGAAATTTACGGAGTGCCTGAGAACTTCTTGGAGATTGAGGTGGGTTCTTTGTTTTGCTTGTTGTGTTTTGCGAAGAGGGCCGAGTCCGGAGTCGTGGGCTTGGCTCTGTTTCTGGGGGAGATTAGTCGCTGACATCTGTTTTTTCTTTGTCAGGTCCGCAATCCAGAGACTCATGGTAAGTTGCAGTGGTTACTTGAAGTATGATGATTAAGTACAATGCGGTAGCTAACTTTGTCAATAGTTGGATACGGTCGTGGCATGTACACCGACTACGAGATTGTCTGCCGAGTACGTCGTTCCTCCCTTTCCCCATCTCCTTCGCTCTTCATTCTTCGTGCTTCCAAAACTAGTCAAGAGCTAACACTCTACTCTCTCTTCTAGACAAACATCCCCGCGTTCAAGCTAAAATACTCAGTCGTCAGAAGACGATACAGCGATTTCGAATACTTCAGAGACATCCTCGAGCGCGAGTCCTCGCGCGTGACTATCCCGCCTTTGCCAGGCAAGGTGTTCACCAACCGATTTTCCGACGAGGTCATTGAAGCCAGACGTGAGGGTCTCGAGCGTTTTCTACAAGTGTATGTATTAGAAGAGAGCTGTTGCGTGTGAGACTAAGCTAACAGATCCACAAACAGAGTTGCTGGCCATCCACTGTTGCAAACTGGCTCGAAGGTGCTGTGCGGGTTCATCCAAGATCCGCAGTGGGATCGGGTAAGTTACCGTTCATCTCTACTATCCTACCGGCGCAGTCCAGCCACTAACAGACATTCATCGTACAGAACCAGTGGCTGTAAACCCCAGTCCCGACGAGAAAGAAAGAGAGGACAAAAGACCTAAAAAAAGCCAGACTGAATCGATGATTACAAGCGCAGGTCTCGATTCTCGAAATCGGACACTATCTCCGCTTGCAATGACTTCATACTGAACACCATGAAGTGCAAAGGTCTACAATCATATATATACAAAAAAAAAGAGTCAGAATCGATCCGAACCGGGACAGAACCGAGATTTTCTTTCCACCGTTTTCTTTATTTCCTTGTGCTCGCTCTCTAGGTTCCTAATATCTTTACTGCGCAGCTTCGATGTTTATTTTTGCTCCTCATAATAGTATATCATGTCTCTGGGCTTGAAGAGTACGAGAATGGACAGAGCTGAGGAGCTTTCACCGAGCTTGCAATAGTATTGCACGAATTGCAACGGCCGTGGTGTTCCTCCTCTGCTTCAGCCATGTTTCTCGTTCACTTCTATATTCCTCCTATTTCTTTCCTGTATTACTTTTGTCTCTTCCCATTGTCTCTGTTTTGTTTTGTTCTGTTTTGTCTTAAACCCGAACTCCTTCTTGTTGATTTCTTATTTTATAATTCTTTTGTTGTTTACGTGTATGACGTTTTGTGCATTTGGAGTTGGCAAAGTCTTCTTGTTAATTGTATCCCTTTTCCCTCTATTTCTATTTTTAATTTTCCACCAGTTTGTCTGTAGTTCTTCTTCTCTATATAACTTTTCTATAAAACCATCGCTTCTCTTCTTACTCATAATGTAATTATCTTGTTTCAAATCAACCCCCCCTTTGTAAGCCAGTCTGTACGATTACGATTACCGTTTAAGGTAAAACATTAAAACCTTAAACACCCACACCGACACTGCCACCACCCGCTCCAGACCGAAGATCACTTACTCCGCCTCTTTCTGCCGCCCACTCTCCGAGTCTCTGTCTGTCTGTCTGTTGTGCTTTGTTTTTGGGATTATTATTTAAATGCGGGGCGCGAGTGACGAGAGAATAAAGACGACGACGCCGGAGATCAGAGATACGACTGGACGGTATAGCAGCTATAGCGGCGCTCGGATATCTATGAGCAGCGCGGCGGAGCGATAATTTCTCATCATGGCATTATCTCCCCGGAAAGAAAACGCGGGCGTGAAAGTAGCGGTGCTAGGCGACGCTGGCGTCGGGAAAACTGCTCTGGTGATCCAGGTACGTGTGCGCTTTGTTCTCTTTTGGCTCTGGAGTAGTAGTATCGATGGATTCTGATACTGACACTGCTTCCTGCTCCTAGCTATGCCTAAACCACTTCCTCGAACGCTACGACCCAACAATCGAAGACTCATACCACAAACACATGATCATCAACCACCAGCCCTACTCCCTCGAAGTCCTCGACACCGGCGGTCTCGAAGAATACTCGCCCCTGCGCGAGCAATGGATCCGCGACTGCGAAGCCTTCATCCTCGTCTACGCCGTCACCTCGCGCGCGTCGTTCTCCAAAATCGCACCGTTGCTGGCCGCGATCGAGAGGCAGAAGGGCGAACGCGTGCCCGCGATCGTGGTGGGGAATAAATCGGATAGCGTGGGGGAGAGGCAGGTGTCCTCGGCCGAGGGATCGCAGCTCGCGAAACAGATTGGCTGTGAGTTTTTCGAATCCTCGGCGAGGAACGATATCAACATCACCCGCGCGTTCACCCAGATCCTCAAAATCGCCACACAAACGCGCGCAGCCAAATCTGCCGCCGCGGCCGCAGCAGCAGCGGGTGGATCTGGCACCACCAACAACAACAGCAATGGGAGTAGTATAAATCTCGCGCCGAGAGACCTGTCGAAAGTGGTAGGCGGGTCTGCTGTGAGTGCGGGATCGAAACGGGGCGGCGGGGCTGGCAAGACCGGAAAGTTGAAAAAGAGCAGCGACGAGAAATGCATAGTCATGTGAAAAACTTGAACAGCATCTGTGTATGATAGAAATTCAAAGTCATTAATTATCACATTACAATCATAGTTTTTGGGTAATAATGTTACAACAAAAGATAGTAAAATCAAAACAAAACCCCCAGAGAACACCGTATGCCATACTATCCCGCACTATAAATACACTGAAAAAAGCTCATCCCAGCTTTTCCTCACCAAGCAAAACCTCACCCCAGACACCAAGCACCTCGTCGATCAAGAACCGGTCCCGCAGAACTTGAGCAGCAGTAGGCCGCTTCTTGAAATCGACGCTCAGCAGCCGGAACATGAATTGCGCGAGGTCTCGCCGCCGCGGGTCGCGTAGTAGTCTCTCGATCTTGGGAGGTGGAGGGGGTGGTTGGAGTGGTGGGAGGAGGAGCGATTGTTGTTGTTGCAGTTCGGATTTTATGTGTGCGACGACGGGGTGTTCGTCTGCGTCCTGAGCAGGCGAGGGAGAGGCGGTTCCCTTCCCGCGTCGGATAATCGCTGCTTCAAACTCATCATCGTCGTCTTCGTCGTCGTCGTCAGGTTCATCAAACCTGGTTGCTGTAGCCTTGCTTGTTCCATTCCCCAGCAGTGGATTTCTGTTGTCAATGGCAGGCGATGATAGTTCGTCCTCAACCGCTGCGAAATCAAAAGCTTTTTCAGGCCGCTTTGGCGTCACTTTTGCTGAACCTTTAGCCGGCGACGTTCCAGCACCAGCAGCAGAGTTGCGACCCCTCCGCCGCCGCTTCACGTACTCGCGCATAACCTTCTCCGTACTCGCCGTCGTCCTCCGCCTTCGTAAACTCTGCGACGGCGAAGCCGAACTCTTTGCATTATTCGTCGGTGTCTCGGGCTGCACCACCTCCACCGCCACCACCGACGACGACGACGATGTCGCGGATATAGAAGAGTTAGCAGTAGACGAAGAAGAAGACGGCTCTTGCTTCACCGTACTGCTAGGCGTTGAATATGTTCGTAACAACGGCGTAGGCGGTCGCGCAGGCGGCACCGGAAGCGCCGGGATCGCAGGCGGAGGCGGCGGCGAGTGCGGGAGCGGGAACGCGTGGTCCCATAGCTTCCCCGTGGTTTTGTAACACTCCACGCTCCCGAACCAGCGCTCGATCAGCGCGACGACGTCTTGTCGCGTGCGGCCTCTCACGATCCGTTTCTCGGTGTTAGTCGCCGTGGTTGTTGAGCGACTGGTGCTGCTTGAGCTGAGGAGAAGGTCGTCGCCGACTAGTAGTTCGAGCAGGATAACACCCACGCTCCAGATATCCACCCGCTCATCGAACCCTTCGTCGCCGAGGATCACCTCAGGCGCGCGGTACCCTAGACTCTGGATCTCAAAGTCGTCATGATAAAGCACGAGGTCCTGTTTCGCGACCGCGTTTCCTAAATCAATAATCTTCACCGTCCCCGGCAGCGACGCATGCGCGGGCACGTAGAGAATGTTTTCCGGCTTCAGGTCCGCGTGGATATAGCCGAGCGAGTGTAGCTCGTGCAGACCGGCAAAAAGCTGCGATGCAAGCCGCGCGAGCTCATGGATCCGCTCCGGGCAGGAAAGCAGATCATGTCCGACCCCCGCGTGCTCGCACGCCGGGAGCGCAAGCGGCGTCGCCGAATCCAGCAACTCCATCACAAGACCTGTGCCACCCTCCTGCTCCTCATCCCCAGCGAAGAACGAAAACACGCGGACAAAGTGCTTGGAATTACGCCGCCGCAGGCGGATGAGAAGCGCGTGCTCGTGCCGTGCGATTTGGGCGTTGTCTGGCGCGAGGAGCTTGATGGCGACGTGGGTGGAGGTGTATGTGTCGAGCGCGAGGTACATTTTCGCAAACGCGCCCGAGCCTAGGAGACGCAGTCGTCTGTAGCGGCCTAGTATCAGCGCTTTGGGAGGGAGAGAGGTTAGTTGCTGTACTTGACGAAGCGCGAGGATGAGAACGTACCTGAGCTTTCGTGAGGAGATACCGCTTGTTTCTCAGTTTGCGAGTCAGCAACAGTCTGACTTATTGAGCTATACAGCCGCTCGAGACCACATGTTAACCGCCATGTAGGCCTAAACGAAGCCAGCTGCGACTGATGTACGAGCGCAGGTGATGCCGATGCTGGAGCTGATGCTGTGTAGGTTTCTAGATCTTGTTCCTGCTTAGACATTTCCATCTCACCTGACAGAGGTGAGCTGTGCCGCTTCTTTTTCATTGTGTATGCGAGGGCGAAGAAAACAGAAGTCTAGCGTTGCAGCGAAGCTGATCGAGAGTATACAACAGATATCTGACGACCTTAAAACTTCAAAATGACCACACTGTCTTTTCAAACACACATATTCCCGTCCGTGTATATTTCCACACACTTATATCAGCACTCGCAGTTATCCCCAGCAAGTCACGGGCATCAACAGTCCATCTCAAGCATCTATCCGCATTTGCCTGTTTCTGCCTATTTGTTTTGTTTTCCCGAGACGCGTAGAAATGTCAGCAAGGGTATTGTACACTATTTAGTAATATATTATGTAATATTAACTAAGCGAGTATCGTCTGCTTCTTGTTTTGATATCGACGACAGACATCCAAACATCTCGACCACGTTCTTCTGCTGCTCAACTCCCTGACAATTAGTAAAAAAAAACGCTTCCGTACAGAAACTTTCCGAACAGAGTCCAAAACCGTGGACGGAAAAGGTGGCTTTGGCTGCACGCAGGGCGGCGGCGTCGTGCGGCTCAGAAATCAAACTTCCCACCTCCGTCGCCAAACTGGTGCGGCCAGCAGCAGCAGCAGCAGCGGCAGCAGCAGCCAGAAGAAGCAGGAGTCAAGGAAAGGAAAAGAAGAATTGTCAGTTGTGTGTGCGAGAACTGAGGATATTTTGCTGTTTTTGCTGGATTTGGAAGAGCGAATCTAAGAGGCGAAAGATAATTTGGGTGGAGAAAGAGTGGAGAGTGCGACGGACCTTGCCAAGGGAAGATTTAAGAAAAACGACCGAGTGCAGCGCAACAAGGCGACAACCTCGGAAAACGCGTTTGTTTTCTTCGATACTCTTGAGATTAAGTCAAAGAAGCGCTATTGATACACTCGCTACGCAGGACGTATAGAGCGCAGCAGCAAAACAGCGACGCGGTACAAGGAAAACAGCAACAAAGAGCAACAAGAATGAGCTACGCACCAGTTGGCCAAAGATCGTCGGTCGCGATAGCAGACGACATAGACGACGATAAGGAGCTCGCGCGGTCTGCTGCCTCGTCGCGGTCGACGACGACCGCGCACCGGCGGACGAACTCGATCTCGGTCGGCGGGCAGCAATCGCACGCGGACGAGAGCCTGCCTTCGCTGGCGGGAGGAGAGAATCAGCAGCAGCGGAGGAAGACGATGGAGTCGATTCGGTCGATCGATGACGAGATTGCGTTTGATATCGACGACGCGGATCCGTATTCTGTCAACCCTGCGAGTGTGAGATCGAACGAGCAGTGGACAGGTGGGTTGAAGCCGCGGCTGCCGATGTCGACGAATAGGATATTGATTGGCAAGATTTTTGCGAATGTGGTGTTTATCTTGCTGTGGTATTGTTTCTCGCTTTCTATTTCACTGGTTTGTTTGCCTTGTTTGATACTCTTCTTTATGAATGAGGTTACTGACATCGGGTATAGTACAACAAATGGATGTTCTCAGAGGACTACCTCAACTTCAAATTCCCGCTCTTCGCAACCTCAATGCATATGATCACGCAGACATTATTAGCTGGTCTAGTCCTCTACTTCATCCCGCGGTTCCGACCCCGGCCGGAGGCGAAGATGACCTGGAAGACCTACATGTACGCCTCCTCTCTTGTGTTTGTGCTTGTGCTGTGAATTGGTGGACTGACAAGTCGATAGATTTCGAGTTGGATCGTGTGGTGTCGCGACTGGTGGTGACATTGGGCTTGGAAATATGTCGCTTCGATACATCACTCTTGGATTTTACAGTAAGCCCTTCTTACCTTTTTTTTTTTTTTTTATAAAGAAACGACGCTAATAGTATAATAGCCATGGTAAAATCCTCAAACCTCGTCTTCGTACTATTATTCGCATTCCTAATGCGTCTAGAGCGCCCAACATTCAGACTAATCGGCATCATCACGCTAATGACGATCGGCGTGGTAATGATGGTCGCCTCCGAAACCGAGTTTGTCCTCCTCGGCTTCCTCCTCGCCCTAGCTGCCGCGATGCTCTCCGGCCTGCGCTGGTCACTAACCCAGATCCTCCTAAAATCCAACGCGGCAACATCGAACCCGTTCTCGACAATCTTCTACCTCGCGCCGGTGATGTGCGTCACTTTATTCCTCCTCGCGATCCCGATCGAGGGACTGGGAAATTTCATCACCGCACCCGTCTGGCGCGAGGAATCGTTTATAATGTGGGTCCTCATCCTCGTTGCGCCGGGGGTGATTGCATTCCTCATGACCTCCGCCGAGTTTTTCCTGCTCAACCGCACGAACGTCATCACACTCTCGATCGTCGGCATTTTCAAAGAAGTCCTCACGATCGGCGTGTCCGCGGGTGTGTACGGCGACAGACTCACCGTCGTCAACGTATCCGGCCTCGTACTCACGCTGATCGCCATCGCGCTGTATAACTACTTCCGGATAAAATCCATGCGTGAGAAGATTATATTCCAGCAGCAGCAAGGCGGCGCGGCGGGCGCGAGCGGCGGCGCGAGGATGGAGGGCGGGGCGAGTTATGTGCCGTTGGATGAGGGGAGGAGGGAGAGTGTTGAGGAGGAGGAGGGGGATGAGGTGTTTGAGATGCAGAGGATGTCGCCGCCGCCGAATTACGCGGACGCGATTGGAAGGGAGGAAGGGCGGCGGTGAAGATAGAGTGTTGAATCTTGCTCGCATTTTATCAAAAAGAATGGGTTTTGGATGTGCTGTGTAAATAAAAGCAAGGAGGGTTTTTAAAATGCTCGAGATCTCTACACGATACAGTTATGAAACTACTAACTTCTTATTATCCCATTGCTATAAGCTACAACCCCCCATTCTTTTTTCCAAACATCAGATTTCCAATCACAAGAACCATAATCTCACGAATAGTAAAAGAGTAAAGAAAAAGAAAGGCGAGGTGAAGAAAACTCCGTTATAACCTCAGATCTATCTAAATTCCGAGCGCCGTCAACTCATGTAGAGATATCATGAGAGAGAGGTAGTAGAGACATATATAGAAGAAGAAGGAAAAAGAGAAAAGTGATATGCAAGTACACCAAACATGAAAGACATGGAAAAGCAAAAAAAAGAGAAGGAAGGGTGGGGAGAGAGATAGGAGGAAGAGGAAGAGAGAGCGGGTGTATGCTTTATCCTTGAACGAATATTTTGAGGGAAGACTGTGGTACTTTTTTATCGGTTGGAAGGGCGAGAGACGGTGGGGAGTGCTCTCGGGAGGAGATAAGTGTCGAATCTGAGAAGAGCAAGAGGAGGAGGCAAGGTGAAGCAGGAGCGGTGATGTCACCCACTCCCTACTCCCACGCCCGCATCCTCATAAGAAGAGGGGGCTTAGAAAGCACCACCCGAGTTAACGGCCTCCATCTCAAGCTCATCCAGCGGCGCGTATCTGTACCGCGGCGGCAGATCGTTCCGGCTAAAGAACTCGCCGGGCGCAGGCGCGATAGAGCCCGTGATCCGACGGGAGCCGGCGGAGGAGGAGGCAGAGAGCGGGCCGTGCTGCTGTGCGTTCAGACGGTACTGCACGAACGAGGAGGGCAGCGAGCCGTGGGGGTCCTGCGAGTGCACGCGGGGGGAGTGGTCGGCGGCTGCTGGTGGGGTTAGTGTGGGGACGGAGAAGGAAAGCAGAGGACGGTCGGTCGGGATCGGGATCGAGAAGAAGAAAAAAGGCCAGCGGCTCTAACCGTGCCCGAGCAGGAACAGACGGGAAGGGAAGAAGGAGACGTACCTGGAAATACACGCTTGCCGAGGAACTTGATGAGCGGAGTGCGACGGGCGACGATTGAGGCGCGCATTGTTGATGTGGGGGGCGGTGGTGAGGAAGAGGGAGGAGGAGGAGGAGCAGTCGAGGCGGGAAGATAAAAGGAAGACCCGAGTGACCTGATTAGCTTCCGGGCTGACTGTTAGGTAACGGATTAGTAAGATTGTAGGCACTTGTTTCATTGTAATATGATACGATAGATGCACATTTGAGAATAATAAACAATGCTTTAACAGCTACAATTAACAGTATTCTACTCATCTTTTTATCTACACCTCCACCAACGACCTGCTGCTGCTCATCGCTCGCTGCTCATCAGATCCACCAAAAGTCTTCCTGGGCCTCGAGCGAAAAAAAAATCAGGTGAAAATCTTATGTAATCAACAACGACCAGATTACATAACATATCTCTCAGCAAATGATCCTGCCTTGCTTCACCCAACCCAACTCACCTCCACTTCCGCCGTCACCACCTCACCACCTCACAGCACACAGCACACAGCACACAGACAATGGACCTGCTATCACCAGGCTCCACGCCCTCTCCCCCACCATCAGGGCTGTTGTCGTCCTCGGCAGCAGCTTCCGTCTCCGCCGCCGTATCGTCATACTCCACCGGCGGGGCGGCAGCCTACCCTGCCTCCTCGAAGCGCGACCGGCGCCGCCACAACATGAGCGAGCGGTATAACGCCCTAACAGCCCTCTTTGCCGCGCAAAAAGACGTCATCTACCGTGACTCGCTCGGCGAGCTGCAGGCCACGCTAGGCTCGCTCCACGCGGGCACGGATCCAGTCTTTCTCGAGGCGCTGCACGATATCGAGGAGGCGCGCGACTCGGAACTCGTCACGCTGTATCTCAACCAGGAGTTCTTGCTCGAGCGCGCAGAGAAGGAGTACAGACGAGACGTCGACGCCGCGAATGAAGAGTACGAGGATCTAGCCCGCAGCGTGCGCGAGCATCTGCTTAACCGGCTCGAGATGCAGCGGCGCAAGCTTCGCGAGGACAGAGAACTGCTCGATATCGCAAACGACCACTCGCTCCTGCTCTCGGTCTCGGGCTACAACGGCAGCCAAGCAGGCGGTTCTGGCGGCGCGTCGTCAGGACGAGACACCGGCGACGGCGGCCACAGCTACGGCAGCCAAGGCCCGGACTCACCCGGCGGCGCCTCGTCCTCCGGCGGCGCGATGGGCTCGGTCGGCGAGCGCCGGAAAAACCTGCGCAGACGAGGCGATCTGATTCCGACCTCGGCCGCGGCAGAATCAAGCAGTATGTTGAGCAAGAAGCGGAAACGAAACGGGCAGAGCTCCGGCGGCGGATCCGGGTTCAACGGCGTTGGCGAGCGAGACGAGATTGCGGCGTTTTGGAGCGATCGCGAGGCGTTGCCGTTTGGGCAGCAGGCGCGCGCGGACGCGGCGTCGGGGGGTGGAGAGAGGGGGAGTGGATCGGGAGGGCGGCATCGCGAGAAGGCGTTTGGAGGGTTGGTTGGGTTGAAGAGTGAGGAGGTTGGGGAGGATTTGGCGATTTTGCGCAAGAAGAAGAAGAGGAAGTGATGTAGAAGAGAGGATAATTGATTCATGATATAAAAGGTAATAAAGTAACGCCGAATAAAGACAAGACCCAAAACTCCCTTCGCAGATATGACCCATACACTATATACTAAGACCCATCCAAACTGTCCCAAACACAATAAAAAACAAAATAAAATAGACTAGAAAAAGACTCTATAGCTTGCGGACGACATGGATACCAACATCGGCGTAAGCGACATTATTTTTAGCAGCTTTAAGAAGCCCATCGATGAGATCCTGACCACCGTTCAGATCGAGCATCCAGCGATCTTCATGGGAGATCCACGCCGGACCCCAGTCCTCTAGTTTCAGTCGCTCGGAGGAAGAGTAGAGGACTTCGAGGGAGGGCGAGGAGGAGAGGATGTCGAGTTGATCAGCGTAGGAAGGGACGGTGGCAGGAGGGGAGGCGAAGGCGAGGCAGTCGTCTGTGGAGAGTTTGTTGAGGGCGAGCATGCAGTGCAGGAGCGGATCGAGCAGGGGGACGACGGAGGAGTTGAAGAAGTCGAGGGAGGCGGGGTAGACGAGGATGAAGAGGCCGCCGGGGAGGAGTTCGGTAGAGCGGGAGCGGACGAGGTCGGCGAAGGGGAGGAGGAAGTGGGTGGGGAGGAGGTCGAGGGCGACGACGCAGTGGATCGACGAGGGAGGGACGATGGACTCGAGGACGGTGGGGGCGAAGTAGCAGGAGGCGGAGGAGGCGGAGGAGGCGGAGGAAATTACGGTGGAGGAGGCGGAGGAGGAGGGGGAGAAGACGAGGTCGGGGAGGGCGAGGGAGGAGGAGGAGGAGGAGGAGGAGGGATCAGTTGGGGAGGGAGATCGGGGCGGTCTTGCGAGGACGACGTGGGCGTTGGAGGAGTCGAGACGGGAGGAGATGGATCGCGCGAGATCGGAGACGGCGGGAGAAGGAGAGAAGGAGAGGATGCGGAAGGACTCTTTGAGGAAGTCGACTTTTGGGAGGAGGGAGAGGACGCAGGGCGAGAGCTTTGAGATGGCGGTTGATTCGGAGGAGAGGGAGATGTGGTGAGAGGAGGAGGGGGAGGAGAGGTTTGGGGGGGTGTCGGGGAGGGAGATGTGGAGGGGTTTGCGCATGGTGTATATAATAGTATAGCAGATAGAATATAACAACAATATTGCTACTGCTATAAGATATAAGATATAGGATATAGAAGAATAACAGTGCGAATGAACGAGATCCGGGAATCCAGGGATTAAATGCAGGAAGCAGCGGCGCGGCGCGGCAGCAGATCATTTGACACGGCGCGGCTCGAATTGGTTTCAAACCGGATTTAGCGTGAACTTAATGTTAAGCAGATTAAATTGGTTTTTATTCTTTTTTTCTTTATTTACTGCTACAGCATATCGCCAAAGCCCCGTGAAGCGTCGGCTTTGATGAGTTCGCGCATGCCCTGGGTGTTGTTGTTAGTGATGATAAAGTGAAGGGAGGATATAAGAGATGTACCTCCGGCATTATTGGCTCGTTGTTGGCATCAGCGACATATCTGAACGGCATCTCTGTGCTCTCGCGCCGGCTCCATCGCAGCTCGGGAAAGTCGACGTAGGGAATTTTATCGAGCGGCACTGATGTGGCATGGCGATCAGTGATCTACTCCTCGTCTCTCCGCAAGTCATAGACTACTACTTACATCTCTCTTCGACAACCGTCTTCGTAACGCGGATCGCGGTGTCGGTAGTCATCTGCACCGGCCCCAGCCTTCGCCCCGCAAAGCCGTACCGTCGCAGCTCGGCCGTACGGTCTCGCGGCGGATGGTCGCCTAGGATTCCGCCAAAGACGTACCAGTCGAATCTGTCGCCGTCTTCCGGCACGAGCTCCTGCTCTGCGCCGGGGTCGAGCAGACAGACGCGTCCGGCAGCGGCGGCAGCAGAGACAGCAGGGAGTGCGATGACTTCGTCTGTGGTTGTGGTGACGACGGATTTGTCTGCGAGCTGGGGAGGGAGGGAGGCGTGCAGGTCCGGGTTCATGGAGGTGAGGAAGAAGTGGTCCGCACCCCCGACGTCCTTGGACACGGCGAGGTACTCGAGGAGCACCCACGGAAAGATTCCGTCTTCCATGTGCTCGACGACGTAGTTTGCCATTGCTGTGGATGAGTAGTAGTAGTGAGAGTAGATAGAAGAGGACTGAGTATCAGCCGAGGACGGAAACGAGAAGATTTTCATGATCTGCGGGCGGGTGGTTCGGAACCGGGACTAAGGCTTGAACCGAACCAGCCGGACCTGGGGCAGTGCCCGCGCCAGAGCCAGAGCATCGAGCCGTGTGATGAGAGGAGAAGAGAAGAAGAGAAGAGACTAGAGAAGAGAAGAAGAGAAGAAGAAGATATATAAGAGATATAAGAGATATAAGAGACATAAAAGATATAAGAACAACACACAAAACATCTGCCAGCCTGCAATCTCCTCTTCCGCTCCCTCACCTCTCCGCTCATCTCCTTCAGTCACAGCTCGGCCGACTGCGATTGTGATATCTCCACGTGACTGCCTTCCACCCTCCTTCCATTTCCAGCACTCGGGGCCGACTATGCTCGGTCGGGCTAGTGTTCTCGTGTCTTTGTCTTGTCTTGTCTTGTCATGTGTGTCTAGTGTCTTTATCTTCTACTCTTCTAGGCGAGCTCATCACTATGTTAAGTGATTATATAATCCCTGACTCACCATCACTAAACCTTAACTTATCACTATCCACATCCCATCGACACCAAACTTCAACTCATCCACAATGGACAATACACACAATAAGCACACCGATGAACAACACAATAATGAACAACACCAACTCTCTTTCAAAGGCGCCCTCGACCGCTTCGCAAACACCTCCTCCGACCCTCCACTCCTCCCCCCCTCACCCCTCCCCTCCCCCCGCAAACACTCACAGAAACACACACGCAAACCAATGAAATACGCCCCGCCCGCAACATACTCCCACATCCCCCCCGTCCCCGACATCCTCGCCCCAGACCTCACCTGCATCTTCATCGGCATCAACCCCGGCCTCCGCACCGGCATCGACCAGCACATGTTCGCCCACCCGTCCAACCAATTCTGGAAACTGCTCTTCCGCTCCGGCCTTGTCTCCCGCGCTCTTTCGCCCGCCGACGACCGCGGTCTTCCTGCTCAGTTTGGATTTGGAATTACGAACCTCGTCGACCGCGTTACGCGCTCGGAGGTGGAGCTTAGTCGGGAGGAAATGGTCGCTTCTGTGCCGGCGCTTGAACAACGCGTCAGGCAGCTTAACCCGAAGTTTGTCTGCGTCGTCGGCAAGTCTATCTGGGAGGCTGTCGTCAGGTTCAAGACCGGAAGACCTTTGAAATCTTCAGAGTTTACTTTTGGATGGCAGCATCCTCGTGAATGTGGTTTCTCATTTGCAGACACTACATCTTCTCGTATTACTCCTACATCTTCTCAAATTAAGACTGAATCAGATGACATCGACACTACTCAATTCAAGCATGAATCAGATGACACCGACACAAACTACTCCTCCCCAAGAATCCTCGTCATGCCATCCACATCCGGCCGCGTCATCGACCGCGACGGAACCCGCCTCGCCGTCCTGCGCGACCTGGCAGCCGCCATACATGCCCTCGACTCCAACGACTCTAGCCAAAGAAAAGCATAACGCGCATACAGCATCGGCAAGTACCTACATCATCGTCATGAACGCGCATACCGCACCAGCAATCAACGCAGCCGTGTACGCCGACTCGGCACTCAGACTACTACTGCTGCTGCTGGCAGCCGTGGTCCCGTTCGCAAGCGTGCCGTTGATGTACAAATGCACCGTCCCGTTCTCTGCAGCGACATACGTGCTGCTCTCCGGTACACCCTCCAAATACTCGCTCTCCGTGTTCTCCTCGCACCCGCACTCCTCATACGCCGCACACACGCACGTCGCGTTCACGTCGGTCTGATTTCCGTACGTGACAGTGTGATTGTAAGGATACACGTACCCGCCGTAGAACCACAGGCCGGGATATATGCCCGCCATCGAGACGGCGGGGAAATACAGCGGCGAGATGCCGGACCCGTAGCTTAGTGCGCCGGACCGGTAGGGAACCGTCGCGCCGCCGATGTAGTATTTTCCGCCGGCGATTGAGGCTCGTGTTCCGGAGCCGGAGGAGGTGCGGCCGCCGGTGTTGCTGCTGGAGGAGGAGGAGGAGGAGGAGGAGGAGGAGGAGGCTGGGGGTGTTAGTATAGAACTGTAATCAGAGTATTAAATAGTAATTGACATACATCCGCCTTTCCCTTCACTGCTTCCACTTTCACCACCTCCACTTTCACCACCTTCACCTTCACCTTCACCGCTTCCACCTTTCCCTCCACTACCTCTCCCGCCCACGCTTATTCTCTTCCACAGCGTAGGCTGCCGCACCGGCGAAGCAGAGCATGCAGAAAACACCAGCGCGAGCGCGACTAATAGTAGAACAGTCCTGCAATTCAACCTCATATCCACAAATAACTTGTACGCTATACAACCATACAACCACTCTGTGAGTACTGTAGTTATATAGCAAAGACGTACACGTACAGCAGTGCTCTTGCACGTACTTCCGGCTGGGGTCCACGTACATTGACTTTTCATCGGGCGATGACAAGTCAGCCGTGTGCGGCTGGGTTCGCTTCTGGTCTTGGTCTGCTTCTTAGTTCTCTATATCGAGTTTCTAGCATATAAGAGGATGATTGTTCGCAGATAAAGGCTGGAGAGTTATATTGTTGTTTGGAGGTGGGCGTTGTTGAGCGGGGATGGTCGTTCGGTTGATTAGAGGGCATATTTGGTTGACTGGAGTTGTATTTGGTTGACTGGAGCTGTATCTGGTCAATTGACTAGAAAGTTGTATTTATACAAAACAGACTCTTTGCACTAACTACACGCAATCAACACAACACCGTCATCAAACAACATAAAAAAATCATCCCCCAACCACTCTCTCCCATCACCCCACCTAATGCTTCCGGCTCCGCGCCTGCCCCTTCGCGCTCTCACTCCCCGACGCCGACGACGACGAGGCGCCGGCAGCACTCTCGCCCGAAGATGAGGAGGATGATTTACCTGCAAGGTAGCTGGCCATGTCGAAGTTCATTGGGTTCGTGAGCGTCGGGGGGACCGACTTTGATTGCTGTTCTTGGAGTTCTTTGAGTTGTTCTGGGTCTGTGTGTGTGATTGTGTTAGCTTGCGCTTTTTTCTTCCTCTTTCTTTCTTTTCTTGAAAGAACAGGGCTTCTTTAGAAGTCTTTCTCTTCAAAATAATTGCTTAAAAAGAAAAGAGAGGGGGAGTAAGAATCACATACCCATATTCTCCATCATCTTGGGAAGCACAAACACCATGACGAGTGTGAACAAACTGATAATCAACATCGGATTCTTAAACAACTTCAACACATTGAAACCCTCCCGAACCTACATCAATCCCATTAGCACCCACACCATCCAACTTCTAATCCCAGCAGATCTTAGTAAAAGAACCAAAACTCACCTGATAATACACAGCCTTGCCCACCGGCTTCAACTCAACAGGATACGGCTGCCGCGCCCCAGTCACAGTCCAATCATTCCCCGGATGCGTCAAAAACACCTCGACCTCGTTCTCCCCCACATCGACCCTAAGCACGGGAAAAATATGCTCGATGCAATTCACCCGCAACTGGTAACTCCCCTCCGACACATTCACAAACGCAAACCCGCTCAACTGCTCCGCGTCGGAGGAGGATGCCGACACCGGGGCGGATTGCAGGAAGGTCTTGTGGTATGCGGTCGATGAGCGGAGCGTGATTTCAATCGAGGGCGCGTATGAGAGCTTGGGAAGAATCTGCGACGAGGAGGAGGGGGGAGTCGGGTCGAGGAATCCGCGGACGGTGTATGCGGAGACTGTCTGCGCTGCCGCAGCAGCAAGAAGGATCAGAGATTGCAAATGCATTCTTTTGTGCTGTATATCTTTCAATCAGCTCTTATCGACGTTGTCTTGACCGCGATGCGTTTGCGAATCTATAAAACAAGACGATGTAAGTTAAAGCAGAGAGGCGCGCTCGAGGCAAAATAGCGGCGGCGAGCAGACATTTAAACCTTATCTTCAGATGCGACTAAAATTTGCCCATCCGCCATCTTTCAACTTCAACAGCAACAGCAACGGCAGATAGAATGGGGTCAAAGAATAAACGCAAGAAAGCACGAAAAGAAGAAGAACAACTAGAATCCACAAAGCGGATCAAGCAGCAGCAGCAGCAGCAGCAAGAATCATCCGCTTCAACCTATGAGATCATCCCCAAACACCCGCGTCTGACGCCCGCGCAGGCCGACGAGCTCGCGGCAAAGATCACAGACCGCGCAGACAAATTCCTGAAATCCTTCCGCAAGCTCCTCGAAGACACGCCCTCGCTACTCGACGTCGACTACACCGATCCCACGTACGACCCGCGCGCGCACACGACCCGCGTCGGCCAGGGCGCCTGCGATCCGCGTGTCGACCTCGCGCTCTGTCTGAAGCGGATGGAAGACGATGGCGAGCTTGGGTTCGTCAAGGCGGATTATAGGATGTTTGTCGATGACGGCAAGACCGCGGTCGTGGACGATACCGGCGCGTGGCCGCATCGGATTCCGCCCATGCAGGCCCTCGGCACGGTCGACGCGCGTGTCGACTTTATCAACAAACTCCGCAGGTTCTCATCCTCCTCCTCCTCCTCCTCGCCGGCATGGCCACCCCCTCTCCCCCCACTCACGACCCCCGAGATCGAAAGCCGCGTGTTCACACACCGCTCCGCGTCCAAAGACAAATCAAAAACCTACGACAGGCTCGAATACCTCGGCGACTCGTTCATCCACTACGCCATCACCCGCATCACATACCTCTTCTTCCCCTCCGCCGACGAAGGCGCGCTCTCCGAGCTCCGCAACGAGCTCGTGTCAAACTCCCGCCTCGCTTCGTACGCTGAACTTTACGCGCTCGACTCGCGGCTCGTCACGGCCGCTAGCGCAGCGAGACCGACGTCGCAGATGGCGAAAGTCCGCGCGGATTTGTTCGAGGCGTATATCGGCGGCATCCTCCACGACGATCCTATTGATGGCGCAGAGATTGCGGAGAGTTTTCTTCGAGACCTTTTCGCGCCCGCGTTGCTCACGATCGAGCGCGCGAATATCCGCGCGGGGAAAATCGACAATAAAGCAAAAGATAAACTATACGACCTCGTCGGCGGCAAGTACCAAGCCATAGCCTACCTCGACATCCCCTCCTCCTCCTCCTCCTCCTCCGCTGCTTCTGGCGCCAACGGCGACGCACGCACGGCAACGTCTGGGTTTGCGGTGAAATGCGTTGTCGGGAATGAGGAGATCGGGAGCGGGTGGGCTATGAACCGGGCGGATGCGCAGGCGCGGGCGGCGATGAGCGCGCTGAGGAGTCCGTCGGTGGTGGGGAAGTATCGGCGGCAGAAGGTTGCTAATCTGAGCAGGCATGATCGGGAGGCTAAGCTTATTGCGGAGAGACAATGAGGATGTGTATTATTACTGTATGTATATATTAAAGAGGTATGCGGGAAGAATATCAAATATTTCACAAGAAAAAAAGTACATAAAATCATCACAACTCCGGTCCCTTCGTTACATCATGCACAGGTATCCCCATCGGCTCCGGCGTCTTGAGCCCATATTTTGCCCAATACGGATTCGTGTACCCGTTCCCGGTATGCTTCTCCGCGCTATCATACCAGTCCGCGAACGGATAGCTCTTCCTCGTCTTGAGCTGCTCGTCGGGCTTGATGATGCCGAGGTCGTACTGTCGCTGAATAAGACTGTCGAGGTACGGCACGAGATGCTGGTCGAATTTCTCAAACCCTTTGTATTTCAAGATCTTGTCCGGGCCCTCGAGCACGACTTTCTTCAAAATCGAGGGAATGAACGGCTCGTCCTTCATCTCGTCGATCGAGTAGAAAATCGGATGGTTCGAGAAGACGATTGCGTTCGACTTTGGCAGCCTCCTCAGCGTCTGCCGACACACGCGCACATTGTACTGACTAAAGCTCGTCTCGCTCGGCACGCCCTCACCATCCTCGAGCGCGTAGATGCCGTTACACCGCAGCTCGTGGTCCCAGCATATGAACCAGCTTGCGCGCTCGACCGGGTCGTTTGGCTTCATCCGCGCGAACCAGCGCTCCATCGACACCTTCAGCTTTTCCTCATAGTACGGCACCTCGGTGTGGATCACGTCTAGGTGCTGCCCGATCTTGTTTTGCACGCCAAAGAAGCCTCCTGGAGCAGGCACGACGGCCGCCACGAGGTAGTGCTTCCCGTCGGCGCGCTGCTTGACGATGTAGAAATCCTCCTTGGCGAGGCGGGCGAGGTAGTGCAGCACGGGCTCCTTGAGCGGGCGGCGGAGGTCCATTTTCTCGCCGGTGACGTGGTTGTCGATGCCGATCTCGGTGCGGGTGAAGAGCCGCGGGTAGCGTTTGCAGAGGTGGTCGACGACCGTGTCGAGCAGTTCTTCGGCCGCGTCTTGCCCGTCGGGAAGGATGTCGCAGTACTCGGTCCCCGTGCGACGGATGATGTCCATTTTCTCTGTGACGTAGCGACTATGAACAAATCAGCACGGTGTTCCTTGCAGTTACTTCTCAAATCAAAGTCAGTGCACATACTGATACCACTTATCCATATCAAGCCAGTGATTAATATCCAGCTTAAAGATCGACATCGTCTGATGATACGGCCACCGAAACGGCCGCCACGGACGGTCGTCGTACGTCTTCAGTTTCTCGACCGTCAAGTCCCACAGCGGCGTCGGCTCCGGCAACGGTTCGTTGCTGGTTCCATACGCGGACTTTTTCTCGCTTTGCTGCTGCCGCTGCTGCTGGGGTGGAGGTGGGGCGGAGGAGGAGAAGTTGATGTAGATAATCGAGGCGGCGACCGCGAGCAGGAAGATCGCGATGAACAACTGCATGGCTGGTATATCTCCTTCTTTCTTTCTTTATCTTTCTATAAGCAAGCAGGACACAACGCGTCAACAGAGATTACGACGGTTGGAAAGTGCAGGAACGCTGTTATATGCCTGATCGCCTGCGGCTCGGGATTCCTTCGTTTCAGGCAACGCGGTCCCGATAAGCCTTCATCCCACCGCCAGCCCTTCTGAACAAGTTCTCGAGCAAAGATAAAAAAACCTGCGCTTTTCTCCTTCTTCTGCGCGTAGTAGTTTTATACAGAAATCACGCTACTCCGTCGAATACGGTCTACTCTTCCTCTCTCATCCTTGTTATCCTTATCTCAACCCATATCGCCTCTCCTCACAGACCTCTCCCCAGATGGCCCTTCCATCCTCCATTGTCCTCTACTCCACCTCCTAAACCAAACCACCCGACCTCCAAACCCCACCTCAACCCACCCGCCCTCCTCATCCACCCTCCTCCCCTAACAATAATCATCACCCACCCGCCTGCGTACACCCCTCCCGATACGTAGCATGACTCCCGCCGCTCATTCCGCGACTCCTCGTGCATAACGAAACTCTATCTGTACGCACAGGGACTCAAGTTCCCAATCGGGAAACCTGCTCGCATAACGCAACTTTATCCGCGCTCGGTCAGAAAGTGGAAAGTTCGTCCTTCGATGTCTTGTTTGATTGATAGAGGTATGTCTCTTTCAATTGATAGAGATAGTTGATGGAGATAGGGTGTGTGCTGTTTGATATAAATGGACTTTCATTAAGCAGAAATAATAAGAAAACAAGAAAGAAAAATTGCATGGAAAGTAAAAAAAAAATGTGAAAAATATGACCTTTATCTAAACACCATCTCCGCACAACAAACATCCCTTCTGTATTTTCATGTGTTGTCTTTTCAATATTCTCTACAGAAGAAAAAAAATCAAAGTACCGAACAAGATGTCAAAATCCGCCTATGCATATGCCGCAAGCGGCTCCGCCTTCTCGCCCTTGGCCGCCGCCGCCGCCGCCCGCGCCATCGTGGCCGAACTTCGCGAGATCGCGTCGGTGAAGTAAAAGTTCTCAATCACAGAGCCGAGCTTGGCGCCGGTCGACTTGGCGCTCTTGTGCGCGTCCACGATCTGCGCCTTCAGGCCCACGGTCGCGGTCTCGCTCGCAACGGGCTCGATGATGTCGTGGCGCACGAGGTGGGGCGCGATCTCGACCATGCGCGCCCGGATGTCGTAGATGTCGTCGTAGGGGAGCGCGGCGCCGAGGTATTCGCTCGCAGCGCGGATGATCTTCCAGTCGTCACGCGCAACGCCGGGCGGTGAAGTAGCCGCGCGAGTGACCTGCACACGGCCCTCGGTGTTGACATATGTGCCGACCTTCTCGGTGTAGGCAGAGGCAGGGAGCACAATGTCAGCGTACTGGGCGCCAACGTCACCGTGGTGGCCCTGGTAGACGACAAACGCGTCCTTGGGCACGTCAGCAGCAGTGATCTCATCCGCTCCGAGCAACCACACAAACTTGGGCTTCACGCTCGTCACCGCAGGGTCAGAGGTAACAAAGCCGACGTCGAACGCACCCGCCCGACCAGACGCACGCTGCAAGACAGAGTACGCGTTCCACTCAGCAGTCACGAGCTTCGAAGCGTTCTTGTTCACAAACTGTCCAATCAGCTCGAAAAACACGGCCGCGTCGGGGTTCTCGGCAACTCCGCTGCCGACAACAATGATCGGCTTCTTGGCCGCAAGCAGCTTCTTGCCAAAGCTGCCCGCAAGCGCCTTCTTGAGTGCAACAGTGTCGTCGCCCAGGTGCTCGTACTCAAACGTAGACTCAAAGTTCTGACCGACGAGACCAATCTCGAGATCAGAGCGCAGCCACTGCTTGCGTATTCTCGCGTTCAGCACAGCAGCCTCGTGACGCGGGTTGGTACCAACAAGCAGGATCGCGTCCGCGTCCTCGATTCCGTGGATCGTGGAGTTGAACAGGTAGTTGGCGCGCGAGTCAACGCCATGCGCAAGCGGCGCATTGCCGCCCGTAACGTCGATCGCAAGGTTATCAGAGCCGAGTCTGTTGGCGAGATCCTTCATGGCAACGAGAGCCTCGACATCGACGAGCGCACCGGCAATAGCCTTGAACTCGTTGCCCTTGGGGGCAATCTTCTCGTACGCCTCAACGATGGTCGACAGAGCCTCGTCCCAGGTGACGGGCTCGAATCTGTCGCCGGCCTTGAGCAAAGGCATAGTCAAGCGCTGCGTCTTGAGACCGTCGACGGCGAAGCGGGTCTTGTCAGAAATCCACTCCTCGTTAACGTCGTCGTTCAGACGGGGCAGGACGCGCATGACCTCGACTCCCTTTGAGTCAACACGGATGTTTGAGCAGAGACCATCGAGAACGTCGATCGACTCGGTCTTCTTGAGCTCCCAAGGTCGCGCGCGGAAAGCGTACGGCTTGGAGGTGAGCGCACCGACGGGGCAGAGGTCGATGACGTTTGCGGAAAGCTCAGAGGTGAGGTTCTTCTGCAGGTAGGTACCAATCTGCATGTCGTTTCCACGGCCAGAAGTGCCCAGCTCGGGCGCACCAGCAATGTCGTTCGAGAACCGGACGCAGCGGGTGCAGTGAATGCAACGCGTCATCTCGGTCTTGATAAGCGGACCAATGTCCTTGTCTTCGGTCGCACGCTTGCCCTCAATCTCTCGGAACCGGCCACGATCCGAACCATATCTCATCGCCTGATCCTGGAGATCGCACTCACCTCCCTGGTCGCAAACGGGGCAGTCGAGCGGGTGGTTGGCGAGCAGCATCTCCATGACGCCCTCGCGCGCCTTGATCGCGCGCTCCGAGTTTGTGTGCACGACCATGCCGGGCTGAACAGGCCAGGCGCAGGAGGCGACGGCCTTGGGTGCCCGCTCGACGTCGACAAGGCACATACGGCAGTTTCCGGCGACGGCGAGTTTTTCGTGGTAGCAGTAACGGGGAACGAGGGAGCCTGCCTTTTCGCAAGCTTGAATGAGAGCCTAGAACAGGTAGAAAATAGGCAATGCCCCGCACGCAAGATGCGACGCACGCCAGGAGAAATTAGCACCAATGCAGAGGGGGTGTAGGCGTCCGAGACGAGCCAAAAGGATGTTGACCAGCAAGTAGCAAGGAAGCAGGAGGAATTCGTACCGAGCCGGCCTCGATCATGATCTTCTTGCCGTCTATGGTGACCTCGACCTCCGCCTTTGCGGGCCGCGAGGAGGAGAAGGCCCGTCTGGCGAGGATGTGCTGCTGCTGCGCAAGGGCCCTGCTGGCCAGCCTGTAGTGCCGTCCAATCATGGGTGTGTGTGGGCTGGAGAAGGTGGAAGAGGGGAGATGGGGGTTTGGAGAGGAGAAGGGCAGACACACGAGGAGTCTTCGGAGAGTTGTGTTGAAGCCTTAACATTGGGAGAATCCTGATTGGCCGTGCTGAGCGGTACACCGGCTACGCTGAGCCGCAGTAGATTCCAGTCTGGAAACCCTCGGCCCTGGATTTGTCCTTAAAAGGCTTTTCGCTCTTCTAAATCTCTTTCTGTATTATACTCATTCGGGCAGAACTTATTGTAGGTGCGCTGGTTCTACTGCACCTGGCTGCACCTCTACTTTCTGGCTCAAGATAACGCTTATAAAGTGCTGGTTCTAGCTGGAGCACTCGACTCTCCGTTCGCGGCGGGCGTGAAAAGTTGTTCCTTACCAAGAGCCAAAAATTCTGTAGTTACTTCATTACTTTTGTTTGTCTGTATCGTTTTGCTTTGCATTGCTTCTACTCTACCTCTTCCTCTCTTGAATCCGCTGCTCCAGATTGCGCAGAATCTGCTCGACCTCCTCTGAATCGCTTCGCAGGATATCCGCCAGGTATATAAGCCCTGTCTGCTGACCTCTGAGAATCTGCATCATATTCTTCGTTAGTTTCGTAACTGTAAAACTGCACAATTAGTACAATACACACCTTTGCAAGCTTCTCCAATTGATCATCGTCCTTCTCCCAATCAACCGTATTCTCCCACTGCTCGCCCGTCTGTCGCGCCTGCTCGTTCAAAATCTTGATCCGCTCGCGCACGACCGTCATCCGCGCCCACACCTCATTAATCTTGCCAAACACCGCCGGATCCTCCAGATTCCGCGTGAGCTCCTCCAACTTCCGCTTCAGAATCTCCTCGTCCGGCCGTAGCGCGTACCCACGACTCTTCAAAACCTGGATCTTCGCCGCTAAGCTCATCGTGCGATGCGCCAGCGCCGCGTGCCGCGCCTTGATCTCCGCCACCCGGACGGTGGTGTAGAGATCATGCCGGGTGATGAGCTCGGTCAGTTTCTGGTTGATCTCGTGCATGCGCGTGCGGTACGCAATAACCTGCTGCTCCTGCACGCTCACGCGCTTCTGAAGATCCGTGAAGCCGACCGCGAGCACCGGCACCGAGCTCGAGTCCGGTCGGTTCGCGATCGCGTTGTCCCATCTCTGCTGGTCGTGGGTCGGGGGTTTGCCGTACAGAGCAGCTTGCTCGGGTGGGACCTTGTTGTAGAAATAGTATTGGAACGCACATTCGGGGGATGTTGGGTCCCAGGAGTTTTTTATCCTCGACAGCTGATCTGGTATCGACGGCGCCATAGCTATGCAATCATCGCCGTCAGTCATGAAACCCCAAACCAAACCAAGCTCAAGCAGAGATCTCAAATCTCTAAGAGTTAATAAAAAGAATCAGAATACATACGCAGCGTTGGATATATGGAAAGAGTGGATGGCTGCTGTGCAAAGCTATTACTGTTATTCATGCCATACGCCGACGTACCGAGTCCCAGGTTTCCGTTTGTGCTCATGTTAGCAAACCCCGCTGGCTGAGAAAGCGACATCCCGAGTAGATTGTTTGTGGGCTGCTGCTGTTGCTGCTGTTGTTGTTGTTGCTGTTGCTGCGATTGATTCAGCGTCGTATTAAACAACGTCGACGATGGCCCTTGCGACTGCTGCAGCCGCTGTGTCTGACCGAACGAGAACGCCATATTTCCCGACTCTATCAATCTGATATCTGATTCTGAATCCTGTCGAGATCGCCAGCAATAAAACCACGAGGATTTCTCTTGTTTACGTGCCTGCACAAAGAGTCTGCAATTTTGCCCTGGCGCCGTATTCTGGGTCCCTCAATCCAGACCACCCACGTGACTTCACAAACCCCTCATCAGCGCACACGGGAATCCACCAAATCAGAGCCGGGGATTTTCGTGTTACGCCCCGGCCACACCAGACTCGGTTTTTTCGTGAAGTAGCAAAGAGGAAGTCGACAGCAACAGCCAGGTTCACGCCTTTATTCATCTGGAAAGAAGAGATTTAGTTCAGCAATGCCGTCTAACCATCTTAACACGCTGCCCTACTACGTCGTCGATCCGACGCCCATGCCGGAGGGCATCCCCTCCGTGCCCGAGGTCGGCGCTACCTCTGCGCCCTTGCTGTCCGTCAGTACGTATATCCAAAATACAGAAGATATGATCGATTTCCAGACGTGATCCGGTAGCTGACTGACGATTGTCTGATTTGCGCAGGCTACTTCATCGGCGCGCGGTGCAAACCTTACAACAACAACTTCATGCTCTGCCGGAGTAAGAGCAAGACGCCTGAGCAGGACTGTCTCTACGAGGGCCGACGAGTGACCCGATGCGCCATCTCTGTGTATGTTGTTCTGTGATATAGAAGCTATATCTTGAGTTCGAGGACTAACCAGCGATAAACGACACAGGCTGGAAGACATCACCAAGAATTGCGAGGAGACCCTCAAAGCCCACGTCGACTGCCTAGAGAACAGAAACCACGAGCTCGACAAGTGCAGACTCCAGGAGGCGTTCTTGAACAAGTGCGTCAAGAAGTTCTTGGTATGTTTCCCGTCTTTCCTTCCGATCTTGCAACTCGGCGAATGCTAATCAATCTTGATTCCCCAGAACCTCGAAAAGGTCATCCCAGACGCCGAGGGCATCCCCGTCCACTTGCGCAATGTGAAGCTAGTGGACTAAACACGCCCTCCACCAACTCATTCACACTCTGCATCACCTCTCTTTTTCCTATTTTTTTTGTTGTCTGTTGTTTTCATCCATTTCTAGCTCACACAGCATCTAAAGCTCTAATTCTATAAACCATCGGGATCAAGATAGTTTGCTCCATTTCCCCCTCATCTATTTCTTATTTTTGTACAGTCTGTGACAAATGTTGGTGTCGGTCTGGAAAGTGGTTCTTTTTACTGCTTTATAGCAATCTGTTTTGTTCTTCTTATTTCTTCTTTTTGTTTCGGGTTTCAAAGTCAATAAAGGGTAAACATTCATAGAGCTCTTGCAGTGTTGTCAGTCGACTTCATCGTGATGGCCACTAATAATCTAAAGAAAGTTGCCGCAATGTAATGATGTATACAGCTACTGCGCGGTTTACAATTGTCAAATTATATCATTGCTTCATCCACACTAAAGACCACACTACTCCTCCTCCTCCAACCTCTTCTCAATCTCTCTATTAATCTTCTCCGCCAACGACGTCATCTCATATCTCAGCGCGATCTTGCTCGCCGCCCTCAACGCGTTATCCTTATGAATCATCTTCACCAGCCCGTACGCCTTGCCATCATACCCGCCCCGGCGACACAGCACCTGCAGTAACTGCAGCACAAGCTTATCGATCGCCAGCTCCCGTCTCGACAGCTCGTCCCGCTGGTCATCGTCCATGAGCGACTCGTCGCCGCCGCAGGACGCGAGGACTCCGTCCTTGTAGAGTTGCAGAAGCACAGACTCCTGCAGATACCGCTCCTCGAGCTTCATGCTGTCTGTCGCGTCTTTCTGCTGCGCGCTGTCGTGTTCGCTCGACTTTGTCGACAGAGCAGAGTAGACAGGCAGCTTGATCTCGATCTCGGACGAGATCGGAAGCGGGATCGAGGGGTTCTTCTCACCGCCTTTGAGAATGATGCAGTTGAACTTGTTCTCAAACACGCCCAGAGGCCAGAACGACTCGTCTGGGTTGTCGCGGCCCATCGCCTGCGTGTCGAGCAAGGGTACCCATTTAGCCTGCAGAGGCTGGCGCCAGTGCATGAGAATCAGAAGCACGCCCTCCGAGTCAAAGATACAGGGATCTCCTTCTTCGGAGAAAAACAGGGATCTCAGCGTGGCTCCGTAAGGGATATCGACCACGTCGTTCTTCTGCAGGGTTTCGTCGTGCTTCACGTTCTCGAGCGTGTACATCAGCTTGCCGCTCCCGTCGCCCTGGTTGCGCACGACCATGAGAAAGTCGTCGTGCGACGCGCAGCAGACTACAGGATTGCTCGACTGCCTGTACAACCGCAGCGGCGACCCGTGCAGGTTGAACACGCGCACGTAGCCCTTGGACGAGCACACGACCACCGACGTCTTTGACAGCGCGATCGAGGCGATTGTCTCGTTCGGAAACGACAGGTCCCAGCTATCCGTGAGACCGCCGTGGGATCTGAAAAACAGGCGCGATCCCGCGCGGTCCTCGTCATTGGCGGCGAACAGCGCCGCGTCGTCGGTCAGACAGGCCTTGTCGTAGCGGAAGTGGTCTGTGAAATGATACTCGCGATGTTTCTCGCGGTCAAAGAAGTTGACAGTCACGGTGTTGTACTCGTACTGGTCAACGGTCCAGATGTAGCCGATCGAGGTCATGGCCAGGTACCGGCGCTGGTTGATGAACGGCGTGCTTCCCGGCTGAAACGCTTCGTGCTGCATGCCCTTCATCACCGTCACGAAGCGTCGCTTGTTACTCGCCAGATCGTCACTCGCCAGACCGTACGGCCGCTTGCGAGGACTGTCTGAGAACGAGTCGGTGTCGGGCACAAGGTCCGGGATGTAGCCCGCGCCGTCGTCGTCTTCGATCCACTCGCGCTGAACTTCCTCGAGATCGTCGACGTTGGAGATATCATCGTCAAACTCGTCGGGGACCATCGCGATCGGGCCTCGCGCACCAGGCTTGACAGAAGACACCGCGCCTCCGGCGTCGGGATCATTGATCAGCGGAGCGGGATAAATAGACTTGCCGAACGGCATATCCAACTTCTCCGGAACCACGCCCGGGATCGTATACAGCTGTCCCATATTAGACGTGAACGAGATCTCGTTCTTGGTCGGATGCCAGACGACGCAGATGATGTTGCGGTAGTTGAATTTGTTGACGATGTTTTGCGACTTTGTGTCCCAGATCAGGATCTTGGCATCCGAGCCCGCGGTCGCGAGGTACGCGCCGTTAGGCGACCACGCGTAGTCGTTGATGGCGCCCATGTGGCCGTTCGCAAACGACCGCTCGGGTTCCCATGTACTCCTATTGATTGTGATGACGTCCCTTGTTTTGTTTTGCGTCGCAAACACGCGGCCGTCGGGGTGCCATGCGACCTTGATCGAGGCCTCGTCCAGCTCGTCTTTGATGCTCGCGGCAAGACCGTCAAAGGTCTTTACCAGCTCGGGTTCCTCGGAACTGATGCTGAACACGCGTAGTGTGCCGTCGAAACTTGCGGTGGTCACCAGCGCGCCGTTGGGATGGAACGAGACGTGCTTCACGCCTTGTCGGTGGCCGGTAAGCGACAATGTTCGCGTGATATCTTTTGTGTTTACTAATTTGACGGTCGTGTCACTATTTTTCAGCTGTTAGTCGGGCATTCTTCGTAGACCTGTAATTTTTCTAACCAACGTCAAAGACATACTCTCCCGCCAGCGCGATCCATTGTCCGTCATTGCTGAAGGTGACGTCTCGGAAGGGCATGCTCTGGCGCATGAGCATGTTTTCAACTTCACTCGTCTCAACAGCAAACAAAGACGCGGTCCCGTCCTCCGAACATGTCGCGAAATGTGTTTTCTAAAAGTCTCACTCCGTCAGTCCACACCTTCCCCTCTCCTCTTTATCCTCTCATTTCAACGTACCGAAGTCGCAATCCCGGTAATGTCCTTCTCATGATACTCCGTATTAATCGGCTCGTCATCAGGCGAATCGACCAGAAACTTGCGAATAAGCCGGTTCGCGCCCACGGAAATCAGGTACCGTCCATCAGCAGAGTACGCGACACGCGTCAACCCGGGCGTGTGCGCGTACTTTGGAACGACGTGTTGCGGCTGCGCCATTAGTATATTCTCTGCGCTGTGTTGTTTCTGTCCTCTGTGTTCTCTGTTCTTGATTGAAACCCACGAGAACGGGAGGTAGTGCGGTGGAGGGGAGGTGGTGAAGGTAGAGCAGGAGATGGGGAGGAGACGGAGACTGCGCAGGTGCGGCTTCACGCGTCTGCGTGGTTGCGGTTAGAGTTTAGCCCTCGACGCGTTCCCAGCGCGCGATAGATGTACATTTTACATGAGCATTGTTTTAGGTAGTTTTGTAATATACGATGGGGAAATAACGCATGTAATAGAGACATGTTACTCTACAGTCGCAATAGTGTCCTTGCAAATATCATTTATCAGTAAACCAAACAACACCAAAAAAACCGAGCAAGAGCCTTAAACAGTTCAGCAAGATCATAAATCGTTCACACGTAAGCACCACTCAAACAAACCACTAGTCCGTCTCTTGATCCTGGTCCTGTTCATCCATATCAGCCAGCTTCTCACTATCCTCTCTCGCCTGCCTAAACTTCGCCAGCGCGTTCGACACCAGCTTCGGATCCACATCCGGCACCCCTCGTTCTCTTCTTTTCGCGTTTATGATCTTGACTGGTATATTCCTCGACAGATCCGGGCCCGCGTAACTCAGGTCTTTGAGCAGATTTTTCTCTTCGTTGGTGAGACTCTTTTGCGAGATGAGGTCTTGCGAGAACTCGTGGTTGTGCAGGATGTTGGACGACTTGATGTACCAGCAGCCTGATTTCTTGTGATGCCAGCAGTTCAAGAAAAACGGACAGTCCGTCGACCGCGTAGTGCCGTAGCTCGCCCGGCGTTTCCGGTTGTCGTCGTCCTTGCGCGTGTACTTTGACGTCTTTGCGCGTTTCCAGCATTGGATGCGGATATGCTCTGGCCTGGAAGACGTGCGCGAGAGTCGAAAGCCGGCGACGGTGGCGTAGCGGTTCAGATGGAGGAGGAGAGCGTCCTTAGACGGAAAGGTCTGTGTGAGATCGAGTTTTTCGTCGGGCGCTACCAGAAGCGAGGCGGCGAGGGCGGAGAAATCAACGTCGGCTGGCTCGGCTGAGTCTGATTCGTCTTGCTGCTGCCGCTGCTGCTGCCGCTGTTGCTGTTGCTGTGGTTGTGGTTGTGACTGTGACTGTTGTGTTTGCTTCTGGACTGCTTGTTCATGCTGGGTCTGCTGTGTCTGCTGTGCGTGTGCGTGCTGCTGCTGATCGTCCTGAGACGTCTGAGTGGCGTCGGTCTGATGCCGAAGTTGCTGCGGCAGCGATTCATGACTAGAGCTTTCGATTTCCGCCTGCTCCTGCCGCTCCTGTAGCTGCTGCAGCTGGTGGTCTATCACATGCGAGTGCAGGTTGTGCGGGTGCACGGGTATTCTGTGGTGATGATGGTGGGGGTGGTGGTGGATAATGTCATGAGCCTCGTCTGAACTTGGCAGGGGCGAAAGGGTCGAGGTTAGCCCGAGATGGGACGCGGCAACAGAGAGAGCCGGATCGTCAAGATGCACGGGAGAGATAGAGGAGGCGACTGGAGGCCGACTCTGGGTTAGTAGGGGGAAGGAGGAAAAGTGAAGTAGGTGGTTTGCAACTCACAGTCTGTTATGTCCATTCCGAGGATGTTGCTGCGCGCGCGGTCATCTGGAACGCGCGCAGTGTTCAGAGTCAAGAATATCACGCCACGGCGCTGATCTTACGACGAGTGCGCTGAGCAGACCGAGAGCAATTTGCCAGAAAAAGCAGAGGAGGAACGCGGTATCAGAGGCAATCAATAAAAGCGCAATACGCAGAAGCGATATTGGGACGGATGACCTAATTTGAGCAGGGTAAGTTGAGGGTTTGGGGTGGGTGTAGCCGAAAGAGTGCTGCCAATTTGGGCAAGAAAGCTCTCGATATTGCGAGCGGATTAAGTCGATAGTGGACGTAGATTGGCTTAAAGGAGACCGAAGGAGGGCGAAAGTAGTATGACAGGGATCCGGGCAGCGACAAAAGGAGAAGCAGGTGCCGCGGTTGCCGAATTCGGCTCGCCCTGGATGCTTGATGGCTCCCCAGAGCTCGGCTCGCAGACGAAGCCTAATGCGAGCTAATGGGATAGTACGCTCAAAGAGGAAGTGATATGGTGTGGGAATATATAGAGAATAGATGTAATTGCATTATCTTTTGAATTAATCCGACATTAGCAGGCAGGAGCGAGGCAACTCTGGTTGCGGTTGAGAGGTATGGACATGGCAGCTATACGAGAAGATATAAATACACATAATAAGATATACATGATATAGCACATGTTGTGATAGACACTAGAAGATCTGGAGAGGGAGAATGGTCAGCTATGCCGAGGGATGGTTATAGATCATGTATCACGCACATCATAGCAAGGAGTGGTAAGTAGAGCGAGGGAGGAGAAGCAGCTCAGCGGTTGAGCGATCCTCTAGAAAGCGGCGCCTGCGAAGAAGAGGACTTGCCGGAGGACTTTGAGGGAGCAGCTGGGGCGTAGCGGGAGGCGGAGGAAGAGTGGCTGTTGGAGGAGTGCGTCCGCTCGGCGTCGTATCTGCGGATGTCTTCCTGGGTGAGACGGATGCGAGAGCCGGAGTAGCTGGGGGCAGGCATTGTGATAGATAGTCTGAGTAGAAGAGGAGTAGAAAAGTGAAGAGTAGAAGAGTAGTAGAAGACAAGAGCAGGTAGAGAAGAGCAAGCAGAGCAGCAGAAGACCAGAGCGAACAGAACACAGTATTTATATTCCCCGACAGGAACCACACCACACCACACGACACCACTCTAATAAACCACTATCCTCTCTCGTCGAACCGGATTCTAAATTCAGCGCAGGTCCAGGAATACCAAGGCTCGCATATGAGGCGAGAAAGGGGAAGAAAGGAGACTCGCTGCTCATCTCATTTTAAATTGTCGCGTAGTAAACAAGATTGAGACCCTCGTGCTGACATCGACGCGTCTCTCTGCTCTCTACTCTACTACTCTTTTACTACTACTCTTCTACTACTCCTCCTATTCAGACTATCTACAGCCTATCTACAATCACAATGACCTCACCCGCCCTCTCAGAGCCAGAACAGCAAGTCCTCATCGAACTGCAGAAAATACTCCTCACCTGCTCGGAAATGTACGCTCCCCTCTTCTCTCCTCTTCTCCACTACGCGTCCGCAACTCACATCACACACCCACTTTTAGCAACAAAAACCTCGAAAACGCAATCGCAATCGTCCGCTCAAACGGTACTCACTCGACCGCCGCCGCTGCTGCTCTAGAACAGGCTCGCAAAGCATTCAGTCTTCTTGCCAGCCAGCCGGCTCTCACTGGTGATTTATCATAGCTCACTTACTCCTCCATCGCCAATCATCAATCCTCTCCGATCCATCAATGGACTGACTGACCTCAAAGCACGCTGCTCCACTGCGCCTCTGCACCGCATTGTGATTCATCTTCTGCTCACAGATACCTGTGCAGATCCCTGCGCTTTGTCCAGCTGCCCCTCCGCCAGCACACGCCGTGTCGTACGAGCTATGCAAAGGCGTTCTCCTCCTTTCTCTGCTCAATCTACAGACCGCAATAGGAGTAACCACAACAAATAAACAACGTGTACATTATAACTTATATAGCAATAAACTAGTTCTAAACAACATTCTCAAATAGTTATCTACACGCGCAACTTCTCAAAATCAACAATCATCGCCTTCAAACTATCAATCTCCGCGTCGAGCGTCTCGAGCTTAGTCCGGTTCGCCTCCTTCGCGTCCGGCTTCGCCTTGGTCTCATAGTCCTTGTTCGACATCGTCTTCTCCAGCGAAACCTTGCTCGCAACAACCTTCTTCAGCTTGCCCTCCGCCTTCTTGATCTCCGCGTCCGCATCAACCTGGCCCTTGAGCAAAACTCCGACCGTCACGTCCTTCGAAACCGTAGACAACCCGGTACCCTCCGGGAAACTCTCGTCCGTCATCAGAACCGTCAACGAGTCATACGACTTGATCAGCGAAGAGATACTTCCGATCTGCGCCTCAATCGACGCCTTGTCCTCCGCCTTGGCCACCTGCACGTAAATCTTGCCGCCCTTCAAGATACCGTACTGCGTAAGCAGCGACCGCGCACTCTTCACAACCTCGAAAATCAAGTCATACACCGCCGCGGACTTGGCATCGTCCAGCTCGGCCATGTACGTCGGGTACTTGGCCTTCGTGATCGTAACCGTCTTGTCGCCCTCGCGACGCGGAATTCGCTGCCACAGCTCCTCCGTCAAAAACGGCATGAACGGATGGATAAGCTTTAGCGCTCCATCCAAGCACGTGTACAGAGTATTCCGGGCACTCAGCTGCTCCTCCGCGGTTCCCTCAAGAATAAGCGACTTTGAGTTCTCAATGTACACATCGCACAGCTCGTACAGCCAAAAGTTGTACACCGCCGTCGTCGCACCCAAGAAATCCCGCTTTTCAAACGAGTTGCTCGTCTCCTTCGCCGCCTCGCTGAACTTGTGCAGAATCCACTTCTCAACAAGCGACTCCTGGCCCGTAATCTTGATCTCCGCCGGAGGAACATATCCCTCGCCAAGTCGCATCAGCGCAAACTTCGTCGCCTGGTAGATCTTGTTGCAGAACTTTCGGTATCCCTCGACTCGCAAGATATTGAGGTTGATGTCTCGGCTACCAGTAGTGTACGCGCACAAAGCGAATCTCATCGCGTCCGTGCCGCACTGCGGGATCCCGTTCGGGAAACCCTGCTTCTGGCCCGCCTCGGCCTTCTCAATCTCTCGCTGGTCAAGGTTACCTTCCCGCAACTTGGCGTGCAGATCCTTCAGCGAAAGACCAGTCGTCACATCCAACGGATCGATAACGTTTCCGAGAGACTTTGACATCTTCCGGCCCTGCGCATCTCGAATGAGCGAGTGCAGGTAAATCTCCCGGAACGGAACCGAGCCAGTCAACTTGATTCCCAGCATCGCCATTCTCGCGACCCAGAAAAACATGATATCCCAGCCAGTCTCGAGCATCGACATCGGGTAGAAGTCCTTCAGATCCTTGCTCTCCGTATTCGGCCATCCCAAAGTAGAGAACGGCCAAAGTCCGGCAGAGAACCACGTGTCAAGCACATCCTCGTCCCACTCAAGAGTAAACTCCTTTCCGGGGAACTTGGCCGCAGCCTTTGCTCGCGCCTCTTCTTCGTCGTTTCCGGCAACCCACCACTTGTCCTCGATCCGGTCTTGCTCCTCTCCCTCGATCTTGACAAAGTAAACCGGCGCGCGGTGTCCCCACCACAGCTGACGAGAGATACACCAATCCTGAATGTTCTCCATCCAGTAACTAAACTCGGCGTCGAATCCTCGCGGCTCCAAAACCATATCTCCCTTCTTCAAAGCCTCCACAACCGCATCCGCCATCGCGCGCTGTCTAACCCACCACTGCGGCTTCATAACCGGCTCGATAACATCTCCAGACTTGACACAGAGAGGAATAGCCATCTCGTTGTCCTTCTTCTCAACAAACAGGCCGGCCTCGGTCAACTTCTCAATCACCGCAGTACGCGCGTCAAATCGCTTCATTCCCTTCCACTCGCCACAGTTATCGTTCAGCAATCCATCGTCAGTGAAGATGTTTACAAACTCAAGATTATGACGCTTTCCGGTAGCATAATCGTTGGCGTCGTGCGCAGGCGTGATCTTCACCGCTCCGGTTCCAAACGTCATGTCAACGGCCTCGGCGTCGGTAACGATAGGAAGTCGGCGATCGACAAACGGATGCACAACATACTTGCCGTGCAAGTGCTTGTAGCGCTCATCGTCGGGGTGCACCGCAATCGCGGTATCACCAAAGATCGTCTCCGGACGAGTAGTAGCAACAATCAGCTTCTCATCGGAGTTCTCAACGCGGTAAGCAAACGAAGTAATCACACCAAACTCAACAGGCTTGTCGTAGCCAGGAACGTCCAGCAGAGTCCTTCCCTTGACCTCCTTGTTCTCGACCTCGAGATTGGACAGCGTGGTGTTCATAGCCACACACCAGTTTACAAGTCGGTTGTCACGGTAGATAATACCTTCCTCGAAAAGCTGGATAAACGTCTTGCGCACAGCGGCAGACAAGTTCTCATCCATAGTAAACGCCTCGCGGGTCCAGTCGTACGACGCACCAAGACGCTTGGACTGGTTCTTGATACGCACGTAGTACTCATTCTTCCAGTCCCAAACGCGGTTGACAAACTCCTCACGGCCGAGGTCGTGACGAGTGATCTTGTGCTTCTTCCACAGCATCTTCTCGACCACAGACTGCGTACTAATACCGGCGTGATCGAATCCCGGCAAATACAAAACCGTCTTGCCGCGCATACGCTCCCATCTGACGAGCGCATCCTGGATAGCAACAGTCAAAGCGTGTCCGATGTGGAGTGCACCAGTGATATTGGGAGGAGGAGCCGGGATAGTGAACACACCCTCGGGTTTGACCTTGCCATCCTCAGTGAACTCAGGCTTGAAAAATCCCTCCTTTTCCCACCACTCGTACCATCTAGACTCGACAATCTGGGGGTTGTACGACTTGAGAGCTGGGTGATCAAGATCCTGGAGGACTATCAATCGTAAAGTCAGTATTATTGCCAGTCAATCATCAAAAATGAATGTGTTGTGTATAACATACTCTTTTTCTCTCCAACAGGGGTGAGCTCGACGTACTCAGCAACGGGCTCCTCCTTCTTAGCAGCAGGCTTTTCAGCCTTCTCTGTTTTTCCGGCAGCCTTGCCAGCTTGTTTCTGTTCAGCAAAGACAAAATTAGTTAAATTCCCGACTCTGAGAGGATATTACATAGAATTGTGACAAACCTTCTTCTCCTTCTCCAAGAACTTTGCCATCTTCTCGGCCTTCTTGCGCTCCTTCTCGACTATACCAGTCCGTCAGCACACATGTATATTATAACCCAAACTAAGAAATGAACTCACGCTCTTTAGCGGTCTTCTGCTTCGGCTCTTCAGCCGGTGGGGCGGCGGCAGCTGTGTTGGGAATCAATCAGTCAGAGGGGGTGATTCGACGTCGTAAGGGCGACGCATAACATAATCATACCTGCTTCCGAAGACATATTGCTTCTCAAATACAACTGATATCTCGAGTTCTAAGCGACAGACGAGTCAACAACGACGGTTCTCTGAAATATATATATCCAATCCGATATGAGGTGATCGTGGTAAGGTGAGGCCGGAAATAACATACTGAAAGGTAATTCTGATTATAACTGAGTCCGGAACGAACAATTCGACGGCTAAACCGCGCTGCTGAAAAGTAACTGATCAACGACGTGGTGAATATCCGCTGTGGAAAACAAATCTTCGTATTTGAGATGGAAAGTAGAAGACGTATTTCCTTTCTCCACGCTTTCTACAATTTTTTTTCTTCTATGACTCCTATAAGCTTTGAGTCATCCACCGTCCGGGTAAGTCATGTCCATTTTGAGTAATTCTGTATATTTACTTAGCATGACTATTATTTGATCGAATCTATATTATATAATAGCTAAAAAGAATATAAGCCTATGTTTTCTCAGCCTAATTAGCATACTTCGACACTGCTCTCATCTTCTCCCCCAATTTCAGCAGCAACACCGGAATAAGGATCATCACCGCAAGCAAGCCCGCTAGCAGAGTATTACCCCATCCGACCGGAAACTTCTCTGATCCAAGATTAACAAACATCGCCCTTGAAAACAGCGGAAACGCTGCGGCAAAGGTGGACCGCAAAAGATCATTGCCTGCAAATGTCGAGGCCAGAAATCGCGGGTACGACATTCCGAGGTAGGTGAACACCGTCTGGAAGATTTGGTATCCGGAAGCATTGAATAATGCAATGCCAATCATTGGTACGATCCAGTGAACATTCTTTGTGGATGACCATCCAATCAACAGCACCGAAGGCGGCAACACAAGCGCAGCAAAAAACGCGATGTTGAACACCGTCTCGGGAGAGCTATCTGCTTTCAAACGAGGAATCAAGTAAATTCTCACAGCAGCGGCGTAGACAAAGTACCCGAGGCCAATGCCAATCATAATCGGCAGATAAGAAAGGCCTATTTCAATCAGATTGAATCCATAAACTCCACTGAAAATCAAAGGAAATGATTCAAAAAACGAGTAGAAAACGGCATACACCAGAGCCGTGTAGGAATTAACCAAGAATATCATGGGCTCAAAGAATCCAATTGCAATCGGTCGCACTAGAGAGTCTTTAATGAATTCTTTCGTAGAATAGGACTCGTACTCTTTTTCAGATCTGGTCGTATATCTGGCATCTCCCGTCGCAATTCGAAGACGTCTAGCTCGTCGCGAGAGAATCGTGTCATGATTCGTCTCTGGAAACAAAAACAGCAAAAGCAGAAACGTGATCGCAGCCATCCATGTCAGTAGCCAGATAGCGTATCTCCAGTTCAGCACTTGCGTAAAGATCGCTCCAAGAAAAGGGCCCATCGCTGGTCCAAAACCATGACAGCCGCCCAGAGCGGGATCATGTACGGAACCGCGTCTTCCGTGAAGACGTCACCTACCGACGCGGCACCGTTAGCAAGTGGAGGAGCAGCGATGAGCCCAGCAAGAAAGCGAAGAATGACAAGGCCGCCTATGTTATTCACCAGCGCAGTGGGCACTTGGAGTATAACAAACAAAAGTAGCGTTGGCATGTACACCCAGTTACGGCCCACGATAGGGACTTCTGAGAGTGGAGCAAATATCATCGGTCTGCAAAGTAACTCATTATTAGCAATTGCCTCTTCAATTAGTGAACTGTAAAGGAGCACTTACGAGATCCCGTATCCAACCACATACAACGACAGCGGCAGCATAGCAACAACAAAGCCGACATCAAAGTCGTGCATAATCTGATCCACACCCGGCGAATAGATCGAGCAGCCGATATAGATTGTAAAAGTGATCAGACAAATCTCAAACATGACAAACGATTTCTTGAACGTCGACCAGTTGTGTGGGTTCTCTGGATCATTGGGTCCATTCCAGTCAACTAGAAACTTGCATGGTTTGCCAGGCTCGCATACTGAGTTCGTTTCAGAAGACGACTGCACGACGTTGTCAAGATTTTCCGACTGCTCTCCCGCAGTCTTTCGTCCTTTGTCTGAGTCGGGCAACACTTTCTCCAAATCAGCTAGACCTCGACGCCCGGCGTTGTTCAGATCTGCGAGCGGCATAACTTCATCGCGGCCGTTTGGATCTGAGTGCTCTCAGTCATTTGGCACAACATAGTCTGCAGACTGCTCGGGGAACTTGAGTAGACGCCCTCCAGAAAGCAGGTGAATGACTTCAGCTCCCCAGCTGGATCTGACGATGGCTAGCATTATAAAGATTGGTAGAAAGTAGAACAGCTAACTGATGATACAGTCTGAAATCCTCCCAGTAGACAAAGCGGAAATACATGGTATTATACAGAAACTCAGCACACAGAAACTGACAGTAATCTAGGGACCTGATTAGAAATGTATCATGCAATGGTGGGGTTCAGAGGTCTATCCCCCACCATGGATATGACAAATCGTTCTCTGAAGGTGGCATGGCCCCGCCGGCTATTTCGATTAACGGATCTTAGTTGATCCTCCATTGTAATCGCACAATCTTATTTGTAATCGCTGCTGTGCTTGCTGACGCTGTTTTGTGTGCCCAACGGCCGCGTGTGAAGTTTGAGCCCGTCTCTCGGTCGACAGACGTTTTGATCTGACGTAATCACGTAATCAAGGGTTCCATTGCTAAAACATCGACCATTGTTCTTAAATCTAATCTGATATGCAACCGATTCAATATCTTAATTGATAGAGATAACTCTTTATAATCTGCGTTTGAATATATTAATGTCAGGCTCTTTGGCTTACTAGCTCGCTCTGATCGGCGGGATCCCAACCCAGTCGAAGCTGAATTCGTCATTTTAGGAACTACTCCTGATTCATCAGCAACTACTTCTGCTTCTTCGGCAGGCTGACTATCTTTGGGCTTCTACTGATGCAGGCAGTTTAAAATTAGTCTGTTATTTACTCATTGCTACTCCAAAGACAAACCCAAGAAGCTGGTACTCCAGCCTATACACGTTTCCAAAACGTTTTAACAATAAAAATAGATGCCCTAGCAGGCAAGTTCCGATATAAAAAAGAAAAAAAGTAAAGAGACCCAAACATATAGAGCAAAAGAAAAAGGAAACCAAAACAATACAAGTTTCAAGTGGAAGTTCCACCTCTGATCCACTCGACGTCAAATTTTCGCGCCGCCGAATTCACCATACTTCTCCATCCCCGCGCAGCAGGTGTCCATACCTCGCGCTTAAAATTATCGACAGCATCAAGAAACTCCTGCGTGGTGCTCACATGCACGCTGTCAGAAGTAGAGGGGCCGTCGTCACCCAAATCAATGTCTTCCCATATTTCTTCGCCTTCGTTGATCGTCTCGCTTGCTGGGGTATTGTGGTCGTCTTGCAAGAGACTGGTGCGAGGACCAGAGTACTTCCAGAGACCAGAAAGGTATTCATAAGCATCTTGATCAGCAGGAACAGCAAGTGTGGTATTAAAAGTCTCGTCGTTGGCATAGAATCTCGAGGTAAGCTCGCGCCCGGCCTGAGGCACGGCAGGCGTAATCGAGAACTCAAACGTATCGTCATCGGTAGACGAGTAGGGAGACTCCTCCATCGTCGGAGGGAGGCCCGTTTTGGTGTTGTATGCACCAAAAGAACTGTCAATCGGAGCAGGCTTCCATGCGGAACAGTCCTGCTGCAACGTGACAGATGTATTCGTGTGAGAGCCGTCGGTAGACGCGCAAGTCACAGTAGTGCTAGACTCCGTAGCAGAACAGTTCGACGTGATATCCGAATCAGCAGAAACAGTAGTGGTATCTTTGACAGAAGCAACAGAAAATGATCGAAACGCGTCGTTGAACAGTCCGAGAACCTCATCGACTGACTTGTCGTTCTCGTCGGACTCAGAGTCCTTCTTCGGACTAGCCTTGAGCGTCAATGCAGCGGCTTGAGAAGATTCATTAGCAGCAACTCCGGCTTTGTTGCTCAAATGGATCTCAAGAGCGGCAGAGAGCTTTCTCGTTGAGAAAGTGCGAGTCGAGAAGTTCCTGATTTCAGGACGCAAGAAAACGGCTTGCGACAAGGGAAGTGAGAACTGGCGAGCCTGTTTGTTCTCGAATCGGACGAGCGGGGAGTTTTCGAGCTTCTGGTGGTCGCAGAGGCTCTGGCCGAGGTGCGCGGCCTCAGGCTTCGTAGAGAAATCTCTGGTCTGCGCATTCGTAGACACCGAGGTGTGTCTAGCAGCAGAGATGCGCTCTTTACGCGAGTAAAGAGCAGTTTCGATCGTCGGCTTAATAGCGCGAGTTGCGGGTGTAGGCGCAGGCGCAACGTAGACCGCCTTGACGATCGGGTAGATAAACGTGACTTTCACGGGAGGGGTAGAGGAAGGTGGGAAGAGCGGGCCAGACGGGCGGGCGCTTTTCATAGCGCGCTGAGGGCCACAGCAGCGCTGGGCGGACTGGAAGGTCACGCGGTGCTTTTGGTCACGGGGACATGCTGCGAAGGGACCTGGTTCACTCAGCTCACTGAGATGGTTGTTCAGGTTTGCAGCGCGTGTATACTACTTTCCTATTTTGGCATGTCGGGAAGAATGACCGAAAGCAGATTAATCATGAGCGTTATTTGCAAGATCTGATATTCAAGTATCCAAAAACTTTTATTGTAACCAGCAATGCAAGCATTAAACAAAATACGGCAAACAAGAGAATGTGGAAACATCGATCATCTATATAAATCTAATGCATTACAAGTCTTTCGCGTTTAATCTTCCATCTCATCATCCCGGGCGTCATCAGCAGTCCACAAACCATCCAAACTGAACTCCTTGGCCCATTCCTGAACGATTTCCTTCTGTTCCACATTCTTTCCTTCCTTGTTCTTCAACACCTTGACACCGGTGTCCATGCTATCTTTAGGAACCTCAGTAGGAGGCATGACCCATCGCTGAATTCTGCCATCACGCCAGTCGTTGATGACCGTCATAGCGGCCGCCTGTAGGTTGGGAACACCACCTTTTCCGATTCTTCCACGCTTGCGGGCAACGTTAACTAGAAAATCGGTCGATTTGTCAAACTGTCCGTTCTCGCCGACCTTCGGCATGAGTGATGGCAGATCGTAATACTTCATTAAGCTCTCCCACAGTTCGGGGACAGACTCAAGTCTCCTGATCAGGATCGTGACAGCGGGGATAGCGTCGGTGATCTGTTTTGGCGGCAGCGCTCCAAGCAGGAGAAGTCGGGCTTCCTTCGCAACATCTTCGTCCATTCCCTCAAACGAGACAGTCGTAGAAGGAAACACGATACCAGGGGAATCCAGCAGCTTCAATTTGCTGTCAAGCTTCACTTCGCGCATGGAGGTAGTGACACCGGCTTCAGCACCAACAGGGCAAACAGTCTTGCGGCCACCGAGCTTGTTGGTGAGAGCATTGATGATCGATGACTTTCCTACGTTAGGATAGCCAATGATACCAACAGAGATAGATCGCTTGAGATTGGTCTTGTTGGCGTATGACTTGAGCGCCTTGAGAAGAGTTGTGGCTGATCCTTGCGTAGTGATATCCTTCTTGTTCAAAAACTGGGCATTGGGAGCCGCAGAAGAGGCCCGAACACACACGACAGGGAAAAAGTTTTTGAGATAAGTCTCCCACGCCTTTTGAACATGGGGAGGAACAAGATCGATCTTGTTGAGCACAAAGATGAGGCGCTTGTCCATTGAACCATAGATGGACTTCTCGACCTCGATTGACCGTGTACCTTCAGGATCACGAGCATCCAGAACGTATAGAATGACGTCCGCGGCATCAACCACTGACTTGAACACCTTGTCGAAAGACTTGCGCGAGCTCTCAGACGAGCTGTTGGCCGATCCAAAGCCGGACCATTCCTCTCCCGCATCATCCGCATCCTCCTCCCCAGAATCATCCTCGTCCATCTCGTCATCATCTTCGTCGTCTTCGTCATCGTAATTCTTTGCGATTTTTCGGGCGTATGCCATAAGCGCGTTCATCTCTCCTCCCTCCTCAAGCTCCTCGTCTTCGTCTAGCAACATCTCCTCCTCTTCGGCGTCGACAATCATCTCTTCATCGCCGTTCTCCCTAGCAAGCTTCGCTTTCTCCTTATTTTCTTTCCGTCTCCGCTCCCGCTCAAGCTTAGCAGCCTCCTTCTCCTGCATGAGCTCCTCGATGATCTTGTTCTTGTAAGGGAAAGTATTCGGGATCTGGTCGATATCGAGTTTACCATTGTTCTTCACTCGGCTCTTCCACGTCACATCCTTCTTAGCCTCCTTCTTGTTTTTCCGCCGCGTGGCAGCAGCTTTCTTCTTGATTCCTTCACGCATCTTGGTAGATGTGCGCTTGCTGGTAGGTCCTGTAGATGTAGGGTCAGTAACTCGTCAAATATACACAAATTACAGGAGTATAACGTACTTCGAATCCTCATTGCAAATAATTTAGGTTATTATTCTTAGCAAACAACTTCACCGGGAATAAGGCCTTCGACTGAGATATATCTGATTCTACCAAATAAATGTGGAATGCGCTTCACGAAAATTTCTTCTGGGAGGAAAAAAAAATCTTGTTATTGTGGGTTAGGGCCCTGGTTGGGAGGTTTACGTAATCCAAAAGAAATAACGTTTGAATATTCGAGCTCGAGAGCACCGAGCACGAGAGCTGGAAAAATATTTGGACTCGAGCTCGAATCTGATCTCTGCCTCTGGCGTTTCGAAGGACGATTTCACTGGCCGGTTTTGATATTTTTCTGCTGGCGATATGGCGGCGGCAAACGGGATATCGGATGTCCCGGACTTCTTTTCGCCGTATGCGGACCAGCTGCGCTCTTCAATAGAAGCTCTTCGAAGGCACTTATCTCAAGTCGAAAATGACGAGATCCAGTACAAGGCTCTCCAAGACACGCTGCAGACCTATCCGAGATCTTTGACGCGGACTGCAGTTGTGCGGGTTGGTCCTAGAGCTATCGTGAGGGCTCAGGTGAATCATACAAACGAGATCTACACGTCGATAGGCGACGGCTACGTCGTTCAGCAGTCGGCGTTCAGTGCCGCGGAAATGGCCGGGCGCAAACTGGAATGTATGGTTTAGATTTCTCGGGATGGCGTTTTGTGATTTCAGCTAATGGTTATGTTATAATAGTTCTTCAGAATGGAAAAAAGCAGATCGAGACCCAGATTGAGGATCTCGAACGAAAGCTATCTCAGATAGAAGTGATCAGCCAGCCCGACCAACTGGTGCTGGATGAGGAGTCTGGTCTTCCGTTTATGGAGATTCGCGAAGAACTAGACGAAGACGGAAACGTGATCGGTATGTCTCGTTGTCTAATGTTGCCGTGTTCTGATGATCTCAGAGCAATCATGGCTAACGTGCAACTATTATAGAATCGAATGTCACACCACAGTCAACAACCGGACTCGAGGACTTTGCGGACGGAAAATTTGAGGAAATTCTCCAAAACTTGAATTCCAAGAACAGACAAGTCACAGCCGGAGACTCAAATATTACTAGCGATGAAGCCTCAAAGAAGAGGCCGAATGGAGGATTAACGGCATCAGCACAGAAAACCCCGACGACAAATACATCAACCGTCTCACAACCTGTTGTACAATCTAGGACTGATTCCACCTCGACTCCGGAAGTAGTCAAGCCGGTCAAGATTAACAACGGAAGTCAATCGTCTTCTTCTAAAGGCAAACAGACTCTTCCAAACAACGCGGAACCACAAAAAGATGTGAAATCCTCAAAACCGGTTGGGGAAGCGACGAAATCAATGCCTCGCGATTTTTCTGAACAAGCGACAGCACCTAAGGCTTCAAAAATCAAAGAAGTCGAACCCTCGAAATCAAAACGATCATCTATATCTGCCTTCAGATCCAAAAACTACGGATCATCAGCAGCCTCGTCTTCATCGACGCCACAATCAGTAAACTCCGCCAGTACAGCACCTTCCACTCAAGGAGGTTCACGAATAACAAATGATATGTTTGAGCTTGAACGAATCGCCCAAGATCTGGACGAGGGACTAGAAGACGACTTTGATGATTCCGAAATTCTAGACGTTGAAATTTCTGACGGCTCACTTTCTTGGAAGCTAGCTGAGGAGGACGATTTTGAGGATGAAAATAGTGATTTTGAGGATTCGGATTACGACGATGACGAAGATGAGTCTGAAGACGAATTCGGACGCACCAGAGGTACATTTTTCCCTTGGCTGCCTAGGGGAACAAACACGCCTGTTCAGATCTCACGGCCGGTTGGTTCAAAAGTGCAGTCGGACGTTGTGGAAAGCGAACCTCAGCCAGTTCCGCAATCGCAACCGCCTACTAAACCGTCGAGTCCGATTGAGAGCAGTTCCGAGGCACCGGTAGCCGATATCATAGAGCGAAACCCGGTCTCTTCAGATACAACATCCGAGGTGGAACCTGTCAAGCAGGTGCGATTTGCCGACTCAGTCGCCGTGCAAAACTTCCACTCCGGTGCACCAAGCTCAAGGGTAGAAAACAGAGAGTCTCTCTCGGTGGAAGGTAACTCAAGAACGTCGTTGATCGATCTCAAACCCGAGCATGATAGCGAAGCGGACGCGAAACCTGTGAGGATGTCGCGATTCAAGATGGCTAGGCAAAAGTCTCTTGCAGGACAGCAAGCTGGATCTGGAAATTACTTTGACTTGCTTAACGAAGATTTGGCGGACGTTGACGAGTCATCCTCGTCATCTTTTTCGTCGAAGCAGGCTGATGTATTCGGCGACGTCATGGAACGAGATCCACCACCAGTACTGCCGGCGACGAACGGCAAGTCAAAGGCGAAGGGTACTTCCAGCTCCAGTACATCTTCTGTGCCAAGTGTATTTGGAGATGTCATGGAAAGAACAGCACCTGAACCAGCAAGACCAGTCAAACCCACAGTCAAGAATTCAACGACAACCTCCGGACAATCAAAGCCGAAAGAGATAGTAAGTGGTGTAATGGAGAGAGTCTCGCCGGCACCTACCACAGTCAAGCCTCCTAATTCTGCCCGACCTTCGGCCCCACTGCCCGCTGCGAAGTCCCGAAATCCCCCGTCAAATAATGCGTCGTCGGCGCCAAAGCCTGTCAAGATCGGGAGGCCGATTTCGAAGCGGACTCTGGCTCCTCAGCAGATAGCTGAGCCTATTGACGTCGCAAAGTTGATAGAAGAGAACGTTGTGCCTGGTGTCAACGCTGCCGACCTCAGAGAGCCTGAAGAAGATGAAGATGAACCCGAGGAGGAACCAAAGAGGCCCCTACTAGCAGAGTCTGTTATTGAGCGCGAGTTTAAGCCGCCGACCTCGAATGGCCCAAAAAAGAAACAGTCTTTGTTCAAAAAGAAGCGACAAGAGTCAAAGAAGTCAGTACCCTCCGACGAGCCTTTACCGACTGCGACTAACGACGCTGAAGAGAATGATCGGTTAGCGGAAGAGATCGACCTCGACGAAGACATCGATATTGATCCAGATATCCATCAGCAGGAGATCTCGGTCGCGTATCATCGGCTTCGACAAAAGATGATTGACAAGCAGAATGGCTACTCTATCAAGCCCGAGGAGCGAGAGTTTGTTCCTCTGGATGAAAACGGAGAAGTTTTGAAAGTCAGCCGGTTTATGAGTGCACGATTAACCGACCGCACTTGAGAATTAAAACGCTGTTATAGACTTTTGTCTTTTGCAAACTATGCATACTTCTATTGCTTATACGTCCCGTCAGTCCAGTACGGACTCTTCCATAAACTCACCACGGAACTCAAAGCTGGGCCTCATTGATTTTTCCTCTAGGCAAAAATCGATCTGTATGCAGTGCCCAGTGGCTAAATTACTACAAAGGTCTATGTCTTTGGCACTACCTGTAGTGCTCGAACCATGCCTAGCAGTTTGATTACGAGTTCCAAAATCAAAATAATCTGCCATCTGGCCTGCCAACAGCAGCTCCATGCTGCACTCTACATGTGTTGGTAGTTGCTAGTTTCACAGTTAACATTCGAAAGAGAAAGCGTATGGATTTAGATGCATTAAATTTTTCATCTCGCATTGCATAAATATAAAACTAGGCGAAGAAACCGTTACCACATAATAATAAAATCCCAACAGATACCCCTTGAATACTACTTGAATGTCCCAGTTGCATACGTCTTCAGACCTTTTGTTTCTTGTTCGCTTCGTCTTTCACTTCGGCCGGTGCGTTATTCATGATATTCGCATTACTCTCGGATATCTCCCCAAGAGGTTCCGTAGACTTTGGATTCGAACTATGCAGTGGTCTCTTGACCGAAAGCAACGATCTCGTAGCACCGGGTGCACCACCGGTCGGCGGCATTCCCACTCTTCGCATTGGATTGAGGCGAGGGTTGTCTATCCTAGGACTCAAGTTGGCAATCGGGCTGCCTTCTACTTGCGAACGAGCAACCGGACGAGACCTTGAATGGTCGATCGTCTTGCGCATCGAGGGACTCTGAAACGACACGTCAAAGAGTGCCGAGTTGTCAACAGCAATTTCTTTCTGCACAGCTTCGGCAGCACGTGCACTGAAAAAGCAAGGCGATGGAACTGGAGTCTCAATTGCAGACCGTGGTACTCCATCAGCTGAAGTTGCGCCCGCTCCTGGATCGCCGGTATGTGCGTCCTGTGCAGATTGATTATTGGGAACAGCAAACGGCGGTGTGCTTTGCGGTATTTTTTCCATTGCCGTGTCGTAAGCAGAGGCTCGGTTGAGATTCAAAGCGTTGTCGGGAGGTACGGATGCGGTACGAGCGCGCGCCTGGTGACCATTCATTGCAGCCGTTGCGTCAGGTCCCGATTGCGCTCGAACATGATTACCGTTGTCTGAGATCCTTTGTGCCTGGTTTTGCGGGTTGCTTGCGGTTCTTGCTGCAGGATTTGGCTGCTGAGCCGATGTGTGGTTTGAATTCACAGGTTTTGATTCCGAAGGGCGTCCATTTCTCGCTTCGTCTTCGTTGTTTGTGTATGTCACTAGTTCACCTCCGTCAAATCTACAGATCGTTAGAATATATAGATAGACGACTCAAGTATGGGCACTACTTACGGTTCATAGTCGAGCACGTCATCAGAGATCATATCATATTCCTCAATTTCTTGAAAAGACAAAGGGAGTTAGCAAATATTCGTAGCAAATAGCAAAACGCAGAACAGCAGAGATTTTTCGAGCAAAACACAGATGCAGACTCTGTCGTCTGGAATAAAAAATTGTTCAGGCTACACACCGTTATAATCAGCAATTAGATCGCTTCCAAACTCCATATCAAATCCGTCATCTGCAGTATTGTGTCGGCTGTTAGCCGCCGACACATATCCTTTGGAAACATAACTATCATCCGTACCCAGACGAGCGCCGGGATTGGTGGCGGGTCTCTGAACTTTCGGGGGCGGTGCTATCGGGAGGTGTGGTGTTTGTCTCACAGCCGGTCGTGGCTCTGGTTGCTGCTGGTTCGCAGGAGGGCGGGTGTTTCCATTCGTAAGAACTTTTCTATCACCATTGTGAGAGCTCTGATCATACTCCTGGTAAGAGGGATAGGCCCTGTTATGACCGGGTGTCGTATAGTCGCCAGGGCCAGATGTATGCCGAGAGTTGGGAGTCTCGTCGTTGGTACCGCCCGACACCAATGTCATAGCATGACGACGGCCGGCTTCGGTCTGCGTTTCTGAACGATACTCTGGAGCTCTATGCAGTTTCTCCATATCGATTTGTCGACGCTGTTGAAAACGTTAGTTGGGAGCGGCGACACATATAGAGCCTACTAAAGTATCAAAACTTACGGGTGGATTTTGAACTTTCGTGATTTGCCGAACAAACTCATTATCGTAAAGACAGTTGCCCAGTAATGGACCAAATGCTCTAAAACAGCGTTTCAGTGCATCGGTGGTGGCTTCTTTGCGACACTGGATGCTGAATGTTAGTCGGAAGTTCTGTCTAGCACGTTGGAGTTGTACATATATACCTTGTCAAACGCAGCGTGCCATTGACGCACATTCTCGACATGGCCACTTCCGACATCCTATGTAACGTAAGCAAAGATTTAGAAAATATGAAAACGAAAAATCGTACTTCGTGGAATGTGCCATCTTTCAGAGTGACTCTGATCGTTACAGACATAACAAGCGAGCATCTGCCATCCTTGTTTTGTTCCCTCTAAGGCGAAGATTTAGTAGCCAAACAAATTTCCGGTATTACTATATTGATACACACATGATCCACTGAGATGCTTTTGATCTCAGAGCTCCATCCGTTGAATCCAAAGACTTCGTTGGCAAGGTTGAGCACCTTCCATCCCTCCAGATAATGTACTCTTCCTCCGCCAGCTCCCGGGCGTTGAGAGACGTACTCGGGTCCAAGTTCTTGATTTAGTCGTTCTTGAATAGATCGAGCCTCGTTGGAGGACCAGCCCCTGGTGCGTGCCATCAGAGTGTTGGGGTGTGGAGGAGCCCACATGGCATGTTGATCGCCCTCGGCAGGCATCGCGTCGCCGAGTGGTAGGGTTTTCGCGTCGATTGCTTGGCTACTGCAAGTATACACAGAAGCAGTCAATGGTGAGGTTCACTTTAAGCAACTCTGGACGTTTCAGGCACCTCAGTATAAAGCAGCAACGCAGTGTCTGAGCTCGATACAGCAATCAGCGCGGGCAGAGACGAGGCGCGGGCGTGTGCGGTTTTGTTTTCATGGACGCGCGCGGTCACGCTTTCGTTATTTTGGCGCTGCAAACACGGAATTGTTTAGGGTTTTGCGCGTGTTTTGCTTCTGTTCTCTCACGCGTGTACACACCGACTATCAAGTCGACAAAAGAGCAAAACTACCATCTGCGAGGACTATACAGTGGGCTGCGAGTGCGAGAAGAAGAGACATCACGGCTGATTTGCTTCTGTTGCTAGACTGCGCGAGATTTGTTGTTTGCAATGGCTGCAGGACCTCGGGCGTTCCCGCAAACCTCATCCGGTCGAGCTGATGCAACACATTACCATGTTTTGTATTCTGGAGTGCTGCAGATCCGCTTTGCGATGCTCGTGAAGACGACGTTTTTCATGATCTACTTCCCGAACTGCGTGCTGACGTTTTTCCGATATGGATGTGAGTTGGACCTGTACGGCTTAATGTGGCCTTGGTTTTGATCCAACTAACTCTTGCTTCGAACAGGGGTCTGGGCGCTAATTCCGTTCAGAGCGATCGTATTGACTGCGGGTATATTTGGTATTTACGTTCTCCGGAAAGCGAGATTGCACGGTAGGTTCAAATAGTCTGGTCTGAGTGTGTGAAGCTAGCTTCTAATTCCATACTAGTCGACGATCGAACACCTCCCAGTCTACTTTACCAGTTGAAGCAGCGAATTTTCTGCAAATCCTACAGTAGGATCTTGATCGTCTACTCTTTCTACGTTGCACTCTTTTTGTTTTTCTACTGCAGAGAGTTTTCAGGTCTGACAGTATTCGCTCCGAAAAAGTTTGTACCATATCAAATCATTGTTCACTGTTGGGTCTATGGTGCTAATTTGGTTTTTTAGGGCATTTGAGCTATATCGATTGAATGAAAAGAGAGTCTCTCTCTCTGTACTCGCACTTGTGGATGCGGCTATTTTTAGCGCTTACTACTGCTGGTTTGATCTCGATAGAATCCAGCTTTCCAACGTGAAGGTAGGTCTTTATGATAAAAAGAGATAATATAGAGAATTGAGTGAGGTCTGATCTAACTTATCTTCTAGGATGATCCCATGCAGGAAGTGCTGAGATCAGTGGTCCCTTCGATTACGCTGGCACTTAAACTGTCTGTCCTTTCGATTTTGAGCTTTGTTACCGTCATCTATCCCTCTGTCCGAAGCTCAGTGTGGATATTCTCGTTGAATATAGCCAGATTTTTTACAAAGTGAGTTACACCATACGGCAACAGTAATTCGATTCTAAGCTAACTTCATATTAGATTCAACAAGGAGCATGAACTTCATAGATCGAATATCATGGGACCGTTCCCCTTCCCAATCTTCCATTGGTTTTTGTTCACGTTTTTGTTGTTTTTCAGTTGGCGGATGGCAAACTACATGTTCAATATCTACCTAGCCCGTGGCTCGCGTCATCGTGGTAAATTGATTAGCGAGAAATCAAGTGACCCTAATGGATCATTAATTACGGGGCTGCGCTCGACTAAAAGACTGTTCACTAAGGTATGCTAGAAATTCGGGTCGGGTATAGTCATATTGCTGTGGCCTGCTAACTATCCTGTAGCGAACGGCGTTCCAGGAACTTGCATACATCGCTCAGAACGATGGCCGACGACGCGACAACATTTACCGAGACATCGAGAAACCCACAATCTGGAGTCAAATATGCTCAGAGTGTATCAGTGTTGTAACCGATATGCGGAACATGTTTAGTCTCGACAAGAAAGCTGTCGCTGGGAAAACGAACGCCCCAGCCGCCTCACGCCCTCCTATTCAGCCGACCCCTTCGTCAAGTCCGACCCCCGTTACAATCAAGCCTCGGAAAGATAATATTTTCGTCAGCTCGCGGGCGAGTCCCGTTGCTTCGGTGGAAAACAGGGTGCTCAAGAGTGTTCAGGATCCGCAAGCGGTGCAGTCTACGGTCGTCATAGGGTGGCTTGACCAGTTACAGGCTACTGCAAAGGCGTGGTTTAAAGCCGCGAATGCATATAGAGAGATATTTCTCAAACATCCGATTTCGATTCCTTTCAGATGGACGATTGAGCGAAAGGTAGCCAGACTAGCGTCGAATAAGGATATGTATAGCGATGCGGTCACTGCTCTTTCGTACTTCCTGGACTACTCTCTTGCCGAGGACACATATGGAACCGTGCAGCATGACATTCCCAGGATTATGAACGAGCTGGAAATCACGATGACTGCATTGGAGAAATTCCAGATGAACCAGCCTCTGGAACCAAGCGATACCGCGGCCTGGCTCTACCGAGAATCAGCGGGCAAGCCGATCGATCTTCCGGAACTGAACGAGATTTACGATATAACCGAAGAAGGGTTCTTGCGCATATACCAGCGGTTTGCAGAATACCTGCACGATATACCATTGACGTCTAATGTCAAGCAGAGATGTCAGAGCTATGCCGCCCAGTTTTAGAAAAGGCTGAAGCTGTACTATATAAATCCACTGCAATGACCATATACTGGATGAGAGATTTATTAATTGTTATTGCTCGTGGTCGCCTCCCTTTTACATATATACAAATAAAACAAAAGCCCGATTGTCCCCACTGCGAAATTCATCAGATGAGGCCAAAGAACCGCTGTATTCTCATTTTGGCGCCTTCGTAGGTAAGCTTGGGTCGGACGTCGAGGTAAAAACTCGGAAGGCCGGGGTTTTGAGGATTTGGCTTGCCCGCGTAAAAGTCAATGATGTACTCTATACGAGTTCCACAGCGATCGACAATCCAGTCATGACGGTCGAATGGTAGCGAATAACTGTTCCAAAACCGTTAGTTGACGAAAGAGCCAGACTGACAGAATACTGACTTACCCGAGTAAAGAGTTAAAGCGAGCTCTGGGACTGATATTCTTCGCATCACCGCTGAACGACACCAATTTCGGTCCACCGCATCTAACCGATAAACAGTAGTCAGTTATCTAAATCCGCATAATAAAATCACTAGAGATTGTAACGCACTTTGACGCGCCCATAGGTCTCTCCCACTGCAGAATCTCGTTCCACGCGCGCTCGTTGACCGCGTTATGGATCGGCACGACCACCCTCATATCCGCTGCCTCCGGATCCCAATTTTTCCGCTTCATAGCCTTGTAAAACATCTCCTCGGAAGGATAGACCCATTTCGACGTGCCGCGGATAGCGCCGCCATGTCCGCCTTCGCCACCATTGTATGCGCTGAACGCATCCGCGCGCGGAATCGACGATATCTCGCGGTCCTGAGCGAGTTCTATGCTGGGGTCTTTCGGGACTACGCTCTCCTTTGCCGTCGGCGGCAGGGGCTTGTCGTCGGTCTTGCCGGTTAAGGTCGACATCCATGTTTTCCGCTGGGTGTGGTCGACGGGGCATGCTGCCTCGCTGCTGGACGGTGTGTCGTGGGGGACAGGGCACCCGGACGGTGCGCTGTCTTTGGTATCGGACATATTCAGCCTATACGGAGTACGCAGATTCTGTTGATGTTTGTCGAATTGAGCCGTGAGCTGTTGCGTTGTAAAAGACAGATCCGGTGAGCTGTGTGGGGTTCTCTTTTAGTGCAGCTCAGCTTCCTCGAGTCGCGAAATCGCCGTCGAACCTCCCGACATTTTTTATTACTTTGGATAAGGGGATTTAACTTGTGCGGCTCACCACTGCACTTCGAACTCCCAACGCATAGTGAATGGAAACCCCCTAATCCACTCCACAAAGAATTTTTCCCGCCCTCTGCTCCAAGAGGTTTTGTTGCAGTTGGTAGCAGTTCGACGAACTATTGAGTATTATTCATAAAATGGAGAATAGTCAGACAGTCACCTTCAAGGTATGTATCAAGTTCATGTACAGAAGTAGGCATCACTCGCAGAATCTAACAAAGTAACTGCTATACAGAGTCTGGCATTCTACGGCTCAGTAACGTCGTTGGCGTTCGCGCCAGAGAGTCTATTGCTCGCTGGTCGCGGATCTACGCTCTCTATCTACGACTGGAAGACAGGAGATTTGCTGAAAGATGTGAAACTTTTCAAGCGCAACAAAATTCACGGAATTGCCGTCGGTGAGCATTGGTTCTAACTTCTGATAAAGATTCTCGAATGCTAACTAATGTTGGATACAGGACAGTCGCAGGTCTTGATCTGGGGAGCTTACTCGTTCGGCTTTGTTAATATAAACGATCTCCTCAAAAACTTCAAATTCAAAGAGTTTGTGATGAAAGACTGGTTAATGGCAGGCCATTGGGGCATCGATAACAGGGCACATCTGGTTACAGCGCACAATCTGCTGCTGACGATCAGTCTGGACCGGACAAAGCTGGAGAAGGTATCAGGATGTGGGAACGAGTGCAGTCTATACTCTGCAGCGGTGCACTCGACGTCTACTGATATCCTAGTTGCGGCGGGGACGGTGTTTGGATCAATAGACGTCTGGTCGGTCGAGAAAGGCGAAGTTATTGCTGTTCTGAACGGGCATGAGGGATCGATTTTCAATGTGCAGTTTTCTAAATCCGGTGATATGATCGTCAGCTGCTCTGACGATCGATCGATTCGCCTGTGGGATATCGCTAGTGAGACATGCTTGGCAGTCGGATGGGGCCATATGGCTCGGATCTGGCAGCTGAAATTTCTTGACGACTGCATCATCAGCACGGGAGAAGACAACACAGCTCGAGTTTGGGAGTTGAAGGGTGATAAGCTTGAGTGTATGCAATTGTGGGAAGGTCATACTGGACGAAATGTATGGTCTCTGGCCGTGAACGGTGCCGATGAGAAGATCATAGCCACAGGTGGAGCTGATGGTAGAATCCGGCTCTGGAATTCAAAGGAGCGGCCACAATTTTTACGTGAGTAACTTAGCGTGTTATTTCTTCGTGTCAATGCTTACTCTTTCTAGGAAACCGAAGTTATAAGACGTTTGAGGACATCGAGAAAGCGATTGGAAGGACTGTAAGTTGTTATTATTGGCTGTAGATAGGATATGCGAGAGTCGAAACTAATCCGAATAACAGTGTGGTAGTATAAAGCAGTTTATGGCCATTAGTTCTACCTTATATGCCTTCTCAACTACTGGCGGGTACGTGATTCCACAGCTAATTCACCCTGTCGAACTTCTCTAACAATACTATGCTCTATAGATATATCCTGACGTATGACAGAATGCTCGACATGTGGGATGAGCTTTTCTTTCATCAAAGCATCGTCGGCTTCAGTCTGCTCAAAGGCTGGGACCACAAGCCCTACGTCGCAGTCGGTGACCGGGTCGGCAGAATCTACGTCCTATCTCACGATGGCATGAACGATCCTTTGGTCCTGGATCCTCCGTCCGAGAGCTGTGGTAAGACTGTGGAGATGATCACTTTGACTTCTGATGATTGTCTTTATTTGCTGGTACAATACGGAAATTCACAGGCGCCCTGGTGTTTGTTTGCTCTGCATGAGAATGAGGTGAGTGCGAGTCCATCGTGATTAATGCGAGACTGTTTATTGACCAGCATGATAGTTTGATACCATCTCTCTGCTGTACAAGTCTACTTTAGAGAGCGTTGCCACGTTCCCTTTTTCTTCAGCAATCGTGAGCTCTTCTAAATTCCTAGTCATAGGATCCAGGTTCGGAGCGTTAGCGATGTACGACATCAGCGACGACGCCGAGGAGAAGAAGAATTTAGGAGTCTGGAGACGGATTATGTCCGAGGACTGTATCACGAGCACTGTTGTCATTCAGGAGGAGTCCGACGAGATTGATCTGCTGCTTACTTCTAGAGTGGGGCAGTATTCAGTGTGCACTTTGCGCGGATACAGGGCCGGGAGTGTTGAGCTGGATAAGCTACATCTCAATAGAGTAGCCAAAGGTAGCATTGAGGGGGTGAGTTGCGATTTTCTTGGACCGAAGCTATACGACTTTACATGCTAACAAGGTAACAGGCGATGTACGATAGATCAGGCGATTTAATTTTCTGGGGTTTTAGAAACAACTATTTCTTTTTATGGAACGAAAGCAGGCAGTTTGAAATCATGTCTGAAGTGTGTGGTGGATCCCATCGGTTCTGGCATTTTTCATTCCAGTCACAGACTGATTTTGGTTTTGTCTACGCAAAATCCACGACGGTGAGTTCTTTTTCTTCAGTTCTCTGTAGAGTTGATGATGCTGATTGTTTAATGCAGATTTGCTTTGCATTTTCGCATTTTTGGATGTTTGATAGCTATTTGAACTCGCTGGTTCAAGACGGTAGTCACGGTAGAGAGATCAGGGCTATAGCGACTTCCTCGACGACGAATGACGGAGCCGCTTTGCTTGTGGCGTCAGGAGCTGAAGATACCTGTATTAGACTTACAAACGGTAAGATTCTCAATTGAAAATTCAAGAAAACATTTGACGTTATTGTGAGCAAAGCAGCTAACTGGAAGTTACCTTTTTAGTATACGATGACGGTCGCATATCAAATCTGTGCATTGTTCGAAAACATGTCTCGGGCATTCAAGAGATAAAATGGTCAAACGATGGTCGCTACCTATTCACCAGCTCAGCAAGAGAGGAGTTTATAGTCTGGCGAGTTACGATCCGAGGAGCAGCGGTTTACATGTATCCGATTGCCTCTGCGCCGATTGAATCTGATGTCCCCGATTTGCGAGTCATGGATTTCTTTCTCCACGAGGTTGAGGTCGATGGTGCGCCTTACTTCTTCATCGTGACGGTGTACTCTGATTCGGCGATCAAAGTATGGATGTTTGATCCCCAGTCCGCGAAATTCACGCTCAAAGCGTCAGGACGGTACAAGACCTGCTGCATATTCAAAGTAACCGGCGTTGTCTACGACGACGAGGTCTTGTTTTTCACGGGAAGCTCTGATGGATACGTTACCTGCTGGAATCTGCAGTCTGTGCTTCAGTCTGCGTTGGAAATGTCTCCGGATCGAGTGCCGTTTCCTGAGAAATCGTGGACCGCGCGGGTTCACCAGTCTAGTATAAAGTCGATGGAAATCCTGGACTCGGAGTCGCTGTATATAGTATCCGGAGGCGACGATAACAGTATCTCGATCACCAAAGTCAACGGTACAGAGAGCGCGAGCCAAGTGCAGAAGATAGACGCGGGCCACGCGTCTACCGTTTCATCTATTGTTGTCGTTGATAAGGAAACGGTTTTGTCTACGGCTGTAGACCAAAGAATCAGGCTCTGGAAGTTGCAGCAGACGCCGACTTCGCTGGTCATGGCTGAGGATGAGTATACTACAGTTGCAGACACGGGATGCTTGAGTTTAGGTCGTATCGGTGATAGTTCGATGTTGATCGTTGGCGGTGCGGGTTTAGCGGTTTGGAAATGGGATAGCTAGTCGTTTGTATATATGTAATAGTTATGTTGGTAGTTGTTAGTGTTATAAGATAGTAATTACTCGGATCAGTAATTGACATATTGAGTAGCTGTGTGAAAGGTAGTAAGGGTTTAGTAGTAACCCCGTACGAACCCACGACTTTTGTCAATATCGACATCATTTCTGATCCCAGCCATTCGAATACGCTATTCAATGCGCTGCAGATAACAAGCTATGGCCGATGAGAGCAGTAGTCTACCGCCGGTGGCGGCGTATGAAAACGTCAAGGAATTCATGTCTGTTTTGATGATGGTCTCGACTACCGACGGACGTCAGTTCTGCGGTACTCTGATGGCTACAGATCGAGTGCGTCTTCCTCTTTGAAGTCGTGATTATTGTGCTGGTGCATGCTGTATGTACTTTTATTGCTAACTGTTGATATAGGACAGAAACTTGATTCTCAGTGAGGCGTCGGAGCAGTTGCCGGTGGGATTTCAGTCTCGGCGAGGAGATCGGTTCAGATACGTTGGCATGATAGCAATTCCGGGGAAACATATCTTACGGATAGATGCGTCGAAAGATAGTCTGAAGGCTAGAGAGATGCTATTAAAGGGAGTTTCAAGAGGTGCGATAATATAACAAGCGGTCTAGACAAGGTATCCTCCAGGTCTGCAAAATGGACTACGATTATTCTATGGATCTGCTGGGTTTTTAGGTCCAAGGGCACAACTGTATATATGTATAATATAATAAATCTTTCATGATACACCAAACATCATCTCCATCCTATGTACAGCTGAGCCAATGTATTCCAATCCCTTCCCGACGCTGTAGCCCAAAATGCTGGGTTTAGCTACCAGCCGTCGCTTGGAATCCAAGCACATAATCCTCAGAAAATTCCACCACCAATCGTCATTTTGCATTCTGCTGAAAAGATAAAAAGCCGCTCAGCCTTGTCGCTGCTTGTGTCTCGGGTGCGTCTTGCATCGGACAAGGATTCTTCCCTTGCGTCGAACGATCTATATGTTGGAATTGCAGTTAGTTTACCGTCCATCTTCCTCACAACACAAGCAAAACCAGAAGGTTCTTGAACATGACATACGTAGCAATCAGCACACATCTTCTTCACCGCCGACCGGACCTTAATCCCGCGCGCAGCAGTCTCCTGCGCGGCCGCGCTCTGCAGCAGCGCATTATTCACCGTCGGACGAAACCGGCTCTGCATCTCCATCGACCACGACAGTCCCGACCCGATCATGTTCCGTCGGATAGAGGTCGCGGCAATCCGCGAGAATGACAGCAGATGTGACAACATGGCTTCCGTTTACTGAATTGAGAGTTTCTAAAGCTGATGATGGTCGTGAGAATCTGTTCACGAAAATGGAGTGGTGGTTGATGCCCTAAACCTATGAGGTGGACAAATAGCATGAATCCACTCGTTGAGTTTATTTGACCACTCCTTATATACTACGCATATTACTCAAGATATTCATTCATTCACTTCATTCAACAGAATTCTATTATACAAAACCGGGCACTTACTCAGTAGCCTCGGGAGCAGGCGCATTAACCTCAGGTGGAGGAGCGTCTCGCCTGCCTTTATACTCGGGTCGTAAACTGTACTTTAACGCATACGGTCCCTTTTTGTTCAGAATCGCGACCGACTCCAGCAGCTCTTTCAGATACGCCTGAGATGATATCAGCATCCAACTTGTCTGTAGGAATAAAACAGATACTTACCTCCGGTTGTCGTGTGCGCTCGCGCAGGCCCTTCATGCTCCAATAGTCGTACTCCTCAAAAAGCTTGAACAGTAAATCGTAGAGCTCGTTCCTCGGGATTCTCGCGGCTTTTCCTTCCTGTGCGCGTTCCTTCTCGCGCTTCTGCGCCTTCATAAACATGCTGTTGCTATGCTTCATACTCGGTCCCGCCATCGCGAGCGTGACTCCGGGGATCTCATCCAGCAACGTCACCTGTGCGCGCGGAGCGGTGTTGTTGAATGTCTGCTGCCGCTGCTCGACGAATGATTTGTAGTTTTTGTCAAACGGCGAGACGGTAAGTGAGCAGTCGTGTGCCACCGTTCCAACAATTGACGTCTTTTCTGTGACAAGGAAAGAAAACGTGTTAGCGCCTGCTACAGCATCTCAATCTTCGTTGATCATCATACTTGGAATGTTAACCCGTCGGTACGGCTGATATCTCCTCTTCTTTGACTGATACGCCGACCCGTTGCTTGATCCGGCGCCGTTTCCGCCCTGTGAGTCGCGAGCCGGATCGGCCGCGGCATCCTTGCTGCTTCCGCGGAAACGAGCGAGGTTCTCTTCCGCAAAGACATAGGTGTTTGCGACTTTTTGGTTTATGACTGATAGTTTGTATTCGTGGGGTAGATCTTTCATCTCGGGGGCGTCGGCTAGGAGTAATCGGATCTGGTAGAATAAAAGCACATTAGACGATTAGATCATGCTGTCGACAACTTCACCACATAAACCAGAGTGCTGCTCAAGAAACCTCAGAAGAAGGACTTACATCCTTTGGATTGTTAAGTCTGACAGTCCCCAGATCCCGCCCGTCGCTTCCCATCTCCAACCAGCGATCTCTCAGAAACTTCGGCATTCTCACAAGCCACACCTTGTGTCCCGCAGCCGACATATCGAGATCGCCAGAGTCCTCATATACATCCTCGTCCTCATCACCGGCCTCGCCTGGGACAGAGGCCGGGCTCAGATCCTCGTCGTCTTCGAAGCCCGCGGCGTCGAAGTTTTGTTCATCTTTGACGGGCTCGGGTTTGACTGTTGGACCAACTGACGACATACTGTTTTTAGTGGGGAGAATGTCGGGTGGAAGGGGAATAAAGGAGAAAAGGGAAGCAGAGATCAGCTTCAGTTGTTTGCGAGATGCGCGTGGATGATCCGGTTCTCAGAATTACGCTGACGTAACTCGGTGAGTATATCTCAGACCTGGAGAACACCCGCTACCTGATTATCAGATCAGTTCACGATCCAGATGCAAATATACTGCAATTGCACTATTCATTGACTCGTATCAAACAAGTCCTCTAAGAAGAGATATCAATGAGTCTGACATTCCCGTTCCCGCTTCCGACGACGGGCGCGTTCTCGTACTGCCAATGTATAAGCTCGTCGGATCACTACCAGCTCTTAGCAGATGCCGACGTTCGGCGCGCGCAATTACGCGATGTCTTGAAAAGAGCAAAGAGGAAGAATATACAGGACATGCTTGAAGTAGTCAAGGTGAGTTTTCAGACTGTGTTTCTGGTCAGAGATGGAGGTTGACGTGGGATCTAGGCGATCGAGGATTATATCCCGTTTGCATTCACAATCAAAGAGGGCATTGAATCTGGTGATCTGTCGCTTGATCATGAAATAGGTATGGTCAACCATAATCCAGTTGTACTCCATATGCTCACAATAATGAATCTGCAGTGACTTCATGGCGACCGCCGCTGGTGGGGTCCCATCTCCACATGGTTGAGAATCAACGAATATCAGCGCCTACTATATCCTACGAGGTCTCGATGACCTTATTAACCTATTCACTGTCACTGCTATCGTTAGCCGAGGAGGCGTATCTCGTAGGAAATTCAGAAGACAAATGGAAACAGGTATGATCTACTCGATACCTCTAGTCCTCAAACACCTGCTAACATCAATAGTCTACCGCATACCTCCTCTCAGCGCAATCGATCCTGATCTACCTCTCCACCCACCCTCTCCTCATCGACCCAGCTCCCCCCTTAGACCTCCAACCCTCCACACTAACCCCCCTCGTCAACATGATCGCCGGCGCCCTGCACCTCCTCGTCCTCTACAAATCCCTCCCCACACCAGACTCGACCGCCAAACCCCCCTCCGCGAGCCTCATGAGCCGGATCTCGATCTTCGCCCTCGAGAAATTCTCCGCGGCCCTCACACTCCTCCCACAATCCCTCAAGAACGACGCGCTCGAACGCTGGATCCAGGACGCGAAATCGTACTGCTCCGCGCTGGCGGAGCGGTATATGGCCGTCGAGCGCGAGTCCAAGGGCGACGTCGGCGCCGCGATCGCGCTCTGCATGGCCGGCCGGGCAGAGTTGAAATCCGGCTCTGGCTCGTCGATCTTGAAAAAGCCGTCGCGGCTGTCGATACCTAAACGGTCGTCGTCTTCGACTACCTCGAGCGAAAGCTCACAGTCTTCTTCCTCCTCCGCTAGCGACTCGGGTTTGAAGACCGCCATGAAGCGATTACGCCAAGACCTTGAATCTCTTGAAACCGACTTTCGGGTGCAGAACGATCGGCTTTCGTTCCAAAAGATCCCAGACACTAAAGAGGTGAAGCGGAACTGGCCGTCTGGGCGCGAGGTCGTCGCGTCAAAGGGAGAGTGGACGCCGCCTGCGAGTCTGGTGGATTGGGAAGGTACAGGGGAACATCATGAGTCTGCGCCGGGGATGAGGAGAGGGGTGAGTTATAGTGGGCAGGGACAGTACTATTGATCGCATCAAAGTCGTTTGGTATCTTTTGGGTTGGTTGTTGGCATATAGATGGATCTCGAATATGTATAAAAGTTTGGCTTGTACGTACACTCTCCAAGCGGTGTTATCAGAAACCGGTACTCCGTTAAAACAAACAAAACGTGAAACCAAGCATAGTATCTCAGCCGGTTAATATGTATATATCATAAAAGTATACGAACAAATAAGAGCGTATTTAAATAGACCAAAACGATCCTCGTAGCGTCATTAGTGAATAATCAAGTATATGAAAGGAAACGTAGCGAGGTTAGACGAATTCCTCGATAAGCATCTGAACTTCGCCGTATTCGTGAGATTCAGCTATCTCCTCATAGTTCTGCAATATCAAATCATCAGTTAGCTCATTCACCTCATTCACCCACAAACAAACATAAAACAAATACTTACACCAACGATATCAAACCCTTTGATAACTCCTGGAAGTTTCCGCCCCTTTGACTGTCTCGCCCACAGCTTCTTTGCTTTCTCGTTTGTCGCGATGTCGACCACCTGGAACTCAATCCCGTAGACTTGCAGGATCGTCTGCAGCTTCCGCGTAAGCATCATGATGTTGCGGCCAAACATGATGCCGCCCGTGAGGGAGGTGTAGATGTAGATCTTCTCACTCTCGTCGACTTCAGGCGCAGCTGGAGCAGCAGCTGCGGCGACGGCTGCTCTGGGCTCGGCGGGTGCGCTCTGCTCTGGCTTTACCTCTGCTTCCACAACTTCAGCAGCAGCCGGGACTTCCGGCTCTGCAACAGCAGACCTGGTCAAAGTCTCCTGCTCGGTCGTGGCGACAAAAGACTTTGTGGGAGTCGCAGGCGGTGAAGACTCAGCCGGTGCGTCTTTCTTCGGTGAGCCTAGAGCAAAGCTCCGCACCACCACAGGCTGCTGAACCGCAGCAGTCACCTCCGCCACCGGCTCTGGCTCTGCTTCCGGCTCTGCTTCCGGCTCACTGGTAGTCTTCACCTCGCCATCAGTAACTACCTTAGACGCATCATCTAAAGTCTCGGCATCCACTTCCTTCACGGCAAGAGGCTCGACAGAGCTCTTACTAGGACTAGAAGAACCAATAGAGAAGCTTCGTTCGACGATCGGTTCAGGAGCTGCGACAGTCGTCTCGGCTTCTTCCTTAGTCTCGGTGGCATTAGTGTCGGCCTCGACGATAGGTTCAGGAGCTGGGCCAGTCGTCTCTTCTTCTTCCTCCTTCGTCTCGGTGACATTAGTGTCGGCTTCGACGATCGGGTCGGTAGGGGTGATGATCGCCTTGTCTTCTTCGGTGGCGGTGATAGTGGGAGATTCTGCGTCTGTCGAAAGAATGTCGTTCGACTCAGTCGGGGTAGTATCCACTTCCTCGGCTTTCTCGTCTGCTTCGGCAAATGCCTCACCCACAGCTTCGTCGGATTGCTTTACAGCAACCTCCTTCTCCTCTTCAGTCTCAGCAGTCTCCTTCTCCTCTTCAGCAGCCTCTTCAGAAACATCAGCTCCAGTGGTCGCCTGAACCTCAGCAGCCTTCTCAGCTCCCGCAGAGACTTCAGTTTCATCTTCCTCCGTCTCAACGACAGCAACATCTGCAGGCTCGGCAGTCTCTGATACTTCAACATCTTTCTCAACCGGAACATCTCTCTCTTCAGTCTGAACTACAGCTTCCTCAGCTGTATCTGAAACTTGCTCTTCCATAACGACGTCCTTGGGAGTATCCGCATCAATAGGAGCCTCAAGATCTTCGCTCTCGCTTGTCGCTTCTAAGGGTTTGACTGCGGAGTCTTCGTCTTTGAGAACCTCCTCGCTCTCGGTCTTGACTATGGCCGCATCAGTAGCATCGGGAAGGTCAGTTTCTTGAACTGCAGGGTCCAGAACATCGTCGGCCACTGGCGCCTCCTCGATAACAGCATCATCGATCTCCTTTGTTTCAGACGATGACACCGCCGCTGCCGTGTCTTCCACGGACGGTATTTCAACATCCTCAACCTCTTCAGAGCCGACGCCTTCACCTTCTTCAACTGCAGTCCCCACAGCCTCCCTCGCGATCGGTACACCCCCCGCCTCCATCTCCTCAACCTCCTTCAACACATCCGGCGGCGCCTCCGGATCCACCACCCCCAACTCCGCCTTCGTCTGCAAAATCATTGCCGCGATCTCCGCCTTCTCGAACCGCTCGGCCGCGTAAATATCGACCTCGTCCACGGGCGCCGCGAATTCCTCAGCAGCAAGCGCAAGCACGCTTTCAATCACGTCGTCTTCGGTCTCGACTGCCGTGCTGGATTCGGCGAGCTTTAGCGCTTCAAGGTCGAGTGCTTGGGTGCTGGATGAGGTGGGCGGGGTTGGCTCGGCGGGTTCGAGAGGGGCGGATTTGGCGGTTGGGTCTTCTGTGGTGGCGGAGGTCTCCACTACAGGCTCAGCTGCAGTCGAAGTCTCCGGCGCTGCGTCCTCTGTAGTGGACACGTCCGTGACAGGCTCAGTTGCAGTCGAAGCCTCTGGCGCTGGGTCTTCAGCAGTAGTCACGTCCGCGACATGCTCAATGGCAGTCGAAGCCTCCGGCGCTGCGTCCTCTGTAGTAGTCACGTCCGTGACAGGCTCAGCTACAGTCTCAGCTGGCAACGTAGTCTCTTCTTCCACAACAGGCTCAGTCGCAGTCTCATCAGGCAACGTATCCGATTCTTCCACAACACTACCAGAACTAAATACCAAATCCTCCCCTGCAACCTCCACAGGCTCGATATCAACAGCCTCTTCAGCCTCTTCAGACGCGATCAGTTCCGCAGCAGGCTCGGAAGACGTGCTCGAGACGACGACGTTCGAGGTCAAAGACTCGGTGAGATCAGGGGTCCTCGAGCCGGTGACTCCGTATTCGCTGCTATCGACGGATTCCACATCCCGTACACTGCTGCCGGCTGCCACGGTTTCGAAAGTAGACGCGTTCAAGGGAGACTCTGATTGCTGCTCGTCGCTATTTTGATCGGCGTCGCCGTCGACGTGCATGTCTGCCATATGCGCCTCGATCAGGTCGATTAGCTCGTATCCGTCGTAGTCGTCGTCGTCTGCCTCTTCGTCCGCGGCAGGTGGTTGGTCTGTCGCCTTGTCCGCTTCAGCCGGTGATGTGTGCATATCAGCCTCGAAGAAAAAGCGATCCGAGTCTGCGACGGTGTTGCGCCATGAGGATATCGTGGAGGATAAACCAGGAGTTATCGCTGCTGTCTGCTGTTCTCCCTGCTGCGGCCGCAGCTGATCAGCGCCAGTGATCCCGGCACCAGAGTCGGAGCCGCTGCCGATCTTGTCCAGTTCGGAAAGAATCGACTCAGCAAAAGACTCGATCGATACTTCCATTGTGCGGCGAGAGAAGTGCAGTGGTATTATGGGAAGTGGAAGGAGGTGCAGAGAGGAACGTTGAGGTGCGCTGGCGTAAATTGGAGGAAAGCACGCGATTGAGTTTTGGGGAAATAAATATAAAAAGGTGCAAGTCTGATAGCCGCTCCCAATGGTTTGTTGCGTATTTATCTGTGATGTTTGGAGTGTTTGTTGGGTTTGATTGCAATTGATAAACAGAGAGTATATTCTTGATTTTTGTATTGTATTTTCTTTATGTGTGTTTTTGCCATTGAGGAGCGAGATCGGGTGGTGTAGAAGCAATTGTGCATGAACGAGCACATTACTCCACACGTAGCATCAGCCAACAACAATTCTCGCATCTCCTCGTATCTGTGCTCAATATTTAAAATCAAAAGTCAACGATATAAAAGTATTTGAAACAGCAAAAAGAGACAGTGAGAGAAGTAGCCATTTGTCGTACAGCGCAGATCGCAGTCAACCTCTCTGTGGCCCTTATCTGTCTCCACCTTCTGATCTCCTTCTCCATCACCGTATCCACTGCCACCCTCTCAATCCCTCAATTACCTACACTACCGCACAACAAATGACCTCCGAATTAAAGCCAAAGATTGTAGTTCTCGGGTAAACCTCTCTCTATCCATCGAAACCAACTCTTGAGCTGCTACTAACAGCTACAGCGCCGGCGTCGCGGGCCTCACATCCGCCCTCCTCCTCGCCCGCACAAATCTCTACGACGTGTCCGTGATTGGCAAATTCCTTCCCGGCGACTTGGATATCGAGTACACGAGTCCCTGGGCCGGTGCGAACTGGATGAGTGCGTGAGATACAGTCGAACGGCGTGTGTGGAGCTAATGAGTGCGTGCAGGCTTTGTGAAGGACGACGAGGTACTCGAGCGATACGACAGAATCACGTATGCCGAGATCGCGAGACTTGCAAAAGAGCATCCTGAAGCAGGTATCTGGGTACATTACTCAACTTCTCTACACCACCTCATCCTCCTGGCAATTACTGATCGTGAACCTCTCTCTAGCCCAAGAAAGTCATAGAGTACGTCCGTGCCGATGACCTGATCAAGAACAACCCGCTCCTAGGCGGCCTTCTTGATGCCCGACCCTGGTTTGCAGATATGACCCCCAACGTAAGCACCATGCTTCTCTCATCCACTGCTCAGTCTCCTAACCCATTATCCTCCGCCTAGTTCAAGCAACTGACCCCAGCCGAAATGCCAAAAGGCTACGTCCAGGGCATAACCTACGACTCGTACTGCTTCAACCCGCTCATCTACCTCCCCTGGCTCGTCTCCCAACTCCTCAGCCACGGCGTCTCCGTCCGCGCGCGCACGGTCTCGCACATCTCTGAAGCCTTCGCGCACCACGCCTCCGGCCAACCCGCGCACCTCGTCGTCAACTGCACGGGACTCATGGCGTGCAGACTAGGCGGCGTCATGGACGACAAAGTCTACCCCGGCCGCGGACAGACCGTGCTTGTGCGTAACCACGCGCCAGCGATGTATGACATCACAGGCTGCTCGGACGCGGACGACGAGCTCACGTACATCATGTCGCGGCCCGCGGGGGGTACGATTCTCGGCGGGTGCTATCAGAAGGATAACTGGAACGCGACGCCGGATCCAAACATGGCGCAGAGGATTATCAGGCGGTGTCTGGAGATCTGTCCGGAGCTGGAGAGCGAGGGCAAGCTCGACATCATCAGACATAACGTCGGCTTGCGGCCGTCGAGGGAAGGGGGACCTAGAGTTGAGAAGGAGAAGAGGGAGGAGGGGTGGGTGGTTCATAACTATGGCGCCGGGGGTGCGGGATATCAATCCTCTTACGGCATGGCTACTCATGTAGTAGAGCTCGTGGGCGAGGCTCTCGCGTCGTGACTGGATCTTCAATGTCATGGTCAGAGTATTCAATATTAATTATTACAAAAGTACATCATTCTTAAATATCTTGATACCACCGTTCTATATCCCATTATCATATCATGTCACATCACCAAAAAACTCCAAAACATATGTCTCTATACATCAGAATTCCATACGTCCCTTCTTATTAAAATTACGGCCCTTCCACAACCGCCTCTCTCTCTTTCTTTCTTTCTTTCTTTCTTTCCCTGTTTTTCTGGTTTTCTTGCGTAGGTGAAACGAGCATCTAGAAAATGCAAAGTTGTGCTGATTCTGTGAAATTGTCTTGCGCGCTGACGGAAAGTATTTGTTGTTGTCAGTAGAGGAAATTGAGGTGCTGGAATGCTGCGCCCTACTATATCATGAGCTGTGGCACTATCCACTCATAGACAAATCTATCGAGAAAATGACACTCATCTGCACGTTGTAAAAACATTTGTGATCTGCAGACTCATAGCTGCTTATAGCTGCTTCTCGACGACATCGACATCGACATCGACATCGACAGCCACGCCCTCCATCTTTGCGTTCTCGCGCGCGGCAAGATGCTTTGCGCGCTGCTCGCGCGACATCTTTTGACTCTTCTTGATGCCAAAGCCACCCTTGAGCAGGCCCTGGATGTCCTCGAGCGTGAGGTACGCGGTCTCGGGGTACATGAACAAAACCCCGATCCAGCCGAGCATGCAGAGACCGGCAAAGAGGCCGAAGGTGCCGGAGGGCGTGATGTTGTCCATCATCGTCAGGTAGGTCGACGAGATGACGAGGTTGCCGGCCCAGTTTGTGGCGGTCGCGAGGGAGGTGCCGAGGCCGCGGACTTGCATCGCAAACAGCTCGGATTGCTGCCATGGGACGTTACCGATGCCGGACGCGTAGGAGGCGACGTAGCACATCATGAAGACCAGGATGCAGATGGCCCATGGGTTGGAGCCGGTGGCGTTGGCAGGCAGGTAGTGGAACGCGATGGCGGCGATGACGAGCGAGATGGCCATGCAGGGGATGGTGAAGAGCAAGATGCGTCTGCGGCCGATGCGGTCGATGAGGATGAAGGCGATGATGGTGAAAGCCATATTAGTTCCTGCGACGATGATGGAGACGGCGGTGGGGTGATTGAAACCAACCATGGCAAAGAGACTGGAGGAGAAGTACATGAGCGAGTTGAAGCCGGAAAACTGCTGGATGCCCTGGAGCATGCAGGCGATGATGACGGCGCGCATGTTCTCGGGGATCACAACCAGCTGGCGGACGGCGTATCTCAGGCGTCGGGCGCGGGACCACTCCGGGTGCTGTTCGTTGTTGAAGATCTCGAGCAGCTTGACTTTCTTCTCGACCAGGTCCTCGGAGACGACGGCGTTACGGGGCGAGTAAATCCATCGGATGACGCGCTTGGCCTCCTCGGTGCGTCCGCGACTGACGAGGAAACGAGGGGTTTCGGGCATGAGGATGAACATTGCCATCTGGACGGCAGCCGGGAGGATACCGAGACCCACCAAGATACGCCAGCCATTGTCGACGCTCTCGAGACCGGCGCCGATGGCGTAGGCGATGACCTGGCCGCCGGTGATGGCGAGCACGTTGAGGATGACGAGGCGGCCTCTGAAACGCGAGGGGGCCATCTCAGAGATGTAGAGCGGTGCGATGAGGGAGGCGATGCCGACGCCCCAGCCCATGATGAAACGGCCTGCGATCATGGTCCAGACGGTGTGGGAGGCGGTCTGGATGGCGGCGCCGATGATGAAGAGGGTGTTTGCGCCGAGGGTGACCCACTTGCGCCCGAGGACGTCTGCGAGGGAGCCGGCGATGATGCCGCCGAGGAGGGCGCCGAGGGAGGTGGCGGAGGTGATGAAGGACTCGTCGCCGTCGGAGAGCTCGTGGCCGAGGTCGGTGCCCATGGAGGTGAGGGCGCCGGAGATGTAGCCGGTGTCGTAGCCAAAGAGGAAGCCGGAGAAGGAGACGAGGATGACGAGGAGGAAGACGAAGGGGTTTGGACGGCCGGACTCGATGTCGACGCCGGCGGCGACTTCGTGGTCTACGGCATATTGGTTGAAGGAGTCTCTGTCGAGGTTTGAGTCTGTGGAGGCGATTTCGGCGGGGGAGGGGATGGACTTGTCTTCGAATTCGAGATCGGCCGCCATGGGTGTAGAGAGAGAGTGGAGAGAGTAAAGAGGGAAGTAAAGAGGGAAGTAAAGAGGGAAGTAAAGAGAGAAGAGTAAAGAGAGAGATATAAAGAGAGGAAGAGGAAGAAGAGAAAGAAAGAGAAGAAAGGCTGTGGGGAAAGTTCTCGAGAGTCAACGAAAGGGCGAGGAAGAAAGCAGCGAGAGCGCGCGAGGCCGAGGAAGATTTGGATGGAGAGCCAAGAACGAGCAGATAAGGGTTTGAGTGTGGTGGCTGTGCTGGGGTGCAGAATACAGAGCTTCCGGCGGATCAACAAAGGTGCGAACGGATCCGAAACAGGCTTAGATTCCGTCGGAACTTTGCGTTCAGCTGCGTTGGTGGTGCATCCACCGGCAACGCGAACAGAAATTCCTGGAGCTTTGCTGTTTGTAGCATTGAATTACTACTACTGCTACTACTATCATATATCAGATACTTCTTTCTACTCTCTTTGTTGTGAACAATTCCATCTGCTAATGCTAATAAACACGGCCAAAACCTGCTCTGTTCTACTTCCACTCCTCTCCTGTCCCCACTCAACCGCTCACCCGCCATCCTCCACCCGCCTTCCACAATCTCCTCCTGTCAAAGAGCCACAAAGTCTAACTTTGCCTGACGACCAGAGCTGGAATTTTGTAGAATCTTGCAGTATGAGAACAGCATAGTCGTAGTCCTGTGTGCTTGCTTAGAAGCGTGTGAAAGCATGTGAATGTCTTTTATTTCCTTTGCAGAGTATACCAGGCAACTAGAATGAACAATAACAATAACAATAAAAATAAGAATAAAATAAATAACAAACTAAAACAATGCCATTCATCAGACGGGGAAATCCCGAGCCTCCCCGTTCCTGCCTAATCTCGACTCGTCTCTTGACTTCACCGCATAAACAAGCCAAACCTGCCTTCTTTGCTTAGTCTATCTCGACTATCTCAACCTTCTCCGTCTTTCTCTTCTATTCATCGTCAATTCCTTTCTTATCTTCCTTAGACTCTCTTCTTTCTCTTCTTTCTCTTTCTTTGTCTGCTAACTGCACGCCCTGCACGCCCTGCACGCGACCATCCTAAACTCAATCCCTACCCCTCCTTACTCTCTCCGTCTCCACAAACAATCCATTATCCTCCAACCTTAATCACCACGCCATACTATCAAACCTCGCCAACTGCGCCGTCGAGTCCTGCACATCCTTCTGACTCTTCTTGCGCATGTAAAAAATCGCACAATCCTTACTCGAGCAAATCACGTCCTGGTGCAAACTCCCCTGGCACCGCTGACACTGCGTCCACAGCCGCGCAAACTTCGTCTCCAACCCATTCAGGCTATCGATCTGCCGTCTGTAAAACTCTGCCGCCCGCGGCATGCAATTCTTGCACAGCGCGCCCTTCGCAAACGCACCCGTCAGCGGCGTCCGGCATCCCATACACACCTCCGTCTTCACCGCAAACTTCATCAACCCCCCCACCGTCGGCGCCGCCACCGAAATCGTCCGCGTGTGCGCGCCGTTCAACAAACTCGTCGTCTGCTGCATCCCCAATATCGGCTCAAAAATCCGCTTCAGCGGATTCGCCAGCTGGTTCTCGAGATAGTACTTTGTGTCCAGCGGGATATTGTTCTCCAGCACGTACAACGGGTCCTCCGACCGCTCGTAGTTCTTGTCGTTCTTCGCGCCCTTGATAATCACATACGCAACCCGATCCCCCAGCGTCGGCGCGGACCCTGCATCTCGCTTCCGCATCCGCTCCGCTAGCTCCACATGCGCCTGCTTCGCCGCATAGTCCGCCTTCGCGAGCGCTTTTGTAATCACCAGCAGCGACAGATCAATCTTGTTCTGCAGCAGATCTGAGATAATCCGCTTCACAAACTCCTGCGCCCCCGCAACGTCCCGGTCGTGCAGAATCTTCTTCAACACCGTCTCAATCACCGTCTGCACCAGCCGGCAATTATCTCGCCGCACCGTCTCGATTCCCTTCGTGTCCATCTTGTCCGGCTTGTCCGGCTTCGTCCAGTACATCCCCGCATACCGCTTCTTGTTGATCAGCAGATACGGATAATACACCTTCTCAAACTCAAGCTTGATCGGGTTTATAAACTCCTCCGACACCCGATCCGCCGCAACCTGCCCGAGTCGCATACACTCCTCCAGATCGTTCGGCCCAAACTTGATCATCACCGAATCCGTGTCTCCGTAAATAACCTGCGCGTCGTGCTTCAACCCATGCTCCACATTATAATTCTCCTCCACAAACTTCTTCGTATGCTCAATCATCTCCCGTCCATACGCCGTCACCGAACTCGAAATCGCAAGACACGGAAGCTTCCCCACCGTCGCGCCCGTGAAACCGTACACCGAATTCGCAGAGATCTTCAGCGCAAGCTGCCGCCCGTCCAGCACCGCCTTCTTAAACGGATCCGTCTCCTTCTTCAAATCAGCCTTGGCCCGCTTCCGCGCCCCCAGCAACTCCTCCAGGATAACCGGCAAAACTCCCTTTCGCACTCCCGACTTTACAAAGTAGTCCCCGTTCGGCGTCCGCTCGTAGTCCTCGCCCAGCTTCAGCGTGCTCCCCGCTCGCTTCAGATACTCCGGCGTCAGCAGCGTCGTATAGCACAGGTTATGCGCCATCATGATACTCGGATACAAACTAGAGAAATCAAGCGTCGCAATCGGAACATCGTAGTACCCACGAATAGGCTCAATAACCGTCGCTCCCTCGTACTGCTCGTCACTCGACCCCTCCTGATGCATATTCGGCACCACAAGCTTCAGCTGCAGCGCCTTGCGAAACAGCTGCGAAACAACCTTGATCTGCTGTCCTCGCGTCAGCAAAAAACTAAACGGTACCCCCGTCACGCGCGCCATCTCCGTGTAGTTGATCAACGCCATCAACTTCTCCATCAGCCGGATCGGCAGATACGCGTCCTTCAGACAGTACACCGCCAACCGTCGTCGCGACTCTGCCCCGCCGTTTTGCAGATCCGTAATGATCGAATGATGCACGTCCTCCTTCTGCTCGTTCAGAAAGTGCGCGCTCACAGAGTTGAGCGTGTAACTCCGCAGCTTGTAGTCCCGCTGGATCAGCTGCAGCATATCAAACTGCAGCCGCCCGTCGATATTGATCACCTTCGACTCCCGCGTTCCGTACGCTTTCGACGAAAACGTAGAGTCCTTCATATCCTGCTTCACATGCACCAGTCTCCCAAAGTACGGAAAATCATGCACCTTCAGCGCCGCCGCCCGGTCGAGCAGGTACGGCAGGTCAAAGTTCACAATATTGTACCCGATAATCACGTCCGGATCGACCTCGCGCACGAAATCCCGCCACCCCATCAGCATCTCCTTCTCCGTCCGGTTCTCAATCACCTGCGACCCCACGATCGGCGCACATGTGTTTAGCGTAAACACGTTCCGCACAAACGGCTTGCTGTCCCCGTGTCGCGACACCACGTTCGCAATCTGAATCACCGGGTCCACCTCCGCCTCGGGGAAAATCCCCTTCCGCCCCGCGCACTCAATGTCAAAGCTCAGCACCCGCAGCGGCGCCATCTTCAACCACTCGCCCTCGGACGGATGCGCAATCATGCGGTCGTACGGAATCTGCAACTCGAGCTGACACGACGACACTTTCTGCTTCTCGGCCGTCATCTGGTACTCTCCCCCGGGCAACGTCACCCACGACATCCCAGACAGTTTCGTGTCAATCATCGCCCGCATCACGTACTGGATGTTGTCGTACGTAGTCTCGAGCGCGAACCCGACGTTCCCGTCCCGCCACTCAACCTGTCCGCGTTCAAACCCTCCGCGCACGCGGTTGATGTGGCGGGGGTCTTTCACTGTGATCTTCAGGAAAGCGCTCGGCGACTCGCCGAGGTAATACATGATACTCCATCGGCTCACAATCTCAATACTGTAGATCGCACCGGGGTACAGCGTCTATATCAAGTTAGCGCAGGCAGTGATAAGATAAGTAGAGAGTAACGTACGTCGAGGTAATCATGCAGAGAATTCACATGATACTGCTCAAACTGATATGGAGCCTGCACATAAAAGTAATGGTAAAACCCAGTCATGTTACACATCACAGAATGGCCCTCCTATATACAAAAAGTCAGAATATATAAACAACATTTCTCTCTGGTGTGAATGCGCACCTCGGTCACTCCAAATAGACGAACTACTGGCTGGTCATTGTAAATCGCCTCTTCGGCGTCGATCTGCTGAAACACTGCGTGATATACCAAGTCAGCACTTTCTTTAAATACCAGAATACTCTGCAGACACAATATGTAGCAGCAAAATACTCACCAATAGGAGTAGTTTTTGGATCAAAGGCAGGCAACGCCGGTCGCGCCCACTTCTGGTCATTTTCGGCAGCTAGAGAAAGTTAGTTTCTCCTTTCCTCTGTACAGTCGATCGACAACCACCAGCACAAACATACAATGTCCAATCTCTTCCTCTAGCCTCTCAAGGTCCTCCTCAAAACTACTGGCTTTCTTCTGCTTGAGAGCGTTGCCAGCGTATTTGACGCGCTTGGTGTCGCCCGCGGGCTGGGACGCGGAGGAGTGAGGAATGTTTGTGAAATCGGTGAGCGGCGTGCCACGCTTGACTGTGGCTGCCATTCGTGCTGTGTAGAGTAGATTGGTTTAGTAATAGAGGTGTTTAGTAGTAGTTGTCAGCCAGACTAGCAGTTCATCGCGATGCAGGAAGGCGAGGGATGGAGTCGAGCAGGAGAAGGACGCGTTGGGAATTGAGATCAAATTGGTGAACGCGGGAGTGACGCGCTCGGAGTGTGAGCGTCAAAAATGAGTGGGTTTCGTACTTTCCGTTTCGGGCCACGTCGAAACTGCTCATCCCGTAAGACCCAGACTGAATAGATCATCACGAGCGCTGATAGATACTTAAAACCAGCTGTTGGTATTCTGTGAGGTCTTTGGTACTGCTTATTGTGTTATCAGAGAAGCTATGCCTCCCGCCCGGCCTCGACATATGAGCCGGTCTTCTCAGAGCAGCTGTTCCGCCGCTTCATGGAACAGGTTCTGTTGCTCCCTCGCGACCGCCTTCCCGTGGGTCTCGGTGAACCTGCTGCTCACATGGGCGTACTACGTTCTCGTCATTGACATTGGCGTCCACCAGTTCTCGGGCTGCTCGTCCGGTACGATCGTGGTCCTGGGCACCGCAACTTATCTCATGTGCGAGATTAACTATTTCCTGATCGTCCGCAACGGTGCCCGTGGACCACCTCGGACTCTTCAGCTTGCGTCCGACGACGACCAAGCCGCGAGCTCGTCTTCTGCCATCCCGGATCTTGAAGCCGGAACCGAGTCTCTACTCCCGCAGTCCGTGCTCGCCAAAGAAAACGGCCAGCAGCGATTCTGCTCAAAGTGCAAGTGCTGGAAACCAGATCGGACGCACCACTGCAGCTCGTGCAAGAAATGCGTGTTGAAGATGGACCACCATTGTCCGTGGTTCTCGACCTGTATCGGCTTTTATAATCACAAGTTCTTTATCTTGTTCTTGCTCTACGTCGTCTTGCTTTGCGGAATGTCTTTTGTAGTGTCTGGATCAGCGTTGCTGGAGTGGATCGATACCCCTGATGACGTGAGACCTCTATTTCTGCGCAACACTTTTGGAATATTCACTAACAGTTTACAACAGGCCAAAGACTATATCTCGCTAAATTGGGTATTCCTCATGGTCATCTCCCTCATCTTCGGCATCGCCGTCGGCGTCTTCCTAGCCTACCAACTCTACCTCCTCTTCGCCAACAAAACAACTCTCGAAGCCATGGAACCTCAGCGCTACAAATCCAAGCTTCCTTCCAACTCATTCCGCTACTCCGAAGCACCTTCCTCCCGAACCGTCGGCAACGTCTTCGACCTCGGCTGGCGCGCAAACTTCCGCCAAACGATGGGCGACAACCCGCTCCTCTGGTTCCTACCTGTGCAGACGGCGAAGGGCAACGGCACGCTTTTCCCTGTCAACCCCGTCATCCTCGGCCAGATCAAGAGACAGGCGGAGCAGGAGTCGCAGCTTCTGGGTAATCTACAGGGATACTTGGCTCGGAATTCAGCAGATAGCTCGCGCTCGGGCGCGCATGTCATGGCTACTTCGGACGAGGACGAGTTCAACGGACGGGTCAGTGTCGAGTTCCGAGCATCTGCAGGCGGAAGACGAGATTAGAATTTTTTTGTGTTTTTCTTTCGCTTAGAAGGTGTTGTTTTCTGGTGTTTTGGGTTGTAATATTTTGTTCTCTGAGCTTTCAGCAGTGTCATAATCTGTACAGTATTCTTTCTAAACTACTTTACAGTATTCTCTTTCTAAACTACTTGCCCAAATCCTTCACCCCAGGAACATCCTCGCACTGCTGCGCATAGCTATACCTCGGAACCTCGAACCCGTCCGACGCTCTCAGATAGGTGATCCCACCCGCTCGCCCGACCGGTTTCAGTTTCGCGAGATCAAGCGTCGTGCTGTCTTTGTTCAGCACGTCCTCGCGCGCATGGAAACAGAGACCTTGCAGGATGCAGATGTGGGACACGATCGTGCCCGGCGTGCGCAGCGACTCGATCTCAAAGCTGTTCACGAGCTTTACTTCGATGTTGAACGCAGACTCGGCTACGCACGCGGGTTTCACGAATTTCGAGGGCTCCTTGTGGAGACCACTAGCATATTTTATAAATTGTCAGTGGATTCGAGAATACTAAAAGTCGGAAGGTTACAAACCTGAGTTCCCATTCCGACACCCCCGGCGGGGCATCGACGCTCGTATAATTAGCCGCGTCAATAAACCACTCGCTAATCACATTCAGCACGCCTTCCTTCGTCTCCAAAAGATTCTTCAGCGTATCCTTCATCCCCTGCGACACCGAGACCACAAACGTCGGCGGATCGTTCGCGAGGACTTCAAAGTAGCTATACGGCGCCAGATTTGCGGTTTTGCCGTCGGCGGATAGAGTCGAGAGGAAGGCGATTGGGCGGGGCACAATGGCGGAGATTAGCAGTTTGTAGGCTTCCATGCCGGAGATTGAAGGGGACAGTGGGTCGATTGTGATTTTGGAGTGTTTGGTCCAGTCGTCGTCGGAGGCACCGTCGCCGGGTTTCCAGTCTGGTTTGACTGTCTGTTATGTAAGTTAGCAGAGTCTTATAACAGATGAAGTAGGAGAAGAGAAGTAGGGACATACCTTTGTCATTGTAAACTGCTTCTCAGAGTCGAACTCGGGTCGGGAAGCTTCATTTGCCTCGTATCGCGCCTTCAATTGTTTTAGCTTCACATGCTATACATATACAGATATACACATACCACATTTGCTCTTCCAGCAACAACTTCGGGCGTTGGAAATGACATCTTGACGGCTGCTGACAGACAATGGGCGATGGCTTCTTTATCTTCAGCTGTTATCGTTCGTGCGGCTCTCTGACGTAGTTGACCGATTTGCCTATTTATCCCAATCGGGTAATTCATAAATATCCCACCAGTCCTCGACCCAGTCGACTTTGCAATCCACGCCTGCTTCACCGTCAGACAACTCTGCTCCACAGTAGTTCACGCCACTTCACTTCACAATGCTCTTTACCGCCTCCGCAAAGCTCCTGCTCGCACTCATGGCATCTTCCCTGATTTCGGCCGTGTCAGGGACGTATTTAGTCCAGCTTGCGCCGGGGGCGGATATCGAGCAGTACCTGGACTCGCATCCGACGCTACGGCAGAAGCTGCTGCGCACGTACTCGTTTGGCAAGTTCCGTGCCGTGCTGGCGGACTGCGATGATACGTTTGTCAAGTCGCTCGAATATAATCCTCTGGTTTGAATATAGCTGTGTTTTATTATATTGTGGGAAGGTCGTGCTTATAATCTGTTTCTCGTGGTCTAGGTACAAGATATCTCACCAGACATCGAACTCCGCGCAAACTCCATTACAACCCAAACAGGCGCCCCAAGACACCTCGCGCGCGTCTCGCAAACCGGCCCGCTCTCGTCGACCAGCAACCTCACCTACTCCTACGACTCCACCGCTGGCACCGGCGTCGACGCCTACGTGCTCGACACGGGTATCTACAAAGAACATCCGGACTTTGGAGGACGCGCTGTTGTCGGAAGTGATTTCACGGGAGAGGGAGCGGGCGATGAGAACGGGCATGGCACGCATGTGGCCGGGTTGATTGGAAGCGCGACGTATGGCGTAGCGAAGAATATCAGTCTGATTGAGGTTAAAGTGTTGAACCAGCAAGGCGGCGGCAGCGTACGATATTGTGAATTAAGTCAGTATATTGTAATCATAGCTAATCTCTGATCCTGTTTTTTTTTTTTTTTTTGCTCTATAGCTCTCCACAGTCCTAGCAGGTCTCGACTACGCAGTCAACCAGCGAACAGCCACAGGTCGCAAATCGGTCGCAAACCTCTCGCTGGGCGCGATGTACAACACGATGCTCAACAACGCAATCACATCCGCCGTCGAGTCCGGCCTCGCGGTCGTCGTAGCAGCCGGCAACGACGGCTTCCCTGCCTGTGCGTTTTCGCCTGCGAGCGCGCGCGAGGCGCTGACGGTCGGCGCGTTCGACGACGCAGGCGACTCGATCGCCTCGTTCTCGAACTGGGGCCACTGCGTCGATGTGTTTGCGCCGGGAGTAGCAATTCAGAGTCTGCTCAATAGCGGAAGCGGCACCGTCGTCTACTCGGGAACGTCGATGGCCAGTCCGATCGCGGCGGGGCTGGTGGGGTATTACATGGGTCTTGGAGACGACGAGGCCGAGGCGGTGGAGCGGGTGAAGAGCACGGCTACGTGGGGCGCGCTGCCGTGGTGCCAGGTGCTGCTTCGCCCGTTCACGCCAAAAACAAGGTCGCGTACAACTTGGACGGAGCGACGCCGTAGATGGAGTGTGTATGATATAGGTTTTGGTGACGGCGCGTAGGAGACGTGTAGGATAGGAAAGCCTCTGCCTCTGGATCAGCAGAGGTTTGAGAGCGGCTTGCTGGTTGCTGTAGATAGTTGACAGAAGACAGAATAAACCAGCAAGCAATATTTATCATCCACCAGAAGATGCTGTTCCCGAGATAAACTCGGCCACGCGGTGCGCCAGTGTCGTCATCGTTATCGACCAGCATCGCGGTTCAGGGCACAGCACGTGAGCGATGATCGCCGTCGACCTGCTCTTCCTGCTCGAGACAGTCAGCGCTGTTGATAGCAGCACTCTGCCACTCCTTCCTGACCTCCAGCCCGCTCTTATTCTTCCTCTACAGCAGCAGCCAGCGGGTGGTGAAGACCAGAAGGCAGATCCGGGGCCCCTGAACCGAACCACGACGCAAAACTCAATTTGTCGCGGTGCCTTTGCTTTTGCTTGGCCGCACCTCGTCTGCTCCGTCTACTCTTCTCCTCCCCGTCGCCTTCTTCTCCTCAATTATCATCGTCGGCAGATGCCACTGCTGCTCTAATGCGACGCGTCTGGCTTAAATACTTGCAGCTCGTCGCCGCGGCTGCTGCCTTTGTCTTCGCCCTCGCGGCGGTCGTGCGGATCACGGGCCCTGACACCCTCTCGACACTGTCCACCACCCTCTCCTCCGCCAAAGCTGCCGCGACCTGCTCCGTGCCGCCTTCCTCCTCCTCCTCTTCTTCTGACTCACAATCCTCCTCGGCCTCTTCTGCTTCCAGCTTCTACCCGGGCTCCGAAGACATCCATGTGCTCGTCATGACCGGCGCGCAGACGCTGTACGAGCGCGTACCTCTGCACATCGCCTCCTCCCTCTCCCACATGCCATCCTACGCCGTCTACTCCGACTCCCCCGGCACCATCGCCGGCACTCCCGTCTACGACGCACTCGCCAATCTCACAGACGCGACTGCGAAATCCGCAGGTCTGAAAGTCTACCGCCGGCAAAAACACCTCCTGTCCGAGAACGCAAACGTCGACTTCACCGACAAGCGCGCGCAGATCGAAAACGCATGGGACCTCGACAAGTGGAAGCCGCTGCCGATGGCGATCGACGCGTACGGCAGGGTGCCGACCGCAAAGTGGTACGTCATGATGGACGACGACACCTACATCATCTGGCCGAACCTGATCCGCTGGCTCAAGACAATCAAGCCCACCGACGTGCTGTACATGGGCGCCGCGGCCGTCATCAACGGCGAGCCCTTTGCGCACGGCGGCTCGGGAGTCGTGTACTCGCACGCGCTCGCGGAGCGCGCGTTTGCAAACAACTACGACCTCGTGCACAAGCACGAGACCTTCACGGCCGAAAACTGCTGCGGCGATCATATTTTTGCCCACGCGCTTTTGGGGCTCGACATCAAAGTTAACTACGGGTCCGACTATCCGTTTGTCAAATCACGGTTGCAGGGCGAACCGCCCGCGCACGTCAGGCTGGACCGAGGCAGCTGGTGCGACGAGATTGTGTCGTTCCACCGCGTGTCGCCGCGCGAGATCGAGAACCTGGCTGAGTTTGAGAAGAAGTACGACTCTGCAAACACGCCGATCCTGTACCGCGACGTCTACGCGCACTTTGTGATGCCGTACGTGGTCCCCCACCGCCGCTGGAACTGGGACAACGGCGCCGACGACCGCATGTTCACCTCGCACGACCCGGACATCGACGAGGCCGCGTTCCAGTCCTACGAGGACTGCAAGGCGCGCTGCGAGGCGTGGGACGAGTGTCTGCAGTTCCGGTACCGGACCGAGCGCTGTGGTCTGGGCTCGCGACTGCGGCTGGGCGAGATGGTCGACGGGGACGACGATAACGAGGAGAACTCGTATAGCTCGGAGTGGATGGTCGATCGGATTCGGGAGATGAGGAAAACGCAGAAATGCGAAAAGGTGGGCGATTGGGAGCGTGAAGAGGGCGTGTTTTTCAAAGGCAGAAAGTCGCCTTCAATCGAAGTTAGTGAGCGGTGATCGTTCGTTTCTCCTCTGCAGTTGTATATCTATTTCAATGCCGTTTTCTCTTCATTTGTTGCTCGTACTGCGATTTGTTAATTCCACCAGTCTAGACGTCTTTTGTTCTTGTTCTGCTATCCTTGTTTTGTATTCCTTTGTTGTTTGCTCTGGACAGGTTTTTAGTTCTCTGTTGCATTGACGATGACGCATTTTGGTTTCCTGTCTTCACCTTGTTTTTATAATGATAATATTATCTTCCTTCTAATAACCATCGACTTTGCGTCCGTAAGTTCTGCGTACGTCACGGAACTCGTGGGTACACGTCCGCTTCAGACAATATATTAGATTTAGATGTATAAATAACAATTGGTATAGTATAGTATAATAATAGTACATGAAAAGAAGTCTTTAGAAAAATACAAGATGAAAAGACAGCTATGCTCATTTTCCGCTGTCGATAAATAGAGACGCGTAGTCTACAATGAAACTCTGCACGAGTCCGTTTGATATTCCTAATGTTGGCGCGAACACGATTCCAACTATCCAGCAAAACCAGTTAGCATAAGTCCACCAAAAGAAAGAGGAAGAAAAAGAAAACTGAGGTACGTACCATTCCTAATATTCATCCGATTAACCTCACTCTTCTCCACCACTTTAATCAAATACCGCGAGATCGTCTTCAACAGACTAAAGTTCTCCGCCGGCAGCTGCCGCAGCAGCACGTACAGCATCTCCGTCCGCGTCGCGCGCGACTCGGTCTCGAGCGCTTCCGAAAAGTCGCTGCCGAGGTCTTGCAGGATGTTGCCTGGTAGCTCGCGGAGGTACAGTTTGAGCACGCCTGCGACCGCGTGGACGTCGTAGTGTGCGCCGTCGTTGATGAGGTCGACGTCGCCGTCTAGATGTGCGAGATTGTTAGTCTTTCTTCTCTTCTTCTCTCAGCTTTATGTCAAGGACTCACCGGTATTAAACCGCTCTTTAAGCGCGCGGATCACAGAAGACGATCCGCTCAATCTGAAAAGACCCTCCTCCCGATTCGCATGGATATAATCAAGATACTCAATACACCGATACAGCACGCTCGGTACTTTAACCTCCCCCTTTTGGATAAACGAAATCTCGACCGCCTGCGCCAGCGGAATCCCAAACACCGCCGCCGCAATCGTCTTGTCGATCGCCTTCAACCCGCCGCAGCTGATCTCGCCCTTGAACTTTGGATCGTCGTCGTAGTCCACCCGGCGCCCGTTCATTTGTTCCTCGTCGTACGTGCGCGAGACAGACGCCCGGTACTCGTACATCGGGTTATTCTTCAACGAGTCCATATCGAGCTGCAAAAACCGCCGCGTATCCTGCTCTTTCTGCTGCTGCTGCCGCACCTGATCCGACATCGCCATCGCCTGCACCGTCAGCCCCGAATCCTGGCTCGTCTCCTTCCGCAGCGAGAAAATGCTCCGCTTCTTTTGCTTCTTCAGGTCCCGCTCGAGCGCATTGCTGCTGTTGCTCGCGCTCAGCCCGCCCTCGTTGTTGTCAAAGTGGGGGAGGCTCGCCGTACTGCTGTCGAACGAGTCAGACTCGAGATCGGTGTACGCGACCGAGGGTACCCACGGCCTCGCGTTCGCGGGCGTGCTGCGTCCGCTTTCTACGGGACTGCTGCGGTACTCTAGACTTGCGGAGCTGCCGTTATTCGCCGGAAGCAAAAGCACACCACCGCCGCCGCCGCCGCCGCTTTGCGAGGTCGCGGGCGACGTCGGCCGTGTAGAGGAAGACGGAGAAGTAGCCGAGTCGTTCGAGTTTCCGGCCGCAGTCGCCGGCCGCCCCATTCTCAGCTTTCGCGAAATCGGAGACGCGATCGAGATCCCTATTCCTTTTGGTTTCTTCTTATTCGGGCTCGACGACGAGAACGGCAGCACGGCCGACGACGCCGACGACGACACGACATCTGCCGACGTCGACACCACGCTCATGATACTCCGCTGGTCGCTCGGCGTCCGGTTGTAGTACCCTCCTGGCATCAGCTGATTCGCTGCAGCAGGACCACCAGGAGGCAGCGTAGGCGACGGCGACGGGGAGTTCGAGCCCGAGCTCGCGGTGAACTCTTTGAGCGCGTCAACCCAATCGTCGCGTTCCTCGTCGCTCTCGGCGCAGAGGATATGACGCGTGAACGAGTTTGAATCAGCTCGTTTGCGCTCGCTGATCTGCAGCGCGTGTCGGTACGCGCGATCTCCTGCGTTCGGCGCGTCGTCGTACTGCCCGTTATTCGGCGTTTCCTGCTTGTAAATCTCCGCGTTCTCGAGCCGGATCGTGCCGACGAGAGACCCGCCGGGGGCGTCAAAGTACTGCAGCTCGGGCCCGTCAAGGACAAAGTAGCGCGCTTTCCAGCCGCCAAAGTTCTTGCCGCGCTTGGTCAGGTAGCCTTCTTTTCTAGTTGCGGCGTCGTAGAGCGCCATTGGGTCCATGATGTCGGTTGACAGAAAGTTGCAAAACAGGGTAGCGGCTTCCACGCTCAGAGATGGTATACTGGTGATTGTCAGAAAGTAGCCTTCGAGTATCCGTCGTCGCTCGTCAACCTTTGAGGGCGCAAGACTGACAAACGAGGACCGCTCCGGTAGTCGTGGAAGCGAATATGCTTGCAGCTGAGGCCGCAGCGTCGCGTCAAGATCACCAAGACTCGCCAGCGTCTTGTTGACTTTCCACCACTCCTTGTCGGCCGTGCGATCGCGGATCGAGAGGATGATGATTGGGTCATCAGATTTGCTGCCGCCCTTGACTTTGTGGAAATTCCGCATGCGGCTCGAGGTGACGTGCACCGCGATCGTGGGCAGGTTCTCGGGCGTGATGAGCGGGCCCGAGGGTTGCGAGATGATGGGCGGGTTGCTGTAGATTGTGTTTGGGTTCGTCGGCGGGAAGACTGCCGACGCGGGGATTATCGATGAGCGCGCATCGCGGGAAGACGCGGGGGACGAAGGCGGGAAATAGACTGGCGAGTCGGGGGATGTCAGGCCCTGGGTAGTAGTCGCGGCAGAGGAGGTAGGCGTCAGTCTTGCGGTGGTTATGGCCGCGACATCAGTCTCCTGCGATGATGAATCCGGGAACCGCGTGTCAGAAATTCCCACGAGACCCAGGCCGTTGGTCGCCGTGCTGATTTCTAGAGTCGGTGGTTGTGGAACTGCAGATGCGGTATGCGAGGCTGAAGTGGAGGAAGCAGAGTCGAGCCGGGAGGGGAAGAAAGACTGCACTCGAGGAGGGAATTGGTCGCTCTTGCCTGTGGTAGGCCGCGAGTCGCCCGGTTTGATAGTGCCGGTCGTCGAACCCAGCGTCGGGGTCGCGAGCTCGCTAGTGCTTTCCTCGAAAGGCTCAGAAATCGCAGAGTCGGCAAGGTCCCTTGCGGTCTGCTTACTACTGCTTTCATACTCGTCTTCCGAATCGATGTACTCGACCGACGACGTAGAATCCCGCTGATCGCGATTCGCCCATCTGATTGCGTACTCGTCCTGCGCGGTAGCCTCGAACGAGAACGAGTCCGAAGTCTGCCGCGCGTGCGCAGCGTCTTCGTTGCCCGCCCGCACCTCGCTCGCAGTCCAGCCGATCTGGTCGTTGACCTCTTGGGCCGACTTCATCGGCAAGCTCGTGATCACCGGTGTTTCGGGAGTCTCAGGCGCGTCGTAGATCGAAGACATGATGGGCGAGGAAGAGGCCGCGTTGGACTCCTCCCTTGCGGTGTCGAAGCTCGAGTCGGCGCCGGAGTCGGAGGTGTGGGAGACCGAGAGCCGGTTGCGATCGAAGGACTCGTTGAACGCGCGGACGAGATCGAAGGCCGACGAGTCAAAGGCCGGGGACTCGGCTTCGGGCGGCGACGCGCGCATGTTGGTGAGAGCGGGCGATCGGGTGATGCTGGCGGTGCGCGCGGTGGGAGTGGGTTCTGATGCGACGGGAGGAGGCGGGGGAGGCATTGTTGGCGCTTGCGGGCTCGTCACGGATTTCGATTTGCGCGGCGGAAGAGGAGGTCCTGTAGGTGCTGGATTGGCTCGTCGGAGGGAGTCTGGGATGTCAGATTGGGTATCAAGAAGTTTTATGTGGAAGAAAGAGCGATGTTACCTCTTATATCACTGATGTCGTTGGATGCGCTGTCGTCGTTGGTACTCTCGACGATCTGAGTGCGTTCAGCGGGAGTACTGCCCGCGCTCGGCGGCGGCGACGAGGACATGACAGGACTTTCCGAAAGTCCCTTGAGCACTTTCAATTTACTCTCGAGTTCGCGGACCCGGTTCTGCAGCGCGGCGGCCTCGAGCTCAGCCGTACGCTGGTTTTGTCGAGCATCGGTCGCGATAGTCTCTGCGCGCGCAAGCGAATCTGTCAGACGGGCGATTTCGGTCTTTTGGGCGTCTGCGAGCGCGGAGAGGTCGGCGACGCGTGCGCTGCAGTCGCATGAGAGCTTGGAGGGCTCGGGGAGCGCCATCACGGGGAGGTTTGCGAGCTCAGAACGCGACGGGGGAGGGATTGAGATGGGGGGAGGAAGAGGGATGGTGCTGCAGAGGAGGAGGTGAGAGTGTGTCTATCCCGGCAGTAAAACAGTATGGCACGGCAGAGGCACCGAAGACTGGCAGACGCAGACCGGATCTCGAGAAGCGGTGAGGTTCTGGAATTGCAGCGAAGGGGGGTCCTGTACTTTTGCTGGGCTTTTGGGGACGCGAGTACTTACACGTGACTTGAACCTTATTCTGGTAAGCGACGCGTGGGCAGCGAGAGGAGGAGGAGGAAGTCTACGCTGAGAGCGGCGGTGATTCTTAAAAATAGAACAAGAAGAAGAAGAAAAGAAGAAAAAGAACAGAAAAAGAGAAGAAGAATAAGAGAAAAAGAGCGGCAGAAGCAGAGAAGAGCAGAGCGGCCGAGTGCATCTGCAACTGCATCTGGTTGGGAGTTTCCACACAATGTAGCAGGTGTGATGCTTCCCGGAACCATATCGACGGATGCAGAGAGTCGGGATGAGGAGGGAAAGAGTGTACACTTCCGGCACTGGCCTCTTCTGCAGATGTAGAACTACGACGGTGCTGGTGAGCTGTGTGGGCGTGGCTGGTAGCTGATAGTTGATTATGAGAGCGTCGCTTTGTCTTGCCTACGCGTGCTGTACGCGTTTGTATCTGTGCTGTCTTTCTATTCGCAATAATGTAGAGATTATAGTCTGCTAGTGGTGCCTCGTCTCCTGAGCTTGTCCTGAGCTTGTCCTGAGCTTGTCCTGAGCTTGTCCTGAGCTTGTCCTGAGCTTGTCCTGAGTTGCATCCAGAACGTGAGCTGATCACTCCAGCTGCAATATCTCGCATTCATGACTCTACTCTACCCTGCTCTCTAGAGTACACCAGATACTCAACGTGAGTAATAGTATTTCAGATTGCCACTGCTCAATTAATCCTTAATCATACATCGCAACTAGGAGCCGCAGCAAAAGTACCTTTTTGATTATTTTGAAAGAAAGACGAAGACGAAACGAAAAAACAGATAACCAACACAAAGCGACAAACAAGAATGCAAACAAAACCCAGAACTCTGCACAAACATAACAAAACAAATACTGTGAATCAAAGTAGTGTATAATCAAAAGAGACTATCTATACATTTTGGAACTCATAAACAACGGAGACATCTAGGATCTGGATCTAGAGCTAAATCTAGAATCCCATTCCAGGTACAAACCCACCCAGCCCTCTGCCGACCGCCCTCGCAACACCAGCACCAGGCGGGATAACTCCGAGCCTGGGCATTTCGTCAGACGGAGGCGGGGCTTCGATGCTGACCGAGACGATGTTTTCGCCGCGGAGGATGACGAGACCGAGTGTTCGCTTCTCTTCGATGGTTTCTGAGGTTGCTGCTGTCGATGTGCCGGCTTTGGCGGCTTGTCGCTTTGCGCTGGCGGCGCGGCGGGTGAGTCTGAATTCTTCGCAGTCGGCGAGGACGATGTTCATAAACTAGAGGGGTTGGTTAGATCAGGAGTGCTCCAGAAAGTGAATAAGTGAGCCGTGCGTACCTTGTCGAAGGCCAGCATCTGGCCTGTTAGTTGTCGGCCGTCCTCCATCACGACACGCATCCTGTAGTTGATCAGGTCCGACTGTGGAAGAGGTTAGTATTGACGCGTGGGTTAGTTGAAGCAATTGATATTACCATCTTTGCTCGCTTCGAGGCCTGCGTTGTGTTAGCGATGATGTTATAACATGCAGCAATGGATCTTTAATCTTTGATAGAGAAACACATACCATTTTGTGTATAGAAGTACTTGCAGTACTTTAAAGTGATTCGAGGGTAGAACAAGCAGGATACTAATAATGAATGAATGCTGTTGTATCTCGACTGATTCTCCATACGAGTTCCTGTCCTGAAACCTTAAACCGGCGCTGGCTGCGGTGCCGCTGTGTTTTGCTGTTTGTGCTGTGCACCAAACCCTCCCCACTTGTGCTCAGTGTAGGGTTGCGCCCTACACTCACTAAACGTGACTGCTCTTCTCAGCTCTGCGCTCGCTGCGTGTCTGCCAGAGGAAGTCACCGCCATCAGCTTGAATCTCGAATTCAGTCTGCAGTCCCATCAACAACAGCACAGCACAGAAGCAATGGTATGTTTGGATTGTTATACTATTACACAGCTGTATACTGTTATTATAGCTATATACTATTGTAACAGCTATACACTCTCTTAACCACCTCGATCTAACACAAATGCAGGCCGACAAGTCCTCCAACCCCATGCGCGAGCTGCGCATCGAGAAGCTCACCCTCAACATCTCGGTCGGCGAGTCTGGCGACAGACTTACCCGTGCCGCTAAGGTGCTTGAGCAGCTCTCCGGTCAGACCCCCGTCTACTCCAAGGCCAGATACACCGTCAGAACTTTTGGCATCAGAAGAAACGAGAGAATCGCCGTCCACGTCACCGTCCGAGGACCCAAGGTCAGCATTATTCATATTCATTCTAGAGAGGAGAGGAGATGGATGGAGGGTTAAAGAGAATTTATATTGACTAATGTTTATCAAGGCTGAGGAGATTCTTGAGCGTGGATTGAAGGTCAAGGAGTACGAGCTCCGACGAAAGAACTTCTCGGAGACCGGCAACTTTGGCTTCGGTATCTCTGAGCACATCGATCTTGGAATCAAGTACGATCCTTCTATTGGTAAGTCAAACTGCACTGCTTTGATGTGATTTTAGTGATTGTGATATGCGATATGGGTAGATGCATATGGCAGAGAAGAAGAACAGCAGACTAACGCGAACCAGGTATCTATGGTATGGACTTCTACGTCTGCCTCGCCCGCCCTGGAATGAGAGTCGCTCGCCGCAAGCGTGCGTCGGCCAAGGTCGGTGCCCAGCACAAGATTGCGCGGGAGGACAGCATCAACTGGTTCAAGCAGAAGTACGACGCTATTGTTTTGTCGAAGTAAAAAGTTTATACAGCACGAATTGTATTTATGTAATATTCAATCTGGTCGAAAGTAGTCAGTGAAGTGGTGTTCAAGGAGTAGTAGAGTAGAAGAAGAAGTAGAAGTAGAAGTAGAAGTAGAGTAGTAGTAGCAGTAACTAGTTAAGAGTCTAGAAGCAGTAGTCATCCATTACATAACACTCTTACATAATCCACCACTAATCACCCAAACGGGCTCCGGTCGGTGCAGGCCCGGAGCCAGCAGAGCCGGGCCGGTCGAGCCACAGCCAACCACGAGCGGGCATCTTCTGTTTTCACCTGCCGGCTTTCTCTCCTCCTCCTCCTCTTCACCACCTCTTCGCCAACTTGCTGTCTGCTGCTGCCGTAATACGCCCAATTGACCCAATTCCACAATGCTGAGATCCTCTGCTGCCAAGGTGTGTCCTGTGTTCTTTTGCTTGCTTCCTCGTTGGCTTCTTGTTCTCCGCCGGCCTGCTAACCTGTCCCTCAGCTCTCGAGATCCGCGATCCCCCTCGTCGGTGCCCGCAACGCTACCTCCCTCGCCCCCACCTCCGACATCTTCAAGCCGTTGAAGTACGGCGGAAAGTACACCGTCACCTTGATTCCCGGTTAGTCCATGCTCCTTCCTCATCCTCACCCTCTCTCTCTCTCTACTAACATCACCCAGGCGACGGTATCGGTGCCGAAGTCTCCGAGTCCGTCAAGACCATCTTCAAGGCCGACAACGTCCCCGTCGAGTGGGAGCAGATCGACGTCACCGGCGTCGGCAACTCCGAGGACGGCATCCGCGAGTCCGTCCAGTCCCTCAAGAAAAACAAGGTCGGTCTCAAGGGAATCCTCTTCACCCCCGTCGAGCGCTCGGGACACACCTCCTTCAACGTCGCCCTCCGCCAGGAACTCGACATCTTTGCCTCCCTCGTTCTCATCAAGAACATCCCCGGCGTCGAGACCCGCCACAAGGGCATCGACATGTGTCTCATCCGTGAAAACACCGAGGGCGAGTACTCCGGTCTCGAGCACCAGTCCGTCCCCGGCGTCGTCGAGTCGCTCAAAATCATCACAAAGTACAAGTCCGAGCGCATCTCGCGCTTCGCCTTTGAGTTTGCCCTCAAGAACAACCGCAAGAAAGTCACCGTCGTCCACAAGGCAAACATCATGAAGCTCGCCGACGGTCTCTTCCGCCAGACCGTCAAGGACATGGGCGCTGAGTATCCCACCCTCACCACCAACGACATGATCGTCGACAACGCCTCCATGCAGGCCGTCTCCTACCCGCAGCAGTTCGACGTCCTCGTCCTCCCCAACCTCTACGGCTCCATCCTCTCCAACATCGGCGCCGGTCTCGTCGGCGGCCCCGGCCTCGTCCCCGGCTGCAACATCGGCCACGAAATCGCCGTGTTTGAGCCCGGCTGCCGACACGTCGGTCTCGACATCAAGGGCAGAAACCAGGCCAACCCGTCCGCCCTCCTGCTCTCCTCCTCCATGATGCTCCGCCACCTCGGCCTCGACGCCCACGCCGACCGCATCTCCAAGGGTGTCTACGCCGTCCTCGCCGAGGGTAAGGTCAGAACCCCTGACCTCAAGGGCACCAACAGCACCTCCGAGTTCACCAAGGCCGTCCTCGACAAGATGGAGACTTTGTAATTCCCTCTCTGTTCTTCCGTCATAGACTCGTCTTTCTTCCATAAATAATGAACCAGATCCGCATGCTTGATGCTGCGCATTAGCATGTCATCCACGCTTCTTTATTATGTCATTTTTCTCTATCTTTTTCCTCCTATTTTTGGCAATGTTTTTCATTTTAATCTCATGATCCTCATTTCTTTTATTTTTATTTCTTCTTCTTATTTTATCATAAATGCAATTATCTAAGAAATGGTAGCATACATGAATCGTAATAGTACAAAACACCACCACTACTGACTAGATGGTAAAACAACTCTCCGAACGCCGGTCCACAAACAGTGGAGTGAAAAGAACTATCAATGAACACAAACACGAAAATCACAATGAACAAACACACATCAAAACTTTGGCCGTCTCTTGCGGCCCGTAAACTGACTGTCCAAAGCCACAAGCTTCCCCCGCTTACGCATAAGCTCTTTCTTCCGATTAATGTACTCCTTTGTACTTTCCTCCTTCCTATTCTTCTTCGACGTCCGTCTTGCCGCGTGCTGCTTATCGATCTTGACGCCCTTGAGATTGATATCGTTCGTCGTGATATTCCCCGCCGTCAGAATCAAGTAGTACTTCCGATTCTTCTTCTTGTCCTCGTCGTCAATCACCAAACCGCCAGCGAATCCCGCAGTCTTGGCCGCCCCCAGAATCTGCTCGACCTGTCTATCGTCGCGCGGATAGAACTGGCATGCGACTTTCCCTCCCCTGCGCAGCGCCGCGTACAGCGTGTCAAAGAACCGCGCCAGCCGCCGCTTCGGGTCGGCCGTGTTTGTGTCGGCGTTGCACAGCCACTGGATCGCGCTGATACTAATCACGGCGTCGAACGAGCCCGCGCGAAACGGGATCCCCGCGCCCATATCCGCCAGCAGCAGATCGCCGGGCACGTCCCTGTCGAGCGCGACCGCCAGCATCGACGGCGAGATATCCATGCCGACCCAGACATGCCCGCCTTCCTGGCTGAGGATCTCGCCCGAAAGTCCGGAGCCGCAGCCAATGTCGAGGATGTGCTGGTGCGGGTCGAGGGCGAGCAGATCGAGCGCGCGGAGCGTCATCTCGGCTTGGATGTGCTGGATGCGCGAGGAGGAGGTGTATTTCTTGGACTCGGTCTCCGAGTAGAAGACTTCCGGGGGAGCTGTTGTCTCGGGCCGCGACATGCTGAGTAGTGTACAGAGGGAGAGTGAAGAGGTGGTGGTGGTGGTGGGTTCTGAGGACGAGCAAAGACCAAAAATTTTGGTCGAAAAAAAAGGTTCGGACTCAAACTCCCAACGCTGTTGACTACCTTTAATAGGACACGATTTCTTACAACTATTTACAAATAAGCAGCAATATAGCAGGATTGAAGGTAGCTGATTGTTTTTGATTGTATTTGTGTGCTTGTGCAATTCAAAATAACCTATACTTCCTTGTCTACTCTATCTTCCTAAACTTGAGCCTGCGATCCTGCTACAATACTCGAGTTGTTCAAAAGTACATACACCTTTCCTACAAAGACATGAGGACCATGTAGCTGTATTACGCCCTTGCAATCCATATAGGACTTTGCATCCGTAGAGGACAAATCGACCAACATGTAGATACATACAAACAAACCATACAACGTACGTACACCCATGCTCTACCTCTCGTTCGCCATCGCACTCGATCACCCACACGAACCTATCAGATCCCTGTGTCTGCATCCGCACAACTTAAATCAAACTCAAGAAAGGACAAACAAAGACGAGATCATATCAAATCAACTCATACGATCCGCGCGTTGCCTCCCCGCGAATTCTCGTCCCCCAGCCAATCACCCGCGCGACCTCGGCGATGCCCTCGCGGATCTTTCCAATCACTACCTTCGCCATGCCCTGGCCCTTTGCATACGCGCGCGCCCGATCGCCCGCTCCGACGCCGAATCCCGAGCCGCCTGCCGCGCTGCCGCCGCCGAGCGGGCCCCCGCCGGCGCCGCTGCCGCTTGAAGACCCAGAACCGGCGTCCATGGTCGAGGGGAGGACGTTGTCGCCTGCGGAGAGGGAGACGAAGAGCGAGAAAGGGACGAACCAGACGCAGATGCCGAAGAAGGAGGAGACTTCGGAGAAGGAGGGGAAGGAGGCGGGGGGTTCGTAGAGGGGCGAGGAGCGGAGGGTTGGTGGGGGGATTGAGGGGCGGGAGAAGTGTTGGAACCAAAAGTAGTGGTTGAGGAGGACGAGGACTGGGGTGTGGTTAGCGGCTGTGAATCAGAGACGTGTATATATGCATATGTATAGATATTCGCATCAATCAGGAGCCCGCATGAATCAGAGCAATTGACGTGAGAAGAGAGACATACCACAGCTGGCAATAAAAGTACTACTCGAGAGCTGAATGAACGGAAACTGTTTGAGGTTCTGAAAGTAAACGAGCTGGGTGGCGATCGAAAAGATCGTGAGCCAGAACGGGAAATGATCAAAGAGCAGGAGCAGGACGTGTATGCCGATGATTCCAAATATCAGCTTTTCCAGCAGCCGCTTTGTGAATCGCGAGTGCTCCTCGACCAGTTCTGAGAGGTAGTAGAGACCCGCGGCTGTGTGTGATTAGAAGAAAATGATTAGCTTGTGCTGAAAGGAAAAAGAAAAGAACGGAGGGGAGATCAGGGTGGTTACCGATTGCAAGGGTGAGGAAGACGAAGCCCACCAGGATGCCGATGTAGGACAGCAACGCCAGGAACATCGCAGACGATTGAAGATCAATGAATCGAGAATCAGACAGGCAGCAGCAAACAGTTCAAGATTATACGACTAAAACAATGCGGTAGAAGAGGAATTGGAGGCGGATTGCGATGATGCGAAGGTGAATGGACTTCGAACGGACAAAAAGGTGAGGACGGGCAGGGCAGGCGCGGGTTGTGAACAGCTGTGCCTTTCCACATTCAGAGATATAAGACCGCAAAGCACTGTTTTTTCTGCTATTTGTTTATCTATTCATAAACTACATCTACATCTTACTCTCTACAACATCCCCTCTTTTCTTTATATTCCACCTCTCCGCTGCCAACCAGCGACCCTTCTCGCGAATCCGCCCTCTCTCCTACCTCAATCCACAACCCCAACCCTCCGCTTCTCGACATTTTCGTGAACTTCACCTTCACGACTGAAAACCGTCGACCGTCGTCCACTTCCGCTCTTTCCCCTCCACCACCGCTACACTCCCCCGTCCGCAGGCGTAAACAGTGCAAGATGACTATCCGGTTTCAAGGAATATCGATGCGGGGCAATGCCCTGGTCAAAGTAAGTCCCGCCCCCTCCGCCGTCTTTTTCCTCCTCCTCCTCCTCCTCCTCGGCTTCAACTAACACCACCCCCAGCTCGTGCTAGTCAACAGATTCACCGGCCTCGGCCGCCACAACGCGGAGCGGATCTGCGCAAAGCTGGGCTTTTACCCGCGCATGCGCGCGCACCAGCTGCAGGAGCCGGATCTGCTCGCGCTCGCAAAGGAACTGCAGGGCTACACCGTCGGCGAAGCATACACCAACTCTGTGCGCGACAATATCAGATCGAAGAGAATTATTGGTACTTTTGCTGGTCGTCGCCATGCTCTTGGGTGCGTTCTCCTCTTTTTTTCTAATTTCCAAGTGTTTGTGGTTGTGATGGATAATTAACGTGCGTTTTTTTTGTTATTAGATACCCCGTGAAGGGACAGCGGACAAAGAACAACGGTTTGACCGCCCGAAGACACAACAGAGGCCAATGGGACACAGAAAAGCGCAAATTCACAACTCTTCGACAACTCGACCTCGCTCCGTCCGTGTCCACCGTCGTCGGAACCTGGGCTGTGTACGTCTCTCATCTCATCTTTTTCTCGTTCTCGTTCTTTGAGGATTTAAGCTAACTGTTTTGGATATATAGCAACGCTGCTGTGCGGGCAAAGGTCCTGGTCGACAAGATCAGGTTTTGGTGAAAATACCGGCGGGAGAGGAGCTCGCGTGGCATTGTACATACTACATACATAACATAACGACCGGAGATATCTATCGCACAGCGCAAGAAATCATGTTTGTATAATAATAATACTACAAGACGTCTATGACCTCGACATAAGCTAGAAGTGTATTTCTAAAACTGTGATTATACGACGAGAATATGCGTGACTAGAGAACAAACGCCAGATGCAATCAATATACAAAAAAACCCGACCAGCTGGAGCGCTGATTAACAACCAACCCCAGCGCAAACAATACAAATAAAAATGTACACAGGAACGGAAAACCCCTCTGCTCGCTCAAAGGATGATACAATAGCAACAAGAAATAAAAATAAACCCAAACCAGAGCAAGTACGCAACGAAGCGAGTAGACAGACCCCCGATATGAATGAACCCGCGGTGTTTATAGCGGAATAATGATAATCGTCGAGACAAATATGAAAAAAAGAAAGTAGGAAATGACGGAGGATTCAGCTTAATCCGGACGGTTTCTGCGGGTTGAGGTATACGCCTACTAAGCAGTTTGGTTCTTGATGGAGTAATATCCGTCTACATGCACCAAATCAGTCAGTCAGTCTCTCAACACGCAAACAGCAAAATCAGCAAGACAGCACCACGCAAACTCACGATTTCCGATACTCAACAGCGCCGTTTCCAGACTCATCCAAAACAGACTCTTTGGCAGCCAGGAAGAGTTTCGAGGCATCTTCTTTCTGAGCTACCCCTCTCACTATATTCTATCGTCAGTATTCCCGCTTCCTTCTCTCTCTCACGTTCGCTTATCGCGACGACAAGATGAATAAACAAACAGCAGAATAGAAACGACGCACCATCTAGACACATCCCGGTCTTGCTATCAATCAAGATAAACCCGTTCGCAGGCGTACTCAACGTCGCCGATCTACCTCATCCCATCGTCAGCCCTCTCTCTCTCTCTCTCTCTCTCTCTCTCTCTCCCCTCTCCCCCTCTCTCACTAAAACTCACATTTTATCAAACCAATTATACGAACTCGTCGCAAACTCCATCGCGCGCTTCAACTATTATCACAGGGGATGATATATAGAACACAAGAGTCTAGGAGAAGGTAAAGGGGATCAAAAGTGCCAGGCCGAGGTTTAGGTTCTCGGCGGACACGGGCGTTTCCGACGGACGCTGCTGCTGCGCTCGCTCGCTCGAGCTGCTGCTGCTGATAAGCCGTGTTTTTGTCTCTTCTTTACCTGCTTTGTTCACTACTGATATTCACTGTTAAACTAAACAGGAAATACTCGCTGCTTCTTCAATACTCCTCTACAATCAACACCTCTTCACTCCTTGCTCGTACTCGACCTCCACTCTCTACTCCTCTGCATCCTCGTCTAAAACTCTGATTCCACTTTAACTCAGTTCGCTATCTCGGAAGATTACCTCACGCACGAGTCATCCAGATCTGACTCTTTCACCCCCATCTCTACTACTACAGCTTATGTGTTAAGTCAAACAGGAGCGTATTTTTCAATATCAAGAAAATATAGATACAACAACGTAACATCAAACCACAAAAATAATATAGAAAGCACATACTCATCTTCTTTCTCTTTTTTCACAATAAGATAATATAAGATAATAAAAACAGCAAAAACGCATTTATAAAAACAACTCTTCTCTCGCCTGCAACTGCGCACATCAAAAAGACGCTTTTCTCTCTTACATGCCAGTCATTCCCTGCGTAAGCATCAGCCGTCCGCCGCCGAGGATCGGTCCCATCGGCGCCATCTCCGCGGCGGCCTGGTTCTCCTTCTCCTTCGCCTTCTGCTCTTCGACAAAGGCCTCCAGAGATTTGATCTTTGTCTCTTGCTCTCTTCTCTTGTTGATCAGGTAGGGCTATAAGAATGTTAGTATATAAAAGCTGCTTCAAAAGAGAAAAACAAAAAACTCACAGTAGTGAAATCACTGAGACTATGTCTCCACGACAACTCGGCAACAATATCCTCGCGGATGAGATCGTAGCAGGTATACAGCATCGCCGCATAGCACTCCTTATTACCCACATCAACAAAGTACTGCAACAGCTCCTCCACAACCTCGATCTTCCCGCTCACCGCCGCGGTCTCGATCGCGTCCTTGAACAGCTTATCCGACTTTGACAGCTCGATCGACTGCGCCCACCGCTTGTTGTTGCGGTAGATCCGCGCCGCGATCTGGCGGAAGAAAATCAGCCCGTCGGACTCGAGCCGCTTCGCGAGATCGAGCGGGTCAAAGTTGTCAAAGTTGTCGACAGAGTCACGCAGAGACTTGTAGTCCTCTTCCTCGATCAAAAGCTCGTGGTACGCCTTGTTCACCGCCGCGTTGTTCTGGTTCTGGACTGCGACCAAAAACGGCTTGATCAGCGGGATATTGTCCGACTTTTCAAACATCCGCACAACTCGCGTCACATCAATCCGCGGCGTCAGCGCAGTCAGCAAATCAGTCAACAGCTGCGGCTGCTCCGCAAGGTAAAAGTTCAGCGCGCGGTAGTAAATCTCCAAGTTGGCGACCTTGACAATGATCTCCTTGAACGCAGAGTGCTCGAACGCGTCCGCCGCATGCTCCATGATCGCCAACGCTGCATTGTCCCACTCGTCGTAGTGGCAGTACAAAAACACAAGCTCCGGCCACAGGTGCGCATCCTCGCACGCCCGGATCGCCTTCGGAATGTTGATCCGCGACCAAAACAGCTTCAGGTGCTCCATCATCTTCTCCGGGTGATACTTTGAGTACAAAATCGCGAGCTCCGTAAACATGCCCATATGCGCGCGCTCAAGTCCAAGACCCTGCTCGAGCAAAGCAATCAGCTCGTCAAAGTATCCGTTCTTCTCGTACGTGTTTACAAGATCAAGCAACTCCTCGGCATGAACAATAAGGTTAAGACCGCAAATCTGCGCAAGTCTAAACTCCTTCTTGTCAATACACGCCTCGTTAACCTGCTTCCACACCTTGATACTGCCCGCCTTGCGCGCAGAGTCGACCGCGGCCTGGTAGTCGCCAATGTACACAAGCGTCGACGCCAACTTGGCCCAGTTTGAAATCGATCGGTACAAGATCCGCGCGGCGTCGTAGTTCTTCTCCTCAAACAACGAGTCTCCGACCTCCTCCACATTCGCAACATTCGCGCCCGACAAAAGCTCCTCAAACTCAGGAAGCTTGCCGACCCGCGCGTACGAAAGCAAAAGCTGGCTGTCGACAGCCGGCTCGCGAATCGTTTTCCGCGCAAGGTTCAAAAACTTGATCAGCTCATCGTCCTTGCCCGCGCGCGACGCAATCTCAATCACCTCCAGGTAATTGCTCGGGTCGTTCGCGCGGATGTAGGACTCGATCGAGTCGTTGATGCGTAAGCCGTTGAGCTGCGCGCGTCCGAGCAAACTCCAAACCTCGGGCGTGTCGACTTTCTCGGCATATGTCTCGGCACGGTCAAGCGACATGATGTGGTCGACCAGCACTCCAATAGCCGCCTGGTGGTTCTTCTGCTTCTTGTAGATCTCGAATCCTTCCTCGTGCAGACCGCTGTCGATCGCAATCTGAGCAATATCATCGGCGTCGTAGCTGTCCAGTCTATGAATGTAATCCATGACCTTGGCCTTGTCAGCCTTGATCGCAGTCAAAATAAGCAAGTTCTGCAAGTTCGTGTTGTCGTTGAACGGCGAAGGCTCTAAAACAATCTTCTCCAACAACTCAATCAACTCAATCGGCAGATCCGCAGACATAAACGCCTGCACAGCAACAGACACGTCATCCGGCGAGCTCGACTCGGGAACCGCAGTCGCCACAACCTGGTCAACCAGCTGACGACGGTGGATGTTGTTCTCGTTCAACACAAGCGCCCACAGCTCGGCGTCCGCGCGCGCGACAAGGTATCGCGCCTGGTGCTTGAACATCGAGTTCTCGTTCGTGATCTGGATCAGCTCGACGTCGTTCTGTCCCTTCTCGTAGGCGATAAAGGCAAGGTACGGGTCGCGCTTCTCGCAGTACTTTCCGACAATCAGCGAGTTGTACAAGCTGTTCTCGCGCAAGAACTTCTCGGGGTTGTTGTTGCTGTCGATGTAGATCTTGGCCAGAGCATTGTAGAGCGCCGGATCCTGCGAGCCGCTGGCCATGGTAGCCTCCAAGAACGGCAAGATGAGCTTCAGTCGGTTGCGCTTCTCGACCTCGTCGACGAGCTCGTCAAGAGGCACCAAGCCCATGACCGATTGCAAGAGAGTCTTGATGATCGACTCCTCGCAGTCGACGTCAAGCAATCCACCAATGACCGCGGGAGTGCGCGTGGGGTTAACCTTCTGCACATAGGTCTCAATGAACTGGAACTGCTGGTTCTGGTACAAGTACAAGACAAGATCGTGGATGTAGTTGAACCGGTCGCAAACAATGATGAGCGGGAGCTGGTCGGCAAGCTTGGCCTCCTTGAGAAAGTTCTTGACCTTCTCCGGGTTGTACACGTTGTTGTCGCGGCAGATGCGCTCGACTTCCGTGAACTGGCCAATCTGGCACGCCGATCGAATGTACTTGAGCACAACGTCGGGATCCTGCGTGAGATTGACAGTGCTCTGCAGGTAGTAGTACAGACCCTCGAACGACTTGAACTCCTCAAACAGCGAGATGATGCGCTGGGGTCCGAGCAGGTCAGAGTACTTGATGGCAATCTGAATCACAACCTGCAGATTCTGTCGGATGTTCACCCGCAGCATCTCGTGCAGGCACTCGAGCGACTGCTCGACACTGAGCTTGTTGCCAAAGAACTGCACGAGCCAGTCCGGGTTGAGCACGTTGGTGTGCACAATCACGCGCTTGATGTCGCCAATGTCTTCGTAGTGCTCGAGCGCACGCTGGAACAGACCGGCCTTCTCGCAAAGCATCGCGATACGGCTCTTGTCGTAGTAGCTAAACATATCGTTGCCAAGAATGGCGTCGGCAACCTGCGGCGCGCTCATGAGGTTCATCTCCAACAGACGAGTCTGCAGCGCACCTTGCTCGGGAAGGTTATCCTTGAGCGCATCAAGCAGGAACGCTGTCGCCTGCTGGATCATGTTCTGCGACATGAAAATGTCGACGACCTTGCTGAGATCGACCAGCGCGCCACCTTCGTGGTTGGCAAGCTGGGTCGCAAACTCGGCTCCCTTCTCGGGATTGATGCGCACGAGGTTCTGCAGCAAGACCGAAAAGTCAGGCGTGTAGCCGACCTTGGAGCAGTACGGTAGAATCTTCTCAAACTGACCGGTCTCGGCAAAGCAAGCCACGACCTTGGCGGGCGCATTGCCGCGAAGGTAGACACTGAGCGCGAGCATAGGATCGTAGCCGTGCACAACATCTCCAAGCTCCTCAGAGCACTCGAGCTTGTTCTCCTTCAGCCATTTCTCGAGCAATGCCTTCTTGTTGGACGACAAGACCGGGCGCGCAAGCTCAATAGACTCGTGGCGGTTGAGAGTACCCTTGTCGAGCAACGTGCCAAAGTACTGCAGAATAGGCGAGGGCTGGCCGGGAACAGACGGCAGGTGCTTGAACTGCTCGATCGTCTGCGGAGTGCGCAGGATTCCGCGGGGAGAAGTGGCAGCAACGCGGGCGGCATCCGCGTACTGGCCGGCGGCAATAAGCTGCGAGAACTGCTGGACGTAGAGATCGTCGGCGCCCGAGAGACCCGCGCGCGAAGCGAGAGCGATGGCGATGCCAGGGTTCTGGAGGGTCTTGAGGATGTATGGGATGACGGTATTCTCATCAACAGCAACCGACAGAACCTGTCCCTTTCTGTTGATCGCCATAATTCCCGAGGACGAGGTATGGATGGTCGAGGTGAACACCATCGCGTTGCATATTCTGTTCATGAAGATGCAAGTTCCGCTGTCGAGGTCGTAGAGGTGGATGAAGCCGTGCTTGGTCAGCATGTACAGGATACCGTACTTCTCCGACGCCTGCAAGGCAACAGGGAAATCCGACGCAGCGTCGGCGGGTATGTAGATATCGACGGCCTTCTTTGCGTATTTGGGACCGGCGGCCTGCGGATCGATCTCGATGATGTGCAGCTTCGCGCCCGTGGCGGACCGGGTGGCGAACGAAAACAGCTTCGAGTCCGAGGTCGCGCCGTCAAGGCGGAGACGGGCAAAGGTAGCGGCGTGGCCCTCGATGGGTTGCGACTGCTTGCGATCCATCGAGTAAAGCTGCATGTGTCCGACTACGCGTCCTTGCTCGGAGGCGATTCCGACCAAGACACTCCATTTTCCGTCATGGTCGACATGGTAGTTGATCAATTGGCAGGCCTAGAATGTCAAATAAGTTCTGATTAGTCGGCATACGCTAGAGTAGTTAAAGAAGCATACTTACAGCAAGCGAAACGTGGCGCTCAGTAATCTTGACGGGCGCAGCCTGGGTGGAATCAATGATATCCCAGTGGTAGATGCTGGTATCAGTGACCAAGACGATCGACTTATCATTGAACCACTTCCAGTACACGACGTCCTCGTCCATGACGTGCGACTTGAGTTTCTGCTTGAGATCCAAGTTGAAGATCTGCAGCGTGCGGCCCTGGGCGCGCAGCGCAAGTACGTTCTGCGACGGATTCATGATTGCCGAGTCGGCGGAGATGTTGCGTCGCACGATGCTGTTGCCATTGTGGAGATCGATGATGACAACCTGGGCACCGGCTTCGGTGGTCTCGCGGACGCTACAGCATTGTTAGAACAGTCCAATCTCATCAATTACGGCGCGGAAGATACGCATCAACTCGCAGAAATGCCATCGAAATACATACCAAATGTAGTGATCGCTCTCAAGAGTACATGTATTGAAACCAATGGACTCCTGGGGGATGCCGATTGACATCAAATTCAGGTGCTCCTGAAATTGGATTGGCAAAGCAGCTTCTGCCATGATGAAATGCTGTAACTTTTGCTTCTTCTTTGCTCGCCAATTGTTTCAGCTCAATACTAATATTGAATGGCTTCTTTCTTGCTTGTCTCTTCCGAGGGAGTTATGATTGGAGAAGGTTGCTCGAGAAGAGTCTGAGAACCGATCCGAATCAAAACAAATCTATCCGATCTACCAATACAGACTGTGCAGAAAATCAAAAATCAGCCGGCTATTCATCAAACACGCAGAATCCGATCACGATCGCCCGAGAGCGGCATGCAAACCAAAAAGGCGGTGCGTCGAACAAGCTGCGATGCTGTTCCGCTCCTCGGCTGCCCCCCTCCCCGAGGCGTCCGAACGCAAGGCCAGAAAAGATAACACCGCCCCGCTCACCCGGGACCCAATCGCAATCAAACAAAGCTAATCAAATTAACAAACAGCACTGCAAAGCTCACCGTGTATCGAACCGCGTCTGGTCTAGTGAGGATTGGATGTCGATGAAGAAGGCAGGTGGATGGGATGCGCAGGCTGGAGAAGGGGTGTGGGCGGATATCGTTTCGACGCTGCATCGACGTGGCTCGGATGCGCTCTCAGCTGCTGCGCGCTATGCCCGTGAGTTGTGATATGCACGTGACTTCACTCACATATACTGTTTTCAGATTATAATTGAGTGCTGCTGGATTGATAGGTGTTGGATAATTGTAGGTGTATATTGTCTGTTTACTAGAGATACAATGCTCGAGGTCTATAGAGTACTGTGTGGTTTCTGTGGCTGGATCATCTTCAGCTTGATCTGACCTGTGATCCACACCGACGACGAACGGCTGCGACCATCCCAGTCTACAGTCTCAGCAATTGTCCCTACTTTCGCAAATCTCCTTGAGTCTTGATTTGACGCGACTGAATCTGCCTGGAGCGATGGCCATTTGTGCTCTAGAGGCTATGGTATTGTGAAGACGTGCTGTTGATAGATCAGCGCGATTGTTCAGCGCGGCGTTCAGCGCTGGTTTTCATCTCTGATTCTCTGTAAGCCATCGAGCTGCAGTTTGCACTGTCATAGCGGAGACTCTTATTTGAGTCGTGTGGATGTTTTTTTGGCTTCAATGATGCCGTACGACTAGCAACATCTTATGCTTTGTTCAAGCTTCGTAACGACAATTTCACGGCGCCTTCAAAAAGCTCTTATTCGAGAATCATGATCCGCCAGAGATAAAAGTTGCAAGCATGCCCCGCCTATTTCATCGCTGTGTATGCTACGATTGACCAGATCGCTTACACTTTTGTGTATGAAGACGATATGTATATGGGTTTCTGCACTGTTACCCCGCCACTACTTCTGAGTACGATGGATCTGGAAGTAACTGCTACTCCCATCATATCTGACTGAGACTCTGCTTTGGCTTCTGTTGTGTCCTTTTTGGAATCAATCTCATGATTCGCAAAGGGCGCGTGGAAATCCACTCTGCGACTCACTGTTGCTGGACATATTTGATTAAATACTGTAGACTTCGCGCGATCGTCGCAGCGTGGATCCAGCTCAGAGCTATTTACATAACAATGATATTCTTACCGAAAAGGTTTTGTAATAATCTCTTTTTGACTGCATAAGAGCACAGAAGATTATCGCGATGAGTACAGATCGCAGATTGATACTCAAATCAATCAGTACCTTGCGCTGTAACGGTTCGGTTCTCAGCTCAGATCTGCATGTACAAAGCTGACCTAGTTGCATATAATGAGCAAATGTGAAGAGAATGAGAAACGAATGTTGAGTAGATACTAAAGCAGACGGGCACAAATATGTGCGCAAAGCTATTTATACTCTGGCGTAGATACAAAGAACATGGCATAAGACAATGGAACACAAATCTCAATGTACCGGTTTATTCACGCAAACAAGGGATTGTCTATCCAACAGCGCACGAAATTTCTCCATTCAATACACAAAACTCCCTCAGACGTCTTCCACGAACGCGCGAGCGCTGCGATGATTTATATCTGAAATATTGAAATATCAGCACCGACCGAGTCGCGCAATCTTCACAGAATCCCTGCATCGCTTCGACAGCTCAGCTTTCGATATTCTCCAAACAGCTCCGACCATCAAGACGGTTCAGTTTTCGTTTGGGTAGAAGTCACTGCTGGTTAGAAATTAGAAATGAGTGCTGTGTAGAAAGAAGTGCGCGACGGGGTCGGTTGCGCGGCGGGGTGAGTGTGAGCAGTAATTATTTCAGCACCGAGTCGCGCGTTCATCAAAGTACCCTTGCAGCGCTTCTTTAGCTTAACTTCTTTTATTCCTCTGGCTAGCTTCGACGCCTACATGCGTATACTCTTTTAGAAAAATATATACCATAGATAGGTAAAAATACGCTTTGCAAAAGTAGACGAGCCGGTTTATATGGTAAGTCCTCGACTGTATCAGCTGTGTGGTCCACCGATACGAAATTCCTCCAATATTTCCACATGATATCTCTCCTTCCAGGCAACCATCAAATATTCCTCTCCGATCAAGTTCTGTTGATCCAAACAGCTGAGTGGATAAGACGAGTCTGGTCTGTACATGGATTTCTAATCTTGGGTATTTGGTCAGGTTAAGAGCGCTGTACATGAGTGCGTGTTCGCGCGATATCCTCCTTCTCAAGAAGAGGAAGAGCTGCGAGAGCTCATCAGCCCCCTCATCCACCACCCGCGTCTCCACCCAGCAAAAGCAACAACTAAAAATCCGACATCACATCTCTCAAATCAAAAAAAAAAAAAACTCATCATTATGCGTTGCATACGAGTATATCCACCACCGCTTACGCGTTACAAATAAAAAAAGTAAATCAAGACGTCGTCACCGACGCTTTATTTACACCTTTCCGAAACGGGTATAATAATAACCAAGCAACCCACCCGGCGGCCTGTCAAATTTGCTCACGATGGGTACCTTTTCTAGGGTTTTTGATTAGCTTTATTTTTGTAGATGTGGAGTATTTATTGCTCAGGATATTAGTTAGAATGCAGATACGGTAGGAGGTAAACATGGAGAGCTGATGAGAAAGTGCTTGCTTCTGGAGAGGAAGGAGTAGAGCGCCGCTTGATACTACGTAATTGGATGCACGCAGCGTATCACCCACCCGACCAAAGAAACATATGTCTTTCTGCTCTAGGCTTCTTCCGACTAAAGAAATCGCATGGAAAATTCTACAATAGAAGAACAGGCACGAAACCACGAGAAAAAACCGCACCATAAACCATGACGTCATCCGCCATCTCAAGAAATCATCTCAATCATCGTCATCGCCTCTCAGCGCAATTAGTCTACGGCGGCGGCGGCGTGCCTTGTTCCTCGCAAACTATCGTCACACGTAAAGTAGAGAGTAAAGGTGATCGGCGCGCGCTGTTCTTGCAAGGTACACAGGCAGCCGTTCTGGAGCCGGGCGATAACGCTAATTAGTTTTTTGTTTTGCTTCTATTGCTGAGGGTGGTTTTCTTCACGCGTGGCGGATGCAGAGGGAGTGGGTTTATGCAATGTACGCGCCTCGTGGCGGGAGGTTCGTCAAGTCAAGCATCAGGAGTGCGTCTACCTCCGAGAAAAGTCTGCAGAAAGAGTCTGCAGAAAACGACGGGACGGGACGGTGGTACTGAACCGACGAACGGACGATGCGATGCACATATCCTTCCTTGCCTTGCCACTTTTTGTGCCTTTGCTGCTCGTCTGGCACACAGCGACGAGCAGGCTTCGTAAGCTGTTCTGGTATATGAGTATCATCACTGACTGCAGCGGTTGAGTGTGTGCTGGGGTGGTTTGCCGGTTGCCAGCATGAACGGTTTAATACGCTCAGCTCAGTACTCTGATCTGACATCATGCCAACTTTACAACTCGAGCAGCAGAGAAGAAGCAGAGACCTGAGCAGAGAGAGACTTCACTTCATTCAACAGAACGCACAAGTCGATCGAGATAGGAGCAGTCTCTTGCATTCACATCCCAAAGCAGATCGAGGGCTACGCGCAGGCAGCAGGCAGCAGCAAGCACATCTGTGACAGCACATACACACACAACAGCCTACATCCTCAAGTCCTAAAAATACCCTTCATCATAAACCCAGCAGCCGCAGATCCACCGCGCGCTCTATTCCTTATCCACTCTCTCTACTCTCTGCTCTGCATAAATGACGACAAATAGCCGAGTCGAGTGTTCTAGTAATTCGAGTACCGCGATAAGCGCAGGAACCGCACCGGTGGATACAGGTTAGGGTACAGTGCCCGTTTGCGTCCGATGGGGTAAATTTCTCCTGCGTGCGCTCGCTCGCCATCCCTGCCGTCGTCGAGGGATTTACGGGCCGGGCGGAATCTGCGGAATGCAGAGGTACGATGGAGAAGGTAGTGTAGTCTAGCGTAGTAGTCTTAGAAGATAGAAGTCTTAGAAGATAGAGAGAGTACTGCAGGAGTATCACCCAGACGAACACCGTCCGCTGTTCAGCGACTCGCACTCCAGCAGCAGCAGGAGGACCCAAAACCACGTATGACGTCCAAGCAGAGGCTGTGACTGTTTCCGCGGGCCGGAACAGCATCATGGCATGGCGTCCACATCCGGTGTTAAGATCTACAAGTGCTATATTCTAGGATAAGAGAAACGCCGTCGGGGTATTGATACTCTTGATATCTCTATAGTTACTCGGTGGGCCTGAGGAGGCGGCGAAGGAGGAACGCGAAGGGAAGATCGGCAAGGCAGGATTGCCAAATCCGGCGGATTCTACGGTTGATAATCAAAAGTCTTATCCGGTCTTTTGGTTCTTGTGTAGGTATTTTTGAAATAGCTGTTTTTGAACTATAAGTACAGTTTACAATAGAGTAAATCTCACAAACCCGTCTCAAACAATTAAAAATATCTAACAAAAAAGTCGACAGAAGCAGCCGGTGCAGAAGCAGAGGCAAGCAACTGAGGATTACACGAAAGTATTAAAAGAAGCAGATTAAATGCAAAGAACTCCAACAGATCGTCCCAAAATACCTCTCTCAAATGTACCTCTATACCCTAACCAACGAAAACAGGAGCATGATAGAGCCAATTCCCTCAGGAGTACATGCGGTCGGCGAGCTCCGCTGCGAGCTGCCTATCCTTGCCACTGATAGAGTGAACAAGGAATGCATGGAGATGACCAAAAGAGAAAGACATTAAGAGGAGGAGTCGCTCATAATTTCCGATGAGTCAAGATGAAAACAGAAAAACCACGAAAAAGCATCATTTCTAAAACAAGGGTAGAGAAATGAGGCATTTACAGGACGAGAGCGATGCCACCGGCAACGACGGCACCGAGGATGCCAGCGCCAACGATGTTCTGCGAGCCAGCAGCGGCGGACTCAGTGGCAGAGGGGGTGGCGGAGGTGACGACCGACGAGTTGGTGGTCGAGGTGCTGTTGGAGGAGGTGGTGCTGTTGGTGGTGGTGTTGGAGCTGGAAAGGGTTAGCAAGGGGTGTGACTATGAAAAAATTTGCCCCTGGGAGAAAGGGGAGAGAGCAGATAGGGGACATACACAGCGGCGGAGACACCAGCGGCGGCGGCAAGAGCGGCGATGAGGAGCTTGAACTGCATTGTGAAGGTAGTGGTTGGTAGTTGAGCGAGTGTGTGTGTGTGTGTGTGTGTGTGTGGTAGTGGTAGTAGGAGAGTAGTGTGGAGGGAGAAAGAAGGAAGAGAGGAGGGTGGGAGGCGGACGGGAGTTATATAAGGCGGCAGAACGAGGGAGAACCGGGCAGAGGCAGATACGGCGGCGAACAGGCGCTGCGCCACTCAAACCGGGTCGTACCCACCACCCTCTGCCGTGGATACCGGGGTGCTGTGGGTATTTTTAGAAGCCGATCGAGAAATTAAAATAAAAAAATAAAAAAACTTTTCACCTGCCAGCGGACGGCCGCGCGTTCGCTCGCTCGGAGCAGCCCTTGCCCTGTTTTGCCACCGCCGCCCTCGCTTTCGCCCTGTTCGGCGTCACCCGGCTGGCCCGTTGCCATGGCAAACTGCCTATTCGGGCGCACTGCCGGATCCGTGCAGGTCCTGCGCCTGCGAGAAAGCTCTGGATAGTCAGATAGGAAGGCCTGGCTGGCTCGCGCCTGATGCGGACGACGGTCAGAGGCGAGCATGCCATTGCTCAGTGTCAGTAGCAGTAGTCAGTATCAGTAGTAGTAGTCAGTCGTGAAGCTAGATGCTGCTTATTGATGATTGACTGATTGCGGACGAGCCCTGCAGGATATAGTGACTATCGATTATAGTGTGTCTATAGTGTGGCCTTCAGCTTCACGCTGCTCTTGCTACTCCTGCTACTCCTGCTACTCCTGCTACTCCTGCTATAATCCTGCGTCCGATCCGGTGGATCAGCATATTTATTGCATTGCATTTGCACTGCACTGCGTCTCTTGCGACCTGTGCTGGTGGATTATTTTAATGCTATGACTGACATAGATTGCATTGTGCTTACGGGCACGCAGTCCTTCCACCCTCCCTCCGTACTCAACTATCATCATCTGCCCGGTTATTTTTATCCTGCTTCTCCTCGCCTGGGGCTACTCTATCTTCCTCCCGGAAAAGAGAAACTCGCACCGAGGACGTACACAGCATACCGTAGGCGTAGGGTACTTTGACCACTTTGCTCCGCTAACTACTCCTACTCCTACGACTAAGCAGGGTCTGGCCCTTGCGACTTGCGAGCGACGATCCCACGCTTGTTTATTCGCATTGTAGATCAGCACTGTCTGTTTGTTATCTTTGGTGATCAGCTCGAGTCTTCTCTCTCCTTCCGGAGCCTGCCCCTTCGGTGGTCAGGAAAAACGTCAGGAAACATGCATCCCTTAACTCCTCTCCTCTCCTCTCTCCTCCCCCCCTGGTTACCAGTCACTCGCCAGTCACTTCTATGACTACGCCTGACAATCGGAGATGAATAGCTAGGCCCCTTGCTACAGCACACTGCGTCCCGCCCCTTCCCTCCTTCCCTCCTTCATACTTGCCCCTCGCTGATCACTGGCGCCCCTTGCTTGGTCAGCGGCTCGCGTGAGCATAAGGAGAGGTACCTAGAACTAGAGCAAGGGATGCAGAGCAACAAGGAGAAGGGGCAGGAACGCAAGGCGGTCTACGGCTACGCCTCTGTATCCTATCCTGCCTGCTTCAGGAGTTCTTATCCGAGGCAAATCAAGCAGTGGGCGAAAAACCCTTGTAGTGAGCGAGTGCACTGAGTAGTAAGTAAGTAGCAGACTAAGAAGCTTGAGCCCCAAGGGCCCAGCGCCCGGCCCATGCAAGAAGAATCGAGAGCACGCGCGGAAGCCCCAAATAGGCCATGAGCAGGCGAAGTGCGCTGATATTGACTGACTGCATTAGTCGGCAAGAATAGAAACAAGCCAGCAATTTCCCGGAAGGAGTAGATTGCTGGCCGTCGGTACACGACGCCATCAGGATATGAGAGGGTCCTGTCAATCCACATAGTAAAGTGGGGGGCGCGGGCGTAAGAAGGCGCACTAAGCATTCTGAGATCTGCAGCCGCATGAGTAGCGTACTCTGACTGTTTTACGGAGAATAAGCTGCGGGCTACTGGCTGCTAGTGGGCCGGACCCGGCATTTCTCTCTTTCTTCTACTGCTCTTCATACTATTCAGATCCATATTCGATTCTACATTCATTGTCTTCTCATACACTGAAGCAAAACATAAGCATGCGTGAGCTGCTACAGTTCACAGAGTGAAACCACCCTACGAAACTCGGCGCCCTGGCCACCGCCCCTTCCATTCTTGCCCATTCTCACCGTCATCCCTCCGGTTGAGTGAAAGAAAGCGAGTAATTTCCGTTTCTGCTGTGGCTGCCGGTCGCAGTGTTCGGTTCAGAGTTCGGCGGTTCAGGGTTTGGTGAGAGAGAACAATTCCAGACCAATTCTAACCCGACTCGGATAAATGATGATCAAATACCCAGAAAGTCAATCATAATGGCGCAGTCTGCCTGCTTTTTCTCTTCTCTCAGTGGCGAGATCTTTGAGTGCTGTTGTTGCTCTGCGTAGTTATTGTCAATATCTGGACTGTACGATAGACATTGACTATACAGTGACTATACAGCGGCTGGAAACAGGTAGATTAATTGTTCAAAGAATGGTGGCAAGTGGCCAAGATTCGCTAGGGTTCTCAGACAATGCAGATTTGATTAGCATTGCTTCGCCCATTCTCGTCAATCTTCTTCTTTTCCGTCTCTTTCTCTTTCTCTCTTCCTCCTTCCTCTTCTCTCTCTCTTCTCTTCACTCTCCTCTCTTCTCTTCATATTCCTTTCAATTCTGCATACTGCTCTCCAGTCTACAATAATACCTAACTAACTACTCACAAAGTGGTGCCATCCCCATCTTCTCTCCTCCTATCCCTCGGCGACCGTGCGCGCCTTTATCCTCCGCACCAATCTTACTCTCCGTAACCCTCTAATCTCCTTCCGCGCTTCTCGCTCTTTTACCGACCCTTACTCATCATCCTCCGCCGTCGTGTGGTTTTTACGCAGAATATGTGGAGTATCGGTTCAGTACTCGTCCTCTCCTTAAAAATAGAATCTCAGACGATGGAATCTGAGATGATTCGTTGGAAGAGTAGAAGAGTAGATCAGTAGACAATAGAAAAGAACTGCGGATCTATCTAGTTGCCTGCGCAATCCCTCCGGCACTCGTCGTCTACCTGCCCGAGACATGCTCTCACGACCACCTCCCAGCACGCATCTCACCCCAACTACTACCCTCATCAGATCCCACCTCTCTCTTCCTAAAATAACAACAAAGGAGGCGAAGCAGCACAGCGCAGAGTGGGCCCGAGACGAGCGAGCGGAAATAGCTTCGGTTGTCGTCGGACACTATAAAACAATAATTCTATTTTAACTGTTGCGATGGAACTCAAGCAATTACCTCATCGCGGCGCCACTCGCTCTCCAAAGCTTTTTCTCTCTTTTTTTTTTTTTTCTTTGTCTTTAGAGTGTTTGGTGATTGCTGCATACGGCAAAGTGTCTCATCCTGTTCTAATCCGAGTCCAAATCCTCATCAACTTGTAGAAAAAAAAATCAGATCGCAGAAAGCCAGTGCCTGCCGAGAGAATAGCATCCAAGGCTAGAGAACCTCGGGCAGCGCCTTGCAGGCAGTTCAGATCTGGCTCTCACGTCATGTTTCAGCAGCTCTGACGTCAACTTCAACTTCTCTGCTCCCACTTCTGTCAGAACAGTTAAGGCAGTTCGGTTTAGTTTCTGGCTTCACCTTTTCTGGTTTTTGATGCCACATGCGCCGTTGACTAGTGTAAGAGAACGAGGATGACGTCGGAGGGAGGAGCTGGAGCTGGGTAGATGTAAACACATTACTCTTTTGAGAATTGAAATTGCTGCCGCGTCTCTACACAGCCCTGAGGCATATCTTGACACACCACTTCTTATTGCTGATTAACAGAGCAGATGAAAACGCGATAGATAAAAATACATATACACCCGAGCACAGGTCAACACCGCACACACTCCACAATCTGATAAAACTCCTTCCCCGAATCCATCTTCATTGCCTCCACCGTCACAATGACCCGTCTGAAGCAGCACCGCTTCGTTTCCTCCTTTAATTCTGTAAAGCGTTTCTCTACCAGACTAACCTTGGTCTCGTCAAACGGCAGTCTGCAGTATAATCACACTGTTAGTCGGATCACCAAAAGAACTATTTAGAACTATTTTCAGGGCAGATGACTCACCGGAAGCCTAGCAGCTGGGCTGCTGAGTTTGTATGGCACGCCGTCATGATCTGGCCATAACCATCTATCAGCACCACATTCAACTTAATCGACAACCCATTCCTAAACCAGCATTAGCACTCTCTTCTCACCCCGCAGCAACATCGACAACACATACTCTTTCTTAACTATGCTTCCCGTCTGCGGATCAATCGCCCGGCGCACGACGCACCGCACGCGATACCGTTCTCCGGTCTCTAGCATCTCCTTGTACCGCTTGTGTAGATCGGCGATCGTCAACAGTTCGATATCTTATCTTTGTCAGTTACTGCCACCCCAAACTCATTTCGTAAAAATCCTCTCACTTACCTTCCGCATCACTACCAACAACCGTCGCTTCTGATTCGATCGCAGGAGACATGCTCGGCTGCTGCTGCGCCGGAGGCGGCGAGCTCTTCAGCTCTCCTTTAACAAACACATCATCCCCATTCTTCTCCGACACAGACGACGCACGACTACTCGTCACCGGCACCTCGCTCTCGCTCGCACTCTCAGACCTGATCCTCGCGCTCTTCTCGTCCAGCTCGGCCAGCGCCTTCCGCTTCGCCGACCGCACAGGAGTGCGCACCTCCTCATTCGTCGACCCGCCCTGCTTCGTCGGCGAGTCCGCGCGCATCGCGTCCAGACTAGGCGCTTCTGTCCGTGTAGGCTGCGATACCGCCGAGCCGAGCAGTGCCTCGCGATTCCTTAGCAGATTCTTTAGCAGATCCTCGTTCTTCCTCTCGTCCAGCCTATCGATTATGCAGTCCGCTTTCGCATCCGCAACCAGCACAGACTCCCCGCCGGACGCCGTCATCCGCGGCCTGATCCCCTGGACCCGAATGAAGTCTCCCTCAGATATGCCTTGCACCTGCATCTGCCCATATGCCGAGCCTTTGAGTATCAGTGACAGGCCGTACCTGCCACTTGGCATGCCCGGGTTTTCGTAATACCGAAACTGCTTATTCTCGGTATAATCCGTCAACACAACGCCCTTGTCGCGCCCGGCATCAAAAGTCCGTAGCAGGTCGCCGACGACGGTGTACATCCGGCCGCTGCTGGCGTGTAGATCTTTGAGCTCCGTGAGCTCCGTGATGCTGTAATCAATCTCCTCGTCCGACTGTCTGGTGCTCGTACCTTGGGGCACCACCGCAGTCGCGGACTTGTAATTCCCTACAGCTTCCTTTGTCATCGCTCCTCCCAGGCCTTCCCAAATCTCGGCAAACGATCGCTTCTTCTCGCCTGGCTCGAACGATTGCTTGTACTCCGCCAGCGCGAGTGTGATTTTCTTTCGGGTCTCGAGCGAGGGCGTCGTGTTGCCCAATCGAGGGTCCCAGATCATCAGTCTCGAACCCTGGAGCACCGCGACGAAGCCAACTTTTGCCGACTTTACGCCTTGCTTGTCGTGACTCTGGTAGCAGCCTTTCTTGAGTTGTACCTGATCGAATGCGTTAGAATATTATCGTTCAAAGTAGCAAGAGCATGTATATGTCATACCGCTAGTCCATGGATAAAGATAAACTCGCCAACCTTGATGTCTAGACCGCTGGTTACCAATCCACTCCTGAAAAACGTGTTTGTTTGCAGCTGCGTCATTTTGTCGTCCGCGCTCCACGGGTCACTGATCGTAAGCGATGCATACGGATCTACAGACTCGCAGCGTTAGTCCACACCCCTCTCAGCTTATGTACAAGAGTAAACATACCGCGACCATTGCCGGGCTGTCTGAACTGAATCGCTTCTACCCTCCCCGCGAGCGTGAACGACATTCTCTGATGAGTGTTGACAAACATGTTGTTCACCTCGCTCAGCCTTGGGAGGAAATTCATGACATCGGGATTATAGCGTGCACTCATGATGACCACGACTGCTTTTATCGATCGCTCAACCTTGAGATGTGTATAGAAGAGTGGGATTATGCAGCGTGCGGGAGTAGCAAGCTGGAGAGGAATGTAAACGACGCGACAGTGTGTACGTGGAAAAGGGTTTCCCATTCCACACTGCTGCAGGCAATCGGCTACGCTCTAATCTACGAGTCCGCAGTCAATATGCCCGTCGTCAGTCTGCCTACTCAGCTCATAAACCCGGGATGAAGCTGGCCTGCCTTTTGAGCAAGAAAAGCCGACTGCGGGCTGCCTCAACTCGCTCTGTTGTTCCAACGCGCTGCTGCCTGCTGATCACGTGACTACGCGATTAGCTTTCTCGCTAGTCTTGTTTAGTGCCGCTGTGCATATATATAATGTAGTTTGTGCAGATACGGCACCAAACAGCAAATGTTTACTGCACGTCTCCAAAACAAATGCCCGCTAAGTATTTTACTCCACGTCTAAAATCCTGGTCCTCAGGCTTTTTTTTCGCCTTTCTTCATCCGCCTTCCTTTCGCTGTCACTCGACCCCACCCACTTCCTCTTTCCAATCCCTTCACCGCTCTCGACGACTCGTTAAAATGGACGCCGACACGACCACCCGATTTGTTCCCGAACATCGTCGCACTAACTTCAAAAACAAGGGCCACTTCCGCCAGGACGAGCTCCGCCGCCGGCGCGAGGAGGCTCAGGTCGAAATCAGAAAGGCCAAGCGCGAGGAGTCGCTCGCAAAGCGTCGCAATCTCACGCTCCCCACAACCGCGACCGAGAAGATCCAGAGCGAAAGCGAGGATGAGAGCTCGGCCGAGACTCAGGTAGGATCTTTTTTTCTTGTTTTGTTTTGATTGCTCTCTGTACTTGCTGAACTGTTCATTATCGCACGTATGACGTCAATACGTGTGTGATTTGGACTTTTTTGCACATGTCTTTTCAGTAATATCTAATAGCATACCTGATTTGATGCTAACGACATTATACTCTCTCTAGCTCAATGAGGATTTGCCGGAGATGATGCAGGGCGTGTTCTCTGACAACATCGAGGCACAGATCCAGGCTACCGTCAAATTCCGGAAGCTGCTGTCAAAGGAGCGTAACCCTCCGATTGAGAAAGTCATCGAGTGCGGTGTCGTGAGCCGATTCGTCGAGTTCCTCAGATCCCCCCACTCCATCATCCAATTCGAAGCCGCCTGGGCGCTCACCAACATCGCTTCCGGATCATCCCAGCAGACCCATGTTGTCATCGACGCCGGCGCGATCCCAATCTTCGTCGAGCTTCTCGATTCTTCAGAGGCCGACGTCCGAGAGCAGGCCGTGTGGGCGCTCGGTAACATTGCCGGTGACTCCCCGCGTGCCGTGACATTGTTCTCAACGCGGGCGCCTTGCGTCCTTTGTTGGCGCTCTTGAATGATTCGCGCAAGTTGAGCATGCTCAGAAACGCTACCTGGACTCTCAGCAACTTCTGCCGCGGCAAATCGCCTCAGCCAGAGTGGGCCGTCGTAAGTTGATCTCGTCTACTTCTCTTTTCTTTCAATCGTCCTAACAATAACTGTCAATAAGATCTCGACTGCTTTGCCTGTCCTCGCAAGACTTATATATTCTCTGGACGACGAGGTCTTGATCGATGCCTGCTGGGCGATCTCATACCTCTCTGACGGTGCCAACGACAAGATCCAGGCCGTCCTCGAAGCCGGTATTCCACGAAGACTTGTTGAACTGTTGCTGCATCCCAACACCTCGGTTCAAACTCCTGCTCTGAGATCGGTTGGAAACATCGTCACCGGTGATGACGTGCAGACTCAAGTCATCATCAACCACGGCGCTCTCAACGCTTTGCTCACATTGCTTTCCTCCCCCAAGGAAGCTATCCGAAAGGAGGCCTGCTGGACTATTTCCAACATCACCGCCGGCAACACTGCTCAGATCGAGGCCGTCATCACTAGCAATCTGATTCCTCCACTCATCAACCTCCTTGCTCATGCCGACTTCAAGACCAGAAAGGAGGCGTGCTGGGCCATCTCGAACGCTACCTCGGGCGGCTTGGCCAAGCCTGATCAGATCAGATACCTCGTGTCTCAGGGTTGCATCAAGCCTCTCTGCGATCTTCTCACCTGCATGGACAACAAGATCATCCAGGTCGCCCTGGACGGTCTTGAGAACATCCTCAAGGTCGGCGATGAAGACAAGGACATGAATAACGGCGTCAACCTCTATGCGGTTTACATCGAGGAGGCCGGTGGTATGGAGAAGATCCACGCCACCCAGCAGAACGAGAACGAGGAGATCTACATGAAGGCCTACAACATCATCGACAAGTACTTCTCCGAGGAGGACGTCGTTGAAGATGCCGACCTTGCTCCCCAGACCGCGGGTGACACCTTCCAGTTTGGTGGACAAGATCCTTCGACATTCGGCGCCAACGGACAGAACTTTAGCTTTGCTAATGCCGACAACACTATGATGTCCTAAATCATACCTCTTCTTTCCACTTGCAAAGCTGCCGTGACATCGTTTTCTGCTCCTTCTTTACCCTTGCTTTCTTATCTCCTTACTATTCCCCGCTTTCGTTTCATTTTTGTTTGATCTGCTACCCATTTCCTATAATGTAATCGTACTTATTCTAGCTATGAGAATATCTACAACCCTTTTATGTACTTTCTCTTTTTCATTTTTATTATTTACAGATCCATAGAAAATGCGCCTTTTCCACTTTTATTTTGTTTTGTTTTGTTTCCAATCTACACGGATTATGAGTTGAATGTAATTTGTTAGTATCATGTAATGGGTGTAAGGATGAATCTTTCATTTGTGTAGTTTTGAGCGTGTGTGTGCATCAATCGTGTGTATAATGTATTTTCTTCTAATGTATCTATTTTTTTACCCAATTTTTTTTCCTCTATTTTCCTAAATTTATATGTCTGTTAATCTTTGTTCCGTCATTGTATTGTAGCCGCGGCTTTCGTCATACAGTTTTATATCACTTATCCTAATACCGGTCGTTCTGACTTGGTCCTCTTTGATCTACATGAGATTTGTCTCGTGAGTTGAAGAGGTCTGTTAGGGACATCGGCGATCCTCCACTCAAAATCCTAGAGCTCGTGTCGAAGGTTGACAACTTTGTATGCGATGAGATCAGCGTAGAATAAATCGTAGAATAAATCGTAGCATATAGTCGTTTCGATATCAATACGAATCAGTGAGATTCATCGTGATGTTTGTTTGCTGCGTAGTTGAATGTGTGCGCATTACTCGAATTAGTTACTGATTTTGCTAACTGCATTTGATACGGCGCTCGTCAATTTTATAGAAATTCACTCGCATAAAATCTAGGGTGACTTAACTAATTTTTTTCAAACAGATAAATAATATTGCTTTGCTTCCTAAAAGCTATAGAGCAGCAAAAACACACAGTTCACGACAAATTTCACTTTATAACTCCCACGAAACGTCATTGCAGAACTATAAAAAATTGCCTTTCGCTTAATTTCAGGGCCCTCCTAAAGATCACCATCGCCTGGCTGTCCCTGTCAAGTGTTTTAACAAAACCAGATATGGCCAGACTACGACGGAAATATCCGCCTAAGCAATTACGACTTCCTGAAGCGGCGTACCGGGGCTCTGTTAATGCGTCGATTCCGCCTACGAATATTGTACAGGGACGCACTGAGCCGACGGTAACCGTCGCGGGCCGCGGCGGATATTACACCCCAGCGCAAGATAACCAAGCGCTGGCGACATGGTCGGAGTCGTCGCCTGTTTCTCTACAGCCTTTACTATCGCGGACTTCGATCTCGAGTCTGTTGTCGGGGAGCAGTTTGGGCACGTTCTCGTTGCATCAGAGTATCAGATCCGCGGAGGCGCCGGCGTCGATCGGAGGAGATTCGGGAGGTGAAGGGCAGTGTTCGAAGGGGTTGCGGACGATGCGGGGACTGTATGAGGAAGATATGAGGGCGCAGCAAAGGCAGCAGATTTCCGTTGGCTCGCATCTAGTCAGACGAAGTGCTGCTCGCGCAGGCCCCGCTGGCTTGAGGACAGAATCCGCCACGAAGATCACCTCCATCACCAATGTAAGTGCGACCCTCCTCCTCCTCCTAAGCCAATATCTAACCACCACCATACAGCGCACCACAGATAAATTCACTTTCACCACAAACCCACCACAGCAAAGCCAACAAGGCAAACTCGTCCGCCACAGCCACAGCAACGCTACTACTGCGACAAACTACTTCGCGCCGTCGTCAAAACCGACGAGTCCGGCTAGCAGTATACCCGCGCAACCGTCGAATCTCTCGCGGAGGTTGTCGATGGCGTGGAATATTGCTTCTACAAAGTCTTCGGTGCTGTCTTTTCACCATAGGTGATTGTAGTGTGATTTCTAGTATTTTTCTTGTTTTTATGCACTCGGTTTTGAGCAAATAGGTTGTTGTTTTCCTGGGATATTGGCTTATTTAATAATGCAAAATCTTTTCTCTATTCAACATATTATGCAAACCCTCACAACCCATTCTGATCTATCAGCCGCTTAACAACCTGTACAATCTCATGCCCACTAACATCCACATCCGGCGCCTCAATCTTCAGCGCCAGCACCTGATCCAGCAACACCCGCATCCGCCCCACCAGCACACCGATCCTCGCCCAACACCGCAGGCGCACCCAATTGCCGACCGTGACTCCGCGGCCGAGCAGGTCGGTTCCCAAGGTGCCGCAGAACATCAAGAGGCCAAAGCCACCGAACGGCGTGAGTTCACGGATGAAGACCTTGGAGGTCGCCATTTTGTGGAAGAAGGACATGAATTCAGCGCCGTTGAGGTAGGTTTGCGCGGAAAACAAGGTCGAGCTTGGATGGATAAACACGCGGCCGTCGTCGCGGGTGAAGAGCTTGATTGTTCGTGCTTCGGGGTCTAGTTCGACAGCACCGGAGCTTACAGCCAGATACTTCTTCTCTGGAAGTTGGATGCGAGCAATCGAAGGATTCATGGACGCAGCCAGCAGCGCCCGCACCAGACTCAGCTGCTCGTTCGTATACGGAGCTGGAGCGGGCAATCTCGCAGACTTGATGAATCCGATTTCCTGCAGCGATTGCAGATACTGGTCGCGCGCGGAGGCGATGTCTTCCATCGTCTTGAACGAAAGAAAGTTGTCCTCGCACCAGTCGCGAGCGCTGCGGTAACCTGTGCTTTTGATTCGCGATTCCCATTCCATGAATGCTCGAGCATCGGCAATCACGTCGCCTTGATTGTTCGAAAACGCCGATCGCGCCCTGATAAGATTAGTATTTTGTCATATAACAACGAAAGATGAAGGATACATACGACTTGGCAGCGTCCCTGTTATCAGCCGGCGACATAAACGGCGACCGTGCCGTCAGAATCGCAGCGATAACAGCAGCCATTTCGAGACACCCGAAAATCGCTCCGTAGACCAGCAACTTTGCACATTTGAGATCCGCAGGGATAGTAGAGAGATGGCTTCCCAGCGGAGTAAGTTCGGAAGTGAACTCGTCCAAAGCACCGACTTGAATCAGCACGTTTCGAGCAGACTCGACGGCCATCACATCAGGCGGGTCTAAGGCTTCGCCCAGAAACTTTGCGGCATCGCCGACTTTCATTGCCTTTACCATCAGATACAGCTGCTCGAGTGGAGTTCGTCCAATTTCTGGGACTTGCCGAACAGGCATCCGCTCCTTCTCTGCCTTGGCAGTGTACAGCTTGTAGCAGGTGCCCTTTGACACTCGACCGGCTCTTCCTCGTCGCTGTTTGGCGGCGGCTTGGGAGACCCACGTTTCCACCAGTCTAGTCATGTTGGTGTGGGGATCATACTCTGTTTCTTTAACTCTTCCTGAATCGATAACGGCCACCACGTCCGGAATCGTGATTGACGTTTCAGCAACGTTGGTAGCGGCAACGATCTTGCGCTTCCCGGGAGGAGGTGTCAGGAACACCTTTCGCTGATCGGAAGGTATAAGCGATGCGTGCAAGGGCAAGCAGTGAAACTTGGAAGAGCTGGAGCTGATCGTTGAGATGCATCTTGAGATTTCGGCGGTACCCGGCAAGAAGATCAAGATAGCGCCTTCTTTGTCTCCCAAGGTATGGTCGATATGCCTGACAACAGCGGCGATGAAGTCGTAATTTATGCGATCGCCTAATGCCGTGATATATTTGCCCATCAACGAATCTTCGTACTCCTCCTCCGTCTGCGTCGGCTCTTCTACCTTGGGAGCATGGCGATCGGTATAGTCGTCGATACTGCTCTTTTTGCTCTTGCTGTTGCTCTCCTGAGACTTTCCTAGCTTCACGCCTTGAAGCGATGGTCTGAACCCTGTTGCCCGCAGAATATCATCGACGTAAATGTCCTGCACGGGAAACGTGCGACCTTCAATGTTGACATGTCCAGCGCCACCAAAGTAGTCTGCAAACATCTTTGCGTCCACTGTAGCACTCATCAGCACAATCTTTATCTTCTTGTTTATGCGGGCAAGTCTCTTCAGGATAATCAAAAGAAAATCGCTGTCCAGAGATCTCTCATGGACTTCGTCTATGAATATATGACTAACGTTCTTCAACGCGCTCTGCGGATCCATCTGCAGCATTCGCAAAACAACACCGGTGGTCATAAACCGTAGCTGAGTAGCACTCGACACCTTTGATTCTCCGCGGATAACGTATCCGACTTGCGCGCCTACCGAGCACCCTCGTTCATCGGCCACTCGTGCCGCTAGACCCATTGCTGAGATTCGACGAGGCTGCGTGCAGAGCATGTTTGCGGTGTTTCCATGTCCAGACTGGATCAGATCATCTAGAACAAATTGTAGGGACTGGGTAGATTTTCCTGAACCCGTTTCTCCAGTGATAAGAGTAACTTGGTTCTTGCGGATCGTCTCGACAATGATCTCGCGCTTGCTCCATGCAGGCAGGGACTTGCGCGACCGGATCATCGCGTCCATTTTCGGATCCTGCAGTTTCATATTCAAGCCATCCTTCAACTCTTGCGCGCTGATCCGGATCGGTGCCAAGCGAGCAGACGACTTTTGCGCGCTCCGGCTCTTGCCCAGATTCAGACTCGCAAAGATATCAGAGATCGTATCGCCCTCGCCCGAGTATGTAATTCCGTAAATTGCGCCTGATAAAGACTTGAGTTTGACAGGATGCTTCACGATATCCTCGAGATTCTCCTGCATCCACTCGACGATATCGAATATCATTGCCACCGAGACCAGATTCTCGGCCGCGTAAGTAGCAGCGCGCAAGACGGCCGAGAGACGGATGTATGCTGGTAAGTTTTTAGGCCGATTGTTTTCGGTCGCAAATAGTGAAATCGATGGAATGCGGTAGGCGGGGTAACCTGAGGACTTGTGGAAACGTAACGAGAGATTGTCTTTGTTGTAAAACTGACAAGCCGGTAGCGAGAGTTTGATCTCTACAAAATCCGGCAGTGGATTTGCAAATCTATCCCCATAGATTGCCGCCAATGTCTCGGTCTCTTCTTTCCACGCGGTGTCAACGCCGTCGTCATCGATGAATTCGAAAGCTGCCTCGGGATATTGCAGATTAAACATAAGTCGCTCGATAGCTTTGGATTCGTCACCGTTGTATTCTTCGATAGTCTCACGGGCCAATTCGGCAGGATACCCGGCCTGTGATAAGCGTTTGACGGCGTATTCCAGCTGATATGATCCGGTAACAAGAGTTACTCCAGGAGTGTAATTCTCAGGCAAGAACCGAGGTGGTAAATCGTCTTCCGGCACGTGAATCAACAGCCATTCTAGAGCTTGCTGCTTAGACGAAGTATACTCTGCAGCTTCGAGAGCGTGTACGTCACGAAATCCGAGGCCGACCAGCTCGTTGATCTCTTCCTTTGATACACTATTTCCTTTCGCTGCCCCACTCGTTTCCCAAACGTGATACTTTCGGATACAGGTCTCAACCAACGCGCGCACTTCGCGAGACATATCAATGGTAGGAACTCTCTCCCATCCTTTTTTGAGAACTGCTTGTTGCTTAGGTGTGACGATCCCAGCTTCGACCGCTTTCTTCTCCTCTTTCTGTTCCTGTTGCTTTGCAGCAGCCGCGGCTTTTGCATCGTTCTGCTCCCGTTGGACCACAAACGGATCGGCCGAGTACAAATGGGCTCTGCCGTTTTTCACGTCTGCTCGTCGGATGTCCTCCATTTTCCGCCATAGAGTCTTGTGTTCTCCGGGCAGGATCATTGCCATGTTCTTGTGAGATGCAACGCGATGCAGGGCGTAGGTAGCAGCAAAATGACGAGCTTCTAAAGCTGTGGGCTGAGGATCTAGTAGAGAGTCTGGAGGTCTAAACTTGACGGTCTCTATTTGACTTGTTTTTGGGTTGCGCACGCCGAGGATTGCGGTTGCAATGAACCCGCCTGAGGAGTGAATCTAGACACAGTTTTGCACGTCAGCGCTCGATCAATTGAAATCACCAACAAACAGCACAATAGCGCACCATATCATAGTTGACCTTCTCCCATCCTTGCTTCTGACAGTGCTCGTGCAGCAAAGTGGCCGGCAGTTTCCCGGTCCACGACGAAGACGCGGCGACGATAGCCTTCGCCGAGGGAGCGGACTTCTGCAGCGGCAGCTGACCCTCCGCGCTCGCGGCGGCAGCCTTTGCAGACTTTGACTTTGAGCTGTTGCCAGCATTTCCCGTGGACAGAATTCCCCGGGACGCGTTGGATTTGCGGTCGCCTTTTGCCATTGTGTGTGCAAAGACAGCTTTTGAAGATTTGGAATTTTTTTACAGAAATCTGAGAGCGCGCGCGTTGGGAGTTGGCGATTATCCGCCGGCTCCTCGTCTGGCTACGGACAACCACCGGCTGCTTACAACCCGCCAGTCCTCCAAAAACTACAAACTACGCTGTTTACTCTTCAGTTGTCAGAGATACCCGAGCTTTTGAGTAATAGAATCAGTCGCAGTATGAGTCAGAGAATCAAAGCGCAGGTCGGTAGTCATCATGCGCCACAGGACGCCGCACCGACATTGGTAATCGCCACAAATTTGATGTGGCGCGAGCGAGGATTAAAGACTGCCAGCATTTCTCTTGAAGTTTTTACCCCGATAGCTCCTCAATTATATCTCCAGCATTATACAGCCAGAATAGATATAGATTTCACGCTCTATATTATTATTGCATAGCCTGTTTTGATAGACGCAAAGAATTACGACTCTACGCCTTCTTCTACCTGCACGAAGTTCAGTTACTCACCATGGCGGCGGAGGTAGATGCGCAGCGACAAATCCCCCCACAGACGTTCAAGACCACGTCTACACCTATACCGTCTCCGTCTGAAGGCTCCTCTCGTTCCCAGAGACGCGGTGAGAGATCAACCAACAGGAACTCCGAGTCTGACCAAAACCGCGGCGGTAGACGTCGAGGGCCAAGACAGCCCGCTGCCAGCACGCCCGATGCTACTAATCCACCATCTGCACCCGGAGAAAGTGGCAATCAGCCCTCCAGCACTAGCGCAAGACGCAACCGTCGCCCGCGAAAAGGCAGAGAGACTGAAGCAAGCGGATCCTCGGACGTGACGTCCACCAGCCAGCAACCAGCTGACGACGCCCCGCCTACGTCGGATCCTAGCGATGGCGGACACTCATCCTCTGCTTCAAGATCACGAAATCGAAATCGACGCGGAAACAAGAACGACAGCAGCCGAACTATCGAGTCTACTTCCAGCAGCTCTTTCAATCCAGCAGCCACAGCGTTTGTACCTTCGGAGAACGTTGCAGCCCTACAGCAAGCACCGCAGGCTCAACCTCAGTCTTCTGGCCGTAATCGCCGACGCGGAGCTAACGGCAACGCGAGTGACAGTCAACCACCCCAATCTCGCGCAAGCCGAGCGCGCAAAAATTTTGGCTCGCAACTTACGATCCCGTTATCCAACGACGACGAACACGACAATGACCACGACAAGCATCAGCACGGCCAGAAAGAACTGCCTACGTCATCTCTTGATTTGGACGGATATTTTTCCGGTCAAGATATGTCCTCCAACTCTCTTGCGGTCAGCATTCTTGAGGATATTCATTCTGGTGCTTACGAATGTATGATCTGTATCAATTCAATCACGCGAAAATCAAAGATCTGGACTTGCTCGACATGCTACCGTGTGTTTCATATTCACTGTATTCAAAAGTGGGGAAAGCAGATCAAAGACACTGCTGCCGCAGCGCCCGGGGCGGATCCGACTGTCCCAGTTGCATGGCGCTGTCCTGGTTGTCAAACCGCACGACAGGAAATTCCTGACAAATACAGATGCTGGTGCGGCAAAGTCGACAATCCAGATCAGTCACCCTTGTTTCCTCCGCACAGCTGCGGCCAGACTTGCTCTTACGAGTACTCCAACTGTCCTCATGTTTGCAGTATACCATGCCACCCTGGGCCACATCCAAAGTGTTCAGCTATGGGGCCGCCGCTCGACTGTTTTTGCGGAAAGTCAACTACTCAGCGGCGTTGCGTTGATACAAAATACGACGGATGGAGTTGTGGCGTTGTCTGCGGAGAGATGATGGCCTGCGGTGTACACACATGCCCTCGACCGTGCCACACTGGTCTCTGTGGTCCCTGTGAGGCTCCGATCCACAGCAGCTGCTACTGTGGTAAGGAGGACAAGGACGTCAAGTGCTGCCAGACCCTTCCTGCTCGCAAAAGTTTCTTCATCGACCAGGATGGAGACGAGGCATGGTGGTCTGCTATCTGGAAGTGTGAGAACGTGTGTGACCGCGAATTTGATTGCGGAGTCCACCACTGTCAAAAGTCCTGCCATGTTCAGGATATCGAGCCTGCTCACTGCCCGCTAAGTCCAGACGTTGTGAAGACATGTCCTTGTGGGAAGCACGCCGTCAGTGAAATCCTGGGTCATGAGCGGAGTAGTTGCGAAGAAGTCGTTCCGACGTGTAGGGATCAGTGCGGCAAGACTCTGGCGTGCGGCCATCTATGCAAATTGGTCTGTCATACTGGTGCCTGCGGGCCCTGCACTGAAGAGGTTACAGTACCATGCCTCTGTGGACACAATATGATCACTCTTCCTTGGTATGATTTCTAACGTGATTTGCTTATTCTACAGTACTGTTTTACTAATGCCAGTTTTAGTGCGGATTTGATTTTTGGTACCCCACGCTGCCGGAGAATCTGCCGGATTCAACTCAACTGCCAGCGCCACGAGTGCGGCCAGCCATGCTGCCCAGGCGAGAAGCTAGGTCAAGAGCGACTGCTAAAGTTTCGCAGAAAAGATGTTCTTCAACAGCAGCAAGTTCTCGAGGACATCATCGAGCCGCAACATATATGCACAGCAACATGCAACAATATGCTCAAGTGTGGTAACCACCGCTGTCAGATTACTTGCCATCGAGGACCGTGTCCCCCGTGCCTTGAAGCTAGCTTTGAGGAGCTTACCTGTAATTGTGGACGTACGAAAATGATGCCGCCAATCCCATGCGGAACAAAGCCTCCTCGGTGTAAGTATCAGTGCACCAGAGTGCCTGCTTGCGGACATCCTGCAGTCAAGCACAACTGTCATCTTGATGACGAAGAGTGTCCCAAATGGTAAGAGTCTCTGTCTTTCTTTTCTGTATATTGTCGTATACTAACAGGGTTAGCCCGTATTTTGTCGAGCGACGCTGCATGTGCGGCAAGTCATTGCAAAAAAACCAGCCTTGCAGCAGACAAAACGTCTCATGTGGAAATATTTGCAACAAGCTACTTTCATGTGGCTCACACCACTGCAAAAAACCTTGCCATCGCGAGGGTGAATGCGAATCGCCCTGCAAGCAGCCGTGCGGCAAGACCAAGTCGTGCGGACATCCGGATGAGTTGCCGTGTCATTCGCCTTTCCAGTGTGAGGAGGAAAAGCCGTGTACTGCGCCGATTGAGATTCAGTGCCATTGCGAGAATCTCAAGAGGACGGTGAAGTGCGGCGCTACGAAGACGATCAAGCCCCCGTTACGAGTAATCAAATGGTGAGCTACGAGACATGTCGTACAGACTTTCGAGAACAATTATTAACTTGTTTTTAGTAATGACCAATGTGCTTTGCTTGCGCGCAATGCCAGGTTGGCAGAGGCTCTTAATATCACTGCAGAATCTCACGCACTAGCATCAAACGCGGTCACGCATTCAGATATCACCCTCCGTCTCTACGGCACGAACAAAAAGTGGTGCGAGAGCATTGAGAAGATCATAGATCAATTTATAGTCTCTGCAGCCGCGAAGCGCTCGCTAGCGTTTCCACCGATGCGTCGCCAGCAGCGACAGTTCATCCACTGTCTCGCCGAAGCCTATAATCTCGAATCGGAGAGTCAAGACCCGGAGCCGCACAGATCTGTGGTTTTACATCGCACGTCTCGTACTGCGCTCCCGGATAAGAACCTGGCACAGGCATATGCGATTTGGACGAAGAAGCAGCAAGCAGCAGGATTGACGCAGCTCGGATCATCTTCGTCTTCGAGCGCGAACGGGAGCAGTATGCCGCTACAAATGCGCCGGGCGCCTAAGCACGCCTACAACGCTATTCTGTTGGAGTCTGTGCAATTTGGTTTGACGCGTGCCGATCTGGAGCGAAAGATCGAACGCTATCTCGAACCGCTCGCTGATTCGAAGCTTCGCTATACCGCAAGCTGGATCGCCGACGAAGACGTTGTGTTGATGCCGCAGAACGCGGCAGAGCTCGGATTCGAGCCCGACGATGTCGAGCGTGAATTGGCAGCGATTAAATACGGCTTGCGTAAGTTCATCGTGACTGAGCAGAAACTAGCGCAAGCTGCGGAAATGTGCTGGATCACGCGCGACAATGTGATTGCGTATCGTGAGAGTACGGTCGGTAAAGGGTCTACAGGAATTGGCAGCGGTGCATGGACATCCGTTCCAGCGTCGTCATCGTCGTCGTCTTCTAATGCCACTGCCAAGGCGCGATTTACTTCGTATAATGTGTTTGCTGCGCTTGGTGCTACGGCGAATAAGAGCTCGGCTTCGAGTTCATCGACTGGTGCTGCTGCGAAGGCCAAGAAGGAGCCTATCGCAGATTCTTGGGAGGACCTGGATGATGAGGAGAACGAAGGGTCGCGCGCGGCAGAAGGAGAAGGACTAGAGGAGCAAGCTGAGAGCTCTTCTAGGGCTGAGAAAGAGGAGCAGGCTAAGGAAGACGAAGGAGAGGTCGAAACACCTATCGAGGGATCTCTACCTGCTGTCTCGGCTGATGACACTGCTGATGATGACACTTCCCGCGATGCTGAGGAAGCTCCATCTGCGTCTGCACCAGAAGAAGCTCCATCTGTGTCTGCACCAGAAGAAGCTCCAGCAAGCGACTCTAACGAGAGTCACGAAAGCACTGAGTAGAATACCGCGACAGCAAGACTAGTCTTTGTTTGACTGGTTGACTACGCCGATACACTTGTTGCGTTTTGTATATAATTTTTCATTGCATTGAAGTTTAGGTGAAAAGTGCATTTGGTTGGTATGCATGGCGCTTCGAGGGGAGAGTTTTAGAAGGCAGCCTGCTTGGATAGCTACAAGTTCAATAAAAAGTTTCCATTAAAGGTAGAGCTGAACTAATGATGACAGAAGTCGTAATAGCACAGAAGGGTATGACAGAAGAAGAAATAAGAATAAGACAGAGACGACGAGGGTATTGAATACAGCTCCGTTGACAGAGTAAATTAGGTCTCGTCCTTAGGCGGCGGAGGAGAGCGTTTTCGAAGTGAATATCTGTCACTAGGATTTTCAGACTGACTCAGCGGCGACAGCGGATCAACAGGCGAATACGCAGGCGGCGGAAGTTGAGTTCTGTCGGCGCTGCGTGTGACTATGCGTTGAGAAGACAGCAGATCTGGAGCGATAGTGGGGGGTGCATGATGTGCCATGCTTGTTGGTTTGCGTGAGTGTGTGGAACGGTGAGAATCCTGGCGACTGTGCGCGCGCGAATAAGCTCGTCTTGCTGCTGAGATGCGAGGATCAAGGGTGTGATAAACAAAGTTATTCGCGGCAGGACGATACGACGCAGGAGAGGGATGAGACTCAGTCGGCATAGAGACAGGGGAAACGCGTTGGAGAATCTCAGGCGGGAGGTTGTTGAGATCGGAAGTGCGCGTCGGCAGCGGCTGCGAGTTCAGCCTGTCTCGTTTGGCAATCTCGACCATTGTGAGAGCCGTGGCAAAGAGCCAGTAGACTGCTAAAAGACCAGACACCAGACGAGCGTATTTCTCGCCAAAGGATTTGAATTCTCTGACTTGGGAATCCGAAAGCAAGTCGCCGGGTTGCTTGAAGAATCTGCTGTTTCCGCTGCCGACCAAGGCGAAGACGAGGAAGGAAAGACCAAGGAAGATGGAGAGCGGGAAGAAGTTTCTGATTTTCCAAGAGATGGCGGGGGACATCTTGAGTGCGGCAAACATGATGCTGATGGCGGCCAACATAACACCAAACCGTTCGCGTCTGGGAGGATGCGAGGAGTGGCGACTCGGCGCGCGAGCGGCGGCTTGAAGATTGAGAGCATAGATCGTCATGAGGAGGACGGAGCAGAGAAAGCCACAGAGATGAACGAGAGCACTGACGATGCCGCCTAAGATGTTTTGTTTGTTGTCAGGATTCGTGCGGCCGGTGCAGCAATTCGAGAGGTTCGCAAAGAAGATCCGGATCGAGGTCCAGAGAGTATTGGGCGGTTCTGGTCCGCGATCGCGAACGCCGTAGTTGATGTAGAGAGGTTGAACACGACGACGGCGAGCCATTTTGCTTGCAGCACACAAAAAGTAAATACAAAGAGTTTGTAAATATATAGCAGAGAGCGCAGCGGTTCGGTTCGTGGACGTGGATACTTCTCGTCGGCGTGGATCAGGCGGAGAGAAAGAGGAGGACAGACTGAATTCAATGTTTACAATTCCCCTAAACAGACACCTTCTATAATAATAACCCTAAACCGATATTAATAGTATGTAGGGTTAATAGCAGTCACACTCAAAGAGTGTAGGGTTGAGGCAGGGCAGAGGCGCCGCACTCGCAGTCGCAGTCTCAACGCAAAGGCAGAAGCCCGTCCAAGTCTCCAGCCCAACCCTTTCAGTAACACCAATTCAGCAACAGGTTCAGCAACAAGTGAGTGCTTCTTTTATTGATTTGAGGATTGGAAGAGATGAAGAAGAAGAAGAGCGGCGTACTGACTGTGTTGTTATCTAGTGGGTGCCTATAAATATTTGGAAGAGGTATGAGAAGATTCGTTCAGAGGTGTTGGATGGTTGAAAGGTCGTCAGTATCTTCTCTCGGTCGGAGTAGATGTTTTTTATTGTCAGCAGCAGTTGAACATAGACCGAGGGTCGTCGTTTGAGGAGAGCGAGAGAAGGACGTTTGTGAAAAGTGAAAGCCGGAGAGAAGATACTGTCAAACACGACCGATTCAAGCATATTCCGACCGACAAGCATCCACGATCAGATTTAGCTAACGCAATATTTTTCATTATACAGCTGCAACGCAAGAAGCAGTCGGATGTCCTCCGCTTCTTGCTCCGTATCCGCTGCTGGGAGTACCGTCAGCTGAACGTCGTCCACCGTGCGTCGCGCCCCTCGCGTCCCGACAAGGCCCGTCGTCTCGGTTACAAGGCCAAGCAGGGTTTCGTTATCTACAGAATCCGCGTTCGTCGTGGAGGCCGCAAGAAACCCGTTAGGAAGGGTGCTACCTATGGTGCGTTTTCGTGAAGTTTTTTCTATGAGTGATGGGATGAAAAAAAGACTAATGAGAATTTTACAACTACAGGTAAGCCCACCAACATGGGAGTTAACCAGCTCAAGTACCAGCGCTCGCTCCGCACCACTGCTGAGGAGCGTGTTGGCCGTCGCTGCCCTAACTTGCGTGTTTTGAACTCGTACTGGGTCAACCAGGACTCTTCGTACAAGTACTTTGAGGTCATCCTCGTGGACCCCCAGCACAACGCTATCCGCAACTCTGCCAAGTACAACTGGATCGCGAACCCGGTTCACAAGCACCGCGAGTCGCGTGGTCTTACTGGCGCGGGCAAGGCTTCGCGTGGTATCAAGAAGGGACACGGATACAGCAAGACCAACAGCGGCAGAAGACACACCTGGAAGTTGCACAACACTCTCAGCTTGTGGAGATACCGTTAGAGGGCTTGCAAAAGTACTTAAAAGCGTTTTGTTGTATTAGTCTGATGATATATTGTAGTTAATACGGATATTAAGAAATCATACATGATCGGTAGCGTAGATTGCTGTTATAAAAGACCATATCGGTATCAGCTTTGAAATATGAAGTTAAGAGTTTGTAAAGCAAATTGAAATGATATAGTATATTGTAATTGTTAGATGCTATGTTACAAGATCAATCCTCATCCATCTCATCATCATCATCCTCGTCATCATCATCAGCCTTTGCCAACCGTTCAGCTTCCTCAAGCAATTCCTTTGGCACAAACTGATGAAGGCCACCGGTTTCAGAAGTGGAGACCCAGGAGATTTCTAATTCAAAGTCCTTGTCTTTTGAGTCGTCGTGGGCGACGTAGATGATCTTTGCGGCGGCCTTGACGGCGTCGCGGGCGGAGATGTTTGGAAGGTCTAGTTTCTCGAGCTCTGATTTTGCTGCCTGGCGACCTTTTCCTGTGGCGGCGCCCATGTAACCCTGAAGATGGATTAGATTCTACTACATAGAAGAAAAGACGGTGAAATAGATTGTAATAGCTTACCCAGAACGCGCCAGATGGTTCGATGGTATAGAGATGTGGGCCAGAGTCATCGACACCGCCGACGATGACGGAGACACCAAAGGGCCGGACGGAGGAGTAGCAGGTGTAAGCCTGGACGTAGCCAGATAGACGGTCAGCGAGGGTGGGGACGCTGATGGGGACTTTGTATGTGCCGCGCCAGGAGTAGGATTCGGATCTGCCGCGGTCGACGAGATGGCGGCCGTCGGGGGTGAGGCCTGAGTATGCCTGGGGAGAGTTAGCAAGAAAAGAAAGCAGAGAGAAGAGGAGAGATGAGGGTAAATTGGATGGAGACGTACTACGCCGACATGTCTATCGATTGTCTGGATCTTCTTGTTTGCGCCGGGGACAAGCAGCTTGGACGAGACAATCTTCTCGACGGCAAAGACGACGCCGTCAGCGCATCGAATGCCGATCGCGGTTCCGTCAGCTTCGACGGCCTTGCTGGCGTACTCGACTTGGAAGTTCCGGCCGTCTGTGGGGATGGGTCAGTATAGATCATTGAATGATGGATCGTGACGGGGAGGGAGGGAGGAGAGGGGAGGAGTACCTGGACTGAAGACGCTGTTGCTGAGGTCGTAGCCGGTTCCGATGGAAGTCTGGAGAGGTGTGAGTGGAGAGTTGAGTGATAAATATAATCAAGAAAGAAACAGACCATTATAAGAGGAAACGGGGAAGGTGGAGAAGGGGATGGGTGGTGATGATGTAGAGACGGTCAATGAGAGAGAGGAGTGTGGAAGGAGAGCGAGAGAACGCACCGCCACGGATGACCGCTGAGCCACAGAACAGCCACCGCTCTGATTTTATTTTTTTTATCATTTTTAAGGCGATTAAATTGGTTATTGCACATATAGCAATACTACGACTACAACTGCAGTTATTGTATGATATTGTATGATATTGTATGATATTGTATTCTTAACTAATGCTCTCATAGCACAATATGTCCCGCAGATCATTGCACCCAGCCTCATCCGGGACCACGAAGGGTACTCCTGAAAGCTCGCTGCACCCAAGATCTGTTAGTATGTTCTCTCTCCATTTGAACAGGCTGAATATTCACATGTATCCTCGATAAGCACCAGAAAGCGCTCTTCTCACAGGAATGCTTTTTCATTCGGTCTCGAAAGAGTCCGGCGTTCAATGTTATTTTAAGCGTTGAAGAAAAAGAAGAAAAAACCTGCAAACCCGCGGCCGTCGAGCGCTTCTTATAATCCCGCCCACAGTACAAGCCCCGTGTTTACAAAACCCTACACAAACGCCCAATTCGGAAGCCCTATTCCACCCCAACCTCACCTTCGCAAAGTACGTCATCTCGAGAAACTTTTCTCAAAAGTCTTTCTCCTTCCCCAGCAACCTCTCTCCCGCACCCAACGGCCATCCCGCAATGAAGACCGCAATTCTCTCCGTATATGACAAGACCGGTCTGCTCGACCTCGCCAAGGGCCTGGTCAAGCACGACATCCGTCTGCTTGCGAGCGGCGGCACCGCGAAGCTCGTTCGCGAGGCTGGTTTCCCTGTAGAGTATGTTCAGTTTTTTTTCTTTTGAAGTTGTTTCTGTCTTTCTATATTGCTTTCCTTGTTCTGTCTGTTCTTGACCGTGCAACTCTTCTTTACTACCTCTCTCATCATCTACTCTGTACATCTTCTCACACTCTCCAGGGATGTCTCCGCCATCACCCACGCTCCCGAGATGCTCGCCGGCCGCGTCAAGACCCTCCACCCCGCCGTCCATGCCGGCATTCTCGCCCGCAACATCGACTCCGACGAAGCCGACCTCGCCGCCCAGGGCATCGAGAAGGTCGACTACGTCGTCTGCAACCTCTACCCGTTCAAGGAGACCATCGCCAAGGTCAACGTCACCATCGACGAGGCCGTCGAGGAGATCGATATCGGCGGCGTCACCCTCCTCCGCGCTGCCGCGAAGAACCACGCCCGCGTCACCATCCTCTCTGACCCCTCCGACTACGCTGGCTTCCTCGAGCAGCTCGAGTCCGGCGAGGTCTCCGCCGACGCCCGCAACGCCTACGCGCTCAAGGCCTTCGAGCACACTGCCGAGTACGACGCCGCCATTGCCGACTTCTTCCGCAAGAAATACGCAGAGTCAAAGTCCCAGCTCACCCTCCGCTACGGTGCCAACCCGCACCAGAAGCCTGCCCAGGCTTACGTCAAGCAGGGCGAGCTTCCCTTCAAGGTCCTCGCTGGCTCGCCCGGTTACATCAACCTCCTCGACGCGCTCAACTCGTGGCCGCTCGTCAAGGAACTCTCAATCTCGCTCAACCTCCCCGCCGCTGCCTCGTTCAAGCACGTTTCCCCCGCCGGCGCCGCCGTGGCTGTTCCCCTGTCGGATGTCGAGAAGAAGATCTACTTTGTCGACGACATTGCCGACGAGGACATGACCCCTCTCGCCATCGCCTACGCGCGCGCCCGCGGTGCCGACCGCATGTCCTCGTTCGGTGACTGGATCGCGCTCTCCGACACCGTCGACCTCACCACCGCCAAGATCATCTCCCGCGAGGTTTCCGACGGTGTCATTGCGCCCGCATACTCCCCCGAGGCCCTCGAGATCCTCAAGAAGAAGAAAGGCGGCAAGTACACGATCCTCCAGATCGACCCCGCTTTCACCCCCGAGCCCGTCGAGACCCGCCAAGTCTACGGCGTCTCGCTCGCGCAGAAGCGCAACGACGTCTTCATCAACGCCGCGTCGTTCAAGGACATCGTCTCCAAGAACAAAGACCTGCCCGCCAGCGCCGTCACCGACCTCATCGTCGCCACCATCGCGCTCAAATACACCCAGTCCAACTCGGTCGCCTACGCCAAGAACGGCATGCTCATCGGCCTCGGCGCCGGCCAGCAGTCGCGTATCCACTGCACCAGACTCGCCGGCGACAAGGCCGACAACTGGTGGCTGCGCCAGCACCCGCGCGTGCTCGCCTTCAAGTGGGCCAAGGGCGTCAAGCGACCAGACAAGTCTAACGCGATCGACCTCTTCGTCTCCAACCAGATCCCCGACGAGGACCCCGAGAAGTCCGAGTACGAGTCCAAGTTCGCCGAGCTACCGGTCCCGCTCACTGCCGAGGAGCGCAATGAGTGGCTTTCCAAGCTCGACGGCGTCTCGCTCTCGTCCGACGCTTTCTTCCCCTTCGCCGACAACGTCTACAGAGCCGCCCGAAGCGGCGTCAAGTACATCGCTGCCGCCAGCGGTTCAGTCCAGGACGACGCCGTCTTTGCGGCCGCGGACTCCAAGGACATTGTCTACGTCGAGAACCACGTCCGCCTGTTCCACCACTAAACCCCTCCCCCATTCCCCACCCACTTCTTCCTCTTCCCCCTTCCACCCTCTCCTACTCTCTATCATTTATCTCACACACGCTCTCTTCTCTTGTCTGTAGTAGACGTGCAGGGAAGGAAGAGGGTGTCTCCAAACTTTGAACGTTGTTCTTAATATCTCATAAATATTTTCTTTGTTTTGATTTCATTGTTTTAATCAATAAATGAGAGGCATATAAGAGTGTCATAAATCATTACGTGTTGCTCGTAGATGTAGAGTCTGAGAACCGAATTATTACTATTGATATCAATATATAAAGACGACAGCACGACAAAAACAAACAAACAAAGACAGCTACAAATCAACAAGTCCACAACTAAGCAAGGAGTATAAACACCCTCAGGATCCATACCGTTTCCCGCGCTTCGTATAGCTTCCTTCCGAGCCCGTACTGCTATACCTCCCTCCCGCTCCAAACCAACCCGCACCACCGCGCGAGTCCGCAGTCTCATGTCTTGCATCCGCGCCGACAACAACCGGCATACTAGCCCCCCTGCGATCCGCGCCGGCACCACCTGACGACGACGGACGCTGCTGGTGTGAGTAATACACCTCGTCTTCGAGCAGCGGGCTTTCTGCGCTGGCTGCGCGCCGGGACGACGACGACGACGGTTGTTGCTTTGTGCGTGTTTTCGACACGTGCAGACGGTCTTCGTGGGATGATGATGCTGATTGGAGAACGTAGCGGTTTCCTTGTTCGTCAAAGAGGACTTTGCCGCCGCCGCCGCCGCCGTTCCCTAGTGACGACGAGCGTTCACGTCTGACTTGATTCTGGGACACGAAATACGTTTCCCCTCCACCGCTACCTCCTCCGACATCACTAGATTCACTCCCTGAGCTTGTACTTCTGAACCTGTCAAACCACCTTGATCTGCTGCTTGTGCTTGCCGAGCTGACGTATCCGTCGTTTGCTTCGTCCCCAGTCCAATTCCCTCCGTTTTTCTTTTTATTTTTCCTCAGTCTCGCCTCGCCATTATTGATATTGATATTACTTTGATTACTTCTTCCGCCCACCTCCCTATTCATCCGTCTAGACCCACCCGGCAAGACCGGCAATTCCCCAGCAGCATACTGGTTCTGGTAATAACGACTTTGATTGCTGCTGCTGCCGGAGAGACCGCCTGGACCTGCCGCTCCATTAGTTCCCCGGTCTAGACGGCTGATTCGGAAAAAGCAGACTCAATGGGCTTGTCGAGGATGGCGGCGTGGCCGAGAATGGCGACGCAGGAGGCGCCGAGGAGCCAGAGGATGGTCGAGAAGGGGGAGGCTAGAATGCCGAGAGGGAGAGCTGTCGAGGGTGTTAGCTACACCGACTGGTGTGTGAGTGATGAAAGAGAGAGCATACCGATGATCAAGAGACCGACATAGAGTTGAGACGTAGTCAGACGCGTAAAACCTGGACAGCATTAGTACGCACGACCAAGGCATAAACTAGAAAAAAGTACGCATACCCAAGTTCAGGTCCTGTCCCTTCAAGTAGTTTATACCATAAAGACCAGCAGTAACAAAGATCTAAACAACAAACACAATCAGCACAAGCACGTTCCAAATCGCGCGCATGCGTAAAATAGAAGCATTAAGCCTCAAAGAAGGCCGGCCGCACGCGCATATCTCAGCGAGATCAAACCCGTACCAGGACAAACAGCAGCAGCATGTTTGTGAGCAGACTGTAGACCGAGAGCATGGCAAAGACAACGAGGTAATTTGCCGAGAAGTAGGTCAGGTTGAAGGACACGCGGCTCTGGACTTCGCCCATGTTGTTGGGCTTGGAGACGCGCTTGAAGTCGAAGAACTCGCCGGCTGGGCGGATCGCGCCCACTTTTGAGCGGAGGAGCGTCGAGTCCGTCTGCGCGAAAAAAATACAGTCAGATAGATGAAGAGGATATAAATGAACTACAACTGTAGAGGTAAACACATACCTTGAACCGCTCAACGAACTGCTGCACCTAAACAACAAAAAACCACCAAGTCAGCGCGTGAACACTCCGTACGCTGCAAGTATTCATCCCACAAACCTGTATATTCTGGAAACGGATACTCATCGTCGCTGCTGCTTATAAAACTACCTATTCTCTCTTTTTATTATTCTTCTTATTAAACCCGTCTAGCCACGCAGCTGTTGTCGTTGTCGAGAAAGGTGTGAAATGGGATGTGCGCGAGACGAGTAAATGGCGGCACACAATCTGCGGCTTCCAGCGCGATGGATAAATATTTCACGCGCATGTCAGCAGCGAGGGGGCTGTGTACATTTGAGTGATATACAGTACGTGGTTACATATTCGATAGATGCAGTCTAATATATATTCGTAGATTACAATCGTATACATCAGTCAGAGTCGGAGGAGGAGTCAGAGTCTGAATCTTCGGACGACGAGCTATCAGAGCTGGAGTCCGAGTCCGAGTCAGAGCTGGAATCTGAGGAGTCCGAATCAGAGCTCGAGTCCGAATCAGAGCTGGAGTCCGAATCAGAGTCTGATTTCGCACTTGATTTCGATTTCGTCGTCTTCTCAGCTTCAGAGTCCGAGTCGTCTGAGCTGGAGTCTGAAGAGCCCGAATCTGAGTCTGAGTCTGACTTTGTAGAAGGTTTCGGTTTCGTGGCATCTTCCTCTTCTTCTCCCTCTTCAGATTCAGAGTCGGAGCTTGAGTCTGAACTTGAGTCTGAGTCTGAACTTGAGTCCGAGCCCGAGTCTGAATCTGAATCTGAGCTAGAGTCCGAGTCTGAGTCTGAATCCGAACCTGAACTGGATGATGAGGATGCCGATGACGACGATGACTCGGAAGAAGAGGATGACGACGACGACGCGGAAGAAGAAGATGCTGATGACGACGACGAAGAGTCAGATTCACTGCCAGACTCATCATCACTACTCTCATCACTACTCTCATCACTTGACTCCTGCTCCTCTCCAACCAAAGCCGTCAACACCTTAGTCGCCCACGCAACCATATTCTCATCGTAAACCACCCCCTTTACCTCCCCGCTTTCCTTCCCATCCTTCTCTTGATCCTCCGCGGCCTTCTTCCCGCCTTTAACTTTCCTCGCATCGCCAATAATCCGCTCCCTCGCCCCTCCCTCCGGTAATCCTTCAAGATACTCCAAAACCGGCCCATGCCACGACTCCGGCAACACCACCTCCGTCGAAAACAAATGCCGGATAACCCAGTTCTGTTTCTGCTTTGAAAACTTCCACGCGCCGCGATCGCCCGCGTAGGCGTCGAGGTACCGCTTATACTCCGCGTACTGCTCGTCTACCGTCGGCGGCGCTTTGATCTCCTGGGTTTTCTTCGCGCGGTCCTTGGTTTTCTCCCGCTTGGGTTTCTTCTTGGCCGGCTCGTCTGTCGTAGCCGCTGCTGCTGTTGTTGTTGTTGAACTCGACGTCGTCTTATCATCGCCATCGTCTGATTTCTCAACCACCTCTTTCGCAACTTGCTTCACCCCCTCCCCCTCCTCCTCCTCCTCCTTCCTCTTCCTCTTCTTCAAGTTCTCGTCTTTCTTCGCCATATCTCTGTCTGTCTATATCCTCTCAATCTATCTCGTGTCGTCTGCTCAAACCAAACACATGACCAGATCAGCAAAGACATACAACATCCCAGCCAAGGCCCATATTTTTTTTTTCAATTCCCAATTTCGGCAAATATTAAAGTTTAAACGGTTTAGAGTTTATATGTTCAGTCCTCTCTTGTTTGCTGTATGCTGAGCAGCTGCTGTGATATCGGCATTGTTTAGAAGAACCTGTTGTGGTTCTCGATAGTGGTTCTTTTCACTGAGTGCATTAAAAAGACGTCTAGATGTATACTCTGTGAAAAAGGTGCTGCGTTTGTTGCTTGTAGAGAGACGGTGAAGAACTAGGAATCGGCAACTGCGGACACACACGAGGAGTCACTACAGAGTGCAAACTCCATCGCCGCCGACAGAAACGCGTGCTTTTTCTTGACTTGTTATCGTCATTGTACCCATTCAGATGCGAGCTTATATACTGCTCTTGATTAAAACCATACGTGGAATTATACCGATAGATATCGGGCTATGAGACGTTCAGGTTTTTCAAGTCATATATAAATATACATTCAATTAATACTCGAGCAAAGATTACAGAATTATAAACATGGCAAGATCAAAAAACATAAGAACGACAAGTACAGCATACTAAACCTCGTCAAACTATATCTTTCGCTCCCGTTCCGTGCATTTTCCTCATTCTTTTCTCTCTCCGCCTTCATTCATTTCTCGTTCATCGTCCACCCACAATTCCACCACCGCGGGCGACAAAAAATATTACAAAGAGAAGTGATTCTCAATTATCTATTTTGTAGCCTTCTTGCCGGTCTTCTTGACAGCGCGCGGCTTGGGGCTCTTCGACCGCAAATGGTGCTCGGGGATCCAGCTCTCGTCGTAGCCCTTGGCGTTGACGCTCGTAGACTGCGCTGCGGATTCGGCGGTGACGGTGGAAGCGGCGGCAGGGGCGGCGCGCTTCTTGGTGGCCTTCTTCTTGGGGAAGTACTTGGGCTGGATGTAAGAAGTGAAGGTGTAGTATCCAGCGGCGCCGAACAAGGCAATGAGGATAAGGTACAAGAAGAGCCTGAAAAAGACTAGTTAGCAGTTGTCCGCGAGTCGATATTAGTTCAACAAAACAATATCTTACATCTGAGGATCAAAGATCGAAAGAGGCGGGTCCTCGACATAAACGGTCGAGTTGTAGCTAAGGTACTGGACAAGCTGGCCCTCGTACTCAATCACCAGCACGATTCTAAGGAAATACTCCTTAGGCTCGACGTCGACGACAAAGCTGTACGGGACCGGGACCTTCGAGTGAGGCGGAATCTGGATAGGACCCACACGGGTTGCGGTGATCTATATCGAGAGAAAAAAACGGAAAAAGTCAGCGAATGCTCAATTAACAGAGATATCCTCGGTGGATTGACTTCAAGCAATCCGTCCCCACAGCTACACCAAGCATCACAACCTCTCACGAAAACCAGAGACTCGACTTACGTTCTCAAACGGAACATCCTTGCCAACCTGGAAGAGTGCCCCACCAGCAATCTGCACGATAGCCTCGTTCTCCTCATCGTTCGCGAGCGAGATCTCGAGATTGGTCGACACGGTGTTGAGCACCACGGGCGTCAACGGACTCGTGCTGTCCAGGAACTTGGTCTCGAGCACAAACTTGGGCGCGATCGCATCCTCGGCGTCGTCGTCAAACTCCTGTGCCCGCACCGACGCCGTCGTCGTCGCCAGCGCGGCGACTAAGAACCCAAGCAGTGCTTTCGTCGTAAACTTCATAATGTTCTTCTTTATAATGTCAATTCAAACAACAGCAACAACAACAACAACCAAAAATGCTGCAAATGCGTGTGCAGAAAGAAGAATGGAGTTATCCTTTTTGTTGTGGTCTGGCGTCAATTCGAGTTTGATGAGCTTTTAGAAGCCAAGTGGACACTGCTCGGGAAAACCCTAAGCCTCGAAGATATCTGAGATTTCGACTGTTTGCTCTCTTTCTTTCTTATTGTTATCGCAATTGTTTTGAAGGTTCTTTTATATATTAATTAAGGCCTCCGGATAGATTATGGCTATTGCTTTAAGCTTGAATGGTGTGGGTAGGCTGACGCCAGCTATACTACCTTGCGGCGATTGATATACGTCAAGTTAAGGCTATCATCCCCTCGGACTATCTCGATAGATACTTGCACAAGACAGCAATCCGATAGACTACCCTCGGAATCAATAGCTCAGCTGCAGTTTCATCACTAGCCAACCCAATAGTCCCACAAAAATCTGATATGCATTTCCCTGCAATCTTTCATTCTAAACCACCCAGGATACAATGCTAAACCCACCACCACAACCACCGTCTCAGAGCGGTATAATATGACATCCTAACGTCCCCCTACCTCCCCACCCAGACCGCGGCGTCAATTGGATATTAATCTGTGCTCGTGCCTGCGCGCCGCCAATGTCGCGGATCAGGGAGATCTCGATCGGTCTCTGCGCACGTTAGATCGTTAATGTCTTGTCTGTGTGATATCAAAAGTGTTTGTGGATATACTCACGCCTTGGTTTTGCTGGACCACTGTGGATAGCCGCGAAAGATGCTGATGGTTCTCCGCGTTCACGTCTCCAAACTTGACGATCTTGTCACCTCTAAGCAGGCCCTATAGAAATGAAAATAAACCACACGTCAGCTCCATTTCCCAGCCTTCAGCTCTATACAACGTTCCACAAAACCAGACACAGTATGAAAAGAAACATACAGCTTCATGAGCAGGACTCCGATCTTCTACCGAATTCACGACCGCGAACGCGACCCCATCCACCTCTGCGCCCGCGCCATTACCGACGCCGCCGCCTCGATTCAGGAGCATGCCAGAGGCAAGCCCGCCGGAAGACATTGCTTCGCGTATACTGGCGTGGTGCTCGTGCAGGACTTCTTCCATTTGTAGCATCAGACGCTTGAGATCGTTGCGGAGACGGATGACTCGTGTTCGCGTGATCCGCACTTTACGGCGGGGATAGGAGGTTAGCTGATGTCCTGACTTCAAGTTCGATTAAAAGCAGTAAAGGCATACCTTGCGCAACATCTATATCGTCTCGCGGGAACCCATCAGACGTCAGCAGCGGTGTGCTCATATCAACATGATGCTAGAGATCAGATCAGCACTCAACCGCAATCACTCCCCCTCCCACACCCACTCCCTCCAAACAACACACAGACAAATCACCATACCGATTCCAGAACCTGAATAAGCGAGTCAAGCTCATCCTCCAGCGCCCGCCGCTGCCGCATCAACTCCTCCAATCTACTCGACGACGACGACGATGCCAATGACGTCTGTGGAAACCTCACTCGCGCAACAGACGGGTCATGGATATTCTGCCTTCTGTCCTCCCCGCTATTCCCTGTATGATTCTCCATCGCCGCTCTCAGTCTCTCCGGTCCAACTGGTATACGATCACGAGTAGTCCAAAAGTTCTTTGAGGTAGATCGGGGGGTCAATAAGGCTTACTAACTAAAAATGAGGGTTGGGAGGTTTCCATTCACTCTCTCTCTCTATATTCAGTATGCCTACCGTACTCTTGTCATATAATCAGAACCTAAAAGATTCGCGTACCTTCAGACTCCTAGCACGTTAACCCCATCCGCAGCGTTGCTCTAGTTCACCAATTGACAAAAAACAATTCTCATAAATCTCATCATGAATCTGATAAAAAAAAATTTCTAAAGTAGAAATAAAAAAATCTTTGCCCCGGGTGGGAGTCGAACCCACGACCTTGAGATTATGAGACTCACGCTTTAACCAACTAAGCCACCAAGGCATTTTTTAATTTTTAAAAAATATGTGCCTTTATAAAGTCCTAGCAGTTCCTTCTACACACGATTTCTGCTGTAACAGGTCAGCTATTAAATCGGTATGTATGCTGCTTCATTTCTGTGGTGAATCATGATGAAGTCATGAAGTTATAAGATTGACGGACATAAAGAGTTAAAACTTGGAGATTTATTACTACTTCAAGCCAAGTAAACCTATCATAAACCCATATCTTTGAACACAGACTCTCTTGTCATCTTCGAAATACCCATAACAATCCACCTAATTATACAACATAAAAAACAAAGACAAAGAAAAAAAGACTTTGAGATGCTGATTACAAATTTCTACCATCTTGCAGTATCTCTATACGTTGGATCCATGACCACAGACGCCAACACATTGTTATCAGAAGCAGTCTCACTAGTCGTAGATTGCATCGCAGCAGCTTCGGTGGAAACAAGAGCACCAGCAGCAGATTCACGATTAGCGAAAGATTGGGTGGAACGCATCAGGTCGCTGTCAAACGAGATCTTGGAAATAGTCACGTCACCGTCTTCAACAGCAACTTTTGCACCCGGTCGCTCAGACGTCTTGTTACTTGCGCGGTCCCAATCAGGCGAAAACCCGCTCGTCCCCGTAAAAACGGAAGACGCCCCTGCTCTTTCCTCCGAAGTCAATGACAGAGCGGTCGAGCGAGAAGTGGGGATCCCATAGTGAGGAAAGAAACTCGACAATTTGCGCACTTTCGTCGATTGCTCTGCCACCATCCCGAGAAACGGATTTTTACTCGTGGTGCTCGTGATGCTGCTCGACATTCTGACAGTACCATCTCGCGCACCCGGAGGCTGTTCACTAGCTGAAGAAGAGCTGTTCGCATTCAGAGGCGCTCTGGAACTCTCAGTGACAGAATCGGGTTTGTTGATAGTCCAGGTTGGGGAAGGGGTATACAAATTCTCAGATAACGAGCTAGAACGCCATTCTTGCGCCGGCACCTTCAGAAGATCAGACGCCTCTCTAGAATCATTCCGCATTCGAGACGCATCGTCGACATTACAGGAGGCAAATACTTCAGACAGAGGTCTATCGACCGACCGCAGACGAGCTCGCTGGGGACTTCTCTCGCCGTCAGTCTCGCGCGAGGCTTCGGAGTTTGAGAAGAGCTTATACAGTTTGTCGCGCACACTTCCTAGTTTCCATGCGGTATTAGTCGAGGATGACACATTGCGGGATGTAGGGTCCTGCCGGGATTGGTCAGACGGAGACGCTCGTGAGGGTTCCCCGGGTACTCTAAATCTTCCAATCTCAGTAACCTCTTCAGCGGCATAGAAGGAAGTGGTAGACACAACAGCCGGTTGCCTATAAATAATGCAATGCAATGTTAGTAAATGTCATCAGATATCGCACTTTTGTCATTGGGTTAGTTTCTGGTTCGTACGACGAAGGTACAGGCGGAGCTCGTCGCTTTGAATAATTCGGAAACACGGTCTTCACGTTAGCAATCCTTGGCTTCTGAGCAGGTGGCGCGTTGTTATCCTCTGTCGCTGATGCAGTGGCGGTAGAGCCACGATCTTGCAGACGGCGGATGAAAGACATATAAGAGGACGTCGAGTGATTCGTTTTTTGCTGCTGCTGATGTTGCGATTGCTGCTGACGCAATCGACGAGGCTCAAGGGGCGGAACCTGAGAGATAGCATACAGACTATCTGATTCACCACCGAAGCTATCATTTGTGCGATCAATAAGAATGGCAGACTGCTGCCCGGCATCGCCTTCGACACCCGTCTGGCGACGCGGTTCTCCCGAAAATTGCCTGAATCCCAGATACGGATTGTATGAATCACTTTCTCGGTGCTGCTGCTGCGGTAGATCACCAAGCTCACTTGGCTCATCAAACAAATACTCGCGCGCAGCACTTTCAGCCACTTGAGACTGCAGCATTTCATTCTCAAGACGATCTACTTCCTCGACATCAATAACAGAGCTGACTGTCTTCCGGCCCTTGCGATCAAACGAAAACATGCCCTTCACGCTCTGCAAAAACGTCTTGCGGCCTCGTCCGGAAACCGTACCACCGCTGCCGCCGCTACTGACGACGGCGCCTGGTTTACCAGGAGCGTACGCGTATCCCGAAGATTGCGGCTGAGGGACTGGCCCCCGTCGCCGCAGACTGTACGTCGGTTTCCCTGTCATGGTCTTGCTCCTGAAAAGACTGCCCGTATCTCTGTAGGTCGTACTTCTAACCGACTCATGGCGCGAAAGCGACCCGTAAACAGACCCGTCCGCCACGCTGCGCGCTGCTGCCGCGGCCGCTGCAGCGGCGTCGTTGGCAGCCGTAGCGGCCACGTCTTGCGGCGACGACAAGGTGCGCCGTCTCGCGAGTTTCATGGACGAATACTTGCGCTTGTCTCTCTCCGTCTGCGCGTCACGCATCGTCGTCCGCAGCGATCCGCCGCCGCGAGAGAGACTAGCGTGCGAGAGCGGCGGCAGGTGTGTAGAAGCCGGACGCGGGCGCGGGGCGGAGAAGCTCGCACTGGTTGTTCTGGAAGAAGCTGAGCGTGATGGTGTTCCATTTAAACGATTTAGAGGGACGGGAGCTAGACCATATGCGGTACGCGCAGCGGCTTTTGAAAGCTCATCGACTGGGGTACGTGGAAGGTGGCGCGCGGGGTAGGCGCTGTGAGTAGATGATTCCGATGGCGGACCCATTGAGCCGTGCAGAGGAAGCCGGTGAGATGATGTAGACTTCTGAAGAAAGAGTGGTGTGGAGTGGGGAGGCCGTGGTGGTCTGTGAAGCGCAATGGGAGGAGAGAGTGGTGAGAGATCAGGCGCGAGGATGAAAACAAATACGGCGCGCACAAATGAAAAGTAAACACCGCCTCTCAGTTCCAACACCGCACCCATTTAGATATTGAAGCAAAAATGAGCTATAATATATTTGATCTACATTTTACACGATTCACTCAGGTATTGGTTTGTAGTATTTACTATATAGGTAAATTCACCAGTCACGTCACATCAAAATGATACATATAATGTTATTTTCAGCAGCTCTACACAATTCATATCCCATAGCAGAACATGAAGGCATTTAGAGAGCAGCAATGACAGACTCGTAGGACGAGACAGTCAAGCCAGAGCCGGGCTCGTTGCCGACGTAGGTGATGACGCCCTTCTTGACGACGAGCGCGTAGCGGCCGGTGCGGAGACCGAATCCGGGGGGAAGCTGGAGGGTGAAGCCGAGCTTCTTGGAGAGCTCCGCGTCGGGGTCGGTGACGAAGTAGACGGAGTCGTCGGAGACCTTGTTGGCCTTGGCAAAGGCGCTGTGGATCATAGTGTTAGAAAGTGTTGAATAGATAGAGAAATGGAGTGGATGTACCTCATGACGAAAGGATCGTTGGCGGCAACGACGATGAAAACATCGACGCCCTTGGCCTTGAGATCAGACAGGTGCTCGAGGAAGGGAGGAACATGGTTCTCCATGCAACTGCACATAAAGAGATCGCGTTAGTCGCAGAGAACAAATAGTTACAAGAGAGAGAGACGCATACGTAGGAGTGAAAGCACCGGGGATGGAGACGATGACGACGGTCTTGTCGGCAAACTCCTTGTCGAAGTCCAAGGGTCCGGGGATACCGCAGGCTAGAGGATTGATGAATTAGTCAATTGATCAGTTATGAGATTGAACAGATAGATGAATTCAAGATACCCTTGATGTCCGAGGTCTCGGGGGTGATAGGGACGTAGACAAACTTGGTCTCGGTGGGGAACTTGTCTGTTCAAAAGTATGAAGTTAGCGCACGCCGACGATAGATAATCAATCAAAAAACTCAAGTCTGCTATTCGCAAGTCAGGCAACAGATGAATTGATTCATTAGAGGGAGATCGCAAGCAGACTGGCGGTAAGCCAGCTCTCGCAGCAACTTCCTCCGCCTTCCTTCGGCAGGAACGAAGACAAGTGTGACATCATCGGGACATCTGCAGACCGGCGAGCGGCAGACAGAGAGACGAAGCAGCAGAAGCAAAACAGAGCAAAACCGTACCGTTAACAGCAACCATTGTGAAGTAGTAAGATATTGGAGGAGTAGTAGTCAAAGCAGGATATGCAGCAAGAAGGAAGACGGTGGGCTGGGCGGAGGAGAAGGAGATGATAGAGAAAGGCGCAGATCGAGGCCTTAACTCTACTCAAAAGCCAAAGACAACCTCGTTTTCCCTCCGCTGCTCGCTCTCGTCCTGCTCGGCTCTGATATCACCAGTTCTTGCTATTATCTGCTATAGCCAGGCTGTATTTTACTTGTAATTGACACCTAGAATGTCTTTTATATCCACCAACACTACCGCAGCTGCCGCAGCAGCTCTCTCCTCTCGTGTGTCCTCTAACCGAGTTCCAGAGATTCACCGCTCAGACCAGGCGCCTCCTTACTAATCTGCCTTCCTTCGCCGTTCTCCGTCTCTCTTCGGCCATAACAGCAACAACAGCATCTTCATTGCGCAAGGAAATTTATTATCGTCAGTTAAACCGAACAATCACTGTCCGCAGAAAGTACAAAACGCCTCTAGAACTAAAGAATAAGAATAGCAGAACAAAAAATAGCCAAACAAGGTAAAAGAAATCAAAGAACCCCGGATTTAATCATCACCGTATCGATATACACTCACCGAACCACTCTGAAGCAATGAAAAAAAGATGCACCCTGGAGATATAAAAATAGAATAAAAGCAGAAGCAAGTAAAACCCAGAAATCTATAATACTGAAAATGCAAACAGCCAATAAGAAAACAAACCAAAACTAGCTTCGTCTTGAGCGAATCATGTTCTGTACCCGGCCAAGCAGTCCCGCAGCTCCATTAGCAGCTGCCGCACCACCAGACGAGCTGCTAGTAGTCGCCGTCAGGCTCTCGTCCGAGATCGACTCCTCTTCATCCTCGGCGTCGTTGTACGCGACCGAGATCAAATACTCGCGTCCGCTGACGTCAAGCTCGTCAGCATCATAGTCGCCTAGCTCGTCCCAGATCTCGTTGCGCTCGACAGATCCTAACTTCTTGCTCGTCCATGGCCGCGTTGCTCCTTTTGAGCTCTTTGTAGACGCGTAGCTCGACGACGTGAGTGCCGGCCGCAAACCTGTCGAGGGGAGGCCCGACTCTTCGTCGCTCGCAGAGATCAGCAACGCGTCCGACTCGGAGGCATCATCGTCAGTATTGCGGCCCGTCATAGTCGCCAGGGTCTCGGCATCATCCTTCAGAAGCGCGGCTACAGCCGGCTCGGGCGTAAGCCGCCACGAGAGGCAGGCGACGCCGACGAGCAGGATGATCGTTCCGAGGGCTACAAGGCCGATTTGCAAAGGCGACAGCCGCGAGGCTTGCTGGAAGTAAATCAGACCGTCGAGGATCGCGATGATGTTGTAGATGCAAAACACGAGAGGATAAAGCACCGAGGTCGAGCACAGCTTCAGACCCTCATGAAGGAAATATAGCTGCGTGAGCGCGAGTACGACAAGGCCGAGCAAGATAAGCCAGGTTTCGTATCGGTTGAACTGGTTGTTCTTGTTGATAACAGACTGCACGAGAAGCTCGACGGCAGACTTTGCGAGCAGGAGCGAGTGCGCGGAACCGATGCCGCTCACGACACCAAACAGCAGACCGCGGATGAGTTTTCCGCGATGGGTGTGCCCTCGCTTCCAGGTGCGCATCATACGCAGCACGACAAGCAAAACGACGGCAATGAAGATGGTGATGAAAAACCAGAGAAGGAAAGGTCGCTGTCGTAGAAGGTAGAGGAGTTCTTCGAGCGTGTGGTTGGGTTCGGGCAGTGCGCCGAATGCCGCGATCAGGATAGCTCCGGCGGTGACGAGGATGGTGCCTATGAGAGAGTATCGCGTGAAGGGTTCGGAAAGGAAGAGAGTAGCGCAGATGGAGTTGAACACGAGAGAGCTCTGTAACGCGGAAGGAAAGAAGGTCAGTACTTTGATCTAAATATATCACGAAGAACAACAGAGCAGCAAGAGACATACCGCCTGCAACGGCGCGTAAATGACGAGCGGCAGAGCCGTGATCTGGAATCCGGAACCAAAGATGTTTGTAACGAGGAAGAGACCCATGCCGAAGAGCCACCGCTTGCGTTTGTAAGGCGGCCGCTGGATCTGGCCCAGCGGCTTTTCGTCTTCGAGCATATGCGACTTGCGCTGCATGGTGAGGCCGACGGACTGTGCGGCGGAGGAGAAGATTCCGACGACGAGCCCGATGGCGATCGTCTTTCCCGAAGCCCCGCTCATGGTGAGAGAGGAGAAGTAGCAGGAGAAGGATAGGAAGAAGGAGAAGCAGAGCTGATAACAAAGGGGATGTGAGCAGCGGTGACGAAGCTGAGAACAAACCGCAGCGAGGCGGCACGTGAGTTGAGTTCTGCGCTAGTCCGAAAGAGGCAGCCGCAAAGCAGCAGCACGTGCACTCAGCGACGCGGCGGTTATGCAGCGCAGTCGCCCGATTGGGCCAATCAAGTAGGGTTCGCGGTTTATCTCACGTGATTCAAGGTTTATGGCACAAGTGAGCAAACATCACGTGCACGGGAGTGTCCACTATCGGATATGGCCCAGGCGGCTATCTTCTGCAACCGGCTTAGCTCGCCTCGACTCGACGCCTTTGCCCTTTCTCTTCCTCCTCCTCGTATCCTCACCGCCGTATCTCTACTCCCGCCAGCACAATGTCCAACACTTCTCTTACTGACGACCAGGTGGGTGCTGTTCTGTTGCTTATGCTGCTGTGCTTGCGATTGTCGGACGACCGGTCTAGGGAGCGAATTGCCTCGGGGCCTCCTTCCTTTCCTCGTCCGTTTTTCAAGTGCTCACCACCGAGAAACCAATCTAACCTCTTTTTTCTCTTCTTTTACTGCAGGTCGACACCGAGCTCAAGAAGCTCGTGCAATTCATCAAGCAGGAGGCGCTTGAGAAGGCTCGTGAGATTCAGATTAAGGTGAGCACCTCGTTTTCTGTTCTCCCTCCTGATATCTATATCGGTAGATAGGACGTATAGCGATTGCAGACCGGAGCAGAGAGCAGGTGAGGAGTAATTGAGTAGCTGAGATAGAGCATTGAGATTGATTGCTTGTTGCAATTGCTTCTCCATTTCTGCTCCTCGTCCCTACTCTGCTCCTCGCTGCTCTGCTCTGTCTGCTCGCTACTACTCGGACATCTCCTATCCGCCATGCTATCGAGTATCAAAAAACCATCAATCCAAAACACCCTCTAACAATCATCCAGGCCGACGAAGAGTTCGCCATCGAGAAGGCCAAGCTCGTCCGGTCCGAGACCGCCAACATCGACCAGGTCTACGAGCGCCGGACGAAGCAGGCCTCGCTCGCGCAGCAGATTACAAAGTCCAACATCACCAACAAGACCCGTCTCCGCGTGCTCGCCGCCCGCCAGGAGGTTCTCGACCAGGTCTTTGAGGAGGCTGCGTCCAAGCTTAGCGCTATCTCGGCCAACAAGGACAAGTACTGCGTCCTGCTCAAGGATCTGATGTTGGAGGTACTTTAGTCTTTATAATCGTACAATTGCTCTCACTTCGATGGTATTAACAATATGTTTAGGGTGCCTACATTCTCTACGAGAAGAGCATCGTCGTCTCCGCCCGTGAGGCCGACTACGACCTCATCAAGACCGGCATTCCCCTCGTCCAGGAGGAGTTCAAGAAGGCCGTCGGCACCGACTTGACCATCACCATCGACGAGTCCAACCCGATTCCCGCTGAATCGTACGTTTCCCCATCACCTCTCTTCCTCCTCATCTACATATAGCTCAACTAACAAATTCTACAGAAGCGGTGGTGTCATCCTCTACGGCTCCGCCGGCAAGATCGCAGTCACAAACACGCTCGACGAGCGTCTCAACCTCTTGAACGAGGAGTCCCTCCCCGCCATCCGGACCGCCATGTTTGGCCCCAACCCGCTGCGCAAGTTCTTTGACTAAGAAAGCATGTCTATAACTCCTTACATTTATTTATGTTTAATAGTCTTTTGTCGTGTGTGCCTGAAATAAAGAGGTGATTTTCGTTTTGTAATAAGTTTGCGTTGGCATTAATATATCGATTTCGATTTATAACACTTTTGTTTTCTTTTCCACTGTTGATTTATGACGTGGTTTCCTTTTGAATATATAGATAGACACATATTTGATCTCAGAGATGCATATTGTCTGGAACATCAATGCGGTTTGGTAACGAGGAACTATGTTCTCACCACAGCATTACATTCCACACAGCCATTCCAAAGAGTCATAACACGTTAAACAGAGAGATATATGAATTGATTGAGAGATAGAAAAGCTGATTAAAGCAAAACAAACCAGCACAGCGCCGCGGTTGATACCAGCGCTGCAAGCGAGCCGCTGCGGCGGCGGAGGTTGGATGCGTCAGAGGATGTGCTGGAGGGTGTAGATGATGTAGAAGAGGAGGAGGGTGATGGCGATGAGGAGGAGTGGAGGGGTGAAGAGGAAAGAGGGGGTGATGATGATTTGCTGGTGGACGAGGAGGATACAGAGCACGATGAAGAGATCGGGCTACTTGCCGCCACGATCTCGGACGAGCTCGACGGCAGCGCCGACGACGACGACAATACTGAAGATGAAGATGAAGACAAAGACGCAGACGTCTGCGACCTCGCAACCCCACTACTTCCACCCATCATGCTCGTCGTCTGAGCAGAACCGCTCGTCGAGCTCCCACCGATAGCCGAGACCCCGTCCTCGGCGGTGAGGATGGAGAGCTCGCTCGCGACCGCGGCGGAGTCTGTGAGTAGGCTTGAAGGGAAGTAGTGTGAGAAGATGGAGAGGATGTCGGGTGGTATTGAGGATGTTAAGAGAATTTGGTCGAGGGCGTTGAGTGATGAGGAGGAGGGGGAGGGGGTTTGTGAGGTGACTGGGTGGAGGAGGAGGGAGAGGAGGAGGAGGGGGAGGAAGAGGAGGTAGGATGAGATTCGGGGGATCATGATGGCGTTTGATGGGGGTGAGGTAGAAAGATCGAGAGATGTTTGTATACAAGAGATGTTGTATACAAGAGAACAGGTAGTGATGCTACGGTCGTCACGCGTCTTTGATGTCGCGTGCCTGATCTCTTTGCGTGAAGTGCCAGTGATTGGATGGTGACAATATCACTTTTGGAAGAGAAATGAGTTGTTGATGATTACTTGAGATTACAGAATATATCTGCATCAGATGCAGGAGATCAAGCTATGTTCCATACCATGCACCTCTTTCATCCGAGCAACGCGACTACCAAATCCATCCATACACCCCCCCTCAACTTCCATAAATACCACAACTCAAAAATACACATCTCCCTTCCTAAAACAAATTCCCAGACCCTCACCACTGCTCCTATCCTCAAACGACAGACGAGAGGGGAGAGAGAGAGAGAGAGAGAGATGAAACTATGAAGGTGGTTGGGGAAGAAGAAGAAGCAGGATTAGCCGAGCCTGAGAAAGATGGACAGAGCAGGATTCGCCCCGTTCCCCGATTTGAAGTTTGTTCGAACTTTTTAGCGTTTTCTGCCTGTATACAGAGCAGAAGTTTTAGAATAAATGTATTATGCAGAATAAAGAAAGAGAAAGACAGAGATCGAGAGATATTTGGAGAAGATAAAGAGAGTTGCAGACAAATCCAAAATGAAACCACAAAAATCACAAGCCGAAATTCCACAATCAAGTATCTTAAATCAAAACAGAATAGAGTAGAAGAATAGAAAAGGTACGCAGGACGTCAAAAGCCCTGAAACCAGGTTAGAAAGTGAAAAGTGAAAAGTGAAAAAGTGAAAAAGTGAAAAGTGAAAAAGTGAAAAAGTGAAAATAGAAATAGAGGTGGGTAGAATACGAGGACGGGAGGAGCAGGATCCGCGGACGGGGGGAAATTAATCTGGTTACTTCATCTGTGAATGAAAAAGTTTACTGGCGTTTATACCTCTTTCGGATTCTTCTATTTCGTTTGCTGGTTTTGAAGGGATGATGTAGTTTTGTTCTTCTGCGCAGGTACAGATCATGATGTCTGATAAATCCGAAAAGACAATCGTGATCCCAGATTCAAGATCACAACACAGCACCACCACACGACAACCTCCCTCGCCCGTCAAACAAACAAGGCACAAAGTCGGCTGACCGGCTGTATAGGCGAACAGACCAACTCGTATAAGCTTAAGCTCATAATTATAGTACCCTTCAACTCTGGCTGACAATCCACCGTCTTGCCTTTTTAATACAACACGGGAGAAGCTCAGGAAGGGAAGGAAGGAAAAAGTCAGATTGATCGATTCGGTTTGAGATATCACAGTTGATTTCTGTTTTGTGCAACTCGCTCAGAAGATGAAGGGTGGTGATGGGTCGAGGTGGTATATCTGCATGCAGGACGTGGTTTTAGTGAACGCAGAGAATCAGATTTGATCATTAGTTACTGACACTGGTTGGAAGACCAGCTCGCTGATACAGCTGATACATACTAGACATAATAGACAGCTTCGAGCACAGGAATGGTACAGAAACAGAGCACGAGATATGCATAAATCACATGCAGAATCATAAAAGTACAGACGCAGTCTTTCGGTATTTGGTATTCCACGCCTGCCGACTTCCAACCTTACACCCTCCTTCAGAACACAGTAGATCTACACGCTTTCCAAAAGCCGACAAGAGCACATTCTTTCCAGAAAGAAAGTCAATCGCACTCATAGTAACTATCCCAAAATCAATCTTCCAGAAGACAGATCGCAGGCTGCAGGCTGCAGAAGTGAAGTGCGCCGTACGCTTGGACCACCGGGCATCTGACATCTGATGCAGGTACGCGCCGACGAGCTAAATTAAACAACATGACAAGAGGGACTAAAGAGAAGAGAGAGAGAGGGAGGGTGGTTTGAGATGACTGGGATTTCTGGGTTTCCAGGGTAGGTACCGCTGGCAAGCTAGTCAAGGTCAGGTCAGGTCAGGTCAGGTATTGGAAGTGTGTGTATATCTGCGGATTTAAGAGCGGTGAAGTCTGTGAAAGAGATGGGGAATCTCCTCCGGCATCTGTCTTGAAGATATTAAAAAAAAAACATCTTATGAGACTAGCACTCTGGTCAATTAGTGCTGGTATAGGTTTGATAAGAGTCGATCACGCGTAGTAAGTCTGTCTAATTTCGCAGAGTTGCCCAGACACATACTCGCAGCCTCGACGCGCCCGAAAGAGAAAAGCTGCCGCCGGTGATCTGCAGGTACCTAAATAACTGCAGACAGCCAAGCTCACAATGAAACTGAAAAGATAGATGACAGGAGAAGCAGGAGGAAAAGACGCGGAGATTAGAGTAGAGCGCAGGTCACAGACCGGCGGCGAGGAGGGCAGGGAGGGCACGGCGCGGCGGGTCGGTTGCGGATATATGGCGCAGGTGAGCTCGGTTTGGATGGTATAGTGAGATGGAAGTGCAGCTGTGATTGTAACTGTAAATGACAGTCCGTGATACGAGGAGGAGGAGGAGGAGGAGGGATGGTGGTTTAGAGGTAGAGAGTAGATATTAATGCTACTCATCTATGTACAGTAAACAGCAGAAGACAAATAAAAGAGATATCAGTATAGAAAACAGAGATGTAGAGTGAGAAGACTAGGGAAGAACGAGAAATGGAGATCAAAGATGCAGATCATGAGAAGTATGGCGAGAACTGCAACCGAAGTGCCGACTCTTAGAGGGCGATATGAACGATCGCCGTTTAAGCAAACGCCGTGTGAGTGGAAGAGAGTTATGCAGAGTTGATATGAAGTGTGCTGATCAGGCAATGGATGGTGTTGATGAATGCTGAGGGAGTGGGTATAGTTGTAGGCGGAAGAGAGGAGATCGTGGAGGATCAGCAGCGTAGACAGCAGACACAGACAAGAAGAGGCAGAGAGTGATGAACAATGAAGTGAATAACAAAAAAGCGACAAAACAATAACAATAAAACAGTAAAAGAATAGAATAGACAAATATGATAATGTACGATACTGTAATGCCAGCTCATCGCGGCGTTGCTCATTAAGGAAAGCTGCGGCGTTAATAGGGGCACCCAGGCCGGTCTTCTATTTACTCTCTGCGACTTGTCTTCTTTCCCTCTTCTTCTCTTCTTCTGCTGTTGATTTATCTTCTATTGTCTTGTGTTTTGCTGTTTGTCTACATATTCGCTGGATTATATCTGTATCAGACATACACACCCACCCTCTCCCGATGACGACACATACCCTCCCCCTCCAGCCCCAGATCGCCCTCCAACACCACCAGCAGCAGCAGCAACAAAAACAACCCTCCCAGCGGCTGCGCACATTCCCACCCGGCCCGATCCCGGCTGCTCCGCCAGCGATAGTGCGGAAGGACGAGCACGGCGTCGACTGGATCTCGTTCCAGTACTCGAAAGACAGAGTCCGCACGGAGTACTGCATCCGCTGCGACGTCGGCTCCGTCAACCTCAGCGAACTGTCTAAGCAGTTTCGCAAAACCAACTGTGTAGGCATCATGATTCTTCTATACTTCAGTCGTTAATAGCTCGCATTGCTGACAGAGTGGAAGATCTACCCGCGCGCGGACGTGCCGGAACCGCACTATCGCGGAAATCGCCACAAATACGAGAATGAGTGCAACAGGATAGGAATCGCACTCGCGTACCTGAACCCGTCGCTGAGGGGTAAGCGCGGGCTTATCCAGCGTGCGGTAGACTCCTGGCGCAACTCGAATTCAGATCCGAAGCTGCGGTCGCGCAGAGTGCGCAGGCTGTCGAGACAGAAGAAGAAGCCGGATGAAGGGCAACAGCAGCAGCAGCAACAAGAGAATGGAAGGCAAGCAGTGGGAGGAGTTGGGGAATTGAAAGCTAGCAGCAACGGGGGATTGCCGTTCACGCAGGCTGGAGCGACGGGCACGATCGACTGGAGACAGCCACTGGGCTTCGGCGACGATGGAAATACTACTAATTCGAGCGAGTCGCCGTCGCCGGTGATTATCCAGCCAGCGCTGTTTTCTCGGACAGATGTACTGAATCCGCTCAACTTTCCGTGCTCGGTGAATGCGAACCCGGTAGCAGACGAGGACACGAGAGTGACTGAGCCGTCATTGGCTTCGGAGGAGACGGGAAGTGGGAGCAGTAGTTTGCTGATAGGGAAAAGCAAGCCGTTGAAGTATATAACGGTTGAGACGGACCCTAGTGTGAATCCGGATAGCAAAGTGCGAGTGAGGGTTGCGATTGAGAATATTAGTCTTGAGAAGATTCCGGACAAGTATCGGTTTGATCATGCGGTTTTTGTGTCGTCTGTTGTGTCTTCGCTTTCGCCTCATTTTCAGCAGCAGCAGCGGCAGCAGCAGCAACAGAAGGATGGAACGATGCAGCAGCATGAACAACAGCAGCAGCACGAACAACACGAACAGCAACAGCAACAGCAGCAACAACAGCAGCAACAACATCAACAACATCGACAACACCAACAACAACACAGACTAGAGCGCGCAAGGATTGAAAAAGAAATCAACGAGCTGGGGATCAAGATGGCATGGCTGCAGCCGCGGCTGTTTGAAGGACGGATGCAGTTCCTGCAGCGGTCACTGGACGTGTATCGGAGTAAGTTAGTGGCCGTCGGAGGAGCGTCGAGCGAGCTGGCGTTACGACGGGGGAAGCAGCGATGGCTGCAGAGCAAGCTGAGCACGAAGATGGATCCGCGGATGTGATATATACGACATGATATGATACGATATGAGAAGATACAATGGATTGGATAAAGAGCAATGTGGACGCAGAAAAGGGTTTTGTTTACTTTTTAGGTAAAATGAAAGAAAAGAGCGAGAACCGTAGAACGGGACCCAGATCTGCTCGAGATGCGGTGACGTAGTGCGTGTGTTGTTGTGGGTACAACTACACCTGCTTAATATAATAGTGATAGCACGTGTTTCAGTCCCCACAACACCGCACTGCAGATCAGAGAGTTATCGACAGATACGCTAAGAAGATGCCGCACGCCTCGAGCCACCTGCGCCCGGCGCCGTCACTTTTTGTTTACTTCCCCGACTCTTCTCTTCTTCCTTCCTTCTATTACTCCTCCTCCTCCTCCTCTTCACCTCTCCTACTCCTCATCGTCAACTCGCCATGAGCAACCGCACCTCCCGCCCTCCCCGCCAACCCTACGGCGGGAACATCGGGCTCTCTGTACGTCTCCTCATCTCATCCTCATCTCTATCTCTCTTCACTCTCTCTACTTCTATCTCTCTCTCTACTCTCTCTCTCTACCCTCTCTAACTATCTCTCCAGACCTCCTCCTCCATGTCCTCCATGTCCTCCTACTCCGCCCGTCCAAAACGCCAGCCCTACGGCGGCAACATCGGCCTCTCTGTACGTCTGCTCTTCTCCACCCCAGCCACCCACCCACCCCCATTCTCACACCTCTAGACCTCCTCCTCCATGCACTTCTCCCCCTCCGCCTCAACGAACGCTGCCCTCGCCGCGGCCTCCGTCGCAACCATTTCCCGCTCTCAATCCATGAGCTTGTCCTCCGCAGGTACGTCTCTCCCATAATCATCATTCCTCTCTCCATCTTCCGATGAATGTTAGACCTCGTATCTCATGTGCTGATCTCTAGCCGCCGCTGCAGCTCTCAAGCACGACCAGATCAATGCAGCCCAAGCAGGCCGATCTGTCCTTGTACCTTCCAAACGCGCCCAAAAATCCGCCGCCCTCGGTCGCCGTCCCAGTCTGTCCGAGCGCAACCTCCGCGCCCCGTCCTCCTCTGGCAGCCGCATGTCTCTCAGAATGAGCTCCGCTCCCTCTGTCTCCGGCCGCTCAAACTCCATCCGCTCAACTCTCTCCCTCCCGAGAGCCTTCAAGCGCTCGGGCTATGCCTCCAGCATCGCCTCCTACGAGTCTACCGATCTCAACTCGATCTCCGAAGATCGCATGCTTGACTCCGTCGCCGCCTCCCCAAAGATGATGCCTCCTCCTGTGATTGACGAGGAACCCCGTGAAACCGCTCGGTCACTCACCGCATCAAAACTTGGAGTAAAACAGTCGCGCTCTTCTAGCAGAATGTCGCAGTCTTCCACCTTGTCTGTCGTCGACACCGAAGACGGCTCTCTCTCTCGCACTGGCACCCCGTCCGCAAAGAGAAACCATCGCGTCAGCTTCACAGACGCGAGTGTTATCGACGACATCCCAGCTCCTGCTCCTCCAAAGTTTGTGAACGGTGTTGACGAACCCACAGCTGCGGAGACCCTTCCTACCGCTACTGATATGGAAAACACTGTCTCCGTCGCATCGACAATGGACGAGATGAAGACTCCACCAGAGACAATGTCCCCCGAGCCCTCGCTCAATGGAACTTCTACGCTCGGTGACGAATACGCTGCGACCACGCTCCCAACAGAGTCCTCAACCACCGAGCGCGTGATTGATGACGATGTCAATGCGCCTGCGGCCTTGACCGAGGACATTGGTGACTATGATCCTAACATAATAGCCGATCTTCTCGCCGCCCGTGCCATTGAAGATGATGAAACTGAGCTTGATCGTCAGTATCTCTCCGAGCATGAGTCTGAATTTGAGGACGCCGCGCCTGTTCAGCAAGAGGCAAAGTCGGTCCCGCGGAAAGCGGTCGGATCAGCTCCGAGCGAACAGCAAACCAGGGTAATCACTCCCCCCGCGGAAGTCGACGCTCGCGAGCGATCCCAGAACCAGCAGCTCCTCCACCCGACCCCCAGAAACGCAAAGCCCGTGAACGGAATTTTGAAGGGGAGCCCCGAACGCGTCTCTTCAGTTTCACGAAACTCGAGGTACTCGCGAGCTCCGCGACCTGCGACTACTTACGGCACCACCGCTCCGACTATGCAGACCTCTGTCTCCAGTGCTGCGATCGCGGCCGCGGCATCTGCATCGCACCAGCCCTCTGCTGAGGAGATTGCCGACCTCGAAAACCTGCGAGAGAGATCAGGTTCTGCGTCATCGTTCAGACGCGAGGACGGCGTTTCGAGAGCGGCGTCCAAGAGCCGTGGCTCGATGATGAAGACGTCGATGCGTGATGTGCAAGTGCCCAGCATGCGGAACGGAAAAGACGCCCGCGGATTCGGCCGGTCTGTCAAGTCACAGAAGCAGCTGTACAGAGAACAACTTGAAGAGGCAAAGAGCGATCCGCGTGTGATGGAGCAGCTTCATCCCACTACTGCGGACGATATCACCGCGACCGCGTACGTAGGCTTGCAGCGCGTCAACTCCTCGTCGAGCTACAAGAAAGAAACGACGTCGACTTACCGAAAGGAGCAGCCGAGACACGAGCCTGTTGCCGAGATTGCTGCGTCTGAAACCAAGGGCCGTGACGAGAAGGGCCGCAGTTTTGGCTTGAAGAGATTTACTCTGACGCCAAGGAAGTCGAGAGTTGTAAGCAACCCGGAGACCTCCTCTGCCGCTCCTCTTCCACCTCCTCCTACGCTCGCGGCTCCGGTTATGAACGGATACACGAACGGAGACGTCACGTCTACCACTGCTGCCGCCGAGCCGTCGTCGACTGGCACGACTGCTACTCCGCCAGCGACGATCGCATCCCGCGGCTTCAGCCAATTGCCTAGTAGTCATCCGTTCAGTCTTGATTCCGACGACGTCTTCACAGCAACCCCGACGGTTTCCAACACCGCGGCAAATGACTCCAGCGTCGGTGTCGCATACTCTTCGTTCGACACCTCGCCCGCCAAATCAGACCGTGATCGCGAGTCCGCTCTCGCGAAGCTCACTGGCTCTGCGTCTGCGTCCTCTGCAACTCAGTACCAGCAACCCCAGCAACCACAAACCAGCTCAGAGTACATCCAGCAGCCCGTCACGCCGGTTAAGCAGAAAAAGCTTAGCCAGTACCAGCAATTCAGACTTGAGCGCGCGCAAAAGAAAGAACAGAAGAACGGCAAGCGCGCGACCACGGTCGCGGGCGTGCCGCCTCCGCTTCCACACAGCAACGCGCAAACCGCAGCGGCAGCCGCCGCCATGAGCGGCCGCGCGAGCTCCGTGCAGCCGACGACGGCGCCGGCTGCTTCCTACGACGACAGCGTGCCGGCGCAGTATAACGAGAAGACCAAGAGCAAGAAATTCGGCGGTCTGCGGAAGCTGTTTAAGTTGGACGATTAGGCGCGCGCGTGCGTGCGAGACAAAATATGAATCGAAGAAGCGAAGCGATGATATTGATTTATGTATATTTTGGGAACCGATTGATGTGTTAGATCTGGATGTTGATTTGAGTCGTGAAGGTCTCTGTTAGTTAGTTAGTTCTACTTGTTGACTTCTTTACTTTTCGGGATATTGTATTACTTGTATCTTCTATTCTGTGCTTTTGTATTTGGACTACGAGCAAAGTCATTTAGCGACATCTCGTTTTTTGCTTATCCAGTGTGTTATCGTGTGCGTGGGTGCGTGTGTGCTCTTGTGTATTATGCTAATCTTTTCACTTTCTCTTTCTTTCTCCACCGTGTATTAATTTCCCGTTGAATGTGTTGATATTTTCTGTATATTGATTGAAGCTATTTTACCTTTCTCTACCCGGCGCCCTTCCCTCGCGCGGACTGTATCGTATAACCTTGTCTAACTATGCGTCTAATCCAATTCTCCACCCAAACTCTCCACACAAAAACTTCACAACACTCAGACAGAATGCATCTCCAACCTGAACTTCAACTGCACATCCTTAAACACATCAATCAGCGTCGCCGCGCTCCACGCCTGCGTCGGCGACGAGTCATTACACACCTCGCCGTCTCTATTTGTGAGCTCGGCGAGTCCCGCCCACGGCGAGCTCTCGATCCACTTCAGGTGCGCCTGCAGCCGGAGATGGATCTGTTGCAGCGTCTCGAGGCGCTCGACGTCCGTGGTCTTGCGGATGAGATCAAAGTGCAGAAACGCGCGCAGGAAGTAGCCCGTGCACCAGACCCATTCGGGGCCTTGGTGGTAGTTGCGGCCTTTTGAGGTTTTGAAGTCGGTCGAGTCTTCTGAGTTGTTGTAGTATCTAAACGGTCAATCAAATAAGAATTAGCTCTCTCCTCTGAAAGAAAAGATAGGGAAACAGGGAAATCATACGGTCTATAGTTCAAATCAGAAGGATCCAAAGTCCTCATCCCGACCGGTCCTCTCAGCACCGAATCCGCAATCGCAATCGCGCCGATCGCTTTCTCGGCATCAAACAGCTCGGGCGCGACAGTCATTGCGATTGCGAAATTCGGACGCAGCTCGTAGTCCTCGTACTCCTTGCCGGACCGGAACAGGTCCTTGTAGATCCCGCGCCGGTTCACGCACGCTTTGTTGATCACGAACTTGTCGTCGTCGGAGGGCTCGAGCGGGACGTAGTAGCACCGCTCAAAGTTGGATTGCACGAGTTCTTCCCATTTTTTGAACGTCACGACTTTGCTTCCGCCGGCGGTAGTCACAGAATCATACGGGTAACTGCCTTCCTTGCGAAGCTCGTTCACCCACCGCAGCGCACTCTTCAGCATACCCGAGATCTCGATCGCCGCGCCGTCGCGCGGAGTTCCAGGCCAGCCTTTATTCCCGGCCCGGTCAGACTCGCCCATCTTATCCATCCACGTGCCGCAGTTCCACTGGTTACCGCCAAACACAAGGCCGGTCTCCCAATCGACCTCGACGTCGATATTGAACCCTTCGTCCTTCATCTGCATGTCCAGCTGTGGCCCGGCGTTGTGTTCCCGGAAATGCAGGCCCTCGGCGTGCCGTTGCAGGATTTCCTGGATGATATCCAATAGCGAGGTCGAGTAGCTAAACGCCCGCGGATCGTCCCATTCGACAAAGGTATCGTCGAGCGGGAACCGGCGCTTCACTTGCTCGCTCAGGATCTGCTTCCCGTTGGGCACGAGCTTGACGTAGTCCTGAATGTTTTGCAAAAAGAACCACACCGAGTCGCGAGAGTTGTAGCGCGGATTCCGGCCCGCGTCAAGCAGGTTTGGAATCATCCCGTGCTTCAGCGTCGACGCAAACGCAAGGATATGCTCCTTTGCTTCCTCGTGACGGTTAGGGATGATCAGCAGTCCTCTCAGCGAGATGAAAACGTCACGACCCCAGCACCGCATGTAGTCCTTGCTGAAATGCGGCAAGCCAGCCGCCATCGCCGGCACGATCTTCGACGGCACAAGCGACGTGCTGTTCACTTTCCCCACCATCTGCACCGAGCACAGCAGCAGCGACTGCAAAAAGAAATGCGAGTTTTCAAACTCGGACCCGAGCAAGATCGAGACCGCCTGATCGCGACAGGCCTCGTACACGGCCTGCAGCACCATCGCAAAGTAGCGCGGGAGCAAGAACGGCGGAACCTTGCGGATCGCGTCGAAGCGCGACTCGAGCCACGCAATCAGCGAATTCAGGTGCGGGAACTCGTCCACGTGCGACTTGAGCCGGTACACGATATAGTCGAGCGCCCATTGGCCTTGTCGCAGATGATCACAGATCGGATGCGCGAGGTCGTTGTTCAGAATGATCTGCGTGAACGGCGACATGAAGCCCTGGAGACCCGCATACACCAGCGGGCCAAAATTCGGGACAACATACACTCCGTCTTTACCCATAGATAAGTCGCGCTCTTCGCCATCGCATCGGTACAGCACCACGTTCAAATCAATCAGATCCAAGTCCTTCACCGCCTCTGCCGCCCCTGATACCACAAAGTCGTCGACACTTTCTTCCGCGCTTGGGATCCATGTGCGGATGAGAGCGATCGACCCCGGCGGGAAATGATCCGGTAAGGTGATCTCGGACTGGTTCAAGACCGAGTTAAACACCACAGATGGCTCCTTGAGATCAACGACCTTGACCGGAACACCGTTCAGCACCGTGTCTGAGTGTTTGTATTCACCTTTCTTTTCCAGAGACGTCGCGATTATCGAGCGAGCAAAAGTCCCCTGCAGAATAATCGTTCCCACTGTACAAAAGTTAGTCGCTTGTGATTGATACTGTATAAATGGTGATACATACGTCTTTGGTTGGAACAGTTGTCGGTGAACTTTGTGTGCGCGATTAAGAACCAGCCTTTACCCTCTCGGGGACTAACTCTGTGAACAGTCACGAAATTTCCCTCATGATGTACGTGCATCTCCTCCGCTCCGATCCTACCAGTGTTTTCATGTACATCGTTCAAGACTTTTTTAATCTCGCCGATTCCGTTGCCGAAAGTGTACATGCGTTTCTCGTTGACAATGTCGAGTAAATGAGGATAGCACTCGTCATATCCCACGACCGAGCCAGTCGCGCAGGCACACATGGCGACTAATGCCGCGTTGGGCAAAGTGTCCTCGACCGTACGCTTCTGCGTCGGCGTCTCGTTGTCGTGCGTGCAGTCCATAAACAGAGCGTGCACATGCGATGATTGAACGAATTTGTCATTGCATAGTTTGGTGGCCATGATGCTACCGATCGGCTTACCGCCATGGCGGTGCACGAGGCGCGAGAGCTCAGAAATAGACCACGCCTGCATCGCTTCGCGAATTAAGCTGTTGATACCCAGTCGCTCGACAAAGAGTTTATCCATGTCCTCGGATCCGGTGAACAGCTCTGCGACGACATAGAGATCAGGACGGACTTTGCGCGCACAGTCAAGGAGATATTCTCCAACATGCAGCGGTGTCGAATGACAGTTGTCGATCCGAAGAGCATAGAAATGCGATGCGCAGATCTCGGTATACTTGCGCATATGTTCCCACAAGAACGGCGAGTCCTCTGGCGACCTTCCATACCGAAGCTTCACGCAATCGCCCCAGGCAATGACCTCGCGGCGCAGATACGCCTTTGAGTTTGAGCTCGCAAAGTCAACCATCGGATTCCCGTTCCAGATCCAGCCGTTGTTTGCGAGCCCGATAGTTTCACCGTCGACGACCACGCGGGTAAAGTACGCGTCCGCAAGAGGCGACTTTGCGTTGATCTCGCCGGCTTTTGGACCGTGCGCGTCAAGACGGATATACTTGATGCGATTGAATAATTGCTCGAGGATCTCACCGGCATCATTATCGTACTCGCGATAAAACTCAAGGTTGATTTCATCAATGATCCGAATCGTCTCGGATTTGACCGTCTCGAGATCAGCATCCTCATGGAGTACCGTTTTCAGTATGCCAGCAAGCGCAACTGGCTCGAGGTACTTGCGGAACCGCTTGCCAAGTTTGTTGAAGTTTCGCGCAGTTCGGTCTCTCACAAAGGCACTCAATTCCACAAGAGACAGGTTTTCAGGAACATCGGTAGCTTTCGTATCCTTACTCTTAAAAGCCTCGACAACTTTCTTCGTGGTCGTCTCCACATCGACTACGTAGAATTCCCACAATCTGAGAGCGCCGAGGACATGGACCTTGATGCCGTCCATAATCCTCAGCAGATCGTTCTCGCCTTGAAGATTTGTCGGTAAACCGAGCGATCTAAGCGAGCGCGAGAACGAAAGCAGGGCGTCGTCAAGCTCATACGCGGCCTGCAGATGAGGCGCGGTCTTGATACTGTAGCCAGCCTCGGGATGTTCACGCAGCCAAGCCGAGTTGCTCGCGGTATGATTCCATACAACGTCAGTCATAGAGAGGAGATGGTGCTTGTCCTTCATACTAGATACCAGCTTATCGATATCCTCGATGCCGTTCTTAAAAATCTCGGGATCAAACTCGAGCTGATCGTATATCGAATACGGCGAGTTACTATCGCCCCTGTGCTGCAATGGCGTGAAGTGGATCATGTTGTACCCTTTGCCCTTGATAATTGCAAGTTTCTCATCCCAGGTCTCAAACGGACCCATCCATTTCGAAATCACAGACTGGATATTGAGTGCATCGAGCGGGAGTCGCGCGCCGTTGAGTGAGAACCTCGGCGCGACAGTGAAATGGTAGCGGGCGGATACCGATTTCGAGAGTGACAGGGGAGCAAGGAATGCGTTCATAGGAAGATATGTGAGGTAAAAGGCGTAAGCTCCAGGAGTGGAGATCTCGATATCGATATGACACGCGGCGTGGAAGCCAGGGCAGATCCTATACATCAGATCAGCACAAGTCCAGAAAGAATGCCTACTCGAAACAGGCCTAAAAAAAATTGCAGGAAGAGAAAAACTCACTCGTGGGGATAGAACTTCTCGCGATCAAAGGCGACGTCGCTCGAGGGCGGCACGTTACACCACAGCACACCATCGCGAGAAATCGAGGAGATCGACGAGACCTGGAAGCGCAAGATGTAGGGATCGTAGGGCGACGGAAGAGAGATAAAAGTGCCCGAGCCCGCGGGAATCGGGGCCCCGACGTCAGAGAGAGGAAGGATGTAGATGTCGCGAGGCATATTTGCTGGTGATCGACGATATCGATATGTAGATTGTAAGGTGACTGGGTGAACTTGTAGAGTCGAGAGCATCAGCATATATAGTACTATAGACAAAGCACATAAAACAGTCTTGACAAATCCGAGAGACTGCAGATCAAAACATCAGATTATCAGTTCTGAGGGATATCAGCACATACCGAGGGACTATGCAGGATTTAAACGGCCTGTTGCATGAACAAGTGACCTGCCGGGAAAGATGGGCTCGATGAGAGTTGTCTGAGAAGATTACAGCAAATCAAAACAATATCCAGGCCTTTTTAGACAATTTGCACGCCAAATATCGCCGCAGAATACCTCGAAACAAAGCAAACGGAGGAAGAGGAGGCCGTCCGAGCCGGGGGAAGGTGGAACCCGGCCATCTCCAAATCCAGCGATCTTTGGCTCTGAATGAGCCGCGCCTGATGTGACTCAGATCACATATATGCGGCTCGTGATATTGTGATCCGGAATCTGCTTACCCGGCTAAAGTTGTTCGTCGATTTTTTTTTTTCGCTCCCAACCAAAAATTTGGCACACCCAACTTCAGCTAAATTTCTTTCTCGACCCACGCCTGATCCTTTCTTCTGCTCTGGAAGAGACCTTTTGGACGCGGCCAGAGAGAGAAATCAAGAGGCTTACACCGTGAGTTAAAAAGGAGGTTCAGAATGAATATCTCAAAGCCCATCGGGTCTGAAATCACAGACGTCGAGTTTGGATACTTCACTGCTCAGGATATCCGAAATCTTTCAGTCAAGCAGATTACGCATCCCCAGGTTTTCGACAGCCTGGGACATCCTATTTCTGGTGGTCTACACGATCTCGCGCTTGGAGCGTTTGACAAGCAGCCGTATGTATCATATTTTGCGGAGGTGGTAGCTCGCAACATGCACTAAATATTCGTTGATGATTAGATGCGCAACATGCCGTTTGGACTCTCGCTTCTGCCCGGGACATTTGGGACACATCAGCCTTCCGATTGAAGTTTACAATCCTTTGTTTTTCAGTCAGATGTATATTCTTCTCCGAAGCACCTGTCTTTACTGCTACAGCTTCCGCCTAAAGAAAGTCGAGACTCATCGACATGAGTGCAAACTCAGACTGCTCCAGTACAGTCTGATCAGCGAGTGCGAGACTCTCGACAACATGCACATCTCCGGTGGAATCGAGGAGGAGATCGAAGAGGAGGAAGCCCTCGAAGACAATCGACTCAGCTCGGCCTCGGGCGGTTCGGCCAAAAAGTCGAAATCAAAGTCCGGCTCAGACAAAGAGCTCATGAAGGCTCGCGAGAAGTTTGTGGAGGAATGCATCGCTCGAGTTAAGGAAGAAGGTGGCCATGTTCATCAGAGTGCTGCTGTGCTCTCCGAGCGCCGCCGGCTGATCCACGAGCTGCTCAAGCTGTTGCTCGCGCGTCCCAAGTGCGACAACTGCGGAATGTACGTTTCTGACCTACCTGTTTTCTACTATTTTTCACATCACTAACACTGCTCAACTAGGTTCTCTCCCACATTCAGAAAAGAAGGCATGTCAAAGGTCTTTGAAATCAGCTTGAAGGAGAAGCAGGCGCAGAACAACAAGCTCAAGGGCGGCTACCGACAGGATGCTTTCTACGACCAAGGCCAGCGCCGAAGAGAAGGAAAGACCCCCGAGGCCGACAGCGAGAGTATGATGGAAGACGACGAGACCGATGACTCGCGTCAGGCCAGCGCCTCGAAAGCGTCCTCGCAGCAGCGATACGTCTTGTCGACCGAGGTTCATAACCATCTTCGACGACTGTTCCGCAAAGAAAAGGGAATCATGAAGACCATCTTCCAGTCCCGAACCGGCGGATCGGACACGGCGAGTGCAGACATGTTTTTCATCGAGTACCTCGTCGTTCCGCCGACCAAGTTCCGTCCTCCGGGCAAGGTCGGCGGCGAGACGCACGAAGCAGTGCAGAACGAACTGCTCGGAAAGATTTTGCAGTCGACGCTGCGCATCCGTGATCTCAACCAGCGCCTGGAGGAGATGAAGAACGAGAAGGCGTCTACGAAGGGCGTTGAGTTCCGCCAGCTCTTGCGACAGCTGTCAAACATGTTTGTCACCGTCCAGGACGACGTTAATGCGTTTATCGATAGCACCAAGAGCACGCAGGGCGGCGGCAGAGTTCCTCCTCCCGGTATCAAGCAGTTGCTCGAGAAGAAAGAAGGTCTGTTCCGCATGCACATGATGGGAAAGCGTGTCAACTATGCTGCTCGATCAGTCATCTCTCCCGATCCCAACATCGAGACCAACGAGATTGGAATTCCTCCCGTGTTTGCCGTCAAGCTCACGTACCCGGAGCCGGTAACTGCTTACAACTTCCAAGAGATGCGCAAGTGCGTTATCAACGGTCCCACTGTGTGGCCTGGTGCGACGCATATCGAGAAAGAAGACGGCACGCTCGTGGCGCTGCATACCATGACGCTCGAGCAACGAACCGCTCTCGCCAACCAGCTCTTGACGCCTTCCTTTGGCTCCGCGGCCACCAACAAGAAAGTCTACCGTCACATCCGCAACCAGGACGTTGTGATTATGAACCGTCAGCCTACGCTGCACAAGGCGTCAATGATGGGTCACAAAGTCAAGGTTCTGCCGGGCGAGAAGACGTTGCGGCTGCACTACGCAAACACGAACGCGTACAACGCCGATTTCGACGGAGACGAGATGAACATGCATTTCCCGCAGAACGAGAATGCGCGAGCAGAGGCCTTGATGCTCGCAAACACAGACTCGCAGTACCTCGTCCCGACGTCCGGAAAGCCGCTTCGTGGTCTGGTGCAGGATCATATCGTTACTGGTGTGTGGATGACCAACAAGGACACCATGTTCACTCGCGAGCAGTACCATCAGCTTGTGTATGGAACCCTTCGTCCGGAAGATGGTCATACTACGACCAACCGGATCTTGACCGTGCCTCCTGCGATCATCAAGCCGGTGCCGATGTGGACCGGAAAGCAGATCATCACGACGATGCTGCTCAACATCAAACCTCTGAACGCGCCCGGTCTCAACCTGATCTCGAAGGATAAGATCGACGACCGCTACTGGGGCCCGGGATCGGTCGAGGGAACGGTGCTGTTCATGAACGGCCAGATGCTGGCGGGTATTCTCGACAAGTCGCAGTTCGGTGCGTCCGAGTTTGGTTTTGTGCATTCCGTGCACGAGATCTACGGGCCTTCGGTGGCAGGAAAGTTGCTCAGTGTTCTTGGCCGGCTGTTTACAAAGTACGTGCAGTTCCGCGGCTTCACTTGCGGAATGGACGACTTGCGTCTGACCGCCGACGGAAACAAATGGCGAGTCGATATCCTTGCTGCGGCGAAGGAAGTCGGCGCCAAGGCCGCGACCGAGGTTGTCAATCTTCCTGAGGACACGCGACCGAACGATCCTGAGCTGCGGCGACGACTGGAGGACGTTCTGCGGGATGCGAATAAGAGCGCGGTGATGGATGCGGTTGCGCAGAAGCACGTCAATGCCGTGACCTCGGAGGTTGTCGCGAAATGTATCCCCGACGGAACGCTAAAGTCGTTCCCCAAGAACTCGTTCATGTCGATGGTCTTGTCTGGAGCCAAGGGCTCGAACGTGAACTTGTCGCAGATCATGTGCATGCTCGGACAGCAGGCTCTCGAAGGCCGTCGTGTGCCTGTGATGATCAGCGGTAAGACGTTGCCGTCGTTCAAGGCATTCGATACTACCGCAAAGTCTGGCGGTTACATCGCCAGCCGCTTCTTCACCGGAATCAAGCCGCAGGAGTTTTACTTCCATTGCATGGCCGGCCGCGAGGGCTTGATTGATACGGCTGTGAAGACCAGTCGATCAGGATACCTGCAGCGATGCCTGATCAAGCAGCTAGAGGGCGTCAAGACCGAGTACGACAACACCGTCCGCGACAGCGACGGCTCGCTCGTGCAGTTCCTCTACGGCGGCGACGCCGTCGAAGTCAACCAGGAGAGCCACCTGATGAACTTTGAGTTTTGCGCGCAAAACTTCCACTCGCTGCTGCAAAAGTACTCGTCCGCGGAGCTCGCGGGCGTGATTGACGAGAGCTCGGCCAAGTCGTACGCCAAGAAGGTGCGCAAGCTGAACGAGAAGGAGGCGGCGCTGCCGCATTATCTGCGGTCGGCAAAGTATGAGCCGACGATTTCAAAGTTCTCGCCTAGTACGCACATGGGCAGTGTGTCTGATATCTTCCAGAAGAAGCTTGATGAGGTATGTTGTCCTTTATTTTTTCTTCTTCATTAATCCATCTACTAACTTGACTTGTAGTTCACTGCTGCACGCAAAGACACCATCTTCGCCAAACACAACGGCAGCGGCTTGAGCGAGAAATCATTCAAGGCGCTGATGACGCTCAAGTACATGCGCTCGCTCGTGCACCCCGGCGAAGCCGTCGGCATTCTTGCGTCGCAGTCGATCGGCGAGCCGTCGACGCAGATGACGCTCAACACGTTCCATTTCGCGGGCCATGGTGCGGCGAACGTGACGCTGGGAATCCCGCGTATGCGCGAGATCATCATGACGGCGAGTAGTAACATCAAGACGCCGCAGATGCGGTTGCCGGTGCTGGACGACGTGAGCGACGAGCAGGCGGATGACTTTAGCAAGACGATCGCGAGGGTTGTGATCTCTGAGTTGATTGACGACGTGACTGTCACGGAGCGGACCGGGATCCTGCCCGACAGCGACATCACGGCGCGGTCGTACACGGTGCGGGTGAAGTTCTACCCGCGGGCGGAGTACGAGAGCGAGTACGATGTGTCGCAGGCGATGCTGGAGCACACTGTGACGACGAAGTTTTTGCACCGGTTGACGACGACGGTGACGAAGGAGCTCAAGCGGCAGAAGAAGGTGATGAGCTCTGATGTTGCGGGCGAGATCGGCAAGGCGAGGAAGAGCAAGGCGGCAACGGACGAGGCTGAGGCGGATACCCGTCGGAAGGCGAATGACGACGAGTCAGACGACGACGATGACGACGACGATGACGACGAGAACGACGACGGAGACGCGACGAACGAGAGACTAAAGTCGCGGACGAAGGAAGTGTCTGCGTACGAAGAGCCGGATGATGGCGAGAAGGAAGTTCTCAAGTCTGTCAAGCTCGACGGGGATGACGACGACGAAGGCGACGAGATGGAGGTCGACAGCAAGAGTAGCCCGACCAAGAAGCGCGCGAGCGCGGCGGCAGAGGACTCCGAGTCGGAGGACGAGGACGAGACTGCTGCGAGCAGACGGATCAACCCGGTGTCGAAGCGCGCGAAGGAGCGCCAGCAGGAAGTGATTGGCATGTACGGCAACGTGTTCCGGTTCGACTTTGACGACGAGGCGGGAGAGTGGTGCGAGTTTGAGCTGCAGTACCCGTCCGACACCGCGAAGCTGTTGATGATCAACATCATCGAATCTGTGTGCCGGTCGGTGGTTGTGCGCGAGATCCCAAAGATCGGGCGCTGCATGCGTGTCGCGCCGGCCAAGGGCTCGACGAAGCGGTTCCTGGTGACCGAGGGCGTGAACTTCCCTGCGATGTGGGAGCAAGACGACTTCATCAACGTCGACGGGATCCGATCGAACAACATCGCCGAAGTGCTGCGTGTCTACGGCGTCGAAGCCGCGCGCAACACGATCGCGAACGAAGTCGCGGGCGTGTTCGAGCCGTACGGGATTAAAGTGAACGCGCGCCATCTCGAGCTGATTGCCGACATGATGACGCGCGACGGCGGGTACTTGCCGTTCAACCGACACGGCGTGGAGGCTAGCGCGTCGCCGTTCTTGAAGATGAGCTTTGAGACTACGTTTAACTTTTTGAAACAGGCGGTGTTGAACGGAGACGTGGACGATGTGGATAGTCCGAGTGCGCGGTTGGTCGTCGGGCGGCTGTCGTCGGTTGGTACGGGTGTGTTTGATGTGTTGACGAAGCTGTGGTGAGCTGTACTCTTGACAGTGTTAGAAGCGTGTATGTTGCGGAGTATGTTTAATTTGTTTTTGTCTGTGTTTTGTAATAGTGTGTGCATTTTAGATCCGATAATGAAACTAAAAGTTCTTCATCTTTGCTGAGAGAGTAGATGAGAGAGTAGTTGATAATGCGAGACTGTATTTGACTTCTTTATACTATACACAAACATAAAAATGCGAGAACCCGGCCAACAAGCAACAACAAGACAAAACAATAAAAACTAGAAGTAAAGATCGCCCTACGACGAAAAACTCGCCGCCGCCTTATCCAAAAACCTCCTCAGCCCACCTCCGATCTTCGCCGACCAATCCGTCCCCAAGACAAACTTCGCGCCCTTGACGATCTCCTCGTCCCAGAGATCTTTCATGGTCTCGCCTAACTCGCGCGAGGCGACGACGTCGACGGGCTTGACGACGGTGTACCGCTTCGGCTCGACGGTGGCGTCGAGGGTCGAGCGGGTGAGCGCCATCGCGGCGCGGGCGGCGTCGGCGCGGGCGCGGAGTTCGACGGCGGTGGTGTAGGTGATTATGGAGGCGAAGGTTACGCCTGGTGATGTAGTTCTGTTAGTCGGTCGTCGAGAGCGAGGAGAGCGGATGGATAGGGAAGTGTGCTTACCGGTGAGAAATCCAGAGATCCGACTCATGATGCTGATATTTCTCTGCTTGTTATTAAACAATCAAGTGAATGAATGTCCTATCGAGAAGGTGGTTGATGATTTGTCTTGTAGTTTCGACTTGCTCAGATATCGAGTTGAATTTTCGAGGGCTCGGAAGAGTCGCTGCGGCGTTTGGCGGTCTGGTTGCTGCTTGAGAGTATTTCCAGTGTGTTTCTTGATATCTGACTGCTTTTTACTGTATTCTAATGCACAATTTCAGTCGTAAATTCTACTTTTATCCTCTTTTTCTAAATCATTTCAAATATTCCATAAAAAAAACACTCACTTCTCTCCACCTCTCTCATCGCTGAGTACGTCTACCAGTCCCAAAACTACTCTGCCCGGCGCACTTCTCGTCACTCTCATCACGTGATGAACTTCCAGCCAGAGGTGCAGTACGGAAAAAATTAGTTTTGCGTCGGGACAGACAGTCGGCAGAAGGAAGAGCAGAAAGAACATCGTGCGATAATAGTATTGTTGTTGTTGTTTCTGAGAAGGGTTTAAGAATTGTACTATTGTTTGGAAGAAGATAGAGAAATTGCGTTAGAATGCCGTCGCAAGGTCAGGCACATCGTACGCTGGGACGGTGAGTGTTTGTCTTTGTGCTGCTGCTGCTGCTGCTGCTCCTTCGCGATAAATCGATGAAGGAGTCCAATGCACCGGAAGAAGAAGGATACTAACAATTACTCACCAGTCCCTCCGGACATCGTCGCGCTCTTCTCCGAAACCTCGTAACCTCCCTCATCGAGCACGAGTCCATCACGACGACCTACGCGCGCGCAAAGGAAGCCCAACCTCTTCTCGAGAAAATGATCACGGCGGCAAAGATCAACACGAACGCCACGCGCGCACGCATGTACAGCTTCGTGTTTAGCCCCAAACTCTCGATCGACAGACTCGTGAACGAGTTCGCGCCGCGGTACGCGGACAGAACGGGCGGGTACACGCGGCTGCTGCATCTCGAGCCGAGAGCGAAGGATTCGGCGCCGATGGCGGTGCTCGAGATGGTGGGCGGACCGAAGGATCTTCGGCTGTATATGACTGCGAAAGCGATTGCGCGGGCGGAGACGAAAGGGGTGCCGTTTGAGGATAAGCCTACGAAGTTGAATTACCAGAAGATTACGGAGAACATGCCGAATGGCGCGCAGGTGCTGCGGGAAAAAGTCGAGCTGATGAAGAAAATCTACTTTTCCAACACGCCTGCGACCGAGGCGCTGAACGAGCTCGCGCTCGAGAAACGCCGCGAGATCGAGGCGAAGAAGGCAGAGCTGGAGGAGAAGAGACGGGCGTCGCTTAAGGGCCAGATGGTCGGCAAGCAGCGTGCGTTCGAGCGCAGTCTCAAGCAGGCGGATCCCAAGTTCCGCGCAGAGCGGGCGCAGGAGCGGAAGCGTGCAGAGCTGCGTAAGGCTCGTCGCGAAGAGGCGGAGAGGAATAGGGAGATCAACCTGAAGAAGAAGGCGGAGTTGGAGGAATATGTCAAGTTGGCTCCGCAAAGACGGGCAGAGAGGAGAAGGAAGTGGCTCGAGTATGTGCTTAGGGAAGAGGGACACGAGGCCTGGTTGGAAAAGAGCAAGTGGACTTGAGAGATGGTGTATATTTGTATATAGTTTAAATTTATATATTCTAAAGCAAAAACAGTAGGTACGATGTCGCTGTAATCTAGATATTCTATCTTTGCACCACATCAAAACTAAATAAATGTTCAGAAAATAAAAAAAATAGGAAATATTAGAAAACTAAAAACATAAAAGATAAAATTTCTAGCATATACTTTACATTAAACACAATAAATAAAGAAAAAGACAAGTACTGTGCCGATGCCCATAACAATAAAAAAACTTGTAGTAAAACTACAGAAGATAAACTAATAAACTAGACCCTTACTCGAAGGTCTCCTCGAGTCTGCTCCGGCCGATGGTCTCGACCTTGAAACCAATGGTCTCGAGCTTCTTCTGGTTGAGGATCAGTCTTCCGTCAAAGATGAAGGCGGGCTTGTTCATCGACGCGTAGATCTTCTCGTAGTCGAGCTCGGTGTCCTTGAACTCGTCCCACTCGGTGCAGATGACGACGGCGTCGGCACCGGCAGCGGCCTCGTAGGCGGAGCTGGTGATCGAGACCTGCTTCTTGAGAGCGGTGACGTCGTCAACGATACCGGGCTCGGCGAGATCGAACCAGATCTGGGACTCCTCGACCTTGGGGTCGTAGATGGCAACCTTGGCCTGCTCGGCACGGAGGTACTTGATGATGGTGATGGCGGACGACTCGCGAGTGTCACCGGTGTCCTTCTTGAACGCGAATCCGAGGACGGCGATGCGCTTGCCGGTCAAGGTGTTGAAGAGCGACGAGATGATGTGCTCGGTGAAACGGCGCTTCTGCGACTCGTTCATGGCAACGACCTGGCGCCAGTACTCGGCAACGTCGGGAAGGTGGAGCGACTCGGAGAGGTAGACGAGGTTGAGGATATCCTTCTGGAAGCAAGAGCCTCCGAAACCGACGGAGGCCTTGAGGAACTTGGGTCCGATACGCGAGTCGAGACCGACGGCGTAGGAGACCTCGTCGACGTCGGCGCCGGTGGCCTCGCAGATGGCCGAGAGGGCGTTGATGGAGGAGATACGCTGGGCAAGGAGAGCGTTGGCAGCGAGCTTGGAGAGCTCGGAGGACCAGACGTTCATGGTGATGACCTGCTTGCGGGGGACCCAGTTGGAGTAGACGTCAACGAGGGAGGCGGCGGCCGAGCGACCGGAGGTGGTCTGGAGGGAGCCGATGAGGACACGGTCGGGGGCGTTCAAGTCCTTGATGGCGGTACCCTCGGCCAAGAACTCGGGGTTGGAGAGGATGTCAAACTTGAGGCCGGGCTTGCCGTTGGACTCGAGGATCTTGCGCATGGAGGCAGCGGTGCGGCAAGGGACGGTGGACTTCTCGACGACGATCTTGTCGGAGGTGGCGACCTTGGCGATGTGGCGGGTGGCCGACTCGACGTAGCCGAGGTCGGCGGCGAAGCCCTTGCCGACACCGTTCTTCTTGGTAGGGGTGTTGACGGAGACGAAGATGAGGTCAGCCTCGATGATGGCGGTGTCGACGTCGGTGGAGAAGAAGAGGTTTCTGCCACGGGCGGACTTGACGACCTCATCGAGACCGGGCTCGTAGATGGGGAGGTTGTCAGAGTTCCAGGCGTCGATGCGGGCCTGGTTCAGGTCGACGATGGTGACGGTGATGTGGGGGCACTTCTGGGCGATGATGGCGCAGGTAGGGCCGCCTGGAGAAGAAAGTTAGGGTTGGGTTCGTGACATTTTTTCGGGGACGCGTCTCTGAGCCTGCGCCACTCATAGAAATATGAGAGCAGGCAGACGTAGAGAAAGAGTAGTAGAGATGGCAATGACGGTGACAATGGCGATGAAAATATCAATGGCAATGACGGTGGAGTCAAAAGAGATAAACAAAGCCAGGTTACGTACAGACGTACATCTCTACTAACTAGCAACAGGAGACATACCGACATAGCCAGCGCCGATGCAGCAGATCTTCTTGATTTCCTTGTGGGGAAGGGAGGAGATGTCGGTGGAAGACATTGCGAGGATAGAAGTAGAAGAGATGGAGAAGGAGAAGTAGAGAGAGTGGATGAGACGGGAGAGAAGAGGAAAAGAAGAAGCGGCGACGGGGCCCGTTTTTATCCTCACGTCGCGACGACGCAGCGCGCGACGCAGCACGCAGCACCCGGGATAAGCGTGAAGGTGTTGGTGGAGTTGTGCTGCTGCCGCACGTGTTATGTCATTGCTGAGTAATGACGAGATTGAGATCTGCCTTTATCTTGTTCTCTGTTCTGTTGTTCTATGTAGTTGAGGTTGCTCTTTTCATCTATTTGCTTCTTATACACAATCATCCTCCTCTTGTCCCCTTCTTCTACTAACAACAACAGCACATCTCTCCTCAATTGATCGTCCTTCCGCATCTCTCGCCGTCCAGCCACTGGCTCCTTCCGAATGCGGACTGGCCGCACCCATGTGCGCCGCGCAGAACCCTGAAGGACGCGTCTGGTCCGTTCCTGGTGATGTGGCCCCGAAGCCACCGGTGTTGATAAGAAGAGGTTGTGTAGAAGTGTTGAGTGTATATACTACTCTTATATACTATCTTATATATACTACTTCTATATACACTACTCTACTATTCTCTGTATCGTAGCATCCAGTGGCGGTGGCACCGATTAAAATCACGATTAAACACAAACTCCGAATCCGCCTGAGCTCCAAACTTGGTCCAAACTTGGTCTCAACGGCTCTGCGCTGCTCGGCTCTGAGAACGGCGGTTGCGCCTTTCACGATTATGTCATTGTTTACTAAGCACCCGCTTTCGGACAGATCTGCACATCCGCGCAAACGTCGGTGCCACCGATTTCTATTTTGGGAACCGAAAATGTTTGTTTTCCATTCCTCGCGATGCCCACTTCGACCTCTCGAACCACTCTCTTTTGTTGTCTTCACCACTTCTTCTTCTTCACAGTTGTATCCACGCTCGCTACTCTCTATCTTAACCACTTCTATATCTACTTCTACAATGCGTTTCTCCGTCATCTCCTCCTCCATCGCCGTCCTCGCCGTCGCTGGCCTCTCTGCCGCTACTCCTCCCGTACGTCCCGACCCGCATTGACTCTACCATCCCCATCCCCCATGATAGATACTTCTTCCTTCCCTCCTCCGTCTCCCTACTAACCCTCCAGGCTTGTCTTCTTGCTTGCGTCGCTAGCGTCACCAAGGACTCCGACTGCTCTTCCGTCGCCTCCGTCTCCTGCCGTATGCCATCCCCCTTTCCACCTCTGTTTGTTTGTTTTCTCTATCTAACTCTCCGCAGTCTGCTCCAGCGAGTCCAGCGCCATGAAGTCCTGCCTCAACAGCATCTGCCCTAACGGAGACGCTGACACAGCCATCTCTTCTTTTGAGTCGACCTGCAGCAGCTTCGGTGCCTCTGCCAGCTCCTCGGCCTCTTCTACCAAGGCCTCCTCTACTAAGGCTTCTTCTACTAAGACTTCCACTGTTTCCTCTACTTCCACTTCCTCCACTTCTTCCTCGACCAAGGTTTCCACCACCTCTTCTTCTTCTACTTCTTCTTCTTCCTCTACCTCTTCCTCCTCCTCTGTCTCCTCCTCCTCTACTTCCTCTACTTCCTCTTCCACCTCCACCTCCACCTCCACCTCCACCTCCTCCTCCTCCTCCTCCTCGACCTCCACCTCGGTCGTCTCCTCCACTTCGACCTCCTCGACCCCCGTCGTCTCGTCGACCTCGACCTCCTCGACCCCCGTCGTCTTGTCGACTTCGTCCTCCTCGACTACCCCCGTCCTCATCTCGTCGACCTCGTCCTCGTCCGCCGAGTCGTCGACCTTCTCGACCTCGACCTCCTCCGCCGTCGGTGGCTACTACCCCACTTACAACAGTAAGTCTCTCCTCTTCTCTTCTACTCTTCCACAACCGCATCTAACTCTTCCAGCTACCAACTCGACCAATGCCTCGGCCACCACCACCGGCCCTGCCATCGTCACTCAGTCGAGCACTGGTTCCAAGTTCGTTGCCTCGGTCTCGGCTGGTCTCCTTGCCGTCGTCATGGCCGTCTTCATGGCTTAAATCTTCTAATTGACAATCAGCATCATACAGTCAATAGAGTGTGCTGAATGATACAAAACCTACTTATCTCGTCTTTCTCTAAGCGACTTATTCTTACAAACTATTCTTCAATTTTGTTTATGTTTATAAAAAGTATGACAATTAATGTGATGGCGAGGATAGCTCACATCTTTTAATGTGTACTCGGCCATTTATGGGATATTTTTTGTCATTTATGTATAGCAAATGTTTGAATACCACGACTTATTCTATATACTAGCTCCAGTACTATAGCTCCAGTAACTGCTCGACTTCGTAACTATGCAGATAACTACATCTGGAATGATTTATGATAAACACAACCACTATATTTCATCTATACAACAAACAAATCAGACGTTTGTAAGAAACGCCTCGGCTACGAATCGAGCTCTGGCATTGAGGAAGAGCTTCATTTCCGAGATTTCCTTGTCTACTTCTTCCATGAACTGTAGGTGTGTTAGAGAGATGAGAGAGGTAGAGGAAGGGTATAGAGAGGAAGAGGAGAGATACCTGGATGATAAAGTCGACTAGCTTGTGCTTGAGCATTTGTTCGGTGTGGAAGTTTGTGATCAGGAACGAGATATCATAGCCCTTCATAGACGTCATTAGTATCAACCACCCACAGCTTAAAAACATCACAACACATCTTAAAAACATCACAACACACCTTAACCGGCTTTCTCCGTAAAATCATAAAAGCCTCAGCACGGCCGGTCAAGAAGCGGGTGAACTTGTGGACCAGCAAATGCTCGATCTCGTCCGCCTGCTTGATCTTGATACTCACGCGGACCGAGTTGATGCTGGGCTCTATCAGCACCTTCTCGTGCTCGTTGCGGGAGATATGTAGAGGGTTGAGGATGACTTCTGGCGTTGAGCTTGGATGAGTGTTAGTGTCTGTTGAGAGAGCGGGGGGATGGGGAGGTGGTACTTTGCTTCGACCTCGGGTCTGTTGTGACGTTCGACGACCTGCGACGGGAAGTTCTGAAGCGAGATCGCCGCCGTCAGAGAGCTGCGGACGCAGTCCAGATAAGGTCGCAGTGATTGAGACTGTAAGAACAAGTTAGCAATAAGATCAATCAGATACAACCTGCTCCTTCACCCCCGCTGAACTGCAAGAGCGCCCGGGCAGCCAGCCAGCCAACCAGCCATGCACCATCCTCATCCCGCCAAACCAGCGGCAATTGTGCATCAATCCCATAGCAGATCTACGCTCACTCACCATCCTGTGCTTCTCGTGTCCAAAGATGTGCGTGTGCTCGTGCGGTGTTGCTCGTCTCTTGTATCCGGCCCGGCCCGTTCGTCGTCGTCGTCGTCCTCCTCCTCGAGGCTGGGAGGGGGACCCCGGCCGCTGAGTGTCACCCGCGCGGGTTTCTATGCGGTCACGTGGGAAGTGCACACTGCACAACAACAGCGCGCGCTGACAACGGCTTCTCCAGACCATCCATCGCAGCGAGAATTTCAGCGGATTCGGATTGTGCTGCTGTTGAATTGATTCGAGATCTGTAGCTGTTTGTTTGTGCATACCGTGCTTTCAAGAGAAGAAAAAATGACTGTGATTCCATGTGCGTCTGCCTCCTTCCTACTCTATCCTACACACTCCCCCCGCGGAGAGCGCGATCAATGCCCGCTCTATCTCCCTGCTGACACAAACCGATTCATACAGTGGCCGTTCGACACGCGGGCAAGAAGTATGACCTTGAAGTCGACCTCGACCAGACGGGCGAGGTGCTCAAGTTCCAGCTCTATAGTCTCACGGGGGTTGATCCCGAGCGACAGAAAGTTCTCGTAAAGGTACGTGTTGGGTTCTGATTATGACGGCGGAGTGATTGAACAGTGGTTGGATGAGAGTGGGGTTGCTGACTGTTTTGTGAATCTGCGTGGTGATGAGAGGAGCGGGTGGATAGCGCGAGATTACTTCACGGTGGTGTACTCGCTGTCCCGCGCCCCCTCAAACCACCTCTTCACTTTGAATACAGGGAGGACAATTGAAAGATGAAACCGTGCTCAACACGCTGGGACTCAAGCCCAACCAGACGCTGATGATGCTCGGTACTGCGGGCGAATTGCCCAAGGAACCGGTCGCGAAGATGACCTTCGTCGAGGATCTCACTGATCGTGAACTTGCCCAGGCTGTATGTGCATGTACCTCTCTCCGTCGTTGTGAAGAGCTCTTGCTGATGATGTGTATTTAGACCAAAACACCGATCGGCCTTGTGAACTTGGGAAATACGTGCTACTTGAACTCGAGCTTACAGTGCCTGCGCACGATGCCTGAGCTAGAGGAAGATCTCAGCACGCTGCCTCCTTCAGGCTCGTCCGGCGGGACCTTGTTTGGCGGCAGCCAGCCTTCGGATCTTGCCAAGCGTCTCAGAGATCTGTACCGTGATATGAAGAACCAGACTAGTGCGCTCCAGCCTTTGGTGTTTCTTAACGTGAGTTGCTGCTGTTGTTAATGTAAGAGAGCATGGACTGACGATGAGGTAGACGTTGAGAATGGTGTATCCCCAATTCGCCGAGCAAGGCGAGCACGGCCGCTACAAGCAGCAGGACGCCGAAGAAGCCTTCACGCAGATCCTCTCGGCGCTCAACCAATCCCTGACTGCCGCGCATCCGACCAGCCCGTCGTTTGTGGACAGCTACATGTCTGGCGAATTCGCGACGACGATGACCTGCGCCGAAACCGACGCCGAGCCGCCGATCACGGGCACGGAGAAGTTTGCAAAGCTGGCGTGCCATATCACGGGCGAGACGAATTTCCTCTCGGACGGACTGCAGAAGAGTCTCGAGGAGACGATCGAGAAGCACTCGGACGTGCTGGGCCGGGACGCGGCGTTCACGCTCAAGAAGCGCATCACGCGGCTGCCAAAGTATCTTGTCGTGCACTTTATGCGGTTTTACTGGCGCCGCGACACGCAGAAGAAGAGCAAGATTTTGCGGAAGGTGCAGTTCCCGTTCGAGTTGGACGTGACTGACTTGTGCGAGGACGAGTTGAAGACGAAGCTTGTGGGTGTGCGCGACAAGGTGCGCGATCTGCGCAAGGCGCGCGAGGAGAAGGTGCGGGCGGCCAAGCGGGCGCGCACGGTGTTGACTGATACCACCAGTTCTTCGACTGCGGGAGAAGAGGCGTCGGTGGCTACGCCGGTGTCGAGCGAGTTGGACGCGGAGATTGCGCGGTTGGAGAAGGAGGTCGAGCAAGCTGTTGACGAGGAGCTGAAGCGCGACAAGACCGCCAACTCTACCGGACTGTACGAGCTCGTGGGCGTGATTTCGCACAGCGGCAAGTCTGCGGACTCGGGCCATTACCAGTTCTGGAGCAAGCAGGAGCCAGTCGAAGGCGAGGAGGGCGGGAGCGGAGCGTTGGTGGTGGGAGCGACGAAGCAGAAGGAGGAGCCGAAGTGGTGGAGGTTTAATGATGATAAGGTTACTGTTGTTGAGCAGACTAAGATCGAGACGATGATGGGCGGGGGGGAGAGTGACTCTGCGCTGATTCTGCTGTATCGCTCGGTTGGGTTTTAGAGGTAGAAGATCTGTTGCATCAATACATGAATAAGCTGCTCAGCTCATAAGTTACTGAGATAGAGTCATCTAGAGTTTGATATAGTGCCTAAAAGTGGATAGAAGATCTATTGCATCCAATACAGAATGAACCTCTACAGTATAACCCGTAAAGAATAAGAGAAATGGAATATTTATGATAAAATCATACAAAAAATCACATATCTAGACTCAGTTTATAGTACTCTCAAGCTTATCCTTAAACGCATTAAACTCATCCAAACACACCAACGGCTTCGCATCATTCTTCTTCAAGCACGCGATCAGCGCCAATCTAGGCCGTTCAAAGTCCGCCTTCTTTCCCAGCTCGGCCTTGTTCTCAATCTTCTGCAAGCGCGCAGACAAGTTCGCTTTCAGCGCTGCGATTTCTTCGAGCGTCGCGGAGGTTGTAAGCGATGGTGATGTGGAGGAGGAGGGGGAATCGGTCTTGGACCAGGCTTGGGTGAGGAGGGCGGAGGTTTCGGATTGGATCTTGGAAAGTTCTTTTGAGACGGAGGATTCGATTTTGAGGAAGTTCTCGGTTGCGCGGGTGAAGTCGGACTAGGGGAGGAGAGTGAGTGTTAGTGTTTGATTATTGTGTGTGTGTGGGTATCATGATGTCGTCGTCGTTGCGAGGAGTAGTCTCTCCACGCAAGTCAATCGACGCAGCACAAATCCACAACACCGGCCCAAGCACTGATAAAGAGACAGAGCATTGACAAAAACATACCTCAGGAATATCCTCCAAAGTCTCCACCAAATCCTGTGAGAACTGCACCGACGTCTGTGGTAAAAACGTCCGGGGCGCTGCCGACGTCTTTGACTGTGAAGAGCCCATTTCTATCCTTATATTTATATCTTCCTTTCCGCTTTTTATGTGTGTGTGTAGTTCTCGGCGTGTGAGAACTGTATGTGTGCTTTGATTCGTATGCGGATGATTGGCGATGCGGATGGCGGGCGAGCGACGACGACGACGGCAGAGCTCGGGATTTGCTGGGCTGGCGACTGATTGGTGGGGCCCTTACCCTGGATATGCCTTGTTGAGGGAATACTTGCTCTAATTGACGATGGTGATTTTAGATAACTATTGGATTGTATGAGTTGTTTGGGCTGTGGGTTATGATTGTTGGATGTGTGTAATGAGAGAATAGCGTTTTTATTGATAGTTATAGGAAGTGGTCGCGTATGTAGAATTATAACCTCCTCTTCACCGCGAACACGTCCCTGATCATGAAGATACAAACCTACCCAGTCCCTGTTCCGTTCCTGATCTCCTCGCGCTTCATCTTCAATTAAACAAAAGTAAACAGCAATACAGCATCATCCAAAGAACAAGAGAGACGTAGAAGAAAACAGAATCAGGCTGCGTTCATGACAGTGAGCGCGTAGAATCCTAGCCCTTGTGTAACACTTCCAAAGTTTGTTTTGTTGCAGGCGCGCAGAACTTGTTTGTTTGACGCGTCGAAATAAGATTGAACAGCTTGTCTTCTTCATTCTCTTTCTGTGCTCTTGTGTTGAGATTGAAGAAGAAGAAGAAGAGGGAGGATGAGAGAGGAACTCGCTGGATGAAGTCAGTGAGGATTTGGAAACGGGCGGATACGTACAAAACGGGAGAGAAGAAAACAAGAGGCAGTTTGTTCTGGCCATTTTTCAGGTACCTTGTTCGCGCTCCTTCTTCTCTCCTTCTCTTCCTCTCTTCCTCTCCTTCCCTTTTTCTTTCCTCGCCGCCTTTTTTCCCTCCCCCCCCCCCCTCCAGCAACCCGCCCGATACCCCGACGAATTCAGCAACCTCGACAACTTCAGCATCAGGATCCCGCCGTACCTCGCCTCGCCCTTTTCCGTCCGATCTCGCCAGCAACCGTACCGAACCGCCCGACCGACCGACCGACCGACTGTTCTCAACACCCCGATCTATCGTTCGATCTACCTGATCTGTTCCGCCGTTCTCGATCTGTTCTCAATCTCGTTTCCTCGCTGTCCACTGGTCCTCCTGACTGTATTCTGCACCTGACTGTGCTGATTCCTGTATTCTCATCCTGGCTGTTCTGGCTGTCCTTGTTCACTTCCGCTGTTTTCGTTCTGTCCTGGTTCTTGTTCTGTTCTCGCTCTCGTTTCCTCGCCTCGCTGTCTCTGTCGCTGTTCACTGGTACTCGTTTCCTGTTTTCTGATCCTGACTGTACTGATTCCTGTATTATCATCCTGGCTGTTCTGGCTGTTCTGGCTGTCCTTCTTCACTTCCGCCATTCTCGTTCTGTTCTGGTGCTGGTTCTGTTCTGTTCTCGCTCTCGTTTCCTTGCTGTTCACCGGTCCTTGTTTCCTGTATTCTGATCCTGGCTGTACTGATTCCTGTATACTTATCCTTGCTGTCCTGGCTGTGCTTGTTCACTTCCGCCGTTCTCGTTCTGTTCTGGTGCTGGTTCTGTTCTGTTCTCGCTCTCGTTTCCTCGCTGTTCACCGGTCCTTGTTTCCTGTATTCTGATCCTGGCTGTACTGATTCCTGTATACTTATCCTTGCTGTCCTGGCTGTGCTTGTTCACTTCCGCCGTTCTCGTTCTGTTCTGGTTCTAATCTCATTCTGTTCTCATTTCCTCGTTGTTCACTGGTCCTTGTTTCTTGTGTTCTGCTCCTGTCTGTACTGATTCCTGTATTCTTATCCTGGCTGTTCTGTCTGTCCTGGCTGTCCTGGCTGTCCTGGCTGTCCTGGCTGTCCTGGCTGCCCTTGTTCACTTCCGCCGCTCTCGTTCTGTTCTGGTTCTCGTTCTGTTCTCGCTCTCGTTTCCTCGCTGTTATCTGGTCCTTGTTTTCTGTGTTCTGCTCCTGGCTGTACTGATTCCTGTATCCTTATGCTGGCTGTCCTGGCTGTCCTTGTTCACTGCTTCTCCTGTCCCTGCTGAGTTCCCTGTTCTCTGTATTCCCTGCTTTCCTGTTCACCTGTTCCTCTGCACTCATCTCTTTTTTCTTTCTCAGATCTGAATCACTGTCCTTCTGTCGCTGTTCACCTGCCTTCTGATCCTGCAATGTCTTGTACTGTTTTCTGTCCTGGTTTCTGTTCTTCCTGAGCTTTATCCCTCTGTCGCGTCCTGTCCCTGCTGTGTATCCCTCTGTTTGCTATCTGCCACCTGCTGTTTCCGCTGCTCTGTATTGTTAACTGATTCTGATCTCTGTATTCTTGTTCACTGCCTCTGTCCTGCCATTCTGACCTGTCTCGTCTGTATCTTTCCTGCGTCTTCTGCTTCTGCCTGTATTCTTTCTCACCTGCCTGTATTCTTATCAACTGCCTCTGTCCCGCGTCTTCTGCTTCTGCTTCTGCTTGTCACTGATCGCTGTTCTCTGTATCCTTCCTTATTCACTGCCTCTTCTCTGATCTCTGTATTCTTTCTCACTGCCTGTATTATCATTCACTGCCTCTGTCTGCTTCTGCTTTTCACTGATCGCTGTTCTCTGTATTCTTATTCACTGCCTCTTTTCTGATCTCTGTTTTCTGATTCACTGCCTCTGTCTGATTCACTGCCCCTGTCTGCTTCTGCTTGTCGCTAATCACCGTTCTCTGTATTCTTATTCACTGCCTCTCTGCTTCTTCTTGTCACTGATTTCTGTTCTCTGTATTCTTATCCACTTCCTCTGTCCTCTGATCCTAGTCTGTCTTATCTGTATCTTTCCTGCGCCTCCTGCTTCTGCCTGTATTCTTTCTCAAGTTCTGTACTTTTCTGCTCCTTCTGCAATCCCTTTCTGGTCTGTGTATTCTTTCTCTGTCTTCTGCATCTGTATTGTTTGCCGGTCTTCTGCATCTGTATTGTTTCTCTGCCTTCTGAATCTGTATCGTTTTTCTGTCTTCTGCATCTGTCTTGCAATATACTGCGTCTTCTGCGAATGTCTGTATTATTCTTCGAGATATTCTCTGTCAGCAACTTGTATTATTTTTCAAGTAATTCTCTGTCAGTAAATTCAGCAACTTCAGCAACTCAGCATCCTCAGCAACACCAGCAATCTCAGCATCTCAGCATCTCAGCAACTTCAACAACTCAGCAACTTCGGCAATTGCAGCACCTTCAACAACTTCAGCAACTCAGCAATTTCAGCAACTTCAGCATCTCAGCAACTCAGCAACTTCAGCAACTCAGCAACTTCAGCAGCCTCAGCGCATCCGTCTCGACCTCCGCGACTCCGCCTCCCTCAGCAACCTCAGCGTCCTCAGCAACAACAGCGCATCCTGTGCACTCAGAAACCCCCGCTGCGAATTTCTGTTTCTCGGCACCAGCCACTGCTCGCGGGTTCGCATCCTGAACCGAATCTTGATCACGTCTTCGCGATTCGGCATTTCGACGGTCGTCTGTTTTCAGCACAGCGATCTTCCGTTCTCAGCACAGAAATAATCTCCTGTTTTCAGCACAGGGATTCAACACAATGGTGGGCAGGCAACAAACTTCTCAGAAGTTTTGGTAAGGGTGGTGGGTGGGAATCCACAACCGTCGTACTTGTTTTTTTTCTTTTGACTTTGAATTCCCTTTGCTTTAGGATATCCGTTGGTTTGTTCGTTTTATACCGCAGAGCAGAAGACCTGGTAGCTGTATTCGGGGAATATGTGCCGGGCCCGGCAGCTTTATACCCCTCGGACCCGGTCGTTATTGTGCTACTAACCATTGTAGGAACGCCTTCTTGTGCTACTAACCCTTGTAGGAGCGACGACGACATCCAGCAACAACGACCGACCGACAACGACCGACGACCGACGACCGACGATCAACGACCGACAACCGACAACATTTAACAGACAACAGACAACAGACAACGAGCAACCAAACGGAGGGCAGGTCAGCAGACTCCGGAGCAGTCTTGGCGTGGATGGTGGGAGGGGCCAGGACGGGTTGTGAACGTATTCACACCCAAATCGCCAGGTAAGTACAGCCCCCCCCCCCTTGTTCACCACATAGGTTGTAGTTCGCTACACCCTGGACACAAGTGAGCCGCAACCTCGCCCGCTCTCTGCCCCATTGCCCGATGACGCACTCCAGTGACAAGGAGGAGTTTTTACTTCTTCTTTTGAGAACTGCCGAGGCTGGGGTGCAGACGAACGATTCTAAGGTGAGGTTTCGGTTAACTTGATGTCCGAATTTTTTTTCTATAACTTTAGAAGCCCTAACCCTATGAGGTGAGTATACGATTGAGATCGATCCATCATCATCAAAGGTGGTTGCCGAAGTGATGAAGGAGCGAGCAGATAGTTTGCACCAGTATTGAGAGGCAGATATGAAGTGAGTATACTTAGAAGTGGGATGGGCAGGGAGAGGATTTGCTATTTGAGTTCAAATACTTTTGCTCCTTGTCCATTCTAAGGTGCATCAACGACTGTCTGAGTTCTCCTGGCTCGTTATCCAGTCTGGTCTGCGTGTCTTTATTCGGTCTCTGTGTCTGGGTCGTTGAACGAGTACAGATGGAGTCGTTGTTGGGTGATGTTGATATATTGCGCTGTCTGTGCTGTTTTTCATGTCTCTGGACGAGATATCCTTTGCTAGATCGACTGTCAGTTACTAACTATCAACTGTTTACAAACCTCTGATACCAATCTCAGCATGCGCTTCTTAAGATTTACAGATACCGTGACGTTGACGTCCATTTTATGGTTTTCCACTGTTCTTCTCCGCACCGTCGACTGTCTCCCAACTTCCCCGTCCTCCGCACCATTGAATTCCTGGCGCAACGCTACCACAAACTCCACGACCTCGTCCACATCCACCTGCGCTCTTCCAATCATCGACCTCGGCTACGCACGCCATCGCGCAACCTCCTACAACGCCGCCGGCTCCTATTTTGTCTTCAGAAACATCCGCTTCGCTGCCCCGCCGTCCCGCTTCCGTCCTCCTGAGCCGCAGGTGTCGGGCGACGGCTACGATAAAGGGGAACTGACGGTCAACGAGGGGGCGATGTGTCATCAGGCGTTTAATCTGCAGTTCAAGTTTGTAGATTATACGCAGGTAGGGAAGAAGCAGAGCGAGGACTGTTTGTTTGTGGACATTTACGTGCCTGCTTCTGTATTCTGCGACGGCGACGCGTCCGAGTCTTTCAATCGTACCCGCGCAGCAGGAGAGGACGGCGCGCATGGGCTTCCGGTTCTTGTGTGGATTTACGGCGGTGGCTTCACGTTTGGTTTTAAAGATGGCGTCTATGATCCGCACGGGCTACTTAATGTCGCGCAGGGCAAGATGATATACGCGGCAATCAGCTATCGCGTCGGGGCATTCGGCTTCCTGCCTCCCGTGTCCGGCAACGAAGGCGGCACGAACCTGGGCCTGCTTGATCAGCGAATGGGACTGGACTGGATCGCAAGGTACATTGATCGGTTTGGCGGGGACGCGGCGCAGGTGACTGTGCTGGGCGAAAGCGCGGGTGGGTCCTCGATCTTGCATCACCTGACGGCCGGGGATGGTGGCGAGCCCGCGGACGTGCCGTTCAAGCGGGCGATCATTCAGTCGACGGCGTATTATCCGCAGTACGATGCCGCCATGCTTGAGACTCAGTACCGCGAGTTTCTGCAGGTCGCGGGATGCGCTTCTTCTCAAGGCGACAACGACGCGACTGATGCAGGGCTTGAGTGTCTCCTCGCTCTCGACGAGAAAACACTGGCGCAGGCAAACAAAGACTACGTGCTGTCCGCGCGCTGGGGTACGTTCCAGTTTGGCCCCTACGTCGACAACAGCTTTGCGCAAGACCTGCCGCAGTTCCAACTGCCCCGGTCGCGCCACAAACGCAGCAACGTCGAGCTCATGATTGGCTACAACCCGCGCGAAGGCGCGATGTTTGTCGATCCGTCGACGCATACGGAGCGGCAGGTGAACCGGCTCATCGACCTCACGTTTCCGAACGCGTCGACCGAGGCAATCGAGCACGCCAAAAGCCTGTATCCGCCACGACAGTCGGTGTGGGCGTGGGCGAGCGAGGTGATTGCCGAGTGGGCGGTCTCGTGCTTTTCGCTTTATCTCGATGACGCGTACGAGTCCGTTTACCTGTACCAGTTTGCGATTCCGCCGGGGACGCACTCGGTCGATCTGCCGTTCACTTTCTGGCGCGGAACGGATGATCCTCCTTCGCTTCCTTCCCTGTCTGCAGAATCTGTAGCCCCATCTGATGCCGGCTCGGCCGAAGACGGTGTTGAAGCCTTCTTCTCTGACCAGGCACTCAAGCCGGGCATGCAAGACATCGCCCGCCATTTTCAAGAATACCTCGTCTCCTTCGCCATCTACGGCGATCCCAACATCCTCGGCACGTCCGGTGTCGAATTCCCACCGACTTCGTCTTACTCTACTGAAGAGATGCAGGGAGCAGGGAAGCCGGTCATGCTGCAGATTCATAAGAAGGGATTCAAGCATTTGGCGGTCGATGAGTTTGGGCCGAATAGGGAGAGATGTGCGTTTTGGCAGAATAAGTGGTGGACGGGCCGAGAGTGAGTTTAGTTTTTTTTATTTGTATTTGCCGGGTTTTTTTATCTGCTGGATTATTTGTATTTGTCGGTTTTTTTTTTTTTTTTGCTGGGTTTTGTTGGAGTTGCGGACATTGTATTTTCATCGAGTATGGTGGAAGAGTAATAAATTCGGGACGTGCTCCATCATCAAGATACACCGTAGAAAATCCATGCACCTGCTTGTTTGCTTGATTTACCTAGGCTCCTGTTCAGAAAAAGTCGACTAAGAGTGAGTAAAAATGTTTTCACTACCCGAGCACGAGGACCTCAGGAGGGGGGGAGGGTTTGAGAGGTTGAATTACTCCGTTAACGCACAAACACAGACCCAAGCGCAAACACTAAGACAGAACCAGCACACGCAAATAGAAAAAAAAAATAAAAAATAAACAGGAAAAAACCAGAGCAAGCTTACACTGTATACAACATGGAAGTAAACTAACTGGTTTCTGTCTGGCCACTAAAAATGAGTTTAACGGGTCGCAAAGTGGATAATTAGGAGGTAAAAGTGATGGAGGGATAGCATTAACTACGGCGTTATAGCATTAACTTATAGCATTAGAACACGATAAAAGTAATAAAAAAAACAAGAGTGCGGCCCGCAACACCAAAATCAAGCAAAACGAGAATACATCATAAAAAACAAAGAGAAAACGATACGAAAACAAGGATGTATGGATGAGACTAATTTATGCCTCCCCCGTAAGCCAACTATAGCCCTCCCCCGCATCTGCCTCTGCGCTTTTCGCATTCGGCGATGATATTGATTTCGAATTTACAGTGATCATCGTGTCCTTGTCGCCAGCTGCGGACGATGATGCCGGCATTGTAGACGGCAGGCCGATGGCTGGGACTGCGTCGGGAAGGGCAAGTTGCGATGTCGTGGCGGTGACGGCGGAGTTGGCGTACGGGTGTGTGTAGTGCGTGCCGATGTGGTGCGGGGGCGGGGGTGGATGGCGGTTGTGGTGGTGGCTGCTGTTGCTGCCAATCATGTTTGTGGCGGATTGGAACGGTTTGCGGGCGACGGCGGCGATACCGTTCATGACGAACGAGGCGGCGTGGTCGATCATCGTGGAAGGGCAGTAGGGCTCGATCCAGGGAACTTCCATGCATCGCTTAACGAGTCGTTTCGTGGTTTCCGAAACCGCCATGTAGTGCGAGACTCGGCTCTGTCCCGAGAGCGACTGCAGGAGCTGCACGATCTCGTCGCGCTTGTAGTGGGTCTGGCGGAGTTGCGTGTATGCCAGCAGCGGATGCATGACGCGCAAAAAAGTGTGCCGGAGGGTCTCGGCGTCGTCGGGGATATCAGTCAAGTCCCTGATAAAGACGTCGACGAGGACGGTGAGGTCGTTGGTGTAAAAGTATTCTTGCGTGGATTCGTGTGTGAAGAGCTGGTATAGCATTTTGAGGATCAAGAGCTGCAGACTTGGCTCTTCTTCGCGGTTGAGGAGGATGATGATGTTTGTCCCGAACGTCTTGTATGTGTTTCCTTTCTCGGACAGGACTCTGATGATTTTATTGTCGAGCGGTTCTTGCGAGGAGACCTTTGCGCTGTTGCTCAGGAGCATGTATTGTTCGTTCAGAACGAGGATGATGCGGATGAACGAATAGCTGTACGGATCGACGTCGTAGTCCTCGTTCGCTTCAACACAAGCAAACAGGTATTCGATAAACTCTTCCGGAATGCTCTCGATGTCTGAGACCTGTAACCGCTGCACCCTGCACATCTCATACAGCAGCTCCATGAAAAACGAATGCACCCGCGCCTCCTCGTCCTTCCGCCGCCACAGCATCTCAATCACAACCGGACACGCGTTTTCCTCGCCCATCATCTGAAACGTATCCGTGTGCTGCCGCCCATCAACCAGCAGCAGCACCCCGATCAGTAGCGCGATCGGCGTCGGCAGCTGGTTGCAGTTCTGCACCAGCGTCGTGATCAGGATCCGGCGCACTTGTATCCTGTGTGCCTGGAACGCGGGACAGTCTATGAATTTGTAGCAGCAGCTCAGAAGGTCTTGGTTGCTGGAGACGTAGTCTTCCATGTACGTCGAGACGAATCGGAGGAACGAGACAACCGCGGCCTCGATCGCGTTCGAGGAATATACCTGTCGCGACAGGAGATCGTCGAGCTCTGCACGAATTGTTAGCACGCCATAACATATATGGTACCAATCAAAGTAATATAGAATAGCTCACCATCCCAAAACTGGTCCTTGTTTTCAAACTGATATTCCGCAAAATCCATCTTTTCTTGAACTTTCTAGTCCCGGAGTCCACGAATGCAATGCCAAACCAACAAAAGAAAAAACACCAAAAATAAGTATATCACAGACAACTTTTAAACAGCGCGCGCAAATAAAAACAATACCGCAGACGTATGAACAAAGTGTGGTTTTAGTATCTGTGGTCCGCTGATCTCGAGGTTCTATGCATTGACAAAAGCTCCAAAAATAGGGCCGGGAAAGTACGGGCCACTGGCACAGACGGACAGAAAAGAAGATACCAGAGGTATAATGGGAAGCAAAGCCACTAGACTGACAAGGAAGAGAGCTGCAAGCGCGTGGTGATCAAAAACGCGGAACCAGTCTTCTACCGCGTGAAGCTCGTGATGGTGGTGGTGGATGCGAGTGCGGGGGGCCAAGAGCAGCGAGTCAGTTCGGGTACGCGAACGAGACAGGCAGAGACGCAAAGAAGGCTTCACACCAGTGTGTCTGTTAGCTGCTGCTGTGTGCGCAGTTTGGGCAGTGCTTGTGAAGAACAGTAAACAAAGGCGCAAACAATGGCTGGTGGCCGGCGTCGATGATCACCCCTCGAACTGGACTGAGCTGAGCATGTGTGCAGCCTCCTCGCGCTTCGGGCCGGCGTTCCCGCCCTTACCCTCCGGTGTAGTAATGGGTTACGTAAGTATATTGAACAGCACAAATTGGTTAAAAACCAGCTGTCATATAGCACTCTTTGTCACCACCGGTAATAGATTGCAATACGAGTAAATAGATAGTCTCCACGAAGAGAGAGACAAAGAGAGAGAGATGGACGGGAGACAGAGATCACGCTTCCTGTTGCTGCGCGCATAGTTGCGATAAAAAGTTCCGCGTAAACGCCAACTTTGATCTGGTGAGTCTGTCAGTTCGGCTGTGAACTGGTAGTCTAAACAGGTTGAGAAGCGGACGGTCGTTTGGTATTTTTGTAGATCGATAACGGTAGACGTTTGAACGCAGCAGCTCGACGAGCAAAGACGAGACTGGAATGGCGTCAACCCATTCATCGCTCGCGGCTCAAAACGGTAAAAGGATCACTGCTCAACAGTCTGTTTCTTCACACTGTTTTATTCGCTCACTTAGGCTCCCAGAGCAGCCGTGACGATCTCGCAGCCGTATCTGTGGTCGCCAAATTTTACACCACGCAGTGTTTACACATACGTGCGTACATTCCCCGGCACCAATAACAACAAGACACCGAGTGACGATATATGAACTACAGGAATATCTATCTCTTTAAATAGATGATACATCATTCGCTTGTCTACGCATTCCAGCCAGAAGACAGGACCACCAGCGGATCAAAACTCAATTGAGGACGAGACCGAGCCAAGGTAGAGCTCCAATCTCGAAAGCAAGAGAGATGGTATTTTAGGGTTTTTGGGTCGTGCTCGAACTCGGTGCTGTGCTACTCGTGTGTGCACTTCGTGACTCGGAAGTACATTCCTCGGTCCTTTGTGCCTCACTCCACCCCCTTCTTCACCCCCCTGTACGTTGTTTGTTTTTCGAGTTTGCTGCAAGGTCGTTTAGAGCAGCTTCACGCTCCTGCTGCTGCTCCTGTTTTCGATGTTGTAGCTGCAAGACGCAGGAATACGTCTGTCTCAGACAACTAATGCAGTGCTAGCTCAGGAACGTATCCCCCCACTAAACCATTTGCTGTCATCTCGTTGCCTGATACGGTAATTCTGCGTAGGCCGCGTCTGAGGCCTCCCCCCTGCGCTCGTTGACAGCTGGTTGATTTCTGATCGCAAGACAGTTTTCATATCGCGTCTTTTTCTATTCTTTTCTAATTGTATGCAAAATTTAGATATGTACCATTAATGTATGTATCTTGACAAAATCCGTGAATCAAAAAAATCTATAATATAAACATCCCAATACGATAAGACACGTAACGACAAAAAAAAGTGAAAACGCCATTAAATAGTAACGATGAAAAACCAAAAATACGATCGCCTTAACTCACAATACATTATAACTCCCCAAAAATATTATCAAAAAAGATCAAATTAGGCAACGACACCAGAGACAGGTCGCTGTTGGCCCCAGAACTTTGCAATCAGACCAGAGGCCTTGCCCTTGAGCATGCGCTTGTGCGAAGGTTGGGGAGCGACGGCCATGACGGTGTGGCTTTGATCGTGGTGGTGGTTGTGGCCGACGGCATGAGCGTCGTCGAGCGAACACAGGTAGAGATCGTCGTCGAGCAGACTGCGCTGGCTGTGCTGGTGGTAGTCGAGGCTGTCGTTGATGTCGGCTTCTGGCGAGGGAAGGCAGATCACTGAGCTGGCAGAGTAGCTTGCAGTCGTGGCGATCGACGACGAGGACGACGAGGAGGAGAGAGGTGGTGGCATGCGGGAGGAAGTGGATGAAGATGAGGATGAAGAAGACGAGACCGACATTGAAAGGGCGGAAGCGTACTCGGGTGAAAGAGGAGGAGTGATGTAAGAAGACGAGGAATGGTGGTGGCCGGACTGCGATTGTATCCGGTGCGGAACGTTGTGGTAAAACTGTTCCCGAGCAGCCTGCTGCTCCTCGCGCTCGCGCATCTGCTGCTGCTTGCGGGCGAAGAACTCGCGCTCGCGGTTGACCTGCTCCTGGCGACGGACCTCGTTCTTGATCGGCGAGAGGAAAGGCGCAAAGTGAGTGAGCAGATCGTCCTGCGTGATGCGCAGGTCCCAGTCCAGGAGGAACAGCAGCTGGCGCTCCATGAGGTTAACCTCAGCGAGCGAGAACAAGCCGACGGTGTACTTTGTCCAGTGCTTGTTCTTGGGGGACGAGTCGTTTAAGTTTTTCGCCGCCAGAATCAGGGCGGCGAGGAAGACGCGGTGGCAGGTGCACGCGAGGCCACGAGCCATAGAAGGCAAGCGGGAACGCAGACGGGAGAGGTAGACGAGCGTCGACATGAGAGTCGGGACCTGCACGTTTGATCGGGTGACGAGCGTGGCGATAAAGGAGGTGAGCGAGGGCAGGCGCGGCTGCTGCGCGGGGGGCTGCTCGTCCGCGGGCGAGGCAGGGGGCGAGTAGGGGTATCCGGGAGCGCTGTCGGCGGAATCGCAGCGGATGACGGTCTGCGTGGTGGAGACGAGGTAGGCGATCATCTGGGGCGAGACCGGGGAGGCGATGAAGAGATCGAGGGCGGCGCGGTCGAGGTCGAGCATGGTGGTGATGGTGGAACGGCAAGAATGAAGAAAAAGAGCGGAGGGAATGAGAGTGAATGCACGCGAAAAGCAAGGCAGAAGAAGGACTGTAAGACGCGAGAGCGACGACCGAAGGACGAACAACGAAAGGAAAGAGAGAGAGAAGGGTTTGCACGGCTGTAGAGGAAGAAGAAGACAGGACGACGGCGGAGAGAAGGTGTTAAGTAGTTTGCAGGCTGCGAGGCGGAAGAGGCAAGGAGGCGGGCCAAAAACCAGCCCCTCGCTGTATTCGCTTGCCCGTCACCCGCCCTGCCGTTGATTGAGTTCAAGTTAGAGTTTGGGTACTGTGGCGCCTGTTTCTGCTACCAGGGCAGTTCTGTTTCCTGGGCTTAGAATTGACTGCTTTATTCAGTGCTGCGAAGCGGTAGTAATAGAGGTAGTTTACAGATATAGCAAAAGGACATATTCTACACTTAGCAAAACAACAGTCTTCTCCAAAGCATCAGCGAGGGGGCTGGATTACCTGGGCCCAGCCTTTTCGCACTAGTCCGAACTCGGACAGAACCCCTGGTTACTTCGTGGCGGTGCGGTGGCTGGGAAGGTCGGCCGCAAAGCAGGAAACGATCGCTTTTGCCCCTTGCCGCGATCGGTCTTCTCTTGTCTTTCTCGTCTTCTGCGAAGGTCTCTCCTTGCTTCGTTATGATAAAAAGTAGCATGCAGACATCGGTCATGTCTGGTCCATACAGCACCGCTGTATACTTATCTTACTGAGCGCATGTGGGCGTACGGTACAAACCCTACAGTCGCTCACATTTAATACATGTCCCAGATCTCGTCGTTCAAGATTCTGAGCCACACAGTCTGCGGCTTCTCTATAAAGTTTACCCCTGAAAGACAGTCGGGGTCGGTTTCTCGCCTCAGCCTTCCCTCGCAGACAGACGCACCAGCCAGCATTCCTGTCCTCGCCTCCTTCCCTCCTTGCTTCCACAACTTTTGACTCGACAAGTAAAAAACGCGCCTCGCTCGTCAAATATGTGGACTGACGCGAGAAAACGGCGGTGAAGCTTCAGCCAAAACACGTCCGCGACGCGTTCTTGACATGCTGGGGAATCCTTGGATTCTTACCTGTTTTGTAAACCCTGCATTCCATCCTACCTGCCTCCTGCCTTTAGCCCCTTGCTGCTCGCAACAGCCATCATGAAGAATCAAAGACAGACCAAGGCAGTCCGACAGTTATTATTAAATTCCACATCTCAAATCTTCGGGCTGCCTGACTGCTCTATCTCACTTTCTTCGTCTCTGATAACCGTACTCTTCTTCATCCGGCCGTCCTCCTGAATGAGGCCGCATGTTACAGATATCCACAATCAGATGATTAGCATAATAGAATAGAACAAAGAGGAAAAAGAGTGTTATAGACAGAACCTCAAATACAAAGAATACCAGTTGACCTCAAATTATTACTTGTACTTCAAATTGATTAACAGTTACAGCCAGCTTCGGCGCTAATTGCAACGCTGCTGCCCCGCGACCCGCAAAGAGAAAGACGTCAGAAGCAAGGAGGTCTTTGGGCGTTGGCTGGGTGGTCGTTAATTAAAAAACTCGAAAAATTAAAGAGAGAGAAGTACGATTAGGGTGGGAACAAATACAGCTGGATTTGCCTAGTTTGGAAGGCATGATTCCAGGGAACGTGTGGTAGGGCCATCGCAAGGTCTAGTTTAACTGCTCGATTCTTAGCTCTCGGGCATTGTTTTTTGCTTTTGACAGAAGTAAATTTTTCCTGGAAGCTTCACCAGTGGTGGTGGTGGTGGTGGTGGTAGTGGAGGAGTGGGTGAGGAAGAGGGTTAGTGAACTCAACTGTGGGTAATGATAAGTCATGATTTAGGCCAGTGACTGCTCATTCCCTATCTCTTTCAACTGCTTCATCTATTCGCGGCTGATAGCTAGACCTCCTAGCTCTAGTATAATCATCTGATACTATTTCTATTACATTGCCCCATTCAAATAATTGCAAATCAATATACCAGAAAAAAAAACCACCAGACCAAGCACAAGTCAGCAAGTAAGGAAGGGGCGCAAGGTTTTCGTCTCTGTTACCTCTTCCTTTTCCCCTCCCTTCCTCGCTATCACGACCCAGCCCGCACTCACCCATCCCTCTCGTTACTCACTCACTTTTTCATTTTACTTCCCTTCGTCTGGACCAGAGCGAGAGCGAGCGACAAACCTAACAGAATCGGCTCGGAGGCAATAGAGAAAAACTCAATTTTTTTACATCTGTACGTTTGCTTGCCAGCCGATCTTTTCTGACAGTGAAGATTTAGTGTTGAAGACTGAATTCTTCATGCGTAGATGAAACGAGAGAGGATTTGCTGCGAGTCTCATCAACCGCTTCACTCATTGGATTTTCCTCTGTAAATCTCCTTCCTGGCAACAGAGCAACAGCAGCAGGCAGCAACTAGACAACACATAACTCACCTCGTTGATCTCCGCAAGGGTAGCCAGACCAACTAGACTTCAAAGACACTATGACCACACCGTTCTCTTAACCTACTGGCTCTTGTCACTTCCAAGCTCCCCTTCCGTCCCTTCCTCTGATCTCTTGTCACTCGTCCTGTCTTGTTTGGCTCCATTGTGGCGTGTGGGTGTGCTAATCACAGCTGTCATCCATGTTGTTTGGATCCTTCCGCTCTGTAATTCTATTCCGTTTATAGTTTCGGCATTGGTTTCCTGCAGTACGACGACAAAGCAGACCAATTACATACATCTATGCTCCATCATTCGTTATAGACCGTTGTTCACCGTTGTTCTCCTCATAGTCAACAGTTCGAACATTCACGCACGGTCTCGACGTAGATCACCTTCAAACTCCACCCCAGCTGTTCTCTCTTTTAACCACCTATCGCAAATCAAACCCTCGGCATCGATCGTCCCTTCGTTCGGACGTACGCACTCATAAACCGACCGACCGGCCGTCGTCTGTCTCATCTCATCTCACCCCATCGATCACCATCCCTTCCCGGCCGTCCCGCCTCTTGGTACCCGTCAAGTTGGAACCGCACGCCAGCCTCCTCCCCCTCCCCACATAAAAACGAACTCCTAAGACCGTCCTCAACGGCCATACCGTGCTGTGACGGTCAGTGCTGGATCAGCAGCTACCTGTCAACGAGATACGTGACTACCTAAACTCAGTCCGTCAGTGACAGCTCCAACCCAAATCACGCAATCCCTTCCCTCTGTAATCGCCCTCTCCCACTGTACACACTGATAGCTTTAGAGCGCCGCCAAACCCTGCCGCGCTATCTTTTTAATACCAAGAAAGCCTACCGGGGATCCGCAACCAATCGTCGCATGTTTTGATTTCATAGACTCGCTTTATTAGATATCTTTTCTCTCCGATGCAACAGATCCCCGCCCCGATGCTAGGGATTTTAATTATCCAGACGCAGCTCTCATTGTTGATGAGTAATTGGCTTGTCACAGTCGTAGCTAACGATAGCAGCCGTCGCCTGGACTGTGGATTTGAAACAGCGCAGTGTGAGGTGCGAGCAAACGTCATCACCCTGCTGATCAAAGAAGATGCAGAGCGCAGCGCAACAGTGATGGCCGCTGACTTATCACCACACTGCAAGTCAGACTCATCACAGACGATCTGACGGAGCTGGTGTCCAGCCTCTCAAGTCCCCATGGTCCTCATATGCCCCTCTTTTCAACTGCCTGGCTTCTCATCATAGAAGGGAAATTATTGAGCAGACCACTCAATGTCTCCGTTTGCCATGCGAATGCATCGCCTTCAACAAAAACTCGGTATGCATCTTCATCTCCCTCTTCCGCGGCCCGTCATCCATATCCTCATCCACGTCCAAAGTCTGCAACATCCGCCCTGTCCCACCACCACTACTACTAACAGCGGTCTTGCTAGCGACCACAGTCCCAGGTTCGATAATTGTCCCCGCAGCCACACGACAATTGTTTCCCACCCGCACCCCGCGACCAAGTTTGCATCCTGCGCCAACGACGCAGTAATCGCCAATTTCAACCCCAGGCTCGATCCGCGCTGCCGCGTCGACATAGGTATAGTTCCCAATCACCTGCGTAGCAACCAAAACCTCCTTTTCGTCTTTGGTGGGTGATACGACACTACTACTCCTTCTTCTCTGCGACTGGGAGCGGATATCGTCAATCTCCAGCACGCATTTATCAGCAATAATCGAATACTCTCCGACTGAAACCAGCATCCTCTTCAGCTCTATCGCCGGTCCCGCTTCCGCATCGCTACTTGCATCAGCAATTGCTATTCGCACATGGGGGTTGATCACCGAATGACTGCCAACTTTTAGCAAAAGATGATGGGGTGCGATGCTGTCGTCGACGAGGATGTGTTCTGAGATGAATGCAGAGTCGGCGGCTTCTAGCATCTCTGGCGCGAGCATCGCGGTCTCTATTTTTCGTAAAATGCAAAAATTAGAAATGTTCGGTTTATGTAGCTATACTGGTAAACATGGCGAGAATCAGTGAAAGTCCATCTGCTGATGAGTGAGTGCGAGTAAGAATACAGTCATTTCACGCGTTTAAGGTTTAGGTCTGCACGCGACGCGCCCATTCCCAACCTCTCTCTCTTTCTCCCACCTGTATTCCTCTTGTCCTCTAACCATTCTCACTACGTGTTTATAAGCAATTCATATTCTTCATACACGCTAGAAATGGCGGTCAAGCAACCTGATCTAGAGTTCGCCGACCGGTCGGACGAAAACGGCTTCGTGACCTTCTTCCGCAACCTCCCCCCGCTCACGGACGCGAATGTCGTCCGAATCTTCTCTCGCGGAAGCTACTACTCCGTCCACGGCCAGGATGCCATCTACGTCGCGCAGAACGTCTACCGAACTCTCACCGTTCTGAAATACTTTGGTAACTCGGACCCCGAACACGGTCTCGCGTCCTGCACCTTCACCGAAGCCGTGTTCCGCAGCTTCTTGCGCGACGCGCTGTTCAACCTCGGCCTCAAGATCGAGATCTACGCGAGCAAAGGCAGGAACCAGTGGGAGATCAAAAAACGCGCGTCGCCAGGAAACATCCAGGACGTCGAGGATCTTCTTTCCGGAGGCGACTCGAGCCCGGTCGTGATCGCCGTGCGCGTCACGTCCAAGGCGGAGCAGAAGGTTGTCGGCGTATGCTTTGCGGACGCGTCGGCGCGCGAGCTTGGGGTGTCTGAGTTTGTCGACAACGAGCTGTTTTCGAATCTCGAGTCGCTTGTAATTCAACTTGGCGTGAAGGAGTTGCTGCTGCAGCAGGACGAGGCGAAAAAAGATTACGATCTGAAAAAGATCCGGGGAATTGCCGATCGCTGCGGCATCGTGATTACCGAGCGCCGCGCCGCCGACTTCAACGCTCGCGATATCGAGCAGGATCTGTCGCGGCTGCTGGAAGGCGATCTTTCGCCATCGATGCTGCCGCAGACAAGTTTAAAGAACGCGATGGCAGCAGCAGCCTGTTTGGTTTCGTACCTCTCGCTCATGGCTGACTCCACCAATTTCGGCCAGTACAGACTTTACCAGCACGATCTTTCGCAGTACATGAAACTCGACTCGTCCGCCGTCCGCGCGTTGAATCTGATGCCTGGCCCGCGCGACGGCGCAAAGAGCATGAGCCTGTACGGTCTGCTGAACCACTGCAAATCCGCCGCCGGTGCGCGCCTGCTAGCGCAGTGGCTCAAGCAGCCGCTGATGGACCGGGACGAGATTGAGAAACGACATGCGCTGGTCGAGACCTTTGTGGACGATATCCAGACGCGGCAGGCGTTACAGGAAGAGCATTTGCGCGCGATCCCGGACTTTCACAAGATTGCAAAGAAGTTTCAGCGTGGATCGGCGGGGCTGGAGGAAGTCGTGCGGGTGTATCAGACTGTGATTAGACTGCCTGATCTACTTGATACTCTAAAAGCCGTTGAGGAAAGTGCTGATGGCGACGAGCAAGCCTCAACAAGGGCATCGTTGATCTCAGAGACATACACAGAGAGCATCTCGGAGTACTACGAAGGTCTGCAGAAACTGGTCGAGCTCGTTGAGACCACGATCGATCTCGACGCGCTGCAGGCGCACAAGTTCATAATCAAGCCTGAGTTTGATGATTCGCTGCGAAGTATGAATGAGAAAATCACTGAGAACGAGGCGATAATCAATGATCTGCATTTATCTGCCGCAGAGGTATTGGGATTGGATGCTGAGAAGAAGCTAAAGCTTGAGAAGCATCAGGTTTATAACTGGGTATTCAGAGTTACCCGAAACGTATGTACTTCTATAGCTGTTGTGATGGCTAAATGCTAACAATATCAGGACGGCGCTGCGATTCGAGGCGATCGCCGCTTCAGAGAACTCTCGACCCAGAAAAACGGTATTTACTTCACGACCGACGCTCTACAAACCTGCAGCGACGAGCTGAAAACTCTCGAGGAGTCCTACCACCGTCTGCAATCCGGCCTGGTGCGCGAGGTCGTCAGCGTCGTGGCCACGTACTGCAACGTGTTTGAGAAGCTCGGCGCCGTGCTCGCGCATCTGGATGTGATTGTCAGTTTTGCACATGTCTCGAGCACCGCGCCGACGCCGTACGTCAGGCCGAAAATGCACGCGCGCGGGGCGGGCGACACCGTCCTCAAATCCGCGCGCCATCCGTGCATGGAGGTGCAGGACGACATGAACTTCATTCCCAACGACGTCTCGCTCGTGCGCGGACACTCGGAGTTTGTAATCATTACCGGCCCAAACATGGGCGGCAAATCGACCTACATCCGTCAGATTGGCGTGATTGCGCTCATGGCGCAGGCAGGGTGTTTTGTGCCCTGCGACGAGGCCGAGATCTGCATAGTCGACTGCATCCTCGCGCGCGTGGGCGCCGGCGATTCGCAGCTCAAGGGCGTGTCGACGTTTATGGCGGAGATGCTTGAGACCGCGTCGATTCTGAAGTCGGCCTCGTCCGAGAGTCTGATTATCATCGACGAGCTCGGGCGCGGGACGTCGACGTACGACGGGTTCGGGCTCGCGTGGGCGATTTCGCAGCATATCGTGAGGGAGATTAAGTGCTTTGGTTTGTTCGCGACGCATTTCCATGAGCTTACCGGGCTGTCGGAGCAGTACCCTCAAGTTCAGAACCTGCACGTCGTCGCGCATGTGGAAACAGTCAAGGCCGCGCACGAAGCGCATATGAACCAGCGCGAACTGAGCGGGAAGGAAATCACGCTGCTGTACAAGGTGGAAGAAGGAGTCAGCGACCAGTCTTTTGGAATCCACGTCGCGGAGCTGGTGCGGTTCCCGGAGAAAGTCATAAACATGGCGAAACGCAAAGCCAACGAACTCGAAGCCATCACTACGACCACGTCAGACAACGGCGAGCGGCCGTCGAAATGCAGCAAGACAGAGGTCGAGGACGGGTCTGAGCTTTTGCGACAGGTGCTCAAGGAGTGGCGCGCTAGGACGAAGGATCTGGATGTGTCGAATAGAACGGAGATGATTGCGCAGTTTAAAGAAATTGTTGGGTCAGGAGAATGGAGGGAGAAGTTGGCTGGTAGCGCGTTCATTCAGGAAGCGCTTGTGTTGTAGGCTTTGGAATGGAATGGTATATGCTTATATTTCTTATTCAACGTGATCTTTCAGACATCTTTCTCTTTCCGGACTACGAATGTAACATATTAAATGCAGTTATCTGATATAACCGTAATCAAGTCAAAATCTGAGCTGCAGAATACATCCACAGACCGCACATCGAACCCGTCCCCACCCCCAAAACATCCCAACATCCCAATCCCCACATACTACAACCCCAGCCTACACCTTCCACCACTATAACAACTGATCCCCTCGAATTACATCTGATTCAAGCACTTTTACCTAAAAGCAGGCGCAGTTCATAAAGGCCACAAAACCTTTTTTTTTAACAAAGTCGGTAATAGTTTAGTGGCTAGAATTTCCGCCTGTCACGCGGGGGACCGGGGTTCAATTCCCCGTTACCGAGAAAGATAATCTCGCGACTTGTTCCAGTTTTTTTTATTTTTTCTTTCTTTCATTTTATAAGCTATGAAAATGGGCTTTTTTTTTTTTGCAAAAATTGCTCTTCTCTTTAGAGAGGTATTTGCGTGAAAGAAGTTGTCGTTTGCGTTATTGAAGCGGGGACGCTTGGCGGGGTATTTTCTTTCGTTCTTAGCAAACAGCTCAAGGTCTCTGACCCGTCTGCCTTTTTACTTCAGGCATGGGAGTCAAACAAATAATTAGCTCGTGAGCGAAATTTTTACAAATCGGTTAACTTTACGTCATCTATTAAATTATTGTGTCGATCAATTTGCTTGGAGTAGATAGGGAGCTACGGGTGATGAGAAATAGGGATGACAGTTAACTAACTGGGAGCGAAGATTGTGACGAGAGGAGAGGGAGGCTCAACACCAGGCGAAAGTTTTGTGGTGGAGCCGTATTCGGTAAACCAGATTAACAATGCACGAAAAAACCATATTGGCAATCGATAAACGGAAATGAAAAGACAGAGAGAGCGGAAAGAGGAGCAAGAGCGAGGATTATTAGAAGAATTATCAGGCGATTTGCGATAAGATTAGCGGTTTATGTTTCAGAAGTAGATTGATGAATATAAATTAGCCGTGTGCGTAGTGAGCAGGGGGAACTTTGACCGAACAAGTAAATCAAGGATCTAGGCACAAGCCACTGACACTGACTCGACTGCCACCCGCCCGGATAACTTATATTCATTCGCAAGCCCAGGGCTTGGCTTCCTTCCTTTGCTCTCTATCAACCTGTCTTACCGAATGGAATTTTGAAGAGACGAAAAGTATCCCCTTTTTGCAAGCTGGAGAGAGGAAAATAATGCGCGTTAAGCTTCATCGTACGTTTAATGTCTTTTTTATCGTGGGCTCGGCTGTGGTTGCTGATAAGGTTACGGTGTAGTTGACTCGCAGACTGCGTTTGCGGGATACCCACTCCGAGGAACGGTCGAGCTGTTTGTCGACAATGCAAATAGCATGCCGACAGAGCTCTATGTTCAGTTTAAAGGTACATCGACGACCGCGTCGAACTCGAGTGTCTCGAACCAGACGTTTATAGAACGACACACCCACGCAAACAAAAAAGTGCAGCTCTACGTCGCGCCCGATGGGCCCTCGTCCTCGTCTTCTGCACCTACCGATCGTCCGACAGAGACGATCGACGAAGTGCCGCCGTACGAGAAATTGACCCTACAGCCCGGCAAAAACACGATCCGGTTCAGCATCGATATCCCAATCTTCTCCGGCTGTCCCTACGCGCCCGGCATCAGCGACGGCCACAGACGCTACCAGCGCTGCGGGTACGCCCGCGTCAAGCACACAGATCGCGGGACCACAACGCTACCGCTGCCGCCCTCAATGCCGCCATCGAGTCGGTTCATTGTCAAGTACGGTGTGCGCGCGGTCGCCCGCCGCGCGGGGATTTTCAAAATGAACAAGTCGGCGATGAAGGTCGTGCGTCTGGCACCCGCGGCACTGCTGCAGTCCAGCGACGACGAAGCACTCAACGACCTCGTCACCACGCAACTAAACATGCTGTCTGCGAAGAGCATCAGACTGCCAGACTCGTACTTTGTGCCCGGAGCGCTGCCGAAAGCGTCGGGATTCCGCCAGCTGATGAGTTTTGGATCGAAAGGGACGATGGTCGTTGGCGTGCCGGTGAAGCTCAGTTCCGAGATATTTCCGCACGCGCGGTTACCCCACAACGTTCCGTTCTCGCTCAAGCTAGGCTTGTCGATCGACGTCGACGATATGAGTCGGATCAGAGGCATTATCAACGAGTTTGACATCACGTCGATCAAAGTCGTGCTGAAATCAAACACGGACGGAACCGCAGGCGGCCTGATAATGATGCCCGAGCCGCGGACGACGACGCTTTTAGAGCTGAAGAATATCGGAATGAGCTTGCGGATGTTGTCGACCTCTGGAATCCCGCAGTACCAAGTCGAGTGCGAGAAGCTAAAGGCGCTGATAATACGGCCGGAGGATACGCCGCCGAGCTTTACAATCAAAAGCATGAAGCTACGGCACAGTCTGCGAGTCGAAGTCGGATTGACGATCAACGGCAGCAGTGAGAAAAAAGTCGACGTCGAACGGAATATAATAGTCACATCTGGGAATGACTATGATCCGGATAGTATGGCGATGTTACCGCCCGGATACGAGTTTAATCACAATCATGCAGCCGGGAATAGTGACGATGAGGGTTCTAGCGGCAGCTCGGACTGGGGGGACGATGATATCAAGGAGGATTTTTTCGCAGATTGAGCAAAGAACTTAATATCTAATACTATATACACAGAGACAGCCTCTGTTCTGCTGATATAATACAGAATCTCCGTCTATACAAACCAAGTTCACAACATCTATACAAAACAGATTCACAAAATTTTCGATCCCAGAGCCTACTTTGACTCTTTCTCAGTCTTCTCCTCCTCGGTATCCGGCACTATAAACGCACCACCGAGCAAGATAGCCGGCTCGTCGATATTGTTATGCTCGTAGCTGACAACGCCAATCGCACCGGCTTCGAGCAGCAAGGCGGGGTTAGTTTTGATATCTCTTTTGACCCAGCGCATCGCAAACGAGCGCAGAATATGTCCATGCGCAACGACCAGGATATCCTGCCTGGGCTGGCCCTGGTGCGTACGCTGCAACTCCTGGATCTCCTTAATCACATCATCGAGTCTCTCGGTGATCTGCAGCGGACTCTCGCCGTTCTCGCACCCGTCCGACCAGATATCCCAGACCTTGGCCTCTTTCCCGCTCGCCTCGTCCGCCGGCCAATCGAGCCCGCGCTCGGTCCGCAGCGCCCTGATCTGCTTCGTCTTGAGGCCCTCGTAGTCGCCGTAGTTCCACTCCTGCACACGGTCGTCGATCACGATACGGTCCTCGCCGATCAGCGACTTGTTGTCGCCCATCAGCAGCTGGAAAGTGCGCTGCGCACGCAGGCGCGGCGAGATGTACACTTTCAGAACGTGACGGGGGTCAATCAGACGGTCTTTGCCGACCATCGCTTGGCCGGTCGCCTTCACTCGGCGCTCGCCGTTGGGCGTCAAAGGGAGATTGGTGAACGATGTGTGTTGTCCGGAAAGCGACCATTCCGTCTCGCTGTCGAGGGTTAGTATCACGCTGATAATCCGATTCACTTCACACAATCACTTACCCGTGACGAGCGATGAATACACGAGGACAAGCCATGATACAATGCAGAGGTATTTGGTATACAAGCAGCACCCAAAAAGGTTTTTGAGAGGGTTTTTGAGAAGGAAAGCAGTGAATTCCAGAGAGAAGGAGGTATATAAGAGCAAAGAGGAAGAATGCCGAATTGCACTTGATTGTTGATACCGACAGCTCCGGCCGGCTTCGCGGAGGCAGCCCGGGACAAGCGCCGCATGCTTTAATTTACGTGGATCCTTAACTGCTAACTGTACTTCTTCTATCACTAATCAGAAACAATGGTCTAAATCACAGTAGTATTATAATCACCACAGATGAATAAATTGGCTTAATAAAGCTGGTTAATCTGTTAATGAGAAAGCATGGCAGATGGTCTATAATCACAATGAGTAGTGAAAGAAAAATCCATCTAATTAACATCAAAGTTACACGCTGCTATATCCCACACATTTTCCAACAAACAAATCGTTAAATTACTTTTGGCGAAAAGAAAAATGAAGAAAAAAAACTTAGGTCCGATCCGATCGGTTTTACCATCAAACAAAAAGAGAGAAAAGAAGTCTCCGAACGTAATAGAAAACGACAACAGGAGAATTATCGCTCATATCGAACAGAGACGATCTTATCCAAACATCGAATAAAATAAACCCATTGCACCACTTTTCCAGATATGTATGCGTAGCTTTTTTTGTAGCCGTTAAATTAGGAGGTATAGTATGTTTTCGAAGGAAGAGGGACACTTTATAGGAACCCAGCAAAGCCAGAGAGGATGGACAAGATCGAGGCCTGGACGACGTCCTCGTGGATGCCGACACCCCATCTTGCCTTTTGTCCGTTAACCTTGATCTCGATGAAGGTCGAGGCACGCACCTTGGAACCCTGGCCGATAGAGTGCTCCTTGTAATCCCAGACCTCGACCTTGACGCCGAAGCCGTTTGACAGGGCGTCGGTGAAGGCGGAGATAGGACCGTTGCCGGTGCCGCTCAGCTTGATCTCGCGGCCGTCGACCTCGACGACACCGACAAACTTGCGGGTGTCGGCATCGACGCGGATGGTGTCGTAGTCCTTGAGCGTGAAGCCGTTGTCGATGTACTCCTTTCTGAACAGCGCCTCGATCTCGGCGCTCTTGAGCTCGCGACCGACCTTTTCGGCCTCTTTCTGGACAATCTTTGAGAATGCGATTTGTAAGCCACGGGGCAGATCGAGGCCGAGCTGTGTGAGGATGATCCAGGCAGCACCGCCCTTGCCGCTCTGGGAGTTGACGCGAATGACGGCCTCGTAGGTACGGCCGATGTCCTTGGGATCCAAAGGCAGGTAGGGAATCTGCCACTTGAACTCGTCCGCGGTCTCGATCGAGCCGTCGGTGATGGCAGCCTTGACACTCTCGGTACGGTTGTTGAAGCCCTTCTTGATGGCGTCCTGGTGGGATCCGGAGAAGGCGGAGACGACGAGCTGGCCACCGTAAGGCCAGCGCTCGGGGACGGGGATCTTGTTGCACTGCTCGACGACCTTGATGATCGACAAGATATCGCTGAAGTCAATTTTGGGGGAGATACCCTGTGTGTACAGATTTAATCCAAGGGTGACGAGATCGACGTTTCCGGTCCGCTCGCCGTTTCCAAACAAGCAGCCCTCGACACGGTCTGCGCCCGCCATCTGCGCAAGCTCGGCAGCTGCGACAGCGCAGCCGCGGTCGTTGTGCGGGTGCAGAGAGACGGCGATCTTGTTGCGCTCGCTGATGTTTGTGCAAAAGTACTCGATCTGATCGGCGTAGACGTTGGGAGTCGACATCTCGACGGTGGCGGGCAGGTTGAAGATGATTTTGTTCTCCTCGGTCGGACCCCAGGCCTCCTTGACGGCCTCGCAGATTCGGATGACAAACTCGGGCGAGCTGTCGGAGAAGGTCTCGGGAGAGAACTCGTATTGCCATTCGGTTCCGGCGGTAGAGGGATCGTCCTTGGTCAACGATCTGACCAACTTGGTGCAGCGCACAGCAAGCTCCACGCTCTCATCCTCCGACATGCCAAAGACTATTCTCCGGAAGCACTCAGAGGTAGCGAGGTACAGGTGAACGATGGCTTTCTTTGCTCCCTTGAGGGAGTCGATAGTGCGACGGATGAGCTCTTCGCGGCAGGGCGAAAGAACCTGGATCCAGACATCATCGGGCGCACGCTTGACGACGCCCCGGGTGAAGTCAAAATCTATTTGCGAAGCCGAGGGGAAAGCGACCTCAATCTCCTTGTATCCGATTTCGACGAGCTTGTCGAAGAAGAGCTCTTTCTCCTGGACCGACATCGGATCTGTACGCAGTCAGCTAGCTGATCTTCAAAATCATACAAAGCACATAACATGGAAAAAGGAAATACACACCGGGAAGAGACTGGTTTCCGTCGCGCAGATCAGTGGCCAACCATCTAGGAGCCTTGTCCAGAGACTTTGAAGGCCATTGCCGGTTGGGCAAGTTCATGGACGGGAACTTTTTGTACTTGATTGAGGGGTCTGCGAGCATCGGCATTTTGAATAGAGAAGCTGTACAGAAGACGAGGACTATGCAGAAGTAGAGGAATAAAGCGAAAAGCCGAGAATATAGCCACGAACAGAGGAGAAGAAGAAGAAGATGCAGAAAAATAGAGTCACCTTCCCGACGGCTCTTTTCAAGGCTTCGTTCAAATCCTCGAGGAAAAAATTAGCTGAAAAAACGTGACCTTGTTTTGGCTATATATGCACCTGCTTGTATAATAATGAATACATGTACTCTACGATCCACTTTAAACAACTCTAATTCCTCTCTTCATCTCGCCACACGTGGCCGATACCGGCGCGGCTCTTGCGCCGCTTCGCTTTCTGCTTCTCCGCGGACTTGACTGGCAAGCCGCGCAGCTAATTCCCTGTCCCGAGGCTTTTATTGGCCATTCAGCGCGTTTTTCTAGTCTGCAGTGTATAACTGCTATCTCGGGCTGATTTGTGAATATTGTCGAGAGTAGTCGACAGTGGTCGGGAATGGAGAAACTTCTGGGCGAGTGCTGCCTTCACCGCGTCGCAAGCTTTCCGGCAGTAACCGAGCCTACGCACCGCCCATCCCAGTCGGCGAATTCGAGTCGTCGGTCGGGCCATACGTGTATCAAGAGACTGTCATTTATGAGATATGTCCGATCTTCTGTCGATTGGAGGAAATCTACGTGTACGTGCTGTGGTTTCTGTGCATTGACGCGGCAATGGATGCGGTCAGTAGCTAGAACCGTAAGTCACCTCTGCTCACCGTAGGCTCATTCTATAGTCGTATATTACATTGCTCTTCTCTATAAACCGCCTACGAAGCCTCAGAAGCCTCAATAGTAGCACTCGCCTTCGCCGTAGCGCTAACAAACGCCTCGAGCGCCTTCTTCGCTCCACCCTCGTTGATGCTCTTGCGCGCAAGCTCGACTCCCTCCTTCCAGTCCTTAGCCTTGCCAGCCACCACAGAAAGCGCACCGGCGTTCAACAAAACGTAGTCTAGGATAGGATGTCCCTCTGGTAGCTCTCCGCCGACAAGTTTCCTGACCATTTCCGAGTTCTCCTCTGGCGTGCCTGATGCGACGTCTTCGAGCGGATGCGTCGACAGGCCGAAATCGGCGGGCGAGATTACGCTTTCGACGATTTCCTCGCTGCCAGGGAGGACTCTCCAGATACGAGTAGTACCAGCAGGAGAGATCTCATCGAGACCTTCCTCACCCCACACGACCATCGACGACGACGTCGTGCCGGCTTTCTTGTCGAGCAGGATAATAGACTGCGCAAAGATCGGTCCGAGGTCTGGTGTATTGACGCCAATTATACGTGAGGAGATTGGCGCCGGGTTGAGCAGCGGGCCGAGACAGTTGAAGATCGTGGGGACACCGAGCGCTTTGCGAATTGGGGCGATCTTGCCCATGATCGGGTGGTACACTGGCGCGAACAGGAAGCAGAAGGGAGAGTCTCGCAGGACTTGAGGGGCGGTGAAGGAGGTTACTGATTGCACTGAGCAGCCGAGAGAGGCCAGTACATCAGCGGCGCCTGAGGACGAAGTTGCCGCTCTATTGCCGTGCTATAAGCATATGTATGTCAGTTTCCGTCCAATTGTTCATTCCAGTCAACAATGATCTGAGAAAAATATCACATGTTATGTACTAACCTTACAGATCCGCAAACCCATACCAGCACAAACCAACCCCGACGTCGTCGACACATTAAACGTATCCTTACCATCTCCACCGGTTCCAACGATATCGACGTAGCCATTACTCTCCACATTCACCGACAGCGAAAACTCCTTCATCGCGCTCACCGCCGCCGCAATCACCTGCGGATCCCGGTCAAGTCCCCGCGCGCGCAAGCCGATCAGGAACGCCGAGACCTGCACTGGCGAAATGTCATTCGTGAATATGATGTGCAGACATGTGCGGATGTCGCCCTCGTTGAGGCTCGAATGCGGGTCTGTCAGTGTCTTGAGGTAGGGCGTCAGAGGAGACACCATTCTTGCTGCTATTCTTGCTTCTATTGCTTCTATTATCGCACTCCCAAAATCTCAACGCCGCTGCTGTTCAATTTTGGAGAGAACAGGTTTTCCCTGATCGATGCCTGCCGAGTTCCCGGAGAGTCACTTTTTCCATTAAATGTCAGCAAAGGCCTTTGTACTTGTCTTCAACCACCGCCCTCGATTAAGCTTTCGTGAAATTTTCGGAAACAACCAAATTCTCTTTAAACCACAGCGGATTCAGTTGAACTAGAAGCAAAACGGAGGAGAAAGAGAAGCAATGTTCAACAGTCTACTATCTCAGCGGGTGCTGAGCACTCGCGGCTCGCTGTCGAGAATATTTTCCACAATACGGGGCTTCGCGCAGGCTGCCGCCGAGTCTTCGACATCCTCACCATCAGAAGAAGCTGTGCGCAAGACCGTGAAGCATATCGACTCGCGCAAGACGTATCTGATTGATCGGTACGCGTACCTCTTGCGGAATCGGCCGGTCCAGATCTATGTGCAGCACAACAATTTCCGCAAGGACGACTCGTTCAATGTGCGCTCGCAATTCAAGAAACTCGGCGTCCAGTACACCGTCCTCAACACAGCCCTGTTCAAAGTCACACTCCGCGGCATCCAGCACCCGGATCCCGCGAGCTGGGAGGCTCGTCGCAAGTACAGATGGCCCAAGAAGCGGGATATGCACCCGGCCATGAGATTGGTCGAGGGCCCGACCGCCGTGCTCTCGTTCGAGGGCTTGGACCCCGCGCTGATCGGCTCCGCGGTCGAGGTCGTCGAGAAATCCGGCGGCAGACTCGTGCTCATGGGCGCGGTTATCGAGAACAAGCTGTTCTCGGGCGAGGAGTTGGATGCGGTCAAAAACCTTGGCTCGTTCGACCAGGTGCGCGCCGAACTTGCGGGCGTGCTCGAGGTGCTGCGCGGTGCTGGCTTGGTCAACACTTTGAGCTCGGCGTCGACGGGATTGTACTTGACGCTGGAGGCTAGAAAGCAGCAGCTTGAGGAGGGCAATGGCGAGGAGGCAAAGTAAGAGCAAGTACTGAGAAATATGTATATGATGTTGGTATGGTTTGGGTAGCTTTCTATACATGTGTTGAAATAATGTAAATAGTTTTATTGATACAGCAGTATTCTTTTAAATATCAGTGCCTATAGACTGTAGAAATGTAGAATGATAAGATTGAAAAGAGAAGAAACGCACACTAAACAGGCACACTGACAAAGTCGACATCTCAACTCGCGCGGCTCGAAATTCACTGCTTCTCTGCCCGGAGACACCAATCTCGAAACCTCAGACATCAGCCCCCACCAGAGCTCTACATCTCAATTGACACCCTCGATCAATAACTCCATCCAATGTCTTCTATTCTGCTGAGAAACGTCAGTCGCAGCCCTGCTTCTGGCGCATTGCGCAATGTCGTGCTTCGCAACCGCTTTCGCACAATGCCGCGATCATCGCCTTCCTCCATCTCATTCTCGACCCGTTCCTCAACGCAGCACGCCTCCTCCTCGCCTCTCAAAGCTCTCGCGGTCGGATCAATCTTTGCGACCGCGACGATCCTGTACAGTTTCTACTTTGCGGGATCAATCGAGCAGGAAACGTTCAACGCCGTCGAGCCGAAATACCAGGCGCTGTTCCCGGAAGATGCTTGGCAGCCTGGGACGAAAGTAGACCCGTTCTTGCGCCGGATTGAGGTTGATGGGCGGGAGCTGTGGCTTTTGGGATTAGGCGTGCGGACTGTTTCGTTTTTGAAGATCCATGTCTACGCAGGTATGTTTCTTTCACCATCTTACGTCCTGTAAACGAACAAACTCGACTGACATTATATACTAGTCGGCATCTACGTCGACAAAGACGACATCCCGAAAATCACGAGCACCCTCTCAGCTCTGAAATCCGACAAAGACGCCAAGGAAGCCGCGCTGGACCCCGACACCGCGCTCGACCTCTTCACCACCCTTCTCGACTCCAACGTCCGCTTCGCGCTCCGCATCGTGCCCAGTCGCAACACCGACTTTTCGCACCTGCGCGACGGCTTCGTCAGATCAATCATGGCGAGCATCAAAAACCGCCGAATCGACCAATCCGCCGACTCCGGCTCCGGCATCGCCGAGATCCGCAGCGCGCTGGGGCGCAAGATGACCGCGCCGCGGAATAGCGAGCTGCTGCTGACGATCGACGATAAGGGCAGTTTGACGATGACGTACGCGGCGCCGAGGGAGGCGGAGAAGGAGAGATTGGGGGTCGTTACGGATAAGACCATTGTCAAGGCTTTGTTTTTGCATTATCTTACGCCGCCGACTGCTGCGAGTGAGGAAGCGCGCGTGTCGTTTGCGGAGAGTATCGCGAGTATTACGCCTTAACTTTATAGTTTATATGAAGTTTGTAAATAGATTTTATTTAAAATACAGTTGTAGTTGATATCCTCGAAGTAGGAGCTCAAACCGACCTATAGACCATCTTTACAGCTCCTTGAGAAGCGCATCGAGCTTACCGCTGTTTTTCAGAGCAGTCAAGTCCGAATCTCCTAAACACAGCAAAAATATACTAATCAGCACAAAGTGATGGTAATCAAAAGGAAGAAAAAGAAGACGACTTACCGCCAATGAATTTTCCGCCGATAAAGACAGCGGGCACGGTGCGGTGCTGATACAGCTCCTTGACCGCGTTCTGGAGCTCGCTTCCCTCTCCTATCAGGTATCGTCAGCCATCAATTCTCGTAAAAGACATTAAAGAGAGCGAGACTGTGAATGAACTTACTGCCCATCTCGTCGAGTTCGAGGACTTTAGCCGCCACGGCCTTTGACTCTTTCTCGAGAAGACTCTTTGCGTGAACGCAGTAGCTATGAAGATACGTTTCGTCAGCAAACAATCTCTTCGACTCATTGCAGGTTAGATAGAGGATACACACGGGCAATATCTGTATATAAGCATATATTTAGTAAACCAGTCCACTTCAGCTCGGATATAGCAGCAAGAGAAGTAGACAACTCACGTTTTGCTGAACACCATGATTGGGTTCTTGGCGACGTATTCTTTGACTTTAGCCTGGGCACTCATCTTGCGGTTTTGTCGACTTTTAAACAATGAAAAAACAGGGGAAAGTAGGTGGAGAACGAATGTGTAGAGGATGTGGTGGAGATGGCGTAATTGCGCGGGTAGAGATTAGATTCCTCGGGCACCGAGTGTTGGTTGCGGCTCAGTCAGGGTTGCAGTACTTTATTCTTCTCTACGTCAATAATCCATAATCCGGCATATAGTATACGGTATATAGTATCTGGGAAATGAAACGTCTTGAATGGACCACTATTACGTTCTGTACATTGTATAAATTACTGAGAATTGAATTTACTGTCTTGAAATCAATATATTCAATCACTCAGTCTTGCGTGCACAGAACTGCATCATACTTTAGACCTTCTTTAACTAATAGACATCAAAACCAAGCACTGATCCGACCGCTAATCAAAAACATCGTCACCTCAATAGAGATTAAAGACATCAAGTAACCGTTTAAGCAGTCGAAACGGCCTCCTTCAACATAACTTTCAATCTTCCGTTACGCTTCAAAGCTTGCAGATCGGAGTTTCCTATAGAGTCACAGTAGGTCAGTACATTGAATCTCCACACGTTTCAAAGCATTCAAAATAAAAGAAGGAGACGTACCGCCGATGAACTTGCCGCCAATGAAGATAGCAGGGACGGTTCGCTGCGCGGTGAGCTCGCCAATAGCAGCCTGGATGGCGTCGCCGGTGTCTATGTACACAAACATCCGTCAGCAAGCTGTATTTGCAGTCAACAGAGTGCTTTACAAACAAAACATACCCATCTGGTCGAGCTCGAGATCCTTGTGCTGGACGTTCTCGGCGTCGAGAGTGGTCTTGGCCTGGCGGCAGTACCTGTGAAGATCAGTCAGTGTTTTGCTCTACAGGAGCTGTTCAGGGCCATGAAGCAAACATACGGGCACCACCTAAACGACAGGTTAGTAAAGATAGACATCAGACAGACCAGAAGACGGTGACGCTCACGATTTGCTAAAGACAATAATCGGGTTCTCCGCCACAAGCTCCTTGACTTGTTCCTGATACTTTGACATTTCGGCCGGAGAGCTGCTGCTTGCGGTTGAGTACTGGGATGACAAGATGGAACCCAGGTTGATGGTTGAGAAGATAGTATCACTGCCGGAAGTTCGGAGCAATACAGAGCAGGAGGGGGAAGAAGAGGCTAGGGGCAGTCGTCTGAGGGGAGACCTGTGAGTTTTCGAGATCGCAGAGAGGGAACGGCGTCCGAGTGTGCGAAGAGAAAGGGTTGATGAAGACAGCTTGGAGAACTCGACGGCGAGAAGAGGAAGAGCAGAGAAGACAGAGAAGGGAAGAAGAAGGCGATGGGCGGGTTCGAGATGGGCGATGGGCGGTGCAGAGGCAAAGTGAATTTAGGATTTCATCACTGCCGGCAGTTTACTAATCAATTGCGTCATTGTTTCTGTTATCGCTGGCTCTGCTTTGCTTGCTGTGAGAATGAACGCAGTGCTTTAGCAATTGTATTTGTACTTGAAGAATCTTTGTTTATTGTTATAGAGCTGTTCTGACTACTTGCACTATTTCGCAACAGCGTGCCTGAACACAGGTTAAGTCTGCAATCAACATCCTCGGCACACTTCTGAGGCAATAACTCTGCCGGGGCCTTCATTCCTCTGTTCGGCCGGCGTGCAGACATATTCAACGACAGCTCTAAAATGCTCATACATCGTCAGTGACTGTCGTTCTATTCGTGGACTCAACCGCGATGCCGGGGCAAGACAAGACAAGACAGGACAGGACAGGACAGGACAGGACAGGCGTAGTTGATGTCGAGATGCGACAACAAGCTGAGTAAACCGTCGTAAGCCTATCCACTCCGCGCAACATCACCCTCCGCCTTGTAAAAGATCTCCATGTTTCCACTGAATAAACCCCCAGATTACCAACAAGGAGCGAAACCGACGATAATCTCTCATCCCAGCCTGCGGTTGGTCTGTCGCCGACTCCGAAGCACCCACAATTCCGGGTCCAGAGCCACGCATCTTCTTATACACTACCTGCCTGCGCCGCATGAACTCCTGTCCCCACAACAAGAGCCATGAATCCTTTATCATCCTCTTTAAATCTCGGTCGGGACTCGTCGCCACGCCTCGCTTCGCTCTATCGCATCTCCCGGGTCGGCCTACATCCACCGGAGTCTCTCTCGCTTTACGCCTCTGATTTACGGCCTGCTCTGGTTGGCATCTGCTTCTGCATCTTTGATAGAACTCTGCTGAGCGGTATCTGCTGAATTCGCCCTCAAATCCTCGACCACTTCTACCTGCGCATTTCCACCCCCGGAGAACCACCACGATGTCCTCCGACACCGCCAGTCTGTTCTCAACCTCCGGCGCGACCGTCAATGGCGACGGTCCGCGTAAACGGGTTCTGCTGCGTTTTACAAAGGAAGAGGAGGTCCAAGTGCGACGCAAAATCGACTCCTACCTCATGCCTCTTATCACCGCCTTGTTCGTGCTCGCCTTCCTCGACCGATCAAACATTGGCAACGCTCGCATCGCGGGCTTGCAAGATTCCTTGAACATGTCATCGAACCAGTTCGATTGGCTGCTGACTGCGTTTTATATCTCGTATATCTTGTTTGAGTGGGTCGGATTTCTGTGGAACGTCGTCCCCGCGCACATCTACGTGACGATGTGTCTCTTTGCATGGGGTTTCATTGCATCGCTGCAGTCGGTGGTCTTCAACTACTACCTCTTGCTCGTCCTTCGGTTTTTGCTTGGAATTGGTGAAGCCAGCTTTGGCCCCGGTGTTCCGATGTACCTCTCCTTCTTCTACCAGCGTCAAGAGATTGGTTTCCGCACCGGCATCTTCATGTCCGCCGCCCCACTGTCCACCGCCTTTGCCGGAATCTTGGCATACATGATCACCAGTCTGGCCGACCATACTCCGATCGACTCCTGGCGCGTGCTGCTTTTTGTCGAAGGTATCCCTTGTATGTTTATGGCGTGCATTGTGTGGAACTATCTCCCGGATCGTCCGTCGTCGGCGTATTTCTTGAACCTGAAGGACAAGATCATCGTGCGCGCGCGTCATCGTCGTCGTGTCGAGATTGACGGCGAGCAAGTTAGCCACTCTGGGTCTCACGGGTTCAAGCTTGAGGAGGCGCTTGAGGTTCTGCAGGATCCTAAGGTTTACGTGACTGCCGTAAGTATCAGTGTTTGAAATTGATGCGGCGGTGCCTTGCTCTGACTGGTGATTTCTAGGCTATGTTTTTCCTGGCAAATATTGCATACGCCTCGATGCCGGTGTTTTTACCTCTAATTCTTAGAGAGTGAGTATTGAGTGCGATTAATGATTGATGACTTTTATTTTCTGACAAAGCGTTGCTGTAGTATGGGCTACGAATCAGTCACCGCGCAGGGTCTATCGGCACCACCCTACCTAGTTGCATTCATCTCGGTCTTGCTGACGACTTACCTCTCCGACAAGCGCAAGTCTCGCGCCGAATTTATTGTGTTCCACGCATCTATTGCTTCCGCCGGCTACCTTGTGCTTGCAATCTCGCGCGACACCTTCACCCGCTACTGCGCGATTTTCTTCGTCGCCTCAGGTTTCTTCTCCGTCGTCGCCTGCGTCATTGCATGGACTGTCAACAACCAGTCCTCAGAGTCTGGCAAGGGTACCGGCATTGTGCTGCTCAACACGATCGGACAGTGTGGTCCGCTGATTGGAACCCGCTTGTACCCAGAGTCCAATGCGCCGTACTACGAAAAGGGAATGATCATTTGCTCGCTTGCCATGTTCTTCGTGGCTGTGTTTGCGATCTTCCTTCGCCGTCATCTCGCGATGCTTAACCGTGAGAGCTTCGCAAGCGAGCGCTACCACCTCGTATCTGAGGATGGCACCGAGGCCGCCGTTCCGTCGATGGCAGACGACGACGAAGAAGAAGAGTACGAGGAAGACGACGACGCGGACGAGGAGTCTGCGCGGTACGAGCTTATTTCGGCGCGGGAAGCTAGAGCGCTGCGCGAGGTGCACGGGTTTGGAATCGACATCCTCGACGACGACGGTAGCGTTGATGCGATTCTGAAAAACGGGCAAAAATTGATTGCGCGCAAGAAGCAGCAGAAGTTCAAGTACATGCTATGATGCCACCGTACATTTCAATAGTGCATTTTATATACATCTGATGGCGGCGATAGAAAGCGTCTTTTTTGGTGTGTTTTGAGATCTGGTTTGGAATAATGTGTTTTTTGCTTTCTTTTTCTTTTTGTCGATTGTTTGGAACAATAAATTGTATTAGCATTGAATAGCTCTCTTACTTAGACTGGGAGTAAACAGCGAACGGCTGCTCGTGTGCGCCATACTCGCACAGTAGCACAAAAGAACATCCGGTTAGGGTTCTCGGAAAGCCTAATTGGTGCGCTTCCGAGTATATCATTATCTCTTGTTTCCATCCTGGTATGTGGCTGGCGACGGACTGGGATTGGGGAGGTGGTCTAAAATAGAAAGAGAAGCTGCGAAGAAAGGTCAATGAGCTTGGCTGGTTTTCTTGCTTGTCTTCAGTATCTGGGCTGTGGCAGAGGGGCCGTCGTTGCCGATACCGACGGCCTTGACCGAGTCTCGGAAATCCCGATTTCAGGAACACTTACAGCCTACCAACATCTTCAATAGGTATATAAGCCGTGTCCAAGCCTAGATATCAAAGCAGTAGCTACATTAAAGTGTACATCTTGGGAAGTTTATGCTACTAGGGCCGCTGGAAGCGGTGGAGAGGGTGGGAATAAGGTAGTGAAGGTGGAGGTGACGCTAATACTCGAGATATTGCGCTATCGCAGCTGATTGCTGGTATTTCTGGTTTGTGCCCACTCTTTCTCTGTTAAATACTTTAAAATAACAGTTATCGACAATAATCAGTAGCTACTCTAAACACAGTAACTACTCTAAACCACCTTCTTTTATCTCTGTAAATAATAAACAACTGGCGACCGCTTATCAGTGTGGGGTCTCGGAATTAAACACCGCGGCAGTTATCGCTCATTAGCTTTCAGCTGCCCTCGGCACTTCCGCTCTGCGCGCTCAGCTACCTCCTCGACCCGAGACTCTTTACCTTTTCACTTTCCTCCTCCCTTTTCAATTCCTGTTCTTTTTCCTCTCCATCGGAAAATTGCTCGACAATTCTCTGCTCTTTCGACTATTGCTCTTCTGTGCTTGGTTTGTCGAGCGTGGTCAGTATGAGTCAGGTATTCTGTCCTTCTCCCACTTGGGATATAGACGACTTTAACGATTGCGTCAAGGCGAGGTCCGTTGCTTCTTTCTACCTTCTCTCGTTCCTTTTTTGATATAACAATTATCCTAACTTATGACATTTATAAGATACTTTCATTTTTGGTATCCGGTCCTGGCTATCACCGTCTCCTTCGCCGTTCTCGTCACAACAAGCACCGTCCGCCTCCTCAAATTCGTGCGCCGTCGCTGGTTCCCAAGACGTGACGCTGCCTACTCCGCGCTTCCCACCGACATCAGTCCCATCGACGACGACGATGACGACGAATCCCTCCAACCCGTCTACAGACTACGTACGACCGACGCCAGCGCCGAGTTCGACGAGCCCAACGCCGCTCATCACTCGCGGCACTCCGCCGCGGAGTACCGCGATGTCGAGGACGAGGCGCTGGATATAGCTCCGCGGACTTCGGTAGTCACGCACACGGATCGGCCTACGACCTTGATTTTGAACGCGACGCCCGCAAGGAGATTTAGAGCCGTGCTCGAGCTTGTGATTACCTTGTCGTTGACCGTCATCCATGCGCTCGCGCTGTTTGGTATCGTGCTCGTGCAGTACCCGCCTCCGCCGTATGAACGTCGGGAGATGATTCGCAATTGCTTCGCGACTACTTTGCTATCTGTAAGTACCTTTGAACTGTGCTGTTTACAGGGGGTTGCTGACTTACGCGCTGTCTAGGCCTACCTCCTCTGGCTGTCTTACATCCGACTATCCCCCGCAGTGAGATACAACTCGCCTTTCCTCCGCGTGCACGTCGCAGCTCTCTACGTCTTCCTCTGGTTCATCGCCGTCGTAAACATGCGCACATCGCTCATCCGCGATGTCCGTTCGCTAACCGGCTTCCTCGCCCTCTTCGACTTCCTCTGCATCTCTCTTCTCTTCGCGCTCAGTCTCATGGCCCCCGTCAACGACAAACCCGCGTACTTTGAGGCAACGAACGGGATGACGCCGAACCCGACTCCGTACTCGTCTATATTCACCATCCTATCGTTTGGCTGGGGCGATGCAATCACGATGCAGTCGTATCGCAAGCCCTTGACTATGGCCGACGTCTGGGATCTCAGAGATGACATGCGATCAGCGCTTTTGATGCCGGGCTACAGAGTCGCGAAAGGAACCCGCTCGATGCTCTACGGTTTACTCAAGTACTTCCGCCCGAGTCTTGTCTTTGGCGTCATATTCTCGTTCATCTACGCAGGTTGCACGTTCGGGCCTACTGTGCTCGTCCGCCAGATCTTGCGGTACTTGGAGGATCCTGAGCGTGAGCCGGCGCATATGGCGTGGCTTTACGTGTTTTTGCTGTTTTTCTTTGCGATTTTCAACGCGGCTGTCTCGGGACAAACGCTGTGGACGTTCCGACAGACTGCGTTGCGCGTGCGCGCGGTTATCGTCGCCGAGCTCTACAGCAAGGCGTTGAAGCGGAAAATCGGCGTCAATGCAGGTGACAGTAAAGAAGCATCCGAAGCAAAGGCTGCGCTGAAAGCGAAAGCAAACGAGGAATCTGATAGCAAGGGGAAAAAGGTTGAAGGCGAAGAGGAAGCTGCTGCAAAGTCTGCGCCTGCGCGCGACGAGCAGGTTGATCTCGGTCGACTTATTAATCTGATGGCTGTTGATGCGTTTTCGATTGCTGAAGTTGTCGGCCGGTTGAATCCGCTGATCCGAGGAACGCTAATGATTTTGATCTCGATGGTTTTGCTGTACGACACGCTAGGTCCCAGTTCGATCGCAGGTATTCTCGGCATGCTGACTCTTCTCCCGATCAACATCAAATTCTCGCGTACGTTCGGCAAGATCCAGAAGGAGCTGCTAGGGATCACCGACAAGCGCATCCAAAAGACAAATGAGATCCTGCAAAGCATCAAGATCATCAAATTTTTCGCCTGGGAAGAGCGGTTCCGGTCATCGCTGCAGGAGGTGCGATTGCAGGAACTCAAGACTCTGCGGCGACGGTTTCTCGTGGTATCGATCGCGTCCACGATTTGGCTCGGATTCCCGACCATCATCACTTTCCTCACTTTTGCGTGCTACACGCTTGTCGCCAAGCACGAGCTGACGGCGTCGGTCGCGTTCAGTTCGCTTTCGCTTTTCAATCTGATGAAGGATCCTATGGACCGTCTTTCCGAGATGATCACCAACGTCATCGAAGCCAAGACCTCTGTCGAGCGTGTTCAGAATTTCCTGAACGAGGAGGAGACTCAGAAATATGTTCAGCTGCGCGGACTGCACCGCAGCGATCCCAGCGATCCTACGATCGGGTTCAAGAACGCCTCATTTGCATGGGGCGAAAGTGACACGCAGTACGATTTCCGACTGCAGAACTTGAATGTCGTGTTTGAGCCCGAAAAGCTGTCGGTCATCGTCGGTCCTACGGGTTCGGGAAAGACGTCGCTGCTGATGGCCTTGCTTGGCGAGATGCATCTCTTGCGAGGAAAAGTGTTTCTTCCCGGGTCTAGCTTGCTCGATCAGCCCATTCGCGACAGACATACCGGTCTTGTTGAATCGGTCGCGTACTGCGCGCAGCAGCCATGGCTGCTAAACGACACCGTACGCGAGAACATCCTCTTCACAAACAAGTACGACGAGCAGCGCTACAACGAGGTCGTCAAGCTCTGCGCCTTGCTGCGCGACTTTGAGATCCTCGATTCCGGCGACCAGACGTTTGTCGGCGAAAAGGGAATCTCGCTCTCGGGCGGCCAGAAACAGCGCATCTCGCTCGCGCGCGCGCTGTACTCTCCTGCTCGGCATCTGATCCTGGACGACTGTCTCTCGGCCGTGGACTCGCACACCGCGCTCTATCTGTACGAGCAGTGTATCACCGGCCCGTTGATGAAGGGACGGACGTGTATTTTGGTATCCCACAACGTCGCGCTGACGCTCTCGCAGGCGGCGAAGGTCGTCGTGCTCGAGAACGGGCGCGTGGTGGCTGATGGTACGCCGACGGATGTTGTCGCGCAGGGAGTACTGGGGTCCGACGAGCTTCTGCTGGCCAGTGTGCAAAACTCGCGCGAGGTCTCGCGCGTGCCGTCGGCGACTGATATCACCCAGCTTTCAAACGCGACGACAACAACTGCGGACAAGCCGGCGGCGACAAAGGAGGCTAACAAGACGAATGCGAACACGGCGAGTGTCGAGGTGCAGCAGGTTGGAATGGTTAAGTTCAGGGTGTACTATTCGTATCTGCGGTCGATGGGTCTGGTTGGTTACTGGATCATCACGGTCTCTATTCTTGTGCTCCATCAGGCGTTTGCGATTACGCAGTCGTACTGGGTTAAAGTGTGGTCGATGGCGCTTGCATCAGTTGAGTCGGCAGGCGTCTTCGCTGCGTCTTCTTCGCAGCTGAGTTCTTCGTCCAACTTCTCGACCTCGCAGATCTTTGATATGGCTCCTCAGAACGGTGTTCAGAATCTGATGATCCCCCTTCTCCCGGACCACCCCGCGCTCCCGCACCTCTCCGCCCGCTCGGCCGATAGCATGTTCACGTCAGCAGCATCGACAGGCGACGCCAAAGGCCCCGGGTTCTACCTTGCGATCTACGGCCTGATTGCGCTGATCTACATCACGTTCTCGTTCCTGCGCGAGATTGCGTTCTTCTACGGCTCGCTGACGGCGTCGAAGAAGCTGTTTGATCGGTTGCTCGAATGTGTTTTGCGTGCCACCCCGAGGTTCTTTGATCAGACGCCGGTGGGGAGGATTATTAATCGGTTCTCGAAGGATATCGAGAGTATCGATCGTGAGGTTGCTGTTGATGCATTGGTAAGTAATTTATCTTTTCTTTCAGGGCGCAGAATGAATGCTAACTCAGGTTGTGTTATAGGGCCTGATTCACTCGACGTTGTCAGTGATTGTGATTATCGGAGTCATCAGTGTAATCATGCCAGTCTTTCTACTCGTCGGCAGCGTCGTCAGCGCGATCTTCTTCTTCATCAACCTGCTCTACCTGCAAGCCTCGCGCGAGCTCAAGCGCATGGAATCCGTCACCCGCTCGCCGATCTACCAGCATTTCGGCGAGACGCTGGTGGGTGTGAGCACGATCCGCGCGTACGGCTACGAGCAGAAATTCATTGCCGACAGCATGGGCAAGGTGGATACAAACATGCGGCCGACGTGGCTGATGTGGGGTCTTAACCGGTGGATGAGTCTGCGGACCGATCTTGCCGGCGGACTGATTTCGTTCTTTGCGGGAACGTTTGTGATGCTTGCGCACAAGTCGATTGACTCTGGACTCGCGGGGTTGATTCTCTCGTACGCAATCACATTCACGCAAAACATGTTTTGGGTCGTCTTCCTGTACTCGTCCAACGAGATGAACATGAACTCAGTCGAGCGCATCGACGAGTTCCTGCAGATCGAGCAGGAAGCCGCCGACATCGTCGAGGACAGCCGTCCGCCGCACAACTGGCCGTCGACCGGCGCGATCGAGGTCACCGACCTCACGCTGCGATACGCGCCCGGTCTGCCGCGCGTCATCAAGGGCATCAGTTTCTCGGTCGATCCGTGCTCAAAGATCGGCGTCGTCGGCCGGACCGGCGCGGGCAAGTCGACGATCGCGTCCGCGTTCTTTAGGTTTCTCGAGGCCGAGACGGGGAAGATTGTGATTGACGGGATCGATATCTCAAAGATCGGGCTGCGGGACCTGCGGCAGTCGTTGACAATCATCCCGCAGGATCCGACGCTGTTCACAGGTACCGTGCGCTCGAACCTCGACCCGTTTGACAATTTCACCGATCGTGAGGTGTTTACCTCTCTCAAGCAAGTGCACCTGATCGCCGACATCCCCGGCGAGGAAGAAGCCGAGAGCAGCACGCAAGCGCAGTTGTCGGAGCAGGAGCGCGAGGCGCGCGATATGAATGTGTTTTACAGACTCGACAGCCCTGTTACTGAAGGAGGCGGCAACCTGTCGCAGGGCCAGCGGCAGCTGATGTGTCTTGCGCGGTCGCTGCTGCGGTCGCCGAAGATTATCTTCCTGGACGAGGCGACGGCGTCGATTGATTACAACACCGACGCGCAGATTCAGGAGACGATCCGTGAGGAATTCTCAGACACCACGATTCTTACAAGTACGTCCGCTCACAATCCTCGTCTTTTCTTTCTCTACATATACTAACAGCTTATTATAGTCGCGCACCGTCTCCGCTCGGTCATAGACTACGACAAAATCCTCGTTCTGGACGCGGGCATGATCAAAGAATACGACTCGCCGCACGCGCTGCTGCAGATCCCTGATTCAATCTTCAGAAGCATGTGCGAGAGTAGCGGCGAATTGGAAGCGCTCGAGGTGTTGGCGAAGCAGGCGTATGACGCAAAGTTGCAGCAGCAGCAGCAGCAGCAGCAGCAGGAGTAGAAAATTGTCAGAAAGAAAATGTGAGGAGGGGGGAGCGTTGAGTTTTGGATTACGTTTGGCAGTTCTATTTAGTAGTTTTGCATTTGCATATTTTGTCTTAAATTTTGATCACTCTAATAGTTTTGCATAGAAGAGATACGAAGAGGAGAGAGAAGGTGGTACACAAGTGAACAAGTCATATTTTGATCTATCGATAAAACAAATCTACAAGCTAAAACAGCAACCTAAACTAAGCACAAGATTAGTCTCTGTACAACAAAAAAAGGCGCGCGCCTTTACTCTGCACACAACTTTCTCTCGTGCAAACTCATTTGACGTGTCAGAGAGCTTTTTTGGTATTTTGGGTTGTCATCAAAACTCAGAAGCAGAACTGATAATTAATTTTTTTCATCATGTCAAATGAGGTGGATGCACGTAAGAGAGAAGGGGATGTGCGAGAGTGAAAAGATTGCGGAAGTATATTGTAGAGACGTACCGTTCGTGAGATGACCGGACAACATCAAAACAAACAAGCTAAACAAAAACGTCTTTCTTGATCAGTTAGTTATCATCAATATGGAGGAAATAGTGATCAAACACACGACGGAGGAATACAAGTTCAGATGGTAGTGCATGTTTCTTAAGGCTCATAGAAGTCACCAAAGAACTATTGTGAAAGATTTCCTCATGACGATAGACAGTCTCCGTCGCGCGTTGATCTTCAGAGTGGGGATAGGAGTACATACCATAAACAGAGCAACAGTCGGTCACAAAAAGGAAGAGACGGTATTGATATCAGAGGTAGAAAAAGGGTCTATCAACAACCACGTTAGCAACAATCCACACCAATGCGTTCAGCAGAATCGCCTGCACACGCCCAGAGCAAGCAGAATACGTCATAAACGAAGAATTCCTAATTATTTTATGTCCTGCATGTACTTCCTCAGTAGAAATAAATTTTTATAATCTTTCGCTTTCTGCTGCTGATGCTCGGGGGTTGGTGTGGTGTTTCTACAACACACCAGGGACGGGAATAGAGAGATGACTTACATTATAAGACAGAAGATGTGCACATGTCTGGAACCACCAGCTCATTCTCACTCGGTGAGAACGGTCGGTGTACAGACACTTGCGAGAAGACAGGGAGAAAGAAGCAGAAGAAAAAATAGCAGGCAGGAGGAGCGTAGCCAAACCCTACTCTGCGCTCCAGTTTAGGGCACCAGCACAGCACCAATCCCTCACTGCTCACACATTCAGTTAAATCATGTGACATTACGAATCGGGCAATCGAAAGACGGTGGCAAAAACCTTAATCCCTGCAGTCGGATATAAAAGGGCGGGCTTCCTACCTGGCGCGCGATCACTTTTGTTGCTGACAGACCGAAACGAAGACGGTGGTTGAGAAAGTAGCCTTTGCTGAAGACTATCTGAATAATAGTGGAAAGGAGGAAATAAAGCAGAATCGCCTTATTCTCATTCAATCTTATTCAATATTCTCCTTTGATCTCGAACAGGAAGAATCCAAGAATCAGAGAATCAAAGAAACGCTAGGACGATTGAACACACAGCAGCCTGTAGATTATCTTCATAAACCACAGACATCAGTAAATTCAATCGCTCAAAGAGAAACAAACCGGCACAATGTCAGTCATGGCACACCGTCCCCGACGCCCGGCGATGAGCAAACGGCGGTCGTCCCGCGTGACTGTCGCGGCACCCGCAGCGCCGTCGCGGGAAACGGAGGAGAACACGCGAGCAAAGGTGAGCAGACGAAGATCGTGGGTTTAGGGCTCGGTGCGGCTCGGCAGCCGCAGCGCCCTCGCTTAGAGATAGAATACCGGTTTTACTGACAATATGAATTCTTGCAGACAACAGAAGTGCTCGCAGCAGCCCTGCGAGAGTCCGAGAAGGCGGTTGGTATCGACGTCGATGAGATGGCGAAGGAGATCGAGCAGGAGATTTACAAGACCTGCGGCGCCAACATCGGCACGGGCTACAAGATCTCGATGCGCGCGCACCTGATGACGCTCAAGAACAAGAAGAACGACCTGCGCGAGCGCATGCTGGCTGGCGAGGTCAAGCCTGCCGAGTTTGCGCACATGTCGTCGCAGGAGATGACCTCGCGCGAGCAAAAAGCGCAGGACGAGAAACTGCAGGAGAAGAATTTGCAGATGGCGATCTTGCATCCTGAAGATGGACCGGCGACTATCCTCGAGATCAAGGCCAAGGACGGCCGCGATAGGGAGAAGTGGGGGGTCGGTTCTAGTGCTGCTGCTATTGATTATTTTGAGTCGTTTGATCATGACGACGAGAACGAGGAGGAGGGGCAGCAGGAGAACGAAAGCGAAGCTGTTGATCAGTGATTTGCTCGATTTTCAAATTTGTATATTTTTCATTCATTGTATTGTACGGGTTCGGAGTCTACTGGAGTACTTTGTTTTATGACTACCTCTCGCTTAATGTATATTTTTTCTTCTGTTTTGTTTTGATTGGTTTGGATTGCCTGATTGATAGTGCTAGTAATATGAATTGCTACTATGATGTGGTAATCAAACATTGAATTATTGACCAAAGTCCGTTAAATTTCAAACATTTGTATGCACGCTCTAGTTACTCCGATACCCATCCTGTAATTTTCCTTTAAATAGATACACAGAACACAAAAGAAATTCCTAAACGCCATAACAATTAGTCCGTCATATCCTAGTTGTTGCACACGGACTACATAATAGGTTAATCATATCATCATCGTAAACATTTCAATCCACCCGTCTCTTCCTCCTCCGCCGCCTCTGCAGCAAAGCAGATTCACCAACCTCATCACCACCCTCACCCCTCCACGAAAACCTAACAAAAGGCGGCCTCACCCTCCTCAACCTCACCGGCTTCAACATCTCCCTCGTAACCAGAACCACATTCCCACACTGCCTTCTCACGCTCTCATCCTCCCCGCCGCCAGTCAATTTAGAAACCCCGCACTGCGCGTGATACCAGATCCGTCTGAGCGCAGGCGTGAGCTGTCTGGACGCGTCGGTCGAGAGGGGGAAATAACTCGGTGCTTTCCGCAGTGCGATGTAGAACGCTAGCACGAGCGGCTCGGTGAGTGCCCAGTCTACACGATCTGAAAACATGAGAACGAGCTGTTTTAGCTTTTGCAGGTAGATTGGAATCTCGGGGCTGGATGGTTGCGAGATACAGGCCTCTACGCTGAGGATCAGAAGCACGCGGAAGGGTTGGTGAGCGGTTAGTCTTTTGGAAAGCAGAGCGGGCGCTGCGACGGTTGTCAAGTACTTTAGCACTGGACTCGACGAGACTCCAGGATGCTACATCCCTTATATTGTTAGCACCCCAATAAACGCAAAACTAGAAATTGTAAACTGACCTTCAACAACCTGACGACAGCGTGTAGATAGAATTCGAGATATCCCAGCTCGGTAGGACAATCATCGCACAACAGTTCCGCGCTCGGCGCTTTTGATACCACGCACTCGAGAATCGCAGTCTTCATCGCTATATCCTCGCGCGCGCAACGTAAGAGTATGCTCAATACGCTATACTGCGTTTGCTCACATTTGACGCGTTTTAGACAATCTAGCGCGTCGGAAAAGCACGTCGGAGACTGCGTGAGCAGTTGCGCATCGTGACAGGTAAGCCATTCTGCGACTACCGGTTGTAATTCGGGCATCTCATCTATCGCAGTGATTGCCTGCCAAATCCTGCTCGAAGCAACGCACTCTGCTGAGTCTGGGGATTGAAGCAAATGGAGAATAGTGTCGACTATACGCTCTCGGTCTGCTGTCATTTGCAATGCCGTCGCTGAGTTTGGTAATTCTCCAATCGCATTTTGACAATACTATACATTCTCAAGTCAGCAATCATAGACAACTCTAGCTATAATTATCACTATCTGCACACCTTGACATCTTCACTGAAGCACCCTTGACCGACTGCCTCAGCTACCCCCGAGGCAGTCTGAGTCTGAGAGGAAAGCTTGTCAAGTAGCTCGACTACGCGCAAAGAAGCGATGCTTCGCGCGTGCTCGTCAGTGAGTTGTTTGGCCGGATCTCGGAGGATAGAGGATGCGTTTATTTCCTACAAAAATTGTTAGACACAGATGGTGCTGTGAATTAATAAAGAAACCACTTACGCCCTCGACAGATGCTCCACTTAGATCATCATCGAGACAATAACCCTCCGCTATCGAACTCCCGAGTCCTTCACGCTCCATTGACGAACCTCAGATTGACAATCGACAGAAGTCAAAGAGGCGGGACGAACTGACAGATCAAAGATTGTCTCAGTAAGCATTGAATCTCAGATTTTACCCAAAACTTCATCCAAAACCACAGCCGAGAGTTTGTCGCTGTCTATGCTGGGACGTAGAGCATGTTGGGAGACTATCGCGAGCCGAGCAGCGCCAGAAATGTCACCTGCCCACGAAGCGTGACCTGAGATGCCCTGCTTGCTGCCCGGCGCCAACACTACGCAAACAGCAAGACTGTTGGTTTAACTACTGGACTCGACATTGTTTGGTAATTGGATATTATGAAATGGAAATGGAAGGGAATTCTGTAGAATTTTGCAAGGGAGGTGATTGTGGGTGTACCTGACTCTGCCTGACCAGTCCACACCGCACAAAGACAGACACCCTCAACAACACCTCAACCTGCTGTTTGCTGCTGCTTAGTTAACACGAAAGAAGAAGAAGCACTCGATCCCCATCGGCTGTTCTCCTCCACTTCCCTCTCCAAGCGCGGCCCGTCTGCCGGCCCCTTCTCCAAGCGCGCAGCCGCCGCGGGTCCCGGGGATCTCGGCCCCGCACATCCGGCGGTAGGACAATTAGACTCCTGCACAGACACCACGAGGCCCTCGACTCTGCCGGCTGCCCCACCAACCGACCCCACTTTCTGCCGCCGGTCGCAGGCCGGCGTCGGCGCGGGGAGAGGATGCATGTTATGTATATGCCTCATCGCTCGTGTGTGGTTCTCACCGAGGAGTTACGTCATAAGACTGATCAAGAGACAAGCAACCTCTCTGAAGAAGAAAGAGGACCATGGCAGAGAGCTCACGCACGATCGCAAAGACAGACCCCGACGCGGCCGTGATCCACGTCGACCCCGCGCGCGTGCTGGCGGATATCGACGACAAGATCTACTGCGGATTTCTCGAGCACCTCGGCCGCTGCATCTACGGCGGCATCGTCGACTACGACTGCAAGATCCCCGGGCTGACGAACGACAAGGGCTTCCGTCTCGATGTCGCGGACGCGATCAAGGACCTGCGCATGCCGATGATTCGGTATCCCGGCGGGAACTTTGTGTCTGCCTATCACTGGATGGACGGCGTGGGCCCGAAAGAGAACAGGCCGGTCAGACCTGAGCTGGCGTGGCGGGGCCGCGAGCCGAATCTGTTTGGCACGGACGAGTTCATGGAGTGGTGCGAGTTCATGAACGTCGAGCCCTACCTGTGCTTCAACATGGGCACCGGCACGCTCGACGAAGCGCTCGCGTGGCTCGAGTACTGCAACTCGGACGACGACACGTACTACGCGAACCTGCGGCGCAAGAACGGGCACGACAAGCCGTACAATGTAAAGTACTGGGGTCTCGGCAACGAAGTGTGGAACGCGTGGGTCGTCGGCCAGATGACGGCTGAGGACTACGCAAAAAAGGCAGACGAGTGGGGGAAAGTGCTCAAGATGCTCGACCCGTCAATCATCCTCGTCGCGTGCGGATTCGACGGCCTGCACACTTGGGAGTACACCGTCACCCAGAAGCTCATCAACGTCTGCGACATGTACTCGATCCACCAGTACACCTGCAACTACGACCACATCCAGAACGTATCCTGCACCGCCGCCGCCGAGCGCGCGATCCAGATCGTGGCGAAACTGATCGACCTCTCGCGCATCACAAACCAGGCCTCGAAGCGCACGATGAAGATCGCGATGGACGAGTGGAACGTGTGGGACTACAAGCGCGCCAACGGCGAGAACGGCGCAGAGGAGCACTACGATCTCTCGGACGCGCTCGCGGTCGCGGCCTGGGGAAACGTGTTTGTCCGGCAGGCTGCGCATCTGGGGATGGCGAATCTGGCGCAGTGCGTGAATGTAATCGCGCCGATTATGGCGCGGCCGGACGGCATCTTCTTGCAGACGACGTATCATACCTGGAAGTTGCTGTCGCATTACATGCGCGGAAAGTCGCTGGCTCTGCATGTAGGCAGCCCGATGTACGAGGGTCCGCTCGACAACACGCACGGCGATATTCCATGGCTTCAGGATATCGAGAGCGGTATCCCGATGCTGGACGTGAGCGCTGCGCTGAACGACAAGAAAATCTACCTGTCGGTCGTGAATCGATCAGAGACGGAGGCGATCAAGACGAGGATTAATCTACTGGGGGAGTATGAGGAGAAAGTGCATGTGTGGTCGGTCTACCACGAGGATGTGCGTGCGAAAAACAGTTTTGAGAATCCGACGAATGTGGGGATTGAGGAGTGGGAGTATGGACTGGGAGAGGTGAAGGAGGGGGTAGTCTTTCGGGAGCACAGCTACACGCTTCTGGAGTTGCGTCTGAAGTAGTCGCTGCATGAAGTAGTGAGATAAAACAATAGAGTGATAATACATAGAGTGACAATAACATAGAGTGACAATAACATAGAGTGACAATAACATAGAGTGACAATAACAATAGAGCGGATAACAATAATAGCAGACTGAAGCCGATCATGCGAGGCAATTACCCAAAACGGCTACAATGCGCACATAACAGTTTTTGCACCCCCAAGTGGATCTGCAATGCGGGAATAAGACGAGAAATAATAAAATTCCCCGCCGGATTCCATTTCAAGCAATGGGCAGATGCGCTTGCGCTAGCGAGTCATCGGAAATCACTATCTTCTGGTGGTGGTGCAGCCTGCAGAAACAGACTTCCGTGCTCGGCTACGTGCCATGAAAGCTAGAAGAACACCGGCGAGCATCCGGAGAAGCTGTCAGGTCTGGTTAGGGCCGGTGCCAAGACCTTGAATTGGTGGTGAAGCAGAGGATTGATCCGAGTAGGGTTGTCGGAGAAGAAGGTTGTTTATTCACCAGCGACTATAGCATCAATCTACATCTAGTTGCATCTATTATGCTGCTTGTTATATTGTCTGGAAATACTCCGCCTGACGATCGGCCGGCCGCGTCAACACTATGCCCGTAGACTTCTAAACACCTATACTGATGCGATACAGCATCACTTGTTGCCTTGTTTCGTTAAACGCGGTAAGCGCACGGTTGGCGAGCATCACGCAGCAGAGCAATGCAGGTCCAGTGACCTCTCCTCGTCCTCTCCTCTTCCCCAGATCATCCACCCCCAGTCCAGTCCCCGCCCCTGCCCATGCACCTACAATACTACAAAATGCTCAGAGCAGATTGCAACAAAAAAAAAAAACCAGCATAGAGTAGAAACAAAGAAAAACCACAGCATTAAACTTCTTCCCTCTGCGGGAAGGCGGGGCGCGGGGACAGAGTTTCGGGGCAGCCCATCCGAGTTCCCCGGGAGGTGAGCACACCCGTCGTACACACGAGGCCGTCCTCGGTCGCGCCACCCCCGCTGTCCCTTCACCAGCCAACTCCGGCTCAGCTTGAGCTCTGCCTCCCCGCGCTCTAATCGATCACGATGGCTGCTGCTTGCGCCAGTGTTCGAACCGCGCTTTTGCTTGCCCGTCCTTGTCCAAGCGCCTAGCCGCTGCCTGTCCTGACCCCACACTCTCCTTGTTCTCTCGCGACCTTTAAATACTGCCTGCCCCGCGACCTCTCCTTCCCCGCGTCCTGCTTTCCATCCCCACTCCTTTCCTCACTCTTACCTTTCCCTCCCCTACCCTCCATGGCAGCCTCCCAAGACCTCCAGCGCGAGGACACCTCCCTTCCGCTCGAGAAGAACTACAGCGACGACGAAGATGTCCACCGCGCAATCAACGCCATCGACATCACCGAGCGCGTCGAAAACGAGCGCTACACCCTCTTCTCCTGGCCCATGGTCCGGCTCATGCTCGTGCTTACTGTCGGGTATCTATGCGGTATCGTCAACGGCTATGATGGTAGTTTGATGGGTTCCATTAACGGCATGACCTCCTACCAGGATTTTTTCCATATGTATGCCTTCTCTACTTCTTTCTGTAATGTTCACCTCTGACTCTTTTTAGGACCTCCGCTGGCTCCTCCACCGGTATCATCTTCGCCATGTACAACATCGGCTCCCTCCCCGCCGTCCTCTTCACCGGCCCCATCAACGACCACTTCGGCCGCCGCTGGGGTATGTTCACCGGCGCCGCCATCATCATCATCGGCACCTGCATCGAAGCCCCCGCCAAAAACAAGGGAATGTTCCTCGCCGGCCGCTTTGTTCTTGGCTTTGGCGTTTCCTTTGCCTGTGTTTCTGGCCCCACTTATGTCTCTGAGATGGCGCATCCGGTGTATCGCGGTACCCTGCTCGGTCTCTACAACACCTGCTGGTACATCGGCTCCATCGTCGCCTCGTGGGTCTCCTACGGCTGCACCTACATGGACAGCTCGTACGCGTTCCGCATCCCGATTTGGTGCCAACTCTTCTCGTCCGTGATCATTCTCGCGTTTGTCTTCTTCATCCCCGAGTCGCCGCGATGGCTAGTCGAGAACGACCGCGCCGACGAAGCCCGCAAGATTCTCATCAAATACCACGGCAACGGCGACGAAGACCACCCGATCGTCGAGCTCGAGATGAAGGAAATGGAAGCCGCCTACGTGGTCGACTCGTCCAACAAGCGATGGTGGGACTACCGAGGCCTCTGGAACTCGCGCGCTGCTCGCAAGCGCATGTTTTGCGCGCTCGGCATGGCGGTCTTTGGCCAGTGGAGTGGAAACTCAATCACCTACTACTTCTCCGAGATTACCGACATGGCCGGCATCACCGACGAAGGCACCAAGCTCATGCTCAACGGAATCAACTCGCCTATCTGCTGGGTGGGCGCCGTGATTGGCGCGCGTCTTTGCGATTTCCTCAACCGCCGCGCGATGCTCATGTCCGCGATCTCGTTCTCGTCCGTGACGTTCGCGATCATGTGTCCGCTCGTCAAGTACGGTATGGCGGGGAACAAGTCTTCGTCGCGCGCGTCGCTGGCTATGGTTTACATTTTTGGTTTCTTCTTCTCAATGGGAATCACGCCCTTGCAGTCGATGTACATCGCCGAGGTGCTCGACACCGAGACCAGAGCGAAGGGTACCGCTGTCGGCAACTTCACCTCCAGCTTAGCATCGGCCGTGATCAACTACGGCAGTGGTCCCGCGTTCTCGCAGATCAAGTACTACTTCTACCTCGTCTTCATGGGCTGGGACATCATCGAAGTCATCGTCATCTACTTCTTCTTCGTCGAGACCCGCGGCCGTACGCTCGAGGAACTGGCCGAGGTGTTTGAAGACGAGCATCCCGTGCGCCGCTCGCTGATGAAGAAGGACGCGATCACGGTCGCGAGAATCATCGAGAAAAGAGGAGCGGTTGACGTCTTTGAGGCTGAGCTGAAGGCTTAATAACTCATCATCAATCTCATGGTGTTATTGTACTGCGTTGTCGTCTATTTGTTTAATTGTTGAAATAAGCACTGTTGTGTAATTTGTTTAGGTTCGGTACTGTTCTGCTTGCATAAAACCTGTAATTTAGTAAATTGAATATCTAATCACCACATCTCTTCTCTATTTATCATCATCCTCTGTCTCAGCCGGCTACTTGGCCAGGTACAAGAAATGCTTGTTCCTAATCCGAAGTGAAGAATAAGGTTTAAACGTCACGTGGATTTCCTTAAGCTGAGTGGACTCGGAAAACAAGGGGTAGCGCGGCTGAGTGTGCATGACGTTTAACAGCCAGGATTCTACAAACTTCAGGTAGACACGCACGCGACGTCGCTTGGAAGATATATAGAAAGACAGCAGGATAGATCACTTATATTAATATAGAAAGTTCTAGCTAAAATAAATATTCTGACATCTCTGCTCTTCTCGGGCACGCCGGCGATGATCTTATATGCCCTACACCCCCGCAAAGGCTACATTTGCGCGGTGTTTTCGGCGGACTGACAGTATCCAGTGCAGCAGCTCGCTGTGGTTCCGGTGCAGTCACAGAGGTAGTAGCCACTTCTCGTTCTCGATCTGGTCTTGGTTGAGGTTCTGGTGGAGGGTGCAGAGGAGCGGTCGATTCGTTGTCGTGGCTCGCTCAAGGTGAAAGACTCGGTGTCGACGGGATTGGGACATAACCGCCAATGACTGTCAAAGTCCGATAGACTCAGATTCTCGCCGTTTTTGAGTCTCTCTTGAATAACATGCGTGCAAGGTAGACCCATAGAACTTGAAAACAAGCCGGTGCAAGGATCAAGAGACTCCCCCTTGGCCTCCGTAGCTTCGACCTTCTTTTTAAACTCGTCGGACCTTGAGTAGAGCAAATGACGAGACCTTGTATCTTGCCGCACTATCAAACGGTCCGTTGATAGCAGTTATTTTTTTTCGTTTTTGGGAGATGTGTTGGGATTTTACATCAAAGATCTGGAATTCAAAGTCGACCGCGACGATATGCCAAGCGCGGTAGAGATCTCGCTGAGACGGCGACAGAAACTGCTTCAGAGAAGAACGTAGACCATCCGATCGCGACGTGGCCGCGCAAAAATGGGACACTCGATCAACCCAAGCTTTCACCAGCCTGGTTTTGTACGGATCCAGCCAGGTGTTGAAAATATAGTCGACCAGGACCGGGTGCTCTGCTCCAAACTGGTTCCGAAAGTCAGTTGTTCGTTGATTGTAAGTCTGCTCGTCTGGAGACTTTATGATGTTTGTCCATGATAGATTGAACGCCTGCCAGGCTTGGTTTGTAGCAAAGCCGGATTAGCAGCGCCGGAGTACTGCCGTGTTTACCCGAAAGACGCAAAGATGGTGGTTTGCCGATGGAAAGATCTGCTCGACCGCTTTGGTGCATGGTAAAGAAGGATCGGTTATGATGACTGACGGAAGTCTGATATCGTGAGTTGTGAGCATCTCGTGTAATTGCGTCAATGCCCATAGATAGTCATTGTCAGTTTCTCCTTGCATACACGCAAATGCGATGCAAAATGTCTTTTTGCAGGGCTCAACGCCGATAACTTCGAGTAAAGGAATCTTGAAGTCATTACTCTTACTCACGTTCAGCATTACCACGCCTGAGTAATGCCGAAAAAACTCGACTGAGTCATGATAAGCAAAGAACACGTGAGTGGTTCGATCCTGAGAATTTGTCGAAACCCGACTCCAGAACTTTTCATTTTGTAAACAGTCGACGAGGACCGCGTAAACCTCATCGAGAGTTTTGCGGCGACTTTCTGCGGTCTCGTCGTCACTGTCTGGTGGAGAAGGCCGAGATTGGTAGGCCGCAATGAACGCTTCGATGTCTCGTGCTGTGACTTCTGCGGGGACGCTTCGTATGATTGAATTCGGTCGATTGGGTGCTGTAACGAGATTGGGAGAAGGAGCAGCGGGCACGTCGGTAGGAGGTGAGGTAACTGGATCGGCAGGGCGAGCAGCGGGCTCATTCGCAAGATCGTGGTTGTGTGCAGCATATTGTTGACCAACCTGCTCCTGCTCATTGGGCGAGGTAACGCAATCGGCAGAGTAATCAGCGGGCTCGTCGGAAGGAGGTGGGGTTATGCCATCGACAGAGTAATCATCTGGCTCGTTGATAAAATCATAACTCTGTTCACCAACCTCATTGGGTGAAGTAGCGGAATCAACAGAGTAATCAACGGGCTCATCCGCAAGCTCGAGGCATCCTCAGCATATTGTCGATCAACCTCGTTGGGTGAGGTGACGCGATCAACAGAGTAAGCAGCGGGCACATTGACAAGATCATGATTATGTTGAGTATATTGTCGACCAACCCGATGCTTGACGTGCCAAAACCCCGCCAAAGTTTCTTTCGCCAAAATCGAGAATTGACAATCAGTCCTCGAAATCTTTGTCCGACTGAAACGATCTCTCGCCGACGACCCTGGACCTCCTCTTGCTCCACTGCAGAAACAATAAAGAGTAAGCCTGTGCTTATCGTCCACGCCTGACCGAGGCACGGAGATGGAGAAACCGCGAGGGGCTGCCCATGCGTCGATTGATCTGAGAAGTTCAAGGCGTGATTCGTAGGCGGCTTCGGGGGGGTAAAGAGAGTAGGGAGGCCATGTTGTTCCTTCGTGAATTGGAGAGGACGTGGTTATGCACAGCAAATCGTTGATCACGCCGGTGACACACGCACCATTCGCTGGTAGAGATTTCTCTAACCCAAACGGAGTATTGACAGTTGGTCTTCTTGCTCGACGAGTCCCGTCTCTTCTCTGTCCTTTGGGCGGGTGGACGGCCAAGGCACTCGCAAGCAAAAGTCACTTTAAGCTTGTTTGCAACGTTCCTATCTGATCGACGCGTAAAAAAAGCAAAGCCGTGAGACGCTGCCCATTCATTCAGTGACTTCTTAGCATCTTCTAGTGAAACATATACGGTCTCGGGGGGCAGAGTGGGAGGGAGAGAGGCCATTTTGCTGCTTCGGGACGCGTCGTGAGAAGACGAGGACGCGTCGAAGTCGTTTCAGTGATGCCAATACGCGAGCTAACTCTTAAGTAGGACCATTCGATGACTAATATATTACGTTATGAGTGAAGGATATCGACGGTCTACAGAGAGAGTACTCACCGGTATCTGATTATTACATGCATTATATAAGGAAGATGTTTATAGAATATCGACCACTGATTAAAACATTGCTGTGCAGTTGATAACAGAGACCTCGAGCAGCAGCAAAAGACCTTGGCAAGCCCGCCATGACTTCGTCGCCATGCCTTTGTCGATACTAGTTCCAACTCTACTCCCTCTACTAACCACAGATTTATCATCACCACCATCTCCCTGACTAACTCCCGCAGCTCTCAACAAAGTATGGTTTGAGTAGATGCGCGAAGGTTTAGTTTAATGGAATGGGCGTCGGAGGACCTATCCGCTATCGGCTCGCTATCATCTGTCAACCGAGTCACCGGCGAGGAAGTTGACGTGTTCGAGGAACTTAAGATAAGAGCAGAGGAGGTTAAGACCGATAAGCACAGCCGATGCTTCGTAGGCCAGGCAATTGACTGATCAGATAGAGATTACTGAACAGCACGGCAGAGACAAAGAGCACCGTGCGCTTGCGCTCTTCTCTGGAAAAAAAACCGAGAAATAAGCAGGGGCCTGGCGCAGAGCAAGGGCCATCGGGATCGCCTCCAGACGGCGGCAGAGCAGCGGCAGCAGAGGAGGTTGACGAGATAGACAATGAAGGGACGCGTGGTGCGTTCACGTTAGCCCCGCCACTACCGCGACCCTTATCTCCCGCTGCTTCCGTGGTCTCTCTGCCTCCGCCCGTCCCTGCGATGCCGGATATCCGTGACATACATCCTCAACAAGAACAAAGACAAGCATTAGCCAAGGCTCGCTCTCGGCATGCGCCGGGATTGGCGTCGGATTGGCAACGACGAGCGAGACAACGGGAGGAAGAGGCGGGTGCCTGAGCGGATGCTGAGAAACTCAAACTTATCGGCTGCTATCTAAAGCCTATCCACGACATCATTCGGATGTGCTGCCGCTGTTCTGTGATGTTGCTGTTAATGCTGATGCTGTTGCTGTTTGCAAGTGATTTTACAATATCAAATATCTGATTATAATCTATAGACATCTATGCTATTCACCAAAAAGATACCAAGTCATAGAAAATAAAAAAGAGGGACCAGGGATCTCTTCCCTGTTCGCACCCGATCACCACCCGTCTGACAGCTAACCACCTCGCAGCTAGCAACCAGCAGCCACCAGCAGCACCTAGAATGCAACCATCTCTGCCCAACAACCCCTATCAACCTCGTCAACAGCATACAATCACGCGATATAATGCTCACCTCACTTCGAGCTGCTATACAAGCAATATCGCACAGAGTCGATTAGATATCGCCTCGACAGCACTATCGGCCCCGATGTGGTTTCAACTGTCACTTCGTGGCCTCTGACGTTGCCATCTCTTGACGATGATAAGACGCCTGCCGCTGCCCGTGGCTAGCCTCTTTTTGAGTCACTCGGACTACTGTCCTACCATCCACCTATATATATCCATCCACCACCTCCCCCCTCCTTTCCTCTCCCCCTCCTCACGCCACCCCTCTCTCACCCCCCTCTCTTCTCACAATGGGCCTCTCCGACACCCTCAAAATCAGCACGACCGAAAAGAACGCTGTCGCAGTCGACGCCGTCGAACTCGACCAGTACAGCGGCGCCGAGTCCGACGACGCCCAGACAGCGCAGACGACGGCCTACACCACCGACGGCAAAAAGACATGGCGCGAGCGGTTGGCGTGGTACGATCCTGGAATGGACAAGCGCGAGAAGATGCTGCTGTTCAAGATTGACTGTCTGATCTTGACCTACACCTGTATCGCGTCCTTCAGTTTGAACTTGGATATCAACAACGTCAAGAACGCCTATGTCAGGTAAGCACGAACTAGCTGTTCTGCTTGAGAGAGTAACTGCTAACAAGACCTAGTGGAATGAAAGAGGACCTGGATCTGGTCGGCAACGAGCTTAACTACCTGACAGTCATCAACCAAGCGCCCTACTGCGTGTTTATGATTCCCGGCACCCTTCTCCTCACGCGTTTCCGCCCGAGCGTCATCCTGCCAATCTGCGAAGTAGGCTGGGGCGTCTTCACCGTGACCTGCGCGTTCATCCACAGCCTCAACGAGCTCTACGCGTTCCGCTTCATGGTCGGTTTCTTCGGCGCGATCTCCTACTCCGGCTCCATCTTCATCATCGGCTCCTGGTACAAGAAATCCGAGGTCTCGCGCCGCCTCGGCCTCTACGCCGTCTCCTCCCCGCTCGGTTCCATGTTCTCGGGATACCTGCAGTCCGCGGCCTACACGAACCTCAACGGCACCAACGGCCTCGAGGGCTGGCGCTGGCTGTTCATCATATGCGCTCTCATCACCTTCCCCTGCGCCATCTGGGGCGCGGTCGCGATCCCGGACCAGCCGCGCAACACGCGGTGCTGGTTCCTCACGAAGGAAGACCGCGAGCTCGCCAACCAACGGATGGAGTCCGAGGGCGTGCAGTCCGTCAAGACGCGGTTCGAGTGGTCGACGGTGATCAAGTGCATGACGTACTGGAAATGGTACCTTTTCGTCGGCGCGTGGTGTCTGCTCGACCAGAACGAGCAGGGCCTGACTGTTCCGATCACGCTCTACCTCAAGGCGCACTCCGACCGCTTCTCGGTCCCGCAGATCAACAACATCCCCACCGTCGTCAACGCGATCAGCGTCGTGGCCACCCTCATCGCAACCTGGTACGCCGACAAAACAAGCAAACCATTCATCCCCTCCGTCATGGTCGTCGTCCTGTTCTCGGTCGCGCAGTACATGCTCCTGGCGTGGAACATTTCCGAAAAAGCAAAGTTCTTCGCCTGGTTCATCTCGGGCGTGATCAACGCCATGCAAGCACTGCTCATGACCTGGGCCTCTGTCGAAACCCGTTCGGACCCGGACGAGCGCGCGTTCATTGTCTCGTCGATGAACTGTCTCGGGAACTTACTCAAGACCGGCACAAACATCGTCTGCTTCCCGACCGTCGACGCGCCGCGGTTCAAGACTGGGTTCTTGTGGATGAGCATCACGGGTACGATCATGATTGTCTGGATCCCTGTCCTGCAGCTGTTTACGATGTGGGAGCATCGCAAGGTTGCTAGGTTGGAGGGCGAGAGGGTCGAGGATGTTGAGAATATTGAGGCTAGTCAGCGTGAGTCGGCGAGCGAGTTGAATATGGCGGAAAAGTAATCTACATAAAAGTGACGTCTTTGCAATATAACATTCAATATTTCATCAATCCATTTACTCATACAAAAGTACATTACAAAACAACTACAAACAACTACGACTACTTGAAAGTGATCTAGGTGACGCCGTTGCAATATATAACATTCAATACTTCATCAATTATCATTTATTCATATAAAAGTACATCACAAACAACCACAGCTACTTAAAAGTAATCCTTCCCACCTTCGGATAAGTAGTCCCATTCTTATCCTGATACGAGAAATGCACTCTCACCTTCTGCCCGATCGTCGCGCCCTCCTGCGCTCCAAAGACCGGATGCGCAACCCCGCCATAATTATAGCTCTTTCCCGGGCTCGTTTCCCAAATCACCGTGTTTGTGACGTTCCAGGGCCCGAGCGGCGTCGGGGCCGTGATGACGCGGAACTTGCTATCCACCCAGCCGTTGAAGAAGATGAGCAGGTACTGGTTGTGGAATTCGGAGTAGAAGACGGTGCCGGAGGAGAACGGCATCGTGCCTTGGATCACGGCGCTGGATTTTCGGCGCGCGGTAGGCACGGGCTGGTCCGAGGACCAGGTCGAGGTGCTGGCGTCCCAGTACTTGTACGCGGAGGAGTCCCAGAAGTCGTCGGCGGGGACGGAAGCGACGTGCACGTCGTAGCTGGAGGAGTATTTCGAGTCGAGCGCGTAGAGGTAGACGACGTGGTTGACGACCATGCTCGCGAACGAGCCGTACGCGTAAGTTGTGTTTGCAAACGCGAGCTGCGTCCAGCGCTTGACGCCCATGATGTTGCTCGTGCTGTCGATCTGGTACTTTGCGACGGTGTTGCCGAGCACGTACGACGACGAGCTCGAGCTGTATTTCTTGACGTGGAAGAAATGCGCCGCCGACGTCTCCGAGAGCTGCACGCAGTTGGTGTAGGTCCAGAACGCGTACCGCGTCGACGTCTTCTTGGACGCGGTCGCCTCGGCGGTCGACATCGGGATCGGCTGGAAGTAGCCGACCGAGTTTGACATTGTGTAATCGTACAGCGCGGTCGGATCATCAAAGTCGCGCACCATCCCCATGCTATTCGACGCAAACCCCGCGAGCTTGCCGGAGGTGGCGGACGTGTACGCTGTCGTGTCGTCAAAGACAAAGAACGTGCGGTTGTTGAGCGTGCAGCTGCCGCCGCCGTCGCGGTAGATCTGGTACGTGTTGCTCGGGTCCACGAGCGCGCCGTACTCTTCCTTGCCTTTGACGGAGATCGCGCGGGACATTGCGCCCACGTTGTATTTCTGCGAGGACCAGCGCACGGGGTTGGTGTAGGTCGGGACCGAGAACGAGGTCGATGCGGTCGCGGTCGCGGCCACGGCTGCGCGGGCGGCGAAGAGGATGCAGAGGATATAGCAGATCATCTTAGCAGCAGCTAGTATGGTGGCAATAACGCGTTCATGTATGTGCGAGTGGGCATCTTTATACCACACGCATCCTGCCTCGAGCACACCCACAATCCATATGGGGGCAGAGATGCCAACCTCTCGGTTCGCGCACTAGCTTACCAACCCAGCGAGTGAGCAAGTACACGGTGCAAGGTACATACGGGTTCGGGCTCGTCAGCCGACAAGAGGCACGGGCGCGAAGAATGACAAGAGGATGAGCAGGAGGGCGTTGCCAAGAAGGGGGCACCAGGGGCGGGAAAGATCCAAGGGAGAGGAGAAGAGAGAAGAGATCTTGGAGTGTGAGATGGAGATGATGTAAGAGAGACAGTGAACCAGGGACCTGGACCAGCGGTACCTCAGAGAAGCGCATCCAAGACAGAACGAAGAAGAAAGAGGGGACGAAGAAGGCAAGGAAATGCGGGATGATGAGCTGACGCCAGCTTGGACCCTGGCCTATCATCCAAAGTTCTAAACTTCGGCTCGAGACCGACCAGCGTGCGCGTGCGCCGGGGCCGATGAGCGATGCGCTCGCGGTGTTAAGCTGAGTTCTAACTTCATCTCGTCCCTCGAAGCGAGCCGAAGTGCCTGGCGTACGCTGCTATCGCTCATCACCTTCGTCCCCGTCGGACGCACATCTGCTTCAGCCTTCGATCTGATATCTATCCAATCATTTCAATCATTCCAGAGCGGTTCTTGGTCCCAGTGCGCACGGTGCTCTAAAAACGCAAACTACTGCACCCCTCTCCGCCCAGCCTGCGATCCAATCCACGCACTCTTTCCGCCGTTGGACGAGGATAAATATCCAAAGTCTAAACCTACGCGTATATCTGAGTTTCTTCATCACAGCCCAGACGAGCGAGAAGCGATGACGAAGACGATAGCAGCGTAGTTATTCCAAACCGAGTGAAAGACCTCCGGAAAGTTTGGTGGTGCTTGCCGAATTCATGTTAGCTGGCCGTTGCTGGGTATATTGCTGCTAGATTCCCAATTGCGCTGGTGGTGGTGGTGGTGGTGATCTCCTCTTCTCGCTCTCATCTGCTCCACTCATCTGCTGCACTCAACCCCCACCAGCACCAGAAATACATCAAAACAGAACAGAAACAGATACAGAACAATCTGGCAAGAACCTCCCCAGATCCTAGACACCACCCAACAGATCGCCGATGACAGAAAAGCCACACACAGCTCTGCCAACCAAACAAAGTTCACTGCCCGTCCATCAATCTGGCTGGACCCATCCCGGGCAGTTGGATCTGAATCTCCTCCGCCTCCCCGGGACCATCAAGCACCGGCCTCCCGAGAGCACTTAGTTCTCTCGCTCGCTCATTCTCCGTCTCCATAGCTTGAGAAAAAAAACCGTTGTCGCTAGCTTGCGGTGCTGGTGCTAGCCTAATTGTCGCTCTGGGAGTGTTGTAGTTTGGTAAATGAAGCTCCGCTGAGCCAGAGTTCATCGGACCTCCGTCTCAGTTGGAACGCCAGGGTCCGGTGGGAAATTAAAAACCCTGCTGAGGACCCGACTTTGGTTTGACTGATCGGCAATTCTACTTCCTTCTTGCATTCATATTCAATATCTCAATTGTATTTTCTATCCTTATAACTAATCAGAAAAACAAAACAAACATAATATCCTGAAACACAACCTGACTCAAACCCACTTCTCGAGCCACTTCTTCACAAACAAATCAATCAACCCACTCCCAACCGGCTCCGGCGCGTTCTTCAACGCCTCGCTCTTCTCGGCAGTCACCTGCGTCTCCAGCACGAGACCCTTCCGTCCGGGCTTGTCGTTATCGTACTTTTCCTCAAAAAAGCCCAGCAGCTTCACCGTCGGATTCCGCACCGGGTCCTGGTCCCCTTCCTCCCGCAGAAGACGCACCCACTCCCGCTGACTCACTTCCTTAAACTGCAATCCCGCCCGCTTCAAAGCTGGCAGCAAGTCCTCCGTCCAGCGGAACGTGTACGGGTTGTTGATGTGGTAGACCACATCCGGCGAGTCCTCGGGCGGCACGCCGTCGTTCAAAACACCCGACAGCTCGAGCATCGACCGCGCGACGCAGTCAACCGGCAACCACGCCGGCGTCTCGTCCAGCCTAGGCAGCGCATGCAACGTGATTGCAGACCGGATCATCAGCGGAATAGCCTCGGTGTCGTTCCAGTTCCCGTTCACGCTGTCGCCCACGATCTGGCCGATGCGGAAGACGCGCGCGTGCGCGCCGTACACCTTGCCCGCCGTCTCGACGATGTGCTCAGTCACGAGCTTCGACCGCGCATAGCCCATGTTTTGCGCGTGCTCAAACTTGTCGATCGGAGCCTCGTGGATGACGGCGGGAAGCGGCGTGCCAGCAGCGACAGAGATCGACGAGCAAAAGTAAAACTTGGCAGGCGCGGCGGTCGTAGTGTCGAGACAGAGCTGGATCATGTTGTGCACGCCGTTGATGTGGTACTTTTCAAAACTGCGCACGCCAATGTTGAAGTTCACCGCCCACGCGCTGTGGATGACGGTCGTCAGCTTGGACCTGAGTTCCTCGATAACCGCGTCGGCAAGGCCGAGGTTCGCCAGGCTAAAGTCGCTCGGATAGGCCTCCATCTTGTTCAAGTCGTCGTCCGAGACGACAATCTCGCGAGAGGTCAAGCTCGAAATCACGCGTGCGCGCGCGTCCTTGTCTGACGCAGCGCGCACTAGACAGTAGACCTTCTTGACGTTGGGCAGACGCAGAGCCTGAGCAAGCGCGTGGGCACCAAGCGAACCAGTCGTACCCGTGATGATCACGTACTCGCCATCCGGGACAGAAGTTCCAGCGACATGCGGCGTAAAGACAGAGTACTTCTCATACAGCTCCTGCATAGCCGCGACGTCGTCGTCCTCGGCGACTTGCTCGCCTGTGCGCAGAGAGTAGAGGTAGCGCGCGAGCGCTTTGCAGTTTGCAGTCTCAAACACAATGTTCTGGCTCATCTGGTCTGCTTTGCCGCCGAGATCGAGCGTGCGCTTGAGAATACTCCACACGCGAATTGCCTGCAGACTGTCGGCGCCGAACGAGTAAAAGTCCGAGGAGGCGTCTTCGAGGTTGACGTGCAGACTCTCGGTAAAAAGCTCAAACAGATACTTTTCCAGCTCGGGCACGCTGAGCGCAAGCGTGCCCTCACCGCCCTCAAAGCTGCTGTACAGGGCATCGATGTCGGCTGCAAAGGCCTTGTAGAAGCCCGCGCGGATGATGGTGCCCTTGTCGGTGTGCGGGTACTCGACATTATACGGCAGCACGCGGACGAGCTCGCGGGTGATTTGCGAGAACGCCTCCGCGTGCGCGTTTGCGTCTGCGATGGCGGGCCAGACGGCGTCGATGACTTGCTCTTCGGTCATCGACACGGTTGCGTCGCTGGGAATGATAAACAGCGCGGGCGCGCTGCGCTCGACGCCGACGACGATGCACTCTTGCACGTGGATGTCTTGACGGATGCGGTGCTCGATTGGGATCGGCAGGACTTTCTCGCCATTCATGAGCGTCACGCGGTCGTCGACGCGGCCGAGGTACTTGTAGGCGTCGGGGATGGTCGGATGGCGCGAGAAGAGGTCCTTGGTGCGGAAGCTGTTGGGCGGGTTATCAGAGTTGCTGACGACCTTTGACTTCCAGCCGTCGAGACAGACACACTCGTAGACGTCGGGGGAGATTTCGTCCATGAGCACGTAGTCCTTGACGGGACCGTTGAGACGGAGGTAGTTCCATGCCTTGTCGCCTTTCGGTCTGAGCGAAGTGAGAAGCTGGCCGGTTTCGGTAGAGCCGTAGTGGCCGCAGAGATATACGCCCGCATCGACGAGGCGGTCGCCGAGCTCATCAGGGCAGCTGCTGCCGCCGTAGAGGACGAGGTTGCAGTTTGCGAGACATTCGATGCCGGCCTTTGACTCTGCGAGGAGCTTGAGGGCGTAGGGCACGCCGTAGAAGACCTCTGGCTTGGCGAGCTGCATGACCTTTGTGAGGTTGGAGCCGGTGAGGGGCAGCTTGCCGTTGTAGAAGGTGATTTCCTTGTTTGCGTAGACTGCTCTGAAGAAGGAGGAGATGCCGTGGTTGTGGTAGAGGGGGAGGGTGATGAAGCCCTTCATCTCGAACGAGGAGGCGTAGTTGTTGATGGCGGCCTGGTGGGTCTGGAAGATGGGTTTGGGCAGGCCGGTAGAGCCGGAGGAGTGGATGATGAAGCAGTTTTTGAGAGCATCGGCGGGGCCGCGTAGAGGCCAGTCGGAGGAAGGAGAGGGCACGGCAGGGTCCCAGTCCTTGCGGGAGATGATGTCGATAGTCTTGAGTCCGTCAGGACGGAGGGCGGCGACTTCTTTGAGGACGGGGACGAAGGCGGAGGCATGGACGACGAGCTCGGCTTTGGTCGCGGTGAGAAGGGAGTCGATTGCGTTTGCGGGGAGACGGTTGGAGAGCATGAGGACTGTGTAGCCGAGACGGACGAGGCCGACCATGGTGACGATGTAGTCCATGTCGGAGGGGGCGAGCATGGCGACTACAGGGGGAGTAGAGGTGGAGATGGGGGCCTGTAGAGTTAGCAGAGATAGTGGGAGGTGAGGAGAGATGAGGGGACATACGATGTTCTGGATGCCAGCGCGAAGGTAGGCATATGCGGCCTCGTCGGCGAAGCGACTGAGGTCTGCGGTGGTGTAGTGGGAGTAGTCGAGCAAGGAGGAGTCCGAGGAGGGATATGCGAGGATGGGGACATCGGGGTAGTGCTTTGCACGGCTGCGGACAAGGTCGTCGACGGTGTAGAGGGTGTCTTGGACGAAGGGCGGGCGGTCGAGGGGACGCCCGAAGGAGTCGAGGGAGTCGGGTTTAGCGACAGCGACAGAGGGGGGCATGACTGAGATGGCGTGAAGTAGAGATGATATCGATAGGGAGTAGATATCAGATAGAGAAGAAGAAGAAGAAGAAGAAGAGAAGAGAGAAAGCAGGTGGTATTTATTCAACAGCAAATCATTTTGCCGATCTGGGCAACTTCGGACCTCCTCCGTTCACTTCTTCTTCACCGGTTCTTTTCCGACTTTTCCTCTTTTCCCTGTTTCCTCTTCTTTCTCCTCTTCTTTTTTCTTTCTTTCTACTATACTCTTTCTCTCTTCTCCTCTTTTCCGGCCCCTCCCCATCTCCTCTCCTCCGCCCGTGCGGGGCCCCGGAAACCCCTCCGCCCCCAGAAATATTAACTCACTCGTGCGGCGCGGATATGCAGCCTCCCCCACACTTTAAGCCGCACGCTCGGAAAATACAAGTAATTGCCTAAAGTAGACACTATTGCCTATTCGAGCAGTAGTCGTCCCGCGGCTTATACCCGTGGGATTCTGCTTATAAGCTGCTATTTGCTGCTATTTGCACTGATTTATTATAAAACCTCTTCTTCTCTTCTTCTCCTCTTCTTCTTCTCTATCTCCATCCTCTACTTCTCTCTCCCTCATCTCTCATCACCATGAAATCGTCCTTCCACCTCAACTCCGGCTACGAAATGCCCGCCGTCGGCCTCGGCACCTGGCAGTCCAAGCCCAGCGAAGTCGAAAACGCAGTCACCGTCGCCCTCCAGAACGGCTACCGCCACATCGACGGCGCGGCCGTCTACGGCAACGAGCAGGAAGTCGGCCGCGGTATCAAAGCTGCGGGTTTGCCTCGCGACCAGTTCTTTGTGACTTCGAAGCTGTGGAATACGCATCATCGTCCGGAGATGGTTGAGAAGGCTATCGCAAAGACGCTCGCGGACTTGCAGCTGGACTATATCGATCTTTATCTCATTCACTGGCCCGTCTCTTTCGTGCCTTCTGAAAATGTGTTTCCTTGCGACCCCGTCACCGACGAATTCCTTCTCGACTCTGAAGTCTCCATCGTGAAGGACACCTGGCCGGCCTTGGAGAAGCTCGTTGCTGATGGAAAAGTCCGCAGCATCGGAGTCTCCAACTTCAACCAGGAGAAACTCGACGAGCTCCTCAAAAAGTACTTCTCCCTCCTCTCCTCTCTTCTCTCTCTCTATCTCTCCTTACTAACAACTACAGCTGCAAAATCCCCCCCGCAGTAAACCAAATCGAAGCCCACGCCTACCTGCAGCAACCCGACCTGCTCGCCTACTGCACCTCCAAATCCGTCGTCGTCACCGCCTACTCCCCGCTCGGCAACAACATCTACAACCTCCCCCGCGTCGTCGACGACCCCGTCGTCATCGACATCGCCCGCAAACTCGGCCGCGATCCCGCCCAGGTCCTCGTCTCCTGGGCGATCCAGCGGGGAACCGTCGTCCTTCCTAAATCCGTCACGCCGTCTCGCATTATCTCAAACCTCGTCACGTTCGACCTGTCGCAGGAGGACTTTGATAAGATCTCCAGTCTCGAAAAGCACCAGCGCATGAACTTCCCGGTTAGATGGGGGTACGATATCTTTGGCGAGATCGGCCAGCAGGAGGCCCAAATCAGAGCAAAGAAGATGGCCGCCGAGCGTGTGGCTGCTAGAAAGAATTAATTATTACATATAGCCTAGCTTAGACCTACAATAAACCTCCACTACTACTACTACTACTACTACTACTACTACTTCCACTACTCCTCACATCGGGTCAGGGTACGCTTATACCATATAGCAGACAATACTAGTAATATCTTACTAGTCATTACAGCAATAATGATGATGATGAATCTCTGTTTCAAGTCCGTTGCAACAGTTGGGTTATGACAGACAGCAATAGCTTAGGTTCTTTTCATTGACTCTAATATAGTTATACATTCTATATACATCACGACCTAACAGGAATAGCGCACGCCAACCTCGAACAATGATACGCAGCCTCCTCACCCAACAACGTCCACCGACAACTCCGAAACAACTCCCCCGCATACGCCATCAACCCAATCGTGCAGTTCTTCGTCGCCAGTTTCGGGATATCCGCCGGCTCGCTCACCGCCAGCAGCGACTCCAAGTACCGCTCCATGTCCTCCCGCGCGTTCCAGCTTGGGGTTGTGGTGTGGATGAATTCCGGCGCTGCTGCTGCTGCTGCTGCTGTTGATTCACTGCTTGGTCTGCTGCGTTTGCCGGTTGGAAACTTGCCAAACCTGTGATAACTGCTGCTGCCGCCACTATTCCCCCGCCGCTCTCCCTCCTCCCCCTCCTCCTCCTCCGCGGCAGCCTTCACCGCAACATAATCAGAATACTTTCGACTACAATCCTCCATCGCATACCCATACGCCCACAACACAAGACACCCCAAATACAAACACCAAGGCCGATGCAGCACCACGTCGTTATCCGCAGAATACTGCCCCGCCTGACCCAGAAACGCCCCCGACACAAGCCGGCTCGCGTGCCACACCGACAGATAACTCCCCGGTGACCGCGCCCACGCCTTCATCGCATCCTCGGCTCGTAGCCAATCCTGCGCACGGATGGGCCGGCCTAATACATGCGATAGTCCAGCATACACGTGCAGCTGCAGCACGTCCGTGTACAGCCGTATAATTCCCAGCCGGTGCAGCGACGACGACGCAAGGATAAACGGAATCCCGCTCGCAGACGGATTCTCGCTCTCTGAAAGATCAAACGCAAGCTTCCACGTCTCGAACGCCTTGTAAATCACACTCGTCCAGTCCCCTGCTGTCGTGCTCACCGCTGCTGCTCCTGCTGTTGTTGCTGCTGCTGCCGCTCCTCCTCCTGCTGCTGCTGGTGAACCTGCCGCTTCAGTGCCTTCTCCGTTCGCATTATTACTACCCCCCTCCTTCATAGCATCCGCAGGCGACGACGCAGCTGCAACACTCGCCGCACGATTAACCGCCTGCGCAATCAACCCGCCCTGCCTCGTCCCCGTCTCTGCTCCCGACCCCTGCTGCTGCTGCTGCTGCGGCGGCGGCGGCGACCCCCTCGGACTCGCGGCCTCCGACATATCCTTCTTCTCCTTACTCGAGATCCCAATCGAGATAATCCCCCTCTGCCGCATCGTCCACGAAATCGACAGCAAGCCATGCAGAACGATATACCTCCCAAACGGATTCAACCGCAGCCGATTCCACCCATGCGACATCACAAGCTTCAAGCTCGAAAAGAAACTCGTGCGTTTCCGACCCCCGCTGCTCCGCGCGCTGCTCTTCATCAACATCCCCCACCGTTCCGCATCGCTCGCGTTCCACAGCTCGTCGTCGCAGGGTAGGTCGAGCGACAACTCGTTCGCGTACAGCGCAGGCGTGTGGCCAAACATCTCCGCGTGCTGGATATCGACTATGAACGCGAAAAACGCGGTGCGGATCGTAGCCTCGGTCTTGATCCACGTCTTCCAATGCCGCTCGACCGCGCTGATTGGTTCGCTTGTCGCTGTTGCTGTCGTCGTCGTAGAGTCTTCTGCCGTCAGCTCGGGATTGATGAGCGAGCTGCCTCGGCGCATGAGCGTGATTAGCGTGCCGTGGAAAACGTGCGACATCTCGTGCAAGTGCCGCAATTGACGATGTGGAGCAGAACAGGGAACGGCGGTGGGGAAGAAGGCGGGCGGAGGTTATCCCACGGGCGGAGAACAAACCCCGCATTTTGGTGTGGCTTTTGCTCGCTTCCACGGGATGCGCCACGCATCTGCTCTGCTTCTGCTCTGCTTCTGCTTCTACTTCTACTACTTCTACTACTTCTACTACTTCTACTACTAGTTACTAATACTATACTCACATTCACTACTCACTACTCACTATCAATGCACTACATACCCAACACAGGCCGCCCGTAACTATCCGCTCCGTACGTCTCAATCTCCTCAAACATCGTGCGCGGCGGCACCTTCTGCTCAATCATAAACCCTCCAAAAAACCCTGCAATCTTCTCAATCCCCTCCTCGCCCAGCGGCTCCACCATCGACACATACCCATCTGGACGCACAACCACATACGCTCCCACCTCCCGGTCGATCCCGTACTTCTCGTACGCGTGCCCGTGGCCCTCGTGGAACGAGTCGTCGTCCACGTAGATCTTCCAGTAGTCCATCCGCCCCGCGCAGTCCCGCGGCCGGAACGCAAGCGGGAAGTCGTCCCATTCCGTCTCCACCCGCTTCGACGCGTGCACCGTCAGCACCTCAATCACAGAGTCCACCTTCGCCCCCGGCGGCGTGTACTTCTTGATAAAGCTCGACTCGCCCGCTAGGTACTCGCCCAGCCAGTTCAGCTTCTTGCTCAGCTCGGGAACCTGCTTGAAGTCGCCCGCAAAGTTCACAATCCGCCAGCGTCCATCCGACAGCATGCAGTCGGTAAGATACCACGGCCGCGCATCGGACTGGTTAATCACCTTTGCGGTGTCGAACCGGCGTCCAATAGAGATATTCTTCGCCAGCGGCGAAATCGTCAGCACAACGTCTTTGTCGATCTCCTGCGCTACCGCTTTCCCCGCTGACTTGTCAATCAGCACCGAGTCGTCGTAGTCAACAATCGTACCCGACGCAAACTCATTGCCCTTTGCGAAAAACGAGTGGAACTCGTCGAGCGAGATGCCGTCGCCGTCGTTGCCGATCGCGCCCGGAAGCGCAGGCTTGCCCGAAAACAGCCGCGAGAACTTGTGGTCAAACGCAATGAGCGCCTGCGCAACTCCAAGTCGCTCAGACTCGTACGTCTTCAAGATCTCGCGGGAAGCAAGGCCCTTGGCGACGTACGCAATCTTCCACGCCAGGTTGAACGTGTCCATCATCGACACGTTCATGCCCTGGCCCGCCTTGGGCGAGTGCGTGTGGCACGCGTCGCCAGAGATAAAGATGCGCTCAAACTTTTCAAACTTGGGCGCCACGCGCTGGCCAATCTGGTAGGCCGTGTACCACTTGATGTCGGTGATGTCGAGCTTGTAGGGACTCAGGATCTTGCGCGCGTTGTCGAGAATCACCTCCGGCGTGATCTTTGAACGATCCACGCGACCTTTTTCAATCGCCTTTTGCTCGTTCTTGCCCATCTCAGACTCGGTCTTTGTTGCAGGGTCGCGCGGTGTCTCGCGCAGCTGGATGTAGAGACGCACGAGGCCCTGCTCGCGAGGGATGACCATGATACTGCCGCTGTCGGCGGAGTGGATCGCGCAGCGGTTGCGGATGTCGGGGAAATCGGTGATGGGCACAGAGTCGAGCACGCCCCAGACGTAATCAGTAGACTCGCCCTCCATCTCGACGCCCATCTGTCTGCGCACCCACGAGTGCGCGCCGTCGCAGCCCATGACGTACTTTGCGTGCACGAGCTCGAGCGAGTCGTCGTTCGCGAGGTTCTTTGCATCCTTGTAGTACTTTTCCTGGTCGCCTTCAAACGAGCGGAAGAGGCCGTTTGCGATCTTTGCGCCAAACTGCTCGGGCGTGCCTTCGTTCTCGTCCAGCGTCTTGAGCAGGACCGAGATCGGGTAGGCGTCCGGGTCTTCGACTTTGGACTCGTCGACCTCGAGCCGCACGGGCAGGACGGGGCGCTCGACTTTAGCCTTGCCGCCAGACCACTTGCGGATGGCGTCGAGGAACCAGGACTCGATGCGGCCTTGGTGTAAGACGACTTGTTGGAAGCGCGAGATGCCGGGGATGGAATCGGGCAGACGGGCAGAGCGGTAGAGGCCGCCTTTTCCGTCGGGCTCCCAGAAGGAGATTTCGAGCATGTGGTTTGCTTCTTTGAGAGCGCGGTCGCCGAAGCCAAACGATTGAAAGACTTCGAGGGTGCGGCACTATTACTGTCAGCATCTCAATTCAAACTAGGAAGAAGAGAGAGAGAGAGAGACGGACTTGCAAGCCATCAGCCTGACCGGCAAAGATCTTGGAGCTGCGTTTGTCGACGATGCGGTAGTTTGTACCGGTACGAGCGAACCAGTTGGCGGCCATAAGACTACAAAGAGTTAGTGTGGAGCAAGTGGCGGTGGCCTAAGCACGGAGATGAAAGAAGCACGCACCCAGCAGGCCCGGCGCCGATGATGAGGACGTCGACGTTAGATTCCTTCATGATGGTAGAGAGAGTTGTAGCAGAAGAAGCAGATAAAGATGATGAAGAAGAAGAAGAACAAGAACAGGGCAGAGCCTCGTCCTTAAATAGTCCTCTAACAACCAGAAATAAATAATTTCTCCAATCAAAGCTGCCCGATTCCTGATCCTGATCCTCGTCGCTTCTCTGCGCTGAGCGGAGTCAGCTACCCCGCAATCACGGCCGCAGAGAGTGCGGCGCGGAGGGGGTCGGGTAGCGTGGGCACTGCCGCTTCCGTCGGGTAGCGTGGACCTCTGCTGCTGCCCGCAGCGAGTCTCGTCGGCCCGGTGCTGGGCGGTGAGAAGATAAACAGATTGGATGCGGGCAGAGCAGAAATAAGCATTGCCGACCGGGCCGAGTTTGGATGAAAAGGGATGTTGAAGAGAAGTGCAGAGGGGCTGTTCGGTGTTGTTGTCGATGTTATGTAATCCATGACTGATCACTTATCCTGCAATCATCGTATAAGATACAAACCATCCCGAACACCTAGTCCTCCCCTCCACCATCACAACAGCCATGCCGTTCTTCTCGACCGACTCCACAAAGATCTTCTACACCACCGGCGGCTCGCCCTCGAACCCCGCCGTCGTCTTCATCCACGGCCTCGGCTCCTCCCAGAACTACTTCTACTCCCAGTTCGAAGCCCTTTCTTCCACCCACCATGTCATCCTCCTCGACACCCCCGGCAGCGGCCAGTCGCCCACTCCCGCAGGCCCGCCATCGGCCCTCCTGCTCGTCTCTGAGATCAGCGCGCTGATGGACCACTTGAACGTCCCCTCCGCCATCGTCGTAGGCCACTCCCTCGGCGGCCTGCTCGCCTCTCTCCTCGCCGTCGAGTTCCCCAACAAGGTCGCCGGCCTCGTCCTCCTCGGCCCCGTGCACCCGTCCGACGCTCTCGCGGCCGCGTTCGAGACCCGCGTAAAGACAATCGAGCAAACCGACTTCTCGCTCGAGGCAATCTACAACGCCGTCCCGCTCGCCGCCACAGGAACGCTGAGCCGGTCAAAGTCCTCGCTCGTGCACGGCTTCATCCGCGAACTCGTCTCGCGCCAGGATCCGAGGGGGTATATCGCTACCTGCACTGTGATTGCTACCGCGCCGGTTCCGGAGTTTGCGAAGTTGGACAAGAAACCGCCGGCGATTGTGCTCGTGGGCGAGGAGGACAAGACTGCGCCGTACGAGGGATGCGTCGATAAGATCGCGACCGGACTAGAAGCTGAGGTCAGGTTCTTGGAAGGAGTCGGCCATTGGCATGCGCTAGAAGACCCAGAGGCGGTTCTTGATGCAATTCTTTCTATAAAGATCTAGATTTTAATGTACATATCTCTCTTACTCCTTACTTAGTCTCTGTGACGATACAGTTCTTAGACCAGCAGCTGTTGTAAGCAATGAGCATACTCTGATAGAGCTGATTATGTTATACTATAACATAATGCAGACACAATACAAACACAACATAGACAATCACAAGATAAGAACTCGGATTGGCGGACGCAGCGATGACGTCGGCAGCCGAACCGACGAGGAACATCATCCGCCGCCTCGACAATCCAAATCCTCCCAGCCTCCTCCGTCCCTTCTTCCCGCACCTCAACTCCTCCTCCTCCTCTTCATTCAATTACAGCAGCTGCAATGACTAAATACCCAGAAGGCTTCTCGGACCCAAAGATAGAGGCGTTCCTTACTGGCTTTTATAAGCTCAGTGATACGGTCGGCGAGGATGCTGCCTACGTTGCTAAATACTCTGCCGACGCAAAACTGATCATGGGCCTCAAAGTCGCCGAGGGCTCTGAGCGTACGTTATTGTCTATCTGTTCAATTGTTATTACTGCTCATCACAGAATTATTAACACCCCCACAGAAATCGCAGAGCTCCGAAAAGGCATGTGGGGAGCCGTCGTCGGCCGCCACCACGTCCTCCTGCAAGTATTCCCCTTCCAGCCCGCCAAGTCGCGAACCGGCGAGTTCGCCCTCGTCGGCACCGTCGACTACACTCTGCACAACGGCAAGAAAGTGCTGGTCGAGTGGGGCGCGAAGATGGTCGTTGACCGCGGGTCGGCCGAGTCTGATGATGTTAAAATCACGTTTTATCAGGTTTATGTTGATTCTACGCCTGTTGCAAAGGCGTTGAGTTCGTGAGTGTGTAAATGTGTATACAAATAATACAAATAGATTATTATACAAGTATATATACAGATGAAGTAATGGGGCCTATTCAATAAGATAACCAGAAACAAAAACAACCAGTGAGCTTACCTGAAACTCTGAACGTCAGCGAGCGCGCGGGGAAATCAGAAAAACATCAAAAATCAATTTAATCCCATTTTACCACAACAACTCCTCATCTCCATCTTTTGTCACTCCAAATGATCTGCCTATACTCCTAGCGTCTTCTATATATTCCATATTGTGATCTTGTTTTCTGTTGACCGAAACCAGCCCAGACTCTGAGAGATACCGCGCGCCGATCGCGGTCGTACTCAACAGGCAACACCCTACCCAATGTCGGTATCAAACAGCCCGCTCATGTCGGTCGCCCGTCTTCTCTCGTCGACCGACGATTCTCGACAGAACCCCGGGCATGCATCTCCTGCAGGTCCTGCAGCACATTTCAGGCCCGAAATCGGCAACGCGACCGCTTCCGCTCCCGTCGACGGCATCACCAGCAGCATCGGCACCGCCCACCATCAACAACATCAACATCATCTTCATCATCAAGAGCTGCAGCGGCAGGAAGATTTTAAAAACAGTTCTGAAACAGCAGCGGAGCCACAGCCTCCGGTCCGGAAAAAGAGGAAAAAAGTTCGAAAGAAAGTGGATCCTGATAAACGCAAGCGGATCGCTGTTGCGTGCGAGAGCTGTAAACGGAGGAAACAGAAGGTATAATTCTTCTTGCCATTTTATGAAACTACTGATCGAGTCATTTTTCTTGATTTTATGAGTATACTGACGGGGTAATTATAGTGCGACGGAGCGCAACCATGCACGATCTGCGATCAAAAAGGCTTCGAGTGCATCTACACCCGCGAAGTACGCAACCAGCAACCCACAACACCTTCCTCTTCATCCACAACCAACAATGAGCCCAAACCACCTCCACCACCACCTGCGCCTCCCTCAGAGCAGCAGAAAGCACTTCTTGGTCTCGCCATGAAGCTAGTCTCGAAACCGACTCCCGCAGCCGCCGACGACGACACAATCACAGCGACTCCAGATCATCATCATCCCCACTACGACAGCTCCGCGCACTCGGGTCTCAACGTCCTCGGAGATGTAGCAGCTATGGCAGCAACCCAATCCGACAAGACTTCAAGCCCCGCAGCACCTACCCTCTACCCCGCAAACTCAGGAACTCCGGCATCGACAAACACCACGCTGACAACTACCGCCACATCTACCCCGGCGTCGGCGCAGAAACCGGCAAACGAAGGCTCTCCGAGCCACGCGGAAGCAGAACAGAATGCTGGAGCGACCAAGAGCGCGAACTTGCATGATTATCAGGTTGAGACGGTTGGGAGCGGACACAGTCGCATGCTCTGCGATCCCCAGGGCCATCTACGTGCGTTTCTTTCCTTCTCTTCACTATGACTTGCTCTAATGCTTATGAACTAATAGGGTATATTGGCGAGAGCGGCGCGCTCTCCTTCCTCGAGCAAACAAGAAGCGTTTTCCGCAAGACGATCGGCGAGTCAAACTTCACCCTTGACCCCGACCGCTTCCGCTTCGTCGACGGCCCAAGCCACGTCGCCTCGATCGTGCCCATCCGTCCTCCGCCGCGAGAGATGGCAGAGATGCTGATTCAGTTGTTTCTGGATAACGTGCAGCCGCTAAACTACGTGTTTGATTTAGAGGTCTTTATGGAGCAGGTAGACCTGATTTATAAAAACCCGATGCGGTGCTCGAATAACTGGCTTTGTCTGCTGTATCTCACCTGTGCCATTGGCGGTATTTTTGCAAACAGCAAGAAACTACTCGATCTCCGCCGCGAAAAAGCAACCGACTCATCATCCACCGCCGCCCCAGACTCAGCAGCGTCGCCGTCGTCGTCGGCTTTCGCGGCCGCGGCAGCGTCCAAGCTCGAGGAGAGCGACTCGATTCCATCAAAGGAGTTTTTCGAGAGCGGACTCGGGCTGATGAAGGACGCGGCCGAGGACGGCGAGATTTGGGTTGTGCAGGCGTATTTGCTGTGTTGTTTGTATTATATGTTTATCTGCAAGCGGAACGTTAGCTGGGTGCATCTTGGTGAGTAGTTATCTTTTTATGAAAGTGTTGCTTTGCATCTACTGACTCTATTTTTCACTTTGTAGGAACCACGATCAGATTGGCACAGGCACTGGGGCTACATCGCCAAGTGCTAAACACGCAGTACCCCAAACGCGAGCGGTTGCTCCGGGAACGGTTGTGGAGGACGGTGTATGTCCTGGATCGGTACTGCTCTTCAAGTCTCGGCCGGCCGATGATGATTGAGAATTCTGACTTTGTGGATTCGTTTGCGGCAAATAATAACAATAGCAGCAGCACCGATTTCTTCGATCAAGTACAGAGCGAGCAGGCAAAGATCATGACGATAGTAGGCGACGTGTGCAAGTTTGTGTATGGCAAGCAGAGTATTTCTAGTTCGGCGAGTCAAGAGCTCGCGATGCGGTTGCGGCAGTGGAGTTCTGAACTTCCGAAGCACATGCAACTATCATCGAGTAGTAGCCTGTCGTCGACTGCAGCTCCGACAGCTACCGCCGCAGCATCAGCGACAAGGGATGATACGGAGAAGCAGTCGGTATCAGATGGAGCTGGCGCGAGACTGGAAATGGAAGTGCCGCACATGCAAAGCCGGTCGGTGCGGCCTACGTTGACGAAAAAGCGCAAGATGCGACAGATGCTGCTGCGCATGCATCTCTGCCACTTGAATGGCATTATCTTGCTCACGCGGCCGTTTTTCTTCTTTTATGTGGTGCGCAATAGCGTCGAGAATGATGCGAATGTGAGTCTGAATAAGGCGGTGACGAGGCTGTCGTCTGCGTGTGTGCTGTGCGCTGCGCGGTCGGTCGATCTCGTGATGGCGCTGTTTATTGAAAACGAGCAACCCACGCGGCCGCCTTTCCTAATGTGAGTGAGGTTGTTTAGAAAACTCATGATTGAGGAATGAAGCTAACTGTGTTGTATAGATACTTTATCTTCAGCGCGGGATTGATTCTCGTACTCGAGGCCTTTCGACAAAAGTCAAGCGTGGAGTCGTACATCATGCGCGGGATCTCGCTATGCATGTTCATTCTGGACTACTACGCGACATGCGACTCCTCCTCTGCTCGATACAAGCAGATTCTGGTCGAGATGGACCGCGCGGTGCGGACAGCTTATAGCAGCGAGACAGGCACGTCGAGCCATCTCGGGCAGATGGAGCAGATTAATCAGTTGCTGTTCAGCAGCAGCGGCGCGAGTTCAGGCCGGAACACTGCCGGCACGACGACTCCGCAGGATGCGCACCGGAGACCGCCTTTTGCTGCTGCGGTGACGGGCGTGGGAGTAAGCGCGTCAACAGGCCTGTCGCGGGAGGGATCGGTGTTGGATGTGAATGAAGGGTCAGCAGCACGGAGACAGGAGGAAGATCTGTGGTACCGGGAATTTACGCGGCGGGGTGGAGATTTTGGCGCCGGATTCGGGAGCGCGAGTGGCGGTGGGGGAGGGGGTGCTGGTGGTGGTGATGGGAGTAGTACGCCTACGTCGTCGAATCTGTCGGCGATGTTTTTACGAGCTGCGGCGAGCAATGGTATGTACCAGCAGCAGCAGCAGGCAGTGAATATAAGCCAAACGCCAGTGCTGGCACCGGTGCCAATCCCACCACAACCAGCGCAGCAGATACCGCCGATAACCGGGTATATCCCCGCCGAGCAGCAAGTGGTCGAGCTATCGCCGTCGGAGGCGATGGAGCAGTTTTTGATGGAGGACACGTTTGCAAACACGACGACGTCTGTCGATTTCATGTACGATCTCGGGATCGACTGGCTGAACGCGGCGGTGTCGACAGCGGACGTTTTGTCGGGCGAGCCGAGTCATCTTGACATGGCAGCCGAGGACGGAGGAGGCGGAGGAGGAGGAGGAGGAGTGCGTGGGCTGATGCTCAACTCTGAGTTTTAAGCGAAGAGCGGGCAGAATCCGGGGTAAGCGAAGAAATTAAGTAATTTCTGAATGATCCCACCGCGGGGTGTTTTCCGGGGAAATAATTAACTCTACCGGAAAAGAGCAGCGGAGGCAGGTTTCCGGGCCGAGTCTTCTTCCCCGCAATTCTGTTGACAGGATCGAAGCAGCGCAGGGAGGCGGAGGAGAGGAACAAAGGAGGAAGCAGAGCAGGTTATGAGACAAACGCAGCTGTTGATGGCGATCGATTGCATCTGAGCGGTATTTAATCTGCTGGTTTCCTCTGTCTCTCGACCTTTGTTTATCTGTTCAGCACTCACCGCAATGACTTCAGCGACAGCACCAGCAGCAACAGAAATGGACACGGATCTCGACACCAAGGCAGAGCTCGAGATGCTCGAGTACGCCGGAACCCGTCAGGTCGACTACTCCGGCGTGGCCGACAAGACCGATCCGGCGGAGATTGCGCTCGTGCGCCGGCTCGACTTTGTCATCTTGCCGATGCTGTGGATCATGTATTTCTGCAACTTTATGGATCGCAATGCGGTCACGAACGCGAAGCTTGACAATCTGTCTAAGGATCTCGGGCTGCATGGGTCGGAGTACAATACTGCGATCTCTATCCTGTTTGTCGGGTGAGCTTCAGATCTGAGCTGAGGAAAACGACATAAGGCTAACTTGAGTAGATACCTCCTAGGACAGATTCCGTCGAATATGATTTTGACGCGCGTGCGGCCGTCGTGGTACATGGCCAGCTTCATGATGCTGTGGGCGGTTGTGTCGGGCCTGACGGCGGCGGTGCACAACTACACCGGCCTCGTGCTGATCCGCTTCTTTCTCGGCATCGTCGAGGCGCCGTTCTACCCCGGTGCGCTGTACATGCTCTCGATATTCTATACGAAGAAAGAGCTGTCGCTGCGGATTGCGCTGTTTTATACCGGTAATATCTCTGCGAATGCGTTTTCGGGATTGATCGCGGCTGCCGTATTTGCGACGCTTGACGGCACACACGGGCTCGAGGGCTGGCGGTGGTTGTTTATCATTACCGGAGTGGTGACGTTTGGGTGCGCTCTCGTGGGGTTCTTTATCTTGCCAGACAATCCAGGACAGACGTGGTGGCTTTCGGCGGAGCAGCGGGAGTTGGCGGTCGAGCGGATCAAGCGCGACACGACCGAAGAGAGCGGGACGACGAGCATGATGAATGGGTTGAAGCAGGCGTGCGGGGACTACCGTACATGGCTGTTTTGCTTCATGATGAACATGCATGTTTCGGGCGACAGTTTCAAGAACTTTTTCCCGTCGATGATTAAGACGCTCGGGTTTGATACGACAATCACGCTTGTGTTGACGTGTCCGCCGTACGTGGCCTCGCTTGTGGTGAGCCCGCTGCTGTGCTGGTCGTCGGGGAGGTTTAATGAGCGTACATGGCATATTATTGGCGCGACGGGGGCGGTGATTACTGGATTTATCATTGCCGCGTCGACGACGAATATTGCGGCGCGGTACGTGGGAGTTGTGATTTTCGTGTCGATGTCGTCGGGCGTGAACGACATCATGCTAGGATGGGCCGCGAGCACGCTCGGGCAGACGCCGGAGAAGCGCGCGGTGGCGATGGCGATGGTGAATATGCTGAGCAACGTGTCGTCGGTGTATACGCCGTACTTGTGGAATGATTCGACGGCGCCGAGGTATATCCCGGGGATGGCGTCGTGCGCGGCGTTTTCGGTTATGGTTGTTGTGTCTACGTATGTGATTATGATTGTGTTGAAGAGGGATAATGTTCGGATTCGGCAGAGTGCGCCGGAGACTACTGTTTTGTATGCCTATTGATCAGCTAGTAGTAATAGCAGATAGTGAAGACGACGAGTAAGGAGAAGATCTGAGCACGTTAAGGTTTAGATGGATCGGGCGTGCCGACGGCGGATGTGCCGACGGCGAGCTCGCTTAGGTGGGGACCAGTGCGACCTCAGTGCGAGTATCGTAGAGTATAGGAGAGATAGATAAGTGAGAACTGTCCAAAAGAAGAGAAGAAGAAAGACGAGAGAATATAAGTAGCAGAAGGAACTGGAAAGAAGAAGAAGAGAGAGTCTTGAAGACTTATCAGTGTTTGTTATCTACAGCTGTTCTCACCGCTTTCTTGTTCTGTTTTCTCTTTTTTTCTATCGCACTCTTTTTTCTTCATCTTTCTCCTCCCAGCCAGCTTCCCGTTTAGTGTCAGCAGTGACTGGCTGTGTAAGCAAGTTTCAGACTTTAGCTGACTCTCGCGGGTGGCAGCGGGAATGCCGGTCGCCCGATTTGTTATTATCCCATCTCATCTCATCGCTCTCTGACTCTTTATTGATGAGTAGTAACCAGATAATGACTACACCGGACAACACTGTCAAATACCGCACTCTTCACTCACTTATTACCAGTACTCATTCATTTAACCCCTCGCGACTACTCGGTGCGTGCTCGACGCAGTGCTCGCGTCCTCGCTGGACACGGACAGCTGCGGTGATTAGAGTTTGCTTATCAAGGTTTTCTTCGTCGTTCTTATCAGCCAAGACGACTCGATTCTCACCGCGAAGCCTTCCTGCTGCTGCCGTAGTTTGGTGAGAAGTCTTGGTTGCAGCAGGAAGTGTTGTGTAGCTGGTTGGTGACTGTCTGTTGAGAGAGAGTTGTTATGTAGAGTGCGATGTGGAAGCGTAGAAGTGCTGTAGTTGTCTTCACCGCACCAAACACAAACAAATCGAGAGATAAGACTGTTTACTCCTCTCACCACCCTCCTCACCACCTTCCGCACCGCCAACAGCATCAACAAACCAAATCAGCCCGAATAAAACACTGCAATAACAAGAACAGCAGAAAACACTGTCCAGATTGCATCATTGACCGTACCTGCCTTTGCTGCCCGCTATCAGTGCATCTGTGCTCATCAAGCGCCACACTCACAACTTTCTTTCCTTCTCCGGTAGCCCTCCGCCGGCTCCTCCGTCTCTTCTCTTCTCCTCCTCTCCTTCTCTTCTTCTCTCCTTCTACTCTCTGTCTTCACCTTCTCCCTCCTCTCCTACCAACACCACCCCACCATGGCGGAAAGAGACTCGGAGACCCCCCTCCTCGGTGCCTCCTCCTCCCCCACCGACGAATTCTCTCACCTCCCCGCCCACGAAGCGCAGATCCTGCGCTCCCAGGTCGAGCTCAAGGACATCAAAACCTCCTACTTCTCCGCCTTCCGCTATGCCTCCTTCTCCGACCGCGCCCTCATCATCCTCGCCGTCATAATCGCGGCCATGGAGGGCTCCATCAGAGCTGTCGTGCCGATTATGAACGGTGTCTTTGCCGAGAAGCTGTCTGCTTTCATTCTCTCCCGTGACTTTTACAACTACTTTGGCGGCTACGACAGCTTCATGATGTTTTACCAGTCAAAGTCCTTCTCTGAATACTTCAACTCGACTTCGGACTTCAACTCGTCGCTTCCCTTCAACGAATCTTACTACTACAACTCGCCCTACTACGAGTCCACTTACAACTTCACCATGATCCCCGAGTATGTCTCTCCCGAAGAATACCAACGCGAAGTCAACTTTGACGCCATCTACTTCATCTACTTTGGCATCGCAGAGTTCCTCTTCGCCTACTTCTTCACCTTCGTCCTCATCGACCGCGGCGAGGTGCTCTCCGCCCGCATTCGCGAAAAGTACCTTGCCTCCGTTCTCCGCCAAAACATTGCCTACTTTGACCGCCTCGGCACCGGCGAGATCACCACCCGCATCTCCTCAGACACCATGATCATCCAGGACGGCATCTCCGAGAAGCTGGGATACCTCATCTCTTTCTCCTCCACCTTTGTCAGCTCCTTCATCGTCGGCTACGCGCTCTCGCCCCGCCTCACTGCCTACCTCACCGTCGTCGCCGCCGTCATCGTCGCCTCCTTTATCTTTGCCTCTAGCCGCATGACCATGCTCTACGGCAAAGCCTTGAACGGCTCGTCCGCCGGTGGCTCCGTGGTTGAGGAAATCCTCTCCTCGATTCGCAACGTGCAGGCCTTTGGGCTCCAGGACCGCCTCGCCTCAGGATACGACCACTACCTGTCCATCTCGCAAAAGTACGCCCTGCGCGCCGGTTTCTTCGCCGGCTCCATCTCCGGCATCTCCTGGCTGGGTCTCTACACCGCCGATGCGGTCGCATTCTACTTTGGCCCCCCTATCCTGCGCCGCGGCGACCTCTCGATCCTCGCGCTCGTCACCATCCTCGCGTCCATGATCCAGGGCATGTTTGCCATCTGCTCCATCACTCCGCACGTCCGCGCCGTGGCCTCTGCCTCCTCGGCCATCAACAAGATCTACACGACGATCGATCGCCAGTCCGCGATCGACTCGACCGCCGAGACCGGCCGCAAGCTCGACAAGGTCGACGGAACGATCGAGCTCCGCGATATCAAGTTCATCTACCCTTCGCGCCCGGACGTCACCGTCATGGATAACTTCAACCTGACCGTCAAGGCCGGCACGACCGTCGCCCTCGTCGGCGCCTCTGGTTCGGGAAAATCCACAATCGTCGGCCTCGTCGAGCGCTTCTACAAGCCTGTTCGCGGCGACATCCTTCTCGACGGCGTCAACATCGACGAACTCAACCTGCGCTGGCTCAGACAGCAGGTCGCGCTTGTGTCGCAGGAACCAATCTTGTTCGCCGGCACTGTCTACGAAAACGTCGCGTTCGGACTTATCGGCACGCCGTACGAGCACGCGTCCGAGATCGAGAAGCGCGCGCTGGTTGAGAACGCTTGTCGTCAGGCGAACGCTATGATCTTCATCGACACGCTTCCCAAGGGTCTCGACACGCACGTCGGCGAGCGAGGATTCCTGCTCTCCGGAGGTCAGAAGCAGCGGGTTGCTATTGCTCGCGGTATTGTTTCGAACCCGAAGATCCTGCTCCTTGACGAAGCTACCTCGGCGCTCGACACCAAGAGCGAGGGCATCGTGCAGGACGCGCTCGACAAGGCGTCCAAGAACCGCACGACGATCGTCATCGCGCACAGACTCTCGACTATCAAGGACGCGGACATGATTGTCGTCATGAAGCGCGGCGTCATTCTCGAGAAGGGAACGCACCAGGAACTCATCGCGGCAAAGGGCGAGTACTACAGTCTTGTGCAGGCGCAGTCGGTCGAGCAGTCGGTCGAGAAGGAGTATGAGGAAAACGTGCAGGTTCTCGAAGCCGTCGAAGTCAACGAGGAAGACGACACTGTCGAGAAGATGATTGACGAGAAAGCTGCTCTCGCCAGCAGCAGCAGCTCCAGCGACGCTGCCTCTTCTTCATCTTATGGCGAGGACGAGGAAAAGGGTCTTTTGCTCTCAAAGACTAAGACCGGCCGCTCAATCTCGAGCGTGGTTGGCGCTTCGTACAAGGAGCATGAAGACCGCAAGTACTCTGTCGGCGAGATTGTGCGCTTCATCTACGAGCTTTCGTACCCGGAGCGCAACATCAATCTGACGGCGCTGTTCTTCACTATCGTCATGGCGGCTGGATATCCTTATCTGTCTACTGTCTACTCGGGCTCGGTCGATGCGCTTGGTGAAGCTGATGAGTTCACCATGTACCGTCGTCTGAAGGTTTACAACATTACCTATCTGATTATGGGTGCTATTGGTAAGTGCTTCTTGCTTTTTATATTGTCTAAGCGATGCAGCTAACACGAGATAGAACTGATCTGTCCCATCCTCGCCGTCGGCCTCTTCTCGTACTCTGGCCAACGTCTCGTCCGTCGCATCCGCATGCGCACCCTCCGCCAGATCGTCAGACAAGACATTGCCTTCTTTGACGAATCCGCAAACACCGCCGGCGCGCTCACGTCCGCGATCTCCAAGGACTCTGGTGCGATCGAAGGTCTTTCCGGCGCAACCCTCGGCCAGATCATCCAGTCCTTCATCCTCATCTTTGGCGGCATCGGCGTCGCGCTCGGCGTCTCCTGGAAACTCGCGATTGTCACCAGTCCCACGATTCCGATCCTGCTTGCGTCTGGGTTTTACAGATTCTATCTGCTCGCAAAGCATCAGGAGAAAGTCAAGTCCGCCTACGCGCGCTCGTCGTCGTACGCTTGCGAAGCCGCGGCTTCGATCAAGACCGTCGCGTCGCTCACTCGCGAGGAGCAGGTTATCGACACCTACGGCAGCACGCTCGTCGGACTCTACCACCAAGGCCGCGTTGGAAACAGCAAGTCGGCAGCGCTGTACGGCGTCACGCAGGCGATCGTGTACTTCATCCAGGCGCTGATGTTTTGGTACGGCAGCACGCTCGTGCGCACTGATTACTACTCTGTCTACATGTTTTTCACGTCCATCATCGGGATCGTGAACGGCACGCAAAACGGCTCGATCGTGTTTTCCTACGCGCTCGACATGGCGCGCGCGTACGACTCGGCCGGGAATATCAGGAGACTGTACGAACGCGAGCCCGAGATTGATTCCTGGAGCGACGAGGGCGCACTGCTCCCCGACGTCAGAGGCGATATCGAGTTCAAGGACGTGCACTTCCGGTATCCGACGCGGATGCAGGTTCCTGTTTTGCGCGGACTCAACCTGACGGTCAAGCGCGGACAATACGTCGCTCTTGTGGGCGCGTCCGGGTGCGGCAAGAGTACGACGATCGGCCTGATCGAGCGGTTCTACAACCCTCTCTCGGGCCAGGTCTTGATCGACGGCGTCGACATCTCGACGCTCAACATCAACCACTACCGCAGCCACATCGCGCTCGTGCAGCAGGAGCCGACGCTGTACTCTGGCACTGTGCGCGACAACATCAAATTCGGCTGTCTCGAGAACGACGTCCCGGACGAGGCCATGATCGACGCGTGCCAGCAGGCAAACATCCACGACTTCATCATGTCCCTTCCCGACGGCTACGACACCCTCTGCGGCGCAAAGGGCTCTCTCTTCTCCGGCGGCCAGAAGCAGCGCATTGCGATCGCGCGCGCGCTCATCCGTAACCCGAAGATCCTGCTGCTTGACGAGGCCACCTCCGCGCTCGACAACGAGTCTGAGAAAGTCGTGCAGGCGGCACTGGATAACGCCGCCAAAGGCCGCACGACGATCGCGATCGCGCACAGGCTGTCGACGATCCAGCGCGCGGATATCATCTACGTGTTTGAGAACGGACGGATATTGGAGAGCGGAACACATCAGCAGTTGCTGGCGAACAAGCTCAAGTATTATGAGCTGGTGAAGTTGCAGGCTTTGGAGAAGAGCTAAATGCTGTTTTATTTCTGTTTAAGTTGGTCATTTTATACATAGACACACACACATTCATTTGGTATAACTTTCATTCATTGTGATTTGCTTTTTTGTTTTAGCTTGGAGTCATATGGTATACTACGCCGATAGAGATCAATAGAGGTTGCTTATTTATTAGTATCTAAATACATCTAAACCGCAACACATGAAGGATTTATAAAATCTAACTGCTGAGCCAGACAGGTTCATCGAACCCGTTTGGTCTGCTCGTGCTGTTGAACCTGTTAACCGCGCTCTTCATCTTCACGACCGGTTTCAAAACCTTGATCTTGCCGTTAAACCCCGGGGCGTAATGTCGCTCGATATACCGACTCTTGGCGTTATACTCCTCGTCCGAGAGCCCGTCGTCGAGCGGGTCCATGAACGCTTCCTGGAACACGTCAGGGCGGAGACGGATGCAAGACTTGAGCGCGGTGGCGGAGATGCGGTCGACGGAGTCGCAGTACCGCAGCTCTTTGACCGCCGGATCGTGCATGTCGCGCACCTTTTTCCACAGCCAGTCGGGATAGGTGCCCTGGTCGAGAAGCAGGAGATCGTACTGCACGAGCGAGGTCGTGACCCAATAACTGCCGCCCTCGGCCGCGCGCTGGTAGAGAGCAGCGAGCGCGCCGATCGCACCGATGCAGCCGGTGCCGTAGTCAGACATCGGGAAGGGGGGAATGATAGGCTCGATCGGCTTGCTTGCGTCGTCGACCATCGACTTGCCATGACCGTAGGCGACGCCAGACACGCAGTCCGCGATCTGCTGCCATCCCGGCCGGTGCGACCACTCGCCTTTGAAACCAAAGCAGTTTTCAGAAACGTAGACAAAGCCCTTGCCACGCTTCTTTGCAATCTCAGCAAACCACGAGGGGGGGTACCCGAGTCTTGCAAAAGCACCGGTGCGGTATCCGTCCGCAATCACGTCGGCGTCCCACACCAGCTTCTCGAACTGCTTCCGTCCTTCGTCGGACTTGAGGTCGAGCGTGGCAGTGCGCTTGCCCATGTTTCCATCAACCTGGAAGAACGGCACGTCGGACGCGCCAGGACCGGTGATCTTGAGCACCTCGGCGCCGTACTCGGCGAGAATGCGGGTGATGGTCGGGCCAGCGATGATGCGGCAGAGTTCGAGAACCTTGATGCCTTTCAAGATCTGTCGGTCGGAGGATGGCGACGATGGCTCGTCGGCGGCGAATTTGGCGGGCGGCGTGGACGATTCGAGGGTTTCGGACTCAAAGATGGGCAGGGAGGACATGATTTTGCCATGCGAGGTCTCGAGGAACTCCTCGGGCGAGAGGACGGTGACGCCGGCTTGCTTGCGCTCGGCGTTCATCTGCTCGAGCTCAGCGGCGGTGAACTTGATGACATGGTCCTCGATCTTGCGGATGATTGCCTCGTAGTCTGTGAAGCCGGGGATATGGCCGGGAAGTCCGATCATGTTGAGGGTCGTGGTGGCCTCGAGCGAGCCGTGGATGTGGAAGAACCTGCCGTCTTTGGTTTTGTAGAGATTTGCAGACATGCGTCGGTAGGGATCAGACTGGGCGGCGAGGAAGTCGGTGTCGACGAGCTTCTTTTTGACTTCCGGGTCGAGCTTTGTGTGTCCGTCGACAGAGGCGAGGTACGCCATGAAGAGAAACATGGTGGCATGCTGCAGGTCGATTTCGACGTGCTCGTCAGTCTGCGGACCGAATCTGAGCTCGGAAAGGGCAGCGGCGACGGAGCCCTCGAGGCCCTTGAGGGCGGCGACGGTCTCGCATTCCTTGAAGGAGCAGGGCAGGATGGGCAGGCCGTCGGCGGAGAGGTCTGGGATGGTGAACTGGACGGCGGAGCTCTTTGCGCGGGCGGCGGAGGGGAGCGGGATGGAGGAGTCTGCGAGGAGGGCGTCGAAGATGGAGCGGGTGGTTGCGAGGAGGGAGTAGGAGGACGGGACGGGGTAGTCTGCGGACGGGGCCATGATGTCTGATGCAGCAGATATGAAGAAGAAGTAAGTAGTAGATGTATACAACAAATACAATGCAACAGAACAGATAGAATGCAACAAACAACAGATATCAGAACCCGCAAACAGCAAGAGGAGGCCGAATATTATTTATCATCGCCCGAGAAACCGACGCTCTCCGCGCTGCCGAAACCTGGGGAACGCCTTCCGACGCGGAGGGGAACGCCTTCCGAAGCGAGTCCTGCTGCGATTGGCCGATCGGACGGCTGCGGGTTAGGGATTGCCCCGCACCAGGAGGGGCCGCCCCGGACGACTAAAACAGTTTTTTTCCTCCTATCAGCCCGTCGCGAATAAAAGCACTCCGTCCCCCGGACTCTTCTTCTTCTCTTCTTCTACAATCTACTATCTCCTGCTCATCTACAGCAATCATGCCCTCCCAGACTCTAGACCCCTACACCGCCTCCGTCATCAACGCGACCGGCCCCAAAACCGAACCGAGAACCCGCCAGCTCTTCGCGTCCATGATTAGCCACATCCACGACTTCATCCGCGAAAACAAAGTCACCGTCGACGAGTGGATGCTCTCCGTCGACCTCATCAACCGCATCGGCCAGATGTCCGACGAGCGCAGAAACGAGGGCATCCTCGTCATGGACGTCCTCGGCGTCGAGTCGCTCGTCGACGCAATCACCTTCGACGTCGAGCACGAAGAGCCTGCCGCCGGTGCCGACAGTGCCGGTCTCACTAAGTCTTGCATCATCGGCCCCTTCTACCGCGAAAACTCCCCCGTCTACAAGAACGGCGAGTCCATCATCCAGAAAGAGCTCCCTGGCGGAGACACCGCCGTCGTCGGCGGCTACGTCCGCTCATCCGACGGCTCCCCCATCGAGGGCGCCAAGGTCGAGGTCTGGCACACCGCCCCCAACGGCCTCTACGAGCAGCAGGACCCCGACCAGCCCGACTACAACCTCCGCGGCACCTTCTACACCGACAAAAACGGCTTCTACGAGTTCATCGGCCTCAGACCAACCTCCTACCCTATCCCCTTCGACGGCCCGGCCGGCGACATCCTCCAGCTGCTCGACAGACACCCCTACCGCCCCGGCCACATCCACTTCCTCGTCTCTGCGCCCGGCCACAGAAGACTAATCACGCAGATCTTTGACGCTCGCGACGAGTACGTCGAGAACGACTCCGTCTTCGCCGTCAAGAACGAGCTCGTTGTCAACTTTGAGGCCTGCAAGGACGACCGCGCCGCCTACCAGGTCCAGTACGACGTCACTCTGCCTTCCGAGGAGTTCCTTGCTAGCAAGGTCAAGAAGTAATCACATCTTTGTTTTGAATTCTGCATGTTTTTCGCGTTCGGGATGACTGTTTGTTTTGTTTATGAGGGACTGGTTCCTTCGGTGTACTGTTTCTTTTAGTTCTCATGCCGTACATGCATTGATTAATATGAATTTACAACACGAAATCTCTCGTATCTCTCTGATGACTTCAAAATCCCTCGTTCATTAGTAAACTATCACTATAATCAATGCAATTAATGCGCCCGTCGCAGCTATAAAGCATACTACCAAGAGTAAAAAATACACAGAAAACAATATGAATATGAATTCAGCAAACACAAGACTATTTTACAAGGAATTTTTTCACGTCTTCACTCTATCCCTCACTGATATCAAGCTGCTGCAGATGTAGCAGTCGGCACCCTTGTGCTCGACGCCGATACAACCTCGAACCGCGAAGAATCATCGACCGCATTCGGATCGTAATCGAAATCCAACACCTTCATCAAAGTTAGTAACTCTACCCTCTAGATCATCATTCAAAAAAAAAAAAAAAAAAAAAAACACCACTAACCTCGATAAAAGTCTCCTGCCCGCGCTGCACGGCTGCAACACACCGCCGCTCATCAAACCGCACCTGCCATACCCGACTCAGATCAGACAGCAAGTCCTTGACAACCTTTCCCGTCTTGATATTCCAAATCTTGAGCGTGCCGTCACTGCCTGAAATCACCTTATGCTCGTCATGCTGGAAACACGTGATTGCACCCGTATGTCCTTCGAGCTTGTGCACCGACGTTCCGGTCTCGGGTTCCCATACCCGCAGGGTTGAGTCGGCGGCCGCTGACACGAGCGCGGTATTGTTAAGATCAAGAAGACCGACCAACGAAGTGTGTCCGTCAAGGGTATAAAGACACTCTCCAGTCTCGAGACTCCAGATCTTGACCAGCCAGTCCATCGACCCGGATATACACCGCTTGCGCTTCTTATCAATCACAACAGAGTACACTTTCGCGCCGTGTCCCGCAAGTCTAAACAAGCATTCCCCTGTCGAGATCTTCCACACCCGCACAAACGTATCATACGATCCGGAAACAAGCATATCTCCGTACCCCGAGATCGCTCGAACAGAGTGCGAATGACCAACCAGCGCGCGCAAGAAGAACGGATCGGCGTCGTACTCTGGATTCGTCGACGACGGCAGGTACTCGTCGTCGATTCCTACCTTTGGTAATTTCCAGATTCGAAGCGAGGAATCGCGCGAGCCAGTCACAATCAGCGGCTCCTCCGGTGACATGATCGGTTTACCGTCAGACGTGTACCCCGTCATCACGGGCTGCATGATCTCCAGACATCGAACCGTCGAAGTATGGCCGTAGAAAATGTGCGTACACACCCCGCGCTTGATATCCCACACGCGCACCGTACGGTCGGTCGAGCCAGAGACAAGAGTATTTCCAACATACTGCATAGCCCAGACTCCGCCTTCGTGACCTTCGAGACGTGTGCGTAGCTGGCCTGTCTTTGTATCATACACATTGATACAAAGATCATTCGAGCCCGTGATGATCTTCTCCGAATCAAACTGCAGACACGTAACCACATACGTAGCCACGTTCCGGCCATGTCCGGGCAGAGAAAGATGGCGCGGAGTAGAGTTTGGTGACATCCAATTCCGATTCACCAAGTAATGATGCCGATAGATCGCCTTAAACATATTCGGATACGGCAAAAGACTTTCAAACTCGCTCCTAGTGTTTGTAGCTGCCGCCTTTGCAACCGACGCAAGCATCATCGTCTCACTATCTCCTCCATCGATTATCTCTCTCACCTGGCCTTCAAGATGCTCGTCTTCCTCTTCCTCCTCCTCCGGGGAAGCAACATCGTCCGCCGGCAGCTTGCTCCATCCCTCCATACACCAGCCTTCCCGAATCGCGCGCTTCATCTCGCTCTCGCCCGTGTGGATCCCTTCGGCCTCCAACAGCTTGCGCCAGGTATACCGCGACCCGTCGACGGCGTTCTTCCACGTCTTTGACACCTGCGCCGCAACACAGAGCGTCTTCGCGTCCAGATACTGCAGCACGTTCGCCACCAATTCCTGCGGAAGCAACGCAATAAAGTCGCATCGCAGAGCCGGCAGGACAGTCGAAACCACTGTCGACAGCGTCTTCTTTGAACACCGCCGCAGAAACTGATACATCACATAATCCTTCACGTTCTCCGGCAACGCGTCGAACGAGTCCACCATCGCCGGAATCGTCATCATCACAGACTGACTAGGCGAGACCTCTTCCGGGATCGTCTCCTGAGTCTCGACCGTGTGCGGATTCGAAGCGAAATAGTCGTCATCACCACGGTGCTTACGTAACGAACCGGTGACTGGTGATAGTGAAGGAGAAGGAAGCGACAGCGGATTTATCTCGTTTGCAGTCTGAGCAGCCTGCACATCTATCGACAGGCCCTGTCCATCGCGTGCGGCAATGGCAGTACTGCCGGATGCAGATAGCGGTGTTGACAGACCGAGACCGAATTGGAGAGATGATTGCTTCTTTGTTGGCTCGGCGGCGGTAGAAGATGTCGATGCTGGCGTCAGCGCTACCGCGTCAGACTCGGATAGGGTATCGGCCTGTCGAAAAACACCGCGGGTGAAATCCGCCCTATCCTTTGCAGTCATCCGTCGTTTACTTTCGTGTTCGTGCGATTTGGAGGCTGCAGCTGAATCGGCCGTGCTCTCTTTGGCAGCTTCGTCGGTGGCTTTCGTTGTGGGTTTCGACTCTTGCCGAGCACTGGGTGAAAGAGCGCGCTTGCGGATGGCATGTGCTTCGTCTGATATCCGCGGGGTTGAGGTGTTGACTGTGGTTGTAGTGGTTCTGATTGTTCGGCCTGGGGTGGGTGCGACGCCAGCAGATGATGACGAAGAGGAGGTTTCAAATTGTTGTTGTAGCTATGCAGATGCACTTATTAACACTAGATACCAAAAAAGAGAGGGAGTGAGCGAACGTACGATTTCAAGAGACTGCTGTGGATCGGTGGACTCGACGAAACGCGACTTGCGTCCGTCAAGTTCGAAAAGAAAGCTGCGAAGCACGGTCGGCGTCGGCTGATCCGCGAGCGGGTAGATCAACGCGCGCGAGCTGGATCCAGCTGCACTGTCGTCGCTTGCGGCCTCCTTGCCGGATCTGGTGGACGAGAGCCGGTGGTGACGCGGTTGGTTGAGTATCAGAGGCGGGAAGGTGGTCGTGGTAGTTGTTGTTGTCGTGGTTGAGACGACGGTGGTGCGGGTTGTCGGCGCGAGCGAGTATGTGCTGACTATCGCGTCCGCGGCCACAGAAGACGGCGGCGCCTGCATCGTCTTTGGCAGAGGCGGAGGGGTCGTTGGCGAGCCGGCCATTCTTTTGTGGGTTGGAAGCGTGTGGGAACGAAAGGAAGGAGCAGAGAACTCTCGGACGGAAGTCGACTGAGTAGACACCAAGACCACAGAGACAGAAACGTTCTCGCTCTCGACACGCTAGCAACTGACTGAAGAAGGGTAAAAAGACGCAGAAAAGAAGAAAACAAAGACAAAAAGACGTGAAGACGAGTTCTCGAGGGTGAATAAACACGCTTTCCACACTTTCACTTTCGCTGTGGAACAAGCCCGTACCCTGTGCGCACTACATTTGATGTTTATGCACTGAAAACGCGGGTTAGGGCATGCTCATTCGGGACAGCTATCTCTTCTAAAGATTCCGCATCACCAAAATATTCAGATATCGAGAGATTTGAAGAGACGAAATGCCGGTGAAAACATACAGATCGCTTCTGATCGAGCTTGGAGAATGGATGAACACTGCCCGTCAGCACAGTTCTCCGACAATCTCGAACTTGCTGCAACAGACAATGGAGATGTCGCCTCCTCCGCCGCCGACGACGGGCAGTGCTTCTTCGACGACGGCGACTACAGCTCGCAAGGGCTGGTCGCAGGTGAACGACACAAAGAACGAGACTCTGGATAAGTTGCATGAGACACTGCGGGGTGTTATGCGCGAGCAATTCCGTAGTTTGGAGAGCAGCGCGGAGCAGGATAAGCTGTCGCAAAAGGCTCGGGATGCGAGCGAGATCTTGCTCTACCTCCGCAGCCAACGCACGTATAAGGTATTCTTCTTCTTTACTGCTAATCTCATATTAGACGGAAGACTAACTCGTTTGTCCTACAGGCACTACTCGATAAATACAACCCGACCGCGACACTGGAAGACCACGAACGGATAAGACTTACGGCGCGAAGAGTCGGTCTTGAATTGCCAAAAGACATTGAGGAGCGCTTCAAGACGGAGGAAGAAAGCACGCCGGAGGAGAACGAGGCAGAGGGAGCAGAGAAGACAGAGACGAAGAAATGATAAGCTAGAGTCTGATAATCAACTTGTACATATACATCAAATAGTTCAAATATATACTGTGAAAGCAGTCTGAGACAGTAAACGCAAGCACCGAGGCTACAGGAGATATAGACAGTACTCAAGCTCTATATCAAGACATACTACTGAAGATATACGACATAGACGATCAGGCATCTACACATGCAGGTCCACTTATTTATTATTCTTCACAAAGAACCTACCTAGAACGACCCTCTTCTCTCCCCACACTCGCCCAAACAAAAGACAAATAGGTACACAAAAAAGACAATAATTAAAATTAAAACAATAGAATGAAAAAAAGGCTTAGAAAATGATATCCTCGTCACCCTGGGCAGTCAAGTCCTCAGGCCCAGACAGCGCCGACGGAACAAGGCCCTCCTCAGCCTCCAACGCCAACTCGGCGGCTTTCTTGGCTGCCATCTCGGCGTCCAACGCGGCTTGGTCTCTTTGCTTCTTGTCCTGGACCTTCTTCAGACGGTAGAACTCTTCTCTCTCCAACTCGTCCAATTCGTTGTTGATGTCTAGAATATGAGAGGTTAGTGGGTCATTATACAAAGAATATAGGGATATAGAACAACGAGCAGACATACACTTGATGGTGTTCTCGGTACGGGGAATGATAACGTGCTCGATAGCGTTGACACGACGGTTGGTGACCTTGATAACCTCATCAAGAATGACGAAAGCAGTCTGTAGAGACGCGAGCTCGATAAGAGTCTCGACAGCCTTCGAGTAGACCTCCTTTGCCTTCTGGACCTGCTGTCCACCTCGGCCCAGACCAGTGAGCTTGAAATCTGAATTACATATCCCAATTAGCCAAACTGTCCCCTTGCTTCTCACCAATTACTTTTAATCAGACATACCGTTGTTCTGTTCGTCGTAGTAGGCCTCGAATGCGGGAAGCATGACACCGGAGACGTTCTCCTGCTTTGCACGAACACGGAAGCGGGCGCTCTTGGCCGACTCCTGGACCTGGTATCCGATGCTGTCGCCGGTAGCGTAGGTAACCTCGGCGAGCGAGAACGCAGCGACCTGCATAACGCGACCCATTTTCCGCTTGGCCTGGGGATTATTACATAGGTTAGCTATGTCTGTATATATGAGAATTACAAACAGCAAAACACACCTCATCAATTCTGCGCGTAATTTCACGGAATCGACCGGTCAAAGCCTCAGACTTGCGCTTCAACAAACTGTGTCCGACGGTGGCGCCCTTCAGTTTACTCTTCATGACAGTCAATGTCATACGGGTCGGAAAGACCGCCTCTCTGCATAATACGAAGATAGAATGTTAGCTAGTCGTTCTGCTGATGCTTAGATGTAGGCAGACGGGAAGGGTCTCGGGTTAAGAGGTGACGAATAGAGACCCGATAAGGCTCGAGGCTCGCGCCAATTGCACACGGGCCGACGACAATTGCTCGACAGCAGACGTACCTGTTAGCAGCTCCAGACATGTCTTATTGCAGCGGTGCGGGATGGGCAGGAGATTGAGGGAAGTGAGGATGGGAGAGGATGATAGTGAGCGCAGGTGGATATCGTGCAAAAGGCCAAAAAAGGTGGTCAGTGTGCGGCGAAGATAAAGAAACTCACTCGGTGGCCGTTCGCAGCCTAGTCCTGTGCACGTGATTACTGTGTGGTTGTGCCGTAACCGCACGACGGTTGTGCTCTGGAAACTCTTCAGTATTTGTATTTGTTCCTGATATTCAGATCAGATGTATTTACATTGTCTATAAACAGAGATGCCAGACACTTCGCTCTCCTCGGCTGCCCTGTCGACGAAGCTGGACATATACCTCATCTCCGAATCCGACATCGCGTACGAACAAGACGTTCTTCGCTATCCACACACTCTCGGTCCATGGCTCAAGTACATCGAGCACAAGTCCGAGTCTGCGATCCACGAGCGCGTCTTTGTGCTCGAACGGGCCTCTCGCGATCTCGGACGGTCTTATAAAGTCTGGAAATTGTATCTCGATCTGCGGATGCAGCATCTGCAGGGCATCAATCCGGCAAAGTACGAAGACGAGTACCGCAAGGTGAACGAGTGTTTTGAGCGAGCGCTCATGATGCTGAGTACCGTATGTGATCTTCTCACCTCTATTTTATTTAGCACCCGCTAACATATGTGGTTTAGATGCCCCGGCTCTGGCTCGACTACCTCCACTTCCTCATGAAACAATGCTGCATAACAGAAACCCGCCGCGCATTCGACCGCGCCCTGCGCGCCCTACCAATAACCCAGCACGACCGCATCTGGCCGTTATACCTCGAGTTTGCCCGGTCAGTCAAAGGGCCGACCGCGATCAAGATCTACGAGCGGTATCTGCAGTACCGGCCACAGGATCGCGAGGATTTTATCGAGCTCCTGGTCGAGCTGGATTACCACGCCGAGGCGGCAGAGCAGTACCTGCGACTGCTGAACGCACCGAAATTTGTGTCAAAGAATGGCAAGAGTCAGTTTCAGATCTGGACAGAGCTTACCGATCTGCTTGTTCACTTTGCACGAAACATAAAAGAACACTATCGGCGGTCGCCGTCGAGCCGTCAGATCGACACCGAGAAAATCATCAGGTCCGGGATCGAGAAGTTTTCCGATCAGCGCGGGAAGCTGTGGGTCAATTTGGCAATGTACAAGATTGCGCTGGGGGACTATGAAGGAGCGCGGGATGTGTTTGACGAGGGAATCACGACGGTGATGACGGTTCGCGACTTTGTGCTCGTGTTTGACGCGTACGTCGAGTTTGAAGAGTCGGTTATTTCGCAGCTGATGGAGCTCGCGGGGTCGGACAAGGCGAGCGAGCAAGTCGACGCCGAGCTTGATGTGCGGATGATGATGTTTGAGCATTTGATGGACCGGCGGCCGTTTCTGGTGAACGACGTGATGCTACGGCAGAATCCGAATAATGTGCTGGAGTGGGAGAAGCGGGTTGGGCTGTGGGGCAACAATGCCAAGCAAGTTGTGGAGACGTACACGGACGCGATTGCGACGATAAATCCAAAGAAAGCAGCAGTGGGACAGCTGTATCAGCTGTTTGCAAACTATGCAAAGTATTATGAAAAGGCGGGGGATTTACGGCAGGCGCGGATTGTGTTTGAGCGGGGTTTGAATGTGCCGTTCAAGTCTGCGAACGAGCTCGCGGATCTGTATATCGAGTACGCGGAAATGCTGCTGCGGGCGGAGGAGTTTGACAGTGCGGTGGCGCTGATTGCAAAGGCGACGAAGGGCCCGAAGCGGTCGACGGTTGATTTCTTTGACGAGTCGATTGCGCCGCAGCAGAGGCTTCACAAGAGCATGAAGCTGTGGTCGTTTTACGTCGATCTGGTTGAGAGCGTGGGTACGGTCGACGATACACGGGCGGTGTATGATCGCATATTCGAGCTCAAGATCGCGACGCCGCTGACGGTGGTGAACTACGCCAACTTTTTGGAGGAAAACAAGTACTTTGAGGAATCGTTTAAGATTTACGAGCGTGGCGTGGAGCAGTTTGGATATCCGGTTGCGTTTGAGCTGTGGAACTTGTACCTGACCAAGGCGATGAAGCGCAAGCTGAACGTGGAGCGGCTGCGAGATTTATTCGAGCAGGCGCTGGAGAACTGTCCGCCGGAGTTTGCAAAGGCGCTGTTTTTGCTGTACGGCGAGTTGGAAGAGACGCGCGGGCTGGCGAAGAACGCGATGGTGGTTTACGAGCGCGCGACGAGCCGCGTGGCGGAGAAGGACCGCGCGGAGATGTATCGGTTTTATATCAAGAAGACGGCGACAATATACGGATTACCAGCTACGCGGCCGATCTACGAGCGCGCGATCGAAGTGCTGCCGGATGGGGAGTGTCGGCTGCTGTGCGAGGACTTTGCGGATATGGAGCGTAAGCTGGGAGAGATTGAGCGGGCGCGCGGGGTGTATGTGCACGGCAGCCAGTTTGCGGATCCGCGATTGCATCCAAAGTACTGGGAGAAGTGGCATGAGTTTGAGGTGATGAACGGAGACGAGGAGACGTTTAAGGAGATGCTGCGGATCAAGCGGGCGGTGACGGCGCAGTATAATACGGACATCAATTTCATTGCCGCGCAGACGGTCGCGCGCAAGCCGGAGGGGGAGATTGCAGAGGTGAAGGCTGCGTCGCCGCCGGGAGATGATCCGATGGAGCAGTTGGCGTATGTCGAGGAGTGATTGAGATCTGTTATAGTCAAGACGATCTGATGGAATAGTTGGCGTATGCCGAGGAGCGATATGTAAGATAGTGTATATTTATAAAAAGATCTATTAAATTTCATCAACTATATTCAATCAACTAGGATTATATGTAAGGCATTGTATATTTCTAGGTAGGTCTATATATTCATTCAACTAGCGATCGTACAAAACACTAAACACCAAGATGTGACAAGAAGAAATTAGTTCGACTTGCTTCCGAAACGCGAGTCAATCTGCTCCGCGATCTTAGTCGAGATCTTGTCATCACGCGAGTCGTCGGCCTTGATGCCGAACTGCTTCTCGACCATGTCGATGCCCTTGTCGACGTACTGCTTAGTCTTGGAGGCAGCAGCAGAGGCGGTCTCGCCGGCGGCAGAGGCGGTGTTGGAGGCGGCGGTGCCGGCGGAAGAGGCGCCGGACTGGGCGGAGGAGTTAGCGCTCTGGAGGGCGTCTTCGGCCTTGGAGGCGAGGTTGTTGAGGAAGGACATTGTTGTGATGTAGTTGAGGTAGATAGAGAGAGGGAGTGGGGATGGGGAAGAGAGAGGAGGAGGAGGAGGAGGGAAATATATAAGTGACCCTGATTTGCGAACAGAGCCGTGCCTCTGACAGGGGTGGCGCTAACCTAGTTGGGAATTACTCTATTGAGATACGCAATCACACCGATCTGGGCGTTTTCTGTTCAACGCTGTATGCTGATAGTGAGAGTTGTAGTTACATAAGTAGTAATATATAATAGAATATAATGACTACTGTTCATTCAATTAATTGCTACAGAAATAGCACTTCACTGTAGGAAAGAGGGACGGATTGATGAGTGCTTCTACGCTTCTAGAAGGGACGCCGCACGTGGGTGTGAGCCGTGCGGCAACTGCGCGTGCGGCAATGTTATTCGGCATACGAGATGTAGTAAATAAGATATGAAGTAAAGATCAATTGAATATGTACATATGTTTGTGGTTTATAATAGAACTGTCATGTAAATGCAGTGTCTAGTTTTCTGTAACAAAATGGCAACAACAAAGTGTGAAGAAAGACTACTTCTTCGAGCCCGAGATCTGGGACGAAATAGCGCTGGTGATCTTTGCATCGCGGTCCTTCTCGGCCTGGGTCTCGTTCTTCTGGTCCATTCCGAGCTGCTGCTCGATCGCGTCGACGCCCTTGCGGATGTACTTGTCCTGGCCGCTGCCGGAGCTGGCTCCCGAGGTGCTCTTTTGCTCTGCGCTGGACTGGCTGTTGCTGTTGCCGCCGAGGTTCTTGAGAAGGTCTGCCATTGCTGTTGTATAATAGAAATTGTAGATAGAGTTGATGTTAGGATACAGGAGGTATGTGGATACGACAAGGTGCAGGAAGAGGGTCTTTTATAGAAGTCCAGGTCGAAGATCGCTACCCCATCAAGCCCCAGAAGAACAGCAGTGACGAGGTGACGACAGCTCAATCACAATAGCCAATTTCTGAATTTATTCCCTCTTTCAAGAAGTATCGAGCGATCATCTACAAATATAGAACCGTCGATGATCTCTTTGGGCGGTGGTCGCGGTAGTGGTCACTGGCGGGAGCTGAGTCTCGTCACATTGTGACTTATGATGTCATTTGGTTTTGTGAAACACTGCCCTTACCTTGTCCTCACCTTGTGCTATGGTTATGTAAGATGTTAGTCAGCACGCGATTGAACTGCCCCGTCGATCGGATCGGAATGCGCTGCGTGCCTTTGTAATAGCTTGAGCAGGAGACAGAGCCGTGGATTAGAGCAGAGAAATAGAGGTGATGGTTGAAAAAAGAATGGTCAAAAGGCGCACTCGCATTCTTAGTCGGCGAGGAAGAAGCAGACTAGAGGCGGGTACCGGAGTAGTGGCGGTACTGTACCTGTCTTCTTCACCGTTACTGCGCAGCTGAAGTAATGCTTCTCGCATTTAAAATTGCTGCTGCTTATTCTTCTTGCTGCTTAATATTATTGTAAAGTAAAGTAAACTGTTGTGCTGCTGCTGCTGCTGAATGCCCATCTTCGGGACAATTGAGCTCATTTTCACGGCAACTAAGCACCTCACCTCACTTCACTTCACCACCCCTCCACTGCTTTCACCACTGCTTTCAAGGTCTTTAATCCGGCTCGGATAAATTACTTCTTCTCCTCTTCCGCAGTGGCTGCGTCAAAGTTCGTTTTTGAAGAGGCTGAAATAAGCAGCCAACTTAAACTGCTCTTGGCTGCTCTTAGCTGCTTTTAGTGGCCTGCAAACTATCGGCTCCCCGCGTTAGCGCTACCGACTACAGCTCCCATCTGCCTCTTTTCCTCCTTTTCTTCTTCTTCTTCTTCTTCTTCTCTGTTTATTCATTCTGTGTTGTAGTAACCATTAACCATCTGCTTCTCTTCTTCTCTCCTCTCTTCTCTCCTTCTCTTCTCTATCCCCTCTTCTCTCCTCTCCATTGGCATTTCTAGCACCGCCCGCTCGGCCTGCGAACACAGCGTTCTGGCTCATGGTTTCCCATACCGCCGTTTCCTTATCCAACACTCTTCACTCTTATCATACCTCCACATCACATATCCTACCTCTTGTCTCCTCGTCTTCATCCTCACTCTCATCACTAGATCTGCATCCTGCTGCAGCATCGAAATATTTAAGAATATCTACAATCATCTATCAAAAACCACAGTTTGATGTGCCTCAAAACTTTACATTTCCTCACGTGTCCTCATGCCTCACCGTTGGCTCTATCTTATCCTGATTCATATCCCCATTAAGCTTTACAACGGTCTCTACTTTTTCTCACCCTTACATTTCTAATCTTTGTATTCAGACAAATGACTGCTGCTGCTGCTGCTCAAACGGCATATTCGTCCCCAAAAAATCCATCACCAGGGTATCGAAATTCTCCCAGCTCGTCAGATCCTCAATCAACTGGCTCGGATACATCCCCATCTCGCTATCCTCCACCTTCAGCATCTCCTCATGCGACATCACCTGCGTGCTCGCACTCCCTGATACTTGTGGATTCCGCGGATTGGGCTGCAGCCCAAGTAGCTCCGTAGAATGACTCTGCACCTCCATCTGCGGCCGACCCACCCCTATACCCCCAAAGGCCTCATTTTCATTCATTCCAACCCCTCTTCCATGCTCTTGCTGCTGCTCAATAATTTCATGCTGCTGCACCGCCTGCCCTTGCTGCGACTGTATCTGCTGCTGCTGCGGCGGCGGCGGCTCAGCTCCCGCCGGTGCGCTCCCCGATGCCTCCCGTTCTCGCACTGCCTCCACCCTCAACTCCTCCAAAATAATACTATACCTCTGCGCCAGCGAGTTCTCCTTCGCCGCACTCGAGATCTGTCTCTGACACTTTTGCGCGGCCTCAAGATACTCCTGCCAACTCTCTCCTCCTTCCGCCCGGCTTCGAATCGTATACACATAAAGCACCACTACCGAACAAAACGCCACGTACTGCGTAAACCACAGCGCCGAAAACACTTCCTGACTCTCAGACAAATCATCAATAATCGCTACCGCAATCATCGCCGCTGATAAACACTCCTGGATCCCCGCCTCGTGGTCCCCATCGTCCGCCTCCCGCTCCGCATACCCATACTTCCCCGGCGTCAGCGACGCAAAACTCGTCAGCAGAAACGGCCGGTTCACCAAAATAAGCGAGTGCGCGTACGCAAGCGACAGCATCCGACTCTGCCGTTGCAGCAACGTCATCAGCAGCGATGGCTGCACCCTCTTCGGATCAAGAAACGCCGGAAGCGTCGCATACCACGCCTTCAAATCACTCGTGTACTGCTTGCACAGTCCTATCTTCCGCGCATGGCTGATCCGGTGAATACTGTAGATATCTCTCAGAATCCCCGACAGCAGCCGTACAAGCTTCGCGTGCAACACCGGCGCAAGCATTATACAATTCACCGTCCTGTAGTTCTCCAGCCGTATCTCCTTCGCACTCAGATCCGCGTCGTTCACCAGCGACGGCAACTCCTGATCAATATCATTGTCGTGAAAAATGCTCGGCCGTCCCAAAACCGCACTCAAATATTTATCCAAACTGTACGCACTCCAAAACACCCGCTTCCGACTCTCCTGCTCAATATAATCGACGTTCACCGGACTCGCCAGCTGCTTCTGCCGCCGATGCAGCCCCAGCGCTTGAATCAGATGCGCGGTCGTCCCAAACAGACTTCGGCAGTGATTGATCCGCGAGCAACTCAACAGATAAAAGCACTGACATAACCGCGCCTGCACACTGCTTAGCCGCGGTCGTCCCGTCTCCATCTTCAATTGCCTCTCGGCCGCGTGGAAGTACAGCGAGCTGTTGTCGACGTAATTGCTACTCCCACTCGAATTGTTGCGCGTCGTCGCGGACGGATACTTCCTCGCCTGTGCCATCAACATTATCACAATCGCATTCCGCTCCCGCATCCCCTCCTTCATCTCAAGACTGTCAAACGATTCGTAGAATTCCTCAAACCACTCGTTCACCGTCGGCTGATGCAAAAATCGGTACGTAGGCATCGCGTACGAAAAATAAAAATCAATCATCTTCTTTGCTTCCGTCTTTGGCGGCAGAATAAAGCACCCAGAGTTGTAGTCCGGAAGCTCGGGATCGCCAAACGTTAGAATCGACGAACTCGTGTTGGGACAGTCCATATCGTGCAGCCGTCGCTGCACGCGATTCAAAAATGCAATCCCGGATGACGAACCCACGTACTGCCCTAGCACATCAGTCTGTGGCGGCTCGGGCGAGTTGCGTGTAGATGTCAATGTCGCTGTCGTCATTTGCTCGGCCGCCTCCTCTGTCAGCTGATTTTGCAGATTGCGAACATATTCCGGATCGTCCTGGTTAGCGGCTTCGTCGGCATTGCAAATAGTGCCGATCGAGAGCAATGACCTCTTTCTCTCGTGCTGTAGTTCTTGTTGTCGTTGTTGCTGCTGTTGGTAGAGATATGCTGATGTCGCGTTATCAGGAGACAGGGAAGATATCGGACTGGGAGTGCGTGGTCGGTCAGCAGATCGAGCAGCTTTTGCAACAGCGGCGTTCTTGTATGCAGCAGCTGGAATATCCAAACCGCTGGCCTCGGGCGCAGGTGGCCGGCCGCGGTGGTACTCTGCCGTGAACTCGCATGGGATCGCGAGACCAACGCATCGAAAGCACGGCATGTTGCCACTGCAGCGTGTCTTTTTTCTGTTTTGCAAAAAATCGGTAAGCTGTGTTGTAAAGAATTTTAAATCACTTAAAAGAGAATATGTACTGTTTGCAGTTGTCGCATGCACGACTGACACGCTGTCGCTCGCTTGCCTTTCGAGACCGCTTGACACCTTTCGGCGGCGGAACAGTAGCCGGAGAATAAGAGGAAGCCACAGAAGGCGAGTCGGGCGACTGCGAGCGCTTGAATGCTGAATGTGGGGTGGCGCCTGAGCGGTAGTGTTCCTGTGGAGAGGCACTGACAGAGACAGCGGCGGAGGAGGGTGGAGCAGGAGGCGGGGGAGGGGTAGAAAGGATGGACCGCAGCGCCTGCGCTTGCGAATTCGTCGCCATGCTGTTCTGCTGCTGTTGCTCTTGTTCTAGCTGTTGCTGCTGTTGCTGCCGTTGCAGATTGACGGCGGTGAACTGCGAGAGAGCAGTAGCGGCGGCATACTGATCAGCGTCGGCCGAGGAAGGAAAGCGGTTCATTGCGGATGCGATCGTTCGGAGAGCAACGTCAACTTCACGCAGTCGACTGGAAAACGACCGCTGCGCCGGGAAACGGAAGACTCATTTGCTGTGATTGTGGTGGGGTTTGTACCAATATAGGCAGCAGGAGTGGGAGAACGAAGAGGAATAAGAGCAGAGGATGAGCAGGAACAGTCGATCTGATCACATTCGATGATGGAAGATGTCTGATAGACAAAAGAAGACGCAAAAAGAAGAGGAGAAGAGCAGAAGTAGTCTTCAAGATGACGAACAGCGGGCCGGAAAAGCAGTCGGCTGCGGAGCAGAGCACCACGTGACCATGCACGTGATCATATCGGACAAGAGAGATAAGGTTTGCAGCGAGCGAGAACCTACACGGCCTTCTGCTGCACTGACAGATGGTCGACCGTCGGTGTGTTCTATCGGGCTTGGCGGATCGTTGCTGAGACCGGTGTTCTATTTCTGAGTAATTAACTGCGCTCTTGGAATCGGTAGAAATGGAAATAGAAGGCGATAAAGGAGAGCACTGGCGAGAATATGATGCAAGCTAGGCGACTGACTCGCGGAACTGGCGGCGTACAGAGAGAAGTACGGCAGCTTAGACCGCGACGACCAGGCCGCAAATGGAGAACTAAACATCGAAAAGGAGGCACGGAAAAAAGCCGATGTGCTAATCTCAGTCTGGGATTTGATAGCCGACAGCGATGGAACTTGTTCGTAGGGCAGCCTTCCGATTGCTAGTGAGCCAGCCGCTTGGGGCCTGTTCGCTAGTCGCGTACAGTGCGAAAATTCATCAGACTACGGATAATAGACGGAACGAACCTGACAGCTCTCTAGATCACAGCGCCCTAGTGCCGACCAGCCTGAGCTGAGCTATTTACTTGCGCTTTGGACGAAGAAAGGCACGAAGAAGCTGTGATTGAAATGAGCAGCGGGACAGCTACTGGAGCTGTGCACAATAGACAAATTGCTGTCTTCTGCAGGTCTGCTGCGTCGTCCGCAGCATCCGCTGCAGGCTATTAAAGCCTCTCCAGCTCCGCAGACAACCGCCCAGCGCGAACGGCAATCAGCGAGCAGGCGCGGCTGAGCACCGATGATTGCACCAAGCGCGGCACTGTTTATTAAATATGCAGACTGGGTGCAATATGCGTATATTCCCCCAATGCGAGTGCCCCAATGCGAGTGCCGAACAGAGTTCTGTCGGGCGCCATCAAATAGAGTTTGCATGTACCTGCTACCTGTGCGAGATCGTACCTTTCTCGTGGACTCTTCCCCAAGCCTTGGTCTCCATCTCTCTCTCCCTCTACACGGTCCTGGCTCCGTCGTCGCCTTGTCCCTCTCTGAATTTCGATCTGAGGCTGGCAAATTATTCCAGTTCTGTGGTAATTTCCTTCCGTACTCTCCTTAGCTTCTTTCTTGATGAATTTTAGACTCTCGTCTCTGCTCTCCTCCACCATGATGGGCCTCACTTGTCATCTGCTCGCATTTATTTATTTATTTATATACCTCTGCCGCCCTCCATTCCCGCCGGCTCCTCTCCTCCTTCCTTCTCTGTCTCTTTCTTCTCTCTTCGCAGGATGGCGGCCATACGCGTCTTCAACATGCGCACCCGCAACATCCGTCGTACCTTCTTCGCCCTCCTCACCGCCATAATTTGCATATACAGTCTCTCCATCTTCTTCAGCCCCTCTTCCGCATACACCACCGCACAAGAAAATGTGCAGGGCTACAGCAGCCAGCTTGCCGATCTAGCTGGCACGCACGGCGAACCCCTATACGCTGCCTACAGACGTCTGTTCTCTCTCGTTGCCGATCAAGACGACGAGGAACCGGTCCCCGCCGCCCCGTCAGCCGCTACTACATCAACAGTTGTCGCAGCCCAGCCTACAGAAGAGGACCTCGAGCGAAAGGCAAAGTGGGACAACTTCGTGGGCCAGTACAAGCGCAATCGCGAGCTGCTATTCGATCCCAACCCGCTCTCCAAGCTCGCCTACTGCTCCAGTTCTACCAAAACGCCTGGTAAGAGCGGCAACTTCCTCATCAACCTCGCAAACGAAGAAGGGAACATGGCCCGCATAGTCTTTCCCTTTGACGGGCGTCCGCACCGGTACAATCCAAACCTCCTACCCTACCCGCCTGGCTCGCGTCTGCCATACTTCGCCATGGCGCGCATCAGTCCCCGTCGCACGCTGTTCCATCATGAACTTGTCTTCTGCGATCTGAAGTGGAAAAGGACGCGTACAATCGGCCGTGCGACGTTGGAATGCGACGGGAAAGCAAAGACGATCAAGCTTGAGGATGAATGGCCTTCTCCTAAAGGCGCGTGCAAGGCCCATCCGTTCCTGCAGATTCGCCAGGGCCACTCCGATCCACGCGTGTTCTTTTCCCCTATCGGTGAACCGTTGATGATTGTTGGCACAAACGGCCGCCACAACTGTCTGCATCAATACATTATCGATTTGCGAGCACTCATCCCCAATCTTGGACACAAGATGCGGATCGACCATCTGCCTGTCCGATACAAAAAGTTGACCGAACTTACGCGTCCCGGCCTGGCAGAGATCGAGAAGAACTGGTTCGCGATGTACGACGATCGGAATATAGGATACATTCAGCACGACAGTCATCGCCGAACAGTCTCACTTTTGGATGCGGCCCCTGGCGCGACTGAAGACCAATCAAAGGTTTTCAATATTGCGAATCCGGAACCAAAGATTGTTCAAACGCTGATCAAAAAATATACCAGCAAGGACGCCGCAAACGATCTCCACCAAGCGACAAACTCCCTTCGCGTCACGCTCTGCGACTTCCCTTGCATCCCCACCATCCACAACACAGTCATTGTCGAGCTCTTGCACGTCAAGTATAAAAACTTCTATGAGCTTTTCTACCGCCGGTTTGCTGTCATCATGAACGCCACCGCGCCGTTTGATGTCATCGGACGCACGGGGCCTATTCACTACGCCGGCGTCGACGAACGGACGATGATTTACACCGTCTCAATGGCTTGGGATCATCAGAATCACCGGCCCCACGAGCCTTGGAACGAGCTAAAGCACGGCGGCCAGGATGCATGGAGGATTCTTGCCGAACGTGATCGCGTGAACGACGAAAAGTGGGAGATATTAAAGCAACAGAGAGAACTAGAGAAGCAGATGCAACAAGAGCAGCAAATTCAGCAAGCACAATCCGCTCTACCACAACAAGAGCAATCCTACACACCTATCTCCCAAGACGGAAACACAGCACAACTATCCAAAAGACAAGAGCCGCCAGAGATCAAAACCAGCACAGGCAGCACTTTACTGACAGCAACAAGAGCGGCGACGACGATGACGGCCGCAACTCCTACGATCAGCGGCAGCGGAACCACTACCGAAAACGCAGGACAAAATACCGCATCTGCACCTCCTCCGCTGAAGACAAACCCGCTAGTGAGCCCCTACTACCATGGCTGGCTAGATGATGTGCTGATGATCAATTTCGGCATCGACGACAGAGATTCAGGCACGATACACGTGAGCGCTAGGGAATTGCTGGATTGCATATTGGTATCCGAGGGTTAATGTATTTTTGATGTTCATAGTAATAATGTAGATGGGAATGATTGCATACTTTTTAGCTTAGCGAGAACGCATCTTTGGTTTGGAATTGGAGGAATGTAAATAAGTTGTTCCGGATCAGGCTATGATCTGCTATACACTCCTTCCGTGCTCCTCTCACCTCAGACAGCCCTGTCAAGATCCAGTCAATCTCACAGACAGGTGGCAGAGCTTGTTTAGTAAACTGACTCACAGAAATAAGAATCCGAGAATCTCACTGTCTGGTTCCCCGTTGGCAAAGCAGGAATTTCCGATGTCGGGAGATTATCGGAAGAGGAAACAGACAGAATTAGAGTTTGAAGATTGCCGCTTTTGTGCGATGCAAAGGAAACGAACGAGAGCGTAGAGCACGGCTGGGAATATTACCTTGAGAGAACAATAAATATGACAAATGTCAGAGGAAATGATGAAATATATCAGAAGATGTCTGGACCGTTACGATAGCGCGACGTGCCACTGGAACAGGCTGACTCCATGACAGGCGGTGGAGCTGCTGCCAGAGTGGTGAAGCGAATGGATTGAGCACGCGGGTATGGATAGCGAGCAAAGCAGACAGGTTGTATTAATCCTTATCCTATTTTGTCTCTTTTTGTCTTCTCTAATGTCTTCTTCCTTGCACTTCGTTCTCTTTCGTCGGTCGGTTCTGCACGATCTATGCGCGATATACCTGGCACGGAAAAGACGCAGAAAGCAGAGGATGCGAGGTGCTGCAGCATCGTGCATTACTCCCGGATGACCAAATATTTCGTAAAAAACTGAGCTCAGCTTGCGGCGTTTTGCTCCCTTTTCTCATCTCTATGTGCTCTGCATGATTTATTATACTTGCTGTGCTGTGCGGTACAAAATTATCAGACAGCATTTTACAGCATTCATGTTGGCGGAGTTTAAAAAGACAGCGAGAAGAAACTGAAGCTAACGGCTCGCGCGGTCATCTGCGTGCAGCTTTGCCTGTGTCTTGTTGTGACCCACTTGGTTTATGATCTGAAAGTGGATAACTTAATGGTGGTTTGAATGTCCGACGTTCAACACTGCATATGCTAATCACCAGACTGACTCTCGCTATTGCCATCTATTGGTTTCTTGTCTGGTTCTGTTGTGTGTTTTCTGTTCACAAAGAGTCGCAATAGTCTTCAGGTCTCTTTTGAGGATGAAAACCCCATCTTTGGTGGCTGCCTGGTCTGAGCTGAGCACCGGCGCAGCAGAACTCTAATTTCTTGCTTATTTCTCGTTTTTGATCTCTTTCGTATCGCCCACCTTGCGTTTCAGGCCTGGATCCTGCTCTTACCCAACTTCGCAGCTTCCTAGCACAGCGCGGAAAGAAGACCTTAAGAATACAATCCAGTGACTCGAGACCAGAGAGCGATATGCAAGGCAGTACTAGCTAGTTCAAAGCAGATGGTGAAATAGGAACCAAACTGAACGTCAATTAGGCACTACGGAGAAGGTTTGAGGAGCGACAGAGTAGCGCACGGCTTTGACGTATAACGTCAGAAAAGCCCGCAGCATCGTACGATTCTCGGCCGATGAAGAGAAGAAGAAGATAATTCAACGCAGTGTGGAAAAAAGCTGTCGGGGTTTCAATGCCTGCCTGCGCGCTCTGATCATGATCGTCGTCGGGGTCGTCCAGACCCTGTTACTCCTCCGATTCAGGGAGACTTTGCACAATCTAGACTGCCTCCTTTGTTAATGTTTACGTTTTTTGAAAATGCCGCGTGGTTCCGTGGCCTGGCTGAAAGGTCCAACTGGTGTCAAAATTCTCAGTCCTGACCAAGTCATGCTGCTGCTACAACATCAGCAGAAGCAAAGAGTCAGTGAGCAACCGTTGAGCTTGACCTCAGAGTGCCCACCCTCATCTTCCAGCCCGCACTGTCTCTTCGATTGCAGTCAACTAACCCACCCGTTTTCCGTTTCTGTCTTTTAATTGGATTCTCGAAACAAAGCGGCGATCTTCCAAACTGTGAAGTGCACTGTTTTGCCACTATGACTCCTGGCATCGGTGCAGCACCAGTCAGTCCCGCACGAGCCGTTGAGCGCGCAGCGGGCAGTGCGGAAGCTCAAATTCGTACGCGTTCTTCCCTATTCCCCCTCTCAGAGTATCCTTGGGATCCTTATGCGCTGTAAGTAATTATCTAGTGGTCTGCCTGCATCTTGCATATATGACATTAGACAGAGAAAAAAACATATAAGAAAAGTGTGGAACACTAGCCTCAGCCTTTGTGACCCAGTCCTGCAAGCCAGCCACTCCGCCCAGCCAAATTTCAACAATTGCGTTTTGCTATCATTCGCCACGGTTGACTGACTTTGATCTCAAATCAGCCGTGATCGCCTTTGATGAGATAGATCTGCTGGTCTTTTCATCCCTCTTCAACGGTCGGGCCGGGAACGGCATCGACCAGATAGGAGAAGTAATTGATAATTTACTGAGATTACCGGCTTTGACCGCTTCCGGGGCAAAAGGCAATGGGCAAAACGTTTCAGAACGGTGTAAACGAATGAGTGACTAATAAGACAAGGAAGCAAACTCGAAGCGCCGGTCCTCGCGCATGTTCCTATGACGCGGTCCCTCCAAAGCCTGCCACCCTTCTCGCCTCTCGCCATCTCGAAATAGATGAGAGGGTTCTGCAAACTCGATACAGCTGTTTTGCCCTGATTGTTATTAGCCAGGAGCCAGGTTCTGGATGGTGAAAAGTGAGAAGTGATAGCCGAACTCTGAGAGATGACAGGCCGCTTGTTCGAATTAGCCGAACTTTGATCCTCCCTTGTTCAGGGTATGGTAGCGCCCAATCAATATGCTGATTCTACTTGGCTGATCATCCCCATAACAAACGTATAATCCCCATAAACGTACTACCCCCCACTACCAGAGTCTCCGTTGGCAGGGAATCGTTATCTATCATCGAGGCCGAAACCTAAGCTCAAGCAGAGCAAAATACACAAAAAAAGCCCAACCGGAGTCTTCCTGCAGCATACGCCAATGTACACAATGTACAGCATAACTCCAGATTCGGCTATCTTCCGCAATGATTCTTTCTGACCGCTATCTTTCGAGTCCCCTCTAATCAAAGGGTGCAATTTTGAAATGGCTCGGACTTTTCTCTCCGAGATTAAACCTGTCCTGTGTTTCGGTCGTGCTTGCGTTTTTTCACCTCTCACCTGTCAAGGTTTCCGGTCTCCGTACACGAGCGTCTGAGCAGCGGACGAAGAGCAACGCCCAAAATCTTACATTAAACTTGGTGGTCGTTGAGGATTCACTAGCGTCGTTACTTGAAACCATGTTTTGACTTCCTGCCCGCCTGGCAGTCTTCAAGTCTTGCATGTTTCTATCCTCATCTTGCCCAAGGCGAGTATATATATAGTTGGCCCGTACTTCCGGGCTCTTGACGCTCCTTTCTGCTCGATTTGAACATCTACACATCTATGATGACGGCCATGTTTAGGAGACATCGCTTCAGTGTCGTAAGGACGTTTGTCTTCATAGTCTGCATCGTCTTCATTGTGTCCTCCCTCCTGCAGTCCACCGGTCCCGATGGAATCATCCGGCAGACTTCCCTCACTGGCCGGTTCTATCCGTCAGCGGTGAACTTTCCTGCCTTGCGATCGAAGGCGTTCTTACTGCAAGAGCAATCGAGCGAGCAGGGTCAGCAGCAGACTCTATCATCGGCCGAGTACGACCACAAACAGTTCCTTCGTGCCCTTCTCGCTACCTGCACCAACACCCACCGCTCTCCAGCGGCTGCCAAAGTCCTCGCGAACGTCGCAGGCCTCAACGGCGTCGCATCGCGAGCGATCTTCCGCACCACGCACAACAATGCGCTTGATCATCAGACTCCTCCGCGATTCAACCCCAACATCCTACCATATCCGCGAGGAGCCGTCCATCCTTATCTGGGTTTCGCTCAGCAAGCTCCCACGTCAATCGGGCAGAACGAGCTGCCAATGGGCCGGCACTCCATCTTTTACTGCGATATGGACTGGGTTATGTCGGATCTCGCGGACCACAGACGCGAGCTTGTGTGTCAAGATGCCGCCATGAAACTTGACATCCCGCCACCTGTTGCCACGACTGCCGGCGCATGCACACAAAGGCCCGAGCTGGAAAACACCCGAGGCTTTGTTGAGCCCCGAGTGATCCGTTCCCCTTCGGGCGAGCCTCTCTTGATCGTGGGATCAAGTTCTGTCGACAACTGTATCTCTCAGTATATTGTCGATCTGCGGACACTGATCCCGGATCTTGCCTCCAAGATGAAAATCAACGAGCTTTCCACTCCGATCCGGTTCCGTGCGCTGACGATGCTTCCCCGACCTACCAACTTCAGCGAGTCTGAGCACGACTACACGCTCTTGTTTGACTCTGTCAATCATATCTTTGTCGAACAGAGTCTTGAGCCCCGATCCATCACCGCGCTCAGCACGCTTGACACCGATGCTGACCAGGAGAAGGTCTTTGCGATTGACAATCCTGAGTCTTCTTTCAAATGCTTTGCTTCCCTCCTCAAAAGATCGTCTGATCCGGCAAACCGTCGCACGTTCGTTCAGCAGGCGACCAACACCCTTCGCGTCACGCTTTGCGAGTGGCCTTGCGAGCCCACTATCGAAAACACAGTTCTGATTTCTATCATGCACGTCAAGTACCAGAACTTCGACAGCGTTCACTACCAGCGCCATCTTGTCGCGATGTCGCCCACCGCACCTTTCGAGATTCTTGCACGGAGCTCGCCTTTGCACTACGCCGGCATTGACGAGCGGGACATGGTCTACACCTCTCAAATTGCCTGGGACCATATGCATTTCAGAAGTCACTCTACGGCGTCGACCGTGGTTGCCCCGTCTCGCGGCGATTATGCGACTGCAAAGAGAAGTGTTCAGCAAACGAACAGTCTTGTCAGTGACCACCATCATGGCTGGCTGGATGATACAATCATGATCTCCATCTCAATCAACAACCAAGAGACCGCAGTGTTGCACAGCAGTATCGCTGATCTTCTTGGATGTCTACAGCTGTGCTAGACTCTATTCTTCTCCTCTTATCATCGCTGGCTCGCGTGACATTTTGTATCATAAGCTACTACGGTACATATTACTTTCTACTGAGCAAGTCATCTTCTCATTTATTTTTCCGCCTGACGATCCAACGATGTACCTTCTCATAACGTCTATTCCATTGCATGACCAGGCCGAGCATTATTATATATGCCTTGTTTTGTCTCTACTAATTATATTTGGTGCTATTCCAGGCGTTTGTTTGTTTTTCTGGCACTTTTTTCTCCTTTTCGTCTAATATTATTTTTTTGTTTGGAAGGGTTCAGGAATGGTTTACTTTGTATAACGACATGAACGTGAACTAAATTATCCCTAGAGTAATACATAAAAAGAAATATCATTATTAAGCGCATTATCGTACAAATCCGGACAAAAAAACAGGTGGTGATAGCGAACGTTGTTCACTTCATCGTTCCACAAGACTGTTGATTTCGTCAATGCTATTAAACAGCTCGGCCTGATCAGGCAATCCGTCTGTCTCGCTAGCGGCCTATACAAAAAGATTGAACAAAGTTCGTTAACGGTGGACGGAAAAGGATCGTAACGGTCAGCGACTGCTATTGCTGTTGCTGTTGCTAGCGTTGATGCTGGGGAGATGTAACATACCTTCTGTAAGTCATCGAGTGACTTTGTAATTCGGCCAAACAAATCATCAATCTCCTTTTCTTGGCTCTCAATCTTTTGTAAAATCTTTCTGTTTGCAGACTGGACCTATAACACAGTATAGACCGTTAGAGAACTTTTCGACAATAAAGAAGTTAGGATAAGATCATTGTCGTGATACCTCTTGTATACGTCCTTCTAAAGCCTCTGCTTCCTTCAGATTAACAGGAATCAAATGAGACTTCACAATGTCTTCTGGTGTTAAACTCTCAATATAAACCTGTTTCTCACAGCCGGCCATTTCAACATCTTCGCTGACCCCGTTGGCGGCAGCAGCATCGTCTTGAGCAGACGAAGCCTGCTCTGCTCGCTGTTTGCGATCCCGCGCTTCTGTTATTAACTGTTCCAACTCGGCCAGTTTGGTGGCAACATCTCGCTCTTCTAAAATCGCGTAAAACTCCCGCTAGATGTGTGTACATATCACGTTAGCAGACTTTCACATTTGAGAAGAGAGGAAAGAGCCTTGCGTACCGTCGAGCTCGAATCCCAAAATTTCATGGCTTGGTTTAGCGCTTCCCGTAAACCAGCTTGACCGTGTTCAGCAACATAAGGATAACACTGTGCGAGCTTCTCAAACGTAAGAGCTTTCGTGCTAGCTTGCAGTGATCTCTGGAAAATCTCAATCAACCGCTGGTGTCTCAGCGACGAAGGAGTGCTATTCTCGTCTGCACGATCCGCTACAGCACCTGTACCGGCTGCGTTCGAAGCTCCTAATGATAAGCTATTCGTAGCTGGTTCTCGAGCTTCTGGACCTTTCGACATTGTAGTGCTCGGTCTAAGGCATAATCCGAAGGATGTATTGTTTACATCCGTAGCATTTGGGAGCTGTTTGTTGTGCGGCGGGAAAGACGCGTAGGATTCAAACTCTATTTTTGTCCTTAGTTACTAATATTTAGTGTACGCTTATATAATATATATATGTAGTCTATTCAGTGATGCTCTCAATAATTGATCTTTGCGGATCCAATCGCCGTAAACACAAGTCGAGAGTCTCTACTAGACCTGGCCAATTAGCTAGAAACAAGCTTCCGCTTGACGATGCCTAGAGGAACATCCTCGCTATCGAATGTATTCCCCTGTGGCTCATTGTCGTCTGTGGCTTCTTCCATTGAATACACCTCGGCTTCAGCATCCACACCAAAGTCCTCAAGCCGATCGCCATCCCATGACTGCCACTTGTCTTTTCTCCAATACTCTTCAGCAGATGCACCCTCATCTGGCTCAGAGTCTGAACCACCATCGTACCCATCCGACCGTCGAATACGATCTCCATACGTCTGCTCATCCTGTACACGCTCGTTGAAAAATGGTTGGCCAGCAGCCTGACCACTGTGTGTTTGCCGTCTCCTTTGTTCTGTAAAGCTTGGAGGTAGCGGTCGCTCGTTATGTCGATAAATAGGAGTCTCATCGGGATCTGCTGGTGGCCAGGGTTTGTCCAGATCAGCTTCTTCAATCATCTCAAAGTGCATTCCATCTCCGTCCGGCTCCGAGAAAGGATTAAACCAGCTCAGAAATGGTCCCAATCCTGCGCGCAAATTGTCAATCGGACTTCCGAGATCGTATGGGAAGTCACCTGTATTCTGTGGTAACCTTCCGCGGCGGATCTGGCCCTCAACGCGTTCCTTCTCCCAGGATTCTATCAGGGTTGTATTTAAGCACAAATTCCAGAGTGTCCGGATGAGCAAGATTGCAAGACTGAACCATACAAGTAGTGTAACTGGAGTCATAATCAATGTCGCTGTAAGCTCGGTCTTTGTGATCATCGAGTCCAGCATTGGCCGGTGCCTTGACTCCCACAGATCCATGATCCGTCCACATAGCGTGAAGAAGAACGTCGTCAATCCCCAAACTGCACTCGTCAAAAACCGAACAAAGTAGAGAAGATTTCGGTGCCCAACGCAGTTGTTCGTCCAGGGGCAGTGATGATCCATTTTCAGCACGCAAGTTTTGCAAATCTTGCAATGATGTGTACGCGGTGGTTTGATCGCATTGCACTTTTTGCAAAATGTGCACAGTTTCGCAAGCGCTTCATCTGGGCGGAAATCTGGTCGTGGAGGTGATCCTGCAGGACGGAGAACTGCAAGCGCGTATGTGAACCAGATCAGAAATATGCGGATTCGATGCCATCGCAGCTCTGATTCACTAAGGCGATGCCGAAGAATAAGCCAATCTCCGCCATGTCCCAGGCCTGCGATTAGCAGTGATGGCACCAGGATTCCCAAAAACCGCCATTTCAGTTGCTTGACCATATTTTTCCTGCTTTTCCTTTCTAGTGACGATCTCTTCCGATGATTAGGCCGATCGCATAACGAAGAAGAGGCTCCCGACGACGAATACTGATGGGCTGTCAGGTGTGCTCGAGAGCTTTTCCTGGATGTTCAAGATTTGAGCCGCGCCACAAATTGACTTTCCAATTTTTACAATTTTCGACTATTTTTTATATTTCTCCCAGCTCCATCCCCATCCGCTATTTCTTATATGATCTCCTGGTTCTGCTGACGACAGACGTCTGCTGATCTTCAAATATCATGCAGTTGCTCTTTCGGAGCGCTTTTTGTCTATCGCGTCGTCTCTGCCTAGAGCGGAGTACTCGCGCGTTCGCCACTTCATCGTCTCTGTTCAACAGCAGCGACAACAGCAGCGACAGCAACAGCAATGGCAACAGTTCAGACGATAACCCGACACACTCAGAGGAAGACCGCAGCAGTTTGCCTAACGATGCCCCCCGTCTTCCGTCGTTCTCTCATCTGATCGGCGACAATGATATCGATTTTACGTCTTACCCGTACGAACACACTTCAAACCAATCTACGGACGTGCCGGCTAAACTCTCAGACGTTATACAAGAATTACCAGACAATGAGCTCTTCAGTCATACTCTTCATCTCACCCATCTACCCACCTCAACAGCTGTAGCTGCCGCATCTCAATCTAAAGTGCCTGCTATTCGAAGCCGTGTCAAACGGAGGCCAATTCGACGCAGTGTGTCTCAATTTACAGACGTCATGGTTATCAAGCTGGCCTCCGGGGCAGGAGGTAATGGAAATGTGACTTTTTTTCGAGATGCTGGTCACGCTAAAGGACCGCCTGATGGAGGGGACGGTGGAGATGGAGGTAGCATCTATGTCCAGGCTGTTGAAGGCGACAGTTCGCTGCACAAGTTGCAGAAACGTATCATCGCCGAAAATGGCGAGTCAGGACGTCCGTCGCAGATGGACGGCCGAAACGGAAAAGATATCATTATTCGAGTCCCCGTGGGAACCTACATCACACTGGTTCCTGGAACTCAACTGACACGAGAAAATCCACCTCCAGGCCAAGGATGGATTCATTCGACTGGGTTTAAGGAATTCAACGAAGAACGAGATTTCTTCAAAGCCTTGAGGAAAAGAAAAGTTCTCGACGACAAAATACAGACAAGAAAAGAAGAAATCCAGGACGCTTTCCCGAATGCGGGAATAGATCTCACCAAACCGGGGCATCCTGTATTGCTACTAAAGGGAGGTCGCGGCGGATTGGGGAATCGTCATTTTCACACCGCCGATATTCGAAATCCGCGGTTTGCAACCCAAGGTCGAGCTGGACTCAAGGGGATATTCAGATTTGAGCTTAAGCTGCTTGCCGACCTTGGTCTCGTTGGTCTACCGAACGCAGGAAAGAGTACACTTTTGCGGGCGATATCAAGAGCGAGACCAAGAATTGGTCACTGGGAGTTTACGACGCTGTCGCCATCCGTTGGAACTATCTCGCTCGATATAGCAACAGCGGATGATTCGTTTTCAGTGGCCGATATTCCGGGAATTATCGCGGGTGCAAATTTAAACCGCGGTATGGGGGTCGATTTCTTACGACACATCGAGAGAACAAAGGGATTGGTCTTTGTTGTTGGCTTGGATGGCGAAAATCCTGCCGATGACCTACGAGTCCTGATTAATGAACTGGGCCCAGAAAGGTTGAACGGCAAGAAAAAACTGGTTGTGGCCACCAAAGCAGATCTGCCGCGGACTCAGCAAAAATACATACAGCTTGTGAAGTACGCGGAAAGCCTGGGTTGGAAGGCTTTGCCGGTATCTGCTATCAGGAAGGCCGCAGATATAGAAATCATGATCAGACAGATGGCTGCTCTTGCTGGCGTACTCAATCAATGATGAATCACAGTCAAAAGAAGTAGGTATGTATTCCTACTTCAAAGGTGTAAATAGCAATAGAATGTTCATGTAAATACTACAGCTTTGAGACGTTGTTCAACTCTTTGTGCATTTTAAACCTGATTAACGAAACCCTTCGTACTAATTTTACAAACATATCCTATAACTCGCATAACGTCCACTAGTCTCACTGCGCCGAATAATCTTAACAACCATTCCTCTTTTAAGACCCAAATAGCGAGCCACGGGATCTTCTCTCTGGATTCTTGGAAGTTGACTCTCCTTCAATCTATACTTCTCTAGCAATAACTTCTTTTCCTCAGTCGACATACGGATGTGCTTTGGTACCAGTTCGTGGTGTGTGATGTTGACAAGTAGATCGCACTCCTGGAAGGTTTCGATAGTTGCGGGAGCCACTGTTGGCAGCAGCTTGTTCGCTGAAGGGGTGATCGAAGTTTGATAGATGAAGATGCCGCTGGAGAAAGATTTGTCCATGATGTGAAGGCAGAACGTTCGCATGGTTTTGATACCGACGGCAGCTTCGTCGCAGAACTCGACCCACAAACTTCCAAGATCGGGAAATTTTGCCTGCGCTTCGGCGGTCGGGGTCGCCTGGAAGCCCATTAAAGGACGTCTGGAGAGAGTGTGAATACGTCGGCGTTCGATCTAAGATGCAATAGAGACTTGATAACTTACTGCGGCACACCCATGGAATCGCACATTCTCGAACGGAACTCGTCCAGCGTCATGTTGATATCCTCATCACTAATGTCATAGCCCTGTCACATAGTCAAAAAGATAGGTTAGTAGCCAGATCTAGACAAAGAAGCGCCATAACAAACGGAATAGAAAAAGAAATTGCATTCATACCCGATCTCTGACCATTTCCTTGACTGTGCGAAAAGTCCGCCACAGTCTTGAAGCCTGTCTCTCAGACTCATCCATGATTGCAGCACAGGTCGAGTTCCGAGAAGAGACGTGAGAAAGGACGACGAAGGAAAGCAGAGAAAAAAAAAGCGAAATAAAAGATTATTGCTCGAGAGAGCAAACAGTTTGGGAGTAAGCCGTGAAACCTTAACTGGGCGGCGGTTCGGTGCTCAGATGTACGCTGACGCCGCGACTGAGAAATACGCAGGCACCGCGGCCCCGAGGCGCCGCTTCAGCGAACAAGAAAAATCTCAAGTGCGCTCGTTGTGTAAACGTTCCACTCTCTTCCCACCCATCAAAAAGTCATCGCGTATCCCCCCTACCACCCTCGCCACTACCTACCCGCCATTACCATTCAGATCAATGGCCGCTGTTGAGGATCCCAAGAAGACCGACTCCAGAGTGAGGCCCACGAAGCCTGACCAGACCGCGTTCGAGTCTGGATTGGACGCTCTCGAGAAGGAGCTCAAGGCCAAGAACGAGAAGCAGGTCAGTTCCTCGCCTTCCAACTACATTCATTGCCTTTTGTTTATGCAGTTGCGTGCTGTCCGTTTGCCATTGAGCTGTATTTTGCTACGATAGGTTGATTTGCTGTCATCTACTATCGACCCGGTCTAACTTCCGCGGGCACGGCATCTTCCTGAACAAAGCGCACACGACCTTCTATCTCGCAGCACTAATCTGATTACTATTCTTGCAGGAGTACTACCAACACCAGCTGAAGGCCTTGTCAACTGACTCTCCTCAGAACGAGAAGCAGCAGGAGCTCCGCGCATCCCTCAATGCGATCAAGCAGCGTCAGGCTGAGATCCGCGCCGCCAACGGAAAGGTCTTTGACGAAATCAAGGCTCTTGACGAAGACATCAGACGGAAGGTATCAATTAATGAACGTTTATACTATTGAACCATTACCAATGTTACTAACTTCGACTCAAAGATCAAAGATGTCCAGGCTGCCAAGTCAAAGCTTAACTTCAAGTCTGCTGATGACCTCGATGCTTACATCAAGTAAGCGGCCCCATTTTCAGTTAAGACTATTTGGATACCAATTCTAATACTTTATATCAGGAAACTTGAGAGCCAGGTTGACTCCGGAACCCTGAAGCTTGTCGAAGAAAAGCGTCTGCTCAGCGACATTACATCTTTGAAGAAGGCCCGCAAAACCTTCTCTAGCATTCGTGAGATCGAGCAGTCGATCGCCGAGAGCAAGGAAAAGGTCGCCGCTCTTCGCTCATCGATCGAGGACACCGAGTCCAAGGAACTTTCTGCCAAGCACTCCGCCATCACCACCGAGCTCAACGCTATCCGCGCAGAGACCGACAAGGTTTACAAGAACCGCTCCAGCTTGGTCGAGAAGCTCAACGAAGCCCGCAAGGCCAGAGAAGAGGCTTACAACAACTTGAGAAAGTTCAAGAACGAGTTCTACCAGCAGAAGAGGGAGTTCGGTAAGTACGAGCAGGAGGAGAGACAGCGTCGTTGGGAGCGCCAGAAGGCTGAGCGTGAGGCTGTCGAGCGTGAGCGTCGGAAGAAGCGCGCTGCTCAGAAGCTCGAGTCCGCCAGCGAGCCCGCCTTCGAGAACGACATCAAGCAGGCCGAGTCTTTGCTCCAGTACTTTGATCCTACTTTCAAGCCTTCTTCGGGCGATCTGACCGGCGCCGGTGCTGCTGATCTTGCTGCACAGGCCAAGCGCTCTGTTGAGGCCGCCCCTCCTCCCGGAACTCAAGTTCTGTCTCGCAAGCCTGTCGAGGAAGAGGTCTACTTTGTTGCCAAGAAGGGCAAGAAGAAATCTGGCAACGCTGCTCAGGCTGACAAGGAGAAGTTCACTCTTAACCTCGAGATTGTCAGCTCGCTGAGCAAGCTTTCCATCGGCGTGCCCATGAACAAGGAGGAAGTTCCCGCGACTGTTGAGAGCTTGAGAGAGAAGATCACGTGGTTCTACGACAACCAGGAGAGAGTCACTGCTGAGAACATCAAGAAGGCTGAGGCCGAAATCGAGCGCCTGGAGAAGGAGGCTGAGTCCGAAGGTGCTAAGAAGTCCGAGAAGCGATCCAACAAGCAGAACGGAAAGGCCGAGAACGGAGAGGCCGAAGCCTCTCCCGAGGTCACTGAGACTGCTGCTGCTGCTGAGGAGAGCACTCCTGCTGCGGAGTAAAAAAGCAGGAAATCTGAGAGTTTCTTATGACGATGCCGTCTGAAGTTATCAGATGGGTGTATCTTTGAAGCTTGGATATGTATAAAAAAGAAATCTCGCCTTCTAGTTATTTTGTTTTGGTATATTGTTCTCAATCTTTGTTTTTTCCAAAAATGTTATAGATGTTTCATCCGACATACACAAAAGTGGAGAATGTTATTGATGCAGGCCGATGAGTTATGGTGGTATGCTTTGCTCGGCAAGCACCTTTATGTATTACTGCTGTGAAATTATTTAGTCATTTTGAGATGCCCTCTTTTCTTTGTAATTATGTTCTTTGGCATATACCGTGATTTAGTTCTTTACTCTTCATGAAGACAATGCTTCAAAGGCTATCGCCCTTTGCTTATAATTAGTGAACCACAATTGAAAAAACAGAAGTGAACGTTTCATAAGTGCTTAGTAATATGTGCGGCTTAACATTGCTGAAGAACGTGAGCGTGTCGCGCACGCGTCCAAGATTCTTCCACTTTGGATTTTCGACCACAGCCCAACCTCACGCAAAACAACACTCAGGACGCCTGAAGATCCCCGCCACCGTGCGGTTCCACGATGTATGTCTCGCCAGCCTCGTATGCTGAAGCCTTTGAGGCTCTCAGAGCTGCAGCACTCTCACACACCTCCTGTCGCGTTGTGCTCTTCGTTGCCTGTCTCGACGTCGACGCGCTCTGCGGTGCTCGAATTCTCTCCGGAATCTTCAAGCGCGACCTCATCCCACACCGCACCTGTCCCGTCGCCGGCTACTCTGAACTGAAGAAGAGGTACGCGGAACTCGAAGATAGCGTTACCTCAGTCATCCTTATTGGTTGTGGCGCTCTCGTCGATCTGAACGACTACCTCCTTGATGCAGATTTGGAAGCTGCCGGTGACGACGATGACGCGGCAGAGATCTCTAATCGGCGGATACGGCGCAAGCTTTACATCTTTGATAGCCATCGACCATGGAATTTGCAAAACATGTTTGGCTCCGAGGAGGTCGTATGCTTCGACGACGGTGACGTGGACGATGGCTTGTTGAACAAAGAACGCGACGCCTTTGAAGCTCTGCTGCGAATCGAAGACGACGACGAGGCGGATGAAGCGGATGAGGACAAAGAAGAGGATGATAGTGATGGTGAAGATGATCCAAATGACGAGCAACACGACGATAGTGACGAAGAAGAGAATGATAGCGACCTCGAAAGCAATGCAGACTCTCTACCCAGCAAAATTCACAACGTGGACCTCGATGTACGGCACAAGAGGAAGATCTTCAGCAAATCGGAAAGTGATGACGACGGCGATGACTCTGCCAGCGAAGACAGAGATTCAGGAGTAGACCGAGAATATATCTCGTCATCGAACGACCTCTCCGATTCTCCTGTTTCTCACCGAACAACCCCTAGCAAACGAAAATCCCCCTCGTCTAGGTCACCGTCACCAGCTCCACAGCGCCAGAAGTCATTCTCGGAAGCTCGCAGGACATACGAAGAAGTCATAGGAGATTATTATGGTCGCGGAACCTCGAACTCGACCCCTGTTGCTTCGCAAATATACACGCTACTTTCGTTTCTTGGTCTGGCATCGAATCCTGATCTATGGCTATCCGTCGTCGGGACCACAGCTGTCGAATACGCGTCACCACAGCTTTACAGGCGATTTTTCCCATTACTACGCGACGAAGTGCTACGTTTGAATTCTCAAGTCAATATATCCAGGCTTTCAGCTGACGATTCAGCACTTGTTGTCCAGCCAGATTATAGACTTTTCCTACTCAGGCATTGGTCTCTATACGAATCTGTCGTTCATTCTCCTTACGTCGCTTCACGCCTTCATCTATGGAATGATGCAGGCCGCAAGAAACTTCATAAGATGCTGGCGAAAATGGGCATATCTCTTCAAGTGGCAAAGGAGAAGTGGACACACACCGACGTGGCACTGAAGCGAGCACTAAAGGATAAGCTCTCTTCCGTGGCTGATGTAAACGGTATCGGTAACGTTGTTCGGACGGGAGTGGTACGAAAGTTCGGCTTCAGAGGGATGGTAAGCGCTGGTGATGCTGTCGAAGGAGTCGCTGCCCTGATGGAATGCGGCAAAGGCGCTACCATCAACGACAAAGAGAGCGTTTACCAAAGCTCATCAGCGGAAGAAAACATTGAGGAGGTAGATGGTGAGTTCAAAGAGGTCTGGATCGGTAACTTCTGGACAGCCTGGGACGCGTTGGACAAGTGAGTAGTCCCTGTCGAATCCGATGATTGTCTTTAGCTCGGGGATTAACATTATTTAGCATCGAACTACTCCTTCACGGACTGCAAAGAGCACAAATATTGCAACAGGCAGTGGTTAGAACAGCTACAGCTCTTTTAGAGAAAGACCAAGTCCACGATCTTCGATCATTCCGCTTAATTATTCTCAAAGACGGCCCTGATCTCGAGCTTTTCAACAACCCACTTACACTGGTCCGGTTGGCGTATTGGGTGAACGAATGCAAGTCAGAGCAAACCGACCGACATAGTCCAATGGTGATGGCGGTTCTTGATCAGAAGCGTGATACGTACACTGTTGTTGGTCTGCCTGCGAGGGTAGCCGAGAAGACCAACAACGAAGATGAAGGAGATTTACCGGAAGAGGAGGCAGCATCTTCCAACTCGTTTGGTATCGCGTTCCAAGAGATGGCAAACCTTACTCATGCCAGAGTGAAGATTGATAGTTTCGAAAGCTCAGTCGTGGAAGTTCGCAAGGACGATCTCACGGGTTTTTTGGAGGGTATGTCGTCTGTCGGGATCAAGTAGAAGCCGAGCATCCGACTGTCTATGTGTTTTAAATCCTTTGAGGGAGAAAGGGGATGATTTCTAATCATCATGCATATTTGTAAAGTAGATTGGGAGGTAGTCGGAAAGGTTGTGCTATTTTTCAGCGGAGTTGTTTATCGAACATCCTACGAAGACGTGCTGGCTCGTTGATGTATTTGCATGTTCCGTGTAGAGTTATGAACAAAGCGCGGTCGAGTCAATAATTGTATTTGTATTTTAGGTATTAATGGATCATTTTATGCTGTAAAAGACGCCATTTGCATTTCCGTATAATTGCAGAGGAGGAGAACTAAATATTTGCGCGCTCAGGCTGCTGAACTTCTATGACGACTTTCCCTATCCGGTCCGACGAGAGAAAAGCTTTGAATGCAGTCTCAGCATTTTCCAGTCCACGAACAGTCTTTGCAACCACGGGAACTATATGACGGTCGCCCACAAGACTAATCATGTCGTCAAATTCTCGCATCGATCCCATAGTAGAACCAGCAACCTGCAATTTCATGTTAACGATTAGCGAACAGAGTCCATAATCGAGCTAAGATTTTATCTAGACTCACCACAATGTGCTTGAGCACAGCAGCCATTCCCATTTCGAGACGCGGTTCAGTCGTCATTCCATAGCTGACAAACCTACAGCCAGCTTTCATCGCGCTCATCAATTGAACCATAGATTTTCCACCCGAACCGTCAATTACAGCGTCGACACCTGCAACACCATTACTCTGGAGCTGTGAGAAGAGCTGCTTACCCCAATCCTTGGCAGTGTACAGAACTCCGCCATCAGCTTTTAAGTGGTTGATAGCATAATCCAGTTTTTCTTGGTTCCCGGTCGTTACATATACCCTCGCACCGATTGCTTTAGCGAATTGAATAGCATAAAGAGCAACACCTCCACCAGCGCCGGTAACCACCACTGTAGATTCAGAGGTAACTTGTCCTTGTGTGAAAAGCGCGCGGTAAGCCGTAAGCCCAGCGAGAGGAAGTGCAGCCGCCTGTGGATCGGTCAAATGAGGAGGACAGTCATGTACTAAGCTGGGAGATTCCAGCAATATATAATCCGCAAACGTCCCAGTTGGATAAGACTTTGTTCCACCGAGAATGGCAAACGAAGCAGGATCCTCCGGTGCTGTGATATTCGATATCCACCCTATTGCGGGGTAGACCAGCACGCGCCGCCCGATCAGTGACTTGACCGGCACATCAGGTCCAATAGAGATAACTTGACCCACACAGTCTGATCCTAGGGTGACACCGAAAGCTACTCCTGGGTAGAGATGTTGCCGTATGAAATGGTCGCGATGGTTCAGCTATAAGTCAAGGAAAAGTCAGTCGTCAAAGCGCTTGCAAGGTATAACGCGATTCGTCCCGACACTTAAACGTACAGCTGCGGCCGCGATCTTCACCAAAACCTGGCTTCTAGTCGGCTGCGGGAAGTTGGGAGTTACATCTAACGAAAGATCATAATAAACGCTTCCAGGTTTTCCGTCTGCGCGCACAATTGTCAGAGATCTCATTGCTGCAAGAATACCAGGCGCGAAAGGCTGAAGTCGCGTTGTGGATCTTTATTGGGACTCGTGGGGCTAAATCAGAGCCGTAGTCGTACCTCGGCTATTAGCCATTGATTCTCATGCCATAACCGATGATGAGAACAGGCCGAACTCAGATCAATTGAATTTACAAGAACAGGATCATAGTTTTTATTCAAAAACTTTGCATTTAAATTGTATTGCAGTATCAAATCTTGAAAACTGGATTGATTGTTATTCTAAAGTCTTACGTGACAAATGAGAATTTCATGACATCAGTTTGAGCATTTAAGGGTTCTCCTTGACGAAGGTGATGCCCTTGGCAATGTTCTTCTTCAAGTCGACCTTGCAGGCCTCGACAAGCTTCTCCTCGTAAGGGCTGATGGATCCAAGATCATGGATAGTCTCAGCACCGCTGGGGCCGAGAGTAACCTTGGAAGCAAAGAACTCAATTCCCTCGCTCTTGAAGAGAGGAGAGTCAACGAAGGTAGGCTCAGTGACGGGGGTGCCAGAGAGCGAAGAAAGCAGCGAGTTGGTGAAACGGGCGGCAGCCTGGGCCATGGAGAGAGTAGCCGAGCCAGCACCATCCTTGGCCTTGACGACCTCATCACCACCGAACTGGATACGGTGAGTAAGAGCATCGAGGGTCTCGCCCGAGATGTCGGGGTGATTCGACTGGGAGATCAGAGGAACGATGGTGACACCGGAGTGGCCACCAACGACGGTGACGGGCTCATCCTCGGGCTTGGTTCCCTTGACCTGCGAGATGAAGCGGGAGGCTCTGAGAACATCGAGGGTGGTGACACCGAAAAGACGCTTGGGGTCGTAGACACCCTTGGACTTGAAGACCTCCGACACAATTGGGACAGTGGAGTTGACGGGGTTGGAGATGATGCAGGTGAAAGCCTTGGGAGCGTAGTCGGCAACCGCCTTGGCGAGATCACGGACGATGGAGGCGTTGGTGTTGAACAAGTCATCACGGGTCATACCGGGCTTACGGGGAATACCGGCAGGGATGACGACAACGTCAGCACCGGTAAGAGCCTTCTCGAGTCCACCGTTATCGGGAAGGTAACCAGTAACGGTCGAGTTGGCGGGGACGTGGGAGACATCGGCAGCGACACCGGGAGCACCACGGAGATCGTAGAGAGCAAGGTCAGTGACCTTGTCGTTGAGCTTCAAGAGAAGCGAGAGGGGCTGACCAATACCACCTGATAGAAAGTTAGACAAAGATACGAGCGAGCACAGGAAAATTTAATTGGCTCAATTGCTTACCAGCGGCACCGAGGACGGCGACCTTGTAGGCCTAGAGAGCAGAGAATAGGTTAGAGGTCGGTCGGGATCGGAGTAGGACTTTCAAGTCGATGGATTGTAGAGGAAGGAACATACGGTAGCCGAGGTGGAGGAGAAAGCACGACGCTGGACGGTCGAGAAAGCGGAGCGAGTGAGAAGAACCATTGTGTAGACGATCAGGTGGAGAACCAAGGAGGAAGAGGAAGGATGAGAGCGGGAGAGGGACGAAAACGAGGAAGTTGAAATAAAAGGAAGAACCCGAGCTCCGGAGAGCGCGGAGGAGGCGCGCACCAGCCACATCTGCCGCACCTTGCCGACCCCGGCAGCCAATCAGACCTCAGCAGCTGTGCCACAGCCTCCCCGTTCCCCACGGCTTCTTCTCGGCCTGCTTCTTCCACGGCATTCTATATCCGTAAAGCCTTGGTTAGAGGACAATTTGTAGTGTTTTCTGCCTCAATTGCGGCAGTATTTCCTCGTACTGCTCAGCTCTGCCTTCAGCAGTTCTGATCTGCAATTATGCGACTGTAGCGATAACGTGTGTGTGTTGTATTACCGGGCTCTGTCGACTCCATTTTGCCTTTCGATCTGTGATCATTTGGGTTTTGTGCTGCGGATCATAATCACTATTCTGGGAGCAGCAAAACCGACAATGAGCCCCACAACCACATAAACCCTCGAGTTCATAACTATTCCCAGTGTTAAATCGCTCCAAAGCTGCAATCAGTAGTCTTTAAAATGTTTGAAAAATTGATCCATTGCCTTATTCTAAACTTTAAGGATCACGGGAAACTCAAGCACTTGCTACCATCGAAAAAGAACGAGAGGTTGAATCGATTTAGACGGTGTATAGCGCTGAGCCAGTGATCAATCTGAGTTGTGGGGTAGATTGAACGAGAAGTGAGAATCTCGAAGAAGCAGAGCATAGACCTCATTCGAAATAGGAAAAAGGTAGAAGATCGAATGATCCTCGCTAGCCACGCGACTCAGAGCAGCAAGTTACAAATCCTGAATCAAATCCGTAATTTCAGTATTCGATGTAGACGCTTAGGACAGCGAGCAATTTGCGGGCGAGCATCGACGAGTTCGAGGACGGACTGCTACTGCTGTACGATTTAAGCGCTCCCCGATGAGAAACCCGAGGACGAGTGAGCTAGTAGGCACCACGAGCCTCAAGAATGACGGAGTTTTCTACAAGGAAATCACAGCCTGAGTATAGCTCATGAATGGAGAGTCCCGCGTCGCGCTTGCCAGACGAGAGCAGCAAAGAAGGTCTCGCGGGTGGGACTTGACTCTGCCGGGCGGCCACTGTCAAAGTCCCTACCAAAGATGAAGTCATAGTCGCCCACTAGCGTGCACACTAGACGAAACCAGACCATAGAATTTGCAGAACCCTGGAGTTTGGCGGCTGACTGGACGAGCAAGTAGGAAGCATGGCAATGTGCGTTCTGCAGTTAAGTAGTCTTAGCCATAATTATGATCAACTAATCACGCTGCTGTTCGCCCAAGCTACTTGTGAGAACAAGAGCTAAATCCATTGTCTTGCATGGTATCTCATTTCTTCGGCTGCTAGTACGGTTGCTATCTGCACAGCGGCCTCTCGATCCAGTTTATCGCTCGGAACGAGCCGGCATGCATACGCAGACTTTCGCCGCACATATCTCCGCCATCATTCTGCAGATCACAGTCTTACTGTCACTGCGCGCGAGAAATAGATGATGGTTAGGAGTTCAGACGGACATGAAGCTATTCGATGGAATGGCCATCACCACATGGGACACATTCAAAGTATAAATCTGGTGCGGCGTGTGAAGTACCAAGATAAACAAAACCACATTGCAATCACGATTTTTCGTTCCGATATCGGTATATTGGGACTCGATTTCTCGATAGTGCGTTGGACACTTCCAAAATATCTATGGCGACCATTGATGCGATTGAAATGCCTCCCATAAACGACTGGATGAAGGTGAAACTAGAGGCAACTGAGTGCCCCAATACTGACGCCAATGCAAGAAACTTCGCTTCCGAAGCATGATCAGAGGACTCTCCGTCGAACGCCCGAGCTAGCAATGATGTCGTGCAATCCATTGCTTGCGAACTAGTTATATACGCAGGCTGCTGGCAACGTTGCAAAAGCCCGGAGAAACTTCAGATCTATCGCAGCAGTCAGAGCCGCAAATGTTCGCCGCTCTAGAACGATGGAATTCTATCGGCTCACCTATGGCGCAGCGAAACAATCCGGGTATAAGGCAGCAGCAGCACCTACTATGACTTCTAAAGAACCCAATACCCCTCTGTTGATCGTGGCCACTTTTCTACGCCTGTCATCATCATCGATGTCTACTCCTGCGCACGAGTCAATAGTGCTTTGAAAGATGCGAAAGTCCATGATAGTATCCGCCTCACGAACGCTCCTATAAGGTTATGACAGACAACGAAAATTGATCACTTTCTTGCCTACAGGTAGATCTTCAAGCGGGTAACCGAAGCGGTGGGAACCAAATTTGAGAGAGTGAAGATCTAGGAGAGGAGGCCAAATGCAATTATCCATGGCGTTAGTTGTGTTCCAGCCAGAGACATTCCCGAGCTCCTACTTTTCAATATCTACGACCAGAAAATACCCAACTCTTCTGATACCTCTCGAAACGTCACGATTTCTTTCTCCATTTCTGTCCCTATTTTTCACATGATTCACGCTGGTTATTGCAGTACTCATTATCTTTGCTGGAATGTAAGCTTTTGCAAAGAGAAAAGGCATCAGATGCTGATCTTTAACTAGAGAGAGTATGATTTTTAGCTGAGCAGCGAGCCTGATAGCGTCATCTCGCATCCAGGCGATCACTCTTCTCTCCTCAATCTTTCCTTTGTTACCAACTCAATAATGAATGAGATTGAAAATTGGGCTGTATTTGAAGATTAAGTTATAACCACAAACGACGACTGACACGCTCAATGTCAGGGAATATCCCCCTGGCGCGTTCCGGACATCTCTGGCAGTCTTGAGACATTACCAGAAAATTTGGCGAGGGCTGCAATATCTACACTCGTTCATTTTGCAACGCTGAGAACAACGCTGTTGGCTGGGCTTTCACTGTCGAGTATGGAGAGCACTTCAAGCATGATGAGTTTGTTTTTTTGGGCTTTCAATCTGATCTTTATTCTGCGGCGATAAACACCTTAGCGAAGGCCACAACCTGGACATCAAAACAGAGACCGTCAAACGGCGCCATCCACTTCTTCACTGATGCCCCTGCTGCCTTGAAACGCCTGGAGAAGTCTTGGCGCGCCTCAAATCAGCGTCAAGCTACTGTGATCTATCAAGCCATCGATTGACTGTCTGAAACCAACACCAAAGTCTCCATCTATTGGCTTCGCTCCGCTACCAAAGTAGAGGGCGGCATTCGCGCCCTGGCTTCAGAATCTCAAGCAGCCTTGTCGCCAGATTGCGTCAATCATGACTGTTCTCTGCGCTCTATCTATAAGTCAGTGGATGACCACACTTACATGGAATGGAATGCCAGGTTTCAAGCCGCGCCTCAATCAGAAGACTATACACATGAAGGCAAGCCTCGATCCTCTATTGACATGCCCTTTGTGAATATCCCTCGCAGCATTGCCAGCTGTATTGTGAGCTTCAGGATTGGACATGGCTTTTTCAACAGCTACTTTGCAAGACATGACAGAGAGCCTCGTCCCTCTCCAGAGTGTTGGCGTGGAATCCCATTGCAGTCAGTTCGGCATGTGCTTCTTTTCTGCCGCAATCACAGAGAGGAACGGAAGAATGCTTTTGAAGGTATCCCAAACGCCGAACGCACGCTCAACCGCATCCTATGGACAGACAAAGGTCTTTCTGCACTTGTCAGATATCTTCAGAGGACCCACATCGGCACTGGTCACTGGTATCATCAGCAAAGCTCTCTCACACAGAGCCAGAGGGACGAGTTATGGATCAATTTTATGGTAGATTCGAAAGTGCATCGCGAATATTAAGGAGGAGGAGTAGCAGTGAGGTCTCTTAAGGAAGTTGATAGTTTGGATGTTTATTATTGATTTTTTGGGGTTTTTATTCTTTATCTGAAATATGCGATGGCGAATTCTGCAAAATTTCTTTATGATATTTTTGACTTGGAGATTTATCTGTTATCGATTTGTTTGTTATTGTGACACGATCTAAGGATCTATTTTGTTTTATATAGTGGAGAAGGGGGAGAAAGTCTGTAATAACCTAGCTGTTGCAACAGACTTAAAACAGAGATTCATCATCATCAGGATTGAGTTACAGATTATGATCCCATTGGATTCTCAATTATACCTGATGTTCAGGCACACCCAAACAAGAGAAAACTCTGAGGCTAGTTCTGCAGAAGACCTACTTGATGAAGTTTGCAAAGCCCAGCAGATCCCATGCGGGTTTGAGAACAGTCCCTAGTATCAGCAGCACCAATAATTCTAATCCTTGTGGAGAGTAGTATCATTTTATGCATCCAAAGTTCAGGGTTTACTCAGAAAGATCTAAATCCTCAAGAATCATTTATGAGTATAAATGATGGTAAAATCTTGACTTTATAGTCTGTATGCAACAACTGCGATATAGCACGCTGTTCTCTTTCCAATTTTCCTACAAATTTTCTGCAATCTGACAGACTGTCTTTCAAAAAGCAGTAGTATGGCTCAATGGAATGACTGCTGCATTGCTTCCTTTGAATCCACAGACTTCAGATTGATTGATAGATCTATTTTGAGGTCTGTGTGCAACAAATAGGCTATGAAATACTATCTCCCCCTTCTCCATTATCTACTAGAAATTGTGAAACAAAACAAAACAAAACAAAACAAAATCGATCATAAGATTGTCTCGCATGTTGAAAATAGTGTTCCATTATGCAGCAGGATCAAGGGTTTCCTTGGAGGGAACTGAAACCCTAAGGAAACTACTGGGTGCAACCAGAAGCAACTGGAAACATTTAGAAGGGACCGGAAGCAACTGGAATCTACCGGAAGGAACTAGAAGAAACTGGAAAGAACTGGAAGCAGCTAGAAGGAGCTGGAAGGATCTGGAAAGATCAGATGACTAATCAGATGACTGGTCAGATGACTGATCAGATGATACTTGAAGAACTTTGTATAAACTTTGTATGAACTTATTTTGTCTATATATTGACCAGCTCCCTCCCTTGTTTTGTACATATCATTCAATCAATCAATAACATATCATATTATCTATCAAAGCACACTTAAGGAATATCATCATCAATGGATAACTCTGACAACTTCAACACTTTCCACACCAAACAACCATGGAAACCCCTTTTAAAGAAGATCGAATAAACCTGGCTATTCAAGCTCTTGATAGCACTGAAAATTTCAGCATTCGAAGTGCTGCGAAGTGGAAGCGCGCCGCTACAAGGGGTGCGCCGCTTCAAGGGGGTAGGTGTTCTATATAAACACAAAAAAAACTAAAATGGTGGGAAAAGTTGGAGACAGACTATCATAACCTAGTCGTTGCATATAGACAGTAATTATCAAAATATCTACTATGATATCATTTACTTTCTCTCCATATCATCATCATCATGATCAGTATCATATAAGTATGAAAAGCCTGTTTGAGAGGGCAAAGTATAAGAAGGGTTTTCAGACGCCCTACAAACGCCCTATTAAAGCCCTACACAAATTCTGTAAACTCTATGATGATGACAAATCTGTGT